ATTTGGCTGGCTACTCACACTCGGTCGAGTTGGCGCTGACGTTGTCTGCCGTAGTGGCGCCTGTAATTTTGTTTTAAATGTTTCAATAAGAAGGAACTTTGCACCCGCTACAGGTCGCAGGAGACTTTGAATCCATATGCCGTGGGGTGTAATGCGCCTTGAGATCGTGTGTGCTATGTATAGGCATTCCGAATGCAGGCGGAGAGGCAATACACCCACGAGATATGCTAGTATCTATTCTGATGAAGGGAGCTTATCGCCATGTCTATTGTTGTTCTAATGCGTAATATCCAGGCTTTACGGCTTCGTAGTGCAGCCGGTGTCTCAAAACATAAACAGCTATTGTCATTTCCCTGCCTGTGCTTGGCCAAGTTGTTCCTGAAGTCACCAGATATCAGATATCGATTTCAATTACCCAGAATAATTCCATACAAACAAGAGAGCATATAGACAACTCGTGCTTATTATACGTGAGCTATCCTTCGATATTCCAGCACGCCAGCCTTCGCACGTGAAAAGAATATTGCAAAATATGACTAGAGCTAGTCTAGGCCTGTCTCGGCCCTACTCGAGCCACCGTCATAGCGGTATTCTGAATTCTGTGATCCACGAGTCGCGGGGAACCAGTGTCATACTTCCATGCTTTGTGAAACCAAGGAATCAAACCCTTGACGGAGTTGGAAGATTTATCAAACCTGCTTGAGGAAACGACATATAAAAACAGAGAACCAAGAAATATGAAGTTAATCTCTCTTAGTAGACCTAAGAATATACGTACAGAAAGTGACGTTTCTGTGATGGGTGCATAGTCAACTATAGAAACAAGAGAACTAAGACCAAGGTACGCGGCCGCCATCCACCGCAGGATTTTGATTAGGGCTTCTTACTAAAAAAAAGGCTGTGATCATTGTATGTGTTGATTATCAGGCTTGGGAATTGCAAGTTTCCAGCGTCCCCCATAGGTCCGCCCTTGGTTGTTCGATGTAGTTTTCAGGGATCACGGCAATACAGACAACAATGAGCTTGTTCCATTAACCCCCATCTATGACTTTGCGTCGGACCGTGGCAGACTTTGTCTTTCTATCTTTACTTTGCTTCTATATTAAATAGAGAAATGCCTTTCACGGATCGGAAAATCGTAGATCACGATCGTTTCGTGTCGGATCGACTCTATCCACCGTACACCCTACTTTATATAGCACATACTATTACGTCAAAAATCAAACAAACTATGGAGCTTCATCTACCCATATAAATGGCAATTCATTGGGCTCATTATGCATAATTGTATCACTGTCCATATGTTGTTAGTCTTTAGATCCATATCTTTCCATACCAGAAAAGAGCCCTAAGACATTTTCCATATCGTCAAGGAACATGTCAATACGACATACTCATCTCGCTCCCAAGCCTCATAGCTTGAAGATCCCAAGATTGGTCTTACCGCTTTGGTATAAGAGAACCGTGAGATATCAACTGGCACCTCTCCACCGGATCCAGGCTAAGCAACGGTGAAATATACACCGACCAGTACCGCTTGTGAAATTTTTTTTTTGAACCGCTTCTAGTATTTAGCATGTTCACACCACCAGACAAGCAAAATTTCGTGGCGATCCGTGCCTCCATTCGGGTTTGTCTGGGTTCGTCTGTGTTCACGAGGGTCACCCGATATGCCGAGGAACAACGACCTGCCTAAAAGAAGATCTGAACTACTGATTTTTACTTTTAGATTATGTCTAAGTTTCTGCCTCGGTGCACGTTCGTGGGGGCTCTGATTTTGTGCTGTCATGTTCCTGTTCCAACGAAGTCTTCTACACTATAGGACGAACGGAACTGGGTAACTGGTGACCTGGCTTTCATCATGGGGATCTACACCGCCATGTTACCCGGATACGAGAATCGGCTTTTTGTTTTTCGACAGATTTAAATTTAGGTCTTGCTGCATAATTTGTGGATAGCACCTGAAGCCTTGCATCCGTGTCAAGTCAGGATGCTATATCAAATGAGTGATGCGTTGTCTTGTCATTCCACATACATCCTTCAACCCGATCACATTATCCAAAACCTATGCGAACGCACGGGGTATCTACCTTTTCTGCTTTCTGTTAGGAGGGAAGGATTTGCCGCAGACCGAGTAGCTGACTGTCTACATAGGTTGAATTAGAATATGCGCTGTAGTATGTATGAAGCTATTGTTCTATAATCATTGGGGCATCAGTCTGGCCATAGAAAGGCTACTAATCACCAAAATACAATGAAACTCATACTCGCCTGTGTTAAAAAAAAACATTATCAATCCTTTCGTTTTCATTGCAACTAAAAGGGTTCTATGTAACGGACCATGTTTTTACATAGCAAGTAAACCAGAATCATCATTTTTTTCTTTTACCGTCATGGAATTTGAATAGAACAGAGTAATCTAGAACTCAGACTCGTCATCCCCAGAGATAATAACATTGTTGATCTAATTTGCTGTTAGCAACGAAGCGTAGCGAAAGGATTCAGGATTCTTACCTTAAGAACCATGCGGCAAAGCTGAGTAGCAAGCAGAAGCTGCTGGCGCTTGCCGATCAAGGGATCAATGGCGAAGTGCTCACGCATGTCTAGAGAATTGAATGTTAGCGGGTGAACAGGACTAGCATATGATGGAGTGCAAAGGGCTTACCGTTGGTGCCGGTCATCATGCAGTCAACACCGAGACGGGTGTTCTTCTCCTTGACCTGGCGAGATTTAATGGATGCAAGAGTCTCAATGGGGCTCAGGCCAGAGTTCTCGGAAAGGGCCAGTGGAACAGCATCCAGCGCTTCAGCGAAGGCGCGCATGGCATATTGCTCAATGCCGGGGCTCTTGACAGCGGCATCCTCCACAGCGATAGAGCAAGCAATCTCCGCAGCACCACCACCGTAGACCACACGGTTATCGCGAACAAGGTTGCGAACGACACACAAGGCATCGTGTAGTGACCGCTTGGCCTCATCAATGATCTGCAGTAAGTTAGCAACGTATTGTTTCTACCCTGATCCTTCGCCAAGGTTGACCTACCATCTTGTTACTTCCACGAACGAAGACTGTCACTGCCCGGGTGTTGGCGCACTCCTCAATGACCAGCATCTTCTCTCTTGTGGTTCCGAAGCTCATCTCACGGACCTTACCAGCTGTTCCAAGCTTGTCGGATGTCAGATCCTCAAAGCGGGGCACGATGCGACCGTTTGTAGCAATTGCAATCAGCTCAATCTCGGGTCCACCAACCCACCGAACGGCAGGCAAGTTATTCTGGAGCAGAAGGTGGTTGGCCTCGTCATCGAAGCCCCACTGGCAGATAACCAGGTTAGCACCTGAATCCTTTAGCTTCTGGATCATCTCTGTGAAAGTCTTCTTCTCGTAGTCTTGCAGCTTCTTGAACTCCTCGACCGACGTGATGTCAAGCTTGTGCTTGGTCTTGGGCTTGGGGGGCTCGAAGGGACAGGTCAGGATAGCCAATTTGGCATCCCGAACCTCGTCGGGCATCTGGGGGTGAGAGAAGTCCTTGTCCACAATCACACCCTTGACAAGCAGAGAGTCCTCAAGGGACCCACCGACCTTTCCGTCAACCTTGATCAGCTCGAAATCGACATCCTTGCGCTCAAAGTCGGCAACCGATAGCACGGCATCAACGGCGATCTGGGCGAATTGGTCGTGAGACTTGGAGACACTGCAGGGATTGTCAAAAATTGGACTGGCCAAAAAAGCTCATAAACACATACATCTTACTACCCAGACTGGTCTTGGCGACCTTGAGGAGGTTGGTGGTATCATCGGCGCTGAAGTGAATCTCGTCACTGATCTTGTCAAGCTCCGCAACAGCAATTTCACAGGCCTGGTCGTATCCGTCCGCTATCCGAATGGGGTGAATGCCCTTGTCGATGAGGTCGGAGGCTTGTTCCAACATGGCCGCTGCCAATACCACAACACCGGTTGTGCCATCACCGATCTCCTCATCCTGAGATCTCGATAGTTCGACCAACAGCTTTGCGACATTGTTTGTGATCTCCATCTACTCATATCCATTGTATCAGTTTTCTGTACCGCAATAGGGCCTCGAGGAGGGTAAAGGAGTTCGGGGTCGGACCTGTCCGAGAATGGTTGCCCCATCATTGGTGACGGTGATGTCGCCGTCGGCGGAAATCAGAATCTTATCAAGACCACGGGGACCCTAAATATAGGGTAAGCAGAAGTCGTTTTGTTTATTCTTTGCCGGATGCCATACCAGAGAAGACTTGACAATGTTTGCCACTGTTCTAGCGGCAACAATGTGTGACTTAACGGCCTCAGTGCCATGCTGTCTCTTCTTCTTTCCTTGACTGTTTCATCAGAAAGCTCTGTCAGCCTCCAGTCCCAAATCTTCGACATTCAATTGTAAAAGGAGACGAAGGTAGCGGTGAACATACTCCCGAACGACGATAAACGGCCGTCCCTGCTCGTCCTTCAAAACCGAAGCTACCCCTGAATGTCAGCAACCAAGATCCGCATCGCACCAATCTAGTCTGCGAGAATTAATCACCTTGAGACATGTCAAGCTCTGTTTGAAGGTTAAAATCCACATAGTTAGCCACAGCACATTTCAAGAATGAGGGGTATGGGGAGAGCCTTACGCATTGCCATGTTGACGGTGGGCTGCCACCTGGCAGGATATATGGATATTAAAGAAAAAGAGCTTCGATAAATGAAGCTAAAGGTGCAAAAATCAAGTGAGCGACAAAGAAAAAGCACACAGCAAGTTTAGGGCCGAGGGGTTGAAGCTTCCCGAATTGCACTTTTGACAAATGAAATTCTGACTACCCAAAGCGGTATAGCGTGTTCTTTCCGCCTTCACAACGCGTTTCTGCTTCTTTACTATCCCCCCATTGCTTGCTTTAAATGCGACAGCTTATCATTGGACTTCATCGCAAGTGAGGTTATTACCTCCCATCGCCAATCTGTTTTCTAAAATATCCAATTACATTTCGCCATTCAAAAGAACCATGCCTCGTGAGTGCTTTCCGCCCAATGTTGATGTTGTCGCGCGCGCATTGAGCATCTTGGTTAATTTCTCTTGCCCTCAGCCCCGGTAGAGGATCTGTCTGACGAGGAGTCTGGTGACATTCCTTTCAGAGATGCCCCAGAGGAGGCACCCAATGCCGATAAAGAAGCCGAGGAAGAAGAAGAGGAGGAGGAGGAGGAAGATAATGATGAAGAAGACGATGGAGTGTGAGCTGTGCATGGCAAAGTAACGTTCTATTGCTGCTAACTTGATGCAGCTACATAGTTGAAAAGATCGTTCAACATAGCTGGCTGGATGATGTACGCAAGCAGCACTTTATCCTATTGCGCATTTGCGACGAGCTAACTGAACTCTAGGGCACTCTCAAGTTACAAGTGAAGTGGAAAGGATATGAAGATCCTAATGACCTCACATGGGAAGATGAGGAAGGTCTAATGTACGTTCAGCTTTTCGACACTATCTTAAGCATTAGCTTACACACTTAGGGAGGGAGCTGGTGACATTGTCAATGCATACTACAAAACGACGGGAGGTCGACCGGAGCTGCCCACACAGAAGCAGAAGTCCAAGCCAGGCCGCAAGCGCAAGTCTATGGGCGATTCAAAGTCAAAGACAGCCACTCCTACCCCAACTCCAGCCGCTGAGACCAAGAGACGACGAAAGTCTACGCCCAAACAGACCGATACAACAAAGCAAGAGCCTACCTCGTCCGAAGAAAATGGCGCTGGATGGTTGCCCAAGGGCAAGAACTGGGATAATGAAATCGAGAAGGTGGAAACCATTTTCAAAAGCAATGAAGGAACTCTCCTCGCATGTCTCGAGTTCATCAATGGAAAGAAGGCTACAGTGGAAATTCCGGTTTGCTATGAGAAATGTCCTCTAAAGGTATGTCTACACCAAGAGTGCAAAAGATCGATCCGAATACTAAACTTCAACCAAGATGCTCAAATTTTACGAATCGCACCTGTGAGTCAACTCGTTATTGCCAGTCAGAAACAAATTTTAACTTTTTGCAGCGTCTTCAAGAATGAGAATGAGGATTGAGCCTACCATATGCAACCTTCGAAGAGTCCCATATACTGCACAGACACAAATGGCGTATATGTGGTATAACTTTAGCCATTTATTCTCTACAAAGTTTCTCCCTCAGGTCTGAGATAGTGAACCACACATTGCCCCGATGGCTCGGCCATTTTCACAAACATATTGAGTATGAAGCTCAAATCCATGTTTCTTGTTTGATTGCAAAGTTCTTTGCGTTCTGGGAAAGTCAACACCGGTGTTTCTTTGGGAGATGATCTCGTTTCTAGCAATACGCTAATTTCCATGTACTTTACAATCGCAATCAGAATTCGTCCTTTGAGATTCCCGATTTCATCAGTCAATGAGACCCGTTTCCCGAGCCATGCGTAAGTATTCCCATCTTTCCTTGAAAGCCTCAGATCCGTGCTTCGATAACGCACGCTGCACCTCAGAGTGATCTTGCGCTTGTAGACATTGATCGTCCTCTGCTGTCCAGACACCAGGTATGTCGTTCGGGATATCATTTCCAGCGGCGAGGGACTCCAGAACTCTGTCGGCCATTTCTGGAATCATACTTGTACAGCGCAAGGCATCGAAGACATGTGATTCATTGGCGCCTCGCGCCAGCCGTTGATCGATCCAGCTGTCAACATCAGGTATCTCTTCGGTGTCTTCCTCAGCGACCTCTGATGCTGGACTGGATGGTAGGAATGGTAATTCTAGGAACACAGGGTCGACAGGGTCCTTGTAGGGATCGGCGACCGGCGGCGCTGCCTTGTGCTCTTGCTTCTTAAATCGACCGAACTTGGCGAACGCATTGTCCCCTAATGGCCGGGGTACCCGCGCTGGTTTTTGAGCATTATCTTCTGGGCGCAGTGCGGGTCCGTGCGCTGTTTGCTGAGGACTTTGCGTAGGAAGCGTCTGTGTGGGGAGATTGACAAGCCCCAGACCTTCAATCGGTCTTCGACTTGAGGAGGACGTGCCGTGGGTGTCTCTTGTTGGTCCCTGAGTGAGGCCCGGCGGTGTCGTAATTGTTGGAGACCTGGGCTGTGGCCCACAGGTTTGATCACTGCCGCGAAGAAAGAGAGAGCCCGTGGAAGTAGAAGCTTCAATCGCTCTTCTTTTCGAGGGTGAGACTTGGGTTCGAGATGGGTTAGATACCGCAGGAACCGGATCTCGTTTTCGTTTTGAGCTAATCATGGTATTGTTGGGAGTTAGAGCAGATGACTGTGGTTGAGAAACCCCTGAGCTCATTTTTTCTTTTGGTGCTGTTTCAGTCCGGGTGGGTAAAGTCTTTGGGTATTGCCCCTGGGCTGGTGCAGACTGTATCAACTCTTCATGTGATCGAGGTACGCCGCCGCCTGGACGGTCTTTGCCATTCAAATGCTTTATGTATCGACTGCGCCAGGACTGCCACGAATGACTGGGATACTGTGATTTGCAAATTAACATTTGACCACGTGTAAGTTGTGAGTGTCCTTCATACCAATTCGCCCAACTCTTGATATATCCTGTTACCTTGGACAGGCGCTCCTGGCTCTTGTTTAAAATGCTCAACCCAGTCAAAAAGAAGTTGATCCTCTTTTAGATTGTAAAACGTTCTTGTGCCTTTCGTGGGGATGTTTGATGCCCCCATTGGACGGGGTTTAGAAGGCCCTGCTCTGTGAGCTTCCAAATCTTCAAGTTGTCTCTTTTGAATGGAGCGCTCCACATATTGATATGAGAATCTGATATTGAGTTAGCATATTGCCGAAAGCCAGGCTACATTGATTTGAACCAGAAGAAAGGGATAGTACGTGTCACTAGGGAGGTTTTTCCTCGTATGGTCCACAAGCTTGACATCCGCATCACCTTCCATTAGCACAACGGTACCACCATGTTTCTATGTCATCCTTAGAATTTGAGAGTCCCACAAAAAGAATAAAAGCAACACGTACCTTGATCAATTCTTTGAATGTTGACCTCTGTGGAATGGTCTGGGATAGCCAGAATCGTGCGCCTTGGAATAGCGTTGGTACATCTTCAGCTTGAGACTGGTTGATTGCATTGAAAGACATTTTGAATCCTCAAAGATCATAACTAGAGACTCTCTTCGCGGCCACCAGGCCCAAAGACGAGTTTATACACGTCTTTGTCTGGTTTTTGGTTGGCGACGCGATATCACGTGCTGACGTGTCGCTGGGGCTTTGTTCTCTTCAGCAGTGGGCAGTGTTACACGCCACACACGGTATCAATGTTCTGCCAGTGTTGAAAGTTAAAGAAGTGAATTTAGCAATTTTGATGTTTGGGGGATCTAGATGAGATGGTTGGTTGACGCCGAGACCAGAAGATTCTGGTCACGTGGAGTACACAAAACCGACGACTCGTTGGAACGGCTTGGTCGATTACCACTCAAGAATAGTCGAGAATCATCAAAGATCCCAAAGAATGAGCAACTAGTGATTTGTATCTATTCGGCGAGAAACATTGTGCTTCAGTATGGGGGCCCTTAGAACCGTGGCGTTGGTGATCCTGGCGATCTCGGCGTTCACGTTTATCGCGTTATTTGGCAGGCTGCCAGCTTTCAGGTGAGGTATGTGCCGATTTCTCGAGACTTTGGGCTGACCGTTCAAGAAAAACACCAGTGGCCTTTTTCCACCGGATACTTTGGGTATATTTGCCCAATGGAATTGCCGTTGTCGACAGTCATTTATTTGGCGGGCGAGTAGTGCGGTGCTGGAATCGATCTGGGAGTTACATATTGAAGGAGAATCATCCGCTGGTTTTGGTACGTGCTAGAAATCAGTATATAGATCCCCTCGCCTAAAGCTGATTATTCATAATAGATCTTCTTCATTTCTCTGCTGGTTATCGGACAAGGCATTTTTGTTCCGGCCGCGTGGCCTCGACTATCAAACTCTCATCGTCTTTGGGTTCCTGGCGCTATCATATTGCCATATGTACTACTCTATAAATGCGTGGTTACCAAATCATCTATCACAGCTGAAAATCACGATGAAGAGATGAGGCGCTACCCGTATGACCGAGTCCTCTTTCACCCAGGTCATCGCTGTAGTACTTGTGAATTTCTCAAGCCAGCACGGAGCAAACATTGCAGCTTCTGTCAGGCTTGTATCTCTCGACATGATCATCACTGTGTCTGGTTAATGAATTGCGTTGGGGCCAACAACTGCGTGTACTTCATCTCGCTGCTGGTCTCACTCTCTGCCATGTTGGTTTACGGATCCTACCTTGGCCATTGTTTACTGTCTGAGACGCTGGAGCAGCTAGTCCCACCAGAGATAAAGCTAGCTATGCAGGGATGGACAACCTGGATCAACACATGGAGCGTTGTGATCGCTACTGACCCGAAGATTGGGACTATCTTCTTGCTGATGCTCATGACTGCCCCATTGGCAATATCGTTCTTAGCATATCATACTTATCTCATTTGGGCTGGCATGACAACGAACGAGAGTGCTAAGTGGTCTGACTGGAAAGAAGACGTGGAAGACGGCTTGGTCTTCAAGACCAAGCGAAGTCTGATATTTGAGAATCCACTTCCTCAGGATCGTGATGATCCAATGTGGCCCGTATACACAGATCAAATTCTTGTTACTGATGAAGATCCTCCGACCGAAGGATGCTTGCTGGCATCCAACTCCAACTGTATAGCAAGTCGCCCTGAATCAGATGTACCGCCCGACCCTCGATGGAAGCGACTCAGCAGCATGAAAGATATTGACAATATATATGACATGGGCTTTTGGTATAACCTTCGAGATGTGGTGGGACTATCCGTCCGCAGATCTTGAACATTTGATTGATGCAAACTAAAGTGTATAACCTGACAAGATCACAAATGAAGATGCAGCAGATCCATAACATGAACGAACATAGTGTAGCAATGTACTCCGTAGAGAGAAACAAAACCAAGTTAATTAGAACCCTCTCTATATCCCTCTCTACAACCCTCGAAGCGCGGCTGAGCCAAGAGGTTTTCTTATCCCCAATAATACTGCGTGCTTGTGCTTCATTTCTTGGATGTTATCTAACTAATTGCTAGTTAGTTAACGAGTAAATGATGCTCATCTATACATTTCCCAGTTATATGATTTAGGACTACGCCTGCTATCTAAAAGGTCTACCTATCAATACCTTCAACTATTCTATAATCATTGTCTATTCTACAACCGATTTGTCTATTTCAGGGACTGTCAGAGGTATATCTATACCTATAATTGTAGATCCTAACGCTTTAGATAGTTTTAATGACTTACATTTAGCCAATTTTTAAGTTATATCATATGAATACCTATTTCACTGCCTACTTCACTACCTATCCTTTTTTAATGCGTTCTAAGTCAAACCTACGCAAATAATATTCCAAAAAAAAGGAGAAGAAAAATAAAAAAGCTATAGGCTTGTGTGCATAGTTCGGAGCGGACCAATAAGCAGCCTTCTAGTGCGGGCGGAAAATTTGTCTCTCCACAGCTCCGAATCTTTGATTCCCTCATCCCACCTCCGATCTCCCCGCGCTGTTTTTTTAGATACGCGTTGCATCTGGATTTTTCTGGCGCCATGGCTGAGCCAAAGCCATTGTGCACACCTGCTGAGTTAATGCTCAAGGTGATTCTTGCGGGAACCCTAAGTCACTACGAAGTCCGGGGCATGATCGATGACAAACGCTTGGAGCACATGCTTGCTGCTGGAAAGAAGATCTTGTACAAGACGCATCAAGAAAGCGATGTTCGGTAAGCATATACATATTGAAATTAGTTTGATGCAAACACTAATGTCTTGCGCGCTCCTAGTCACAATCTTGGCATGTCGCCAGATATCTGGCAAGGCCTTACCAATGTCCTCACCAAAGCGATCCCTGTCCTCGAGTCCCAATCTTTCGCGTGGAAAAGCCCTGCCGCAAGCTACGAACACTCTTCGTCTAATCTAATTGCCTACAACTATTTCTCACTTGTCAAGGACATTGAGCGCCTCAATGATCTGTGTACGATTGCCCGTAACCTGCTAGCCACAACCAAGAAAGCACAAAACCTCGCGGCGCAGGCAGGCTTCGACCAAAGAATCCTCGCACTCATTGATACTTGTGTTCGGGTCACAGCAAGAGGCTTCGACGGAGAGACAAATGCACGGAATGAGGAGCGATGGCAAAAAGTGGTCAATCTCTATAAGCGCCTTTTGATTACGTGCCTTCAGTTCCTTCACAACTTCATCATGCACAATGAACATCGCAAGATGGTTCTCTGGTTGGATCTCTTTGGTTACCACTCAACTGCTGATACAAACATCATCAAGCCCAAGGAGCCTTTGGCAGGTGGTGGCCCGCGCGAAGGAGTTGCGCCCGTTGTGCAGGTTGGAGAGCGTGTCATCAACCCGCCAATCCGCGCACTTTATGATCAGACCGCGGAAGACTTGTTGCTAGAGACGATCGCCAAATTCCCCCGGGAGCCTGCTACCATCAAGGAAGAAGCCGCCATGTTGCTTTTGGCGAATATCAAGGATCACATGGAGAGAATTCTGGGACGAGACCTCAGTGCTATCCAAGAAATGGGCAGAGACCCGGATCAAGTTAAAGACATCCGGGCTGCTCTGACTGCGATTCTGGGCGCTAAGGTTGATGGCTGGTCTGATCTTCAGGACCGGGCTCGTGAGCTACCATCTGCGCTTCACGACGAGGAGAATGATGAGCCCGAGGAGCAAGAAGAGGAGGGCCATGTGGATCATGGGGCACACCAGGATGAAGAAGAGGAAGAGCACGAGGTTACCAAGAAGAAGACCATCTTGACTATTGACCGCAGTCTCACAGCCGGTTTCCCTCGTCTATGCTGGGCCGATCTACCAGAAATTCAGGACTTCGGTTTAGTCGATGGTCCTGTCACAGAAGAAGACACCAGCATGCCCCGATCATCCCAATCTGCCGCTGAGACGCTACAGGAGGCCAAGGACGAACTTATGGCCCGGCTCCAAGAGCCATCACATATTGATGGAGATGAGGAGCATGACTATGACCACGGAGATGCTCACACGGTGGGCGATGACGACTCACGTAGCCTGGAGGCTATGGCTGATGGAAGCATCGATGGAGATGGAGAGGATGACGTGGATGATGACGGTGATGGAGACCCCGATGATGACGAAGAAGAGGAAGACGATGAATATCGCGGCCGCCCTGGTGACCAACAACGGGGTCTTTTGACCGATATTCCCCTTGTACTTGGACCAGCTGAAATCGAAGCCTTGCCTATGATTGTACAGGCCGGTATTGTCGACAGTTTCGGCCTCAAGGGTGGCGAACGGAGTGGCTCCAGAAACATGCAATCCCTCCGATGCCATATTCTGCTCACGCAGGAGACAGGACGCAACCTGCTTCGTGAACTCTTGATTTTCATCGCAGCATGGGATCTCCCTGACGATGAGCTCTACTTCAAGATGATGGTCCAGATTATGGAAGCTGTTCTCAAAAACGGACTCATGTCTCATGCCTACTCTGACTTTGGCCAGCCCAAGGATATTATCTCCCCAGCACAGGCGGTGGTGATCAAAATTCTCACTCACATCTTCCGAGCCAAGTATTCTCCTGCTTCAGTGACAGGCTCAACCCAAACCAACATTCCCCGCAGCCCCAGCGCGCTAGCTCGAGTGGATATCCTTACTGTCCGATACATCTTCACTATCTTCCGTGGCAACATTATCCCCGAGACTTGTGCCTTGATCTACCTCCAAGGCCAAATCCGTGCCGAACGGGCACTGTCAGAAGACTTCCCTCTCAATCTCTGGGACATGGAACGGGTTTACGAAGGTGTTTACCAGTTTTTGGAGTTCTTTGCCGTCCTAACCGAAAATAACGACTGGAAAAACCTGCTGGTCAAATGGGAGATTGTTTATGACCTAGTGACCTTGATCAAAGAGTTGGAAGCAAGCATTCCCAAGGGCCAACTGAGCCAGTTGTCATTTGGCTCTGTGCCACCTCCGCCACCGCCGCGCAGCGACGTCGCAAACGACGCATCCGGCTCAAACCCGGCACCTGTTGCCGTTGAACGCCCTTACGACCCAACCGACACAGACCCCGTCGATACTGGAGCTGGCAGCGTTGACTCCCGGCCTGAGTCGCCGCCCATTACCGAAGATCCCTCCGAGTTCGAGTGGCGCAATCTCAAAAAGCTTGTTGTGCTTGTGCTTTCCTCGTTGGTTTGGAAGTGCCCTGATGTCCAGGAGCAGATCCGTCGTTACGGCGGTGTCGAGGCGATCCTTTGCTGCACTGCCTTTGATGCCCATAACCCGTATATCAAGGAGCATGCCGTGATGTGTCTAAAATTCCTGCTGGAGGGCAACCGCGAGAACCAGCGGCTTGTTGAGGAACTCGAGGCCCGTGAAGTTGTCAACAAGGACGGTGGCGTGTTGGAAAAAGCTGGATATGAAGCAATGATCAACCAGGCGGGCAAGTTGGCTATTCGTCCCAAGCCACGGGCTGAGGAAATTCCATGAAATTTGTGTGATAAATGCTGTACCGAATACTGTACATAGAGTGCAATGGTCTATCTCCGATTGATACAAACCTAGCTGCTGTGAACCAAATGTACTCAATAGCTTATGATTTAATGAAATAATCCATCCTCAATAGGCCAACCCGAACGACCTTAGCATGATAGATATATACCGCTAGTTAACAAGCGAGCCTACGTAACTAGGTAGTGCCTGAACAGTTCGCTACAACGTACTCCCTTCAATACTTTGCTTTGAACATAAACGACATCACAGATCGAGGCCTGGTGCCTGAACATCATATGTTGGTGCCTGTAGATCTAGTTCCTGTATCTTGTTTCATGAACATTAACTTCGGCACATACATGATCCCTCAAGTTGATGATTTCGAGGACATATCTACTAGTATCCTATCTGGACGTAAATTTCCAAGGTACCTCCTCAATATTACTTGTGACTGGTTACCGCTAATCAGGGTCTTCCATACCTAGATACAATGGAATTGAAACTCCCTTTCAAGCTCTTTTTTGCCTCTCTTTAGGTGCAGTTTTTGCGTATTTTCTTTGACATCTCTGATATCTTTGTGTATATTGTCTTTGATCAACTTTTGTTCTGTTAACAAAGGCCATTCGGCTTCATTGTCAAGCTATTCTCCTCATCGAGGATTCTACCCTCGCCCAGATATAAATACCAAGTCCAAGTCCTGGTTGAAATATAAATTCTCATCATTCATCATCGAGTGTCCCAATTTGGATCACACCCACCACAATACTGAACTGAGAACACCTTCTCCGGGAAGGTCTGCATCTTTACTTCATATCCACCTTCGCTATATCTTCTAATTTCTTTCTTATATGTTTACCTCACTCTCTTAGCAATGGTGGGATATTTACTTCCAGTAAGTATTGCCACCGATTCATCCAACAATGCCTTCATTCTGGGAGACATTGACACTTGTTTTCATTTCACTAATACTATGCGTGACAATGGTGATTCTCATCGTTTTTGCCAAGAAGTGGACTCAGCATCAAACTAGGCAGTTTTGGCCGAAACGGCCTAGAGCTGACCCTCTCGATCTCGAGTTGGGCTTCGCATTCTGCGAGGGCTTGAAGGACCTGACATGGAGAATTGAGCAACTAGAAACCTGGATAGACATGCAAGCTCCGCTTACTGAATATCAGGACTAGACACTCATCCGCTCAATCTTGTCACGGTTCCTCCCGACAACAGACGCAAGACACAAAGGCCGGATTGACTGGATGTCTCCTATGCGTAGGGATAGTACATGAGTCAGCGGCTGAAGTGGGCCACGTCCTGGCTCTCTGTCCATCTATATCTTTCGAGGCGGCTCACCTTGATCGTTGGATTCCTTTCAATGGGGAGGATAGATGCTGTGTGATGGAATTGTACTTCAATAACCTTTGGTCAAGCTCTAATGCTGGACCACCTCAAGTTCATCTACATCTATGATAGTTAGTCACACCGAACAATATCTATCATGGGTTCTATATATTTTTTAAAAAAATATGGATTGGATCTGAATGCCTTGCATAGAGGCAGTGGAGGAAAGTGAAATGAGGGATTAAATACAAGCATCTCTATCCACACATAATCCTGGTAAAAGGACCGATAGATAAAGTTGCTACGAGAAATCCTAGACCATAAATTGAATAACCCCTTCTAATCAACGTTGAATGCTAGAACGATATACTTGCTTCCCTTAAACATTGTTATTTCTTACCCGTACCTAGGCAGTCTTCGTAGAGTGCTTCATAGATAGCAACCCATACTTACATATGTACGCATGGAAATAGTAGATCAGAAATAAACTTAGTATAAGAGCACTGAAAACACACTGGAAAGTGTTAACGGAGTTGCCAGAGGAACAATATTCAGAGACAGACAAATAATTGCGCAAGGAAGCATGACGGCGTTACGTTATGTTCAATATTTAACTTCATTGGAGGAGACATCACAATGAACGTTCTACGGTCCATGTATGTGCATATTTTTTCTCAAATATTATCAACCATACATGCCATCCCACTCCTCTTCCTCGTCTTCCTCAACAAGCTTCTTCTTAGCCTCCGCCTTCTCTCTCTGCTGCTTGGTAAAATCAACGCGGTCAAGCGGACATGTCCCGCGGAGTCGCAGCCACGGCCGCACGCACTCCAAATCAAAGCAGTGTGTAGGGTGGCAGGGCAACCGCACGACGAGCGGGAACTCATCTTCCAGAAAGGGGTTATTGCAGATGGGACAGATGTCAGAGGGCTTGAGTGATGATTTGGGGACGCGGTCGAGCACTGTTCAGATCCTAGTGGTTAGCCAAATGCATCAAAAGTGCCATGAAATAGTTACGGTCTCGAGACCAACAGATCATGATCAACAAGCTGACGGAGCTTCTTACTATCGCAGTATTCCTCCGAAACACCCTCCACCTCCCGTGGCGGTGTATCCGCCTGTGCGAGAAGCGACTGGATCATTGTGGTCAACAAATCGCGCCCGTTATCCGAGCCGTCATTGTCGGTGCCGTCCTGTTGCGCTTCGGTGTTCGTCGAATCGGTCTCCCGGCGCATCATGTCCAGCGCCTCGGCGAGGGAGTAGAAGGCGGCGCTCACATCACCAGGGACAGGAACTGCATGGGGTCTGTGATCGGGAGCTGGAGTGATTTCGGAGAGGGTAGAGAAGAAGGTGGAGAGATCGGGGCGACGGCGACGTGGGACCTGGGCCGTTGAGGGATCGGTTGTGTTGTGTTCAACTGGATTAAGGTGATGAAGGTTAGCTTCGCTCTCTGCTTTCATGTGAGGCGTTCTCAGGGGGTCCTCACTTTCGTAGGTCGACATGGTTGTGCATGCGGAGTCAAGCTTTCGCCGAGGCTGTTTTATCGCTCGAGAAGGGCCCGGTTTGTGACACCTGGAATTGTTTTCTCACACTCTAGGTCACAGGATTCTAAAAATGAAAATGCAGAATTGCAGAATTGCAGAGGAATTGGTTTAAAATAAGGGATTCATGTTCGAAGGCAGCAAGTCAACGCGGCACGGCAGTTGTGATTGGGCGGTAACCATCAGAATTGATATCTGGGGAATCACAGAGTGCTGAATACTTTTGTTGTTTTACTTAATCGTTCAGCAATCTATGGGAGCTTCCTAGATCATCTTTGCTTTATTCTGACTATCTGACTGGCCTCGCTTTTGGATTTAGGTCGATATTCCCCATATATATATTCGACTCATCGCGGTGAAACCCCACTTGGCACCAGTACGAGGAATGATCAAAAGGTCTACCTAAGATTGGAATCCTGCAGGTGCCTTGTTTCGCTTGTTCCACTTCAAATTATAGCCTTCTCCGTACACAGGGGAGATATTGTTGATTAGATTGATTAGAAATAGAAGTTCGTGCCTGCCGCTATATTACGAGAAAGTGATGACGCGATGAATAATCTCAAATACTGTGGCTGAATTATCTCAAAATGAGCTTCTCAATCTCACCTTTCTTCAATCTCGCTGATTCGATGGCTACAATATTAACAAATACTGTTTCTTGGCATCACGGTGAAGAGGAAATACACCGTTTACTTCGAGCCCCTCACGGCGAGAATCCCACTGTTCCGTACCTCAGCCCGGGTGCCGGATTCCTTGTCCAACAAGCCCCCTTGTTGGCGTTAGGCACACTTGACTCGGAGGGTCGGCCATGGTCAACAATATGGGGAGGCACAGAGGGTTTTGCGGGGCCGGTTGCCGAATCCTCCATAGGCCTCCGGACGCAGGTGGACACTAAATACGATCCCGTTGTCCAAGCTTTACTAGGTAACTGGACGGACGACCACTCTGATAGCGATTTAGGAATAGGAAAGATGGTCTCAGGATTAGCAATCGACTTAGAACACCGCCGGAGAGTGAAGCTGTATGGCAGAATGGTCGCGGGCTCGCTGTCTGATACAGACCCAGGACAGGCACAGCTGATCGTCCACATCGAAGAGAGCCTGGGAAATTGTCCAAAATACATGAATAAGAAGCATATTGTACCTGCACAACCTGACCCCAAACTTGTTTCGGATTCGCCGCAATTGAATGCCGCCGCAGTTGAGCTCCTGTCTCGCGCAGATACCATGTTCGTATCTTCGTCTCATGGAACAACTAACATGGACACAAATACCCGCGGCGGTCCGCCTGGATTTATGCGCGTTGAATCAAATCAGCCGAGTGGTGCTGTACTTGTATATCCCGAGTATTCGGGAAACAGATTGTACCAAACACTAGGCAATCTGCAAACTACACCACTGGCCGGCTATGCTGTGCCGGATTTTGAGAACGGCCATGTACTCTATGTGACAGGTCGCACAGAAATACTAGCTGGGAAAGCTGCTTCTACTATACTTCCACGGTCCAATCTTGCCATTCGACTCACTGTTGATGCTGCAATCTTCGTTCAAAACGGACTGGCCTTTCGTGGCAAGACTGGAGAACCTTCTCCATACAACCCAAGTGTGCGATATCTCATCAACGAGAAACAATTACCCGGCGTTCAGAAAAATGATAACCCAGATGCAACGGCAACATTGATCAAAAAGGAGGACATCACGCCGTCCATCAAACGGGTTCGTTTCCGCGTCTCCGGTCGTGGACCAACATCATGGACTGCAGGACAATATGCCACACTGTCATTTGAAGATGAATTGGACATGGGATATAGCCACATGCGAGAAGACGATCCAACCAGCCTGAATGACGACTATGTTCGAACCTTCACTGTTTCTTCATACCCCGGTCGCGACCTACCGCAAGATCAATTTGAGATGATGATTCGACGGAATGGCCCTGTAACCAAATACCTATTCCAAGTCAACGAGCGGGCAGGATTGGAAGTGCCTCTGAAAGGATTCGGGGGCAGCTTCCAAGTGTCCACTGGAGAGGGCATCATCACGCCCTTCATAGCGGGTGGCATTGGCATCACACCACTTCTTGCACAGCTGCCCGATTTGAACATTTCCCAGCTGCGGCTATTTTGGTCGGTTTCGATCCAGGATATAGGGCTTGTGCATGACACTTTCCAACGCTGGCCCCAGTTGCCCGTGTCAACGACTTTGTTTATCACCGGCCGCGAAGTGGACCTCGATGGGGCCGATCGACGCTTGTGGGACGGGATTCAATCCTCTGGGCTGTTGATACGGCGACGAATGCAGGCCGAGGACTTAGACCTTACGCTAGCAGATCGTTGGTACCTCTGTGCGGGAGTGACCTTGAAGCGGATGGTGTTAAATTGGCTTGCGGGGAAGACTGTGGTCTATGAGGATTTTAACTATTAATTAGTTAGTTAATATGACTATAGTTATCGTGAAACATACCACCCTTTTCTGAGACAAATCAAATCAAAAAAATATCAATCAATCAAAAAAAGTAAAAGATGCTCGCACAGCCCAGATCTTCAAAAAGATAAAAATAGGCGTGACGCATGCCCCAACGTGTTTAAGTGGAGATTGTTTACCCTCTAAAATGTTATTATGTAGGGGCTGACAACACCGGGGATTTGGTTTCTTTCTTTACATCAATCTTCAGTTTTACCATGCGGTCGCCTTCAGTCAAGCCATCGGCGTATCCGCCTCTCCCATTCCATCTCATTCGCTTCATCATATTTCTCTCCTCACTCGTGGTAGGCGTGATTCTAGCCATATTCATCTATCATCTCCACGCCGATGGCTATAAACTACCATATTCATTCCTTGTGGTAAGTAAAAATTCCTCGATCATTGCATCACACCAAAACTAACAACAACCAGCTCCTCGTGACATCCGCACTCTCCCTCATAAACATCATCCTCACCTCAGTGATCCACTGCAGCTGCGGTCTATCCACAAAACTCTCCATCTCCGTCAACATCCTCCTTACAATCCTCTGGGCTCTCAGCCTCGGCCTCATGAGCTGGAGCATGGCCGGCTCAATAACAACATCCTGTACAACAACAACCTGGGGCAACGCAGCCGGCATAACCGTGTGCCGCAGCTACAAAGCCGTATTCACATTCACCGTGACTGGTCTTGCCTCGTCCATCGCAGCAGTCTGGCTGGATGTCATCGTGCGCCGGCGCCAGTCCCGCTTCGGCAACTACGGCGCGATGGGATCCCAGCCTGGCATGGATGACTCGGGCGCGTTTGATGTCAAGATGGATGATCGCCACAGCGAGTCAACACCTGCTCTGAACGATTTCCATGATATGCCGCCTGCCGTGCCTGGTAGCTATGAACAGGGTCCGCCTGGCTATGGTCGCGATGAGTATGCCCATGCTGGCCAGTCGCATGGTTACTATGATGGTGCGCCAGGAATGAACCACCGTGGTGCGCCTGGAGATAGATTCGGCCCGTATGATCAGAATCAGACTGGGTATCAGCGGCCTGCGGAGCAGACTGGGTACGATCCTGCTATGTATCGTTAAGTTAGGGAGGTGAATTTTTGGATTAAGTTTTCTTATCTTTACATCGATGACAGCAAGCGGATTTCTTATGACATTTACATGTTGCATATAGAAGGACTTGGACCTTTATATTGACGACAGGGATTTGCATGACGGCGTTCTCAAGGGTTCATATTCATGTGATATACTAAGGGGGAATTAAAATAGCAATGAAGGACTCTAACGACTCTCATATTGGGCCAAAGATTAAAACAAAAAGATCCTGTAGATCGGCTGCGCTCACGAAGCAAATAACCATCCAACCGGCAGATAAGATGAGATGAGACAAATCCGACAATAAAGCCGTATAGATGAGAGAAGATCAAAGAGGTATTTTTCAAAGATCAACGACCAAAGCTAATCAATTTACATAATGACCTCGTTGGAAACATCCTATCAATATGGTTAGTTCGTGGCACAACAGAGGGGAGGGATAAGCATCGAAAACATACACGCTTGAGCTCCTTGTAAGGCAGGCAAACACAGTTCTGCACGCGGACCTCGTCACCAACACCACACTCCTTGCCGAGAATGGTGATGCTCTGCACCTTGATACCCTGCTTGACAATGCTGGTGGAGTGGCTGCCAATAGGAATGGGAGTACCCTCAACACGGGCCCAGGCACCGACACGGCTGCTCCAGCCGATAATGGAGTGCATGACACAAGCGTCGTGGCGGATCTCAGCATCCTCGAGAACGACCGAATCCTTGATACGGGCACCAGCACCAACAACAACACGGGGACCAATCGAGACATTAGGGCCAAGCTTGGCGGTGGGATCGACGGAGGCAGTAGGGTGAATGTAGACGGGGGGCACGATAGTGGCGGAAGGAGGAGTGAGTTCAGGGGACTCGGCCTGGAACGCCTTTTGGAGGTAGAGGGCGTTTGCGGGCACGGCGGAGCCAGCGGTCTTGATCTGGCGCCAGAAGTCCTTTGTTTCATGGACGAAGAAGCGGTTGCTGTCGGCGAGATCGGAGAGGATGTCCTGCTCCAGACGGAGGACTTCGCTCTTCTCGGAATCCTCGTCGTCTCCGGTGGCGACGAAAGAAGACTCTAGGTTATCGGAGGAGGGGTACGAGAGGAGACGAGGGCGGGTGGTGCGGCGCTTGATGGCGCTGCGGATGGCGGGGAAGATACACTCTGTGGCGAAGAGGTAGACGCCGCAGTTGATCAAGTTGGAGATGTGCGACTCGGGCTTCTCGACGTAGTGCAGGACACGCTTGGTGTGGGAGTCGGACACGATGCATCCGAAGTTCGTTGCTGTGTCGTTGGACACGCGTGTGCCCAGGATTACAGCCTCAGCGTCCTTCTCCTCGAACAGCTTCATCATCTCGCCCAGTGGGAAGGAGCAGCAGACATCGGCGTTGAGCACGAGGAGGCGCTCAGGCTTGCCCTTGAGGATCGCATCGCGGAAGTGGTACAGGCCACCTGCAGTACCCAATGCTGTGTATTCACGCAAATACAGGATGCGGAGTTGGGGGAATTCCTTCGAGGCATCCTTGATGAAGTCCCGGAAGACACTCTCATCGTAGTATCCGACCAAAATCACCTCGCGAACTTCGGGGACCTTCGCCACCGCCTTCAGGCAGTGATGGATGATGGGGTGACCGGCGACTTCGAATAGGGGCTATGTGAATAGTGTCAATTTTCATTCATGGACCCTCAAACATTATTCAATCCAAGCAAGGAGGCATACCTTTGGCACATCGAGTGACAATGGGCGGAACCGAGTGCCTCTTGAGGGGCCACCAACCTGTGGACAAGGTGTCAGTTTTGTTATGGTGGGGATGATATCCTTTGGGCACTTACCAAGATCACAGCCTTGGTGGAGGCTTGGGCTTGTTCCCGCACTGGTACTTGGAGCATGACGATTAATATGCAAGGGGATGCAAAGGTTAGAATTGTCTGGAAAAAGGGCAAAGAACCCCCGGAGCTACCCCCCAAGCGCCAAGACGACGCTTTCGGTGGGGAGCCTCACCTGACAACGTTTTACTCCTTTCGGCCTTCAATTCATATTTTGCGCATTTGTTTACGTTGTGTAGACTCCTGGTTTTTATTTATAGCTGGATTCGACCATGGGGATATTTCAATGTGTTTGACTGCCCTTTTATATATTGGCTGCTTCTCTGTCGACCTTCTTCTTCTTGGGAGATCAAAAAAGAGCTCACTCTCACGGCCAATAAGATACCTAAACCCAGGTCTATGAGATAATAAGTATCTCTAATGCTACCTACATATAAAGGTAAGCAGGCTGAACTTGGTTCAAATGATAGTACCATTAGCTGGAAATTCTTAGGAACGAAATCAGTATCTAGATTTGAAGCAGAAAACATCATTGATTTAATATAGATCACTATCTCTTCTTTCATTGGTGATGACATTTCTCTTTCGACCGTTCAATATATAATATAATATAGCAGACACCTTCAATGCTTAGCCCCTCATATATCAAGACAGATATAAAAGCTCACAGCAGTTTATCTCGAACAAGCTAGACATCTAAGTAATTCGGGACATGGTATTTACGTATATTACTCGATGACCTTGTTCATTATCACTCAGTATGTGTCTTTTTACTGGTCTTTTCTTTGAGTCTTATTTGATTTTTTAGAAGAATCTTGAATCACAACAGAGAGCCAGTATGTGATAGTAAAATGCATAAGATCATGCAAAACATCTTCCTGTTATTCCGAAGTCCTAGATTCTTGTTATAAATTTTCTTTTTTGATAATGACTTTCACGAATGATGCCAATAGCTATTTTGTAACTCAAAACACAAAGAGGCTTAAAAATGATCTATTAATATTGATCTCACTGAAATATTCCCCATTCATTAAGGCATCCACGCTCATAGGAAATGATCCAGCACGTTGAGGTCTTTGATGCCCTCAACTCTTCTTTCCTCACCTTCCTGCTTGCTTCTTTCCTTCCATCCCTCCTCTTTCCGCCCATTCATCTCCCTTCTTCTCACCTCCTCCCTCCATATCATCATATTTGTTATTTGTGCCTCTGTATCTTTCCCTGTGACTACTTCACTCTTCCACTTTCATTTTCAACATTCTTTTATCTGTGGTCGCTCTTACGAAGCTCTTGGTATGTGTATCATACTCTTGTCACCTTCTTGAAACAATGTGGCCTTATGCACACATGAGTTTACCTTGCAACCTTCAAAGCTTACATTAACTTCCCCTCAGACGACAAGATGTCAACCAATTTCTCAATCGATGGTCCCAAGCCCATTCTCAAGGCCGAAAAGAGCCCGATACTATGTGAGTCAAATAGTCTTACACATTCTCTTACTCATGTGGTTCATTTTACTAACTCATTCATTCTTCAAGGCGGGATGACAACCCAGATACCACCCGTGCATCAGAAAGCCCAAGTCGGCTTTACGACCCAAAATGACAGCTCCTTGGAGCATTTGACAATGGATATGAAGGATCTCATAAAGAAGATCCAAGATCTGAGCCACCTCGGCATTGAAAATCGACAAATTGCACTTCCAAAGATCTGTGTGGTCGGTGATCAAAGCACTGGCAAGAGCTCTTTGATCGAGGGTATCTCTGAAATCCAAGTTCCACGATCTGAAGGCACATGCACTCGGTGCCCGCTAGAGATCAATCTATCTCAAAGTGAAGAACCATGGAAGTGTGTTATTCACTTGTCACGTCAATACTGGTTCGATAATGATAAGCGAAAGGATAAAGTTCTCAAAAAGACTCCACTGGGACCGTGGGTGCCTATTGGGGGTCACGATGACGAGCTCTTCACCACCTTGACCGACAGGAATGCAGTCCAAAACGCTATCCGGTGTGCGCAACTGGCTATTTTGAACCCCCACGTCAATCCAAAGGACTTTCTCCCTGAGCTTAACGACATTCCTCAAACGTTCTTCGTCCAATTTTCGCCAAATGCAGTTCGATTGGATATCTCTGGTCCTGGCTTTCCAAATCTGTCTTTCTATGATCTGCCAGGAGTTATCAGTCAGACCGAGCAAGACGACGAAGGCTACTTAGTGAATTTGGTTGAAAACCTGGTCAAGGACTATGTTTCGCAAAAGAATTGCATTGTGCTTTTGACATTGCCCATGACTGATGATGCGACTAACTCGAGTGCTGCTCGTCTTGTTCGTGCTATCAACGGCGCAAAAGAACGTACACTTGGTGTATTGACCAAGCCTGATCGCCGGCCATCCGGGGAGTCATTTGAACAATGGCAGCAGATTTTGCAAGGGAAGAAATTTAAGCTTGGCCATGGTTACTATGTGATTCGAAACAATCCCGATCCAGCAGTTAGCCATGAGCAGGCAAGAGAGGAGGAGGATCTTTTCTTCTCCCAGACTCTGTGGAAAGATGAGTTGGCTATCCTTCAAGACCGGTTTGGCATCAAAAATCTCCAGACAGCCCTATCAGAACTCCTCAAAGATCAGATCCTGGGATCTTTGCCTTCAATTGTCGAGGAAATTGATAAGCGCGCGAAGGAAATCGAGGATGAGTTACAACGACTGCCTAATCCGCCAACTGAGGAAGTTCAGAGAATCCTGTGGGCGAAGACATCGGCCTTGGAGCGCAAGTTCGACGAGATCATTGATGGTACTTGGTGTCCAGCGCAGACATCAGCACACAAGAAACCACTGCATGAGCAGTGGAACATGATCGTGCTGGACTTTCAAACTGCCCTCAGTAAGACCAGACCTGTTCTAAATTACAATGCGCAAAAGGACAAGGAAGACCTTGGCGAAGGCGTTGACTCAGACTGTGACATGCAAATCATTGACGTCAAAGCGAGCCCGTCAAAAAGGCGAAAGCTGCCAGTTGATAGGCCAATAGAGTCTCCGCCAGCTCCTGAAGCACCAAAGATAATTCCGAGTGCGTATGCTACCAAGTACTTCGAAGGACTGAAGCGGAGCCGTTTCAGTTTGCAGCTCTTGTCGGAGCTGAAGATTCGCTCCAATACCGTCGGGGTCCCAAATCAACTGGATCCTCGCGCAATCGAGAATCTCAACAAGAGAATCGTTCAGCATTGGGATACCCTCTCGGAAATCTTCATCAAGGCTACTCACAGCCTTGTGCATGGGATGCTCCTCGAAGCTCTTGAGGAAGAGTTCGTGCAGTACCATCAGACTGGATTGTATCAAGAGCTCAGAAAAATATTGAAAGATTACTTGACTCAAGTGCGTACGAATCATCGAGAAATTGCAAAGGAATACTACCAAGCTGAGCGCGAGGTCCCATTCACCATGGCCCAAGGTATGCATCAAAGACTGATGGTGCAAGTATTGGAGGAGTTGAAAGAGGGTCGATTCAAGGCCCGAGCTACTTGCTACCTCACACTCCGCGGCCAAGAAATGAATGACTTCAAGATTGCGGACAAGATCCAAAAGACCAAGGACAAGCTTGGTCCGGATAGATACTCCCAAGAGATCGACATGATGGCTGTAAGTGTCCTGAGTGATATGACTAGCCACCCACTAATCGTTGTCTTATAGAGCTCGCTAGCCTACTATGATATCGCATCGTCGCGCTTCTTGGATGTTTTGTGTCAGTCTACCAAGCAAAAGTTGTTCAAGATCTGTCGAAACAATCTTGTGAACATTGTGAGAGATGAGTTGAAGATCTTTGGGGATGATGGTGAGCATTCATTATCTTACTTAAAGGAAAACCATTGATTTGGAATGTTTCTAATGATTGATTATTCAAGGTCGTGCCCGCTGTCTGGAACTCATGGCAGAAGATCCAGAACGCCAACAACGTCGGGCGTACCTAGTCAAAGAGCGGGCGAAATTTACGATAGCCCAGGAATGGTTGACATCCCTGCGACCTCAAGAGATCGAGAAATGCGAGTCTGATGTGACCATGGAGGGAATCAGCGATGACTGGGAGATGTGATGTTTGATGACTACCAAGCAGAATGGCCCTACAAATGGGCATGAGTTGAACTGGTCGAATTTGTTACAACGGAGATGGAATCATATGCTATTGTTTACCTAGGCATATATGTTCTGATTATGTTGGAGTGAATTTTATCAATTGAATTCAAATAAAGCTATGGTAAAAGTAACTTGAGCAGTTGTATAGATCTGAGCGACACATGGCGGGGTAGAACCCCCACTATATTGCCCTAAACCCTAGTTTCCAATTTGAGTGCCCTATCAAATTTGCTTCAATAATCAGTGAAATCATATAGAACATACCATAAATTGAATCCCATAAATCAATTGTGAATGGAATAATAATGTACAAGCTTGCATATCGATTTTGAGTCATCTGGGTACGTTTGATGTATGAGTCATGTCAAAGGGTCGGGCATTAAGCACTGGAGAGCAGTAGAATGCGGTCCAATCAGAGGACATGCCGATCCCGCCCAAAAATTCAAGTGTTCATCCTCATCCCACCATCCCACTTTTGTTCTTCGCAAGTCAACATCATGGCGGATTCCAACCCTATCAAGGAGGCTGAGGCCTCAATGGCTAACCTTCTTCTCGACGAGGTCACTGGTGAAAAGGTGTCCAAGTCTGAATTGAAGAGACGCCAGAAGAAGCGCGAGAAGGAAGCTGAGAAGAAGGACAAGGCCGCCGCCGCGCCCCCTAAGCCTAAGGCCGAGAAGAAGACCTCCGCTGAAGATGAAGAGTCTAACCTTACCCCCAACGTGAGTATCTTCGGCCGTTGAAGATTACCCGCAGCATTTACGCGCCGCGGGGTATGGACCTATGCTAATGTTGTATTCAGCAATACTTCGAGATTCGGAGCAAGAAGATCAACACGCTGCGCGAGACCAAGCAGCCCAACCCCTACCCTCACAAGTTCAAGGTCGATACCGACTTGCGCGACGTCTTGAAGAATTACGAGGGTCTCAAGAAGGGTGAACAGAAGACTGATGTCGTTGTTAGCATTGGTGGCCGCATCTACACTAAGCGTGCCGCTGGTCCCAAGCTGGTTTTCTATGATATTCGCGCAGAAGGTGTCAAGATCCAGGTGATGTGCCAGGCCCAGAACGCGACTGGCAAGTCCTTCGAGGAACAGCATGAGCTTCTCCGCAGAGGTGACATTGTGGGCGTGACTGGATTTGTCGGCAAGACTGATCCTAAGAACCGTGATGATGGCGAGCTTTCCATCTTCGCTTCTGAGGTCGTTCTTTTGACCCCTTGTCTGCACGCAATTCCCTCGGAGCACTACGGCTTCAAGGATATCGAACAGCGTTTCCGTCAGCGTTACCTTGATCTTATCATGAACGAGAAGTCCCGCAAGGTTCTTCGCACCCGTGCCAGTATTATTAGCTACATCCGCCAGTACTTCGACAGCCGTGACTTTACTGAAGTTGAGACTCCTTTGATGAATGCTATTGCCGGTGGCGCCACCGCGAAGCCTTTCATCACTCACCACAACGATCTGAACATGAACATGTTCATGCGTATTGCTCCCGAGCTTTACTTGAAGCAGTTGATTGTCGGTGGTATGGAACGAGGTAAGTTTAGCATACCCTTCTCTATGGATGGTTCCTTCAGACACAGTGCTAACTCATTTGTGATTTAGTGGTAAGTCCAGTCTGATACTTTCCACAATTCCCGCATCCAAGCGCTAACTAAAACCGTCTACAGTACGAAATCGGAAAACAATTACGCAATGAGGGCATTGACCTTACACACAACCCAGAGTTTACAACGTGTGAGTTCTATCAGGCGTATGCAGATGTATACGACCTTATGGAGGTCACTGAGGAACTTGTTTCGGGTCTGGTTAAGCACGTTACCGGTGGCTATGAGACCACTTTCCACACCCAGACCGGTGAGGCCTACAACATTAACTGGAAGGCACCATGGAGGCGAATTGAAATGATGCCCGCATTGGAGGAGGCCTGCGGCGAAAAGTTCCCTCCCAGTGACCAACTTCACACTCAGGAGACAAACGAGTTCTTGAAGCGTGTGTTGCAGAAGATGAACGTGGAATGCTCCCCCCCTCAGACCAACGCTCGTATGCTTGACAAGCTTGTTGGTGAATTCCTTGAGGAAACTTGCATCAACCCCACTTTCATCAGTGGTCACCCCCAGATGATGTCCCCTCTGGCCAAGTACCACCGCAAAGATGCGGGTATTTGTGAACGTTTCGAGGTCTTCTGCTCGGTCAGTTCATCGTTTATCAACCCTCCAAATGAACACCGCTAACTTGTGTGTCGTAGAAATTCGAAATTGTGAACAGCTACACTGAGTTGAACGATCCCTTTGACCAACGTCTGAGATTCGAAGAGCAAGCAAACCAGAAGGACCAAGGTGACGATGAGGCCCAGATGATTGATGAGACTTTCTGCCAGTCTCTTGAGTACGGTTTGCCTCCCACCGGTGGCTGGGGCATGGGAATTGACCGTCTGGTCATGCTTCTTACCGACAACTACAGCATCAAGGAGGTTTTGGCCTTCCCAATGATGAAGGATGACAAGAGCGCGGCCGAGGCCAAGCCTGCCGCCGAGGTTGTTGGAATTGAGCCCCAGCCCGAGGAAGGAATCCGTATGTTATTAGTATCCTGTAATTTTCGTGAGCCGATATCACTAACTATGACTTTACAGCCCACAAATGAATAAATTGGTTGGATTTCACTCGAACACAGGAGTCTGTCCTGGATTTCTGAGGATTCTGTGCTTTGCATGTGCTTATTTCATGAACAATAAATGCAACAGATAAAATTGTGACAATCTACCTTTTTTTTAAGAATATCCATAGTTCAGCTAGCAAAGAATGGTGTGAACCTTACGTATGTTGACTCAATAATGGTATGGCGGTACAAAATATAGAAGTTGGTCACGGGTTTCGAGTGCCCTAAGCAATCCAAACGATACAGCACAAAGTTGCTCAGTCAATCAAAGAGATATTATGAGATAGAGTAGAATGTTTTCCAGAGATCTTACTTTGTGACTCAATAGCATGAATTTGCAAAAGCTATTTCTTCCTCGTGGCTTTTTGGAGGCCTAGGTTCACATGAAACAAAGAAAGAAAGAAAGCTCCAGGGCTCCAGGGCTGTGGTGCTGGTTGACTCAAATACTAATATGACAATTCTCTTCTCTTTCATGGATTCCCAAGCCAAGTGGAAAGCCCCGACTGCCTGCTACCTATGAGACAATGTTGGTTCGTCAAGTCATGGTGTATTGGTCAACATTACTTTGATTCTTGCAGGGACCGGAGGGCTACTCAACCTATATCAGCACATTTACAATGTTTGATTGCCCCCTAGGCGGCATGTGCCCTGATGTTTTGAGGCGCCATCCGATTTCTCCTAATATCATATAAAATAATTGGCTTGGTCCAACTTGTCCAACTTGCATCTGAGAACTTTCCTCAACCTCATGCCTTTTATCCACACCCACAATATTTCCATTTCGAACTTGCTTCCCTTCTCGTTTCTCTTTTCCAAGGTCATCCTTATTGTATCTATCACTCCCATAGGGCATCCTGACGACTATGGATCAACACACGATGCCTCTCCCTCGGGACCCACGCCAAACCATTCCCTCCTTTCGTGAGCTCGAGGAGAAGATCAAAGCGGATAGGCTTGAGGACCACAGGCATCAATTTTTGAATAACGATGATAGCACAGCAGATGGCTCTTCTGCATCCCCCAACCTGTATCCACCTTATCCAGCTCGAGGATGGAGAATCCCTGTTGATCCTAGCCATAACGTTTGTATCATTCATCCTTATTCATTGACAAAAAGTCTAATCTATCTCTAGGCATATCTCAAGGCAGGATTCACCTCCAAGGGGGTAAGTCTTCCAATAGAGTCTTGAGACCACAGGAATACGCAGCTTATATCTATGCCATTAGGTCCTTGGCGAGGGTCCTTACGCTTACCAGGACCCGGCCATTCCGGAAGGTACGTGAATGGGTAGTGAAGATGGAATACAGCTAACTAGAAGTCTCTTAAGGCGTTTCTCCGATGGTCAACCTTCCTATACGTTCACGGGTACATCGAATCTCCACGACCACTATGCAAACCAGCAGTTACCAGCCACGCATACTGCAAGAGCGAGAGGCTCCGAACGTCACAGGGAGCTCTCCAAGGTCTTCAAAGAGACCCTCTAATTCCCCATGCTCATCGACGACTGAAAAGCTGGCTGCGCCCCTCGTGCGATTCGACAAACCACACCCCAGCAAACCCAACAGACACGAAAGCAAAAGGTCGAAGAGGCACTCCAACGCCGCCCACCAGCGCAAAACAATCGAGCCCGTCTACAAAAGATTGGAGTGCAATTCTCCGATGTAGCAGCCCATACAGCCAAATGTGATGAATGCAACAGACGCAACCAAAACGGCATGTCACGCTGCAAGCAATGCGGTTGGCAAATTTGCAACAAATGCAAAAACGAACGCTCTGGAGACCAGTCGCACACTTCCTTTGGATCGATCCATGTCCCCGAGGTTGGAGGCAATGTGCCTTTAGATGGCGCTCAAGATTCACGACCGTCGATTGGGAGCCTGGAGAAGATGGCCGCGCAGGTTTTGTTGGACCTTGCATCTGGAGGGGGCCAGGGGCTACATAAGCGACTGGACATGACGTTGAGTACCTCCCATCACCAGGAATTTCAGCAACGGGCCGATACTCCGTCGACTAGCTCTGATGTGACTGTGTCCATAGCTGGTGATGATGGATGGCCGAGTGATGAATCTGGCTTCACTATCGACGATGATGGTTTGCTGATGGGTTATTTCATTGCCCGGCGCAATCCCGCCCGTGCTGCGAGGCCTTCGGCGAAGATGACCGAGTGAATTGTTAGTGATTTCCCGAGAGTGGTGAATGAAAGCAGTGATTCTGGAGATTGAAAGATGTTGCGATGAACGGTGGGCAGATGTGTGAAATGACGAAAAGGTGAGAGCCAAAGAGGGCGGAGCGGCAGATTGAATCGTTCAATTACCTGGTGATTGACTTGGAAAGGGCTCTGTATCGAGAATGTCAATTTGATAGCTAAGGTAGATGTGACAATAAATTTTGTTTTAGCTAAAGTGTTTTTACAAAAATGAGGGGGTAGTACTAGTTATACAGTAAGACTCGAGTAATGCTCGAGTCACAGATGAATGGAGATAGTATCAGATACAAAAGATTGCTGTACAATCTTTCTTGGTCAGCATGGTCATACACTGAGTGAGCAAGCCGCTTAGACTCTCTTCACCGCCGAAGCAACAGCGCTGGTAGGGTACTGAGAACGAGCCTTCACGGCCATCTGCAGAAGCTTGGCTGTGCGGGTTGGGTGCCACACACGGCTTCCCAAAATCATGACCCAGGTGAGGAGGAACAAGCTACCAGCCTGGTGGGCGGAAGCGAGCGGGGTGGGAACGAGATAGAGCAGAGTGCAGATGCCAAGACCGACCTGACAGCAGGCAAAGGCGAACACGCCGTGCACACCCTTTCTGGCAGGGGCCGGGAGGAAGCGCTTCATGGCAGGTGAGCCGCGTGTGTAGGCCATCAAGGCACAAATGACGGTGAACGTAGTTGTAGCGAGAATGCGGTGGTCAAGCTGAACAAGAGAAGGGTTCTCGAGCATGTTGCGCCACCAAAGATCGGAGCGGTCCTCGTGGCGGGAATAGCGGGCATCGAACAGCTCCGAGCTAGGAGGCGCGAGTCCATTACCCATATACGGAAACTCGTTGTAGATAAGTCCGGCGTCAAGGCCCGCGACGAGGCCACCAGAGATGACAGTTGTGAAAACCAACAAGGCAATACCGGCAACCGAGCGGCGGAAGAAGGCCAGCTTTGGGTCACGCAGCGCATTCAGCTGTTCGATACCAGCAGCGGCATCGGCCATCAACCGATGAGACCGTAAGATAGCCAGGCCGTTCCACAGCATGGCAACATAGCAAGTGAAAGCAGCACCCAAGTGAGCAGTCAGGCGGTACTGGCTCACTCGGGGGTGACTACCAGGGGCGAAGAGATCGTCCTTCAAGCCGGACTTGACCATCCACCATCCAAGGAAACCCTGGAATCCAATCAAACCAGCAATACCGAGAAGACGCCACGCCATTGGCGTAGAGACCTTCTTCCGGGCGACGAAGTAAACAGCAGGTAGCACAAAGGACATTCCGACGAACCGGCCCCAGAGCCGGTGAATCCATTCCATATAGTAAATCGACTTGAATTCTGACAGGGTCATGTTCGGGTTTAACAGTTGAAATTCGGGAGACGCGCGGTATTTCGCAAACTCAGACTCCCAATGTTCCGCGTTCATGGGAGGGAGGGAGCCGGTAACAGGTCGCCATTCGGTGATACTCAATCTATGCCAAAAATTGTCCCGTCAGCATCCGTAGCATGATTTTCGAGGGAGGTTGAGGATTCAAACTTACCCTGATTCTGTCAAACGTGTCAGGCCACCGAAGACCACAATTCCGAAAACGCTAACTGCGCTGCCGAGGAGCCAGTAGGCGACTGCCTTATCACTGATTTTGGGGAAGCTGGACTTGGTCTTTGCGGCGCCCTCTTCAATTGCTTCGGTGACACTTGGCGTGGCAGTCGATCGCTTGATGCTGGAAGTGAAGAATGAGCGATTCTTATCGTTCAGGAAAGTCGATTGAATCTTGCTGGGTTGGCGAGAGGGAATTGAGCCGAATTGACGAATGGATTTGGCTGCGTAGCCCTGACTCCGGAGGCATTGGCGACAAGTAAATAGATCTTTGGCCAAGCGAGGCGCTATACTCCGCCATAGTGGCATAGTACTCCCCAGAGAAGCCATGGTTGAGGAAGTGACAGAAGTCGAGAAAATAACCATGTCGTGATGTCGGAGATCGTATGATATCCGCGGTATGTTCATCAGCCAATCAGCAGCGGAGCATTTGTCGCTCATCACAGCATTGTCAACAATACACAGAGCACATATTGTACTAGAATTGAACTAAGTACTATATTCAGTCTTTGTTTTCTACGTCATTTTCTTTTATATTCGAGCGCTGAAGCTCAATGACAATGTTGATGCCTCAGGCTGAAAGTTGGCCTTCAGTGTGATCGCCGCAGCTCCAACTATCTGCATTGAACTGATCCACATTTCATCTGGCTTACATCTTCACACGGCATCAACATGTCCTACGCCGTCGAATCCAAGAAGCGAAAGTTCCATCGGGTTTTAGAATCATTATCCAAACCTACCACGTCCGATAATGCGCCAAAACCACCACCTTTAGCGCCCGCGACAGCCCAAGACCGCCTCTCCGCCAACCTCTCCCTCAAGAAAGTTCGCTTGAGCAGCGCCGAGCGCACCGAACTTCCAGCTGTGCGAAATTCAATAAATAAGATTTCCCGACCGGCGCATCGTCTAGCTTCCGCAAACTCGAATAAGCGCCCAACCTTTGTCCCTTGGGATCGTGAACGTTTCCTCGAGCGGTTGGAGACGTTTCGTCGCGTCGATCGATGGACTTCGAAGCCAGCACCAATCAATGAAGTACAATGGGCGAAGCATGGCTGGATATGCACAGATGCTATGCGAGTTACTTGTGTGAGCGCGTGCGGTGGTGCGGTCGTTGTGAAGCTTCCTGATGAGGTTGATGAACTCGACGGGTTTGACATTGACAAAGTTGAAGAGAGGAAACAAGTTCGTAAGTAATCTACACAATGACTCCGACGCTTGATTTTGATCGAATCGCTGACTTCAATCACAATAGGCTCAAGGCTTGTGGACGAGTATGCGAAGATGCTAAGTAGTTCCCATGGCGAGGGCTGCCCCTGGCGTAACAAAAGCTGCGACGGTGAGTCTACCTATTGTAATCAAAGTTTCTTTTCTCGAGGCTAATTTTTAGCAGCAACTATCCAACATCTTCCTTTGACAAATTGCGAGATCGCCTTGTCGGGGCTTCACACGCGCTATACGAACATCTCGAAAATGGGTGACAAGCTGCCTGCCGATGATATTGTCGAGACTCCCGAGGGGCTAGAACTCGATGCAATAATCAATGGACTTCCTAACGAATGGTTCGAGGCCACCGCTACTTCCACAAGCAGAGACCAAGAACTTACGAATTGTGCCAATCACGAATCTACAGATGGTGCCGAGCCATCACAATCAACATCCCGCTCTGTCAATCGGGCGGCACTGGCACTTGCATTGCTCGGCTGGGATACCGCCTCTGATGGAGCTGCCGGATTGGTTGGATGTGGTGCTTGCTTCCGCCGTCTGGGGCTATGGATTTACAAACCCAAAGACAACGGCGATGTCACGGTCTATACTTCTTTGAATGTAGCAGATGAGCACATGGATTATTGTCCCTGGATTAACAAGTCCGCACAAAGTGGAACTGGCCGGGCCAACGAGAAACTGGCTGATTTGCGCACTGGTTGGCAATTAGTTGCAGAAGCAGTTAAGGTCAAACACCGTCGAAGACTTCGCGCTATGGCCTCCACGGACACATTGCGCGCCGATCCAGGCACCCCGGTCGAAACTGCAGATGAGGAAGAAAACCTAGATGCAAAGAAGAAAGCAGACCGTGAGTGGTGGGCGAAGATCCGGCGGGTAAGACAAGTCCTGACGGCCAAGTCTCCTAAACGAAAGCCTGTTCTGCCTGATATGTCTAAATGAACTTGCATGATGATCCTATTTATTTCTTTTCAACTTTGCATTTCCTGATGGCGTGGGATTATGAAAAGGGTTGAACGTGCGTTTCTTAGCGGCTCTTATTCTACAAATACCTTCGATCTATAATATTGCCAGACATGTCTACATATTTTACTCCGTTATCTTCAAAATGGGCAGCATGGTGTTAAATCGAAATTCCTGTAACTTGATCGTGATTTTCTCTCATTTGCATTCGTGGATATACAACTATTCAAGCCTCTTAGCATGTTTGTTGTCCACAGACGCTTCAAGATAGTCGATGGAGCTGAGAAGAGTTAGGGCTGTTCTAGTCGCTCTGATTGGCCGAGACCCGGAGCTCAATTGGACCTGCGGACCTCAGCCGGCATTTACTCTGGTTCCTCCCCAACCCCAAGATTCTAGTCTCGCTGAAATTCAGAGCATACATTCTTCATTTATTAATTAAAATCCACCGCGCGGACAACTTTGTTACATTAGGCTACTACTGCGACCTTGCGGTATCAATCTCTTTGAACTGTGCACTCGAATTTATCTCTCCTTCGCCAGCATGGAATATCCAAACCAAGATGGAGCTGGTGGACGATCAACACCCCGTTCTCCAGGTCGCTCAAACAACGCACATAACACCACGACAGAAGGCGGCAGGCAGAGGAGCATCGAAGGAGACAACTCGGCGGAAACATTATCTCACGCCGCAGCAAAGCGCAAGAGACTTCAAGAGCGATACCAAGCCCGAAAGCGTGGCCGCACACCTCCATCTGTTTTCTCCCGACGGAATCGCTCCCGTAGCCCCAATGGCGCCGCACCACGCGAAGACCGTCGATCTCGATCACCCCTACAGCCACGCTCCCCTTCGCCCGATGCACCGCGCCAACGCAAGCGACCCGGTGGTGGCGCACGACAGGGAATTGCAGACCGCGAAACATTGAGACGCAGACAGGAAGAACGTGAACGTGCAGAGCAGGAAGATGCCATGCGCAACTCTCAGCAGCGCGGAAACACGGACGTCGTTCGCCAGCATTACAACGCGGTTCCCGAGAGAGGACGCGAATGGCGTAAGACAGAGAGCAAAATTAAGGGTCTAAGGAGCTTCAACAACTGGGTGAAGAGTACTTTGATTCAAAAGTTCTCTCCGGACGAGTCGTTTGCCACGCGATTCGATGACACCAAGGACTGGGCGGATGACAGCCAAGGTCCACCTCCTGCTGCTGATCACAAGCTCCTGGTGCTAGATTTGGGATGCGGTAAAGGTGGTGATCTGGGTAAGTGGCAGTTAGCTCCTCAGCCGGTTGACCTCTATGTTGGCCTCGACCCTGCCAATATCTCTGTTGAGCAGGCCCAGGGCCGGTACGACCAAATGCGCTCGGGCCGTGGCCAGAGAGGCCGTCGGCCACCCCAGCCTATTTTCCATGCCGAGTTCTACCCGAAAGATTGCTTCGGCGAATGGTTGGGTGACGTCAGCATCGTCCAACAGGTTGGCATCGACGCTAATGTTGGACCCGGTGGGTCGATTATGGCCTCTCGCTATGGAGGTGGAGGATTTGATGTCGTCACCTCGATGTTCGCCATTCATTATGCCTTTGAAACTGAAGAGAAAACCCGCCAGATGCTCCGCAATGTTGCAGGCTGTTTGAAGAAAGGCGGCCGTTTCATTGGTGTGTGTCCCAACTCAGATGTCATTAGCAGTCGCGTGTCTGCATTCCACAAGGAGCGCAAGGAACGTGAGGCCGCCAAACCTGCCGAGCCAGAGGGGCCTGAGGACGGAGAGGTCGAGGAGGATGAACGCGCCCAGTGGGGTAACGACATCTACCGAGTTCAGTTCCCGGGGGCGACCCCTGAGGATGGAGTCTTCCGACCTCCTTTCGGGTGGAAGTATAGTTACTTTATGAAGGAGGCCGTTGAGGAGGTTCCTGAATACGTTGTCCCTTGGGAGGCTTTCCGAGCGTAAGCGTCGACTATCTTCGCAATGTTTTTTCAAAGCTGACCCTTCTTCTAGTCTCACCGAGGACTACAACTTGGAACTCCAGTACCGCAAGCCATTCTTAGACATCTGGGAGGATGAGAACAACCACCCAGAGCTAGGCCCACTCAGCGAGAGGATGGGTGTACGAGACCGCGTGACTGGTGCTTTGACAATGACGGAGGAAGAAAAGGAAGCCGTCAGTGAGTAGTGCTCAAACATAGCTCCATTTCTTCGCCACTAACAACTCATCGACCAGGCTTCTACCATGCTTTCTGCTTCTACAAGGTCTAAGCTACAATTTAAGCCACACTCGAGGCCCAAATACGGTACATGGAGTTCGCCTAGTCCTCTCAATCAATCGAATCTGACGGATATTCATCTTCTTGCAGCACACAGTACCACATATATAAACCAGCTCGTTATACAGAAGAAATCCTACCACGCTTAAAGCCCCATTCGCATGAAATAGCAGATCACTATCTATGAACAGCATGAAAAACAACATAAAGAACAGCCAAATAATTGCCCTTCTAAGGCAAAGATAACATCTTCTATTCAACCGGTCCTAAGCATCCTGCTGTTGAATCTCTATCAGGTTGCCATCAGGATCAGCAACCATCAAGAAAAACTCCAACCCAATAAGCCCCTGTGCGTCAACGAGGGCTTTCTTAGCAGCAAGATGCAATCCCGCAAACTCCCCAAGACCAAACGCATTAGGCACAGGGCCCGTAAAGTCCTTAATGGGCTCATTGACCCTCTTCAAAATCCGCACTCCCCGAGATTCAAGATACTCCTCAGTCTTAACAACATCAGGGACAACAAGTCCCACATGACCAAAAGTATTACTCCTCTCAGTCGACGCGATCAACCGATCATCCGAGACATTGAACTGCTGCAACTCGAGCAACCCCCACAGATTGTTTTTCGCGGCTGCCAGCTCGGCGCCGCTTTGGAACCCCGTTCCGTTTCGCCCGCCCTGCGCGTACCCCATGTACGTTACTGTGTATTCGGGTGTTACATGGGCGTCAAAGAGGAGCCGCATGCCCAGAATTTCGCCGTAGAAGTGCTTCATGCCCGTTAGGTTCGTTGTGAGTAGGCCGATGTGGTTCATTGCAAAACCCAGCGTTGCCGCTGGGGCTGGGCCATCGGTGCCTATTGTGAAGGCATCTGCGGGATCAATGTCGCGGCGGGTGGGATTGCATGCGTTTGTTGTGTGTATAGTTAGGAGGGTTAAGAGAAGGTAGATTGGGTTCGGTGTATACATTTCGTTGGCGAAAAATGAAAAGCTGTTTGTTCGATTTAATCTTCATTAAATGCTTTTAGGGGCTCATCTCCACGAGGAGTTGCAGTCTACTTATGTGTTTCTGGAGGCTGTGATATTCTAGCAACCTCTAGCTTAAATAGTTAGAACATGAAGTTATCCTAGCACCAACTCAGCCCACATGCAGTAGTTGCAATGTTAAATTTCTCGTATATCATAAAAATCCGATGAGGATCTACAAGCTTAGTGGGGGCCTGCTCGCAAAGCTAACTTGCTCTGGTGGGACCTGGCGACATGCCAAGTCTGGAGCATAGCCCAAGAGTTTAATTTGTCTTGGGAACCTCATGCGTTGTTCATTCTGACCGGCTATCGAGTTGTCGTCTGTGAGCCACCGATGCCTGATCGACGCTTTTTTGAGCGCTGTATCATATGCCAATAGATCGACTTCCTTATAGCCTTGGCAAATGACATATCAAAGCTCTGTAAGGCGTTTGTTTATACAGATGCTAAGCCACCCACCCGCACTTCAGGCGCGGTGGTTGGTGGAACTGGGATGACCCTGCAGTAAAGCTCGATCGAGCTGAACCCGCGAGCATTACTTCACGTGTGTAATCCATGATGACTACAGCAAGAGGACAGTCAGCATAGTTGAGGGGCCAAGGAATCAGGCCTCCCGTTTTTACCATGTCTTGTTAGAGCCCAGCCTAGCGGGGAACTGAAACATGCATGTTCGCTGACATCTAAGTTCTTTGAAACCTTGTAGTACTTGGATCTATTAGTAGAACAAGGCCGGTGAATTTACTAGGAGTTAATGTTCAATATAGCATGTAAAAGTATATGAGATTGCTTGGCAACATCGCCATGTTGGAGGTATACCAGATTCCCTATAAGGAGATTGGGGGCCTAAGACACCGCATTTTCTAACGAGTAGTCATGTAACTGAAGCGCTACATTACTAGAATACTAACCAACCAACAACTTGGCCTTTTTGGTGTTGGATTTTCACTGAGATAGACAACACTCCCCTCAAAACTTACCTTCAAAAGTACGTACGCTTTAAGACAATAATAGCCAAGAAATAAATATTTTAGACATCTCTAGGGCCCTCGCGTCGTACTAAACCTTTGTCACTAAGAATTTGGCAGAGCGCGAAGGTCTTTGATAGCGCTAACCAACGGAGATAAGTACGCATAGTGACATACCTAGGTAACACCGAGGCAGAAACCCTAACAGCATACGTAACAACCTTGTGAAGAATTATTTTAAGTGAAGTTCATAGTCAGCTAACGAATTACTTATAGTCACTAAATATATCTGCGCGCTAACTTATTAATATGTCAAGGTAGGGTTACTAAAGAATTGACAAAAATTGCGAACTTCACCTGGAACATTGTATTTTGAGAATGTGTTTAATTGTCAGATATAACGTTGTATCCAAGGTCAGGAAATAAAACTCTCTCATAGAGTAAGTACACTTATATACTTCGCCAATTCCCGATAAGCCTTATCGCCATCTATAACCTAAACGGGGCTAGCGTGATCGCGTCTCGCGTCGGGATTTCGAAGTGCTTTGTATGAACTGATCAAAGAAATCCGCCCTGCACTCGATTAAAAGCATAAAACCCCCATCCACCCCTCGCATACGAAGCAACACAACAATAATGTCGGCCACACCCAGCCGTCGGCGCATGGGACCCTCCCAGTCCCACCCGTCAACGCAGTCACCGTCAACATCACGCAGACAGCCCTCATCCCGCTCATACACATACCAACCCCCCGAGGCACCGCTGACATTAGAAGGCCAGCGCCAGCTCACATCCCTTCTTCAATCAAGCCACCTTCGCAACATCCGAACCCACCTTCAGCATGCTACTGAGAAACTCGCTCAATCCGGCGGCGAAGTCAATGAGCGCCTCGCAGATGCCCGCACGCGCTACGAGAAAGACAAAGAGCGCAGACGACGACAAGGCGGTGGGGATGTAGAAGAAGGCGAAAGTGACCCTGAGTACCAACGCCTCGCCAAGGCAGAAACCAAAGTGGAAGCTATCACCGCGCAGTTAGAAGAACAGACACGATCAATTGTTGATGCCGAGGTTCGGTTAGAAACCTTGACAAATGCGATAGGAGAGCTTGAGAGAGTGGAGGGCGAGGCTGTTACCGCTGCGATGGGAACGAGGCAGACTCGAGCCCAGCGATTGAGACAGATGGCCACTGACGGCGAAGGTGACGATGATTCCAATGACCATGACTATGAAGACGCGCAAGAGAGGGAGGCCGCGCAGCGTAACGCGCAACATCCGCCCAGTCGCCGGCTAGGCGAACAGGTGGCCGAAGAGGTTGAAAAGTGGAATGAGCTGTCTTTGACAGAAAGGTATGCATTCTAGTATATCCTCCAAGCGAATAGGTACTAACGCGCGCAACTAGATACGCTAAACACAACTCCTACATCGGCTTCTTCCGTATGGTTCACGACTCCAAATTCCCCAGCGACGACGTGCCCCCACTTCCCCACTCATCAACGTGGTTTGAGCACCTAGAAGAGCCAGCCGATGCAGGCACGGGGGCTTCCACCCGCGTGCGCAACCAGAACCGGGCACCATCAGAAGACGACGATATTGCCATTGCGCGCGAACGCGTGTCCCTCAAGTGCCCACTTACTCTCATGACTTACGTTGATCCTGTGACAAGCACCAAATGCCCACACAGTTTCGAGCGGAATGCGATTATGGACATGATCAGTAACAGTCGCACCACTGTTGCGCCTCCGGCATCTCGCAGAGGCCAGCGCCGCGTTCATTTTGTCAAATGCCCCGTCTGCTCTACACCTCTGTCTGCTGATGACCTACGACCTGATCCCGTTCTACTACGAAAGGTCCGCCGCGCCCAGGAGCTTGAAGAGCGTGAAGATGAGGACGACCACCTTGAAGGTGGTCGGAAGAACAAGGATCGCAATGTAGGCATTGAGCTTGGTAGCGATGAAGATAGCGATGGTGATGCTATGGATGTCGATGCCCATCTTGCTTCACAGCGGATCAAAGCGGAACCGCTGAGTCAAGCTGCTCCTATTCGAATTGACGATGAAGGCGAAGACGAAGACGAGGAAGGGGAAGGTGAAGAGGAAGAGGAAGAGGAAGAGGAAGAGGAAGAGGAAGAGGAAGAGGAAGAGGAAGAGGAAGAGGAAGAGGAAGAGGAAGAGGAAGAAGAAACAAGAATTGACGAGGATGTGGGAGTCGGGAATGAGGATGAGGGGGACTATGAAGAGGTAAGCGACGAAGAGCTAGTTGACAAAGAGTCAGTGGAAAGCAGTCCAGCCGAGGGCTCAGAGGGTAACAGCCTAGTCGAGGAGCCAGTCGAGGAGCCGATTGAAACGCCAGTTGAAGAACCAGTTGAAGAGCATCTCAAAGGACCATCTGAAGATCCACTCGACGAAGCACTAGTCGAGGATTCACCGGAGGAACCAGTTGAGGATTCAGTCGACGAAAGCTCCCTCGACAGCTCCTTCGACCAGCTCCTCGACGAAGCTTCACTCGACCAAGAGCTTTTCGATGAAGCTCCCCTCGATGAAGCGCTATCTACGGGAGTTCCAGTCGAGAAAGGTCCTCTTGAACAGTCCTTGCGCGAAGACGCCCTCGACGATGCACCCCTCGATGCAGTCGAGGAGCTTGTCGAGGAAGATTCCTTTGAACAGCCCCTCAACGAAGCGTCACTTGATCAAGTACCAGCCGAGGAGCTAGTCCAGGAGGGGTCCCTTGGAGAGCCCCCTGACCAAGTGCCATTCCACAATGAGTCCCTCGACACTGCACCACTTGACGAAGAGCCAATTGAAGAGCATCTAATTGAGGAACAACAAGTTGAGGAAGAGAAAGAGAGGATAGGGCTAATTCAAAATGAGGAAAAACAGGCCGAGGAAGAGCACACTGGGTTGGTTCAAGCGCAGAGCGAGGTAAGTGAGGAAGAGCCCGAAGAAGAGAAGGTCAAAGAAGAGCAGACAGGGCTGATCCAGGATGAGGAAGAGCAGGCCCAGGGAGAAGAGACAGGAGTAACTCAAGACAGGAGGAGGGACGAGGCAAGTGTTGAACACCAAGTGGAGGAAGAACAGACACTGATCACAGATGAGGAAGAGCAGGCGGGGGAAGAACCAAGTGATGAGGGAAGCGAGAGCGAGGAAGATGGTGATGGAACTTCAACCTCGGGAAATTCTGACGATTCAGAGGTTGCACTCAAGGAAGAGGATCAGGAGATGGATTCTGAGGGAGACAGTGAGAGTGATTGATTGCCTGTTTCTTAGCATATTAGGGTCCAATCGGAATTTTTCCAAGGCCGATATGCGACCTCGTGGCATGTTAAGTTACGCTAAGTGTCAGATAACGTTGGAAGGCACGATGCCATTTTAAAGTAAAAGTAGTATGTATACACGAGAAGGCGTTAAGGCATTAAGGTATCAAGACATTCAGGTGTCCAGGTGTCAACCGATAAACCCCCGCAATTGATCCAATGGTAGAGATGTGGACCTCGGGCCAATCAACGTGGGACCTTACCCGTGGACCCGTTTTCTAGATTTCTTTTTCTTCTTTTTCTTTTTGTTCCCGTGGTCTCTTATCGCTTATGGGCCCCCGATTATTTTTGCTGTTCGTTCTTTTGACCCCCTCGTGTCCGGGATGTAACATCTGAAAACATTAAAACAATTTAAAACAATACATTCTATTCGATAGATCTTGCTTTATACACAATAACCGAAGCCACATGTTTAAGAATAACCCCATAAAATACCACCTCCCCCAACCCCAGTATTTTACACGCGACAGTTTTTCCCCGGACTAAGACAAAGAGACAGTACCATCAGGGTGTAACACTGCTATCAAAGCGGCCAGCCCCAATCAGTAGTCAGCTAGTTAGACCCTAGACTAGACCTTAGCAGATAGGTAATTTCACCAATTGTAGCTCCGGTACTTGACTCCTGAAAAAAATAAAAAAATAAAAAAAGAATAGCTTCAGCCCGTGATACCTCAGCCGATGCTACCCTGCAAGCTACCGTTGATACATCTATCTCAGCGCTAGTCAGTTCTTTTAAACATCCTTCAGTCCTTCTCTTCCTTCCATTCCTGCTACTTTTCTTTTTTACCTTCTAACGCATGCTTAATTCATAATGGATGATCGAAAGTCTCCAATCCACTCCTCAACTGAACCCATTCCTCGGCCCGCAGGATGGATGTACAAATCGGGCTCCATCGGCAAGTTCTCCACGAGCTGGTATGCCTCGCCGCGTATCCAACTGGGCATGGTCGCCTTCGTCTGTTTCCTCTGTCCCGGCATGTTCAACGCCCTGAGCGGCTTGGGCGGCGGTGGAAAGGCCGATGCCAGCTTGGCAGATAAAATGGTATCGATTTTTTTTTCTCATTTTCATTTTCATGTTCTTTTCTGGTAATTTTATAAAACTTTTTGGATGCATCTGGCCACCTCCTTGTTATCTGCTATCCACAATTCGCGATTGGCGCTTATCATTATCAACACAACTCCGGTCTAGCGCACAGCTAACGATATAATCAACACCAGAACATCGCTCTTTACAGTACCTTCGCAGTCGTGGGTTTCTTCGCCGGAACCATCGTTAACCGTCTCGGCATCCGTTTCGCTCTCTCCTTCGGTGGAATTGGTTACTGTATTTACTCCATTAGTCTGCTAGTCTCGGTGCATAAGTATGTCCCAGGTTTCAACATCTTCGCCGGTGCCTTCCTCGGTGTGTGCGCCGGTCTGCTCTGGGCCGCCCAAGGCACCATCATGATGTCCTACCCGACAGAACAACAGAAGGGCCGCTATTTCGCTTGGTTCTGGGCTATTTTCAACGTCGGCGCTTGTATCGGCAGCTTGGTATGTTCCATCCATCCAATCCAGACCCACAACCCGAGCAAGCTTGCTTCGCATTCCTTGGCTTGCGCCAACACACCGCCGCAACATACCCCGCCTCGCCAGCCATCCAAACTAACACACCTTTTCCTCCTATAGATCCCCCTCGGCGGAAACATCAACGTCACAGAGAACAAGACCGTCGGCGATGGCACATACATTGCCTTCATTGTGCTCATGTTTACAGGCGCCTGTCTGGCCCTCTTCCTCTGCGACGCAGACAAGATCGTCCGCCCCGACGGCTCTCGCGTCATCCTCATGAAGCACCCGAGCTGGAAAACCGAGATCGTCGGCCTCTGGGAAACTATCCGCTCAGAGCCCTGGATCGCCTTTCTCTTCCCCATGTTCTGGTCTTCCAACTGGTTCTACACCTACCAGCAGAACGCCATCAACGGCGCGTACTTCAATACTCGCACCAAGTCTCTCAACGGCTTCTTGTACTGGTTTGCCCAGATCGTCGCTGCTGTCATCATCGGCCCCCTGCTCGATAGCGGACGCGTTAGACGCTCCGTTCGTGCTAAGGTTGCCCTTGTCACGCTTTTCGTCCTTACGGTTATTATCTGGGGTTCTGGATATGCTTGGCAGAAGAAGTATACCCGCGACGACGTGGACACGAAAATCCACCCTGACTTCAAGGGCTGGGATTGGTCGACTTCCGGTTACGTGGGCCCTATGTTCCTCTACTTCTTCTATGGAATGTACGATGCTATCTGGCAGGGTGTTGTCTACTGGTAAGTTCCGCACCCATCTCTCCCGCTATCAGCCTGGGGACCTTCTCGTTATGCACACGAACACGATACTAACGGTCTTAACCCAGGATCATGGGTGCTCTCGGCAACTCCGGCCGCAAGCTTGCCAATCTCGCCGGCTTCTACAAGGGTCTCCAGTCCGCCGGCGCAGCCGTGATGTGGTCATTGGACCTCCACAAGCTGCCCTTCATGAACGAATACGCGTCGAACTTCGGGCTGCTGTGTGGATCGATTCTATTCGCTGTGCCGGTCGTCTTCTTCAAGATTAAGGACTCTGTTCCTGTTGAGGAGGAGCTCAAGGGTACAGACGAGACGCTCGAGGATGTTCTGCCCCCTGGTGCTATTGAGTCGAGGCACATGGGTGAAGAGAAGATCTAGTGTAGTCTGACACGCGACGTTGAATCTAATCTACGCGGAACTTTTCTTTCAATTCTTTCAATCGCATTTTCGGGCGGCAGGAACAATAAGACAAGGCTAGGCCTTCCATTTGGTTTCGGCTTATCTAGTACGACCCGATTTGTACTTCTTAATTGCTGTGACTCTTTTGGCTCGACTGTTGGGGGTGTGGATTGACTTGTGGGGTTTTTTACGATGACTTATTAATGGCGATGATATCGCTTCACGATGGCATGTCTGCACTTGTTTCATTCCGCGGTTCTACCTTGGAAGGGGAACCCCTTCTACGGTCATAGGAAATGAATTGCATACCATTTATGACAGATTCAACAACGCATCCTTGTCTGGTTCTAGCTAGCGAAATAGTTCAAGCTAAACAGCAACAGTAAGCCTGGCTGGGTAAGTGTTTCAAAAGTCAATAGCAATAATATGAGGACCCGTCCTTATGGAACAGAGCGCAATGATGAAACTACCCAGTCCGCAATAGGAAAATATCCCGAATGGATGACATAAAAAGAGCTAGGAGCAAGACAAGGGGGTATTCGCTTGCCGAAGAAGATCAAATAATCCAAGACAACAGATGAAGGACAAAAAGACAAGAAGACAAGAGCCCAGTCAAAGCTCGTGTATTCTGTTCTTGGACAAAGCCTTTCCGCGGAAAAGACCAGCCAGCTCCTGGCTGTCATCCGATACATTTTCGCGTTTCTTCCCCGACGACAATGGCATTGCAACAAGAAATTCAAACTGAGAAATCTGACCGGTATGAAGTTTTCCGCATGGAGTTCCCAATAACCAGCGAGGTGTCATAGTGAGTGACGTTCGTGTAATGTACGAACCAGGCAAGAGAGTGGGTTAGTCATGTGTTTTCAGATTTCCTCCGGCCCTGCATTTTCCATAGATGTAACAATAGCAGAGATTCTATCGATATAGACTTTGTGGCGTGCTGGCGGCATTAAAACACGGACTGAGCGATGGTTTGAGAGGGTTTCATTCATTCCGTTGTGGGGGGTTGGAGGGGGTGTAATGCAAAAGAATCCGAAAAGTCGATTCTTGCCAGCAATTCAAAAATAAAAGAAAATGAAAGCGTAATTGAATTTACTTGGTGATGAGGTTGAGATAATCCGCCACGATGAGAGTGACCATGCTATCGATCGAAAAAAGTCAGTGGAGAACACGAACGTCAGAAAGTGGGGGCAACTAACGCATGAGGAGCGATCCGCACATAGTAAGTGCCGAAGCCCCGGTAAAAGCGCAACCATCCCTCCTCCTTGACAACCTTGCGCGCACAATCCATCAATCCCTTGTAAGGCAAGACACCCGTCTTAGGATCTTTCTGCTGCTTCTGCAGACGCGTCTTGATAAAATCGAACGGCAGCGAGAGGAAACTAGCAAAGAAACCGGCGATCGCAGATGCAGCAAAAGTCTGCGTTTGAGTAGACAAAGTAGTGTGCTGCTTGAGCTGCGACTTCGCCTCCGAGAAGAAAGTCAATTGTCCCATATTCAGCGCCATGGCGCGCACAACTGTCGGCGTAGCCCCAGCCCACAAGCCAGCGACGCCTTCCGCGCGAGCAATGCGGCCCAGCGCATCGAAGACGCCCCGATAGTTCGCGCGAGCCTCGGGGGCTTTCAGACCATCAGACTGCATGCGGATGAGCGCCAAGTCGGCCGGGTTTCCAATCATGGCAGCGATCCCGCCGGCGCTCAGCCCTGCGGCTGCGCGCTGTGCGAATGTCACTTGCGAGTCTTGGGCTTTGGCTTTCGCGTTGAGGTTCTTCATGAAGGTCTCGAAGAAGCCCAGTCGCGCGGTCGTGTAGAAGACTTGACGGAGGAGGCCGGCTGAGAGACCGGTGTAGAGGTCGAGGACTTTGCCTGCTGCGATGATGTCGCGCGTGACTCCGAGGGCGGAGGGCTTGGGTCCTGTGCGTGCGCCCTCGCCGGCCAGTTGCAGGCGTACCTTCACCATGTCTACGGGTTGGATCACGGCTGTTGCGGTCATGCCGGCGAGGCCGCCGTTGATGAAGGGGAGGGCGGCGCGGGTGTAGGGGTGGTGCAGGAATCCTGAGGGGTCTTCAATGGCGGCTGTGGCGGCATTCTGGGCAGATACGGCGGTTTTGCTGGCGGTGTCTTTGACGGTGGTGGATGCCATGGTGAATAGCAGGTGGGTCAAATCTATCCAGAATCAATATGATACAGTCATGGACATGAATGTCAAGACAGAACTGACCGAAAACTGACCGAGCTAGAAAAGATCCGACAGTTAGTACCTAGGTAGGGTCCCTCTTTTCTTCTATTTTCCCTTTGGTGGATTTAGAAGCCACGAGGAAGGCTCTTGACCATGGTACTTACCTTATGACGTATCTAGTTCTTCGGAATTCGCGAAGTGTAGTATTCCGACCTGAACAGTGATCAAGATATATGTGTATTCAAACGTAGAAAGAAGAGAAGAGAGGGATTAAAAGAGACTGTCACAGGACAAAATGTCAGGTGCGGGGTGTAAGTATTCAGGTATTGAAGTATATTGTTACTCGGGGTCAAACCGGGTCTTAGCTTGACTATATACGAGCTATTATTATTATGAGATCTGATCCTATTTGAGCAAACACACTTATTCCGAGCCGGAAATCATTCCCTTTCAACCGATGTCAACCGTCAGTTCTCCGCCTGCAGCAATTCATACGCGGGAGTTGATCATTAGCCTGCCGTGGGGATTTCCCGTAGCTGTCTAGACACTGTGGAAAAAGTGGAGAGATGGGGAGATACTAGAACGAGGGAACCATATGTGTTTGGCCAATCACATCGAATACAGTTGGACTATTATTATGTTGATTATCAATGCACGAACGTGGACAGGTCTGCATGCTCTGGAGCTTTTGAAATGCGGGGGACAGCTTGAACATCCCAGTGTTGCATTTCCCATCCGGATGTCCGGTCTCAGTATAACACGACACAAAGCTTTCTCTCTTCCTTTTGTTTTTCTGTTTGAATATACAACTAGCGAATATCAATGACTGATGATCGTGATATTGACTTAGTCACGCTATACTCGGAGTCCCCACCCCCCACTAAGCCCGCTTTAGGGTTTCCCCACGAGAACGCCTCGGGAGTCGTGATGGGCTGTACAATTAATGGCACTTCCTGCTCTGACATTATCCAGTCCGTCTGTCCGATGATACCCGAGGGAAAGCTTTTTGACCTTTGTATGCATGGGCCCGTCTCAACAAAGGCTACTCCCAGCAGAATGCAGACTCTCCCAACGGGATCTTTCTGCCGCAATCATCAGCCATCACCCATACTGGCTATCTCAAGCTCTTGGCAGGGCCCCGTAACACGCCAGACCTAGCAAAAAAGGAAATAATCAAATTATTGCCCAGCAAATACATCGGCTCGACGGATCGATCCCATTCGGCTATCCCTCATTAATCTTCTCCCGGTTCCCGCCTTCGGCCCATCACCCGAGGATATGTCACCGGCAGTCCAATCGGCCTACTCTAGTTACGCTGACGTCGAGCCAGTGGACACTGCCCCCAGTTCACTGACCAATCCCACACGCCGGATTTCACGATCCCCTGCAGCTCCTGCTATTGTTGAGATAGAGCTAGTCCGCGCTAAAGCTGGATTCCTCCGGTCTGGATCTTTTCGCCGATGACCGGCATTAACAGTCCTAAGTAAGCTTCTAGGGTGGGTTCTTGCACACTGCATGGTGCTTGATCTCGCGTACGGTATTGGTCAATTGCGACGATTACGGATATATCGTCAACTTCTAATATCAACTCGAGAGAACCGGGCAACTCGGTAAGAGGCTGCGGAGGACTGTTCTCCGGGAAATATGCTATTCATGCGCTCGGTATGGGAATGGGAATTGTTGCACATTTGGAATGGATCTGATACGGAGATTTGCCAGTGACGCGTCCGTAACGGCGTTGTTTGGTGGCAGGGAAACAATTAGGACCGCATATAAGCGATGCAAATCTAACTCGAAGCAGATAACGCTTGGGAATGCTTCGAGATCGGATATGGCCGCTCGGCCAACCTTCAATATACGGATTATCTAGTCGATGTTTGAATCCTTATGCACCCAGATTCCGAGGCTTACAGTGTAAAATGAGCCCTGGGCTCCCAAGTACGGAGTACATTGAATACTAACTCAAGAATCCTGGAAGCTTCCTACGGACCTCTCCGATATCCATAGTCAAAGTGTGTCGTTTAGACACCTTCGGTTCAGATATTTTATGATCTCGGACACCGCCGTCACCATCGCCCGCCATGTCTTCATTCGCCATTCGCCATCCCAGCGTGATGACTCAATCCAAGAGGCCGTAAAAGCCTGGACACCGGCAACTAGACATCAATTGCAAAATTCATCCTATTCCCAATGCCAGCCCGTCTCTGAAGAATATCACAATGTGTCAACCTAGGGCCGATCGTCATCCCCACTCCCCTCCGCGGAAAGGGTTCTCGGCAAGTCGGGGGCCCACAGGCCTAAAGTCGCGATCTGGATCCACTGGCCGCCCGGCATGGGAGTTCGGGAACGGTTCCTGGCTCTATTCCGTGGATAAGGGGGTTAGAGGTACCAGGTGCCAGGTAGCGGATAGGGGGAGCGGGAATGACAGGCTGGGCTATTGGGTGCTTGGCAGCCCCTGATTCAGGAGACACTTTATGGTGGTGAGATTAACCGATTTAATAGAAGCCTGGTTGTGCTTCTTCTTTTACTTGCGTAATCGCTCTATGGAGAATATTAGGCCTATTTATTAAATTATCAACATGTCCAAAGCTACGGTTTGCAATTTGACAGATCAACATGTTTTTTTACGCAAAGAAAGCTTTCGCTGCTCTTGACATTGGATCGCTCGTTAAGCCAAGTATATATTGGATTGGACATGCTGAGTATAATAGAATTGTAATAATAATATCTGAGTATGATCGTGAACAGAACTTTATCATATCATCGTGACTCATTGCCCTCTGTATATTTGAACATCAAAACAGAGGCATCGTGACACCGTTTCTATAATCGACGTTCTCCTTCACACTTTCAATACGGTCATGGCAAGTGCCAAATATCTTATCCCAAAGACGGGTCTGCTTTCCATAATTATGACTCTTTCTCCATCCATAGCGGTGATGCAGATCATGATCTTCAATCACTAGTTCCGCATCAAAGATCTCTAGCAGCCAGTTCACAGTAGACGGAGCACCACCATGAAGTCGAAGACCACTGTGTCCGATGAACTCCGAGAAGGCAATATACTGGAAGCAAATCCACCAGCCGTAGAACCCCATCGGCAACCCAAAAAGCTTCAACGTCCCATAAGCAAGAAGTGGGATACCCGTGATATCCATAAACTCTTGCTCATGATCGGCATACGCGGAGAGCAGGGGGTTCGGGTGCTTGGTCAAATGGTGTCTTCGGTGGAACTTCCACAAAGAATCAGTGGAGTGCATCATGCGGTGGTACCAGTAAAACCAGAAGTCGACGGTGATGCTGTACAGACCAATCTCCAAGGGCAGCCACTTCCACTCGAGAGAATCTGGTGTTTCGCTCGTGCGATAGGTGAGGAAAATAGCCATCACCATGCGGACGCTCGATGTAGAAATGAGTTCGCGGATGACCTTGCCAACGCCAACGTCGGGGATTTCATCCCGTGGGTGTTTATCGCCGTCCAAAAAACCGTACCGTTGACCAAGGCGGCGCATGATGTGCATTTCATGGATACCGTTTAATTTAAAGGCACTAGAATATAGCGCAAAGGCGCCAATGAGGCCCAAGTTCTTGCCGGTATAGGCTGTGTAGGCGTGGTGGAGGACAAGTGGAATCGCAGCGTGTAGTAAGATCCATAGGTGCACAGTCCACTCCCTCACAACTGGGATTTTGTCTGTCTTGGCAAATATAGGCACTTCTCCATCAAGATCGATGAGATGAAGACCAAGTAGCTCAATCATCCAGTGCCAGACGCTCCACTGGGATCGATCATGGCGCCAGGTCGACGCCATGGAATCCGCAGGATTGCGCTTCAAGGTTGTCGTTTGGCTAGACATCTTCGAATAATCAGGATATGTGTGCCCAGGAAAGAAAGGTCTTGCACGCAGATTACAGCATTCTTATGCTGAAGCATGCTCTATATTTGTTTAGCATCGCTGTAGCATGTGAAGTCATGATCGCCGCGCTTGACACCCAAGTGGAATGCATTGCGAGAACTCTAAAGCGATCGACGAATGAAAATCATATATTTAGGTAAGGGCAGTAATGGGGAGCTCGTTGGGGCACTTCTAGTGGCGCGGGGGATCTTCATATAACTTGTGATTGAATAGTCTGCCTCGGCCTTCGGATATCTTTTGCTAAACTGTGGGGGAACCTCCACTTTTTCTCCGCAAATGCCATACTGAGTACGGGGCCTTATAATGCTACTTGCTGCATCTTGCTTTAGAGTCGAAGTTCGGCTAGACACCAGTCTGTAGTCCGAACTGGCGAGTCAAGATACTTCATTGTTAGGGATGTAAGCCTAAAGGTTTCTATCGGGGCGAGTCAAGTCTTGGTTGATGATACTCTTTTGATGAGAACTCTGGGATAATGAGAAAATTTCAGTTGATCACAAGAATTATTTCAGCCCTCTTCCCCGAGCAACACATGTGTCAAAACCAATTCCACCTGAGAAACGCTCCCGTGTGGAAAGAAAAATAACCAGACTGGTCAGTTCACTGCATCAGATGAGCATTACTTGCGCCTCATCTCACTCAAACTGCGTTGGTATTCAGCCTTTAGTGGCAGCACTTCATCTGCCCGACATGCATTGACCAGACAAAGATTGTTCGACAATTCGCAAGCCAGATCGGGCATAAATTGCTCAGTTCCCCGAATGAAACGATCTTCCTAATCATATGCCCACGAGCAGCAGCAACTAGCCTGCTCATTCCCATGCGTGCGGGGTCTGATGAAATCTCGATCGAATACATGCTTTCATAGATTATTCGAACGGCAGCCGCTAGGCACCTGCCGGTAGTCAAAGGGGTAACCTGGATCCCATCGAGGCAAGGCAAGAAACAGGCTTTCATTTGGGTCACTGCCAGGCTTTGGAGGTCATCGATACGATAATAAGGGGCGAATGAGTAGACTTTCGCGTGGAGTAATATAGCTTGTCTGATATCACTTGGCTCGTGCAAGTCGAATCCATCCTTGATATTCACTTAAGGGGTCTGTTCAGGTAGATACTCCATGATTGATATCTTGACAGGCATGTATTTGTCTTCTATAAAACACAGCTTTCGGTCTGCTATGCTCCTTGGAGGAAGCATTAGCTTTCAGTAAGATGGTTCAGTTAAAACAAAATTCAACCTCCATAAATATCACTTCGATGGAGTAAGCTTCTACCTAACTCCAATTTTACGCGCTCCAAGGACAGATTCTTTGAGCAGTACACACTGAGCTTGGAAATAGGATTTCCATCTGATACTGTATATGCATTGATGTCGTTCAAAAAGGAGTTTGTGAGGCAACAAACTTTAAATTTGTAATAGCCATAATTTCAATCTCCTCCCCTTAAAAACACGCAAATGGAAACAAGGTAGCTCATGGGTAAAAGTCACTCAAGGGAAGGTGTCTTGGATGCAAGGAGCCAGGCTTGTCAGTCCCATTTCAGCAAATGCGAGCATGATCTGTATTTCATAGGGAGACTCAGTTGAAAGGTTTTTACTTCTTTCAAAAGAAGTTCGTGATCAGCCTTCACGCGCTGAATTTGGCGGAGCCGAAACCCATTGACCAACAAGATAGTTGCCGACGATTCGCAAGCTAAATCTGTCATAAAATCTATATTCACCCCACATATAGCAATTCTCTTGATCAAATGTCTGAGATAACTAGCAACAAACTTGCATATCCTTTTGCGGGCGCGATTTGGTGATTCATCAGATGAAGGCGTGCTTTCATAGATTGTTCGAATTGCGGCTGCTAGACAGCTGGCAGTTGCATCAGGTTTGGATCTGCTCTCATCGATGCAGGGCTCGAAACAGTCTTCCAGTTGTGATAAAGCCAAGCTTTCAAGGCCCTCAACAAGGTACCTATGACCAAATGAATAAACCTTGGCATGTAGTAATATGGCCTCTCCTAAGGTGCTTTCGTCATTTCCATGGCCTTGACATTTGACATATTAGCAGGTGCCTTGATAAGCCGAAGCACGTAGAAAACGATGGGGATGTCAAACCGGCTTTAGCGACAGAGTGCGCTGTTTCCGACTGTTCATGCACCGAGCCGACGGTGAAAGGTTTAGCCATATGAGGATTAGAAATTTCTTGTGAAAAAACAATGTCTGGCAGAGACTGTTCAAGCAAAGCATCTTGACTAGACTGTATCTCGGCACTAGTACGTTTTGTGCTTCGAGGGGGTGGCTGCCCTGGAACATCATACACTCCGCCATAGCAAAACCTTAACACACAGTCGATAGTGCGTTCATCAAAGTCGGTCCAGTCAATGACACCTTGTCCGGAGTTCTTCCATGGCTCGCTCACTCTAGCTGCCAGTGCAGATGAGCCTTGTCTCAAGACAGCGGGTTGGAGATAGAACACCTTTTTATGTTCTCCGACCATAGCCTTCCATGGGATCTCTGTGAAGATGCTTTTCGGCTGTCAGTATTATTTCGGGACCATAGCGATACATATTTGAAGTTGGACTGTATTTATACCTTTCAAAGGGTGTCTGCTGTGGACACATCCTGGAAACAAGTGAGCTTCGGTCAATTTCTTGAGATTTGTTGGAATTGAAAAGAAGGGATAGGGATGGCCATATGAAGAAGAAAATATTCACGTAAATTATCAGTGTTGGGCGCACAACGGTTGTACATGGTTGCTTCATGTTGTACATATTTCGACACTGCTACGTAGCTGATAAAAGATAAATTTATTGAAATATGATTTCATTGACTATCATGTAAGAAATTCCGTCGTTAAGATCACTAACTCCGCTCAGCCAATCTCGACAGATGGCAAAAGTTTATAAAGCACAACCCAAGGTCGGGGGGAAATCAAGACATATCCAACGCTCGTCCCGAAACAAGCGGCAGACGTCGGCAATGATCTAAAGATCAGTACCAAGTAAAAGCAGCACGCCATGCAAATGACTCATTCATCCTGTCTGGGAGAACAAGAAACAAGGAGAAGAAGAAATTTTGAAAACACCACTCAGATCAGAACACTTAGATCTTAGGAGCAGCAGCCAGGACATCAGGGGTAGCCTCGTCGGAGTACTTCTTGAAGTTCTCGTTGAAGAGGCCAGCGAGCTTGGTGACCTCATCCTTGAAGGAGGTGGAGGCAGTCCAGCTCTTCTCGGGGTTGAGGAGCTCGCTGGGAACACCGGCGCAGGAGGTGGGGACGTGCAGGTTGAAGGTAGCGTAGGTCTCGTAGTCGGCCTTGGCGAGCTCGCCGTTGTGGATGGAGTCCAGGATGGCACGGGTGTACTTGAGCGGGCAACGCTTGCCGCCGGTGGTGGCGCCAGCGCCAACCCAGCCGGTGTTGAGGAGCCAGGCGTTGACCTTGTGCTCCTTCATCTTCTCGGCGAGCATGCTGGCGTAGCGCATGGGGTGAAGAGCCAGGAAGGGCTGAGCGAAGCAAGAAGAGAAGGTAGCCTGGGGCTCGGTGACACCGTCCTCGGTACCGGCCATCTTGGAGGTGTAGCCGGAGATGAAGTGGAACATAGTCTGCTCGGGGGTGAGCTTGGAGATAGGGGGCAGAACACCACGGGCATCACAGGTGAGAAGGATGATGTTGGTGGGGTGGTTGTCGCTCTTGCAGGGAATCTTGGCGTTGTCGATGTACTCAATGGGGTAGGCGCAACGGGTGTTCTCGGTGAGAGTGACATCGTCGTAGTCGACGACACGGGAGATGGGGTCAAAGACAGTGTTCTCGAGGACGGATCCGAAGCGGATAGCGTTGTAAATATCGGGCTCCTTCTCGGCGGAGAGACCAATGCACTTGGCGTAGCAACCACCCTCAATGTTGAAGACACCGGTGTCGGTCCAGCAGTGCTCGTCATCACCGATGAGCTTGCGCTTGGGGTCAGCAGACAAGGTGGTCTTGCCAGTACCGGACAAACCGAAGAAGACAGTGACATCGCCGTTCTCACCCTCGTTGGCAGAGGAGTGGAGGGTCAGGACGTTGTGCTTAACGGGCATCTCGTAGAACAGAACGGTGAAGACACCCTTCTTCATCTCACCAGCGTACTCGGTACCAAGGATCACCATCTCCTTGTCGGCGAAGTTAATGGCAACGGAGGTGGCGGAGGTCATACCCTCAGTGAAGCGGTTGGCGGGGAAAGAACCAGCGTTGTAGATGACATAGTCGGGGTGGAAGTGCTCGAGCTCCTCACGGCTGGGGCGGATCAGCATGTTGCGCATGAAGAGGGCGTGGTAGGCACGAGCGCAGACTACGCGAACGCTGATGCGGTAGCGCTCATCCCAGCCGGCGTAACCATCGATAACATAGATGCGGTTGCGGGTGTTAAGGTAGTCGACAGCACGCTCACGGTTAATACGCCAGACCTGTTCGAAGTATGTCAGTCACCAGTACTGTGTATGACGTCATGCACGTGAGAGCCTCGGCAACGAGGGCGGGGAATGCAGAGCCGCAATTGAAAGCCGAGATGCAGATTGGGAGGCAAAATTGCGCAAAGGGGGGTTGTCTCTCAGATGGACGGATTTGAGAGATGCTTCGGTAGAGACGGCACCCCGAAGGGGTTGCACAAACTGCTGCCAGAAAAGCTTGACCATCCGATGCATATGCAAGGGAGGAAAGTGGATCTGATCGGTCCAATATGCAAGGATATGCTCCAACAACAAGGAATATGCAGTAAAATCGCGCACACAAAGCAAAATAAATCACTCACATCAAGAGTCATGGGCTTGTTGACGGGTCCCCACCAGATATCGCCTTCTGAAGAGGCTTCTTGGACGATACGCTTATCGGAGGGGGAACGACCAGTCTTAGCACCAGAGTAGGCACTCAGAGCACCGCTAGAGGTAACAGCACTACCAGTCTCGTAGACGAGAGCATCTTCGTAGAGGGCAGGAACGGAGGGGTTGGCAATCTAAATGATATTAGTCGAAGGACAAGCAAGACATCACCAGATATCTCATAGAGACAGTAATCGAATATCTGGTATGAAGGTGGTTTCTTACAATTGCGACACGGTCATAGTCAATGTGAGCAGTCTCGTGGAGCTCTTCCTCGAGCTCGGTGTGACCCTTACCAGGCCTGAAGACAGTTAGCAACGATGAGGTATAGGACGATGAGGTAGAAGGGAACATACTGAACACCACCGGGGTGCAGCGCGGTGCGGTTTACTGATGTGGCAACCATGTTTCTGAGTGAAGTAGAATGATAGTTATTGTTGCGTTGTTTCGCAATTTGCTGTGAAGAGAAATCTGTAGCCAAAGGACCTGGAGAGCTGGAGCGATCGAGGGGTATATAATTCTTTCCGGCAGGGGCCATAGTCGCAATTCGGTCTTGGTATGAAGGAGGTTCTCGTGAAGTTTCCGTAGTGTTTCTCCACAGTTCCACGGGTGATGTCGGGGTGTAGGGCCGAGCTGAAGCGTACACGCGGTTGGTGATGGATGAATGTTGCCGTGGGTTGCAAATGCCTTGAGGCGCAGTCCGAGTTGACCCGAAATGGTTCAAAGTGGACACGAAATGGGATCGGAACTATTGGTGTTCTAGTCCGAGCAGACAAAATGCGGGAATAATTGGAAACAATTGTTTCAAAAATAACTCGTAGTAATTTTGAGAGGGGAGTTTAGAAAGAGAAGTTCGTGAGGTTTGAAAGATCTCTTTTTATGCTTGTCTATGACGGTTGCGGCAAACTTCCCATTCTACCTTTTCTTGTACGATTTCGTCAATCATTTACTAAATAGTCTACAAAATCATAAACTTGAGTCTATTCTCCAAAGTCTAGATAATTTCATAATTTGCCTCAGCCACGGACGAGAGGAATGACGCACAATGACTTCACTATACCAATATAGTATATACTTCATTATTTCTTGTGAACTAGAAAATCGCGGGGAGCTGACGTAATCTGTCGATCCACGACATTATCGGGAACATCAATTCTCGACTTCACGATACTTTCTCTTTCTTTTGTTCGGCTTCATGCAACCCGAATTGATATCGGAATGTGTTGCCCGTGGGAAAAAAAAATATAATGAAATTTTCCCATCTCAACCCGAATGACGAAACGCTCGGCTGAAAAGTCGGAACAGTGTGTCTAAGAGCAGGATTCAGCAGCAAATAACGGCGTTTAACCAACCGAGGATGATGCACCTGCATCCATCGATCGCGGCGGTGGGGACCAATCAGAAGCCATACATTTCCATTTCCCAGGATGGTCGGGTGGGCAGAAGATATTACCGCTGGGGCCTAGGGCCTATTTTCGCTGGTCGACGATAATTCTCGTCGTCGTTGTGCAATAAGATCAACGCTAGACTCCGAGCGGTGGTACCTGGGTTTCATACCCCAATATGCATGCCTCAGAGCCAACCATGCATATTGTCCACATTACGTGTGAAATCCATGGCCTCGACCCTTTCGATGTGGATTGACTCCATAACGTGGTATAGGGGCGGTCTGCCTTGATTGTTCTAATGCCTCTGAATGGACTTTCTTGCCGGGTCACCGTCGGTCGCGATCGCCACTCGGGATGTGCTACAACTGTGGCTTGTGCGATCACAGTCAACCCCAGATCCTTCTCCCCGTGGTTAGCGGCGGATCCCGAACCGGCTACGGCCTCGGGAACGTGAGCTTTTTTTTGTTCAAATTCTAGTCGGCTATCGTGAAACAATGAATTATTTTTGCGCGATTTTGTCTCATTACGTAGCGACTTCTATTTTCAAATACCCTGCTGATCATTTTCAATTTTTCAGCCTTGCGCGTGACATGAATGCCAGCGTAAAAGGTATGTGACAGAGTTGAGGCTTTTATTTTCGCAGCCTGAAGGAGTAAGGGCTGGTGGAGAAGAGGAGTACGCCCCTGTTCTCTCTCCGCAAACATAAAAGGGGCATGGCGAAACATACCCCGTGATCTTGAATTATTGAATTATTGAGTCTATTCGCAGACCCTGGCTGGAACTTCGCTTTGCCCTTTTTTCGTCCCGTTGTATTTTCTTCTTTCTCCCCGTTATCTTACCCGGATCAACATTCACCAGCATGAACATATTCGGTCCCTGATGATAACCACAGCCAATCATTTCCAAAACTTAGCTTCCTAAATTACCCGTTGTGATATGCTCCTTGTCTATTATTCGAGTCTACCTATCATCTACATGTCTGCCCAACCAGTGCCGGCGGTTTGAAAACGGCCTGGGCCGATACGTTTCTAAGGGAGTACAGAGATCGACTCATCTCCTATTTTCTCCGAGGCCGACTCCAGGCGCGGTCGGCTGCACGTCATTCTTGGCAATCCCACGGCTAGTCACAACAGTTAACGTGACTACAGTACGACGGTAGTTACCTACTGGATACCATCTCGGATCCCATGACTCATGGCATTGGGCAGAATTGCTCAGACCCTTATCCCTTTTGGTTGACATGCACTTCTTGGCGTCTTGGCTTTTATCTGGGGAAATTGTCGCGTGGTCTCGTCCCCTAGCTCTAACTGCGGATGCGGGGTATACAGGGTGAGCTGTCGACGACAGAGGTCACCTTTATACTTTCTTTTTGTAGATTCCATAGAGAAGGAAGGCTCTATCCAATGCAAATTAGATTGAATCTCTTGATATGTTGGTTGGTTTGATCAACTACTTTCTGATTTCTGATGTTAAACCTTGGAAGTGGGGTGTAAAAATATATGTTGGAGTCTTGTCATAGTGGAAAATGTTGTGATGCGTAATAATGATCATTCGATGATCATCACTAGCTAACTAGCTGCTAAATGTATACTGATGAATCACAACCTGAAACTGTCAAATTACGTTTCACAGGAAGATCGTACTCACCTACAGTGTGCCATACAAAATGCCCTACAGGAATGACACCACGGGATCGGGCGGCAGAGAGTCCGAAGTTTTCACTCCATTTCAACTAGTCCAAATCCAAGCACTGATAGAGCATTATTTTGCCCAACACAGGCTAGGCCCACCTGGACAAGCACGATCAAGACAAACCGTCCGTGTGGATACATCGTGGAAACCAGCCGACATTGGCTATTTCGATCCTGGCCTGCCCGACACAAGCGACGGGTCATATCTGTTAAACAACATCACCTATTACACGAACGTCGAAGTCTTTCTAGACAGAATTCGTGATATATCTAGTCTAAAGCCTCCAGAAATCGTCAGCACAAAGCTTCACTCCTGCCTGAAAGGCGCTGCTCTTTGTTGGTACACCCATGAATTGCCTCGCGATGCCCAGAGGCTGCTAGGGCTACAGCCCCTCGAGGAAGGCTGGTTCAAGTCTCTGGCTACTCAGTTCAAACCTAGCCGGGCTGAGTCACTCCAATTGCTGGAAACAACAAAATATACCCGGGAAAAAGTGCAAGCTGGGCAGACCCCCCAACAGTACGCCCAGAAGATGTTCCGCCTGTTGAGGTCGACGGGCACATCGAATTTCCACGATCAAATTCTGAAAATTTTATCCAATATCGAACCCTCACTGGCCCGGGATATCGGTGGAATCTCAGGAGACTTCTCCGCAGACTCGTTCATGGCCATGCTGAATTACCATTACCGCAGCTGGAAGCGCCAAGCAGACGAGAGACGCTATCAAGATGCTGGTGGGCAGTCAGTTTTGAACTGGCCAACACAGTTTATTCAGATCGACGTCAGAGGTAGCTAGTTAATCGTCCGGGTGATAGAGTTGATAATTGAACGATGAAGATTGTGGTGGTGGTGATGAAAATTTAATGGGTTGATGGCAATGGTAAAACACTGACTACCGTATAGCGTATAGCTATCTAGTCGACAGGTGGAGGGCCTTTGCTGTCCAAAATATTTCAATTAGCCCAGAGTGTTCCTTTGGCTCAAGACATGCAACCAGTCTGTTACAGTGGGAAATGGTATGAAGCGTGATGATTATCATTAGTGACTAGCTAATTAGTTGCAAAATATATGATGGCTAGTCGTACTGAGGACTTTCAAAGTCAATTCATTATTTACCAGCCGATGAATGCAAAAGATGGAATCTCCGTCGACGAGTATGATGATTCGCAACGTGCCGTCCGCTGGTGGAATCGCGGTCATCAAAATGTGATTAAACAGGAGCATTGCGAGAAAGCGGTCTCTCATCTGAAGTCTGAACCAGCATAAAGTGCCTTGGTCTCCCTCAGAAGCTTCGGGCACATCGCAGCTGTTACTCCAATTTTATTGACGAGTGAAAAGAAGAGCGTGATTGCCACTGGCTTCTTCTCTGACTCCATTTCTAACATGTTTTGCATGAAAACATTCATTCTTTCTCACGTATTCTATGCTGGTGACCCCCAAACCGAGCTTAATTCACCCACAATAAACTTCTTTGAATGGGATGTCATTGATTGAGTCTTATAAAATCCTCATCTTATCGTCATCTCCCATCATAACCCAGACATCCCACAGTAGATGTGTCCAACATGTCATCCAACCGTGAAATGCGTCTAACGAATCCACAATCGGAAATGCTTCAAGAATCTTCACACATCGTGATTCATAACCATCTTTCTCAGCGTCTTCCATCAATCCATCTCTCAGCGTTTGCGGAGATTCTTCATCAACCATTATGCACATTCGAAATTTGTTCCAGTAGTCACGCTTGCCTTGAGCATCCACCCACGTCTCAAAATGAGTGCAAATTGTCGAGAGAGACGCCCCGTCAAATTTTGCGTGATCTTTCACGATTGTCGACCGATATTTGGCCCAGCTTTGATCACTGTTTTCATCCACAAGTCTATACCACGATTCTGCGAAGGTTTCTCTTTTTATGCCCGCCCCAATGTATTTCACAGCATGTGGGAATGTAGTATCGGATTCAGCAGTGTAGGTGGTTCGACAGATGAATATTCCCAGCCCGGGAGGTCTATGATTGCGGGTAGCTGATCGCAGGCTGTTTGAGGTGCGATTGTTTGAAATTTGGCCTGGTAGGGTTTGCGAGGGGAGAAGGGATTGAGTAGATGAGGATGGAAAACCCCGAGCTCCGACATGCCCAGGGGCCTAGATGTCATGGCCAACTGAGTTTGCCTTGTTCGGGAAGCTTCTAGGTACCTATGTAGTTACTACTGCCATTGGAGCCCTGGTAGACTTAGGTCCGTCTCAATTCAGTTCCTGTACGGAAGATTTTCTGGAACTCACCGTCAATTGGCGTTGTGGTGTAATAGAGTAAGTTTCCAGCCTGGAAGAAGAAAAGTATGTAGAGATCTAAAGAGTGTCAATTGTCTCCCCATCTATCCAGGGAATTGAAGCGTATTTATCCATCCTCTTCTTCCTGGTATGTGGCTCTATGCAGAATTGCATATAGAGTTAAAGAATCGAGACAAGCTAGATTTATTAATCAATAAATCATCAATATGTCTGTCCTTGCCTTCAATAGACCAATCCTATTTGTATCTCAAGCTTCTTTTGATTCATTTCACGTAAATTTAAAACCCGAAAGAACAACCCAGCCACAATAACTAATACAAAATAACCTCATCCTTATTAGCCCCAGCCTCAACCCACCCACCAAGCAATTTCCGCGCAACACCCGCCACAAGCTGTGGGTAGTTGGGAGGGGGAACGGCACCAGGAGGCGGCTTGCGGCTCGGGTCGCCAGCGATCCAAATAACAGCTTCAGGCGACGTACCAGCGACCTTCTCGCGCAGTGCCTCGATATCCTCTAGGTCAAACCCGCGACCGAAGATGATTGCCCGCACGGGACGGCTGTAGTCTTTTGTGCCGACGTCATTGGTATGTTTGGATTTGGGGTCGTTGCCGGCGAGCAGATGGGGGATTTCTGCCTGGGCTGCTTCGAGACTTTGGATGAAGTGGATCACTAATTTAATGTTAGGAAATTTTTGGTTTGCTTCGATGGAGGGAGAGTTTTAAGCTCGTTTTGAATTTCGCAACTTGGGTGTAGGAATGAAGCTTGACTTACCTTCAAATTCGGGGAGCAGGAGCTCGGAGACTGGCTTGCCGATTTGGTCGTCTAGGGCGCAAACGACAATTGGAAGAGGGGAAGACATTATGAAGATGTTAAGGGAGTAGATTTAGTGGTAATTATTGAGAAGATCCACAGATGAATTTACTTTGTAGCCCTGGAGTTCTGTCCCTTTTTATCTACAAGCTCGGAGTCCGGCCTACTCTATGCGGCTCACAAATGGAGACAAAGGAAACACGCACTATTTAGTTTTGGGCTTAGCGTCATATGCAGCTTATGGAAATCCTTTTTTGATCGCATAAGAGATTATCTCTGGCATTGCTATATGAGGTTTGAATGAAGATGCATAGTAGTAGGGCTATTGCTGTATTGTTGAAGAGGTTCCACGGCTCTCAGTTTCGTCTATGCCGTCATACATCGACAACTTGCACCTTTAGTGAACAACGGCTTTCTTTCCCTATTCTAGAGTGTTTAGTGACCACCCAATGGCATCATTCATCAACAATAAAGAAAAGCCTCTGTGAATACTTCCAAGGAGAAAAATTCATTGGTCTCAGTGAGCGAGGCCCAAAATGCCATCCAACCCGCAGTCCCCGTCGCGATCTACCCTCTTAAAAAAGGCATCACGCTACCGCATGCTTTCAGCCCTTCTATCCATACTGGACAGATATTTCTCCTGGCCTCTCCCCCCAAGACCAAAGCTTGAGATCGCCATCCCCTCCAAAATTAGCAAATGCCCTGGTCCAATAGACCTCCACATCTTCACCGCACCTTCAAACCCCCTCTGTCCCCGAAACCAAACTGCCCAACCCCCCCCTCGCCCAGTACTAATCAACTTCCACGGCGGCGGTTTCTCAATCGGCCACGCACAGGACGACTCCCACTGGACCGGCGCCGTGCTAAAAGCCTATCCAGACGCCGTGGTCGTAAGCGTCAACTACCGCCTGGCCCCAGAACACCCCTTCCCGGTTGCGCTGCAAGACGGCGTCGACGCCATCCTCTGGCTCTGGGGACAGGCGGAGAAATACAACCTCGACAAAACGCGCTTCGGCCTGAGCGGCTTCAGCGCAGGCGGGAATCTTGCCTTGACCGTGCCGTTCAGGCTGTATGAAGAGCTGCAGACGCAGCGCTGGGCGTCGAAAGGGAAGATAGATCTCGCTGGTCTGGTTGCTTTCTATCCGAGTGTGGATTGGACGCGCTCGCTCCCCGAACGGGATGCTACTGATCCGGCTTCAGAGGAGAAATCTTTAATTTCGCCTTCTATGTTCAAGTTCTTTGGTGATTCCTATCTTCACCACGCGGACCTGCCGAAATTACCTGGTACGGATAGAGTCGACATGTCCCATCCGTACTTGTCGCCTGGTTTAGCGCCTGGGTCGCTTTTGCAGGCGGCTTACCCGCCTGCTGTTGCTGTTTATACTTGTGGGTTGGATCAGTTGCTTGTTGAGGGGAACACTTTCCGTGAGAGGCTTGGTGGGTTTGTTCAGGAAGGAAAGATGGCGAGTGTGGGTGGGTATATGGTTGAAGAGAAGATTCATGGGTTTGATAAGAAGCCTTCGTTTTGGAGAAAGAATCGGGCTAGAGATATGATGTATGGGGATGCTGTTGGTCAGTTGAAGGTTATGTGGAAGATTGATTGAGTCAAGTCTGAGTTTGATACAAAGACATAGGCAACTGGTCTGGTTGTTGACTTTGTTGGAACTTTTGGCATTCGACCCCTGCCCCAACATTGGAATATACATTTACACATCAATGTATCCTTGCAACCCTATTTCCTTTCATAGGTGTGTCACAAGCCTTTCAGCAGTGACCCTACAGAGCGGGGCACCAGTCAGGCGGGGTACAAAAGTCAGCAATTTTCGCGCCCAACGTTGTTTACTTCCTTTCTCCCACTTCAAACATTCAAATATTATTAAAAGGTATGCAAGTACAACATATATACTCTCCGTAATGGGGACCTGGGTGGTTAGTTACTAATCCTCTTGCAGACTCGGTCCCCGATCTACATCTACTATCAAAATGGGACACCCTGCATGCCCTAAGTGTGGTGCCGCCTCTGCCAGCACTGACAAGAGCTGCGGTTCATGCGGTGCTGTATGTCTACACTTGGATTTTCTCTAATATCATGCGATATGATACTGACTGAATACAGACCTGCCCCGTTTAAATCCTTCCTTCTCACACGGGGTGATGTGTACTCGGTGGAGTTGGGTCTGTTTGCGAATTACCCAGGGTACGGACAGAGAGCAGCGCACAGTCATGAATGGCTATTGGATATGTTCATAGCAGGATATGAAGATCACGGAAATGAAACGCAATTTGTTAAAAAAAAGTAAAAGTGCGATTGTTATGTACCAGAACAAAAGAAACGGCATGTAGACATTCCTTGGAATAAAAAGAATACAAGTCTGTTCACAGACAAGAAACGCAACCAACTGGATATAAAGTGCGTAGTCAGAATATCTCCTCGCCTCGGTCTCCCATTTCCCCAGCCAGCACCAAGACCCGAGACTGCACAGCCACCCCAACAGCAGATCGACAAGATTCAAGGTGGTAGCCCCAACCAGAAACTTGTCCTCAGATGCTTTCACATCCTATGTCATCTCCAAGCTCAACCGCACTTAAGCAGTCTTGCGCCACTGGGACCAGACACCAATCAAACTGCTAACGGTACCAGAGATACCGACGATACCATCATCAAGGTTCAAGATACCGACAGCAGACAAGGGCGCAGCCAGATCGCAAACATCAGAGAGCAACTGTATCCGAGCAGCAGAGCGTTCCCTAAGGAAATCATTAGCATCCATCACATCCATAACACCTAGATCAAGACCAAAACCATACTTCTCAATCTTCTTAGCCTCAACAACGCCCTCGCCTTCCTTGCGATCAATAGTCTTCTCCTTCTCTTGCAACCTCACAAGAGTATAGATACCAGCAACAGTGCTGAAAATCAATCCCGCCGCCCAAGAGCGGTACGCCGCGTCCTGCAGTCTCTTCGCGGAAGCCAGCTTCCGAATGCCGATCGCATCGATAACAGTCACCGCGTCGAGCGTCAGGTAACCCGCGTAGCCGAGCTGGCGTCCGACGGCCAGATAGCGCAGGACGGGGTCGACGGGGCCCTTGTTGTCCAGCGCGATGGCAGCTGCCTTGAGGTGCTCGAGGAATTTGCCGATCCGCATGATCTTGCGGGTCGTGCCGAATTGCTTCTTCACGGCATTGTACGGGTCAATTGCGGACTGGGGCTTGTTCGTGCGGTACAGGTACCAGGCGTAGAAGCGGGAGAAATATTGCACTGTGCGGAGGATCTTGTCTCGGCCGACTGTGGTGAAGTAATGTTAGCTCGTGTGTGAGGAAGAGGAGGCCTCGTGCAGAGGCGGGAGGGGTTGGGTCTCGTCTGCTTGGCCGCTCGGGGTGAGCTACGGTTGCAGTGAGGAGCAAGGGATTATGTGAGGAGCTGTGAAGCTGCACAGAGAGGTACGCGGGTGTGTTGGATGGGTTCTGGGTTCTGTATGACGGTGTGTCACGTACCGGTTGTCGCGACGAAGCGCAGCCAGTGCGCCAGCGCAGGGTGGTAGACGAGAGCGTCGGCGACCATTTTGATTTGAGAAGATGGGTTGAAATTCTGTGATATAGAAAAAGAGTAACTACGTATCTTATGAAATAATGGAGAAAAGGGAGAGATCGGTAATAGAGCGCGGAAGTGCCAACCTCGGCTGAAATCGTGTTCGGCCTGTGGGGAGATCCGGAGGTATTCAATACCCGTCTTTCATTACCAACTACAGTAGTAGTACTAGGTTAGGTAGTCATACTAAATGCTTGATGCACTCTCCACTTTCTACGGCACTTGGTTGATTACTACTATGTATTTTACATGTGAGAATTTGCGTCATGGTATTTTTATATCGTCGATTTCTCTCTTCAGTTGTTCTAACATCATCTTTCACTCTTTTGTCTTTCAGATACATCTAAATCCCAATGCCGATTTCGGTCCGCCACACAATCTATCGGGATTCAATACCCGCACTAAGTAATCAGATGCATATTCGACCTGTTCGATCTATCAATAATCAATAAGACCTAGCACTTCCATCTCAACCCAACATCCGGTTCGGATTATCGGATTTGGGCAGGTTGATTCTACCAGACACCGCAACTTGGCTCTCGGGTAGATTTGAATAGCATAAAGCGCCCAAGGCTGAGCACCAAATAACAAGGGATCCAGATGCAACATAGTGACAAATAAACTGATTACCTTCACGAGAGGTGTATACGTCCGTACTACAATATCAAGGTCCCTGTATCAGAGCTACTCTCAAGGTCAAGGAAACACAAACAAGTACTTGTCGACGATACTTTCATTCTTCTCGGCGGATTGGATGGCATCAGTATAGGCATCAATAACACCATACGTCTGTAATTTACGCATAACACAAGCCTCCAAAATACCCAATGCATCCTGTTAAAGGCTATCTCTCAGCAATGTGTTAGCGAGCTCCGAGATTGATGTGGGGACCAAAGTACAAAAATGTGGATATTGTAGTACAACATTGTAAATCTGGAGTAAATCTGGGGGCGCTGATTTCTTCAGTCATTCGCCAGACCGTAAAACACGGCACTCACTGCACTACAGCTCGGCATTTCATATGACACTGTGTTATGGGTTCACTTCACTGTTTTACAGCGATTATTTTTGGCTTTCACTTCCTTCCTGCCACTCATCCCGATCGAGTCTAGTATTTTCAGTATGTCTACATCAGAGGTCAAGTCTCTTGACCTTTGAACTTTTCTGCTAGGTAAAGGCCTTGAGCTATGAGTGGCCTAGTGCGAACCCTTACAATCTCAATCTACACAGTTACCTAAGTAAAAGAACTGGTTGATAAAGCCATATCATTTCTCATTATGTGGATATTGAGGTACCACTGGAATCAATTGGATTGCAGATGAATCGGGCCATCCTCTCCACGAAAATGCATCATCCAGTCTGACCACCTGCAGATCAGACGGCTAATGCCCGTGTTCGCCTCATACATTCAGATGTTCAGATAAATAGTCGCAGGGGCATAATTCAGGGAAGGCGAGTCGCAAGGGCCAGGAAGTCGCTATCTCATCAATCGTGTCAAGGGAGCTTGGAATTACTGATCGGGCGTTGGCGCATGGGGAATTAATACCGTCGAAGCAATTAAATGGGCATTAGGCACAAAGCCGGTAGGGCGGGCAAGTGTGTGTCGCTGTCGCAAAAGGGCTTTCGAGAAAGCAACCATGTTACTCATGGTCGCGGGCGTCGCTGTGGCGGTTGGGGTTGCCCATTGTCGTGGTATCGTATCCGTTAGCCTCAAGGTAGTCGCGGAATCTGGCATCCTCGTGAGTGATGGTATCCTGGTCAAAAGTCAGTATCTTGCAAAAGTGCTATGTTTCCAGAGGCTCGTACTTGGTTAATTTGCGGCATCAGGAACAAGGCCATGAAAGCTGCCAAGATACACAGTGCGCTGGAAACCCAGAACGGATCCTGGCCCTTGCGGATCGCGTTGGGTGCGTTCTTTTGGATGATTGGGATCACATAGGTGCCCACGAAAGCCCCGATCTTGCCGAATGCGGCTGCGTAAGAGTAGTACTGGCCACGAATGGCAGTCGCGCTGGTCTTGGCAGCACAGAGACCAATGTTGTCACCGGGCCCCATCTCACCGAGAGCAGAGAAGATTCTGTTATTGATAGATTAGCACTGCACTTTGGTCAAAAATGGAGCTTTGTGTCAGACTTACCCAAATACGACAACAAAGGCCGCCACGTTCTCTGGGGTCGCAAGCCACTTGTAGCATCCGGCCATAATGAATCCTATGACTCCTTGGAGGCCCACTCCGAGGGCAAGGGTGTAGCGGGGACCAATCCAATCACTCATGAAGGCTCCAAGTGCGGAACCGGGGATGTAGAAACAGTTGATCACGGTGGCCCAGCCAAAGCTTTTCCACAGCGGGGCATGGTCGCCTAGGATAATCTTCACCCAAGCTGACGAGTAGATGGAAAAGCTGTAAGCTGAGAAGTCGTAAAGGAACCAGATAATAGAAACAACAGCCTACGGCGCATGTTAGCTGAGTCTGCACAGGCACCGCTTGACACAAAGAAGTGGAGGGTTTCTTACCAGGCGCTTCCAGTAGAATCTATATCGTTTTAGCCCCGATGTCCAACTACAGTAGAGAAAGAAGTCCGACTTACTTGATAATGAGCCAAATAGGGAATTTGTGCATGCGCTCCCGGTTGAACTCCTCGGGCTCGTTCATCTTCAATCGAAGGTACATCAAACTCAACGGGGGTATCACTCCCAGTCCCAGGGCTACACGCCAACAGGCACGCAGGTGGTCCTCAGTAAAGATTAGGACCAAAATCATGGACACAAGAGCAGCGACCACGAAGCCGAAGTCGATCTGGAAGTTCGTGAACATGATGAACCAGCGGTTACGGTGTCCAGCCTTCAGTTCTCCGGTGTTCTCTGCAGCGCCCACCGATCCAGCGGGATACTCGCCACCGATTCCAATTCCGAGGAAGAAACGATAAGCTGTCAGCGCAGCAAGCATACCGCCTATGCTTCCGCCTGCACCATAGGAACCAGCTCCGAGGGCCGCAAAGATGAACAAAATGATGGTGGAGATCATCAGGGACCACTTGCGCGACCAGTGATCACTGGTGTAGCCGAACAGGAGCATGCCAACCACTGTACCAGCGAAAACAATCGAGGAGACATTCTGCTGGGCTGTGGAATTGGTGTAGGCATCTCCATAGATTTGCTCCAGCATGGTACCAACCGGACCAATGATCTATATCCGAGTGTGTCAATAAAGTAATTTACACCAAGTCGCATTCCAATGTAGAACATGCTGCAAGTAATGGACAAGTTGGAGATGCAACGTACCTGGTTCAGGTAGCCATCGGAAAACAGACCAGCACCACATGCAATTGTGGGCCAGCTTCGTTCCCAGCGACCTTTTTGAAGAGCCTCAAGAGGGCGGAGTTCGATAGGTTGCTGCTCGAGGGGATCAAGACCCTTCTCGGAGATATCCTTGGGATAAGACTTAGACTCGGCCATTGCGGTTGTGGGAACTGGTAAGAATGCTGGGTTGTAGTCGTAGCCCCAGCTTGAGCCTCACAGAAATCGGATTAGCTTATCGACCGTTGCACGAGACCAATGCACGTTGAAGGTTAGTGTATCACCAGATCACAATGACGAGGGGCGCGTGCAGTCGACCACGTCTGAAAAGTAAAGAGAAAGAGAAAGAGACTTAGATCGAAGAAAAGTTTTGGAAAGTCGGCGAAAAATAAAGAAAGAAAAAAAAGCAGGTTTCCTCTACGGGAATAGCCTCACCCTAATGGAATGGGGGAGCGTACCAGGTACCTATCATACAGTGTTGAGGCCCGTGTCTAGCCAGGTAACGGAACATGGTGGGACCCGGTCCCCGAGCTTGAACGACCTAATCATTATCAAGAGTATCGGCTTCTTACAAGCTTGGAATATTGCAACCCTTACTAAACCAATGAAAACGGCAACAAATATCACAGATCATGCTGTGACCAATGGTAGGGGCTGACTGGGAAAATCGGTCGGGGTACGTTGCACTCAGATTCGGCCCCCCCCGAGGTTCCCCAAGTCTCTAAAATACAATATTGTATGTATGTCGGAAAGAGCATCACATCGGGAAATGTCCAGACGGCTTCCCGATTCAATAAAAATCAGACATATAGACGTAGTCAGATCCACGGGTGTCAGAGGAAAGAAAGCGTTGAGAACCTATCCCTGGGACCACGTGCGCAGTAGAGCTTGAGGTACAAATGTAAAAAAACAGAAATAGGAAATCGGTCATGCCCCACACTTACTGGAAGCACCTGCCTTGAAGAGAAGGCATTATTTAAAAGGATCAAACCTTATTAACTTTGTACGTACGTATTGTCCTTATTTTTCTACAATGGGGAGACGGATGAAATTCTCCCACACTCAGAGTTCGCTGCTAAGTTTGTTACACTTGTAAATTACTTCGAAGATCACAAACAACTATCATAGCATTCACAAGTACTTATCAACCTTAGTTTACCACTGTAGTTACCTCTGTATCAGACCTCAGCCCTATCCGAGATTATACAAGCTCTACGCTCAGGCCGTGGTTACTTGGCTTCGACCAGCCCGAAAATGCTAAAATAACCACCTCTAAAAATATGAAGTATTCCATTGGAATCAAATGAGTGCATGCGATTTTGATTCTTGGAAAGAGCTAGGTCGGGACGATTTGCGGGCAGCCGTCTGTGAGAGCACACCCGGGCACATGCCGAATACCTCCAGGGTTAATATATATTGCAAGTGTGCTATCTAATAGCCGGTGAAAACAATATGAAATTTCTACATTATGCTTCAAAGAGTTTAAAAACAGTTTATACTCAAGGCATACTGTCGCAACAAGATCAATATACAACAACCTTAGAAGCTGCAAGTTATATATGGACGATTCAAAGGACCAAAGGAGAAAAAGGGTGATAAGACATAGTTATAGAAGGCTTATACTTGGAGGTGATATTTGAAATTATCACCATACTTTCTGGACGAATTAGAGCATCGATGAATATCAGCATAGTAACAAAAAATACAATGTACTCAATCTTTGCAAATGCGACCGTTGTTCATGAAGCTCAACTTCGAAGACCAAAGAAGGGCAGACGCTCGGCTCGGAGAAACATTTTGCCAGCTGAGCTCGGGTTACGGTGATGCACCTGGCTTGATTGATCATCTCCAAACATCAGCTCCCATCACCTCCCTACCCCATCGAATTCGGTTTTTACCTCTGGCAGTCAATCTCACACATATTGTCCGCCGCCGCCATCATGGGTTCTGATCCGCAGTACATCAAGTTCCCCAACCTCTCCCTCGCTCAACATGTCTTCAACCTCTCCAACCCGGCATGCGCGTCATCCGTCCAGCAGACATCATTGAAGAAGCTTCAAGATGTCATTTCTGAACATAAGATGGCGCCTTTCTATCGGCACCTGGCCCACCCTACCGAAGGCATTTTGAACAACGCCGGCGAAGGCGTAACACAGCACCCACAAAACGCCGGAACCTCAACGAAGCCTCTCATCACCTCCAACCTTCTGGCTTCTCGCAAATCACCGCAAAAGTTCGATTTCCCCTGGGATGAGAAGTTGTACCAGTCCCTACTGGAAGACAACAAGAAAGAATTGGAGACCTTCCAGAAGGAGGAAGATGACGCAGAAGAGGCTGCTGGTGAGACCGAAGTACAAGCTGCGCGCGGGAAGCGCGCTGAATTCTGGGCTCGTGTGGGAGATAAGGTGAGTGCTATGTGTCTTGGATTCCCCGGCTTTCAAGTCCGCTAACAAACCTGGTTCAATTAGGACAAAGCCATCGAATCGCACGAAGCTCTACTGGAAAAGACTGGATTCCTGGGTACTAAGATTGATCTGGTGATGGCTATGCTCCGAATCGGTCTCTTCTTCGGCGATCTTCTGTTTGTGAACAAGACCATCGAACGGGCAGAGACCTTGGTCGAGAGTGGTGGAGACTGGGACCGCAGAAACCGTCTCAAGGCATACAAGGGATTACATTTGCTCACTATTCGCGCTTACAGCCTTGCTGCTCCTCTTCTTCTCGACAGTCTGTCTACCTTCACAAGCTACGAACTGTGCAGCTACTCTTCGTTGGTGATCTACTCGGTGCTTGCGGGATCATTGTCACTCAAGAGGGTGGACTTCAAGGCCAAGGTGGTGGATGCACCAGAGATCAAGGCTATCCTTGGCTCTGGAGAGGAACAGCTGGCTGCGCTAAGTGGAGAAATCTCCGCCGGTGCCGGTGCTCGTGACGAAGAGATGAAGGACGCGACAGCGTCTCGGTCGACCCCCGGTGGTGCTACTACCGCTGTCAACCTGACTTCATTCTCCATCGGAACTACTGCGCCAGTAGATGCCGAGCTGCCGGTTGACTTCTCCCCGCTGGCCAACCTGGTTAACAGTCTGTACAACGGCAACTACCGCTCCTTCTTTGTGGCACTGGCGGGCGTTGAGGACCAATTCCTGACACAAGACCGTTACTTGCACGAGCATCGGGCATGGTTTGTTCGTGAGATGCGTCTTCGCGCCTACCAACAACTTCTGCAGAGTTATCGTGTGGTTGGACTGAATGGTATGGCCAACGATTTCGGTGTGACAGTAGACTACTTGGACCGGTATGTGTTTTGTCCATTTCAAATAGAAAGATATTTGCTAACCACATCACAGTGATCTTGCCAAGTTCATTTCGACTAACCGTATTGCCTGCACTATTGATCGTGTTAATGGCATCATCGAAACGAATCGACCCGACGACAAGAACAAGCAGTACGCGGATGTGGTTAAGCATGGCGATTCTCTGATCACCAAGATCCAGAAATATGGACAAGCTGTGCGTCTTCGTGGGAGTGAGCGAAGCTGAAGTGGTATTTCTATGTGTCATGGGGGCATTCTGAGCCTTAGAACTACAAAGCTATGATCGACTATGTATGCCCGAATGGAGAATCTTACTTGCCGCGTGTTTCTAGCATCCACATATCAAACCCCATTCTATTGCATAATATCACCTAAATATCCATGGATGCCCAGACCATTGACTAAAAGTCGATCCTTGGCCCCCCGCATCGGGCGGCGCCGGACAATAATAGAGTCAAAATCGGGCAACCGCTAGACTCTCCGAGGGGAAACAATAGTCGGGGGCTAAACCCGATTGTCATGCACGAATAGACTCTATCACATATCTTACATATAAACATATGTACGCAGTAATCCTTATCATCGGGTCAAGTTTCTGAATTCACCGAAATCCTCATGGATACAAGTACAATATTTTTGTAGAGGCGCAATATACGCCGTAGCCTCGATATCTGAATATCCTTATCGTAATCGGCCACCGGTGTGGGGAAAAAGTGCTGACTCACAGTTCTCACCGCCCAATGGCCAAGGCCCTGTACAGTATTTTTTTTCCTTCTTCTTCCGGTTGCGAAAACGGACAATCATACAGGGGTTCGTGTTTTGAGGGACTTTTGTTGATCAATCTGATTTTCGATTGACCATTTATAATAAAAAAATGTCCTGGCAATATAAGCTCGCATCCAACGTGCGGGCGCCTCCGCTACGGGCACTGACCCGGCCTAATGGCCTCCTATATCGCCCGGCCGCCCGCGGCCCTGCGGGGAGTCTCTCCGCTTGGTCAGGTACGTGCAATCAACCCGGCATTATATAGATTGAGGGGGGATCCGCAATCCCATGGGGCCTGAAGTCTCACGTCATTGTACTGTGTGATCAACTCTTTGTGTCTCTCATATCTATTCATTTTTGGTTGTGATTCCAACTACGGCCACAAATATTTCTCCAACTATCGGGGAAACCAAAACCACTATTTTGAACCTCACTAATCCCTTTGGGTCAATCCAGAGCCCATCATGACTCAAACCACCGTCTCGTACACCGCTAAGCGCACTCTGTCGGCCGTTCAGACCCGCAAGTGCCTCAACCTCGACAACATCAACCAGAACGTTCGGGAGGCTAAGTATGCTGTGCGCGGTGAACTGGCCGTCAAGGCCGAGGACTACCGTCAGCGCTTGATTGATGGCGACAAGTCCCTGCCCTTCGATAGTGTCATTTTCGCCAACATCGGTAACCCTCAACAACTCGACCAAAAGCCCATCACCTTCTTCCGCCAGGTCCTCAGTCTCGTTGAGAACCCGTTGTTGTTGCAGAACCCCGAGGTCCTCAAGACTTCGTTCGGATACAAGCAGGATGTGATCGACCGCGCCCAAGCCCTTTTGGCTAATGTTCAGAGTGTCGGTGCCTACAGTCACAGTCAGGGTGCCCCCGGCATCCGGAACAGCGTTGCCAAGTTCATCGAGGACCGTGACGGGTTCCCCGCCAACCCCCAAGACCTCTTCTTGACCGCCGGTGCTTCGTCTGGTGTTAGCACCCTCCTCAACGTCATCTGCAACAGCCCCAGTGCCGGTGTTCTGGTTCCCATCCCTCAGTACCCTCTCTACACTGCAACTCTCTCATTGCTGAACGCCCGCTGTGTCCCTTACCTCCTCGAGGAGGAGAAGGCCTGGGGTACCGATGTAAATGCGATCCTCAAGTCTATTGAGGACGCCAAGAGTGCCGGCACCGACGTGCGCGCCGTGGTCGTGATCAACCCCGGCAACCCAACTGGAGCCTCTCTGAGCGCGGATGACATCAAGAAGGTTCTTGATGTCGCCGCTGAGGAGAGCCTCGTTGTGATTGCCGACGAGGTTTATCAGACTAACGTCTTCAAGGGCGAATTTGTGTCCTTCAAGAAGCGCCTGCGCCAGCTTCAGAAGGAGCAGCCCGGCAAGTACGATGATGTTGAGCTGGTCTCGCTGCACAGTATCTCTAAGGGTATGGTCGGCGAGTGTGGCCACCGCGGTGGTTACTTCGAGCTTGTTGGCTTCGAGCCTCTCGTCCAGGAACAGATCTACAAACTCGTCAGCATTGGTCTGTGCCCGCCGGTCGTCGCACAGTGCCTGCTCGAGTGCATGGTCAACCCTCCCCGCGAAGGCGAGCCCAGCTTCGACCTCTACAACAAGGAGTACACTGGTATTTCCGAAGGTTTACGCAAGCGTGCTCTCTCCTTGTTCAACGCCTTCCAGCGCATGGAGGGCGTTGAGTGCCAGGAGCCTCAGGTATGTTACACGTGAATCTCTTCAGCTGTTGTACTGTATACTAATTGTTTCATCAGGGTGCCATGTACCTTTTCCCCACCATCAACCTCTCCCCTAAGGCTGTTGAAGCCGCCAAGGCCGAGGGCCGAGCCGCGGATGAGTTCTACTCCCTAGCTCTGCTCGACGCTACCGGTGTCTGCGTCGTCCCTGGCTCAGGCTTCGGCCAGAAAGAGAACACCCTCCACTTCCGCACTACCTTCCTTGCTCCCGGCACCGACTGGGTGGAACGCATCGTCAAGTTCCACTCCGAGTTCATGGACAAGTACCGCTAAACTTGTATAAACGCGAAACAAAACACTATACGAATATATGAATCGCCCAATCATTGCCATCTTCGCAGTTGGAGATGAGGCGCCATAGCATTTATTACCCGTTGGATTTCTTTTTGGACATGGAAGTGGATTTGACTCGCTCTCGATACCTCCCTCATAGACTACTGACTCTATTATCGGCCTTGCCGTTTTCAATGCTACTTTTGTGCACTCCTTTGGTACCGTTTATGCTTCGAATCTTCGGCAGTGATATACATATATATACCACGTTTGTCTCAGGGCTTATTTGCAATGTTCTTCCTGTCTCATGTACGAGCTGTGTATTTCGGTTGCCATTTCTATAGGATCCAATCTACTTTCCTGTCTATATGCTCCCGTCCGACGGTTGAACTACTAGCGTGCTGCGATTGATGCAAGATAGCTTCTCATCTCTCATGGCTCTTTCCTAAAAAAAATAGCCTTCTCGGGTAAGTCGTTTATAATGGAGTTATCTCCGATACCTCTGACGCCCGCCCCCTTTTTGTGTTTCACCGTGAAACGTTTTCGTTACCCACTGCAATATTGCGTGTCGATCAATTGCATATCCTGTTAGTTTCCTCTGGGCAATTGGCCAGTGCTGGCGTTATTTCTCCGCTACAATATATTTACACACCAAAGGCAATATTTTTACACATTAAAGGCAATGGATTCTGAATGCATGATAAGTAGACAATACCCTCTGTCAATTCGCATCTCCGAGTCTTGCCTTAAAACTTCACCCCCAGTCATTCAATTATGTTGCACAGAATGCGCAATATCATTTCAATTCTCATCTTCTCGATATCTGCTACAGCGTTCATCCACCCAGGGGCCCTCCACACCGCGCAAGATTTCTCGCGTATCAATACCTACCTCGCAAGCGAGGCCGAGCCCTATAACACAACATGGACTCTGCTCACAGCCAGTCCCTATGCCCAATCATCCTATCAGCCCAGCCCAAAGGAAACGGTATACCGAGGCTCCAACGGCGTCGACAGTGAAAACTACCCGTCCTTGTACCGGGACGCTGCAGCAGCCTACCAGCTCGCCATCCGATGGAGAATCACAAACGACACAAGCTACGCAGATGCCTCGATCAACATCCTCAGCTCATGGGCTTCCGCTCTAACAGCCATCGAAGGCACCAGCGACAAGTTCCTGGCCTCTGGTCTGTACGGATACCAAATGGCCAATGCGGCGGAGCTTATGTCTGATTACTCTGGCTGGGATGCTGGCAACAAAACAGCCACAGGAACAATGTTGACTAATGTCTTTGCATCGATGAACACGCGCTTCATGCAGGAACACAACGGCCAAGACTACTATCATTACTATGCCAATTGGGACCTGTGCAATCTCGCCTCGCTCCTTGCTATTGGTATTTTCACAGATAACCAGACCATGTACGACTACGCCCTCGACTATGTTCGCGCAGGGCCTTCGAATGGCGCCCTTCCTATCTTTGCTATTGCCAACTATACGGAGTCTGCGTCGGGTAAGATCTTGACGCAGGGACAAGAAGCTGGCCGTGACCAAGGCCATTCTACGCTAGATATGGTGTTGCTTGGTATCGTTGCTCAGCAGGCATACAACCAGGAAGATGACCTGTTCGCAGAATATAGTAATGAGATTCTCAATGCGTAGGTGACTCCTTGAGAATTCCTCATTTTCGCTAAATGCTGATGACGATCCACAGGGCTGAATATGTTGGCAAATATAACGTCGGTTACGACGTGCCCTACACCCTGTACGATAGCTACCAGGGTAACCAGACCGTCGTTTCCAACAACTCGCGCGGCGTTGTCCGTCCTGGATTCGAGCTGCTATCTGCGCACTATGGCCAGGTGAAGGGTCTCAACTCGTCCTGGACTGATTCATATCGCGACTGGGCCAATGCGAACTCTACGAGCGGCGTTGAAGGCGGTGGTGGGAATTACGGCTCAAATTCGGGCGGCTTTGATGGGCTTGGATTTGGTTCTCTACTCTATCGGATTTCATGATCTTTCTTCTCCTATGCAGATAGTGTTTTTACTGGACCAAGACTTGCTTTGCTTGTGAACCCTATATATCTATTTTGTTATCAAATACATTTGAGGTCCTAGCCTATATAGCCAAATTCTTGCTTCCATAAAAGAAAGAGACCTTGCATTTCCATCCCAGTTATTGAAAAACAGGCCACTAGCCATTTGAATGTACGCGAGTGATCTGGGGGCAGAATAGACAGGAGGGACAACAGATTGGATACTGTATAGAATCAGCCATACCGCGATCTAACCTCCGACAGAACAAGAGCAGAGCAAACCATGATGGTCACTCCAGGGTGAATTCCCTCCTGGAGATGAAGATGAAGTATGCTGAGGCTTCAGGACTTCAATGTGGCGGGTTTTGAGTCCCAGGAGAGCGACTTCGTTCATCCGCTTCGGTGGAAACGGGGCCTTCCCATCAACCCCCATGTATACCCGGGGGTTTCGTCTTCGAAATGAAGAACAGTCCAAGCATCAGCCAAACCATCTCTCTCTACAAGAGCATCATCATCATCAAGGACAGGATTGTAATCACCGGCAACTAGGAATAGAGCTAAACGTGTGTTGAAGTATTCGGGGCTAACAAATCGGACGAGAATAATAAAAAAGAGATGTAGAGAGAGCAAAGGAAACTGCATTGTGAGGAGAGCATGAAAAATTTGATGTCTATCTCTCCAGAATTCAGTACACGAAAATCTAAGCGAAGGAGTATGTACACCAGGATTACCAATAAGAACCGACCTTGTGACATAGTTGACATGCCTAGGACCTCATAAAGTAACAGTCGCTCAGTCTCTTCGTTCCAAAATGGCTTGGAAATCCTCCTTGACTGCGAGTTTCCACTCTGCTTCTCTTTGAGGAGTCCACCCAAGAGCCCTACTGCGGATCGCTTTCGACCGAGCACTAAAATTCAGTCAGCACTGATCACTGTATAGTCCAAGGTAAAACGGGGTTCACCTACTTTGAAGCAAAGCCTAACTCTCTCACTTGCAGGCTTCCATTTGCTGACCAAGTCGTCGCTTCTTCCAAGGACACATTGCGAACCCCTTCAGTGCCAATGGCCTTGAGATCATGTCCCGTGGACGCAATTCCTTGAGAGATCTCCAACCAAGTGTGCCGGCCTGTTTCCGCAAACAGCAGACCATCTTCGCCGGAGGGAATACTCTCTTCTCCACTCAGGACTTTCTCCAAGACAAGCTCGAAGAGCTCGGCTAGATCGGCAATATGGACGTGATCCCACTCACCCGCTCCATCACCTACCACCACTGCCTGGTCGTACTGCAAAGAGCGTCGAATGAGTGTCGGGATTTGAATGGACAGCTTGTTCACTGGTCCTGTGCCAATGCCAAAAATAGTAGGTGCCATGATGATGGTTGTTGGGACGCCGACTTCCATCCCACTTTCGAAGACTGCTACATCGGTTGTACGCTGTTGGTACATCTCATTGGCCTCGCGGGACTTTTGGTACTGGTAGATGTTATTGGTATCGAGAAGCTCGCTCGTCTCGAGGTAGGTCTTGCTGATAGGACGATCGCCAATGCTGGACGTTCCGGATGTCTATATCAATATATCAGTAAGCTATAGTCTTCAATCTCTGTTTGTTTGGCTTACGTGAATGAAACGAGTCTTTTGGCCTGTCTTCTTTTGTCTATCACCAAGCCCCAAAATCATGGCCCTTGCTGATCCCGTGTGAAACGCAGACGCAGTGTTTATGATGACTGGTAAAAAGCCTTGTGTTAGCTACAGAAGAACTAATCACGGAGAATTGTTAGACGTACCATCATATTCACTTGACAGCTTTCTGATGAAGTCTGTCTCATCTAGATTTTGGAATGGAATGACCCGGACACCAAACGGCTCGAATAACGGGCCTCTCTCCTCGCCTCGGATAAGGACATCGATCTGAGCATTTTGGATCTTCTCATGCCGACTGCCTTTCAGCGTAGCCAGAACCGATCCACCACTAGCATTGACGTATTAGCCAGGCCATCGAAGAGACTCAGATATTCCCGTTGGAAATTTCTCTTCCAAACTTACATGTAACCGGTTGCTCCAGTCAACAGAATCCGAGTCTGAGACATTGTTGTCAATTCTGAACAGCACAAAGAACTTGATGAGATCATTCATCTGTTCAGGACATCATCAGAGGCTTTTTATATCACACTCGGACCATTTCATACATGTCTACGGAGGAATTGGTAATCCAATGCAACTTCCAAGGCTGTTCGTCATGATCGATTGATTTCTAATCATGCGATAGATACCTATTTTATAGCGCTAAAAATTCTCGATGGTTGGACCTTCCTCATAAACAGGCGCTGAACGAAAATAGATTATGCTTATTTCTAATCAGGTGGGTCCGCGTCCAGCACACATAGTAGATCCAACCTAACAATATTCCTACAGTTCCTCACTTTTTCTCTTCGCCTACACGGTGTGATTTTCCATTATCTTGATGCGGCAAATGCATAAAGTGGTTATATAGTAAAGGAGAAAGGACAAGCCTTAGAAGCACTATAGTCACCCGTTGGTAATATTCTTTTAGCTAATATATGAGCGCTAGGCTGTTGATTTGCAAGATCAAAGAATTATTTCCCCTTCAAATGGGAGATCGCGCTCTTCTTGATGTGCCTGTTCATTCTGTTTCCTTCAGTTATCATCACGGCCCCAGAACCGTGTTGTACATCTGTCAGATCAGAGCTTGAACCAGATGAAGCGAATCCATGGATGACGGCCGGATCCAAAGTCTAGTACGGTCTGGTAACACTGTCGTTAATTAAAATCAATGCTTTTCAGTTTTCTTAGGAAGATCCCTGGATCCATATATATCACACATACTATTCCCCCCATCTGACATGTACCGTGGCACAAGAGATCCGAAGGAGCGGTGAGCTGCCCGTAGGTAAAACAAGACCATAACAAGACCATAGACATGCATGTATACCTAGTACACCAGTACTTAAGTAGAGCTACCTAGAAGCAAGATCTCACAGTATTGTTCCAGCCAATAAAAGCCCCATCCCGCCATTCCTACGTATGTACCAAACCTCGAGGCCCGAGCCCGAAGTATGTATGTATGTATGACCTAGCCTAGGTATCCAACCGTCGAACTCGTGACAAAACCAGGTGGAAAATGCATGCAAGGCGCAAAACTAGCCGCTTGCAGCAGCCCCTTTCCTTAGCTTAGCTTCGGCGTTCCCGGGCCCTCCACATCGCGTCGTCCACGCAAGACCTAATCGTACAGCATACAGCTGTCGCACCACAGACCTCAACATTGGACGAATGCGCGTCGGCCTCGCAATACAAGCCTTTACTTGCATCGTCTTGGCTAATGCTTAGCTACCTGTTGTCGATCGGCTGCAGGGGTTTCCCTGATGCATGTGAGTTACCTAGATACATCGGGATACCTATCTGGGTTAAGGATGGTACGTAGGGATATATGAGGAGCTGGTGTGAAGCTTGAAGCTGCTGGCAGTTATGTTGAGATTTGAAACAATGTAACCAGTTGTTAAATTTGTTGAATCGTAGACCTAGGGATTGTTTCTGTTGGTTGGTGTTACCTGTGAGACATACTAGAATGCAATGTCATTTCAGGGCTGTCGTAGTATTTCGTGTGCGAATGAATCGTGGATAATACAAGTATGCCGGTATGGTACTGCCAACTTGAAACCGAGGAATCCATAACATAACAGAATCAGAGTCGGTCTGTCGGTGGGTGCTGCATGGGCTTACTCGGTTGTGAGACTTCGCTCTCACCGCTACATCCGGCTGCCTTGTCGGAAACCTCTTACACAATTGGATTCGATAATTGGATCATGGTTATTACTACATAATTATTTTCTTGTGGATGTCGCGGAGTAAGTTATTTCAGTATTAAATAAAATTTCTGATCCTCCTACCTAGTTGATAGGTAGTGGACGATATCATTGACCTGGGTATAATGCTAGGGGTTCGGTTCTTCTGACAAGTATCTGTATCTGTATAACATGGGGTGCATCATGATCAGCGTCCCCTACATGAAAAGGCAAATCTCGGGCTCTGTAGCGATTTGCATGCAGCTGGATATCCTTACCGCGAGGCAAGTATGAAAAGTACTGGCCGAGTCATTGTACATGGAGAAAAAGGGCAAACAAACAAAACAAAAAGATCTATCATGATTCGATCGGATTGCAAGTGGAAATAGGAAAAGGAGGCGTGTACGAGAGCAAAAACGAGGGAATGTACAGGTGTAAATAAGTTTCCAAATTGCAAACCCCTCTAGATTGAATGGCTATCAAGGAAGGAATCTAGACTGGCTAATGAAACAGGACAAATCTGGCATTTATCATCATCTCTCATCAGGGTCATGAAGACGGTGTGGAGGTGGTGGTAGATTGCAGCAAGACAGCAAGCCCCAGGACAAAGAAAGGATAGGAAGAGAAGGTAGGAAAAGCAAGGAAAAGCAATGAGACTGTCGGTTTTTACTGGGCCCAGGATTGTTGGAAGAAGTTGTCATCCATGGGTGGGGTGGTGTCAGCATCGAAGAGACCACCCGTCCAGATGGGAATTGAGTCCGGCGGCGAGGGGACGCTGGTCATCGGAGCCGGCGTCATAGGCTTGTACATAGGCGCTTGGGGCATAGCGTAGATATCATGCGCAAGGACTGGTTTTGTCTCCATGGTAATACTGGCCTGCAGCTGGTGCTCGAGCGCAGCAGTGGACTCATTGGTAGACTTGAGGAAGTCGTCGATGCTGATTGAATCCAGGTCATTGGATGATAGCAGACGCGTCTGAGGTAAACCAACCAATGAGGATGCAGAGCTGACGCGGAGGTGGTCCATGTCCGAGGCTTCGCTCACGCTGTGCAGATCATGCATGTCATTGCCAGCATGACCAAGACCGGGAAGCGGCCCGAACTCGTCGGCCTCTGAAATCTCCCCGGAGGATGATGGCGGTGGCAGGCCCGATGGGTACCCATTGTAATCAAAGCTAGCGTATGAGGGGGCTTGTGTGCTGGTTGAAGCAGGCACGTCGGAGTATAGAGGGAAGCTCGACCAGTCGACCGAGGGAGCACCAATACCGGCAGATCCCAGAGGCATATCGGAGTCTGGAGAGGTGAAATAGCATTCTTGATAGGGTTCTTGAAATGCCATGCAGGTGACCGGGGAATTGGTGCTCGTTGTCGGGAAGGAGGCGAAAGAGGAGACGTCAAGAGGAGGAACACTGGTGACAATGTGTTCTAGAGGGTATTTGTCCATCGTGGAAGGGGCAGAGGTAGGATTTGCTGTCCCATTTTGAGGCCGATCTAATGATGAAGGAGGAAGGGCGGGTGTGGCGAATTGATCGAAATATGGCTGATCATGAGGAGCGGGCTTCACATCTTCTTCAGCACCCGATGCAAGCGCACTGTTCGGAGAGCCATTTTGCGACGGCTGTTGTGAACTCGGGTGATCCGACAGAGTAAGAGGTTCCTTGACAAAGGCTGACTGGGTCAAAGGCAAATGATCCACGGAACGACGGGGTAAGTCGTGTGGATGGTGGATAGTATGTGATCGTGGGATCGTGTAGGGCAATCCACATTTGTGGGCCATGTCATTATGCTTATGGGCTGGTTTATGGTGACCATCGCGGAATATCGTGAGCGTCGATTCGGATTTAGTGGACGTAAGGGGAGGTTTCCGCGGGGTTTCAGTTGGAAGCGGGGGAGAGAAGGGGAGACCAGTTTCGGGTACAGTATCCAAATGATGTTCCTTTTTGAGCGCACAGGTGCAGCGCTGACCATGGCAACAGCCACAGCGGTTGTGGATGTCGGTCACATGGCAGTCATCCTTCTTCTTTTTGTCGCCGCAATCACATTTGGTGTGGGTTGTCCGAGACTTGCGTAGGCCGCGGCAGTGAGTACATTGAGAGACTGGACGGCCTTTTTTGTTGATGTGGGTCAAGGGGCGGTCTGGGAAGAAATTAGCATGACCGTTCATTGAGGCGCAGGCGCAAAATTGACATACCACTGTGGTGACAGCTGCTAACCCGATGACCCCGGACGCAAGCTTCACAAGCCCACTTTTCACCATCGACGAGCATCGCTGCGGTGTTACTGAAGAGTACACATGCGACGATTCGCGAGGAGAATCGTAGAAAATTGGAAGTAAAGAAAACAGATCGGTCGGCAAGACCGAAGGGATATCAAGCCGTCAAGGCGATTTGGCCTCGAGAGGTCCGTAAAAGAAACAAAAAAGGGTATATTGTAGCGGCAAAAATCCCAATGCGAAAGGGAAGTTCACAGAACACCCAGCGATTATAAACTGCCGAGCGCTCTTCAATTCGAAGAAGCGAAAAGAAATACAAAGGGTATCAGGGCGCGAGGTCGGAGGATCAGGGATCGGAGAGTAACAGAAAGAAGGGGACCAAGCCTACGCACCGTTTGGCGCCGGCCGTTAGACAGGACACCAAGTACCGGTAGTGGCGGCCAAGATAAAAGCGTTCTAGAAAAGGAGCCGTTGGGACACCATATGAGGAGGGAAAAAAGAGGAGAGGAAAGACGGCGGGCATCGGCCGTTAATAACGGGGTATCCGAACGAGGATTTTCGCTGCGTCTGTGGTCTTTGTGATTGTCCGTACTCGTACCTGGGTACAGGTACCAGTACTGTGGTACTGTAAGATTACGTATGTATTTACATAAATTACACGGTTTGTGCCTTTTCTTACTCCAATTCTTACCTACACAGATACATTCGCACCACTCTTAGATTATTATTTATAGTTATAGATTTCACTAACTATAGTATGGTTACATCTAAGTAGGTACATATGCACAATATTTTGTCTACTCCGTACTCAACAAACCAATTTATGTTTGCGAGAAACCATTTCAGCCCCCTTGAATTCCAGGTTTTATTTACTATGTGGTCTCCACCGGTCCCACAGCAACTGCTTAGGGTTTTGATTTCGCACCATTGCACAGAAATAATTTAGATAATTAAGTACTTAAGTATGTTACTATGTGTTTATCGTGGGTAATTATATGACTGTTTTGATCGGTTCGTTTCTCGTTTTTCTCGATTTAAACTTTGGCTTCTTTATGCCCAAACCGGCAGCCCCAACCATACCTTTTACCCTTCAATACATATATATGTATGGTGGTGGCAATCAAACATGTGGCTATTATATTTTTTTTTCCTCCATGGAACCTACAGGCGAATTGAAAGCGTACAATGTCTTACCAAATCTGCTCGAGATATGGAGAGGCTTGGCTACTAAGTACAACATTGTCGAGGACTTTAGCGCATTCATACACGAACTCACCCCACTAGTCAAAAAATGGATCTCGCTAGTAAAATCTGGGGCCGCACACCCCGACTTCGATGACCTTTTTTTTTTCTTTCTTTCTGTCTTCCTTCCTTTCATCTTATACAGGGGAAGCATGGTTTTGTGCTACATGAATCACCCTGGTTAATGGGGCTGAAGTCCATGAAAAATCACATGTATGTTTCAGGGGTGTAATTATCGCCCTATGATCCTTAAAGAACTTTCCACAATCCCTGTAAGGCAAGAAAGCTCATAAAGCGAATGACAATCCTTAGCGCAAAGCAATTCTCAATATTAAAAATATAGTGAAACCAGTAGCAGGAGTCCACGTAACTGCCTACAATTTTGTACAAATACGATACATGCATGTCATAGCGTCGGCCAAAGTGCTCCGATGTCGTCAGTGTTCCTGCTTCGAGCGGCCTGCAGAGGGTTTTGGGGCCGGCTGGCGGGCCCTGATCTGCGCGACACCCAATCTTCCGCCAATCGTTGCTAGAATGGGTGTGGATTCCGGTTCCAGGACCGTATATTGTACAGGAAAATTTTGAAAATTTTGAAAGTTACAACATATTGTAGATGGCCACTTTTCTCACTATATAGGGAGAAATAATGCTATACGATATTGTCGAAAATGGGTAGAGAAGGGTTTATAGTGTACAAAGTGTACAATATCATAGGAAGGGTAAAATCATGCCCAGGTGGGCGTATATTGTACGTTATCCCCTTTCTATATGACTATCGTGCATGGTTTCGCGATCAGATACCCTGAGTCCTGTTGGGGCGGAGGTTTCAAATAATAGAAAACTATAGGCCTAGGCTTCTCTAGAATAATCTTTCTATAAACATCGTAAAGTCCCATGCGCGTTTGGACCGAGTAGATCGCTTTTGGTGCCAGCGCTCTAAGCGCACTTCCCGATCTTACGTCAAGCTTGCCTAGGTGGGCTTTTTCATGCCTATATTGGACACTCAACTGTTGTCTGTACGCAGAACTAATTCCGAATATTTGGTGACCTCTGTTGAAAGCGAGTCAAAACGTTGTTCTGCCCCATTCCATCACATAGACCTGCTATTGGCCTACGGATTGTTATCTCAATCCCATAATTTTACAGCCTTGAGGTATTCGATGATTGAAACTCCGGAACAACCTAGACGATATCACCAAGATTATGTCTGTAGTTATCTAATATTCAAACAGAAAACCAGCGAACTTAGTGTTCTTAAGCATTAGCAAATGTAGATAGTTAATCGTGGCAATTTGGTGATATAACGAAGTCATTATAATATCTCTAATAAAAACTTCTCAGGATATGTTAGACAAACATCAAACAAGACCCGTCACATCGAACCAAAGAGTCGATATGATCCCAAATGGTATTGAAACTGAGGCTGGATATTTCTTGAACATTAAGAAATCAACTGGATATCAAAATTGTAGTTCATCCGCTCCGGCGGGCGAGGAGGAAATAGTATTAATCCGTTCGACACGCAGAAACGAAAGGCCGTCCTCCGTGCGATCATCCAAAAAAAGACTCGGGGAAGTAATCAACTAGTATAGCTTCAAAATGATATCTATAATGAATGAATTCCCCGTCAAAATGTTGTTGCTTAATGCGGCGCTCTCCGCGCTAGCCCCCTTGAAAATTCCCCCCGCGAAATTTTAGTAAAACTTCACCTCTGGCTCTTCGCGTCCTACACTTCCTTCTCCCCCATCTCCCGGAAGCTCGCTTTCCCCACAAACCATCGTTTCTGTGTGATTTTCGCCTTTATATCGCGCGATGAACTCTCGCGAGCAGTCTGATATGCCTCCGGCACCTTCTTACCCATCCCCCAACGGTGCGCAGATGGCCCAGGGCGCCATGCCGTATTACAGCAACCGCCAAATGACCACCGATGAACTACTATCCGCTGAACTTTCGCGCGAAGCCTCCAATCCTGGTCTTGGTGAGTCAAACAATGGAGTTCACCATGGCCAGTCTATGGTTCTAGGTTCCAACAACGCTGGTGACATGGGCCGTACGTCTTCAGATGATCAACACCAGCACCAGCACATGCTTCAGTTTCCTCCCAGTCAGCAAGTGGGAGTAGACCCGAATCACGATTTGAGTTATGGTGAACAAAGTGCGCGCAAGCGGTCTAAAATATCAAGAGCCTGTGACGAATGTCGACGAAAGAAGGTACAGCTTCCCATAAACGCGATCAAGGTCGCTCAAATTGACACGCGTTTTTTTTTATAGGTCCGATGCGATGCCAGCTCTGAGACCGGGCTGGAAACATGCTCCAATTGTCAGCGCCTCGGCGTCGTGTGTCAGTTCAGTCGCGTTCCAATGAAACGCGGCCCCAGCAAAGGGTAGGACAAATGAACGCGCCGATACAATAATTGCCCAGACTGACACGGATACAGATATATCAAGGAACTCGCCGAGCGACTCCATACTCTGGAAAACCAGATGCAGCCCGGAATCGTGCAGCCCGACGTGCCATATCAATCTATGAACGAAGTATCGCTACCGAGAGGGTACCAGGACTTTGCATCGCCAGTGGAGTCAAACCCGGGCAATCGCAAGAGAACATACTCGGCCTTCGAGGGTCTTCCCAGCTCTTCGTTTGCCCAACCGTCCTTCAATGCCCGGGTTTCCCAAAACGCCTTCGACGCGAACGAGACAGCGGCGGACCCGTACAACCCCACTGTGGCTAGCGGTAGCGCACCAAAACCTGGCAACTTGTTCTGGAATTTGACTGGCCACGAGAATGATTTACCAAGCGGGCTTGAGATGACCGATCTGCCCAAGCATGAGGGCGATGATGACATGAGCCCAGTGACTCTGGATGAAGGTGCTCTTGATGCGTACGTTTGATGCGACCCCTCTATTTCAAGTAAGATTGATCTAACAAAAACTACCAGCTACTACCAAAAGATTCACACCCTGCTACCGATTCTTCCCCATACCAAGGAGCGAACATTGGAGCTTTTGCATCAGTGCAACCGTGAAGCCCAAGAGATCTTTTGTTATGCGTTGTACAGTGTCACTCGGACAGACCTGACTCGTGTGGCGGGTAACTTCGAGAAGATCAATGGGTTTGACAATGCGCAGGATCTATTGTTATTCCACACACGCCAGCCATTGATCGTCCACTCGACCTCTGTCAACCTGATTTGGCTTCAGTCACTTCTGCTTATGATCATTGACTGCGATACTCGCGGACCAGACAATTTCGTGCTGAAAGACGGCGTTCCAAAAGGAAGCCTGGTCCAAGCAGCTAACAAGCTGGGATATGACTTGGCCAAAAGCCAGGGCCAGCTGAAGAATAAGCGCACTGTAGACCCCGACGTCGATTCAGACGCCAACCTCACCAGGCGTAACTGGGTTTCTCTGATCATCCTGGCCCGGTGGTATGCTATCAGTGTAGCAGATGCCACCGTACTGGGGGGTCACGAGATTGGAGGTCACGAAGATGAAAGGGTCGTCGGTCAAATCACTACTGGGATTGCTTGTACGTCGTACCTTCTAACTAATCTGATACGTTTTGCTAATTAATTCACCAGCTTACTCAACATTCCTCTCGGAACTTGTTACGCTGGTCAACGTCGACCACAATGTCTGCCAGACCAACTCTGGTTTGGGTCGTATAATTGGTTCAAACCTAGTATCATCCCTGGAGCGTCTAGCAGAGATGGAAGACATCTTCCAGATTCACGAATTACCCGAGAACTCGTCAACTCGACCACTTTATGAGAGCCTTCAAGCCCAACTTTACTGGACGATCCGACTCCTTATCAAACGCCACGTCTTCGTCTACAGCCCATATGAGATCATCTTCTGCGCACAAGAGATAGTCAACGAGATGCACAGATCCGCCATGCAAGACCGACTCCAATCACCCTTCGACCTTCACAGTCTGGCTCTCGCATCGATGACTCTTCTAGAGGCCACTGTTCTCCCGGAACACGCCACCGAATGCTGGGGCGCCCTCGAAAAGATCGAAAAAATCCTCGACCGCCGTGCATCCAGCGGCGTCGAATTCGATAATGTCTTCGGCACCCCAGAATGGGACGCCAAGATCCGCATCTTCATCGAGTGGCGCCGCATCAAGTCCCAGGAGAGTCAGCTCCAGGAAGCCGAAATTGGTGGTCTCGCCAAGTCGCAACAACCTGTCATGGGCGCCAACGAGCAACGTTCTCTTCAGCACCTTGCTGATCTTGCTGTCGGTGCTGAGGGCTCTGTGGGCCAGAATGCGCCCACCACGCCCCCACCCGGTCTTTCCCACGATCAGAACGAAACATCGCCAAATCTCAATCCGCAGCTGGCGCAATCTCAGGCTGGGTCCGGTCGTGTTGTTGTGGACTTCACTATGCTTACCAAGGAGGGCTATTTGAATGTGTTCTCTGGGTTAATCTACCGTCGCAGTCGTTGAGCTCAGTCTATGATTGACTTGTTTGCTTGCTCAAATTTCTTATATTGTCGTTTTTTTGCTTGACCTTTGTCGGGATTTGCTTCTAATTTGTGCCGACCTGTTTGTAGGAACATTCAATATCTTGATTAATTCTTTTGTGTATGTATGTATTCTATACTACCTGGAAAGGAATGGTTTGGGGGCCTGAATCCCAAGGGACTACAACAATATGAAGGCAATCCCTAAGGTGATCCTATGTTTGCCTGTGTACGTTCCAAGTTGGTTTGTAAATTTAATCACTACTTATTCCTCCGTGGCTTACCTATATCAATCTATCCTCGGCTACACGGGAATATAGGTCGGGAAATTGCAATTTAGCTCTTTAATGACATGCTCTCTATCTATATTTCTTTTAATGTCTCTCAAATCAAAGCCGGAGTAAGATATTTCAAAAGATCATTCTCAGTGCGAAAGGGACTCACCCCCGGAAGATAGAGTTGATAGTGCAGTATCACCTAGGCATATCTCCATAAATAAGAAAGATGGACGTAAATATGTTGTCAGTCGAAGTAGAATAGCTTTCCTCACTGCTTCTGTCCGAAAGCAAATCGCCTCCAGGTTCCTTCCACATCCTGACATAATGCCATAAATTTGTCGTCCTCCATCAGCTCACACATCCAGTTTTGGAGAATAACAACCCGTTCGGAGGTCGGAAAAGCCAAATACTCGGCGAGCTGATCTTCTGTCATGGCCGAGGCTGTGCGCGACATCGGCTCTTGTCCTGGTTTGTCATCTGGCTTGCTAATGAGGTTTGAATCTCTTGGATTATGATGTGCGAGTATGGAATTCGGAACACTGGGTGCTTGGGGTGTGTGCGCAACCAGTAAACCATTTGCAGGAATTTGAGCTGAGGCTGGAGGTTCTTCATAGATTAAAAATGGTTGGCTCGGTTGGGAAAACAGAGGCGGCTGTGATAAGATTTGGGATTGGGACTCGACAAAACCAGGCCCAGGCTCAGGGTCTGTCGCTAGATTCAGAGGAACGACTTCTTGGTCTTTGCTTGACTTTGAGGGTTGCACCTCTTGGTGTTCCGGGGTTGCTTGTGTCACTGTTGAAGATTGACGTTTCTTTGTGGCTGGCTTTGAAAAGGGCAGGTCTCTCTTGGGGGAAGCATTTGATTGAGCTTTTCTACATCATGGATTGCAGATACCGCAGATACCGCAGATGACTGAGAGTTGGGGACTTCCAGGTCGTTGCGCGACATGTTTGGGAAAGATGTAGAACCATACAGCCGCTCGTTCGCGGCTGTTGGCTCAATGTTGAGAGAAGGACGGGTGAACGCTGGTAGAGGAGGACCAAATCTGGACATAGAGTACGAAACTGTGCTCGCGGGAGATGATGCTCGCACGGGTGCTGTGATGTTGAGAATATCAGCTATCTGGCGCAATGATAGTTAGTGAGGCCATAGCATACTTGTCACCCCGGATTCAACCGCTCCAGTACTAGGACAAACTCCATTGCTACCATGAGATGTTGCTATTGTATGTGTGGTTCTTGGAGCAATCGAGGATAGGTTGCCTGATGTCCAAGATGAAACTGAGGGGAAGCGTCGTATTGCTGGAACAGGTGTATTACCTTCTGTCAAAGGACAGTTGACTTCGCCTAAGACGGTCAAGGCCAAGAAATAGTCAGGCTCTGTGGTGAGCTTGATCTGGAATCGACGAATCTGTGGGATTACAGAACATATGTCAAAAATGATCCATCGGGAGTATGTCAGCCAGAGATATGCATACTTGTGTTCCACGGTAAGGATACTTGACCGCAATACATGGAGACTTCACGACGACAGCAAAGTGTGACTTTGGGGGTGGGCTTAGTTGGGATTGCATCGCCACCATCTGAATAAAGTACACGAGATCAAGTTGTTCCTAAATCAATCGATTGTGGTTAGCAATGCTGGGGCAACATTTGTGGAGGGACGTACGAGGACGGCATCTCCTCGAAAAACTTTCTGGATCAATCTTGATGGCATAGGACCAGAATTAAAGAACCTCTCAAAGATACAATACATATCTCCATTCCCAGTGACATGATTCCAGGTTAGTGGACCGACATGGTCAATGAGAGTGGTCGTATGGGAGAACTTGGCAATGGGTAAGCGAAGTATTTGAGGAATTGGGGGCTGTGGATGTTGCATGTTGTGAACATGACCTGGTAGACGACAAGGAAAAGCTTGGGAGTGCAATGGAAATGGATGGGTTTGATTTGGTGAAATGTCGACACAATCTTTGAGGCCATGAAGGCGGCGTGGTCAGGTCAAATCACCAGACACAGTGCATGTTGAAGATAAATTCACCTCTATAACAGTACTAAGCAGGATTATCATCGGCCATTATTGACTTATATATACATATGATTGCAGTATCATACCTAGATGATTATTTTCTACATGGTTTTACGTAAAGAATGAGTTTCTAACTGCAAGTACAACAACAAAGGTATATTGTGTCCAACAAGTCTGGAAACATAATCTTCTGTAATGACATTAGGGAATCCTTGACCGCTATACATGAAGGATCGAAAATGATTGGCAAGAGACCTCTGAGACTAGAAAGAAGGGGTTGGGAAAAAGACTGATAGAAAGACACACTGAAGGTACTAACCGCGCATAGAATCAAACTGATAGTCCTGGAGATGTATGAGGCTGAAGAATGAAGACACCTGAGGCACAAAGGGTTACATAATTATCCGGACTAACCGTTAATCCGCCAACGCGCTCTGGAGAAAGCGCGGACTTTTGGCTGATCAGTGCCGTTGATCGCAAGCCCAGCTCTAGCCCTCCAGGGCCGCAAGGCATTGATAAATATTTTACTATTGACACTTGTCGCTGATTTCAATTGTATCTGCGCAAATTTTTTGTTCTTTGAGAATCGCTATTGTTGCTGAATACTTCGCCCTATTCATCGTCACATTCATCGCTTCGACAATCAAACGCGCGAATCTTGCGACCCAAGCCAATAACAGTCTTGACCTGCCAATCACCCCAATCAGTCAAAGACAATCCTATATTTTCCATTCGCCCCAAGATCCAAACCGTTACAAAATCGCGAATCCCACCCTCTCCAATCTCTCTTGTTCGACTTGCCAGCCGCAGTAGACGTATCAAGGGCAGCATCCCTCGAGTCGTCCATTCAAAATCTTCGAATTTGCGATCAAAAAGACACGTTATTGTTTGCGCCCGAGGGTTACAAGCGTCGTTGTTCAATTTCGTTTGTCCCAAGAATCTAGCCACCCCGATTTGCGTCTGAATTCCTGAACGGCGCAACGCTGTCGCGTTCGAGCAGCACCATGTCTGGGTCTACCCCTCGCACCTCGCTGCGACGTAAGACTGCCACATCCCAGCCGACAGACATGGTATCTGTACTAACAAACCCCACAGAGGGCCTGCGCCATGCTCCCAAGGTCAATCAGCCCTTCATCCCTGACACAACCCCTGCTCGTCGCTCGCACATTCACCATGGCCTCACATCACCACAACCTCCCAGCCCACACCAAGTGAACCTTGACCCCGCCGCAAACCCTACTAGCTCGCAGTTTACAGTTGAGAGTTGGCAAGGGAAGGACCACAGGCAGCTCCCTATGTACACAAGAGAGGTCCCAACGCCAGGCAATCGTCCGCTCATGTTTGCCCATCTACGAGACCCGTCGAAAGCGCCTAAACAGCTGGATTACTTTGACCCCTACTTCCCTCTTAGGTATCTAGAGGTTCCGAGAAGTCAGTTCCCCCTACTTATATCCCATGTTTGCTGGGAAACGGAAAACACTGACGCTTAAGGATTCCCGTGCAGCCGATCATATCTATAAACGTGCCCACTATGGCCTGCAGTCGGGTATCCCCGACGAAGTTGACTTTGCACTTTATCATCTCGTTCAGATTTCCAATCAACGCTGGGACAAATTCAAATTCGAAGGATTCCCATTGCTTGCTGAAACCCTGATGCAGAAAGCACTCGATCTCACCCAGCTTTGCACAGGTGTCAAATGGGAATTTCAATACGATCCGCATCAGCCGACTGACCGTGTCAACGTGCTCAACTCTCTCCATGGCACCCGGGATATTCTTGATAAAATCAGCAAAATCCCGGTAAACCTACCCGATGACAGCCTTGAGACATACGAGTTCAACCATCAACTTCGAAACATCAAAGAGGCCACATTGGTGTTGAGAAACATGGTGTTGCTCAAGGAAAATGCCTTCTATGTGTCGCGCTATGCAAATGGTCTATTGCGAGACTTTTTGGTCATCTTAATCAATGCTCCGAACCAACCCCGACTCAACGAAATCAAAAACGATGCTCTTGACATTGCCGAAGAAGTTACCAAATTCCTGCGAACTGACCCCGAAGACCCGTTGTGGATTTCCTTGGTGAATTGCATAGATTCTCCAGATCGCGCCCATGTCGTGCGATCTCTGTGGGCCTTGACACATTTCGGCACTGAGCTGGATGATGCAGATGCCAACCGCGCCATGGAAACCTTGACAAAACCAACCCTCCAACAAGTGTACTATCACACGTTGCTCGATCTCGATAAGGATATTCTGAGCGGTGCACTCGACCTCTGGTACCAATACACCCTCAGCCATGACAACATCGAAACGTTGATGGATGTGGTGAACTTCCCAATCGTCTTCGTTCCACGCATGGTTGCTCTCTTGACTTACGAAGCCCGACCTACCAAAAATGAAACAGTTCTCCAGGAAGAAAAGGTCGCACCCCCACCAACTGACATCCCTCGAGTGCCTCCCGAGCTTTTGGAAAAGCTCTTGGAGCTGTCAGAACCGGAGCGAAGCTCTCAGTGGCTGCGTTGCTGTTTCATCGAGGATCCAGATTGCGAAATCACACAAATTGCTTTATGGCAAGCCTACCAAAGCCGATTCGCAGATCCCCGTGTCGCTGGAGGAGGTGTACTTCCTGCTGCGGAATTTATCAAGAACGTAAGCAATACGTTCACAAATGCGCAAGCGCAGGTCATCAACGGGCCCGGTGCTGCCACTAAATTCATCATCAAGGGCATCCGGCCTTTAGAGACTGCCCACACCTTCGAGGGCTTCCCTTATCTGTACTGCCGATGGGCAGACCACTCAAAGCCCTCGAAGATGTGCCAACGTGGATTCACCTCCCCAACCGACCTACGGGATCACGTTTTCGGCGATCACATGAACCTAGAGCCCACAGACACGCCTGGGCAATACAAATTGGATAGTGCAGAGACTCCAATTCACACCTGTCAGTGGGACCACTGTCAACGCTTCCGAGCTTCCGGCGCCAGCGCCAACACGTCCATGGTCGCCGGGCATGTTTCTTCACATCTGCCTGAAGATCGTCCCGCAGACGCACAACCTACCACCGCCAAGCGTGCAGTTCTACAAGAAAGAATCGTGCGTAAATGGTACTATATGGACACCCCGACCAACGAGAAGGGAGAGCCAATCGGCGTGGCCTACAAGGCCGCATTGGTTTTGCGCAACATCGCTCGCGGCCTTCCAAACCGCACTACATCCAAGTACGGTGGCCTTCCCTGGAAGAAGGCCTGCTTCACCAGCCAACGGCCTAAGATCGTAGAGGTCTGGGACCGCAACCGTGCCCTACGCAAGGAGCTGACTGAGTTGATTATGGTAATCGAGAAAGAGGTCGACTACTGAAGTTTCTAAACATGTTCTACAGTGTTCCAACTGCCTCATCTTTCCTTTTCTCATGAATCCATATCTCTGTACGACTAATACCCTGATTATCCATGTTCTCACTGACCTGGTTCCCCGTTTCTGTATTTTGTCTCGATGTACAATATCAAACAGCCGGGCCCGTATCGATGGTGTTTTTGTTTTTCGTTCCATGGCTAGTTGTTTTTATTAAAGCTACAGCTGCACGCAAGAATGCTGAAGGGGTGGAGTAACTCTGCTGTTTGTATGGGGTGGATGGTGTTTCTTTCCGGCGTCCCTGGCTGAGAGTAAAGATAGAATCCAGAGCTTTATGTTTAGTGCATTGAATCTCTGACCTTAGTGCTAGCTTGCCTTTGTTTTATCTCTACGTGACTTCATCGAGCGTGCAAGTTGATCGTACGTCGTGGCCCAAAATATATTGAAGTTGTTCCAGCAATATTAGGACAAGCTTAGCTACCGAGGCATGATATAGATTTTCATAGAGATTCATTGTTATTCTCGAATTAAACACGATAAGTAAAAAGGGGAGATACCAATCTGAGTAAGTAAATACTTACGACATGCAAGAATGTTTCAACAATGCTAATAGTCACCAGTCGGCATTCCACCAACAGCCGGAACATGCTGACCATGAAACCCGAAGCCAACCGCCCCGTCAACATTTACCCGACCTAGTTCCGACAAGTCTCGCGAATCAAGACAGAGCAGATAACTCTTTCCACGCATTCCGTCGAGAACCACGCTGAGGAGCACGCCGTCGTCCTCACTGGTACCCTCGGGGTTGGCGACAAAGATAGGCTCACCAGGCGATTGGCCATGACAAGCCCAGAGATGAACCTGCTGGGTATCGCAGTCGAGCTTCATGATGCCATCTGTCAGAGTCGCCTCACCGCGGAATGTCACAGCATAGACATATCGGTGTTTCTGGGTGACTCTTTTCGAGGCCATAGTCGGTAGCTCCGGGGACAATGATTTGCATACGGACCATTCGAGGATTGCTCTCTTTATTTCAGTGGTTGGGAGATTGGGCACGGCAGGAAGACGGAATCGGGTAATAGATGTACGGAAGGAGTCGTTCCTTTCCTTCTGGAATTCTTTCGCTGTTGCCAGTGACGATTTCAGGTTCTCGTAGTAAAGAGATTGTATAGCGCCCGAATCGTCGGCTCTCACAATATCTGCCACAATGTCCATCTGTGACGAATCATCTTTCGAGGGCTCGAGCCATGCATTTATGGTGTGGAAGCAGAAGAACGCAGGGCTTTCATATGCTGCGATCAGTCCGTTGACGCCTTTGCGATCAATGACATACCAAACGGCCGGCTGGCTTGGATCTGTTGGTATAATCGCATCCATGAAGCTTCCGCCAAAGCCCAGGGGATTGATGTGTGCATTCCACACACAGAGAATTACATGGTCCTCGGTGATGAGGAGGGAATGGAGATAGGCCGGGGTTGCAGGAAAAGTCGCCAGAATTGTTGTCTGTCCAGTCGAGGCCGAGACCCTGAAGACACGATACGTACAAGTTGGTCCGAGGGTGAGGTTGAAGTTAAACATATCACCCGTGACAGGATCAGAGCGAGCGTGAGATGCAGAAAGCTGGCCCGAGAGGTCAGGATGGAGATCAGTCTGCGAGGCGAGGCCGAGGGGCTCCAGGGTTTCAGGGTCAAGCTTCTTGAAGGCATTGTAGTCGGTCTTTGCATAGAGCGTTTGAATTTCTTGAGAGTTGCTCCAGCGGGAAGTTGGCACCCCATCGGGCTTATTGTCAAGGCCCGGGAAATTGACCGAAAGAGTAACGCCAATATTCTGACTGGACGCAGTAGGCTGAGGAACGAATTCGCTTTGGACTTTGCCCAAGACGCTCTTGCAAGGATCGCGCTTTTGTCCAAAGCTGACCCTTTCCAGAGATCCTGTTTTCCTTGCATGTTCGATCAAATCGTCGGTCGAAAAGCGGGAGTTGTAAAACACGCGAGGCGATGTATGGGGTCCATTTGGGGCAAATATCTGGAAGCGATGGGTTTGAGTGAACCCATCGAACCAGTGAGATAGTCGCAGTGTTTCCCCATTCTCGGTTTCCACTTGGCTTTTTCCTGGACCTGTACGATACAAGATTCCAGCGGCATAAGCAGGGATTTGACCCGTCACTGGGAGTTCAACGGTTTCGCGCTGCTCGTATTCGGGGTCGAACTATGCTGGGATTAGAATATAGTGCAGGTACCGCTAGGTATGGCCTACTTACGCCTTTATCGGTGGGCCAATTGTTGTAATGATCTTCTGTCGATTTCATAGCACTAGTTATGGATGAAGTTGAATGTGCGACAATAGAAGGCATATTGTGTTTGGACTTGTGATAGATCCGATGCTTGCTGGAAGGTCACTGAGAAATGGACAAACTGCGATGGGTTCAATTCCTTTTTATATGATTGATTCCACATATGACTACTCTAATCAAAAGAAGCAATTCACCAAAACCCTTCTATTCTACCGGTTCCTTGCAAACAACAATGCCGAAGTGGGGGAAACGCGACGGGTTGGGTTCCGACCCCGTAGGCCCCAGCTCTCTTCCTTTTCCACCGCACCAATAGCAACCGCGGAATTACCGAATTCGATCCATCGTCGTCAATGAACCGCTGCCAAGTGTCTAAACAGACTTCAGAGAAGCGAGAGATCTCGGCTTGTGTACTCTATTTCAGTTTCAGCCGACTCACGTTTGTGGCTTTGCTCTTGGCGGGATTCACCCATCTACGTCAGACCTTGAATTGATGTTCAGCCCATTTCCCGACTTTAGGCAGATCAGTTTTCATTGCAGAATTCACGACATCCGAGCTTGTCATTAGTTCGGGCGATCTATCAAACCGACGCCCACTGCCTAGGATGGAGCGAGTACGAAAACCAGAAGTCCGCCCAAAGACTTGGAAGTGTAACACATGTTCGTCAACCTTCCACAGATTAGATCATCTCAGGCGTCATACACTTACTCGTAAGTTTCATGTGGTTCTCGGAATGCAGGGTAATGACTTGCTATAGATGACACCGTAAAGGACTACGTCTGTTCATTTTGCCACTCTGCATTCAGTCGAGGGTGCGTAAGATTCTATCAATGCTACACATCTACTGCCATCCGTTTCTAACATAACTATCAAGGGACGTGTTGCGGCGGCATTGGAAATCATGCAGGGCTCGTGTAGATGGTGGCTATGCTATACCCGAGCCGGAACGTGGCGGGAAGCACAAACGTGCCTGTGATAGCTGCGCAAGTCTTAGGAAAGCCTGCAATGGGGAAGTCCCGTGCTATGAATGTGTTCAGCGTGAAAAAGAATGCACCTACCAGCGCCTTGAAGACGAACCGCCGACATCCCAAGGTTCATTTGAGAAACAGCACGCCGAAAATTCGGGAACGGCCGACAGTATCAATTGTTCTGAGCCCTGGGATCTTGGACCTGCGACGCTGTATCCCTACTCCATGGAGATATATGCTCGTCGCCATAAAATCGCACTTGGCTCATCTGAAAGACCAATTCACTAAACTTGTTCCTTTACTGGGGTATTGGTCCAAATTCTGCTGATCTGACCATTTTGTGATACATTGAATTGGTGTCATATGGCCTTCTTTGTATGCTATGCATTTTGCTGGCATTAATGAACAGGTCACAGGCATTTGAAACATCCCCTGGAACGGCTATTGCAAACTTTTCAGATACTGATATACCTCAACAAACCCCCAAAGCCATTAACCGGACAGTTGACGAGAACATACCGAGAGACTCTTCCACGTGCCTATGGAAAGTGAACTCGAAGCAACGCTGAAAGCCTTGGAATATCTTCTGAAGCACAAACTAGTGTCGCGGTCACAGCGACTGGCCCGCTAATCCTTATTGTGAAGGCCCAGTTTTCTATGCACCATATCTTTCGGATAGAGCGGCACATGGATCTTCAAAGACCAGGAATGGTTCGAAGTTCCAAGAGAATGAACGTTCATCCGACTGTCGGTATATATTCTTGGCCACAGAAGCGGTAACTTATATCCCTCGTCATGTTGTCAATGCGACATCTTCAACATCGGTTGTTCACGGCTGCCAACTTCCGAACTGCAAAGGGTGCTTCCGCCTTGTACACATAGTCAAAGAGTTACTGTGTTCCTGGGAAGACAGCAATACATCTACGGCTCAATTATACCTTGATCTATTGATCAGCAATGCTGCACACAGCTTGACAGACCAGATCAAGGCAGAACCAAAGCAATCACAGGAGAGCAACGGTTAAAAGACAACTCTGAGATGCGGCAAACTTTTGCTCGCAAGTTTAAGCAATGACTACCAACAGCAAATTCATGGCGGCCTCCAAGCCTCCTGGGTCCCTAGCATAAGAAGCAGCAGAACAGATCTTCAAATCGAGGATGAAACGAACAATTCTGAGATACGAATCACCCACAAAGGTCTTCGAACAATCAATTGCATGGGTCCTTCAAAGTCCTCCTGGGTCCAATCCGATTACTCACCGAAGTCCCATGCGAAGACCTGATAAGCGCGAACTCCGACCGCAATCGACATTTGAGCCATGTGGGTATATAGTGTATGTCTCATGTCTCATCGCGTGAAGGCATCTTTGAAGACATACCCGGCCCCCAAAGTAAAGCTGGCTATCATGCTTACACAAATATGTCCAAGGCGGGTATCAACATGATCACTGAAAGGAGGCTCGCATGGCGTCGAAGAACAGACGCGTTGCTATTCATACTGTTGATCACGGCTATTAGAGTGGGGCGCCGGAGTGTCGGTGGGCTGAGGGGTATTCGATTGGGTTTGTGGCCTATTGCTGTTGGGTCGCTGGAGGAAAGGTCATTTCAGGGAGGGGCTTGAAACTCTTTTAAGAGGGCGTTTCTCTTACGCGCTGGGGTTAGTTAGTATCTAGGTATATTACATGGAACTTCTTCGGCATTGTTAGTGTTCAATCATTTTTGTACGAGTGGAGTGTATATAAGAACAGTGCATGTCCAAGTTGGGGTTTCCTTCGCTGTATGCCCTGGAACACATCAACCATCCTTACCGTGGCAAGAAAGGGGAATGCTCATAGTCGTAGACACTGTTCATGAAGGTCTCGTAGCTCAACCAAGCATTATCATCAGAGCTTCCTTGTAAATTGGAGCTGGTGAGATCCATTGCATCCCACACATTGGTCCATGGCACTGGTGCAAAGGAAGTTGGTACTTCTGCAATATGGCTGTTGCGCGGTTGGTTAATGGCTTCTTCCAACTCGAGTGAGAACCCTGCAAATGGTTGTTCTTGATGTTGATGCAGATCCAGACCCGAAGACATGCCGCTGAAGGCATACTGAGGTTGCTGGGATAACTTTTGTTGAGATGCATCCGAGTCAATAAGCTCGTTCTTCCGCACAATTGCTTGTGACATGAGCCTCTCCATGGGCTTCCAGAGCATTTCCTCCTGCGAGTCTGCGACGACGATCCGAGATCGCTGGTAGGCAGTGTCTACGACACCCCAATACTTTAACACGATGGACAGGTCTTTGCACACGCACAGCTCGGCAATTGCAACAGCCAATACATGCCATGGGACCCACATGGATCCGTACCACCGCCAAGCTTCGGCCCCGGGGTGGTCGTATGCCACTTGTGACCACTCGAGGTTCTCGGCTGCAATCTTGAGAAGAGCGTCGCCATGGACTTTCGGGGGTGTAAAGTTCCTGTTGCGCTGCATTGGGCGAATACTTGCTAGTTGGAGCCAACTGCCAATGGCACGGGCGGCCTTCTGGGCGTACCACTGGAAATCCGATAGATCGGGTCTGCATCCGCTTAGAAGATCGGAGGCCTTGTCCTGGAAGTCCTTAACGATCTGTTTTCGCTGGCCAATGATCTTCACTGTGGGTTCCATCAAGTCCGCAAACGCGAGGGAGCGAGTCACAGAGGCGGACGCTGCGATCACCAATGTGTGTGTCATATCTGTGAATGTTCCTTTGGGGTGCTGCCGGGGCAGTTCCGGCATTTCAAACCAAATGTCTTCATCGTTGATGTTTGACGGTGGGTGGTAGTCGAGCCATGCTGCCTGCATCATGGGTTCGGATGCTCTGTCGAGAGAGGCCGCTACATCAAGTAGCCCAATGCCTAGCCAGGCACGTCTACGCATCTCATGTTCGAACGGGCGTACTTTGAAAGGTGGGGTGGGCGTATGTAGTGACAATGCCTGGCCCACTCGAAGGGCCATGGCCAACATAGTCCATACTCTTCTGCTTTGGCCTTGGGATCGCGCAGCGAGCTAGCATGTATTTAGATATAATCCAAATTCATAGAAGAGAGAAACAAGCAAGGGATAAAAAGCCTAGCTGTACTTACCAAGGAGATAATATAGGCCTGTAAAACAGTGATATCATTAGTCGTCACAAAGTCAGCCTTGGCAAGCGCAGCTTCACTCTCCTTTTGGAATTCCACGACAAGGGACTTTTTATCCGTATTGAACAATGATTGGCATTCTGTGTTGTCAAGAGTACACACAGCGGCAAGATAAACAGCCGACGCAAGGGTATTTGGCGCCTGGTGGCCTTGTTCATAGTTGAGATACGGCTGGCCTTCTTTAATAAACGCTTCCAATGAAGGTCGATGCAGTATTTTGAAGAGAGGATCGACGTTATGGAAAAAAGCGTCACATAACTTGTGTTGAGTGTGGGGTTGAAGAGCCACCCCTTTTGTTGCTGGTAGATTCGATACACTCTCCGGTATTTCTGAGCTCACAATTGATGTTCCAAAAACAGCGGTTGAATCCCTAGACTCATTGTTTTCAATTTCTAAACGGCAGTCAAGAACGCTGCGCAAATCTTGAGTCTAGTCGTTGATGATGGATTAAATCATATTTAGGCGCGAGAGGATTGGCTCGATCAACTTACCTGCTGTATAATATCCTCCCAAAATGAGACTGGCATATAGGCGTTTCCGGACCCAGTGACATGTTTGTCCTCTTGCCAATCATGATCCTGGTTTGGTTGGGTAGAACAGAGCTCGCTTGCTGTTGAAACTGGAGCTGCCGATGAAACTGATGTTGGCATCTGCTCCTCAGAACCAGTACGTTCACTGGCTACTCTTTTGAGGAGCTTCTCAAGTTTCGCTACCCGCTCGGATAGTTCTTTGTCCGAGCTTATGATCCGCTCGGTGGGTTTTCGCGTGCGGCCTCGAGGTAGACGGGCCCGCTCCACAGGAACACATACGAGGCCAAGTCGCTGACAGCTAGAACAAGGACTGAGCTTATCGCATTTCACCTTGCGCTGGCGACATGCCTCACAGGTGAGCCGAACTCGCGGGGCCGACGACCGGGTTGCCCCAGTCTGGGCTACTGAATCCATAAATTAATTAAAGTGGATCAATTTGGAATTGGTCGAAACCCCAAGATGCGTGATCATTGAGGCGTGTTGTGTTGTTGTTCGCTGACCCCGCCATCCTTGACCCATATTAATTCGGTCCAATCAAAACGTCGTTTTGAATTGTATACAATATTGTAGTGCGATTTTTTTTAGCGAATAGAAGAGAGAAGAGACTGGATTTAATTGATTTGTCTACAATATAGAAATATATTTAAGTTATCTAGACCGTCGCCATGAAATCCCAAAGTTCCCAGGCTTAACTATTATGACAATCAGATTCATCCCAAATGTCATCGAAATCGTGTCAAATATAATCCGAGTCTAGACCGATCAGACATTCTGATTGGAACTAAACCTAGTATTTCCTCCACGAGGTTTACGAGAAATTGCAGCTCAGACTGCGAATAGGGCTGAAACAACCAATTAATTGGGCTTAGGGGAAGAGACCAGTTAATGATCACCGGAATTATCGCCATTGTATTGTGCACTGATGATGTAATATGTACCCCTGACTACTTCGCATAGACATTTGTGTATATTGTCCACAAGTATTAGCTGAACACATAATTATGGAGACTGAATTTTAGATCAAAGCTCATCTCAACCATTCATCATGGGTTGGATCGAGGGTTGGGTTTACATCTTCCCAGGTTGCATACCCATTGTTGTCCATGCAACGAGCCATTGTCAATTTTACGACACAATTTGCTGCCCGTTTCGATCACTATATTTAGGAGGAAATTCATGAATTACTAACAAACATCTACAACGCAGTAAAATACGAGATGGAGACTGACATCAGCCATGAAGTAGCGAACTACCAATTGAGGTACAACGTAGATAGATATATAGATTGAAGGCAACACAGCACTGCACTCAGTATGCAAGTTCTGGATGACGATCATTTCTCGCAGAAAGACACTTGAAACTGAGTTGGAAGACCATCGACATCCGCGTGGTTGCATAGAGCTCCATTGTAATTATGATTGACATCAATTGTACCAACGACATTTCACTTTCGCTTAGAGAGGTTCACTCTTAATGGCCATTCACAGCAGGCATTGCGCGGTAAATTTCTCCGCGACGGCAGAAGGATCAGCGCCCCCCTTGCTTATTCGTATCAAATCCGAATCGATAAGGGCAATGAACTGAAGGGAACCGCAGGCATAATTGGGGTACCCATGTTTCGAAGATCATCGCTCGAAACGAACCCGCTCTGGGAATCGTTCGTCCACAGCTCAGCAAGCGGGTCCGCAGCCCTGAGTGGGATACCCACGTCGTGGGATTAGTGAGCAGGGTATCAGGGATTGTAGTCATGACGATGGGGCACTGATATGCTTCAATAACTAGTCAATGCTTTCATTGCCAGTGTTTTTTTGCCATCGATTGAGTGAATCCTTGAGTCACCGTGCGCGCGGTGATTACTCGGACTAGGGGTTTGGAGGGATTTGGGGCACCGCCTATGAATTCTCATGATTGGGATCAGCGTCCGATCTTCGGGTTTTGCTTTCTTTCGGGGAGATAACGCCCTCGGGATGATTATTCTGTTGTTACCAGGGCGATGAAGAAGAAAAAAAAAAGGGCAACACTGGAAATCCGAGCCTGCCTCGTATGCATAATTGTGCATGAGTCATGTAAGTTTAGTTGCAGGGATTCGGGCAGCAGGAACAATAGGATTCTTCTTCATTTGACAATTAATTCTTCGACTGGAATCTCGATCGGGTTTATTTTTGACACTATTGATTTCATTATCAGCTACTGACAGCTCGACCAAACCATGGATCGGGGACAATGACAATTGACAAGCGAAGGGGAAAAAAGTGGATTATGTAGACTAGTGTGCTTTGGACTTCCCACTTTAGCCGGCATTCATGCAAGCCTCGTCTTTGCGTCTTTAATGATCCTTCGATAATTTTGACAAGAGTTTGAATTTGTCTCGATCTGCAGACAATAATTTGAGTCTTGCCCTATTGCGAAGATATGTACAATCTTGTGCTATGTGAGATAAAACGTTAGGGTTATTCCAATCCCTCCAACCCCCAAGTAAGCAAGAAAAGGAGGACTTCCTATTGTAGTTTAACCACGTGGCCAGTTCCATGGATCAAGCCCATTTATAAACGAATTAAAGTTGAGTTTTGGAGCCCAATTCTCAATTCAAAACATGGCTAGCCCGTGTGACAATCATTGAGATGTCTGTCTATAAGGGCTCAAGCATGATATCCCGTGCCACACTTTTGTGGGCCTCCAGGGCTTGACTTCCAAGATTATACCGGAGTATTGGAGTAATATGCTAATTCCTTCTGATAATAGGAACAGATAAGATACATTCCTACAGATTAATATCACATTATATAGCCACTGATCATCAGCCGTGGACTATGTCCGTGATGTCTGTGTCATGACAGACATGATAGGATTTCTGGATGTTGCTTGCAGGTGGGTATGAGATGGGGCCCGCTAACGTTTTCAAGGCCTGGTCAACCACCCTGACGGGACGAATATTTCCTGTAAACTAGATAGTTCCATTCTTGCCCGATAACTTAACCTAGTCAGCCCCTCTGGTGGCTGAAAAGCGATCAAATTGGCCTAATGCAAATAATCTAGTCTATTACTTGGCATTTATCCCCTCTCTTTTCTTTTGTCTCTGCATTGGTTTGTCCCCTCTTGTCTCTCCTTTGTATTAAGAAGCGGGCAACGCCCACGAGCACCGTATCCTCGGGAGCTTTAAACTGAAGCATTGACAAAGTGGTCCTGGTTCCGGTTCATCCTTATTACACACAAGGAGAACACTGCGGTTGCTTTCTCTCGACGCATTAAATTCCCAATCGATTATTTTTATACAGAATCCGGCTATCACTCGTTTATATAGGCCTTTCATGACACGATGACTACACTATCAACACCCCGCGGCCGCCAGGCCCTCGCCGCTAGCATTGTTTTTACGGTTCTGGCAACGGTCATTACCACAGTTCGTATCTATACACGTGCATTTCTAGTCAAACAGATGGGAGCCGATGACTATGTTATCCTGGTGTCTCTTGCCTTCTCATGGGTTTTCTTCGGCCTAATGGTTGGCGGTTAGTCTCAGTCCAACTCTTCACACATGCAATATCTAACAGCCATCAAGAGGCCTACCATGGCATGGGCGAGCACTACGCTCTTATTCCCGCTGCGATATATAAGACTCAAATGATCGTACGTTATTCCCAAGAAGAGTGTATAGACATGGCCTACGCAACACCTCACTAACATGAAATGACATACAGTGCTTCTGGGCATCTGTTCCCATTTACCAAACAAGCCTCATCAGCACAAAGATGTCAATCCTTCTCCAATATAAACGAGTTTTCTCCACGCCACGCATGCGCCTAGCCTGTTGGATCTTAATTGGTTTCCTCGGTGTCTACGGAACATGGACCATTGTCAGCGCCTGGGCCAACTGTGTGCCCTTGGCCAAGTTCTGGGATCCAACTATCCCAGGCTTCTGTCTGGACAAGAAAGCCTTGTGGTTCTCCAACTCGGCTATTCACATCATTACCGATATTCTCATCTTGGTATATCCCATGCCTGTACTCAAGTCGCTGCAACTGCCTAGGAAGCAGAAATTCGCTCTTATGGCTGTTTTTGCGCTCGGTGGATTGTGAGTTTGCATACGATCCATCTTCTTCACACGGTGTATATGATGCTAATAGTCTACAGCGTTTTAATCACCAGTGTTCTTCGTCTCAAATCTCTTCTGGTCATCTCCAACTCTACTGATCCAACTTGTGAGTACCAGCAACACAATCAGAGCCATTACGCACACATCTAACAGATCAATCTAGACGACAACGTCGGTGCCGCAGCCTGGTCCGCCGTCGAATGCAATGTGGCAATCATCTGTGCTTGTCTCCCAGGAACGCGCGCGTTCCTCTCCCGACTGCTCCCCCACATCTTCTCAACCCGCAGCAATGGCTACCGCAGCAAAACCACGCGACCAACACGCACCGGTCGCAGTGCTCTCACCGGCAATGGAAACACCCAGGTGCTTGCCTCTGTTGTCGGCGGCCGTGACAAGGGCTACGACCACGACCACGACCTCGAGGCTCTGTCTCCGTCGGGTTCTTCTGTCACTAGCTACACGAAGGAATCGAAGGAGGCTTTCGCTGGCATTAAGGTGACTACCAATGTTACGCAAGAGAGAACTTTGCACCCGAAGATTACTATTAACGATGATACGGAGAGTACGAAGGAGTTGGTGAAGAAGCACAGCTTCTAAATCACCATGACTCGAGTTGGTTGCAGATTCATTCTTTATACATATTTCTTTTCCTTTTTCCTCTGGTGGTTTTTGTCTGTTGTCTCGCATACCCATGTTTTTCTCTGGGCGGTCTTGTCTTACATTGTTTTTGCTTTTTATTATTTTATGCGGCGATGTTCTTATACCCATCTTTACAGGCAGGGCTATGCTTCTAGCATGACCGCTGGTTTTTGTTATTTTATAATATTAAGTTACGCTTTACGCAAATGATCAAGGCGCAATTTCAATCTTTGTGTAGTTCGCGGAAACCGATAAGAAATCGAATTGAAGAGGGATTGCGTGAAATTATATCTCACAAAAGAGACAAGAAATTACAAGAATTAGATCGAAACTCATCTTCGAAAACAACATACAAAGTCGTCAGGCGCAAGCTCTAGGGTATATTATGAATGGATTGTAAGCATGTAGAAATATGCCAAAGCAAACAAAAGTGAGCTAATCTTTCAACATGCATGAGACCCGCCCATCGTACAATCGGAACCTGCCCGCAATTCATCGAGAATCAGGACTCGTTACAAAGGGAGGACCGTAGGAATAAGAAAATAGGCAGGTCTTCGATCTAAGCAAAGAGTCTCAAACAAGATGAACATCAGTATATGCATTTTGCATGCATAGTTGTTCTTTTTCAACGCGCACATGTCATCACACATGCAAATAACGGACCCTGATGTTGCCCGTTGAATAAAGCCTCAATTCAGTATAAATAAATAGAGAAATGATGTCTTTCACTCCCAGACGTTGGAGAAGAGGTCATCAGATCCCCCAAACCCACCAGCAGGCTTGCTGTTGTTGGTAGAAGGATTTGGGTTGGAGACGGGAGCAGCGCTAGCCCAGCCACCAAAATCCTCATCGGCCGCTACAGTGGGAGCGGATTTGGGGGCCGCACTTGGGGCACCCCAACCATGACCCATATCGTGTGGGGTTAATGTGTCAGGGACCTTCATCATGGACGCAGTTGAAGGTGCAGCAGCAGCAGGAGAGGGTGCGCGATCAGGCGTACTCCACGCATTGCCACCCCATGGGTCGAGGCTTCCAGACATAATGCTGGCTGCGGCAGCGTTTGCGGCGCTGGTAGCTGGCGCTTTGGGAGGGGCGAGAGGTTGCATCGGGGGTGCGGAAATATTGAATGCAGAATTCATTTCTTGCTGTGGAGATGTTGCAGCAGACTTTGGGGGAGAGACCGTTGCTTGGGGCGCGGAAGAGGTCGAAGAAAGCCCAAACAGATCATTCGAAAGGGATGACGATGGAGGGTTAGGCTTAACAGTTGGGGATGTGAAGCCACCAAATCCGAAATCTTGTCCATTTGAGGACACAGAAGTAGTGCGAGACTGGGGCTTCGGGGTATGGGAGGAAAAGCTTTCAAAAAGGTCACCCCGAGCAGATCCGGAGGGTGATGTGACCTTCGGAGCCGCAGGAGTTGACTTAGCACCACCGAAAGATGCAAGGTTGGAAAATGCAGAGGGTTTTTCCACTGGCTTAGCAGGTGGAGGAGAAGTGGTGGTGGGGAAGCTCAGTCCACTAAAGGCGTCCGTCAGGCCACCCATATGAGAAGCGGAGGGAGCCGGAGGAGAGGCCATGTCGCCGAAAGAGTTGCCTCGCTGATGTTGCACCGGTGGTGCCGGTTGCGGCTTCGCATACAGCGACAGAATTGATTGCTTAAGATCCGGCCGAGACATTCCGGATGGCGCTGCCGGAGTGGATGCTGTGCTAGTTGGGCGAGTGCCAGCAGCGGGCTGAGTGCTACCGAAGAAGTCAAGGCCGAGTAGGGAATCATTGGGCTTGTGAGTCTTGACAGGCGCGGGTTGGGCTTGTCTGGATGGCGCACGCAGAGTAGGATCAGTTGTGCTGGGGCGGGCCGGAGGAGAGATATCATCACCAAACAGGTCAATTGGAGGCTGTTGACGGTGTACCGGGGGCTGACTGGGAGCGGGGAGTCGTTGCGAAGCAGAGCGTTCAATCTTCGCTTTTTCCTGCACAACCGCAAGAGGCTAGTAAGTCAGTGACTGCTGCCCGCTTCATAATTCATCATGCGACCACTTACAACGTCGTCATCGCCGTCATCTAGGGTGGAGGGATCTGGGATTTCATCCTGCAATACCCATCGCTTGCTCTCATACTTGGTCCGGATGAAGTTCTCAATTTTCCTGTTGGTGTGACCTGTCAGTAAACTGTCGACCAACGAGAGGATGCTGGGTGCACTCACGCCTCCGAAGGAACATGGCCAGGTGCCAATTTCGCCTCCCAATACCTACATCTTGTAAGTACAGTCCTGATAACCGGTCAATCGGTCGTGACAAACTTGTTTCCTCTTGAATTGCCCCATTTGACCACGCTCTGAAGTTGTTCATCGGTCCAAGCATCGAGATCCACGGACTTGACTCGGCTGATATGCGTGCCCATACCCCTGTGAATGCCCGAGCAGCGAATGCAAACAAAAACACCCAGATTCCAAGAGGCCCATCGCGGATCTATGACAAAGGCGATTCAGTATATTAATGCCAAGATGTAGGCATCGCAATGAAGCCAGAGTGTACGCAACTTCAAGGAGGGGATCGGGGACTTACGCTTGTTCCGTTTACAGTCGGCACATATCTTGTTGTGCTCAAGTCTCAACAAACCCTTGATGGTTTGCGAGTTTTGGGCGGCTTGCCCGGGGGTCGGACGTCGAGACATAATACTATGCAGCGACTCAAAGGTTGATGGTAAAAGGGAGAAACAATGAGGGCGACCTAATTAATCTTAGGTGGCGGTCGGCAGGGTTGCCGCCTAAGGCTGCAGGGGTCATACGGATGGGCGAAAATGCCAATCGCGCAGTTTGATGTAGAGTGAGGATGAAGTCATGGAGCAAACATGAAAACTATTCAGAACAAATACTCGCATTGGCCTATTGGAGAAGAAGCGTCTGCAATTACTGCATGAGTTGATTTTATAAATATGGTGATCCACCCCCCAACGACGCCTTTTATCATGCATGTCGGCCCTTGTGCAGCTTATTCTCCACAACACCTAAATAACACTCAAACCAAGATATCTCAAGCCTTGGCCTTTGGGTTTTGAGCACCAGAGTCCTCAGAGAAGCGCAGGCTGACACTGTTTACACAGTGGCGCTCATCTGTAGGAGTCTTGTACCCCTCACCCTCGAATACATGGCCCAGATGGCCCCCGCAATTGCTGCAGACGATCTCCGTCCGCTTCATACCGAAAGTACTATCCTCGTGTCTGGTCACAGCACCGGGGATGGAGTCAAAGTATGCAGGCCAGCCACATCCAGACTTGAACTTGTGATCAGCGGTATAGAGCGGTGCATCACAACCTGCGCAGTTGTAAACGCCTTTTGACGGGTAGTGGGAATCGTACTCGCCGGTGCCGGCGCGCTCGGTTCCCTTTTCGCGGAGAATGCGGAACTGCTCTATTGTTCATTGATATGAGAATTTACTGGAATACAGCGGAGTGGTTTGGGGGATTCCCTTGTGGGGTACATACCTGGGTTGAGGACTGCCCTCCACTCCTCTTCGCTTCGCTGATCGGGGTGTGACATGACCTCGGAGGAATTTTCGGTGTTGCGGTTGGAACTAAAGAAAGCACCGAAAAATGGAATAGCCGGTGCAGCTCTGAGGGTGCTTATGCCTGTCTTCGGAGGGGACTTGCGCGACGAATGGGACAAAAGTCGAGAGGGTGTGGCGAGGCGGGTTGAGATGATCTGAGGTCTGAGAGGCGGGGTGATATTGCGATATAATTGAGACCGCATGGAGTGGGATACTTCGGAGAAAAGGTTGAAGACTCGGCACAATCTATATTGTAGTAAGCCGCTAGAGTGATCTCGGGAGCTCGAGAGAAAGCCTTGGAGTGTAGAAGGTCAAGTGGGGTGAGACTAATCCCGATTTGGCACATTTACATCATCATGCGGGGAGATGAGTCGGGGACTGTATAAGGTCTAGACTGATACATTTATTAGGGCAAAAAAACAAAACAAAGTATACTTCGTTTCTTCTCGTGCTACAATTGATATGTTGCGGTTGCATAAAGGCGGTCCGTTTGACAAAAAGCATTACTTATTTTAACAAGCCCAAGGTTTCCCCTGGGAAAACTCCAGACGTGCAGGGGTATCTTAAAGAAAAACATTACAAAACAAAAGGCAAGAAATAAAAGATACTTAACGTCTCTCCCTGCCAACCACCAACATGGAGCCCCGATCCAATTCCACACGCCACCCCTCATTTCGCAGCATGTTCCACACCGCAGGCCCGAGATGAGACTTACGGTCCTGGGAGTGGTTACCAACACCGCACACAATCTTGAACCCACCGTGAGAGTCCCGTCCCCCGCCGCGGATGTACTTTTGATCACCCAAGGCCTCCCACCATTCCTCAACTCTCCGACGGGATATTCTGATTGCATTGGCGACGTTCACACCATGCAGATCCAAATCACAATTCGTCGACTGTCTGGCCACCAGTCGGTCGGAGGCAGTTGCTAAATGACGCATCGCTAGCTGACGCTGCTCATTTCCGACCTCGCGATAATAGGCGGATGCGCCACCGTAAAGGGGATTCGACCGAGCACGACGAGCTGAGTGGGCTGCCTGGGCCAGGGCAGTTGAACGGGCTGCAAAGTGGGAGGAAGCAGCCGCTGCCGCTTGACCAAAGTCCATGAAATCCGAGGAGTCATCTGTCTGATTGCTGGGTGTAGTGTTTTGGTCGTGCTCTTCGAGGACAGGTGGAGCTGAGACGAACGTGATGATATTTGAGATCGAGCCCACAGCGGGTCGACGGGACAAAGTCTCAGCCAACTCCTCTGCGCTTTGGGTATCATTGCTGGTGATACGTATCAAGCCAGCCAATGTAGTAGGTTGGACACCGGGGTACTTGTGTACGAGATCCCCTACTTGCGTAACAAGTACGGGGTCATCTTCGATCTCACGGGTGTCCTCGGGCGCATGGACATGTGCCAAGTCTCTTATGGTTGCACTGAGCGACATTGAGTTTGCATGATAAGTCGAGGCAATCTTCTCCCTCTGCAAACTGCAAGCTCGCGAGGAAATGAACTCAATGTCCCGCTTGCCGCTTTCCCATTTATTGGTTAAGGGGCCAGGCGTAGCCTGGGAAGATAGCTCGACTAGACGCTGCTTCTGCTGCTTGTTCTTCTTCTTGTGGGGCTTTTTGTTGCCATTTTGATTTTCTTTGGCCTGGAACCCATCGATTGACTTGGGGACCATGTGACCAAAGCCTTCTGTGGTCTCTTCAGGGGTTTGTTGAGATATACCTCCTGCAATTTGTGTCTCTTCGATAAAGGCAAGATTCAAGAGAACGTCCATTGCACGACTGAGGTTATTGTGACAATCTTCAAGGATCCGCTCCGCCTCCAAGCGAGTGATACTTGGGAACATGCCGATTAAGTTCTGGGCCTTTTCGGCTGTTTCCATGCGCAAAAAGTTATCCGCACGCCGAGAGTCTTCGGCCTTTCGGCAACCATTGCTACTGCTAGAATCGCCAGTTTCCAAGTCAAGATATTCAGGCCAATTTGAGGGGTCTGACTGTAGCCCGCCGCTAGATGGCTCTGTTTGTGGCGACCCTGAGCTGTCGGAGTTTCTAAGGTTTGTTGTGCCCGTAGGGTCAAATGGAAGGTCTTCCTGTTCAGCCGCAGATACCTTTAACACATCTAGGGTTTCCCGCAATTGCTCAACCTGAGCTGGAATTGCCAGGTCAAAGTCCAAAACAATCGCTTGAAAGAGTGCCGGATCAATCGGGGGGCAGTAAGTGCCTGTAAGTTCCTGCAAAGAAAATCATAACAGTCAGACTACAACGTGACAATTATGAAGGCCAGTACTGGTAGGCCTATAGCACTCTTTGCGACGCGACGTACCTTGACAAGGGTGTCACTAGAGTTCTCCATCATCGATATCACAACTTTGGCAAAGTGGCAGATATATCAAGTGTTTCATCACCTGGAGATAGCGCTGAAGCCCCAGAACCCTCAGATGGGCTATTTTTGCAACGCGAAAAGTGGAAAAGTGGCTTTTTCCGATGATGAGGGATCTGATAACCCCCCGCGATAAGATAAGAATGCCATGGGGTATTCTAAAGGTGTGTCACGTGTATAAACAAGTCACGTGTATAAATCTCCGAGTCACGTGCTTCGGAGAAGAATCATGCGATGACGTCACATGCCTTGCTCAAAAGGTTTCCATGGTAAATCCAAAGTCTACCCGACTTCTCTACTTACTTCAACTTACTCAATGATGATCGGCAAATAAATTCAAGTATCATTTCAAAAATTAAGCCTTTTTTTAACTAAAAACCCTTTGAGTTTGAGTATAGCTAATTTGAGCCAGCTGCTTCCACTGATATGCTAAACAATACATCCCAGCAGTTGGCTGCAACTTGACTTCGTGCATGCAGTCTTGGCCATTATGTGGCTCACCCAGCACCAATAGAGCCATAGAGCCTCTTCGATCTAGAAATTTCTATTGAATTACCCAAGTCTCAATGACAGGTAGAAATTCACAGAAAAAAAGTGTCAGTAGGCGTTCTCTTATCAAATATAGACATATAGAAGCACTGATGCTTATATGAAAGACCAAATCTATACCTAGATATGGAAACGACGATCGGCAGTCTACATATCTAGGTAGCAGGCACCATATTTTGGAGTGGATATATAGAGCAATGCTCGAACTAGGGTATACCTAGGTAGCTGTAAATCCAATCCTATCCATGTTGTAAGGGATATTAGATTTTTCTGGCATTCAGCATGGTGCTTTGAAAAATAAGGTAAAGCCTTGGGACAAAAGTGGAAAGAAACCCTTTAGGTACTAGGAGAAAGACGTAATAAAAACTCTTTTTGGCTAGTGCGTTGGACTTCGTTCTCCTAAAATCGGGATCTGGCTCCGACATTTAGCATCTCGACGTTTACTTCGGTGTCTTCCTCCTATGACCCAAAAAGGCTATTATAAACATATACCACCACGACCAGCCGAGTTTGGTTATAATTCTGATTACGAGTGTCCCTGCTTTCCTTTCAAGGGTTCTGAACCTTTAATCATGTCTTTGCAGCATCTTCGATCAAAAAGATTATTCATGTCGCCATTCAACGCCCAGTCCTCACACGATATCTCAAGTGTCGCCTTAAGATACATAGCGAATGCAAAGCGAAGGAAGTTTCATTGTGTTCTTGACTTTGGGATAACTTTGGTATAACCTTAGTTCGAGCGAGAAAGAATGGGAGAGCCGGTTGAATGGGAAACACTGAATCTCATTTGATATTGTCGTCACCTGATGTATCAAGTAGTAATCTTCTTACCATGTGCTTCTCACCTTCTTCCTGATACTTCCTCTCTATCACTTAACTTTCCACTCCTCTTGTTTATCAATCTACTCAGCACTCGTTCTGAAATCTTAACCTAAGTCATTCACGGCGTTTCCTTTGAAGTCATGTCCCGCATTGGGGATTTCGATTACCTACTCGGTACCCATGTCACGCTTGACCCGCCCTCGCCGTCGCCCCCTCAAACCTTCGTCCTTGAGGAGATACTGTCGGAAGAATATCAGAGAGTGACGCAACACGAATATGATCGAGGGGATGGGCATCCGTTCGCCGCTATCAAGTTCTCTTGTCGCAATGTTGCGGACCCAACTCAGCAGGGATTTATGCGGATCTATTATCAGATCCCAGTGGACGGTACTTTTCGGAGCCCTCCTGAAGTCCGGGCTCGACAAGCCTTACACCAGCGTACTCACGCCGAGCTTAAGGCGCTTACGAGTCTCGACAACGCAGACTGTACCGCAGTACCGCAACTCCTTGGCTTAAGCGAAATGGTACAAGTCGCCCAGGACTACGTGCCTGGTGGCTATATCAACTACATTGCCTGGGCACGAGTACCTGGGGAGCCTATTGACTTTGATTCTTATTGGGAAGGCGACTTGAAATACCGAAACGAGGTGCGTGCCATCTTCCGCGCCACTTACGAGTAAGTATATACCTCTACATTGTGAAATATATGTACTACCACAATGTAGGGAGCTGAACCGGTGTCACTGGGAACCAAGGATTGGCACTCCTGATAATCTGATTTATGATGATATCGATAGCACGATGTAAGTAGTCCTGTCTAACCCCACGATCGCCGATTATGATCAACTAATCATTATAGGCATATTGCCGGATTCCGTGATCCTGTGGAAACAAAGGAACAGCCATTTTCGGATGTTACTTACGCCTGCTGGGGTTTAGCTAGGCCATCTGATCGGATAGACTGGGATCTTGATAGCTCCGATTGGAGATGGTAGTCTATAGGCTCCTAAGACAATCGGGTTTCTTTCGTATCTAATGAGATTTCAACGCTAGAAATTGATGGCAAACTACGTACTTTGTTCTGTCTATTCGTACACCCCTGCCTGGTATGTCCATAGTAAGACTTCTCAAGTCCCAACAACCCAACGAGCACTCTGGTTATTGGCAGTATTAGCGGCACTTGCTAATGTACAAACGTAAAACATGCACTGTTTCGTCGAGACCTGTGATAAGGCAAGATGAATCCCCTAGGCGTTCGTAGGTGTTGGTGTATAGCAGCTAGACGAGGAGATAGGTTCGGAATACCATACCTCCCAAACCCCTGGAGCTGACTCAAACTACCGTAGGAAGATTGTGTCCTCGTAGGTACTAATGAAACCGTACTCACAACCCAGACATTGCATGTCCCTCAACGGCTGTGCAATCTTCTGCCTTAGGCCAGGGATTCCCCTCATAGCAGTCCGTAGATCATGCTTCGCCACCCAAGGTACCTTCAACTCGCCGACCAGTTTAACATCAGTGGTACCGCCCTCACTTCGTAAGCCGACAACGTCGGGAGGATACATATAAGTACTTCCTGAGCACTTGAAGTCGGCGAAACATAGTCTGACCGAACAGGCCTCCAGGACCGCCACAAGTGCTTCGCCAGTAGCCTGTTGGAAGCAGCCCTGGAGTCCGTGTTCATCTCCTATATGAACTCGAAAGGGTTGGGTAGTGTGGAGGCCAGGGGCATGCGGTGACGTTGTTTCCCTTCTTGCCCAATTTTGGCTTTCATGTACAGCTTGAACATTTTGGCGGAAGTTGTTCCACGGGACAAGGGTGCCCACAAAAGACAAACGCTGCAGCGCACTAAAAACCGTATGATGAGGGCCGATTTTGAGTGGTGGCAGTGGCCCTTCCACAATGTGCTTGGCCCATATGGTAGATGCCATCTTTGGCGGATGCCACAGAGAGAGCGCCGAGGACGGCGAGCTTATGGGTGACAATAGAATCGCATTAAATGAAAGCCGGACCTGGCAAACTGCTTTGTTAGCATGGATTCGATATGACTTGCTTACGTTGATCCTTGAACAGATCTTACCTTGTTGATTTTTTGAAAATGGTGGGTCGCTTGATGGTCAAGTTTTGTGGTAGTAGGCCCGAAAAAGGAGGAGAGCGTGCTTGAGGCTGGGAGGAAAAGGGAAGATTGGAAAGGTGCCAAATATTCTCTATGATCAAAACCCCAAGCTTTCCAGTGTACCTATCGTTATGCGAGGAACTATCACTTAGGCCTCACCTAGAGACTGTGCCATATGGTAACTGATTCTTGCAAAAGCTTTCAGTCATCTAATCCATAATGTTTCTACAGACACAGTGTAAAGTCAAAGGTGGAAATAGGTTGAAGATTGGTCTATTCCTAAATAAAAGACTCAGTGACAGTTTTCCTGTCATTATCCCAGAGGGAATCTGTCAATGAGACGACCAACCAGAATGCAAATATGTGATCCACTCGTGTGAAAACACCAAGCGCCGAAATAGAAAACAGGACGAGGTATAAACTTGAAGCACTAGAATAATAACGACAGAAACAAGAGAAAACGAGAACCCCAGGCGCTATGCGAAGAGAAAAATCAGAGCATGTGCACAGACAAAATATATTGCAATACTCAAGACCAAAGGGCCATGACACCGGAACATAAAAAACATAAGCATCAAGAACAACCTTCCAGGCCAAGATGACAGTTTACCTTCCTGAGTGTAATTGAAATCCAACGAGTGCGCAAGTAAAGATACGAGCCTGGCTTGTGGTTTGGTACACGGAAACTTTTGAAAACGTTCGAAGGAATATGGGTAATGTATGAGAATGGCGAAAACACGGCTTGAGTGTACATGTTCTGGAACATTTGGAACGGGCAAAAAGCATGGGTATTTCCGTGCGCTGCTAAAGACGAGAAAGCAGAAATGCGGGAAAGAGATACAGAAAGGAATCGAGTGAAGACGCCGGCTCCGGGTTCACCACATATCATCGTCATCATCGTCATCCAGTTGGACATCGTCGCCAAAGGACGAGTGTCCGTACTGGTGGTGCCCTGGCCCGTAAGCCTGGCCGTTTTCATAGCCTTGCTTGCTGCCTCTCGACTGGGCGCCGTAGCGATCATGTGAATCGTCGTCATAGTCATACATGGAAGAATCATCGTATCCGCTTTCCCCATAGTGGTGCTGTTCCTGAGCCTGTGGCGTTGTCTGTTAGTATACATGATCTTCTTCCTTGTTCATTTTTCTTTTCATAAAGAGTGCGATTCGCTTACCTCTTGGTATCGCTGATATTGTGAGTACTCATCTGGTTGGTCTCTTGACCTTGAAGATCTCTGGGATGACCCAGAAGACCCAGTCGATATTTGCGGGTGCATTTGTTGGACCTTGGCCAGGTATGAGTACATGAAATTGCTCAGCAACACCTGCGAGTACAGCGCTCTTCGGGGGTTCGCAAGTTTGATATGTGCCATGCGGTAAATCGCTCTCTCCTCCAATATTGAGAAGCGAGTCCAAGGATAATCAACATCAGCACGAAGCACCCGCGTTGGGGGATCAGGGGACAAATTTCGGGATGAATGCTTGCGGTGGTGTCCTTCAACACCGTGCTTCTTTCGACCTCCACCAAAGATGGAGGAGAAGATACCATCCTTTTCTTTCTTTGAGTCCCCTGATGTCCTCCTCACGCTGTCCTTGCGACGTTCTTCTTCTAGCTTGGGGTCGAGACGGTCCAACACGAGACTTTCACGTCCTCGAGGAGTGCTTTCGATTGACGATTGCAAAACATCGAGGCGTGTGTTGTCGTGGGATTTTTCAATGGTTTTCGATTTGCTCTTTTTCGAGTCACCGTCTTTGTCCTTCTTCTTATCCTTTTCTTCACTGCCCAATAACCAATGCCAACTAGACTTGCGACTACCTTCAGTGTCTTTTTTATCCTTTGATTTCTTGCCTTCTGATTTTCGTTCTTCTGATTTGCGTTCCTCCGCCAGCGTGGGAATGAACGAGAGACTATCAGTGCGGGTGCTGGTGCCAGGTATCATCTGAGGGTTATTGGCAAAGTCATCAAGCGACTTTGTGGGTTGGTGAGGCGGCTGACGGATGTTCTTCGGGCGTTTGGGCGCTGAATCGGGCGAGGAGGAAGGTTTCTCTGGCTGTGTCGGCGTTGCAGCTTGATCCGATGACCGACTCCGTTGGGAAGGCGGGCTTGGTATGCGGGTCGTTTCGGCAGCGGGAGGCGTTTCAACGATTGCGGGAATCTTCTTATCCTCTGGGGCTATATTCAAAGTGGACCGACCGTTCGAGCTGATAAGAGAATGCCATTGCCTTGAATTGTCCGAGTCCCTCGAGACGTGTCGGTCCACGGCAGCATCTCCATGCCCGCCGGACTTGAACAATTCTTGCTGTTCGGCCTGGGGTTGATCAGGAATCGAGTCAAATGTGGAAGTCGTGGAGGGAGCAGGAGAATAAGCCCCGCTACGTGATGAAGCGGAGGAGGCTCGTGTCGCTCGTGTCGCTGCCTTGTGTGCATGGTCCGTTGAAACGCGAGTCGATCCCAGGATGGACTGGTCTTCATGTTGATGAAGGGTCTTGGAATTTGTGTCGCTTCCTGCAAATTCAGATGCCCCCCGTCCAACACGTTTAGAATAGGGTAATTTCTCGCCTTTTTTCAAACTCCCTGCTTTGATATACTGTGTTCGAGTGGACCGACGAAGGCTGTTTTGCAGAGGCGCGGGCGGTAGAATCGGTTTATCTTCATCCCTGATGCCGACATTCTGCATACCACGCACGAGGGTATCTTTATCCACTGGGTTCGAATCATCCACCAAGGTTTCTAACTGCTGTAAGTTAGGACTCAGCATACCATCTCGTTTAATAGACTGCGAGCGTTGACGCTCAAGTCGATCGGCGCCATCCGTATAGCCGGAAGAATTGTCGATCTGCCTTGATAACATAGACCGCTTGCGGTTGAGACCACCTGTCGACCCTTTACGTTCCGTGGAATGATCTCCAGACCTGCGCTTGATCTGATCCGCTTTGCTGTCAAGAAACGATTTGAACTCCTTAGGGGCAAGCTCAGGGTGCAGTCGCGCGGGGACCCAAAACAACCGGGAGGCGTCATCTTCGTCGGCTGAGGGGGAGGGGGGGGAGAGAAGCCTGGGAGGTCAGGGTCACCGGCGGCGGCCACGTCCATAGACATGCGTCGAATCGCAGCAAGATTGTTCAGTTCTTGGGCAACGGCCGCGGGGTTCGACTCGTAGTCAATGTCGTTAAGGGGAAAGGAGGAGGTTGCGGTTTCAGAAGGCGACCGAGTTCCATCAGCGAGTCCGGAATCACTCCCCCTTTCATAAGACCAGTTTGCGACCAGAGGTGGTCGCTGCTGTCCATTTTCCGCTATTGTTTGTCCATCCGAGAAAGATTTCTGTAGTGGTGAAGACGGGGAGAGCGACTCGGATCCTGCGGCGGCCCGCGGGATGGTTGTTATCGATTCTCCGAGCGGGGATGTTATATAGCTTAAGCGCTTCGGGTCATTACGATCGTAGTCGTCGTCGTACATATGCCCTATTGCTTCCGTCACATGGTGGCTTGGGTCACTAATGGATAAATGAGGGCCATGACCTCGCCGAGTCGCGTGTCCGGCCTCATGGGCACCCGTGGAGGCCTGCAAGGAACATGGTTAGTACCTGATAACGGTGCCACTTTGAAGTTGATGGATGAAAGGACGAAGTTCGAAATCAAGGGAGGGGTCTGGAAGTGTCCAAAAAAATAAAAAATAAAAGAGACAGCAAAAAAGAAACACACCTGCATGGGAACCAGTTGTACAGAAACCAAAGACTCCAAAGACCCTAGAGCCCAAAGGGGCGGGGAAGCTCAAGATGAGGCAGTCTCAATGTACCAGAGGTAATAAGGAGGAAAGGTCATTGAAGCGGGGGAAACAAAGACACGACATTAGAGGGAAAATCGAAAGGAAAGAAGAAGAATGAGGGTCTTGGGAACATCTTTAGGCGGAGAGAGAAGCTGACTTCCGCACCTGACACACGGATATTATTTGGATGTAATTCAACGAGATTGATTTACTTCTTTCTATATACTACTTGTATACAATATATAGTTATATTATTTTGAAGTCTTTTCATTCTTGGTACTCCGTACTTGGTCTATTTTTTGGGTCTTTTTCTTCTTGTTACCGTTTGGATCCACTTAGGACGATCGAAGATCTACAGTTCTTCTACTTTCTTTCTTTCTTTTCTTAGTATACATTATTGTATATTGCATATTGTACATTCTACTATATCTTGCCTTCTCTTAATTTCTTTGGTTCGGATTATAACGGACTTCAGAGTACTACCTAACTATACGGTTGGCTGATTTGATATGTTTCTTCATGTGACACTACATCCTCACCTCGTACTGACTACATGTAGCTTACATATTTCACATAATTAATTAGAGTAGACTTCATACAAAGCCTCTTACATGGGTCAGTTTTGAAACCCATCTAAAGAGAAAGAACTTTCTATTTGCTATCCTAAACCCATTTGATATTCCTCAGTCACTCAAGAACATGAATCAATAGAATGGGGCCAGGGTAGTGCGTAGTTCCACTCATTTTGTACTTCGGACAATACTGGTACTACAATATACCTCAGAACCGTGTGACTTCATGTAGCTTTTCCGGAACGCTGAAGACAGACTGAGTACGCACTTCACAGATATGCAAGCGTTTCGTTCAAGTTTGATCAGCTGAGAATATCAAGATTGAGAAACTCAAAGGATCCTGACAAAGTGCAGATTCAGGAAATTTATGTGAGCATGTTGAAACTATATTCTTATAATCAGAAGTCAGATCAGGTTTGATTAACCAAAAGGAACTGATACATGCATTCACCTAAAAGAAAGCATAGGCAAAACAATTTCTAGCAGTGACGTCGCAATCAAATAGGAGACTGCACTGCATGAAACCGAAAACATCATGAAAACCAAGGCATACCCACAGCCCCCTCAAGTGAAGAACCACGTATGAGAACAAGAAACTCCACGCTGAATAATGTAAATGGGACCAAAGACTTGACTTGAAAAAGAGAACGGCAAATCTGCAGACGCCAGGATATATTTAGGGCAAGCATGGAAGGTATGTATGTGAATGAATCAAACCTCAGAGAAATGTGCATTGAGTACAATGTTCACCAATTGTGCTGTGTGGGCCAGCAGACAGACACAACCTCAGGAGGCATCGACATAGTTGCTGCAATTATATTAGCTATCATTTGCAAAAATGCAAGAGGCATCACTTACCTAGGGAAGATGCCAACGCGGTCCCCAATGCGACCAGTCCACCAATCTTCTGCACTTTCTGTACGCTTGACAATCGTAATAATTTCACCCTTCTTGAACCCAAGATCACCATCTTGGTCCGCATCGAATGTGTAGAGCGCAACGGCTTGATCTGATCGCATCTGGGCTGCACCTGTTTTTTGCCCGAAGACCGGCTTAGGGGCAGTTGGACGCGTAGGTCGACGATCAGAATAGACATAGTCCTCTTCAAACGGCGCGGTGTTGCTCCGGTGGCGCCCACTGTCGCCGGTAGGTGCCCGGGTTGTCGCGGAGCGACCAACAGGCCGGTCGTAAACATCATCAGCCCACGTGTTTGCACGACGGGGCTTGTCGCGGTAGTCATAGTCATCATCCCCGTTGGTGTTGGACCGGCCGCGCCGGCTGCCTTGGCCGTAGGCCTCGCCTTTTCGTCCCTCCCAGACCACATCGTCGTGACTCTCGTCATAAACAGGCACGTCGTTGTACATGGCGTCACCATATGCCCTAGAGTTTCCTTGGAAAACACGAGAGTTTAAAACGTGCATGAGAGCATCAGCAGCTGGTGGTGGGCGGACGCTGCCAGTAAGCAGCTGGTTGGCGGAGACGCGACTGCGATACAATTTCTCATTGGCATCTTTGCGCTCTACCAGCATACTACCCTCTAAACTGACACCAGCGAAGAGACCCTTGGTTTTGGAGTAGGAGAAGACGGCCGCGACACCCTTGGTGCTGGCGGCTCCAGCTGCTTCGGCATTTCGACCTACAGGTCCAGCAGCGAGTGACACGTTACCACCGAGCGTCAGTGTTCCAAATTGCGAGAATGTGCGAACAGCAGCGGCGTCGTTGAGAATGAAAACGAAGTCTGTCAACTCGAATCCGATCTGTCCTCCAATTCCGGCACCTGCAGTCGCGATGGCTGATGGAGCGGACCAAGTGCCATCGGCAAGACGGGCGACGACGACACCGGAGCCAAATCGACCAGAGCCCAAGAATCCGGCCTTCAGAACGGTAAGAATTGCAAGACCCTGCGTGGGAAAAGATTTGTTAGCGATGAAATTCTCCATATTAAGATAGTGTTTTCGTACCTTTGCGCCGGCCAGGATCTCCGGGGGAATGACCTTGTCAGGACCGAAGGCTTGCTTGGGGTCCACGAAGGATGTCAAAATCTTTGCGGCCTTCTTGCATTCGCCTGTTTGAAGAGCGGTCGCTGTTAGCCGGAGATGCCGCACACGACTGCGGGGAAGTGGGCTATTGAGATTGTAAACTTACTGCCCATCGACGACGGGAGCGGATTGTTGATCCCGAGAGGCATCTTGGAGGAGTTTTGTCGAGGTAGAACAAACTAAAACTCGACCGAGGGAGAGAGTAATGTTGGGGAATGAGGAGTGGCTATTGATCGGGCTCCCAGAGGTAACGGTTAGTCAGTGGGGTGTGGGCCTGATGACGGCTGACACGGGACGCCGGTTCGTGGGAGGCTCAAGATGTGTAGATTGTACCTCGCAAAACTCCGAGTTCCACAAACGATCGTCAATTGCCGAATTCTGGATGAGCTCGAAGACTTGCTTTGCTGCCTTTGGTTTTCAAAATTTAATGAAATATTGAGGAGAGTTGCTCATTTCCCCGCGTTGAAAAGTGGCGCAGCAAAGCAACTGTTGCTTGGCGATTTAGTAAATTCTTACTATTTAGAGAAAGAAAAGAGAGTTGTATAAGTCAAAAGAAGTGGTCAAACGCATTGCCTCTTGATATAAAAAGGTCGCAACATCTACGGAGTACTTTGTAGAGACATAGTATTTTAGCACGTGCAAGCTGCCCCAAATGCCAAGACATATCTGTTATCGTATTGCGATTGTCTCCGAATCTGAATCCAACTGCTCACCCTCCATCCACCCTGTTGTCACTATAGCTATGGTTGGTGTGAACATTTGGTGAATTGCTAGGTGCAAGAATGGCAACAGGTATGTGAGATCTCTTGTTCCCTAAAATACTGCTAATATGATGTCGATGCAGTTCGGATTTGCGTCTGCGGCGACGAGGGCACGGGCAAATCCAGCCTCATTACCTCACTCGTTAAAGGTGTCTTTGTCACAAATAAAATTCAACCAGTTCTCCCTCAGATTACAATCCCTCCTACTCTCGGAACCCCCGAAAATGTCACCACCACTACAGTCGTTGATACATCCGCCCTACCGCAGGAACGCAATAATCTCGCGCGAGAGATCCGGAAATCAAACGTGATTTTACTTGTTTATTCTGATCACTACAGCTATGAGCGGGTAGCTTTGTTTTGGCTGCCTTATTTCCGCTCATTGGGTGTTAATGTTCCAGTGATCCTGTGTGCAAACAAGTCTGACCTCGGGACGGGTCATACGCAAGTGGTCGAGGAAGAGATGCTACCGCTGATGGCAGAATTTAAAGAAATTGACTCGTGTATCCGCACCAGTGCCCGTGAGCACCGCAATGTGAACGAAGCCTTCTTTGTCTGCCAGAAGGCTGTAACCCATCCGATCGCCCCGTTGTTTGATTCCAAGGAGTCATCTCTGAAACCAGCCGCAGTGGCAGCCCTACAACGAATATTCTATCTGTGTGATAAAGACCGCGACGGATATTTATCGGACAAGGAGATCAAGGATTTCCAAACCCGCTGCTTTGGAAAGGCCTTGAATGAAGATGATCTTGTTCACATCAAGGACACTATTCAAAAGAGCTACCCGGAATCAGTTACAGAGTCCGGCATCGATTGTCAGGGGTTTATTCATTTAAACAAATTATATGCAGAGAAAGGGCGTCATGAGACAGTTTGGATTATCTTGCGAGCCTTCCAGTACACAGATAATCTCTCCTTGCAGGAGAAGTTCTTGCACCCCAAGTTCGAAGTTCCCCCATTTGCCTCCGCCGAACTATCCCCGGAAGGATACAGGTTCTTTGTCAACCTCTTTCTGCTATCTGATAAAGACAATGACGGTGGCCTGAACGAAGCTGAGCTTGAATTGTTGTTTGCTCCAACCCCCGGCTTACCTGCATCATGGGCGGATGGTTCATTCCCGTCGTCTACTGTCCGCAACGAAGCAGGACATGTGACACTACAGGGCTGGCTTGCCCAGTGGAGCATGACAACCTTCCTATATCCCAAGACCACTCTCGAGTACTTGGCCTATCTGGGATTCGAGCCATCTGACCAAAGTGATCAATCCATCACGGTAGCATTGAAAGTCACAAGACCTCGCAAAAGGCGGCGGCGCCCCGGTCGTGTGGGACGTAATGTTGTACAATGCCATGTTCTGGGAGCCCCTGGTTCCGGAAAGTCGGCTTTGCTGGATGCGCTCCTTTCGCGCGGATTCAATACGACCTATCACCCTACAATTCAACCTCGTACCGCCGTGAACACAGTTGAACTTCCAGGTGGAAAGCAGTGTTACTTGATTCTGGATGAACTAGGTGAGCTAGAACCTGCTCTCTTAGAAAACCAGGCGAAACTGCTCGATCAATGCGACGTGATTGCATACGCGTATGATTCTTCAGACCCGGACTCTTTTGCCTACATCCCTGCCTTGAGGCAAAAGTACCCCCACCTGGAGGAGCTTCCAAGCGTTTTTGTTGCCCTCAAGGCCGATTTGGATCGAACCACTCAGCGGGCGGAGCACCAGCCCCATGAATACACGGCCATGTTGAACATGCCCAGCCCACCACTCCACGTCAGTGTCACCTGGAGCTCTATTCAGGAGGTGTTTGTCCATATCGCAGAAGCTGCCATGGAACCCAGCACTGCTTTCCCACGTAGCGAAGAGGACGTGGAGGGCAAGTGGATGTCGTGGGGAATTGCTCTTGGAGCGGTGGTTTGTGCAGGCGCCGCTGCAGTGATGATCTGGCGACGAGTTGGCACTGGAAATTAGGGCTCATGTCTGCAATTCATGTTTTCATAGTCATACCCCATTTAATGTTGAACTGAATGTATATTTTCATCAAGATGTTCAATTTCAATTGCCTCCAATATTAGAAATGCCTCCAATCGTAGCCGGTTCGGCCGGAGTTAAGCCCCGCCAGGCACGCGGTTTCTTCTCCGCTCGAACGTTACCCCGGACATCAATCACCTTCTTGCTGATCCCTGCGCCCCCTCTCTCCTCACAGTTGTGTTAATATTCTCTATTTCCTTTTTATCTTCTATATCTTCATCAACCCCTTATAGACCTCCTACTCCTCTTGCATCTATCAACCCTGCGACCCATTTATCGCGCAGTGCCTTTGGCCCCCCTGCAAGTGTCGGGCTTTATCTGCAACCCGTCAGCCACTCATTTTGGACCCATCAGACACCTTCTAGATATCATTGATATCAGTTCTGGAAGAGCAGAAACCTTGAAGTTTATAATAGGCGCACAGCAAAGTTTGCGCATAACCCTTATCGGTTCCAAGGTTGCAGGTGGTTGTCGCACAAGATTTCAGCCTAGGTTCAGATTGAGCCTGTACGAGTGACGTCTGATCATGTTGTAAGGCTCACTTATTTCTCCTGCCTATCTCCTACTTTACCCTTTATTCCACACACTTTAAACAGGGGCATTTTTTTGACACACAATTGCCTGTTGCTCTTGCTGACATTACCGCCAGCGTTCTTCCACCTCCACCTCCGCGCTATACCATCCCTGTCGCTTACGCGGCGGGGGCGGCAAATGGTATGGCGGTTCCTGTTGTTGAAACAAATAATACAATCACTCACCCGGAGCGTGGGTGTCCATTGCAAGTAGGAGAGGGTATGTATTTCTCCCGCTGGTTCTCCGCGATCCGATCACCTCATAAGCCATCGAAATGCTCACATGTGGTCCTGCGATAGGTACATATACCCTTGAAGATGATCTCCTTCTCGCAACTCCACCTCCTCATCCCTCTGAGGCGCCGATCGTCAACCCGAATCCTCTCGCGACAGTGCCAACACCTCCGACCTGTGGCGTGAAACTGTCACTGGTCAGCCTCGATCCCCGAAAGAAGCCCCCGACCTTCTTGAAATCTGCCACAACGGTACCACAATTTGGAGATGGGAACTCGGCACTTGCTGCGCCACCGGTCACGGCCAAAGATGCGTCGAAAAGAAGAAAGCCCAAAAACAATATCATCAAAAGCAGCTCTTCCTTCGTCTCGAGAGTTATCACGCACGAGACATCTGCCAAGCGCCTCAGCGACCGCGACATCAACGGTATATTTGCTTTTGCGAATATCAACCGAGCCTTCCAGTGGCTTGACCTCAGTTCGCCCACGAAGGAGGAACATCTTACTAAAGTGCTCTTCACCAAAGCCCACATGCTTTGTCACGACATCAATGAGCTGACCAAGACCACTTCCCACTTGGACATTGTGATGGGTTCTTCCGCAGGCGACATCATCTGGTATGAGCCCATGTCGCAGAAGTACGCTCGGATCAATAAAAATGGCGTGATCAACAATTCCCCGGTGACACATATCAAATGGCTTCCGGGCTCTGAGAGCCTATTCTTGGCATCACACGCCAACGGCGTGCTGGTTGTGTATGACAAGGAGAAGGAAGACGCACTTTTCACCGCTGAGGCAAACAGCCACTATGAGCAGGAACCCGGGCGGTTGCCTTTGGATATCCTCAAGTCCGTAAACTCTAAGAACCAAAAGACCAACCCAGTATCATTTTGGAAATTGGCAAACCAGAAAGTTTCGAGTTTTTCCTTTTCTCCGGACCAAAGACATTTGGCCGTGGTCCTTGAGGATGGATCACTGCGTTTAATGGATTATTTGAAAGAGGAGTGAGTATAGCGACGGCCCGCAAGAACTAAGCAAGATCAGCTAACACCCTCTAGGGTCCTGGATATCTTCCGCAGTTACTATGGTGGGCTAATCTGCGTCTGCTGGTCGCCAGATGGCAAATACATCGTGACCGGCGGCCAAGATGATCTATTGACAATCTGGTCATTCCCCGAGCGCAAGATTGTTGCTAGGTGTCAAGGCCACAACTCCTGGGTGTCGCACGTGGCATTCGACCCGTGGCGCTGTGACCAGAAAACATATCGGTTCGGCAGTGTCGGCGATGACTGCCGTCTTCTCTTATGGGATTTCAGCGTTGGCATGCTCCATCGTCCCCGAGCGCACCATGCTTCAACTCGCAACCGGTCCAGCATCGTGCTGTCACAGACTGCCAGCCGCCATCGAGCAGATAGCGGCGACAACCGTGTGCGCTCGGACTCGAATGGAACAGAGAAGTATGAGGATATTGATCAGACCGCCAGCCACCCTGTGGAACCTCGGTCACGAACAGCCATGTTGCCCCCGATCATGGTAAGCATTCAATGATGCGTGTTTATACTATCCCGAAAACGAGACTAACAGAATCCCCAGTCTAAAATCGTCGGCGAAGATCCTATTTGTTGGCTTGGCTTCCAGAAAGACTGTATTATGACTTCCTCTCTTGAAGGTATTTGACAGAAATAGATGCTATGCACATGTTTGAACTACTCGCGCTGACGTTTTGATACAGGCCACATTCGGACTTGGGATCGCCCCAACGAAAGCATCGGTAAGTCTTAATGTCGCACCTGCGGCTTTTTAGCGTTAATCACTCTGTCCTACTGTCGAATACCCCATTTCTTCTATGACAACAAGTTTGGACATATCATGTGTCCATATCTTATTTTTCTTTTGTTCGAACCGCTTTGTCTGAGACTTGGCCATGGTTGTAATTGATTATTTACCTACATATGTACATATACGTAACTATGGTTGGATGGAGGGTAAACTTTTAGCCAGTAAAATAGCGCCAATATCGTAGAACAGGCAAAGCATTATCGCATTTCTCATTAATGTAAGGGGCATGTCTTAGGTCCATAGACCAAATCATCAACATCAACAGTCAAATCGAATCAAATCAACACAGCTATAGTGACCCCACTTCCATATATCCCTCCACGGCTAGATGAGCTTTGTGGAAAGAAAACATTACAGACAACCAAAATGCCCGACAGATATTTCATTTCCCATTCTCACAACACACAGCCTCCCTGACCAACTCAATATTTAAAGTGCCAAGGCAAACAGGCCCAGAAGGAGACTACCAGCAGGAGGCATGAGCACGGCAGCGGCGTTCGCAGTGGTAGTCGCTGACTCAGTAGCAGTCGAGGTCTTGGTCGAGGTCGTTTCGTGAGTGTTGGTCGAAGTGGTCGAGCGAGTTGAAGTGGACATCGAAGTCGATGTTAAGGTCGATGTCTCAGTCGTTACTAGGGAAATTGTTAGTGTCGGGATACTCAATGCAATGGTAAAATGTGAGTTGTGATCTTGGAAGCCAAGCTTTCCGCCTTTACTAACCAGGGGTAGTGGAGGTTTGGGTAGAATGAGAAGTGGTGAAAGAAGTGCTTGTGGACATTGAAGTAGAAAGAGATGTGGATTTGGATGTAGTAAATGAGGTAGAAGAAGTGGTGATGGAACTTGAGGTAGAAGAAGTGGTGATGGAACTTGAGGTAGTTAAGGAAGTGGAAGTAGTCGGGGTGGTGGAAGTGGATGAAGTGGTAGCAGAAGTTGTGATAAAAGAAGACGTTGAAGGTGTTAATGTTGAAGAAGAGACTGAGGAAGAAGTGGAAGTGGTAAGCTTGGTTGTCGAGGTGTTAAAGACATTTGTAGAGGTCGGCGTACGGGTGGAAGTTGAGGTTGGCGTATAGGTAGAAAGGGAAGGGGATAATGTAGACAAGGATGTGGTGGCATAGATAGAAGACGATGTATAGGGTATTGTGGAGGAAGATGAAGGGGAAAATATAATGGAAGAGGTAAACGCACTTGTAGAAGAAGAGCTAGTCATCAAAGAAGATGATGTAGGGGTAGAAATAGAAGAAGATGAAGGAGTAGATGAAATGGACGAGGTAGGGGTAGACGCACTGGTGGAGGAGTGAGTAGCAGTCGAAGAGAGATAGGAGGAGGACGCAGTCGAAGAAGTCATATCACTTGTCGACGACGCGGTGGAAGAAAGCATGGACGACGGAATAGACGAAGTATCACTCGCAGTACTGGTTTCCTTACCAGAGCTGATGCTAGAAAGCGCACCAGGCTCAGTCATTCGGAACTGCTGAGACTGGGCCAGAATGCCATTGGTTGGAGAGAGGATGTTGATCTGATATCCCTTTCTATACGAAGTCAGTAATTAGGGCAAGGCTAGGGTACTCGGGGTTCCCATACCCCATATCCACATCGGTGAAGGTTTTGGGTTTAACGGTATAGGACCCCAAGGAAGAGTCGACATCCTCTGCCACAACCTCGGTAGTTGGAGGGTAGACGTTTTGGTTGACCAATTCGATGGTGAAAGTGTCAGGATCCGTTCTAACGATAGTTCTGAATCAGCTCATCGCCCCAAGTATAGGCCGGGAGTATCTTGGGCCCCGGGCAATTTGCCGCTTACTCGACAGCATTCCACTTGATAGTAAGTGGTCGGTCGGGGTCAATCCTTTCGCCTATCCGTGGGGAGGTGACAACGATGGCTGTTTGAATGCTGTGAGCTTTTTATGGATTCTTCAGGGTAAGATTCCCTACCTGTAGCTGTAGCGGCCAGAGCCACCAAAGACAGGATGTTGATCCGCATACTGATTAACGTTACTGAGGAACAAGATTAATTGAAGCAATACAGGGAATATTAGCAAGTTCTTGAGGGCCGGTTTGCGATGTATGAGCTTGAAGGAAGCGAAATTGAGGACGGATAAAAGCCGGGAAGGGAGATGTTTTATAACTCTTTGGTAATACGCAGGCTGGCTGTATATCTCACAGGGTCTTGTCCCATTCCATCTCGATCTTTATTTTTGGGCCGATTTCCCATGGTGCCTTGATCCATCGTGCTTCGTCCTCCTAGGTCTATCGGGGTACAAATCAGCCAGACGAGAACAACATCCTCTAGTCCCCGTGATGTTCTTTTGTCACCTTGGTATGCCGGGAGTGGTCGAAAAGAATAACAATCAAAGCTGTAGCATGCAACTTCATCTTCAGCCCAGACTTAAATTTTTCATCGGCGAATTCATGACGTACAGCGTCTTTGAATTCAACTGGCCGCGCGTCATAGCTCCTGTCCGTATTGCAACAAGAAAGAAGCACCAGCATATTTGCTGATTGTCGACTCAGAAAAGCCGAGATCATTGGGTATGGCACGGGACCTCTGGGATGACTGCTGCAGCCCGTTTAGCGTTGATCCGATTGCCAGGGATGGATGAAGAAACCAACCAGGTTAATGAAAACTTATTGGGTTTTATTGCAAGGAAATAACTATGAAAATTATCGTTCTAATGGATCTTTCATAGTTGTCGGTGTTCTAGAAGATAATATACATAATTTCAAGCCAGTTTTTAGGAAGGTTGAACCTCAATTCGAAAATGAATATCTACCTAGGTAAGTGAAATCTTCCATCTTCATCATGTTGTTGCACAAAGACTACTAAAGGTCTTAGCACACCGGAAACATTGGGCTCAAATGTTCTTGGCTATGAGAGGTAAGACAACACCAAGGTATTCCACCTTTGCAATACAACCCACGGACTACAGACGGGAATGAGATAGTCAATCCTAAATATGCTCTATCTTTCTAGATATTGGAATGTAATGGTAATCGATCTCAGAGGCTCTCTGGAGTTTCAAAACAGTTGCCTAGTGGCGGTCTTCAAATACGGAGAGTGTCACAAAGCATGAGCACGACGTCGGAACGGCCCTCATTGGATAACTTCCGGAGGCAATTGAAATATTGCAAGCGATAACCAGGTTGATTGCCGGAACAAACCCTTGTCTTGACTGTTGTAACAAAAGATCATCGTCCAGCTTTGAGCATGTGTTTGTGCCCTCCGACACTTCCACTATTACATGGTGTCTAACAAGTCTAGAACTAGGATGTATCGGAAGTCTTCCAACGAGACGGTATTATAGAAATTTTAGCAGCTATAAATTGATGATTTACAGAGACTCTCAAAAGATCACTGAATAAACACCCGACAAAAGACTGCTGAAAGGACAAACAGAAAGGCCTGGATAGCTACCTGAATTGAAAGACAGGACGTACGAGATCCAAGCTACCTTTGGCCTCCCGTTGCCCCCTTGTCTAACCTATATATTTTAAAAGCCGTCCTTTGGTTTAACCATAGCTCAAGGTCGTCGTAAGCACTTTACGAATCCATAAATATGACGTGGAATTCGATGTCAAAAAAAAGAAACCAAGAAAGAAAAGTGAGTCAAATATCCAATTTCTTTTACAAGCTGCGGAATCAAGATTGCCTCAAACAAAGACAAAGAGTAGATGTTTTCATAGCTCTGCGGCCATCACCTGTCTGTCAATTTTGGGTAGCACACGTTATGTTATCTTTCAGATAGATCCAGCACAGTCATAGCGCTCTCATGCACAGAAAATGCACCACGCAAATCCACCCCCAAAAGAAGGGCTCTCTAAGTCTCCAGCACACTCCGACCGCCATCAAGAGTAATTCTCTGGCGCACTCGAATGTGGACATAAGCAGGCCCAAGTTGGAGAACTTGGCTCCCAGTATGGGTGCCAGCTGGAGAATAATAGTCGTCGGAACACTCACTTGATGAACCGCTGCTCAGCTCACTTTTGACCTTTTGAACATTTAGGAGAGCTGTCGGGCAGAAGACTAGAGCTTCACCAGTTGCCAGGCGAACGATCTTGTGGAAGATATTAGCGGAATCTGCGTCTGATTTGAGCTTCTCAGCCTCAGCCTCAGCCTCAGTACCAGCGATATGCTTTTTAATCGCTTTGAACCAGGCAGGCGACGAGAAACGGTGGATTACTGTCACATTGCACAGCTCAAGGAGCGCTGGGGCAAGCGTGGGCTCTTGGGTCGCGATGATGGCACGAGCCCCAAGGTGGCGCTGTTGGTGGATAATGGACAACAGCGTCTCTGTCAAGTCAAGAGCTTCAAGTGACGTTGACGTCATGAACTAAGGCCAAAACAAATGTGAGTAGGAGAGCGAAAGATTGTCGAGTGATTAAACAAGAGCAACTTACTTTGTGGGCCTCATCCAGGGCAATCATACGGCCAGCATCATGGCGTTTCTTCAAGAATAGCGAGAGAGATATGTTGAAGAGGGCGCATGCATCCTCCGGTCGAACAAAGGGACAGCTCAAGTCGACTATCGTGAGACTTCCGGGGGCGAAGTTCCAGATGTCTGTGCCTTTGTTTTTGGATTTCTTTCGAGGTGCACCACACTCGGATCCAGGCTCGAAGAAGGATTCCAAAACTTCCAATCGCATATTGAGCGGTGTGAACTGACCCTTCATGAACTGCTCGGTCCGCAGGAGGCGTTTGAATTCAGTATAGTCGAACCCAGCTTGGCCCTGATTTGCGACGGCCATGTCGCGGAGGATTTTCATAACGACCTATACGCGCGAGATTTTGTTAGTGTGACACAATATTAAGATGGCCAATAGCTCGGGTGTGGACAAGCCTCAATGTAAAGGGGCTGTTCTGCTTTATTGCTGATCCCCATCAACGTCTTCATCATCACGATGGTCAGGTCTTTCTGAGGCAAATACAGAGGCTCAACAGTGAGCATCTTCGATCCACCTGCCAGCATATTATATGCCGTCTTCATGGCAAGATAATTGGTTGGGGACACAAGGACCCGAACAGGGATACCCGAAGAATACAGGTACGCTGCCTCACACAGCTGAGTGCTGGAGAAAGCCGTAAACTTGTCATAATACATGACGAGCCCAGCCAGAGGGGAAGTCAATTTCCCAGCAGGCGAGCATGCAACCAGAGAGTTCTCCAACAGACAGGACAAAGTGTGACTTTTCCCGCTTCCTTGGCTACCACAGATAAATGCAGACCATGGCGCGGACACATTCGTGTAGATCAGATCCTCCTGTTCCGAACGCCCAGGGACAGATCGATTCTGCAGCCCGAGGAGACCATACTGAGGATAAAGTTGATTTTTCCGAGTTTCGTCATCATCTTGGCGCTGGTCATGGAGAGTCTCACAGGCAGCTAGCGAGAAAAGCGGTGCTGTTATCAACTCCTCGTCAAGGCGTGTATTGTTGCTTTGTGAAGATGACGAAATATCACCTTTAGCAAGCTTCAAATGCTTTACGGCCTCATGTGTACCCGTACGAAGAGTGCTGGGTGACATATTAGCTGCTTACCGTGTGGTGGTTATGATTGAGAAAGTCGCGAGAGATATGAGGGTTAATATAAGACATTGGCAGTGGGAGCGGCATGAGAATCAGAGGCTTCAGGAAACAAACAACTGCTTGTCACACAGAATGATCAAAAATTACGTATGTAGATACCATTGATAAAGTCCGGCGAAATTCATGGATGTCCTGTTTGGGGATTTCCCTTAGCCTGTCGGTTTGTCGTTTTTTTTTGGTCCTTTTCGGGTCTTTCTAACATTCCTTGGGGCTCTCTTTGAATTACGAGAGTACATAGCGTCTAACTATCTCATGTTGAAAGACTTCAAACAACTATGACTTTTCCCAGAATCTTGAGACACCATGTAGAAGGAAATGGAATTCATGGAGGGGTTGAATGAATTGCAAAGCAAGTAAACCTTAGAATATCTAAGAATAAGTCTTATAAACTATAGACGGCATATTGTTTCTTGAAAGAACCATAGACGGCATAAGCCCATGTTTGATATGTAATATTGCAAAGCCGGAAATAAACATCTTGGAGACGCCATGTATATATATATAAGGCTAAGCCCATGACTCGGGGTAGAAAACAGGTCTATATATCAATATGATGCAGAGTTCGATACGACATCTTCCTCCATACCCGTTTACACCACTTTTTCTTGCTTACAACTCATTTCCCTCTTTAGATTTCAAGAGTAAAAGAGGGATGCCGAACATGCTTTTGAACACCTCTGCATCAATATATCGTCTGAGAGCGAGATCGTCATTTCATTCCTGCAAAATCAATACAAATGTGCATATTGTGGGTGTCAATAATAATCTGGTTAAATGTACTCAAGAGTGCATTTCCTTTGTCTTGCTGGACGGACAATTCCTGTAAGGTATTAAGAAGACCTTCATGTTCCGATCAAGCTTCTCAGTTTCAGGACCCGCGATCTGACCTTTCATTGCTTTAAACCACACTTTCGTCTGATCCACTACTCAACCAGCCTGGCAGACCTCTCCGGATCCATCAAAGTTTTCATTATGTTGTCAATCACCTTCCGGTAAGCAGAAGAAACCTCAGAGTACTTGATGTAATCGATGGCTATTACAAATTTTATTGAATAGGAGGTAGCAAGGCATGCATGGGTTTGTCGCAAAAATATCGTTTGGTCGTAGGGAAGATGGAATGCGGTATCTTCCCAGGGTGGAACAATGATTCGAGGAGCCAGCCGATCTCTGCCCCCAAAGGCACACACATGACTTCGTCTTTGAGAGTATATGCAGGGTCGTCAGTCATGCGGATCAACTCGTCGAACCCAGCCAGTCAGAACAAGCTGCTCAAGTCCCCAACATAATTATAGTACTCTATAGATCAGTGAGTTATCTCTGTAAGGTGTTGTGAGCACGTAATACGCTTTGCTTACTTCCGCCGTTAGGGTACATCCACTCAGCGATGTCGTTAGGCATGGGTGTAGGATATCCAAAGTCCGGTGTCCATACCGGTCGGAATCGTTCCAGTGGCAGATTGCTAAGGTATTGATCTACTGGTAAGAGGTAAAGATAGAGCTGGAAAACCGACCGTGTAGTTTCTTCATAGAAATTGAGCTGCCGATGTCGATTGCTTGTTCAAACAGAGATAGATGATAGCAGAGTGTTAGGCCCTACAAAAGCCCCCCTTCTCGAATTTGTGTGTTGACATCGTTTCTCGGATAGTGAGGTTCGTCGCGGCTCTTGGATAGGGAAAGAACGATGTGAAATTGTGGTGAGTTGTGAGTGGACGAAAAGCTTCAAGGACATTATCTAAGTCATGGGGAAATGCGTTATCTCTACCAGCTCGTTTACCTACCTGCAAAGGTGCAGAGCGAGACAAGGGTCGGATTGAATTATTTCTGGGATTGCTGCTTGAACATATGCCTTTTTCCACCGCTCCATACGACGTACTGTATATAACCATTTCTCACAATCGAAACAGTAATAAGCCCTTACATCTCTTTTACTTCTCTTTTACTTCTCCTTTACTTCTCTTTCCAATCCATAGCCTGCCGACAATGCCGACAATTTATCGAAAATTACAAATCCGTAGCAGCTAAATTATAACGATGTAAATTGCCATTTCCTTCAAGTAAATCAACACAATCGTGTACGTTATGGGTATCACTATCAATCTAGTTCTATGTACTCAAGAGGGCACTGCCGTAGTCTTGGCGGGATGAACTAAGCCATAAACTGTTCTTTGAGTCTTCCAGTTCTTGGAAAAGATTACGATTGTGAATTAGCAAGTCACCTTCATAATCAAATAAAGTGGCTTCAACCCGTAGCCGCAAGTTAAGATCTGTGGTAGCGGCCCACGCTGCCCCCAGGCACGTTCTTATATAGGCTGCTGCAACAGGTCTGTACATGTTGGACTCTTCGGCATGCAAGAGGATCTCTTCAACAAGTGATATCGATTCTGTCGAGTAGTTGAAGTCTTCGGGGTTCAGTGCTTGAAGCATGCAGTTGAAAACCAGTGTAATCCCGAGCCCGATGCCATATGTGCGGAGATAGTGGGCTTGCATTAGCCGGGGTAGGAATTTCTTTAGATTGCCTCCTAGATCGGAAGATTCGCATTTGACCTTGCGTGCTTTCAATTCCCCCAATATGTATTTGCATTTCTCATATATTGGTCGGACTTCCTCCGCGAGAGGCGTTAAATCTTCACAATTGAGTTTGGCATGCTTGCCACGTCTAATTAGCAACGGGGCCTTGGCTAAGCATAGGAGAATGCGGCCTTCCGGGTGATCTTGGTCAAGGTCATTTCTAACCAAGGCCTCCCACTCTTCGGAACTCAGATTGATGGCGTCATTAAACAAACCCTCGAACAACTTCGGGAATCGTTAGCATGATATACAACGAATTTGATATAGGTAACATACCACGCTTCCCCGAAGAGAGACAAACATTTTACGCTCGAAGTCGTCCCGGGGCCCACAATGCTTTCGTGCATGTAGAATATTGGAAGCTCCTTGTGAATGGCCTGATGCCCCTTGTCCGTTGTCTCCATGGAATAATTGACACAGCTGTAGTATCATGACCGCACATAATGTAGTGGAAGCACTTGCTTGGATTGGGTCATCCAGATAAATCCGGAGAGCTCTCAGGGCAGAAGAATATTTGGACAGAGCATCGACCGAAACTGATCGGCGAGAGCAGAAGCTTGGGTAGGCACTGGTCAAAGCGTCGACTGCACGGTCAAGTGCCTCATTGGTGCCAAGTCGTCGAGGTACCTCTTCAAGAAATATGCCAAAAGACCACCAAATATTATATCGGAGGTCATTGGTTCTGTTGATAATGCGGACAAATGAACCGTTTAAACATGTGACACGGTCGCCGGGACATGCCCGGGGAATTTCAAGAGCAGGCGTTTTCGTTTGATTTGATTTTGATGATGAGCGGAATGATATCATTTGCGATGTTTTGGTTAATTCGGGTGAAAACCGATGTTCCTGTTTGAACTTGTATCGTTGCTGACCAGACCCCACACATGTCACTTTGAGGCGGAGACATCGCCCACATATTGGTTGTTTTTCGTCACACTTTTATTATAGTATGAGCTTGATACTTGATACTTGATTATCAAGGAAGCTTGACATACCTTCTTCTTCTGTTTACGACAAGCATCACATGCCCTTCCTGTTGGGACACCCGGCATGGTGGGGAACACCCTGTGGATTGTGGGGATAGCGAGCGGGGCGTAGATCTCAAGCAAGTCGGGTGACAAGCCCGTCTATTGTTAACAGACTATATTGTATATCATGCAGTGTGTCACACGAAAAAAAGAGTTAACCTAGGCGTGGGTAGAAGGCTGTAGAGTTGAGGGCTGAAGGTGATTGTAGTCTAACCGATTTGAGCTTGATGTGCCGCTCACTACACTGGTGAGCGCACGGCCCGTCAGAGTTCTCACTGTTGCTTTGTTTATCTTTTTCAACATTTCGTCTTTAGCTATCTTAGCATCGAGCCGTGCTGCGAAATCCAAGGTGTCTTATTTCTCAAGGGGTGCATTCACCACAACACCTTCTCCCACTACTACCTTCATCATGACACCACAGATCACAAGGTGGGCTGACTTTGCCTATGTATCCGAGATATTCGACTCAGAAGCCCATGAATTTCAATACACAATGTTCGCTGTCATCGACTCGAACGATGTCATCTACTACCGCAAACTACCTACCCGCAAAGCTGAGATCTCGTTTTAGCAAGTCATGGCCACGCTCAAGCCAATCCCTGACAGCGAGTTATTCCCAGAGTTGCCACTGTCTGGCGCCAAAGACTTTACTCAGGCGCCACTGGAGCTGCCCGCCAATGTTCAAGTCTTCATCAAACGACCCAAAATCTCACAATGTGATGTGTATAAACGACACAATGTAGTACACCTGCTCGCCCAAAGCTTTCTGGAGGAGGCCCGTACCTTGGAATCTTTTCCGCACACCCACATCCTTATCTTGTCCAGTAATACGGCTGCTGCTTCCGGAGAGGCTACCTAACCGGAATTGTGCTCAGCCGTCATTCGCACGACCTGAAGAACTATCTCAGAGGCGGAGTGGGAAATATCGATAAGAAAGCATTCATGAATGCGCTTGAGTCCGCCATTTATCAATTACAGTCATTCGGTTGGTCACATAATGACCTCAACCCGACGAGTGTGCTGGTCGACGACTCCGAGGCCAGTTGTGGAATGCCAGTCCTGATCGGCTTTGGCTCGGCCGGGAAAATCGGCAGTTTGCTAGGAACGTCCTGGGGCATGAGTGGTTGGATTGAGGGTCGGATTGAAGACTATACCACTTCTGAAAAGGAACATGATATCTTTGCCCTGGAGAAAATGCGACTCTGGTTGGACAACCCGACTTTCGACGACGATTAATTGGGAAAAATAGTGATATATGGAGCCTATCCGCCACATGGCAAAAAGCAAGAGACTGGCATTGTCACAAGTCTGTTGACATACCATTACTGCCCTGTAGCAATATCAGTCATGGAACTGCCACAATGGATATCTACTGTAGTAAACCCTGTATTACAGTAGATATCCATTACGTCGCGTCGAGCCGACTGAGCAGAATCTGCTGGAGAGAACCCCAGCGATATTTTCATTGGATCTGATCAGAAGCCTTACAAGTATTACCCTTCGGAATTATTGGATCGACAAGTTCAATGTCGCGTAGTCCGCGGGTAAGGACAGGATTCTCAGGTTCAAGAGCCTGAAGATGCAGATTAGCAGCAACTCCTAGCTCCTGGCTACCAGGCTCTGGAAGGAACGTCATGAAATAGGCATGTCGAGGACCGTGAGTATGAATACGGAGAACTCCGCGGCCGAAGATCTCTTGTGTTTCACCCAGAGTAACTGCCAAACCACCATCTGAGGGTATTTGGGACTGGCTAGCGTATTTCCCAACGATATCTTTGGTCAAGGCACTGTTTTCCATTGCCCTCTTGGGTTTCTTTCGTGGGCTTCCTCTTGATTTAGGACTGGATCCCTCTGAAAGTGGTTAATACTGTCCCGTCGACGTCTATGTTGACCGATCATTTTTGAGATTGCCGCTGTCGTGGCCACCCAAACGGCCATAACGTCGTGCTCTAGTTGGAGGATTCCTCCTGGTACTTGCCACCAATATAAGGTTCGACGGGTTGGGATTACCACTGAAACAGCGGGCAATCGCTCTGGTCGGGTGGACTCTGCCTTTGGTCGCCTTCCGAATCCTGCGCCTCCATCTGCACCTAAACCTAAACCATCCCCCAAACCTAGCCCTCCCGAAGGCGGTTCTCCAAAAAAAAAAATAGAGAGCTTATCAAAGAGTCTCAAGTCGTGGGGAAAGGGACTTGCATAGGGAGGTGTGCGTGGATATAGAACGGTAGTACAATAGGGCTGAGACCCCAAGATGCTGCATCTGAGATCTCATCCCAACTGCACGGTGGGTGTGGCATACGGGGTCTGTACTTGGTCTTTCACTTTTAGACACTCAATCAAACATACAAATCTACATACACGTTTCTTTTTGCTCTTTTCCAATTTAATCACATTGGAAAAAAGCCCCCCAAATGTACCCGTTCTGATGCCAACCCGCGTTCTTACGCCACACTCCCACACTAATCCTGATACGGACGTATGGTGCGCTGCATGTACATACCGAAGCCCTAGGACACATTAATAAATACTTAAATATGCTACTATCGACTCGATGTTAAAATACTAACTTTGTGTCGCGTTGTATCTCATCATGGGCCCAGATACCGAAAAGGCAGAAAGCCTCTACTTATACAACCCAAGCCATGTACTACCAGCTGTGTTTGCTGGAGTTGTCGGTGCATCCTTATTGCTGCACATTTACCAGAACTGGTAAGTACGTGGATCCTGTTTTGAGGCATCGAAACCTAACCTTAACAGTCGATACCGATTCTGGCGTGTCACCTTCTTCATTTGCTGGGGTGGAGCCCTCTTTACCACTGGTTGGATTCTACGCTGTATCTCAAGCTATCACCCAACCAACTTGAATGTTTATATTGCATCGCAGGTCTTCATATATGTTGGCCCACCCGTCTATTCAGCCGCCGCATACAACATTGTCGGCCGTTTGATGAACTACCTGCCAATGCACGCAGTTCTCAACCCCAACCGCGTGCTTATCTTCTTTGTCTACGTCGGTGCCGCCGTTGAAGCCGTGACAGTGGCAGGCGCAGCCAAGAACGCATCGGCTGGCTCGGACTTAGACCAGTATAAGTCGGGAGGGACCCTCGTTGCCGTCGGTCTGATTCTTCAGGCCATTGTCGAATCTTTCGTGATTGCAATCGTCGCAACAGTTCACACCCGATGCTCTCGAGCTCAAATGCTGGCGCCAAATGTGCAGATGCTTTGTTTCACACTCTATGGCACATCGACATTTGTTCTGCTGCGGTGTATATGCCGTGCTGTCGAATCGTTCGATATGTTTGGTAACCTCGGCTGCCGGAAGAACTGTGGACCTATCCTCAGTAATGAGTGGTATCTCTACGCTTTCGAACTGGGTCCAATGCTTATCTTCACCTGGTGGATGAATCTTTTGCATCCTGGTCGCTATCTACCTCGCCAGAAGCAACGCTATCTATCTCCTGATGGTCGCACGGAGCGTATGGGCCCTGGTTGGATTGATCGACGCTCTCGGTGGGAGACATTTGCTGACCCCTTGGATCTGAAGGGTGTTTTGAAGGGGATAGTTTCTCATGAGGAGTACTGGTTGCTGGAGAATCGGTGGCCTGTATGCAAGGATGGTAGCTTTGCTACTGGGACAGCTACCAACATGACTGTTACTGGGAATGATAAGGAGCTTGCTTCACTCAGTCCTCATGCTTAAATCATGTTTTGGCGACTTGGATTGATTCTTACGTAAATATGTACTCTAGTAGCTTTATCTCTTTGTTTTTGAGTTTCTGCGTTGAGTCTAGTCTATTTCATGGCAGTTATTTCTCTTCCAGACAATGTTTCCAGTACGAGCCCTGGAGACTTTCGTCTTCAATTTTGGGGGGATTGCGCTCTATTGCATTTTTCATTTTCTTACATACCCGCGATATCAATTTTATACATATTTACACATTTGAACGCAGTTTCGTAGCGTCGTCGTTTCAGTAATTACAGCTTGGCTTGTTCGAGCGGACTGAGTCTCCTTAATGGGGGCCCTCCTCTGCTGCCGTCGCCTTTTCCATCGCCCAGCAAGGAGCCTGTTGAGTCACCCGCGGGTGGGGGTTCCATTCTCCACTTTTGGCGCAAAGCGTCAGAGGCCTTGTTTTCAAAGCAATCCGCAACGTATTTCCCTAGAATGGGGAGGAATTTGAAGCCACTGCAATCAAATTAGTATGAAGATCAAAAAGAAATATATAAAGGTCAAAACTTACTGTCCTGCGCCTCCAGTAGCCATGAATAGTCCTTGGATAGTTGGGTGGTGATCGATGATGAAGTCGCCCTTGGGAGTATCGGTGTACCAGCACAGGCGACGGTTCATCCACGGACGGTCTCCAAGTTTTGGGAAGAACTGACGCAGACCTTTGCGTAGCGATTCGTCTGCGTCGTCCGGCAGGTATCCGGTCGCCGAGTTGCTGCTTTCAAACTTTGGCGATGAAACTGATTTCTTGACCCCGTCCACATCAACCTCCATATCGGTTGCATAACCATAGCCATGACGCGCCAGTTTGAGGACATGCGTATCTGGCGTGGGAGGGAATGAGAATACACCGGAGCTCATGTTGATCATGACCGGGATCTTCCTCATCTCGAGTGCCTCCTCCTCAGTCAATTGAATGAAGCCAACCGGCTGGCCGGAGGAAGATGCCGCATGTCCAATGTTCACCAAGCGATTGGTCCACGCTCCTGTACTGAGAATCACCTGCGAAGCAAGCAACACCTGGCCTCCCAAAAGATTGACACCGACAACCCGCGAGCCTGCCCGGCGCAGGGAGACAACTGTTCCCCGGGGTCCAGAAACGATCGAGATTCCAGCCACTGTACACTTCGAAGCCAGCTTCTGAATACTTCCTGCGGCATCGGCCCATCCGCCCTTCGCGTTGTGATAACCGCTCATGCCGGACAACTCGGCCTGGACGCTGGGGTAGATCTTACGGATGTCCATCGCATCGTCGAGATCGTCTAATTTTCCGCCCGCCGCACGGATCACCCTCTTCGATCCTTCCATGTAAGTGTTTTTGGGTGTTTCCGAGAACAAGGCGAATCCGGATTCGAAAAATTGGTCTTTATATTCAGTGGTCCATCCATTGTATGCCTCCCGTGCCATTTGAGAGTAAACTGGATCCGCATAGTCGATGCGAATAATCCGCGAAATATCAACGCTGCTTCCGTCCGCCGCGGGCGGTACAAATCGATCGACAACGGTGATGTCTGTGTATCCGCGCTTGTTCAATTCAAGCGCAGTTGAGAGACCGAAGACGCCGGCGCCCACGATCACAATCGAGTCAGTCTTGGCTGCTGTCATTTTTGGCGAAAAATATGCCAATTGCCAGAAGAGATGCTTCTTATTTCTGCAATTGAATGAAGCACGTTCGGGGATTATAAGATGTGTGGGATATATAGGCGGCTTTTCAATACCGGGTCTTGGCACTCGGAAGAGCCGGAAGCGGACCGTGTTCTCCGGGCGAGAATAAGCATAAAACATCAACTCTAAATTAGTAGCCTCAAGTTGGATTGATGCTCAGCCAATCTTCAAAAGCCCTTCCATAATCCTGTAACTGCAAATACAGTGTATCGCTGCCGGGGAATTCCACATTAGGGTCACCTGGCAGCCCCGAAAGATCCATTATCGGTGAAGTTTCATGCGGCGCCTCTATTGGCTCTTCGGTCTGCTCTGGAGGATAAGTAACACACTCAGGCGCTACTGTCTTATGACCAGAAATGCCAGCAGATCCAATCAAAGCAAAGTCGCGTTCAGTGATGAGGATGGCGGATGGGTCCCCTGAGTATCCGACACTGTCCTTGGAAAGCTCCGGACCGAATATATCAGTAGTTGGGTCCGACGTGTTGCTTGCATGTGCATAAACTAAAATTTTCCAAAGAAGCTGTAGGTTAACGGACCATTTCTGATGAGAATGACGTGGTCCTGGGGGGCCGATATCTGTCATTAGCCCCCGGGGGAAACACTATCCCGAAGCTGCTCGAGTTGTGCAACCTGTAATAGTATCAGCACGGCATTCACTAATAGAGACAAGGGATGTATTGGACCTGGCGATCAATGTGTGGCCACCGCCGGCCCATGTTGCGCAGAAATCGAAGGCATTTCTCAAATCCTGTTCGCGCCTTTCTGTTGAAGCCTTCATCTTCGACAAAGCTATGCTGAAGATAAATCGTAGCAACGATTGCTACACAATGTCCTATGGTTGGATCAGATATTTCGAATTTCTTGGCGTCTGTAAGATCGATAAAGTGAACCATCCAGCCCGAATGGAAAGTAAGCTGCTCGAAAGAATTGCGAAGAAACGACTGCGGCATGGTCCTTCGGAAGTTTCGAAGTCGCATAGAAAGGAGGAATGGATGATTGACTAAACAAGGGACCGCATGCCACACCATCTGGTAAAACAGCCATGGTCCCCAGTAGTCGCGATGAGCTTGAAGCTCGGCGGATGGATAATCTTGGAAACGACTTGCATGAAGTCGAAATCTCAGTGGCATCAGGCTCTCGTGCTCACAATGGCGAAAATTGATCATACTGTAATCGGATCTAGGTGACCATGGTGAATGAGCATCAACTCCCACATGACTGGAGGCATATTTGCACGCCATGGCCCATAGTTCACTTGTGTAAATACTGGAACCATTGATTCCAATATCTGGTTTAGTGTCGCTGCCACTACCTCGGGCAACATCTTGACTGGATGATCTTAGTCCCATTGGGAAGTTTAGTTCCCCAGGCTCTTTGAGTGGGTCTAAACTTTCTCCCCAATGGGTCGACTGTAATGACCCTTGAATATTCCGAAGGATGATAAGACTTGTGTAGCACAGCTTGCGCTCATCGCGTTCGGTCTCCAAATTGCTCAAAGAATCGAGACTATCTACTCTGAGATTTTGCATGAAGTAGGTAGCAAGTCTTGTATAAGACCCAGCGCGGATGATATGACCCGCTAAGTCAATGAAGAACCGATGTCAGATTGAAAACAATGATCAGACCGAGGGAGATCTTACCAGTGAATTCCAGCATGCTGAGGATGCACAAAGTCTGCAATGTTGATAATTCCACCGTACCTGATCCTATCCGCATCATTACTATCTGACAAGCCCTTTCTGTTTTACTCCTAATCTCTCCATGAATATCATTATCCTGAACTCCCTGGTCTCTAAATCGAGCACCCATGGCTTCCATGGCTAGTAGAATTTCAGGATCTCGTGCCCCTAAAGAAGCCAGAGAAGATCGGTAAGGAAATAGCAGAAGGGGCTGTGAGTTACAGAATGTCAGATAAAGCTGAGCATCTGAAGTCTCGAATGATCCGTTTCAACAGAGAAGTCAGCGCATATGTTGCACACGGCATTCTCCAGGAGAGCTTACAGTGAAGTACCCTTTTCGGGCGGAATCGCACGGATTGTAGAGTGATCACCAGGGACCGTCGGCGAAAAAGGAGCGGTAGAAGCAGGGCGCCTGTGGTGTCAATCAGTTGCTTGAAAAATCACAGATATATGAGCTGTAATCACATACGTGATGTAATTCATTAACTGTTCCAGCTTGCCCTCGATTCCAGAAATGCGTTGTTCCTATATGATATTATGATGTGCGCAATTATGTCGGGACCTCCAATTTCGCTTACCATCATCTTCTTGGAATGCCCTGATCCTTCATCTACGGGCTCGCTCCCAGCATAGACACATCTTTGACCCAAGCGTTCGCAATATGAGCAAGTAGGCTTCTCTCCAGGGCAACGCGACTTTTTCCGGCTAGAAGGGTCAGATGCGTCGGCCAAGCACGCTCGGTTATTCAATCTTACCGGCAAGGCTCACAAGCTTGACGGGCCCGTTTTGATGGCCTCTCATCTTCTGTTGAAACCATCCCGTATCAGACCGGCCATGCTTTAACGTGCATTGCTGTTAGAAGATCAAATCCAGGCGGGGGACGGGCCGGGGCGGGAAAAACCCCTCCCGACTACATCTTTCTTCAAACATGCACAATTTGTAAAGAAGGTATTTATATTGACCTTGCGCTTGAAGAAGAAGAAAACACAATTTAATTGTATACCATTAGATTTTGTTGTTATATTCGAGAACTAGTTCAACACAGGAGTATCCTTGGCCGGTCCAGCTCCGGACACCTACTACCCCGTCCCGGGTAGGCATAATGCAGCCTTGTAACAACGAGTCAAAACAATATATTCTAGCGTATACTTTCATAGAGAATCATAGGATAAAGACTACACGTAGTGACTCAAGCGAACTCGCTCGGATTTACGTATCTTTCTACAAATTGCATGGTATGTTGTTTATACTGCTCCCGGCGAGCACGCACGCTGTTTTGTCAATTGGTGCAGCTTGTCCGAGCGCTTGGAGAAATGCATTCCATGCTGAGATGGTTGTTTTGACGTGTTGGTTCAACTGCTGTTCACCGACTCTCCTATCAGAGTGGGTCTGTGCTATCAAAGTGAGATCGACGATCATGTGATCTGTCACTAGACTGACGTCGCCTCCAATTTCCCCAACTTTTTGGCCTCCAACCTGCGCCTCATTCTTGTACAATTTTCTTATTCCCGTGGTCTTTGCATCTTGCTGAACAGAAGAAGGTTTTGAAGAATACCACAGTCTTAAAAATGAGTGACGCCTACGAACGTGAGCAGTATGTCTTCTTTTTCCGCCCTACTCCATCGGATACCCCCTGCGAAAGCTCGCTGTGATGGTTCCTATCCCTGTGAGCTGATCGCTGACATATCAAAACCAGGCAAAATAATGCGCTTCTCAATTCTCTCTCCTCGAAAGTGTCGGCCCTCCGGTCTGTGACGATTGATATCCACGATAATGCTCGAGACCAGGACACTCTCGACCACACGGTACGTCTCGCTCGATTTTACCCGATCTACAATGACCAAGGATGCTGGCGCACTCTCAACATCTCTCAATTTATAACTGGTGTTTTCACTACCCGAAATGATAACTGACGGTCGTTTTTCTTAGAACGACGTGTTCTCTTCTTTCTCCACGAACCTCAAAGGTAGTGCCAGTCGACTCACACGAATGGCGAAACAAGGCGACACTACAGCGGTGTTGAAGATTGCCGGAATCTGTATTGCCGCAGGTTTTGTCCTATACATCATTCTCGGGTGGATCTTCTGAACCATGCCATCGCGTTTCCCACGCCTCGTCTTCCTCGCCATCTTTTGAATGAAACCTCGCGTTCTACTCGACACTCTTGCTGGATCAAGACTCGATCTGTCCTTGCCTGATTCTGCCATAACGTCCCACAGCACTACGTTGTCTTTTTTCCATGGTGTACATCCTCTGCTTCGCTCTCCCCTAATTTGGCGCGACAGTGTGTTCTGGGCAGGGTTTGTGTTCTGCCAACCTTTCGTCGTTCTCGGTATCCTCCTTAGTCTTCGGGCTGTGCCTGATAAAATACCTATTGAGTGAACGAGCTTTGCCAAAGCGCCCTTCATCGCCCCTCGGTCCCTAGAATCTCTAGAGTGACGTCCTGATGAAGTCTGCAAATCAGCTTAAACAACTTTCAAACAGCGATTGGATTCATTAGTTCTAGCTGACATGCGTTGCGGCTTGAGATATTCATTCATGTGTCATTAACACCGCGATTACCAGTGAACATAATTTTCATTCAGCCTAAGGCTTTCTCATGTTTCTGTTCCTCCTTATAAAACATCTACTATATACTTTGGATCAGGTGGGTATCGGGACTCAGTGCTTGATGTAACGTTGTTGTGGCCAGAAAGGGCTTTCGCAACTCGTCCAGTCCTGCTCTGACTTCATCAAAATAAATAAATATACAAATTACTCATAGAGATCTCAAATCTTCATCCCAACGAACTTTAAATGCCGATCTTTGAGCTTGAACTCGACTGAACATTAAATCAACATGCAATAAGTAAACTCTAAACTTTAGCTATTCTCAAGTCCTTTTTATTAGAACGGTCTAGCCAGAAGCGTCTATTTGCTATCCCAATCTTTTAATTATGTAGTGTCGTGTGTCAGATTTCCATTCGTGATACCACAATACTGTTTTCGGCCAACGTCCCCGGAATGCCAACCTGCTCGGGGTTACCGTCTCGTTTAAAAAAAAAGAAGAGGGACAAAAGAAATTGTCAATCAGCCTGAAGCGTCGATAATTGTTCAGAGCCATTCAATGTATTAACAAATAGGTAACCGTGGGTTGGGGCAGTTCGAAAAACACCACTCTTACTTTTCTGGCCATTGCTTCACCTCGCATTCATTGAAAGACAATAGAAACTACGACCCATTGAAAGTAACGCGGAGGGCAGCCCAAACCAACAGTACGCCTGAGGTTATCACCGCCATGGCCACGGCCACGTACAGGGTCTTCCACGCCCTTGCTGTGGCAACAATTATAGCCCTGGGAACCTGGATTCTTGTGAAACAGTTCTGCAACATACCTAGCAGCTGGCGCGCAGATTCTGGGACCGCGATCTTTCGCGGAAAGCTGCCACCGATCCCACACTACGATATACCCGAGACACCGGCAACAAAGCAAGGCGAATCGAATATTCCAAGTCTGGGGCATTAAGAACCAACACTTACAAATTCAAACTCAACTGCAACTACAATATCACCAAATTCATCGCAAACTGCAACGTGGAACAGGGGTCGAGAGGATGAATATTCATAGCATGAATGGTCCTCATCGAAGAAAATCACGACTGTATCACCCTTGCGCTGCCGACGCTTGACATGTGAGCTTGAACAGTCTTCAACCGAGCATTGGTCAATGCGACATGATCCAAGGATGTCTGGGCCTCGTGGGTCATAGCGAGGGATGCAGCTGACTGCAAGGGTCTGCTCTTTGATTACCCGTGAAGCATGGGTCTGGGCCCATGTCATCTCGTTCAGCTTGCTGCGGCGACAGGGTTGTTCTGCATGTGATGATGTTTTGGGTACAGCAGATCGGCAGTTGAAGGTGGGTGAGTCCCTTAATCGAAGCTAGGCCGCTAGCTACGATTCTTGCTGCCGGTTTGATGCAGTCCTGGTCGCGCCTTTGTCCCTACCGCATGATAGGGCTCAAAGCACCACAGCGAGGTACAATGATCATGTCTTGTAGTACACTACAAGGTATGCAGCTACCCAATATGGATTGAGATTGTGTTCGTACGTCATGGTTTTACCAAAATTCTCGTTTGGACAGAGCCTAGACGGTTGGAATACGCAATCAAACAATTAAAAGCATGTTTGTTTTGTTGTCTGTATATATCGAACCATACATCTAGACCCGGAAAACCCGACCCAAACCCGACCTTGACAGCTCAGGCCGCATGTGTCTGAATCTCAGCCCACAATTGGATCAACCGAGATTCTCTTCGGCGCAAAAATTCTTATCCCTAGTTCTTGGCAGGCAGTCGATCAACGCGATCGCCTTAGTTCCCGCAGACATTGTAACCTCGCCCCTGGCGATCATCGGAAGTTAACAAAAGTCCTATGATCGGCACGAGAAGTACCGGGAGAAAGAAATGAAAATGTGCGCTTTGACGGTGAAAATTTCTCTCTTTATCCGATTGAGTCTTCCGGTCTTGGTCGCTCAAACATTTAACCGTTTGTTTCTTGTGGGTCGAGATCTTTCATGAAAGACCTGTGGGTTCCACCTCTTATCTGTCTATGTGCACGCATAGTAGTAGTACTACAGTAGGTAAGAGCTGATAGGTACAAAAGCATTGTAAGATCCAGCCCTCGAGGGTTGGGTTTAGGTACATGCACGTGTAAGTAGGGTGTGAGAGGTATGAGCTGCATACATACCCATGGGCATATGTATGCGCAATGTATAATGCGACGACATGCAATGAGTCGATAATAATGACGACACAAGTATATTCAAAACAATGGGAATAACCTACAATAATATACATACACACTTGTGTAGTAAACAGGTTCCACAGTATTGACTTTCATCGTCATAGTGCAAGAACTTGACATGGAACTGGACGTTCTGGAACTCACACCGGATGCTATATGGAGCTCAGAAGTCCTGGTGGAGCAAAGTAAAATTTCAATGATCTACTATTTTCAAGGTCCCTGAGCCTGGCCTTGTTTATATTAATTTTCTTAATTTTCTTTGTTGCAAGATTCACCAATATAGTGATATAATGGTAGACTCTTTGAGATCTAGTTATACTTCAATCCATGAGCAATCCTCGTAATCGAGATGTCGTAATTGAGGTCATATTTCATTCAAACCAATCCATTGTTCTAGACTGTCAACCCAAAATATTCAAGTGGATCAAGACAGAAGCTTAGTGGCAGTTTCACACCGTGGAAAAGGCTCGACGTCGCAATTTTGTCACCGAGTCAAAAGTACAGGTTTCAGCGGTCCAAGAATGCCCCAAATTTCACACCGGACGCCTGTATGGAGGACGCGACCCTAACAATCGGGTTGAGAAAATCGGCACCCGGTCGGGATTCCGACCCGGGCAAAGCGGAAATGCCCGACTAGATCCCGAATGGGCCCGCAGTCGGCTCGCAGAATTATCGGGAGCAGGCCGAATTATTCGATGTACATACCTTGGAATCTGCAATATGACTGGTTCTTGGGACGTGTTCGCATGATGCGCCACCAAAGGTTGTGTATCGCTTTGCTGACACCTTATCTTGTATACAACTAGGAATATGGCGAAATGTTTTCACACCTATCATCCTATCACAATGGCACGGTGTATGACAGGTGGGCCCATGATCTCAGTGTTCCCGCTCTTACCGCGATGCTCATCAGGGACTAAACTGATGTCAGTGTCGAGTTACTAGACGCGGTTAGATCACGGATATTTCCGAATTCTCCGAGTAAACAGATAAGCTTGTTGAGAAGTTGATCATTGTACATATGTTCCACAGAGCCTGCTGTGCAAGCATGGTTCTCATAGATCAGCGGAAATTGATTCAATATTGTATAAGCTGTTCAGGCACGGCTGCAGGAGCACACGGTCCCCTTGCAAGGCTGCATTCGCTTGGTCTGGGCAATTTCGGGGTGTCCGTGTGCCCTTATCGTAGCGTTCACGGCAGTTAAGATGAAGGTATAGCACGGAACAAAGCTGAAACATGGATGTCAGCTTTGGTGGCGCCATCATTGATTTATAGAGAGAGCCCTATTACCATCTAGGGCTGTTGTCTGATCTTATGCATATCGAAGTGGGGGTGAGTGTAGAACATATGAGAGGTATACTGATCATCATGGTCTGTGTAACAGAAGCTACGTGTATGCTCTTATGTATGTATGTTGTGCATCTTAGAGTCGGCGGCAATTGTAGATCCCCGAGATTATGGCGTGATGGAAAAATGGGTAAACGAAGGCCCACGGATTTTGGCATTTTGAATTTTGAATGGGTACAGTCTATAGAGTATTAGCTGGAATGTATAACATTGTGTGGAATTAAGTTCCAAAAAAAGTATTTACAATATTGCACATATGTATAGTAGCGAATAGTTCAGCTCTTCATATGATAACTTCCCAGTGCTAGAAATCTTTCATATGATAATTAGCGCTGACGTAAAGGACTGTATATAACTAGGTATCTAGGTAGTGTAATGTTGTCTCTTGAAATCCAACTCAGATTCTTCTTTTACAGAGTTGAAATACTCTCACTTCTTCTTCATTCTTCTTGCTACTTGCTATTGACTACTCAACCAACTGTATTATACTGTTACTATAACTATATCGTCAAGTCCAGCTTATCACCTCAGCTTGGATTAGTCACGCCTTTCAGTCGCCACTTTAAAACAACCGAAAAAGATCTAAAAAAAAAAGAACCAAAAAAACACTCGCCGGAAACGGCACAACTCCACTACCATTTTACAGTGGGACCCGTGAGTCGGACCAGGCTTGCGTATCTGGTTATGTTCCGGTAGATCAGCGATAGAGAAAAAACGGGAAAAAAATAACTGTGACTCTTCTCTCTTCTCTTTTCCCCTCTCCCATACCTTTTAAAATTTCCCTCTGTGCACAGTTCTCATTGTTTATCCGTCTTGTGGACGGACAATCTACAAACCATGGCCCTCAGCTTCTTTAGTAGTGGCGGGAGTGCGAGCAGCGCCAAGTACTTCGACATCAGGTGAGTGGATCCTACACCCTGCATATAGCATGAACTGCGCATCTGACAACTCCCCAACAGATTGAACGACGAATATATCGTGTTTCGGGGTGGTGAACATGAAGCCGCCAGCGCGCATCTGCGGGGCACGCTGATCCTCTGTTTGTCGGAGCCGCTTACAATTAAACACCTCCGCCTTCAGCTTACGGGCATGTCTCGTGTTTGGTAAGTGTCGCATTTCACCAAGTCACCGAACTCTTCACTAACAACGTCAATTCTGCAGCTGGCATCTTCCGTCTACTTCAGCCTCCGGTGGCCGCAAGTCATGGCGGGAACGTGTTTTCTACGATAAGACATGGCGTTTCCGGGATCCCGGCAAGGGAAAGACCGAGATTCTCCCGGCAGGCAACTACGAATATCCATTCGATGTGGTGCTCGAGGGCTCCATGCCGGAGAGTGTGGAGGGTCTTACTGAAACGTGGGTGATGTACCGATTCAAGGCCGAAATTGGACGCAAGTACGCCAAAGATATTGTGGCTCGCAAGCCGTTGAGAATTATTCGCACTCTGGACCCCAGTGCTTTGGAGCTATCACATGCAATGGTACGTGGGGTTAACTCGGCACGTTGGTGGAATGTGCTAATGCCCCGCAGTCAGTGGACAACATCTGGCCAAACAAGATCGAGTATTCCATCAGTACCCCGACAAAAGCGATTGTGTTCGGAACCGCCATTCACGTTGATTTCAAGTTGATTCCTCTTCTGAAGGGCCTTCGAATTGGTCAAATTACGTCACAGTTGATCGAAAGTCATGACCTTACCCTCAATCCAGAAGACCCCGACTCCATTCGCAACACCTATAAGATCACGCGCACGATTTTGACCGACGAACATGAGATGAACGAGGACAGCATCGAAATCATCGATGAAGCGGCGGAAGGATACCACTGCGCACGTGTGCTCGACATGCCAAAAACATTGACCCGTTGTCTGCAGGATACGGACACTAAGGGAATCAAAGTCCGCCATAAGCTCAAGTTCCGCATTCAGCTCCACAACCCCGATGGGCACATCAGCGAGGTGAGAATTGAGAGATTCAACACGCTTTTGGCTAGGCTAACAGTAATACAGCTCCGCGCTACGCTTCCAGTCTCGATCTTCATCTCACCACACCTTGCCATTGACGAAAACAATAACCTTCTAGAGCAAACCCCTCAGTCGACCCGGATCGCTGTGGATGAATTCGCGCACCAAGCCCCTCCTCTTTACGGCGAGCACACCTTCGATCAGCTATACAGCGAGTTAGACCCAAGTGGCTACCGCACACCAGGCCCCGGCAGTGGTCCCGGCACCCCCTTCGGTCCTCTCAGTCGCAACATGTCGTCCGAGAATCTTGCTTCGATGAACGCCCTGACCAACACCGATATCTCGGCTTCGGCACTGCACCACCGCCTCACGAACTTGAACGCCAGTGCACGCAATTTCCCCGCCACATCCGGCGCAATGACCCCCGGTATAGCCACCCCCGGCGAAGGCTTGCACGGATCTCAATCTCCAACTGACGGACATCACACCCACCGCCAACTGGGTGTGCCTAACGATTACTTTGGGCCTTCTTCCGGATCCAACTCACACTATGGCAGTCCAGAACTCTCCCGCCGGCCCTCCGACGAAGTAGAACCCGATGTGATTCCTTCGGGCATGGCCACTCCATTCCACCCCCAGTACGCCGAAGTGGAAACGCTCAGTCGGGTGCCCAGTTACTCGACCGCAGTGCGCTGCGCTGTGCGACCCCGTGATTCAGGCCTTCCGGACTATGACGCTGTCATTGCCAGCAGTCTCCCGACTATATCAGTCCCCCAGTCACCGCAACAGGCTTACCTCCGCAGTGGCCGTGTCAGCGGTGCTGCGACTCCATTAGAGGTGCAGAATCGCCCCGGTTATTTCAACTCTCACGGCACCAATGCTGATGATGAGGAACGCAGGCTTAGACTCGTACAAGCGCGCGCTAGAGCATGATTTGTGGCTTTGAATTGTCATCCCACTCATGATCTCTGATTTTCACGACTAAAACACCCCCTACCGCCCCTTTGTGTACTGGTGCTGGACACTGGACCCCCAAATCGCCTTTTATTCCCCCTCTCGATGTTTTTCTCCTTTTCTACAAGTGATCATGGATCTCAGAACGAACGACCCGAGCCTTGGTTCACTCAACTCATTTACGCATTTTTTCTCTTCTTGACCAGCGCACGTGTTCGACTTTACTTTCTCTTCTCTGGCGTACATAGACGGACAGGATTATTACCATAGACAGGTGTTTTGTTTTGTTTTGATTTCACTTATGTTTTTCACGAATTCATCAGCACGAGTCACGCATAGCCTTGACCCAAGTCCAAGGTGTACTTTTTTTCTTAATTATGATCAATCCTATGACATCATTTCCCGATTTGGAACATTATTTTGTCGATCACTTTATGTAATCCCTGGATCCGCTCAAGTGCTCTCTCCGGGGCCGGTCAACCCACACTTTGTAGAGACTCTGCTTTCGTCAATGGCTTTGTTAAGTGTAACTTGGTTTGGTTCTGGACACATGGTTCAAACCGGTTTCAGTAACCCATTTATAATCTGTACACCATTTATACCCAAAACAAATATATATGCAGGTTGGGTATAGGTCTGGTTAAAGTTGTATATATCGATGTAGTTACCATGTCCTTGGGCCGCAGAACCGGGTACTCCGGGTAAACACGTAGTCAAGCATATGTATGGGCTTAGACCAAGTGTACAATATTGAATATTCCCTTGGCAGTTATTTGAAATACTCAAATCTGAGTCAAGATCGACCCAAAGCCACAGTCTGTAGAGTTTTAACAAGGTTACAGTGGCTTACCCTGATGAGCGAGGGAACGAGGGGCAAAGTGACCTCATTTGGCGTTGCCGATCGTTTTAAGAACAATTGAATGCATTCTTTTAATTTTCTTCCTAATCCCTCTTCTTGAGAACACAAAGTGCCACTTCAATAAGTTACATCGTCCTTTAACTAATTATTGATTGCTCTTACGTGTAAGTCTGCTGAAGTCTCCATTTATGGATCTTCTAGCTGCTAACTAGTCGGCCAATAGACTAGCGTCCCCCATCGGCCTTGTCTCTTCAGCCACCCATGCCAACGATTCACTCCTGAGCCACACTACTATCTTTCTCAGTTTTGGACTGGATAGCCTCAAGAGCATTCTTGTCCTGTTAAGTCAATAATTTCTTTTTGCTACTACCGGTCTACCCCGCCATTTCGCCATGTCTACCCCGACGAGCCCCGCGGATGTCAAGCTCCCGCAGCGGTCTGGCACCGTGAGCAGCGGCTTTACTCGCCGTACTTCTATGAGCGACGACGAAGCTATTCCTCATACCGACAGCAGTGAGGTGTGTCGCGATGATCCTCTCAGAACAGAAGGAATGGCTCAAGCTAATTATTTATCTCTGCTAGACAACCAATCTCCTGCTCGAGCGCCTCAGGGCTTGGAAGCACATGTGCGGATATCTCGAGGATTACTTCTCTGCTACCGCGAAGGTGCAGAAGTCCCAGTCCAAGGATTATGAGAAGATTTTGAAAGTCAGTAGCCAATTGAAGTCTTGTTTACGGGTGATTATCGAGACTAACATTGGCAATTGGATGTAGAGCGTGAACGAACCCCTCAAGGAAGGCCACCACTTTAGCTCCAGCGCTGGCGGCATCACGGGACTGTTCGAGAACCTCCGCAACAACTCCCAGGGTATGGTAAATATGTACTTGGAAGGCGAAAAGAGCATCAAAGACGGCGTGCTCCCCACCCTCGAGCGCCTCCACAAGGAGATCAAGAACAAGTCCAAGGAGCTTAGCTCTGGCGCATCAAAGGGCGCCAAGGCTGTGGAAAAGGCCCGCGGTCTTACCCAGAAGCACATCGAGCTACTGGGCCAGAACTCCGCCTCCTTCGACGCAGCAGCCTCCAACAAGATCGACCAGCAGCATGACCCCTACCTCCTCAAGCGCGGCATCAACCACCGCCTCAACAACCAAGTCAACGAAGAGAACAACCACCGCCAGGACATCCTTGCCGTCCAAAACTCGTTCCAGCAGTTCGAAGCTCACCTTCTGCAAACCGTCCAGGGAGCCCTCCAGCAATTCCACCAGCACATGGAGGGCCAAGTCGAGCGCCAACGCGCCATGTACGCAGACATCCTCGGCACAGCCCAGCGCATCCCCCCAGACTTCGAATGGATCAACTTCTGTGTCCGCAACGACGCAAACCTCGTCAATCCAGACTCCCCCCGCGCTCCTTCTCAAGCATCACCTTCCCAAACATGGAGCACCGCTCCACTCAGCCGCTGATCGAGGGCTCGCTCGAGCGCCGCTCCCGCGCAGTCATCAAAGGCTACTCAACCGGGTACTACGTGGTAACACCAGCGCGCTACCTGCACGAGTTCAAAGACAACGACGACTTCCGCCGTGACCCCTCTCCCGAGCTCTCGCTGTACCTGCCTGACTGCATCGTCGGCGCCATAGACGGCGTCAAGTTCAACGTCAAGGGCAAGGACGTCTCCTCTGGCAAAATCGGCAACGCCTTCCATACAAACACAGAGCTCAGCTTCAAGGCCCACACCGCCAACGACGCAGAGAAGTGGTGGTCCGTCATTAAAGAGGCTACCCGTGGCTCCGGGGCTGCTGCCGCATCGAACCTTGTTTCGCCCATCGCTGCTTCGCCCAGTGCTACTTCCCCAACTGCCTCCGTTAGTCCCTCGCGTAACGTCTCCGGCCAGAGCCAGCCACCCACTTACGCCGAGAAGGAGATGGAGAAGGCCCAGCCGACTTCCCAGCCGACTTCCCAGCCTGCTGCTTCTGCCACTACTGACGCGAAGGCTGCTGCCAGCCCAGCCGCTGCTGGTCCTGCTACGGCTAGTCCCGTTGCTGCCAGCCCGGCACCGGGTATTACTCGCACTGCTAGCACCGCTAGTCACTTCCATACTTCGCCTGGTGGATCGGCTGTTGAGAAGTCGTAGACTGGTAGGATCGAGATCTAGGTCTGTGACGGTGCCTCGCGTATCTGCTTTTCATTTCAGCACATCATCCCCTTTTAATGCTTTTGGTTCATTGGACTTCATTTGAAATACGTACTCACAGCTACATTCTTATGCGCATGTGCATGTCATCACACCCATTCGCGGGTCAGTATCCATCCATTCTACATTTGGATAGGTATTGCGTTGTGCTTAGTCTTTGATATATACTACCTAATGAATTTCCTTTCACTTCAAACGAAATATATAAGAATAATATAATATGCATAAATAAGTTATCAAGAACGCTCATTGGATCTCCGATCCGAAGCTATTAAATACACAAAACCAAAACGGCCAGCTTGTGTCGTCCATCATATCTGCGGAAGCACACTCAAGTAGGGCTTGGTAGTTCCAAAACGCTACCAAGCAACACTTCTGCCCAGATCCCAGTCAGCGGGCAAGCCGTGCCCGAACTAGAAATCCTCAGGACTCTCCAGATCATCAAGCTTCTGTCCCAAGAACCGTCCCAGCGCCGCGCACTTCGATTCCAGCGCAAGCAGCACAGATGGTGACGCAGACAGATTCAAGCTAGCCAAGCGCGCCAGATCGGCGCTGCGATCGATCTCATACTGCGGGTCGTGGTGGCCGTTCTGTGGCGGCGTCGGCGAAGGCACGGCAAGGGGCGTGCGCTGGCCCTCAGCCTGTGATCCGTCCGGTGTAGTCGGTGCAGCTGCATCAGCGGTGCCGTCGGCGGTGAGGTAGTCGGTTGGTGTGGTCTCGGGAGCGGCATCGGGTTTGGAGGGGCCGACGGCAGCCACGAGCACTTTATCTGCGATTCGGGTGACCACGGCCACGGAGTCATCTAGTTCGAATACGATCGAGCCTACGTCGCCTAGGGACATGGATTGTGCGGTTACGTAGGAGGATGGGTGGCTAGCGGGGTTGACGCCGGTCAGGTTGCCGCTTGAGGCTGATTTTGCGTAGCATGTGTAGGCGGCGCCGTAGGTGGCGCTGAGGTTGCGGAGTTGGCGGGAGGAGAGGGAGGAGCCGTGCGCGAAGACGGCGCCGTTTGTTGCGAAGACGCTGTGATAGGATGTTTAGTTGGGGTTTGGTTTGCGGACGGGGCGTCGTGGCCATACATGATGGTTGTGATCTCTGGTGGGGATAGGTTGTCCTCCAACAGATCGCTTAACGCTTCTGCGTCCAGCATCTTGATATCTGGAAGACCGGGAATCATGGTGTCGGGTTGTGGGCTTGCCAAGGGTGTTCGGTCCTCCACCTGAAACTCGGCTTCCACTGATACGAGATTTGCCTCCACTACCCAGTCTTTGGGCGGTGTCCAAGAGCAGTCTTCTGGGAAGAAAAAACAATTATCGCTATAGGCTTCGTCGTCGTGGTCGTACTCGATCGGCTCGTCGGAGCAGTCCAAGAGGTTTTGGGCACACTTGGTCTCGTAACGGGCCCAATAGGGTAGGAAGGTCGGTTCGAAGGAATTTCGTGAGGTATGTGATGTGGATAGAGTTGTCGAGGAGCAATCGGATGCTGAAGAAAAGTAGTCTAGCACTGGAGGAGGTTCACATTCAGCCATCTTTACCCCCATGGATAGAAACCGGGCACGCGACGATGATGATAAGCGGATGTATAGTGCCCCACGAACAGGAAATCAATGAACGGAGAACACGAGGGCAGGAGACAATATTCTCATATCGTAGACTTGGGCAGGTGGACGGGAGAGGGGAAGTATGAAGCGGTTCGGAGTCCTTGACTCAATGCGCGTCTGGGCTTGTTGGCCCGAATAGCAAGGCAGGACGATTCCTCAGGACGATTCCAATCGCGTCCGGTGGCACAGAAGAAATCCAGGGAGTAAAAGGAGAGCTTTATAATGACAGGTAAGACCGAGAGGTGTCATGAGATGCACAAAGCTCCGCAATGGCAGCCTCCCGGCGATCGGGCAAACAGAGACGAAACGTGTACCATTGGCGAACCGCTGATTGGAAGAGAAGGAATGATTGGCAGTTGAGTGCTAAGCGCGGCAGTATAACAAAATCATAAAATGAGACCAAAGTGGCCAAAGACCGTTCCGAGCATGCAACACGAAGCCGGGGGAGAATGGAAGCCAATCGCAGGAAAGGGATCAACCGGGGGCGGGGAAAGAGTGTGGAGGAGCATGCAGGAATAAAGTGACCACGAACCTTTGCAAAATTCAAGGGATTAGAAGGGGACGGCGGTTAAGGTCGAACGAGGTGTACGGAGTTGAGGAGTTGAGAAGTGAAGATGCCCGACGATAAAGCAATCTCCCGTTGATCTCTTTGCCATGACGTTAATAGCCAACTCCATAACAACACATACATACATACACATGCGTTCGATTATTATTGTGTTTTCAGATTGTCCGAAAATTCTTGCAGATCATATTTCAAGTATTTTGTCTGGTTTTAGTGTCCAAGAATAGGAGTAAAACTAGAATGAACTTGAGGAATACCCGGCTCTTCAATCTTCGGGCTTCAATAACAAGTACATCAAAATATGTATGAAATCTGCCAATCAACTAACCCATCAACATGCAGTATATATATACACTTTATATGCAGTTTATAAAAAAAATGATCAACTGAAGCGTCATAGGCCCCACAGTCTCCAACAGTCTCCTCACGGCTGACAAAAGCTCTTTTTCCCCTCCATCACTCCAGGGCTCCATTTCTACGCCACTTCAATGTTGGCTCGTCTTTCTCCTGTACTAAAACAAAGATTACATTCGCCATTTAGTATGTTCAATTCATCAATCTACTATTATAGCCAATCATTAACCACTACACAGGGTCTTTAGCAACCATGGCCACTGATACTTCCACTTATAAGCTCAACCGTTAGTCTCTCCCTCGCAACCCATTTCAAAATTAATATGGTATATAGACACGATGATGCGGGTCAAGGACCCGAAGAAATCAGTGGAGTTCTACAAATTTCTCGGCCTGAGCTTGGTCAACACCATTGACGCGCCCGAATGGAAATTCTGCAACTACTTCCTGGCCTACGATGGTCCGGCCTCTCTCCAGGGTGATCGTCACTGGACTGACAGAAATGCCGTGCTGGAACTCACTCACAACTATGGCACCGAGAACGACCCCAACTACAGCGTGGTGAACGGCAACACAGAGCCGTACCGTGGCTTCGGTCACATCGCCATCTCCGTCGACAACATTGAAGCTGCATGCAAGCGCATCGAGGATGCTGGGTACCCATTCCAGAAGAAATTGACCGAGGGCCGTATGCGACACATCGCTTTTGCTAAGGATCCTGATGGATACTGGGTTGAGATTATCCGCCGCGCCGATGAGGACCTGGGCACCACTACCGACCCCGGCAGCTACCGCCTGAACCACACTATGCTCCGTGTCAAGGACGCTGAGGCTAGCTTGAAATTCTACCAAGAATCTATGGGTATGACTTTGGTCCGCACTATCGAAAACCCCGACAACCAGTTTAACTTGTATTTCCTGGGATATCCTGCTGCCAACCCTGAAATTAAGGAGGGCGCAAAGAACAGCGTGGCAGAATGGGAGGGCCTGCTGGAACTGACCTGGAACTATGGCACCGAGAAACAGGAGGGTTCCGTCTACCACAACGGTAACACCGAGCCTCAAGGTTTCGGTCACATTTGTAAGTGATGATCACGCGCCTATGTTTGGTTTTTTTTTGTCCCTTCTCTAATTTGAATCAGGTATCTCTACCGATGATCTTCAGGCTGCGTGCGACCGTTTCGAGTCCCTCAAGGTTCCCTTCAAGAAGCGCTTGAGTGACGGCCGGATGCACAACATTGCATTCATTCTGGATCCCGATGGATATTGGATTGAGGTGGTACAGAACGAGAAAATCAAGCGGACCTCGAACTGGTAGAAGTAGAAATAGTACAAAATATGCGATTGAGAACAAGTGATCAGTGATATCAACTACTTCTTATACTCACCAAAAAAATGCATCACTTGACCCAACTTTTCTGCTTATCCCCCACCATTTCATAGGTTGCCGCTGTGGACCCTCTTCCCCCGCCCCCAGAACATTTCAACTCTGGAACTTTTCGTTTTATTTTCACTTGAAGAATTATTTCCAATTGAACAATGGGTGTTATGAATGTTGATGTGGGATGAATTTGACGATTGATCTGGTTTATACTTAGCTTGCGGGGATTCGTCGCCACCTCAACAATTCGTACGCCTCAACTCGTAAAAGAAACCCGCCGTGGTCTCGATCTTCGAAACCATGTCCCCTGGTCCGGAAAAGATGAAAAAAGCACCTCGTAAACATGTCACCACGGCGTGTGTGCCATGTCGAGAAAGCAAAATTAGGGTATGCACCCCCAAGCCCGGAAATGAGGAGTCAGTGTATGAACAGGGGATCTAACGCGTGCACTGCCAGTGTGATGGGGCTACTCCGAACTGTCAAAATTGCCAGCGTAAGAGCAAGGAATGCAAATATCAACATGGAGATGACAAGCGCAAGTAAGTGCAATTTTGTTGTGGGAAAGCATCTGAGTGGCAAAGCGACTGCCTCGACTTCTACGGTGGTTATTGCATTCAACGTTCCTGAGCTGACCAAGCAACTAGGGTGTCTCTCCGAGCAGCAACAGAACTGTTCTCGGCCCGAATTGACCAACTTTGTCATTTTATTCAGGATCAAGGCCTGGAGCCTCCGCCTATGAAGCCAGAGGACGAAGCTGGCATGAACCGAGTCCTGGATACTCTTCAAATCCCTCGTGGGTTCCCTCAAGCGACAGGCATAGCCGAGGCAAATCATCCATCAGCTGAGTCTCGAGCTCCTGTTGTTTCTGGCCAGTCTCCGTCGCAGAGTCCGCCTGCCATTAGTTCCAAGGGACCAAACCCCCCGACTGATTTGGCTGCCCCTGGCGTTTCCCCGGCTCAAGATAATGCTTCCAGCGGACACGTTCCCTCGCCGGAAGGTTGGAACCCCTTTGGAATGGTCCGTGGTGGTTCTGAAAACCAGAACTTTGTTCATTGGGGCTTCACACTGCCAACAGCTGAAAGTTTGGATACGATTTATGCAAATCTGCCGGGGGGACCCGGGGGCCCTGGAGCACCTGGCATGGCGGGTATGCCTCTAAATACGAATCTGAGTCCAGACAGCTACCAAATTGGAATGGGCATGGTGCAACAGACGGGTATTTTGCCAGGCCAGCTCCTGAACGAAGGAGAACAGGAATCAGAAAGCGGAGAGGAGGACGAGGCAGAAAATGATGTTATCGAGCAGTTGTCGTACCGAATTGGAACTTTGAAGATTGCAGGCGATGGACATCTTCGTTTCTACGGTGCGACCTCTAACCTCAATCTGGTGGATGTGTCCGCGACACAGCAGCGGCAGCGACCAGATGCGCGAACAGTCCGCCATGATGGTCAGGATATTCTCAACCACCTTCGTGTTGGGCAACCGGTTGATCAGGCTCTCGAGGATCACCTCGTGGAATTATATTTCACCTGGCAAAATCCCAGTACTTATGTTGTCGACAAAGACATGTACATGACGGCACGATCTAAATGGCGCAATGAATTTGATGATACTCCATTCTACTCTGAAGTACTAACTAATGCAATGTTGGTTTACCCTACAATATAACTGTTTGATTCATCTACTAACCTATCGAAGGTGTGCGATTGGGAGTGCTTTCGAAGCACGCTATCATCCGACTTTCATCACGTTCCCAAAGTCTCTCTCTGAGTTTTTTGCAGACCGTGCCAAGGCTCTGTTGGAGATCGAACTCGATTCTCCCTGCGTGGCAACTGTCCAGGCCCTTGTAATCATGAGCTGTCACGAGGGTGCATCGAACCGCGATGCTCGAGGCTGGCTGTACAGCGGTAAGCAGAGAAAGAATCCGCATCGCTTTTCATCGTCTAATCATGTTACAGGAATGTCAATGCGACTTGCCTTTGATCTTGGTTTGCATTTGGATATGACGGTTTATGTCCATAAGGGCGATATCACACAAGCCGAGGCCGACGTGCGCCGTGCAGCGTTTTGGGGAAGCTATGTTGCAGACCAGTGAGTACTTTCCCCAGTGCGTTGATTATAGCTCTGACAAAAGCAGTTTCTGGGGCTTTTATCTGGGACGTCCGTTCCGTATGAATGCGGGAGATATCAGCGTTCCGAAACCTGCTTCTGCTTTGGGCCCTGAAAAGGAAGAGAACTGGCACCCTTATGGTCATCAAGCTTCTGATGCACTACTCCAAAATGGACTGAAGAATCCCACCGAGTTGATATGTAGGCAATTTGTTGTACTATGGGAAATGATTTCCCCAGTTGGCCATATATTGTGTGTTTTGTTCTACTCCATTTCAATTGCAGTGCTAACATGTGTTTTAGGTATGGATGCTCTGACATCTCTCCGCATGACTTGCAAAGAATATGCTACCAAGTGACTGAAGATTTGTTTGCTTGGAAAGCGAACCTTCCTTCTAGCCTACAGATTGATTTGGACGACGATACAACCCCACTATTGCCTCACTTGATGATGCTCCAGTAAATCCACAATTCATATCCAGCATAAATTTATATACTAACAGCGTTTCACAGCATGCAATACCATCAAATTATCATCTTCTTCCACCGCCCGTGGCTCTCGAAAAGCTACATTCAACCCCGGGCACCCCGCCAAGGTCCCGGTTATCACCACGCACGACGCATGTGCGTCGAATCGGCCACTGCCGTTGCCCGACTCCTCCACCTCTACGAGAAACATTACACCTTCCGACGCATGAATAACCAAGTCGTGGCAATAATTTTCAGCGCGGCCCTCATGCTCCTCTTCGTCACCGTCTCTGGTTCCCCAATGAGCCCCGGCAAACAAGGCGAGAGCCCAACATATCCGCGCAGCACAGAGATGGTAGCATACCTTAATCTATGCTTCCGCGCCCTCGATGAGCTGGGCCAATCATTTGACAACGCGAAGCGCACTCGCGACTATCTCGTTACCCTACAACGACGCTGGCAAACACACATGCGCCGCACGGGGTCGTCCACCAAGCGCCAGATCAACGGTGCCAACGCGTCTTCCATGTCAAAGCAGCCTTCTGTACAGCACGGCCGTGCTGTTAATACATCACTAGCGATGGATGGCTCCCGCAAGAAATCCCGCCTCTCTTTTTCCGATATTCCTCCTCACATGCAGTCTACTGCACCTTCTGCCCAACAACCTCATCTCTCTCGTCAAACATTGTCTCAGTATATGCAACAGCAACCCTCTAATCAACAACAAGCCTTGCCCGTTTCCGCTCCCCAGCTAGGAAATCTAGACTGGGTTCACAATTCTGATATGCGGCTTCTGTCCGAGACTCAGAATGCTAATGCTGCCAATGGAATGGGGCAAATCCCTTCGCCGCCATTCCCCGAGGAGTCTAAGATTCTTGCTGACCTGGGAGATATGGACTCATGGTGGGGCTCTCCTAATGGTGCTTCTGGTCTTGGAGGACCGTCCATGTAAGTGTGTTAGATCTGGAGTTGCATCTAGTAGATCGTGCACAAAGGACTGTTTTATTTTTTTATTTCTTGGTTGTATTCTCTTTTTTTTCTATCTCAAGATTAAGACTACTGATAATGAACCAACGAAGATGTTGAAGACACTAATTGCGAGGAGTATCAGAAAGCGACATGCGCTACCTAGGTAAGACTCGAGTAAATGACACTTATAATGCTAGCAAGGATCTGAAATTGTATATTTGTTAATCAATGTCATCCATCGTTCCTCGAAATACATCATGGAACCAGCCACCCGCCTTCTCTGCGACATCGACACCACTTACCCTAGAAAGAGTAACTTTTCGTTCAGCATAACTCTTCTCCCGACCCCAAAAGCAAGCCCGTTGCATAACAGAAACCATCTCATCAGCCTGTCTCGCAAGAACTGTAGGCCCACCACCCACCTCCCTCGTCTTCGTCCGCGGTCTCACACCCTCACCACCATCCACACTAGATCCAGCCTCATTATCCCTCGCAAACACCCTCACCCAAGGCAAAACAACCTCCAACCGCCCAATACCATCCCCAGGCCCTGACCACGTCTTCCCACTAAGCCCGTAGTCCAGCCCATAAGGCGGCCACCGAGAAAGCGCCTTCCTGCGGCGCGTCACAGCAGCCGCAAGCTCATCAGCCGCATCACCATCAGCATCAGGATACACATCTCGATCCCAGATCGACCCGTCCGGCGCATGATATTGTGCGGCGGCTGTTGTCTTCCGGGTTTCCCGGAGGACGGGGACTGGATACTCAGGTCCGGTCAGATATCGGGGGAATGTGCGTGGTACGTCTCGTCCTGCAGAGCGGAGGAAGAGTACCGGGGAGGCGAAGGGGTCGAAGCAGCGCTCTGGGGTCGAGAAGAAGCGGGAGCGGGCTTCGAGGAGGGGCAGTAGGTCGGGTGGTGCGGGCTTTTTTCTTTGGCGTTTGGGCTTTGTCGAATGTGTGGATGTGGACAGGCTGTTTGTGTCTTCATCGATATCTATGTATGGCTCTTCGGTTTTCGTCTCCCGTGTGCAGTAGTCATCCAGACTCGGCCAGTCGCAGATGGGTTCTAGGGCGGCCACGGCTTGAAGGGATCGGGCTTCTGTCAAAGCTAGCATCAGAGCTAGAGAGCCGCCGATATGTGTGCCAAAGACTGCTAGTTGGGCTGGCTGGAGATTTGTTTGGATCCAGTCGAATCCAACCAGTGTGTCGTGGACTGGGGTTGGATATTTGTGTGAGGCTACTTGGGAGTCGGTTGAATCCAGAGCTTGGTCATGGGTTTCATTTGACTCTAATTGATCCAAGCTTGCTCCTTGAGACTCAGTTGATGAGGGTTTAATCTCCCCTAGGCGATATATGACTGTAACTACCAATGCGGAAGTGGTAGATGCTAGGACATGCTGTGGTGAAGCTCCTATTGAGATCAAGGGGTTGCTATCTCCAACTCCGCGAGTATCAGGGTCCGAGATTGAATTCCCATCTATTTGATGGAGATTTAGATCATTTCCCTTGAATAGTGGCCCAGGAGGAAGATAAAGGATCACATTTGGTTTCTCCGGAGACAGCCCCTGGTTAGACTGGCTCAACGCGCTTGGTCGCGTAATTCTGGATCAGTCAGTCTGTGTCGATAGCCCATACTAAAAAGAAAAAAGGAGGGAAGAAATCAAGAGCCTACCGAAGGGAGATGGTTCCATTATTTCCAATGGGGACAGAAATTGTCTCGTCGGTGCAGTCCGACGAAGCGGTAGAATATCTCGCGCGCCGGGAACACGCGATGGCAACGCGGCTCTCTCTGCTACCATGCAGAAAGAGGGCTATGCCTCGAGAATAGCAGATAATAGCTCGCATAGCACCATTGGAAATGTACTTGCCGATTTGTGGTAGAGGTGGCTTGGTACGGATGCAGTGATTTCAGTATCGCTGTCCGAAAATGATTGGGGCCTGAGAAATCAGGTTCGATATTTTGTTAGTTATGTTAATTACGACTGAAACTGGACAACTCCGAGTCTATCTACTGTGTTTATATTGTTTATTTAATTTGATTAGTCGAATGGTACCTAGTTAGTCCTCTACATGGATTGATAGAGATCGGAGTGAAAAATGGCTGAGGGTATATCTTTATATATATATTTCTGCTAGCCGGTACCAATTTATGATGGCGCCCATGGATGATTAGGAATGACATTGAGTTGAGCAAGAACTTGGATTTGATAAAACGATTCAACATAATCTGACATACACAGAATCCGACAAATATGGCAGATGTCATTAGACCCCGCTGAGCATTGAAATTTTGGTGAAGTGAGTCTCTATCAAAGTAGCTTCAGTTGCCCAAATATCAATCACGCCCTGGAATATACCAGCAGCATGAGGCCCTGATCCGGTAGGAATAATTTCAATGCAGCGTGCTCCAGGCATGTTTGGCCTAGCTTCCAGATCTGCAATTGGGAAGTACATCGTCGGGGAAGGTTCCAAGGGCCTAAGAGAAACAACATGAATGTATTCTGCCCCGTCAGGACTCGAAAGCTGTTCGTAGCGCCTGCAGAGCGCTTTCCCGTTCTCACCAACCTTCACAACGGCGAATGGCGCTCCGGTCTTGGTCTGGATGTGAATCGCATCATTTTTGGGAGTTGGGTGAGTCCACGACAGACCCGGGAGGTTCGGCCTCCAATTGACGTCAAAAAATATCCCCAAAGGCAGGTATTTACCATCAGTTAATTTGATGTGCCACGGTAGTTCAGAAAGCTCCGGTACTTTACTTCCGTTGGCAACCAGTAAAGTGGACCACTGATGTTCCTGAAGCAGATTTGCAAAGAAGACGGACTTGACGCGGTCCATATCCTGGGAATTATCGTACCACGGAGTAACATTCCCTAGGTCCAGTGCTCCTAACAATGCCCAGCATTGATCTGCCTCGACACCGAATTTGCGCGAAAGCTTTCCGGCTAGGATGTACAGCGGGGACTTCTTGGTGTAGGCGATTAGACCTGAGCGCAGGAGACGGGAGAGGAACTGTGCAACAGACTGATAGCTTTCTGGCGATTCACTGATGAGCCTAACTACTTCGTCGTAGTCACCTCCATCTTTCGTCTCACTGATCTTCAGGAAAGCCGTGGCAATGTGGATTGCGAATGTTGTGAGACCGGCTGTAAGATCGAGGACGGAGGCCTGGCCTTGGTTGTGGAGGAAACGCTCATCGGATAGTGTCTTACCGTTGTGATCCAACAGAAGAGTTTCACTAAGAAGGACCCCTTCCTGTAGTGTCCAGCCAGAGGTCAACCAAGGCTCACCCTCCCGAATGGCTTGGAGTAGGCCATCAACAGCTTCTAGATACGCAGGGAGGCTCTGCCTATCCAACTGATTCTTCAGCAACTTCTCGATTGGAGAATCCACACCCCACTCCGTGAGATGAAGCCATACGATGCTTTTCTTTGCCCCTTGGTAGATTACCCTAGGCACGATGAAAAGTCAGCATGGCTTTCACATAATAGAACGAGGAAAGGAAAATGATTACATTTGCTTTCCAACCTCTTGCCCCTTGGCCTGTAATAGATCTGGGGACAATGTATCTGCATTTCCCTGGGGAACACACATCCAATCCCACCACACGTATCGAATATCCATGCTCGAAACTACCCGCCGAGCTAGGACCAGAGGCAGGCTTTCAACAATCGGAATTCGCCACAGTAATCCTTGCGGCAGGTCAAGGGGGAGCTCGTTCCATGAGGCCCACCTGCCCCAGGTATAGGAGATAATGCCATATCCTTTCTGTATCACGTCGTCTTCGATCTCTCGATAGTCACGGATCGCCCATTGTTCGAGATCAAGTAGCCACCGAGGGTGGTTGGGGTTGTTTGGAGGAACATCAACCATCTCTTAGATTTGGCAAAGCAGATGAAATGGAAGAAAAAGTGTTTTCTGGACTTCCCTCTGCAATTATGAGAATTAATTGTATAATTTCCTAAAGGATTGTGGCGCTCTTATATCATTGGGAGTGTGAAACAATTGTTTTTACCTAATGTCGCTTATAACATGCACCAGGACACTTTCAACGTCATTCATGTTCACAGCTGGGCCAAGTTGAGAGAGTTGAGTCTCGCCCCAAAGGCCAAGATCAGTTGGACATAGATCTCCACTGAAGATCACCATTATTGACTTGTTGAACCACGCAGTGAGAGGGATTAATTTGGAGTTTTCTGCACTATGTGTTGTTTCATCACTTTTGTAGCTCTTACCTGACCAGTGGTGGCCCTAAGTGTTGTTGATCATGACCCTTTGGAGTTGATGAAGAGTCAACACGTAAATACCTGATGCGGGGTGATACATTGTGATATGATAGATGCAGGATGCGGATGCAGAACGGGCCCTGTTTCGGTCTCCCGTGCAGATCAGTCAGCTCCAAGCTTCGTCGTACCTGGGTAGGACTAAATTAGTTCCGTTGCGTGTAGTGATCACGAGTAGTCTCTACTATTGAAGAAAGAATGCTCACATCTTGGGCAAATTACCCGTCTCTTTTTCCCTGCTACTGTAGATACCTACGGAGTACAATGTGAAATATTCGAGGACCCATATATTTATGTACATGTGGATGTGCGCTATTGATGTCCCGTTTGAATGTTATGACCGGGGTAACATTCCAAGGTTCATTTTCCCCCTCTATTATTCTAAACAACGCCCCAGAGCTGTATATATGACGTGATTCTGCGTGGTCTCCTCCCAGTGGAAACCTTGTGGATGTGAGAGGTGTTGGTTGATCCTCAGCTCGATGCGAACTTTTTGCGAACAGCGAATCATCATTTCTCACACCCCGCATCTGACTGTACCTGCACTGCGATATTTCAGCAGGCAACTGAATCGGATGGCAAATATCACTATTGTATTCAAAAAATCATGACGTTGATCGGTCAAAATATGAGGAGAGGGGCCGAGATCACCCCGTTGTAGTTGGAAAAAAATCAAGTATCATCTAGTGGGTTATATAAATCAACAATTTCTCTTTCACAGATCAGGCATAAGTCTACAAATAAAGAGATTGCTTTTTGTTTCCAATCGAAGCGAAATTAGACAAACCAGGTTGCCTAAGTTTCCAAGACTCTTCATCATGGGTCAAATGGTTTCATCTGTCATTGAAAGCCTTCAAGATGACGCAGAAAAGCAGAAGTTAGCAAACGATGCTTTGAATCAGATGGAGGAACTGGGTACTCAGCAAGTTGAATCCTTTTTGCTGGCCGTCACGTAAATCGCTGCTGTCAAACAGACCTCAAAGTTCCTTTCTTACCAAGTCACCTCAAAAATAGTAACAGAAGCGTGGACGCAAAGTTGATCCCCGTCGGTCAGATCCTACATCAAGATTCAATCGTGCGATGCGGCATCTCCAACAAACCCGATGATATTTCCAAAGAGATCACCGATGCCTTTGGCGCATTTGTCAAAGGGGACATGGCAAAAGGAATAGGCCTGGTAGTTCAAGACGGCATGAAGGCTCTTGTTGGCTCATATGAAGGAAACAAGTCGACGAGGACTAGTTAGTGAGTTGCTCAAAAATTCTATTGCGACTCGATTTGCCTGTAAACTGACCATTTCCTCTCATCGGCATATAACAGTACTATCACGACTGGAGACCTGGGTGGTATTCAACGGGTTGATATTCGAATGTTTGCTTGGAAGTACTCGTCTAAGCAATTGGTAGATATCACGAAAGATTTGATCGCTGTGGCCGTCATCATCTCGTCCGTGGATCCCAAGCTCGTCTCGGACTTTTCCATTCGAGCCTTGGTCCAAGAACAATATGGGGGACTTCCAGTGGATCAACAAAAAGCCCTTCTCAAAATAATTCTGGATGCGAAAAAAGAAGCATCATGATGGAACTGACATCATTTGGAATGTCCAGGCATTGGCCATTATTGAACTGGATTGTTTCCTCATTATGAACTGCAGTTGACACTCGTTTCTGTTCACCGCAATGAAAATGCACTCTATAGCATCCCGGCTGTGTCACTTTTGAAGCTTGCGAAGGTGCATAGCGGTCAGAGGCCAAATGCGTTTCTTTATAGGGTTGATGTCCGACGATGCCTTATTTAGAACTCGCTGAAATTGCACAGACGTCTTCATTGAAACTAAAATGTCGTGCATAATAATCTTCCATTTTGTAACAATTGAACCAGATACACATAAAATACACTAAATAGGAAGCTGACTGCTCCAAGAGTCCCTCCACGAGTATGAATCTCTCTGATGAATAGTCGCTGATGCCGCAGGATCATCCCGATCAAGAGGAGCTTCAGTACTATGATCCAAAACCGGACGGACAACCTGCAAGCTCAGCATAACATCCTTAGAATAGACCCGCAGACCGACTACGCACACTGCATTCCACGGGTCAACAGATGGCTCATTTGGATCTATCATGGGAGGCTGCATTTTCATATCTGACTCGGTGGGCGGCATGTCGATATCGCTGTCGAACTCAAATCCTTCCAGCAAGTCCAAGTCACTAGTATCCAGCATGTCGGTAGCAAGGCGAGTCTCCAGACTGGGGCGTGGGGACTCAGCACCTCGTCGCCAGCCACTACTCGCATGCTTTGCGTGCAGGCCCTCGCCGCCATTGACGTGTATGGTCGGGACGGAGCCGTTTGTGTTCGGCCCTCGGCGTTCACTGTTATCACTAGAGACACTTGTAACGTCCACAGGAGACTCCTCGACTGGTTTCTCACCGATGATCTGTTCGGGGACAACGCGCCCAGAATTGCGATCATATGAGCCCCCGTTAGGGGCACGACCTGAACGACCTACATCCATGCGCTCTTCTCGAGCAGATAGCTTCTGGCGGCGAATCCAATCTTTCTGCATCCTTTTCTTGGTCTGGTCACGCAGCTTTCTTCGCTCTACAGCCTTGGCTTTTTCATTGTCGCGCCTTTCTTGTTCGGTCTCTCCAACTAGTCCTTTGGCGTGCGCGAGATCATAAGAAAGACCCACTTGCACGAGCTTTTCTCTTCTTGTAGCGGCAACTTGGCGAACGATCTGTTCAGTGGATTCCACATCCTCGTGGCGGAAAGCTGTGATCTTCATGAGAACATGATAGCGGCCTGGGTCGAGATTGATTTCTGCATTGACAGATCGTCCCATGAAATGGCTGCTATGGCTGCGCACCAAATAATCTTCGTCGCCTTCTTTCTGTAAGCGGAACTTCAGTACAAAGCTGTACTCGCCCACAAGTCCCTTAAAGTAGCGAGTATCAAGCTGTATCTGTTAGCGACCATATAAACCAAGGCAAACATTGAATGTAACACGGACCTGGGATAAGACGATAACTACTGGACCACTCGTGGTGACATCCATTATAAACTTGGTACTGTGGTAATCTGCTGACCAGGGAACGTTTAACGTGGTCCATTGCTGGGCGATATTCCACTCAGGTCCGAACAGGCGAGTCCGGTCAAAGTGCTGGTACTTTCGAAGAAGATCTTTATAGTCGATCCAAAAGAACTGTGAGGTGTTAAGGTGCTGTTACGGAAGAACGAGATAAGTATGCTCACTCCATCATTGCCGAATTTATGCCCTAGGATCTCCATCCACTCGGCCGTCCATTCTTTAGATCCGTCACCCCAGGCACCATGCCATTCTTTCTTACCCCATGGGTTCCTGCTATTTGTCAGTATACCGCTCTTTTGTATCGAAGAGTTCATTTCGTATACCTGAGTCTCAACAGCCGGTAACCCCTGATCTCCTTTGCTTCCATAATGGAATAAGAGTGCTGCTCCGAAATACCCTTGCGATCTCGAGGAGGTCCCCGATATTGAGGATCCAGCCAGTTGGAGAACAAGCCAGTGCCGCAGCCAAACAAAAACTCTTCGTTGACCTTCATAAGCTCCTCGGTCCAAAAGCGATCCTTGTTCAAAATGTTGCTGGATAAAACCTCTGATGTGACACCACCAGTGAGATCTTCGATAGCTTCACCAACGAAGCCGCCCTCAATGGCGGAATAATCCCCGTGGGCCTTGGCGAAAGCCTTTTCCAAAAGAGGGAGCCATGTCTCGTTATCATCCACGCACTGTGCGAAGTACAGTGCCCGCGAGCCTGTTTGCCAGACTCGTCGGTACTCTTCTTCCGTATCTGTTCGATTGATATCGTCCCAAAGCGGCCGTTCGTCTACCGACTCATCATAGTCTGCAGCGCGGAGGTAGAGCTTGTCATCCACAATACATTGTTGCCACTCGCCGTCTGACGATGCGAGTCAGCATGATGCCTGATTAAAAAATTTCGATACTTACCTCGGTAAAAGACAAATCCGTAGATCCCGATTTCCTGATTACGAGCAACACATATTTTCTCAATCAGCATTTCTTTGTTGCCCATGGTGCACAACGCAGCCATAAGCCAGCAGTCGCCATCATATCCTTGGCGTACATCTGACGCCGTTGGCCCGTTGACAAAGAATTGTGGCTTCTCAAAGATATCCTATACAAGCATCAGCTATTGTTCACAATGGATGACCTTGACTCCGTTGAAACAAACTAACCGTAACTCGCTTGACACCCCGAGGTCTCATCTCCGAATTTGGTTTATCCAATCCATCGAGATAATGCCGCCGACCAGACTTCAAGTCGAGCTCAATATCAAAGTGCGGGTCGCTATATTTCTGGTTCACACGCTCACACTCCTTAACAATCCGATCGACGGATTTCTCGCATTCTCGCTTCGCCTGTTCGTACGATTTGACGGCTGCGTGGCCGTGAATACGACCGATGGGCACACGTTGGGCCCGCGTTCGTGCGTATGGATTATCCGGTAGCACTGTGAATACTTTGCCTGGGTATTTGGTATTGAACTGTTCCCAGAACTGCTTGACTGATTCCTGTGGTGGTTGACAGCGTGCCCGGTGTGGCGGGCGACTGTTGGACCGCGATGAGCTTGGTCCTGCTACGCCGTAGCCCATTTCGTCGTCGAACTCCATGGCCAAATACGAGGTTGGGAATCGTTTTGTTTTCCCCGTTCTTGTTCGCCTTCTAACAAGAGAGAATGCAGCGGGGATACTCGGGTGGCTAGTTCTCTTTGTATTGCGATATCTAGCTCAATATTGATGTAAGTTGAGAATATAGAAGCGACTGGACATGATCTCTATATGTACATATGCAGTTTTATAACAAGGTCGGGTCCGAATTCCCCCTCTTTTTACGGCCACGCCGAGCCGAAAACTTAGCCTCAGCTGTAAGCCTCGCGTGCTGATTGGCACCGTGTCTTCTTCCGGCTAGGGCATTCATCATAGCTGCAGGTATATCGGACTAGCCTGAAAATTAGCGAATAAGCAAGTCTGCAGCTTAGGGCGTTTTTGACCTTTGAAATAGCCCCTGAAAAGGCCCCCACGAAACAATTGCCTGCAGCTGAGACGTGATTAGATTTGTCTTAGGATAGAATAAGCAGTCAATAATAAAATATGCGGATGATAGAATAAGCAAGAAAATCAAGGAAATGGTTTGGAAGCCTTCAAATCATCCATTAGCCCTGGAGGTCTTTGGTGGGGCGCAGTTCAGCCCTGACACGAGCCTTGGTTCTTCGGCCCCCAAGTTATACATAGATGTAAGCCATATGTCATACTAAATGCGTAGAATAAGTTTCATTATCATTGTGGAGAGGCTGAGGCTGAATGATACTGTCACATCAACCTAAGTATTTTGCTTACAGAGTTAGCTGAAGCTAGAAAGGGTATGTACGCCTGTTATTCAAGACTAAAACACATCGTATCCAGTAAGCCCACCCTCCATATCACCCCCCAATTGAACGCCGTACAGAGCAGAAACAAAACAGTCCCGAAGCAATTTCCAGAAAATAAGATTACACAGAATAAGGTGTGAGATCTTCGTTTTAGTGGTGGCCATTGCTTCCACGGTCAGCGTAGTATGCAGTGCCGTTGCGGAAGTAAGGGTGGAGACAGGCTTGCTTGGCTGAGAGTCGGTGCGCAGGGTCATATTCTAGCAGAGCCTCTAAAAGTGCACATCCGGCCTCTTCTAGTCCAGGAACAATCTCACCGTGGGGGCGCTTCCACTTGGGGAAAGTGGCTTTGTAATCGGGGAACGAGGTAACGCCGGGCCAGGTGTCTTCTCCGGGGGTGCCGAGGATGCTAAAATTCGTTAACATCATTGGAAACAAAGAATAACCAAATTACACTCACCGGAAGATCTTGAAAATCTCATCAATTTCAGAGTCGCCGGGGAAAAGTGGCTTTCGTGTACACATCTCTGCGAAAATAGCACCCACAGACCACATATCAACGCCGGTAGAGTACTGGCGTCCACCCAGCAGGATTTCCGGGGATCGGTACCAAAGTGTAACAACCTTTCAACAGATATTAGTATAGTGTCACACGATTGGACATATTGTATATACCTCGTGGGTGTAGGTGCGAAGAGGAACACCGAACGCTCTGGCCAGACCGAAATCGGCCAATTTGAGGTTGCCCTCACGGTCAATCAACAGATTTTGGGGTTTTAGATCACGGTGCAAAATTCGGTGGCTATGACAGTAGCGGATACCCTCAACGAGCTGAGCCATGAATTTCTTGACCATTTTGTCGCCCAGGCCCAGGGTTGCACCGGACTTGAAGCCATCAGGCAAGGGCTTGCCTCGTCCACCCTCACTGACAGGCAAAGCCTCCATATATTTCTTAAGATCGCAGTCAAGGTACTCAAAGACAAGGTATAGCTTGTGACCATCGGCGTGAACAATGTTCAGCAGCTGAACAATGTTGGGGTCTTGCATTTCTTTGAGGAGTGAGATCTCGCGAATGGCGGTGCTGGGAACACCCTCATCTTCGGCTTCGAGGCGGATCTTCTTCAAGGCGACGATACGGTTGGGGTGATTGAGTTCGCGGGCTTTGTAGACCACACCGTACGTGCCTATGGACAATTGACGCGTAAGTCGAGCTGCGGAGGACAAGTAAACAACTCGCATGGGATTCACACACCTTCACCGATTTTCTCAATTTTCTGATAGTTATCCATAGTAGCTGACATCCAAACCTTTCTGTGTTGAATAAGATTAGGGAACCTCGAGAAGATATAGACTAGAATGAGATTTGGGGCAAATCGAAAGGATGTTGACGAGAAGATTTTGTAAGGGAAGCAAGGAGAAGTGCTAGCCACCACTTACTCTGGCGATGTAGATCTCTGAGAACAGCTAGAGCAGCACGCTCTCCAATTTCCGACTGGAAATCAAAAAATGAGAATTGTTGAAAAGATGATTGACAAAGGACAGTATCTCGATGGTGGGGAGAGAATTACATCTTCTTTTGTCAACAAACACCCCGCGCCCATCACCGGGCGGTGAGCGCGTACCATTTCTCTTGGTTCTACTTGGATTTTTGACTTCATCTCTTCGCAATGGCGCAAATTAAAGGGTTGAGTGCTTATGACCGCCCTCCTGATCCTGTCAGGATCTGCTACAAGAAATATTCCAAAATTGAATTGTCTGAAGTTGACAATGATCCGGGGATCCTTGACCTCCGACGACTCGATCCCGACCAATTACCAGCCGGAGTGACGGTTGCGCAGTCTATGTCAAGCCAAGATTTGCGATTGGCATTCGACGATTTTATTCGTGGAAGTCATTGTCCTACTGAAGAGGATGCTCCTCTGGCTGAGAACATCCCGGTCTTTGCTCACAATTCGATATCCGGTTAGCACTTTATTGCCTGAATTTGGAACTGATCCCCGACAGGACAAAGAGCCATTCCTGACCTCCTGGCAGGACTTCTGATGATACCTGAATTGTTTCCTCCCACTGTGCAGATTGAATTGCTTTCACGTCTATTCCACCGAGACTTGCCCAACCCGGAGCACCAAACAAACCTACACCTGCACTACGATGTAACATATCCCGAAGAAGCAGAAGATACCCACAAACCGAAGTCATTCTTCGAGGATGATCCCAGTCGATCCTTTCAGCCCAAGGATCCCGAGGTTCATAAACCTATGACGGTTCAAAGTCTTCTGGAGAAAAAATTGCGCTGGGTCACATTAGGTGGACAATACGACTGGACTGCTAAAGTATATCCCTCTGGAACTCCGCCGGTATTTCCATCAGATATTGCGAACCTCCTGCGCGCCGCGTTTCCAGAAACCTCGGCCCAAGCTGCCATTTTGAATCTCTACTCCGCTGGTGATACATTAAGCGTGCATCGCGACGTTAGTGAGGACTGTGACGTAGGTTTGATCAGTGTGAGCTTTGGATGTGATGGGTTGTTCTTGGCTAGTCATGATGATGGGAACGGTTGTGAAATCATCCGGCTTCGATCAGGCGACACGGTTTATATGAGCGGTAAATCGCGGTTCGCCTGGCATGGAGTTCCGAAAATCCTGCCTTCGAGTTGTCCCGCATGGCTCGCCGACTGGCCATCGATGGGGGATACCGGCGCAGGCATGCCGCCTGGTCGCTATGAAATGTGGAAAGGGTGGATGGCCGGTAAACGGATCAACCTGAATGTTCGACAAATGACTACTTCGTTGTCTTCTGGCGATAAAGCGGCCCCAGTCTGAATATAGCAATCCAGATCGCAACAATAAGTTGTCCAGCGCGCTCGGCACTCAACACTGCCTAAACATGACCAGCATTTCACAATGGGGCATTAAAGCCTCGAGGTACCCTCACTCTCCGGCCAAGGCTGGTCCAGCTTTGCCCCCTAGTTCATCAAAGAGCCATTCCTCACAAAGTACTTTGTGCTTTTGATAGAGAGAGCAATATATCCGAGGGTTGGAGTTACGTATTGTTGGCATTGCCGGAGATAATATTGACAGGCAGATAAACCAATCAAGACCAATAGAATAACACAGGTTTTTCCAACCTTGAACTGAAAGCCGTCTTACCATGTTATCAATGCGCGGTCGCGCGCATTAGTCTGTCTCGCTAAACAGAATTCTCTCATTTGTTAGATCTTCAACCAGCCATCTGTCTATCTAATAATATTTAACACGGGGTTCCAATGGCCGTGGCCCCCTTCCAGAAGCCATTAGCCTTGCTTGAAATGCTTCTTCTTCTTCTTCTTCTTCTCTCTCCATTTGGGCTGCTCGCTCAGCGAGAAGGATTTTCTCATTGCGAGCAATTCGCCGAAGCTCCCTGCGAGAATCCTCATTAGTCCGCAAATTCGTCAAGTTTTGGGCAGCAGCTGGGCGCAACGGGATGCGGTTCAATGACCGTATCGCTCGTTTGTTTTTGGTGCGTTTGCCTAGCTTTATAGAACATAGCCTTCTTTAAGTCCGAGTCCCCTTATTCGACTCTATGACTTAATAACACATATGCATCCATACTACGTTTAATATTCTTTTACAGTCTTTTGAATGACTTTTCAATGCTTCTAGCATCTTTAGCAATGCTCGCATTGAATTTAGTAACCCGAGCTATTAGATAAGGTAGTGAATTAGTCGCTGAACTTGAGGGTTCGAGGGAGGGTCCGGGGGTATCAAAACCCGTGAGATTAATGTTTTCCTTTGTTTAATTTTGCGAACAAAGGTTTAATCACTAAGTTCGCATTTGTATTGTAAATAGCCCTTAATTTAAACAATGATTTAATTAATTTGTTGCGTTAATAAACGCCGGCGAACATCACTAATGATCCAGAAAATCCCGTTTTTAGTAGGCACTTCCCCTCTATATAACTTCTTTTTTATTAGCACTTTTAAACTGCTGTTTAAAAGTCTAAAATGCCTATCTATCGAGTGTTTATACGAGGTAAGAAGTATACGGAATAAAGTAACATATAATAATATTATTCACTTTACAATAGTTTGTAAACTCGAGTGTGTAATATAAATAGTAGTTATCTATTAACCACTTTCAAGTAAGACGGGTAAGACCTGAGCTCAGATCATAGATTATCACATGCCTATGACCCGAGCTCCATATGATATCACCTTCTTCATTACCTTTACCTTCATCGCTTCTTCATCTACAGTGGCACCGCAAAAGTGTGCGACCACCCTCATTCACCGCTCTTTTCCCCGCCTTTCTAACTAGGCTAGTAAACCCTGTCGCGTTAAGAAACGCGGTCGCGACTCTATTCATTTACGCAAGCCTGTGACTTGACTTCCTGGTCAGGTGACAGAGAAAAGTGGATCACCTGTGACCTGAGCTCAGGTGTACCCGTTACCTGACCTAGTGTCACCACCCCGGCTTTTGCTCGGCCCGCCACGGTATCGTTATTCTAGCCGTTATCGGTTGCTCGGATCCGCAATTCATTAGTATTAGTTAATGTATACCATTCTTTTAAGTGTCGTGTTCCCTTAACAAGAAACTAAGATAGCACTTCAGCGAGACAGACTAATGGGCGGTAGGACCATTAGTCATGGTAAGACGGCAACCCGATGTAATTCGTGGCATGCATCGTTGATAAGCCTGTCTCCAATTGAACTCCAATGACTCCAACGACCGACCCGCACATCTGATATGCCAAGTCCCAGGTAAATAAACTAAATAAATACTATGCGTCTTGCACAACCCCAAGCTCACAGCTGAATACTCAGTTCACGATGCCCGAATCAACCTGGAATACTCAGGGCGAAGCTAAACGCCAGTCTGTTCTAAATTTGATCCCTGACAAATGGAGATTGAAGGACCCTGTCCCTCCAGCTGCCGAGCTTCGTGATGTGACAGGGAACTATATCCGACAATTTCTCACAGAGCGTGAGACCGAGATCACAGAGACAGATGCTGTAGATATCGTCGCTCAGACATCCACGGGTAATTGGACCGCTGTTGAGGTGATAGAGGCGTTCTGCCATCGAGCTGCACTTGCTCACCAGCTCGTACGTTGGTGTCCCAAACAACGCATTATGCACAGGTTTCTCCTCCGCGAAGCTTTACTCTAACCAATGGGCATATTTCAGGTCAACTGTCTCCACGAGATCTTTTTCGACGCAGCCATCGAAAACGCTAAACAACAAGATGAATATTACGCAAAGCACAAAGCCCCCATCGGCCCTCTACACGGCCTGCCAGTCAGTCTTAAAGACACATTCCACGTCAAAGGCGTCGAAACCACCATGGGCTACATAGGTTGGATAAATACCTTCGAGGGCAACCGTAACGACCCCCGCAGCGGACAAGAAGAAAGCGAACTTGTCCGTGAGCTGCGTGTCCTCGGCGCAGTTCTCTACTGCAAGACCAGTGTGCCGAGTACCCTCATGGCCGGTGAAACCGTCAACAACATCATTGGCTATACCTGGAACCCGAAGAACCGTCTCCTCTCATCCGGCGGCAGCTCTGGCGGCGAAGGTGCTCTGATTGCGCTCCGCGGCTCGCCCGTTGGCTTTGGCACTGATATCGGAGGCAGTGTGCGTATTCCTGCTGGCTTCAACTCCCTCTATGGTATCAAGCCTTCGGCGGGTAGAATTCCATACCAGGGGGCTCCGAATTCCATGGATGGCCAGAGCTCTATACTCTCCGTCATTGGGCCGATCGCACCGTCTGCGAGATCTCTGGCTCTCTTGTTCAAGGCAGTCCTTGCGCAAGAGCCGTGGCTTCATGATCCACTTGCGTTCGAGCTTCCATGGCGGGATCAGATTGTCGAGGACACGAAGGTGCTGATTGACAAGGCGAAGGCTGGCTCGTCGGCGCTTGCGTTTGGAGTTATGAAACACGATGGTTTGGGCCGTATCCATCCGCCGATTGCCCGCGGTTTGAAGATCGTCGAGCAGACACTCCGAAGGCTTGGTCATCGTGTCATTGAGTGGAAGCCACCATCTCACGCAAAGGGCGCAGAGCTCCTCGTATGTATCCGTGGCCTGTTTTCACCTGAGATCTAGACAGCGAAATTTTAACGAGCAGCAGGGTCAAATATTCCAAATGGACGGCGGAGCCGACTTGAAATACCATTTAGGCCTTTCCGGAGAACCCAAACCTGCGCAAGTGATCGTGAATACAGAGGGCAATGAAATGACAGCGTATGCGATTGCCGCGCTTAACGTTGCCAAGCGCGAATATCAAAAACAGTATATGGATTACTGGAACAGCACGGCCGCAATAACAGGGACTGGGCGCCCCGTGGATGCGTTCTTCTGTCCAGCGGCTCCTCACGCTGCTGTCATCCCAAAAGAGTTTTACTATGTAGCATATACTGGCATCATCAATCTGCTGGACTACACGGCTGTTGCGGTACCAGTCACCTTTGCGGATAAGAAGATCGATGTGAAATCTGTGAATGTGTTGGGGGATGATACTGAACATGTCCAGTGGGATTGTAAGTGGGGTTCTTGAGATACGTTGCAGATCGATGCTAAGAAATGTCTAGATGACGCCGAGACTTATGATGGCGCCCCGGTATGCCTTCAGTTGGTGGGCAGGAGATTTCAGGAGGAAAAGATGCTGACTTTGGCTGAACATCTGGGTGAAGAGATTGCTCAAGATGCAAAGTAAAATGCGTGTCTGAGAACAGTAGTAGGTTTTGGAACATCTTGCTTTTTATATTTTCTTCCTCGTGTCGCTGCTATGGCCTCAACCAATGATGAGGATGTGTGATTTTGACTTTAGAAAAGCTCAGGTTCGAGGTTATTAATTACTTGGAACATATCCTTGCTGTGTATTATAAGGATAAAAGTAAGAGCAAAGCAAGCTAGTTTCAATACAATGCAAGATATCAAACCATCCAGACGCCTTTTCATATGCTTGTCTTAAAAATACATTCCACATGGGACTAATTCCGAGAGGAGGGAGGCGTCTGTCCCGAGGGTGCTGCAAGATTGGATAGATGGGGAGTTGACGATCCCCATAGTTTACCAGCGGCATGGGGTGGTGGGCCCGATTCGGAGGGATCTTCTGAGCCATTCATGAGTCGTGGGCGCTTGGCCGGTGGTAACCCACCGACCTGGGGTAGGCCACTGGGTGGGCCACTCGCCGGGCTGCGGGGATCTACGTAAGAATGAGGCGAGGCATAGTGGGTAGATGAGGCAGGAGTAGAAGCAGCCGCTGCATCTGGACTCATGGCTACCGCGGACTGCAAAGGACGCAAGCGGTTTGGGTGAGATGTAGTATCTTCGCCGGGTCGTGGAGGCCGGATATCAGGGCTTTGCTGGGCCTGGTTGTGATCTGGATCCCCCAGTGGACTGGGGTTTCCATATCCAACCCCAATGCGGCCCATGCCCTTATCGTGCATCACGACCCGTTTCCATTTTGCCACAACATTATCATAATCCCATCGTGTCGAGTCAGCACTGACATGACTGTCCTGGGCGTCTAGCTCCCGTGCTACCTGCCGTGGTAGGGGTAGCGTATCTGGCGGGAACAATGCAAACTCCCGAGGCCACTGACACGATCCCAGGCGCTCGACTTGTGCACGCAGCTGGTTTGCTTCCTGCTGCACTCGGGCAAGTTGCTCGTCTGAGGACTTGCGCTTCTCGGCCTCTCGTGCAAATGCGCGTGTGATCTCCAATTGCCACGCGTCACGGCGAGTCTCGTGTGGGAGCGAATTCCAGTGATTGAAGGCTAGTTCCATGTGTCGCAGGCTCATCTCCTCGTGTTGCTGCGCGCTGCGATATATCATGCTGGGGTCCACGCCATTGTTCCCGTGTCTCGCGTGTGGCGCAGCGGTCGCGTCTGCTGCAATTTGGTCGGTTTGCCACTGACTCACCTTGGAGCGCAGGGCTTGGCGAACAATATCGAGGTACTCGGCACCTGGAGGTTGGAGCGGAAACGAGGTCGAGGAAGGGAAGGGATTCGTTGCAAAAATGCTCGGTGGGGGAGGCAGCAGCTGCAAACACAAGGAGGGAAAGGTCTGGGTTTGAATGTCGAAATCGAATGGAGACAATCGAGGCCGTACACGAGATCTAATATTTTATGAGCTATTGTCAAAATTAGCAAAGGGGGTAATTTAACATACGACGCAGCTTTGATGTTGTCAAGCACTTCGCGCAGTGCCAGTTCCAGCGCCCGCATGGTATCCGGGTTACTAGAGCTAGCACCTCTACTCGCATAATCCGGCAATTGTAGCGATGCAGTGCGAGACTGCGATGGTGGTATACGCGGCCCATCTGGAGCGCGACTGGGGTTGGGGATATCATTGATAACCCCAGTCGCATGCCAGGTTGGGGTGTTGAACATCATGCGCACTGGAGCCTCGCGCGACTTCGAGCTCGATTCTGCAGCTATCTGGGGGTCCAAGGAGCCCTTTTTCTCGCTCCGATCAGGGCTCCCCTCATTCTTCCCCGTAGATGTCCGAGCCTGTCGTCGGGTGATCCCACTGCGAATCCGTCTAATCTCTTCAACATCGTGAATACCGTCAGGCTTTTTCTTGAACAGGAATTGATCAAGGTGTCGGCCCAGGGACGAAGAAGTGAAGGCTTGTTGGCAATACTGGCATTTGCGATCTTTCGTAGCAAGGTTGGCCTTCGAGCCCGACTCGTCCCCAGCCGCCGAGCCTTCTGGCGTATCCCTGGAAGATTCTTCTTTCATAGTCTGGGAAAATAAGGAAGAAATCGGAACGCGTAGAGTGAAAGGTATAGACCTTATGAATTCATGACATAAAATATAACTAGGCGTGGAAGCTCAAGAAAAAAAATATAGACAAATTTCGATTGCGCAAGTGAGAGGAGGTGGGAAGATTCCAACGGGAATGCCAAGCTTTTGGGCGCGGAGCTGCGCGATGTGCAATTTGGGGGCCAGGGGAGATTGATATTTATCTATCTTTACCTTCAAATGCGAGTCTTGTATATCCTGTGTAACTATTTCAATGCTACGATGTGAATAGTAGGGTAGTCGCTGCAATGTAACTGGACCACCCCGTTGCTGAACTGATGTGACTGCATATAGTACATACGTACTTTGAGCAAATCAAAACCCAGGAATAGAGAAGCCATCTCTGAGACACCAAATGAGTATTTATCCCTGTTCTTACGTATGACTATAGGGATTTATCCTTTCTACATATTCAAGCAACCAAAGTGAATTAGGCAGAGAATTGTCCTATACATATATTGACCAGATTTAGCACATGAACATGGCATTTGTAAACGCAGATCTGGCGAAATGATGAAACCACATTTAGGAATTGCTTTTTGTTTTCTTCGTCTTACGCGCACTCAGCCAATGTTTCATGTTGCGAGCACCATGGAGATACAGCCAGGAGATGGCGAAAACGAGAGCGAAGTTGAAGAGAATATATCCCCAGAAAATGCCCTAAGAGAAAGTCAGATCAAATTTCCCATCGAAGTGAAACAATCCTCACATAGTTCCTCCACTTGTGTGAATAAAAGACGTTGATACCACGAGCCTATCAAGTGTAACCAAGCTTCAGTCAGCCATTCCAATCTCATCTAAGTGCATTGCAAGTATACCAGGGCAAACCATGATATAGATCTTGGAACTCACATATTGATCACCAGTCGCATATTGACAGAATGAGCACATTCCATTTCCAGCGTCTCGGACATACCCACCGGCCTCTCGTGTATAAGGTCCCGCATATTCCTGACAGGTCATGCCAGATGGAGGGCTGAAATGTGATTCTTCACGCTCCACACAGCGCACAGGAACGTTATGTGTGACGACTCCAACAAACCCTTCCAGCAAGTAATGGAATGGCGTAAGCCAGTACATCCACGACTGCCAAAAATGCGGCAACGCCGCATAAGGCACAACAACACCGCAGAATGCAACAATGAAGGTGAAAAATGTTGGCACAAGTAAACTTGCAAAGAGCTCATTGGGCGCAAGTGCTGCTATAAATTGCCCGAATCCGACATAGAACAATTCAAAGAGCATGAGAAGCACCCAGACGTAGCCAGAGCTGAAAGAATCGCGTGGGAACCATACTCCCCAGTACCTTGAAATTTGTATGAGACATTTGATTCATGGTGGTCTTGAGAGTTCACTTACCAGCAGTTGAAATAAATTGACCCGGCCACAATTGAATAGGGAAGTTCTGGAATAATTGTGCTGACGACAAAGGCAGCCCACGAGTAAATCTTCGAGCTAGATTCGCGGGATTCATAGAGGCTGCGAAAATGCAGGAATCGTGGCTGTAATTGTTGGATCAGTGGTGGTGAAATGGTCAATGTCATGAACACAGAAAATAGTCTGGACTGCATGTCGATATAACTATTTCCGAGATGCCAAAATGTGAAGGTGTTGAACAGGCCCGTAAAGATGTGGAGCATAAACTTGCCCTGTTATGTCATCAGTAAAAAGACATCTGACTTGAATATTTGAGAGACAGTGGCATACAAGGATGTAGTCCGGGATTCTCCAGTAAGCTACGAATGCACGCTTGGTGACTGTCACTATTTGGACCCAGAGTGGCATTGCGTACTCGCGATCGTCTTTGACTTTTTCGTTTTGAACATTGCGACGGGACGCAACAATACCTTCTATGTCTTCAGAAAGCTGTTTGGATTCCGGCGAGTTGGCCCACACATCGCTCCAATCCTGTCCCTTGTAATCCGGATTTCCGGCTCCAATGACTTCCAACATGTACTTGCAAGACTGTTAGAACTGTATATAAGCATAATTCTCAGATCACATACCTCTGCCGGATTTGCGTGTGGTGAGCACTTTTTCCCGCCATTTTTTTCGAAGAAATCGATGAGGGTCTTGGAATCATTTCCAAGTGGGCCATTGTAAACAACCTTTCCACCACTTTGGAGCAGCAAAAGCTCATCGAAGTTCTCGAACAAAACAGCAGAAGGTTGGTGGATTGTACATAAAACAGCCTGCCCGGCATCTGCCAGTCGGCGAAGAAAACGTACAATATTGAATGCGGCCAGAGAATCAAGTCCTGATGTTGGTTCGTCAAGGAAGAGCAGCAGCTCCGGCTTGCTTGCTAGTTCCACTGCGATCGTGAGCCGTTTTCGCTGCTCCTGGTTCAGCCCCGATCCCGCAGATCCCACTGTGGCACCAGCAATAGATCGCATCTCCAAAAGGTCGATCACCTTCTCGCAATAATCATATTTTTCTTGCAAAGGAACTTCTCGAGGCTGGCGCAAAAGGGCAGAGAAACGGAGAGATTCTCTAACAGTAGCAGTCGGCTCGTGGATGTCCATCTGCTCGGCGAATCCGGTTGCTCTTTGGAAGCTTTTCGGGAGAGGCCTGAGGTTGTTAGCTAAAAGCGCTGGGATTTCCACGAAGTATTGTTTACCGTCCATCAACTAAAAAGTTGCCAGTAACCACTCCAAAATTAATGCGCTGTGCGAGCGCGTTCAGAAGGGTGGTTTTTCTGATTCAGAGTCAGCATTTTGCGTAGGCATAGTATTTTAACATGAATTTACCCTGCACCAGATGCACCCATTAGTGCAGTGAGACGACCGGGCTTGACATATCCTTGGACATTTTGCAGCAAGTGCCTCTGTCCACCCTTGTATGGAATGGTGTAGTTTACATCCTGCCATGTGAAGATTGCTGTGTTTTTAGCAATGTCCTGAACCTTATCCTCAGACCCACTCGAATCTTGCTCTTTTGGCTCATGGTTTGTGTTGGCAGTGCTTGTAGACTCCTCGTCCTCGGGTGATCCGGATTGTGCAAGGGCATTTTGAACTGCTCTGGGGGCCTCGCCCCTTTTGAACACCGTCACCGAACTTCCACCTTTGTTAGGCCTTTGTAGTTCCATTCCCAGCATTGTCAAAATGACGAAGAAAAGGAACCATCCGATGATAATGCCTAGGTTTCGCCAAAGGTGAGCTCTGCTGTAGGTGTATGCTGTTTCGATGTATTTGGAACCCTGAACAGTCAACTGATCTGGACTACTGCCCTGTATCGCGCAGGTCTGATGACCAGGAGATGCATTTGGTCCTCCTGGAACGATATACGGCGGTTCGCATTTGATGTTGAGATTGTGAAATTCGTTCGCCATCAATGCTTCGAATGCGTACTGCACCGGGTTTATCCAAATAAGCCATTTGAGCCACGGGTGCATTTTCCACGGAGGAATCAAGTAGCCTGCAAAGTGGTTAGATCTGCAGTATATAAGATAGCCTGGGTTAGGTATACCTGTGTACACAACCAAAGCTTGTATGGCCACACCAGTAAGACGTGTTGCTTTGATAATGTCAGTGAGGATTGCAAATTCATTTCTATCCTTCACTTACCAACATCCAAAGAGGCACACAAGGCTCCAAGGGCGCGGAAGAATGAATACATGGTCATTGTGAGGGTGAAGATAAACAGGAGATTGATAAAGAATTGTGAAGCTGTTCGTGCAAGATTTGCCATGCTAGATGAAACGGTGAGTATCTCAATGAATTTCAGTTGCCGAGTTAGACTTACAAGTAGACTACTACATCAAACAACACAACTTGAATAAACACAAGAGGCACGTCGACGACGACCTGGGCGAGGGCATATGCTGCTGGGCGGTAGAAAGAGCTAAATGAAAAGCATCAGCCTGGTCAATTTTGAACATCTCATATCTTTCAGCATTTCATTTGAGAACTCACAAACTTTTGTGCTTCATCAATATCGGCCGGCTCTCAAATGCTGCTGTCAGTTCTGCCATGGCCAGCAATGCATTGAATAGCAGGATAAAGAACATGACACCACCCCTGGTGAAAACGCCAGAACTGAATATAGTCAGTCAGAAAATTCCTTGTATTACAACGAAAGAGTGACTTACCTCGTATCTGGGAGATTATAGAACAAGCTTCCAACGATCAGTGCCTGAAAAGTGATTACACTCCATTTGCCAATCAATGACTCTCTGTCGCCAAACATCACCAAAAATTGACGGTGCGTCAAAATCATGACCTGCTTATAGAACGAGATTGTGAAATTCTTCTTATCCAATTCACTTCTCGCAGCTTCTCTTTCGTTCTTCTGGGCTTCGATCTCACCCTCAAAACTTTCAATATCCGCAAGAGTATTTTTATAGACATCGCTTTGACGATATGCTGCTTGAAAATCATCACCAGTGCGGGGAATTCGATCTTCCCAGCCAGCTTTCACACGTCTTGCATGTGGATCACTGACAGAAGTCAAAAAGTCCGGGGTTGTCCATCGTGGAGGACATTCAAAGCCGAGATGTTCGAAATATGCCTTTGCCTTCTCACCGGGACCAAAGAAAGAGCATTTGCCGTCTTCAATCAGAATCACCTTGTCGAAAAGATTGAAAAGATTTTCTGACGCCTGGTAGAGAGCTACCACAGTAGAGACATTGGCGGTATTTGTCAAACTGCGCAAGCTTTGTACGTACTCGAGTGCCGTACTGGCATCCAGGCCCTTAGTTGAGTTGTCCCAACATTGTGTGCTGGCCTTTGTAACCATCGCTTCAGCTATCGATGTCCGCTTCTTCTCACCACCAGAAACTCCACGAATCATCTCATTGCCAACTCTGGTTCCGAGGGCATGCTCAATCCAGAACAACTTGGCAATAGCAGAGAGGAACGTCTGTTGGTAATCTCTTCGACTTTCTCCGGGAATACGTGAGTCCTTGTCGGGAGTTCGAGTTTTGAGAGCAAATAGTAAAGTATCTCGAACAGTCAAAGTTGCATAGTGGAGATCATCCTCGGGGTTGTACAATACTGACATTTTCAGCAATGAAACACAGATGCGCGGACGTAACACACCTTCAGATCTATACTGTTTTGCCATCTTTTCTGATTCAGTGCCTCCATAACGTACATCACCGTCGATGCTTTCGTATCCAGCTCTTTGGTTCCCGAGGACCTTCAAGAAGGTGGAACAGCCCGACCCAGGGCGACCCAGCACAAGAAGCATCTCTCCTGGGCGAACGCAACCCTTTATATGGAATTAGCAATCTTTATATCAAGTGAGAAGTATACTCACGGAAAAGTCATCCAGAATTGTTCGAATTGATGGCTTTCCGACTCCAGTTCCTTTTCTCCCTCGAGTCAAAAGTCGTTTGATGAGCCGCGGTAACCCCAGAAAGATGTCTCCATTAGTTGGCTGGAGAGCGGCTCCGAGGCCTACACCTTTCACCGTGAGACCTTTCCATACTACTCCAAGGTGGCGTGTTTTCTCTTCTTCGGAGTTGGCCTTGCGTTCTTCGCCGAACATTCGCGAAATCAGCTTTTCTATTTGAGCCCATTCCCCTCCTTCATGACCGGAAGCATAGCTTCGTCGCTGAGATATAGTCCGTGCGAGGCCCTCATCCGTTAATTGTGCTCCTGTGTTAGATTGTTTCAGTTCTGAGCTCGTGCTGCGAATTGGTGTGAAGCCATGCTGTGCTGAATTTGGGCTGACTGGTGAAGAACCTGCAGAAGAAACAGAATCATGAGATCTGGCGTTCAAATCCTCAGCCAAAGCAGATTCACAATCTTCAGAGCGATTGTCTGCCATATCTTATCTTCGAACGCTAATCGAATACTGTAAACGTTTATAAGACCCAAGATGATGGTAGGTAGGTATTTGCAATACCATAAATTGATTGATGAAAGCTTCTTTCCGTATTATTGGTGAAGGTAACAAATAATAAAGCAAAAGGAACACAGAATGTCGTCTGAGGAAGGGTGCACCAATTACGTCAAATATCATCCCTCGGGGAAGTAAGCGATCGGTGTCGGAATGTGAAGAGACCGAGATAAAACCTCCGTGAATAATGCTGCATAAATTCCACCTCCTTGCATGATTCCTAACTTTTATACAAGGGACGAACCAAGTTTGTCTTTTGCACTTAGGCCGTGGACACATAGGATATGTATATCATCACGGACCCGCCGGATACTATAACTACAATGTGAGTCAGGATAACGTTTCATGAAAGAAGTAAGATGAAATTGTGCTGAATATGTATTCTATCAAGATGTGAAGTTTCTGCATTGTACGGTGAAGTGCGCACAATCGGCCCGCATTTAGAGTTCTCGATCGCCAATCATGAAGTCATCGATCGTGCAACATAGTGATTCCATGGTGACATGTGATCTAGATCTAGGAATTTCCTATGTGTAGAAACTGAATTCGTCTAAAGGAGGATGCTTGGCGGATATATCGGGGATCTTGGTCGGATCATGTTTGCGCAAGACTAGGATATGTTTTTGATAGTGAGCCTTAAGTGGCTTGGAAAGGAATGAAAGCGAGACGGTTATATTATTTTGAAACCAAGTGAATACTGCTTTTTTCAGTAGTCCATTTCTTCTAATGTTGTGAGACAGACCTGAAATTATTAGCACTACTGTCAATATTATCTACATACCATTTAAACTATCAACATCGCGGAAGTGGTTTCCGATAACGTGACAGGCATAGTATGAACTCTGAATACATATGTTTCTCTCTAAAGCAGTAATTTCATTATCATAGTCTCGTCATCCTTGTCTAGTGTCCCAGAATCTTACAATGTTCGACTTGTTCCTGCTCACAGGCAGATAAACGCCTATTGTCGAGCCTATGGGTAACTAGGATTGGTTTGTAAAGACTCAACGCCAGATGAGATCGCAATATCCATCATCTAGTCAGGGAGTTTTCGTTGGGTTGCTGAATGGGAAAACGAAGAAATAAAGCGGATTATCATTCCTTGATCACAAATAGAGCAGCACGCCATGATTACCACATAGCTTCAAATCTAGTTGGGCTGGGAAACATAAATCTGCAAGACCCCGTTAGAATACCAAGGAACATATTTCATTCGATTTTCCTGTCAAACACTCATCGTGCATTACAAAAACAGCGATGAAGCCTTACCAGGCTCACGGATTCATGCAAACGGTCTTGGAGTTTTTCCATATATCACCACCAATGCCGAAGAAGTCAATCAAAGCGCGAAGCAAGTAGGTGCTTGTCATATTCGTGGGTGATAAAGTGATAATACTCACAACTTCAGAGCCAAGCTGTGGTGCGTTGGGAAGACCACTCCTCCAGTTTACAGCACTGCACCCGCTAGAGACCGTGACCGAGTCTCAACAGGTGACCAGCTTGATGATCCGCCCCAGTACAACCTTAGGGAGGTTCTTGAAAAGCCAACTTCGACCCGCAGCCAACTGGAGTGTCGTATCGTCAAGCTCTGGAAAAAGGTCTGGCTGGGCCTGTATCAGATTGACGATAACGAAGATCGATACCATATTCACCGCATTGAAGCACTCTATCTCGGTGCTGGTATGACCCGCGCATACCGAATAGGCGAGCTCGAAGTTCTCAGACGTTATTTCCTTCGAAACGAAACCAACAATGGTATCGCTTCGCTGAAGCTCTTCCCGGATCTTCATCTTTCGACTCTTTTGTCCGTGGTCCAGATATTGGAGGCTTATGAGAGTGAGATTGAGAAAATGAAATTGATCTACACCATTTTACAGAGTGGTCAGTTGGCATTGCATCAAAGTGGTGACATTGCGCAGGTAGCTGCTGTCGAATCTGAGTACCTGACAATCGCAGAGCCGATGGAGAAGAGGATTAGACAGTACGATGCGCGGATGGACGTATTAAATATGGAAATCTGCGATGAAGCCATGGGTTTCTACGATCGGCCAAAGGGAGAGCATGTCTACTACAAGGCGTTCCCATGTATGTGGTGACAATCTGCTCTTTGAGATTTGTGTTGCGCCTGTTTACAAACCGTTTGTTTGCAGAGTTTAGTGAATAAGCTGTGGATTATTTATCCGGCTTATCACAATATACGAAGAAATACAAAGAAAACAGTTTACTTTCTCTTGGCTATAGGCGAGAACATTAAAAAGAGTAGTAAACAGGTATAAACACATAAATACTGAAGTCTCATTGAAACTGAGTATGTAAGTATGTAAACCTTCTGGGAAAATGTTATAGATCAAAAGAAATTACTTCAGGACTAGACTATCACAACATATCCCCTTCTGTTGTACTCAGCTCTGTGGATATTGAAGTGGATGAATTCTCCCCGCACCCCACATCCCCTCTCGGGTGTTAGTTGCCCCAAAGCTCTCCTGACTTTCATGATGACTCACGCGTCTTTGACGGGAGTCTTCGAGGCTTTCTCTTTTTAACTTTCCAATTAATATCAATATGGCAAGCTTGTCAGGAATACTGAGAGATGGATCTCTCAACTTGACTCCCTATGAGGATTTGTACAAGCATTTCCACGCTCATCCCGAACTCTCCCTGCAAGAAAAAGCCACATCCGAAAAAATCACAGAACATCTATCTCAATTAAACGCCTATGAGCTTTATACCAATATCGGCGGTTATGGACTGGCAGGTGTTCTGAGAAATGGCCCTGGAAAGACCATTCTTCTGCGTGCAGATATGGACGCGCTTCCCGTCAGGGAACTCACCGGTCTCCCATACGCGAGCACCGTCACCATGCGCGATGCTAATGGCATCGAAAGGCCTGTGATGCACGCATGTGGCCACGACATGCACATAACTTGTCTTCTGGCAGCGGCTGAAACTCTCGCGAAAATCCAGGACAAGTGGAGCGGTACTTTAATCGTGCTATTCCAGCCGGATGAAGAACGGGGTGGAGGTGCGCAGGCTATGGTTGACGATGGACTTTATTCAAAGGTCCCGATTCCGGATTACGTGTTTGGCCAGCATGTGATGCGGTTGCGTGCTGGAAGCGTCGGCTCACGTCCCGGTACGATTATGGCTGCCGCAGACAGCCTCAAGATCACCGTGTTTGGTCGCGGTGGGCATGGTTCGCTACCACATCAAACAGTTGACCCTGCCCTTCTCGCTGCGCATATTGTTGTGCGGTTGCAAGGTATCGTCAGCAGAGAGGTAGACCCAAGTGACCTCGCTGTTGTGACGGTTGGAAGCCTACAGGCTGGGCAGACAGAAAACATCATTGCGGATCGCGCTGAAATTGGGCTTGATTTCCGGACTGTGAAACTGGAGACACGACAGAAAATTGTCGCTGCTATTCAGCGAATTGTCGAGGCTGAATGCATGGCTAGCGGTTCACCGAAGCCGCCTATCTTCACTCCGACGCGTCGTTTCCCACCAACCTTGAATGATAGTGAGGTTGCATCTAAGCTTGCCACCTCCTTCGGAGATCATTTTGAGGATTTCGATGGAAATACGCCAAGAACCAATGTGAGCGAAGACTTTTCTACCCTAGGCACTTGCAAAGATCTGCCATGTTGCTTCTGGTTCATCGGGGGCATTGATCCCGAACTTTGGGATCAAGCGCAGAGAGGAGACAGCACCACAGAGGAGATACCTGGTAATCACTCGGCTCTGTTTGCACCTGTTATACAGCCAACAATGAAGGCCGGAGTGGATGCACTTTGCCTCGCAGCATTGACCTTTTTAAAAAAGTAATGTCCAGTCTTTCTGAAATAGATGGACACAGGCATTTTCGCATCCATATCCATGTATGTGGCAGTATATACCGGATTTTCAGCTTCAGTTGCGACTTTCCCGATCAGGGCGGCGCTTCTTCATGAGGGTGCTTGATTTTGAAGATTGAAATTTGGGGCAAAATAGCAATAGATCAGTGCAGGCAAACCTGCAAATATCATGAACATGAGTTATAATTGCTTCTATCGCAGTTGCAGAATGCTATTACTAATTTCTTCCAAACGCTCTTCGTACCAATACTTCAATGCTTGACAAAATCAAATTCCTGTGGTCCAAGTCCAGCAAGGGAAAGAGCAGTATTGTACGTATTATGTCAAGTGCGTAAAGACCAGAGCCCTGACCTCAACACTGACCCTTGGGCGTGCATTCTCAGGTGTATATGGTAGGTTGAACGATGTGTGCGGACAATCTGCATTGCCTTCATGAGTATCACCCTGAGCTTAGGGTTAGGATGTCACTCACATTTCACACTATTATCTTTTGAATCAAAACTCTTAAAAAGCAACACATCTTCGGCACCTTGTCTGCTTAGATAATACCATTGACGAACATTTGATGGTTCGTATAATGGATAAAGCAGCGTGCCAGTATAGTCACCGCGGATCATATCTGATTCGACCAACGTTAATGGATTAACAGTTCTTCCATCACAAACTGCGATAGGATGATCTTCGACGGGTCCATTTACAGGGCGCCACATGCTATGATATTGAACGTCAGAGGAGTTATAACAGATTATTGAAAGAATAGTCATAGCTTTCAAGAGGGAGAGAACGATGCACAGTCTCCAATGAGCTTTTTTCGCACTTACTTTATCATTTGCACTCTACCAGAAAGAAGATGATGAGCTTCTTCGGGGAGATGCTTGCGGATGCGGTCTATCATGGATGTTCCAGGCCTGTCTTTGGTGAGTAAAGTATCTGGTCGATTGTTTAGTAAGGAAACATGTGCAGTGAGCTGGTCTCAGCTTTCATTTGACCAACTGGCAAATGTTCTGAAATTCGGTCTTGGCCTACCTATATGTACTTGTCGCGCAAAGCTCAATAAATTAGGGTTTCTCTTTCGTCGTTCTTTTGCGCTTTTCCTTTTTCTTATCTATCCAAATCAAGAATTGAACGGTAAGCGACGGTAGACCCAGCGTCTGTTCTGAAGGTCCTCCGAGTACTTACTTTCCAGTCAAAAATAATAATCCGGTCGACCCCTTCAATCTCGGTTTTCAAAATTCTCTCGCAATCCGGCAAAAAGACCTTTTGAATATGATCTGGGTCGCCAAAGTCTTTTGCATTTGTGAACAAAGGCGCAGGGTACTCCCGATACACAAATCCGTTAGTCTCGAGGCTGAACTCATGGTTTCCTTCTCCATGTGTTGTTCCCCTGATGTCTCTGATAGTCTCGGCAACATCGCCTTCCTGAAAGATCAGGTTATGCGGCTTGTTCTCATCATCGTGTTTTCTTTTGCGACCGAATTGGGCAATCCGATATGGTCGAGTACCAGTATAGCTAGATTGCCATTGGAGATATTTCAATTTAGTTTGAATATCGATAGGCGTGATTGGAGACATATAGCAGAAAAAGAGAAAGGAAGAGAAAGAAAAAGAGGTGACAAAAAATCAAAATCGAGAAACAAGCATGTATCCTGATCGCGGCAGGTAGGAAGAGAGAAGTAAATATACAAGATCCCGTGTATATCAATAGGACCTAGACTGTACGTGTCAACAAATATATATGTCAAGCTAGCGTCCAGTCTGGAACCACATTATCTGTTAAACTATCTCTAATTACTGCTAGACAGAAAGCGCTACTTCATGCATGACCAAATTATCACGGAGGTGTTCCAAAATGAAGCACAACCCAGGGTGTGAGGTGGAATGACTCAATGCAGATCCTTTAAGAGGCCCTAACTAGATCTGAAAGACTCTTTATATTGTTCGGGGTTACATAGCGGCCTGCAAATCACCTTCTTAGATAACTGGCGGAAGAGTGTAAATCTGATCGGCAATAAATTAGGTAGGACTCAATATTTGTGCGCTATGCATGAATGACTCACAGCTTCACATGAGGCTGAACATGTTACGAGTGGACCTCGGCGCTATGACTCGCAAATTGGGGGCCAAGACACCCACCCGGCCAAGGATCATGGGGACTTGCTAAGTTTGTGAAATTTTGGTCATTCTCCTACAATATGCAATGTACATAAAAGGTCGAAGAACATACATCGTATGTTTCCAAAGTTTTTTGAAACTCTTAAATATGATTTGACAGACCTCCCTATATGAACTTTTCGTACGTCTTCGAGTCAGCCTTTTCCAGGTATATTTGTAGTTCTTTGGGCTTTTCCATGCCCGCAACCTTTCAATCTCTCAGTACCTTACCTTCTAGCTACAGTTGTCTCTTCATTTTGCAAAACCCACAGATCTTGAAATCATTGATCGGAGCTTAAGACCATATCATTTTTAATGGTCGGCCGGTTTCAAGCATTGATTTGTGCTATATATAATTCGTAAACCCCACTAGGGTTTCTGCAATGTGCAATATACAGAAATTTGCTATTTAAATATCCGATAAAGAGAACGAATGAGATCGTTAGGCACCGAATCTAAACAATGACGTCAATTTTTTGGTAAAGCATTCTGAATATGGAGATCTATAGATCCATGGGTCAGTGGCTGAGCTCAGCCTACACTATTCATATTTTGATCGGAACCCTACTATACCTAGGTAAGTTGTCCCGTCTCCTTCATTGCTTTCTAATCTTACTACTGCTCTTCATTATTCAGTTGCATCCATGGCCTTTTCTTCCATCATGTTGCACACAACAACTCGCAACCAAGTGGGTCCGGTCCATACATGGAGCCCTTGTACATCATTACCTAAAGCTGTGAAATCCTCTCCTCATCAGATCCAACGGAGCTGAATCATTCCTACTCTTTGAATTATCTTCATCATTGGTGTCCGCGTGAGAATATTGCTGAGATTTTTCTTACATTGAACGGGTAGATAATAAGGCACGACATCTTCGCGACACAGAGGAAGAATTACACTTTGAAATGTCCCAGAAACAACTTCAAACGCCCCCGGATGATGTTTGAACGGCATATGACAAGGAATGGAGCCGAATCGAAAAGTTGGAGGAACATGATCGAACCCTCACAGACCGCGCCCTGTTATGGGTCATGGCTGCAAAGCGACCACTCACGACACCCCAGATTATTTGCGCAGTTCGCGTAAACACGAATGGGAAAGCACCTGAATTGGCCGACAAGGTTTATGAGCAACAGTTACAATCGCTTTGCAACAATCTCCTCACTATTGACTCCGAGGAAAAGATATAGCGTTTTACACATCCCGCTGTCGGCAAATACCTTGAACTCAAGATGCAATGGACACTTTCACGGGCAGATTTCCATGCTTCCAGTGCATGTCTGTCATGGTTCATTAACATGTATGGCAAAGAAGATGGCAATGGAATCGATTTGACAGGTTGGGAAGACCAGCCAGAGCCAGCTGACATCTTCCAGTTAATGCATCCATTCCATTTATATATGAGACATCACTGGCCAAAGCATGTTCAGGGAGCGGAGGATTATGAACAGACTTCGCTGTCGTCCCTTTTGAAAATCTTTCTCGGGTCCCCGGAGGAAAGCAGCAAACAATACCAAAAATGGTATGAAGTTACTGCAAACGATCTACAAGAAATCATCACGGTGGCCGATCTTCAAGGCATTGACACATACAAATTCTACCTTGAGGTAGCGGGCTTCAATGAAGAAGGGTTCGACACTTGCGACTTCAACCAAGCATCACACCCGGAATATGGCGAGTTTGAAAGCGAGCTAGGCCCATCCAATGTTGCTATCTTTGCAATGTGTCACCTGGCATTCTCTGCCATTGTGTCTGACTGGTGGCAGGATGCAGAGTTTGATGCCTCACGCGTGAACCAAAGAGGCCACAATCTCCTAATACTCGCTGCTCGGCGTGGCTGTACGTCGATTTGCAGAACCCTCATCAAGAAAGGCGCAGATGTGAACCAGCAGGTTGATGGTAAAGACTACGGTAACCCTCTTCAAGCGGCAGCCCACCGGGGGCATACTGAGACCGTCAAATATCTTCTGGAAGCAGGTGCAGATGTGAATATGACTGTGAAACGGAGCAACCTTGGCACCCCTCTTATAGCCGCACTTACGGGTGAAAGAATCGAGACTGCAAAATTTCTGATTCAAGAGGCTAGCGCGGATGTGAACAGACCGACATACCCGAGGATAAAGAGGATGAAGATTTCGAGCCAGTCGTGATCCTCACTCCAGTTGCATTAGCAGCTAAGATTGAAAGCGCCGGTCTGCTCGAGATTCTGGTGGATGCTGGAGCAAACGCGAATGTGTCCCAACAATCTGGAAACCCCCTTTTCTTGGCAATCCGATCAGGCAATATTCAGGGCGCAAAGTACCTAATTCAAGAGGCGAAGGTTGATGCGAACCTGCCAATCTCGGATTCAAGCTTCTGCGCTTACCTCCAGGTGGCCGCAACTGAGAACAACAACTTTGAGATCGTCAAATGTTTAGTCGAAGCCGGCGCAGAAGTGAATTCATTAGAGTGTGGAGACATGGGTCTTCCTCTCGCAGCTGCAGTATACGGAAGCAGCAATGGAAGCAATATTGATATCTTAAAGTACCTCATCGAGGCAGGTGCAGATATTCACAAAGGCAATGACGGCAAACACCTCGTCCGCCTGGCAGTATCGGCCCAAGACATCGAAGTTGTCAAATTCCTTGTTGAAGCAGGTGCAGAGTTGCATGTGCAAGAGGAATCCAACGCGGCGATCAGGTCCCAATTCCTCGAAGGTGTCAGGTACATGATTCAGAAGGGTACCGACGTGAACCAACCGCTGCTCGATGATCGTTATGGCACGGTACTTGAGTACAAGTCAGCAGAGGACAGAACTCTTGAAATTACCAAGAGTTTAGTGGAAGGAGGAGCAGACGTGAATTTGATCTCTGAGAATGGAAAATATGGCAGTCCTCTTGCAGCGGCCTGTAGTTCATTCTTGGGCGGTGATGTTGATACCATCAAGTACTTGATCGAAAATGGGGCTGATGTCAACCTACCAATACGGCATGGTAGATATGGCAACGCTCTCACCGCGGCTGTGGCAAATAGCTACAATATTGCAGCTGTCCAGTGTCTGGTGGAGGCAGGTGCAGATGTGAATATGTCGCTTCAGCATGGAGATTATGGAAGTGCTCTCGCTGCTGCCGCGGCGGTCGAACACAATTTCGATGCTGTGAAGTACCTGGTGGAGGCAGGTGCTGATGTGAATGTTGTATTCGAAAACAGAACACACGATAGTGCTCTTGCCGCAGCTGTTGCATCCGAACACAGCATCGACGCAGTCGAGTTATTGTTGCAAGCACAACCGGATGTGATTTCGCCACTTAAGCAGGGAGTGTTTGGTAGTGTTCTTGCTGCTGCTTCATATCAAGGTGACCTTGAAATTGTTCAATTATTGGTTAAAGCAGGGGCTTATGTGAACATGTCACTCGAACATGGAGAATATCCCAATGCACTTGCAGCAGCCAAGGCCCAAGATGACAATGACGAAGTAATTAAGGTGCTTCTGGAATATGGAGCAAAAGTTTGATTTGTTTATGTATACATAGACAAGTGCTGTTGAGTTCACCTATGCAACCTATCACCAGGAAGCTGGCCGCTTGGTGTCATCTACTATTCAAGTCCGCTACAGACCTATCAAAAGGTCTTCATAAAATTCTTTTTTGTTCTTGGCTTTTGTGCTCGTTAATTGTTTTTTCTTTCTTGAATACTAAGATGACATATGGACTTTTCTCACAAATAGGATCACCGTATGATGATGAAGGAGACAGAGCTTGCGAAGGCTATTTGCTGGGATGTATACAATCAGTAAAGCAGGCTTGTTTTCCATAGTCAGGAACGAGTATAGCACAGCTGCAAGAGGCACTATTTGGTTTTACCAAAGCCCATGCCATCTACCATCATTGCGCCGCGAATTCGGAGATCATGCAGCCGGTGCGCAGCAAGTGAAACTTCCTGCTCTCGGGATCCTGGGGGTCAGATTCAGTGGTGGAGAAGAGAAGATCAACATCAATGGATCCTAGTAGCTTTAGGACCAGTCCAACTGCACCGGTAACTTGATAATCGTAGATTCTCTGTGGGTTGAAAACGCAGTTAGCAGATGTTAAGAAACTTCAAGCAGCCCTCTTCGTATTTGATCTAAGAGGATCATAATCCTGGATATGAAGTTGGTACCTCTTCGCAGTGGAAGGAAAAAGACACATCGAAGTTGGAAAGGAAATGTGAAAGAGATGGGGAAAGAGATGGGGAAAGAGATGGGGAAAGAGATAGGGAAAGAGCTACACACCAAGTTCAGGGTTCTTACCGGAGGGAAAGCTTCTAGAGTGAGGTACAATACAATCAAAATTATCTTTAATATCTCTTAGCATCAAATATGAAGTAAACGCTATATGATCCTTCAGTGAGAGACTGAAAAAACAGACTTTATATAAGAATAGCAACACGTATTATGTCCATATTTAAATAAATGAAAAGCAATACTGTGACGGGATTCCATCTTCTTCAATAGCCAAACCATGGTCTAGATTAGTATAGTAAATCTAAATGTCTAATAAAACTTATAAGTTACTCTATATATTGGTCATTTATTTGCTCGGTCTGCGCCACCTATTAGTCATAAATATGATGGCTTCCCGGTGCCTGAAATTGGTCTAGAAGCGAGCATCTGATATTATGGAAGAAACATATAGAGCACCGTATACCTCGGCGCTGCCACATTTCAACTTTCCGATGATGTTTGGAATATCTTGCATTCGCACTGGTCATGTGTTGTGGTACTGCGGCCTTATTCCCATTTCGTCTTAGATAGCTTCTTAGAGAGTCTTTCTCCCCTCTTTTCCGTAATGAGTTGAAGCATGCTGACATAAACTTTCTAAAATCTCATCAGATTAAAACGTGTCTGAGAGTCTTTTCGGGCTGCCCTTGTTTATTTTCCCTTTTCACTTCTTCATTAGTTATAAGCGGCCTGGATTACCTTCCCTTTCCTCCACAAAGCAAATCTCTTAGAGTCCCAGGAAACATCGCCTCGCTTCAGACATTTTTTGAAGTGGTATCTAGGAGCTAGCCATTTGATGATTATGCTGTTATATAAATATTTAAATATGCTTAAACATTCAGACAGACTATTATCTAGGCTTTTTAGGATCCTGTTTACCCCTTCATCCAAAACAACAGGAACGCTCGTTCGCGAGGCCGCATCTTCACACCTCAACGAGGTCGGGTTTCAGTGAGAGGCTTCCTGGGCCTTAAGCACGCTCTATCTGATTTTAGGTTGGCCACCGATGCCATCAGCTTACCGCCTCACCGGATCTCACGATACAATCCCAGGCCTCGAGTGCGAGCCGGATAAAATAAGTCGGCTGGTTTTCCACTCCGTTGTCCCATGTTTTTGGCGTGGTAGTGCGGTGCGGCCCGTTGCGGGTGCGACCGCGCAACTACTGTGGGTCTTTAAAACGGGGATCAGCACTGGTATACCACAAGGCTCTCAGCTGTCCTAGATTTTCGTATAACCTACCATTCACACTTCTGTTAATCACAAGGTCTGTACCTTGTATGACAGTAGTGAAGATAATGTGTCCAGTGTCCCTCACGCCCAACTTGGTACAAGAACTATTAGAATAGTACGATGGCAGACTGACCATATTTCTACTGTTGCTTTCCAATAAGCGTTTGCCGATCAGCAACAGAAAATGCGTGCGCACTGCTTGCGGGACAGAATACAGTTCTGTGAGTCCTTATGATGGAATTTGGTACCCACTGCCAGACACAGGGTTATTACTGCGCTTGTAATGTTGCAGCCGTCTCTGACCGTCAAGTTACGATGTAGTATCCGACTATAGCGGTGGTTGACAGTTCTAGATTGATTCAAAGTAGCGCAAATACCGGAAACGGTAGTTTGAATAGGCAGGAAACAGCCTCCACCCCCAGCTGGGCTGGAGACAGTTCTGCAACCTCTTGTCATGGACTTGGCCGTCATTTGCTAGATACAAGTCTTTGACGTATGCTTGCAACGTTATAATGGTCTGTAAATGCAGGTTAGTCTGTAGTATCAGACTATACCGGTGATGCCAGATTCTACACTAAGCTCCAACCAATGAAAACATGATAATTGGTATCTATATGACGCTGAGACCATGACTCTCTTCGATCATGCATGAGGTCAATACTGCAAACGTCTTTCTCGGCTCAGTATTCCTCAGTATTTCGGCAGTCATTGCATCAAGACCACCGTCTAGAGCCGTGGCCACGCTCATCTTGAGTAACATTCGATCCGATTTTTTTGATTTCGATGATTATCTCCTTGTAATAGACATTCAGAGGTTAATCTCTTCTCCAAGTAAAGTGACGGTATATAAAGGATGTCAGGAATATCGAGATGTACTGGTTTTTCTAATGGTCCCCAGAAAACGAATTGCTATACAAGGAAAACAATTTCACTTATTCAATTTACCTTCTTCGAGAACTTCATATCAATTTTTCAACCATCCAACATGCCCCCCACCGCTACTCATCAGGCATCTACCCCAACCCACGTCACCAAATCAGCCAATGGTGCCAAAGGTTCCAAGTCAGCTGCCGAAAAAATGGATGCTTGGGCCCCAATCTTCGACGCCGTTATAAAAGGCGACTGTGCGGCTATAAAAAAGCTTGTTAAAAGTCCTGAAGATACTCAAGTTCGATTTCTTGGGGTCACCCCTTTGCTCCTCGCGACCATTGCGGGTCATCTGGACGCTGTCAAATTGCTCCTAAAGAAAGGAGCCAATATCGGAGACAGAGACGATGACAGTCGCACAATCTTTACGCTCGCAGTTGACAGTGATCACAAGTTTATCGCTGATCAGTTGATCGAAGATCACCCAAAAGTCATTGTGACCGATCCCCGCCTGAAGAAGGGCAAGGACTGGCTGAAGGATCAGTTTAAGATTATCTCTGATCAGATCAAGGACGACCTTAGCAAACCTCCACAGAAGGTGCTAGACTACCTGGTGGACTGGAAGTTTCCTGATGATAAGAATCGATCGGTGTTGGACGTCTACTGGGAACATATCCTGTTGCGCTTCATCGGGAATGTTCCGCTTGATATCCAACGGAATTATTCGCCTGATCTCAACCTTGCCCTCATTGGCACATTTGACCGGATGTTGAAGGGTCATGCTGGTATCAGGGAGTCCGCAAGGTTGCTGAATAGCAAACTACCTACGACTGGGTATGGAATCATTGATACCATCGTCAGATCGGATAACCATTGGGTAACTGAGCGCTGGTCTTATGATAACCACGAAGGGATCACGGTCGAGGATGGCATTGACTCCTTTTTGATTGATACAAAGGAAGGGAAGATCACAAACAAGATGATCAACTATCATGTCCAAGGAGCTTGAGGCAGGCATGTTGTTGATATTGTTAGTGTTAGTGTTGGTGTTGTTGTGATTTCATGCTTTTTGTCCTCCGACTATGTACAATGCGTTTTAAAAGGAGTAAAAGTTGGTCTGTAGTTAGAAAAAAAAAAACGATAGTATCTTTGCAGATACAAACATATGGCTTGCTTTTGATCTACAATGTACTTTTCCTGTAAAATAGCTGCCCAGATTTAGGCCAGCCGAGAGCAGAATAAGCTTGCACCCGGCGGCCCGTAAGTAATTAAGGGAATGGTGGAGCAAACGTGGAATGCTGTTATATTGTATATCTAAGCGCCAGCCCATCACGAGTAGAACGGAAGAACAACCTTTTTTTCACAAGTACTCAACCTCGTTGCTTTTCTAATTGCAATTGAACATTTGTCCCTTCAATTTACTGCTTGAAGCTTCTTCTTAGCTGCGCAGGTGGGATGTTTGGGCTAGACCTCTCAAAATAGGTGTCGGGTGTTTTTTCGTTAAGCCAGTCCGACAATGGACGTATGTAAAATGATATTTCATACACAAGAACATCCTGCTCGCAATTCTCACCTGCCAAGTAATCGAGCTATCATAAAATGAGAGTCTGGCATTAAAATTTATAGGGTAGAATAATTATTATACCTTGCCATAATAACAGTATTAAAAGGCTGGATGGACATGGCAATCAGTTATGCCCACACACCAATCAGGTAAATAATTTTCCTACATCTGCTGAATCCTGAATAGAAACTCCGTGAAGTCCACATTTATGGCATCAATTGGGATTATCTCTATGATTAATTAGAGGGGAAATCATCCGTAGATTCTTCTTGGTTTTGCACTTCTTGCCATCCTTACTAACGATGACTCCAACGCATTATTTTACTAATATCGCCATTGGTTCTGTCTTTTCGTGGAAATTTCACAGCATTATTACGAGGTCCTGAGACGGCATATATGTATAGGTTGAAGTGAGCACTGTGAAGTGCAAAGACCTAATTGTTTCATCACCTTAGCTCAGATCTGGGCAGCCTTGGCCACAATCAAGGGGAGCCAGGACCATCACACAGGGGACACATCTATTACAGATAAACAGAGCGATTGCGGGCGGAATAGTGGTGATTTTGACAACGAAATAAGAGAGGTAAAACGTCTCAGACGACAGGTATCCCATCGTAATTTCACAGACTCCAGCAAGGACCAAGCCAGCTCCAGCAGCCCAGCGCATGGCAGCAGCTCATACTATAGATCACACAATTCCTCCTTGCCCTACGTAGACTCTGATGCACACTATTTGAGTATATCTTAGGCGGACGATACTCTACGACTCGCGATGTACGTCATTCACCATATTCTATATTTCACCCCATCCCAGGACTCAAAATCGCAGCCATTTATTGTCGAGTTTAGAGATGCCAAAACAGGACTAGCACCTCGTATATCCAAAGCTAAGCGCTAGATAATTGTCATTGATCATGGTGGCCTCTGCCTGCGGCGCCAATCTCCAGTTAGAGATTTTAAAGTTATGAAGAACCATCATGCAATCGTAGAAGCGAAGCGCTAGCGGCCAGGTTAAATTACTCAAATTGTACACTGCGAAGATAAGCCTAGTTGAATTAGCACTCTACAATGACCTGGAGCCTTTTGCCATTGTGGCCTATACATCATCTTTAGAGAGTTATATACTGAATCACCACAGTATTATAGTAATCAATGCTACGCAGCACTGTATATGTTTTCTGCAAATGGATATGAGCGATGCCTATATTTTCGATCTCGATAATGACACACCTAATCACATATTGTATCTAAGCTCCATGCCCTGGTTTGATCTCAGCGAAAGAAGTGGAAGACCGAATATCTTGGCCAATATGTGTGGAATCATGCGTCGAGTAATATTTCCGTCAAAGTTAGAATAGCGCCAGCAGATAGCCTTGTATTCCAGAAAAAGCATGATGAATATAGCAGCGTCTGCTTGCTTGTTCATTTACAGTTCATGATACCTCCCTAGCTATCTATAGAGAGAGAGGTTTTGTCTCGGGGTTTTACTAAACGCTGTAGAAGTCTGTACGGGAGTGGCATCGTGAGAATGAGAACACAATTACCTTGTGTTGCCATGTAAAATGGAATGACCAGAGCCGGTTCTATGCATAATTGGGTTACCTAATTGTAAAATAGTGCCGGGACCTACACGAACTAAGGGACTTTTGTTGTGTAAAATTGCTACCCTCTAACTGTGTATCTCCGTTTTCCTATTCTCTAGGAACCCTAGCGCGAGGGAAATGCGATCTTCCACTTTATCAGTCGAAATACTACAGCCCACCAAACTATCATTAAAATGATCCCGACCGCCCGACTGAGGCATATCTTACTCCTCTAACGAAAATTCTGTGGAGTAGGAGAGTTTCTGAATAAAGGGTACGTAAGAGAATAGAAATCAATCAATTGATGATAAGTAACTTATATGGGAATAAATAATTTCGATTAGCACAGGGAAGAAAAAATCATTATATATAAGTTCTGAAGAACTACCCTTTGATCATCAAAGTGGTAACTAGAGATTAAGTAGATATAACGTTTGGCCACACATCCAGTCTACCACACCCCCATGACCCTCCTGATTCTGGCAAGAGTTCTTCTTGGCACTTTAAGTAATACTATTATCTTGTCTCCTCTTTAGTCCCTGTATCCAATCTGGTTGGTAGTCCGTGCACCTGAGCCCCTATATCTCTGCAGATGTCAAGAGAAAAAAAAATTTCAGATCAGCCGGTGCTGTCCAATAACTGTCCACTGCGGCTCACCCTGCAGGGTCAGTGCGGGGGCGGGCCGATGGAAGAATATTCTCGACTACCTTCCCGCCAGGTGACGACCACCTAACTACTAGTCGTATATAAATCATACAAACGCTAGCGTGTTAGTGGTTTATTAGGCGACAATCTACTATCTTACCGTTGTGTAATATTGTTGATCCTTTCTTTGATGCGTCTGTGCTAGTGCCTTTCGACACCTTCATTTAAATGCCCTGCATGCGGTGGGGTTGTCTTTGCATATAAGATCTGCAGGTCTCATGCAGCTTACCTGAAACAAGACGAATTGTTTTTAACTGAACATTGGAGCTGTTTTCATTGAATATTATCTTGCTTTGAAGTGCAGGTTACGCCCTCACCTAATCAGAATATAAAGCAGCCAGGAAGTAACACCCTAATATCACTACACTCTTCCATTTATTTCACTTTTCGCTATCCCTAAATCTTCAAATTGAGAGTAAGATGGTGCCCGCAATATACTTACTCGTTTTCGTGGGTGTCTCCGCCAAGCCTGGTACGTTTTGTTTCCAACCTCCATTAACCCAGATCTAAACCAAGCCTCATAGTTGCGCCAAGGCAGAACGCCACTGCAACTCCTACCACAAGTATACTACAGGGTACTGTGGCGGATAGCTGCACGGCCTCATCTACGGATAGCCAGTGGTTAAGCATATGCGACACGACTATTTTCTGGCCTACATCCACAAATTATTTTTACGGCCCGACCATCGGCCCAAAGGCATCTGCCGTCTCATGCAATGCTGAATGGGTGGAATACCAGGGACGTGCTAGTGGACTAGAATCTCTAGGTGCAACATCCACGTCCACTCTTTTTTCGCCTTATGTCACTAGCACCGGAGCTTGCCGCTCTGAAATTCGGGGGGAAGAACTTCATGACATCCATACGGGCCCAGTTACCACCCTCTGTGATGGGGTCACGCGCGCCTTGGGTCCTCGAGAGTCTATAACCCATTACTGGCCAGGAACGGGTCCTTGCAGTTCCTTCACGGCCACTGAGACTAGCACTACATTGGTCTATCGATCGCCGTCACCTACTCCTGGCTGTGAATTAAATACCCAGGATTGCATTCCCATTTGGGAAACCTACACCAGTCTTCGGGACGCCTACCAGTCCTCTGTCACGACTCAAATACCTGGAGATATTAACAGTCCTATCCGGCCGGAAAGCTGCCCGTCTACGACGCGAAACTACACTGATCCTAATGTATGCAATAATTGCCACTATCTCCCAGCTACAGCAACAGTCTTTTACTGGCCGGTGATTACCAGCGGAGCTCTCTGTCTGCAGAATGGAAGCACCGTCCCTGCCACACCCACAGGAAATGGTCCCAATACGGCCGTTGTCGACGGAAATACATTCGTTTCCCCGAATGTCTACGTTTCCTTCACCAGCATCTACGCCTGGAGTAACCAACGCGCCCATAATGGCGGTCCCTGTGGCGGTGATCATAAAAATGTGATTATCTCTGTCGAACCGGACGCAATCACATCGTACCGCAACCACATCAACGGGAAATACCCAAGGATTGGAACGGCATATCCTTTCAATTTTGCGGAATATCAAGAGCATCAGGTCGGAAACTATACTATGTCTCTAATCCCTTGGGAGCAGTACCTTGGTGGGTCTCAGTGTGTGTCTGGAGGCGGTGGTTGTAGCATGATTCGCGATGATTATCTTCCGTGGGTCGAAATTCCAGACGCCATGACGCAGATCGATCCCCTCTGGACCGCATGTCACCGGTCTTGGTATATTCCTCCAGTTAGTATGGTGCCATTGGTTGGCGGGCTGGAGTCGCGACCGACGAACACAGCAGAGGCTAGCAGTTCCCTGGCTCCTCCAGTGCTTCCTGTGTCAGGTTTGGCTGCACCCACTCCGCAACCCACCTGACCGGATGCTGATTTGCTTCCGCCGGCTGGATATCTTTTTGGATATTGAACGAATTTCTTCCCTTCTCTAAAAACAGTTGTTAAGAAATGTTGTGGAGTCATGCATTATTGCCCATTTGGGCCTAGCCTCAATTGCATTGTAGATAGCTAGATGCTCTCTCCCACTCTCTCTCTTTTTATCTCTCTCCGTCCGCAATTTCATATTCATTCTTCATGTTATTGCTCTCTGATGTATGTTCTACAAGTAAATATTGAGCAGAAAGTCCAAATATTTTTGGCCAAGGTTTCAGTGGTTGGTTTACGTGGCTGTTTAAAGCGTAAACTCCAACATACGTCGCTCTCTGCCAGAATTTCGAGTCAGCTGGTAGATAACTTCTGCCTGTCACGCAGCAGCAACGGGAGTCTTGACAAAAACTTTGTATAGAAAATAGCCTGGGGAGTCTTAAGTTAAATGACCCATATTCAGAGGTTGCGTGAGGAATGAGTAAAGAAGATAGGGTTTTTACCCATCCTCATAAATTGTCATTGTGGCATGAACTGCTCAAGCGCTCATCCAACATCCGATATGATCTAGATCGAGGTAAAGACAAGAAGGCCACGGTTTTGCGTGCTTAGATCATGTAAAGCGCCAGTATTTACGATTAGCCAGCAAGGTGATCTGCATGTGGGAGATTTGTGCATATGAATTTCGAGGCGCATCAGGCGCAGCCTCCGCTTGCCTCGCGCTATGTAGCCCGATGATCCCACGGAGGCGCAACCAAATAAACGATTCCGTGCCCCACGGATGCGACAAACGAGCCAACCTAGGGAATGGTTTAGTTAGACAAAGAAAGATTGTGCGTAGACAACTCAGATCTCACCCAATGAGCCCAATGATAGCTGGGAAATGAGGTGGCCACGTAGACACCAAAGCAACGAGCTGGGTTCAAACCTGTAGATGCTAATCAGTCCATCGAAGCTAGGCATTTGGAAATTTGCGCATTACTTACACGCTCCAGAGTAGCCATTCCGAGTGAACCCTGAGCCCCAACTTGTAACACCAAGTGTCATCCCGACTAGAAAGGGTGAAAGTGCTGCTCCATATATCTGGCCCTGTCTAGGGTCAAGGCCCACTCCAAAGGAGAGGAATAGCAGGAGTAAGCAGAAAATAAACTCGAGAAGAAAGGCGTCCGCGACGGGAACTAGCTGCAGGTCCACATTGCAGCCGCCCACTGTGAAGTCTCTGGAGCCATAAGCCGACTGAAGCATGAACCCAGCGAGGGCTCCACCTAGCGTTTGGCCAAGTAGGTAAATGACCATTCGTGGAAAAGAAATCAGACGGGCGAAGAATGTGGCTAAAGTAATCGTCGGGTTTAGGTGGCTACCACTGACATTTGAAAATGTGAAGATAAAAAGCGTGAGAAATAGCCAATTTCCAATTCCACCGAATAGAGGCCCAAGGAAAACAGGAGTGGAGAAGACGCCAGCTGATGACCCTGTACTGGATGTGAAAGGCTTTTGTATAGAGATCCAGGCCGTGACAAATGCGTTCAGCATGGTCCCTGGTTTTCACATTAACACAATTGCTTCACAAATATGCGTATATTCAACTGTTGTTACGCGGAATGTTAATTCAATTTCTCACCTATACATTCAATGAAACCGAATCTCCAAAGATCGACATCCCAGAATCCACGAAGGTCAAATCCCTCACTCAGGGTCATTAGTGGGGCCGCATCGGGCACTTTTTTGAGTAGCTCTGCATTTTCGGGATTGCTTCGGTCAACAACCAGGCCTTGATTGCCGCCAACTCGACCAGCAAAAGGCTGAATCACGGGCGTTAAACGTGGTATCGCGACATCTTGTGATAGGTCATAATCTGGCCTGCGTCTTCGTAAGGAGTCTCTAAGTGCAGAGCTCATCACGACGGTTGTGATGTTTTTCTAGGTTCCCCTTTTTCGTCCACCTTTTGCCTTTTTCTGATGATTGTGGGGCTCGTCCCCATATCCACTGGGACAGAAATCAACAATTGCTCTGGTTCGATTGAATGCTCAGCTTGCATGCAAGGAGAATGTTGTTAACTCCAAGAGTTGGAGAAAGCAGAAAACAGAAATTGGGTGGGAAGGCTAGTCAGTTAATTCCTCCCGGTGTCCGTTAACGCGGCGCCACTGGAATGCTGACCTGACTAAGATGCGGCTTGTCCCAGATCGGCTCGTTGGAGAAACCGAAGTTCTTAATCAATATTGCTTGTTAATTCACTGCTTGAATTGGATTTTAATCCCTTATTTTGATGGCTGGATTTTCCATATTGCTCGGCTTCGTTCTTACTACTCTTGACTAAGCATCTCCGCGGCGACAAAGTGAGTAGCCTGAAGACTATTGAGTCCGAGAATCATTGCTCATTTGCTCTCATTATCTTGTCAAGAAAGCCTCAGAGGCATTCCAGAAAGTTTAGAGAGAATGCTCCGAAACTGCCCGTTCATTTTTTTACCGCTGGTAAGAAGGATTCGCCTGTCGTGGATATGAAAAGGGCAACTTCACCAATTTACATACACGTTGCATAAATTCTAGAGAACATCCATCAAACCGAATGGTTCAAAGCCGGTGGGAATACGTATGGAACAATCTAGAAGTACCAATTATTGTAGAATTTAAAAAGACTGACTGACATAGGACGGTGAAACCACGACTTCCATAGAAAACCATTGCCCTCAAGTGTAATAACTATGTAGCTATCTACCATGTCGCAAATATTACTAATCGCGTGTCTCATCAACGTTTGTGGCTAGGCGGGGCTCCCATCCTGCTTCAGCCATCTCAAACGACTCAAACAAGAAGGCCGGTGCCACCGTACACCCCACAAGTGTCCATTCACCTAGACTTTTCGCATGTTGCCACTCTCCACGCTCAACAATAGCTTGCGGCCGTTGGCCCTATAATAGAATTCAGCATGTCTATACTTCGGCCGCGAAACACACAATAGTCCGAATATTTTTAGAGACAGAAACAACTCACTTTTTCAAGATCGATCCCAAGAATCATATCCCGAGTGGGTTTACCATCATCCCAGGATAGTGACAGTTGCATAGGAGCACCAGCATAGTAGTGCCATATCTCAGTGCCATCGAGAACACGGTGCCATTTTGACAGGCCACTTGTTCCCTCGAGAAGGTAATAAATGCAGGTACTGTGTGAGCGACCGTTCGATAAATGGCTGTCACGGAAGCTCTCGACGTAGTAGCCCTTTTCAGGATGTGGGGAGAGATTCAAGGTCTTGATAACCTGTTGTGCGGAATAATTGTTCGCCATGGTATCTGGAAAGTGGGGGGAGTGAAGATCGTGACGATCGTGTCAGGGGTGAGATTTACCTTTTTCTGCCACACACCCGCTTACTACAAGCTACCTGACATATGTGCACGTGTTCACGGGTTGTGATCCGGATTATGTGATCTGTCAGATACAATTACTGCTTTCTCAATGGCCTCAACAGCCTTGTTGGGTATCGTGGAATTGTGGAAACGATGCCAGGCAAGAACTGCGGTCCGATCCCGGCAACCAGATTGATAAAGTGGAGTATAGTGGAATCGAAGTCATCTGGAATTTCCTGTCGCTCCATCGCCATAATTCCACGCCATTTATGAATAGTCTTCGTTTCCTATGCGATAAATGTGGTCTTCGTACAGTTAACACGGCTAAATACCGGAGACTCTTTTCTCTCGCTACTACAATTTTAGGGTCTTTCTGCAAATCTGTCCATTTTTGAATCGATTCAAGAGATACCGTAAGAAAAACTGCCGGTATCCACCAAGCCCTGGATCTCACCTCCTCTTGGCTCGTTCATTTAAATGACAATTGCCAATAACTGGTTGAACGATGAGTCCAAGTCAACGCTCGAATCCGGTCGTTGGGGCAAGGAATTTTCATGACCTGCGAGAGTATACTTTTTCACATATTCCATTCGGGAACGACCTGCTGCAGCCAAGTATGTCGAAGATAGGCATTGTTCGCTTTGTAATCAAAGATTTTGTTTAGACAGAATGAAAACAAGATACCGGAAAACGGGGAGGACTCACTGATTAATATCTAAACAACCTCCAAAACGCCTCTTTCTTTATTGATCAAAAGCAAAAGCATCTCTAGGGATTTAAAGGCTATAGTTAGTTCTAGTAGGTATTGGGTCAAAGTTTTTATCTTTACAATATTGTTAGCTTTCTCCTCTTACTCTTAGACTGTAGGGAACTATGCCCTAGATTGAGGGGCTTTTTCTGAGGAGCAATTACTGACTTAGGATTATATCCTGATGATCCTCCTAGATGACGTTATTAGGTCATGTCTTCCAACCAATTATTTCTCTTCTCTATACACGCGCTATTTGGTGGTTGCGGATGACACCACCTTATCAGTCCCTGTCCCTAAGTACCTGAATCGATTCGTGGTAAATATTGTGGTCTTTCAGATAATCCTAGTCGACTGTAACCTCGACTCCCCGGCGGGCCGTTTATAGGTCTATCGTCTATCACGTAGTTCCTATGAGTCAAATACGCAGCAAATAAATTCCATCACAGCCACCATAGACCTCTTGTGCTGTAGTCACGTATTAGTTCTAAGAGTTGCGCCTTACTTTTTTCTCAATCTCGCAGACGGGATTCTGAGGCCACAGACATTCCTTACTCATAATTCCGATACTCACTGGTCAAGTACCTTGATACTCAGAATAGCTAGCATCTGGCCGCCATTTTAGGATCTATGGAAACACACGCATCACTGCCAGATAGATAGTTCACTGTCTAGCACCAACGGACCGAAGATTTACAGCACAGTAGTTACTGCTAAGCTTGGTGAAAGGACTTAATCTGGTTTGTAGTAATTGTTAAACAATGTCCATTTGTAAAATTAGAATGAGGTCTCATTATGATATCATATACTTTCAATTGTCATCGTGAACGAAAGTGTGGCTCTTCAAAAGGAGTCCCTTAGCAAAAGATTGCCTAATCGAAAACTATCGTTGTGTCCTAGGTAAACAGTCTATCGAGGGAACAGACTTTTGTTGGACAATCGGAGTAGTGATGTCGGTGACTATCAGTGATAGCTAGCTGATTGGCATTGTCTAGAACATGACTGACGACTAATCTTGACCTGTGTAACAAGGAATTTATTCGATCAGTCTGCTATCATCGCTGGAATTGTGATACCTGCTAATACCTTAATTGGTCCATTGAACAGCTGGACAAAGTTATTTTATTAGATGTAGTACGAGGCTTTCGCCACCATGTAGGGACTTATAGGCACTTGAGATATCGCTGTAGTATCATCCCATGAACGGGTATTGAACACAGTTTACTCCAATGATTGAAATGTTGGTACGTAAGATACACGATATATTGGTATTTCAGCCTTCTTTCTTTGGCCTAAGCATGGATTTGATAGCTCCGGAATGAAGAGTAAACAACCGATCTTCTTTGCAGGGAATATTTGGGCTAGAATATGGGCGTGTAAATCTCCTTCATTTTGTGATAGTCTCGTGAGGTGACACACTTTCATCCGGACACGTATACAGAACCAATCTTTCGGGTCCTCTGCTTTCGGAGGATCTAATTCCAATTTTCTCGCCCCCTACCCGGAAGATCTAGATATGTGCCCTTGTCCTAATTCTCAAATCGTGTTTCAAATCCAGAGTATTGATAGGTTCCTCGATTTCTATTTTTCTTTTTTTGAGATAAAAAGATTGATCCTTGTTGAACATCGCGGAAATCGAAGAAAATTCCTGGCCTAGCCTTTCAACGGACGAATTCGATCTCCATGAAACTTCCAATCCAGTCTCTCGTGTATGGGCATTAGCTATATGTCACACTAATAGAGGGTGGTTCGAACCTTATTGAAGTGGCTTCTTGGCAAAGTCTACTAATCCGATGACCCTTCCTTATTTTAGATCATGTGCATTGTCTTCTTTCTATCTCCACAGCCACTGATGTCATCCAGGACAAGGTTATGCCATTGATGGAAATCAGATAGTGCAGAATGTTATAAGTTCAGATGAATACCACGAGAACTATCTGCATCATTGTTGTTCGGGTTTCGAGTTTTGCCCCTGCGATAGATTTGCTTTCACGGCAATTGAAATCACAAAGAGTATTTCAACCTTGCTCAAATACTGATCATCATGACACAAAAGTAACTATTTTTGAGTTACTTTCAATAAAGAGAATGCTTTCGATTGGTGCACTATTGAACCCGCGGTATAATGATGGAAACATTATCTCCTTCGGTCTCTCGCCAGATGGCTCAAAATCATCACGAATACCTCGAGCACACGAGAATGCAAGCGACTCACTATCCTCTGATCAATTTCATTTTCTAAATCAACAGAGGGTCCGGTCAAATACCAGTTGCTCAGTTTTCCCATACCTCGTTCGAAGTGACACTGCTCTCCCGGCGTATCATCATCATACACTCCCTACACTCAGTCCATCAATTCTTCCACTGAACTCAGAGCGGCCACTGGAAGAAAACAGTATTGGGGACCAGTATTATAGTCCAAATCGCGGCAGTAAAGGACTTGACTCCAATTCGAAGTACGCCGAAGAGCATATGTACTTTTTATGGTACCACTACGTTGACCTTCATAGGGATTGGGAAGAGATCCTCGCGATATTTCATCGTCAATTCCCCGGTATAAGGCGTTTGAATGTGGAAGTTATTCGACAAAAGCTCCGTCGATTCGTGAAAAAAAGGGGGCTCCATCTCCAAGGATGCAACGCTCTATACAGGAGGTTGAGCACACCGAGAAGCCTTTAAATCCCACTGATTCAAGTCTGGAATCAGATTCCAGAAATTCGGGAGTACTTCAGCTAGAGAATGTCTGGTACTCGTGGATGGAAAAAAACACATTCCTAACTCTAGGGCAATGTGAAACTCAGTCCTAAAGTGCTCAGAATATCTATAGGGGTATTGATACTACCACCCCCCTTGGATAATACTACTCTACCATATGCTTGAGAATTCGAGATTCATATGACCGCTTTGCGGCTTTCCTAACCGCTTTTCTATTAATATCTATTCAAATGCGCAATATCTAAGGGTACCTCCTTTCACTATGTAGATCTATAATAAATTCAAGTACCTTTAAGCACTACACTACCTTTTTACACATAGCAAAGATGAAATATTAAAAATACTAAAAATAGCCTAATTTTCAAATTTAACTAAATAATTCTACTTTACATTGTGAATATTTACCTTCCTCCTGTAACCTTTACACCATTTCTTTCGCGTTTTCCCGGCAATTTTAAGCATATTTATGTCTTCAATATATCCTCTTCAGGGCTAACCTATCTCATAGACTCCGAGTCCGACCAAGAGCCCGAGCTAATTCTAGAGATATAGCTCTATACTAATTCGCCTACCTAGCTGCTACTATTATTCCTACTATAGCCGCTATAACTAATCGGATCGCCCAATTTAACGGTCGAAGCCGTACGACTCGATCCTATTGGGAAGCATAGGGAGGTGGGCAAAATAATGGGCGTAAGGGCTTCTATCATCAGGGTGACAACATCAGTTCATGTCCATATTGTCGCCACTCTCTATGCTGGATGCCAAATGCTGGAGCTTGGATATGTCCTGTACTGGGATGAGATGAAATCTCATTGATTTTTCGAAGAATCTTCCAGTCAGTCTTCCTTCTTACAATAGAAGTGAGCTGTCCCAGGAGTGTACATCATGTTTCTTTTCCTTCTTCAACTCGACGCTGCAAGGAGGCAGCAAGGGGATGTTGCCAGCTATCTGAATTCCCTCATCTGAAGTTCGTGAGGCTTCGCGTTGATGTTGAAGTAGCCTTGTTTTCTGTTCCAGGCAGTAATCTCTTTTCCACTGACCGTGAATACCCTGCATCATCTTTCGCAAGTTTTGCAACCGATACCTATAGGGGAACTGTGGTGATTGCTTTTCTTTCTCCGCGGATCCTTTAATAAGCTCACCAGTACTTTTTATTATGCGAAAACTATGCTCCGGTGAGACAACACTGATAGCCAAGGATGGTCTGCAGCCATTCACAACTTCCCATATTGCGAACCACCCAGAAAACAGCCTGGTTCATGTCTTCAGACAAAGCGTATTTTGCAATTAAAGTCTGACACATGGGCCAGGCTTTTGAGACCAGCCTTTTTGGGACAAGAGACAGGAGATCCTGATGAGGTTTTGAAAAGATCAAAGTCAGGTATATGTGAGGATCTTTTGCGGCTTGATCCCTGAGGACGAGATATAGGAGATCCTGATGAGGAAACCCAAAGGTAAGCTCAGCTGTGAGATGAGCGGAGGAGAAGGAGAAGCTTATAGTATGCCGAGCCGCTACACGTAAATGGCAAGTCTCCTTAATAAATAAAGCCAGAGCCAACTCGCACATCGTAGCCATACCTAGTTCTGAATAAATAGCCGTGGCCGTGGCCTGGTTGTCCTCCATCGTCAAAGTCATACTCAAATGGGCCATATCTGGTTTTGACTGGCTCCGCGGGTGATTTGAGGATCTTGACAAGCTAGTCTCGGCCTCGAATCGTCAGAGAAATACAGGGACATAGGTCAGCTACACCCGCTTATTATGGGCAGGATCTCTTCAGAGCTGATTTTCTCAATAGACCCTGATGCCTCGTAAGTTCTTTCCATGGATGGAGTTTCAGTTTCAAACACTTTGCACAGTAGGCCCAGCGGCAATTTTCAAGTCGAAGAAGGAGTTGATTTCGCAGCACATCCTGACTGTTCATGCATAGTATTGGATTCCTAATACGTAAGAGTCGCGAAAATTCAAGATCTTTGTGCTTCACTATTGTCCCGAATAGGCCGAAGAGTTCTTTGCAGCTGAGGGATGACATCGCATCTAGATGTGGACAGCTAGACACATCGGTCAGAATTATATAGTGATGATCATTGACCCCGTTTAAAAGATAAGATAACCGAATAGGACCGAAAAGATTATAGGGCGCAATGGGAAAACGAGCTGCATAAGCTAGCCGCCCTAGAAATCGGGCCCGTAGGCGTCTCCCTAAAAGACCTTCCACAGCTTAAGAATTTCAGTATCAAAGCCTATACGCTATGCTATCTAACTCGAGGTATAGGAGATAGCAAGAAGTAGCTTAAATCAGAAGTCTTTTGGTCTTGTTGACTGTATTCCATCTACTCTTAAGTCTCTCGGGATTTACGGGCACGGACAGCCCGTGGATACTCCCTATCTAGCTTACGATCCTGATCGAATGTTAATTCCTACGTTGAGCAAGTGGCGCGTGACAAAGATGCTAAACTACTAGGACTGAAGATTTTGAAGGCGCTGATCCTTGTATTCCAAATGGTAGGCCTGTGGATGAAGGGGCGGACAAAGATGATCTAAACCTTTTCTGGAAAGATCTAGATGACAACAGGTTCGATGAGGTTGATGATGACGTTTAATGATAATGTCACCTATCTCTGGCAGCGTCGATGCTGCATAGCTCTACAATTATATCATGGACAGATCTTCCACGCCGATTCACTCGTACTGCTAATTGGACGGAGACCGAGTCATCTGGCTTTCTCCTTAAGCGTAAATCAAGTGATTAAACAATCGTGTCTGAGCTTGCTCGGTTGGCTGGAGGTAGATGCAAATAGAGCTGTAGATCTCTTGCTATCCAGCTGAGCAACCTGTCCATAGTGCTACCTAGGTAGTTGTGTGGGACAGAAGTTTTCTAGTGGAAAAGGGCATGTTGCCCGTAGTCGAGCAAGATAGTGTTTCGACTCGCATCGGGAAAGTAAGCTGTAGCAGAGGCGCAGGAGTCCTGCAAATTTCGTTCGTCTATTGCGCTCCCTTTCCTGTCTCTCTTTAGCCCGAGCTTTTATCTTCTCGCTCTTCAGCCTTCCTCCGTCTTTCTTCTTCTTGCCTGGAGAGTTTCTTGTAAGCGGTGGGACTATTATTAGCCATCGAGCGGTCGAAAGGAAGAGAGGGATTAGATATCCATTCAAGGTGCGAGCAGCGCTTAATTTAGCTAGCTTATCAGCTGATGCAAGTTTCAGCCAAAGCATTATCCAGAACCCGTTCCTGCGATTAGTTATTTAACGCTCAAGCCCGAGGACAACGGGCTGAAATTTAGGACTGTGAGCAGTCATGCAGCAGCTCGACGTTCGAGGTTTCTTTCTAGCCTCGAAAGTGGTCATCTTCGGCGTCGATCACATAGGACCTCATATTCTAGGTGTAAACTAGAAGTCAATCCTATAAAAATAAGTGTGGAAAAAAGAATTCATGTTTGGCAGAAAACATAAACGCGTTATGAAACAGGCATTATAAGGCAGGACTAGGCATAAATCAGGCAAGGGGGGGGTGGTATTAATCAGGGGGAGGTGGTAGTATCAAGTCCCTATTATCTAACCAAGTGAAAATTACCCAAAGAGACAAGAATTGTGGGGAGGTGAGATTCCTCCAGGGCTGTAATTTACGCTGACTCATCGAGGATACGTGCAGGTAGACAGATGTAAGGCCGCGGAAAGCTATCCTAACACGGACTAGTGTATTTGATGGTAGGGCCTTGAAAGATAAAAAGAAAGAGATTAGAGGTGGAAAAACTGATTACTAATATTACTATATCTATTAATCCGATTTCGAGAACGATTGTATCCATGTCTAGCTACGTGCATTCATAAATATGATCGCCTCGTTAGGGCGAGTGCATTTTTCGGCGATCAGCAAATCAGGTGTTCATTACAGATAGGTCGCAAGGGGCTTCTAGGTCATGCGATAAAGCTAGAGAGGCAAGCTTTGTGCATTTGCTACATTGTTATATCTCGGAATAAGAAAACGAAAGTTTGTCCGCAAAGAAAAATTCGCAGAGATTTACATATGGTTTTTAAGACACAGTAGTTAAATTCAGGCTGCTTCTATATCAAAGAGGTGAAGCGGGGACATTGCATAAGGCATTCTAAACGCGACGTGGCATAATTAATCATAAATATGTATAAATCGTCGGCGTGTCTAGTCCACTACTCAAGAGCAAAAGTTTAAAGACTCCTTCGGATCGGTATAGATTTAAGACCATAGCTAGGTATGCTTAATAACATAAACTAGCTTCCACAAACTCAACCTTTAAGAGTATCCATATAATGCTTTTCTTCAAATACATATAGTCGAGCATATACAAGTAACATATTTGAAATTCTACAAAAATTTTCTATTTCCACACAGTGTAGGAGGATAGATTCTTGCGGAAATTCTCTAACCAGATGATCTCAAAGCTTCTAAGCATTCGCACGATTCCGATAACAGTTATTATTAAGCAGTAGAAGCCTTTCGGATACGATGTTTGTTCCATCTCACACGACAGATAGACAAGCTCCTCCGCTAAGATCGGAATGTGATAGTCCCCATAGTATATAAATTAATTATGTAATTGAAAATGACCTTTAATGTATGTCATCACGAAGTCTAATAACGCAATCAGGAAGCTCAAGGTGAGAGCTGTATAGTGCGAGACGTTCCTTCAGGGCGTTGGCGTGAACACTAGACTCTTTTTGATTTGGCCCCGCTTTAGAATATGCGATGAGGGAATCAAGGTAACTGAAGAAGTTTGAGCATAATGCATTTCAATATAGGGGCGGGGGCCTGTGAGAACTCACTCAAGATACGGTCGAAACATGACTAACGGAGAAAACAAATAGCAAGTGAAAATGGAAAGAATTTATAGCTTTACAACAGTTAGCCACCCTTAGTGAGGAGAAATCGACCCTCAGTAGGGTAAGCAAGTTTGGAAAGTTGTGTTGGAGTTTTAGGCTTATGCTTAGTGAGTGTAGACGACGTAACCTCTCGATTAACCAAAAAGATCCCCAATGAGACTTATGCCCAGTAGGCTCTTAAGGCTTCTGAGGCTTATTGGAAGATTTAAAGAAACCCCTTACTCCAGAAGTCACGTATTTCTCGTACAGCATACTTTCAACGCGATGCTAATGATTTTTACTCGACTATGACGGAACGTCTAGTAGATGGGCTATATAGGGCCACCTGATTCTCGACATATATTGTATTTGTCATGGCGACATGACAGTCATTCCTATGATCTTTGTGGTTTGTTTGTGCAAACGGGATGTATATAATTTTAATGCTCATTAGGGGCCACCAAGAGCAAGAAAGTCCACGAATATTACAGCGTTACCTCACTTCCTGTTCATCGTCGAGCACAGAAATATAGCGCCTACAAATTAACTTTGCAACACTTTCGAGAAAAGCAATTAAAGGATCGGAATGTCATATGTGCAGCGAGAATATCCTACGCGAGATGCATCTTCATAGGCACGCAGAGAATGTTCACCGTCTTGTCACTATATGCAATTACTACACAAAAAAAGGATAGGATCGGACATTAATACGGACCAAGGCGTAAAATTACCGTCAGTTTTGGAGCTACCTTCTCTATCAGTGCCGGTAGTAGGGGTAGTATAACTAGTAGAGCCGGTATCTTATCGGATGCCTTAAGACTTTTGCGTTGTTCAATTGTTTGTCCTTTGACTATTTCTCTTTGCTACCCTAAGAGTTTGTTTAGCGTAGTGGTAGTACTTAATGTTAAGCTTAAGCGTGCATTGATTGTAGACTTTCTTTTCTCTACTTTGAGGGACAAAGAAATTTACAAAAATTACCAAGTAAGGGGTGATCAGCCTGTTAATCCTGTAAGACATGTACGATAGTGGATACGAGACGAACCGATTGAGGAGCACCAATAATAAGGTATTCAATTCACAGAGACTAATCCTTGCAAACTACAAAAGGGTATGGGTCAGAATCCTTGCGCTTTGTGACGCCATCATATGTCTGTTATCTTTGTTGGTGACACCAAGTCCGATTCGTCCTTCGTTTACGGGCTTCCCCCGTAACTTTACCGGATCAGTAGCTTCTCGATCTGCCGAGTCTCATTATAACTCACCAGGAAAACCCCTTCTGGAAGAAAGGCCAAAGATTGGAAAGAGTGCTGTCTTGGCGATCTGTCTTCCATTGTAAGGTCTAAAAGACCATTACATTCGGGCTATAAAAGCGATCGCCGACCGTAGTATTTAGCCCTTATAATTCCTTCGTAGTCGCTTTCAATCCCATCGCGAAGCCGGTACTATCGAAGTTATACCTATCGTCCGGGTCGATGTCGTATAAAAGGATAGTTTTTTAGACGAGCGTAAACTATTCACCGATGATTTTCGGGTCTTCGTATTTTACGCGCTTATAATTATGGCGCCTCGAGAATCGGCCGGAGAGTTTGGAATGCCTTTTTAGTACAGTTTATAACCCAATTCTCGTTAAACAGCTTAAGTCCAAAAAACTATGACCGATCCGTTTGACCTAACGGAAGCGGCCCCGCCTTTCCTGACGACGTTGTACTAACCAAGCTAGGAAATTCTTATGACAGGGTGGCTTCCAAGGCCGTTTTGGCTTACTCTTATTCTGATTGGAGAAGAGCTCCCCGTATCGCAATGAGCTCAAGCGATTGAGTTTCACGAGATTGCCCCAGGTGCAGATGAAGAGCTCACCGTATATTCGCTTCATCCGACCAAAAGTACTCGAGTGAGACTCCATAATGCGCTTACTGCCAATCGCTAGTTATCACTAAGAAATCTGTTTGCCCATTTTCCGAATCGAGTCACTTTGCATCGTGTCACAGCCATATCCCTGGGAAGTCGTGACATCATTCCAATGCCTAATCAGAAGTTTTGGGCCACAAAACGAATGTTACTGGATGCGGAATGAATGCTATCCATGGATGCCGGGTGAAACCTTGTTAGACCCCGCCATCGGCTGGAATGTGTTACCTCAAACAACGCATTACTTACATACATTATAACAACTATATATAAGTAAGCTGTTGGCTTGCCATTCCAACCCAAACATCTGTTCCCCCAATTTTCCTCGGAGTTATTTGACTTCACAATTAGCCATAATGGAGCTATCGGAGACACTAGATACTACCAATCGTCCTGATGAGTGGAAGATTGAACAGGGCATGGCAGGCCACAAATTGCCTATCCTTGATCAATCTGGAAGAGTCACCAACCACATTTACCCCCCACCGGAGAAAAAATTGACGAAAGATAAAAAAGCGATTGCGTCAGTGGGTGATCGCGCAAAGCTATTCGCCCGCGAGCGTGTAGGTTGGAAAGGGTACTGCTACTCCATACTTATAAGCTGAGACCAATGCCCAGAAGCTAATAGTGTTTGGCTGCACAATAGATACGTTGAGTGGGAAAAATATCCGGAGAAAAAGGCGAAAGCACGGAAGATTCTCACTTCGCAAACATTTGACCCCTGCCCTGACTTCCAATTTGGTCCAATTCCGGGGACCAATCCCGTGCTCCCGGGAGATGATTTCAAAGAGTGGCATGCCGCCCTCGGTGGTGAACTTGCCACTACGTCAGATGACTCTTGGAAATGTGTTCTCCGCGAAAAACATCCCGATATGCTTCACCTCTTGCAATTCCCTTACAATGGAGAGCCTCCCAAGCGGCTGGTCACCTCAAAGGCGATCACACCGAACCCGCTTCATTTCGTCCGGAATCACGGCGGGATCCCAATCATTGATAAGGCCAAATGGGAGCTGTCACTCGATGGCTTGGTCAATCACCCAAAGACCTACAAACTACGTGATCTCCAAGACGAAACCAAGTTTCCTCGCATTGAGAAGACGGTTACCATACAGTGCTCGGGAACTCGCCGCATTGAGCAGATTTCCCTCTACAGTGGTCAGGGAGACGAGGTTCCCCAGGCCCCGTGGGCTGAAGGTGCCATTGGAACTGCCCGATATGTCGGTATCAGTTTGAAAAAGGTTATCAAGGACTGCGGGGGTCTCGTGAAACCTGCTAAACACCTCGAGCTTTACGGTGCTGAGACTTACGTCAAGGATCTGGAGGTGGGCAACTATCTTGTCAGTGTCCCCTGGTCTAAGGTAAAGGCAAACGAGGTTATTTTAGCCTGGGAAATGAACGGTGAACCTTTGCCAAAAATTCATGGTTATCCATTACGAGTGGTGGTGCTAGGGTACATTGGGGCTCGAAGCGTCAAATGGCTGTATCGCATCAAGGCCATTGAAAACCCTTCTATGGCACCGGTTCAGAGCAAAGAATACCTCTACTTCAACCAACAGGTCGGTAAATACAACTTGCGACCCACAGATGGCATCCAGATTCAAGAAATGCCAGTCAGCTCGGCTATCATGTCCCCATGGACAAATCAAGCTGTTGTGCACACTGGAAAGATTCGATGCAAGGGCTGGGCCTATTCTGGAGGTGGCCGCTGGCCAGAACGAGTTGAGTTGTCGGCAGATGGTGGTTTCAGTTGGTACGACGTGCCACCCGAGAATTTATCGAAGAAGGGCAAATGGACCTGGCGCACCTGGGAAATCGATTTACCTTGTGATGTGGAAGGATGGATTGAAATTGTCTGTCGATGCTGGGATAACTCCCTCAACACACAACCGCTCAATGTCCGAGCAGCTTGGAACTGGGGTCTGCATGTTACGTCCTCGGCCCATCGAATCAAGGTTTATAGTATTAACAAAAGTCGCGAAATTACGAGAAAACGCTTGGATAAGTATGAGCAAATGGGTGTCCCCTTGGCTCCTCTTACTCGCTATGAGATTGTCCCGAGTCAAACAGACAAGGAATATGCGCAGTATTGGAAGGACCATGAGCCACGGGATGTTGATGAATGAGAATTTGAACTTTTGTCATGTTTAATCTCGTTGCCGTGCGTTTCAGGTAAAATTCAAGAGATCCAAAAAAAGAATCACATTTTTACTGTTGAATTTTGAACTTACTACCTTGGAACCAAGTACTTAAGAAATATCCACAGTTATGTCTCTACGGCATCTTCTTAGAAACTTCCTGCGTCTAGAATTTAGTTTACCGCCTCAGTGTCAATTATTTAATTCCTTTCTTTTATATTCCTCTCTTCATCGTCGTACATGTAGATAGGAGCTCAAACATGGTGTCTATAAGGTCTGGGAACATTCAGCATCAAGACCCTTAGAGTATAACACCTTTACACTTCCCGAAAACTGGGCTATTGGGCGCCTGCCACACGACGCACAAAAGAGAGACATACAATTCACTATACTTCCCATCAGGCTGCAGTAAGAACCGTGAACATCATGGTTAATCAAACCAAGACAATGACCACAAATGTAAAGGTAAGAGCAGGGACGCATAAGGAAAAATAGCGCTAATCCGCAAATTCACAAGTTGAACTAAAAGGCGTAATTCATCGCGGTCGTCCAATATGGTATAAACGGAGGTAATTATGGAAGGACTACAGTTTGTCGTGGCATCAATTTAGGAACTCGTGGTCTTTTCACCTAGCTATTTAGACATGCAAGCTGATCTAAAGGCTTGTCGGGGATTAATGCTTCTAGAATATCCCTTACTAAAGGCACCGCGTGCGTTAATTATTGCTGCTTAGCTTGTGAACACTTAACAAAAAGGTGAGGAAAGTCGTGGTATATGTTAAGAAACACTCATTCAATGTGGCATGTTGCTTGAAAGAAACTATAAAGGGCTTCCAAAATCCCAAATTGTCACAATATACCTAGGTATATTATACCTGGATGAGTAGAGCTGGCATTTTGGAACCATCACGCTAATCAGAAGGCTAGTAAGCTTCTACATATTTGGAATAGCAAACAAGCCAAGTATTAAATGACTTTAAACAATGCCACAAAACTTGACATTTTTAACCTGCATTTTCACCATCAATATAAGACGAATTGATAGAATTCGAATTTCAGTAAATAGAGAATCAACATTGATTCAACATAGGAGGACTTTCTATTTATATTACTAACTAAACTATCATCGTGTCAATTAAGAGATATAATCCTATCTTGATATAGCTTAAGATTACCTAGCCTCAAAAGAGATCGGGTCCACTTATAGAACACAGTTTTATTTCTCGTTATTACTATTTTTTGAGTGGGAGAATTTAGCATTGAATAGCAGTGTTACAAAACATTACGTTGCGAGCCCGGACCCACGTTCTGTTCCAAGATTTTGGCTTCGGAGGTGTTTCGTACTTCGTACACTATTGCCAAAATCCCGAGCTTTTCGAGGGAAACAGTACCATCCAATGACATTCTACAGTTGTTCAACTAAAGGGAGCGGTAAGTCTCTTCAATACCACGATCTTTGATACTAAATACATTCTCGGACGTAAGACAATATCTCGGTTCTACACTGCATGCGAGACTCCAGGGTCATTCTACTTCCTCGGACAATAATACGCTTTGCTCCTAGGCCTTGTGTAAACTACACACGACTATGACTCTGGCAACCTTGGAAGATTTACACATAAATTCCTCGAGCTTTATAGCCCTCTGCTTGTATTGAAGATCATGTGATAGTTGATCTCACACAGTGACAGGCCTCTCGCTTAGATAGCTTCTCTTCTTCCTCTCTCTTCTCATCTCTTCTTTTCCCCCAGTTTTGATGGCACAACACATTCAATGGCGTCCCTTCACACGACTCCTACTGAAATCTTACATTTGATATTTGCATCCCTATCGCCCGGCGATCTTGCCGCGATATGTCTTACTCACAGGGACTTGCGCTATCCTGTTGAGCCATTTCTCTACGCCCATATTCAATGGATATGGTCAGACTCCCAGATTCCTCCAGTCGCTCAATTCTTGCGAAGCATTATCCATAGGCCCGAGCTCGCCAGATATGTCTACGATGTGATTCTAGATGGTGACTGCTTCGATGGAAGCCTATACGACCCCAGAAATGAAAGCCCCAAAATCCCAATCAGCAACGTTGTCTTAGATGAGCTAGTGGAATGCATCAAAAGGACCAATGTTCCGTATGTGGGAGAATGGATCCAAGAGCTGCGCGCTGGATCGATGGACGCGTTTACCACTCGTTTGATATCACACCTCCTGAATCTGAAACGTCTCTTCCTTGATAAGAATTTCAACCGAGAGAGCCGTCTTAGGGGCATGATGCTCCGCTCGCCCCCCTGTGAGGAGACTACGGCTAGTAACCTTAGTTCCTTTACGTATCTTGAAGATGTGACAGCGAAGTCTCCCTGCCTTCCTTACGACATTCACCAAAAATCGGACTCTAGGAACACAAAGGACGTCCTCCCTCTCTTTTACCTGCCGTCAGTTAAACGAATAAGGACTTTAATCGACAATCCCGCTACTTTCACATTGACCGGAAAGAATCTACCAAATCCATCGAGACTTACATCGCTCGATTTGACTATATTACGCGAAAGGCATCTTAGTAAAGTATTATCAATCAGACCAAGTCTTCAGAAGCTTAACTAGGACTGGTACTACCGCCCAGATCTTCGAGATCATTCTTTTACCGCTATCATCGATTTGGACCAAATCGCTAAGGGTCTATCTTATGTTCAAGAGACTTTGACGGACCTGACTATTACAGCAGGATCGCAAGGCTACAAAGCGGACCTTGAAGATCCAGAAATCCAATTTAGTGGATCGTTCAAGGTCTTTGGCGGACTCCATACGCTGAAATGTTTGAAGGTTCCCATTCCATTTCTACTCGGATTTTCTCCCTCGATGTCAAATGCGAATTCGTTGGCAGTGGCACTGCCCAAGCGCCTTAAATGGCTGACTTTGACTGACTGCTTATGTACGCAAGAGCAATGGGAATGGCAATGGAAGACTGACTACTTATTGGAGGCTATTCGATCATGGCTCCAAAACTGGGAGAGATACACACCCCATCTCCGAGGATTCTGTCTGTCGGGAAGTATGATGAAAGCGCAGGACTGGGAACCTGACATGATACATGGATTAAGAGATTTGGGAGCCCAGTCGGGAATCGAGATTCAAATAACTGACACGGAACCCAAGTGGTCAGGTCGTATGTAATGACAGCTTCCTCGTCATAAAAAGTCTCTATTTTAACTACCTGATTTTAACTACCTGATTTTAACTACCTGGCAGTCCACTTTGAAGAAATGGGCGTCCAGTGCTAGATGAGAAAGCTTACATGGAGAAGTCCAAAAATCTGGAAATCCTTTGATTGTTAGAGACGAAGTGTATCAACATACAGTGTCACGATGTGTGCGGGAGATGTTGGATGTATTTCAAAAAGAAGAATTTGCGGCATCCTTGCTGTTATAGGTAACACAATTATCGATTTTAGAGGAATACATTTCTTCTTCAAATATTAGTCATTAAGAATAGTCTGTGTACGGCTCATCGACATGATCCCTCTATCCCAGTTTGTTCGGCTCCAAAAGGGGGATAAGCTCAATGACAAAGTTGGCCAAAGTCTTGAATCCCATAATACGATCAATCTATTGAGTACGGCTGATTATGCTCCTACGCAAACTCTCAGGAGCTTTTGGAAGAGAATTTTGAAGGGTTCAGCTCGGTCTTAGTGGTTATGTGGAATTAAGGTCTCCGGAGTGATCAATTTATGGTGATACTGCTGAATATTGGTGTTCATCTTGCTTTATCACAACTTACACGATTTACGTAGAACTCTTTGCTTGATGTGTGCTTTGTGTTTGTTTGTTGATTGGAAAGTCCAAATACCATCCTTATTTGAACACTTCTACCAAGGGGCATAGCGAAGTGGATAGTGATGACCGAATGACCTGATCAAGTAATTAGATATGAAAGGTAAGAGCTGAGTGAAAGCAAAGTAAGAGTAAAGGGTCCTTCGGAAAGTGAAAGAGATCTTATATAAATTAAACAATTTGAGTATCATTGTGTTTCTACTGGGCGAGATCACCATGTGGCCCGAGGCCTTAGGAGATATATTGGCCAGGTCAGAATAGCTATAGACTATTTGCTCTAAGAATATAAAGGTGGTAGTGAGGGCGGTGCGACTGTTACATAGGCGAGACCGGCTTTTAAGCTTAGGGCCATATTAGACTGCCGTGACAGTCATAATGAGGTGATTTGTTGAGCCACTTCTAATTTGAACATCCGGAAAAAGTCTTGCAGTCCTCTACACTGCACTATCTTTTAGCTTACATTTGGCAAGTTTGCACTGTGCTGGTTTACTCTAGCTAAGCTTTCTTCTTCTGTAGTTGATGCCCTCCGTTCTTCGCAAAGATGGCCCAGCCTCATGACACCGCCAGCCAACATGACCCTCAGGATATCGAAGAACTACCTTCTTCGGTCAATATATATCACTACAACAGTATGGACGACTTTTGCCGAGTCATATCACTTGAGCGTAATCGTCTCTATTGCTCTCTCCCCACCGCACAGGGAAATGACGAAGGACCCCAGGACAATCTAATTAGACTGCCACAGACGGAAGGCACCCAGAGCGATCACATTATCTTCATCGTTCACCCTGTAACTTTTGCACAAGACTTCTTTTATTCATCAGCAGATCTTCCTTTTCACGACAGGATATCCTTCAATCCAAAAAATCACCTCCTTGTCGTGAAGATGCCTGTACCAGCGCACGAGCAAGCCGCAGCGGAATTTGGCCATACGCTCATATCAGCCCTCCAGGAAAGAGGCTTACAAAAAGCGGTTTTCTCATGGGGATCCACGACACTGACTGATGAAAATGGCACAAGGAAGGAAGCAGACGGGGGATGGGGTCCACGAAGACCTCCCCACGGAGCTCCTAAGAGACCCTCGGTAGTTCTAGAAGTCGCATCATCAGAGACTCCTGCCAAACTTCGCCGCGACGCCCACTACTGGGTAGATCCAGCAAAAGGGCAGGCCAACATAGCTTTTACAGTCAAGGTCCATAACAAAATTCCCCAAATCACTATCCAGCGGTGGGAGTGGAACTCAGAGGTCTCCAGACCTATCAGAAAAACAGACCTCACCATCACAAAATCGAGATCCGACGGCAAAGTCCACTTCAATCCCGGCCAGCCCACACCACAGCTCCTCATACCCTTTCACCTTCTATTCCGACGGCCAGCGGAGAATCACAGGGAACGTGACATAGTGTTTGGGACACAGGACCTCGTCGAGCTCGCAACCTTGGTGTGGGACATGCAATTCCAGAAGGAGCAAGAATGAAGGGCTTTCTTTCTCTGTATCGCGTTTAGCTTTTCTTTTTCCGTTGTCTCTCTCAACTTTGTGTCCTTATTCGCTAGCATCAAGCAGACTTCAATCAGAATTCTACTCCACAAGGGTCAATACATCTGAATCATTATATAATTTAGATGAATAATTTAGGTAAATAGTATATATAATTGTCAATCGATACATTATTGCAGTATACTACCAAGTTTAGGGTGACAATATCTTACTTCATTACAATAGCAGGATTCAAGAAAGAATAGAAGAACAGCCAAGTAGATCACAGGGAGTTGCGGAACTCAATGATACGAATCTATTCAGTATTGCATTATTAGAGAACTTGGGATACAGATGTGTGGAAAGGATTAGTACAAGATTGAAGCTATGAAGTTGAAGCTGCGATAGAGTTAGGAAGTGGGTACATTCGTCAAATCGTAGTGCAAGCATATGACATCAAACGTTTCGATATTTTCAGCAACCATCTGATATACATGAGTCTCGCTCGAGGTGTATGTAGAGATAGTGATTGAAATCTCTCTTTCGTAAAACAACCTTTACCATTAAGGGTACTCCAGGGAAGAATACCTCACCGGTAGGTAATCGTGAACATTAGACCCCTGAAACTATGCTTGTAGATCGCAGCAGTAAGGAAGCAAGATAACCTCCTAGCTCATTTGAGAGCCTCGTCTTCACTATATAATCTCTCCTAGTAGATAAATGATTTCTTATTATTGGCACTGACATTTCTCAAGCTTTCGTACACTCCCCCTCTGCCTAGATCTCTGGTAGAACCTGACTTTATTTGAAATGTGAATTTAAATTAGACATTTCTACAAGATCTGTGTAGTTGTATCCCGGCCAGGGGCCGAAAACTATTATAAGCCTGAATGTGCGAAATTGCGGAGCGAAAACCCAGTCATTTATTTGGAAAAGACTGGTATACTTACACCTGAGCTAAATTTGAAGCTATACGGCTATATGAAACCTTGCAAACTTAAACAAACCTTAGCCCTAAAGGTGAGAGGGGCTCGGATTAGTCCCAAGGTTTGGGAGGGAAGCTACCTTAGGTAGAGATCCATTCCTTATTAGGCGGCGGCAAGGAGTATACGTATCAATGATGCCCAGGTAGATGTATCTTTCTACTATTTCAAAACTCGATCCCAAATTATATTCAATATTCCTGTTTCCTATCTTATACCAAATTTTACCACACGAGAATCGTTTCATTATCTTTAAAATGTCCGAACTACTTGGAAGCCAAGAATTGAAGCCAGTCTTCGACTGTCACCCTTCTCCACAATACCACTTATGCGAGCCGAGCCCAGATGTACTCACCTCTGTCATCGAGATCGAGCGTACTCGCCGGCTAGCACTGCAACAGTTTATGAAGCTACAAACGGAGCTTGAAAACTTAGCAGAGAATCACCCTATGCACGACGACAGTGTCCCGCTAATGATAGACTACCTTGAAAAGCTGTTTCTGTTATTGAAAGAGGGGATGCAGTTGGTTACAAAGTTATCAAATGTTCTGAAAGAACGCATTGAAAACCCCGAAATCTATATCGCTATGGAAAGACTCTCCGACAGTGAGTTCAACCGAGCTTATGCTTCTTTAAAGCAGAATACCAACCGCCAGATGCGAAGAGAGCTAGCCCAAAACTCTCAGGATCGCGATGACTACTTTTTCTCTTCTGGACGGTTACTTGAGTCCTCAAAGGTGAATAATATGAATGACAAACTTGGCCAAAGCCCTCCATACTATGATATGGCGGCTAGTGTTCGGAAAGCGAGTGATAGTGCTATCGCAAAGCCGCCTCGGAGTTTTGGGAAGAAATTTTGGAAACATTTAGCTCGACTTTAAGGGTTAGGAGAAATTGGGTCTCACTAGGAGTGATTGTCATTGGATGAGATAACTGAAAATTGCTGTTTATCTTGCTTTAAAGCGTCGTGAATCATCAATATGAATGGATTTGCTCCATGAAACTCCTAATGCTGTCCAGGTAGAAATACTTCTCTCACCCTGTGTATGAAGCTGTATATGAATCAGGCACTAGAGCCCTATTTTCTCGAATATTTGACCACCTAGATGCTTGGGTTTCTATAGCAAGATGTAATTGATTCATTTAATATGTTACTTCTAGTGATTGTCCGATTCTAAAGCGGAAGTATTTCTTTAATGGTTCTTAACTATTATGGACGTTACACTATTAGAAAAAGATGATCAAAAAAAAAGGGAGCCAAAGGTAAGAGACATCTAAGAGACATCTAAGAGATAACTAAGAGATGACTGAGAGAAAATTGTCATATAAAGGGAATTTCAGCAGCTGGCCTCTACAAGGTCTCGTATTAGATCAATCAGGGTCTACCATAAGATCCAGGTCTGCGAGGGGATCTATATTGAACAGCAAAATGCATTCCCAAGATGAAATTGCCCGGCGGCAGTATGTATTTAGACATGGTCACCTCCGAAGAGAGCCAACCAAAGAATAATAAAAATCAAAACAACAAAACAACAAAAAACAAAGAGTAGAGACAGAAGACTCGTTTTCTTCCTTCATCTCACCTCACTGGGGTCCTCGGAGAGAAGCAAAAACGGCCGAACAGCCCAGAGGAACGTCACCAAAAACACCTCCTCCTCCTCCTCCTCCCCCGGTTCAGTAAAAAGCTCCGTTTTCATTCATCTCACCTCGCTAAGGTTCTCGGAGAGAAGAAAAGATAAAACAACAGAGGAACGCCGTCGCCTCAGCATCACCTCAGCATACCGAGCCAGCCATCCCAGCCGGTGGCTGGGTTATCAAGCCCTCTTTCATGCCGTGGGCGAAGTTGCGCGTGACTGTACTGACGCTGGCCAATTTTGCGGAGCTTGGCCTCTTCTTCTTCTTCTTCTTCTTCTTCTTCTTCTTCTTCTTCTTCTTCTTCTTCTTCTTCTTCTTCTTCTTCTTTTGGGTGGTGGAGGGTGTGGGGGCCTCGGGAGTCTCGAGGGCCACAGGAGGCGGACGGGCTTCGATATCATCCCCTACGGGGATCTCCTCACGGGTCTCCTTGGGCTGTTCGCCCACAATGACATCTTTGAGGCTATTTTACGATACATTAACTTCTGTGCATACATAGGCAAAGATCCGCCAATAAAGTATTCACGAGAATCAGGGTTTACCACTTACGATATATCCTCAGGTTCCTCGCCCTTGGAGGCTCAGTTTCCTCCTGAAACACTCATAGATGTACGTTCCCTCCCTCATTAATCTCGCTCACACTAAATATCAACAGGTCGATGTGCACATCTCCTTTCCACCCGCGTATCACGAACAGACCCTCGGCCATAGCCCAGACAACAAAGATATATCTCGTGAATGACTTTTTCCTGTTTTCCAATCTTATTGCGTTTGACAGGGCTTGAGGTATACATTCTGATTCATCCCATTCTCGCTGGGGTTCCCATGAAAGCAGACTGAACGTCGTCTCTCACACTCACGTACTTAGCAAATGATCGCCCGTTCTCGTGGCCCATAACAATGTTCCGTGAATTCGTCAATTTTCAAGACTTCAGGCCCCCGGAACCGAGATTGCATACTCAAGCGACGACAAGGGGCATAAAATTGAAGGATTTATGTGAGTTTTGGTGATTCGATAGATAGGTCTCAGGCAGTGCTGAAGGGTGTTGAAGCCTCAGGTGTCAAGCCCTGCAGTTCTATAACTCCCTTATCTCTCTTGATAGTCACAATATACCAGTTGTTCTGCTTAGACTCGCACTAGATTACTGCAGTTTAGATGGCTAAATGGACAGAACTGGCTCGCTTTGAGTGAAATGTAAGATAGAGCGTTCTAATTCTTGTGGTGCTAAATACGTAGTGGCTCGCGGTTCTCGACGCCTGTCTCTAGCAACATCAATTATCGCAATAAATTAATTTTAAATGTAACAAGGCCCTATCAAACCGTTCTTTCTATCCTGCCACTCCTAGACCCTCTCGCATAGACGACTGTATAGAGAGAGCGGAAGGCACGTCGATAACGGGATTACGAACCACCGACGGACAGTTTGTTACATAGGGACTAAAAACTCGGGGCTTATCGTTAGGTCCTCAGAAAAAGCACCTGATTAGAAACGAGGTGATGGCCGAAAAAAAGCAGCGAGGGGCGAGGGGAAGTCGCGAAGAGGTGATAACGAGTCACGCAGGGAAAAGGGGGTGGCAGAGCTCAGGAGCTCGGTGATCCGGATCAATAGCAAAAATGCCTCACCTGCAGAGACCAGGAAGGAGGAGGTCGAAAAAGAAAATGTGAGATGGTGGATTGGGGGGGGGAGAACAGGGAACTATATAGAACCACGCACGGGTACGCACAAGGAAAGGAGCGCTAAACCAAAAGGGTCAAGACTAAACTAAATCAAGCTTCCACCACAGCGGTCCGATATGGTGTAGTGGCTAACATCGTCGTCTCTCACACGACAGCCGGGGGTTCGATTCCCCCTATCGGAGTTTCTTTTTTGTTTTTCATCTTCATGTATCAAATACGTGGAGAAGTTTTCTGACTATTTTTTTACCTAAAAGCACAAAAATCGGTCAGCGTATGAATGGAATTTGGTATCCTTTACAATAACACCTTTACAATAACAGATTGGGTGCTTTTAAGGGCGAAATCCTTGTGGGTGTTGGTGTTGCTACAATATTTCAGGCTTTTCACGGTCGCGGCAAGGAAGATTAAAGATTGACACACACGCCCCAAACAAAGAGAGATCCCTGTCAATAGGTGTTGTTTGATGGCTTCCATGGCATACGAGTTGGTCGAAGCACTCTCAAGAAAAGGACAAGAGACAGAGCCTCAAGAACGTGCAAACCATCTACAGTCAACTTTGCTCCATCTCTCTAAACCAGAGGATCCTGGGGTGCTTGAGGTGCGAGAGCATCCTCTAGTTCCTTTGGCGAGGAAGATGGCGAGGAATGTTCAAGGTCCTCATCGTCTAGCTCAACAAGATACCACTGGAAAATACCGCTGGAACATCTGCCTGACTACATTGTCGATAAGGAGGAACCCATGATCATGGAAATGATAAGCGGATAAGTCTTCTTTCGCCAGGGATTCGACGGTGTTGATGTTTGCACCCTCCAGAAGTTGTGGATCTGAGTCCTCAATGGCGTTGTACATTTGTGTAGCAGTGAATTGTCCTCCGTCGTTCACTGGCATTCTGGTGATAGCCATGGCAAGGGATCGCTGAGGCTCTGGGTAACGGTCTAGGGTCTTCCACAGACAGTCAATTAACTCGTTTAAGTTGATTATCTGGGACAGAAGCTGCCGTGCCTCGTCAACTGAGTTCGTTGTCATGGCCAGGCCGACAAGAAGATGAAACTGTAAGACACTTTCTTGAGTATCCTGCGTGTCGGTCGAAACCAGATATTATTTCAGGTGCAAGTACTGTCGTGCCATATTGGTGTTTCCTCTGCCCATAATAAAGCGTCAGCCATTGACTGTAATAGGGCTTCAAAGGCATTGTCTACTTGAAAGGATATTTCACTCACGTAGAATTGACAAATGGCAATCTGAACTTTGTCAGTAATGTTGCAGATAAATCGGTCCATTACTTACATTGTTAATCCAATCTTGCCTCAATGCTACGACAGTATCTGCTTTTTATAAGCTTTCTGCTTCAATATAAGCCTTGCCGTACGTACCCATATTTTGTGTCCTGATCACTGACATGTGAGGTACTGTTGCAGTTCGGTCAACCTGGTCAGCCAAGTATCGAACTCTATTAACTCCACTCTGGTATTCAGCCTCAGCCACTTCTGGTTTCGCATTTTTACCTGGCTGACACTTTGCTCGAATAACAGCAGCTTACTCAGAGAGATAAATGAGTTGAACTCTTTCAATCTCTGCAGCGAGAATCTCCTCCTCGTCATTGGAGCGTTCCACTGCAGTAGATTCTGGGACCTCATTCTCACTTAGATCACTATCAGGCTGGTTAGACAAAATGATTTTTAAGAGAGAAAAGTGCTGGGACAAAAACCGTTTAGATTAAAAGGTCAAGGATGTTTGTGGAAGAAATGAAAAGGGATATTAATTCGACATTCCCCATTGCTAGATTTATGATCTTTTGGCCTGGGGGTTGAATCATGTCAGATGTAAACCTACGTGACAACCTGAGAACCGAAACCTCCAGGACTTGGGGTAGTATTTAGTAATTTGCATACTACTTAAGTTGCATACTAGTTTCAAGGTTAAGGATAAATGTAAGTATTTCAACTAATTATGCAATTAGTATGCAACTTAGGGTACTTGGGACGACAGAAGTAAAATACCGTGATCACCTGACCTTATCATATCTAATCGCATCTCGAATAAAAATTTCAAGATAGCCTTGGACAATACGATCCCAATTGTACAATTTTTGCTTGTTACTAAGGAAAACAAATTGATAAGATCCTCCGGAAATTTATCTTTTATTGTCAAAGCCACTCCATCCATCTCCACCATTGTCCTCCCTCAACTTCCAGACCGCGGGGTACTATCAAAACGGGATCCGCAAAAGAAGGAAAAAAGAATCATACTTCAGACCAGTTAGCTGCACCAATACTTTGCACAATGACCACAACCTCTGCAGCCCCGCCGGCTACCGATGCCGCCTCTTACCTTGACCTCGCTATCACCCTCACCCTCAACAACTGGCCCGCCCTCTCACTAGCTGTGCAATCAAACTGGGGCGGCCCAACCTCTAGCGATAAGCGGGACTGGCTCTGCGGCGCAATTTCCGATATGCTGCGCGACAGACCCGAGACCGACGCTGAAGACCTGGAAGAAGTGCTTATCCAAGTGATGAACGACGAGTTTGACGTCGCGGTGGATGACGAGAGCGCTGCAGACGCCGCAGATATGATTATGGAGTTCAAGGCTCAGACTGCTCGCGGCGAGTTCAGCTTAATCCAAGAGATGTTGGAGAGTTATCAGAAGAAGAGCCAGAACCGTTCGGCCGCTGCGCAGTTCCAACGGGTTGAGGCTGGGGATGATGATCAAGAGACCGATGATGAGGAGGATGATGAAGAAATGGACGATGCGCCTGCTTTGATTCGCGCTCCACGGGAGCGTGCAGAGCCTGAGATTGATGAGGATGGGTTCACAAAGGTTGTTGGAAAGAAGCGGTAAATCGATCGCGAGGTTTTACTTAAGTACTGAATATATATCACAAGCCATACTTGCACTCGATGACAAGAAAATAAAGTCCAATGCTTTAGATCTTTCTGGCCTTTTTTAGGTATATGATTTAATGCCAACGATTGTTCACCGCACAATTAATGGATGCATTAACAATGGACTACAAAAAGCTGGAACTGGATATGCAAATCCCTAGAAGCGAGTGCGGTTCAACCGCTTAGATTCATGTAAGCAAAAGAATCTATGTAAATAAAATAAGATGTTCATCATCGTCAGTTGAGGTGGACTGTCTGTGGTATCATTACGCGACCTCTGCCCGCCCGTATTTCCCTCTTCAAAGTTTCTCGCAAGCAAGGGGTGACATCATTCTTCTGTTGTGTTTCATTGTACTTTTGGGGAATATAGACATTCAGGTATCTTCAGTAGTAGAAACCCTTTACTGGCCCTCGGTCTCGGGGGTGATGAGCTTGGTGATCATACCGATGGCGATAGTTTGACCCTGAACAAGTTGTTAGTAATGTTTCTAATCATGAACAACAATAAACGGCTTACCTGATCACGCAGGGTGAAACGGCCGAGCTGCTCGTAGTCTGAGAACTTCTCGACACAGACTGCACCGGCTGTGCTGGTAACCTCAAGACGGGCAATAATGGTCTGGCCCTTGCTGGCAAATTGAGGCGGACGCTTGCTCTTGCGGCCGGTGCCAGGCTCGAGTTTGTGCAGCAGGGAGGCGAAAGTAACTTCTTCAACAGCGGAGTGGACGTGAAGCACACAGTTGAATCCGGCGGTCAGAATGCTCTTGAGATCCAAAATACGGATCTTGGCCTCGAAAGCAGACACACAGTGAACTGGACGCTTTGGGGAGCAGAGCACGAAACCAGGGAAGAAATCTTCTTCTTCGATACCACGGAGACGCATGCGGACCTGATCACCAACCTTGGCATTCGGGATCTCCTCTTCCGTCTCGCCGTATAGGGCAGAGATTTGAACCTCCTCGCGGTTGGGCATCATGAGGTAGGTACCGCTCTTCTTGATGATACCAGACTCAATACGGCCCTCAGCCATGGTACCCATGTCCTTGTACTTGGCACTGATAGGCATCATGAAGGGCGCATTGATCTTACGCTCAGGGAGCTCGAATGCGGTCAAGTACTCAAGCAATGATGGGCCATCGTACCAGGGACACATTTCCTTGGGAACCCGGTCCTTGATACCGATAGTGCGCTGGGCAGAAATAGGCATGCAATAGATGTCGGCCTTCTTGTAGCCAAGGGCTTCGAGGAACTTCATGACCTTGACGGTACATTCATCGAAACGGTCCTTGCTCCATTCGACAGTAGGGTCGTCCATCTTGTTGACAACGATGACCAACTTCGAGACACCGGTGTTACGAGCGAGCAGTGCGTGCTCACGGGTTTGGCCACCCTTCTCGAAACCAGTCTCGTATTCACCCTTACGGGCAGAGATGACCAGACAACCAAGATCTGCCTGGGAAGCACCACCAATCATGTGGGGGACGTAAGACTTGTGGCCGGGGGCGTCCAGGATGGAGAATTGGCGCTCGATGGGTCCATCGGGGTGGGGGATGGAGACCTTGAAGAAGGCACGGCCAACCTCAACAGTCTTACCCTTGGAGCGCTCCTCCTGGGTCAAATCCAAGGCCCAGGAGAGGTACCAAGTCTCTCGGCCAGCCTCCTTGGCTTCCTTCTTGTATTTATCGAGGGTACGCTCGTCGACCATACCGGTGGCGTGCAGGAGAGAACCACCCAAAGTGGACTTTCCAGCGTCGACGTGACCGATGAAAACGACGTTGACGTGCTCTCTCTTCTCACCGTAAATTTCTTTCAAGGTTGCGTCATCGACATCAGCCTGCTGGGCCTTCGCAACGGCGTTGGCCTCGCGAGCCTGTTTAGCAGTCTCGCCGCGAGCCGGGCTAGAACGTCCGGAAGATGGTGTAGGTGAAGACTTGCCGCTAGCGGCAGCCTTGTCTGACTTATCAAGACCCTTGGTGGCCACGGCTTTTGCGCCTGCCTCAGCAGCAGCAGGGCCTGTGGTATCGCCATTTTTGGTGGTTTCGGTGGGCTTCGCGGCGGGCTTCGCGGCGGGGGTAGGAGTGCCAATAGAGAGGACCTTGGTCTTAGGGGCGGCGGAGGAGGAGGTAGCACCAATAGATAGCACCTTGGCCTTGGGCGGGGCGGCACTCGAAGCGGGCTTGGGGGCAGACTGAGCCGGTGCTGCGGGTTGTGGTGGAGCTACAGGCACATTTTGGCGAGGCTGCTGGTGGTAACCACCGTATTGCTGCTGCCCGTTATTGTACTGGTTGAAGTTACCGGGCTGCTGGGCGTAGGCGTTGTATTGGCCATAAGACTGTTGCTGCTGCTGGTAATCACCGTAGGCCTGAGGTTGGCCGTACTGGGGGTAGCCCTGCTGGGGGTAGCCAGCATACTGCTGGTATTGTTGTCCAGGGACAAAGCTGGAGGCTCCAGGTGTGAAAGAGGCGGCACCTGGTGTGAAAGATGGCGCCTGGGCCTGGGGGCGGGATTGTGCGTTCAGGTTGACACCCTCAGCCTGTCGGGCGAGGTCATCTTCCCAGGATTCAGGGGTTTGGTTCGACATGGTGAAAGAAGACAATAATACCAAGGTCGACTTCGGACAGATATAGGTTGAGTCAACAAGATCGAGGGGTCCGCCTTTTGATTTTGCACGGAGAAACTAAGACCCCGCGATATTGGCACGTGACACAAATATAAACTGAAGAAAATAAAGAACTACATTGTGTATGGATGCAGAGAAATTGTTCTTATCAATCGTTTCAATATCTTTCTACCCAATATTTCCCACTATGACTCTTTAAAAAAGGAGCAAATATCGTCATTGGGCTCTTTTCTTTCTTTCATGTTGGGCTTTCACTTCTTATCGATAAGCAGCCCCCTCCATCGTCACTCTCTTATATCCGTCACGATCTACACTACTTTCAGAGGCCATTGGCCTTTGACATAATTCGAAAATGGATACTTTTCTAACTGGCGTATGTCATATATGTGACCTGTCAGGGATCATGGAGCTAATGCATGCAACAGCTTACCCGACAGGCGATGAACTATGCCATTCGGTATGTTTGTTAATCAAATGACCCAAATGCCACTTCTAACAATTTTCCCGTAGCTCGGGTATCGCGATAACTGCTAGCTATGCAATGCGGCAGTCATCTCGCCTACTAAAAGTATGAGCTTTACTTGACGTCGGAGAAACTAGAGCTAACCGTTTGCCTTTTCCTAATCAGAATGTCAAAAGTGAGGATCGTGACGAACTACTTTCATTGCAACAGCGCCTAGAAAGCAAGATCCAAGTCATCTCCCCATCTATTGATATGATTGAGTTAATGTGAGTAATTTGAGATACTTGACTCGGGTTTGCATTGTCAGAGGGCTCATAAGTAGTGCAGTGCTGCTCGGGGGAATACGTCATTAGAATCTGCCGTTGCCCTCACCAAGTCTTTGAGATGGGAAATCCAGGCATTAGGACAGCGATTGGCAAAGATTGTCGCATCGGAAGAGTCAAGGCGAAAAGGAGCTCACTCCTCCAAAGACCGCACACACAGCGAAATTGAAATCAAGCCTATCATCAAGGATATTAAAAGGCTGTTAGCTCGGATTGAAGACGCAGTACCACTCATGAACCTAGCTATCACAACATCCGGGGCCAAATTGTCCACCAACCTACCAGCTACGGTCTCGCCATCTCGACTTCTCCAGGCGAGCACGTTTCTTACAGCAGGAGACACACAGTACTCGATGTCTCCATCTCAGGCGGTCCAAGTAGGGCCCACATTCACATTATCTATGTACATGCTGTTTGCCAGCCACGTGCGTCCTCATGACGAAGAATCTGTCCGCGAGGCAACATGGAAGGAAGTCATACACAAGGCGCGGTTGAAGCTGCGTCGTGTTCCAATGAACTCATTACAGTCTCCGAATGAACGACCAAGAACCAAACTCCCGGGACCGGCTGGAGCTGATGAATACACATACCAAGTCCTGATAATTGAGGATTTGGATGATGGACGAGTCCATACATTCGACGAGCATGATCCGCAGCCCCAACAAAACTACGAGGGTGTATCTAGTGCGGGAATACGTGACATCCTCCCTATCCACCAAATTTCCAAGATTTTTTACGCAGACACTGGAAGAATTCTCAACATCAGTACAGAAGGAGAAACAAACAATCCAGTGCTCCTCTTGAAACGGGACCTGAACGCTCTTCCTCCGCGACGTATGATGGAACGCGAGGAGGTGGATGATGACTTCTCTCGATCAGGCTCCGAAAAGGAACCCGAAGACGAAGAACAAGCCCAACTCGATGCACAGCTAAACGGAGACGATGGTTCAGCAAGCGATAACCTCAACTCTTTCCACCAAGACTCCATACCTGAAGAATGGCGGCTACCTTCTGGACTGGACCCAGAATGGATTGCATTCGAGGTGTTCAATGAAGACGAAGACTCCGATACCGAGTCCGACAGCGAAGCTTTGGAATCCCCCATAGCAGACTCCACAATCGACACAAGCCTAATGGCACAGCTATCCATAGAAGAAAAGGGCAACTCATCGCCCCCATCACCCTCCTCATCTCGCCAAAAACAAACACCCCAACCAGCCGCCACGACAACAGTCACCAACCCACACTTCGAAAACATCCGCACCTCACTCTCCCTCCTCGAGACCCTCCTCCGCCTATCCTCCCTCCAACAATTCCAGCAACAATCCCACCTCTCCATCAGTGACGAGCTCCTCAACTTCTTCCTAGAAGAATCATCCACCACTGGTGCCGGCGGCGACGAACAACACCGCCAGCGGCTCCGCTCCGATGCCCGTCGCCGCGTCGGCTGGGACCCTTACAACGAAAGCCCAGTCAAGCACCGCGGCGAGGACTACCAATACGGCTGGGAACCTGGTAGTAGCCCCTACCAATACGGCGGTGACCCATACTCGCCCAGCGGGCGTGGGCAGGGCTTCCACCTTCGTTCTAGGGAAAATACCCCCGAGACACCAGTGCGCAAAGGCTCGTCGAATGTCCGCTCTAGTAATCTGCGTGGTATGACGCCTGCTTATGCTGAATCGCCTCTCTCTAAGAGGGGGGAGTGCAGCCTCAAGGGGTGAGGATTTGGGGTCTGGCACAGCGGACTGAGCCGGTGGAGGGATTATTTAGGTACCCTTGTACATGTATTGCAATCCTGAGCTTGAGATGGCGGGTGCATCCTGAGACTGATTCCTTTAAATTAGGTATGGTTTTACTCAGGCTCGAATGAGCTTTATAGATACCATTGAGAACCGAATGTTAAATGCTGGATAGAATGGATGGGAGCTAACTTGGACAGACCAGCAGCCAAAGCTCCGTGGCCACAGTATGTAGATAGAAGGGACGATGTGCATATTCAGATATCATCCCATAGGTAGATAGCATCGCTGAAGCCAAATCCGCTACAAAACGGGGCAGGGAATAGAAAGGGACAACAAGACGGGTACGAAACGCCAAATAGAAAAACCGACATTCCGAAACTCCAGATAAACACATTTCTTCCGTTAGTTGAAGGGGTTCAGCCAGCACGATAGCCAGTGTCTGCCTCGAGGCTCACTTTGGGGGCCTCTTGCTGATGCATGCTGGAGAAGAGAGGGGTGGGATATTTTTACTCCCAGTCCTCGTCACTCTCATCAGCCTTGGCGGCAGGTACCTTCTCTGGACTTCCGGGCGTTTTGCTAGCAGCACCGCTCACAACATCGTAGCTGGATTCGCTGTCCGCTTGGGATTGTTGGTCGTTAGACCGGCGAGGCTCGGCTTTCGGGGTCTCCTTGGTGGGAGCAAGAGTTTCGTTGCCAGCGCGAACATGAGGAGTAGAGGGAGATTGAGATTCAGAGTCAGAGTCATCATCCCAGCCGACCTCTTCTTCGTCCTCGGCATTGGCGCCTATATAGTGAAAGCGTGGTTAGCAATCAAACAATTCGCAGACGTCATAGAATCAACGTACCCTTCAGGAGCTCCTTGCGCTTCTTCTCCTCGGTCTCCACGACGAGACGCAAGAAGTAGTAGCGAGTCCAAAATTGTGCGTATTCCACCTGCTCCGGCACGAGCTTCTCCATGGCCGATCGAAGCTCGGGGTATTTCTCCAAGTCGGCGGCGATCTCATCCGTCTTACTTTCGACATTGAAGTCCTTCTGGAACACAGGCCACTCATCACTAACCGGATCCTTGCTGAAGCTTTCGAGGTTTGAGTGAATAACGTGCAGCTGTGCCTCGAACCGCGTGGCGTGAATCACCCGCTTGCCCTCCGCATCCTTGCTCTCGAAGAGAAGCTTGCCAGACTCGTCCGTCTCAGGTGGTACAATGCTGACTGCCTCACGCAGTTTCTGGCTAATGCTCATTCCGAATCGCAGGATCGCTTCGTCCGCTGCCTCCTCAGCCTTCTCAATCTCCTTCAGCCGCCGGGCAGCTTCCGCCTTCAACCGCGAGATAAAACTCTCTCCACCGGCGCCAGCGCCTTCTCCCTTCTCCAGGGACTCTCCCTCCGTAGCGGCCTTTGGTGTGGCGGTCTCATCACTTTGTCCTTCGCCACTGCCCGTCAGAGCAGCAGTGCTGAGAGAAAGCCCCTTTGTCCGATCGGCGAGTGTGTCCTTCAGTTCTGAAAAGCCCTTGACAGCTTCTTCGCTGGCAGCAACATATTCTTGGCGAGCACCTTCGTAGTATGTTTCTCCCTGCTTGCGCACATTGTCCCAGAGTCCTCCGATTCGGGAACCCCACGGGCTGGCGGAGAAGGCGCGGAAGGTCTCCTGTAGCTCGTCATTGAGGTTGTTGGACTCCTGGGATTTAGAGTCAGAGGATATTCCCTCTTTATTAGAGAAAGCTTCTTCTTGAATTTGATCGTAGGCGAAATCCATGGTTGGGAGGGAAGTTGCAAGAAGAAAAAAAGAGTTCGAAGGCCAAGACAATCACAAGAGTTGCAGTATCTCCACGTTCATCCACGGCCCGACCGCCCCGCCCACGACGATCAACATCCAAACATTCTTAATTTCCTTTAATTTCTCTTAATTTTGCTTGATTTTTTCTTTTCCAGTCTTCGGATTCAAAGATAATCATTTTTCGGTAAATATATATATGTATTGACAAGATATTGATATTTAAGGTACTGGTTCATAATTCATAAGCCATTTAACTATCCATAGATATCACCCTTCAGGTAAGCTGTAAGGCTCACCCACACTGTCTTGACTTCCCATCCAAAAATCCGGCATTGGGATACTCTCCATAACACTAGATGTCAAAAGCTGGCTTCGAGAGAGAGCTTGGGCCTGCCAATGAGGATCTCGGTCCACCGCCTGCGAGGACTCGACCTGAACCACTGATTTAGGAACACGAGGTCGTTGAAATGTAGCATGGCCCGCCCCCTCTTGTTCAAGTACTCGTGTGGGTGAGGATTCAGGAACCATTTCAGTGGGGTCTTTGTCTCCCTGGCTCTGCGTTTGCGTTTGCGAGAACGGCCCCGGTACCTGATTTCGGGAAGGATTCAATGGCCCTGGTCCCAGGTTGGACATCTGGGTACTACCTTCGTGTGGGAAAAGCTCGGCCATCTTCTGTGTATTCAGCGACGGGATTGGTTCGTGGGGGAATTGCGTAGCTGCGTGCATTCTTTGATAGCAAACAGAGGCATCGGACATTGGAGGTTCAGGCGGAGGAGCGTCATCTAAGTCGGGGCTCGATTGATGAGCTGGCAGAGGGAGTTCTTGGGAATCATCCTTAGGTGATTCTGGGCCCTCTTGGGTAGCCTGCGAGATGACCCGGGGTCGGGCTGCTTGGGTTATTTTCTTTGGAGATGGTGTCACAGAATCTCTGTTAAGACTGTTCTCGGAGTCATCGTAATCAGAATCTGCATCCGTCTCATAGACCACTGTCCTCTCTCTCTTGTTGAGCTTATTCCTCGGGGTCTCATTTTCTCCCGTGAGTAGTTCTTGTGGATTCGACTCCAATCGTGGAGCTGATGAAGGGAAATCTTCGGCATTATTGGGTAGGGACATATTCAAGGAATTATGCATGCTTTGAGAGTCTAATGTTGTTCCCCGTGTCGAAGACTCATTGCCGGGACCTTGTGGGTCCTCTACCACCCTTCGAATATCCGGCGACTCTTCTTTGATAAGCGGTATGCAGTGATTTGTTGGATTTAATACTTTCTTCTTCGAAGGTGAGCGAGTAGCACTGCGAAATTGAGATGATGTTATGATGGCGAGGCCGGGGCTTTCGGGCGTCTGTGAGGAGGGGATCTCGCGCATTCGGGACTTCTGTGGTGTGACCAGCCCTGCAGATTCCCGCCAGTCCTCGTTCTCATTTTCAAGTTCCCTCTCTTGTGCTGCAATTGGTTGTGAGATAGGGTCTCCGGTTGACAAATCCAGCTCCTCTTCAAATACTCGTTGGCTCTGTTTGGCAGGCGTCACATGCCTCGCGAGCTGCATTTCATTCAACTCGGCCATGAGCCTTTGTTGTTCATTCTTGATGCCTTTCTTGTGCGGTGTCGGCTGGATGTATCCCATATTCACATCGTCGTCATCGTCATCGATGGTAATATAACGTCGTACAAAATCCATCTGAGTCAAGGTCTTGTTGCGTTTCCCTGTTGACTTTTCTGAGGATTTCCGGCCACCTTTATTCGTACGGACAGTTGCCTTCGGGGTTTCATTCTTTTGTGGCTTATGACCTGAGTCTGCGTCTCGATCGCCAAATCCAGAATTCCTCCGGTTTAGCAGGCGGTCACTTGAATTACGCTCTTGGTCGTTCATCTTGAATTTTGTAACGCGAGTTGACCGCACCGGTGGTGCCGGGAGATAGTCTGAATCCTTGTCGGAACCATCGCTTCGTTTCAAGGGTTCGGTGTGAGCATTCTCACGACGTTTGTCTTCGTCGATGTAATCGAGTTGTTCATCATCCTGGGCCGTAGTTTGGGTCACAAAGTCTATCTGGGTAAGGGTGGATTGATTGCGTGAGAGTGATGTTCGTTTGCGACTGCTGCTCGCAGTTGGCTCTGGTGACCTATTTCGTTTGGAACTTTTGATGGCAGTTGTTGGAAGCCGTGTGCTATGTCTTCGCGGAGTGCGGGTTTGGTCTCGAGACTTGTCTGTCGGGTCTCTAGATCCCTGCAGTTCTTTCATTGCAGCAAGGGTGGTTTGCTACAAATTCTCATGATGTTAACGCGTTCGACGCGTGCTAATATCGGGTTGGTCCGTGCGTTTCCTTAGAAACATGGGCCATTGAATCTTGGGACAATTTTTTGTTAGACAGCAATTTGATCCTTTGTTTAGGGAAAACCAAAAGCTATGTCTGGTTTCAACCCCTATTTTTCATACACTGTTTTACCATCAAAGATTTATCTTGTATAGCTGAACTGATATGTAAATTTAGCAAAAAAAGAAATCTTAAAGACCTTTTGGTTTTTAGGAAGAGCCGAACGCGGGGGTCGAACCCGCAGCCTTAAGATTAAGAGTCTTACGCTCTACCGATTGAGCTAGCCCGGCGGGCTGTTAAAGGAGGCATTTAAATTATGCTAAATAAACTGATATCCTTGAAACGCACGGTATACATCAGCTTTTGAGGTCCTTCTAAAAGGCTTTCCTTAATGTTATGTATTGAGCTAGAGTCATGATATCTGTGTAAAATTCAAATTAAATGTACAAATATTCTAGGGCTTATACCGGCACGCGAGATAGCTTTCGATTTGAAAAAAAATTACGGCTTTCGCAGTTGGCAACAAGATTGAACTAGATATATATCGAAGGTGGTCAGGGCCATGGACTTGAACCCTCGTTTAATGAGAACCTTGGAACATTTCAAGCACATATAGCCATGAAATCACCCTGAACAAAACATGCCTGTTAGAATGAGCTTCTCCGTAAACATTCAAAAATACGATAAGGTCGTTGCCTAGCGCACAAGCCCAATCAGAACATGATGGTTAATTATACTAGCTATTTCTGGCATTGGCGGATGGAGCATTTAAGTAATAATCCCCATCCATGACAGGAACTCAACAGGTAGATCTTGCAATAGCGATGTTGCAATGGTATGAGCCAAATCCCTGCCCACAAGTGTGTGTACCGCCCCTATCGTGATATCGAGTAGCAATATCGCCAGCAAGTGTTGCTGAGTGACTGCAGCTTGGATCAATGTCAGAAGTACCCTAAATTGTAAGAGGATTAGCCCAAGACTTTTAAGGCCACAAAGAATATTGTACAAGAGATGCACCTTGGAAATGAGCCGACATACATCGTTACAAAGGAAAGTTCTTGCATTGTACGAACAGCTAATTCGTACGCAACTGCGACCTCCAACAGCACAGCGTACCGTTATAGATAAATGAGTATTCTTGTTTCATCACATTTCTTTAGCGAAGATAATTCTCAATCTGGAGGAGGCAATGTCACAAGTAACCTTATTAGCTACTTGTAGAAGATTGTGCTCATTTGCGTATGTATCATTTGCTTTAGTAGTAGCCCTGAAGGATCAAAGACGACACCCAGATCAGCCTTCGGTATACAGGCAAAGACCTATTGCGTATGTTTAGTAGATAACCATATGTCGGTGAGTGCAAATCGGAACGGAATGAGTGAATACATATGAACCTTGGAAGACTCACCCGGACAGTGCCATTAATATGGTACCCTTTGCTATTCACGATCCCGGAGAATTGCATATTGGTCACTTCATAAATATCAACATTCAAGGCTTTGATAGTGTTTCCTTCCTCTGTTGCTACAGTGGCTGCTTTTAAGAGAAGAATATAAATATTAGCTAGTGTGAATCACATAGCACCGAGACAGGCCTACTATAAGAATCAAGATTGTGAATAGCAGGTGATCAATCATAGTAAAGATGGACCTCATATTGAGAAACGGGTACGACGTAGGATAGATGAAGAATACTTGTGAGAAATATGGGCTAGGAATCAAAGACAATATAGCAAGTGGCCACACTGGTCTTGTTCAAATAGCTTGAGAGGTAATCTAAGTCTGCTACCACTAATACAGATCCCTGTCGACACATCTAGCGCCTGCATTCCCAGAAAGTGATATAACACACTGTGCTACTCAACTTCAGGTAAATAAGTGACCATGCCAACCATACACTTGTTTTGACTTGAAAATTCTCTGGTAATATAGGATCACAGGATACTCACCGAAAGCTAAATCCAAATTAATGCAACATGTTTTCGTTTAGTCACAGCGAGTATGTTCTCTAAGGTCAATGGGTCCATCTCTCAGCCTCAACTGTAACTTGAAGGTTGCAACTATACAGTCAGACCAAAGCAAAAGAACAACATGAACCAGTTAGCTGATTGATAACCGCTCCCTGCCGGGGGGCTGTGAAAAGCAATGCCTTGGTCAATTTCCTCCGGCTCCAAACCGTCTCGCTCTCTCGTGAATCTGTCCTTGAAACGGTCCAAGGAGATTTCCCGAAGGTTATTAAGGAGATCCCAGGATGTAAACTTACATTTTTTCGCCATATAGGGTAAGGAATAGGCCCCATCGTGAGCCTTTCTAGCCCGACTGCGTACCAGTAGAGGATGAAGGCATCAATGTGATAATATCTATTCATCACCACGAGCAAGTGCAAGCAGCAAGCTATAAAATCCGGCTTTTTGATCCAAGAACCGGTGTCTAGTCAGGCCTCCAGCCAGGCTCCCCACGTGCAAGATCTCGGAGCTGAGGTGGTTGCACGTATTGAGTCGGGACTCTCAAGAACCATAGAACTGCGTGGGGAGGTGAGTGGCCACTACACTAAGCACCAGAGACTCGACAGGTTATTCTAGCACTGCCATGCGTGGATCTGTTGCTGATGAATCACAGAAATTTCCTAAATTTTCTCAAGATTGAGGAGAGTTATATCGAAGGAATTATTTTCTATAAGCCGAAGGTAAAATATACAAGCACCGCGTAGCCAACGAGCTTTGTCAAAGCATCTAGAATGATGGAATCTCATTGTACCTTCCGACGCTTCTGAGTTAGAGCCTCACGGTGGAACCACTAGTCATGGTAAAACTAGGAGGGCTTACTCAGACCAAGTTTATATGATATCGGCTCTAATTTACACCATAGGTGATTCGTTCTAGATATAGTATATTATGCCAACTACCTATGTATGTTGACCTGACGCCTTTTAGAATATGAAAAGAAGATCGAGTAACACGAGTAGCTTGAACAAGTCGAACTCAAGTTCGGCGGTTCGTATGTTCTATTTGACATCTGAATATACATTGCCGTCATAAAACAAGCGTATGTTGCAATTATTAGTCCTCATCAGACATGAGCCATTCCGGGATTGCATCCTCATCGTCGGGGTCTTCAGAGAGCAGTGAGCCTTTCTCAATCTCACTATCAGTGTCATATTTGGGCATCGACGGTTGCCTTTGGCTCTGCGATGGAGAAGGCGGCCGGGATACAGTGACCACACTGGTAGATTTAGAATCACCATTCGTGGAGGAGTCCACCGCGATGGGAACATTTTCGGACGATCCTGGGATATCGGCTTTGGTCTTTGTTTCTGGAGTGAGCCGGCGGTCTTGGGATTCTGGGCTTGTTTGGTGGGTTGGAACAACGACGAGTGAGTATCGAGGTTTGTTTGCTGCTTTCGTTCTAGGGGCGCTCTGGGAACCTAATGATTGGGGTATGGCCAATGGCATGGTTTTCGATTGCTCTGCTGGAGCCCGAACTGGTTCATTCTCATCTTCGCCGTCAAGGATAAAGCCCCCGCCGGTATCATCATCATTCTCGGCCGATTCTGGCCCACTTTCTATGTGGTCTTCTGGGTCATGGTAGTCTTTTGACATTTTTTGCTTTCCCAGGACCCTTGGAGGCGGACTAGCCGTTGGCCGATCTGATTCGGGAAAGAAACCACCCCCAGAGTCCTCAAAGTCCACTTCTTCGTCCTCAACCTCGTTTTCCTCCTCCTCGCCCGCGTACTCTTTGACTCGTTCTGCAATCCTAAGCTTCACTAAGAAGAGTCGCCAGAACCGAAGAGCTTCCGCAGACCTAGCCTCAAGCGCAGCATGGCGTCTCTCATCTTCAAGGCCCTCGATGACTTCCTCAATTGCTTCCTTGTAATCAAGTGCAATGACAATCCCCCCGAGCACAGCTGTACCCCGACGACCTTTGAAGTCAAACCCAGTGACTGCATCGGAATAGTCGATGCCGAGGATCCGAGCAGCTTTTGCTGCCTCAGGACGCTTGATATGAACACCACCAGGCGGAACCATGCTGGGAACATAGATATCTAGGTTTCCATAAGTGTTCTTTGGAACTCTTCCGTTCACAACAGGCGGTGGAACGTATACTTCCGTCTGAAACTCGGCATACAGAGTAGTCTCCCCGGGCTCGTTTTCATCTTCATCGTCACTCATGCTTCCGCCCTGGGTTCTAGTTGCAGCGATACGCTTGAGAGGCTGCTCGCCAACTTTCACATCCCGCCCCAGGCGATACCATTTGTCAGCGCTTCGTACAACATGAAGGTCGGCACGGCGGTAAACAGGTTCCGATGTCTCGTTCCTTGCGGCCGTTTTACCCAGCCCAACATGCCCAATCACTCGTTTGGGGTGAATGACCTCATTGCGACGGACGTGTCGCTCAAGTGCATAAACGGGGTGGTCTTTAAAGTCTTGTATACTCCGTGGCATGGGTTCCGCTGCTGCCTTGGATGTGAGTTCACTAATCTCTACTTCGTCGCGATCCTCAAAGAAAGGCTTTTCATAGGCTCCCAACGCCTTCTCCCACCACTTTTCTCCGTGCCGTGTGCTTTCAACGCGAAGCTTTCGAGTCTTTGCATTATAAGCCTTCACATAACGACGAGTAAGGTCTCGTGCGGAAGCGTCGTCCTCGAAACCAACCACATAGTTCATTAGATTTAGCGGGTCGCTCGCAGGAGGTTCAAACTTGGAAGGTTTGGCAAGAGATTTTGTTACAACGGGATCAATTGCGACCCATTTCTTAGCGGCTTCATTGAAAGCCTCAACCCAGAACACCGGAAATGCCGACTCTCTGGACGTTTGGTAGGGGGCTACGATTGTAAGTTAGCTCTGCAAGCTGAACATTAACTACATGTAACTTACTGGAGTGAGATTTTGGCTGAGGAGGACGCGAAGGTATGAATTTTGGTTGTCCAATTCGCCGAGTCCTTGAAACTGTGGGGGACTTTTCAGATTTCTGGAGTTCATCTGTTGAGGACCCTGGGTCATCGGAAGATATGACAATATATTGAGGCTTTGGTTTGGAAGGTGTCATATCCTTTATAGTGCCAGAAAACGGCAGTGGTTGCAATGAACAAACAAGCCTTGCCTCAACGGCTACGGCACGTAGCAGAGCACAGAAAAGCTGTGCCCCAAAGTCTCGAGAACCTTGCAGAGTCTTCGCCTGCGCTCTAAATTCTCCTTTGGACAAAAAGACTTCGGCGCCCGACATGACGGATTCCTGGATATTTGTCAGTGGATGTTAACTGATGAAATGATTGGGCATGAGTACCAGTTTCTGCTTCAACTGTGTTTCATCTTCGGCCCAGTGGGCTCGTTTCATCCCTGGTCTTGTGACCTTAAATCTGCGTGTGAAGGCGTCACCAGCCTGGTTGAGACCATCCATAAACATGGTAGATCTAGTATAGTCTGGTTTATGTTCATCCGGGTGCAGAAGAGTGATCATGTTCTTCGGAAGCATCTTCTTCAAGAAGTTCTATAATGTCTTTAGATATAAATCCTCGACAAATATGCCTGACAGGTCAAAGCTTACCTGAAGTTCTTCATCATTACACCACAGGTTGCGCAAATGAACATGGCCGAGGAGGCAAAGAACATGGGATTTATGCACATCTAATCGGACTCTTCTTTCGGCACCAGTCAAAGGCTTCCTCCTTTGAATGATCTTTTTTCGTTTCTCGGGTTCTTGTTCCAGTGTAATCTGGAGCATCTCATCGCTGTCCTTGGATGCAGAAGATCCCTGAAGCAACGGTTGATGCAGTTGTTGAATTTCGACATTTTCCCATTCAATATCCGATTCCTCCGATTCCTCGGAATCATAGATAGTTTGCACCTGCTGGGCTTCATTTTTGTTTGCTTCCGTGCCCCGGTGTGTTTGGTCCAAGGACCTCAAATCAACAGGTATGGCTTTCAAATCACCAACCTTGCGTCTCTTGACTGGCCTAGTCGAGGCAAATTGCTCGGGGTCTCGGGCTTCAGCTTCCTGCAACAATTCCTGGTAGACATCGGTGACACCAGCGTCTGCCTGTCTCCCCCGCTTGTTTTGATGGCCCCTGGTAGCCTGATTCCTTGCGGAATGGTATGAGGCGTGATGCACCATTCGAGCGACTTTTCAGATGGGAAAATTATGAGGCAGCTTCTCAGGCGTTTGGTACGAAGAAGTTCTACGCGTCAGCACCGAAGTAGCAACTTGATACCCCGCTCCCCGACGGATTGTGTAGGACAAAAAACATGGAAAAAAACTAAACGCCCGGTTAAGTGATACCTGTTCAATCCAGTACTTGCAAATTATAAGACAAGTTCCTTATGAAGTTTTGTTGATCTAGCGTATCCAAGGTTCAAATTATAAGATGCGTCATATCGGGATTTAGTTTATCCGATAGACGCTCAATATAACCTGATTGGGAAGTGTGTTGTTTTGCATCATATGTTGATTTGACTGCTAGGTAGTCTTACTGAGTTACGATTCAGTTGCCTCTCAGATTGATTGAAAAAGATTAATTTGGAATTTTCACCAGATCTGCGTACGGTCTCCTTCAGTACAAAAGAGTTGACTGAATACAACTACCATGAGTTCGATTTTCGCAGTAAGGATAAAAGCAATGCAATCTCAGCCGGTGTTAGTACTTAAGCTAAATTGAAATTACTCGAGATCATCACTGTATTCATCGAATATGAAGAGGATGTCCACGTGAGAGATAACAACCGGAATATAATGCTTTTAACGCACAGAAAGCTTTCATTTCCGCTTGACAACACGTTTAGTATTCCAAGGCTTATCAGAGACGACTGTTTTTCTCGTAGCACAGCCTAAATACCTAATTGTTCATTGTTGGAACAATGGCTGAGGAGCCTTTGGAAATTGATATAACAACCATAACCTGCCTGGGTACCTAGTTCTGACTCAGGATTTGCTTGCCAGCAAGAATTGAAAAGCGTTTAGGATGGTAGTCTTGGACAAGCCTTAGTCACATACTATTACGTTCTTCTGTACTTGCTGCGTTTGTTTGTTTACCGCTCGCTAGTATGCATCGGTTCTATAACATGCACCAGTTCCAGCCAATAACAAATAGCATTATTTCAGTGGAGATGAGCTTTTGCCGGCTGATCATTTACGCAGGCTCGAACGCTAGAAAATCCACAAAAGGCCCTTCTAGAGCATCATATTGAGGTATTTATTGGGTCATGGTGTTGGTCTATAGGCCTGAAAGGGAAAAGAAGACCGTGATGACTTCAACATTTTGTTAATAGAAAGTGACAAATACCATTAAAATCTCGCGCTATCATCAATCCACTCCAAATTCCAAGCTTGAGCAATGATAATTCCATCAAAAGGCCCGTGAAAGCCCGTGCCGCTCTCCAATCTGCCTCGCGGAGCTAATTTTTAGACGGATTCCCGAGGCTGGCTGATATGTGGAAAGGTAAGCAATCGACGTCATTGGATGATAGGTTTTCATGGGTATCGCCTCTAGACTGACACTACTCCGTAGACGCACATGATATAATTTTCGCTTGCGTCTGACAGGAATTTTATGGTCCTATTGGGCCTTATGCGAGCCGATTGGGTGTTCGGCGCGTTCACCGACGACCAGTCAAATTCGGATTTTGGCAAATGATTCGCAATTCCAAATCTTTTTCACTTCGACTAAGCGATAAATGGGTCTTGCCGAGTTTTACGCCCCGCTTGAAAGGGTAGAGAGCGTTAATTTTCTTACCGTGAATCGTGTGGATCTCTCCAGCCGATCATTTCTGGGCATAGTTCGCCCAGCACCCATCTTGTATATTCTACTCGCTCAATATGGTATATGGTTATTTTGATTATGGTTACTGGATAGGGGATCGTGCTAAGAATCGGTCTTTCCAAGGTTACATTGACTATTCAGTAACCTTGGGATTTTGATGTTTCATGCTTAGTGCAAATTCCCAGCCTCTAATTTCATGAAGTGCTCAATGTTGTGAATAGACAGGCCATCCGCTCCGCAGCCAATGGTATTCAGTGACACCATTTGTGGGCAATCAGTATTTGTCAGTGTTTTCAAGCGATCTATAATTTTTTTTTTCTACTAGACCACTGGCTTACATGCAAGACACGTATAGTATGGATTTCGGTACGCAAGCACCCAGGCGGACAACAAGGCTAATATGCAAGTCTTTGTCGATAACAGGGATGCCTAGGTATGTTTCACCCAGCTCCACAATCGAAGATAGGCTCTCCGACTCTACAAGGTGACTAATGAGCTGTCACGAATGGATCTACGATTTGAGATTGTAGTTTGTTGCATTCTTAGACGCATCTACCCAGCTTACCTATGTGTAGGTACTCACATATTTAGGTGCGGCTCAAGGAGATTATCGTTGCACGGACTTTCTCAGCACACCTGTTATTACTGAAAACTTCTTTTTCGAGTCTTATGTAAACTAACTGACTGAAGTTTCTGGAACAATGCTGCAATTACTACGTAAGATAGGCACATAGACGAATAGTAAACACAGGAAACTTTGCAAGCTGTCGCTCCACACCTTCAGCCTCTCAGGCTGGGATCCGGCAGACCATTCTCTGATTATCAGAACCTTGGCATGCCGTGTAACATGTGTCTCAGCTTGGACATATTCGGAGCGGTAAATAATGACACTTGGACGAGCCAGATCTGTAATTTCGAACCCGCTGTATCTCTACAATGTAACCGCATCAAAGACGCCCCTATGAAATTTCCGCCTACGCCCTATCAATACCGGTGTCTACAACGATGAAGCAAGGATGTCCGGAGACAATTCGAAACCTTCCCCACTACCGGGAATCCCCGCTGCGGAGTGACAGTCTCGCAATCCGATGATTCGGTGTACGTTGTGCTATGTGTGGTTCGGCACACACCAAACCATCTATTATGCTAGACACAGACAGTAAATTGACATACCTATTAAAAAGTTTGCTGAACGACACCGTTGACTGGAAACTACAGTAACTAAGGAATGTAGTTTGGACTCAAAGGTATGGCTTGAGCGTTACCGACAGGCTGGATCCCGAACAACTTTCCCAATCCCTGGGTCCGGACTAATTGTTATGACTCGTCGGAAATCCAACAAAACCCCGGTTCCCCTTGGATGGACCCGATTCCATGGGGCAGCAAGATCGTTGCTCTTAGGACGGCTGCAGGGGTGCTGTACCTGGGATTCAATCTGCAAGGTCGCTCTTTATCTGTTTGGTCGCATTGAAGTAACGACGCGCATGAGAATTACATTTCATCATTGAATTCGGTGTACCCCGAGACCAAGAGTCTTAAAACATTTGTATTTTTGTAAGGTTATTTTTTTTCCTTCTCGAGGTAAGGTTAGAGTACATTTACATTGCTACCTACACTGACTAGTATACAGAATGCGGGCCACGCGCCTCTTATTTCCGTCTACGTTGTAGTCGCGTTTTTGAGTTTGATCGACATCCGAAGAAAGTAATAGTGACGAAGGGAAAATAATAGTATTTATAGGACTTTGAAGTGTGGACGTTAAAATACTATAATATTATACAGTAGAAGTTCCAGACGTCATTGAACAGACAGGAATTACCTAGTTAATGTTATGTAGCAAGCAAGACCCGGAGGGCCGGAAACTAGTGTGCATGTTCCGACATCCCAGATCCCATGTGCCCCTCCTTCCGAGGATCCCCTTCTGTGGGATGCAACATACTGTACTCCATATTGTTTGGCCCTATCCCGAAAGTAGTGGAATTGGGGAATTGGGGATTCGGAGGGGATTCGGAGGGGATTTGGAGGAACTGGAGGAGAGGTCCCTGACCAATTAACTTTAGCGATTAGGGTGATATTGGGCCTGGGCACGTTTGGGGAGGTTAGCCTGGACTTTCTAGCCCCCTACAAAGTACATTGTAGCAACGCTATATCTGACAGATCACCTCATTTTCCACCGCTAGATCTCAATACGGCATGAGTCTAGCAATTAGGACCGAGTCGAAATGTGTAAGGGTGAGAGACCTGGCACTGGATTATGGCTTTAGAAGTCTTCCAAAACTATCTTGATAGTTTAATATTCCATTTTTAAACAGTGAAATAAACTTTGACCAGGTTGAAAACTCAGATAGCACATGCAATGACTGACAGCACATATCTTGGCGAAAGTACGGAGTAGTACGGAGTAGTAGGGGATATTTTTGTATCATCTAATGATTATTGTGTGTTATTTACTCCGTATTTATCAGGGCATCCTGACAGCTCCACGTACATATCTGCGGGGCCGAGAGTTCCCAGTCGACAATCCATATTGTTACCTAACCGAGCTTTACTTCCAAAATTTTTACTTTTTTTTTTCTTTTCTGAAAATCAAAAAGAAAAACCACATCACATCAGAGATTAATGATAGCAGCGATCCCAAAGCCGAAAATCCACTTTACCAGGACGTAGATTCTATATAGGTTGTAATACTCCGTCTCCGTACAACGTATAGGGTGTTCTATCGATCCGGCCGAATCCCAAAGAAAGGAATCCCAGGAGAAAGGGTAAAGGACGGCCAGACGGCCTGGCGGCCCGTGGCTGGGCGGCTTGTGAATTCCCAGCCTGTTGGGACCACTCACTATTGGTGGATCGATCCTATGCAGTAAGAAGGCTTCGATCTTGAGGATTGGTAAAATGTGCTCTTTCTACCAGTAGGTAAATCCCGAGGGAATGGATAGGCAATATCCTAGGGGTCTTAGAATATGACCGGAGAAATGGTCCTTTTACCCAATGTGATTATATCTGCGGAGACCCCGACATCCCGGAGATTTGGAACTAATTATAAAAAGATTTTAGTATTTTACAGATTTCTACATGCTTTCAATCAAAGAAGAAATAAAAAAAAATCACTTGAAAAAAAATTAAGACGTTCAATAAAAAACAAGTTGAAAAGTGACAAGCACAGGATTCATCCAATCATTTTCACTAGAAAATCTTGATCTTGCGTGAAAACAGGGACTTTACATTAATTACTGTTCTGGGTTTAATGATTCACGCCCGATGCGCCCATCGTCTTTCTTACACTCTTTTTGTACATTTTACTTTACCATTTACAACCATCTTTAGTTTACATGAACTGGGGGTCCACTTGCCAGGTTTTGTGCTGATTGTCGAACATTTCCAATTGTCGATCCCACCAGCTGATTTATAGTTGTCCGGATCGTCCTCCCGCCCTGCCAGATTATAACTTAACCCAAGCTGTCGGGCTCTAAGTCTTTTTTTTTCAGTCATGTCTGATTTTGCATCGGTCTGAGGGGAATTCTTCCGATTTATAGTGGGATGTGAAATGCAGCATAGCGATATTGATCTCCTATCCCACTCGTTCAGAGAATCCCCCGCCAATCTTCCTGCAGAGCACGCACCCCTGTTGCTTGAAAGCCCCCAAGGAAGGCAGTCTGACATTATTGATATCTGTAATTTCTCAGTTACGGAAATACCCCCGATTCGGCGTTGGGCGACTGCTTTCATACCCCTCCACTTTAGGGTTATAGAACACATTCGCTGTGGTTCTTTTCGGATAAAGACAAAATCATGGGTGAAAAACCTCCGGTAAGCTTGTTCCTTTTATAGTGGAAGAGTCCCATTTGTTTCTACCGCTATATATATATATATATTTCTCTCTCTCTCTCTCTCTCTCTCTCTCTGTTGTTTTTTGGGTAGCGAGTGGACGTTCAATCTTCTTGATACTAACACAAGGTTATGCAGGTACCTCGCGCTGAATGGTAATATTGCCTTTCTTTACCCTTCTGACCTGCTATTACTGTATCGCATTATTCGAATTCCAAATTGACTAAATACAAAAAAATTAGTGACACACAGTCACTGACTGCCAGTGTGACCGATTACCCTGTCGAGAATGGCAGACGGTATCACAGGTACCACGAGGGAGGTATGTTTGGACTTTGGGCGCTGTTAGATCTTACTCCGCATATCTTAACTGAATGTCTAGCCTACCTATACCCCAATGACGAACAGGAATTGGATCGTTTAGACATGCAACACCATATGTTCAAGTTGGTTATGGACGACAGATTATTCCATGTGCCCCTCAAAAACCCGAAAAAGATCCTCGATATTGGCACCGGCTCAGGGATTTGGCCAATAGAAATGGGTAAGTTTACCTGGTGCAGCTTCAAGATCCTTGTCTCACCATCTCAAATTGTCTTCCTGCAGCATCCCTGTTTCCAAACACCGAGATTACAGGGACAGATCTGTCCCCCGTACAGCCAACAGAAGTTCCACCAAATGTTCACTTCCTGGTTGATGATGCTACAGAAGAGGAATGGTTATGGGACGAGAACGACTTCGATTTTATTCACATCGGCCACATGACAGGGGCTATGCCATCATTCAAACGTTTATTACGACAAACATTCAAGCACCTCAGACCGGGAGCCTACTTGGAATGCCACGAGATGGACCCCAAACCAAAATGTGACGATCATACCATGCCACCAGAAAACCAAGACGGGGGATACAGCGCATTCGCTATGCATGATTGGTTCGACCTCAACATGCGATCGAGTCGCGATGCAGATCCACCAAGGCAGTTCCGAATCGCGCATCGAATAGAACAGTGGATGAAAGATATAGGGTTTGTTGACGTTGAACAAAGGGTATCCAAAATCCCTACCAACACTTGGCCACAAGACGAGAAGCTAAGAACCCTCGGCGCTTGGAGCGAAAGCAATTGGCTCGAGGCTTTAGCGGGGTGGTCTTATAAGCCATTTCTCGCTCTTGGGTGGTCGAAAGCTGAGATTGAAGTCTTCCTTGTCGATGTGAGGAAAAGTATACAGGATCGAAGTGTCCATGCCTATATGGACTATTACGTGGTCACAGGAAGAAAGCCCCTTCCCGGTGAAGGGAACACCTCTTGAATTTCCTTTTTAATCCTCTGTTTCTTTTTGTCATGACCATCTTACCTCTTACCTTTCCATTATATCTTATCCAACATCAGCATGTGATACCATTGGTGGGCAAAGTTTTGCATGCATTACATTGGCGTTGTGTCTTTCAATACACATTTTTTACGTTTCTCATTTCTTCCATACATATCTCGTCCCAATTTAAGTAGCTCCAAGTGTCCTGATACGTGTTCCCTCTTGGTATAGCACAGGCAGTTGCATAGGTATGTATATACTTAAACCTGACAGAATATCTCCGGGGACAGCGAGTTGTAAAATTTCACCTATAAGGTGAAGCTTTTACAACACCTGCTCGATTAATTATGCGGTCAAATCCGAACTTCTAGCCCTGGAGTTAATTCAGAAGTACGTACATATTTACCCATACTTCATGAGCTGATAAATGAAGAAGGGTGATTGGTCAAACCAGACCACGGATCCATTTTCCAAAAGAGCTTAGTCATTGTGCCAAGAATCAGAAAGCTGCCATGCGAAGTTGATCCCAGTGTTTGTGAGCCCACCTCTCAATTGGCTCGCACATGCTATAGCCAACTCCATGTCTTTCGGCAGACATGCCTACAGGCATGCTGTTAAACCGCCTACTGGCCCGACCCTCGATCATTTATGGATCAGTGACGACCTACTCGCAGCAACCTTCCGCCGCTTTGCCAACGGCCAACGGCGCCATGGGAGCTGCGTTCCTGGACCATTGGAAGCACGGCGGCGTCTTGCAAAACGAAGGAACACAGCACTAGCCAGCATTGGTGGAGGACCCGTTGAAGATATCGCGTGTCTCTTCGGCCGCAATGGGAAGGAACACATGAAATGGACCGACCACTCGTGGCAGAGAGTGCCATTTGAAAATCAGAGTACGTGTGAAACAGATGCTATCATATTCTAGGGTACTTGTTCTAATCTTTTTCTACAGTTCTAGCCGATTATCCCTTAGGGTCTCCCGCAGCTCCGATCTCTTTCTCGGATCAGAATCCGGTACCTCATAACGTTTTCCAAATTCCCTCGTCGGATTTCACTAGAATTGATCCGCAAGCACACGAAAACAATCTGGAAGAATTTTTGAATAGAAACAATTGGGAAATTGAAGATGCCAGGGAATTTACTCGACACATGAGAATTGATCTGCACCGGGAGCCACGATATAGCCGACAGATATTTGAGCGGTTACTTGCCCGCTCGGACCAGAACATTGCGGATGCTATCGCATTTCTAGATGATCCATTCTTGAATACTCGGGGCTCGGGAAATTATGTTGCAGCCATTGAATTCTTTGTTCGCACCAAAGCAAAACGCGCCAAACGAACTGCTGTCCTAGATGCGGTGAATCGTGCCTTGGAATTGGGCTTGATTCCCACTGATGATATTTGTTTGATCATTAGTACTTTGCCCAATGTCATTGTCGAACGAAAAAGGTCTCTGAGATCGTGGGACCAGAATGCACTTTTGAAGCACTACCGGGCGATGTGGAGAGCCATTGGGCGCTGTAACATTCTGGGATACCGCGATCTGGATAAAGCAATCGTGGACACCTGGCTCGGAGAGCTTCTGGGTATCCACAGCTTTCGCTTTGCGGAGGAAATCATTATCGAAACTCACGATGCAAACAGTCGAAGCCAGTGGCCCTCTGTCTTGGTTCAAACATGGCTGAAAGCTAAGGAGGCTGATTTGGAGACAAAGATGCCCTTTCCAAACAAGATTTTCAGTCAGCTTGATGTGGACTCTGCCGCGGACTGTGTTATTCGCGTGACGGAGTCGTTATCGTCATCTTCAATTGACAGAGACACTAGAAGCCAGTTGCTTCGACGATGGCGGGATTGCCTCTCAAATGCTGAAGTCATCTCGACCGTCGCAGATTCACAGGCCTGGTTTGATTTCCCTCTTCCACAAGTTGGAACTCAGAAGAACACCCCTCTGAACCACTCAACCCAAAGCCAGATCATCTTGAGACTATGGCTTTTACGAACCCTTTGCCGGACCACTGGGTACATGTATAACAAGAGCCCCAAAGCAACAGACCGCCCAATCCGCTCATTGCTCAATCTCTATGATCTCTTGATACAGGGTACCGATGGACACTTCTTCCCAGATCTGCTACGGGAAATCCGTGGTCTCGATCTTCCATACAACAGGCTTCTCATACTAGCCCTTGACAAAATGGGCAAAGGCTCCATCACCAAAAGCACCCGTCAAACCCTTGAACACCTGGAAACTTCTCAACTTTCCCTTACAGATGTGTGGAAAACACCATCCATCTACAAGGGAATCCAAAATCTTTTCCACGCTACATTCGACCAGATGTTCCATTGCATGGATCTCACCAGCCCAGACACAGTTAATGAACTTCTACACATCGCTCGATCAGGAGACTCAAAAAGTACGCGGTCTATTTTGAGACTGCTCAACAACAATACCCCTTTCAAAATTTGCCTGCACAAAGCCTATCAGGACATCCCACACCCTGATGAGAAGATTCTTGTGCGATACCACCCTGGTCCGCGCAACAGCAAATGCCCCGATCCCCATGCTGCTGTCGGCCTCATTAACCAGCTGGCGGTTGCAATTTCCTGCTGCAGGAATTTGACACCATGCCAGTCCTTTCACATGATCCACTGGCTCTACGGATATCTGCGTAGACACGGCGGGCCTGTCGATCCGGACTTCGTACGAGCTATGTATCATGCTGGTATTGTACGGAGACGCCGTGAAGGTCTTAGCATCTCGACCACTCAATACGAGTACATTCTTTGGATAGTCGGAAAATTTGAGGGCCTTGAAGTCGTTCAGCAACTGACGTCTGGTCCTGAAATTGGCGAGTCGAGACTTGGTCATCAGTGATCCATCATGTGCATAAGTCTGTCTGCGATGTGATCAGAGGACGTCTACAGCTGTGAAATTTGTAATATAACATGATACCCATACTGAATCTTCCTACATGGAATTGAGCCGATCATCAAATTTACACGAACAATATATCAAATTTGCAAAAACTCCAATTTCCTGACCGTACCTGTTCTAAGCTTGTAGCATAACTTCATGAACAATACACCTGCGGTCTTTTCCGGAGCACAGTAGTACAGAAAACATGACAAACTAGTTTGGTGAGACAGAAGAAATCCGTGCTTGCATTAAATCAATCCAAGAAGAGACCTTCAAGAGTATCTAAGAATCAACCTCCATGCTATCTCCAGCGGCCAGGTTATCATCACCCGACAGTGTCTCGATCGTGACATATTTCTTCATATCCTCCTTGCTGATGACCCGCTGGTCCAACCAAGCAGTTGTACCACGCGGGAAGCGGTAGTTGCGCTCCTTCTGTGGGCGGTCGTTGGGCTTCATGTAGTTACGGAGCAACTGGGTGGGCTGATCCTTCTCGATAACGCACACGTCGACATTGCTACCAGATCCCAGATCGTTGAAGATACCGGCCTTGATGGCCTCGGCACAGATGTCGATGGCGCCCTGGCGGTCAAGGTTTGGTTGCCAGGTTGACTCAAACACTGACATCGCTGCCAAAGATCCAGATCCCATAGTCACGTAAGGTAGCTTGTCCGTCGAGCCGTGTGCGTGCACAGTGTACAGTCCGGTGCCGGTCGGGTCAACACCTGCAACCACAAGGTACGCTCCAATGTGGCCCTGGTAACGGAAAAGGTGCTGCTTGAGCATGGTCATGCAAGTAATGACACGGGGATCGCGACCCGTTGATAGAGAGTGCAGTTCGACATTAGAACTGATGAGGGCCGTGGTGAACTCGGTGTCAGCGGCGGTACCGGCTCCAGCACACCAGATCTTCGGCGCGATGTAGTGTAGCTTCTCGCAGTTCTACAATGAAACAAATAATGTTAGAGGATTAGGAAAGAAGCTATTGGTAAATCGTCGCTTTCATACCTTGTCTGCCACTATAGGACCACTGGTGGCTCGGGTATCTGCTGCAATCTGGAATGGCAATTCAAGTCAGTTCCTGGATCACTGCTAATTTATGACTTCTCGCATAATTGGTGAACTTACCACAACGCCCTTATCATAGACACATCCTACAATTGTTGTACCGGTACTGGTGGCCTTGGGAAGGGGAACACCCCTGGCGTGAAGTGCCGCATTGCGGTTGTAGTTGGAGAAGTCAAAGCCCGGCATCGTGATAACGCTGGTGGTCGCGACCAGCTGGGTTGATTATCGAAAGTGAAGGGGTAAATGAAAGGCAATGGAGAATAGATTCTGGCTATCAAGGAGATTGCGAAAGGTGGACGGTCGAATGGAGTAGCTCGAGATGGATGTGAAGAGTGAAGTGAGCTGTTTGGAGTGACGAAGCTCCCGCAGCCTAATGGGGCCTGAATCATAAGGCACAAACAAGGTGTTTTTGCCGGACATTATTTTCAAGTCTTTAATGCTCTTTAGACTTCTGTGTATTCTCTCTAACCTTTGCGCATCGGCAATTATCGTTGCGTCTCTTTTCAACCTTTGCTTATCATCTCATACCTGGGAAGCAGCGCGACCTCAAGATTTTCGCGCATACCCTCAACCTATTCTCCCGGAGTCCTCATTCACTCCATCGACACTCGCTTTCAACTCCCACCTCGCCTTCACCCAATGCTTTCAGAACAAGCTCAACACTAAGCGAAAGCAAACGTTCACTTTCTGGAACCATCAATTCGGATAAGCTCAGAATGGCTTTCAGCTTTAATGCTTCGAACCCCGCCGGGGCAGCCACTTCTGCGGAGCTTGGTCCAGAGCTTCCCGATGTTTTTACGGATGTATGCCCACCGCAACAGAGACCTCACTTGTCGAGGTCACCTTTACTAACAAATTCCTAGGAAATCGGCTTCAAGGGTGTCTCCGGCGATGCCAATATCCGCTTCCTTCCTACTGCTTGGCCCGACGACGCGCTTCCTGCTCCCACCTCGTCCCTACTGGCTGTCGCGCATACCAAAGGTCTCATTGTTGGCGCTGGACCTGATGCGCTAGTTATCAGCACAACTGAAGTCGTTAGAAATTCAATCGAAGCGCCGGCCGGAGCAGATAAGGAAAAGACGAAGGCTTTTCAACCTATCGCCACAATACCTCTGCCCTCTCGTCCCACTCATGTGGCATTTACTCCGGGCGACGACGGATTGATTCTCGCCACAGAGAATGGAGCTTCTCTCTCCGTCTTTGATACAAAAACCCTTGCGCAAGGAAATGCACAACCAGCAATTTCGATCCCAACAAACGGCGTGTCACTACGTGCTCTTGCGCCTAATCCTGATCCCACGTCGACGCTTGTTGCGCTAGTCACTGTGAACGGCGATCTTCTGATTGCTGATCTCAAAGCTGGGAACTTGCTTCCTGGACCTAACGGTCCGGTCCTCAAGGATGGCGTGAGCTCTGTCTCATGGAGCAACAAAGGAAAGCAGCTTGTAGCAGGATTGGCCGACGGTACTGGATACCAGATGTCCCCGGATGGAGCGAAGAAGGCCGAAGTTCCCAGACCTTCGGACTTGGAAGGGGATTGTCATGGTAAGTTTCATTACCGCTTACTAGGTTTTATACGCCGTTTTTTAACCAACATATAGTCTCGGCCGTTTCATGGCTTGAGAATGATGTCTTTTTCATGACATACACCCCCAATGCTATGGAAGACGATATGGGGATGAACCCAGCTTCTTCGTACTATATCATCACGCGGCGCAAGCAGCAACCTTTCCTTATCCAAAAATTGCCCGAAATTTGTTCCACCATGGGCTTCATGCTAAAGCGTGCCCCAGCGTTCCAATTTATCACAAGGATCAGAGATTATAAACCGCATCTGAAAGACGTCTTGATTGTCTCGTCAACTGCATCGACTGATGTTGGACTCATTACGCGATCCGATCAGCCCTTGGCCAATGATGAAAGAACAAAGCATCATGTTGGGCAGTTTATGACCACAGAAGTAAACGATGACACCAAACGAGCAAGCATCCCATTGAAGGAGTCTGGTGATGAGACATCAGTCATTGGTCTGGCACTCAATCTGTCGGCCACAAAGAATGTCATTGCGCCGCTTCCTGGTTCAGAAATAATGGAGAGCTCAACACCTCTTCCTGGTATTCTCCTCTTGAATAATGAGGGTATACTTTCATCTTGGTGGTTTATTTACGCCGATTCTATTCGCCAGAATACGCCTTATTCTGGGTTAATTTCGTCTGGTCAGGTACCCCAACCTCAACAAGCTCCAGCTCCCACTCCAGCCCTTGCCCCAGCTATGGCAACCGCTTCCACACCAAAACCCTCATTTGGTCAGCCATCATTCGGAGCCTCACCGTTCGGACAGCCAGCTTTTGGAAAGCCAGCAGCCGCTTTTGGAAGCCCGTCGATGGGTGCTTCAACCATGGGCGCGACTGCCTTCGGAAAACAAAGTGCTCCAGGGTTTGGTAGTCCGTCCCAGCTTGGTGGAAGCTCTTCTCCCGCCTTCGGAAAACCATCCGTCCCAGGTCCCGCATTCGGGACACCATCTCAGCCAGGAGCAGCCCCTGCATTTGGGGCTCCAAGTACCCCGGGAGCGCAGTTTGGAAAGTCTGGGTTCGGAGCCTCCGCATCTGCATTTGGACAGACTAGTGCTCCGGCAAATCCTTTCGGGGCAACTGGTGGTGGCTTTAGCTCCTTCTCGGATGGAGGTGGCTTCGGTAGTCTTGCATCTGCAAAGCCTACAGGCTCCCCATTTAGCGCGAAACCGACAGGCGAGGCACCGGCTGCTGCAAAACCGGCGAGTGATTCGCCATTTGGTGCTAAGCAGCCGAGCCAGTCACCCTTTGTCAAGCCTCCCACAAGTGGCAGTGCTTTTGGCCAGAGCTCCAGCTCACCATTTGGATCAAAGCTTCAAGCTGATACGTCATTCCCACCCCCGCTTCCAACGAACCGAAGAACCCCTTCGGTCCTTCGTCTGGCGGCTTCCAGCTCAAATCCAGCTTCAAGGGGGATGGTTCGGCTGCCAACGATGGTCCGAAACCAGACAAGCCTTCGTCTGGACCATTTTCATTTGGCAACTCCTTTGACAACATGATGTCTTCGCCAAAGGGGAGCCCTTCCCCAAGTGAATCCATGGATGATACTGAAGACATAGAGCCCGTGGATAAGAGTACCTTTTCAATCTTTGGTGGAGCGAAGAAGCCTGATTCACAGACCCCCACGTCAATGTTCGGCTCGAACACGTTTTCTTCAAAGGCTAAAACCTCAACTCAGAACAAGTCAACGTTTTCGATGTTTGGCAACAATACTGACCAAAACCGACTGACTAGCCCATTGTCAGCCCCATCTGACAAGACAGAGACTCCAAAGAAGGAGTTATTTGGCGCTAGCATTGATGCTAATACCCCCCTGCCCCCTGACTCTACTAGCCGGGCTAGTTATGCCGCCGGTGATACATCTGCTTCTTCCAACGTTTCAAAGAGCTCTGTTGAAGATGCCCCGCTTCCTCCAGATTTCACCAAACCAAAGAAGTCTTCACTTAAACCTGAGAATGATGCTCCGCTTCCTCCGGATTTCCTTTCGCAGAAGAAGTCTGCGCCCAAGACAAATGATGCTCCTCTGCCGCCCGACTTCATTTCCCAAAAGAAGACTGCGCCGCAAGCAGCCGATGCTCCTCTTCCCCCAGACTTTTTAGCAAAGCCTAAGAAACTCGAGGCCCCGGTTGTCCCTGAGGATGCACCACTGCCCCCAGACTTCACTTCAGAGCCGAAAGCCAAGTATTCCGAAGAGGCAGTTCCGATTCCCGATGGCTCTGACGATTTCGGTGGCTCCGATGTAGACTCTGTTTCTGATGCCGCGGACGAGTCAGATTTCAACGACAGCGGAGAAGAGATTACTCATGATGAAGCGAAGACCGCTAAGCCGAAGCCATCAACAGAGACATCATTCGGTGCGGTTTCCGACAAAAGCTCCACAGGTGGATTTTTCACCGCCCCTCCTAAGCCCGCTGAGGATAAAGCTCGTCTCCCACGACAGCTCTTTGATATGCCTAAGCAGCCGCTTCTTCCGCCTCCTGGTCCCATCGCTCAAAGCAATCGCGAACCCTACCGGTCACCCAGTCCGGTTCGTCACGGTGGAAAAAAGACCACAGTCTTTCCTTTAAAGCCTCCCCACCGTAAGGGGTCCGCAAGCGCCGTGCATTCTCGCAAAGAATCTCTTACTCATCTTGCTGAGCGTGATGGTCTTTTGCGAAAGGCTAGCGATCTTAAGGAGCAGGAGGTACATGAGCGCGCTCATGCCGCGGCTCAGAAACACGAAGATGATGTCCTATCCTTGTCGGATGACGACGAGGATGACAGACTCCGTGAAGAACTGGCTCAGCCCGTTGAGCCAGTTGATACACTGGATCCATTCTTGCCTCACCAAAACTACATGAGTGAGACCGCGAAGCCAGGGATCGCGGGTCAGGTTGAACGACTCTACCGTGACATTAACTCGATGGTTGACACTTTGGGTATCAATGCTCGCTCTCTGGCTGGGTTCCTTTTGCACCAGCAGCCCAAGAAAAAGTCTAATGTTGATGAATGGGTAATGGTCCTCAAAAGTGACCAACCCGCTGATATACTTGATACCAAGATGGTCTTGAAGGACATCGAGAAATTTCAAGACATGATCAAGTCAATTGAAAAATCACTCAACGACCAACGCGTGCAAGGAGTGGATCAAAAGCTGGATGCCTGCCGGGACCTTCTCACAAAGGATATCGTTACGCTATTGGCCCAGTTTGTCAGCATCCGCAAGATTCTCGACGCGCACACTGACACCGTTTCCATTCTTGAGGCGCCACTCTCAGCTGAACAAGGTGCACTCCAACACGATCTTCGCACGACCTACACACACATGCAGGCCCAAACGGCCGATCTCGAGCAGGCGGTCTCACTCCTACGCGCAAAACTCGCCGATGTTTCACAGGTGAAGGGTGCAGCCCGGAACCGACCAACTGTTGAGGCCGTCACCAAGACCATCGGCACAATGATGAGCATGGTCGAAGGCAAGAGCACAGACATCGATGTTCTCGAGTCCCAAATGCGCAGGCTTGGCGTGAACGTTGCCTCCGCCGGTTCCTCCAGCCGTGAAGGTTCGCCCTTCACTACTCCCCGCAAGAATGCTGCTGGTCGATTGCCCACAACCCCTGGGTCGCGTGGCTCGATTGACGGCAGTGCCTATCATACCCCTGAGTCCGCCTCTCGCGGTCTTAACTTCCGAGCTAGTGTCAATGGCTCTGTAAGACGGAGTCGTCTCCGCAGCGTGGAAGGTGCAGGCGAGTTTGATGCGCAGGAGGACGCAATTGTCTACAAGAGGAGGAAGTCCCGTCGTCAGCACTTGAACGCCAACTTGAAGAAGGCATTTGAAGACAAGCAGACGAAGGTGCGTGCGGTTGATGAATGGTAGTTTCTACCTTTGATCTTTGCTTTATTCGTATTTCGTTCAGACCCGAAATCTGGGAGATTTATCTTGGCGCTTATTGGTATCTGGAGGGCGGTCCTAATTTGGCCGAGGAGTTTTATGGCATGCACATATGTAGCGAAATTTTTCAGTGCGATGAAGTTAGCTATCAAATGCAAGCCCTATCTGCAATATCTCATGTAACTCATCCCCAAGTCTTAACTTTTTGACTCATGTCCTATAGATACATACATAGTTTCGGCACTTTATCCTCGATTTGTAGCACGCTCGATTGAATGTTCATCTCTATTACCCTTGCGTTTGTCCGTGTACTGCATTGGTTATCTAGGTCGTTTAGACCCTATGGATTACATTTTATACATAAATACTAGGTTTTCGAACGTAACATAATAGATTTTAGAACGGAATCCCAATATTCGGCGCGACACCGGGCTTGAAAAAAATACGATCCCGGTCAAGACGCACCCTTTTGTCGCGAACTCGTAGGAGCCATCCCTCTGCAATACTTTTAGCGTTTTTGATTATCTCAGGTATGTCATGCGGTGAAACCCCGGTAATCGGGAGTGAGATACACATGCAACCCAGACGATGATGTGATTTGTGACCAATATGACCACGTCCATGTTGAAGTTCCAAAAGAGCAAATTCCACAAGATCTTCGTCCCAATGAGTTTCTACCATACGTTCATCGAAACGCACAGTGACCCAGCAAGCTGGGTCGCTGTCGACGGGCTCTGGTAGGTGCCGTTGGCCCATCATGAATATACCAGGCCGAGTATTATCTTTCATCTTGTTGAGTAGGGAATATTGATAGGGAATATTGACCGATTCGAATTATTTTCTGGAGCCGGGTGGAAAGACTCGAGGGCACCGATGTATTTATCATATAATCACTATATTAAACCTTGAGTGGAAACAAAGAGCCTTAGTTTCTACACTGCCTTTGTGTAGTCTTGGATCAGCAGGGTTTCAAAGGTTTCAAAGCCGGTCTTGTTCCATACTTGGAGCATTCTTCGCTCTTTGAACATCAATTCCGTATGACCAACTGAAAGGCCTTTATATCTCCAAGAATCCGAGCCCATTTGGCCACTGATGTCTCCATCCTCGTCAATTGCACCGTTCAACACTCTCAAAGTGGTGAACTTGGGGAATCAAACACCAGAAAATCGCAAGTTTTGTTGTTTATAATAGATATATGGTCTGCTCAAGACTCTCAAAAAGCTGCAAAACATAAATTATTATATTGATAACCCCCTCTAAAGTTGGAATATTGACCTACCAAAGATTCAACGACCAAGGACCCATAACACATGAAGAGTCTGTGACAGTTTATCGCCGATCGAGTCCTCTTCAGGTTGACGGCATTCAAATTCATAAGCCGAAAATGCTTCTCGTTAACATAGCAGGCAACGTTCTGTTGCGAGGAATGAGGCTTGGTCGTGAGATATGATAGTAGTGAAGTTGAACCTCGCCCAAGATCAGGTCCATTTAAAAGACATATCAGGCGAGATGAAGACAACATGCGTTGCAAAATAGCCGAGAGTGAACTTGGACCGCAGTCCACCGGGCAGAAAGTTGGATGGAGATTAACACATCCAGCACCTGGGACCATGAGAGAAAGTGTGCGTGAATCAGGAATTCGAAAAATATTGAACATAGCGCATGAATGATCCCATAGACACACCATACATGGTTCGTTTGGATACTTCAGGAAAGAAGAGGTGAACAAGAATGTTTGCTTCCTCAATATAGAAGATGAACTTTGCTATTCTCCTCATCCATGAAGAGATGTTGTAAGTAATATATTGAATTGAGAAAGCTAAGTAGACCTGATATGCGAAGTGATATTTGAAGTCATATGCAGAGAAAACTAAATTATATAAACGAAGACTGTAGCAGAGGAAGGCACATAGGGCTATACTTCCCAATTGGGCTAGGGTTGTTGATATCATGTTAGTGACATCACACCTCTTCAAGCCCTGGAGGCGATGAATTATGAAGTTATGAAGTAAGATATTTTGAGGACAACAAACTACACCATCGCTTGTAACTGGAGGCATATCTAGATCAAACCAGTCATGTCTCAAAGCGTGTCTCAGTTCATATTCTTCCGTGTTAAGTCGTCCGTTAAACCCGAAGATCCGTCCAGTGAGGAAGGCGAGGCTCTACTGAACGTATTCTGTTTGACTAAACAGCAAAACGGCCATCAAGGTTCCGCTTGGGGGCGTGTGGTTGAAGATACGGACACCATAGTTTGGGTTGTAGGTGAGTACTTTAGTACTACTTCCTTCTTTTACCTTGCCTTGCACCATACCGCTACAGCCTACGTACCCCGACAGAAAGCTAATAAACGGAACAGATTGGTCCGACCCCCGCACTGCAACGGACAAGTCGCTCCTTGATCGCTTCCTCGCACCTGATAATCCACAAGCACCAACATCAATCTACGTCACGCTCACCCCACCTATCTCCACAACCTCAACTCTCACCAAAAACCCAGTCACGGAGCTGTGCTCGCTGCCATTTGCGAGCACTATTTCAGCACTGGAGCAGAGACAGCTCGATACGGATCTGATTAACTTCCGTGCCGCGCTGATGGAGCAGTTGCCGCAGTCAACGGGGCCATGTTCGTGGGCGATGGGGTATATTGACCGACCAACTAAGCTAGTCCATGCCAATAGTCCCAGTGGGCACGCGGTGGTGCATTTCCTGACTGTTGGCTGGGACAGCGTAGAAGCGCATATGAAGGCCAAAGAGAGCACCAAGTTTAGTGAGAGTATGGCACCTCTCAGGAAGAAGATGCTAGCGCCTATTCCTGGGTTGGAGATGAAACATGTCAGTTTTCAACATATCTAGGCGGTTAGTTTCACAGCGCGGATTGAGAGAATGTAAGACAAAAGGATGGAGATGGAGGCGTCATGGATTAATGCTGGGGGAGAAGACTGAATGTATTTCTGGCTGTGTTGCGTGGAGCATGAAATGGTCGATGAGAATTAGAGCAGGAATGGAAAGGAAAGGGCTACTTGGTTCAAGGGAAATTTGTGGGAATTGTTATTAGGAAGGCACAAAATCAATCACACGCCCTGGAATAAGATACAACGAGAAAGTATGAGGAAAACGAAACAAACTCCTAGGAAGAGATTGAAAGCAAACGGAAAAGAGACTTTATAAACCACCGTGGACTTTTGGGCAGAATCCGGCAATGGAATCTTGAACCAACCGTAGGTCGTTCTGTAAGTTTGAGATCTACTAGGCTTAGATCCGGTGCTTCTCGCTTTCTGTTTCCATCCGTTAAGATCCATCCAGGGAGGGGGGCCAAGGGGGGCACGAACCAAGTCGGGAATAGAGCATATACAGGGCCATTTGATTACACTCCGCGGTACCAGTGATAGTGACGAGACGTTCGTTGCTGCTCTCTTGGGGTTCGTTGATCTTGATGACGCTGCCACTCAGGTGACGTATTTCGTTAATCTTAGCACCACCCTTTCCGATGATGGCACCGACCATGTCGTTGGGAATATAAATCTGTTGAGTCAGTGGCTGGCCAGGCATGGCGCCGCCTACAGGAGCAGGGGCAGTTGGGGGACCACGTCCAGGGGTGGGCTGCTGAGGAGCGCCAACATAGGGAGCGGGTTGATGGGGTCCTGCGCCACCGTAGGGAGCTTGGGGTGCGGGGGCGAAGTGCATGGGAGTCTGGGGAACAGGAGCAGGAGCAGGTTGGCCGTGAAGGTAGGGAACACCGTACGCACCGCCACCGGCGCGGTTGGGGTGGGGGTGGTGACGCTTGAAAGTATCGGGATGGCCGTATTGACCGCCGGCAGGCTGGGGAACGTAGGGGACGACCTGCATGCCGCCAGGGACAGCACCTGCAGGACCGCCGCTGCGAGTAGCGTAGGCCGAGGCCGCGGGACCGCCGTAACGCTCGGACAGCTGCTCAACCAAGGTGGAAGCAACGTAATAGGTGGCAATGTGAACGGCATCTGCGACACCAAGGATGACGAGGGAGCGCTCTGTGGACAGAGGAAGGCATGCATCGGAAGCATTCAGGCGAGCACCGGAGGCCTCCTGGATTTCACGAATGCGACTGCCACCCTTTCCGATGATGGAACCAATCAGGATGTGGGGAATTAGCAAACGCAGAGGGTACGTCTTGGACTGGGCAGTGGAAGGGGCCTCGAGGGGTTCAGTGTTAAGGGTACGAATGATTAGACCAAATGCCTGAGGGATAAAATTAGCAATCATTTATTCCGAACAAAATTGTTCATGGACTAACTCACCTTGGCAGCAGCATCCTGAGGCCCGCTAACGGTTAGGATACGCTCGACGGCGCCCCGAGAATAATCACTGACAGTGCACTTTGCACCAGAAAGATGACGAATCTGAGACACGTTCTCACCTCCCTTTCCGATGACTGTTGCTGCCTCGGGGCTAGAAATCACAGCGCGAATGTGAACCCAACTCGACTCGTCCTGGGGGGCCTGATCAGAGGCTGTTCGGTCGGCCTGGGAAGCTGTTGATTGGATGGGTTGGGTGTCGGCAGGGAGACCCTTGCCATTGGGGGCATCGGGAACCACAGTGTCTCCCTGGGTATCCTTGGCGCCTTCAGTATTCGGAACTTGGTTGCTGGATACATCCGCCTCGGCCTCTGCATCGTCGCTCTTGACTACTTTGTCCAGCGCTGGGCGCTTGGCCTCGGGCTGGTCGTTAGGACCGGAAGGCGACGACGGGTCCTCGAGAGGTCGCTTGGCCGATTGCAGGTTGGAAGGTGAAGCGGACATTGTAGATTTGTCTGATCTGCTGTCTGGTTTCACTTACGAGTGAAAGATCGGAAGGTGTCAAGAACGAAATCTGCTTTCTTCTTTTTTTTATGATCGACTATGTACACCAGGATTTCCCGCGAAATGTGCTGGTGCTGGCGACCGAAAGGGGAAGACTGGTGCTGTGAGAGGATTGAATGGGCTGTGAAGGAAATGTGCTGAGGAAGTGCCGACGTAAGACGGGAGAAAGTGCAGGTTGAAGTGATGCGGAAGGAAGTCACGACCAGGGAAGCTTCAGGGTGATTGCCGAGATACTCGAAGTGGAGGAAGCGAAGAAAAAGATGATGGGGCCCTTGAATGGATGTGATGGGAAATAGGAAATGAGGCGAGGAAGATATCAAGCGCCAGAAACCGTTGCCTGCTGTACCACAGTGTAGCCTCCGATAACGTCCAATCTGAGGTCGAGGGTATAGGCAAAACTTGCAATCGACGAGTTGATAACTTTCTAGAGAAAAATGTTGAAAATAATTTCAGAATCAAGTGAAAATAGGGGAATCGGCGTAGACGACGAGATAGAATCGTGGTGATTAAGGGGAGGAAGTGAGGTGCTGAGTGAAGATGGGAGGTCGAAGGAAGCTTGGTCACATGACGTCGACGCGAAAGTGAATTTGTGATGTATCTCCTCGTGTTTCGAAACACCCATATTTTGATTGTCTCTCCTTGAAGCAAACATTTTACTGCATGTCCGAATTACAATTGATCTTATGGTGAATATAATTTGTTACTTTCAAAAGGGAACCTTTTACATTTTGAGTCACTCACCTCCACCAAAATAAAAGCATGGATATCTCCAATCAGACCGTGCAGAGGATTCAGAAGTTTGCAGAAAAGCGCCAAGAAGTAGAGCACGAGTCTGCAAAGGAACCTCTGAGTGGGACTGCATTACAGGCCTACTCGCGACGGTTAGATGCAACCTTGCAAGAACTTCAGAACCAAGTCAAACGTCAGCAGAATGAATTAAATAAGGTACGTCATAAAACGCTTGATATAGCTGTACTTTGATTGACTTGTTTGTTAGCTACGAGAGCTCAACTCAACCGATCTTTCAGAAGCGGGAACTGATCCCCGGGCTCGCATTTCTCAAACCCGACGGGCCAAGAACGCATACGACTCACTTCTGAAGACCGAGGATGAGCTTCCCACAACAGAATCAGTGCTACCATCACTTCTAGCCATTGAAGAAATAAGCCGAATTATTCAAGACAACAAGGTATCGGTCAAATTGACCGCTGAACAGCTATCTGTGAACCGAGAACGCCTCCGAGTCGAAGACGCCAATCTGCGCGACTCTCAGTCCATTGCACGCGGGCTCCGAGAGCGGATCCAGAGAATCCGCAGTACAAATGCAAGAAAAGAAGAGCAGACACCTGCACAGATAGCGCGCGAACATGTAGCTCAGCAAAAGAAGCAAAACAAAGAGTTGGACCGAACGTCTGCAAGCCTGAAGATCTCTTTGGATAAATTCATAGATGACACTCTTGCCCCCATGCTTGCTGCTGAGGATCTAGGTGGTCCAACTGTTGGCGATGAATCTGAGGTATCGGATGCTACGCTAAAGGCGGGTTATACGGCCCACGGCAAACCTAAGAAGCAAAAGGAGCCGGTTGAGGCGGACAATGGATCGCAGCAACGGATTGACCAGTTTATGCAACGCAGCGCGGATGGAGCGCCCGCAAACAAGAGGCAAGCCGCGGCGAAAGAGATGCATGCTCTCCTAAACGCTATGCTGGAGGCCGAGTCTTCTTATATCGACCTTGAGCGGGACTCGGCATCATCAAGGTTTCTCGTGAGAGCCAAAGTCGCCCAGTTCCATCCTCGGGATGCAAGGCGACTTCGGCTGATTGATTTTGGTCGCTCGCTAGGCAATTGATCTTGGGGGAATAAGTATGTTGATTCAGTGAGAGAATGGTATTTTTGGTACCTTTCTTTATCCTAATTATTTGCTATCTTGCTAGATATGAACCAAAGCTTTAAGTCCACGCTGTGGACTGCGAATGGCCCAGAAATTTTGAACCAACAACACCTAGGGATGCTTCATATGTAAACGCCGAATGATCATGACATCTCAACATAAAGGGGTAAAGAACAAATTTTCAAATAGGCATCATTCCAATCGTAGACTTGGGAGTCTTGGTTCTGGCATTTGTTCGGGGTGCAGCCGACTGGCTGGTGAGCCGATCCAACTTCGCCTTCGATCGCGAGCCTTTTCCTTTCCAGCTGCCAGTCGAGCCATACTTCCGTCGTGGTGCCCGTTTGGCAGGTTGTCGTTTGCGACCTTTGGAGCCAGAAGCCGCAGCCCCGGATTCAAAGTCCTCGCCCGAGTCGTAACCCGGAGAAGCTGGTGGAGGAAAGTAGCGACTTGTAATATTTTCAGCTGTATTGCTAGGCGTATCTTGGATAGGGTTGTCCAGATTGAACGTGCCCTCGTCCATAAACAAATCGTCGTCACTGTACTCGTCACTGCTGCTGAGGTTGATAACATTGTGGTGGTTGGGATCTGGAACAACACCGCTGGTCTCTGCCTCTTGTGTCATTTCTTGGTAACGACGCTTTGCATTTTCAACCAGTCCCAAGATTTGCCGGCCATAGCGCTTCACTTTATCCTGATCAATGTCCGGGATTGCAGAAAGCTCAGTCAGGTCTGTTTAGTTGTTAGTTCGTGTGTTTACTTCCAAGAAAGGGAAAGTATTCACTTTTAGGGAAGGATATGGCCATTTCACGTAGCGCCTGATCAGAGAACGGTTGGCAGCGAAGGCCTTTTTTGACGACAAGCTATGCGAATGATCAGTTTTCTGAATCTGGCGCAAATAATATAATGATTAATACTCACATCTTGAAGCATGATTTTGGCATGCTCTTGGAAGTCTTCCACGACTGCCCGATGCATATGATCAAGTCGATCCAACCGTTGATCACGGGTAATTGGAGGGCCCATCTCATGGTTGTTTGAGCGATGAGATTTGCCGGTGACTCGGATTGGCTCAAAGCCGTCACTGTCATCATCAGCTTCTACCGAGGGTCCGGTATACTGGAAGCGATCAAGGTGGCGATCTTGAGCAGATTGGACTGGAGATGAAACCATGGTGGACTGGGGATAGCCTGAAGAGGCCGATTTCCCTTTCTGCACAGCAGCGGAGGCCTTGCTTTTGGCCTTGGCCTTACTGTTCGGTGAGGCGCGAACTTGGAGTTTCATTTGTCGCTGGCCACTTTCGTACTCTGCTGCGCGACGGCCGAGAACGAGATACTGATTAGCGAAATCACTTTTGTTGATCACGTTCTCTTCGGCCAAGGCGTCTTCACCAAGCAGTCGATAGAACAGACGTTCGGCTGCTCCACGATCGAGATCGGATCCCTTCCCATAACCTGGCATTTTGCGATGTGATGGGTGCTTAGGCCTTTTGGAATCTCCGCGAAGTATGTCGGTGCAATAAATCACAGTTACTTTCTCCTTTGCGATCTGGAATTGCCGCACAATCTTGATTGCCCAAGATGCCTGCTCAGTATAGTCATGAACCTCAAATACCAAATCAGCCTTACAGTTATCACAGGTGTTGTTGCAATCTTCTTGGCGGAAATTTTCGGCGAAATAGGCGAGAACCTGCACCCGTCTGCAATCGCTGCGGTTCTCGCAAAATTGAACCACATTTCGCAACATCTGCTTTTGACGTGCTTTTTGCTGGCCACTGCCATCTCCCGAGTCAATCATCCGCTTCAAGGTTGCCGCGTCTTTGTAGCCGTAGTAAAGATAGCAACCAGATCGCTTGCCGTCTCGGCCAGCACGACCGGTTTCCTGATAGTAGCCTTCAAGACTCTTTGGGATGCTGTGGTGCATGACAAATCGAACATCGGGTTTGTCAATTCCCATCCCAAAAGCAATGGTAGCAACGATGATGTGCACTCGGCCCGCCTGCCAAGCGCTCTGGACTTTTGATTTTGTATTCGTATCCAGCTTCGCATGGTAATGACGTGCTTTAAGACGGTACTTCTCTCTCAGATCATCCGCAACTTTCTCGCAGGTGGCACGCGAGAGGCAGTAAATGATTCCACACTGATTTGGGTAGGAGTTTGTGATGGTCTCCGCCATACTGGCCAAAACTTCATCATTCTTCCCCTTCGATCGCACCTCGTACGTCAGATTGGGGCGATTGAAACTCTGTAAGAAAACTTCACATCCAGCCATATTTAGATTGTGTATCACGTCCACCTTCACATTTTCTGTCGCAGTAGCTGTCAAGGCCATGACCGGTACACCAGGTAGTTTGTTTCGCACTTCCCCGAGCTCTTTGTAGTCCGGCCGGAAATCATGCCCCCATTGACTGACACAGTGGGCCTCATCGATGACGAGGCGGGCTAATTTTTTCTTTCCATGAAGCCTCTCAAGAGCTCTGACCAAAGCTTGGTTCTTGTTGATCATTTCAGGGGTGATATACAGGACTTCCAGGGCCTCTCCACTTGTACTTGAGAGCTGACTCAGAATCCACGACTTTTCCTCTTTTTCGGTTTCGCCGTTAATCAGGAAAGCTTTCACGTTCAGTTTTCGCAAGTGTGAAACCTGGTCCTCCATCAAACTAAGTAATGGAGATATCACGATTGTTACTCCGCTGGTGCGTCCACTTGTGACTATGGAGGGCAATTGATAACATAGAGACTTTCCTCCCCCAGTGGGCATAAGAATGAACGTATCTTTGCCAGCAAGCGTCGCATCGATGGCTTCAAGCTGATTGGGTCGGAATCCACGAAGATGAAATCGATCTTTCAAGACCTTCCTGACTTCTTGAGACCACGGATGGTTTGACCAAAAGGCACTGTGACCGGGTGACTTCTTTGTAACGGAGGCCTTTGAGGTATTTCCAGAGGTTTCTGCAAAAACTTTGCGGTTTTGACCCTCATGATTGCGAACCAGTAATTGTTGAGAACCGCCAAAGCTTTCGGCTGCCTCTAGTACCTCGTCGTCACTAATATTCCATTCAAATTCGTCAACATCCATCGAAGCAAACGGAGGAGAGCCCATGTTACGAGAGATGTTATTTTCGCCACTGTTACGCCCGGGTGTTTCTTTCGTCTTTTTAGGGCTCGTGAAAGGCAAACGCTGTTGATGACGCACTTCGTCGAGGGTGGCCTGCGAACAGGAAAAGATATCGGATTCTCGGGAGACTGCACGATCTTCAGAGGTTGATTTGGTACAGTCCATGGAAGTAGGGTCGAAAGGACTGTCGTGCGCCAGTTCCAGGATGTTGACTTGAGATAGAAGGTGGGATATTTGCGCTTCTGCTTGCTCCAATTCTATCTCGACGGCTCGACTCTGTGCGAGCTCTTCCGGCATAGTCGTTGGGTCGAGACCTTGCGAGATTGCGCGTATCAGACTTTGCTTGAGTCTTTCTTTGCGAGAAACGCAGGCTTGATGTGCGGATTGTTGCTTTTGCAAAGATTCGATGGCCTCAATCTGAGAAACAAGTCTCTTGTTTTCAGCAATCAATTCTGGAACTGGCTGGCCCTCCATTGCCTGTTGATAAACTATTTCAGAATTTTTCTGAAGGGTAGCCTTCAATTTAGAGATCGAATGCCCAAAGGCATTATTTCCAAGTGCTAAGAATTCCAAAATAGCCGGATCTTTTGCCTGTGAGCTGGATGGCTTTGACCAAGGCGTCGACGGAAAGGGATCTTTTGCAGCCGCCTTTTCCTTGACCCGAGTCGATGGTTGCGCCTGTGGCAACGGTGCTTTCGGCGTATATTCAGACGGCGAAGGCTTGATCTCAAAATTTTTTTCATCGTCCACTGGACTCATCTCAGGGAGTATTGGGTATAAGCTTTCTTCGGCGTCTAATATCATCCCATCGTCGGGGTCAACATCGTCTCCCCAATCATCAAATATATCCTCATCATCGTCCGAGTCTGCGATGACTTGTTTGCGACGACTTAGATGGGCCACAGGGGAACTGTGCTCGAGTCTTTTCACCACACTTGGGGGGTTCGTCTGAGTTGTGTGTCGTGAGATTGTGGGGTGGTCCGTTATTGTGTCTTTTGCAGCCGGAGATCGAGACGATTTCGATATGCTTCGCACCTTGGTCGCATGTTTGGACGGCGACAGAAGGTCCGATGTGTAATCGTCACTTTTGCGCTTCTTGCCGCGTTTTTCTTGAATGGCTTCGCATGGTGTGTTGTGTTCCAGCCATGACCCGCGCGGCTCGCCTGGCTGGATTTTCCGAGACGATAGCAATGATCGATCTATCTCTCCTGTTAAATCTATAGATTCAATATCATCACGTTCAGCAGTAGTCCAGTCTGGTCGCAGCGGGGTCGTCTTTGGTTTGACAACTTTGTGTGATGATGGTTGTTCGCGGAAAGGATCTGGTACACGCGGGTTGTGTTAGCCGTGCTCTCAATAATCCTGGTATTATCCGACCACCTACCTCTGATCACGCTTGACTGCTTCGGTTCGGCGCGTTTCTTTGAAATTGACGGGGTACTGGCGGGGAGCGTGTCGGGTCGGCTCAACATTCGAGGTTTACTCGCCGATTGGGGTGCAAATAACAATCTTGCCATTGCTTCGTCCGTCTCATTTTCCACGTCTTCAAGTATGTCATCGAGGGCCGCGAACTCGTCGGTGGGGGGAGTCAGTTGTTGCGGTACGTTATTGTTCGGTCCATGCGGGCTAGTTTGAACCAGTTGAGGGTACAAAGGCTTCCCTTGGGTTTTCAGCCATTTGAGATGAACAGCCAAGTTATTCTTCGTCATGGGGGCGTGCTGCTCTCATGACCGTCGACATTTGAAGAAACAAATCGTGTCAATCGCGAAACCAATATCAGACGCGTCGGCACGTGAGCGGTCAGGCAATATCTAGGGCCGCGATTATAATTTGAGAGTTTGAAGTCGATGATTTGGAGAAACATACATACATGATAACGATTTTTGGCATATGAAATATTATGCTGTCGTTTGAATACCGTATTCATATCCTTTTCTATCTAGACAGCTATACAAGGTGTAGTTAAAAATTACAATAACGTTAACTAAGTAGATCTGGAGGGGCGTCAGTGTGGGGAAATAAATTTTGCCCCACGAAAAGAAGATCGCAAAACTCACATTCTGGACAATTGAGCCGAAATGGGTAAAAAGGGCAAGAAGACGGCCGAGCATAAGGAACGTGTTGCGGCCAAGCAGACAAAGAAGTCCGCGCAAAAAGAAAAGAGATCGAAAGCCAAGGGCAAAGATGCAGACAGTGATGCTGAAGATGCCGACCTGGATGCTATTCTAGCCCAGTATGCCGAAGAACAGGCCAAATTCTTAAAGGTCACTGAAGTCACCTCCGAACCACCAGTTCCACGGTCATCGGCAACAGTGCTTGCATCTCCTTCTAACCGAAATGAACTATTTCTTTACGGTGGAGAGTACTTCGATGGAACACATGCTACTTTCTTCAACAATCTTTTCGTCTACTTGATTGACCGTGGCGATTGGAGAGAAGTGACCAGTCCCAACACTCCTCTCCCTCGAAGTGGACATGCATGGTGCCGTGGAGGAAACACCGGAGGCATCTATATGTTTGGAGGTAAGAGTTTCCTGTCTTATAAAGCGTTCTACGATTATTAACCGTGAGCAGGAGAGTTCTCGTCCCCCAAGCAGGGTACATTCTACCATTATAACGACTTCTGGCATTTAGACACAACCTCTCGGGAATGGACCCGACTCGAGACCAAGGGCAAAAGTCCTCCTGCTCGAAGTGGCCACCGCATGACATATTTCAAGGTGAGTGGCCGAGTTTTCTTGATCAATTCCTTCCCATAACAGAGCTAACATCAAGATAGAACTACATCATCCTGTTTGGTGGATTCCAGGATACTTCCCAACAGACCAAGTATCTGCAAGATCTCTGGATCTATGATTGCAACCAGTACACCTGGTCCAACCCTATGCCAGCCCTTTCATCCCAAAAGCCTGATCCTCGCTCTTCATTCTCCTTACTTCCACATGAGACCGGTGCCGTACTATATGGTGGGTACTCGCGAGTGAAAGCAGCTGCGGGTGGCGGCAAGCAAGGCAAGGGTGGCCCACAGAAGATGGCTCTCCGGCCCATGGTCCACCAGGATACTTGGTTCTTGAGGATCACACCTCCTGCATCCGAGGCCCCATCCTCAGCAGGGCCTGCAATCAGATGGGAGCGTCGAAAGAAGCCTGCCAATACACCAAACCCACCGCGTGTCGGCACAACCATGGCATACCACAAGGGTCGTGGTATCATGTTCGGTGGTGTGCATGATGTGGAGTTGACTGAAGAGGGCATTGACAGCGAGTTCTTCGATACTCTATTCGCTTGGAACACCGACAGAAACCGATTCTTCCCCCTGAGCTTGCGACGCCCTCGCGCGCCCGGCAAGAAGCAACAGGCAAACCAGTATGCCAAGTCCAAGAACAGAGGCAAAGCAGACGAGGAGGAGCTTTTGGCAAATCTCAAGGCTTTGGAAGCTAAGGTTGGCATTCGGGATGAAGATGATGATGAGGACATGCAAACCACACCCCAGCCCGAAGAGCCTGAAGAGCCTACAAAGCCTTCGGTTGTTCGGTTCGAGATGCCTCATCGACGTTTCAACGCCCAACTTGCTGTGCAGGATGATACACTTTTCATCTTTGGTGGTACATTTGAGAAGGGTGACCGAGAGTTCACCTTTGACGATATGTATTCCATTGATCTAGTCAAGCTAGACGGCGTCAAAGAGCTTTTCTACCGCGAGCCCGAGAACTGGAACCTACTCAACGAAGCCGACGACAGCGATGAAGACATGGATGATGAGGACGATGATGAAATGGACGAAGACGAGGATGAGGCTGATGCCGAGGCAATGTCTCTTGATACTGTTTCACCTGCCCAAAAAGATACAACTGTGCCATCTGTGACCAAGGAACTGGAGCAGCTCGACGTTGAGGAGCCAGAGGAGCAAAACGTCAATGACAGCAGACCTCTTCCTCGACCATTTGAGAGTCTCCGTGAGTTCTTCAGTCGCACTTCTGAAGATTGGCAGAATATCATGATGGGCATCGCCGAAGGAAGAGACAACGCCAGCGAGAAGACAATCAAGGAGCTCCGCAAGGCGGCGTTTTCCATGGCCGAAGAAAGATGGTGGGATAGCCGTGAGGAAATCATGGCCCTGGAAGATGAGCAAGAGGCTGCGGGTATTGGTGAGGTCGTCAGCATATCTGACCGTACTGAGAACATGGGAGGGGCCGGTCGTCGCCGCTGATGCCAAAAAGAATTTATGTGCTTGATGCCCAATATTTCAAATTCTAGTCTGCTTTCGTATCTGCGTATCACATTATGCTACTAGATCTTAACAAAAACGAACAACAGTCGGCCACTTCATTGTCTTTCGGCAACCTTGGCCAATACATCAATCACCAGCGCATAATCTCGCTCCACATCAACTCGCCAGTTTGAGATTGCAATGCGACAAGCGGGAGTCCCATCCCAGCTGGTACCAGAGACAAACATTCGTGTGCTGTTGTTGATCCTGTTACTCAGCTCACGGTTCAAGGTCTCCTCATTCGCGCGGAACAGAACACTCATAAAAGTCTGAGCAAGGAGCTCGGTCTTAGACGATGTCTCTGGCAAAGCTGTGTATGCGGAATGGTCAAAGATCCATTCATAGATTTTCCGAGCAAGCCTGATTTGTCGCTGGAGCATTTCTTCATACCCAGACTTGCCATACGACAAGAGAGACGCATAAACCGGTAACGCTCTAAAGCGACGAGAATTTTCGATGCCGATGTTCAGTGGCGAAGGAACAGAGGGCCCCTCGGAGTTTCCTGCGGTCAGATAGGCCGCATTTGCATTTTGGAACACCTGTGACGCCACATTCGGATGTCGAGTAAAAAAAAAGCCACAGTCGTATGGAACGTTGAGGAGCTTGTGGCCGTCACCGGTAATCGAATCGACCAAGTCTATCCCGTCGGAGCCGTTTTTGATCGTTGCGAACTCTGGGCTGTCATCAAGAATCCGACCGAAAATCCCGAAGGCCCCATCGGCATGCATCCAGGCGCCATACTTGTCGCAAAGCTGGCGTATATCTCTCAAATCGGCACCGCTTGTCGCGAAACGGCCGGTGTTGACCTCGCCGCAGGATATAGCAACAATACTAACCTTGTCTGTTCTTGCGAGTTCTTTCTCGAGCTTTTCAAGATCAAAGCGGAGTGGATCGTCTGTACAGCAAACATTGCGTACATTAGAACGACCAATGCCTAGCACACCGGCAGCCTTCACGAGGGAGGAATGTGGTAGCGTTGACAAAACTTGAACCCCAGAAAGGCTCAGCGAGCTGAGGACTTCAAAAAATCCCTCCTCGCCAACACTCTGAAGTTTACTGCCTTTCCTCTGGGCCGCATTTTGCAAGACGAACTCGCGTCCACAGGCTAGGCCAAGGATGTTACTCCCCGTGGCGCCAGTCGTAAAAGTTCCATTATACCAGGTAGATCGGTTCAATTGGAAAAGATCCAAAAGCAGGCCAATCGCATTGTACTCAACATCAGTGACGATGGAATGATTCGAAAGATGCACTTGGACATTTTGGTCATAGGCAGACACGACATTATCCGCGAAAAGCGCTGCTGGCGTAGTTCCACCCGTGATGAAGCCGTAGTAATTGGCACTAATGCTCCCGCCGTTGAAAGCCGGCACAATGTCGTCGACAATGTGTCGCTGGATAGACTCGAGACTAGATCCTGTCTCGGGAAGTGCTGCGGGAAGAGAAGCTCTCGCTCGCGCCAGGTTCTCGGCGCTGGGGAGAACGCTAGATTCCCATGGTCCTTGGGCGGCCTTCCACAGATCTTGCTGCAATTGGTTCTGCATGTTTGAACTGTGTTGTGGTAAATCAAACAGTATCAACGAGGTCGGTTTATATCGCTGCCGGGATCTCGGGATCTGCTCTGAAATAAGCTTCGGCTGTACCTCCCTGAAGCAGTCTAGATAATATATTTTTGATCGTTTCCGAAATCTCACTTGAACTAACTGGAGTTCTTTTGTTATTCGAGGACACGTCAACGTCGGGAAAAGCGGGATAGGGTGGGGTCCCCGTACTGACAGTCGGATATAGTTAGACCTCGGTGATCTACTCTGTGTACAGATCCACGGAGGCAGACATCGGGAAGCCCGACCATGAGCTAGACAACAATGATTGCCTTTGATGATTCCACGGATTCAGTTTCATAACAAATTCCAACTCTGAAAATTGGCATCCAATTCTCATTGGAAAGCATGATGCAGCCTGGGTATAAACCCCCTTTTTTCTGCTATCTACCAACATCAACATGGTGACTGGATGCTCTCAAGATCCAGGTCTTGAAGAACATGCCCTATTGTGGTTTCACATTGCATTTTTAACAAGTAGAACCATAGACAAATGCGCCCGTGGATCAGACCGGGTCTCAGCTCGGGTCATTCTAAATCTGTCCACAACTTGCAACGCTCACTATGCTCTCCGAAATGACTATAGTCGGATCCTTACTTACTGACGTGAAACATAGAAAGATTGATGAGAATCAATCTTAAGTCATATTTGCCGAGCCAGGGGTTCATAACCAGCCCTAGCTACATAGGCAAGGAGAAATTGTAAGAAAATCAGACGCGTGAATCCAAAGTGGTTTAGGCCCCTGGAAAGAATGACCCCTTATCAGACAGAGCATCCCTCAAAATAGAGAAACCAACCACTAAGAGTGCTCTGCAGTTCAGACTTACAGCTCGCAATTACAAATCGAATCACACATGATACCAAAAAGCAAATATAAGCCAAGCTATATGTTCAGTTTCCACAATCTAGGTTCAATGATCGGCGAAGATCACCCTCCTACATGTCAATATTCCACATTCTGTCATCGTGCGTCTCCTGCGTTCCACATGAAGCCCCTGTGAAGATACGCGGGGCTTGGTGCTACACAGTCCTTTTTTCAAACTTTCTGGTAATGGCTACTCTCATCACCTTCGCTTGACGCACTTGGTCGAGAGGTCTGATAGCCATGTCTAGTCATATCAAATTCGCAGAGCCGATTTCGAAGAAATCCAACATCGGCCGTTCCAGGACGAATACTCAGGAAAAGGGGTCGGCGCAAAGAGCACCTTCGCCCGGGAGTGAAATTGTTTACCCGACAGGATGGAGACTTGTACTTACCACCATAGGGTATATTCAACACCAAGTGTCTGAGACTGCTGGAATGAAGATGACTGATTATTGATAGGTTGTTGCTTGCCTTTTTTCTCTCAAATCTGGATGTGACGATTGTAAGCTCGGCTCTCACGAGCATCACAGATGACCTGAAAGGATTCGAGAAGAGAAGCTGGATTGTTACGGGATATTTGGCCACATACACCGGTAAAGATTTCAAACCCTCCAATTTTGCCCTTCCACTTTGGTTCTTGTGTCCCACCAGACATTTGGTCTTCTCTATGACAAAACGATTATCACCTGTTCCTAATAAAACATCACTAATCTGTCATTTCCAGGGTCCATGGCAATATGGACAAAAGTGAGTGATATAGTTGGAAGAAAATCAACCACAATCGCTGCCCTTGTCATTCTGCTCGGGTTTTCTATTGGATGCGGGTGCGCTCAGACAGTCAATCAACTGTAAGGTCCCATTAAGCTCTATGCATGCGATTAGCTTGAAACCTAACTCTGCTGCCCCAGGATAATCTTTCGAGCACTCCAAGGAATAGGGGGCGCTGGCGCATACGCCCTCACAATACTATGTGTCTATGAAATCGCTCCCAAAACGAAGCTTCCCATGTACAGTGCTCTCATGTCAATATGCCTTGTTCTTGCATCTTTGATTGGTCCAATTATCGGAGGAGCCTTTGCGCAAAACCTAGCCTGGCGCTGGGTCTTTCTCATCAAGTATGTGAACTCCCGAGGATCCTATCGGAGGATCTGCTAATCCTGTGTCTAGTGCTCCATTGTGCGCTATTGCAATAGTGATTATTCTTGTCGCGATGCCTATCAACTTTGGTCTTGATCAACACATGCCTTCATTTAGAACTCGAGCGTCATATCGCTCGTTTGCTAATCTTGATATCGTGGGCTCGGTCCTGCTGATGGCTGGCTCGTTTTTGATAGTCGCCGTCTTGAACGAAACAAACTTGGCGTTCTCCTGGTCCTCAAGAGATGCAATCGCGCTTCTGGTGCTTACGGGTGTCTCCTGGATTGCATTCTTTGCCTGGGAGTGGTATATATCAGGCATTCCAGGGAAAGACCCAATCTTCCCTAAGCGATGGCTTTTTGATCGACCGTGGATGGGCATCCTCATGTGAGTCAACTGAAACATCTCATTATTGGATTCATTCTAATAAAACTTTAGCACTTCCTTTGTCATCGGCGCACCTTTCAATGTCGTTTTGGTATATGTTCCACAGCAAGCTGAGTTGCTGCTAGGAAAGTCGCCCTTTGATGCTGGTGTGTATTTGATTGGATATTCTGCAGTTGCTACAGTTGCTGCAGGCATAATCAACATTGCCAGCTCTAGAGGACGGATTCCTTTTATCTACACTCTGCTTGTGGGGTGTATAATTCACACCGTTGGTGTCGGACTTCTCTCAACCATTGCCTCTTCAAAGGGCTTCCATGCAACAGACATTGTGTATGAGGTTATTGCTGGTGCAGGTGTGGGATTGACATTGGGAATCTTGGTGCTTGCTACCCCATACATAATTGAGGATAGAGACCTAGGTATGTGTTCACTTAGGCGTTTCGTGCATTATCAGGTGGCGAGACACCGGCTAACTGACTCCTTCACCTGTAGCAATTGGTACTGGGGCTGTTGTTCAGTTCCGCTTTCTTGGTGGTGCTGTAGGTCTTGCCATTGCGTCTAATATCCAAAATGGCCGGCTGTCAGAACATCTGGAGGGCATCCTTACATCACACCAATTGCATTTGTTTCTTGAGAATGTGAAGTCGACCCAATATTTGCCTCCACATATGCAGGATGAGGTGAAGAATGTATTTGCGGGTAGTTATAGCACGCAACTAAGAGTCATGATCGGATTTGCTGCTGCTCAGCTACTTGCAACATTGCTTCTGTTGAAACCAGGTCGGCAGTTTGCAGCAAATAGGCACCTTTGCAGTGCTACTGAGCGATAGAAGCCCACTTGTAATGCTTTCGATACTACCAAATGGATTTTCTATAAAATGTATGAACAATTTCTTACTTGAACTTTATTCCAGTCCCACAACGTGTATCAGTGGGCTTTTTTTTGAGATTTCAACGTGATTCCAAGGTTTCATGCAAACAAAAACCTACTTAGGTGCATTGTACTTTGGCTAAGGTTTGCACAACCCCAACTATATCAAGATCCATAGATAGTGGACAGCTGGAATCCAGGTCTCACTGAGTAGCTCATTATATATCTTGGTATAGCCCCTACGGGCGGCGGGCGTTGGAGAGAGCGGAACTATAGACAGAACCGCAACAACCTATATGTCTAAACTGTATTTGTATGTAGGTATATCGATTAGACTTAGCTTTACCTAGATAATTGGAAAATTCTACACAAAGGCTGTCGAAAATTAGCTGTAAAAGAGACCTCATAACTAGATCTCAAAAATTAGTGTGTAGTCCCTATCTGTAAAATCCGGATCTTTTGTTGATCGAGTCCCATAATAATATTTGAACACTGAAGGAGAAAATATCAGCGGAGAAAAAAAAAGGGAATGTTGATAAGATGAAAGTCCAGGTCCATCCATTATTAACCGCTCCTTGCCCCAAGCAAAATGGTACGGTTCACCGCAAAGCGGCTTATCCACCACGCAGTTCCGTCAACATCGCAAATCATGGCTGCAAAACTGATTGAACGGCGATTCCACAATGTTCCAGGTTGCTATTCGCCCATCTATCAATATGACTTAGCTATTTTGCCTCAAACTAACCCGAAAAACTGAGTTCAGGCAAGCTACGGGTATCCGAATTGTTGTTCGATGTCCCGGTGGACTACAGCAAGCCCGCAGGAGATACCCTAAGGCTCTTTGCACGTAGTGTTAGTCGCCTCAACACTCCTATTGAGCCTGCCAAAGAAGAGACCAAAGAAGCCACAGAGGGCAAGCTTCCTTGGTTGGTTTACTTGCAAGGTGGCCCCGGTTTTGGATGTGCGGCCCCGCAGTCGTACCCCTGGGTGGACTACATGCTTACCAAAGGGTATCAAGTGAGTAAAGCTGTTGGATTTGGATGATATTGATAACCGATGTTAATCTATGCACTAGGTGCTATTCCTGGATCAACGAGGTACTGGCCTCAGCTCCACCATCACTGCAGGAACACTTGCTCGCCAAGGTGACGCAATTAAGCAAGCCGAGTATCTCAAGAACTTCCGCGCGGACAACATTGTTCGTGACTGTGAGGCAATTCGCAATGTTTTGACGAAGGATTATCCCTCCGATCAGCGTCGATGGAGTATTCTTGGGCAGAGCTTTGGTGGATTTTGCGCGGTGACTTACCTGTCCAAGTTGTATGTTTTGGACCCATTTGACTTTCAATTTCAAATCTTGAGTTGCCCACTGATCCTTTCTTTTTCGACCTCAGCCCGGATGGTTTGAAAGAAGCTTTCCTTACTGGTGGTCTTCCTCCTCTCACCAATGGGCCGGACCCTGTCTATGCGAAGACCTATGGTACGCACCTTTCAACCAATGGGTCTTATGACGCTTTTTGTTTCGATACTGACAAGCAAAAAGAAAAGGTTGAGGCAAGGAACAAAGCGTATTATGAGAAATACCCCGAGGATGTGGAACGTGTCAAGAAGATCATGCAATACCTCTCGCAAAACAAAGTTGCATTGGCATCTGGATTCCTTACTCCGGCTCGCTTCCAGCAGCTGGGAATTCTCTTTGGTTTCCACGGTAAGATTACTTACGAATATCACGATTGCTTCAAAGCTGACACGATATAGGCGGCCTTGATAACTTGCACGGTAATTCATGTTTGATGTTATAATTGAGGATTCAAAGTAAATACTGACTTGCATCTAGACATTGTCTTTAGGGTTTGGAATGATCTAGAAATATTTGGATTCATTACTTTGCCAACTCTCTCTGCGGTTGACGGCGATGGCGGGATGGACAAGAATATTATTTATGCAGTTCTGCACGAGTCCATCTATTGTCAAGGGTACGCAAAGGCTTTCCAGAGGGCTCTGATCGAGATTTCCATACCAATATCTAACCATGAGTATAGAAAACCATCGCTTTGGTCAGCAGACAAGCTGCGCTCAAGCAACCCACAGTTCCAGATCAATGATTCGCTTCCTGCGATTTACTTCACTGGCGAGATGGTAAGGAACACACGCCTGTTTAGATTTTGAAATGCACCAGCAGTTCTAACATCAGTACGTATCTTTCAGATCTTTAAAGATATGTTCGAGTCTTACTCGGAGCTCAAAGAAGTCAAGGATGCGGCTGAAATTCTGGCCGCAACTGAAGATTGGCCTGATCTTTACGATGAGGATCAACTAGCCAAGAACAAGGTTCCGGTTTACGCCGCAACCTACATTGACGATATGTATGTCCACTTTGATCTGGCTACAGCCACAGCCTCCAAGATCAAGAACTCCAAGCAGTTCATCACGAACACCATGTATCACGATGCGCTGCGCAGCAAGTCGGGTGAAATCATGCGCCAGCTCTTCAACCTTCGGGAGGACTCGATTGACTAGTTCTGTTCCCTATTTCCCATAGTTGCTGGAGGTCTGGGTACATACGCAGTGGACAACCGAATGCAAACTATTTAAGAGTCGATTAATGATATGTAGAGTAGTTGGCTACAAAGAAGCTATAATTGGCCATGACGCAGTATTGGGTATAATAAGTGGAAAATGTATACGGATATATAGTGATTTCTGAGTCTTCATAGATGAGAATCAGAAAACCTGCGCAAACTGGTCAGCTTCATTTCCTCGTTGCAACATTGAGGTTAGAGTTACGTACTGCACCTCCAATGATGAAAAGCCTCTCTTCCTCGCGCTGAACCCACTGAGCGACCTTGCTAGCGCTCTGTGCGAGTGCATTTCGGTTCGTGGTCGGCTCAGCAATGCAGTAGAGTTCGAAGACTGGAGTTACCCACCCAAAGGAGCTCGCCGACCGCGAGACGCAGTGATGAACTTTGACGTGTGTATTTTTCGCGTGGATACTAGCGTGTAAGTTGTTGTACATCGACATCAATCTGTGGCCACAAGCGCAATGATCAGAATTCACACAAATCATAATTAGTGGAGCAACCTAACTCACCTTCGTCGTCGAGTCAATGACGAAAATTCAGGGGCGTACGATGACATGGTAAACTGCACATTCGCGCGTGATTTATATAGGAAATGATGGAGCACAGTTCCGGGAACTATATCAGTAGTGGCTGGGCGACCATTGTCAATTGCAATCTTGATTTCTTTCAGACTACCATTTTTCTCCAGTTGCTATCACATCATTAGTATGATGTTCGAGACAGGCTGGGAAGAATAGCCCGGTCTTACCTCCACGAGAGCATCACGCATTCCTTGCATATCGTAGAACGCTTCTTTATCGGGGCTGATGAGCACAATGGCAACAGACTCATCCTTGGTAATTTCTGCGCTATTCTCGATGTCGTCGCGAATATCCAGAAAGCTGACATACATGTAAAGATAACCACTGCTGTTGAAGCCAGGCAAACAGACGGGAATCCAATTTTCTCCACCGCCGGCTTTGACACCATCAGCCTCAAACACCATGTTGAACAGGAGCTGTAGATCGCCTGGATGTAAAGAGTGCTTCTTCGGCCGGACGACACTGACGAGTCGTCCACCAGCCACAACCAGTCCATAAAGCAGACTGCTAGCTTTGGTCTTCAAAAGGGCATTGCTGATAATTTGGCGGTGTTGCTTGCGGATTTTGAGACATTCCAAAGCAGATAACAATGTTGACGGGGACCCGCGCGTGAAGCTGTCTGCCAAAGAAGATAGAAGTGTTTCTGAGCCCTGCAGGGGCCGTGACAGATCGGTGGAGGGACGCACAGAGAAGAGATGGGTCAGAGAGGGAAGGGTCAAAGTAGAAAGGATCTGCATATACAATGCTTCTAGTTGAAGGCGAAGCTGGTTTTCGCTTTCCATCATACGGCTGATTGCAACCAGATGCAAAGACCCCCGAGTCAAGATGACAAACCTAGTATCACCAGCAGTGAAACTTCGCAGATGGTCATCTGCGTCTTCATAGAATGATATAATGGTTTGGATAACATGATGGAGCACAGTTCCGGGAACTATATCAGTAGTGGCTGGGCGACCATTGTCAATTGCAATCTTGATTTCTTTCAGACTACCATTTTTCTCCAGTTGCTATCACATCATTAGTATGATGTTCGAGACAGGCTGGGAAGAATAGCCCGGTCTTACCTCCACGAGAGCATCACGCATTCCTTGCATATCGTAGAACGCTTCTTTATCGGGGCTGATGAGCACAATGGCAACAGACTCATCCTTGGTAATTTCTGCGCTATTCTCGATGTCGTCGCGAATATCCAGAAAGCTGACATACATGTAAAGATAACCACTGCTGTTGAAGCCAGGCAAACAGACGGGAATCCAATTTTCTCCACCGCCGGCTTTGACACCATCAGCCTCAAACACCATGTTGAACAGGAGCTGTAGATCGCCTGGATGTAAAGAGTGCTTCTTCGGCCGGACGACACTGACGAGTCGTCCACCAGCCACAACCAGTCCATAAAGCAGACTGCTAGCTTTGGTCTTCAAAAGGGCATTGCTGATAATTTGGCGGTGTTGCTTGCGGATTTTGAGACATTCCAAAGCAGATAACAATGTTGACGGGGACCCGCGCGTGAAGCTGTCTGCCAAAGAAGATAGAAGTGTTTCTGAGCCCTGCAGGGGCCGTGACAGATCGGTGGAGGGACGCACAGAGAAGAGATGGGTCAGAGAGGGAAGGGTCAAAGTAGAAAGGATCTGCATATACAATGCTTCTAGTTGAAGGCGAAGCTGGTTTTCGCTTTCCATCATACGGCTGATTGCAACCAGATGCAAAGACCCCCGAGTCAAGATGACAAACCTAGTATCACCAGCAGTGAAACTTCGCAGATGGTCATCTGCGTCTTCATAGAATGATATAATGGTTTGGATAACTCCGACATAGCCAGATATTAGTCCACTATCACCGTGTCTCGTCCAGATCGGTTTACCCGCCGCAGAAAGGATCACATAGTGTTTGCGTTTTGCTTTCCACCGCTGCAGTAGCAGTTCTGGCGTGCGTTAGATTCATGACAAGAATAGTAAGCCAGTCTAAAGTTCTGGAAATAATACCTTCATTCTCGCCTTCTTCGTTCAGCTCACCGATAGTTTCGAATTCGCTCAAAATCCCATCGTCATCTATATCGTCCGCCGCAAATTCGGGAAAATCCAGCAACCCTGTAGCATTTCTTTCCTGGTCACTGGACCCCGAAGCAGCAAAGTCAAGGAACAGCGCTTCCACATCCCCAGCATCAGCAGTCGGGATCGAGCTTCGAATGCTAGCTGAGTCACCAGCTTCGCTACCTCGCGGACTCGCCAACTGGCTGAGGCTTGTCCTAGTCTTGGGACCACGAGCCAGGCCTCGAGCAGCCAGCGTTGAGTAGGCACTTCCGCCAGTTTCTGGCGATTGTATCCCGACATCGCCTCGTGAAATTGCAGTCGTTGCCTCCGCTTGTAAAGTTGCACGAGAGCTCGTTTCATCGTTCAATAGACTCAGCGTGTTTGGTCGCGGGGGTAAGGGCGGCCGCTCTCCTTCCGAGCTCTCGCTTTGCTCGTCATTCTCAGAGGTTGACGGCTTGGAAAGAGGCAGTTGTTCGAAGATCTCGATAGGCTTTTGTTGGCCTTCGCTCGTTTGTGGATTCATCCGCGCTGCATACATGCGCTTGTGCACACGGTCGCTCTTCGCGGGTAATTAGATCAGTAAATTCGCATCATTAATCTCATAGATGGTGGAATCTGTGGGTTGCTTTGATGGTTGTTGGAAGCTGACGTCGCCCCGAGTCGGAGCTCCAGGGCGGAGCAAAACAATTGAACGTGGCCGCCTGCGTTGCGTGGCTTCTGGGCAACATTCAACCATCGACTCCCTTACCTACAGGGCCATCCTCGATGTCCTAAATATGACGGAGGGCAGTCCAAAGTTTTCACACGAATTTTACGTCCGTCATTGGCACCATGAGCCTTGATCCCAATGCCTTTCCGAGGTCGAACTCCCCCGCAAGCTCCGAGAGCTCCTTGACGCGCTCCCGTTTACAAGGCAAGGAAGGTATGCGAACAACTCCAGATTTTTCGCATCGAGAAGCCTGTATCTGATAGTTTTCACCTGTAGGGTCCCCCAAGAAAGACAAGAATTACCGCCGGTATGCGTCCAGCGTTGAACGAGCGCTTTCGCTCTTCGATAATGCCCTACAAGAATGGGCCGACTATATCTCTTTCCTCAGTCGCCTGCTAAAGGTAAGCCATCTATTGATACCAGTCGCAATGTTCGGTATACTGACAATCAAACACCAGGCACTTCAAACCCACCCGCCCGATCAACCTGTCGTTCCCCATAAAGTGCTAGTATCCAAGCGACTTGCGCAATGCTTAAACCCATCATTGCCATCAGGCGTGCACCAGAAGGCCCTCGAAGTCTATACGTACATATTTGGCTTGATAAAGGTATACGTTATCACTTGAACAGTCACTGAGGTGCTTACTGACGCATGGGATATCCAATAGCTTGAGGGACTGTCGCACGACTTGCCTTTGTATCTTCCTGGCCTTGCACCAACGTTGACATTCGCCTCTTTAACTGTCCGACCACTTTTCCTGTCCTTAGTCGAAGGATACATAGTTGATTTGGAACCGTGGGCGATTCGACCTGCCTTGAAAGCTATCATTCTTGCCCTACTCCCTGGACTCGAGGAGGAAACAAGCGATGACTTCGAGCCTACATTACGTGCTATTAACAAACTTCGTGATGCCGCTGGGCGCCTTGAGACACAAAGAACATCTGAAGCGGGGGCCTCTGGGCAGTACTTCTGGCAGTGCCTCTTTTTAGCATCCATCACTAACCCTAGCCGGCGGCTTGGTGTCCTGGCATACTTGAACCGCTTTCTACCAAAGTTGGGCATCTCAGACCGCCGTCCAAGCACGACTGGTGGAAATGATGTGCCTGATATCCCACCGGAGATGCTAGCCGCAGCAGACTCCGTCATTCTACCGGAGCCTGGCCTCTTGATTCGCTGCATCGCATCAGGTTTATCCGACGACCAACTTCTTGTCCAGCGCAACTTCCTTGATCTTCTTGTTACCCATCTTCCCTTGAGCTCTCCGATCTTGCAGAACAAGATTGCAGCCAGCGATTTGCGGACATTGGTCATCGCAGCAGTGGGGGTGGTCACTCGGCGAGAAATGGGCCTTAACCGTCGGCTCTGGGCTTGGTTCTTGGGGCCTGATTCCCCAAACGATAATTCATCCATGGATGACCGAAAATTCTCATCGGAAACCGCCCGATCTGCCTCTGTTGATGGCAAGGAACTTACGCAATCGCAGTATTTCAGCCGGGTGGGCTTGCAGCCATTAGTTACTGGTTTGTTAGATATGATTAAACAAGCACCGGCCACTCCGTCCGAGAGAACCAAACCTTTCCGGATAGCTTTGTCACTAATGGATCGTTGGGAAATCGGCGGATACATTGTCCCTGCGGTGTTCTTACCCACAGTGCGCAGCGTCAAGGTTTTTGAAGCCGAAGCTCCTAAAGCCCACTTCGAAGAGGTATTTCGCAGTGCGAGCGCCTTCTTCGATGGTGTTGAAAGTGGCGTGATTTTCTCAGAGCTACTGGGGTTGGTTGACTACCGATCTGCCGATTTGGACAGTGACATTGACCGGGTCTTGCGTGACTTGGATCTTGCACAATTTATCATTGAGAACTTTAATGTCCGCGAGGAGGATATGGTTCAGATCCATGTTCCCTTGTTAGCATTGTCAGTGCTCGTGAAGATGAGAAATATCTCACCCACTCAGAGTACAGCCAATAAACAGGCTGTCTCCACGGCGTTGAACAAAGTTCTTAAGTCGTTGATTAGTTTGCTCACAGAACGAGCCTTTTCAAAGAAGACTGGCTCTGAAAAGACTCTTGCCAGCGAACCAAAGTCTCGAAGTAGTGATGTTTTGAAAACTGTCCACAGTTTCTACGAACAAAGCAAGAATAGCCTAGAGCTTCCATCTCTTCCATATGCCCCAAAGAACCTCGGGGAGATGATGATTCGAGAAGCTCACGAACTGGCTATCTCGGGACTGAGAGCTCGAAATGATATAGTGTCCGTTCACGAAAATCTGGATATTCTTGTGACATTGCTCAAGAAGCTTCCAAAGTCGCGGGTTTTGCGAGATCGAAAGCTTTTCGAGGCACTCTCTCAGAGATTGGATATAGGGAAGGACAAGCCCACGACAGCCTCCTTTTCAGTAATCTCCACAATTGCCTCGACGGTGACGAGTCTATTCTTCATCCACACTCCTGGCTTCTATGTCAGCTATGAAGATGCCTGTGACCTGATCACTCCATTGGTCAATCAAATCTGGTGGTATCTCTCACCTCTAAGTCCGAAGTTCCACGTGGAAGCCGTTCGCTGCTTATGGCTCTTGCACTCAATCTCTTGGATTGATCATCTCGTCGAGGCTTCATTGACCTCTTTGATGGTCAATGTCTCAGCGGCAGGCTCCCGTCACCTTTCGTCCGAGCAGCAGGCCGAGCGATTCTATGTCCTATGGAACCACAGCCACCACAATATACACGAGCAACCCCCGAAGCAAGTTCTTGATGTTGGGGGGACCTTATTCTCCTATCAGTGCTCGATGCTCGAACGCCCACTCTTCATTGTACTTGATCTTCTATCTCAAGAGTCAAGCGATAGCTCCCAGAGTGTTCAGCTGTGGCTTCAAGATTTACCGTCCATCCACAAGTGAGTCCCATCTTCTTGTCCCAAAGAACGCCTATCTCTAATAATTTGGTAGGGTCTTTCATGTTATTATTTCCAAACTTGATGAGTTATCTGAGAATGACGATGCCGGCGAGACGGACGCAAGCAGCCAGTCAATTTCCCCCGATGACTACAAGGAGTGTGACTACTTGCTACAGACAGCCTCAAATATCATCGCCGCTCTTTCTCATAATGGATGGATCACTCTTCTTACCCATGTGCTAGGAAATGAGAAGCGCCCTGAAACATCAAAATCGGAAGGTAGGTTATCTTATCCCATTCACCAACTATTGCTGATAGTTATTCTACAAGCAGACAACACAGATTCTAAAAGTCTCCATGCCGCCATATTTGAGGCATCTCTTCGCATTGTCAGCACACAGACCACGAACTCAATAGAAGTGTGTCTGGAAGGAGAACGCCTACAAAAGCATGCCCTCCAGCTCATGCGCCAACTTCTTCTTGGACCTGGAGCAGAAGAACTAGTCGAGTCTGGTATTGATGATTTCTTGGTTGAACGCCTTCTTGTGTCGTCGGAAGGAGGCAGCATTACGGTCCAGGGTGCGCTCATTGATGCACTCCTTGCTGCGTTGAAAGTGCGATTTGCGCAAGCATATCTACCCCCACCTCCGCCTCGGCCCAAGCATTTACGAGCAAGCTCTCGTGATCGTCTGACTAGCCCTTCGATCTTGTCATTCACCAGCGACAAAGGAGACAGAAGGCCCTCGATGCCTCGACTGCCGCAACCACCGGAGCGCCTCCTGGATTGTCTTCTAAAGGGAATCAGCTCGCCAAAGTCCCGAGAAATTGTCGACAAGTGGATAGTCCTACTTTGTGAGGTCCTTCCTCTGTACTCGGGTTCCATATTCCAGATTCTGTTGATGCTTTCGGAATGTTTCTGCCGGGAGATTCGGGCCTCTTATGGCAGGCTCCAGCTGTCCTTCCATCAAACAGAAGACTGGCCGCAGGACCGTTCTGAGCATGTCACAATTGCTCTTCTCTCCGGCCTCGAGACTTGTATCGCAAATGCCCATGAGCGCCTGATTATTGAAGAGGCTAACGTCCCAGCGGCCAAGAGCCCTGATCAACCGCAAGGCTTTTTCGGCAATATGGTGTCTGGAGTGTTCAACTCGGAAGGCGGCCAGGGTCGCCCCAACACCGCGAATGATCGATTGACTGTCCTTCTCTGTTTCCAAGATGCCGTTCGCTTGTGCTTCTCCATCTGGTCATGGGGCGCAGGAGATCACAGTGGATCTACCATCGATTCTGAATCCTTGGCTTCATTCCAGTATACCTCGCTGCGAATGAGAAATCGATCAAGGCGGATTTTGGAGCACTTCTTTACAGCAGAAGCACTTGAATGCCTGGAGACATTAGTTGAAATGTGGTCCAAGTCTGACACCGAGACAGCGTCCCTCATCTTTGACCTTCTTCATACCCTTGACGGATCGAGCCCGAAGATAACCATTCCCGCCATCTTCAATGCAATCTACACACGCACCAACCCCAGTGCTTTGGATTCCAGCCGCAAATCGTCGTTGACTTCCAGCCTTTCCGAATCTGAGCTTGCCAGCTTTTTGGTAACATACGCCCGATCACTAGATGATGATGTTCTGGATGAAATTTGGACAGACTGCACGACGTTTTTGCGTGATGTTCTGAGCAATCCATTCCCACACCGGCAGATACTTCCACGTTTGATCGAATTTGCTGCCATTCTGGGTGTGAAATTGGAGAACACGACCTTTGGCGAAGACCGCCGTATGCGAAAGGAACTCGGAGTATGTGCATTCACACTTGATATTACTATGGATACTAACACACCTGGCGCAGGATGTTCTTCTGCGACTCCTCACAGCGGTCTTCACGAGCAAGCCTTTAGGTCTCAACCAAGACACTGGACCCATGGCAAGATCGTCCGTGGATCACGATCGCACTTCAGTCTCACACACCGGACCCGACGACATGCTGAGCATTTTAGCGGTCTCTATGCCGTCATTCATCACGACCCTGGGTGATTCGGACCGGATCAACACTGCCATCACGGGTGTCTCAACCAACGTGGTGAGTCCTCTTATTCGATCTCGCCTCTTCCCCAACAACCTCAACCGAAATGTCATGATTTTGTTGCAACAAATGGCCAAAGTACCGGCAGCGGCGAAGTTGTGGAAGAAGGACATCTCCGACGCATTCAACGATCCCCGATTCTTCGGATTGCAGTTGGATTTAGCGAAGAATAGCTGGATGGACCTGTTACGTCAGTGGGTTCTTGTCGACAAGGAACGGCTCTCTGAATTACTGGTTCGACTGCCACCGCCAAGCGCAGCGGGCATAATGTTTGGTGTAGGGGCTTCTGCAGCGCGGTTAGAAGCCGATCGAAAAGCGCAACTCAACCTCCGGCGAATCGCACTCCTCCTGCTGTCTGCCAACGAAGACTACTTCGTTGGAGAGTTACCGGCCTTGCTTCAAAAATTGGAAGATCTCCTCGCAGCAACTAGCTCTTCATCGCCATCTTCGGCCACTCGGGCAGAAGTCTTCATGGTCCTACGTGCCGTCGCACTCAAGAGCTCCGCTTCTGCAATGGCGCCATTCTGGCCTTTAATCAACACGGAGCTGCAAGAAGCAATTTCCGCAGTTCCGCAAGGCTTTCAGGCAGAACTGTATAACCCCTACTCGTTGCTTCAGGCATGCAAGCTCCTCGATATTCTGCTTGTACTTGCCCCAGATGACTTCCAACTCCTCGAGTGGCTTTTCGTAACTGACACCATCGACGCTGTCTACCCACCGGATCGTTGGGAACCAATTGCTCTAGCAGATGAAGTCTCTCAAAGCTTCAGCCCTCGCAGTACCATTTCACCCACTCTTCCTGTGGAGACGAATGAACCACAACACCGCAGTGGTCTGAAGCGACCTTGGCTCATCTCTGACTGGATCCGGGAGACGGCTAAGGATGAGATCACTGAGCGTGTCTTGCGACCGTTCTTTGATCGATTGAGTATTTACGTATTTGAAAGTACGTATGGTATGGGCAGTGTAGATCTGACGGTATGCCGGGATGACCTTTTGGCGGATCTCTTCAATGAGAGCACGATGGCCAATTAAACAAAGCCTAAACCTGCAAGTGTATTCTATTCTAGCTTTCGATGTTGTAGGGTTATACCAGATATCAAATATGTTATTGTTTTCGCGGCTATAGTTTCTTCCCGTTTATACAAAGCACCTGGGCAGTAGTTGGTTACCCCAACTTCCGAACCGCCCGGACCTCCGCAATTCATCAACGTCACTTTCCAAACTACACCTCTCTTTTCTTCACAGGAATACTCCATACCTTTCTTCTTCCAAACTTCATGAATAATACTGTCAATATGGCTATTCGCACAAACATCTTCCTCCCTTTGCGTGGACGCGTCGGTATCCGGTCCTTTTCATCATCTCGCGCCCGTTGGGAGGCTTCCGCGCCTCTGCCGTCAAGCAAGCCTGTTGGAGCTTTCCGAGGAGGGTATGTTTAAAGATATTTTGTTTTTTGCTCTCTTTCTAATCGCCTTATTGTTGATAATTTCACGCACATTCAAGCATATCCCAGCATTTTCACACAATTTTCTGAGCTCTGTTGCTAACCTACGTCAGTGTCTTCGGGTTCCTAGCTGGATCTGTCGCCGCCAGCGCGTCGGTGTACTATTACGTCCTAGGAGAATACAGACTCGCCAATGAGATGTTGTCTGATGACATTTCGGTATGTCTACAGCTTCTGATGCTCTCCAGAGCTGTCATCGAGACCTCCTTTTTACTTCCCAGTCATTTCAGAGCTGATCATATGATTTCTACTCATTTTAGGCACTTCAAAAGGCCACAATCAGGCTTCAGTCATATATCACGGAACTGGAGTCCAAGGTTGATCAGTTGCACAATAAGAAATAAAGTGCCTGGTCAATATGTTCGATATTTGTACTTATTATTGCTCGAAGGTGTTGGGTGTGTTTTGTTTCCAGTGCATTAAGGTTCACCAGCTGCAATATGAGGCCGATATGGTCCATTGAACGGCTGGAATGACTTTTCCTGTTTTGAATTGCATGAAAGTAGTGTCGCCTTTTGAATACCAGCATTGATTCTCCTAGTGGTTCAAATATTCACAATCTCTTCCCTGCTGAGCTGTCTACTCTAAACCATTGTGCAAACAAGACAAACATTTTTGTATCTCCAAATTCCGCCTTCCGACTTTCGCGTCTTCAATCCCAAGACACCCACCCACCCCTTATCCAAAATGTTTCGTGTCGAGCTCCTCCAGGACAAATCGACCGCTACGCCTGGATGGTCCTATGCTCCAGCGCGGGGCTTTGACCCCACACAAGCTATGGCGCCAACTCTCGGCCGCAAACGCAACATTCGCGACGCCGGCAAGGGCGGCGACATCTCCTCACGACAAGCGAACGCGATAGCCCGCCACATCGCCGAGCTGGATCGTGAAAACCAGCGCGATGTCACTATCCCAATCCCTGTGAAACAGGCCAAAGAAGCCGGCGCACGCGGCACCCGAGCAAAAACCACTTCGGCCGTGCGCCGCATCCTCCAATCCCAAAAGACCTTCCGGAACCATCTCGACGATGAAGAAGCAGCGATCGCCTTAGGAAGTGGTGGAGGAGGAATAATGCAAACCGCAGGAGCAAATGTTGCCTCCAAGAGCGCCAAAGCCGCTGTTACGGCCGCGCGGCGCAGCTCAACACCAGCTAGCACAGCCGGGCGGAAGCGTCCTTCCGCGGCTGTCACGGCTCCAATGACGACTGCATCGACACCGGCGGCTGAAACGACGGATGCCGAGACAGATGCTGATGACGACACCGCGGGGCGAAAGTCGAAGCTCATCAAAACTGAACACGACAATGACCCGCTTCTGCGCTCGTATGCGCCTGCCGTTCCCTCCGATAGACTTATGCAGCAGCTGCTGGCTGAGCCGCCCCTTTCTTATAATGCCTCGCGCGCGAAACCGCCGTCGTCGGCGCGGCCGGGCCGCCATTTCTGTTGTATGTGTGGGTATTGGGGGAAAATTCGGTGCAAGAATTGTCATTTGAGGACTTGTAGCTTGGATTGCTATAAGGTCCATGAGGATTCTAGGTGTGGTGCGTTCTTTTAGGGTGGTATTGGCTTGTGTTTGTATACTATTACGAGGGCTTGAGCAGAGCCCTCCACTTATGACTTTACGAATTGATACCAAAACTGTACAACAGCCAATACAAAATAATATGCCAGACTTCACAATGAGTATTCTGTATTCATCTCATTATAGCCATTAGTTAGACAAGCTCAAATTTCTAATTTTGCAAAAGAAATGCATAGATCAGCACTTCAGGTTGATGCCCGCCCGGAGTTCATCCTCGCGAACTTCAAACATAACCTGAACGCCGACGAAAAGTATCACACAACAGGAAACCATGTATGCCAGGCCCGAGTAAGAGCCTGTGAGACTAGAAAGAAGATCTTTCAATCCGTCCAGGCCCAGGGCAAACCCAACCAAGTTTGCGATAATCATCATCAGGACGTTTCCTATGGCGCCAATGCCACAGATAACACGATATGTACCCGGGCGAGAGCGCCAGCGGTTGGCAGGGAAGAGAAGAGTACCCACAATTTCTGGTAGAACGAAGAGAGTGACGAGCCAACCCCACATAAGGAGCTGAAGGTTGATATCGTGCCATAGGGCGACAAAGGTGAAGACCAAAAGGAAGTTTCGAATTTGCAAGAACTTACCCATGAAATTAGACTTCGGTGGTGAGGCTGCTTTGGACCCTCCAGGTGGCCGCCGACCATCGCCACCTCCGCCCAGTGGGATGTAAATGTAGCGCACGATCCAGCGGTTGTAAGAACGGTGCCAGCCGCGCCAGAAAGCGAATGCCGAGTAGTTGTTGGACATGCAGCGCACCATATTTTCTGGCGGATCAATGCCATCCACGAGAGCCCAGAGACGGAAGAAGCGCCATGGAATCAGGAGTTTCAACCAAATGATGTGCAAGTTGAAGAAAGCCAGCATGCTCAATTGGCCTGGGGTAAATAGAGACCAGTCTGGGTTGGCTTTGGAGATTGCTACTGCGTATATGTAGTGGAGGACAAGCTCCATGCATAGGAGGGTGAGGCCGAAACGGATGCCATACATCACGGTGCGGGCACGACTGACTGACGCGGCGGTATATCGCTGCTGGGATACATAGTCGTTGAACGTTAAGATTGGACCGGCCAAGTACAACGGTGAGTACAGAACATAGGCGATGTAATTGCGTAGGCTGAACGCTTTGGGCTCTGCGGGAATCTTGACGCGGTCACGGTCAGAGAGGGACGCAGGGTCTAGTTGCTTCTTCTTGTAGAGAATTCGGTCAGCTGCATTGTCGTTTTAGGGAGGGGTCATTGTATTAACACTTACTTCAATTGCGCTTGCCGCGGGGTAGTCTACGCTCCAGTGGTGATCCATGTTGAAGCTGATCAGACGCAGCACAGTAACTTTGAAGAGGACTTCCCATCGTGGCATCAGTCCTCCAAGGTCATCCACGGCCTGTGCCCATTGAATCAAATTGCTGGTTCCTTCGCCCGTTGCGCCAGAGCCTGGCACAAACAACTTCACTATCCGTTCGAGGGGGTATCCGCCAAATAACTCATTGGCGAACAAAATGAAAAGGTTGAAGCCCCACGTGGCGGAAGGCACGTAGGAACGAGGAACATCCTTGCAAATGCGGAAGTTGATATACAGAATTGAGAGCACCTTAAGGGCGGACACTCCGTGTAGGATTGTGACAAACACCAGTCCAAACCAAAAGTCGAACTGCATTCGTTGTTCGAGTTGTGCCTCACTCGCAGCAATACCGGTATGGCTCGAGGGTTTCGTTCCGGTATTAGAGCGGTTTGCATACGACTGGTAGACACGGCGGACAAGAGGATGGGCGATCAGGAGTAGAAGAAGAGCGGGAATATTGTCGCGGAAGCTCGCATATTGGGTGTCGGAGTTATCCTAGAAGCATTGAAGCACCACAGTCAGTAGGATTCGAGTCCGTGGGATAGGCGATGCGCAAAGGTTGAACACGTACGACCAGACGTCCGGGAATCCAACCGGGTGATAGAAGGTTTGAGTATTTGGGGTAAAGTGGGTGGGATTCTGGCGTTGGCCTCCTGTTAGCAAGTTGGACGTCGCTATGGTCTTTTTTCTGGGAGACTCACCATCTGAAGCATCGATGACGGTTTTAAACATCAATGGCACACAGACAATGAAGAAAATATAGTAAACAAAAAATTCTGGCGTGCGCCAGAGCGATGGCGACGCGCCCTGGGCGATTGCATTGGCGCGGGCATTTTGGGCGGGAGATCGCGTGTCGGTATTGGGTGTGATTGCAGTAGAGGTAAAGCGAGTGTCAAGGGTATCCAGCGAATAAATCCGCCGGAGCCAGGTGAAAGGGGAGGGCATTTTACAGCAGTGGCATGACCGGCGCGGGTTTGTAGAAGTTCAAGTCGGAGATGTCTGAGATTCTAGTGTTTACTCAGGGGGCCGAGGTACCGCCACTACAATATTGTACGTGGTCTTCTTGTATAATTCACCAAGTATACTCCGTAAGCAGACTACAGTTCCAAATTGGTCGTTAAAACATGAACTAGCTTGACTCTTTTTCATCCAGATTCAAGAAGGCATCTCTCCGCAGATCTGTAGATCCAATCAGCGCCTGCTAATATCACATCGTGTATTCTGTAAGTGTGAGATATACTTAGGTTGTATAATACTGGAGTTCGAATTGGAAACATATCCTTAATCAAGTCTCTAGATTAGCTCTATATTATATTATATTTTAAGATAGTTATTGAGGAAAGAATCAAAGAAATAAGATTCCAGAGGCGAGTGTTCCATATACCAGCCGCTATGCCCACCTGGGCAAAATAGTGTCAAATCAACTACAACTCCTGTGCCAACTACCTCAACCACCTCATTTAAAATACAACATGTCAACCATTCGAGTAAGTCAATCTCGCCCAGTGCCGTGGATGGAATTCGAATGAGTCATGGCCTACAACGCTGCTCTAACCACAATCACTCCGCAATGCAATGTTAACAAATTACATCAGGTTGCTTTCAAAGTCCATGGCACCGTTCAAGGTCTGTACTCCTCATGTATACTAGACAAATCCAGATACTATCCTGCTTAACAGTCACTGATAAAGTTCTCAGGTGTCGGATTCCGGTAAAATCCCCAGCTTCACCAATGACATCATCCTATTTCAAGCAACGAATTGACCAACCTAGCGATTTTACCCAAAAGTGCGCCACCAGCTATGGCTTGAAGGGATGGGTTAGGAACACCACTTGCGAAAAGGTAGCTATGTCCGCCCTCAATTTACCTATGCAGCTTACTGACTGTATTTTTCATAGGTTGAGGGTGAGGCTCAAGGCAGTGATGAAATGATGCAAAAGTTCTTCCAACAGATCAACAAGGGTCCACGTTTGGCTCACGTGGTAAAATTGGAGAAGCATGACCTTGAGTTACGCGATGACGAGGATCACTTCGCAGTGATACGGACAGCAGAGTCCATGTTTAAATCAGGAAGCTAAAGGTCATTCGCATCCTTGTGGCTGTCAGCTTAGGCTCCAGGGCTCATAAATAGAAGGACAAATGAAAGCGAACATACCAAGGAGCAAAGTGTTTGAGGCTACGTGCGAATCTTATGTCATAAAATGCTCAATGTATTGAGATGTGTATCGAGGAAGATCTGAGACACGAGAGAGAATTTGTGTTACGATGTCTCATGCAGAGTTGACGACAGAGAATCTAAGGTCATTTTTCTCCAAGAGGATCCGCAAGGATTGAACCAATTTGCAAGGGCTTCTTTTCTCCCTACTATAAAATGCAATCATTGTTAAATTTCAAGTATTACTTTTTCAATAACAATGATACGTCTATTGCAGACCATATAAATGAAGATTAGGAAAGGAAACGGAGAGCAATATCGGGTGCTAAGCAAAAGTCCAAATTTTATATAGAATGCAAAAAGATAACTATATCTCAGCGTCGGCAGGAATCGGGTGGACGGTTTCTAGCAATCAACCTTGGAACGGGGCTGAGATGCTTACTGTCACCGGTGAAGATGAAATGGACACCTTGAGCATCCCGAAACCAAAAAATGACCTCAATCTCACTCGGGCTTTGACACCGAATATTTCTCGGGATCGGTGACTGCAAACTTGTTAGGGCTTGCTACCTACTAGTAGGAGCTGACTCATATTGCCTCCGAGGCCGTTCCCTCCCGATGTCACCTGCCACAGTGTTCCCATGTTCAGAAAATCAGGAACAGAAAATCACAAATCTGCTAATTTGTTTACGGGGATAATGGGAAGGCGAGTAGTTTCAATTCTTGTTCAAGTGGACCGATATTGATGAACCCTTGAGGTTTGAGTTGTGCAATTGGGGAACGATGGAACCATTGATCGTGGGGGAAGAAGGATATATCTCAAGATGGCTTATGGATGGTATACGAAATGTCATCCTTCCAACCCTTTCCGGCCAAACCGGGCTTTGTATAGATTTTTTCCCTTTCATTTTCGTGGAAACCCGTGTACCTGAGTTCTCAGGGTTTCAAAAACATTTAAAGCCTTGGCTCAGGGACGCGACTTCACTCTTTCCAAATCAAATATCTCTAAAACATCTCTTGTTTAAATCATGAACTCCTTATCGACTAGAGTCTCCCTGCAGGCAGCAAGGCCGCAGTACCTGCATTTGGCCCTGCGGGCATACTCAGGCGTTGCTGTGACTTCATGCAACCCTACATGTCGGGTCAACAAGCCTTACACCCTCACATCTAAGCGCCTCATGTCATCAACGCCCCAAAACCAAACTAAGGAATACTTCCCGCCTCCAAAGGCCGCCAATGTCAAGGAAGTCCAATCAGCATGGGCACATCCAATGTATGTATGCTCTGCTCTCTGATTGGGAAAGGAGCTAACTATATCTCAGCTATACCGAAGCTCAAATGCGAGATATCAATATTGCACATCGTGAAGCATCAAATTGGTCCGATTGGGTTGCCCTTGGAACTGTCCGTGTTTTCCGATGGGGCATGGATGTTGCGACAGGCTACAGACACCCCAGTCCCGGCGAAGAACTTCCGGCAAGCTTCAAAATGACGGAGAAGAAATGGCTAGCTCGGTTTGTCTTTTTGGAGAGTGTAGCAGGAGTGCCTGGCATGGTCGGAGGCATGCTGCGACACTTGCGCAGCCTTCGGAAAATGAAGCGGGACAATGGATGGTATGTGAAGGGTACACCCAGAGTCTGATATAGTATCAAAGCTAATCTCTCTGTGTTTGATAGGATCGAAACTCTCCTAGAAGAAGCATTCAACGAACGTATGCACCTCCTTACTTTCCTCAAATTGGCCGAACCAGGATGGTTCATGCGCTTGATGGTTCTTGGAGCTCAGGGCGTCTTCTTCAATGGCTTTTTCCTTGCATACTTGGCTTCTCCGCGCATCTGCCACCGATTCGTTGGATACCTTGAAGAGGAGGCTGTCATCACATATACCCGTGCTATCGAGGAATTGGAAGCGGGAAAACTCCCGCAGTGGAATAACCTCGATGCACCGGAAATTGCAATCCAATACTGGCAGATGCCAGAGCGCCAGCGGAAGATGAAAGATTTGCTGATGTATATCCGCGCCGACGAAGCCAAACACCGCGAGGTCAACCACACCCTTGGAAATCTCAATCAAAAGGTTGATCCCAATCCTTACCAAACCGAATACACCGATCCCGCTCGCAGCCACCCAACCAAGGGTATTGATACCCTTAAACCGACTGGGTGGGAGAGGAAGGACATCTTTTTGGGTGAATCAAAGAACTGAGGTTTCAGAACATTTGCAAGGCGTTGAAAGGGCTTGAATTAGCGAAATCATAGCATCTCCTCTCCGAAGAAGATTGAACATTTACTTGAAATGAAAAATTAGAAAGTGTTGTCAAGTTTTTATAGAAACAAGAAATATCTAACCATGGAACGCGGGGCACAGGCTAAGCCTAACCAGGTAATCTGTTGGACCTCGGAATTTGTAGCTTCGAAAAAAGGTGAGAAAAGGGGGACTTTGGGCTTCCCAACTTCTTCTTTTTCATTTCAGAATCTATTTAATTCTTCCCTCTTTCAATTGATGTCGTGGCGCGGCAGTTGACCCGCTTCCCCTTTTAGCCCCGGTTGGTCGAAGGCCCCCCTTTTGACCAAATGCAGTTTCTCGTCCGTCGATCCTGCAGGTCTTATTAAACCTCCATCCTTTCATTAAATACTCAATTATATAAAAGCGTGGCTCAATCGGCTTGATCTCGACCGTTGTTAACCTCGCACAATCCCCGCAGATATCCTCTGTGAACATTCCCATCTTCACGCGACCCAGATCCACCCACTCGTGCCAGGTGTTGAATTCAGCCCCTCAGGAAATCCAGCAAGATGGATGAGCCTCGACAATCAATGGACTCGAATACGGGACCGATACCAGTGCGAGCGTCCTCACCGTCGCCATCTACTCCTGCAACGCCAGCAATTTCTTCATACTCTTCCACGGATCGCACATTCTCCTCCGAGTCATCCCGATCTACCTCCTCTGCCACCTCTGCAGATGCCAGATCTTCAGTCTCGACATCGTCCCGCCGCCATGGATATACCCGTGCGCTGGGCGCCGAGTTCGCTGACTCTGCCCGCCATCGCGACAGCGTTATGAGTCTCGGCAGTATCGCCCACCTACAATACTACTTTGCCCGGACAGGCCTACTGGACGGGAAGAGTGGGCGGGGTAAGGAGTGGGATAAGGACAAGAAGAACAAAAGTAACGTTCCTCGAGTTCTAATCACCCCTAACCAACGACATATGGACGAAGATTTGGTTGCCAGCCCGTCGAATATGACAGACCCGGCGGAAGATGCATTGGAGGCTGATGAGGCCGAGGTGATAATGTTGCCACCTACGGTTAGCACGTACAGCATCAGAACCCATCATATCCCACCTCCGCCAGATCTGATATCCCTGCGCCGGCAGCTGATGCTTGCGCTGGACAAGGCGGAAACTAATATCGAAGCAATTGAGAATGGCGCAGAGCCTCCTCCCCGCGAACGAATTCGTTCCAGTCTTTCTCCGGGCGACATCCCGGAGTCACAGGAGGATGACCAATCCGGACAGGCCCCGACCCCGATGAACAAGGAAGAGGCGCAGGGAATGTGCATCTTAGACGATGTGACAAATGCTATCAGAGCAGCCAAGATCTACTATACCACGCATGAGAATCCAGAGCGCTTAGCATCGATAAAGAGCGAACGCGAGATCCGCAAAGAGCTATTCGACGTCTTAGAAGTTTTGAAGCGGTGGGCTGCGCGGCATTTCGCGAGCGGACTCCGCGAAGAGGAACGCGCGCGCATTGAGGGGTGGATTTCGGGTGTGCGCACCATGATAGTCCGCGAAAAAGCCCTGGAAGATTTGGAGGCCCAAGAAAGAGAAAATTGGGACTGGGCTGCTGGTGATTGGAGAGGCCGGGAGCGCGCACGCGAGGAGTCATTCCTGCGCAGCCTGATGCCTGGCGGCGACTCCTTGCCGATCTGGACACCCGTTGAAGAGACCCCCAGTGACCCTCTCCCCACTTCGTTCCTTGATCGCTTCCGAGACGGTCGTGCGCTAATTCAGTTACACAACCTTGCCATCAAGAAGTCGAAACACCAATTTGAAGAGATTAAGACTTACCACTTGGACATTGCCAAGCCGTACCGGCAGGCTGAGAATCTTCGGTTCTGGATGAAAGCTGCACAACTCCGGTGGGAGCTCCGTCTGGATGTTGATGTGATGGGTGTTGTACAGAATAGTGGCACTGCCGCTTGGGTGAAATTTGATACTGCACTGCTGGCCTGGTGTAAAACTGTGCGTGAAGAGCTGGTGCGTGACTGGCAGGCGGCTAACCCTGGACGGCCCCCAAGTGCTGGGTTGATTTGAGGGGAATGTTTGGAATTTTTGAAATTCATTCTCGCATCTCGGTTATTCATTTCTCCTTTCCCCTTTTTCTCTTTGAGTCCTTTTGGGCATTTGATACGATACCCCTGAATTGTCGCCGACTATTCTGCCCGTCTCCGTGTATTTTGGTTTCTCCTGATTCCTGGTTTCTTTTGGAATTGTATTGATTGTATATATAATTGTTAGGACTTCATTCTCTATACGCTTATATGCACTGAGACTATTTGGTTGAACAATATACCCTTCAGGGCCACGATGGAGTGCCTTACTTATGCGCTTAGTCTAAGTGAGGCCCATAGTTGTTGATTAGAATATGCAAATGAAGGCTAACCCTTCTATGAAGCATTTTTCTAGATCGCATTAGTATCATGACTTAGTTCTCTTTTCTTTAGCTTGATACATGTCATGGACAGAGAGTCACTACATGCATAAAGCAAAAGGGTCTAGATTGATATACAAGTCTCACCCGAAACACTGGCATTATTTAACCCAGACATGAGAAGTAACGAAAAAGAAATGAACGGAAATTCAAGAAGAGATGATTTCATTTGATCGCCGCTAATCCCTTGAATTGCATACCGAGGGGGTACCTGGGGCTCCATAATTAAGAGTACGGGGCTGAAGGTACCCATTCTGTAGAGTAAACGGGCATACTGGCCACTTCATCCCTCTTTTATTTGTCTCAACGATTGCTGCCCAATATCTTCCTCAACTTCATTATACACTTACCTTAGAGGCTCTACATATTCTTGTCATGTAGCATTTTTCTGTCCATCTTCCGAATAGCCACCAGTTTCAACCCGCTAGAAGGGGGGACGACTCTTGACTTTGCCGAACGCCGAGACGAAACATTCCTTGTCTATCCCTGCCACAACCGCATCCTTTGGTCCTTTTGCTCTTTCGATCCCCCAGGGTCTGTCTCCATGCATGCCACAACCAACAGTCCAACTCTGGCGACCGAAATCGCAACGCATTCCAACGCGTCTGCAACTTCCGCATCTCCCCCGTCGCTCACCCCCGCGCTGTCTGTCTCTCCAAATGACACCAGCACCTCCAACCCCCGCCGCTTGAAATCTAAATCATCCTTGTGGTCTTTAGGAAGCAGTAATAACGAAGAAGAAGCACCTGCCGAACCTACCAGCGCCGGCCGGACATCTATCCTCCGTCGGCTTTCTCCCGCTCTTGCGGCTCGGGTAAAGCTGTTAGACGGCAGTAACAAGACCGCGTCGCAAGCTCGGAATGCCAATGCTGTCGGTCGGATCCCCGAAGAGCACTTGAAGGAGCTAGACAGTCTGCACCAGGACCTGTCAATTAAGGTAGAAAGGAGGGGTCAAGCCTGGAATGCTAGAGACACATCACCCGGACAAATCCTGGACTTCAAGCGGAGCGCGTCGAACCAGCTTGAGCTTCCCCACCAGGATATCCTCCGAGAGATCGCAGACGCGCGAAGACAAAACTCGGAGTCAACAAAAGCTGTCGAGGAGGGTCCCGAGCTGTGCGCCCCGAACACTACCACTGTGCCCGTGACTGTCCAGGCCTCAGAACCCAACAGCCCACTCACACCATCGCCAATGTCTGTCGCAGAGCCGGTTCTCGCGCAGCCGCGTGTAGGACCCGTACCGACCGCCCTACCTATCAACCATGCCCAAGATACCCGGACTGATTTCGAGAAATATGTTGATGATACCGCACGGAAAGAGGAGCAGTCTACAGAAGACCAGTCAGCTCCTCCAATCCCGCCGAAAGACTCTCCCCCCATACAAGCTGCTCACTCCCGATCCTCCTCCTTAAACTCGCAATCTTACTTCAACCCTATGGGTCTCCAACGCGCCGACTCAATATACTCTTTCTCCCGTGCATCCTTCAGCAACCAACTCTCCCAATTGACCTCAATCCCCCTCCCGCAGCCAGCCTCACTTGAGGCAAGTATTGAAAACATCTCCACATCCCTTTCAGCCGTCCGAGCACTGAATGGAGCCGCTGAGCAAATTCAGATTTGGATCAAAAAGGCCTCAGATGTCCTGAGCGGCTTGGACTCTGAAGACGATGTGGAATGGGCTGCGGCTGGTGGCCGGGAGGGGTTAGATGAGGTGGACAAGGCCATCACGCGCTTCGAGTCCCTGGTTGATGTATATGTAAGGGCTATTGAAAATGTGCAATTACGAGGCGATATTGCCAATGTTGACGCAAAAAATTTGAAAACCATTGTGAGACAAATGGAAAGCATTTTGGAGAACTGGACACAAATAAAAAGCAAGCTCAAGGGTGTCAAGGAGCAGGTCGAGCTGGCTATGGAATGGGAGGAACTTTGGTCAAACGTTTTGGGTGATGTTGGCATGGAGGTCGACAATCTGAGCGGACTCATCTTCGAGATGGAAGAGAAACGACACCAAGCACTGATGGATACGGGCGAGACCACTGGTGGTCTTGATATCAATGAGCTGGAAACTATTGTCGAGGAGTCTCCTATCAAGGGTCGCTCGGCTTCGCATAACCGCTTGAGCATTGGTCCCATCTTGGCGGCTACATCTGGAACTCCCATCATAAAAACCCCACAAGATGACACGAGCCACTCGAATCTTATGGCAATCTTTGCCCGAATGCAACCGCTGCGCGCGTCACTAGACTTTTTACCCATGCGATTGTCCATGTTTCAGTCACGGGCTGGTGATATCTTCCCAAGTGCATGTGAAGAGATTGAAGACCGGCGGAACCGCCTGGAAAAGAGCTACAAAATTCTCGAGACCGATGCTGAGGCGCTTCGGAAAGAGCTTGATGAGGATAAATGGATTCTGGTGTTCCGCAATGCTGGTGCACAGGCATACAAGATGTTTGAATCAGTGGAACGAAGCATCGGCAAGCTACAAGAAGGATTGGAGAGCGGCATGCAGGTCCATAGCCCCCCAACTCTGACCAAGCGCATTGAGAACTACGAGGCGAAGAAAATGCATTACGTTCCTGCCATAGAGCGTGTGGTATCTATCATCCAAAAGGGTGTCCATGACCGACTGACCGTCAATGGTGAAATCCTTCGGCTTTTGTCTGATATGACGTCCCGGACAGATGCATTGAAAGCTAGCACGAGGGTAATGGACACGTCTCTGGAAGATGTGCAGACAATCAAAGGCCAACAACTCCGGGATTCAATATCGAGCATCCTTACAATGGACAGTCCAGCACCGGGCAGTGCCATCGATACCCCAGGAAGCTCCCCTGCATCGTCAATCATAATGACCAACAATGGGTACAAAGGAGTCTTGACGCCAATGGGTGGCTCGAGCCGCCGCGGAAGTTCAGTGGGAAGTGCTGCGGCCCGCTCGATCTTGCCTCCAAACCGCCGTTATTCTAGCTTGCCACAGCCAACGGGAGCGTACACAAGCAGAAAGCCCACAGTTCGACAATCCTCGGGATTCATTTCTCCTACCCCCTCATACAGAAACTCAAACCTCTTCACACCCACACCGGCTGCCCGCTCACGTACACCCGCACCAGCATCTTCAATCCCCAATCGCCCCCGCTGGAACGGTAGCGCAAACCTGAATGATATGAATAAGAATTGGACAGATCAACAACGTATGTTAGCATCCCATACACCTCGGCCGGCATCAGCCATCCCGTCCCCCAGTCCATACCGACGAGACATGTCTGCATCTCCAAACCCCAGCAGTTATCAGACAAACAGTCGTATCTCCAGCCGCCTCGGCTCACGAAGCCCTAACCGGAACGCGTCCTCCCCGACACCAGCCAGGTCCTCGCTCCTCGACCCGCCTCCTTACAGTCGGCTTCGTCGACAGTCAGGCATCCCCAGTACCCCTCGCAGTCGCCAGAGCTTTGCGGGTACGACCTCGGTTTTCGCCCGCAGCGTATCAGGCCCCACAAATGTTTCTGATACGCCGAGCAAATCGACACGGCCGGGAACAGCTCTGGGTCATTCCAGCAATAGAAGAGCCAGTCTACTGCCGCTACCCAAGCGAATGGATGAGAACCCGGCTTCGTACAAAAAGGTGGATACGCGTCCACGGTGGCGTTGAGCAACCTGGGAACAAATAAGCTGCCGATTCAATATGAACGGTCTCTCTTGCCTTGCTGAGGTCCCATAGCCCCTTGTGTTTCTGCTCATCACCTTTTTATCCTCCACCTTTTTCATTTCCGTCGACTTGTTTTGTTTATCCTCTCTATTCTGCATTATGCCCCTTCTTTGCTCGATTTGATCCTTTAAGATAGGCATCCAATTGAGTGCGAAGGGGAGATCATATTTACTGACAGGTTTTGCGTGATATCCCTATTCTTTGCATGGTCTGGTCTGAGCGTTGGGGATCTGTTTTTCCCGGTTTCCATTTTGAGTTGATTGCTGTCGATTACCATTCTACTTATTTTCCCTCCATGTGAATATTCTTCTCCCTTGTAGTTTTATCTGGTCTGGGTCTGGGTCATGGTGCTGGAGCTTATTATTACTATTAGACAGCTTTTGCAAATATACATATTTATGTATCAATTCAGTACCATCATGCCATAATTCATAAATTTTGAATCTATATATCTGAAACGTCTATTTACAAACCTCCTAATATGAAACCAGATGCAGCCTAGCCTTGAATAAAATCTTAATTTCCTAGCTCCCGGCCGAATATCAGTGCATCAACTAGTTCCTCGCTGTTGGCTAAGCGTGCAGCCTTGGGGACCCGCCCAATGACGCTAAAGCCGAGCTTCTCCCAAATGCGGATGGAAGCTGGGTTATTGGCGAAGACCAAGTTGAAGACTGAGTATGTGTATCCCTGGAGATGACCGGTTAGCTATAATTTGTGAGGAGGTTCTACGATGCAGGCTGTCAAGTCTTACCAGTCTGGGGGCAAATTCCAGATAAGCCTCGCCCATAGCCTGTCCGACACCCTTTCCTCGTGCAGCGCTGGTGGTAATGAAGCCTGCATTGCAAATGTGGGAGCAGCGGCCTATATGAGATTAGTACAGTGTCCATACGTTTGAGTTTGTTCATATGCCGTCCAAGCTTGGAGCATTGGTGATATTACTAGACATACCGGGATAGTTAGGCTTAATATAAAAAGTTCCCAGGCAAACATTCTCCCAGTCTCTCCCCTCACGCAGACCTTCGCCCTCATCATCCAGAATTGCCAGAACCGCAAATGTCCCGAACCAGTAGTCTGCGAACTGATCCAGTGCCAAGGGTTGCTCCATGGGGTATGTGTTGCCGCGGAGAATCTCCGCGCTGAACTCGTCATGGAGGAACTTGATCAAATCCTTTGGGACACTCTGCGGTCCTTCGCTGATGGGGTGGAGAGTGATTGGGGAATCGGCCGATTTGGGCAGGGTTGTTCGCCGGGCTGATAGAGTCGGCGCAGCTTCAACATGTGCTTGTGGTGGGGGGTTGCGGGTGGAGGGGTCTTCTAGTAAGGCGGGCATCGTGACGGGTTGGGGGCTAAGAATCTGGGCTGTGTAAAGCAAGAGGAGCAATCAATAGAACTGCAGACTTGTGATGTTCAATTGAGCAATGTGCAGGGAAAAACGGTAGATTCAGTACTCGGTCTTCATCTTTATATCGGGATCGGCAGCCGAATTTGTATGAGTCAGCTTGTTATAGGGCGTTCTCCACTCGATGTTGGGGTAGTTTTCGCTTTTTATACTTCCGTTGTTCAAGATTATTTGATGATATTCTTGAGATAAGGTGCCTTGGGCATGCCTGAATTTAGCGCCATGCCAGACAACCTATAAAATGAGCAGGGTTGGTCGCAAAGGGTTTCGATTTCAGCAGAAATAGAGCAACTTGAGTTCCATTCCAAGGTTTGAAGACCAAAGACGCTTCTAGTTTCCCTAGGTCACATGCGTAGAACGAGATTGCTTGAGATCATTTCTTTGCCAGTATATTTGGACTTGCATACTGGGTAGCTGGAGAGGTTACCGAGCTTATGCTTAGATCATTTGCGCATGGTTTGCAATGTCACACGGGAACCAGATCAACAAACTTCCCAGTCTCAAATAGCAGAATAAAGTAGGTAAGATCATGCACTAGTGGAAATTGCTCACTGCTGGCCTGCGGCCCATCTCTTTATTCTTACACCTAGTATATACATATGCACTGGTGGGGGATAAGAGATGCCTGCATCTCCCAGAACCTACCGGATATGCATGCGTTGTTGATCCGCTCGAGTTTGCAGTCCAACTGAGTGCGACAGCATGACATCCTATGAGCTCCCATCACCAATCTTCGCTCGTGGTAGCCGTGTTGTTCTCGGTCTAGCGCAATCGATGATAACTTATTGGCCTTCTCCGTCCTTCTTGAGGGCCTCCATTAGCTCAAGAAGCTGTCCGAGTTGCTGATCTGTAATAGAAATCCAAACTTTTAGTAACTTGATCGACTATCAAGACGGGAGAGACAACGTACCACTCATTTTATCCAGCTTGGATTTATCCAACTTCTCTCCTTCATATTTGCTACTCTCCAGCTTCTGCGCGTAAAGCTGCCACTCTGTCAAGAATCCGATCTGCAAGTCTCAATGTCAGCCACTGGTTCAAACATCTCTTGTCCTTTGGCCTCCGATGTGCCTCGCTCTGCTTGTTTCTCCACACACCACCCGAGCCGGAAAAGATAAAACATACAATGTGAAAGGGATTCTCCGCACTTCTGTGTGCGCGGAACTCATTCTTGACATAAGAGTCGCCCAACACGCGCATCTCAGGGTCGAGTTTGCGGTGGACGCGCAGAATGCGGCGGTACAGTTGGAGAGGCGGGAGGAGCGCGAGAGCTTCGCTGAGACTGGACTTGGAACCGATCGAGGCCGGTGTGGCCATGAGTAGGCGCTGAGCAATCCGCATTTTGGTAACTAATTATGGTTCCTGTGCTTTTAGAGAAGAATGAAGAATGACATAATTTCCTGGGGATGTTCGAGATGCCGAAAGGCGGCGAACGGAACGCGCGAATCAACGGGTCGGGATGCCTCGGGATCAATCTGAGATTTAGCTTCAATTGGTCATTTGGATTCTGATCGCTTCAATTTGTTGATATTTGGATTTTTTTGTTCATATATTATTATCTCTGTGGATCAGTTGATTGTTTGCTTTTGTGACATTGGAAATCCCACAACTCTGCAGGATTTTCAACATATCATTTCCGAACAACCCCACTGTCTCCAGGGTTTTATATTGAAAGGAATACATTATGCTGCCCACACCGGACACCTCACATGTGTCTTTCGACACAATTTATGAGCCATCGGAAGACTCTTACCTCTTCCTAGACACACTGGCATCAGAATCAGAATCAAAATGGCTCTCTGAACGATTCACAAAGAACCAACGCACATCACCATTAGTCGTCGAAGTAGGAACAGGCTCCGGCGTGGTTCTGGCCTTTACGGCTGCGCAATCTCAACAGATCTTCGGCCGTCGCGATATTCTTACGCTAGGCACAGATGTGAACCGGAATGCTTGCATCGCTACGCGGCAAACCGCGACAACAGCCATTCAAACAGAGCAGCAGCCATCTCCTGTATCAGCTCACATTTCATCATTGACAGCCGACCTATGTGCACCTCTCAGGCCTGGCAGCGTTGATGTTCTCCTCTTCAACCCACCATATGTGCCAACCGAGGATCTCCCGCGCCTGCCCTCCGCGGTGGAGAACGACCCCGCTGTCGTGGAAGCCATGTCTCGGTCCGATAAGTTTGATAATGATTCTTACTTTTTGTCCTTGACATACGCGGGTGGTGCGGATGGTATGGAGACTACAGATCGGTTGCTTGATGCCATTCCTGGGGTTCTCTCTGAGCGTGGCGTGGCATATGTTCTGCTTTGCAAGCAGAATAGACCTGATGAGGTCAAGGATCGTATTCGTGGTTGGGGCGGATGGCAGGTTGAAACCGTGGGATCGAGTGGAATGCAGGCCGGATGGGAGAAGTTGATAATTGTGAGGATATGGAGAGACGATCAATCATAGATCGTGAACGTATAGGCGAAGATTATGATTAAAACTGGAGTGATGATGGTCTGCCATATCTAGTTGATGAGGAGGCTTCAGATCGGGAACTTTTGCAACTTAAGGGCATATCCCAACGTGATTTTCGAGCATGCCTTGGAGGTGACTATCGATGGAAGGCCGACAGCACATATAGGTCCAGTCACGCATAGGTGCTCCGTGCTATCCAATTGGTTTAGATGCTACTTGCATGGTTTTGTCCCACTGCTGGATGACTAGGGCTAGTCACCCAAACCTCCTTGCTTGACTCGATTTCTTCAACCTCACTTTGTGCTGATCAATCATTCCATCAGCCATGTAACTATGACTATTCCAATGAGTTTTCCTTGGTTAGAAGATTTAGCCTTCTCGAAGTTCAACCCAAAGCACCCTCCTGTAGGACCGGAAAAGCTCTCGACAAACATAATTCACCAATTAGAACAGAATGTGATAAATTAAATACAACGTTGGAAGTAAGATGGCCTGCTGATATGCAAATTAACAACATCCTTACATTTACCAGCTCTTCCCCGACATGAATTCTAATGATAGCATAGCATACCTCTGTTGTTATGGTGTTGAAATCAATAGCCCGAGTCTCCCCTCTTGCCATTAATCCATATACACTGGAACTGCTTGTTTCTGGCTCTAGTGGTTCATTACTTTTGTTTGAATCGATACCGAAAAAGTCTCTCCCATGTGTCAGGCCCTTGGCTGAACCCCTTCCCCACCATTCCTCGTATGTGGTCAGTCTACAAAGGCAATAATTATCTGTAAGATATCCTTGTACATGGAAAGTATGGTGAAGTGATGCGCCGTGCACCAAGTTCATTCCATCTCGGATCCATTCCAGGTCAGTCAGATCTACAGTGTCAAATCCAAAATTAAAAAGTCTCCCTTCTATGATTTTTCTGCTATTTATATTGATCGGGGTCTCGTTCCTAACACCTTCGTCATTCAAAATGACAAGGCGCAGTATTCTAGCATGAAAGGTAATGCAGCCAATGCCTAGATAATAAACGGACTTGTGCAATTCGGGCCCTAGATCGAACCAGTGGCCGGTCAGTTTTGCAGAATTCTCAATTGGCACGTCAATCTGAAAACATTTTACGATATTGACCATTTATCGGTCGTTTCTCTTCGGTGATACATTGTCACATAGTTCGAACATGCTGCCAGGCTTCATCTATATCTTCTTGGAACGTGAACGGTTGCGGGTCTAATGACAAGAAACAACTCATCTTCACGGGAGATGATCCCACTCGCAAAATGACAGCTGCAGAATCTTCGCAGCCAACAGCCCAGCCACGAGAACGAGCCCGTAAAATTTCCATCAGATCTGTGCTGTGCTATCCGCGCAAAAGCCCGGGGCGCGGATTAGGGTCGAGATCCGTGCTAACACCGACTTGCCTGTCTCCTTCACCAAGAAAAAGCCCTGGTATATCTCCGGCATATAGTACTGGAGGTCATACTCCTGTACCTGTCTGGAGGCCATTCTTGGGGTGCACCCTTCCAAGCGAAAAGGCAGATATCGGGGGTTATCGTAAGGGCCTGAGGCTGAGGCCGACATGGCCCTGGGTACTGCATTGCGACCTGTAGGTGTCCATGAGTCCATATGTCTTCTGGCCAGAAAGAAGGCGTGTAGGCAAAGGGGTTGTGGATGAAGGCCATCTTCGGGTGATGAATCGGTCATTTTTGATTTTATTCAATTTGGGCATGGCATGAACACTTGTAGCGGAAATTGCACCAGCAGAATGGGGATCACAAAGGTAATTTCAACTTTGTTCCTGTAATACAAGATTTTCCAAGTGGAAAGGAAGGATACCGCGTCGTCAACTGGTAATTCACACCGCAAGAGAACTTATATGCAAAGCGCAAACCGAGCTCACGATGCAAGGCTTTTCTATTCTCTTTCATTTGGCAATATTGGTTACCTACTTGATATGTAATATCCATATCAAACTGTGAATTGGCCCATGTTTGAAATCACAGACACGAATCACCCAAGTAGCTAAAGAAGAGTGGACAGCCGTGAATGATATTCAACTTGGGCTAGAATTCGTCGTGTGATAGTTGACGTGATTGACGCAGACTGCAAGGAGAGGTCTGCTCTCTAAGTACATATGTGTTGTTCATGTTTGGGATGTTCCGATTTGGGAAAACCGGAGCAAAAGACATCCATCAGCCTGCGAAGAAGCCAGGGGTATATTAACATGGTGCCATTATTCAAACAAGTGTTCTCTCTCACACACCAGAATTTTGAGGCCAACGAGAAGAACAGAAGGGAATAAATAGCATATATCCCAGCCTAGCCCATGCCATCAGACATCTTTGGATTTTTGATCAAGTATGTAGTGATCTGGTTGATCATTTGTCATAATCCATTTATTGCCCAGGGTAAGATAGGATCTGAATGAGACAATGATCAAGAGCATCCATGGATCCTAGCTGTTCAATTGGTGGCTTGTAGTGGGTAGGAGGCCCAGATATTTAGGATAAAGCTTACAACACTTTGGGACATAGGAAAGCGCCATTCAGCCATAGTTGAGTCAAAGTTGATACTGAACGAACAAGCTTCATGCTGGTCTTCATCGTTGGATTGGAGGTCAAAACATGGAACGGTCAGATAGCAACAAAGCAATTTCCTAATACGTACATCTCCACGCAGAGCCAGAGGGCTGTTCGAATCATCTCTTCAATGGTATAACTGGATCCCCTGTTCGAACTATGGGACCTCCACCCATGGCACGCCCATTGCCTCTTACCTAGTATGTTCAAAGTCTGCAAGTCAGCGAAATGCTTATTCTCCACTATAAGCAACAAATCTTCGGTCTCCACATGCCTAGATGTCATATTGAAACTTTTTGACAAGGCGTAGATCGCCGATGCGTACCCGCTTGCCATGTTTTTGGCCCCCACATTAGTAGAACCCAAATCGGGACGACCGAGCGTGAAGCTCAGAACGGTCAAAAAGGTTAAATGCTAATAGTTCTACAACGAGATGTACCGGGGCGTTTGCCCTGTTTATTGAGATCGGCAGTGGCACATGGATCCTGAGCGGGTCGGAATATCGTTACATGTATATTAGTGAAGAAGATCATGGCTGGAGTTGAGATTATATTAGTCCAGGATTTACTAAATTTGTACCCGTACTGTACACTGAATTTCCGAGCTTATCTATGTTTGGGGGCATCCTATTGTTTGAAATTAGTTGAGAACAATGTCTCACATCACGCATTTTACCTGTAATTAACACAAAAAAAAGAGTAAAATGATATCAGAATCTTTCAATGAAATGGCCAATCAAAGCAGGACTAGTTGACTACAACATCATTATTATCGACACTGCCTTCACGGGAAAATTACCAGGGTATACGTACGTCGTCAGCCAAATTGGCCTCTTAAAATCATAGTAATAAAAATAATCTTTAAAATGGGGAACGAAGTGCCATCTCCGAGATCCGGAGTCGGAATTTGACAAAACGCCTTGATCGATAAGGCACAGTTCGCGCACCGGATTCCTCCGAATCAAAGTTCCTCCCCCATCAAAATTTCGAACCAGTCGTTTCCTTTGTTTGGCTGTGGTCTTTCCATTGATACATGCACTGCTGGATCAAAAGGCTCCGGCTGCACTAGCTATAAAAGGACTACGGCATCAGGCTTATTGATCCAATTCATTCGGTACAAGGCCCCGATGTATGTTTGGATGTCTGAATCTCTCCCCGCGAGATCTAGGATCTTCAGGCCCGGCTTGACAGGCCGATTAAACAGCGATACAAAAGACGCGCAGCATACCTACTGGGTACGGGGCAGAGTTGGAGCCTTGGTTGCCTGGGATATATGTAGTAGCCAGGCTTGTAGGTTAGACCGCTTCATGGCAAGGCACGTCTTGATTTCTTGAGAAATTGCGTGTGATACTTTGTTAATGCAAATTCTTCTCTTGAACTGTTGTTTCGCCCGCTGATATGGATATTGTTTCCACTGACTTCGGCAGTCTATTTTTGGTTCACCGGTTGGATGCAAATCGGAATTTTGTAGGTGTATATGTGATTATACATACATATGTAGCTGTTCTTTGATTCAGCACTTACTATAGGCTAAATTATCACGGGCCGTACAGTTATTTGTTTTAAGAATAGCGATCACAACGCCTGTAAATTAGCACCCCAGTGGTGTTCAACAAAACTGCCTGCGTTGTATTGGACACAAATCACGACGTGACTCGGCATGGCTTGAACGGTGATTAACTTCCGTGGGTACTTTTTAACCCTGAGAGTGATTTTTAAGATGGGCTAAGACGCTACAGGGGTGGAAGTGATAGACTGTGCGTGCGAGATCGGGGTTTGTGAGGCGACTAATTCCGAACTCGGTGTCTCAGGTATGTACATATGCAGTTGCCTTTTGAAAGTAAGCCTTGTGACTAGCTACTTACTTACATAGGGATGTTGGTATGTTGGTAATCTTAGCTTGGTTTCATGTTACTGCAACAGCTACGCTGAATTGGGCTTTGATTTGCGGCTTTTGAAGGAGAACATAACAAATCGCTACTGTCGAGGTTATTGATTTGGTCTTCGTGGTATAAAAAGGCTCAAGAGGAGTTGACTCGCAAGGCCGTAAAGGGATTTGTTTTCTTCAGCAGCGTTTGGGGTGGTTTGATTTCTTTTCTAGACCCCAAAGCCTGATACTCGCCTTGGCAGACCACCTGATCATGCAGCTCATGCTCGGATATCAGAATGTTCTTCCAAAGAGTTTTGATGGTTGGATCTCAGCCACTATCACGGTTGGAAGTAGTTAGGTAATTTGAGCACATGAGCTCAAGTGAACTTTGACATGGGCAAAAATCTCCGATTTAAATTGCTTTTTTTTCTCTCATATTGTCGTCCACCATCCAAATCGGAAGCCCAGGGTAATAGAAAAAAAGGACAGGTGAATTGTGTCCTATGATCATGCAAAACAAAACCGAATTTCGAAGACAGAAAAACGCCGGATTGTCCTTTCACAAGGAATAGAAGAAGAATTAGAATCCACGGCCACGGCCACGACCGCGGGGAGGGCCTCCACGTCCGCGGGGTCCTCCACGGCCTCGGGGTCCACCACGGCCACGGTCTGTCTCCTTGCGCGCCTTGTTCTTGGGCTTGGGGGTATCGTCAACAAGCAGGGTGTCAAGTGGCAGACTATCGGGAAGAATATAATAGCGAATTGACGAGCCGCGAATGCTGATGGTGTCGAGTGAAACGGGGTCGCGGCCCTTTGGGGTCATCTTGACGGCACGAAGAGAGGTATTCATTTGAGGAGAGACAGAGGTGATAGTTCCGTGGACAATTGTGCCTGTCGGTACAGTTAAGTTAAAAAAAGTGCTTTCGCATTTTGGAAGAATGGTGACTTTGAGAAACTTGGGGTTGGGGTTGATAGCAATTGTGGGAGGTTTACTCACCATTCTTGAGCTCAATGGTCACCGTCTCATTGGCGCATTTCATTAAAAATCTAAAGGCATCATTCAAAGTCAGCAAGAGTGTTTTGATGGAGGCTCATGTGCTGCGGGAGCTGGGGACCGCCGCGCACACGCAAGTGTAGTGACCTACCTGACTAGCTTCATGGTGGATGAATAGCCTGCAGGCTTATCAAATTCGCTTTCCAATGAATCACCAGCAGAGGAATCACCAGCAGAGATTGACTGGATGTGGGGTGGGGGGGGGGGAACAAACGCGGTCTGGTGGTGATGCCATGCCGTCGGATCGCAGAAGCTGAGAAGATCTCGTCACGTGTTCTTCACGTGATCTGAATTTATATCCCAGTTGTTGTGGCCTTAGGCCGCAAATGCCCTTATCAGCTTATTTAGCGCAGCCTCGTATTAGTCCAGCATAGCTTCTTTCTTCTCTTTCCTATGAATCAAATCACTTTTGTCTGATACCTTTTCAATACCTATTCAACAATCTCCAACATGTCATGTGATACTGTGAGACCACGCTTAGCTCGAGCCTTTGTTCTCCTTTGTGAACTGCTTCTCTTAACAGGCAACCAGTCCAAGCCGCGAGATTTTCAAGGATGAGAGTTGCGCCCTGGAAACTGAACGATCTAGCCATATCTATGCCTCTGATCTCCAGGTGCGCCCAGTCCACATCGTGTCATGTATTCAAAGGGTTAGTACGGATGAGTGGATCGTCGAGGTAAAAGTCTTGAGTAGTAAATTTTTGGTTGATGATCAACACCTGGGCAGATTGACTGCTATCAAAGAATGAGCAAGGCAGTTGCAAGCAATCACAACCAAGCTATTAAGCGTGAAACTATCCAAATGTAACGTGGTTGTCAAGCCCAAAGGGCGCAGAAGCAAATTGTCAATTATCTCGAAAAAGAAATTGACGAATGGATGACTTATGCTGTTGTTGCTAAGCTAGCTTGTCTTCGAGATACCTTTAAAAAGTCTGACAACACTCGAATAAACATCACTTTATTATCATTTTTCTGTCGGCTCTCAATATTGATTTCGATCTATGATCCTTCCAAATATTTCGTTACATCATTCGGGATGTGTTTTCAATCCCCTTCAATCGTGTATTTATTAATGGTTAGCTGTCCCCCAATCTCGAAGTAGCGGCGGAGTACATTTAATAAACAGATACTATATACGGAATACTTAGTGTCAAATTACAATCCGAAGAAACCAATGATCGGCAAATGTGTGTTCAATATTTATGTATATAGGCCAGCGCATGAGATAATTAACCATCCAAAATATCCAAAGTCTGCCTCAACGCGAGTACTGGTCCGGCTGGGGCAATCAAGTAACGGTGATATGCAAGTTTCCATGCATATACGTGGTAGAGTGATCTCCCATGCAGGCTCAACACATGGCTCAAGTTTTCGAAAGTGGTATAATTGCGGATCCCCTGTGGAGAGACCCGATCATGCCCGTGCCTGGCCCCAGAGGCGATTGGATTTGACACGCGCACCAGTCCGGAGTAGCTTCGGGAACTCACAAATTGCCACGGCGCTAAGGTAGAGCGTAAAAATTATACCATGAGACCCTGACAAATTTGAATTAATTTTGGCTGCGTTTTCCGTTACCAGATCCACCGATGCTTACCACGTTTCCATTCTGATACACGCTTGCCTAGACTCAACGGCCAACCACCCGAGACCTATAATATTGATGGAATTAATCAATTGGAAGCTAAAACGAACTGCCCGAGAACCGGATCCTACTAATTCATACTAAGATAGACTAGTGTAGACTATCTGGGAGGAACCCACAGCATTTACGTCGGTACCTAGTACTTCGTATAGTCATTTAGAATATTATACCCAGCTTTGGAGCTTCCACAAGTACATTTGAGTTTGATTAAAATAAAAAACGCCGTCTATGCAAATATCAAATATTGAATATCGTTTTCACTAAAACCATGTCACTCCCCAGATTGGGTTTATTATGCACGCATATGTGAGTTGATTTTTTTTCTAACGGCGCGTTCGTGGGGGCCAAGAATGATAGGGGCCAACGACAAGCACTGTCGGACGGGACGGCGGATTCTTGACTTCAAGTTCAGAGACATTAACAATATTGTAGTTATTTATTTAATTAATTTCTTATTTCTTTTGCTTTTCTTTTCTTTTTCGATTATTTTTATTATAACAGAATTTTTTTGGGCATTCCAATCATAAGCCTGTCATGGCCCCCAAATCCGCCCCCAGTTACTATAACGGGGCTAGAATCCATGCCGAGACCAAGATTAGTGTCTCCCCTGTCTACGAAGTAGGAGTAGTATCATTGTTACTGTGTAAACTGTGGTCCCCTAGTCGCAACCTCTATTGTTTTCTCACATAGACTTCTGTTTTACCCGTCATTTGTGGGGGTCAAAAGTCCGACTTTGGCTCGTGATAGTTCCCATCGGCCCACCCAATTTGAAGATCCTATAGTTTTTGTCACCCAATTTGGAATTCTTACGTGTCAGATAGCCAATAATCTCACCTTGTAGATCGATTAAGACGGTGAACAAGCGGGTAGCGGGAAACAAGTGCGTTTCAGCAACTGGCCCGGCATTCAACGATGTAAAAAGACACCAGTGACGCCAGAGAATTTCTAGAAGTTGGTGTTTTGTTATTGAACTTGTGGGCCAACAAAAGCTACCCAACCGGGAACCTAGATCATAAAAAACGATTGCGGGGGGTCATTGGTAAATGCCCATCGCTAGATATGGGCCTTTAAATACTTCATTGCGCCCGTTCCGTGGCCCGATTCAGTCTCCCGTAAAATACCTTTTGATTTGCTATATCGACCGGATCCTTGGGGCACCAAACTGTATGTTGACTTCCTCTTGGAAAATACTACCTTTCCCCCCTTGTACCCAATCTTGCCCCCTCCCGCCCCCTACTGCAGGACGAGCTATCTTGCAGGTCTTTGACCTATATAGTTCCTAATGTTTCCCCGGGGATCTGGCTCACAGGAATCATTTTCACCACGCAGGAATCAATCAAACATACCAAACTTAGACTCTTCGTCTAACATCGGAAGTCCCTCTTCACTGATTGACTCGGTGGAAACTAGAGGCTTTTCGCAAGACGTACTTCCTGGCTCAGGTTCCGAGTGGCCCGTACAGAGTGTTCCTTCTGCTGCGCAAGACCCTTCACAATCCGCAACAGTATATGCACATCCAGTCCCTATACATCAATCAGCGACAGGTGTTTTAAACGCGAGCCAGCCTCAGTCCCTGCTGAGTCCAGATTATCCGGTTGGCGAGCCAATCGGCCAACCCTCCACTGAGTACACAAATTCCATCAAACAGAAGGCTACCTCAGAAGATCCACGGTAAGTCATGCTATATCGCCCTTTTGAGCTGCAAGTCGAGTTTTGCGCTGACTAGATTCATCCCCTCAACAGCGGCCTTGGCGTCTCATTGTACCCGATGTCAGTGGCATCAGAAGTATATTTTGCTGGCCCCATGCAGCACAATCCTCATAGTACGGAATCATTATCACTAGTGAAGTGCGCGTTTACTGACATTGCCAGATTATGCGTGGGCAAACCGGCCTTATCAGCCTTTGCAACCACCATCGGGCCACATGAGCCCACCATTTGTACCTTCACATCAACCATACTCATCACCAGGTTATTCAATGGGCTACCCCGGGCAGACAAGCGAATCTCTGTCCGTATATCAGCAGCAAGAACCGCAAATACCATCCTCCTATCTTACAGAATCGGGAAATCTTGCCCGCCACAGCCAACCCCGAAGGTAAGTAGCTTTCTTTGCCATACCACACCCTAAGTCTGACATTTTAATTGCAGTCCATCTTTCACTCGACCCTTTCAACCTCCAAATATCCAGATTCCCACCCCATTACCCGTGCAGCCACTCATGACTTCGTTTGTCGCATCATCCCGTATTTCAGTGCCTGGAAGGCCCAATGACCCCAAAGCTGACCAGCTGCACAGTCCCCCTCCATATATGATGAACCATTCCGGTTATCAGTTTCCCGATTCACCAGCAATTCAGTTAGTTGAACCTCAACAAAAGTTGGTCTGTACTGACCAGAGACTGAAAACTCAGATCGCATCCCACACCCAACAGCTCTCAGCCACCGTCGATGATCGCCCCTGAACCAATATACTCCTCGCCAGAAACTTCTGCCACTACAGATACAGAGCACCCGGTCCGAGTTCTCAATTCCCGTCCGCGGCCACAATGTTGGGAACACGGCTGCAATGGTCGTGAGTTCTCGACATTCAGCAATCTTCTTCGGCACCAGCGCGAGAAGTCAGGAGTGGTTGCAAAAGCCGAATGCCCTGTTTGCGGGGCCGTGTTTACACGCACGACAGCTCGCAACATTCATGTTGCGCAAGGCAAGTGCAAAGGTGCAGGCAGAGAATCATCTGTTGAATAGAAAGGCACCCTACGGATGGATTTTTTAGGAGTCAAAAGGCAGAGGCGTTATGTTTTTGAGGGATTAGCATTTGGTTCAAAATTCCACGAATTTCTATACAAGACTCTTGAGACAAAAGAAAAGGTCGAATGTGTGATAGAACATACTGCCAACACAATTTCGACCTGAGCCAATTTGACTGCAAAAAATGCTTTGGTAGAAGAGGCTTTTTTGACAAATCCAGGCTTGGCAGCCCACTGCGAGGACATTTCCGATACCATCTAGCAGGCCGCTCAGACCTAACAATGAGCAAGAATACGCAAAAGCCGGCATCCCTTGGATTCCTAGACAGCTATGAAAGAAAAGCACAATTCGAACGAGATGGTCCACAGGTGAATCGATCGATTCAGGGGTTAGGCAGAACGGTCAATCATCAGTTAATCTATTCGCGATCTCTGAATGGTCATCCCTTCCTCAAGAGGTCAATGTCCTCCTTGTCGCCCTCCGCACTAGCTATAAGAGAGATCTCGAGCTCGGCAGACTTCCGAAAAGCCTCTTCAACAAGCTACTTGCCTAGCCAATCGTATTCACCTTAGATCCCAATATGGTCTCACCAGTGATTCACTACTTTGTTTAGGTCAAACCATAGTTTCTCTTGTTCAATAGAACTCATTCAACTCCGCACCAGTGAAATCCACGGGACAAGACATCCCCTTTATATCAGGCCAGTAATTAACGATGCGGACTAATGTCCGTTTGATCAAGTTTACATTTCATTGCCTCCCAGCCCCCAGCCCTTTCAAGAAGGTTCTGGCGAGGAGGAGGGGGTCACGAAGAGCTTCGAGGTGCGCCTTGTTCAGGAGGCCGTTAGATAACGACAGTAGTAGGAGATCAGACGGCGTCGGCGGAGCTCATCAGCTACGAACCTTTTGTCAGCCAGATAGGTTCCATATTCCAGTGGAAGCGATGGCTCTTTGAAATAAGTATTTTGTTCTGTACCCTTAGAATGGAGATAATGCATGGTGGCCGCCTCGCTAGCAATGGCATAGTGTTTTGGCCTCGCGATGTGATAGTCTGTCCCTGCAGGGTGAGCGGGAGATCGAAGCAGAGATAAGTTCGGCGGAACTTCCCCATCTCGGGAGGGCCCGCCACCAGCCGCTCTTAGTAAAGCCAACAAGTAGCCGCGGGCAAGCTATACAGGCAGATACCAATTTAGAATTTCAGATGAGGTAGTAGACATCTGATGGCAGATGTTCGATGATTTCTTAATATAGATTAACACACTGTACCGGTTAGAAAGAGACTCAAATATCGAAGAATACTCAGCCCTTAATCGACAATAATCCAACAGCGACAATTCCAGCGACAGCACGGCGTGTATTGGGCCAATCACCGATATTACATAAGCGCCATTTGACATTTCATCAAAATAGCGGCCACATGACGCTTCGGCCCGTGACCTCCCCCCAATTATTGTGACTCAGTTCAACTGTCCTCCAAGACTACTTCACTGACCATCCAATTCTACTTGTACAAGCATGCCTTTCGTCTGTACGATCATATTAGGAAAGTCTAATCTATCTCTATATTCTTGCTTATTACCAATACCTTTGCTCCCCGTGTGAATTGTAACGCCAAACCATGGCATCCATCTTCACCTATGACCCCGACCCGCCTCGGGTGTCGTCACCGTGGTCAACTTCGGGATCATCGACTCCCCAGATAACTGCATCTGGCAGTCGTGGGATAGACATCCGCACTCGTTCCAGTATTCTTCCATCGCGTGCCAATCCAGACTTATTGTCTGATTATGGAATTTCCAAATTGGAGGCAGAGCCCCAAGAAGGCCCCACCGAGTACAAATTGCATCTTCTTCTCCGACCTAGGCGCCAGTTTCTCTCTATGTCAACAGGGAATCTAGTGGCGGGATCTTATCATCACCGTGCCTTGCCATCTATGTCTGCATCCGAATCTGCATCCCCAGGCTCGGAACCGACTCCAAGACCCATGCAGGCTAAATCAAACCAAAGCCGTCAGCACAGGCTGCAAAGCTTGACCACCCAGCTCCTATGGCGTTTGCAACAATCTTCGCCTTTCCACTCATCAACCACCTCCAAACTTGTTGTTCCTGTACTCCCTGAGGCAACACCACAATTGGGTGTGCCTTCAAAGCCCGCCCGTTTGCTTCCCGGCCTCGAAGAGAGCCAAGGCGCACTGTATGAGATCGGCGTCGCTGATGATGGCACTTTCGTAGGCCTAACTCAAGATGAATTGGATGAGAGTGTCACCAACCTACAGACCATGGCTGCTAGTCTCGGGTGCAAAGTCGAGATTCTTCGTCGAGTCGTTGTTGGGCAATGTGAATGGGCAGAGGACCTGCTATCTGCGCCATCTAACTCAAACCAAACCAACAGTGAAAGCCTCTGGGTTGCAGAGGCTCTGGTGAGCCCTGATCTAGACTTCTACAGCTTATCCCAGAACGAATCAAAAAGTCAGCGGGGAACAACAGCAAATCCGGCGTCTGGAAATCCGCCAGCTCCAAATGAGGATTATTCCCACACTGAGCAGATTCGAATATCACTTACAGGTCCTAGCATGGCTGGAAAGTCGTCCTTGCTAGGTACCTTGACTTCATCTGCACTCGACAATGGAAGAGGCAAGAGCAGGTTGAGTTTGCTCAAGCATCGCCACGAGATTACATCAGGTATCACCAGCTCAGTTGCCCAGGAACTGATTGGGTACGCGAACGGGACACCGTCCAATGTGATCAACTATGCTTCTGGCAATGTTGCCGCCTGGGATGATATACACGCGGCATCGAAAGGCGGTCGGCTGGCTTTCATGTCTGACTTGCCTGGCTCCATCCGATACTTGAAGTCTACCCTGCGGGGGCTTGTTAGTTGGGCCCCACATTATGTGATGCTTTGCATTCCAGCGAACTGTGGCGATGAGCCATCCGACAGTGAGCAGGCAGCAAACGAACAATCCGAGATTGAAACTTGCTTGGCGTATCTTGAACTTTGCCTGAAGCTAGAGGTTCCTGTGTTGATCGTCATCACAAAATTGGACCTTGCCTCCCGCAGCGGACTACGCGACAATCTTGCAAGAGTTTTATCTGCTCTTAAAGCTGCTGGACGAAAACCTGCAATGCTCCCTGCATCGCCTGCTGGTGACAAACCACTTGATTTCCAACAAATCAGTACCACGGACAGCGGACAAGTACAGAAGGCCATCGCCGCGACCAATGGGAAATGGGCTCAAACTGTCCCCATTCTGCTTACCAGTGCTTTGGATGGCTCTGGGATAGGAAAGCTTCATGCTTTCCTCCGGTCTCTCCCCATTCCTGCCAACCCCGTCCAGAGGACCCTTCATTTCCCGAAAGGAGTTTCAATGTCCTCAGAAAGCTCCCTTCACATCTTTGATGTGGACGAAGTGTTCGCGATTCCCCCTTCTAAAGTCTATTCAATAGACTTAGAGAAAGGTGATCAAGAAAATCGCGGTATCGTACTTTGCGGCCTGGTTCGTCGTGGAAGCATTTCTATTGGCGACGAAATGGTCGTCGGCCCCATCCTGGTGGACACTTCCAGTGACCAAAGCAATGAGGCCCAACCACCCGGAGGGTCACTGTCCCGCAGTGGGCCCGGTTCCTCGGGCGATCTGCCGGCATCTCTCCCGCAGAGCTCATTACCCGGCAAAGACCCGCAAGCGAAATGGCAACGTATTCGAGTTGTCAGCGTAAGAGATTTGCGGCTTCCTGTCCGACGCCTTGTAAGAGACCAAGTAGGAACAATAGGTATAGAGCCAATTGGCTTTTCTGAAGACGGCAGTTTGCCTCATCTCGGCCGAATTCGCAAAGGCATGGTTCTTTCGAACTTCCATGTCCCAGCCTCAGACTCAATTGACAGAGCGCCTGCTTTGGGCTCCCTGTCGCTACCTTTCCACACTGGCTTCACCGCAACATTCCGTTCATCTGAGTTCTGTGCTCCGAACTCCCCGCCCCTCCTACTTGGAGGCAACGCTATAGCATACATCGCCAATGTTCGCACCACTGTTCGTGTCGTTTGCATGGCTCTGACCGAGACTGACGAGAAAGCGTCATCTGAGCCGCCTTCGCCTTCCGAGCCCGAATTTTTCAGCTTCGATAGCGATTCACAGCACCCTTCTGGCGAGAAGACTAATGGCACCGCAACAAATGGTTTCATGGGTAGAAAAGACGGTGATGCGGCCTCCGATGGAATTCGCCGCCGCTCCTCGGCAACAGATATCAGCAAAGTTGTTTCTGGTGCCTCATCTGTCTCCATAGTGGGTGCCGCTTCCTCTGCAGAAGCACTGAAAGAGGATGTGAAGATCAGCTTTGCGCTAGTCTCGTCTGTTGAATGGCTTGAACTCGGATCCCAAGTTATCGTCATGCCTGGTATCTCGATGGCCTCTGCATCGTCTCAATCCGGGGCTACAGTAGCGTCTGCTCCCGGTTCTGGTTCTGGTTCTGGGGCTGCCTCTATGTTCGGGTTAGAAGGGTTCGTGGGAACGCTCTGCGAGATTGTTCTTGGGCGGGTCCCGCCACTCGAGAGCTAGGTTAATGGCTTCGCTATATTTGGGCGACGACTGTCTAGCCGGTGAATGTTTTTTTTCGTTTTCTGTTCAATATTAGTTCAAGCGTCCTTCAGAACAGAACATAGTTGACTTGGCATCAGTCATATGCATATTTGTCTTTCGAATTTCAAAAGTAGGTTGACCCTAATCCCATTTTCATTTCATGTATGCAGACACCCAAAGTGAGTGACTGCTCCTCACGATTTAGATAGATTTCCTAAGTTTCAACGTATGAAGAAATCGCGTCAATATCATTGGGCTGAGGGATTGGTATTGTAGCAATTGACTAGGTTACTGAGTCTAGTATTCTCGGCCAGGGACAGGTATGCCCAAAGAACGATATTCAAGGCAAAGCAATTGATAGCAACACGGCCGATAAATTTTCGAAGACATGTAGAGCCCATGAAAGCCCAGAGATATTCCTTCAGCCAGGCAGGGCCACTGACTGCGCAATTATCCTATAAAATCCGCTTTCGAATTCATCTCATCTCCGTTGCAACATCGCTTTCGCTAGGGGTGTTTCCACAAATGTTGATCAGGCGCAACCAGAACGCTCGGTTCGACGCTAAACCTCAGACCAGTGTTGCTGGAAGTCTGGGTTGCCGAGTTGTGAATGGGTGGCACGTTTACCCGCCTTTGCGCTGATCACCAGGGTGACGGGAGAAGGTGCTGGTAGAGCCAATAGTGGCGCTCGCGTTGCGAAGCTCGATCTTCTTGCGCTCCATCTCAAGCTAAATTTGAAGCCGTTAGATTGAATGTGACTTTGTGGTTTAACCCAGTAAATTTAATTTACTTACCACTTTGCGTACTCTAGCAAGAGCAGCCGTGTCACCCTCGACAATCGGGCGGCAATCATCGACGCGGTAGGGCGCAGCGATGGTCACGGCATCGGCGACAATGATGTTATGTCCGTTCCACCGCGCTGGCATAGTACGACTGAACGCATCGAACAGGTCCTGAGCCTCCCGAGTCACACCCTTGCCACGACGCGCTTCACGATCGAATGCCTCACCAATAGCTTTTGATTCGCGCATTTTGAGCGCACGAGTGTCTAGTGCCTGGATCGTGGGCTGCGCGTCTGTGAAGGATGACGAGTTGGAGCCCGAAGGTACGGCGAGGGCCAGAAGCTGGAAGTTGTGGATGCGCGAGATTGGAATTACATGGTAATCACCGTTCTGCGCCTGTTTGGCATCACCAGGGTTGGCCGGAGGGGCTGTGTTGATGGCCACGAGGTTGGTGATTGGGCATGCTGTGAAAAGAGTACCTTCTAGGATTGACTGATTGGGCTGGGCAGTTGTGATACGCACGCTAGAGAAGAGCGACAGGTCAGGTTGGCGTTGCGACTATGTACATACGAATGTTGACAGATAAGACTCACCGGGCACCGATCGCCCCGCTCAATGCCGCCTCCAAGGGCACTGTAGCTGCCGCCATTCCTGGGCCTGCGGCGTTGCCAGCTTGCTTTTGCGTCGACGCCTTCACTGAGCCCTGACGCTTGTTCTCCGCCATAGACCTATAGCCTCTAAGCTTCCACAAATAAGCTCCGTCCACGAAAGGCCGACGTCACCTCCAAGATGAAGGAGAAAGACCTGTTCCCGTGTAGAGCGCAATAGTAAAGTCCTATATGATAGGATCAGGACATCGGAAGCCGAATCAAACGTAAGTGGCTTGTCCACAAGAAGTTGTCGATTGCACCCCGGATCGTAGGTGGGCTGGATGGCGCTGTTAATTGACTCCTCTGCTGAGAAACGAGCGTGGCTCAAGGGGAGCTGGCAGACTGGCACAACCCCAAAAGAAGAAAATAGGAAACAAGCACCGCGCCCGAACCAGGTATCTATGGAAGAAGAATGGACTCGGAGGTTCCAATAAGATGGCAGGGTCGACGTTGCACGGATGCTCCTTTAGGCTTAGTGTTAACACCCGATTACTTCATCGTCGCCTCAGGCAGCTATCTATATCGAGCAATATAAAATGGGATGAGATCTGAGAAGTCCCTCCATCACTATTTTTTTCATGTATTTCTTCTCGTTCTTCAAACCTTCTTTCCAGATATTGAGAGGAAGGGAGCGCTTAGCAGGTATGACATGGGATACCTAGGTACAAGCTCTTCTCAACTATATATTGATCCAATTACAACTATACGCATTGAAAGACTAAGGAGTGAGAAAAATAATGAGATATGGCCATATGAATTCAATGATTTTGGCACCGCATTTTGAGATATTGAAATACAGAGTGGTTATTCAGGATATGTGCAGCATAGCTTTGAACTCCTGGTTGTTGGCCCGAAGGTGCTTATGAAGGTGAGGTGGTATCCGAAGAAGGCACTGGGAAGATTGGCACATATTGAGAGAATGCGGCTATTGAGAGAATGCGGCTTTAGACATCGATAACAACATCTCGTAGAGCGCTTAATTGAAATTGGAGACCAAACAGAATCCAACGTATGAGATGGATTCGGGTCTGCGACAGTGACGTGGCTTAAACAGACCACGATTGCAAGTTGAATACCATTGCCGAATGAATGGAAGCTAAGAAAGCTTTCACACTGTGGAGTCTGGGCGAGTAAATTTGTTGTTCGGATGAGACCGTAGGGTATCAAAATTTGGCATAAGAAAAGGCCAAGTAGAAAAAGACTCATTACATTCTGCGGAAGGCGTTGTTGGAAGCACTGCGGCGTTCTTTGGCCTTGAACGATGTATCGGGTTTGTCGTATTGCACTTCCGGTGCGACGCGCTTGGGTTTCCCAGCGGGGTTGAAACTGATTTCCTTTTCGCCGACGGCGCCGGCAACGAGACGTCGTGCGGGCTTTTGCCTCGACTTCATGGTTTGCGCACGAGAGCCGAATGAACGGTCTCGGGTGGTATGGCTTTGGTTCGAGGAGGATACCTGCATACGTGGCGGAGGTCGCTTCGTCCGCTTGTAGTCTGCAGATGAAATCTTCTTGGAAGCTGCTGCCTTGGCCGGCTTTTCTTGCTCGCTGTCGGAGTCTGAACCATCGGAACTGGAACCGGGAACATCGTCGATAGCCTCTTGCTCGACAGCTGTAAGACCACGTTCCTTCTTTGTAGCCGCGGACGCAGATTCGGGGACCGTGCTGGGATTCAGCAATTGGAATTCGCGTGAGTTCTCGTCCACAGCGAAATCCTGATCCTCGAACAATTGAGCGAAACGGCTGTCGCCCAATACACCCTTGTCTTTGCCTTCGGAACCTGAGGGTGCTGGTGCATCGGCCATTTCTGAATCGGCTCCGCCCTCTACCAGACGTTTGGCGTGACGGCGCTCCCGCTTTTCTTCCGCAATCTTCATCCTTTCGGCCAGTCTCCTGTTCACCTTGACATCGACCTTCTTCTTACCGCGGATGCGGCTCTCACGCTGCTTCTCGATTGCTTGCTCCACCTTGTTCTGCTTTGTGCTGGCACCTTGGCCGAACTGGCTCTGGTGGTACTCATACAGATAAGTTTTCATCTGGTAAGATCCTTCGTTCTCGAGAATCATCTTTCCATCCTGCATGTATGCGTTCACATCGATCGGTGGGATGTGGCTTTCGATCATCTTCGTCTTCCAGCCTGAAATAACATCCTTGGTAACCATAGTGTAACCAGGATAGGCCGCCGATTGAGTGGACTTGAATGCGTTGGGATCGTTGGGGTCCTCAGCCATCTCTTCGACCAGGTTGTCCAAGAATGAGCACCATTTCGGCGCAGGCCCAAGCTGTGGTACGAAGAAGGAGTGTTGCTGCCGACCTTCGTTGGCTGTGAGAAGCATTCCACTGTCCTTGCACCAAGCAACAGATTTAATGTCCACAGCTGGCTCAACTGAGGTCCAAGGCATCTTATCCTCAATGTCCCAAAGCTTGATGATACGCTTATCAGCCGATAGCAGTTTGGGTTCGATTGTGGCAGCCTGGGTTGCGGATGACGGCTCCAGGAATTGAAGTGTGTGGACAGCGAAACCGTATCCCTGGTCCTTGACCTGGTATGGAACAGGCGAACGCAGATCGTACAGGTGAATTAGTCCATTGGACGAACCAGTTCCAAGGCTCATACCGGAGCGGTTGAAGTCCAAAGCAGTGATCTCAGACCGCGCATCATCAAGTCCGACGTGTGCTGGCGGTGCCGGTGGGAGTAAAACACCCGCACGTCCCTTGGCTCTGGGATCCCAGAGCTCAACTGTTCCTAACGATGTTCCGAACGCCAACAGATTGTGACTTTGTTCTGCAATAGCAGCCGTGTTGACAGATCCTGTGTTGATTCCACCTTGAAGGGTTCCGCCACCAGCAGATGTAAAATCGTCACCGCCAACATCTACCTCGAAACTCCGCATGTAGCGGCCCGATTCTAAGTTTAACCGGTAAACCTCTCCCATACCATCCTGGTTGACACCGACTGCGGGAACAAGCACCTCGGTTGACTGGCGGTCGTAGACTAGGTCACGTCCATAGCGAGGAAGTCTGGTGGTGTAGTGACACCCTCCTGGGGTATGGAATTCAAGAGATCGATCGGATTGGAGATGGAGGGACTTTGTGTAATCGGAAGATAGCAAGATGAAGGTTGTGTTGAGAGAGCTCGTGTGACGTGCCCATGAAAGGGATAATTGCGGAAGATAGTGAGTATGGATTTGAGGCTTGTAAGTTCCTGCTTGGTGTTAATAGTGGCACCCAGGAAAATTGACAAGACAAAAGAATCGGGTAAGACGGACCTGTGCTCATAACCCACTCTCCATCCTCACTGACGCGAACACAGTGACTGGCTTCCTCAAACTCAAAATCTTGCAGCAGTTCAACCCGATTAGCATACTCGGGATCATTTTTCAAGCTGCGCTTGCGACGCCGTGCAAGCCATTCAGGCAGTGGCCGAGCACTGTTTGAGCCCGAAATAGTATAAACCGGAACCTGAGATGGGTTGGTCAACTGCATGTTGGCGACAAGTAGATCAATCTACTTTTTCCAAGCTGAAAATGCAATCGTCGGCGAGGATCAACTTGAAGATAAAAAAAAAAACTGCGATAAAAGCTGATAACAGCCACGTGACTAAGTGATCGGTGATTGGCCCGAGTGTCCCTGGCGAACGTCCCCCGGAATTTACGCATTTCCAACTTTCTGTTGACTTCACGCGATGAGCATCGTGGTTGCATCGTTGCCAATTATTTTGATGTTTAAAGCCTGTCTACATGCGGGTGTTGTGTTGGAAGACTCTATCTTTTGTTGATCGCTTCGTCCCGAGCAATATGGCATCAGCCAGCTAATACATTCGTTGCTTGTTGATCTCCCCGTCATACGCTTTCGGTCCTTGTCACAGACCATGCAACTTGCGGTTGGAAATGACTTCCAGAGTCATATTAAATATCTCTTCTATCTTTAAAAGCTTCCGGGACTGTCCGCGACCATTGAATTATGGACTTCCCTGGGGGCGCAAACACCAACATACATCTTATTGTAAGTATTGCAAGATCTTGCAAGACTTCGAGATACTGACAAATATATTAGGATGGGTTCTCTAATATTTACTGGAGAATATACACGGAAGAAGCTGGAATCACAAATAATCCACAGGAAGGACCCGCCAATGGCTACACTATTCTCAAACACCTAAGTCGCCTCAAGGAGCTTGAGGCTCAGTTAAGACATCTAAATTGTCTCGCGTCATGCCCGAGACGTTTGGGGCTTTGGGTATTTTCCCCTACTCCCGATTTTGAAAGTCTGAAACCCCTTTATGTGAGGGGCAGCGACGCCGAATCAAATAAAATTGTTGTCGGTACAACAACTTTGAAAGGTATGGAAATTGCTACCTTCTCGAGTTTTTCGATCTGTGTTTCTTTCTAACTTTGGTATAATAGTTTCTGCTTTGGGGAGTGTTACCTCACTCGATTTGGTGAGAGGTCTGTCATCTGACAGTCAGAGCCAGCACGGTAGTAGCCAACCCTCTGTACAGCCAAGGCCAAACCAGGGCCAGCAATCATCGCGGCGTCAAGATAGCTACAGCAGCTCAGCAGCCATCTATGCCTCATTCATATCTGCAGTCACTGGTGCAATCAGCCTTCAGTTGATTCGACATCATGCTGCTCTACCGCTCGGATCACGCACTCTCTTCACTGCGGTGGAAAAACTAGGCTACGAAAGTCCCCACATCAACAATGACAGCATTCTTTCGACCTCTTGCTTGACAACGCTTAACACCCAGCTGACTATGGGTGGAACAATCACTGTTTCCGCCCAGACCATCTCCCAAACGGGCATCATGCGACTGTGCACCCCCCGAGATAACAATAATGTCACACTCAACGCGAAGGCTGGGATCGATGTATGGCTATGCCCCAACGGGACTATCGCTAGGCTTGTCACTCCCATTGTCGATTCCTCAAACGTTCCCTCTCCAATCTATGCCACATCCGGAGACTTACCTGCGAAACAAACACAATGGAAATTGGATGTTGTTCAGTGGCTTCGCAATTTTGGCATGCATGTTGAGTCCATCGATGAAGAACCTTGGGTGCAAGTGGAGGTCTGGGAGCCATTCTTTGCGAGGCTTGCTGGGGAGGCATGGCGACAAAGTGATGATAGTCAGTCTACTCTGCCACTGAAGCGCATGTTATGGCCAGCGAGATTCTGCTTCAGAAGGGCTAGCTCATCAAAATCCTCTTCCGAGGCTCGGATTTCATTGCTTGACGATCCTCTAGATTTTGCCGAGCAATGGTCTACAATGACAAGCTCTCTCCAGTTAGACCATGTTGTCAACCCAGCCCAAAATAACCCTATCGCCCAAGAAGCTCTACTCAAAGACCATGAATTGCCATCGTCTCCAAAAGTTGAAAGTACAGACAACATAGAAAGTTTATCCCGAGTCGCGCAATATCCTGATCTACAAACCGCAAACCTTGTGTATCCGACTCCCCCGGATGGAGCTGCAACGACTGGGCTCAACAATCCGAACCCAACCGAAGCCTTTGTTGACGATTCTGATTTTGGACTTCCTCACGCCCCCCAACAAAATTTAAGAAGAAATGCCCCAATATCTGATTCACCGCCCACCCAGAACAACGGCGTCGGTGTTGGCGTCGGCACTGGCCGTTATGACGAAAGTGACGAGGAGGATCTCTTTGGAGAAATGAACGAGAGAGATTTTGGGTCGAAGGGTATCACCGATGCGGATTTTAGCTTTTTTGACGATCCCGATTTCGAAGGTATGGGGGTTGATGCTCAAATGGAAGAAATGCAGCAACCCCGTCCACTTTCTCACGATCAAGGCTACTTGGAGCCCGAGGACATTATTGAAGAAGATCCAACTCTCAATCAGTCACCAGAAATCACAACCCATGTCGAGTCACAGAAGGAACACTCCTCTCCGGTCCATAATGAAGACCCGCAATCGCCTCGCCAACCCATGGAACTTGAAGAACCTGTTCATCCGCCTATAGATAGGACACCTCAAACCATCAGCCCACCCTTGAGCCCAGTCGAAGTGAAAAGGATATTGTTTCCAGTGGCCAAGTCAGCAAATCACAGTCAGCCCCCCTTGGACCCGGGCCAAGGACATTATCATCCAGTAGCTTTTGAAAAAAGACTTGAAGATTGGGACCGGAAGTATGGAGCAGCTGGCAAGTTCTGGTTTTCTACGTTTGGACCGCTTGAGACGTCAGATCAGACTTCTGCTATACCTACTATTGGAATACCCCGCCGCGGGCGAAGCGTTGTCAACGGACTTGGCTCTACGAAAGAGCACACGCTTATAGGTTCATCTCTAACAAGAACAGAAAAGGGTCCTCGATCATCTTCTATCAGCAGCGAGAGCAGTGACGACAGTGTTGAAATGATCTCGGAGCACGCTCCAACACCGACAACCATCCCCACTATACCCTCTCTGAAACGGAAGCGAGCTCCTTCGGACTCCGAAATATTGTCAGTTGCATCGCCACAAAAGCTCTTGGCTGGGAACGAAGCAAGTCCCGCATATGCGACAGAGAATATGACTTTCTTGGGCAACTTCCTTGCCAACTTTTCTGACTGGAATTTGACCGGGTACTTCTCTGCTTTAACACCCCAACAGCTCCCGGTTCTTCTTCGCCGAGAAGATCAGCTTCAGATTGCGCAGCTTCTAGTCGATCAAATCACGCAGTCATCTCTAAAGCACCCGCTTGATGGCCATATTGGCCTTTTTGACCTTGAGAGCGAATTCTCACCGTTGCAAACTCTCGATAGCACGAACCTGCTAGGTGATGCTTCGAGGTTGGATTTCAAGACATACACATCATTGCAAGATGAGTTTTCTCTCAATCAGCCGCAACATGTGCCACCGCCCAACGATGTTCCAAAAAGCTTTATATCGAAATTACCTGCGCCCCACGTACGGATTCGCCGGGGCAAGCAATATTTAGAGGCACTTCCCCCGCTGTGTCTTTCTGGGAAACTTTCGGCCTTGAACCTGCTCATGGAGCGAAGAACATTTCTGCTTACTGCATTCACCCAGTGGCTGCATCAAAAGCAGCAGAGGTGTTTCTAAGACGTTTCGGTCTTCTTTACCAAAGTTGCAGTCTTGGTGATCATACCAGAGGAGAGTGTTCCATGTCATTTGAGGGAGGGCTTAGGGCATGGCAGTCTGAAACATCTAGCTATGAATCTATGATGCAGGTACTGAAGGGAATATGCGAGGAGCTTGGTATGTGATTATGTTCAAATTGATATATCTTACTGACTTCATCTCAGGCTCGGAGCTCTCACAATCCCCACCAACTGCTGACAACTGTGTTGTTTACATCATCAACCCATACATGCATGCTGCCGCGCTCGCCGACATCTGCTCCGCCTTCTGGCAGCTTTTCCAGCAGTTAGTTGCCGATTCCGAGCGTCGGCAAGTTCGGCCTGTCAATGAGCTTGTCCTCCAAATCATCCCGCTAGAGTTCATCATGTCAAGTGAAACGATGGTCGTGCCTCCCCAATCAGATTACCTGAATTTGGCGCTGGAAGTCTATAGTCGATGCCGTCCAATGGATGTCGATATGAGCCCTCTACTTTGCGCGCCGCCAATCCTCCTAGCTGATCCCGTACCAAGGGCAATCAGCTTCCGATTGGCTTCCGAGCGGGCTTCACCACTTCAAGAAGGGCGAAGCCTTCACATTGCTTGCTCCAAAAGTTTAGATCAACGCTGGATATCAGTGGCATGGTCCGATGTCCCTGGCTCAATTCAAAGAACCATGTCCTACTGTCTACGGTATCGTCAGTCGGGTGGTAGCCGGCCAATTTCCGAAGTGCGACAGGAAATTTGGACTACGACCAAGCATATTATGGACAAGCTTCAAGCACGGTGGAAAGTCCAATTGGTGACCACTGACCCAATAGAACCAGATGAGGCTGAAGGTAGGTTTTTCTGATCAACTCAAGGGAATTTCCGCTAACGACTCCATAGCTTGGGCCAATCTTGCGGAGCAGCACAATCAGTCGCGACCTGGGTCTCTAGAATTGACTATTCTGGCCGTCAATGTCATCCCCGACTTGAATCTCGAACCCCCATCCCCGCCAGTGTCGATGGCCATGATCAATTCTTTGTCTTCTTCCACGCCCGTTTCGACTCCTATTCCAAGTGCCAGCGTTGCATCCCCAGAACAATCTGGCAATGCAGCAACACCAACTAGCGGCCCCGCTGCTTACAGTGCTCCTACCCCAACGGATATGTCACTTGAAACCGATTCGGATGCAGTTCTCATTGATATCTGCGATGAGTCTTGGTTAGCCATCTTGTCGCACCGCCTCAACAGCTCTCCACACCTCACCGAATTCAGACCTGCTCTGTCTAGTGGGTATCTCCTCCGCCGTAAAGGCGCAACTGATGCCGACGGCGTCTTTGCCATGGCCGTCAACCTTATCCATTCACCACATCCCCCATCATCTCATGACAGTGTTTTGAAAGATACCTTGAGCATGTATCGGGACTTGGGTTGCCTCGCCCGGGCTAAGGGAATATGCAGCGTGCAAAATAACACACTGCCTTGGCACATCGCCACGGCTCTCCGTGCACAACAGCTACTCAGTTATGTTTTTTGAGCGAGATACATGGTTTATCCGGCGTACCGGTTTTTTTTTTTGTCTTAAGGTTCATGTATGTTAAGGATTCTTGGTGGTGGGTTCAATGTCTTATTACATAGTTTGGGTGGGGAGATATGTATACCCCTGGAGGCAGTGCATTTGACTTTGTTTTTCTCTGTACTGTGCATGATTGTTTCAATATCCCGGGGTCAAAATGTGGATTCTCTCATGATATGTATACGCACAACGGTCTACCCTCATACCCTTAAACTATCACCACATCTTTGAGATACTACAGGAAAAGCGAGAGAGATACGATTGTATGTTCCAAAATGGGTCAAATCAAATTATGTCAGTGGAAATATGCATCGTGTAGCCAGGGAACCCAATAATGTGCATCAAATAAAAATATGAAAAGTACAATATGTACCAAAATAGACCCCAACACCACACTCATAAGTAACAGAAAAAAGCGAAAGAAAGAATACATCAAAAGCAATGGATGTGCGGATTTTCTCCAGGTCGCCAAGGATAATACAGAAAAGGCGTTTCGTGAATGTCATGATCATATCACAGCTCTTGGTCGCAAATAGCATTTCGAATGCCAACATAAAGGGTATCGTATCACAGGAAGGGTCGTAGTCGTTGATTCGCGTGGAAAGGGCTTAGAGGTTGAGGGCGCAGTGGTCACTGCAACCCTACTTGATCACCCCTCGGCTGCACTCTCAGCATCTCCTTCTTTTGTCTTCGAGAAGAAAGAGACATGATTGTTGACTGCATAGATAGCGAATCCAGCGAGTGCGAGGAGGAGAAAGAGGACGATGATAATGATCGCAATGGTCATATTGCGTTTCACCATTTTGGATGGATGCGATCTGGGCAGATCGGAAGTTGATGGGTTGAGATTGTGGAGATTTTAATCGTAGCTTCGTGACTTAGGTAGGACGGACGTGTGACACAGAATGAAATCAAATCAAAACACCACAGTGTGGTGGGCAGCAATGCGTCGGGTTTGTATACCCGGGAAGTATGCAGCCAGCTTGTCGGGCCGGCTCTGTCAACACACAACTCTGCTTTCTTTTTGAGAGGTACTGATAAGATCGGAAGAATGTGAAATTGGGAAGAGAAAAATTAAGAGCAACTGGAATGTAAATGGGTTTTAAGAAGATCGCTTTTTTTTCCCAGCCATGTGTTTTTGAGGGGGGCTGGGGAAGTGGGTACGGGTACCTGAGTTTAATATACTGGCCACATAGATTTCTCAGGTACCAACCTCATCTGATACACCTTCAATTTATTCGATTGGATCGAGATCATGATTTTGACATAATATTGGCTTTTTTTGAATTGAATTTTGTTACTCTACATGTACGCAGTGAGACGGCGTCACATAGAACCAAATGGTTCAATTCTTGGAAGTCTGTTGTGCTTAGGTAGGTACTTATGTAGTCATCTTTAATTTGAGCCGTGGGTATATGAGGCGCCAAGTTTAACCCAGTATCTTCAAGCCTCCCTTGGTCTTTCCAGGCTTCTTGACGCCATCTTTCTTGACTTTGCCACCAGTATTACCACTCTTGTTGCCGCCGCCATGTTTCTTTCCCTTGCCGGGCGCTTCTGGGCGGATCTCAGTGTTGGCGCGCCGAAGTAGAATTGGGTGCGAACCAATGTACTTGTGTTGCATCTCTCGTCCTGCTTTGAAGTAGTCGTCGCCGTTACTGAAGCTGATGAACCCAAAGCCTTTGCTCTTCTGTGTGCGCTTTTCTCGAATCACACGCGCTTTCTGGACTGAGGTGTAGCGAGAAAATGCCTTAAGCAGAGACTCGTCAGTCACTTCGCCTGCAAGATTGCCCACGAACAGACGGAAATGCGCTGGGTCCCAATCAAGAAGAGTGTCATCGTGCCATGTTTGACCACCACCAGATCGAACCACCGTTTTCTGTGACTCGGGCTGAGGGGTTGGAGTGCTGGCGCCAATGGTTGGTGTTCCAGCCCCGGTGTTCATGCCTGAACCAGCCTGGCGTTTCTGGCTGTCCTCGGTGGGATTCGCGTAAGCGCTCTGCCACTGCGCGATTTGAGCTTCAGTCTCTGCGTCGAAGTTGGGATCGTTGCCATTTTGTCTGGACCCAGGGCCGGACTGGTTCGGGGTAGAACCGAAAGGATTTGTTATGTGTGGTACGGTCGGGCCGTATGTGGTTGGGCCGTATGTGTTTTCAGTGTACTGAGGCTGGCCATAGTATGAGGGGGCGCTCTGGTAGCTTTGGGCGCTCTGGTAGCTTTGAGGTTGTTGCTGATAGTGAGTGCCGTAATTCATGGCAGGGGCTGCGTAGCTAGCAACAGGGACTGGAGCGGCCGAGATCACCGGCTTGTTGGCGCGATGTGGCTGACTGGAGGCCACGGCGCGTGGCTGGAATGCGGTGAAAGCATTGTATCCTGGCCTGCCGCCAACGGCAGGTGGCTGTGCGGCATTGGATGAGGGAGGAGGGCGAGGAGGAAGCGACGAGGGTGTCTGCTTGAGACCTGGAGGAGGCGGATAGGACATGATGAATGGTTTGTCGAAACAGAATGTAGAGAGAGAGAAACAAAGAGACGAGCTTGCTATTTGCAAAGTAGCAACTGCAACGTACCTTCAAGGCCTGACTGATAGTTCTTCAAGTCAGTTGCCCAACCACTTGAAACAGGATCAAAATTAGATAGCTGAAATGATGAGTTGTTTCAGCAAATGTCTTCTCAGTGAGGCTTGAGAAGCAGGCGTGAGAGGAAGAACCCTTGAAGCACGTAGTTGCGATAAAAAGCCGTCAGAGATTCGCTGCGGGATCTGTTCCAAAAGTGAGGTTGAATATATTCCGTACACCGCCTGCAGAGCTGGCAGATAGATCAAGGGCGGTGAAATAAGCGTTTCTATCACCACGTGACCTGGGGTCAAGCTTTCCGATGACATAATCCTCGTTGAGGTCATCAGCTCAACTGTGACCCCCACTCTAGTCCTAAAACAGCCTAGTTCCACTGCGAAGACCGGTTATGTAGGCGTCGCATCGGCAAGTGAAGAGTTTCTCCGTCGACTCTCTACCAGAACAGTTCACCGATACGTGGAAAACGTGGGAGAGGGGTTGATTAGAATGGGTTTCAACAATTTATTCGCGCAATCCATCTCTTAAGCAATCCTTAACTTAGGTACCCGCTGGACACATTCCCTACAAGGTGTCTTACAACCTTCAATCCTTGAATTTCTTTACCCCTCCATGCCCCGCTCCCGTATAGAAGTAGAAAACTGCATGCAAGGACAATCTCCAACAACAAAGTAAAATATAACTATGTAGGTCGAATAGATCGTCAGGAATTGAAGCCGGATCGGATAATGAATTCCCAAATCCGAACAGAACCCGAGTGGGTTGATACCGGACGACTCTGCTCCTGTACCGAGTACTTGGCGCTACACCGGAGAGGGTAAGGACCTCAGAAGTACACGGTACCCCCGCCGGTATGTCCCACCATATGACGGAAGAGTTGCTCCGTCAGCCGGTTCAACTTCTTATTCTCCCCTCCTCCTCTTCTTCATCCTTCTTCCTTCTCTAGATTCCCCCTCTTTCTCAATTCAATACCTTCATATCTCATAAATAATAGTCATGGCTGACCAAGCTGTGTAAGTTCAAGCTTCCCCTTCTACCCCCTCCACCGATCCCATCCTCAGTGGTTATACACCTCTCTGCAATTTACTGCGATACCAGAGCGCAACTAAAAGCTGCTGCTCGGACATCTTCCGACTCTATTTGGAATCTTAGCATTCTCTATAGATGCCTCAAGATGATACCATGAGGATTCGAGGGTTCTGATCTTCTTCGGAACCCCGCGGATTTTCTTTCCTTCTATACCATTGTGATATTTTACCCAGCTATTGACGAGAGACATTGATCGCTGACGATAGCGCACGTCTCGCCGGCATCAATGTCGGCGCTCCGGCGCACCATGCTCCTAGTGCTGATTTCGGCCTCATCGGTCTGGCCGTTATGGGCCAGAACCTGATTCTGAACGTCGCCGACCACGGTTTCACCGTTTGCGCTTACAACCGTACCACCGCCAAGGTTGACCGTTTCCTAGAGAACGAGGCCAAGGGTAAGCTCTACTGAACAAGCGAGGTTTCGATTTCCGAAAATGCTCATTGTTTTGACTAGGCAAGTCCATCGTCGGTGCTCACTCCATCCAGGAGTTCTGCGCCAAGCTCAAGCGTCCCCGTCGCATCATGCTCCTCGTCATGGCCGGAAAGCCCGTCGATGACTTCATTGAGTCCCTCCTGCCTTTCCTTGAGAAGGGTGATATCATCATTGACGGTGGTAACTCCCACTACCCTGACAGCAACCGTCGCACTCGCTACCTCACCGAGAAGGGCATCAGCTTCGTTGGATCCGGTGTCTCCGGTGGTGAGGAGGGTGCCCGTTACGGTCCCTCCCTCATGCCCGGTGGTAACGAGGCCGCCTGGCCCCACATCAAGGACATCTTCCAGAGCATTGCCGCCAAGAGCGACGGTGAGGCCTGCTGCGACTGGGTCGGTGACGAGGGTGCCGGTCACTACGTCAAGATGGTCCACAACGGTATTGAGTATGGTGACATGCAGCTGATCTGTGAGGCCTATGATATCCTTAAGCGTGGTCTTGGTCTCTCCCACAAGGAGATTGGTGATGTTTTCGCCAAGTGGAACACTGGTGTTCTCGACTCCTTCCTTATTGAGATCACCCGTGATATTCTCTACTACAACGATAACGATGGCACTGCCCTTGTTGACAAGATCCTCGACAAGGCTGGCCAGAAGGGTACCGGAAAGTGGACTGCCATCAACGCTCTTGACCTCGGCATGCCCGTCACCCTGATTGGTGAGGCTGTCTTCTCTCGCTGCCTCAGCTCCCTGAAGGAAGAGCGTGGCCGCGCCAGCGCCATTCTCAGTGGTCCTACCCCCAAGTTCGAGGGCGACAAGCAGGCTTTCATCGACGATCTTGAGCAGGCCCTCTACGCCTCCAAGATTATCTCCTACGCCCAGGGCTTCATGCTCATCCAGGACGTAAGTATACATATTCACCCCCGTCGAATTTCCGTTACTAACCACCATTCTCTCTATAGGCCGCCAAGCAGTACAACTGGAAGCTCAACAAGCCCTCCATCGCCCTCATGTGGCGTGGTGGCTGCATTATTCGCTCTGTCTTCCTCAAGGACATCACTGAGGCCTACCGCAACAACCCCGACCTCGAGAACCTGCTCTTCGACGACTTCTTCAAGAAGGCCATTGACAACGCCCAGAACGGCTGGCGTAACGTGATCAGCAAGACTGCTCTCTGGGGTATCCCCGCCCCCGCCTTCTCCACTGCTCTCAGCTTCTACGATGGCTACCGCTCCAAGAACCTGCCTGCCAACCTCCTCCAGGCCCAGCGTGACTACTTCGGTGCCCACACTTTCCGCATCAAGCCCGAGCACGCCAGCGAGACCTTCCCCGAGGGCCAGGACATTCACGTTAACTGGACCGGCCGTGGTGGTGATGTTTCTGCCTCTACTTACATCGCATAAGCGTATTGAGTTGAGTTTTTTAAGGGTAAAAAAATCGGATGTTCAATGTATTTAGATGCCTCCATGGAACATGCCCATGATCCGTAACGAAGTCATTTTTCTTTTTCTTCTATTTCTACTTCTTTTTTTGCACTGAGTCTAATGGATCTGAAATGTATTTGGTTAATAAAAGATTATGTATTTCAGTAACGACTCACCTCTCCATGTCTCCTATGAACATCATCCTGAGTTACGCCCTTTGATGAATAATGTAAACGTTTACTGTACCCACACCAGACTCTGTATCCAGGTTAACTAACACATTGCTTCTTGCATGTTGCCACATCATGCCCGATTAGCAAGTCCAGGCTTTCACATTGCCTTGTGCATAGCGAACTACTCATTCGCCGTTCTTCTTGAGACTGGCGCCATTGCTCAGACGGTTTTTGATGATTCATACTACCTAGGTATCTCTGGATGCAAATCCTCAATGGCTTTGTGCAATTAAGACTACGGGAAGAAAAGAATGAGTACTGAATTTGAGGTTTCGAATCCGCCGCAAATAGGACCGCTTGGGCAGATATAGGTGCTGTCTATCATAGGTCCACGTCATGAGCCTCGAGTCCTGGTCAATAAAGTGGACGCGGAGAATTTATTCTTCGCCGCCGCTGGCGCCTTAATGTCAGATCCCTGACGATATTCGGGATTTATGAAGGCCTGGCCTTCTCACCGCTCTCTTTGAGAGAAGGCATGCTCAAATCAATTCGTATTCAATTTTAGACACTAGAATATACGCTTGACTATGCTTGTACCTGGCTAGCCTCTGTACAGACATGCCTGGATCAGTTTCCACAACACAGTAGTATCAAAATCGCGAGAGATTCTAGAAAAGAGTTTCAAATTTTTATGGACATTCAAGACTGTCTCCAAAACACCAAAATCACCAAATAGACTAAGAATCATATCGTCATATATCAGTTTCCAAGAAACCATCAAGTCATGGAGATCATGCAGGGAAAATGCCAAAGCAAAGCAATCCCGGAACTCTTGAAGAAGAAGAGAAACAAAAAAATAAGGACTCCAAAAACAACAGTAATCCCAATCTCTATGCACATCGCAGTAATCAATCTGGGATTGGAGCATTCAGTCTATGAACGCAATCAACCAAGCGTTTTATAACCAAAACAAAAAGTGCACACTCAATCACAAAGCCAGGCGAAGGAAGAGTGATGAAAACAAAAGGCTATGTTGAAAAAGAAATAAAGAAGACCCTCAAAGCATATTTGAGAGGCAGATGTGGATGTAGACGTAGATGTTCTACATAGTCCAAGATACCTTCAAGCCCAAGCATGGAACCCAGGAAGCCCAGCTCCCCGTCGTCCACTACCACGCCTCGACCCACCAGTGGAGTCCGCGCCACCATGATTATGTCTCCCTTCCTCCAGGCTACGCCGGGAAGCGCCAAAATCACTCATAGCAAAAAGCAGCGGCTCGTCGTCTTCAGGGGCCTGCGCAGACAGCGTGCGGCCCGCACCGGGCCGTTGGCCGCTGCCGCGGCGGATTTCCAGCGTCGAATTGCCGCTGTTGCTTCCGCTGGCGTTCCCGTCCCTATCGTCACGCTCTGCTAGGTGTGCGAGGTTGCCGCGGGCTAGGCTGCTGGACGCTGAGCTGAGGGAGTGGCCGCCTGAGTAGCCGCGGCCGCGGGAGCTGGCGAAGCGGGGCTGGTAGACGTGGGGGTTGGAAGAGGCAGAGGCGCCAGCTGCACTGGGCATCTGATTGCGGAGGGATGAGCTGTCTCGGTATGGGCCTGTTGCAGATCCAGATGCGCCGCTTTGGTCCTCTGTTGGTAATTGGTGATCTTTTTGGGACGTGTTCCGTTGTTGTTCGGCGGCTTGGCTTGTAGTTGGGGGTTCATCGGCGCCAAGACTTAGGCTACGTAGGCCGAAGGGGAAGATCTCGTCGTCGTCGCTTGTGACGGGTGGTCGGCGCTGGGCTGCGGAGCTTGAGCGCCGGTAGGCGGGGTTGAAAATTCGTGGGGATGTAGGGATATCAATGGCGCCTGCGGTTGAAGAGGGGCCGCGCGTGCTTTCCATGCTTGGGTGTTCTTCCAATGGCGAGTCGTGTTCAATGCGAGGGATTCTTGGACGGTGATCGATGTCGATGTCATCGGCAACACTATTTGAGCTGAGACGAGAGCGTATTGCCGGGGTATGAGGCGTATGAGGCGTGTGAGGGGATATGGGTTTTCCTGGAGAGGAGGCTGTGGAGATCGAGGTACCTACAACCATGGGTGGAACCCCTGACAGTTGCTTGCTCGAGGACATTGAGGAGCGATGTAGATGCATAGATTGTGACATTGAGTCAGACAGAGCGGCATTGGAATCTCGCATCCCACGGAAGCGCGCAAGCGCAGTAGCAGTGGGATTTGGTTGACGAGCTCCAGCCTGGGTAGACGCAGTGGTGGACGTATTCATAAGATCCTTCTTCGAATCCAGCATTTTCAGGAAATCAGAGATGTTCTCATCATCTGCGTGAATGGACTCCGCACTCGTCCCGGTAGCTTCTGCAAGCAGGCCCGAGCCGGGCTGTGCATTAGACGATGTAGCACTTGCTCTACCGCTCGAGATATTGTCATCGTCGATTCGGTTTGCTCCCGCAGAGAGGCGACCTCGTCGGTGACTGAAGGAACTGCTGTATCGAGAAAGAGGCGCAGGCTTGGGGGACGCAGAATTAGAGGATGATATAGCTTGTTCGGAGGCAATGGTGATGGGTCTGCGTGCCGATGCGGCAGAAGAGGGAGGCGGCATGAAGCGCGAATCGGCAGATGTACCTGTGGGAATGCGTGAAGACACGTTGCGAGGAGATACTCCTAAGGGAGAGTCCGCTAAAGCTGGGGAAGCAGAAAGAGGGGGAGCTTTGAAGGGCTGGAATGATATCGAAGGACGACGTTGGAAGTTGGAACTTCCAGTTTCGCCAACGATTTGGGCAGCGCGTCCAGATGGAACAGGCTTGCCAGAAGGTAGAAGTTTCTTGTGTGATTCTGTCGGAGAAGGAGAGCCCGCACCTGAATCTCTGAGAGCACGAAGCGCTGAAATAGGGCTTGCACCTGTCGCTGGACCAACCTGATGGAACGTCGAGAGACTTCCGTAGGCACGCGTGACATCTGGATTCTCCATAGTCCTTCTCTCCACCGGCACAGATCCAACTTCTGGATTTAGGCGGTTGATATCTTCTGAGGGCAACGATGGACGGAAGATCTCATCGTCAGCGCCCATGAACCGAGAACTCAACAACGCCTCTGAATCATCAACACGGAAGTCGCAGTTTGTGCGATAGGTGACTTGAACCGTGAAGGGACCCGCAGGTGACTCTGTGACCCCAAAGCTGTATGTGTCTACCACCTTTTCATTTCCTTCACTCAACGGCGCCGTTAAATTATCCAAAGAGAAACCGCCGCGAGAAGTGCTTCCATCCATAACGCGGTACTTGATCTGAAGAGCTGGACTTTGCCGCAATGTCTTATTGCGTTTGCAGAATCTCCATGCAGGCAAGAACTTGGAGTATGTGAATAGAGACCGGAAAAGCACAATACTTTTCTTATATACCGTGGGCAAGATGGATCCCAAGTCAGACGGAGGCCTACTTGTCGCCTCTCCCAGCTCGATCCTCCATCGCTCCAAGACGATCTCCTCGTTCCCCGACTGGTGTGGCTTTGCACGGGTGCCCTGAAGAGCCAAGAGCGACTCACGCACATCCCATCGCTTCCCGTTCTCGTCCAAAATCACCAAGCTCTGGTTATTTGTCAGACCCTTGGTATCTAGGTATGTTTCGATAACAAGGGGCGGAGGCCGATTATCCGTGGCGTCGCAGGTTCGCCATGGTCGCAGGGGTTCTCGAAGGATATCTGTGTCGTCTAGCTCGACATTAAACTAGGCGAAGGATAAAAGAAGTTAGCAACCGCTACTTTGATCTGCTAAATTGCACCAGAAGGGATCCAAGATGCGACCATGGTCCACATACCCAGCGGTTAACTCTCGGGGAGTCGGAGCCTTTGTTGAAGGATTGAGGCAGTGCGACACGAGCGTGCAGGATAATCAAAGCGGCCTTTGTGTGGTAATTCTACCCAAGAGATGGACTGTTAACGGATTGTCCCGATAAGCCTGAGGGGGGGGGGGGGGGGTATCTGCTCCTACCGAGATTATCTGGTTTAATCGGGTGAGGGCCTCCTTGCCCACCGCCGCATTCCTCGCTTGTTCGGAAGACTGCGATCCCGGTTCTATTCCCAGCCCCCTGGCCGAGTGAGAGCCCATCTCGACGGTTGGGGAGCTTGGGGCGGTGTCGTCTCGGTCGTCCCGAGCTGTCAGTCTGGGGATATTGGGCCCCGTCTGCGGTGCTGGGGACCGTGGATGTTGATGCATGATTACCTGAATGGCAACTGCAGCCACAGGTTAGCAGCCAGCGCATCGACATGTAAAGGGGAGAGAGAGCCTTACCCCAGATGCCGAGAAGCCCAGATGCCCAGGGTGATGAAGCGGAGATGGTTATCGGAATCTGTTATCAGGAACGCAATCGGGCATCGATGGGTCCAAGGCGGCTGGCCATGCTAACAGAGTGATGTTATTTCTAGTTTCCACCTTGATGGGAGGCGCTAAGTGATTGAGACAATTGGAGCATGATCTGGGGGGAAATGTTTTAGTACCCCAGTTCTGAGTTCCGCAGCTTTCAATGTTCTAGAGGTTTCAAGATTCTCCAGATCATAGATAAGGATTCAAGATTCAACGAGAGGAAATTTGAAAAGAACCAAAAGAGAGACAAGCAGAACCAAAATATTTCAGGGTCAAAGATTAAAGATAATGCGGAGAAAGAGAGAAGGGGGCGTAATGGAGATTGTGACGCACACCCGGTGACTCGACAGGTCTCGAGTTATCCGCAGCTGTCGAAGTCTCTCAGCCTCCACAACTGATGCAAACGATACCGGAGGGGGGTTTCTGCCTATCGCTGCCTATATCCTGGTTATTTAAGTACATTGAAATATATATACCTAGGTAGATACATATATCTTTCTCTCTCTCTATTCACGTATAGTACACATACATACTGTGTGTAGATCGCCATACCCGGGATAGTACCTTGGTACCCGGACCCTTTACCGCTGAGATAAGAAATGCAGCTGATCACGACTTTGTGATCGCCACTTTTCTCATTTTCGTATATTGTCATCTGGGGGGCAGATGACTACATCTTGATTTGGGAAAGAGAGAGATATATATATAACATGCGTATATATACCTGCGTGTCTAGTTCATGGAATGTTACACAGTTGTGTGATTCAACGTCACCGATAGCTTCTATTGATCGACATACCTTCCAAAGGAATTCTGAGAATGTCAGAATCTTCCACGGTTGCTCTCGGTCTTCCAAGGTTGTTCGCGAAAGAAATTAAATGAGGTAAAGACAAATGGTTCATTTCATTAATGAGAAAGGAACAAAGACAAAGTGATGTGGTTCATTTCAACTAAAGTATATACACATTGGTCAATTCGCCCCTCAAAGTGTATTACTTAGCACCGAGACATCATTCTTGACATTAGCATCCTTCTGACCCAGATGGCTCAACCCATCAATCAGCTTCGTGAGGATCGGCTCAAGCTCCACACCAAGAGCGATCGGGTTAAGAATAAAGTCAAGCTTGGTATTCTTAGAGCAGCCGCTGGCCGTCTTGCCCTCAAAAGCATCACTAACAAACCTGACGGCTTCAGGAAATGCAATAACTTCGGTGGTCGCGTGACCGCCATTGGCATAAGTAGTGAACTTAACATCCGCACCCCAGTTACACCAGGAATTAACCATGGCAGTAGCATTGGCATAGGGAATAATTTCGTCCTGAGAGGCGTGGTATACGAAGACAGGCGCCGTTGGTGTTTCGTCCTGGTTGACAGCCATGGTGTTCTGCTTCAGAACAGACTGGATAGTTGGCTCATTGAGGAGACCAGTTCCCAAACTTTGATACTTGGTATCAAACAGCGACTTTTCCGCAAAGTTCAATAGATCCTGAACTGCACAGTTGGTAGCGGCGGCATTGACCACCTTCTGACCCTCTGGCGTAAAGATCTTACTGACAATAGGCTCAAGCTGGGCGCCGTAGGCACTTGGTGCCTTAAGACCGACAACAGCCGCAGGAAGGAACCCACTGAAGGCCGTGTTGTCGGCCGTAAGAAATGTGCCTGTGACGTTGGCAGGAGTGCCACCCTGAACCCAGCCCTTGATGTTAAGCTCTGGTGCATATTTAGGCTGCAGAGAGCCAGCCCAGCCTGTGGCAATGGAACCGCCTGAATAACCCATGCCAACGACCATGGGGTTTTCACTCAGACCCAAGGTTTTGAAACTAGCAACGGCCCGGATTCCATCTAGCACGCCCATGCCTGCGAGCCGGCCAGGACCAAAGGCCGCATCGGGACCCTCGTAGTCTGGAGAGGCGACGGTATACCCGAGAATGATATATGCCTCAATGAGCAACAACTCGACCGAAGCAATGAGACTGTCCTGCGGTGTGCCTAGTTGGTAGGCGTAGCTGGGGTTGCATTTCACCGCAGAACTATCATATGCTGTGGCGAAGGAGATAAATCGATCGGACTTGGCGTTCTTCGGCTTGAACACAGTGGTCACGGTTGCGATGGCAGAGCCATTGACAGCAGTAGTGCGGTAGAGCAACTGATGAGCCTCAACAGGATTGGGAAGGATGCCGAAGAAGGCAGAACTGATACTGCGCTGAGCGAGGATGGTTCCTGGTGCTTTGGATTCATAGCCAGCTGGAGGTTGGTAGAATGGATCAGAGCTGGGATTTGGGACTGCGCGAGGGAATCGAGACGCAGGCCGCGCTGAGGCAATTGAGAAGAATGCCAGCAGGCCGACTAGGACAAACCGCACCATGCGGACGATGGACAGCGCCATCTTTCTCTTGGGGATAGAGGCAGGGCTGAGATGCTGTATACATGGGTCGGGACTTGGTTTTTATATGATTTCTTTTTTGTGAATGTGATTCAGAACCACGAGGTCCGTACCGAGGCTGGTAGATGGGGCGACGATCCTTTCTTGAACATCAAAAAGGCCCTGATATTGGGGTGCAATGCATCTGGGCTGAACGATCAACCTATCACACTGCCCCTGCATAATATCATCATGTACAACAATTAAACCCTCCCTTGAATTCCGTAGATCTCATGGCAAAAGAGGCATCATGAGCCAATAAGTTCAAATTCAAAAGTGTTTAAGTCGAGTTCAGAGTCTTCACGTTCACCTGAGACCAGTGGATCTATTCGTGTTCGCAGGATCGGCAGCCCCCGCCCAGTCCCCGCTTTTCTTTGGGGTTTTCCATTAGGGCTTACTGCAATATTCGGAGGCTGACTCTTTCAAGGGTTGTTCCCCGGGGAAATGCAATACGTTGTGGATACGATCCGGCTCTGCAGGTCCGAATCTGCAGAAATGACCAAATGACGGGTGCTCTGACCTCTAGGCGTTGACTTACCCCTCATGTATAAAGAGCTTGGCTATATACAATATGATATGGTAGGAGATGTTTCTTTGCTTTAGCATATGGCGCTTCACATGAATGGGCTTGCTCTTGGGTTGCATTTCTCGCCTTGTTTGGATTAGTACTCCGTATATGCTGTCAGCAAAGCATGATTTGAGAAGCTTGTGGTATTCGAACGTGTGGGTTTACAAGACCACGGATGAGAAATTGAAGTTTTCGGTGGGTTATTGAAGAGGATATAGGCCACATTCAAAAAAAAGCACGTAATACTTCATTCCTCACCATCGCGTGAACACTTGATTCGAGGAACTCCTATTCAACTTCCTGCGTAGGCATAATCGACATTACAGACGAGATGAGTACCTCGGTAAGCTTTCCAAAAAAAGAAGAATTCAAAGCGTTAGCCCTGACTCTGATCTTGTTACATGGGAAAAATGTATATATCTGCCCAGGTGGGTAGCGCGGACATGTAATCACAATGAGGGCGAAAGCAACGAAACCTAATGGTCTAAATGCCTAGGCTAGCTATTCCTGGCCGAAACTCTTGTTGCCTTTGCAACCCTTAACCATGGAAAAGAAATAATATTCGTCATCGAAGATGGAAAAGTGGACTTCTTCAACATCTGCATGTGGTGCTTAACATCGCATGGAAGCGAGCCCAGGCCAACCCTGTCGCAATCGATCTCAGATAAATCGCCCTCACCAAATCGCGGGTAATTTTTGATTGTAAGATCATAGATATGGGATTGGAATTTTCTGAAGTTTCCAGCTAAGGGTATGTTTGTCGATACGCCGCTGCCCAGGCGGTTAACGAGACTTGTTTGGCATTCCTATTGTTCCCTCGAGGGCCTTCCGCCACCTGCGCTCAATACAACTTGCATCGATAGACTGTTATATGCTTGAAGTACCTGTCATCCGATCTAGGTGAAATTGAAGAACTGTTTGGGGGTGATCCATGGCCTTTCGAAATCGAGTCTAATAGCACTGTGTTGGAAGAGCTAGTGAACTTGCTGTATGATCAGGGAGTGATTTCTCATACGATTTTACTTGAGGGATTATTTCCAGTGATTTATGAACAAGCTGTTTATGCAATGTAATAATTGCACTATTCCAACACCTGCAATCTAGATTGTAGCAAAAGAAATAGGAACTGAATAGTATAAACTAGATCGACTAGGTTGCTGCCTAGTTTCGGAAGTACCGGCTAACCATTATTAACTTAATTAGTGATACATAGGTCTATTAGTGATCCACTAGTGATCTACTTAGTCTCAAGTCCGGGCCAACTAAAGCCGTCAACAAAATCCGGCTCTAGCGATCCTGTGAGTGCAGCCGAAGACATAGCTGGGTTTTTGATTTGGTCTTGCGGCAGAATGTGTTATATTCTTGTTATGCAATACAGCATGAATCCATATATAAGGGGCACTCTGAGGGAGAAACAATGTTCTGAAACTCAACTCTTTACCAAAAGTTGTCTATCCTCGTCATTTGACCAAATGTGGAGCTTCGACAACGACCCGCAGTAATGTCCGCCGCACCCGTCGAGATCCTCTTTGGTGGAGCCTACTTGGGAAAATTTCCCCCACTAAACACCCCCGAGTACTTGGAAGAGATGTATTCGGCGCTCAGCAAGCATGGTGTTGCGGCTATCGACAGCTCGCAACTTTACGGCGAACGCGAAGCCATGCTAGGCACCACCAAGGCCGGTGAACGCTTCGCTATTGACACGAAGTGGATGGGTGGTGTTTCACGCGGTTGAGCCACGAGAGATAACATCGTTAACTCCGCAAAAGAGAGTATCAAGAAACTGGGCGTTAGCCACGTTGACGTTTTCTACATCCACTGGCCAGATACCCAAACCCTAATTTCCGAAACACTTGCTGGAGTGCAGGAGGTCTATCAACTTGACTTTTAAAGCGTTTTAGCCTTTCCAACTACGAGGCAGATGATGCCCAGAAGATCCACGATCACTGAAAGGAGCAAGGCCATATCTTTCCGACAGTTTACCAGGGCAACTACTCTGCCATTGCACGCCGGTGAAACTCTTTTGCCGTCACTCCGGAATTTGAGCATCGTGTTCCGCACCTACAGCCCTCTAGCAGGTGGTTTTCTCACCAAAACACGACAGCAGATCGCTGACGGCGCTGGCCGCTTCAATGACGACGTTTATATCGGGGTTTACAACCACATGTTTGTGAAGTCCGCTTGTCTTGATGCGCTGGATAAATGGCGCACCGTCGCTGAAAGCGAGGGCTGTTCGATCGCAGATCTCGCTTATCGCTGGGTTTCGTGCCATTCATTGTTGGATAAGGAACTAGGAGACAGGCCTCTAGTTGGCGCAGACAGTTTACGGCGACTTGAAGAGACTTAACGGAATTCCCACTGAAAAACTATCTATCGATGCACTAAGGGCAATTGATGATATTTGGGAAGTGATCAAGCATGAGGCCCTCTAAACGTAGGAGATGGAGTTTTAGAGTTACGATAGAGTGTTTACTGTTTGGTGAGAGATAACTGTTTTATTATCTGCGATCCTTATTTATAAACCATCGCTTGAGTAGAAATTAGTGCTGTGTTTTATACAGGTTACGATAAACAGCTGGCTAAGCCCAGGTATTGCACCACAGCTGCTAGGTAAAGGCTTAGCTCTGTACGCACCATGACGCAATTGCCGCAAAGCGATGCATCCTGTCTAACGGGTCAAATATAGAACGGGACGAAGTTGACATCTCTCACGCCAAAGCAGGAGACCTACGGATTACGTGGGCACTAAAATCATCGTCGTTACCGGCGCTTATACTGATCGAGTTAGAATCGCGAGGGTTATGGGAACGCTAGTGGGGGCCATTATTGCACGGCCCGTTCCCACAGATGGGGGTGGCCTTTTTTAACATACATCCATGGATTAATCGAAGCCGGGTGGAGTTTTAGAGTTGATCGGAAGAAAACCCGGAGAAGTCCATGTTAATTGGGGCTTGGAAGCATTGGAAGAATAGATTGACGGTGCTAGGAAGTCTTCAGCCTTGCGAACTAAAAATAGCCTTGGCCTAAAGTGAGGGGCGGGAAATGACGACGGTACCTCTACTCTGTTTGTTCATTTGGGTTGTGTTGATCCTACACAATACAGTATCATTTTCAGCCCCAGACTTCAACTGGAACAAGAATGGAAGCTTGCAACTCAGCCTCCATTCATCCTGAGGTTCTTTCTCATTTCCCCTTTAGACTTTTTTCCCTTCTATCTTCCATTTGCTTTTAAATCTTTCATTACATTAGGCTAATTCTACCTGGTTTGTGAAAATTGTATTTCAGTGATGACCCTCCAGAATAAAATGTCGTAGTCGAGTTGTAGTTTAAAAAGAAATTCCAGTGTTGTGGTCTCTATGTAGTTAAATTTTGATCACATTAATTTCCAACAATATGTAGCAGGCATCGTCAAAGCTAAGCTTTTCTTCCACTGCAATTTCCCCTTGTTCTTAAGTATTAAGCCGTGTGACTGGCAATGCTCACACCGCTGTGCGCTGTGATAATCTCGCATGTCGTTCCTAAAGGGGAAATGTGGATATCGAGGCTCATTAAATGTAGACCCACAACTCGCGTGCTCTGGGGGCCATGATCAAATCTAAACAAAGTCCATCTAATAAATTGCACTGCCATCTATACATTCCGGGCAATATTAAGGATTGCTCAAGATATATAAAGGACTGATATCTTCTTTCAATAACAGAATCTTCCAAACAAACCAACACTCTTCAATCTTATAGTTCATTCTGCCTTTTATAGTTTTGACCTTAGGCAAAGTTTCAATATCGCCCATCATGCGCTTCATATTGTTGTCTTCCCTGCTCGGTGAGTCTTGGCTTTCGGGTCCTGTGGCTTCCTGCTGTACCTCTTGCATGAAATGTATCATTAACACTCAAAAAAGCTGCAGGAGCAATGGCTATGCCTGGATATCTTCCTCGATCCGAGATCGCGAGCATCTCCTCCTATATAACGCCCACAATCACTGCTACTCAGGCAGCATCGACGACACCAATTCCCCTTGCCAGTGCCCAAGCAACCAATACTACCGGACAGGATGCTGAATTGTACAAATGGACCAAGTTCTTGTAAGAATCCCACCAATCTCGACTATATATCAATCCTAATATTTTTCAGCGTGAACATGTACTCCAACAATGCCGCCAACGAGAGCAACACAACAGTCACATTTCTCAAGTATCTGCCCATCGTGGCTGGAATCGGAGATTGTGTTCTGGATCCGTCTGATGCCTCCAGCTGTGAGACACATGTTGTAACGCCTCTGGTGAAAGCCGTTAGATCGAGCATATCGAACTTCTATATGCAACAGAAGAAAATTCACGCAAACTTTTATGCGAGATTGGCCGAATGGCGCTCCGAGGCCGAGATGTTCGTGACAGACTTTACCCATTACGATGTTAGCGACATCAGCATGGGAAATTACTTCGGCCTTCCTCAAATAGCCGCGACGCTATTGAACCCTGCATCCCTTCGCTCTTCGCTCTACTCATATTGGCTTCGCATCAAGACCGTCTTACTCTCCTATGATGCCGGACTTTGGTCTGCTACTGCATCTGATGTGACTGCGGTGTGAGTACTATTTGTGTGTCCCATCATGATTGTGTTCTAACATTTATCCTTCTTGCCAGATTCACAACTGCTGATACATTTAAAGTGGCCTTCCATAAGGGTGCAGTCTTGGTAAAGGACGCCGCGCTCACTGGACTGGCTACTTCCGCTATCAATGTCGCTTGGGTGCTGGATGATGTCTTCATTGCTAAGATCTCGGGTGACGTGAACAAGGAAAAGGCTGAAGACATGAATCTTTCAATTCTCGGTGACAACGCCCGCACCTGTGACGGCAACGGCACATGTTACTTCTTCATCGTCGACCAGCAAATCAGCAACCTCAAGGACAACAAGTGGGTGGCAGCCAAGGGTCTTGACAAACTCGTGAACTACAACATCACGCTGCTCGAGTTTGCCAAGTCGGCCGAGTGGTATCAAGATCAGTTCGGTGGCTACCTCCCGGAGCTCAATTCTTCGCAGCTCCTCCAATCCTTGCAGAGCAATGGCACTCGTCCGTCTTTGAGTTACTTTGTCAACATGCCACTTGTTGATTATGACAGCCTGACTACTATCACCTCAAACGAGACTTACACCGGGGCGAACTCTACGGAAGAAGTCTTCTTGAATGTCCTTGCGCAGGGCATTAGCAGCCTCAAGGGTTGGCCGTACTAAAACATGTAGTCCGATTGAGCAAAGATTCCGTTGATTTTATAAAAGGCTTCTATCTAAAGGGAGCGGCATTAGTTGACCTTGTTATAGCCGAGCGTTTGTATATTTTCTTTCACGCCATGGTTTTGTCCCCTGGTCTTTGTTACCCGGGCTCCTCCATGATGATCATACATCATTATGCTGACATGATAAATAATTCATTATTTGATTTTTTTCAGACTCTGATTTCTATCTTCCTTCGTAGACAAATTCGATGCTGAAGTCCCACTTGACTATTAATACTGAAGGATATGGAAAAGTCTGCTCATTTGTGCATTCGCTTGGTTTGCTTATCCATGTTTTTCATGCCTTCCTAGCTATATAGAGAGAGCTAGCTATATAGAGAGAGCTTTTGCTCAGGGATCCCAGGATTAATCATTCTTTGTATCATTATTTATATCACATATTCTGCACACATAGTCCCATATTCTCCTCTCATACTCTTCGTAGTTATATTGATGAAGAGTTTCATCTGGCTCTCGGCTCATTTTCTCGCACAGCAAGGCGAACTATATAGTGTAAAATATTTATTGGCGCTTGAGTTCTCATTTTCATGGTTATGCATCTTCTCATTCTCCTTCTTCAGTCGGGTTACGACTCTTAGTTTGGGGATTTCACTACAGCCTCAGCATGCGAGTCATCCTTCTGTGTCTGGGAATATCAAGCCCAGCGTGGCCGCATCCGCAACCAAAACTAGAAGCCTAGTTCGCAGCTTTGAGCCCCCGATGCATATTCTTGGTCATCGCACTTGTTTTGCCGACGTTTTTCTACTTCAAGCCGTCCACATATTTGGTTTAATCTTCTCGAACTTTGTGATAGGTGGCATGGAACAAAACTAACAAGACACTACATGATGCATTATGCGCCTCCGTTTGTCAGCATGTTTATGTTTGCCATGCTGGCCATGCTCATATAAACGAGCATTTAGGCCACCACTTAGATAGTCATTCCATCATCATTCTTCTTTCTATTCCATGAGCTATTGTAATGAGACCTACTATTCGTCATCACAAAGTCTCTCGAGCCCCTTAACGCTCTCCTTGCAATGTTCTTTGTCCTTCGATTCGAAAGACTGCATTTGTTAACACCGTAAGAATATCTAGGTACTCAATATGGATATTTCTCACTACGAGGACTGGATGTCATCTTTCCGTACGATGATCTGCGTATGATTCGCTCACGTTTATTGCCGTTTACTGACACTTCTCGCTTTAGTATGCCGCATGATCTCACTAAGAGAGAACCCGCGCGGACTGCAATGTCCAACCTGATACGCCATAATCTTTTTTGCCTTTTTTGCCTCTGGGGTTCTGTCGTCGTTGGGATTTGCTCCCGACTGCGGTCCCGAGTTGTCTACATAAAGGCTCTTCTAACCTTACAACGTTCCTATTCTTGTGGTGGGTTCGTGAGTGCCTACTAAGTAGGTGGCTTATAGGTAGCTAGTCCGCGCTTGAGCAAAAGTCCGCGTTGTTCAGGTCCTGAAGTCGCAGCGGATGCCTGGCAATAAACGTGGATGCTATGTATTACTAGAGTCATATTAATCATAAATAATTCGGGACTATTTCAATGGCAATCAAGACCTGCGACCCCGTGCTGCACGCGGCCCAGCCTGTTGCACAAGCAAATCCAGTTGATACAGCGATTGCTCCATTTCTTCTTGGGTGGGGGTATTGACAATCATCAAATACTGCACATTTCGCTGCAGAGCCTTCGTAGCATGGTCGGGAGATTTCACACCGCGGTTCTTCTGCCATTGCTCTTTGATTCCGCATCGAGATGATTCATCTCGAATCCGCTTGGTGTTTCTATGCTCCATAAATGAATTCGCAGCGAGCCCAATTAGGCTTGACTTATTTCCCGATTTGTCTCCTGTGGACCCTGATATCCGACTTGGGTTCACATATTCTGAATTTTTGATTGACGTCGTGGCTCGCTCAATCAACCCGGGCTTGGTCCCCAGCCTGCCTCCCGAAAGCATTGTGATCAGTTTCCCATTGTCACAGGATTGCTTGTGTTGTTGGTAGCGGGAGACCAAGCTGGTATGTTTTGACTTGGGAGCAGCCATAGCGGACTCTGTGACCTTGGCTTCCTGGTCTAAATCGGGGAATTCTAACGGCGCAATCTTAGGTAGTTGAATTCGACCATGAGGGTGTCCGGTGTTGGTGTTGGAATTGCTCGCTAATTGGCTGATTGCGATACCTTCTGCCGCAAATAGTGTCTTGCGGAGCTTTAGAGAAAGCAGACTCAGCGGCCCTTGGTCTTGGCTGGGAACTTCGTCTTTGAACTCCACTACCATAGCGTAGAGACCCCGAGGCATGAGAATTTCTTGGTTGACTCGACCGAGGAAAGTGTTTGCACGGTCACGAGAAGCAATTGTTCCTGCCACGACTTGGACAACATGATCTGTGATATATGCGGCCTTGTTGCGGTCTCCGATATCTGCTGCGATACTGACAACATCCAGCCACTCGGAAGCCTAAGAAATGATTAGAATTTACCAGTTAGGAGGAACGGAAGAAGATGATGACTCACCTGGCTAGCTTGGTAAAAGTCCTCCAGGAACTCCAAAAACAAATCCGAGGAGATACCGCAGCCGGCCAAGACAGGCGCATAGGCACGCACAAAACCACGATACTTGTACCCAGGCCTGCGCTGAGGAATGGCAACAGGACAAGGAATACGATGCGTAGAAATCGCTGGTCCTGCCATCTGCGCAAGTTCCCGAATCATATCCTCGCATTCCTGCGCGTGATTTATCTCGTTTGCATAAGTGACACCATGTGGAAATTCTTCATAATTTGGCGGCAGATCACGCTGAGTTGTCTCATCCAATTTCCAGACTTGCTCGGTTTGATCAATTTCGCGGTCCAAATCAATCGAGTAATTTGATTCGCTATACACGTCCAAGTCGCGTTCTGTCCCGCGGGATGGTCTTATTTCCTTATCCAATCCAGGATACTGATCTTCTGAATATTGGCTGTACATCTTCTCAGAACTAGCCGGATTGACCATATTCGTGTTGTGAAATGTTTCACAGCCAACGGTAGGTTGTATAGTCAATTTCTCGGGAACTGCGTGGAGGTGAATATCTTGGTGGTAGATTGTGTCATTGCCGGCGGCAGTTTGTATATGGAGATTCTCAGGAATTACGGACCGGTGTGGATCCTGGCTGTAGACTTGTTCATTGCCGTCGGAAAGGGTAGGTCGATCGCTACTCTCACGGTGAATTGTTTGGATGCTGGCGTAAGGCTCATTTTCCAGCTTCACGGGAATGGCAGGCAGTTGTGAGTTTTGGGGGAGAGATGGCTCATCACCGGCGGGTAGCTCTGCGTATTGTCCGTAAAGAAGGGCTTCGCTGCCGGCAGGGAGCTCTGCGTAATGCTGGTGGATGTGCGACTCGGCTGGCAACTCTGCGTAGCCCCCGCTAACGAGTGTGCCAGCTGCCTTCTCGTCCGTGAAAACAAATTCGCTGCTTTGGTCTATCGTCAGATCGCGCGAAGGCGTATCATGCTCGGATATGTTGGATTGTTTGTTGCGGGCTGAGGAAATGGCTTCGGAGGCAAGGTCGATGCCTGCGCCGATACCTGAGCCGATGAGTCTGACGAGTTTTCCCATTGTTGAATAATTGAATTGAATGCTTGACAAGATGTCTTCCAGAAAGCGGACATAAGTCGCATCTTATCCTCTGAGACTTCATCCTGTCTATTTTCGGCCAGCTTGACGGTGGGCTGCATATCAGCACACTAGCTCGCAACGCTAACTCTAACTCGACATGATCTTCGTGTGGAGAGGATCCACACCTTCCCGTCATTGGTTGTCTCATTGTGATTGGCTTTTACCGCTCATCAAAATTGGCTTAAAAAAACCACAGCCTCAATGCGGGAAACATTGAGTTGGTAGATATGCATGACGCTATAGTCAAGCCGCAGCACCGCCGCATGAAGCTCAGCGACAAAAATAGCCACAGGACACTGGGAAATAGTGGGGTGTATTGTTGCCAGGATGTCGGCGAGGTTGCTCGCCGCTAAAATAGAACGAATGCAAGAAATTCCATCGTGGTCCGAAATGGGATTCGCTCGGTCAAATTGAACTTACATCTAATTACTGTACATGAAAGAGACACTTATAGCTTCAATCATGGCCCGGTACAACATGCTACTACCGCCTAGTATGGTGATATGCAATAAAGTTTCCAGGATTATTCTTCATATTCGACTGGCGCTTGAGCTGGAGTGTGGCGACTTGTTCAGGTAGCTTCTGCGGACGGTAGTAGGGGAAGCGGTCGGTTGATCTATGAGTTCTGACAGCACTCGTGACTTGCTCTGGTATGCGCTACAGTTGCACTGAAAGAATTGTTGGAGGTAGATCTCGATAGACTGCACGATCCTGTGCATATCTAGCGTAGATTGACTGGGGTAGCTACCCAGAGTGGAGTAACGGCTGGAGAAGCCTTTGCGCCCTACTAACAATCTGGTTTCTTAGAGCCCTACGAGCCAATCAAGTGGACTGGTTCAACACCAGTGTATTCTAGGCGCGTGTGCTCTAATAACCGGATGTTTGGTAAGGCGCAAAGGCTAGAGTACCTATTAAAAGGTTTATTTGGGAAACATGCTCAACATGCTCATGACAAGGCTATATACATGAACATGCCATGGTGGTACCCGAGGCAAGGGATCCTCAATAGTATCTCGTTAGGCAGTTTGGTACTTTTTTTTGTAGTATTTCTACATACGTGCATGTACATTGAACATATATTGTTGTTTATCCCATTTTGCTTATTTTAGCTTTCTTGTACTGTTTTCGATTGCAATTCAGGGTTCTGTTTTCACAAACAAATGCATGATACAATATTATGAACAGACATAGCCGATTCTCGGCGCTAAGCTGAGTTTGACGATGACGCTGGACACTAAATTGGAGCCAAATCTCATAAGGCGTCAAAAATTGAATAAAATTGAAAGGATCGTGCTCATTTCGTGAAAAGGTGACGGCGGAAGATCCAAAGTCGGCGTCGCCAACGACTGTACTCCAGAATATCACGAGGAAAGTTTCCATCTACTGCATCGCTCCAGACAAGGTTCAACTGGTAGGAGTTGTGTTCAATCGCGGTCTTTACCCGAATCTGGTGAGCCCAACTGCCCAGTGTTTCTGCGGTTCCGGCTAAATAGAAGCCTGTTTCGAACCCGTTTGTTGGTAAACGATTCATGTTTACTTGCGAGGGCCTAGGAGAGCTCTTCGAACTGTCTTGATCTACGATCTGTAGACAATGGCCCATGAACACACTGGTGTCTCTTCGGTAGCATATGATCCGAACAGAAAGACAAAGCACAAAATGTTGACAGTTGCTCTTGAACAAGTGATAGACATCCAGTCGATCCATAATCCATTCGGCAATCCTTCGGATCTGCTCCGGAGTATAGTCTGTTTTTCCTAAGTGATATGCCATCAGGGGACGGCCTGGGTTCAAACGGCGAGTTTCATAGTCAGTTGACCCCTGATAGGACAGGTCTTCGTCCTTGAGAATTGTTTGTGCGCCATTGAGCTTTTCATTCTTGGAAAGGTGGTAATAGTGGCCATTACAGTACAAGGACCAATGATATACCGACTGTGTCAGAATGCGGTGAAGCATATCTGGACGCATAATCGCATAGACGTCGTAAAGATCTGTTGGTTGATCGTCCCGGTCATTGTCGGTCGCGGATTTGGCAAACGAACGGTGAAGCTGCCGACGCGATGTGACAACATAAGAAAATGCGACCGGATCAAGTAGGTCCAGTGCTTGAAGTCTTGACCGGCGTTCTCTGGACAATTTATAGATATGCGTTCTGGGCATGGGAAGGGATTGAGCCTCCGGTTGAATTGCTAGTATCTCTTCATTGGATATTCCCCCGTATAGCTCGAGGTCCAAAGATTCCAAAGATTTCTGGCTTTTAACATGATGGCTGGAAACATGCTTCATTTGCTGTGTTTTAAAGGACACGCGTCGAGCAATTGGGAGTATTCAATGGCTTATTGCAAGCCCAGAAGTAGGCCCAAAAGTGTTGGTGATGTCTATGTTTTTCTCCGAACTGGAAATACCTTTTGAATAACTTGAGAGGGGAAAGCTCATTTGGACCCTCACGCGCCAATTTAGGCTTGCACCGCCGCACTATTGAATATATTGGATTCGTTCCTCAAATAATGTACAACACAGCTTTCTTGGAAGAGTCAGCTCTGCAGTAGTCCAGTATCACTCCGACCCATCAGCTTTGAATTTTGTAGCCAGTGCGTCCCGATAGTCTTGAAGGTGTTGAAGGCCAAGCCTGGATTTCGATGTTTAGTCCAAACCCTTAGTATTTTCAGCGACCTATAATAAGGCCATAGTGAGGCATCGGACCTATTCAACCAAGTCATTTGACGTCGTCTATACAGCCTTCGTAACCTTCGTACCTACCACTTCCCCACGGGTTGCTCTGCATGGAGGGACCTCACATTCTTATTGGTCAAAGTTATCTGACAGTAAGAAACGACGGCCATCGCGTCAAAAGCACTGACCGCCGCGTAGTGTAGACAATTTGTCTTCTGGGGTAATATTTACGTCGCTGCCAATGCAGGAAAAGGACTATGTTTGCCTCTTGTTTGGCATGGAAATATGACTTCAGGTAGAGCATTTATATGATAGAACGAAACAATGCTCTCGTGTTATTGCTGAGGTTGGTAGACATCACCCTTTTTAATTCTCCATAGTTCGGAGCCTCGGACCGTGGCAGTTTATAAGCAATCAGTACACATGCAGAGTTATTGCCGTATGGACGCTATAATGCACTGGATTAGGGTCCACGATCCACAGATGACATCGGAGGGCAAACTGGCCCAGGTGGCTCGAGGTCGGACTTGGAAATGCGACTTCTCATTTCTCAGCATCTGGATTCCATTGTACGTCCCGACCGCGTATCCCCATTTTCCTCAAACATATCCAAAACCTCACCGATAACGGTTTCGCCACGCGCATACTCCGAACCCACAATCGATTTCGTATCCCCAAAATTCATATCGGCCACATCTCGCGAATACTGAGATCGCATCGACGCATAACACCGTCGACGCCCATTTCCCCTTTCTTTCCGAACGTTAATTCTCTTGTCACCCAGCTCCCGTCGCGGTCCCACTGGTGACAGCGGCGCTTCAGCTTGGGCCTGATAAGAGATTCGGCGCGTCGATCCCTCCGAGCACATGAGTAACAAGCTTTGGGAGTATTTTATATACGATGATGTCGACAGGTTCCAGCGGTTCCTGGCGAACGCGACCTTCGTGGGCCAAAGAACTGCAGGAGCCTCCGGGGGTTCCTCCGGAGCGGCGGCGAACCTGTCCATGAAGACTGGAAGCCCTGGGTCCTTCATCGCATCGTCTCCAAATCCACCGAGGAGTAAGAAACCCTTCGGCTTGTCGCCTGGCACGCCCATTTCCGACCGTATAGTCTCCCAGCGCGGTGGCGCGACTTTGTCGCGCGCCGAGATAAATGCCCAAGATCACTTTGGTCGGACGCTTCTTCATCACGTCGCCTCCTCAAACAAACCCACTGCCGTCGAATTCGCACGCTCCTTATTGGAGATTCCGTTCGTTGATATATATGTGCAAGACTGGGAGAGTGGATGGACAGCTCTACACCGAGCCCTTTATGCAGGAAATGCCTCGGTCGCTCAGGCGCTGATGATGCGTGACGTGCAAGACATGACAGACTTCAGCAAGGTTGGAGCTGCAAATCATCCTACTGGTGGCCTGATTAAGATTAAGGATCGAGAGGGCTACAGTCCTTTCGATGTGTTCGGATCGACCATTAAAAAACGTGACATCAAATTACCCACCGACAACTGGCCAAACTCGGTCGACGATGCCATGGGCAGCGATGCTGCCTCCAGCCCACCATCCAAACATGGGGATCACGGCGAAGATGACATGTACACTTCTCAAAACATTCTCAAAGGAGCCGTTGACATCTCCGCTGATGAGGTTTTTACCCTCGGAAGTAACAAAAATCTAAACCTGGGTCTAGGGGACCAAGATGATCGACAATTCCCCGAACGTATCTCATTGAAACGCCCCGAACATCTGCTTCATCGGTTCTATCGCGAATACCAGGACAACCTGGAGCATCTCGGGCTTGAAGAAACCATCCCCAAGATAACTTCTAAAGATCTCCCAACATTGATAAGGAACAAACCAATCAAGCATAAAGAAATTGTGATGTCCAAATTACACACAGCTGTTATTACCAACGATCCTGAGGCCAACCTGTTCATTTGTGGGTTTGGGCCAGGAGGACGGCTAGGAACAGGAGATGAGTCCACAAGGTTCAATTTTGTCTGCATCGAAACAGGCGGACTGGAGGGGAAGAAGGTGGTTTCAGTTGCTCTCGGTCAAGATCACAGCTTGGCAATTACCGAGTACGGGGAAATATTCAGTTGGGGAAGCAATAAGTATGGACAATTGGGCTATGGTCTGCCCAGAACGAGCAATAAGAACGATGTTCCTACTCAAACTACCCCACGCCAGATATTCAACCCTTTCAAGAAGGAAACGATTCTGGGTGCAGCGGCCTCCTCCATTCACTCGGTCGTTTTCAGCAATTCCGGCCTCTACACGTTCGGTAAAAACGAAGGTCAACTCGGTCTGGTGGACTCGGATGCTCGCTCGCTCGAAGTTCAGACCACTCCTCGGCGCGTGGGAGCTTCTCTCTTCACTTGTCCAATCCTTATGGTCTCCGCTATCGACCGTGCTTCTTGTATTCTTCTACAAAACCACGAGGTATGGGTTTTCTCATCATATGGTTACTCAAAAATTTCTTTCCCTCTAGAAGTGAGCTCGAGCTTTATCAAGAAAAGTTTCATGGCCACCAGGTACGACAAGACTGCCAATCGTGTCGTCAAGCTTGCGTGTGGAGGAAACACCATCTGCGCATTGTCCAGCTCTGGTGAGGTTTTCACCGTTGAGGTCAATCAATCTGATAATCCTTCCACTTTAACATCCACCACAAACCCCACAAAAATTCGCAACTCTCTAGCTGCTCCGGTCCGAGCTTGGTCGGTTAAGAAATCCCATATGGCGGCAAGCGACGTCGACGTCGGCCAAGACGGCTCTATTATTATTTGCACGACTTCTGGATCTGCGTGGAGAAAGGAACGACGGACAAAGAAGAAGCAGGGGGCCTCAAAGGACTACAAGTTTGCTCGTATCCCTGGCCTCTCACGGGCAGTGGCAGTACGCAGCAATGCGTTTGGTGCCTATGCCGTCGCCCAAAGCGACTGTGAAGTGACGCGAGAGCAAATTCATGTCGACTCCAGCACTCTTGGGGATGACCTATTGCCGCTATCTCCGTTCCTCACGCCTGGTCTGGGAAATTTAGACTCCATCCTCGAAGCTGATCATTCCGACGGTCTCTTTGGTTCTCTTTCCGCGGCGGCAGCGACTCGGCGAGCCATACTTTCTTCCTCGGATATCGAAGGCCAATTCCTCCCTATCCGTTCTGAAGGCATGATTTGGATGACCAACTCATTATCCGACCACCGCATTCCCATCCATGAATGGGTTTTGGCTGGGCGCAGCCCTGTTTTACAAAAGGCACTCGAGGAGTTCCGTGGGTCTTATTACTCTTCTCTTGCAGATGTCTTTGATATTGAATACGGGCCAGATGGACACCCTCGGATCTGCCTGAAGGGCGTTGACTTTTTGACTGTTATGAATGTGGTGTTCTACTTCTACACAGATAAATTCCTTGATGTTTGGCACTTAGCCAAGAGTTCGTCTGCCAACTCAGCCCGTTATCGACAAGTTCGGAATGAACTCATGCGGGTCGCTATGCAGCTAGAGCTGCCAAAACTCGAACGAGCCGCAAGACTCATGCAGGAGCCAGAGGACAGTTTGGAGCATGACATGGCTCGGGCCATCAACCACCCATCTTTCTTCGACAGCGCAGATGTGGTTTTGCAGCTCAAAGGAGCAACCCTGAAAGCGCACAGCCAAATCATCTGTCAGAGATGCCCATTCTTTGATACTCTTTTCCATGGCTACGCGGGTGGGAAATGGTTGGAGTCGCGCAAATCAGACCCAAGCCAACTTGTGCCTGTTGATTTGAAGCACATTGACCGCTCAACGTTTGAGTTTGTTTTACGCTATCTCTACGCCGACATAGGGGAGAATTTGTTTGATGAAGTTCGGACCAATGATCTTGATGAGTTTATTGACGTGGTTCTGGATGTTATGTTCGTGGCAAATGAGCTGATGATTGACCGGTTGTCTCAAATTTGCCAAAAGACTCTCGGTCGATTTGTTACGACGCGCAATGTGTGCTACCTTCTCAACTCCGTCGTTTTCTGCCGCATAACGAATTTCAAGTACGCTGCTATGGCATACATCTGCATCAACCTCGAGGACATGCTTGCAAACAGATATCTCGAAGATCTAGACGAGATGCTTCTGAATGAATTGGATGCGATATGTCATTCGAACCAGTTGTCCTTTTGGCCTATCTCTCGTGGACAGAACTCCGAGGAGAACCTGCTTTCGGTACACCCCGAGATCCGCAAAGCTTTAGAGGCAGATAAGCAAAAAAGGATAGATGCAATGACTTTGCAGTCTCGTCTTGAAGTTATGCAGTATTATGACGTGCGTGCTCGGTCAATCACGAACGACCAGACAAGTTCTTCTTCATCTGTCCGCAAATCAAAGGCAAGTGTGTCCAGGGAGTCACCAAAGGCTGGCGGTACTCCAAAGTTGAAACCCACGCCGTCCACCGGAGATCTCATGTTCCAAATGGACGACGAAGCTTTGATGTCACCTGGTGATTCAAAAGGAAAGGGTGTCGTACGTGGGCTCAAGTTCACAGAGGGCATTTCTGGGAATCGATCATACCCCGACTCCCCAGCTTTGGGGGCAAGTGTCCGAGATGACTCTTTGGGCGGTCGGAACTATTTAGATGACCAGATGTCTTCTCCCCAAGGTGCGCTGCTTGCACAGTCCCCATCTGAGTCAAGAGCGCTTTCTCTCAATCAGAAGCACGCTATATCATCATACGACCCCTCTTCTGCGCCATGGAGCTCACCGGCAATTGCGGGTTCCAAGAAAGATCTCAAAGACATCATGGGTGAAACCACCCAGTCTCGAGTATCGAATCTCACAATGGGCATAGTGGATCGCCGCGAAAGCAGCACTAAATCCTCCCCGAAAATGTCCCAGAAAGAGCGAAAGAAGATTCAACAACAACAGATGCAGGAGCAGTTGGCTGCTCAGCAGAAGATGAAAGATGCCCCAAAAAACCCTTGGCAAAAGCCAATAACTCCTTCGCCAGCTGCACCATCCAAGCATGATCCACTGCCAGGTCAAACTGCTCCATCTGAACCCAAAGCTGCCCAGAGGTCCATGACTATGCGACAGACTGTAGCCGGTACACCTCCGCCGAAGTCAAAGCCCGTGGCAACCCCCGTGCAAACACAGCGCCGCAGTGTCTCAGGCAACCCGCAACCCGCTCCACATTCGAAGCCTTCTACATCAGGGCCTTCAGCGACTCAAAGCAACCAACCGACATCACCACCACCACCAGCCATCCAGTCCATCCGTCACATACCCCGCCCCGATCCCATCGGAATGATGTCTCCATCCTCCGGCTCTTACTCCCTGTCAACAATCTTACTTCAGCAACAGACAGAAAAGGAAGCAATTCGCGAAGCAGCCACGGCAAAGCATAATATGCAGGAGATCCAAGCAGAGCAGGAATTCCAGCAGTGGTGGGAGGAAGAAAGTAGGCGCGTTCAAGGATTGGCAGACCCTGAACTCCCTGGGCCTCGCTCTGCAAAAGACGGACGTGGCAACAAGACAGCTGGCACATCCGGTACTCAACGCAAGCGTCGAGGCAATAAGAATGCCAGTGATGCGCCTGGTCAGGATCAGCGACGTGTGTCCGCTCCAAGCTCTGGTCGTGCAACCTCAAAAACAAATACTAATGGCCACACCCCGACCCAATCGCAGAAGGTTTCCGGTGGTAATCCTACTGCTGAGAATACGAATAATCGCCGCGGAGGACAAAATCCTCAACGTAGTAAAGGAAAAAATCGCGGTTAAATGCACAGTGGGCTTCGGACATACGACTCTTTCGATTGTACATTTTTCAATACCTTTGCCTTTTTTTTGCTCAGGTATGATGCCTTGAGCTACAGTTATAGCTCGTCATCCAGAACATTACGATTGTTATTGTTTCCTCTCCTCCATTAATTTAGAAGTTCGCTTGGATAAAGATGACGTTTCATTGCAATTCTGGTCATCATTTAGGCCACCATAGATCGCAATTATAGACCTAATAAATTGGTTATGAATTATGAGCAATATTCCTCAATGTCTCCTGAGTCTCATCTTCATAGGAAATGTGGCCTCTTTCTTGTGGTCTTTTTAGCATTCTTTTTGTATCTCTTTAGTAGCCCTATGGAGGCTTTTGCCAGCTCTAGCAGCTGTGTATATGTAGCGCCCAAACATGTATTCCAATATTGATTAGTTATTTGTGTACTATTTGAACATGATAAAACACTTCTCTCTTTCCATTGTAGACTTAAGACCGAATACATGCTAAACATTACTTCCACCCAGAGGCCCCCTGCGGACATATCTTACGCATACTCATACCACTGGATTCGGATCTTATGGGCGGACTTCCCATCGTACAGTCGCGGGCTGAATAGGTCTAGAAAAGAGGGACTAATGCCAAGTCAGCGTTATATCGTTTAAATCCGAACCAAAATGGACAAAACATACCGAATAATCCGTCTCAGGCACTCCCTCTCTCCCCTCGGGGTTGAAGAACCTGAACTCTCGCACAAGCGTGGCAACAATAACCCCCAGGTTAAGATAAGCAAACTTCTCACCGATGCAGCGATGTCTGCCTGCGCCAAAGGGCAGATATGGACTACGCGTCCCCTTTGAAACAGCACCATACCCGTAGTCAACGGTATCAGTGTCATCCTCGACCTCAACCCGAGTCTCCCACCGATGCGGATCCCACCGCAAAGGATCTCTGAAATACCGCTCATCTCTCGCCGTAACACCCGGCGACGAGAGAAGCGTGTGGGACGGTGGGACAACGAAATCGGTACCTGGCACAGGAAGCGGGTTCTTCACTTTTCGCATGAGAGTGTGGATAGAGGAGTGAATACGCAGCGTCTCCTTGATCACATTGTGATGCAATGGCAGCTTGTCCATATCCTTGTATTGCAGTGGTGGGAGATCAGCACCTAAGTTTTGAACTTGTTCTGCATACAGCTTCTCTGTCATCTCTGGTTGGGAGGCTAGTCGAAGAAGAATCCAACAGCTGATGGCAGACGAGGAATGTTGGCCTGCCATCAGTAGAGTGATCATCATATGCGCGATTTCCTTGTCTGGGACTGGCGTGCCATCGCGATACACACTGCTCATGAGATTCAGAATCATGTCTGTGCCTTCTGTGTCTTTCTGTTTATTGGTTCCGTTGCCCTCGACCTCAGACAGACCTTCCCGCCGTCTTTGGATGATCCCTAGATATATCTCACGCATTTTTGCATGGGCAAGATCTCGCTTCCGGTTTTGCGGTAGAGGAGCCCATGGGAGCATGAAGTTTATTGGTGTGAAGCCCAAATCGAGGTCGTGAAGGAGCTCTGCAAACTCGGAGGTGAGTTTTGAGCGTACCTCGTCACCTTGCAGTGTGCGGGCTGCTGTGAACAAGGTGATTTCGGCCATGGCAGCTGTAAGATCAATAGTACCAGACTTCCCCTTGAAATTTGGGGATGTTTTTATGTAGGCGCTTGTTTCATCGGCAATCAGGGGGACGTAAGATTCTAGAGCTGCGGTGCTCAGGCCGTGCTTAATAAACTATCAAGGGATTTAGTATTAGCATTTGGCATCCCTTCCATACATTGGCAGATCAGGTAAGTGGATGGATACAGACCTTCTTTTGCTCCATTAGTTTGGAATTGGGACAGTCGTAGACAACGTCCGATCCGAAGACAGGCGTTGTGAGCTTGCCATAGATTTCTTCGGCATTTACGTCCTTAAGCTTTCCATTGAGAATAAACTCATTGCCTTCAACACCAAGGTAGACCGTAGTCTTCTTGCCTAGGAGAATAAATGTGAAAATGTCGCCGTACTGGGGACTTTTGTAAGCATGTGTCGTCCTCCTTGAAATGTGAGTATAGATTGCAAAACATACATACCTTCGCACGAGAAGCAAAAAAGAATTGATACGGGTCCATGCCGTATGCAATTGTACTTCCAATGAAAGGAACCCAGTGGAAGACCACAGGTGGTTCCTTTTTGTTGTAGAAGACGAGCTGGTTGATCACATTGAGGACGATCGACACAAGACCAAGACCAACAGTGTAGTGGGTAATACGCAGCAGTTGACCTGCTACTAATGGCACGAGGAGATCCATGTTGAGCAGAGCTTCTACGGCGAAAACAGTGTCAGCTGTTCATATTGTTTATATATCGGCTCATAGTTAGGGTTTATATGGGCAAATCAGGAGGGGAGGATCGACCATTAATCATCGAGTCAGACCATATCCGCACCCCCGGATATCGCACCAGCCGAGAAATGCATCGGACCACTCCCAGGCAGCCAATTTGTTTCAAATTCGTGCCAATAAAGTGCCGAATTGGTTTAAAGGTATGACAGCGGGAATATCTACCATATTACGTCGGGTCTGGCGCATGGGGGTTACTCGTACTATGTTGTTACAACATTCTATGCAAAAGAAATCATGTAGCATTAACTCGCTAAGAATAGTTATATCAACAGAAACCACACGGCAAAAGACACATAGAAAGATGAATTATGTTCAGTCTCATCGCTGGAATAATAACGGAAATCAGAATGCCACTAACGCCAAACAACTGTGGAGCTTGAGAACTGTCATGAAAGTAAAGGGGGTAAAGAGTGAAAGAATCTAAATTAGCCGTGGATGGCGACCTCTCGGCTCTCCCACATCCGGCGGATCAGCATGGCGTTGTCGCTTGCCTGGGATTGCTCGGTCTTGTTCTCACCACTCAGGTCACGTGAAACTTCGGCTGAGGTAGAGAGGATGCGGTGGGATGGGTCATTGGACTTGGCAGCGGTTGCAGGGGTTGTGGGATCGCTGTTTGTCGCTGGGTCTTCGGTGGGGATTGGATTACGCAGCTGAGATTTGGATCCGGGGCTTGTGCTTAGCTTGTTTGGGCGTTTTCCATTCTGGAGAAGAGGTAATGAAGGGGCGGATTTAATTGGGTTGCCGAGACCTGGTTCCTGCTGCGCTTTGTGGGCTCGACCAATATATCGAAGACGAGAGAAGCTCTGCGCGGTAGGTGACTGGAAGCGTCGCACGACCATCAATTCAAGTGATGTTTTCTCGTATGCCTTACGAATGTGGCGAGTTTCGCTGTCGTGCCCTGCACCGCCAGCTCGACCATCGCCATTCATCCCTCTGCCGGCATCGTAAGAGCCTGCACCAGGGCGCTGGTTGGGGGCGAAGGTTGGGTCAATGGCAGAAGGTGGCGCGGCTGCAGTTACTCCATGCGTATCAGGGGGAGAATTGTTGAGAGCGGCTGTACGCTGAAGCCAAAGCTTCTGTTGAGTGCGAGATGGTAGGTCGGCACCTCGGGGCCGTGCAGGAGAGGCAGTGGATTTGGCAGCACCGCCGTTAGGTGAAGGTGGTGTTTGCGGGTGATAGTGGGGTAGAAAAGAAGAAGGAGTGGTCGGGTCTGAATCGGTGCGAGAAGATGCCTGCATGCTGTTCTTGTTGTTCAAGATGAATCTCGAGACCCCGCCTTCCATGGAAGATGAGGTCGCTTGGGGATGAGAGCCTGGCATGCTTGCCATACTCGTAGTAGAGAATGTGCGCCGAGCATTATCCTGGCCAGCAGCCAGATTGAGAGATGCACTGCTGCGCGATGCGGGATTAGTAGTATTGGTCTCTGGCTTGACCATGGCCAAGATGGACGACATGGCGGGAGGGGCTTTGGACGAGTGTGAAGGGCTTAGTAGGCGATTTGCGATGTCACCCTGCTCGGTATGCTGGCTAGACTGCTCGGCCTCGTCTTCGTGCTGCTCATCGTGCTTGTCCTCGTCCTCCTCCATCAGCTCAGCGCGTTCTCGGATAAACTTATTAGTGACCGACTCGGGAAGACTGGTCGCGCGAGGCATTTGTGGATAAGGTCGTTTGACGAAAGTCAGAGGATCGACAAGGATGGTACCGTTGTCAGCGCTGGGGTTAGATGGCGCGACAGAGTTGCGCCTCGTACTTTCGGGCGACTGCGTAGTATCTTCCCACTCGGCCTCGTCGGTCTCATCATCGCCAAGCTCAAAGCCGACCGTCTTCTTCTTCACCCCACTGGAGGGAGGTCGCTCCGTCACCAAGGCTTTCTTTCCAACAGCCGATGGATTCCGGCGCAGCGCAGGAGTCGAATAGTTTCTCTTCATGGGAGGAGGGGTTGGGTGATCGCCTACAGCGTTATCCCAACGGATGTGCCCGCCTTCTTTGGGACTCGCTATTGGAGTTGCGGGTGCAGACTTCTTGCGCTGATGATGCCGCCCGGTGGTCTCGGGGCCTAGTTGAAATCGTTGAAGTTTATTGAAGTTTTTGCTAGTGGAGGAGTTTCGATGATGGTTGCGGTGAACAACATGGGCGCGGTGAGGCTTAGCATGCGCGGCTGCCTTCAGCTGAGACTCCGACAGGTCACTGGTATTGGCACGCGTGACAACTGCATGGGAGGACACTGCACGGCGACCTAAACCGGGGCGCTTGACGGGGGATGATGTATTGGAAGTATTGGAGGTAGGCATGGCGGTAAGCGAAAAGCTCCTAAGGGAGCCACAGGCGGGTAATTAAGTATGCCAACGGAGCATAGAATGTGGGGATTGGCCGAGGCAAGTTGGTCAAGAGGTCGCACGGCAGATCGGAGATGCAGGCAAAAAGCAATGAATATTCAATAGTTGCAAGCCGGCCGGGTTACACCGGTTTCCGCCACCAATAAAAAAAATTAATGAGAAAGGAAAAAGTCAAAAGTAAGGAAAAGACGCTGAGATTTCGAGGCGAATTGGAGAAGTGATGAAGAGAGGTTGATCTCGCTGTCTTCGGCGATTAAGGAGCGGGTAACAATAGTTAGCTGCCGTGGGGTGGACACCTTATACCTCAGGCAGTGTTTATTGCCTCAGGTTTCAAGTCAGTTTCAACTTCAACGAATGGAATTTGAACTAGAAATTGCGTCGCCATGTATATAACTTTACCATTACTGGGATCGTGAATAAAATACATGATTTTATACTAGATATATCTCCATTCGCCCGCTTTAGGCTACGCATTCAATCTGCTAAAAGTCTTCAGGTATCATCAGGCAAAGAAATGAAAAGCAAAGATAAGATCACAAGGAACGCCCAGATATATGTAGATGCTACAGCTCAATCAAGCTTTCCTCCACTGCTGGTCGAGGTGGTTGTTGATAAGGCGGTTGACCGGAAGTCTCGGGTGCATACGTCCCCGGCTGTCCGGCGTTCATCAGAGGGTAAGCGGATGACACGGCGTGAGGAGGTTGCTGAAGCTGAGGTTGAGACTGATAGTAGTACGATTGATCAGAAGGACTATTTGATTGCTGGTGAAGTGCTGGCGCAGGAGAAGGTACAGGGTAGCCAGATGACTGAGCATACCCCGCATATGAAAATTGTTCGGGCGCGGAGGGAGGGCCGGATGGGAGTGCACTGGGTTCATGTTGGGAATCCCGGCGCAGTATTGGTGATGGCTGGTATGGAGTTTCCACGCCTGGTGATTTCGCTGAGTTTGGATCTTGAGGCCCAGCATAATAGTGACCAGGGGCACTTGGGGTCGAAGCAGTAGTATGGTGATTAGGAACGACGTTGCTGGGCGAGGGTGACCCGAGAGATGGATATGGGTTTGTACCCCAGGCTTGATTGTGGGACTCATTTGTGGGGGCCCCATGCTGAGCATGCGGTGGATATGCATGGCTCTGGACAGTGCTGGGTGGACCTTGGAATCCGTCATTACTTGGTTGCGGTGTGTACATTGTGGTCAGCGGACGGGCACTGTCTATTTGGTTTCCATAATAGAAGTTCTCGGCTCCTGATTTTACATCAGGAGCTTGATGAAACCCAGACTGGATGTTGGGGTACTGAGCAGCTCCAGGAACAGCTCCATAGCCAAGGTTGTGGTGAGAATAAGCATTGGTGAGACGTTCTTCTAGCATCCGATCGTAGTAGCGAACGACAGTGGAAAGCTTGGCATGTAAATCCAGTAATGTATCTACGACAATTAGCTTGGAACGTTATAATAAAATACTTAGGGAAATTGAACTTGCCGTGCTTGCTCATAGTCTCGCCATAACTCCGAGCCAGCTTGGGTCGAAGTGCACCAATACTCTCATATAACTCCTGAATTTGTGGTTCCCTGAGAATTGTTCCAGGAGGTTGGTGTTGGAGCCTATCGACCAGTGTAGAAAAGAGATGGATATTCTCAATTTCGACGGCCGTAAGTTCATAAGGATTCTTGGGTACTGGGGTAGGCGTGCTAGAGGATTCACGCAACGCAGAGCTCGAGGCAGGAACATTTTTGAGTGCGGCAGCATGTTGCTGCTTGTGTTGTTCCATGTCTCGCAGGGACGCTTCAATTGCAGCCTTCAGATCTGCGTCTTCCTCTTCTATATTTTGTGAAGCGACAGGGATTTTGGTCGGTTCTGGAGCGTTGCTTGTCTGGGCAACAAATCCGGTAGAACCTCTCCCCTCAGCTTCGTCGAGACTCATTTGTAAGGCACGGCGCAAGTCGTCGTCGAACCCGATATCCGCTTTAGCGGCCCGGGGCTCCATGGTGTTGGACTTGCTGATAGAGTTGTTCTTGAATGCCGATCGATCCATGAGACCTGGTGGCGCAAATGTCCTGGAGGTTAGTTTGGCATGACAGCCATCATCCACTCTGACCGGCTGCAATATTCCAAGATGTGGCAATGGGATGAGTTTGCTAGAACATTGAGCATCAAAAACATTGCCACAGTTGCGGCAGTGGTGTTTGCGATTCATGAAACTGAAGGCAGTCCGGCATCGCATACAAACATCGGAGTCGATCCACTCTGGCGGCTGAGACAGATTTACATGTTAGCATTTGGCCCTACGCGAACACGTTGGGAAATACTCACTGCGCTGCTCTCAAGCATGCTGCCACTCATTTCGGTCTTGGGTGGGAAACGGTAACCTTCGCTCTGCAGCTTGCGATATGTCTCGCCCAGATACATCAAATCCATCCGACCCTGTGCAGCCATAGCCCAATTCTGAATAAGCTCCAACATCTTCTTCTGCACGTCGTCATTTAGCGGGGCGCCCTCGGATTTGAGTAATGAGACAAGGTTGTCCATGAATTCGCGGGAAGCGATTTCAGCCAGAAAGTGGGTGCCTCCATTCTTGACACATGTATCCGTCAACTGTAGGCAGCCGCGCTTATCAGTGTATGTTCCTTGTCAACTATCAATTAGGAGCGGAAGTTTTACCTTCAGTGTGGCCAGCTGAATGTTTGGATTTCTATTCTCGAGTCGACGCTTCAAAGACTTCATTCCGTCCTTGGGTTGAACGCTCTTCGATCGAAGCATGTCCGATATTTCTAGGTTGAGGGCAATGTCTTCCCTGTGAGCGAGTTGGCAAGTTGGTCAGTCAACTATATATTTTGGACAATCTCAGGTCGTAGTACATACGACCATGAGTATTATCACAGCGCGACGATCAGAACTTACAGTGAGGAAGCTGTCGCCCGCTCGATTTGTTCATCGAGAGGCGACGTTGAAGAGAACCAACCAGCCATAGTGAAGGCAGTACGCCTTAAAAGTGCACAATACGTGAGTCAAGGTGTGATGAGATTGCAGCAGAAGGCCAAGACACCTAAAATGCAACGAATTTGAAGATCAGGCTGATAAGTTGAAAGAGGAGACCTCGGGAGCTTCCAGGCACATCTCAAAGTGACTAAGCCCCTGGCGTCATAGGCTGGGGGCGGTGAAGTACTGTCATCTGATACCCCAGAAGGCATCCCGCATTGCGTACCTGGATTCTGTCCTCTTTAATTTGATCTGCCTTTCGTTACTTGTTGTTCATTTCAACTTGGTCACCCCTTGGACTGTGTATGCAAATTACCTGGGCGTCCCCCTCTCTTTTAGCTTGAACATAATCATGCGCTAAGTCCGCTTATCGCTGCCTGGATCTACCATGTCCTCCGATGCGGCGACATTGCCATCTCCACCAACCATGCCACCGTGGAAGGACACCCAGCGTCCTTTTTCGGTGGGGGAAACCATGCATACAAGTGGGCAGGTTAAAAGACCAGATTCATATTCAAAAGCACACCCCCTTCCCACTCCGCGGCGACCTCGATTCCCCAATATCAAAGACCTGCAGGATCAGGCTGCTGCATTGAATGTCAATGATACCACACCAGTGCGTGTTAGATTTTCCTTAAAGCTAGTCTGACTCACTAACAGGGAATTTTAGCTCGATTTTCTCCTCACAACGGCTGCCGAAGCGATTGACAAGGCCAGGAACCTTGTGGAGGATTACCCCGATAAGGCTTACGTCCAGTACCTGTGTGCCTCTGAGATCACTATCAACATTATTCCTCACCATCCGGGCTATCGAACAAGCGTCCAGCGCCCCGAGTGGCACAAGGAGTTTGCCGATCTAATGAAGGCTGTACGCGCTAAACAAGGCACCATGGATGCTATCAAGCAGGGAATAATTGAGGACAATTTGGCCAGTAACATGCAGCCAACCGGTGCATTCACCTCCAGATCGCCAGAACAAAGCTATGTCACGCCAAGAGGTCGTGAGAACCGAGAGTCTGGAACAAACTCAGTCCGCATGCCGAGTCCGACGCAGTATCAAAGGATGCCAGACTCCAACCCGAATTCCCAGCCGTTCTCTAGCCCCCCGGATGACGCGCTTGCGCAACGTTTTGCCAAACTTAAGGCCTCTCCTCCTTCTGGTCAATTTGAGTTGGGGTCAATTACTACTGGTCCAAGAAGCCCAATTTTAGGATCTGCAGCGCTTGGCCCACTTCATTCATCAAACGTGCCTCCGCCGGCTCATGACTCTCCGCCGCCGAGACGTCCCTTGGGACCTCGCGGAATGGGGTCTTCACCTAATGTGCCAACAATACCACCAAAGGTTCCTCTCAACACATCGCTCCCACGTGCTCCTGATCCGGCCTATAGTCCTGTCTTCACCGTACCGTCAAAGCCAACATCCAATCCTCCAAGGTCCTCGACAGAAAGCGCACGCTCGGGCAATCCGAGATATTCGCAGTTTAGCAGTTCCCCTCGGGTCAGCCCGAATCGGGGAGGCCTCGATGACAATCCATACAGATCCATGACGCCCAACGGGTCGAAGTCGGCGCGAGAAACACGCAGCAACTCACCCGACTTACCACACAGTACGACAATTACAGCTCCAAGCCTTTTAGAAAATCTACGGAAATATAACATCCTACTCATTGACGTTCGTGGCCGAGACCAGTATGACAACGGTCATGTATATGCGAAATCCATCATTTGCATAGAGCCTGTGGTTCTGAAGGAGAACGTATCGGCAGAAGAGCTTGAAGAAAGATTGGTTGTCTCGCCGGAGCATGAACAGGTCTTGTTTGAGAAGCGAAATGAATTCGATCTTGTGGTCTACTATGATCAAAGCGCGGAATCCGTCAGTTATCTCGCAGGCTCGCCAGTGGGGACATCTGCTCCTCATTTGAGAGCACTTCATGATACTCTCTACGAATTCAATGCATACAAGCCGTTGAAGGCCGGGCGGCCCCCCGCTCTCCTGCTTGGTGGGTTGGATGCCTGGATCGACCTTTTAGGGCAACAATCATTGGCCACATCCTCAACCGCCGCTGCCATGAGCTCTCTGCAGGCTAGAAAGCCGGTTCTTAGACCTGGTCGACCACTAGGTAGAGTCCCCACTATGGCTAGTGCGAATTCAAGTCTGGAAATTCGAAAGCGGCGGCTGCGCGAGTTTACTCCCCTAAACTCGAAGGAGTTGTCTGAGTGGATGGAAAAATCGAAAGTCGAGGAGATCGACACAAACAGCTATACCGATGAAGACTCCCTCACGGAGGAACCAGACGCGACGACACAAGAGCCTTCAACCCCGTATGTCCATACGTATGAGGCTTTCTTTCGTCGTTTCCCTGAGGCCCATGATGTGCAACAGTCCATGACCCACCCGGATTCTCGCCCTCCGCCCGCTCCTGCGTACTCTCACACTCAGTCCCAGTCCCAGTCCCAGTCCCATTCGCATGCCCATGCTCCAAACTATGATGTGCAAATTCCAGTGGTTCCCTCACGGCCGCGTCCGGCCGTCCCTCGTCCCAGTTACAGCGGAGTCTCAGATGGGCGACAAATCCAGCCACATTTGGAGCGCCAGAATTCAGCAAGCAGAACAGCACTGTATGCTCCAACTTCTCGGTTGGATCGCCTCAAGCTTCCGCGAACGGGCTTGACCAATTTTGGTGTTACATGCTACATGAATTCCACCATCCAATGCCTCAGCGCAACAATCTCAATGAGCCGATTTTTCATCGACAATCGGTTCCGTTACTACGTACAGAAAAATTGGAAGGGATCTCAAGGCGTAATGCCCGGGCTTTATGCTAATTTGACTCGGTCGCTATGGAAAAATGACGTAGAGGTCATCATGCCGACCTCGTTCCGAAATTTCTGTGGTCGCTTGAACCGAGAGTGGGCCATCGATCGACAGCAAGATGCCAAGGAATTCTTCGATTTTCTGGTGGATTGTCTTCATGAGGATCTCAATGTGAATTGGCAACGTACGCCGCTCCGACCGTTGACCTTTTCGGAGGAGATGCAGCGAGAACGAATGCCCATGACCAAGGTTTCTCGAATTGAATGGGACAGGTACCGTCATCGGGAGGAGTCTTTTATATCCTCCCTTTTCGCCGGACAACACGCCAGTCGATTACGTTGCACGACCTGTCGACAGACGTCCACTACATATGAGGCTTTCTATAGTATCAGTGTCGAGATTCCTTCGTCAGGTACCGGTGATATTTACCAGTGTCTCCGTAGCTACTGCAAAGAGGAAATGCTGAGTGGCGACGAAGTTTGGAAATGTCCACACTGCAAATGCAAGCGGATGGCAACCAAGCAAATCATTATTACCCGCGCGCCCCAAATTCTCGTCGTGCACTTCAAGCGCTTCTCCGCATCGAAGACTCAGAGCGCGCGAAAGATCCACACCCCGATCGAGTTCCCACTGCACGGTCTCCAGATGGACGATTTTGTCATCTCGCACTCGAGCCCTGCCCCTCCGGACTCCGAGGCTGTGCCCATTACGGGTGCTACAGTCCCACCATTTATGTATGATGCCTTTGGTGTTCTACGGCATCTCGGCTCTTCCATGGGCAGTGGACATTATATCTCCTTGGTCCGCGATGCGGAGCGGCAATGCTGGCGAAAGTTCGATGATGAGCGGGCGACAGATTTCAATCCCCGGGACTTGCGGCCGCGAGACCGGCTTCAGAACGAGCAGGCGTACATTGTGTTTTATGAGCGAGTTCCAGCGAAATGAGCGTTTTGTGTTTTCTAGCATTATGATGGTCACGATAGAGTATATATTATTATACACATATGAGTAACGTGAGAGTAAGGATAAAGCAGATACTTTAGCTCTTCCAGTGTAAATACTCCATACTTTCCAACTGTCCAGAATTCTCCAGATCTTCCAATTACTCTACTCCGTAGAACACTTAATTCCGCCCCCAGCGGAAAGCGGATACCGACGGCGCTACCCGAAGATTGAACTCCCCCGAGGTTACGGTTATACAGGCAAACTGACCAGGCAATTGAGATCTGACACATTCTACAGTGAATTTCTAATGGAATGCCTTGTTTTGTAATATCAATAACAATTCTAAAATTCAGAGAAACTACCAAATGTCCTAGATAAGCCCATTAAGGCCAGATCTCTACACGTCTCTTATGGAGCGATTCTCTAATAAGCAGCATCTAATTCGCCGAGAGCTACTCCGTTATGCAGACTCTATGCATTTTTTGTACACCGTGTTTTGTATATACAAACGGAGTATTTTATATATATTTTAATGTGTACACAATCAATGCACCTATTACGTGCCAATCAACTACATTTAGTCATTCAAGCACCCCTCAATCCGGGTGTAATTCACGGCATCCTAAGTCCCTGGTACCTGGCCCCACACCTAAGAGGCCGCTCAAGCGCACGTACCAGCTACATGTCAACTTTGGTTTAGTTAGGACTTTTCCTCTTCTTTCTCCTTCTTGTGACACTTCCAGCTTATTCCTTTTCTGCATCTTTGCATATCTCTCTTTCTCTTCGCGACTTTTGATTCTCATTTTTAGGCTCTTTTCTCAATACTCGTAAGTTGTTCTCCCTGTCTCCTATCTTCGTCCCAACATTTCTCGGAGCCCGTTTTCTCCTATCGCCAACTCCACCTCAACACACTCCCCTCTTCAACTTGGTTCTTGCTGTCCGACTGACAACTCCTGTCAATTCTTCGCAGATACCTTCACCATGGCTGAAATCAAGGAACTCACTTTCTCCGAGATTGCGGAACACAACACCAAGAAGGATCTCTACCTGATCGTCCACGACAAGGTCTACGATTGCACCAGCTTCGTTGATGAGCACCCGTACGTCTTCCCTAATTCTACTTGTTCTCACCGGATTTTCAAATCCAGTGGCTATTATCTCTCAATCCGATCGATTTCCTGTCGCGTGGGGGTGCGAGAAAGAAAGAAAAACGCCACTTCGGCCAATTTTCTTTCTATCCCTATCGCACTGTCCTAACAACAATCCCACTCATCCCTTGAAAGCAAGATATCTCGAATCGACTCGCTAATCAATCTCTTTTCCTTTACAGTGGTGGTGAGGAAGTCCTCCTCGATGTCGGCGGTCAGGACAGCACCGAGGCCTTCGAAGATGTCGGCCACAGTGATGAAGCGCGTGAGATTCTGGACGCCATGCTCGTCGGCACCGTGAAGCGCATGGTACGTTTTTTTATCAAAAATCCAAGCCTCAATTTTCCACCTCCCAACTCTATCCCCGCAATACCCTCGGCCCCAACGCTCTGCACGCACAAAATCACATGCGCCGATTCCCAATAATCACACTTGATACTGACACTAACTCTACCTCTCTAGCCCGGTGACCCCGAGCCCAAGGCCACTCACACCGCAACCGCCTCCACATCCTCTTCCTCCTCCGCCAGCGGCTTTGGCGTCGGCCTCTACGCCGTCATTCTCATCGGTGGCGCTATCGCCTACGGTGCATACAACTACCTCCAGGCTCAACAGGCCCAGCAACAGTAGGCTGGACTGTGTGAGTTGTGACCGAGTGTTTTTGGGTGCTTTTTAGAATATCGAGTTCGGGGAATACCTGAGATATCGAAATGCAGTGAAATTTAATCCCCCATTGGGAGTGTGGCTAAAAGAGCAAAGAGCGCGTGTTTTTCGAGTTTCGGGTCTTATGAATATCTCTTTTTGTATCTTCTTTTTTCTTTACCGATTATCTTTTTATCTATATGGGATTTTAACATTGGGTTGATCTTTTTCTTCGTTCAATTCTCCGATACTTCATTGCTTTGATTTCATATGGGACGATCTTCGATTTTCGACTCTACCAATAGACACATGCATACGCAATGTCACATCTATTTCCGATTTGGAAGACTGCCAGTCTTGTTTCCAAGTTACAAGATTCAGATAGTCGATAACAGGGGCAATTGTCGCCGATCGGTGTTCCGAAATACCCCGGAATGATTTACTCCTTTTGGCGTGACGATCCCGATCCATTCGCCGACAACCCCCCGATTTCACAGATTGGACTACGTACTCCGTACATCCCCTCACATCTCCAATATCTCCGCTGCGGGGAGTATCTACACTGTTGAGGGGTCTCATGGGCGAGTTTCTAATGCTTCCGATTCTGTTCTAAAATTGTTTGAGATCTGTCGGACCTAACAAGTAGAGTTTAGCGCCTATATACCTCCAGTGCTGGAGCTTATCCAGCCCGGTGTCAATTTCCTGTTTCTTGAATTTGATACTATAAATGGCGGTCCTGTGTTTTGCCTGTTTAAGTTAGTTTTACTGTTTCTTGCCCAGCAGCTTAATACACCGTCACGTAACCTCCCGAGGTCCCTTCCAAGTTCAATGCTCCGACATAAAAGACCCGTCTTCGCCCCTCATCCTCGCAGCTACAGCTACACTCAATATTGATCATATTATTATGAAGATACAACTCTGGCTAAGGGCTACAGTATATCGTTAGTACCTTGGCTTCTTAAAACGATGGCTGACATTGCTCAATCTGGTCAACCAGTTTCTCGATGTTCTTTAAAACAGCTAACACCCCCCGTGCCATACGATTATCCGGGCGTCCCGCAGGCACATGGAGAAAGGCTACTCTCAAATATTGCCCGCGTTAATGCCCATCTGCCAAAGATGAATAGAAAAACCACTCGCAAAGATTATGCCCGGCATTACTCGACTGCCGCGACCCAATATCCTAGACTCCCGGAGAAGAGCCGCTAAGTCAGATAAAAGAGATAGAGCACTAGAAGGAGAATTGACTTACGGTGCAGGCTATCTGAAAAGTTGCCGACGCCAACGCAATATCAAGTTCAGGGCTGATCTTGGGTAGGCATCCAGCCTAGTAACCATGCTGCTTGACATCATCGCCTGACGGAAAATCTCCTTCATTGTCGGCGTGAATATAGCCATCGCGCCGGGCAAATGTTAGTTATCCTCCCTGGCCCTCATTCCCAAATGTATAAACAGCTGGACCTGGACAGTCTCTCCCGGCTTTGCAGCAAAGTCATACAAAAGGCGCATCACCATCCCACAAAGAGTGAATCAACTTTCGAGACGCATCATGTATAGAGGGAATATTTTCCACAATTTTTAGAATAAGAATATCGCGCTTTTTTTTACTGCGGGGTTTCACGTCCGGGAAGTCGTCCTTCAATACGGCAACGGAGCTGTAATCGAGCCCAGAGCTGTACAACTACAAGGATAGTTAGTCTCAAGAAAACTTCATAGAGAAGGGTCATCATACACCTACCCCCTGTAAGGGCCACTAGAAGTTCTGCTTGGGGAACTCATTGTGATCGACGTTGGCAGGACTAGTTTGGTTAAGTGCAGTCACCACGATTACGAGAAAGAACGGTGGCAGGAAATAAAGAATATAGGCTTCATTAATAGCAGGTAAATATTATATATCCTGTGGTATTGAAATTCTAGTAAGGAGATGGAAAAGACTGCCTACTCCTCCTCCCCCTCCCCCCAACCCCCAATTGTTATCACCATAAGCGCCAACATCACCTGGGCAGGATTAGAGGATGACCAACAGTGCGGGGTGGCTGGGTAAGTCCAAATTTACGGCGGCAGATATAGAGCTAGCTATACCTTTGATGTTGGCAATAATAGCAAAGAATAACTACTTGCCTCCATTCTGCTTGGGTTCATTTGCATCTGCAAACATGAGTGTTTCGAAGAACATATCAAGTTTTACATGGAAGTTCCCGATTTTTCTTAAATACACATGTACTCTTGTAAATTTAGTATTGGGACTATGGCTCTATAACCCGAACCTTATGCCAACGGGCGGATCAGAAGCCCTGCAGGATCGTTCATCGATCTAATTACCCGTGGTGATAGAGCGGACCATTTCAGGGTGCTGTACATATATTAGTAAATACTAACAAAATAGAGAAGTTGAACGTACCCATCGCTTCATGATATCTGGATGACTGACACCATAATTATGCAGCACCTTCATACCCAGTGTATCAAGGGACCCCAATGGACTCAAATATTCATCCGGTTCCTCTCCAACGCAAGGGTAATGAGCATGAACATCTCGTTGAATACTCTCCAAGGCCTGCATACTCGACGGCGACAACAACGATGTATCATATCGCAGATTAGTGCCCACGCCAATACTGAAGCGATCCGTGCTACCGGGAGGCAGAGCCGTGACGCGATGCCAAGCAGCCGAGCACACCCCATACGTCGCTGCTTGGGCAGTCTTTCCAACGATGAAGACCAAGGAGCCGTCCCTGGGCGGGCAGTTAATCCATTCACCCTTGCCATTTTGCGCTTGTAGCGCTACATGCTCGGTCACTTGGTGAATCAGCGTGGTGAATGTGTGATCTTGGTGGGCACCTAGTGCACTAAGATCTGCTTCTGACGCTGTCGCCGGTGGACCGGGGTATTTTATCATGCGCATGCGGTACTGCTGCTTCTCGTCGAATAGGGAACTGAGAGCGGCGCCGTTGACACCGATGGCTTCGGCCATCAGCTCCCGTAGCATCTTTTCCACTTTTGCGATCTCCTCTATGTAGTTTTTGAATGAGGCAGTGAAGTCCGGAAGTATAGATTCTGCTGGCCATTGACTGGGTCCCCAGAGGTTGCGGTATGCTGGTCCTGCAATCTCACCTGGGATGGGATGGGCCACGGTGAGATGCTCCCGGGTATCGATGTTGTTATCTGTGTACTCCGTGCCCATCTATATTATTAGCCATCATTTATATATGCCTTGACGAGACTGCTGAGATCCTTACTGCTGTGTAGCCTAGGAACCCTGGGACATTTGCAATATCGAGCTTCTTTTTCTCTTCTTCGGGAAGATTAAAGAATGCTTCACATTCAGCCTTGGCCTTGGCGAAGGTTTCGGGGCTGAAAGGAAGACCAGTCACGTAGCACATTCCCACATTGCGAACAATGTGCAACATGTGCAGACGTAGGGCTTCTCTGGCACCCGGGTCCTTGAGCAAAGAGAGATCCAAGGTGGGAATGGTAGTAAAGTCAGACATTTTGGAGTCAAAAGATATACACTGTGATTTTAGCGGTTGTTTCTGGCGTTTGATTCTTGACAACACATGACTTAAATAGTTTTGACCGGTGATAATCAAATATTGAGAGATCGGGTAACCAGTTTACCATGACGTTTTCTTTTTTCGATTTGCTGTTCAAATAGTTTGTGTTCTGTTGTTCATTTCCCCATACATCCATGCATACATATGATCTGCACAATTACGCAACGTATACGGTATAGTCGGCCATGTGGACAGATGCATCGACCACAGCCGGCCCGATGCGAGACATGTCATATAAAAGTTTGTCCGTATTGAAATCAACAGTATCGGAGAAAGGGCATAAGAACTGGGTTATTAGATCTCCAGGGCTTTTTACACAACTTAGTAGTTTCCCAGACGTTATGAGTCGCCGTGAGCGAGGAATATCGTGGGTACTGCATTCATTAGTCTATTTCAACTTACTGATACCAATATGCACATAGCACATTTAGACAATATCTGACATCGTATCAAATTTGCCATCCGCCTTCATTTGCATATGGTGTGTAGTACCACTTATATTAGAATGATTGGGATGACCCAATATTGCGCGTATTCTTCCTTCGCCTCTTCGTCTGACCGCTTCCTTTCCCCTCCTTCTTTCGCTTCTTTCTCTCGCCATTGGTGCCTGTTGACTCAATGGCTTTCCGAGACCTTGTGAGTATGGAGTACCATAGGCTCTGCATCTATCAGGCTGCCTGAACTCATTGACCGATATATCCATGAATGCAAACAGCACATTGGGGTAAGATCTGCCGTCGTATGAAACCTGCCATCCGCCTTCATTTGCATATGGTGTGTAGTACCACCTCATCAAAATGATTGGGATTACCGAATGTTGCGCGTATCTTTCCCTAGCCTCTTTGTCTGGCCTCTTCCTTTTCCCTCCTTCTTTCGATTTTCTCTCTCGCAATTGGTGCCTGTCGATTCACTAGCTTTCCCAGACATTGCGAGTGTGGAATATCAAAGGCTCAACATCTATCAGGTTTTCTCAACCAATTGACAGATGTACGTAATCAGTAGGATGAGGAGAGATCTGCCGCCGTATCAAGATTGCCATCGGCCCCGTTGTGCATATGGTGTGTAGTACCACTTCTATTAAAATGGTTAGGATAACAGAATCTTGCACGTACCTCTCTTTCGCCTGAGCTTTTCGTCTCAAGATCCATGTCTCCATTGATATTTGTCAAGATACTGGAGTTCCAAGACATGATGAGAGATTGTAAGTATGGAGTATCATAGGCTCTGTATCCAATCAGGTTGTCTGAAATCACTGCCACACATATCTACAGCAGATGTAGATAACATCTGCCATCGTATCAAGATGGCTTCAGCCCCAATGTGCATATGGTGTGTACCATCACGTCTGTTGAGATGTTCGGAGTGACGAATCTTGCAGAAATTATACAATGACGTTATTGTCGCCGTTTGCGTCCATCAACCGAACTGACGTGTCCTAACGGCACGACGGGTAGAAGATGACTTTATAAGTTCCGCCAGAACGCTTGCGACATTTCCCCAGAGATTGTGTGATCAAAGATCATAGATTGTTCTCTCTTATCATTGGATATTTGTTATCTCTTATTATTGAATACTTGCACAATGGGATGCACCACTGCAGATCGGGAGGCCAGGTTGTAAGTTACCTGCAATATGTCTCCGTCCAGCGCTTACCTTCATAGTCTTTCATGGAAAGAGATTGCGGCGAACAAAGCACATTTGAGACGGCTTGCTTCCGAGGTAAGAATTCCTTTTGCAAGATGGGTCTGTGTCGCTGACAATACAGCAATGTATCTTGGTTTGGAATCAGTATAAAAATCTTGATGAGTACCCGCCACTTTGGGGCGATGAGGTACGCAATTATGGCTCTCATAAAAGCAATTATTGAATTGACCATGATATATTTCAGGTTGAATACCTCATCGTGTCGTTAGACCGACAAAACAAGACGGCCACTTTGGCTTTGAAGCAGCACGACCTCTTGGAGAAATGGGAGGAATCTTCCAAAGAGTGCGCTCGGCCCTGGTGTACAATGTATCCATCCATTCTGACAGACATTATCTAGTGGTAAAATGGCATTCCAGTTGCATCCCGAATCCATGATGTTCATGGTGGAAGGAGTGGCAGAGCCCCCATTCGGAGACAGCTTCCAGGCTATGTTGCAGGTGGAAAACAACATGAGACAACGGTAGGGCTCAGACATTAATGATTATGTTAAAGATAAACACAGTAAGGATCCTGCTGATAAATTATAGGCGAAGTGCGATCCAGGCCTGCATAGGAATAGACGAATTACCTATAACCATCCCCATGTTTCCTCGGCTTGGAGCATCAGGAAAGTTCACTAATACTGATCTGATGAATAGCAAAAAGCTTTATTCCCATGTTATGTCGGAGGATTTATTTAGTCGTTTTGAACGGTCCAAAGTCCTCGCTGATAACCTGCGAGGCCGACAGGGTAGGATTGGCGAAGCAAACGTCCCAGTGTTTCAAGATATCCATACGCCCTGGCCGTGGAAGGATGGCTTAGCTCATGGGGAAGAAATGAAAGAAAACACACCATTTCCACTTCCTGCCCCCACCCCTAACTGTGTGTTGCTCGATCATTTTGCTTGGAGTGGCGGAGCTTGTGGGCTACAGGTTACCTTTCAAGCCAAAAACCTTGACGAAGCACGCTCGCTACATGATCAGTTATGTCCGTTGAGTGCCATTATGCTGGCCCTTACCGCCGGAAGTCCCTGTTACAAGGGATACTTAGTCGATACAGATAGTCGCTGGCATATCACGAATGCGTTGAATGATGATCGAACAATGGAAGAAATCCTAAGTCAGGTTAGTATCGAAGTACGCTTTTATGAATCCGTATATTGATCATATCGAGTATAGAATGATATGGATAAGAATAGAGTGGCTTCGCAGATGCGATGGTCCTTTAGTCCCGTATATGCCGGTCACGGTGATCATCTCCCAGAAGGATACCAATCCTATAGCACTGGGGACGCGGAGACTCAAGCCCTATTAGAAAAAGCGGGAATGGACTCCACCCTCTCCGAATTCTTCTCTCATATGCTGAAATACGACCACTTGATCTTAGACCCAAAGCATCTGGAACCTGAGTCACCTCAAGATACCTATCACTTCCGTGCTCTCATTGGTAGTCTCTGGCCTGATATCCGCTTTAAACCTCCACCGGATGGAAGTGATATCGGATGGCGCGTGGAATTCCGTCCGATGGAGGTTCAGATAACGGATTTCGAAAATGCTGCATTTGTGGTGTTCATGGCGCTAATGCGTCGTGCGATTTCACATTTCGATCTCAATTTGTATCTTCCCATGGAGCTTGTGGGTGAGAACATGTGTCGATCTGTCATGAGAGACGCTGTTAACCGGAATCAATTCTGGTTCAGAGAAAGTGTTTCTAGAGACTCGAGGGAGTCGTCCCCCTCATCATCTATGTCAGGCAGTGAATCCGACTTTGCCCAGGGCTATAGAGAGATGTCACTAAGGGAGATCGTGTGCGGGTCTGATCATTCTCTTAAGGGCTCTCCTTTCCCTGGATTAGTCCCCTTGATCCACTCCCTGCTAGACGCTGCCAAATTGGACTCGGAAACTCGAAAAGTTCTCAATGGTTATTTGACATTTGTGGCCAAAAGAGCATCTGGAGAACTGTGGACGCCGGCGAAGTGGATGAGACATTTTATTCAGACGCATGAGAAATACCAAGGAGACAGTGTTGTCTCGGAGGAAATTTGTTATGACTTGGTCTGTGCCATTGAGGATCTCACCCGACATGACCTCCTTTGAATGCCACATAGTTGCATATGCATGTAGGTTGTTGATTATATGCAAATTGCGAGAATAGGGAGTTGCCTCTTTATCTTCCACTACAGTCAATCTGAATTTCCGTACACTCCAACAGCACGAGATGTGCTGCTTATAAAAAGCAATGACCTAATTCATTCAATAGCCAAAATGTCCCGTAGATCTACGTTGTTAAATCAGATGTTTCGCAACCAAACGAACACTATCCCAACACTTCGAATATCGTCTTTTGTGAAAGGTTTCCATCGATTCATCAGACAATTCTGGTCTGGAAAAGTAGCTACAAGAAAATAAGACAGACAGCAAATGAGACAGCAAATGCAATTCTCTTTTAGAGATCAAATTAACGAATATTCATGAAAGTAGGGGGGAAAACAAAGAGAAAGAAGAAGAGCCAAAAAAAGAAACAACTTAAATACCGATCCCGCTCGCTGGCATTAAAAGCAGAGAAGGATGTATGGATCGTTTTCTATGTCCTGTAATTTTCAACTGTCGCATATGCTTATCGTGCACCGTTAAGGCCATTCTGCACAGCTTCCAGGATCATCTCCTTCGCTTCTTCGAGCCCAGTGGAGCTACCGCGGATCTCGATCGCCTCGCCGGGAGTCTGTTGCTTGGGCACGTTAATACGGCAGCCGGTCTTCTTGCGAATGGCGTTGATCTGGCTACCACCTTGGCCGACGACGAATCGGTAGGTCTTGGGGTCCGGCAGAATCAGGAAGCCTGTGGCGGACTGCTGCGAGGCAGCAGCGATAGCTTTCTCGACGACGGCGCGGGCCTTAGCCACGTTCTCCGGGGATCCGGTGAGGACCCATGGGAAGGGGGTGGAGGAGGAAGAGGGGGTGGCGTTGTCAACAATTGTCCAAGAGTGGGCATCTGCAGTGACATTGGGGTCATCGGTGATCAGGGGCATGTCGGAGCTGTTGGTGTTACGGGTTTCCTCAGTCGGGGCGATGGTGGGGACAGTTTGGCCGGCGTGGTCGACAGTGACTTGGTGGTCGTTTCGCAGGCGGCGGAAGAGGGAGCCGTTGTCGGAGATGGCGTGGTGTAAGTGGCTAGGAACTTCCATAGTCTCGGCATGCTGCTGCTTCAGCATGGACAGGACGTGCTCCTTGGCGCTTTCGACAGCAGTGCTGGGTCCCTTGAGCTTAACGTCGGTGCGACCGGAGCCCTGCTTAGGGATGTCCAGGGTGACATTGAACTTGGACTCGATACCGCGACGGGTGTCGCCGCCACGGCCGATAAGAAGACGGTGTTGAGCAGTGGGGACGTCGAGAATCTCAGTGACCTGGTCCTGGCGCTCCTTGACGAAGTCCTCGATAGCGGCGATGATGCTGTCGACGATCTTACCATTACCCTCAAGGCGAATGGTCTCCTCGGTGCTCTCGGGCTTGGGGAAGCGGACCATCCTGGCGGCACTGCCGTCAGAGGGCCTCCGGCCTCAGTCACGATCTTGCGAATATTGGCACCTGTGTTGGATTAGTAAACGGGATCAACAGAGTGTTTTGTATAGAACTTACCGCCTCCACCAATCAGAGCCTTGTGGTACTTCTTCTCGACATCGATAGACTTGGTAACAGTAGCATCAAATTCGCTGGCACGCTGCTGCAAGATCTTCTTGGCTTCCGCAACTTGCTGCTTGGTACCCTTGACGCGAATTTCAACACGACCTGATGCATCCGGTGCATCGTTGGCATTAGGAACATCAATCTGGGCTCCGGTATCAGCACGAAGCTTCTCCATCTCGCGGCCGCGCTGGCCAATCAAAGAGGCGACCTGGCTCTGGGCCACGGAGATGGCAGCAGAGTGACCATTCTCGATTATCCACTGCAACAAGCTGAGGATCTCATCGCGGGCCGAGTCTGCTCCCTTGCTGGGGCCCTTCACGATAACCTCATCAGGAGCCTGCTGAGAACGGCTGGGACGAGCACCAGCATCGCTGGCAGTCTCTGCAACATCGTCACTGGCAGTTGCACGAGGGAACTGCACACGGACAGAGTAACGATCCTGGAGCTTGTTGACCTGGATACCACGCTGGCCAATCAGCTCACGGTGGTACTGGGCGGGAACCTTGAGAATGTGAGTGGTCTCATCCTCCAGTTTGCGACCCATGTTGATGATGCGCATGCGGGTAGCATCGGCCTTGGCCTTGGGTCCCTTGACCTCAACCTTGCCGTTCTCCACTTTGATATCGACATCGAACTCCTCACGGAGCTTGTTGATGTTCTCACCACGCTTACCGATCAGGAAGTTGGCGTACTTCTGAGGGAAGTCGAAGCTGGTGATGTATCCACGCTCCTTGTCGTCCTGTTCCTGCTCCGCAACGAAAGCCTCTAGCTTAGTGACAAGGTCAGCCACGACAGCCGAAGGACCGCGGAGGGAAACCTCGCACTGGGCGCCCTTGGCTTCGCCGACAATAGCACGGACGGGAATGCTGTCCTCGCCCTTGGCCTCCTGCTCACGGTTGATGAACTTCCGTGTCTTCTCCTGGTACTTGGAAGGAACTACAACCGACTTGGCAACGATATCATGCTGGTCTCCGAGGGCACGAAGAAGGAAGTCCTGGGCCTCTTGCAGACCCTTCTCGAAGGCTGCGACATCTGCGGGGGAGGGGCGCTGTCTGGGAACCTCGAAGTGGGAGGCATTTGCGGACGGGCCTTCATAGACAAGAACAACCTCGGGGCTCTCAATGTCATCCGGAACCATGAGGTGGACACCGTAATCACCCTGGAGGATGCTGGCGCTGCGGTTGCGAAGGTACTGGTGGAAGTAAGGGTCGACGGGGACGTGGCGGAGTCTGGAAGGCGGCAGAGCCTGAATCAGGTTCATGATGTCAGAACGGGCACGAATGGTGTTCTTTCCGTCACGAGAGTAAACCTCCCAAGTGACGGGTCCACCGACGCTTGGGGGAAGCGCAATGTGTGCATCATAAGTCGACTCGAGCTCCTTGATAACTTGACGGCGGCGGAGGTACTGCGACAGAGCGCTAGCGTGGGCGTGGGGACCGGCGGGTGCGTTGGGGTGCTGGCGAGACAGGTCAATGCTGGCCATCTGCATGCTAGTAGCAAGATCCATAGCATGTTCGATACCAGCCTCAATTTGGTCGAGGGGGCCAGTAATGGTGAGGAACTCGCTGTCGTCTGATGGAGGAGGCAGAACAACGGCACATCCAGTCTGTGCGACGAACTTGTGCAGAGCATCGGCCTCGTTACCCAAAATGAACTGGTGCTGGCCACGGTTGATCGCCAGCTGGCGAAGGGTCAGCTGCTGGTGCAGTTGCGCAGCCAGGCGCTCGATCTCAGCGCGAGCTTCCTGTGCGGCAGCCCTTTCTCCAGAGATAGAGATGTGCTTGTCGGGGCAAGCGACGAACTGGACTTGGCCAGGGTTAGCCTCCTGAGGAGGGGGCTGGGTTGACCAAGTATCGTAGCGGGGGACATTGATCTGCGCTTTTGTGCGCTCCTCAATGGCCCGGAGGTTGGCATCGTGTGCGCCCGCAATGAAGGGGAAGAACTCAGGAGGAACGGTCTTGAGCTTGAAGCTCATGTTTGAACCGCGCTCCTTGACGATCGCTTCGATCTCGCGGCGAGCCATCTCAGCTGCGACGGCATCACCTTCAATCAGGATATCGATGGTGTCGTCATCGTCGTCATCGGCAGCCGCGGGGCCGTCAGCGCGAGGAACCTGCACGCGGGCACCGGTACGGCTCTGGATATCCTGAATAACGGTGCCTTGGCGACCAATGATGTGGGCGCGTGCGGATGTGGGGATAGGAACACGGACGGATTGCTATTTGGAGAATATCAGTTTGGTCCTAAACCCTTGCGCGTGGATTGCATTGAACATACCTTAGATCCGACCTGCTGGGCGACCTCCCGAAGAGCCTGACGCACCGCATCCACGGAACCCTTTCCTTCGAAGATAATTGAGCCTCCAGGGCCACCGCGCATATCAACATTGGCCTTGGAGCGACGAGAGATGTCGCGCAGAATATCACGAAGAGGCTTCTTCATTTGTCCGCGGGGCTGCATCTGGGAGGGGGCGAGGCGGAGCTGCTCCATGTGCTTTCCGGGAAGGGCCATCACACGAGGGATTTCTATAGCTACAATGTTAGAAACTCGACTCACTCTTTAACCGCCAGTTTCATCAACTTACCCATTGACTTGGCGGGCAAGCCATTCGAGACAGCAGCGGCCGCGGAGGGCTTCTTTGCACCCCACGTAGCCGCAGCGGGAGCAGCGGGCTTGGGACCACTTCCCAAAGCCGGGAACAATTCCTCGGATTGTACATCGAAAGCCGGGGTCTTTTTGGTGGCAGCCTTGGGAACGGGCGTTGAGACAGATTCGGTCAGGGTAGATTGATCGGGAGTGTTTGCGTCGACGAGGATGGGCTGCTCGGCCTGCGATGAAGTGGGAGCGGGGTGTTTGAGGTCTTCCTCATCCACAATTTCCTCGACGGTGGGCTTGTGCGCCTCGACGCGGGAGTGCTGTTGTTCCAGCATGGCGGCGAGAGATCCGCCGTTGGCAGAGGTTGAAGCATCGGTGGCCATCACGGATAGATAGAAATGGGATAATTCGGGGTTGGAGATGGGGTTTGTAAATGGGGCTATGCACAAGATCCTGCAATCAAGACTAGTTCGGGTCAGTATGCAATGGGGACAGGTCACCGTAGTCTCGACGTGCGATCCCTAGGCATTGAAAGATTCTGCGCAACTCACAAGTGACAGAAAAGAAATCTTCTCTTTTGTGATTCAAAGTGAAAGGTATATTATAGTTTTTTTGGGTCGTCCCGGGTTCAGGAGAATGCCGAGATCAATGCAACTGAAAAGAAAATGCAATCGCAATAATTTTTGGCAAAGCGCCGAAAGTGAAAATAACACAGGGGCTTAAAGAGTAAGCCACCTGAAAAGAAAGTGAAAAGGGGGGAGGGTGAGAGAAAGAGAGAGTGTGAGAAAGGCGAGAAGAGGTGAAGTTCGAGAACCCCGGACGACCGTACACAAACCGAAAAGGCCAGCTCGAGGTCTCCGGGGAAGTTTTCTCCGAGCCCGTGTCTACGATTCACTAAACCCTTTTGCCTCTACTATTGCCTTGAATAATATTTGAATCAATTCATAACAAAGACAATTTCATTCGAGATTCTAAATAGCAGTCAACCAAGCGTCAATTAGTCTATTTAGTTCATACGTGTCATTGTGACACACGGGCAGCTTCGAGAATATATGTCCAATCGCATCGTTTCTGTTCGTTTCTCTTCATAGTTCTAGCAATTTGTAGCAAGATATCACAAGATCTAGACAAATATAGACTGTTCAATTTAATTCACGCACTCCAATGGTAAATGATGTAAATATTCGTGTTCCACTAAAATTGAGTGAGGCTCGTGCCACCACCGCCACTGACATCTATTTTATTGAACATCTGACACGGTGCAGATCCCAACCTATCAAGGGACCTTTTCGTACATATATGTAGAAATGATCTTATAAGTGAAATTTGTCTAAACCTTGTGTCCTTCTACTGACCTACACATATATGTAGTTTGTTTGGACAAACAGAGATATACTACATCTAGTCCTAATAATATCAATGCTTAAACCCCGAATATACACAATACTATATGTCGCGAAACATACCTACCAGTAGTTAGTTATATATGTAGTTGTACCAACCTTGGAATATACCCGTATATTTAGACATGACACCCTGACTTGCGTTAAAGATGAGTATTTTCTAGATATTTTGAACTTTTTGGATATTTCAACGTTTACTTAGGGGTTCAGTTCGAATGCTTTTGGATAGCCTACTATATTCTACAATCGCCTGTAAAAGTTTCCCTAAGTAAACACAGTGAACTCGTCTTGTCATAGAAATAGAATACAATATTGATAGAGAAAGGTTAGCAAAAAAAAAGAACTCTTCGGCCACGGCCGACTCCACCTAAAAGAATTTTTCTTTTCTTTGTTCCCGCAAAGCTTAACCACCAAGACTCATGATGCTTGGCACACAACTTTATATATCTACATTTGTAACTTCAGAATCACTAGTAGAAGCAAGTAACAAGAGTCAAAACAGAAAATAGGACATAGAGCCAAGGAGTAAAAAGGGAAAAAGAAGCAAGGCAAAACTAAGAAAAAAAACGGCGATAAGAAGTCCCACATGGCATAGATAGAGGCGAAGTCCGAGGAAGACCCGAGCAATATTGTCGCGCTAGTCCAAGTCGCGTGCGGGGGGGGGAAATATTCGAGATTTCGCGGATTGTCAATTTCTTCCTCTCCCTTCCCTTCCAGGGATTCCACAGGGTGTCACATTTCAACATGGACAGCGACATGGAGAAGAAGCTTCAGGCCGAGCTGAAAGTCTCTGCTGTAGAGGAAGAGCCGGTCAAACCGAGCGGAATCCTCGCCCAAATTCGCTACTATGAGGAGCTACTCGATCGCAAGCTCGGCATTGAATCTCATAGCTTGGACCGCGTCCATCCTGAAGACAGACACCCGCCTAGTTCGGTGGTCATGGCCTTCATGTGGGCGTCGGCCACGATGAACATAAGCTGTTTCAGTACTGGGTTTTTGGGAAAGCAATTCGGACTATCGTTGGGACAAACAATTCCAATTGTGATATTTTCTACCCTACTGGGTGCTATGGTGACTGTATGGCGCTTTTATTTCTTTTTTGAAAAAATGGTTCTTGGATGAAAACTTACGTTCCGCGATTAGGGCTGGTGCGCAACTATGGGACCCGGAACGGGTCTTCGCCAAGTTGCCATTGCCAGATTCTCTTTTGGCTATTACCCGTCATCAATCATTGCATTGCTCAATGTCATCGAGCAGCTAGGTTGGGCATCTGTCAATTGTATTACTGGCGGACTGGCACTCAGCGCTGTCTCAGACGGACATGTCTCTATTGCCGTTGGTGTAGTGATCATCGCTTGCGTCAGTTTACTCTTCAGTTTTGTCGGATTGCGTGGTGTTCTGCTGTATGAGAAGTATGCTTGGATGCTGTTCTTCGTCATCTTCATGATCATCTACGGCGAAGCCGCTCACCGCGCCAATATTTCTGCACCTCCTACAATATCGGGAATCGACCGCTCTGGAAATGTGCTGTCCTTAATCAGTGTGGTGTACGGATCAAGCGCCTCTTGGAGTTCGATTGTGTCGGATTTCTACGTTCATTATCCCGTCAACACCCCCAAGATCAAAATCTTCTTGTATACCACTCTTGGTATCACAATTCCCACATGTATTGGCATGCTGCTGGGTGCCTGTATCAGCTCTGCCCTGGATACAAATCCCGAATGGCAAGCTGCATATGATGTTGGAATCGGCGAGATCTTGAAGACAATTATCTACCCAACTGGGTTTGCAAAATTCCTTTTGGTACTGCTTGTCCTGTCTGGAAGTATGTATTGTTAAATCCCCACTAAAACTTTCTGCACAATTACTAACAACTCTCAGTTGGCGTCAATGTTATCGCCATTTATTCCGGTGCGCTCTCAGCCCAACTATTTGCACCTCCATTTGCCAAGGTGCCCAGAGTAATCTGGTCATTCCTGGTATTCGCTGGTGTCCTTGCGCTAGGAATCGCCGGCCGGAACCAACTTCTCGCCGTGTTGGAGAATTTCCTGTCTCTTCTTGGATACTGGAATACCTCTTTCTTCGCGATTCTGTTTATTGAGCATTACTATTTCCGCAAGGGAAGTTTGGCCAACTATGATCTTGATGCCTGGAACGATCCTTCACGGATGCCAGTCGGGTATGCGGGTCTGGCAGCATTCCTGTGTGGCGCCGCCGGCTGGATTGTGGGCATGGTGGAGACCTACTATGTCGGTGCACTTGCCAAGATGATCGGGAAGGATGGTGGTGACATTGCTAACGAGCTTGCGCTGGTCTTCAGCTCTGTTTCCTATCTGCCCATCCGGAAATTGGAGCTGCGGTATGTGGGTCGCTAAATACGGGATTTGAACAGGTTGGACGGGGTTGTACCTCGATATTAATGGAATGCACGAAGCATGGCGTTGACAGATATGCCATAGCAAAATATACATGTAACATTACATAGTTCATACAAAAGTTAATAGATTTATATATGAAGATCTTATAAATGTGCATTAACCATGGGATTACCAAGGCTTTATTAAATTAATTAGAGTATTCCACCAGACACGAACAGGGACATGATGACAATGGTAAGACCAACACGGCATGGGTATCGAATAAACGAGTGCAATACTCTGCAAGAAAAAAAGTATATGGACCCAACCATTAACAAGAGAAAGGAATGTGAAAAAGCAATATAGGCCTCGGGGCCTGCCACGAGAATTATGTGCATTAAGAGGCCTGGACGTAAGGCCAGCCGTCCTTCCAACCGAGGACGTTCCACGCGTAGCGGTAGTTGGCGTTGTCGGCAACGGTGGTGGACTCCTTGACGGCGAGTGGGTAGTAGTGGTAGTACATCACCACACCGAGGTCCTTATCGTTGACAACACCAGGGCCACCGGGTCCGAAAACCTGGCCGTGACTGGAGAGGAGCATGGTACCTCCAGTCTGCTTGCAGTCCTTGCCATCGGCATCAACCTGATATTTGTTAGCTCCAGTATTGACAAGGTTATTATGAAGGGAACATACGAAGTCACCAAGACCAGTTGAAGAACGGCAGACCCGAATGTGGTACTCAGCACCCGCAGCAGGGGCAGTCTTGCTGTACTGTCCGGCAATACCAGCAGAGTAGAGCAAATAGTAGAAATCACCGTGCTTGAACTCGTACGAGCCCTCCTCGCGGTGGTTCAGAGTAGCGTTCCAGGAAACCTGGTAGGGAGTGGCGCTGCCAACCGTCAGGGGAGTTTCCATGACGACCTGGTGGATATCACCCCAGAAAGAGCCGAAGTTGAGGATGTTCTTGCCGCCGATGCTGATCCAGGCGGGATCGATGCGGTTGTAGTTGACGTTTGCCGGAATACCGATTGATCCATGGTCAGTCCAGCTACCTGGCTCCATGGTCTTGGATGTCGCGACACCAATCTGCGAGTTTTGGGTGCCGATCTGCGACAAGACATAGTACATGTAGTACTGGTCATTTTGATAGTGAACATCAGGAGCCTGAGGGTGGAGTAGTCTTAGTCTATGCTGTCATGCCGTTGTGTGGTGCTTTTCCTTACCCAGATATTCATGCTGTCGGTGTTATCCAATTTGATGCTGGTTCCATTTGGCAATGCGGCTCCCAAATCGGTCCATGGACCCTTCACCGACGGCGAGCTGCTGATGGGGACACCAGTGCCTGTCGAGAACCGGTAGTACTTTCCATCGGATACACGCTGAATCATGCCAGGGTCATGAGCCCAACAGCTACCAGTGCAAGGGCCCCGGTTGGGGTATGCACTGGCAAGAGCAGTGAAGAGAAGAGGGACTAGACCAAACATGGTGGTATGCACAAAGGAAGGGGAGGAGGTTGGAGGGGGAAATTAGCTGTACTGGTTGGAATAATAATGTTTCAAGGCTGGGAGTCATGTTCAATTTATGTTAAAATCGGGAACTACTCTTCAGATAGCTTTGTCAATCCCCACGCAGGATGTCGGGCCCCGAGCATGACTTTTTCGCATGGCAAGGAGCAGCTGTACCAATCATCGGCTATCGACCCCTGTCCATCGTATCTGGGCAATGTAAGGCGCATGTCAGTAGTGAGTCGGGGCAAGCTGGGTTTGCCGAAAGGGATGAGCTCATTTCAACGATGCAACTACAGGGAGTCTTTGCTGCGTTCTCCTGTGGACCTGTGGATCCTCGACTGGATAAGTTAATCAAACTCACTGCATAGACAAAGGGTTACCTAGGAAATCGCGGACGACTTCTGTATCCCTGATGTGATGTCTCGCATCGATTGTGCAAGGCGCAGTTGCCAGTTTTAGTGTACACTCCATTTGATCTGCTGCATATCCCCCACATCAGTTCCACCGATGACCGTCTCACAAGATCGGGAATCAATGCTAGTCTCGGCGACGCTAGGAACTGGATAGAAAGATGTGTTGGTCAATGCAAGTGTGTGTTGGTCCCACATTCTCATCAGTAAGTGGCAGTAAGGGGAGATAACCCTTTTCACACTAGTAAATTTATTGAACTTTTTTTCACTTTCTAGAGGACGCGTCCAAGTCCGGTTTACAATTTTGATATCTTGTGTACTATAAATTATCAATGATAATAAAAAAAGAAAAAAAAAAGATCTCATACATCATATTAACCTGCGTGGCTTGACTCTTGTTTGTAGTCCGAGCGATGATCTGCATCCATGTGGACCAATGACGGGGGATACTGGGCCAATCAATACCTTGTGTCCAGCGTGAGATGTCCAATAATATTGTACTTTCTTGAGATACTCTTGTATTTGTGACTTGATGTTGATCTAAAGAAGCTAAATAAGAGCCAAAAAAGATAAATAGGTCACGCGTACTCGTCACCGTCTGTGTAGATCTCGGGTCTTCAAGAGAATACTCAAAAATTGTATATTAGAACGCCATCTACACAGAGTATCACATCAGACGGTGGGTAGACCGCGACATAATTAGGCGATTTAGTTTGACTTGGCTTCTCCAGAAAATTATAAAATTACCCGAGGGCCGACACAATAAGCAACCTATGTCATCGGCACTCTAATGGTCAAATCAGACTACTACAATATTTGTACAAATGATATTGAGCCTCTTCGGGCCCCCGCTTTCGACCCAAGACAGGTTCTAGATACAGTAGTTTTGGCCTCTATCTTACGGTTTCTCTCAAGTAATCTCCCTGGTTAATCATGCCGAGAATCTTGCGCTAACTCTTGGTCAATAGTTATCGGATCAATCATTATGCTGTCCTTGCCACACCGCTAAATCGAGGACTTAAGAGTCAACGTCAGATATTGGAAAGGGGTCCAACTAGTCAGTTGGGCCGCTCGGGGGTGGCTTATCACGGCTCAAGGAACAAGACTCAGGTTTCATCTGATATGTTGATGTTGCACCACGGCCCAGGGCTGAGTTACCTGCTCCAGCTAGGTGTTCTAAGAATATATATCTGTATTCATGAGAAAAAGATGAGAAACGGCTGAGTGTTTCCCCTCACTCTTGGCTTTGCCCCTCCCTTCCAGTCGTTATAAATTACTTGATCCACACCGGTGGACAGCATCTGCATGGAAGCGAGCCGCGACCATCACGACATTCTAGAGATATCGGGGTTTCGGCCAACGCCTCATGTTTTCGGCCCGCAGAAAAAAAAGTCCAAATGCAGAGACAGGCGAGTGGAAAGTTCCTAGGTACGCCTGCCACTTCACCACAGTTGACCACCACTCCTTTCATTCAACAGTTGTGCCGTGTCATCTCCACAAACTAAGCCCAACCTAAGCTAGAGATGCGCGAATGCAGTCCTCGGCCTCTTCTAAAAAATTATAACATATCTCGAAACCTGACGAGATAAACTATGTGTCGGCTTACTGGACGCCATGGCTCCAGCTTGATCGGCCTAGACCTTGCGAAGAAGTGCAAAATGATTTATCGCCACTTCCCAAGGCGAATTACCTTCGACTTACTTGATTGATGGACTCCCTGCAGTCAAAAGTTTATCTAACATCACCAACTTCTACCTTAATCCTAATAGACTCTAAGCGAGATAAACTCTCTGACTTGGTTGGCCAAAATGTGATACTTATGATTGAGGGACAGCTGAATTCCATGAATTTATAGAAATCGCGAATTCTAGCCGCCATATATTCATTGGTCAAAGAACGCCTCCAAAGAACGTTGAAGAGGATCTGGAAAAAGCCCGATGGAAACTCGTTCAGAAAGCCCTGGAGAGGGTACCTCCAGGCTAGATATGGTATGGTCACCTGCTAGACTTTCTAGGCGGCATGTAGCACAAGAGACTACTAGGCCAGTTGCTTGCGTATAGGGCTCCAAAAGCTGAAGATGTATAATGTACAGCTTATATACAATTAGAACAGGATGGGTTACAACATACATCCAACGCCGGTGTTCAGGACCTTACTAGGGTGCCTTGAATCTTGCGGTTCAACTGGGCCGAATAAAGCTTGTTCTCGTTGAGAATGAACATTCGACCATTACGACCGAATGAAAAGTTCGAAGTACCATCCTCGACGAGAATCTTTCCAAGGAGGACACCGCCAGGCGACCAAACATTCACACCATCACCGCAGCCAGCATAGACATTACCATCAGTGTCAACCTTGATGCCATCAGGAATACCATCGCCAGGCATAGCGAAGACGCGGCGGTTCATCAAGAATGGCTGACCGTGAGTTGTAGTCACATCGAAGGCATAACTACACAGCAGAATCAGCATCAAAACTCACACATCAAATGTCTTCAACTCACATGGTGGCAGGCAAGGTATTATCCTTAGTACCGTCACCGACTGTCTCCGCAGTATCGGTGATATAGACAATCTTCTGGTCAGGCGAGAAGGTAATGCCATTCGGGCGCCCAAAGCCATCGGCAACAACACGCACATCCTTCGTAACGGGATCAAAGCGATAAACCTGATTAGGCAGCTTAGGCTTGGGACGGATTCCCTGGAGCGAACCATAGATTGGGTCAGTAAACCAGATCGATCCATCGTCGTTCACAGCGACATCGTTGAGCGAGTTGAATTGACGGCCGTAGAAAGTGTCGAGAAGTAGGGTTGTCTTGTATGGCGGCGTGGCGGACATTTGGAACAGACCGCCCGTATCGTTCAAAGTACCCTGGCCGGTCCAGAGAATGCCATTGCCGTAGTTGACGCCGCCATTCGGCATGGGAACGGTGGTGTTGACGATCTCCGCCGTAAGTGGGTGCTTGCTCAGAGTGACCTTCGAGACTTTGATGGTGGTTTTGTTGGTTGTAGGGTCGATGAACATGTTGCTTGACATGAAGAGCTCATCCGTCGTCGGGATGTAGACGCTTGCTTCGTGCGCGAAGGGGTAGTCATTATTTTCGACTAGGAGGTCTAGTTTTGGGGCTTGGCCGATTATGTCTATGAAGCTGGTGTTGTATACGGCGAACGCGGAAGGAACGGAGGAATTGGCTTGCGCCACATGAGAAAGCGAAGCCATGCTGGAGTTGTTCTGGTTATGTTGATCTTTCAGATTTCAGGGGGGATATTCATGCTTAAAAGAAGGTTCTTCAGATGATGTCAAAAAATCCACTTTGCTATAGGTTGCCGGATGTGGAGTTGGTGAACAGCCAGATTGGGTGAGACCTATGCCCCACGCTAAGAGATTCGCCGAAATTATGCCTTTAAGCTGAATTATTTCTTCAGATACCATTGTTCTGAATATCTTGGAGATGATCTCGGTGGACTAAGCAAATGATACAGGAAATTTCCGAATATCGGCCGATTTGCCCCTTTTGTCTAGAGGAGGTCTAGGTAAAGCATGTGGCTGTGCTTGCCCAGATGGCTCCCATCATCAGAACTATAGAGCATCCTAGCTGAACTTGCCCTGGAGCGAGGCTAGCACTGTGAAGGTATGAAGGCGAAATGGGGGTTTTTTTAAAAAAATCTCTGGTGAGTTGATTTGGCGTTTAACCGAGACAGAATGCGCCACATCTCGATGTAAATCTCGGAGCAAAATCAACAAGCCTCAAAGCAGCCTGTCGTTGTATTCCACGTCGTCTACGATGATGTATAGCTCTATTTATTATGACTATAGACAGCTATTATTTAGGCGACTTACACCAACATCATGAGTGCAGTTCGCCACTATTGACTAATGATAACATAACTAGGCGTTTGGTACCGGACAACAGTTAATGAGGCAATGGAGATAATTTTTAGACTGCGCTCAGCATGGAAGCAAAATGACATGATCGAAAGAGTCCTTTGTAACCTTGGAATCGGAGTCAGGAAATTTATTCGCTCTTGTTCATCTGTTGACCAAATTCGAACCCTATATCAGTAAGGGTGTAAACGCAAAGCTCATATCACGGACGAGCTGTATATCGCGCCTGAGCTGATCAAATAAGTAACGGTTATAGAGACGCATACAAACTGGTCCTAACATTTTGTTAAGATGCCTACTATCTATATACATGTATTTAGGTAGGATAACGATTAGCTACCTAGGCGAGGGGGTTAGTTCGCAGTGGTGTGGCACGAGTTATCGTCCAAAGCATACAATAATATTGTACGGTGTACTCTGTACTCTGTACCATTTCCAAGATGCGTCCACCATGTGTAACAAATCAACCGGTAATTGTGGCGATTATAAAGAAAAAAAATCCCGAAGCCCGCGGCTCAGGAGCCGCGGCGGTTACAATGGCCATAATTGATAACAAGGGAAGGATCTGTGCGACAATAGATAGATACCGATTGTGTGCTTTGGAGGAATATTGATTTCAGGATCACAGCTCAATAACTAATAGTCAAAAAAATGTGCCGAGCACTTGTTGGCTTGCGTCTGTCACACTTGTCCAACCCTTGTCGGTTTAACCTTTTTAGGACGTTATTCGGCTGTCAGGGGCAGAGAGGTCTGAGAGGTGGCAAGTAGTTTGGGTTTAGCCCAAGCATGTTTGTACTTGGAGATAGGATGACAGGAAAGGCAGAGAAAGAGAGAGAGAGAGGGAGAAGCAGGGACATGAGAGAGAGAGTAAAAAAAAATAGCATATCAAGATGAGTGGATCTCGTATTGAAGCCGTTAACATCGGAGTGTTTTAAGTCAAAAAAGTGAGACTAATGTTCTATTCTTAGTATTGAGATGTTTCTGACTCGGACTTCAATAGTATTCTGATTAAGAATTTGTACGATATTGCACACTATTGTAGACAATATTTCATTAATATGGATGTAGTTATAAGTTGTAGTCTAATAGTACTCCGTACATATCGTCCATATACTCCATACTAAGATAGTGACTGACCCGTCAAAATCCCAGCCCCCGAAACCTCCTTTTCCCAAAAAAGTCTCCACGTGCTAAACCTCCTCACACTCCATCTCTTGACTATCCTATAATTTTGTTCTTAATTCTTTCCTCACCCCAATCGACGATTTGAACAAAAATCCTTCGGGGACCCGGTTATTCTCCGCGGCAGTTTAACCTGGTTGGTTAGAACAAAACTCCTACATCTGACCCCTCCTCGGCCCAATTTCAATCTGTCTCGTGTAGAGAGACAGACGAAATTTCCCCATCATGAATTCAGATAATTTCCCATTGAAATTCCGCCGAGCGTCCAGCAAACTTCACAAGGACAAGGACGCCCCTAGTTTCAGTTCGCGCATTCTTCGGAGTCATCAAAGCACCAGCTCGTTGAAACGCACCCCCTCCGCCCCCGTCTATCCGCGCTCTTCTCCTAGCGGCAGCCGCGAGCACAACCGGTCGCGATCCAACGCACAATTCCCAGGTTCTTCATCCTCATCATTGGAACAGCACAGTGGCGGTCCAACGCCATCCCACGACGAATCAAGTGGCTTTTTTTCCGGCTTCACTTCCCGTTCCCGAACCCGCAGCTCCCACCGCTTCTCCTACAACGAGCAGAGCTCGGATGAACTAAACGCCCCTTACGAAACGCGGGGCATGCTCAGTGCCCTAGATGAGAACAGCGCTGAGACAGAGCCTCATTCCCAGCAAAAGCCCGGACTCCGCTCCCACCATACTAGCCCCGATCCTCGCGGACGCCACTCACTTCGTCAATCAGCCAGCTTTACTACTTTATCGCAAAAAATGGATTCATTCGCTCATCGGGAGACTGAAAAGGTCCCCAATGGTACCAATGGTAATAAACGGTATTCCGATGATAGCAACCCCACGATAGCGCGAACGAGACAGAGCAAGAAGGCGAGCTTCTCCAGGTTTGTCGACAGCATGCTTGGAAGTCCCGGTCGCAACATGAAAATTTCGGCTCCAGAGAATCCAGTCCATGTCACCCACGTCGGCTACGACAATCAGACCGGTCAATTCACCGGTCTTCCCAAAGAATGGCAGCGCCTGCTACAGGAGAACGGAATCTCGAAGAAGGAGCAGGAGGAGCACCCGCAAACTATGATGGATATCATGCGATTCTACGAAAAGAACACCCGCGGCGACAGCGATGATGAGGTCTGGCACAAATTCGACAATGCGCAAGCTACAAGCCCAAGTGGGCGCCAATCGCCTCCAGGAAGTCCACGATTTCCGCAAAACCACGAAAGCAGCTTTGAGAATCCACGATCACCACCGCCCATTCCTCGCGGCCCTCCGGCCGTCACCACCTCCATGCCTCCTTCGCTAGGTGGCATGGTGCCTCATCGTGCTCCCCCGAAGCCACCGACCGGGATGACCCCCTCCCGCCCTGCTCCTCAACGCCCGGTCTCAAGCTCGCAAGGAACCCCGCAACAGCAGCAACCGCAACCGCAATCGCAACCGCAACCGCAACCTCAACGCGCGCAGGATACCTTTGGCCCTACGTTTGACACCCCGACCATTCCGGAAACCGAAGCATTGCCAGCGTCGCCTCACCGCACTCCCTCTGGCTCCCGGAATGGCACTCAAGCGACGAGCCCCCCTAATGTCATCGCATCCCCAACACAATACCAGCGGCAGCAGGAGCAGGTCATGGCCGCAGCTCAGCAGGCCTTGGATCGGAATCGCAGCCAGCGCCAACAGGCACAGCAACCCCCCGCGATTTCCACATCTACCACTGCTCCAGCACCTGATCTTTCGTCTGGGGTCTCACCTGCTACGCGCGCCCCACCTGCTGCTCGCCCACGCCAGCGCCAGCGCCAGAGCGAGTCGTTGGATATTCGATCGCGCCTAATGTCCATTTGCCACCCTGGCGATCCTACGCAGATATATTACAATCTCAATAAGATCGGCCAAGGTGCCTCAGGCGGTGTGTTCACCGCTTACGAACACCCTCACAATAACTGCGTTGCTATCAAACAGATGAACTTGGACTTGCAGCCGAAGAAGGACTTGATTATTAATGAGATTTTGGTCATGAAGGACAGCAAGCACAAGAACATCGTTAACTTCTTGGAGTCCTTCCTTCATGGGCCGGATCTGTGGGTTGTCATGGAATATATGGAAGGTGGTAGTCTGACAGATGTGGTCACCTTCAACATCATGAGCGAAGGACAGATTGCGGCTGTCTGTCGAGAGGTTAGTACCAATACTTGAGAGTCATGTTTGAGTGTCATGAGAAGCTAATTGTTGCGACCAGACTCTGAGCGGCCTTCAGCATCTGCACTCCAAGGGAGTTATTCATCGCGATATCAAATCCGACAACATCCTCCTAGCAATGGATGGCAACATCAAGCTGAGTGAGTTTGGCAATCCTTTTGGCTCAATTAAGATGCTAACAATATGCAGCTGATTTTGGTTTCTGTGCTCAAATCAATGACTCGCATCACAAGCGGAACACTATGGTTGGCACTCCATATTGGATGGCCCCCGAGGTTGTTACTCGCAAGGCGTATGGCCGTAAGGTCGACATCTGGAGTTTGGGTATCATGGCCATTGAGATGATCGAGGGCGAACCACCATACCTGACAGAGTCGCCCTTACGAGCCCTATATCTCATTGCCACCAATGGAACACCCGCCATTAAAGATGAACACAACTTATCCCCCGTTTTCCGCGAGTTCCTTCACTTTGCTCTGAAGGTCGATCCTGAGAAGCGTGCATCGGCACATGACCTACTGAAGGTACTTATCCAATCCTACTCCGTATAGCTTTATTGATCACTAACAATTTTTGCAGCACCCATTCATGTCCCTCTGCGCGCCACTCTCGCACCTCGCCCCCTTGGTTAAGGCTGCCCGTATCAGCCGTGCCCAAGAAAAAGCCCAAAAAGGAGGTGCTTGAGTGTCCATTTGTCCCTATGTTTCGGTTTTATTTCGTCATACCTTGATATCTCTTGACGCCTCGCCCAGATACCCCGTCACTCCCATTGTTTCTTCTAGACGCCGACGTGCATTTTGTTTGTCGTTGGAACCTTTTTTTATGTACTCAATTTATTCCCCCATCTATTTGCCCACATCGACTTTCGATGAAAATGACTCATTTCTATGAGCCCGCACTTGGGATATTCCTGCTTTACTACCTTTTGGTTTTCTATTTTGGTGTTATAGTAGTCTCCTGTAGTTCTATTGAGCAGCTTTTGTCATTCTTGATGTGTTTAGTGAAGGGAGGAAGTTCGAATGCTATATAATGTTTCCAGCCACAGAAGAGAACATTCTGTTCCTTTCCATTGCCTATAAGCAGCGGGTTCCAACTTCCATGGCCCCCGTCGGGCTGTCTAGATGAACTAACACCTTTTGTGGTTCAAGCAACTCAGGTTTTCGTAGATGGGAATATACAAGTGGAGGCATCCTCAGCCACAACCGAATGAACAAATGGGAACATAAACGCAGCAGCCTAAAAGCTATATGGATACCAGACTAGGAAAAAAGCCCCGCCAGGCAGAACGCAGAAAGGAAGACGCAAGAAGAAGAGAATAGGCCAAGGCAGACGTAATACTCAAAAATCGTTTCACTTTCTTAACAACTCAAGCTAATAATAACTGAGGGTCCAAAACTATAGGGCTACAAGGCCACTATCGTCATAGTGCTGACTCAGGTGACAAGCAAGTTCGTGGCCTCGGAGGCGTACACAATAACTTCAACACCGTCCCTGAACCCAACCTACCTGGGTCTTCAATCTTCGAACAAGAAACCCAGCGCAGTATCAGTCGTTGTATACCATTCCCTGCCAAGGCGCTCTCCTCTACACTCACCGCCCACATCATTCCGCAGGCCAGCCGCACTTATCAACTCCCCGCATTCGCTGGAGACTATTGTTTTTACGAGCCACACAACCAGCATTTGAAAGAAAGCACCTTGTTCCCGATCCTGAGTCTTTATTGGAACTTGTCTCCGAAGTTTCTGTGAGGTTATCAAACAGCGATCCCGATCGCCGAGTGCTGCCCGACTTCCCCGATTTCAACCTCCGTCAATTCGCCCAAAGTTTGTTAGGGGATAATTTTGCAATGTTTCGCGCGCAGCAGAATGCATTTGACGATGCCGTCGGTATGTATTATTATATCCTGTGCTTTTCTGCATATCCCATGCGTTTCTGGAGCCGATCGGATCGCGATGGATCTTTGGGCAGATAGCACTGGAAATAGGTATGATAGATTGCTGACTATATCTTGATTTGTGTAGCCAAGGCGACGGACGAGAACCTGACCTCCGAGAACTGGGAATACATTCTGGTGCGTTGTGAAGCTATAGCGATGCATTCAAGAGGACGGGCGCTGATTTGGCATTTGATTATAGGATGTTTGTGATAAAGTTGGCTCAGAGGAATCAGGGTATGTGGAGAATCTGAAATTGGTATTTCAACAAGGGACTCATTGCTGATTCCGATTCGCGATGTAGTGCGAAAGAAGCCGTTGCTGCAATGATCAAGAGGTTGGCCCACCGGAATGCCAACGTGCAGCTTTATACATTGGAGGTTCGTGATTCGGTCTATATGCGCTTGCTGTCGCCACAAGTGATCTTGTTCTGTGGATTATGCTGACTGTTTTTAGCTTGGAAATTCGTTGGCGCAGAACTGCGGGCTTAAGATCCATCGTGAATTGGCTTCGAGAAGCTTTACTGATGCACTGCTGCGTCTGGCGGCCGATCGTGTAAGTATTTCTTACAGCAAAACATGTTAGCACTACAGTGTTAAACGTCTTATGTCTAGAATACGCATCAACAAGTCAAGTCGAAGATTCTGGAGCGCATGGAGGAATGGACCCAAATGTTCTCTCCCAACCCAGATTTCGGCATTATGGAGCAAGCTTACACGAAATTAAAAGCTACGAGTGCGCATTGCCTTTTTGACAATCTTCGGACTTTTGGGCTTAGCTAATTGTATTCTAGACCCCAATCTTCAGCCTCCATCGAAACCTGGTAAGCGCGAGATTACCGATGTCGATCGCCAGATGGAAGAAGAGGAATTGCAAATGGCACTAGCCCTCTCAATTAAAGAGAAGGCAGTTCCAGGTCCAGCTACGGTTGCCGCTGCCACTGCGGCGGCCCCTCGTGCTGAGTCGTCAGCCGCCGCTGCACCGGTTTCTGCACCTGCAACAAAAGCGGAGCCTGCTGAGGCCCAGCCTGTTCTCTCTGGAACATCGGTCGCTACTGTATCCCGCGTGAGAGCATTGTTCGACTTCCAGCCGTCTGAACCCGGTGAGCTCCAATTCCGCAAAGGGGATATCATTGCAGTTCTGGAGTCAGTCTATAAGGATTGGTGGAAGGGCTCTTTGAGAGGCCAGACTGGTATCTTCCCTCTTAACTATGTCGAGAAACTTCCCGACCCAACTGTGGACGAACTACAGCGAGAGGCTCAGATGGAAGCGGATGTCTTTGGTCAGATTAAGAGCGTGGAGAAGCTTCTCACCCTGCTGAGCACCCGAAATTCGGATCTTAATGTCCAAGAAAACGAAGAAATTACGACGCTCTACCAGGCTACGCTTGCGATTCGGCCCAAGCTTATTGAGTTGATTGGCAAGTATTCGCAAAAGAAAGGTATGCAGATAATCATCATTATAATTTCAAGAATCATCCGCTTACATCTCCTCAGATGAATTCACTCAGCTCAATGAGAAGTTCATCAAAGCTCGTCGTGATTATGAATCCCTTCTAGAGGCGTCGATGGCCCATCCACCGCAGTCTCAATATGGACGTCCTGCCCAGCCACAGTACGGATACCCTGGTGCTCCGCCCACTGGGTATCCCCCTGCTCAGGCTGATCCGCGATACTTTACTCCCCGGCCTCAAGGTACGCGGCACAAATTCACCCACTGGTTCCTTCCCGATTCTAACTTTGATTCTTAGAAAATACCGCCACACAGGCGAGCGCTCCATATGCGCCTTACTCCGCTGAGCAGACTATGCCGTACCGCCCCGCCTCTCATTCTCCCGATCTTCGTAACCAGATTCAAGCCGGGGCACCGCCTGTGCAGCAACAGACACCCCAACCCGATCCTTACCAGCCTGTTCACCACCGCCCGCAGTCTACATACGATCACCCCCAAGAATTAGGGACGTCTGTCTATGATTCACCCGTCGATCACCCGGCTCCTGCCCAGCGCTTGCCCTACACCCAAAGTGGGCAAGCTCCTCCTAGCCAGCAGTTCCAACCGCAAGGCTACTCGCCCTCGGGTTACCCAATTGAAGACACGGCCCAAGCCCCACCCGCATCCACTCTGCCTCAAGTCCCCCATCAGTTCCAGCAACAACCGCAGCAACCTCCGTACCCCAACTCCCCTGCCTCACAACAACCTGCACCCTCGCATCAGCCTCCGCCAGTGCCTGGTGCATCCCAACAGCCTCAGTATACCTCCTACACCCCCCGGCACCTGCACCAGCGGGCGATTATCAAGCGTACCAACCCTCACAGGGAGGAGCAGCTGGCTCGAACCCGGCTTCATTCTATCAGTAATTAGTCATTGGTCACGACCACTCTGATTCGGTTAATAGCGATCAATACCTTGGCTATGTTTTTTGGGGTTGTATGCTAGCAGTTGATTCATTATTCATATCGTTGTTCTTGCTGGGTTTGTGTCCTTCTATCTAGCCAACTTTTTACATGTGCTATTGATTGTACGCCAGTACATAGTTGCGAGAATGTTGATTCATAACTTTTCAAATCACCTAGGTAGCCCTGGAGGATTCATTGTATCCATGAATGTACCTAGGTAGGAGCGTTCATGTTACTCCGGTAGTAATATATCTTATGTTCTATTTGACACGCAAGCCTATATTTTCCTTGACTTTATAGTAAACATGAGCTCCTTATGCACATTCTCAGATGAAACTAATTACCTGCCACCCCTGCCCAGATGCCCAGGTGCCGCGATATATTGACTATCCCAAAATGTGCCCGCGGTCCCCCTGAGGCCGCTTTCGCGACTCTTTGATGTCAAGCCGACCACCAAAATAAGCTTAAAAATTATTGACGCGGCGAGAAGGCTCACAAGAATCAAATCGCAAGGAAAGCCAATAACCAATCCCTTGCGGACGGAAAAGTGGACCAGCAACCCAACTAGGGGGCAAAACACGAAGGGATCTTAATATCTTCAACACCATGGCTCTAGATGCTCTGTCGACAGAGATTTTGCTGACAATCTTTGAATATTTATCCCCGCTTGACCTGTACTGCGCCATTCGTGCTTCACGAGCAATATATCGTACCTTTATCGCCTATAAACACCATCTTCTACACCATACTCTCCGCGAGGCTATTCACCCGGCATGCCGAGCAGACACCTATACCGCGCTGGATGCCCAGAATATCCCCCGACTGATTAGATCCGGTGAGACCATTGCCAAAGTGAAGCTTGAATGCTTCTCTGTCTTCTCCAGCGACCGGAGTCGTCGACGTCAGAATCACGATGAGTTTAAGCTTGACGACACGAAACTTGACACGCTGTTCTCTCTCCACGTAACGATCGAGCGTTTGATCGATAGCTATTGCCTCTGGGCAACAGGGAATTTGTCTTCTCGGGAAAAGCCAGCCCTTTTGCAGACGACGTTCACTCACCAACGAACGAACTTATCATTCACCGAACGAGGCCGTCTCCAGCGGGCCTTCTACCGATGTGAATTATATACAAGATTTCAGCACGTGTTGAGTAAACTTGATAAGGGTGCTGCTCTGAACTTCTCTCAGATTATTCTCAGCTTCGTTTCTCAGTTCACATTGTATGAATTTGAGGAACTTGTCAGTGTTCAACAATTCCTCGCGCAATATATTAGATCACTCTGCAAAAAGGTTGAGGATGATCTCTTTTCTCATATACAATCTAATTCTGTTGACGTGGGCATCGCGCAGGGGATCCCACTAGATGACGCAAAGAAACCTCAAAATGTGAGCAAATTGCTTGACGACTGTGGTCTTTCATTTTTCACAAAGTCATACCGAGAGTTGTATCTCTCGGGCCATGTCAAACTTCTTATATCATGTGGTCTACCATACATACTGTCCTTAGGTCTCATGAAGCCCCAAAAACTTAAACAAGCCATACTCAAATTAGACATGGATTCTCCGGAGTCCACCGCAACTGATTTCTTTTCCCAAGGTGGTCTTGACATCGATTCGTGCGGCGAGGAGCAGAAGAATATTCTCCTTCGCGGGAAATTAGTCAACATCACCCATGACCGAATCGATGGTCCAAACTTGGGTTGGGTATGGGGCTCTAGTTTCCAGGACTCCATCAAACCTGACACTCCTGCTATGTTTGATCTGCGGGATCGAGGGTATGTCTTTTGGGACAAGGAAAGACTGGAAAAGTCTGGTCTCGTGAGTGAGCCCTTTGTTGTCCCTGTTGGGGCGAATTATTTCCCACTTGGTCATCATGATCCCTTTGTGAGGCCGAGTGTTGAAGAGAGACTTAATGGTTTAGAGGTTAATCTGGAGGTTTTGAGGAAATGGAAGGATGAGTAGCTTTCGTATTGAAATCGTGGCTTTATACTAAGCTACTCAGCCCACAATCTCGAGGAGTTTCTGATATGATAAATTATTTCGACATGAAGGTAGATACCTAAGAAATAAAATGATCACAAGCTATCGCTTCGTATGATGCTTCAGGGTCACTCTCCATTCCACCACTACGATCACTTGTTTTGAACAATTGACTCAACATGTACGTATATGGACGGAAAATCAAATTTTGGTAGTATCGACCCATGAAACCGTTCCGGGCATAGTCACTGAGCCTATTGATTCATTAGTTGGATTGGCACAGAAGAAAACCCTTGGGAGAACTCACTACTACCTGTGGTAAGATAGAGAATATGCTTGTCATTTTGCAACCGGCCAAATTTGCCCGCAGAAACGCCCGTCACGATTGTTGACGTGTTACTGCCTGCAATAACATGGGCGACGTGAGACTTGGGGTACAGAACACTTAGCTCATTCCCCTGCACCTGGTTTTGGGCAATGAAGGCGGTACCGTCACTCCGGATTACAAAATCGTCGGCCTTCGGTACGTTATTGGCGAGAATTTCCGATTTTCCAACAGGAGTGCCTTTTCCTGTGATGCCGATGCGGTTCAAAGTTCCAGCGGCCGTGTTCGTCCAGTAGAGGTGTCCGTCGTAAACTTTGATGCCATTCACGCCGATGTTGAGGGTTGGATTTGGGAAGTAGTCGAACTTCATCTTCTCATCGTTTATAGCAACCTTATAATCTCCACTGTGGGTGTTGATATGATATACCCAGCCGTTGTGCGAATCCGCAGCCAAAATAGTGTGATCAGTGAGAGTGGTAAGGCCATTGAGAAGCCCCGAGGTTGTTATGTCGACTAGCTTGGACACAGTTGCGTTTGATACAACTGCACCCGTTTTCTTAGATACGGCAAATGTACTCATGTCAATCTCCCAAATGCTGTTGACTCCCGACGTGAGGACAGAATCGGCATTGTACACGCCATCAGTAATCACGTAAAACATGTCTGGCGTCGTCTCAGATATTCCTAGACAACCAGACATGGTTGGCGAGTCCCAGGATGCAACAGTAATGGGTGAATTGGCGCCCGTTGGATCGACTTGAAGGATCTCAGGTTTGTCGAGCCGCGAAACAAGAATCTGACCATTGGCGCGCACTGCAAGGTTCTCGGCCCAAGTACTATTTCCGAAGTTGTAAAGAACATTCACATCAGCAGATTTGGAAGCAAATGCTGTAGATAGCAGCAAAGCTGCCGTCAGAGCTAGGGAAATATGTGAAAACATTTTGGATGGTGAGTTTCGTGAAATCAGAGGGAAAGAGAATATATGTGCTGACAGGGCAGTAACAAGCGAGCAGAGTCACTAAGACGAATTAGTTGCCCGACTACTCCGTAGTATAATGAAATAAGCAAGAATTGGACACTCAGCTCGGTGACACTAATCGTCGAACCCGGCCCCCGGGCCCCCGAAAGGGGCTAGGTCACAAACTTAGCAACTGCCTATGATAATGCGACATAGATTTGGGAATTCGTACATATCAAGCATCCTTGGTCAAGTCTCACATGATTATTTTAGTCTATAGTAATAACAACAGGCTCAAGACCCAGAAATCCGATAACATTACATAGTTTGTCCTTTTTTTTCGCCATGATAAGGCCCCATACGCATCATTGTGCAAGGCTAGTTGTTGTCCATGTATGTATTTGGGGGCCGCCCCAGGTCCATTCGTCATTTGTTCAGACAATAGGTCATATTCCTCCCCGCCTCCCCCCCGCCCCCATTTCTTCATTGGATATCTTCTGGTTTTTTACTTGGTGCTTCTTTCCATTTAATTATTGTTAGAACCTACGTGATTCTCTTCCCAATGCGGAGTACTTTTTATCTCAATCTCCCACCACCTTAGGTTATGCCCCGTGTACCCGTACATTGCTGTTCCCCATACATTTTGTCCATTATGAGGCCACAAATCGCCAGCTGGGATGACCTCAGTGAAATGTAAGAGGATTTCGATCCTGAACCATGTCAATTACATACATCATTCGCTGTGTATGACAACGTTCAGACATTGTATAACAGCAAGCTCAGCATGCCCAAGGCCGATATAAGTTTCGATCAAATCACAAAGTCTCTCGAGGCTGTTCCAGATGGAGAGATATTCGCCATGGTGTCAACTCTTGGCAGCAATTTGATGCATGCTCCAGTGACCACCCCTGAGAACGTCTACACCAAACGTCCTACTCCACAAATGTACGAAATAGCGAAATACGAGTGGCCACATTTCGGATTTCTTGGTTGCAGAAGCTGAGGTTCTAGAGCTGCTCCGGCAGTATTCTCACCAAAACATATTCCGGTATCACTGTTGCCAAATTGTTCGCGAGCACTTCATTGGACCTGTTCTGGACATATACTCGCACGACTTGGAAACTTTTGTTCAGGATAAAGTTGGATCTATCAGTCATGGTCCATTTATGGCTGCTCTCGAGTCTGCTATCAAACATCTGCACTCGCACGGACTGGCCCATAATAATCTGACATCCTCCAATATAATGGTAAATAAAGAGGGTATTCCCGTCTTGATTGATTTTGGTGAATGCCAGCCTATCGGATCTCACCTGAAGTATATCCGTGGCACTCCAGGGTGGAATATTGGAGAATAAAAAGACCACGATACATCAGATAAGGAACATGCCTTTTATGCTCTTGGGAGGATCAGAGAGTGGTTGGATCACCCAGTTTGTCAAGAACACCTTCTGTCTCATTCACAAGCAGGTTACATACACATGATAATCAATCTCCGTTTTGGGCATCATTGATTAAGTTGGTTTGGTGTTTCAGTGTGTTTGTCCAACACATCAAATGAGTATTAAAATTCCTACTCTGGTGCAATGACAGGCTTATGGTGGATTCACTGCTAAAAGCTGGATTTATACGTCAATTTGCTACAACCATGATCACCGGCCATACGCCCGAATGACCTTCGGGTATCCTCCGATGCAGCAAATGGGAAGTCGGACACCTTGGTGCCTAAAACTACTCCATTTTTCTCACTTGTGAGTTTCTTACCTGGCAATTAACTCTCTCGGGTCGGGTTGCTAAAAGATACAAATATGAATTCCAGAGAAATACATATTGCTGTTCTGGACACAGACATTCCATGCTATCGTGTTTACGTTGAACGAGGATTGTACAGTTCGCAATTCAACTCTCTTCTCACTGCCGCCGCAAGTCGCATCAATGAAAGGAAGTCCCAATGCTTTAAAACGCCGCTAGGCGTTCGTGTTTCCGCGTTCGACATTGTCGGGGGCCTATACCCGCATCTTGCGTTGCTGCGAGTCAGCCCCTGGGTTTCCACAGAAATCACATCCATCACTTACCCGGGTCCTAGTGATGCACTTCTGGTCACCGGTGCTGCCGCTGCCGTATACGATAGTCTACACTGGATTGCACGATTGCGATCTTTCATTGAGAAAGTGTATTACGACTACCCTCTGGTCAAAATATTCGGATCGTGCTTTGGTCATCAACTTATAGGACAAGCACTCCTCGCAAGTGACACGAGCCATACATCGAAAGGATCTTCGTTCAAGATATCCGTCGAGGCTACATCTCAAGGTCACGAAATCGGCATGCATCCCATCACACTGAATCCCTCCTTTGTTTCGCACTTTCCGTCTCTGGCTCGATTTTCTCCAACAAAATCTTTTAACATCCAGCTTATTCATGGGGATGCGGTGATATCTCGGCCTGAACATCTAGCATCTCCAGGGTGCACAGGTGATATGTTACCTGAGCCGTGGCTCAATGTTGGAAGAAGCCCTAAATGCCCGATTCAAGGCCTCTACAACCCGGGTCGCGTTCTTACATTGCAAGGACATTTTGAATTTGATGCATTTGCTACTGCTGAGCTATGTTACAATTTTGCTAACAAATTTGGCTGGTCTCAAGAACTGCTAGACTCGCATTTGGAAAATATCAGGCGCTTGGTGTTGTCGGGCAGAGAGGATGATGATTCAAAGGTAGCGGCTGAAGCGGTTCTATTATTTTTCGCTGGAGAGGACAATCCAATCGATACATAGATTTGGGTTGTCTCTTTTTCTCTCTCTCTTCCTCTTTCTTTCATTCCATTCCCGCCGACAAAAAATCGGCTACCTGCGTTGAAGTGATTGCAGACCTCGGACATTCAAGCCGAACTCCCCGCACCTCGGATCAATATCCGAGCCCCATCGTCAACGTCTGCACAATTGTCACAAAAATATTGAATGAAGTTGGGGTTGCGTAAATCTACTACACAGAATGGCAAGCCCGAATCCGCGATCTACTAATGCGTAAGCCTGCAACTCATTCGCACTCGCGTACACCTCAAGGTGTGCTGGTTAATGACATTCATGCAGGTGCGAAACATGTCGGAGACGCAAGGTGAAATGTTCCGGTGACAAGCCTTGCCGTGCTTGCACAAAACATAATTGGGAATGCATCTTTGGACATTCCGGTCGTAGACGTTTTTCTGAAGCGTCAGTCAACCCACCTTCAAGCACATTGAAGTTTACTAACCGATATCTAGTCAGGTAAAGCATCTGTTGGATAGGATTCGAGCCTATGAGGAGCAGCTAAATGCTCAATCTTCTGATGGCCTTAACCCTGCTTTCGCTTCTCCGGGTTCACCGGGCGAAACTCCAGGCCCTGAATCTCCACTGCACATTTCTTCAACTTTGAATAGAGAGCTGCAGCCGCAAATACAAAATAGGACATCATACGCCGATGATGATCCTGCGGTTAGTCCTGGTAATATGCCATTTTCCTCATTATCTAACAATTCCACTCAAGAATATGAACTGACTTCGCATCAAGCTACGGATCTGACCTCCGGACCTGCATTTGAGTCTCAAGTCAGATCTCTTCTTCACAGGTCTAGTCCCAATGATGCTTTTCATGGGCTACACCCAAAGCGCCAAGATGGGTCTCATCGAGAACCTAATTGGACCTCGGCACGAGAGCTCGTTAAAAATGCAAGCGAAGTAACCTTCCCATCATTAGAGGAATCACAGCACCTGCTTGAGCAATTTCTTTTCTATCTTGGTGTCAGCCAGCACTTTTTCGATCCGCGGTCATTTTCTGATGATCTCATGTTGCTATTTCAGAATTCAGAGACTAGGGAACAACAGATGCGCTCACCTTGGTTCATGGAATACCTCTTGGTCATGGCAATGGCAATGCTGATGGATGTCAGACATCCAACTTCCCAGCCGCCGGGGTCGGACCTGTTTGCGGAGGCATTAAAGCGGCTGCCTCCCCTGCATAACATGGGTGGAGAGGGCGTGATCATTGTCGAGGTGCTTACCCTGATCGCTACATATTTGCAATGGTGTGACCGCAAACACGATGCATATCTTCACGCATGTGTGCCGAGATCGAGATAGATCTAGAAGTTTGCGTCTAATCTCGAGCAGATCGGAGTCGCTTTGCGGCTTGCTATTGCTCTCGGATGCAATCTACGCGAAAGTGAGCAATGTTGTCTTCCCTCCCAAAGTGCTCACAGGTTACGGCTTTGGTGGACAGTATATATGCTTGATAGGTAAGATATTCCAGAGCCTCACTCAATTTAGAGGCTTCAACTTACATGCACAGACGCCTATCTTCGAGTCTTGGGTTAGCTGCTGGGGCAGATGAACGCCAACTGAGGACTGAACTCCCCCGCCATGCGGCAGGGTTTCAATCTCCAATTGCTCTTGCAATCAACGTTCGTATTGCACGTGTCACAGATGATATCATGTCTAGTAAGTCGCCTTTTTTGCTTCTTTCAAAAGGCATCCACTAATACATCCGCAAAAGCTTTATACGGAAATAAGTCAATCACCCAACTGGAGCTGGTTCAAAAGATTCAGTATAGCCTGCAAGAACTGCATAACACAGGCCGATCGTTTCCTAGGCCTTTAATGCTGGATTTCAATAAACCGGTTCAGTTGGTAACACGCACGGGTGCATCGCTATACTTGATGCTCTTCCAAGTGAGCTTGTTCCCAGCTAAAGCATACATATGCCTGTTGCTTACTCAAATATACAGGCTATCATCCTTTGTACTCGACCTATACTTTTGCAACGAGCCCGGTCGTCAGCCGAAATCCAGCAGTCGCAGCCACCTGATCAAGCCCCGAGCATACTGTTGCGTCTCTGTGATACATGCAATCAGGCAGCCACTAGAAGTCTTGCCATACTTGAATCTCTTGAACGACAGCAGACAATTCGTAAGTTTATTCATATACAGCCATTCTTTCTACCTCGCATTCGGTTGTTTCGTAGCATTGTACAGCTCATAACTAACGCATTGCCAAAGCGCGCTATGGCTTCTTTGACCTAGAGGCCACATTCTCTGCTGCATTTGTCTTGATAATGGCGGGCTTTTTAGATAAATCACAAAGCGAACCACCATCGGCACTCTACCAAGCATTCAAAGTGCTTCAATTCCTGGCCCGGGCAGGCAACCTAGCTGCCGAGCGCCGCCTGCACGATATCACACAATCATGCCGACATGTATGGCCAAATCATGTCTTCGATGCGAGTACCTCGCCAAATAATTTGGTATTGGAGGAAAAGTCTCAACCATTAACAGCGCAAACATACTCAGGGCAAGATACATTGCTATCTCCCTCAGTCGCTCCCCCCTACATGGCCATGGCCTTCGGCCCGGACGTCCACCGGGATGAGGCTAGGCTACTTGAGCCCTTTTCAAATATGGATATTCCTGATGCGATGTTTGATAGTCAGGGAGATTTAGATTTAGATCTTTCGGGGGAGGCAGAAGGGATATATTCAAGCTTCCACAATCCAACATTGCCTCTGACTGGCGTGGATTATACTGATTGGTTAGAGATTGAGAAAATAATCGGTGCGCCATAGGAGAGATATTATTATTGTTCAATATAATTATCACATGTTCGTGCCTTCTTAACTATTGAACAGCAGAAAAATAAGACATGATCATCACAACACGAACGAAAGGTACCCGAACAAGCTGTGGAGCCAAAGGAGTGTATAGGGATTTAGTGGCCAATGAGGAATTTATGTGACAATAACGGTTTTCTGTTGTGCTAACGTTATTATACGCAGCGGAAATATTTTCTTATGTTTCTATTTCAGCAAATGGTATTTTCATAGACCATCGATGAGTATGAGCTCTTCTACCCTTTATATATACATATGGATATAATCTTCGATGTTTCTAACGTCGTTGTTGTTGCTAGCTTCTTCGTGGCCACCAACTACGCCCGTAGATAAGCCATCACGTGATGCAACCAACACCTCACCGTCCCTCGCCGGCAACCATGCATCGCAGTTGGAGACCAATCGTTCCTTCTTCCGTCGCGTCAGGCATTTCCAGCCGAGCTTCGGTTTTGAGTTCCACTTTTGGTACCATTTTGGTTCAAGCCTTTCCTCTGTCTTTTCATTATTATCGCCAATTCGACCGCCTAGCTTCCCCGCAATCGCGTCCCTCGCGCTGAACAATGCCCACACTCGCCGTGTTCCCACGTGGGTGAAGCCAACAATTTCAACAACAACAACCCCGTCAACAGAGCGGCTCCAAAGTGTACACAAGAGACTTACGGACGGTTGAAGCTGGGCCGAAGCAGACACCGCAATCATGGAGGCCGACTGGGATGAGCTGTCGCGTATCCCAATGCCACCACCGAGTGCGCATGCTATGCCTACCGTGGCGACAGCGATCGCGTTTGATGATATGATGGAACTTCTGTGGACAGGAAATGAATACGTGAGTGGACTATCACCTTGAATGTTCTGGGACCGGGATCTTAACTGGGTTTTGTTTCTCGCCAGGGCAGGGTATCCTCATTTTACGGACCGGAGATGCAACGTTACACATCTGTTCGAGCCCACCCAGCATCCGAGGGCGTGGTGCGGCAGATTATCTTTCACGAACGAGGAGTAATTTCCCTGTCTTCGAAGAGTGTGCACATGATCACACGGCGGGGCTTGACGCAATGGCACCTTGCTCACGAGGAAATGGTCGATCTCCGCTGTATGAGCTTCACGGCTCAAACCAATCGAATCCTCGTTGCAGGTTGCCAACGAGTGATGTTCACGGTGGACATTGACAAGGGCACAATCGTCGACAAGCTACCCACTGAGCACGGCTACACAATGATGAAAAAGAGTAGATACCTCTGCGCAGCAACAGATACGGGATCTGTTAATGCCCTCAGCCTCGCCAATTTTAGCGTTGTGAAGTCATGGAAAGCCCACGGGACAGCTGTCAATGATATGGACGCCCGAAATGACTTGCTGGTCACATGCGGCTTTTCCGTCCGACATCTGGGAGCCCCAATCGTGGACCCATTAGCCAATGTTTATGATTTGAAGACTCTGACACCATTACCCCCGATCCCGTTCCATGCTGGTGCAGCATATGTTCGCATGCATCCCAAACTTCACACTACTAGCTTCGTGGCTTCACAAACAGGTCAACTTCAAGTCATAGATCTTATGAATCCCAACTCGGTCAACTTGAGACAAGCGAATGTCTCTTTAATGCTCGGGATTGATCTTTCACCATCCGGAGAAGCTTTGGCTATCAATGATGCCGAGGGCTCTATTCACCTATGGGGCTCACCATCAAAAATTCATTTCACAGAACTGAGCAAAGAGGCAGAGTTTGCAGATGTTCCCACGCGCCCTCCTCCGATAGATTGGTCCCCAGAAGCTCCGCTAAGCATGGCTGGGATGCCTTATTATCATGACCGTCTCCACTCGGCGTGGCCAAGCCATCTGATCTTCGAGGTTGGCAATCCACCTGCTCCGATAGATCAATCTATATTGCCATACTTGCGTCCTGCGGAAATGGGCCATCACGCTCCCAATCCGAGAAAGATCCGCCGCTACCAAACAGAAAACACTCGCGCGCTGACCACAGCAGAGCCGTCCCTTATCGCACCAAAGTTCTTGAGTGAAAAGGCTCGAGAATATAGTAAATCAGACGGCTTAGTTGGAGATGCAGCAGAAGCACTAGCAGGCGCTAAAATCAACGGAGAAAGTGATGATGATCCGTTGCTCAAATATAGCAACGTCGAAATCAAATACAGCCGGTTTGGTGTTGATGATTTCGACTTTCGGTATGGTCTTTTGTCCGTTTCACTTACCCTTCGTCGCTCACATTCTATAGCTTCTATAATAAGACCTTGTTCTCTGGCCTGGAGACTCACATCGCCAATTCTTTCACCAACTCCCTCCTCCAACTCTTCAAATTCATCCCATTGTTCCGGAACCTTGCTCTCAGCCATGCAGCTGGATCGTGCATCTTTGAGCACTGTCTTTTGTGTGAGCTAGGTTATCTGTTTGATATGCTTGAAAAAGCGAGTGGACAAAATTGCCAAGCCACCAATCTCCTCAAGACATTCAGCAGCTTCCGAGAAGCGTCAAATTTGGGCCTCTTGGAAGAGAATCTCACCAACAAATCACTTTCAACTGCTATTCAGGCTGTCAATCGTTTCTTCTTGACCCAGATAGCTCAAGATTTCCGGATGACCCAACCAAATTCGGAAGATCTCGATCAACGGCTCGCTACCATCGCATCCGAGTCCATTCGGTGCATGTACTGCCAGAATGAAATCGTGCGACCTGGAAACTCGTTGGCAAATGAACTGATTTATCCGAATATTGACATTAAACATGCGCGACGCAATCCGCTGTTCCGATTCTCCAATATCCTACGTGCAAGTATTGAACGAGAGACACAGAACCGCGGGTGGTGCAATTATTGCCGTCGTTACCAACAAGTGACGATCCGCAAAACTATCCACCGCATGCCGTTGGTCCTCGTGCTTAATGCTGCGCTGACGAACCCTCTCTGTCGTCGGCTATGGGCAATCCCCAAGTGGCTCCCTGACGCTGTCGGTATCCTGGTTGACCCCACCGGCCAGGTAATGTGCTTTGAAGGGGATGAGCTGCAGCTTCGTATCCAGAGCCAGACACCTGGACTCGTGGTGTATGATTTGGTTGGCTTGGTTGCGGAGATTGATATTCCAGAACACCAAAAGCCGCATTTGGTTTCTTTCGTCAATGTCTCCATATCAAGACCTGAACCCCAGGAACAAGGCAAATGGCACTTGTTCAACGACTTCTTGGTTACGGAGGTCGACAGGGATGAAGCGCTTCGATTCACACAGCCTTGGAAGCAACCTTGCGTTCTAGCTTACCAAGTGAGAGACCCTCGCCATGTCATCGATGACTCTTGGAAGAATAGCCTCGATAAAACACTTCTGTTCCGCGAGTGGTCTTTGAATGGTGGCCGTCATGTTGAATCTTGTAAAACCCTTACTGAAGAGGAACAGCCCCAGCCCGGGACACCTGTTGCCCTGGATACCGAATTCGTCGATCTCGAAAAGGCTGAAATCGATGTCAAGGCAGACGGCTCGCAAGAAATGGTCCGCCCGAACAAGAGTGGGCTGGCCCGTGTCTCTGTGTTGCGCGGCTTAGGGATTCAGGAAGGAATACCTTTTATTGATGACTATATCACTATTCGGGAGCCAATCGTGGACTATGTGACCCAGTATTCAGGTATCAAACCTGGTGACTTGGATCCACGAACCAGCGAACACAACCTCGTCCCACTCAAGGCAGCCTATAAAAAACTTTGGTTGCTTCTCAATCTCGGCTGCATATTCGTCGGTCACGGTCTAGCCTCTGATTTCCGCAAAATCAACATCCAAGTGCCAAAGGCCCAAACCGTGGACACACAATATCTTTTCTTCCATCCAGGGAAGAACCGCCGGCTCAGTCTCCGGTACCTTGCATGGGCTGTTTTCAAAGAATATATTCAAGAAGAGCCTACACCAGACACCCTTCAGGGTCATGACTCTATTGAGGATGCGCGTATGGCCTTGCGTCTTTGGAAAAAATTTCAAGAATACGAAGATGCAGGCATTGTCGCGCAAATGCTCGAAGAGATATTCCGTGAAGGCTCGAAACTAGGCTTCCGCCCGCCTCCCAAGAATGGCGGCACTGTTACAGTCCTTTCCCGACCTGGTACCGCTGTCACCATGCAGAATGAGAGTGGTCGCAACACTCCTAGCACCCCTGACACACGCTCCGTCGCCCCTGTAGCACCCACCTCGGCTGCGCCCAATGCTGGACCTCCCAGTGCTCCTGCCACGCCCCGCCAGGCTTTCCGGCGCTCGATTGCTCTGACCCCAAGCAATGGAAGCTTCTCTGGACCTGGTGACTTTTTTGGTGGCAGTCCCCTACGATAGATGGTTATCCTTATCTTTTTTTTCACTTGGCTCTTGTTGGTGCTCTTGGGACGTTATGCATTCGTTGTACGCTCAACTATAGAAGTGGCCTTGGAATAAATACTATGAACACACAGAGATATGCACACAGCTTCTGATATGCCTAGCTAGGTAGTATGATTCCATAGCCTTAGGTGAATATTTCCAAGATTGAAGTTCATACAGTGGGGTATGACGTGTGGGTTTCTAAATATTCAGTGGACGACAGCGGCCAAAAGATTGTGCATTTTGCCGGCAGATAATCAACCTCTTTCCTATTCTGAAGGAAGACTTGGAAGCTCAGCAGAAGGCGGTAGTCAGGGCGGTGTCCATAAACTTATGGCCATGTGCTCATGGCCGCTAGCGTCATTCGTATGCCAAAACAAATCCCACTTGCATCTCATCTTTCCCGCAGACGTCCTCAGAACATCAATTGAGCATTTTGAAGTCGTGCGCTGTATTCCAGTTGTGTTTTCGCTTCCTTATTAGTACAGTGAACATCCCATCGATAGCTGGACAGCTCCTCCCCGTTCTACGACAGCGAACCCCTCGCACCCACTTTGTTTGTGCACCCGTTGTGATGTCACGACACCGTATTAAAGATGTGGGATACGATGATGAAGACTACTACTCAGACGATGGGTACGCGTCACCTGACCCTGAAGAACAGGAATTTGCGCAGCAGTGTACTACACTTGTTTTGCAACAGCTGAGTGCGGGGCAGCCCTCAGTTACTGCCACGAAACAAGAAGTCCAAGATGCTTTGTGGCATTACTACAATGATATCGAGAAGTCGGTCAACTACTTGAGAGGTAAGTACTAGCTTTGGCTATGCTTTTATTGAATTGTTCGTTCTTCTCTAGAGTATTGCGCTAACATGAAGCTCTGCGCACAGGCAAGAAAGAGAAGGAGGCTACAAAGCAAAAGTCAAAGGCACAAACAGGTAAGCAATATTCTCGACAATACTGTTTTATTGAGTTGTCATGGCTTGGCTCGAAATTCGGGGAAGGACTTTGTTCGCCCGGACTAGTGCTGTTTGGAAATGAAAAAGGTATGTCATTGCGTGGCTTGGTGCGAAGCGATCTCTTCTTATACCTCGCAAGACTAGAGACTAACGCCATCTAAAAGTTTGAACAATGTTCTAACAGGTCTTCCAGTGCCAGCATATCCTGCTCCTCCTTCCGCGGCGGCACACTTCTCGGCTGCTGACTTCTTTCGCGACTGCCCTTGGCTCAACGTGCCCACTCACCGGAAGACGGACATATTGGTTGAGCCACTTTACCCCCGCCTGGGTCTCCTGGGAGGTGCACCCGAGGCTGGCGGGAAAGTCTCGAAGTTGGCGGCCTTGGCTGCAGCTCGAAAGAAGAAAGAGGGAGCTACGGCGGAGGCATCAGCTGCACTGAACCCTCGGTCCGAACAGTCTGAGACGCCGTCTCCTGACCCTCAAGGCACGCCACGATCTCTTCGCGAGAGGCTTGCAGCTAGTGGAAGGTCAACACCGAAGCCTGCAGAAGGCCTGGGGTCTTTAGGGCGTCCGGCGAAACCAATATCCTCCTCCCCCTCTCCCGTACAGAAGGATTCAACATCTGAGCCCCGTGAGCCCCGGAAGCCCCTTGTACCGCAGGTATCCCCACCTGCATCGCGGGATATCGAGGAACTCAAAGAGCCAGAGCGTCAGCAGTCACAGCCGAGTATCCGTGCCTTGCCATCCACATTTGCCAGCACTATCGTTGGCACATCTCGTCCTACAATCGCCGAGCACAGCCATTTGCATTCAAACAGCAGAGACCTTTTGAGAATATATGGACAGGATAATGCTGAACCCTTTGACTTTGCAGCGCCCAGCCCCGACGATGTCGTTCTCAATGCACAGAACGCAGCGAAAGGTTTGGCGATCCGCAGGAAGGTTTAGAGGCACCCGCCTAATGATATGTAGGAATGAAGTCCAAATCGGCTGTATCGAAAGCGGCAGGTGACAAGAAAGGTCAATCTGATTTGGCTGGTGAAATCAAAGACCTATCAGTCGAAGACAAAGTGACTGTCAAGAGCAAGAACCTTGATGTTCTGGCAGAATACAAGAACTCCACCCGCAAGAGGTCGGCCAACTTTGTGGTTATTGGTTAGTCGGTATCCATTGGCGAGTGTGGACTTGAACTGACTAGTATCCGCAGGCCATGTTGATGCTGGAAAGAGTACGCTTATGGGCCGACTGTTGGCAGATCAAGGCGCCATCGATCAACGGACGTTAGAAAAGTATCGGCGGGAGGCCGAGAAGATTGGCAAAGGATCATTTGCACTGGCCTGGGTCCTGGACCAAGGGTCGGAGGAGAGAGCACGAGGTGTTACGATAGATATTGCCACCAACCAGTTTGAGACTGAAAAGACTGCCTTCACTATTGTCGATGCACCGGGCCACCGTGACTTTGTCCCCAACATGATCGCCGGTGCCAGTCAGGCAGACTTCGCTGTTCTGGTTATCGACTCCAGTGTTGGCAAGTTCGAGTCGGGATTGAAGGGTCAGACCAAGGAGCATGCTCTGTTGGTGCGCAGTATGGGCGTTCAGAAAATTGTTGTGGCTGTGAACAAGATGGACACAGTACAATGGGATCATGAACGCTTTGAGGAGATTGAACAGCAAATTTCTGCCTTCTTGACCACCGCGGGATTCCAAGAAAACAACATTTCATTTGTGCCTTGCTCCGGAGTTCTGGGAGACAACATCTCTCGGCGCAGTGAGGATTCTCATGCATCCTGGTACACAGGTCGCACGTTGATTGAAGAATTGGAAACCTCAGAGCCATACACACATGCACTCGAGAAACCCTTGCGCATGACAATTGGCGATGTGTTCCGCGGTGGCGTTCAAAATCCGCTCTCTATCTCTGGTCGTCTCGACGCTGGCAGTCTGCAAGTGGGTGACCAGATTCTCACCATGCCCAGCGGTGAAACAGCAACAGTCCGCAGTCTAGAGGTCGACAATGAGCCAAATGACTGGGCCGTGGCCGGTCAAAACGTTGTCTTGAATATTGCCAATATCGACCCGATTCACCTCCGCTCTGGTGATGTCGTTTGCCGCCCCTCCTCTCCCATCCCTACCATCACTACTTTTACCACCAAGGTCCTGGCTTTCGAGCACCTCATGCCTATGCAGGTGGACGTACACCGTGGCCGTCTCCACGTGCCTGGCCGCATCAGCAAGCTGGTAGCTTCTCTTGACAAAGCTTCAGGTGAGGCTGTCAAGAAACGGCCAAAGATTGTCGGCCCTGGTACTGTGGCGCGTATTGTGGTTGAGATGGATCAGGCTGTGCCTCTTGAGGCGCCGACGAGGATCGTTCTGCGTGCGGGAGGCTCAACTGTTGCGGCTGGTTTGTTAGAGTAAAGTTCGAGTGAAATAAATAAAAAAGTTTATTTATTCGTTCAAGACACAGCATGCCCAGGTGCCTTTCTTGCATTTTTGGTTCAATTATATATATTCTGGACCGCTCGATATATGATTCGCATGGTCACCAGACATGCCCAGGTGTGCTTCTATATTTGATGCCAACTATTACATTTTAGACCCCAACTATTGAAATGTTGCACAAGTAGTGGCATTATAGTTTGACTCGTATACGTATGCTACTTTAAAAGTGATCCATCTGATCCATCTAAGGACCCTGTGCTTTGTGCCACACCCCCTTCTCGGGAGATCCCCGGACATTCTGCGTCAGCAGTATATTATATGCCTTGCCACGATGCGTGGCAAATCAAATAAAAATATGCCACTTGTCATGTTTAATTGCCCGTGTGAGTACCAGGCCCCAAAGAGTTAAAATGATTCATATAAACGCCATTGTAAAATTGGAAACAGGACAGATTTCCCATGAATATTGAGTCAACCGGGTAAATTCGAGATCTTCTCCGAAGGAACTCTCCCCCTTCCAGCAAGTTCGACAGATTTGGCGCGCGTTGATTGGTGGATCACGTCTGGTAGACCCCTGCCGCTAGACCACTCAAGTAGGCGGTGTGTATACATGTTAGTGGGTCTACTGAAGAAAAGAAGTCAGCCAATCAACGCACGAGACGTGACCTGATCTTTGTGGAAGAGGCCAGCATGGCCGCTGGGCCATCTTTGCGTACAAGTACTCTCTCTCTCTTCAATTCTTCTTCGACCATTCTTTCACTCACTTCGTCTCCCGGGTCCCTCTCCCGCATAACATCGACAAATAGAAGGGTTTATTAGAGTTAAACACTTGTGTTTACTCTGCGCTGAACTGAGCGCGTGAAGCTTCCTCGACAGCTTCCTTCGTCTTCGCATTGAAACTTTGATCCGCCTTATACATACTCTTCTTCACAATGGCTCGCGTATCCGCACGCGATGGCGCGTCCAAGCCCTTCGCCTGGACCACCATCTTCTACCTTCTCTTCGTCCTCGTCGCGCCCCTGGCCTTCTTTGGAAACACTGCTCACGCCCAGGAGGAGAACTCCCCTGAGAGCTACGGCAACGTTATTGGTATCGATTTGGGAACCACCTACTCGTATGTCACCATTGCATCTCTCTTCATAGACCTCAAACGGACGGATTGCTAACCTCAATCGCAGTTGTGTTGGTGTGATGCAGAATGGCAAGGTCGAGATTCTCGTCAACGACCAAGGAAACCGTATCACCCCGTCTTACGTTGCTTTCACCGATGAGGAGCGCCTTGTCGGTGATGCCGCCAAGAATCAATATGCCGCTAACCCCGAGCGCACCGTTTTCGACATCAAGTAAGACTTTTTTCCCTCCTGATTTTTGAGAGAATCCTCACTAACCCATCCTTCACAGGCGTATGATCGGTCGCAAGTTTGACGACAAGGATATTCAGAAGGATGTTAAGAACTACCCCTTCAAGGTCGTCAAGAAGGATGGCAAGCCTCAAGTTAAGGTCGACGTCAACCAGGCCGCTAAGACTTTCACACCGGAGGAGATCTCCGCTATGATCCTTGGCAAGATGAAGGACATCGCCGAGGGATACCTTGGAAAGTCCGTCACCCACGCGGTTGTTACTGTCCCCGCTTACTTCAACGACGCCCAGCGTCAGGCCACTAAGGATGCCGGTACTATTGCCGGTCTTAACGTCCTGCGTGTTGTCAACGAGCCCACCGCCGCCGCTATCGCCTACGGTCTTGACAAGACCGGTGACGAGCGCCAGGTCATTGTCTACGATCTTGGTGGTGGTACCTTCGATGTTTCCCTTCTGTCTATCGACAACGGCGTCTTCGAGGTTCTGGCTACCGCTGGTGACACTCACCTTGGTGGTGAGGATTTCGATCACCGCGTTATGGAGTACTTCGTCAAGCAGTACAACAAGAAGAACAACACCGATGTTAAGAAGGACCTTAAGGCTATGGGTAAGCTCAAGCGTGAGGTTGAGAAGGCCAAGCGCACTCTGTCTTCCCAGATGTCTACCCGCATTGAGATCGAGGCCTTCCACAATGGCCAGGACTTCTCCGAGACTCTGACCCGCGCCAAATTCGAGGAGCTCAATGTCGACCTGTTTAAGAAGACCCTTAAGCCTGTCGAGCAGGTTCTGAAGGACGCTAAGATCAAGAAATCTGAGGTTGACGACATCGTTCTTGTTGGTGGTTCTACCCGTATTCCCAAGGTCCAGGCCCTTCTCGAAGAGTTCTTCTCCGGCAAGAAGGCCAGCAAGGGTATCAACCCCGATGAGGCCGTCGCATTCGGTGCCGCCGTTCAGGGTGGTATCCTCTCTGGTGATGACTCTATGGCCGATGTCGTTCTCATGGATGTCAACCCCCTCACTCTCGGTATCGAGACTACTGGCGGTGTGATGACCAAGCTTATTCCCCGCAACACTGTCATCCCTACCCGCAAGTCGCAGATCTTCTCGACTGCCGCCGACAACCAGCCCACCGTTCTGATCCAGGTGTTCGAGGGTGAGCGCTCGATGACCAAGGACAACAACATGCTCGGCAAGTTCGAGCTGACCAACATCCCCCCGCGCCCCGCGGTGTTCCTCAGATTGAGGTCGCTTTCGACCTTGATGCCAATGGAATTCTTAAGGTTAGCGCCTCCGACAAGGGAACTGGCCAGGCTGAGTCCATCACTATTACCAACGACAAGGGCCGCCTCACCCCCGAGGAGATCGAGCGCATGGTCCAGGAGGCCGAGGAGTTCGCCGAGGAGGACAAGGCCATGAAGGGCAAGATTGAGGCCCGTAACGGTCTCGAGAACTACGCCTTCAGCCTGAAGAACCAGGTCAACGATGAGAACGGTCTTGGTGGCCAGATCGATGAGGATGACAAGCAGTCCATTCTCGACGCCGTCAAGGAGGTCAGCGACTGGCTTGAGGACAACGCTGCCACTGCCACCACCGAGGATTTCGAGGAGCAGAAGGAGCAGCTCTCCAGCGTTGCTTACCCCATCACCAGCAAGCTCTACGGCTCTGCTTCTCCTCCTGAGGATGATGACGAGCCCCTTGACCACGACGAACTGTAAAATTACTTTGAGGCATTATTCATGGAGTTCCACTTTTTTTCTTGCTCGAGTCACTTGTTTTGAACTTATACTAGGCTTTGTTCCTGTCTCACTACTCTCGGCCTGGTAATTTCCACGCCCGCCAAGAATACAATACAATGATACCTTGCATTTGTCCAATTACAGTAGATGGTGCTCTAGTCTGACAGCACGGCTAAATGGTTTACCGGGGGTCTTGTGCTATTCGCATGTATCTCTTTTAACTCTAGCTAGTGTCTATTGTATATCTACCATGTCTAATTCTGCTTCGCAACAACGTCCTTAATAGTCTCAGCAACCACCTGATGATCGTCCTCTTGCTTCAACCCACTGACAACAACAACAGCAACAACGCCTTCAACCCCGCGCACCCGGATGGGATACCCACCCCCATGAATTGCATATTCATCAGCAACCGCTCCACCATTGGCACTAGCAAGAGCATACTTCTTGACAAAAGCAGCCTCAATCTGATCCGCCGACGCGCCAGCCACCAATCCACCAATCGTCTTTTGTCTCATTGCCCAACTCGACACTCCCCACCGGAGCACGGTGTTCCGCTTCCTCCGCACCCAGTTCTCATTATCTGGGATCGTGCCGCTCTCAGTTGCGCTCTGGAAGAGGACATGCAGTGGGACGCCACCGGATGTCGCGGTGGCGAGCGCAATGGAGATTAGAGCAGGCTTGCGCTGCCCAGCTGGCAGGGAGAGGATTCGTTCACGGAGAGCATTTCCCAGGGTCCAGGCGGTGCTTGCGGTGAATTCGTTGAAGGTTTGCTCGGGACTTGTCTCTTGCGCAATGAGGGCTTGGGCCTGGAATGCTATTAGCTTTCTTCGTAGTGAATTGTGTTGTAACGCAGAGAGACATACATCTGTGCTAGGAGCTGAAAGAGCCATGATTGATGATTTTCAAGTATTGGAAAATAGTCTTAGAACGTATGTTGTATATGTTGTAGAGGAAAAGTTGGGGGCATTGAGGAATTGGGATGTCAGTTGGTATAGTGGGGACATCCATGGATACTTGGGGGTGGACCTTCCCTTGGATTTACCGCTGACGTCGGTTTCAGTTGTTCTTTTCGGTCGAGCATCACTCCTCAGAGCGATGGATACTTACTCCGCTAATGGTTCCAAATTATGTTCAGCTCGATCAAATAATGTACTTCCACCGATATGCCAAGATCGGCAGACTTGCCGATGCCTCCCCTCTGTGAATCCCACGTCTCCGCATTGACTTCAATGTACGACATAGGACTTGGCAATTCATGTTCCTTCACACTTTCGACCCATGTCCCCCAAACGAGCTTGCGATACTTGTATTTCCCGTAAAGTGAAATGCAACGGCTCCTGGCCTTGCGATACCTGCCGGGGGGCAGTGAAAAAGGTACAATGTACATACCTGAAGCCTGCGCGCAGGAGGGGCCCAAAAGCTCGGCGAACAATATGCCAGGTCCGAGATATTGAGTCTTCGGTATTGAATTCGACAGACAATGAGAGTTATAATCAAGAAAATGAGAATGTGGGAAGCGCCGAGGATACGCCCTTCTGTCAACCCACAGAAGTTTGCAGCCAGCGCATTCCAAAGACTATCCTTGAATCGGTCGTTCGGCTCTATCAGAGATATTCATACAGTGTCTGGCCTGTAGTCAATGCAGAAGGTCTTCTTCTCAAAATAGAGGACATAGATCCAGAAAAGCTTGATTATCATACTGAAAATATCTCCTGCCTCATAACGGCCCTCTGTGCGGCAACAATGGCTCAACTGCATCTTGACCCCCAAGTGGACGACTCCCGCACCGTGAGCAGCACTGCAATGGCTCAAACATGTCTTCAGATGCGTGCCAAATGCTGTGACTATGGAGAGCACATGGATTTCCGCAGTATTCTAGTGTCATTCTTTTTGCACGTGTATCATGCAAAGGTCAACCAACGGAACTCGGCAATGATGTATATCCAAGAAGCCATTGCTGGGGTTCGTGTATTGCGACTAGATGAGGGCGCTTATGATAGGGAGGATGATATAATTTCGAACAAGACTTTGGTGTTTCCTTTAATTTGGGTATCGGAGAGGTAGGTTAGAACCATTGAACTTGCCGAGTCAGCTAGTAACCAGATACAGAGGTTATGCTTTGCACTTGGGTCTCTCGCCTTCATATAGCGAGCTGCCCACAATACCCGAACTGGAAAGCGATGAGGTTGCCGATGTGGATGCTCATGGTTTGCTGGAGTTGGTTAAGTTGTTTATTGCATTTGATCGTATCTCAGTACGTCGCAGCTCGCGGGTAGGGATCACTGTCGCGGCAGACTTGACGGAGACAGAGAAAAGACTCACTTCTTTGTGCTTTACTATGGCCGACCGCGTTTCAACCAGAACCGCTGATTACCACATCACGCGAGAGTGGATGAGAACGATTCTCTGGCAGGACGCGCTGTCGATGGGCTTGCTGTCTTCTTCAGCCCATACCTCTGTCATGAAATTTGGTTATCCTGCGCAAGTTGGTCGTGACTTGCTGCAGGCATTGAGAAGATTCCGTGACACGGATTTGGTACCGCTGGGGCGGGACCAGGTTAGTAGAACTCCAACTGTAGCGAGCGTCCTGAAGTTACTGATTGCTTTTAGTTGTTGAAATGCTTTGAAGTTGCAAATTCACTTGCCGATACCATTCTTTTGACCTTGTCAGGGGCAGGCTCGCGACTGGAATTAGGACCACAGGACTTTTTGCACGCGCTTTATCAGAAGATCACCCCATTTTTAGATCAGGACGAAATGCTGAAGTCGATCCTTCGAGCAAAGACTGCGGAAGCTCTAGTCACAGCCCCGGCCAGGCTGTTGACAGTGGAGGCAAGTGTTGTGGACCTGCACTCTAGACATGAGCCCGTGCCGGTTGTTGTGTCGGAAAATATCTTATATGGAGTCATTGATGAACAGAATGAGTCGTCCACAAACAGCTTTGATTGGCTATCACAACTGAATCAGCAGATATTCTAATGCTTGACCTTATCAAATTCCACCTAAGATCACTCTATCACTTGAAGGACAATGCGACCAGCAATATCTCCTTTCTCCATCTCCTCATATACCTGTGGCAGATCCCTGAATGGTCGAACCTTGATCACAGGATTCACAATACCCCGGCGTACCAGATCCACGGCTTCCATGCATTCTTTCAACGATCCAACCAAGTTACCCGTGATTCTGAGACCCTTAATCACGATCGTACAGATAGGAGTTTCGAGACATGGCCGCCCAGGGGGAATTCCAACGCAACTCAAAGTGCCACCTACTCGCAGCATATCACAGGCATGCGCAAAGGCTTTTGCATTGCCTGCTGTTACTACGACTGCATGAGCGCCCAATCCGGTGATATCTTGGACCCTTTTGACTGGATCTTCAGTGGCGAAATCAATGAATTCTTGCGCGCCGAGTCCCTTCACAAAGTCTCCCTTGCCTGGGCCCGTGTCGACACCAATGACCACAGCCCCCTGAGCTCGTGCGTATTGTACTTGTATAGTATTAGTGGGTTGTGCCGTATTTCAGCAAAAGAAATTCATACCAGCTAGATGCCCAAGACCACCTCCCGCCCCAACCACCACTAGCCAGTTCCCAGGACGGAGATTCGCATTCAACACGGCCTAATGAAGTATCAATATAAGAGTCGAGTCTGCTACCCTGCATTCGCAACTCACTTTATAAGCCGTTAACCCGGCGCAGAGCACAGGCCCCATAACTTTCGGATCAACATCATCCGGCAAAAGTGTCAGATAATCTGCGTCGAGGGCAATGTATTGCTGAAAGCTGCCATCTTCATGATGGAGATGATTTGTACTCGCGACGCAGTACTGCTCAGTACCAGCAAGGCAGAACTCGCACCGCCGGCAAATCCGGCTCGAGAACCGGATTCCGACTAACCCACCCACTTTCAGTCCGGTGCCATGCTCAATATCTGGACCGAGTGCGATAACTCGGCCGATTCCTTCGTGTCCACCGACATGGGGGAGCTTGATCTTTGTTATGGGGTTGCCGTCTGGTCCGGCTGCGGTGCCGGCTTTGGTGTGCAGGTCTATTGTTTGTGAGACTTGGTCTTGGGAGAGTGTTGGAGGGTAGATACACACCACTCTGGCAGACGCCGGTGTATAGCACTTTTGCTAGGACTTCATTGCGTCCTGGTTTTGGCACGGGGTAGTCTGTCTTGAACTCAACTTCGCCACCGAGGGCGCGGACGAGAGCGACTGTTTGGGTCTGTGGGATATCGAGAGAGTCCATATTGGATATTGATTGGATATATGTGAAAGATGCCCGATAAGACCAAAGTTTTTCCAATTGAAGAGATGAAATCAAAAGATCAGATCAAGGAAAAAATCTGTTTTTATACCCAGCGCCCGGTTGCTTTCCAAAAGTCGAAAGTAGAGCCCGAGAAAAGCAGTCCAGGATCCATCACGTCAATACTCCGAGTCTACGACAATGGGCGCCTAAATGAATCGGTTCTCGAGCGGGGAAGCTTCTTGTACCTCACTTTGTTTCAATTTAGACCGCAAGTCCTGGAGATTTGGCCCCAATATTCTTTCTCTTGTGCATCAGGCGAGACAGTTCTGGGCAGCATTATCTCTGCAAGGCGTTGGAATGTTGCATGTAGATGTGGCCAAAGAGCAGATTCGGAGAAATAGGTCAGCCAACTTAGTAATTGACAGTCAGCATAAGCTACGGAAGGCATATTCCATAGTTGTAGCACTGCGTAGAGAGGTGCTAATTCTCCGAGGCAATTCTCCGCAAATAGAGATCTGTGCATTGACACTGCAGATCATTTGTACATATGTACACCTAGAAGGATTTGATTTGTACATATGTACATAGATTGAAATGTTGAAACATGACGTTGAATTCAGTTAGCGACTATCACTAGGAAGTTTGCGTTTTCTTTTCCTAAATCACTATCCTTAGAGTGAACCAGGGGTATGTAGTGCATAAAATCAAGTCCATCCATGCACCATAATACACCCACCATGTCATCATTCAAACCGCCGAAAAACTTGAAGAAATCCAGATCCGAACACCGGGAACACCATATTGTACACCGAGGAACCTCGGGTAAAGACAAAAGAACCGCACCCATTTTCAAGGCTTGCGCAGAGGGATATCGGGAATTTCTTCCGAGATTGTGATCTCCTCCCGACTATGATCATCGAGAATTTCCGACTGAACGCGGACTTCCTTTTGAATATGAATATGGTCCAGATGAACCGTGGAGCCATGTGGTTTCTTCGAGGGGGAGACACAACATGAATATGGAGAACCGGTCGACTCAACATCCCGGATATCCCGACGTGCCCTATGGGCACGTGGACTGGCAGTGGGAGTTGGGATCGGAGTGATGAATAGCTCGCCGTTCTTCTTGTGCATCCAGTGTGTGCGCATGTGGTCGAGTGCGGTTTTGAAATCGTCTAGAATCACTGTGTCGCAGAGGCATTTGAAGATGAAGGATAGCTGGGTCGGGTTTGTTAGTTTCAGAGAAAGAAAGACCGAGGAGAAGGCACGGCGTGGTGAGGATTTACCTTCCAGAATGGCTCAACGCCGGTTGGAAGCAGGCTAGAGAAGACGTTTAGGACACTGCAGGTATCGACAATCATGAATATGATAGAGAGACACATTGCAGCAAGCATAATGCCAAAGCGGGGACTGATGGTAATGAGCTCCCATATACCGAAAGCGTATTCGCGTTTAATTGTCCAGAACAGGTTGAAGGTGGTGAAGATCCACCATGGATCACTGTCGATAAGTAAAATTAGCGGCTATTTATCGAATGAACAGCAGGGCTGTCCACGGTATCGACGGGTCGAGACAGAGGGAGTAGCGTACCGAAACAACGGCTCCAATGGCCGAGTCTTCAGGAAGATCTTGTTGATATTGTTGAAATAGGTGAAATTCGCATAGATTTCTAACCCCCAATAGGGCCAACAAAGAATAACCGTGACAATGTAAAACAGCGAGACCTTTCGCGAGAGAAAAGGGCGATTCTTCATCCAAGCGATGACATTGTGCAGGGCCCAACTGATGTTGAGACCGATAGCTGTGGCGCTCAGATACCAGCCATAAACGGGCTCGTGGGGGAAGATGAAGGTGCCATGCGCCATAGCCAAAATAAGCTGCCATCGGATGAGTGATCAGTACATAATAATCCGAGCTAATGCAGCCTCGAATCTTGACCTACCTCGGCAAAGATCAGTTTGTGCAGCATGATGTGCGATTTCATGTTTGCCGCGGTGATCGCTGCCATAATGATTAAACTGCCTACCATAAAGCCTTGGCCCCAGGCTTCGAGGATCAGTGCATCAGGATCGGTGGGCTTGGTTATGCGATCAGAAGACATGGTGGGCGTTATTCATATCCGTCGTGATTGCTTGGGGAGGAAGGTAGGACGTAAGGAGAGAAGTTGTGAGGGCGAGGTAGTGGAGGAGGTTGAATTTGCAAAAAGATGAAGAAGGGAATTTAAGAAGCAAACTTGAGTCGCGAAGCTCTGGCAACCACAAAAAGAGCCGTGGTCTCTATCTTGTCGTACACACGCGACATTATTAGGGTTTGAACCGAAGAGAAAAGTGCCTTCCCATGGTGAATATATGTGGTGAAAGAGTCAATGAGTCGAGAATCATTTAGCGTACACGAATCCTTGTCATAATTGGCGAGATTCTCTCTAAAAAAAAACTAATTTACCGACTCTGACGCCCCTGAATGGTCGCTTCTCAAGGTCGTTTACAGGGACCAACAGGGATCTAAGTGGGGGGGGAGGGGAGGGAGACTACTCTAATGCCGACAAAACAACATACGGACGCGTGTCGATTATCTTTTTATTCAACTCGATGTTACATTATCGATTCAGTCCACTGTTCTTTGACTTCATATGGATGAACCTAGTATGGATGTGAATCGAACCCCATATCTGTTGCCGGCATAGATCACCCACGAGTTAGATGCCCGTGCCTCTGGGGGAAAACAACGGAGGTGGCGCAAGCTACTGTTAGCTGCTCCCGGCCGTTTCCGTTCCTTTTCTTTTTCTTGGTACCTAGGTTGCCAAAGGAAATCAACAATGAAATATGTACTTTATCGCTTTATTTCTTTTGACAGAACAACCTGAAGAATTGTGTGCTAGATCGTCCACATTCCAAGAGCTTGCTTCAGAGAAATTTATTGTCAAAATCACTAAGAATTCTTCTGTATTTTAGTGTTTCCGCTATTCGTCCGTCTCCACACAATACGGGCTTTGGTAGTATGCTGGTCCGGGGTAGTGGACCTTTCCAAGGTTGTTCTCGGTTCAAATGTCCAGATTTCCTCGGGACCACACTTAGTTACTAGTGAGTGTTTCGGATCATGGATTCTTTGAGGCATAAAGGCACAAGGGGCATCTAGGCATATATATATATAATCAATCCATCACATAATGGAAATCATCTTTCACGGAAACTGCAATCCGCTTTGAAACCCAAAATAGAATCCACCTGGTCCTTTGCTAATTGGATGTCAGATACTGATAGAACTTGCCAAGTTCATCTCAATTGTGAAAAACCAGAACCCTCAACTCTCGCTCTATGAGGAAAGAGCGATGGCATAACTGCGAGTAGAATCCCCCCCCTCGATTTCTCTTCTTCTTCCTTCTATCCACGTGAATGTGGATGGATGCAATCTTGAGACGACATGAATCCCTAGAATCAGTTGTGAATACTCGCATACTATGTGTGCTCGTGTTGCCCATCCGATAGTCCAAGCTTCTTCTCTGCCGCGTTTCCGCCGAAAACATCCTGCATCTCTTCCAAGGAGTGTTGTGAGGTCCATAGAGGTCGTTAGCTGGTGGCAGCTGCACCGAGAGAATGAGACCTACCTCTTTCAAAACTAGCCATGCGTACACAATGATCGCATAATTAAATATGGCAAACATCAGGAACATGCGCCAGCCAATATTCGTGATTGCGTGTGGAGTGACCTGAGACATCATGAAATTGAATAACCACTGTGAGGCCGCACCAACCGAAAGACCCAGTTCTCGCGTACGACTTGAGAAAATCTCGCCAACATACAACCAAGGCAGCGGACCCCATGACATGTTGTAGCTGAACGCCTCCGCATAGGTCATGATAATGCATGCAATGCCAGCGGAGCTCGGACCAGAGGCGGTGCTATTCGAGCTGACAGGATGTGTAGCCAGAATGATAGCAATGATCAACATGAAAGACCCCATTGCAAAGGCGCCGCCCATGAATGGCACGCGGCGGCCCACACGGTCCAGAACGAACAACTGGAAAATACATACGCCGACCACCTTGACCACCCCGAAAAATCCAGTCACCAATTTCGCTGCGCTGCCAGCTCCAACGGAACTAAAGATCTGGGTCGCGTAATACGCCAGCGACGTGTTACCCGTTAGCTGGGCACTAAGCTGGATAGTCACGGCGATGAAGAGCCGGTATCGATTAGCGGGAAGGAGCAGTTCTTTGAAAGTGAGATTCTCCTTGACACGCGCTTCCTCTTCAATCCCAGCCAAGATCTCGTCAAACTCCTGCTGTAACTCTGGAGTCTCTTCGCCGCCACGCACCCACTTCAATGACTCGCGTGCTTTCTCCGTCCGGCCTTTCGCAGCTAGCCATCGCGCACTCTCCTTGACGGTGCACATCCCTGCCATTAACAAGGTAGAACCAAGCAGCTGCAATCCCAGTGCGGTCTGCCATTGGCTAGTGCCGTCGGACTGGTCATACGAGACAGCATAAGTCACCCAGTATGCAACCGTCACTCCCAGCGCAAAGAATAGCTGGAAGCAGGCACCGAGTCGGCCGCGAATCTCTTTCGGTGACATTTCTGCTGAGTACATCGGGATCAAGACTGTCGCTGCTCCAATTCCAAGTCCTGCAATCACTCTCCCGGCATAGAACGTCCCCAGTGTACCGGTGTTGATGACCTGAAGAATCGTGCCAATCGTGAAGATTACTGAGCTGATTATCAGACCCGTGCGACGACCGAGCCATGATGCGATGGGCGATATGAGGAAACAGCCGAAAAAGGCTCCGCCTTGGAGGATGGAAACGGCGTTGGAGTTGATCGTTGTCTTTTGTGCTTTGGTATGGTCGGCGAATCCGAAGTCTCGCTGGAAGGAATCGAGTGAGAGGACACCACCTGTGGAACGAACTTGTCAGCTCCCATTGTGGATATTACGAAGGTATTATACGAGCGCACTGATAACGCCTGTGTCAAATGCAAATGCAAACGAGCCCATGCAACTTGCTGCCACCAGGTATATAGCTCGCACGAGCCCTAGTTTCCGACCCATTTCCAGTGTTGGGAGAAGAGAACGTTTCACAGAATGGGAACAATCACAGTTTGTATTTGACAATTTGATGAGGTGAATTTGCTGAGTGTATGTAGTCAATAATTGTAATTGGGATCTATGCACACAAGAGCTGAGAAAGTGATGCCTCTCATAAGCAGCTGACATCAGAGGATGATCATCTATAGAAGACTGGCCATACATACACTATAATGACTGCTCGTTACCCCATATCGAAAAATCAAGCACAGAGCTGCGAAGAGTCAGGCGAGAGCCGACCGGCTAAGAACCGAGGAGTGAAATGGACTCGTTAACTCCTAGGGAGGGGGTGACTAGAAGACAGAAGCCCATTTGTCGAGTGAGATCAGACCATGACTCGGGAGAGAGACAAAAGTTAAAGCAATTAAGAAGCCCCGAGCAATCATAATCCGAATATGGGAACATCTGAACACAAATACTGTAACGAATCGGCCTTCTTAGCATTGATCCTTGTTGGAAGCTTGTTTGATGTTGGATATGGTTGGACGTAAATACATCCGGGACCTCGTTTTGCGTGTGATCGGGCCTTTTATTCTTTGCTCCAACAGCCAAAGCGCAGGGGCCTGGTAGATTTGCGTCTGATTGGATGTATCCTCTAGTATTCAGTCTCATTCGGAACTTACCTGCCTTAGATGTAGAGTTTACCCCCGCATTATCCCCGGATTTTTGTCTTGTTAAGATGTTTTGAGTGTTGGTTGTATTAATATGATTATACAAGTTATCGATCTCTCAAATGGTGAATACTTATGTATGTATTTAAGGTGCGGACGGGTCTTGCGGTGGAATCTTTGGAAAAAGCCATCAGCACATAGTTCAAACGTCCCTGGATGGAAAGAAGTGAATGGAGTACGATTGTATTATGTTTTGAGCTGATATCTCTTTTTAACTCTCTGTTCACCTCTTTATACTATGATTTTCTGTTATCCTTAAGTCGGGGGCCTTCAGGCAGCAATTTCAAAAATAATCTAACCCGACCCCTGGCTTCGCATTCCAAATCTTGGAATCCAATTTTGATGTGATCCCTTTGGTTTTGGAGAACCTGGGGATTGCCAACTTCGCCTCAGACACTTCACTCGGTCAAAAATGGAGATTTGAGACGAATCTGAAACTCGAAACCGAGAAAAGATACAATTTCTGTACTCTACTTCCGACGCGTGCCACTGCAAAAGGAATAGTATGAAATCTGATCGTTACCGAATCCTCAGGGGTTGGTTTTGCCGCACAACAATGTTTCCACGGCCGGCGCACCTTGGGTAGCACCATTCGGGCTGCTTTTCATCAACTCCACCGGGGCCACCGCGGCAAAAAGACCCAGATTAAGGCTCAAGGTAAATGAGTCGGCAGTCAGAAATGAAGTGACACGCAAACCGCTGCTGCCACGAAAATTTCTATGCGAGTGCCAAGGAAATCCAACCCGATCGTCACGCTGATCGTTCAACCTTCAGAGAATATGGTTGGCCTTTCTCCCATATTAAGGATGGCCCTGGACTATCCGGTTCATTATATACCGAGTCCGTCGAACTCAATCCCTTCATGAATCACGAATCAGCCATGTCGACGGTCCTTATCTAGCGTTAACCCATCACATGGCAGATTGATAAAGGGTTTTTTCAGTGGATCAATAATGACGAGGGCCAAGAGGATCCATATGAAGTTCCACAATCCAGAACCGTGGGAGTTAGCCAACCTGGTTGGGCAATGGCTTCAACACAATCCACTCGTTATCTATCGTGGAATAGTAATGATCTTCAGGGCTAAGTTTGGATCAAGGCTTGTCCTTTTATTGAAAAGGGATCTTGTTCCAAATCTTGATGAAGCCTTTTTAAACCTCACTCCCGCCATTCTTTTATTTTAACGTTGTACTATATTCTATTTTTAGTCGCTCTTTTTATACTTCAACATGGCTCCGTGGTTATACACGGTTGGTAGCACTCTGCTCCTGTCCCTCCAGGCGGCTGCATGGGACTATTCGACCTACAAATCAATAGGCTTCCAGCCACCGAAGCTCGAAGTCAACAAAACTGGAACCACTGATCCAGGTTATATCTTCATCGGTCCTCGTGGAGGAGTCCAGGCTGCTGGTTCGGCCGCACTTATCTACGATGATGTGGGTGACCTTGTTTACGAAGGACCCGAAGACATCAGTGCGAACTTCATGGTGCAAAAGCTCTTTGGTGAGGATGTTATCACCTTCTGGGCTGGAGATATGATGTCCATCGGCTACGGTTATGGAACTGTTCACATCCTTGACAACACCTACAAGGAGATCTACACTGTACAGTTGACCGGTAACTTCGTCACCCCCGATGGCTCGACCAAGGATTCTTACTGTGACCTGCACGAGAGTCACATCACACCCCGCAACACACTCATTTGCACTGCCTACAATGTCACTCAGCACGACCTGACCTCCATCAACGGAACTTCCTCCAGCTGGATGCTGGACAGCCAGTTCTACGAAATCGATATCCGCACCAACCACGTCATCAACTCTTGGAGCGCCCTCGACCATGAGGCCGATATCGCCCTGACCACTTCCCACCAAGGCCTCGGCAAGGATGTCGGCACCACTCAGGATAACCCCTACGATGCTTACCACATCAACGCCATCACCACCACCAACCACGGATACTTGATCTCCCTCCGTCACATGTGGTCTGGTTACTACCTTGCCCAAAACGGCAGCGTGATGTGGCAGGTTAGCGGCGAGAACGGCGCCGACTTCAAGCAGGTCGGCAACGCCGGCTTCTCATGGCAGCATGATATGCGTGTCTATAATGAGACCGACCAGGGCTTCGTCCTAAACCTTTTCAACAACGCCAACACCCCAACCGACGAGGTATCCGAGACCACCGGTGTCAGCCTGGCCATTGACCTCTCTAAGAAGACAGTCACCAGCCTGCGCTCTCTGACCGACCCCAACGACCCCGTCCACTCCGTCAGCCAGGGTAGCTACCAGCTCCTCAGCGAAGTTGACAGCCACGTCTTTATGGGCTACGGTTCCATCTCAAAGGTCAAGGAATTTGATGGTGACGGCAACGTCGTTTTCAGCGCCACGTTCGGTGAAGACAACGCCGTTGCTTCTTATCGGGGCTACCGCTGCCAGTGGACCGCCACTCCCTTCTGGAAGCCTTCCGTGTCCGTCAGCAACACTACCACCGGAGCTACTGTGTACATGAGTTGGAACGGCGCTACTGAGTATGATAACTGGGTTGTCTATGCTGCTGCCTCTGCCACCTCCACCAACACCACTAAGATCGCTTCTGCTAAGCGCACTGGCTTCGAAACTTCGGTCGACTTGACCAACCCGCCTACCAACTTCGTTCAGGTCGTTGCGCAGAAGGGCAACACTGTTCTCGGCACTTCTGAGATCATCTCCTTCTAAGCGAATCTTATGTCTTGGCTTGGTCGACGAAGCCTAACCTTTCGTACACATACCTCTTTTGGAAATTCTTTTGTATATTGTATCTTCAATGATCTTGCACATGTGATGAGATTGACGTATTTATTCTTCTGTACATACTTGATAGCACTTTGCATATAAACCGGATACCTCCTGGATCAAAAGGCAAGTAATAAAAATCTATCACTATATGGCTATAAGTAAAGGTTTTCATTAATTGAAGCAACTTTAAATCAGAAGTAAGAGTTAATTAAAAGCAAATCTCCAAATCTATACTGCTAGATTTTATTGGCTCCAAATATCAACCAGCAGGCAAGAGTCAACCTGGATGCTATAGGGCTTCTGAGGTCACCTGGGCGCAGTGAGCCAAGGCACCAAGGCACCAATGCCATCAACTCTAGAAAGACCTGGTATGGAACATCTGAATGTTACATATGCTTCAAAGTATACCCAAAAATATATTAACTACAAATAGTACAAGGACATGTTAAAAGGCTGATGGTCAAAGTGCAAAGTGGCTTGATTTCTTACCAGATACTGAATGATGTCCCAAAAAGACTGATCTAGATAACATGAAAAGATGACGGCACAAGGATAGCACCAGTACAAAAAGTATGCAACATATAATCGCTATCCATAAAAATGTCCTTCGTGATTTTGATAAGTGGTCATGAGGCCTCGTTAAAACCGGCCGGGTTGAAAAACTCAATTGAGAAAAAGCCCCGGCTCGGAAAGAGTACCTCATATGGTATTTTCGTTGCTGAGTCGAAAAGCTTCTTGGAGCCCATGAGTTGCCAAAAGTCGAGCAGCCTCGAGGCACGAGAGTAACAGGCGTGCAAACGAAGATCTGCTGTAGTTGTCGGTGTCGGAGATGATGGCGTATGTTTCGTGGGTGGCGTCGAAGAGACGATGCCGAGAATGAGAACCGGTCGATTGTTGTGCTTTCCCGTTGGCGCTGTAATGAGGTGATCATTGCAGAAGAGGGTCCTGGGGATAGGGTTAGTACTATGTAGAAAGTGAGACGGAAGCAAGTTGAACTTACCCGGAAGTGCTTCTGGAAGTTGTTGGCTCTTTGGACGCGTGCGACGTAGCGGTTCTCTTGTCGAAGTGCACGAGTTCGCTCACGGCGCTCTGCAGTGAGAGCAGTCTCTTTTTGTTCTTCGGTGGCTCCAATCATACCCGTACCGCCGTTGGCACGAGTGGTAATAGCACGGTGATGGTTGGTCCGGACGCGGCCCATATCCTCTTCAATCTCTCCATTCTCGATTGCAAGCTGGCGAGCAGCACGCTCAGAAGGCGAAAGGTAGTTGTGCAGGTTTTGCCTGTAGTATTTGGCGAGCGAACGGTGACCGACACTCTTGCCGGAGGGAAGGTGAAGTTCGTAGTCGTGCTCGTAGGCGGCTGGTTTGTTGCGGTAGTTGTCGAGGTCGTCCTCATCGACGGAAGATGCGGAGCTTTCAGTTTCCCAACCTTGATCCTCTCCATCACCGGTGGCCTTGGCATCGCCGCTCGCTGGCGAGGACTCATCCTCATCCTCGGAGTAAGTGCCCCGGAAATCATAGAATTGGCCGATTTCAACTTGCTCGTCTTCACTGTCGAAGGCAATCATGCAGTGACTCTTGTCGCGCATGTGAGTTTGAATGGCTTGTGCGGTGTTTCGCATGGTGTGGCAGTAGAGACATTCGAAGTTTTCGGTGATTTTGCGGAAGAGGTAGTTGATAAGGCCATCGAGATCTACCAGGTACTTTTGCTCGGGGATGAACATGCCATGGTCTTTGCGCATGTGGTCGACATTGGTATGGATATCGGTTGATTCAATTTTGCAAAAGAGGCAATGACCTGGTGAGAATTCAACCTTGTTGACATCCTCCTCGGTTTCAGCATCATCCTCGTTTTGCTCATCGATGGTGGCCGTCTTCAGGTTCTCAGTGACCTTGGAAATGTCGGTTTCGTCGGACTTGGTGACAGGTTCTCCCAGGGAAAACGCGGAACTCTGGACGGAAGCGGAATCACCATCTTTGCGGAGGCGAGCTTCGCGCTGCTTGTGCTTGGAGCTGTTGACGTGGTTCTGGTAGGAGTTCTCGCTGTAGAATGCCTTGCTGCAAGTGTGGCAAGTCTTTTCGTATGAGGCCTTAGCGGCGGCTTCGTTGGACACAGTTTTGGCGGCAAGAACTTTTTCGTTGAAGGTTTCAAGTGCAACAGGAGGCAAGGAAGCCATGCGCCGCTTCATGTTGTAGTGACTAGAATAGTCAGCCACCGTCATATAATTTTCTTAAGAAAAAAAAAATCGCAAGTAAACTTACTGCCAATCTTTTCGCATGTGATCTCTCTGCGCATCGCTGCGGTGGAAGGCGACGAGGCAGGTATTGCAAGTGTATTGCAGCGAGGCAGCGGTATCCTGGGTAGTCGACGACATATCGGTGGTTTGGTGGTTGTCTTGGGTTGAAAGGGTGGGTTTTCCCTGTGTGTGGGATAAATATTCGTCGCAGGCGGGGTACATACGAAGGCTCTGCCGGGGCCCGATTTCAGTGGATTTTGTCTGATGTAAGTCGACTTTTGGTAGTAAAAGTAGATAAAAGTAGTGAAAATCAGATGAATGTAAGAGCAAAGAGCAAAAAATGCCTGGGATGACTCTTTATGAGTCTTTACAAAAGTGAATTTACAGTCATCCAAGGTTGATCTATTTCTTATCGAAACGAACTAAACCCTTCTAAATCCTATCGGCCAATCCTAATTGGGTGTGTTAGCATACCTGCTTACTCATCAGCCTCCGCCGGAAGATTAGGCGCCGGCCCATGCCTGAGGCCAATGATGACCTCAGATGAGCTGGCTTGGTCGCGAACTCCGACACTTCTTGAGTATCCCCCGCTTACACTTACATACCATCGACGTTGCTTTTAAGTTTAGATCCATGGATATGCTACCACTTTGGTAAAAATGACCAGGCTCCGCGGAGGTTCTATTGAAGGCTCCGATATTGCGCAGTCCCCTGGCCACGGGCGATCTTACAGTTATCGATCAAAACTTCCACCGAATGCACCTGAAACTATTATACAGAACACCATTGAAGTTTCTGAACCGTCAAGAGTACTGCCACGTTACCGAGATGATCGAAGAAGGAAATACAACGGATTGGTGCGAAGGTGAGCGAAGCGCAACGCGAATGACCTCATTCCCCTTTATCCACACGATACTGATTGGAGGCATGCAATAGATACAAAGCACAACTACTACACGGATGTGATGATCCCAAATGCCAAACTCCTACGTGTGCGAATCACCGCCGAAGAACCAGTGAAGGCCCATATCGTCGCTATACGGAATTAAGTGCGCGGACCCTGGCTTGCTACCTGGCTAGTTTGGATGATCCGGAGACCGGCTTGTGTCTCAATATACCAAAACTCCCACCACCTTTGACAATCGAGGATTATCATCGAATTTCCTTGCGCCGAACCCGCACACTTCAGGCGCAGAGGGCAGCCGCCAAAAAGTCGCCCAAGCCGGACCAGGATGCTGACGATATAAATCATTCAACCAACGGCCCATCTAGCCCTGCGCCACAAAATGACCCAAACTATTCGAATGCTTCTGAAGGAAAACCATCAACCTACATGCCTGCAAGTACAAGTTATATTCAAGAACTTGATCGCGCCGCGGAGCAAGAACTCAAAGATCCCAAATCTTTTACTCAAAATTTGTTTGATACAATCTCACTACGAATGGTCGAATGGCTGCCTCTTCGTCGCGCACCGGACTCTATCGAATCAAAGCCGAGGCCCCAACTTGCGCAAGCAACCAGCAATCCAGTCGCCACTGAGAACGAAACCCATGGAGACCAAGCATTGGGTAGACCGAAGAAAGCCACTGCGAGACCTACGGTGCCAATCCAACCTGGCTCTCAGCAACCCATTTCCCAGCCTCGTACACCTTCATCCCGAATAACAACTTCTCCAGTGGAGGTCAAGTTCCAGAACCAACATGCCAAACGAGTATCTATACCGGAGGTTGAAAATTGGCATCAAAATCCACGGTCAAGTCTTGACGAAAAGAGGAAGTCGGAGTTCAACAAGAAACTATCACTGGCTACGGATGAATTTCCCAACCTGCCATCTCCCCCGGCGCTAAAGCACCGTCCGCAAAAACACCGTGGAAGGATTGATGGTGTTGATCCTGTGCCTTTGAAAGAAAGCCGCAAAAGTCAACGGCGGGTTTCCTGGGACAGCGAGAAATTGCTAGATGAAGTGTCGCCTGTAAAGAGTCCAGCAAGCAGGGAAATTATGCCCCATCCCCTCTCTCCTCATCATTCCCATTCCCCCAGTGCACGAAATGCTAAAAGCATCCCTGTCGAAGAGCTTCCAGACACGGTCCCGTTGGCTCAGACGATTACCCATCTTACCCCCGAGATTATTGATGGTCTTTCGCAAGTCATGATCGAAACGGAGGAAGATGCCGATACCTGGAAAGAAGAACTGGATCGCATTCAATGCGCTGGGAGCTTCGATCAACCAGACTGGTGTTTTGCAACTCTGCGTCAGCGTGAAGCATTTCCTTTTATTGCTCAGAGTACATTTTTTGTGCTCAGTAGCCCCCACCACATATTGCGCTCATTTGGCAGCGAGCCTACGCCCAAGCTTGGAGCCAACTTTAATCGCCTTGATGTTTCACGTCTGCGTGTGTCATTGCAACGTCTTTTTACCATTTGCCCGTCGGACATTGCATTGCATAGCTTGTGGGCCTCTTTAGATTGGCTCTTCATTCCTCCTCATGGATTGACTTCTTCTGGACGACCATCCCGTCGATCATCTCGCAGTTCCACTTTCACCGGCTCTATGCCTCCTGTCGTTCCAAGGCGAATATCTGAGTCTACCAACGAAGATCACCTGTCTGATTCCGATGCAGCATATATCGCCACCATCGTCTTGTTTACATTGGTCAGCTTTGTGCCTAATGTTGAGCTGGGCATCTGGCGAACGGTGGTTCGCATGCGGGCAGCTGGATCTGTTGCGTCTTTCTCCGATATGCGCAAGCTGCCTTCTGAGAAGGCCCAACAAGCCGTGGAAGTGACAGACAGATTTGAGCATGAACTGGGTTTACGCTTGATTAATCGACTTGTGCGTGCACTCACCGCAAGACTGGCATACCATGAAATCTCGAAAGCACGCCAAGTGTACAACGTAGATCTACCCAAACAACGCAGGGTCAACGTGCTAGACCGCGTGGTTGACTATCTAAGCGAGCACCACAATTCGCATGCCGCTGGCGGCAATGATAGCGCCGAGTCTATCAATCCGGCATCTCTCATCGTTGAGTGGCTCAGGACCCTCTTCTTGCGAGAATGGGACGGCAACCCTGACATGGCCCGTAGTAGCCCTGCTGGTGGTGCCGTTCAGATCTTGGCATCAATGTACAAAGAACGAAACAGGCTGGGTCTTTCTCCTGAAGACTTTCATACACCCCTTCTCACCGAGCGGCTGGACCCTCTGGATATGCCTGTGGCATGGATTGGGGGGCTGTCAAATAACCGAACGATGCATCTATTATCATATTCCTTCCTCTTTCCTCCTTCTTCCCTTGTCATTTACTTCCGGGCCTTGAACTATTCTGCCATGACAAAGTCTTATGAGGCTGCCATGACCACTACGAGACATGTCACACAGACTGCCTTTGGTGCTATCCAGATCGCGGATGATCCTCGACTCCTCACGCGCTTGAAAACATCGATGTCTACGTACCTTGTTCTAGTTGTCCGCCGCGACAACATTCTTTCTGACGCCTTAAGCCAACTGTGGCGACGCGAGAAGCGGGAGCTGATGCGACCGCTGAAGGTGCAGATGGGCATGGATGAGGGCGAGGAGGGACTTGATCATGGTGGTGTTCAACAAGAATTCTTCCGCGTGCTTATGGGCCAAGCTCTGGACCCGTCCTATGGCATGTTCACAGTCGATACCAGACACCGCGTATCCTGGTTCCAGCCTTGTTCAATGGAACCTCTGTACAAATTTGAACTCATCGGTTTGTTGATGTCTATTGCAATCTTCAACGGCCTGACCCTTCCGGTCAACCTTCCCATTGCTTTTTATCGCAAACTCTTGGGGTTGAAGGTAAAACATTTGGACCACATTCGAGACGGATGGCCGGAGCTCAGCCAAGGACTTGACACATTATTGACATGGAAAGATGGCGATGTTGGTGACATCTTTCTTCGAACGTACGAGTTCAGTTTCGAGGCCTTTGGCAGCATCGAGACGGTAGACATGCAAAAGGTTGGCAGGGATGCGGCATGGCCCCTCACTAGCAGAGTCCCTACATCATGCCCCATCGCAGGCTCAAGCGCCTGGATGGAAATGCCTAGACATTATGACCCTGCGGAAGCAAGTCCACCATCCTCAATGGCAGCTGAGCCTACCGATGACACGCCCTCTCACTCAGTCTCGGCTGAAACTACACAGTCAATTTCCGAGTCCCGGTCTCGTCAGTCCCCAACGCCTCCAGTTGAGGAGGCTGCGCTCGTGACAAATCAAAACCGTCACCAGTTTGTCAAGGACTATATTTTCTGGCTCACAGACAAGTCGATTCGGCCACAATTTGAGGCTTTCCAAAGAGGCTTCAACACATGTTTGGATCGATCGGCTGTGTCAATCTTCTCACCGGAAGCGCTCAAAACTGTGGTTGAAGGAATACAAACAATCGACATTGATGAGTTAGAGAACCACGCCCGATACGAGGGTGGTTTTGGACCCAACCACCGCGTCATTCGTGACTTCTGGAGTGTTGTCCAAGAATACCCCAATGAAAAGAGGGCTCAACTACTCGAGTTTGTCACAGCTAGTGACCGAGTTCCCGTAAATGGAATTTCGAGTATCATGTTCGTGATCCAGAAAAACGGCGTGGGTGATTTGGTATGTTTCATCTTATTGTATCTGTGAATTTTTTACTAATTGTTGTCCAGCGTCTTCCTACTAGCTTGACTTGCTTTGGACGTCTACTTTTGCCGGAATACTCATCAAAAGAGGCTCTGGCAGAGAAGCTTGATAAAGCTCTCGACAATGCCCAAGGGTTTGGCGTTGCATGAACAATGCTGGTCCTAGCCTGTATACATACCCATTTTCCCTGTGCTATAGTTTTGTTAGCGTGAAAATAGAGCATTTCCTTTCCACTATACGAAGTATAGCGCATACTAGATGTAGACTAGGAATGCCCAAATCCTCACAAATCAGAGTTTATAGATCTCCATGCGCTCCCGTGCGGAGCTGTGGTTCGCGTGGCGTAAAATATGAATCGGACTTCTGAGGTCCGATTCAAGACTCTTAATCATTCGTCTTTACTCTTTCATATTCTTCAAGTTTCCCTGTTGAACTACTTTGCATAAAGTAAGTCTTCGCACGTACCCCTTGCTGAAGCCTCCTCCCCCCACCACATCCAATAGGCCTAGTTTTCAGGGTCCAACACGGTACTCACCAAGTGCCACGAAGTCTCTAGACATTTTGGACTTGCCAACTTCTTCATAACTTAAAGACTATGGCCCCTATCATCCATTGCGTTCGGCACGCTCAGGTACGTCCTCACATACCGCGACAATGATCGGCAGCTCAACTCCCGGAACCTCGACCGGCAATTGATCCTGCACCTCTACAATATTCAATATTCAACCAACCTAACATGACTGCAGGGCCTGCACAACCTCTGCACAGAAAACCACGTTATCCACGATCCCCTTCTCACAGACCTTGGCCACGAGCAATGCCGCAAATTGCGCGAGAACTTTCCCCGCCATGCCGAGATCGACCTGGTGACTGCCTCGCCACTCCGCCGCACCTTGTACACTGCGCTTGAGAGCTTCGGGCCTGTCTTCGAGACAAAGCCAGATCTAAAAGTTATTGCGCTTCCCGATATCCAGGAGACTTCAGACGTTGCATGCGACACTGGTAGTGATCCTTCCGCTCTGAAAGACGAGTTCAAGTCGCACGTTGATTTAGATCTCGTGCAGGATGGATGGAATAACAAGGTATACTTCTTTCGGGAGCGGGTGACTCCGCAATCCAATCGCGTGTGAACTGAATGCTGATAATTATTTCCAATAGCAATCGGGTCGCTACGTACCAACCAATCATGCTCTCAAGGAGCGTGCTCGCGCAGCCCGCCGTTGGTTGAAAGCCCGACCGGAGAAGGAAATCGTTATGGTCACGCACGGCGGTTTCCTACACTACTTTACCGAAGACTGGGAAGACAGCAGTCAGTTCCAGGGCATGTGATACGAATGTACTACAGTTGAGGATTACACTAACGGTTTCTGCAGGCACTGGCTGGACCAACACCGAATACCGCACTTACACTTTCTCCGAGGAGACACACACGGAGGACCTAGAGGGATACGAATTGGATGGTGATAATGCTTCCATTGAGGAAACTCTTGACTCGCGGCAGCGCCGCGGTAAGAGTGGACCTATGGCTAGCCGTGAGGAACAAAAACTTCTGTATAAGAAGGGTACTCAAGGGTGGGATGACCAGGGATTGCAAATGAGCACCGCCGATCGGGAGGCGGCTAAGGTTCCTGAAGGCAAGGAGATCAATGGTGTCCGAGTATAGGTGGTCAAAAGTCATTTTGCATAGTGCTTTGATAGACATCGGCAATGTGGTTTTGGTTGTCGAGATTGGCACGATAGAGCCAATAGATCCATAGACAAAAAGCTTTCGTTGACTGCAACATAAAGTGTCTTTCGTTTCCATTGTCTCTTGGCTCTGGTTCTCTTGGTCTGTGAGCCCCTAGATATATTTTAATTAGACATGGCTGTTTCATCGACAATACAACCCAGTAAGATGACTGTCCAAGTACTTGAAGTTTCGAGTCCTTTGATCTCTCATGATGTTCTTTGTCTACCATCGAGTACAATGGTCCTGTCCGGGTTTGAAAGGAAGACGAAACTCTCTCCTATGGCCTCGACCAGGGTGTTAACAACGGTCTTGCTTCGAACAAAGATGCCGAAGTAACCCTTTGTCTTAGATCCATTTGTCTATATAACAGCATTGGTAGCCCTCGCTTTTGTCTTCATCCTCAAGCGTATTCCAGCAAAGCACATTCCAACTCTGTCTTCCTTCTCCAATCTGTTATGCATGCACTATAAAACCACTGAGTACCTATCTTTTCCGTTTCGAGGATGCATTCTAACACTTCTATCTAGGAACATGCCTATCTCGATCCATCCCATGACACTTTCGTATAGAGGTAGTAGACTCCCGCTGGGCGTTCTTTACAAAAATGACAATCTAGGCAAGTGTCGGGGCTTCACTTTCCAGGACGCAAGATTTGAGATTTCTATCAGGTAGATCCATTCTGGTAGACAGAATTATACTGACAACTCGAATCAGCACTCACGCCAAAACGATACGTCGAACGCACAAACACGATCCGAGAAACATCATCAAATCATATGGCTAAGTCTTTTTTTACTGTCCTTCCCTTTAGAAATCCACAGTACTAACAATATCTAGGCCCTGGACATTACATAGTCCTTTATCTAAACGGCTAAGTCAATCTCTATCCAATTTTGGCTCATATGATTCTAAAGATCTCCTACGGTCCCCTGCTTGAGCCTGCTTGAGCTTATATTGTCCAGATAAGTCTATATATACCCCTTCTCTTGCCATTACGATTCTCTGCCTGCCGCTAACAAAAAATGGATTCATCATCGTCTTATATCCAAAACACTATATACATTCAAGCCTGATCTTATAACCAGGTAAGTCTCAAATTTACCCTCTTTTGAAACCAACTTCGAGTTTAGACATTCTCCGCATGCTTATCGAGGCTAGTGGGGTATCGTTCCCCTCCAACCTCCGTATCCCCTGCCCTATGCGACTAGGTGATATCGCTCCTCCTATCCCTCGGACGACAGATTCGATACTAATGTTATATTAAGATACTCCCTCAAACTAACCCAGATCCTATCTAACAAATAGCTAAGTTATAGTACTTGGGGTCTATGTTATCACTAATCTTTATTTTATAGTAAAAAATATGGCTCACGGGTTCATTACAACCAGTCATCAAATCTCCGACTAAGCAATACGGCTAGTCCTTTCATCAACATTATGTCAGATACCCACACTGTCCAGAACTCTTGACCTTGTTCAGAAGTAGTCCAGGATTCAATTTCATGCAGCTAAGTAATGTATCCATGTATGGCCCTTTTGTTGACGCTAGAATGTGATGGCCGGAATGTGATCTGCCTGAGGGGCAATATTGTCGGTTCTGCTAGCTGCATCTGCTTCGGCTTATGGACATTTCGCGTTGCTTGAATATCACGTTCATTTTGTCTACATATGCAGGTAGAGAGTCTACGGACACTCTTCAATCTGATTTTGCCATCCTATCTCTATAAAATTTCTGAATATCTTTCTATCAATCTTTCTATCAATCTTGCTACAGGTTGTCCTATATGTCTTTCATTACGTGCTTCAAATTGTTGGATTAACATACTTTCAATTCAAAGAGCTTCAACTACTTACCTGCGGTCTATCATCACATTGAATAAGCCGTGTCTGATCAACGTCGAGATCCACTTGGTGGAGGCGCGGCTTGGGCAGTGAAAAGGGGGATGGTGGCTTGGTTTCTGTCAGACCAACCTTGGAAGGTCCAGACATTAGCTAGAATACTAGTTTCATTGAGAGGATGCTTGTGAAGACAAGTTGTAGGCATATGCCAAGGTTACTGTTGATCTATATTGTGCAGTCTCGCATATAATACCTGTTTCGGATATAGATCACAGACGATCCTAGAAGCAATGATTACATGCACACAGTGATACCTAGATAGGCAACTAAATTCGAAAATATCTGCAAGGAATACCGATGCCTGCAGATTGATGCGCATTTGTCACAAAGCTCACCCCAGAGTGTTTAAATGTTGGTGCCTCCACATACAATGTTTGTAAAAGAAGGGTACGAATCATCGCATCTATTTTTAGGCGCCGATCGACTCCCGTGGCGCAGACTTCACTCCCGAACCTTCTCAATCAGAACACTATAACTAGTCTTTGGCAACCACATGAGTTGCTGAGTTGTCACAATATCAGTGGACAGGATGATCGATGAAAATTTACCCAGTAAGAATTTAAAGCCTCCAGGGCTTAAGCCCCTGGCGCCTACGTCATCTGTGTTTAGACTAACCCCAGACCCAGCGTTTTTCCTCAAGAACAACTCAAATCAGCCTCAAATCAGCACAATATACCACCGTCAACATGGAAATGACCCTGAGCCTGCGTACTCCTTGCGCGCCCTTGACCCCGCCTCCCCCTCATCTCAAAACCGCTACGGAGTCGCCCTTTACGATCCCTACGTGACGGATGTTGTCTACGGTGAAGTCGCCGTGATTCCAGAATGGACTCAACCCAGTCTGTCAGCAGACACGATCCGAGCAAATGGCGGCACCGCACCACCCCCAGAACCAATCCTTCCCAATGAGTTTACGATCCAACTTTACAACCCCGACCAAACGATCAAGGTGAAATACAACACCAAGTCATGGAATAAGCCCGCGCGGTGGGAGTTCGAAATGCCACAAAACACGTTCCGGGTTCCCTCCGGCTCAACGCTGGACCAGGGCCAGATTGATCCCTCTATTGCAGATATCACTCCGAAGCTGCGATTCAGTTGGCGCAAGGATGGAAAGCTGTCCAAAGATTTGACGTGTTTGTTGCATGGGAAGACCTCTACGATACCCGATACTCGCACAAAAAGCCGCGAACCAGACATCACAGTTGCTCTCTTCCAGGGACTGAAGGAGCTTACACTTTACGAGCCGAATCTGTACCGCGTTGAAATGGAGGATTTCAAGGGGTTAGAGGTAGTGCTACTCCTGGCTGCTGTTGCCATTCGAGACATATTCTTCGGACCAGCGAAGGAAGCTTTCCACATCTCCAACAACTCGCCTCAAATATCGCGCAAGCCAGCAGCAGTCCCAACCGCAGCAGCAGCAACACCAGTCGCAAGCGCCAAGCTGGACCGACAAACCCCACAGGCTGGACCTTCTGGAACGGCGATCAACGGAAAGCCATCACCACCTCGTCTCAACATCCCAAATACCACATCCCCGGGCCCACAGGAGCGAAGACTCCAAGATGAGCTTGCTAAACGCGAAGAAGAACGCCGAAACCAAGAAATTCTCGCCGCAGAAAAAGAGCAGCGTCGACGTGATGCAGAAGTCGACAAAGAAACAAAACGTCTCCAAAAACTCTACGGCAGAGAAGAAGAACAAGCCCGAAGGCAAAACCATACGCCCGCCCCATCTTCCAGACCACACCTCCCGCCCCGCCACTCCGGTCCCCCTCAACCATACTCCCACCAATATTCCCAGTCTTCAGTCCAGCTCTCCCAGGGCCCACCCCGCCACTACCGCCAACAACAACCTCAACTCCAACCACACGTCCAATTCCAAAACAATCCCTACCAAGCCCCGGGCCGGATGGATCCCCGCACCCAATCTTTTGCACACCTCCAGGCCCGTCCGCAGTCTCGCGTTCAACAGCCCCGTCCCCAATCTACTGTTAGCTTCTATGCGCAGCCTACTAGTAGTGGGGCGCTGCCTGCGTCGAAGCCGCCGCAGATCCAGCCGAAAAAGAGTGGCTTTTTTGGGTTCCGTCGCAATAAGGAGGAGAGTGCAGCGAGCAAGCTAGAGAAAAAGAGGAGTTCCATGTTTTGACTTTTTATTTTTTATACCCTGGTGTTGTTTTTTTCGGGCTGCATGATCTTGATACCATATAGCATGTTGCATATACCAAAATTTCAATTTTGCATATAATCGGACCTCGCGTAAATTTTGACCTACCTGGTAGTGCGTATTGACTTTGAGCCATCGATGACAGCGCTAGGTACATGGTGTCTAAAAAGTTTGGCCAAAGCTTCCCATTGAAAATTTTTCAACGGGATATATATGGAACTTCTTGAATCATTGGAAGACTTTCATTTTTTGGTCTTCTAATGCTTGAATAAGCAAGGGGTCTGTCATGGTTGAAAGATAGACGTCCGGAGGGAGTTGAGTCACTATAAACGAAAGCCATTCCTCCCAAGTCTCAGGTGATATCAATCAAGTCTTCAAAGCGTGACAGCGCATGCACTTAGTATTCCCTGCTCTTGAGCCAAGGCAGCAGTAACATGCGCTGGGACTCCTCGATCGATACCCAGGATCATCAAAGCCTCTTTCAAAGGCTGATCATTCACGGAATCTTGAGTATCAGCAGAAACGGACTTCAGGCCCTCTGTCACAGTCAATTTGCGTGATACCGGAGCAACAGCCATGAAATTGATATTGACACCCTCCTGGCCAAGGATGTTACCCACGACCCCGATTTTACCAGGAGAATCATAGTTTTCACAAATCAACAGCGTGCCCTCAGGCTCGAAGGAAGCCTCAAATCGACCTAGGCGAGTGATGAGTGGCCGGTCGCCGGAGCAGGTACCAGAAATGATTCGCTGTTCAGCTGTGCTCAGTCCGGTGGTGTCACTAGAAGCCGGGGCTCGGGAGGATGCACGGGAGGGTGGACGCGCGACAAGAGTGACCAGCGACGAATACGAGGAGTGATCTGCCGGGTCACGGGAGTGTTGCTCTGAAACAAAGATGCCACGTTCACGGGCCACCAGCTCAGCGTTGACGATGTTGATATTCAGTCCCTCGATGGCGGTGATCGGCGCCAAAAGACCTTTGACCAAAGCGGCGAAGAGCGGCTTTGTATTGTTGACACTTGCCAACTCGCCTTGATAAATGAGGTCAAAGGTGTTGCGGGCCATTGAGCCGCCAGGAGAAGCTGCATAGTGTTGGGTGTAGAGACTACCGAGCTTCTCCACCAGACGCACGAATGGCTGCAACTTCTTGTATTCCTCTGGTAAGATGAGGGGGGCGTTCACTGCGCTGCGAGGCAACGAGCCCTGGAGAATTTCCAGTACCTGCTCGCAGACATCCACCGAAACGTTCTCTTGAGCTTCAACTGTCGAGGCGCCGAGGTGTGGTGTCACAACCGCTCGGGGGTGCGCAATTAAGCGTGCTGCCGATGAGTCAGGAGCAGGAGGTTCCGAGGTAAACACATCGATAGCGGCACCTGCAAGATGGCCTGACTCGAGTGCTGCAAGTAGGGCTTCTTCGTCAAATGTTCCTCCCCGGGCTACATTGAGTACGCGCGCACCTGGCTTCAGCTGGGCTAGTTCGGCTCCTGCGATCATTCCTCGAGTTGAAGCAATTAGAGGAGTGTGGATTGTCAGAAAGTCGGCGGATGTGAGAAGCTCTGGAAGGGTTGAGACGAGAGTAACTGAGGCCGAAGCTGCAACAGCGGGAGAGGCATATGGATCGAGTGCATTCACATTCATTCCCAAGCCTTTGGCCAGGCGCGCTACTGTCAATCCGACTAGTTCTTGTCAGAGTCTGTTTTTGTATGAAAGATGACAGACAATTAATTACCTTTTCCAAGGCCAATAATTGACAAGGTTTTGCCCTTGACTTCGACGCCGACGAATTTACTTCGCTCCCATTTGCCCTCTTTGAGACTGGCACAGCTCTCTGGGATTTTCCTCGCCATGGACATCATCAAGGCGATTGTATGTTCGGCTGCAGCGCCAATATTGCCCGAAGGCGAGTTGACGACTACAATTCCCAGCTTGGTAGCTTCCTCGACGTCTAATCAAGTCAATATACCTCTGACGTACAACAGGGCCCGTACAACATACCAACATTATCGACGCCGACACCAGCACGTGCAACTACCTTTAAATTCTTTGCAGCTCGTAGCACTGTCGCAGTAACCTTGGTCTCGGAGCGAACAAGGAGGGCATCGTAGTCTAGGATGATTTCGAGCAGCTCGTCTGGACTGAGATCTTTTCGCTCGTGGACATCTAGCGAGCCGCGTAGCAGAGATAATCCATCAGGAGACAGCTTTTCAGGTACGAGTACCTTAGGACGAGAGGATTCGAGAAGAGGCATAGTGGAATGGTATCTTGGGTTTAGATTGAGGAGTTGTTAGGCATAAATACTTTCGAAGGTCCAACAAAACCAAAGCAGTGATATTCTCCTCTTTTTAATATGCGGCAGGCGCGCAGAAAGTGACTTTCTCTTTGAATTTCAGCCTTTCACGTCCAATCATACATACATACATAAAAGATCTAGGTAGGCCTATAGAGGGGTATACGATGATCAGAAATGGATCAAGGTACTCAGTACTTCAGCATTCATGTATTATTTGAGTCTACATATATTGATCCTCTGTAATCACTCTACTCAAATTAAATCAATTACCTCTGTGTTCATTAGCCCATACATTATTGTATGAAAAGGCCCTTGATCCTGTTGATACATCGTACACTACATTTTGCTGCAAGAACTGACTCGTATAAAAGACCCGATGTAATTCGTATAGCCCCATTAATCTTCTTAGATTAGATTCGATAACGGCTACGGGGAAAATCCCACGATCTTAGCCTGTTGTGGGTTCACCACACGTTCCCCCTGAAACGGGTTTCCGCCACTTTTGAACGCCATGTCGCTTGGCATTAAAAGAATCCTGACTAGGTCATCTTGCCTCGCTGATTCTTCAATTCTCCGATTCTCCGAGCCTCTATCCTTTGTGACTAACTCTTTAGCTCTCTTCCGAAAAATGGGGACATAAACAACCGGGGAATTTCCGGGCCTTTTCATCCGCCCCCAAAAAACAAAACCCTGAGGATCTGAGACATTGGACAGAGCACACAACATGGTGGGAGTACCACACAGTAAAGGCTGTTCACTCTGTCGTGAACGTCGCATAAAGGTCAGTGCCACTTTTATATAGACAAGTCATACACTGTGAGATTAAGCATCGAACTAAGACAGTCTAGTGTGACGAAGCCGTCCCGGAATGCAGCCAGTGTCGAAAATATGGCCGCGCATGTCCAGGCTACCGTCGCATATTCCGCTTCCAAGACGAGCGCCCAAACCTAGAAAAGCGCCACTCAACTCGCTTTCGACAGAGAGGAGACGCCGCTGTCTCGCGCTCAACTCCAAAACAGTACACATTTGTACACGATGACTCCGCTGAAGCTGCTGACGTGGTGCGCGACAATGCAATCGCCCTAATGCGCCAGCATTCGGCGTATGGGGGATGGGACGAAAAAGTCACTCCCTCGCTCGTGCACAAGTCCTTCCGCGCTGCTCAGCCCCAGGTATTTCTCGATTTTATCAGCACGGCTTTCCCGACGCTCTATTACCATAATCGGTTTCGATCTGGTGATGGCGCTGGATTTGCAGAATATATCATTATGAATTATGGAAATGATGCCTACTTGGACTCGGCAATTTGTTGTCTGACTTCGGTATATCTGGCACATTTGACTAAAGACAAAGCACTGCTTAGGTCAAGTCGACAGATGTACTCGAAGTCGCTGCGCGAGGTTATCCGGGCTATTCCTAAAACCGACCATGCCAATTCCGATAATATGCTTTGCACGTCTATCATTCTCAGCGTTTTCGAAATGTACGCGAAAACCACTCCAGATGCTTGGGTTGTGCATTCTGATGGCGTGAAGCGGTTGATGATCAGTCGAGGGCCTAAAGCGCATGAGACTGGCCTTGCCAGATTCTGCTGGTATGCTTTCCGTGGGTATGTATAAAAGCTTAATTCATCAACAAGCTCCAGAGTCAAGAGGTGTTCTAATGCAGGTTCTAGATTCTTGATTGCCACCGCAGTTCACGAAGGCAAAGCCTGCTTTCTAGATCAAGAAGAATGGCAATCTTACGCAGCGAAAATCAGAACAGAGGACTGCCAGAAACCCGGCGAATGGTCTGCCTATGCCGAAATCTCCGATCTGACATATATGGAAATCACCAAATGCCCGCGCTACATCAGTGAAACCCGCGATCTGCTCGCCAGCCCGACAGACCCAGATCCAAATGCCATTTCCGACCTCCTACACCGCATCCAAAACACGTCTAATCTCCTACACTCTCTCATCGACCAGCTCCGATCCTGCATCAGCGCACATAACGAGCGCCAACAAGGCATCATACAGCGACCAGGGTCCTTCGTCGGACCTGTACCACGGACATTTCCAGATACAGGTCCGTCGCTACTTCTCAGCGGCGCTAGCAACATGCTGGAAACACTTCAGCAGCTGTCTGATCGTCTTGAAGATCGGTTGCGCTTCAGTCTAGCCGAGATTCAATCTTCAGAGTCGCTTGACTCGCCGAGCGATTGTAGCTCCTACTCCATTTCTCCACCGCCATCCTGCTCCAGAAACCTTGTACTTCCTTTCCGGATCCATTCAGAGCTTGAGCAGGGTCCAGCTAAGACTGTTGATCCGCATGATCCGCGTGCGGTGATCTGGCTGGATCGTATAGCGTCTTCGATGGGCGTGCTTAATACAAAGGTGCTGCCGAGCGAAACAGTTGTGTTGGATAGCTCGAGCCAATCATCACAAACATATTAGCCTGCGATGGCTTTGGCACAGTATATGTGAAACGAACTGATACCTCATTTTTGTCTGTATAGAATCCGACATCTTGCATACGGCTTTTCTTTTTTTCAACATGACATAGAAACGATCTGATCTTAGCGACATATGAGTAATTATATAGATATGTTATCCCATCAGTCACCTACAGAAAACTTAATAATCCATCGACTGCTCAAGCAACTTCCTCAACTCCCCCTTCTCGGCCTGCAACTCCTCGCTCAAATTTGGCGCCAGCATAAGCACCCGCTTTTGCGGAATCGTGCCCTCAACCAAGCCCTCCACATCAGATGACTTGAAGCCTAAATCCTTCAATCCTCTCGGCTGTCCACCAAGCTTAACCAGAAATTCCGCAATCGCAGTCCCAAGAACCTCACCCGCGCTCTCACGCTTCACATTCGAGATATCAACTCCGAACGCCTCCGCAGCCGCAAGATGGCGATCCGGATTCGAAGCCGCAGTGAAGCGGAACACAGCTGGCGCTGTAACGGCAACAGAGACACCGTGTGGGATAATCGGGTGATCGACTTCATAGCCGTGGTGCTTGTAGCCGGGGTTCTGGCTGGAAATGGGGTAGCTCATTCCATGGCATAGATGAACACCGGCATTACCGAAGCCGACACCGGCTAGGGTAGCAGCGAGGAGCATCTCAGATTGGGCTTCGTGGTCGTCTGGATCACGAACTGCACGGGGCAGATATTTGACTGTGGCACGGAGGGCTGCTAGGGAGAAGATATCGGAGATGGGGTTTGCGCCTTGGTAAGCGGGGCGGTTGATTGGGTTTGTGGGACGGGGTGTGCGCTCGTTGTAAGGAATTGCAGTCCAGGATTCGAGAGAGTGGCAGAGTACGTCGAGGCCGGAGGCTGCGTGGACAGCTGATGGCATTGTGCGGGTGTTGAGAGGGTCACAGATTCCGAGGGTTGGTTTGAGGTTGCGGTGGGCGATGCCCGTTTTGGCTTTCTTGGAGACTAGGTCGAAGATGGCTGTGCCTGTTGTCTCTGAGCCTGTTCCGGCTGTCGTGGGTACTGCCACGAGGGGAAGAAGAGGCCTGTCAACTGGCAGGCCTTTGCCTAATGGGGCGTTGACGAAGTCGAGGAAGTCGGCCTCAGGGAATGCAGTATATAGGTTCATCAATTTGGCGGTATCAATTACGGAGCCACCGCCTGTATGGTGGTTAGTTGGGTACTTGTGGGTGGGGTGGGAGACGTACCGACGGCCAGGAAGGCATCGGGCTTGTAGGGCTTGCAGAACGCAATAGCTTCTTTTATACTTTTACGATGACGAATGTGAGCAACTCATGTACAATGTTCACTGAAGTGGTTTGGGTTACTTACGAGCTATCCTTGGGTTCAGTGCGAACTTTGTCAAAGATAGTGAACTCAATGCCCTCGCGGGTCAGACCCTCAACAGCCTGCTTCATAGCATCAAGCTTGGCGACATTGGAATCGGTAACAATGCATACGCGCTTGGCGCCCAAGTTAGTAAAGTCCATTCCGACTTCTTTGGTTGCACCCGGGCCGAAGCGGATACTCGACGCAGCCATCTCGAAGGCATACTCCTTCTCGCGCGAGCGGTCCACGGGCGTCGCTAGATGACGTTTGACTTGGTTCAGCAGTGTAGGAGTCTGCTTGTGGTGATGGTGGTGGCTGGGGTTGCCGTGGCATGGGCAATTGGGTGGGTGAGTGTATTGGACTGTGCGTAGTAGATTCAGAGCGCGATTGGCCGCTGAGGGAGCGACCCTGATTGCTGGAGAGACCATAATTTGTGTATAGGATTGTGGACAGAGGGTATGTAGAAGAAAGAGTCGAGTTGTAGTAAGGGAGAAAGTTCATAAATGCCGAAAGTTGGAGAATTGCGGGGGAATCGGCCTCGGACTTCTGACCGAGGTTGGCTCTGCGTCCTCATTTGTTCGTTGTTTTCTTCAAATTAATGTGAGGCTTTTACGTCTTTCGTTTAAATCTTCTTATTAACTTCTCCATTTTGGAGAAACATACTTGTATGCACCCAAGTTCTGCTCTAAATTCTACACCATGTACAACGTAGTGTAGCCGAGGTCCAATTGTGCCTGCCGATCATGACATCAACCACCTTCTTACATACATGTATGTTATATAGTTCGTTCCTTATGGAATCAATAATGGTAACCCCTTCTGAAGATGTCCTTAAAACACAGAATGACATTATGCAATGTAATCAATTATGGCTGTGGCTATGACACACACCTGGGCACTCAAAGTATCAATGGATTCGATTCCTACACTATCGTATATATATCCCATACAAATATCCATATCCATACCCACACTTCTAGTACATACTTCAATTTCAATAGAAAACATGGAAAATGGCACTGATGACCACTAACAAAGCGACAAGACCAAATCCGTCGATGAAGAAATAACTCGAACTTGGCTTCCAGCAGGCGGTACCCCATTCGCCCAATGAATCGATGGTTCCGCCGGTGTCAGACTAACAGGATACCCATCAAACGGATCTCCAAAGACATCAGAGAGATCATACCAGACTTTCTCGCCATTGTCACCTCGGGCCTTGAAATAAGATAGATTGTACGCAAAGATCATCTGCGGCGCACTGGTGTACAACCCGTCGATGTCGGTACTGAGTTTGATTGCGATGCCGCCAGTATTGGGATCCTGGTGGAACTGCTCACTGTATGAATCGTTCGGGAGCAGAGTCTGTTCCGGTTGCACGCTTGTGCCTACAGACCATAGGTAGACTGGGAAGTTGCAGTGATTTTTTACAATGGCGCTGCCCAGTCTTCGGCTTGGTGATGGAGTGTGGCTTGCTGTTGCTGGGTATGCGCTTGAGGGGGTTGAAAAGGCACCGTAGGGAATGACCTCTCTTGGGTGGATATTTTTGGCGTGGATGGACGGGTGGGCGAGAGACAAGGCTGCAAATGAGAAGGTCAAGACATTTGAGAGATACATTTTGTGTGACCGATAGTGCTGTCGTTATAGGTATGCTGGGTTATTGACTCGGAGATTTTGTCTATGTGGTCTTAGTAGATGATCGGGAATCCAGAAGGCTTTATATACTCATCGTATTCTGCATAGAGTATGTCAGCTCACAATCCGGCGTCCCTTGCCAAGCTTGCAGTATTTGCTGGATTTGGTCTACTCGCGGTACGTTGCATACAGGTGGTTGCTATGAGCTTGATCTCTAGGAAACCACACGCCAAATTATGCTGCACACTGGACAGATGGCGCAGAATCTAGGGGCGCGAGTGCTACAGCGTCGTAGTGAAATGAGATATATCCACTTGTCCAACAAAAACATCGGAGAAATGTCACCATTTCCCTATTTGGTATGTTTGTATCCTGATAGGATAAGGGAGTTTTTAGATCAATCGATTGTTTGAATTTTGAAATTGCTGCCACAAGGAATGTGTGAACCTTTAATTTAGGATTGACCTGGGATAGGGCTAGGCCGCCGGATGTATAAAGCCTTTTTAGATGAAGAATGCAACTCATGCGCCTACCTAGGTACACTGACAACACTCAAAGATAAAACAGGTACAAAGTGTTGAAGCTCCAAATACTGGCCAGGCCTAACTCAATTAAGTATGCTTCTTCCGTACCCTGGCAGTTGGTTGTACAATGTCACCAGCGGAGGATAAAAGAACGCATACCACCACTCGGGTAGCCTGGACTTATCAAAAAAAAACCAAACAATCGAACAAAGAATCACCAAAGATGTAGCAACTGTGGCGCTGGAGGGAATGTTTTCCTCTGCTAAAGAAATGTGAGCCTCTGGTAGCAGAGATCGTAAATAGACCTCATATGAAACCTCCGTGGAATGTGAGATGAAATTAAGTACGGAGTAGCCGATTAAGGGATGTTCTCATTCTCGACTATGGTACGCTACCTCATGCAACTAATACCAATATTAACATTTAAATACTTTTATTAAAGAATACGGGTAACCGTAGCCCTGAGATTCGCGGAACCCATATGCGATTTCCAACAGACCATTAGTGCAACACTCACCATATGCTGACTTCTATCTCGCTTTCTACTTGGGATCTACTGAATGTGATCTCGATGTGACTTCCAGCCACTTGTGTCAACAATTAAAGCCAGGACTCATTGGGCTTTGAAGGGGATAGATTTGGTGGCATGCACCTTTGAGGTACATGTTGTGCAACCAGCTTCAAACTAGCCTAATATTACACTATTTGTCGTGGACGTGAGCATTTGAAATGCAACAAAATCATATTGTATAAGAACTAGTCTCGGGTATGGATAAAAATGTCGGTTCAGCCGATCGAACGCCCAAGCGAGTGAAGGCGGGCTTTCGCGGCCGAACAGTGCATGCTGGTGGTTGATTCACCCAATCATAAAAAACATTGCCAGTTTATTGGAGTAATGGTTGGTCCTCGGAGGGACCGGCGCCTGTCTTGGAAGCTTTGGCGTGCTTCTTTCGGCGGCGCTTTTTCTTGAGTTTTGACAGCACGCTGTCCGGATTTTGTGATTTGGCATCATCGGTGTCAAGCGCCGCCCCCTGGTTGTGGCTTTGACCGGAGGACGAATGCTTGAGGTTGTGGTGATGATTGCCGGATTGATGGGATTCGCTGTCCGAAGAACTGGAGCAATTGGCATGGAGAACAACCTTGCGAATTCCATTGACATCCACGATCTGTTCTGTGATGCTGCCACTGCGCGCCGGTCCACGGTGATGATAGGGAAAGCCGGAAGGTGAATCAAGCGATCGAATGCTGCCTTCGGTACTGCTGGCCTTCCGCGTCGAGCCAGATTGAGGTTGGTCTTTGTCCTCATGTGCAGCGACACTACTAGCCTCCTGCGTTGACTCAGAACGCATTTGGTCTTCGTGCTCCTCGCGGACAGATTCGGGGATAGAAATGTGAGGAAGATCTTTGTATTGCTGAGCACTGGTTCCTTTGCTCGCATTGTCAGATGATGATAGAGTTCCATAGCCAATCTTCAAGGCATGCGCGCCATCTTTGGCATCCTGGCCGGCGGAGTTGAGTAAGCCCGCGCCAATGCCACCTTGGTAGGCTACGGCCGAAGGTACAAGTCTTTGAGAGTCGGAGATGCTTTGTCCAGACTCGAGATCGGTTTGTGCGGAACGAGAAGGAGATGTATTGCTGCGCTTGATTTTAACAGCGTGGTAGCGGGTTTGACGTGGTCGGCTAGCTAGATTCGAAGGACCAAGGTGTTTGAGATGTTCTCGAATCTCATCTGTAGTACCAACTTGTGTAACCCAGCCATCTGTTGAGTTGGAACCAACGTCGGCATTGTTTTTGCGAAGTTGGAAGCGAGGGAGGGGTGCCTCCACAGAGCTGCGGCGTCGGATCAAGTCGGAAGGTTTGGGGAGAGACGATGGTTGTACAGGATCCACATCAATCAGGTCACCATCGGTGACGACAGAGGCATTCAAAGGAGGTTCTTCGACAATTTTCCCTTTGGGAACACGAGATTTTGGTGCAGGTGCCATGCGACGAATAGCTTTGTGCACATCAATAAAGACATCAGACTCATCAATAATTTCCTCTCCGATCAATTCTTCGATCACATCCTCTAAAGTGACAACCCCGAGAGCACCACGATCCTCACTGGGATATTCGGAAACAAGTACCATGTGGGACTTGCCTTCTTGGAAAAAATTGACGATATCAAGACAACTCGTCTCTGGGCGAGTTTCAGGAAGTGTGGCGAGGGCAAAGTCACGGACCCTTTTGCAGTCTTCGGGGTCGTAGGTAATCAACATTTTGACAAGAAGCATGCCAACAAAATTCATAGTGTTATCAGGAGCATGAATGGGGATGCGGGAGTATCCTTGGGAAAGGATGAGATCCATTGTACGTTCGTCAAGAACGGTGTCAGCAGACATGGTAAACACGTCTTCCATAGGTGTCATAATGCTGCCGACTGACTTCTCTTTGAGGTCGAGAACGGCACTGATAATTGTCACTTCATCGGAGTTCAGCTGTTCTCCCGCTTCGCCCAAGGTTTTATGAAGGGTAACGAGCGTCTTCAGTCCAGCTTTTTTGTAGATGGTACCGTGATCTTCACCGAGGAGGCGGTCCAGGAGTTTTGCGATCGGCCAAGCGACCGGGGACATGATGTACATCAAAACCAAGACGCAAGGTGCCATCCAGGCACCAATAGGAAGACCATAGCGAACGCATATCGATTGTGGAACGATCTCGCCGAATATGACAATCAGGGCGGTACTTCCCAACACCGCGGGCCAACCACCCCCAAGTGTTCGGTCAAGGACGATGGGCAAGGTCTCATTTGTGATGACATTGCTCAGAAGAAGTGTGACAAGGACCCAGTGTTTTCCGTGGTTGAGGAGTTTGAGGACGCTGGTCGCATTTTTTCGCTCGTGGCCTTCGCCTGATGTCTTAATAACTTGGAGATAAACTTCATCCTGCATGAAGAAACAAGAGACTGTCAGGCTGGTTCATAGGGGAATTTCGGAAACTCCGACTGATACTTACCTGTCCCATTAAAGCAATCGTAAGCCCCGCGAATGCACCACCGCTCAGTACAAGAGCAGCTGAAAATCCCAAGTAAAGCCATAAACTCGGATCACTCGGTTCTTTCGGTGGTTCCGTCTCAGCGAAGAGAGTGGAGAACACGGGCGCTGAAGCTGCGAAAGGAATTTGAGAGATGGCAATGATCACAAGCTTTGCCAGACTCAGCATCAAAGGCCGAGAGGCGAGCGAACGAGATGGCGGGGAATTCATGAGAGAGGCGCGACGGAGCAACAGTACATGCTGTGATGTAATCGTTGACCACGGCGGGGGACAATCGCGGACGGGAGTGGGGACGGGGCTGGACGTAAAAAATTCGGGAACTGGAGGAAGGGGTCAGGGGGAGAGAGAAAAAAAAGAGAGAGAGACGATGAGGTGAGCGTCCGCGATGGGAAGAATTGACTTTCCAGAGGACGCTGATGGCAGGGCGGGCACCGTTGCTTCGTCAGCGAGTTCAGGCGACGAGGCACCTTCACACATTAACATTGGCTCTTGCAACGCGCGCCCTCTTTCTCCTTGATGTCGTCATCCTCTTCATTTCCTCTTCGAGGTTCTCGTCCTCACTCTTGCCAAGTTCGTCTTCGGTATCGGCCTGGGCGTCCTTGAGCTGTTGGATCTCGGCTTCAAGTACTGCGTTTACTTGCATAAGCACCGGCACTTAATCGGCAAGCTCCTCCGCTTTCTGGACGGCCTTGTATACCTCGTTGTACTCTCGATAGATTAGCGTCGACTCTGCGGCTTACTTATCGATATCACTCTCCATTTTGGCCGCCCGATCACGGAGCGAGTCATTCTCCCTCTGCAGGGACTGCTTCTCCTGCGCAAATGTGGCTCGAAGGTCGGCGCAGACTTGGACGAGATTGCACTCAGCTTTCTTTGAGGCAATTTTCAGTTGGCTACTTACCCAATCCTCTGCTTGGCCTTGCAGTGCCTTCATTTCGGCCTCATCTGCCTTTCTTTCCTCCTTCAACTTCCCCTCGTATTCGATTCGCACCGATTCAAGGTGCGCGGCCTGCTCATGCTTCAGGGCGTCAAGCTGAGCTTTGACTGCCTCGACATTGCCAGTCTCCACCCTCTGAGCTAGGGCGAGTCTGGTGGTCAAGTCTCGGCAGTGCTCTTGCAGGTTCCGGTGCTCCTGCCAAAGCTGATTGCCCGCCTTTTGCATGACGCAGATTTGCTGTCGCGCGGTTTGAAGTTCCTGGCGTTGGACTTCGTTCTCCCAGCAAGCGGCCTGAAACAGGGCTTCTGCATGCTCAATGGACTGGTCGCGGTCCACGGTGTGAGTTGACGTTGGCGATGTATGGTGGGGGCTGGTTCTTCAGTGGAAGGGCCGCCTTGAGCTGGGCCTCAAGGTGGCTGATGACTTCCTTGTTCCTTGTATCCGCGTCCATCAAAGCCTGATTTGCTGCCGCCATCTTGTTGATTCGAATAACCGTTGCCTCCGCTTCGGGGTTCGCATCCCGCAGTTCTTCGTATTGGCGTTGCATGGCAGCTGCGATGCACTCGGCGCGCAGTTGACTGCGCGAGACGCGAGAGATTGAACTTTTGGCTTGAGCCACTTGGAAGTTAAGATTCTGCGCGACATCCTTTAGGCTTCGGAGATCAGCCTTAAGGTTTGGGTTGTCGGCAATCCATTGCTGCAAGGCGACCATCAGGATCTTCTCGCATTCAAGAGGCTGCGTGAGTTCCCCTCGAATTCGTTCCCGCGTAACTTCCACATTGGCCTCGAGTCCGTTTTTCTTCATGGTCTCGTTGCCAGCGACCTCAATGACCGTGTCGACGATGTCGACAGAAATAATTTTCTGGCTGGGGCTGCCAATTGTTAGTCTCGAGTATTTTAAGAAGTCTCTTGAGAGGTGAGATTTGTGAGACGAAAGCTCATGAATTACCAGAGAATGTGCCACGCAGCCAATCCAAATAAACCAATGATAGCAGTAGGCTCGCAGGCCTCATTGCATCTGAGGGCAAAGATGGCCGAAGCCACAAACAGAGCAGTTGCGATAGAAATGAACATCTTGCTAACTCAAATAGATGGATGGAAACGTGAAGAGGAGAAAGAAGAAGAGGAAGAAGAAGAAGAAGAAGAGATGGGATGAGAAACAAAACCACGTTGTGAGTGCATGCGGTCCTTCCTAATCGAGGGAACCCATTCAAAAGCTCTTCTTCCCAACCTGACCTTTAAAAGACCAAAAAGCCCGCTTCAAAACAATGGCGTAGAATGCTCTCTATGGTCATTGATTAGCCTCAGTGGTCATTAAATTACAATAGAGATTTCATTGCACATTAGTGTGGAGTTATAGATTCTATATTTATTAAGCTTTGCGGCCCGCGTGGGGAACCTTGACTCACCGAAACACCAGGCGCATGTGATTCAACACTTCTTCTATATTACTACATACATATGTATGTACACATGTAGTTATATTTATGTGCATGTACGAAACTTCGAATGTATGCACCTTTTTCATCGCTATATTGATCGTGGATAGGCATGGTCCTTTTATTAACATTGAATAACTCTCACTCTAGTCACTACTGCCCTTCACCACCATGGACATTCTTCCAAGAGCCCGCATAGTGATGCTCTACGAGATACGGGCCCCGATCCTCAGGATGTCCAGCCTGAAGAGCAGCGAAAGCCGCATTGGGCAAGACAAGCACATCTTGTAAGAGGGTTGGCACCATAATATTGGAGATGTTCGCTCGTCCAACCGGAACACCCATCTCTTGCTCGAGGTTCCGTAATATGGCAACAGTCATTGCTTGCGGGCCTGTGACATCGACCACATCTGAAATCATTGTCATGTTGAGCTCCGCCGTAGTTCGATTGTGTTCCGCAGCAGAGGCTTGTAGTTTCTCAATAACGTATTTTACCACAGCCACGGAGTGGCTTGTCTTTGGCTTCGACATAACCGTCCAACTTGCGAACTGTGATCCGTCAAATTCTAACCCCACGACCACGTTCGTTCTGTTCCGGTATTCCTCCGGAATCCATGTACTGATTGGTTTGTGGCAAGTAACATCAAGATCACTCCAAATTCCCCCGTCGTTATATAAAATCAGTTGCCGAAGTAGGTCGGCTTTCAAGATGGGAACCGGCAATGAGAGGTAGAGATCGCGGATCTCTGGATAGTCGGCGAAATTGTCGCGGACGTACTCGTCAGCGCTGCCGTCTGTGAGAATCTCATGCCGTAGGGTTGGATTTTCTTTCAGCCAGCTCTGAATGTCGTTCCAGCGGTCCGGGCCGATTCCTTTTGAGCCAGACTTCTGCCATAACTTCAACGGGAATGCAGACTGGGCTGTATATTGTGTATTTGTAATTGGGAGGTAGCTCGGCTTTTGTGGAGGCGAGATCGGCTTTTCGTCTTGAATTGTGATATTTAACGGCTGTGGAGGGTTGATATCAGCATCTATAGTCGACTGGTTTGGATTGTCGTCCTCCGCGCAGGCACACGAGCCATATGTAAGCGCAATGCTGGAATCTTTTCGTAGACTTGAGGCAAGCCATAGTAATGAGGATATGAACAAGAGCAATAGGCCCAGCAAATAGTGAAATCGCCCCATCGTGGAGGTGATGAGACCTCTTAGGAGGTATGTGATGCGGACATCAGAATTGAGAGGAAATAGCGGGCTTATGAGAGAATCTGGTTTGAGCTCTGTTCAGTTCCGTCTAAGATCCACTGGGCCCACAAAAACTTGTGTCCTTTTTCAGAAGTCTTGTGCTTTTGATTCACAAATCATAATCCGCAGCTCCTATATCATGAAGATCAATTTGGGGATAATCTCGAAGTGCCGCATAACATACATACATTGTATGTATGCTTTCAGGTTCTCATATATTTTGTGAACGGATTTTGATTTCTTCAACAGTATATCAAACGTATGTGGAACTTTTCACTTTATCCGTGACCAGAGTGGGCGGATTAGGCCGAGAACGCTGCGGACGGAAACAAACCAAGGGTCGATATTAAGGGTCTCAGATCGACCCTCTCATATCATTGGAATTTCGCCGCAGGGTCCAATCATTCAATTCAATTCCACCACGGTCTACTTAGTTTTACACTATCCTAATAATACAATTTGTGGCTTGCCGGGTGACATTTTATAGGATAGATAGTAACTCACAATTAGAGACAAACATGTAGTATGTAAGATTCTAACTAGTGTGTTAATATTTGAAGATAAGATGACAGTATTCCGTACAGAGTAATGTGATGTATGATACAAAAACAAATAAGAAAAATTAAAAAAACAATAGTTAGCCCTAATCTTTGCTCATTATTGGGACCGCAAGTCAATGCGATTGGTTGTTCTCTATCTAGGAATAAACCAGCTCTGAATCCGGCATCCCCGGCTAATTGCATGCTTTTGGCTTGCATATATAGCTGCATGTTGACTTCCACATGCGGACACCAAATACATACAAGGAAAGAGCCAAGGAGAAAAAGGCCAACCAAAATATGCATTCGAGAGAATGGCTCCCATACCAGAGCGTAACATTCAGAGATAGGGAATTTAAACTGAAGACAGTCGCTGGCAAAAACTTGCGGCGATGTTGCATGATTAGTCAGAATTCGATGACGCGCGGGCGTTTTGGCCAGGATCCCTGGGCCCTCAATGAACAGCTTCAACTTCAAAAACAACAATGGCTTCCAAAATAACTCCTCAGATGTTCCGTGCTTTCAGAGCTTCTCCACGAGCTGTGTGGTCCGCCCAGGTGCCTCGTGCTCCAACTTTCTGTCGCTTCTTCGCGGCCAAGACCGAGCAACCGCGTCTGCGTCTAGGTTCAATCGGTACAGTTTCACCAAGCCCGTATACCGGGGTACCTTGCACGTTGCTAAAATAGGGCAGCCCCCAACTTTCAGGCACAGACAACCAAGGGCGAGATCGATTTTCATCAATTTATCGGGGATAAGTGGGCTATTCTTTTCTCACACCCTGCAGACTTCACGCCAGTATGAGGCCCGATTCCTGTTATATTTCGAATGCTTTACTAACGTGCTTCCAGGTGTGCACGACCGAGCTTGGTGCTTTTGCAAAGCTCAAGGATGAATTCGAAAAGCGCGGCGTGAAGATGATCGGATTGGTGAGCCCCTTCCCCCCTCTATTATAATCTATCTTATCTTGGCTAATGCGCCCTTTCCAGAGCGCGAATGACCTCGGTTCCCATGATGAGTGGATCAAGGACATCAATGAAGTTGGCTCCACAGATGTTCAATTCCCCATTATCGCCGATGCCGACCGCAAAGTTGCTTTCCTATACGATATGATCGACCAGCAAGATTTAGACAACATCGACCAGAAGGGAATTGCGTTCACCATTCGTTCTGTGTTCATCATAGATCCCAGCAAGAAGATCCGCCTGACCATGATGTACCCCGCCTCCACGGGCCGAAATTCCGCAGAAGTCCTGCGTGTGATTGATTCGCTGCAGACCGGCGACAAGAAGGGAGTGACTACGCCCATCGACTGGAATGTCGGTGACGATGTCATCGTGCCTCCCTCTGTAAGCACTGAGGATGCGAAGAAGAAGTTCGGCGAGGTTCGCGAGGTGAAGCCTTACCTACGCTACACCAAGATTTAAAGACCATCTCGAGATCTGCGATGCTGTGGAAAACCCAGCATGAAGTCTAGCGAATCAAAAAATAAAAAACACGAACGCCGATCGGGTGATCCGCTGTCGCGTGTTCTACTTAGAGTAATATCTCCATAAGCTAGCGGAAGAACCTCGGTGGACCACGGGTCATCCGATACTAATAGGGAAATTGCACATTATGTAGCTCTAAATTTTTAATCGTTGTGAACCTCTAGCGACCATTTAGGGCAGGGATAATCCGGGGAGAGTACAGTAGCCCCTCTCTTCAGTTTAATCTGCGAACAATATCTTGGAGTCTGACAGGATTATCACTCTGACCCATTAACCCTCGGCTATGCAAGCGAAGTCACTAGCTGCGATTCTATTCCATAACAATATAACAATTACGACAATCCTTCTATTTTCACTCTGCCAAGTGGAATGTCGGTTGGATCCCATGACGATCTTGTCCGGTTGTGAAGGTGATCGTCCCTTCGCCATGGCGTGAAGCTTGGTTCCTCCGAGATACTATACATACACACGCGGGCGTCGCTCCTTACCTGTTCCTGGATACTTCCCGATACGCCCTAATTTCTTCTTATAATCCTGCAGATGTCAATCTGAAATTCTGTTGATTCAAATCTGGGGAAATTATGCATTCATTCTAATTACTGGCCCTAATACGATCATTTCTCAAATTTGTTTATTTATATCGCTCGGAATCTGGCCTCGAACGCCATGGCTCCTTGGGCACAGCTAGCTTTAGTCACTCTTTTCACTCCACTCCTGGCTTCCCCAGTTCCAGGCGAAGACTCGAATCATCTGCATCAGAGAGCAGCAGAGGGCTATGAATCACCTCCGTACTATCCTACCCCGCCGGGAGGATGGATTGCCGATTGGACTGATGCCTATTCAAAGGCGCAGCATATCGTCGCTAACATGACGCTCGCTGAGAAAGTCAACCTCACCACGGGGACAGGATTCTTCATGGGCCCTTGTGTGGGCCAAACAGGTAGCGTCCCTCGATTCGGCATCCCTAACATCTGTCTACAAGACAGCCCACTTGGAATCCGGAATTCAGATCATAATACTGCCTTCCCGCCTGGTATCACGGTAGGCGCAACATTCAACAAAGACCTCATGTATGAGCGTGGTGTTGGAATCGGCGAAGAGGCCCGTGGCAAGGGTGTGAACATCCAATTGGGTCCCTCCGTTGGTGCGCTTGGCCGTAAGCCGCGCGGTGGACGGAACTGGGAAGGCTTCGGTGCTGATCCTGCTCTGCAAGCTTTTGGCGGTGCAGAGACTATCAAGGGAATGCAAAGTACCGGAGCCATTGCGGCTATCAAGCATTTCATTGGCAACGAGCAGGAAATGCATCGCATGAGCAGCATTGTCACCAAGGGATATTCGTCCAATATTGATGACCGCACACTGCATGAACTTTATCTTTGGCCGTTTGCCGAGGGTGTTCGTGCCGGCGTGGGCTCTTTGATGACCGCGTACAGCGATGTGAGATTGGCTCGACTGTGCTTCGAGGTCGGCTACTGACATGTCCTAGGTTAACAGCTCGAGCTGCAGTCAAAACAGCAAGCTATTGAATGGCATTCTGAAGGATGAACTCGGTTTTCAAGGATTCGTGATGACTGATTGGTTGGGTCATTATTCGGGAGTTCCGTCAGCACTGGCTGGTTTGGATATGGCCATGCCTGGCGATGGAGCCGTGCCGTTGTTTGGAGATAGCTATTGGGGACCAGAGCTTTCGCGCTCAGTATTGAATGGAAGTGTACCTGTGAACCGTCTCAATGACATGGTAAGCAAATTGTCATAGACTGAATTCCTTCACCTCTAACCAAGCGCGTAGGTCACCCGCATCGTTGCTACATGGTACAAGTTTGGCCAAGACAAAGATTATCCCCTGCCAAACTTCTCAACCAACACCCAGGACAAGGAGGGGCCTCTTTACCCCGGAGCTCTCTTCTCCCCGAGTGGTGTTGTCAATCAATTCGTGGACGTACAAGGAAACCACAATGTCACTGTCCGGAAGGTTGCCCGTGAGGCAATCACCTTGCTGAAAAACGACATGAATATTCTTCCTCTTCGCCGCAATGACTCTCTCAAGGTGTTCGGAACCGATGCCGGCGGAAACCCCGATGGGCTCAACTCGTGCACAGATCAAGGATGCAACAAGGGCGTTCTGACCATGGGCTGGGGCAGTGGGACCGCTCGGTTGCCTTATCTTAACACACCCCAGGAGGCCATTGCAAACATCACCAGCAATGTTGAGTTCCATATCACCGATTCCTTCCCTTCCAGCGTTACCGCTACTGCCAAAGATATTGCTCTCGTCTTTATCAACGCGGACTCAGGCGAGAATTACATCACCGTTGACGGCAACCCCGGAGATAGAACCGAGGCCGGCTTGAACGCTTGGCACAACGGCGATGATCTCGTCAAAGCCGCAGCTGCAAAATTCTCCAACGTTGTCGTGATAATTCACACTGTCGGGCCCATCTTAATGGAAGAATGGATCGAGTTGAAATCAGTCAAAGCTGTGCTTGTGGCTCATCTCCCCGGTCAAGAAGCTGGAAACTCCCTGACCGACGTGCTCTTCGGTGACTATAGCCCAAGCGGACACATGCCATACACTATTCCCCGCAGCGAGGACGACTACCCAGACAGCGTGAGCTTGATCAGTCAACCCTTCGGTCAAATTCAAGACACCTACACCGAAGGCTTGTACATCGATTACCGTCACTTCCTCAAAGCCAACATCACACCACGATACCCCTTCGGCCATGGCCTCTCATATACGACATTCAACTTCTCCCAGCCTTTATTGTCAACTATCACACCTCTGGACACAGCCTACCCACATGTACGCACCACAAAACCCCCCACGCCAGCTTACAGCACCGATATTCCCGCCGCTTCAGAAGTCGCTTGGTCTTCATTCACCTCCACTCGCATCTGGCGCTACCTCTACCCTTACCTTGACAACCCGCAGTCCATTACAGCGACAAAGCAATACCCGTACCCTGATGGCTACAGCACCGAGCCACACGCAGCCCCACGGGCGGGAGGCGGGCAGGGTGGGAATCCCGCGCTCTTCGAGACTGCCTTCTCTGTCCAGCTGAAGGTCCGGAACACGGGCACGCGGACCGGTAAGGCTGTACCTCAGCTATATGTTGAGTTACCTTCCAGTCTGGGTGATACTCCTGCCCTGCAACTTCGCCAATTCGAGAAGACGAAGGAGCTTGCGCCTGGCCAGAGTGAGACTGTTACGTTGAGTATTACTCGGAAGGATGTCAGTGTGTGGGATGTTGTCGTGCAGGATTGGAAGGCGCCTGTTAATGGGCAGGGCATTAAGATCTGGGTTGGAAACAGTGTTGCGGATTTGCCTGTGCTGTGTGTTGTTGGTGGCGCGTGTTCTGCGCAATAATGATGTGTTGGTGTATTCTGTTTCGCTCCCTTTGATTCGCTATTCGGTTTGTTCTTGTTCATTCCTTTGGATCGTGGATATATTGTTGCCGGTTGCACATAGTCATGTGAATAATATTGGTTAGTATAATGGGAAGAGATTTGTCGGAACTCCCTCGGATTTCTCTCAGTCTCAATTGAAAATTCATTCGATTGATGAAGTCATACTTCCTTTTTATCTACACGCAGTAAGACAATTGTAATCAAAAGTGAGAGAAACCTGATAGTTTTACATCTCGTCATCATGTTGTGTACGATTTGTCAAAATAAATAACATGAAATATGATATGCAGAACATGGGTATGCGTAGCCGTTATGCGGCCTGCAAATTCTCAACAATAGGCGTCTTCTCCACGTTCAACCCCGTCTTGGTCTCTACGTGCTCCTTGTTCAACTTAGCCTTCAAAATGAAAGCCGAGAAAATAATTCCAACAGCAGACATGCACGTGTAAAGAATCCACATGTTCCTCAAACTCCAAGCAAAGGCCTCCCTCACCGCACGCACCTGCGCGGGGTCGGTAATATTCTTAATCGACTCGATACTAGCAGCAGCAGAATCGCCAGACATCTGAGCCGCCATGCTTGCAGACATACCGGAAGCCAGTAAGCTAGCCTGCTTTTCACCCATGCTGTTCTGGAATACGACACCCCCAACAACAATCGAAAATGCAGTCGCCATGTTACGAATGAAGCCAAGGGTTGCTGTGGCAGTGGCGGTGTCTGCTTGGGAGACCATGGCCTGAATGGCGATGATTGGCGTTTGGAAGAGGAAGCCGGCGCCCAAACCGCCGAGAATTTGGTAGCCGACAATCTTGCCAATCGATGAGTCGACGTCGAGGTTGATGTATAGGCCATTTCCGACTGTCATCAAAACAAAGCCGGCCCAGATGAGTTCGAGATAGCGGCCTGTGCGGTGGATGATTGCTCCAGTCAACATTCCGGAGAATGCTTCCATCACCACGAGCGGAAGGATTAGCACTCCCGAGCGCATTGGGGATGAGCCTTTGACAGATTGCAGATAGAGGGGCATGTAATATTCCCCGGCAATGAAGACAAACCCATGTGCAAAAGCCACCAAAAGAGTAGCAATGTTTGAAAATCGAGCGAAGATGTCCAGAGGCATCAATGGGTACTTGGCCAGTTTCTTCTCGCTGTAAATGAACAGCAATGAACACAAAGCCCCAAAGATAATCAGGCATATCACCTGCGGAGACTTCCAGGCGAATGTCTCACCACCAAAGTCCAATCCAAGCAATAGCATGAGCGTGAGTCCGAGGACAGAAAGACTGCCGAACCAATCGATCGCCCGGAACCCGTCCATCATCTTCGTCTTGGGATTATGCACATCCAAAAAGAAGAACAACAAAACGAACGTGATACCACAGATGGGCAAATTGATCCAAAAGGTCCATCTCCAAGTCACATATTGCGAGAACGCACCTCCAAGCAATGGGCCAACTCCACCAGCAAAAGCCCACATAACCTCCATAAGGCCAAGATACAAACTGCGATGTCTGCAACTCCATTAGTCGTGCCCAACCACACAATTTAGACAAGACTCATACCTGACACTGAACAAATCAGAGATGATAATCGTAACAAGCTGCAGCAAACCACCACCGGCAACACCCTGGAATGACCTCCCAATGATCAAAGCCTCCATACTGGTAGCCGTAGCACAGACGATCGAGCTAACGAAAAACCAGCCAACAGCCAACAGCAAAATCGGCTTGCGACCCCAGATATCTGAAAGTTTGGCCCAAATACAGGCGCTCGCTGCATTAGCAAGAAGATATGCACCTCCGATCCAGGTATATCCGGCTGCGGAATGGAAATACGCCGCTATAGACGGGATTGCTGTAGCCATGATTGTTTGATCTAATGCTGCAATGAACATCGACAACTAGATCGGGAATTAGAAAAGTCCGTGGTTTTGCGGGGGTCTCGTACTGAAAGTGCTACCATGATGGCAACGACGCGGAGTTTGCCTCGCCCTGTGGGCGGTGGTTCTTGGATTTCCATGGCGAGATACTTGTGAAAAGTTGGTTTGAAAGGACTTGATGGTCTCTTTTCAAAAATCCATATCTGATTCTTTTTTTTTTTCTTCCAGACCCCGCAAGTGGGGCCGAGGCGCCATTGCGCAAAATTACAATGAGTCACGGTGAGATTGATGAGATGATGATCTTGTTTAATTCGTTGGCAATTAATTGCCTGCATGTGTAGGCAGGTGGCTGATGCTATTGGGACTTGGACGTTCGGATATTTCTAGATGTGACCTTGAGGATACATATTAAAGGTAGGGCATCGCCCCCACATAGTTCGCCGCCCTCTCTATACTTAAGTAGCTGCGTAGCCATATCCTGTAGTCAAGAGAGACGAAAATTCATCAGTTGAAACATTTATGAAGCAGAAGTGAGAGATTACCAAGGAATCATGGAGAAATCTGATATTTGCGTCCGGTTTGTCTTCCGATTTGTCTTCCGGTTTAGTCAATCAATGGTTTAAATTACCTAAGTTTGTGGTGATGCAAACATAGATTGGTATCGTATTATAGGTCTCATTTCATGAGAGATGGAGGTAAATTGCTTGTTAAAGTCTATACCTCTGAAATGTATAATCAGGCCGGAGTCAGGCAGTTAACTCTGCAGTCCATACACTTTGGTACATCTTACGCCTGCAAACGATTCGAGTCAAACAAGTACCCGAGTCCATTCCAAGGTTCCATAACAATACGCTACCTGGGAAAACAATTATCAAAGCCCAATGCCACAGCCAACGACCAAAATAATAGAGAAAGCCACCCAATAACACAATAACTCAATGCCAAGATCCAGCCCAATCAATCAGCCTTCCTGCCAACCACAACCCCAAAATTTACCATAGCTCTTGCATGATCACAGTGTTCGTTAAATTCCGCCACCAACCCCTCAACCATCTCCCTCGCCCCCGCTTCACTCTTCGCCTCCCCAGTAACAACCATGGAAGGCGGTACAAGAGCCCTCATAACGCCATCCACCCACTTCTGCGCAACACCCCGCAAATGCTCCTTCCCCGTCGTAGTATACGTCTCATGCACGATATCACAGAACCCGCCCGCGGAGATCTCTTCGTGCACGCGTTTCGGGGCAAATGGCCACAGGCCCAATGTCAGCATGGCGTTTATTACTGATTGGCGTAACTGTGTGACGACTGCTGCTTCTGGGACTGCGTCTGTGCAGAAAGCTGTGTGGTCGACTTCTTCCCATTGGACGTAGCCGTTTGGCCCTGTTTTTGGTTAGATATATGGTGGATATGATGTGAGGAGGGGAGGGGTTCATACTTAGCAGTTGTCGTGCATTGGCGAGCACAGTCGCGTAGTCTTCTTTTTTTCAGTCCTGCTGTTAGGAGGCGGATGTGCACGAGGTCATAGCGGGAGTGGTGTTCTTTGGGGAATGGGCGGAGGACGTCGTGGACGCTTAGTGGGATTGATTTCTGGCCTGGCCGGCGGATTTGATGGTCTGGTGGGTATTGAGCCGAGGAGATGTCGAAACCATGCAGATCGGCTGATTTATTAGGTAGGACTTTGGAGACATCTTCGAGCCAGACACTGTGGTAGGTTAGTTTTTGAATCTTGAATGTTGGATTTTGTAGTGAACGTACCCAGTGCCAGTGCCCAAATCGGCGATAGAATTAATATTATTAGGGATTGAGGGATGTATGATATTATTTCCGGAGATGGCAACAAGAAAGCGATGTTGAGTATTGAGGCTGGAAGGCGTTAGTGTGAAGAAAACTGCAGTGGAGTTGCCAAACTGTCGGGTCAGGCAGGCTCCATAATGCAAATGTGTCAGGGGAAGAAGATACTGAGTGGGAACAACTCGGAAATTAAATCGCAGAGAAAGGGGAGAATATTGAAAAAGAAGAAAATCAAGTGTACAAAACAATGAAGAGAAAGATAAAGTGTAGAGAAGCACAAATGAAGGAAATATGAAAACAACACAACGACGTCATGCATACACATACAACGTGTGTACTATAGTAAAATATATGAACATACCGTTTTGTCTCCACTGCATCTCGGCTTAACAAATAGATATCAGAATGAGAAATACTCCCCATATTGACCAAGGATTTGACCAGGTCGAGGAGCTTCCAGAGGAATTTCTGAAACGGGAGTGGGAAGGTCATTGTGGACATGGTGGTTCAGTGGAATTAGAGAGTAAGATGAGAGTATAAGTCTGTAATCAAAACTATGTGGGATCACCTCAGAATTTATCTCATTTCAAATAATTGCCAAAGCTTTCAAGGTTCCAAGCTTCCCTTTCTCAATTGCTAAATGCCCCTCTGGGAATCCAATCCTCCACCGCAATCGCAATCGCCAGACGCCATAGCCAACGCACCAAAAAAAGGGAACACACCCCACATCCCCGTTTACACTTCCTGTCCATTCCCCATTCCCCCTTGTACATCCTCCAAATTCCCACAACCAATCCAGGAACTCAATTCCGGCCCAGTCCAACGGACCAAAACCAACATCCGCACCATGAACGACGACCACGTACTTCGCCCACCCCAATCAAAACCAGTATCATGCACGGAACCCTCTATCCGGCCTAGATCCGAGTTTCCGCCAGGCTGGATGGTCGATCGAGCGTGCCCCTCATAACGAGGCTTGGATATAAGTTCTTAGTGCTGATGCGTTGTATGGACGGGTTCCGATTGTCGTGCAAAAGTCCCATATTATGCTCTAGCTCCGCACTTCATCGAGCATCATACCCTTCCATCTGCCTTTTTCTAACGATTCGACGGTTCGGTCGTTATGCGGGGTACCGGGACGGGTTGGACTGAGACAACATGGGCGTTGGTGGAGTTAATAGGGGTCAATAGTAAGGTGAATGTCCGCTCGGGGGGTTGGGTTTTTTCTCCTGGCTGTGAGACTGTCAAACGTCAACTGCGATCTACCGAGGGTTGGTCTAGAATGTTCGGGATGGTTTTAGAACGGGCAGATCCGGTTTTATTAGAAATCGATAGTTGGCGGCTGCTGTTCGGGCTTAAGAACGAATTTGCACTTGCCCTCGCTCGAGCACAGACTACAAAGTTGGTCTAGAGCTACATTATAGACGTAATTGACCATGTGAGGAAAGCCACACAAGCTCAATACACACATCAGATGCGAAGTTATTGAGTTATAGTTTACACAGATGAGAAAGAAAAAATCTACCATTTAAACCATTCCCCTCACGATTTCACCAAATTGGCAAACACATACCGGAAGATTTCCCGGCTCTTGTACAAGTTCTCGATACGCATACGCTCATTATCCAAGTGCGCGTTGTCACTGGCCTGTCCACATGGCAGGTTAGCCGCGGGGGCTGAGAACTCCTTTTCCAAGAACCGGATTGTCGGGATGGACCCGCCCTCGCGGATAAACATGGGTTTCACTATGCGGGACGAGGTCTCAATTTCCGAATTTCCTGCCTCAGGCTCGGACTTGGCTCGGATGGGCAATGCGACCGATTCCTCAGATGTCGGTGTAGCTTGCGTGAGGGTGGAGGATGTAGGTACTGCTGCGCCTGCTTGCGCGGAGCGTTTGCGTGCGGCTTCCTTGCCGGCGGAGGAGGACGTTGTCGATGTGATTACCCGCTCGAAGTGAGAAGCGAGACTGTCGGATGAGTCTTGGCGACGGAGGTCTGGAATTGGGCCCCCGCTGGGTTTTGGTTTGGCTGAGCGGGTGTGAGTGGGTTGCAAGGTTTGGGGGTACTGATGCTTCGGGTCTTCTTTGCCTGGAGTCCAGGCTGCGGTGATTGCTTCTGACAGCGTAGCGAAAATCTCATTGTCTGGGTCTCCGAGCCAGGCATCGGACTTGCCGGTGATTTCAACGGTAAGGTCGTTTTGCGAGTCAAGTAGGGCGAACTGCTCTTGAGCGTAGGCTGTAAGGTGAGCTGCAACTTCGTCGGCTTGTTGGTCTGGCACAATACGGATAGACAGGCTTGCTTTGGCTCGTCGTGCGATCGTCGTGGCGCTCTTGCTCCCGGGGACTTCGATGGAATGGACGGTCAAGGCAGGCTCACGCCAGCGATGCATAAGTGACTTGATAAGGGCCTGGCTGTCTGGGATTTCGGGGTGCTGAAGCAGCAACGCGTCCGCGATAGCCTCAAATCGCTTCTGCTCGGCGTCTGTAAGGGGTCGAACGGCGTCGTGGAATCCAGGCAGGTTGATCTTGCCCTTGCGTCCAACGATGGTGGACAGAAGCATGGTGATATCTTTGACCGGTTCATCCAACAACGTACTGCCATCAATGCCACTGTGAAGATCGGGATGTTCACTTGTAACAACCAGGTTGGCGTGCACGACACCGCGGAGTCCGTAAGTCAAGCAGGGGTTGTAGTCGTCGAGCCAGTAACTGTTGGCCAACAAGACCCAATCAACGGATCCGATTTGGTCTTTGTGTTCCCGCACCGTTTGGTGAAATCCTTGAGATCCAGACTCCTCTTCGCCTTCAATAAGGAATACGACATTGCAGCGCAGTTCTTTAGTTCGGGCAAGATCAGCCGCGGCGTAGAGGGACGCCAAAATGGGCCCTTTGTTATCGGAAACACCACGGCCGTAGAGGAACCCATTGATAGATGTGAGCTGGTACGGATCTGTCCTCCACTTGGGCCGATTCGTTTCGGCTCCCACGACATCATAGTGGCCATAGAAAAGAATCGTCTTGTCAACCTTGTCGGCTGCGGTAGCGTTGAATCTTGCAAAGACAATAGGATTAGTATCCTCCCCAGTGGTCAAAAGCTTTGTCTTGGCGCCGAGATAGTTGCAGTGTCGCCGCAAGAAAGCTGCTCCCTGGTTGCATTCACCAGAGAATTTAGGGCTTGCTGAGATTGTCTTGAAGGAGACAAACTTGGCAAGACTATTCACCATTTCATCTGATGGATATTAGTGATGGAAAATTGAATGACTTTATTGAACATACCATTGCTGATTGGCGGTAGCTCTTCCTGTGTCATGAAGAACTCAGTCAAGTCCCAAATTCCAACGGAGTTGTCGTTTCCACCGGTGGCATAAATCTGACGGTCTTTGAACCGGCCGGCTGCGGAAGCCAGCATGGTCCCCTCATGAGCAACCCAGCCACCAATTTCTTCAAATCGCGAGTTGAATTTCTGCTTCGGTCAGTACTGATCCAACAGTAGAAAGTTTGTCTAGATACATACCTTCACTGTTCCACTAGAGTCTCCACAGATAGCTACACCTTGGATGACGTGTACAGCCCACAAATCTCCGGTGTGTCTAGTGATCCGCTTAACAAGCTGCTGCGAGTCCAAATTCCAGATATTGAGGGCGCCACCTGCAAGACCGCAGTAAAGCAGTGATCCCTCGACTGCGACAGACAGGACAGGGTCTCCATTTTGCAATTTAGCAATCTGAGACGGAGCCCCGCCGGGCTGCTGGCCAACACGCCATAACTTCACTACTCCATCGCCCGCACCTGTCAACAAAACCTCCTCGGATGAAGAAGACTCGACCAATCCCTTGACAAGTAGCATAGAGTAGACATAGCCATGGTGCGCGAAGAGCTTGTGGTGATCGCGCTTAAAGCTCAGCACGCGACCTCCATCGGAGACAGCACCATCGGATGACCCCGGGGCGCGAGTACCATCTGGCCCTCGAGAGTCAAAGAAGCGATGCGTCCGCTTGGATGGATGGGCAGACGATGCTTGATTCAGAATTGACCCTTCCTCGGAGAGATCACACCACTGTCTGATGTCAGGATATTGCTAAATAAGCGGTAAATCAAGGAAAGGTACCTGGATACTTGTGTTCTGAGCACCACAGTAGATAGTTTGGTTGACAGATGAGTATACTACTGTGAAAATATCGCCCACGTCATGGTGGGAGTAGATTGAGTAAATACGTTCAAACGTTGCCGTGGACCACACCTATTTCAAGCCATTAGTTTTGAGTCATCGCAGTTAGTGTTGCATGACTTACCTTGACAACGGAGTCGCCGCCACTGGAGAATAGTAAAGTTCCATCTTCGGAAAGATAGAGGCTGAGCACACTCTCCTTGTGTGCGTGGACAGATAGCACGAGATCATATGTTTCGAGGGACCACGCCTGTTGAGATCATCAGCCATGAGTCTTGGCAGTGCAACACAGACCGAAGAAAACACGAAATAATCAGATAGTGCCCTAGAGAAAACCGACTTACAACTATATCACCCCCTTGAAGACCAGCAAAAACGCAATTCTCATCAACGGCTAGAGCGAGAACGGAGCGACTGGCCAGAACGCGGTGGCCGATGCCGCAGTCACTGTTGGGATGGGCATTGCCTGCATCGTTAAATGGAGGAGATAGAGGATCAGAAATGGATCTCTGATCCTCATGTTCTGAGGCACTCTCTGACTCAACTAAATCCATTTTAGTTAATTGTTTCGGGGTGAAGTTGGGATGTTAAGGTGTTTGCGGGCGGAACCAAACAGATCGCGGGAATTTTTTGATGATTCACGTCTCCATATTCTGGGGAAAATGAAGATTCAAAACATTCGAAAAATTTTATAACGAACACAAATCGTGTAGAAAAGATATAATAAGGCAATGGGACAGAAGAAAAGAAAAGAAACATTTAAGCATATAGAACATTGCACCATCGAGAAAATATTCGACTCACCACCCCTGGCATCCCTTTCATAAACTGGTCTATGCTGAAATTAGTTTCAAGTTTGGGCTCTCTATTTGGGGAGCGTTAAGTATTGCTCGGTCGCATCTCCTTGAGACACTTGATTTCTTAGACATACCTTCGATACCTTTTATCCCACAATAGTCGAACTAAAAGGGTACTGGATTGACGACGACTCTCGACGACCATAGTACATGTAGTTTTCTATAAATCGGTGATTCAAGTATTATCAAATATGAACAAAATCGGCTTCCAGCATAGTATGAACAAGACAAGTAGACAAAGTAAAGTTTCACAGATAATTATCTACAACAGCCTCAATTTATTAAAAAAGTAAAAGATAAGACTCTACCCTGCCCGTGACCGCATCTACCATGTTCCCAAGCTCGCTACGTGTTTAAGAGAAACCCCCTGATCTCTCTTCGATTCCAGACTAATAATACCCTGGCCTGCAGGTGCCCATCTAGGATCAATAATATGTCCACGTTGTCCATAGGTGAATAGTTTGAGTGATAATGATACATCATTAAACCCATTGGGAATCAAGTGATACAACAGTAATGGCGTCATTCTTGAGTTTGAAGCATCATCGAAGAGAAATCACTATAGTTAAGAGGATATAGAGAAATAGGAGAAGAAGATTGAGAAAGAAAAGACTGAGAAAATGAGAACCAAAAGGAGGGAAACTCCCAAACTATTCCCAGCCTCAGTAGCACCGCCACATGTATGTGACACCAGCCACAGTGGCGGTGACTTCGTGGACCAATCAACAGTCAGATGTCACCGCTCTTTGCGAACTAATGACCCCGAAGTACGGAGTATCCCCTTGTCAATCAATCAGAAGACAAAGCGAAAAAGAAAGAAAAAAGAAAAAATGTACACTATTGTACCTGAGAATATAGTCATCGGAGGATGATTTTTTCTCCTGATCCTCCCGAATCTAAATATATTTCCCGGTCCTTTAAAAGGACAAAAAAAGCCTGCTCACGTTCACGGCACAGTCATCGTGCATGTTGATAACGCAGATCGAGTTCTGCCGCCCAACTGTTCCATATGTTGTAATGTGATGTGAGCTCATCGAACTTGCCCAGCCCGGTGATACGTGTCTGCCTTCCTAAGTGGCACCCAATTATTCTGCCCTATACATCTTGCCGCCATCCTTGATCGTTGCTCTGCCCAACTTGATGCGCTTTGAGCTCCCCACCCAAGCCTCCCTACTGCATCAACTTTCTAAAACACTTCATTGGAACGCCTCCGACCGAACTTTGCGCTAATTGCTGGGGTTGAAAACCCAACTGCCTTATTAAGGCACTGGAAAAATCCTTGCCTCTTCTTTAATACCCTGGTTCACTATCGGTTCTTTTGATATTTCACTTTTCCGATCTATACGGGCATTTCCCTTTTTTTTGAGCGCCCTACACCGCTCCCTTATCCCGTCGATCTTAGCCATCGGATGATTGATTTGCTCCGGTGAGGTCGTCTCAACGACTTTTTTTTGCCATGGCACCTTTTGGTCAGACTATCGCGGTCATTGACAAGTCCGGTAAAGTTGTGAGCACAGTAAGTTGGATCCGCAATCTTCAATCTCCAATCTCCAATATCCAACCCCGCATTCTGACAGCTATCAGAGTAAGCAACTTTTCGGTGTCTTTAGCCATGCAAAAAATGCCTATCGTGAGCGCAAAGCTGGCTATCAATCAGAGCGTAACGCCAAACTCGCAGAGCAGCAAGCCCTCGAAGGACTGGCCCGTTATCAAATCGAGGACGCGCCCACGGTAGTCTCAGGACGAAGTCGTGCCAGGTCACGACATGGAGGCCGCAGTCGTGCTCCATCCCACTACGACGATGGACGGACCGTTGTATCGCGACGAAGTTCACATTACGGGGATACCCGAACAATTGCTCGTCGTCATACCCACCATGATGTCACACTCCGAGATGATCCTCGCCCCATGACGGCTCGGTCGAGATCCGATGCGCATATTGACATGGACCTTGCATACGGGGACGCCTCCCCTGCAGCCCTATCCAAATACCCCCCACCCAACCCTCAAAATGATCAAAAACAGCTCGATGGTCTGGTACACCGTGCCCAGTGGCTGCTAGAAGAAGCACACTGTATGCAACATGGTGCTACTGCCACTATCGCCCACCTACAGAAGGATCCTGATGCCATGGCCGCCGTCGCCCTGACGCTAGCAGAGATCAGCAATCTCGCGCGCAAGATGGCGCCTACCGCACTGACCTCAATGAAAGCAGCCGCGCCAGCCATTTTCGCGCTCCTATCCAGCCCTCAGTTCCTCATTGCTGCGGGTGTAGGCCTGGGTGCCACGGTGGTAATGTTCGGAGGATACAAGATTATCCAAAGACTTAAAGGTGGTCCTGTCGGGGAAGACGGAACGCCTGCCGAGCCCGAGCCCGAGACCGAAATTGAGGAAATGATGGAATTCAACACAGAAGCCCTCAGCTCCGTAGAGATGTGGAGACGCGGCGTCGCAGACCATCATGCCGATAGCGTCGGCACATCCGTCGATGGCGAGCTCATCACTCCCACCGCAGCAACGATGTCCGGCATCAACGTGAGCACCGCTCGAGCACGGCGCGATCCTCGCTTCAAATTCGACGAGGAAGCTTCGGTCGCTTCGTCGCGCCGCTCTCGTCGTTCGCGATCAACTCGTGCCCCCACACAGGCACCCCCAGAAAGACACGAACGACGATCGAGAGCTCCTTCCGAAGCGCCCTCGGGATTCCTCGGTCGAAGCTCCTCCCGCTCCAGGGCCCCGTCGAAAGCCCCGTCGAAATCCCCATCCAAAGCCCCAAGCAGGGCACCCACCAGAGTTCCCAGCAAAGCTCCCAGTCGGGCTCCATCCAAGGCTGGCACCTTTGTCTCCGAGACCGAAAAACGGCCTAAGGAGAAAAAGAAGGGTCCCAGCCGCTTACGACTCATGTTTACGTCTTAACTCACCCCAGACTCGACAGATATCTTTTGTATATATATTCACAATTCCTTCATGCCCTTGCATGGATACCCATCCACACGCTATGAACTCTGATGACACTGAACTGATTGACGAATGAAGAGTTATGCGTCCACATGCCACCTTTTTCTTGTTATTTGCAATTGATTTTGAGCTTTTTTTCATATTCTTCTTTTCTTTTCTAATATACTTATTTTCCTTAACAGGAATCTCGCGTTAAAGCATACCCAACACCTATCAACATGGAAACTCCTGTCGCAGGCTTCAATGATACCGAAACATCACTAAAGAATGCCAGGACTTGAAAGGCGGCTCGGTCATCTTCTCATGTTGTGATCCCCTAGGATCCAAGAGTGTTGAAGAGTCTCCAACAGTTCCGCGAGACTTTTGGGCGATGGCTTCGTGAAATCTCGCGTCGCCAACATGCCTGAGGACGATTTTTGACGACTGGAACAAATGACTGCACTTCGAGATGGCCACTTCCAAATTTATCACTACATAATTATAAATAAATGTGTTCGTCAATTAAAGCAATCTAGAAGCAGGATTGAGAGGTAACTAATTGAAATCGGAAGTAAGAGTAAGAGATATCTAATTACATGGAATCTAAAGTGAGTGTTTTACCTGACAGGTTATGATACTACTTCTACGAAGTAACACTTGATCAAGGTCTCAACGCATCAGCCTATATTAAATTAAGCATCTGACCCTAGTGTCTATACACATGCATAGTTAGCAATAGCTTTATGTCAGTTTCGATATGTGCATTAGGAAACTTACTCCGCAAATATCCTATGGTCGACTTAGTAGCTGAACTCTGACAACTGTGGCGAAGACTTCGCCGGAAAACATGGCTGAACCTTCGTATAGTGACGGCACAGACCCAGAACTGGAAAACCCAGCTGAAATCAACACCGACCCAAATGGCAAACTCCCGGAAGGCGTTCAGGCTCTAGTTCCAAATCAAGTTTTCTCGCATCAATCGAGGACCTACAAAGCACCTCGCACATGTTCTCAATAGCTAGCCTAGCTTCCGCGACTTCGACGATCTTGCCCAGCGATACAACAACTGGAAGTACGATCGAAACATCCTTTTCAAAAAAGTCATTGACATTTCTGCCCAATCAGAGAATTTCTACGACAACAGGAACAAAGATTGACTCCGCGACTACCTGCACACGGCCTCGGGAGGCTATTACGCTGCCCCTCTTAAAGCCCTCTTTGATGACGACAACCAGCAGGAGAATATAAAGGACAACGAGTATGTCCAGCCCGTTAAGCAAGAAGCAACCCGAATCTGCTAGAATGGATTGTTGTGATCTGTCAAAGCTCGTTATATTTCGGCGGGGAATTTTGCAGTCAGTCTAACCTAGAATCTATCGTTCGAGCTTTATGAGTTCAGAGGAAGGGATGATAACCTTCTTAGCTCGATAGTCCTGTTCGCCTAACAGATACTCTGAGTAGACAGGAAGCTTGAGCTCCATCTTCGCTTTGATCATCCAAGCCTTCCATAGAGGAATGGCCGTATGAATGGCCATAGGACAACTGGGCATTGATTTTTCAAACAACTTCAGCACCAGGAGTGCATTGACATGAATAACTGAAACCGACATACATTTTCATTACAAGGCGCCTGTCACAGAGCGCTCATTCCGATATGAAACAACAAGTCAGCCAACAAATGCTGCCAATTTCCTACCGCTACGTTCTGACTACTATCTCTGTGTCTATACTAAAAAAGCCCATGAGTCTATCGCATCTGATCTCAAGTTCCGGCGAGCAGAACACAATTCCAACGAAACAGCCCCCACATTGATCATAGATAATTAATTAAGGCGCGTGGCTAAGCTCATTTCCCGTATATACATGCGGCTAGGTGGCTGTTTATTGTCATTGCAGGATTAGAGATGGTCTGATAAGATAGATTACCAGTATGGAGATCTTCACAAGACGTGCACAAGGCCACGTATAGGAGATCCACAATGCTAAGGTGCCAAATATGGGTTCCGAGACGTGGGTTGTTTTATTTGCACAAATTACACCTCGGGATGCGCGGTTATGTGGCGGATGGAGCAGTGATCAGGGTCTGGATGGTCTTTTATTCCGATCTCCGTTTGCAGCGCATTGAGGGCGAGGCGCTCACAGCGGATTATGGGAGAATCTGGTGGATATATTTGATTTCATAGAAAACAGTCTATGTTTCATGATTGACCGCGTTGCTGATCTGAGAGTTTTCCAGTGGACTGATATCGGGGATTTTGGCCCGTGCCGTGTGCTGGTCGGTCTTTCCCTATGAGACTCGATTTATTTGAGTTCGCTCTCGGGGATTCGTGCCGTATTTATGGATATCAGCGGACTTTCTCCAAGTTTTGGATCTGATTTCTTGTTCTTATGAAGAAGCCAAGGCTAGGTGAATGTTACTTTGTTTGTCGTAGTATGCAGTGCAAGGGGCGCATGTTTGATTGGCGAGCGATAAATGTTCGGCGGGCATAGTTGATACTACCAAGGGACATTGACAAGTCTAGGCAGTGGTCACGTTCGATATAAGCTTGTTCGGGTCACATTTTTCATAGTGGCCGGCAAAGAATGTGGTTGAGGAAAGCCGATGATCGGCCTCTGCCTCAGACCCCTTGTGGAGACTGCAGGCGCACGTCTTAACGGCGCACGCTAGTGTAGCTAGATTTGGGGTACAAGCAGATTTATAGAAAGTATGCATGCAGTATTGGGATCTTGCTGCGAGGTCGGTGTAGGGGAATGTACGTCTACATATATAACTAGGTATTTATGCCCAGAATACTGAACAGAAGAGTAACTTGGTCCGACAGTAAGGAATGGATGAGGTGAACTATCTCTAATAATAGGATCAATGTGACAGACAACTAAGCTCAATGAAAATCAATGAGATCAATAACTAGTATACTCCGTGAGCTAGTTGGTTTCCAATTCAGGGAGCAATGCTCACAAGCCCCGACTTCCATCGAGCCAGTCAGACACTGCGATATAGCGACGACATAGTATCGGCATTAATCCCAAGCAATATCTGCCGGCGAAGTGCTTTGAAGCCGCAAACTAGCATCACCAGACCAAGACTATTAATGATCACAAAATCCAATTTCGCGGGGACAAAGACGTGATACAGCAATAAGCGATAGAAAGGAGAACATCTGGAGCCATCGGCAGATGGAGGCTCCTCAAAGAGCCGGAAGTTCTCCAGTCCAACATATTCGGCCAATAATGTTATGTGTCTGGTCCGTTTTCCGATCGGCCTTTTTTGTTGCCGACGTTGTTCGGCGTTCCGGACTTTACACATATTAATAGAATTCAGATCCAATGGAATTTTCAATATGATATTGGGGGCACAAGGATACATGAAGAGGGTTCGTCAAATTGTTATAAAAAAAAAAGAAGCAATAAATCCGGAGATCAAGCCCTGGCGTGGGGCTGAGTATGCCAAGTACCGAGAAATCCAGGTCATTTCTCATATGTCGTATGCATAAAAATGCTCTCTCCATTCCCCGTGTGGAGAAGAGGGGCGAAACTAAAGAAATTTGAGTGCAATTTTGGGAAATTCGTCTTTCTTTTCCCGAATCGTAGCGGCTTTGGCACGGGTGGGACGGCAACCTTCCGGGCGAATAGAAGTAAAGTCGATACTGTCGATATTTTCGTACTTCAATGGTTTCTCTTATCTTTATATTTCTCGAATATCGTTGCATCCCGGCGTCTTCTTTTTATTGTACATTGTCAGCATGGAGGTGCCACGAGCAAATGTTCCTTTAGAGGTTATTGTCGTCGGGTAAGTTTCCTTGGATTGCATCACAGAATGATATACTGACCTTAGATAGTGCTGGTATGCTATTGCCACATAAAGTGTGATGCTTCTTCAAACAATGACCTCAGCTGACAGTATTTGACTATCAGGCATTGGCGGCATGGCTGCAGCCCTTACATTGGGATTGCGAGGACATCATGTTGTTGTCCTCGAAGCTGCCCCGAAGGTATGACTCAATGATTCCAAATTCAACGTCCAAAACTAATCACCGTCAATAGCTCATGGAAGTTGGAGCCGGCATTCAAGTGTCCCCAAACATGCTCCGCCTATTTGATCGTAAGTCAACCTGTCTCCAAATTTAATACCTAGGCTAACTCCCTCTAGGATGGGGCGTGTCGGACCTAATCCACGCCCAAGATGTAGCCTTGGAGCACATCCACGTCCGTAGATGGGACGATGGTAAATTGTTAGGCACAATGCCGGTGAACAAGACCTTCGGCCAGCAAGTAGTCATTCACCGCGCAGACCTGCACAACGCCATCATCGACCGGGCCCTTGCCCTGCCGAACGTCGAGTTGCGCGAGAATTCGCTCGTGACAGACGTCCAATTCAGCTCCGCAAGCGTGACGCTCGCCAACGGCGATATCGTCCGTGGTGACGTGGTGATTGGCGCAGATGGCATTAAATCCACGATCCGCAGCCAGCTGCTCGAGGATTCGACTATCAAAGCAGTTGCCACTGGTGATGCTGCGTATCGTATCATGCTGCCACGCGAGATTATGGAGAAAGATCCCGAATTAAAAGAGCTCATTGACGAGCCGCAGGCGACTCGTTGGCTTGGTCCTTCCCGCCATATTATCGCTTACCCTGTGCGCAAGCATGAACTTTACAATGTCGTTTTGCTCCATCCTGACGGCCATGGCGTGCAGGAGTCCTGGACGACCAAGGGCTCGAAGCAAGAAATGGTTGACAACTATAATGGATGGGATAGTAAAGTGCGGAAGCTGATAGATTTGGTCGATGACGACGAGGTTTTGGAGTGGAAGCTGTGCCTGCATCACCCGCTCCGGACATGGACACGGGGATCCGTTGCTCTGATTGGCGATGCTTGTCATCCCATGCTGTAAGTCGACTCCTTTCATAGCTTGTCAGATCGCTAATATTGTAGTCCTTACGTTGCTCAAGGCGCTGCCCAGGCTGTTGAAGACGCCGCCGCACTTGGCGTTGTGTTGTCAGCTATTTCCTCTCGCGAAGAGATCCCGCTGGCTTTGAGTGCCTACCAGAAGTCTCGAAAGGAGCGTGCCGAGACAGTACAACAATCTGGGTCAGAGAATCGTGTCACGTTACACTTGCCAGATGGACCTGAGCAAATTGCCCGAGATGCGCAGTTCCAGGCTTCGGCCAGTGGTAATAATCCGGATAAATGGTCCGATCGTAGGACGCAGGAATTCCTCTGGGGCTGGGACGCAGAAAAGGCTGCGCTGGATACTTGGAATGGTATGTTGCTGTATCTGTCTCGCTGGTTGTCATCTGCTAATCCGACGACAGAATCGCGCGGCCACCTCAAAGCTAATGCAAACCTTTAACATGTTGTCCATATGCATTTCCCGTTCATGATTCGCCCTTTTCTTTTACCATCCAGCGATTCAACATCCAGCGATTTCATTCAGAGTACATACGTATCTTTAGAAATGTGAATACTTCATTACATTGACCAATCTAGCAGGATAGCCTTGGAATGAAGATAATATTATTGAATTCTCCCAACACATTGCATTTTTAAATTCATATCCACAATGTCGCTATTTTTTTCTCTGGTTCATTATACAGTCATTCAAATCCAAGACCATCCATCATTCATCGGGCGGAAACTGGACATGAAAGACTCGACATGTTGGCAGGAAGCCAGGGACGGTCAACATTTGGCATTCCATTGATTCCAAGTCGAAGAGAAGGTGTCTTTGATTTCATAAGGACACAATTTACAGTCTCTCACCAGCGGCGGCCTTCATCTGGCCGTACTTCTTGAGACGGATCGCAGACACGGTGATGAAGCCGGTGGTCTCGGCGGGGGAGAAGTCACCAATCTCGTCCATGGAGGACTCGCTCATGTCGTACAGCTTCTCGGTCTCAGAGGAACGGCCGAGGATGGAAACGGTACCCTTGTATGCGCGGCAGCGGACCTGGCCGTTGACGGACTTCTGGGAAGCGGTAATGGAGGACTCGAGGAACTCGCGCTCGGGGGAGAAGTACATGCCGTTGTACAGGAGCTTGGAGTAGTTGTAGGTGACGAAGGAGTCGCGCAGAGCACGAACCTCACGGTCCATGACAAGACCCTCAAGGTCACTGGAAAAGAGTCAGTGAACGCAATTTCATTTTGAGATCGAGAATACGCACATGTGAGCGGAGCGCAGGGCAGTGAGACCAGGGGTTTCGTAGCAGCCACGGGACTTGATACCGATGAAACGGTTCTCGACAATATCAATACGGCCAACACCGTGACGGCGGGCAATAGTGTTAGCGGTCAGGAAGAGCTCGACGGAGTCGGTGACGGCCTTCTTCTTGCCACCCTCGGTGTACTCGAGCTTGACGGGTACACCCTTCTGGAAGTAAAGGGTGAAGTCCTCGGGCTGATCGGGGGCGGTCAGGGGGTCCTGGGTCAGCTTCCACATGTCGGCGGGAGGAGTGGTGTCGGGGTCCTCCAGAATACCGGCCTCATAGGAGCAGTGGGCGAGGTTCTCGTCCATGGACCAGGGCTTGGACTTGGTGGAGGTGACGGGAATGCCCTTCTCCTCGGCGTAGTCGAGCAGGTCCTGACGGCCCTTGAAGCGCTCGTAGAAGACGGGGTCGCGCCACGGGGCAATGACCTTGATGTCGGGCTGAAGGGCGTAGAAGGCAAGCTCGAAGCGAACCTGGTCATTACCCTTACCGGTGCAGCCGTGGGAGACGGCGAAGCAGCCCTCGCGCTGTTGTTTGCGTTAGCGCATCGTTCCATGTTGTCTCCAATTTATGAGTCAATCGTACCTGGGCGACCTCGATCTGGGCGCGGGCAATGACAGGGCGGGCGAGGGAGGTACCAAGGAGGTACACGTTCTCGTAGACGGCATTGCAAGCAATGGCGGGGAAGCAAAGCTCCTCGATGAACTCGCGGCGGATGTCGGCAATCTCGCACTTGAGGGCACCGATCTTCAGGGCCTTCTCGCGGGCAGCCTCGAAGTCCTCTGCAGAGATATAGGTTAGATCTATGTCGGGTTGTTAATGTCGATGAGATTGCGAATTACCTTCCTGACCAACATCGGCCACTATTGATGATGTTAGAATTTGATCTTTATCAATGAGAGTCGCGACTTACTGAAACAGACGACCTCATAGCCCTCTTCGATGAGGTACTTCACTACAGTTGGAGATCAGTAACGGCAATCGGTGAAGTGTTCACTATAGAGTATCCATACAGATGCAGCTGGTGTCGAGACCGCCAGAGTAGGCGAGGCAAACCTGCGCAATTGGATTGTTAGTCAACAGTCAACATGGCGGGCAACAGTGTGGAGCTAGTGGCGGTGTGTGTGTGTGTGGGATATTGGAATTGACTGGTTGATTGAAATTGAGTGGGAAATGGGACGTTATAGTGTAATATACCTTTCCTTGTGCCATTGTGAAGAATTGATGGATAATCAGGAATCAAAATGACTTGAACTGTGAAATATAAAGAAGAAAGATTGAGTCATAGGAAAAAATGGTGGGAAAGTCACGGGGGTCCGACACCGGCTGATAACTGATAAGGTCGATCATTGCCCCTCCAATTCTGACATTCTTACACAGTGAGATCTATATGTTTTGCCCTTTGTTTTGTCCAATGAGATGATCTCTGTATATGCATGTTCGGTTGGAAAAGAGAGAGGTCAAGGTACACAAATCTCAATCGATTTTAGGGAAAGGCGACTTTACCACGTAAACGTCAGCTACAGACGATCTAGTGGAACAATTTGTACGGAGTACCAAATCCTCAAACCAGGGTTTTTCCTTTGCCATAATCAAAGTGGCTGCTTGTATGAATATTGATGGACATATATGAAATGGATTGTTGTTGTTTGCAGGTTATAGTTAGGTAGCCCTAGAGGGACTATGTGTCGATGAGGTATATTTTTAGGGATTGACTAAAAAGAAGCTAGTCCCATCTTTTCATAGAGATTTCAACGATCATGTCTTTTTTATGCACCAATACTAATCAAACCTGAGGGATCAGGGTGTACTCTCATTACTGTACTTTTGCAGTTGATGGATGTGTCAATATCCATTGTGAAAAGGTTCTTACTTCATCATAGGCAGTTTGAGCAGTTTGATATGTTTGTCCAATTTGCATCATCTCGGCTATCCGCGGCGCTTTCCCCGCGCTATGCCCCGGATCATGAATGAGCATAGCAATTTAAAGGGAATCACCCCTGCGGAGGAGAGAATCTTTCATGTATTTACATTCTGTTCATAAACAAAAATTCTAGCCAATGGCTTCTTTACGCACTCCAATGCGGTCTTTTGCCCAAGTGCCTCGACGGTTCTACTCCGGCGCGCCTACCCCTTCCGCAAAGCTCAATCTACCTATTGACTACAAAACTACTCCAATTTTACATCACACTTCATCCTCCTTGGCAAATACCTCAGATTTCCCCGCAGGTGCTACAAGTAAACGACTCAACTTTTTCCAAGCTATCAACTCTGCACTCCGAACCGCCTTGGCGAAATCCGACAAGGTACTTCTTTTCGGCGAAGATGTTGCCTTCGGTGGTGTGTTTCGGTGCTCGATGGATCTTCAGACAGAGTTTGGTTCAGATCGGGTGTTCAATACGCCATTAACAGAGCAAGGCATTGCGGGCTTTGCAATAGGATGTGCGGTAGAAGGAATGAAGCCGGTAATTTGAACGCTTCTTGATCAAAATATCATTCTGACTTTACTTTGTGAATAGGTTGCAGAGATCCAATTTGCAGACTACGTCTTCCCTGCCTTCGATCAAATTGTCAATGAGGCTGCGAAATTCCGGTATCGCGAGGGTGGGACAGGGATCAATGCAGGTGGGCTCGTGATTCGTATGCCTTGTGGTGCGGTTGGACATGGTGCTCTGTGAGTTGTCTATGATGATTCAAAAGATTTGAATTGCTAATCTGGTGAGCATAGATACCACTCCCAATCCCCCGAGTCACTTTTTGCACATGTCCCCGGTGTCCGGGTAGTGATGCCACGGTCTCCTGCCCAAGCCAAGGGTCTTCTTTTATCGTCTATCTTCGAGCACAATGACCCTGTGATCTTCATGGAGCCTAAGATCCTTTACCGTGCCGCAGTCGAACATGTCCCCAACGAATACTACACTATTCCTCTCAGCAAGGCAGAAGTCATCAAGCCCGGAAAGGACTTGACCGTCATCTCATATGGACAGCCTCTCTACATGTGCTCTTCAGCAATTTCTGCCATTGAAAAGGCAATGCCTGGTGTCAACGTGGAGCTTGTCGATTTGCGAACAATCTATCCATGGGATAGACAGACTGTCATTGATAGTGTGAAGAAAACCGGACGAGCGGTCGTGGTGCACGAGAGTATGATCAACTACGGTGTGGGCGCAGAAGTGGCATCGACAATACAGGAGAATGCATTCCTGCGACTAGAAGCACCTGTAAAACGAGTTGCCGGATGGAGTACACACACTGGTCTGAGTTACGAGCAGTTTATCTTGCCTGATGTTGCAAGTAAGTGCAGTCTACCCCGATATTACACATCAACCGCTAACTTTGGATCTTTTCTCCTCGTCTTTTAGGGATTTTTGATGGCATCAAGCAAACATTAGAGTACTGATTCGGAGACATTCTTCAGATCATAATAGCATATACATTTTTTTTGGCCCTCCCTCCACTCCATGTATCTGAAAATCCCCATAGAAATATTGATATTTCATTCAAGTGTTCATCATGTCAATGTTTGTTTTCCTCCCAACAACATCACATCCCTTGGTTCTGCGGCGGTCTTTGAATGAAAATTTGCGCGGGTGGCCCATCTCCTTCGCTTGACGATCCATCAACATATTAGAACCGGTTTCGTTGGCGTGAGTTTGTCTCCACAGGGGGCGATGAAGGACTTTTTAGAGCTGTGGATTGATAGAAGTCACACCTACGTACGATCCCATCAATGAAGCCTTTTTAAAACGTCCAGATATTGGCGTATAATATGACTGGTCACTTTGTAGTTCTTGCAGATGCTTTTAGCTTCACTACATTATCGAGCTAGGTAATAAAGAACATAAAATCCAGGGCATACAAATCAAATAGTGTGGCCATAAACATACGTTAATTCATAAGAGATGGCCCGCTTCTTTGTATGTTTGAAAATAAGCAGTGCGGAATTAGCCCGTTAGACGCCCAGGTGGGTTTCGTAAGCTCTCACGTAATCCATGGATGTCGGCCCCGGGGGACCTCGGGAGGATCCCGCGCGATTAGGGCACGCCATAGTCATGACGATAGCTGTTCACAATATATTTCAAATCAGACGCGGAATCCCTTCTAAGGTTGGACTTTGGATTACATGGTTGCTCTATAATCACTGTTTGACAGAATGATATGGCGTGCGATTTTAGGTGAGACAGAATATGTCGATTCGTCACACACACATATATAGAGTGGCGCAAACCTCCAACTGTCTTTTCAATTAACACACCATCTTCATCTCTTTCTTCAATTATCTTCCCATCATCAGACCAGGTATCATAGCTCTAATCTATACGTATACACTTTTTCAACATGTCGACTAAGGTTGCAATTGTCGGAGTATGTAAACCTATCTACCTTTATAGTTTCTGATGTGCTAACATTGACCCAGGCCAGTGGGAACGTCGGCCCAGCAGTTCTCGAGCAACTCCTCGTCGCTGGATTTGATGTCACTGTTCTCACTCGATCAGATAGTGACAAGAAGTTTGACTCCCGAGCTCAAATTGCCAAAGTAGACTATGAGTCCTTTGACTCTCTTAAGGATGCTTTGGCGAACCAGGATGTTGTTGTTAGCACCCTTAATGTCGGTGCTGTTCCACTTGCTATCCATTCTCGTATCATCGATGCCGCCGCAGCCACAGGAGTGAAGCGATTTATTCCTTCCGAGTATGGCTGTGATACCACCAACGCCCAGGCCGCTAAGCTACCCGTGTTTGGAGACAAGGTCAAAGTCCAAGAACATCTCAAGAATACATCCCAGACCTCCGGTCTCAGTTACTCGCTACTTATCACCGGCCCCTTCCTCGACTGGGGTATTGAGAAAGGCTTCATTCTTGATACCTCCGGTCCTGTTGTCACCCTCTACGATGGCGGCGAGCAGCGCTTCTCAACCACCACACTCAACGGTGTGGGCAAGGGTGTAGTTGGTATCATTAATAACCTTGATTCTACCAAAAACATTCCTGTCTATGTTGAAGAGGCCAGAGTGTCCCAGAAGGACCTTTTGCGATTGTCCGGCAGCAAGATTGATACTCAGATTGTCCAAACTGTGGACCTGGAAAAAGGAGCCTTCGAGGAGCTTGGAAAGCCGTCGCCAAATCCAGCAGTCTTTGCAACCAAATTTATCTTGAGAAGCATCTTCGGTGAAGGCTTTGGGTCCCTCTTTGACCCCAAGAAATTGTCAAATGACTTGTTCGGCTTGAAGCCCCTATCCGAGGAAGAACTTCGTGGGCTTTTCGCCAATTAAGCGGTCCATTCAATTATTGGCAATATGACCAATCATATTGTGTATGTCAATTCCTTCTTTGAGGAGGCAAAGTCTGATTGAAAGGGTAGATCAGGTGGACAAGTCAAGATTTGTAGCCAACACCTAATTAAAGAGAAACAAATCAAAAAACATTAGTCCAACAGTGTTGCAACCGGTAGTATCACATTCCAAACATCTCACATCTCCGTAAATGCAAGGTGTTTCAGAACGTTACCGTCTCGGAAACGCAAGGTAAGCATATCCGAAAGCGTTGAGTAAATCTTGGTTCCCCGCTTTATTACTCAAAACGAGTTGGCGAATCAAATCGGCACCAGATCTCGGGCTCGATACATATGAAATTCGAGGATTATTAACTTCGAGACAAGGTCGAAGAGTCATATTTTATTCTGTCGACCGGCGAAATGACGGAAATTGGAGAAATGATCTGGCTTTACCTTCCCGAGTGACCTGTTTTGAACATATTATGCCAGTCTGCCTAGCATAAGAACTTCCTCTGCTTTCACCAAAGTCTTGAAGTGGAACCCATGGCAATGTTGATTCCTGAGTCTCCCACGAGCCCGTATTATATATACTTGTGATGTGTCTTGGTGAAACGTTCGTGCATGCTAAGATTAAAGGGATTATAATGTCATAACATATCTCCAAAGTTGGAGCGCCAGGGGCATTCTCGCTAAACGCAAATGAACTTCAAGTCGAACAGCCATTCGCTATTGATCCAGCAAGCTTTCAAAATCAATCAAATCATCTGAAATGTTAGCATTGTGGTGAGTCATAATCTCCGAATACCTGCTACTTGTCAGTTTGCGATTGCATAGATCGAGTTAAGACACCACAAACGTTAACATTTTCCAAGTATCCACTGTGTGATCTACAGCGACAGAAGACCAATCAAACTTTTCCTCAGCCACGGGTTCGTCAGTGGAGTCATGATAGAGCTCCAGATACGGGTGAGCTAGGGCGGCGCCGGCACTTAAGCGTTCCTCGGGATCCCAAACGAGCAGCTTTTCCAGTAGATCGATGGCTATAGTGATGCACATGAGCATTCAATCTTCATCCACTTGTGGGGCGAAACAAACCGTAAGGTGATGCATTCTTGATTCTGCTGGCCATCGGTTGCTTAGTTCGAGCTGGTAAACCTTCAATGTATTTTGATGTCTGCAAATCAGAGTAAGTCATGAGTCACGAAACTCATCGTCGATCTCAAACGTACTGTCTGAGAAGAAATAGTTTCCAACACTTTCCGAGGAACGGACCCGAGGAGGTCGGCAATGACGGAGAACTGATCAGCATGACTTTGTCCTGGGAAAAGAGGTTTCCCTGCAATCATCTCAGCAAGGATGCAACCCGCGCTCCATATATCAACTTGGACGGTGTACTTTTGCCACGTTAACATAGTTTCAGGGGCTCGATAATGTCGCATGCTGACATAGCCGGTCATAGTGACATCGACTGTCCTGGCCAGCCCGAAATCGCATAGCTTGACGTCGCAATTCTCGTCTACCAGCACATTGCTTGGCTTGAGGTCCCGGTGCACAACCCCTGCCGAATGAATGTATTTCAAGCCACGCTGATAGAAATGAAACGTTAGGCTGGCTGGTTTTCCAATTGATTCCATCACGTACCATAATTTGGTAGAATATATATTTGATGAACTCATCTTCGATAGGTTTCGCGCCAATGATGTGTGCGAGATCTGTACTCATGAGGTCTGTGACTAGATATCTATGGATGTCAGTACCGCTATTGTGGGCGGAAGAAAAGGGTAACGAGGGCTATTACATCTCATCACGAGAGGAGACGAATATATCTCGCAAGGTAATCACCTGCTTGAGGAATCAATATGTTATCACCAATCTTCATCCTGGCTGCACGCACATTGTCATGTCGAAGATGGTTGAGTAATTTGACCTCTCGGAAAGTCCTCTTGGCTGCTTCCTCGGTGCGAAATGGCCCCGGGATCTTCTTTATCGCAACGATCTCAGATGTCAGGTTGTCCTTCAGCGAACTGGCCAACGGTCAGCTTTCCAGATACTTCATCCTGTGCTAAGCTTTTCGATTGTCAAAGCCGAGGTCCGCATACCACACAACTCCATAAGCTCCAAATCCCTTCAGTTTGATATTGGAATATCTGTATTTGACATTAGCTGCCAAGGCTGCCAAGTTCCAAGTTTTAAGGCCAGACACACCGGCTAGGAATGTCAAAGGTGCATCCACCAATATTATGCTTGATGGTATCAGTATCATTATCTGACATTTCGTTGATTGCTTCAAATCTATCTCGCTGGATTGTAGGAAATACCAAATCAGCAATCCAAATTCTGCATGAATAGGGAGCGAAGTAGCTCCCGAGGTCCAGACCTCGGGAGGGGCAGACTTAAATAGTCGTTCCTCATGCACACAGTCTGGACTCTGGACTAATCCAGGGTTTAAGTAAAGAATATCCTGTTTTTTGGCGTGCAAGAACACGAAGCAAAGACCGGGGTGTCAATTCCGGTTCCACTTACGGGAGACTAAAAATCCCAACTAGGTGGTCTGGGACACCGTCCCATTTTTCTCATTCTTTTTTTTTTCACTGTCGCCTGCATATATACGTTATGAATTGTTCGACCACGGGGGAAAAATAGTGTGAAGAATACAATGTGGTTACAGTTTCTCCATTTAATAAGGTAAATTTACCCTGCTTATGTGCAAAAGTTAAGAACACCTTTGATTCTAATTCATGTGCTTAGTTATGGAATATTACTCGGCAGCCAGGTTTTCCAGGTGAAACTTAAATCATCTGCAATAAAACTGGAAAACTCCTTACTGATGGATCATTTGACAGACTTTTTTCAATGGCATTCTGGCATACAAGGGTTTAAGTCGACCGTTCTTTGGGGTCCACCAGGGCGCGATATTTCCGGTCTACTTTTCGCTGCAATCCTTTCTCCCTGTTTTGGTAGCTTTAACTGGGGCTCAAAAGAACCAGTCAATGTCTCCACTCAATGTCCTAACCCCTCTTTACTGGTGTATGACTGCTGTCTCCACCGCGGGTTTGATCAATCTGATCATATTCCGGCCCTTGACACAAGAAGCAGTCAAAGCTAGAAACCAACAAGGTAATGGACACCACAAACTTGTCCGATCGCCATTTAGTAGAGAGAGAAGCTAATGCCTCATAGACACTAAGGATCGACAAACATCGCCCATTTTTGTGTCTCGAGAAAAGAAGATTCTAGATCGGCGGTTCATGTACATTCATGCCACGTCTATCTGTATTAATATTGGCGGACTCCTTGCCACGATTCAGTATGGAACATCACTTGCCAAGCTTCTGGATTAGGATCTACGAATGCAAATGCACACGGCTACACAATTTGCCACAGTGGGAATCGGGAGTTAAGTCAGGGGGATCTACTACCCGGCATATAAACGTCACTGATTACTTATTTTTGACCACTCACAATTTTTGTACAATTTAGTTTTTTTCCATAGAGATTCTATAATTACTAAAAACATTCAGAGAGACTACTCCATACAGTACAATAGTATAGATTGTGTATTTACAGTACTTTGTTGGTTACTACATTGGTGGCGAAAGAGATGTGGGCAATTCTGCCTTGTACAGCGCTTCTGATTGGCGGAAACTCGTCCGTGATCACAGAGCTCAACAGGTATCACGAACTTGTTTGTGTTTCGCTTTGTCCGCATTCAACATATGATGTCAAACATCTCTTAGCTATCTACAACCTTCAAAATCATGTTGAAAGAGAGTTTGGACCCTGTTAGTGATGACGTTCATCTCGGAGCAAGCTTATCAACCCTCTCACGGACGGTGCTTAAAACTGACGATGAACCTTGCTCTAATTTTTTCAATCTCTATTTCGGATTTCGACCCTTCAACAAACAGGTCCAACGATGATCTCACTCAGCCTTTAGATTCTGCTATCTTCTGACCATATCAACGCTTGTTGATCATTTCACTAATCTCGCAAACGAAAAGCCCGAGTCTCCCGATTATCCACAGACCAGACATATACAACCCCCTTTGGCGCATAATTGGAAACTATTACCATGGCGAAAGATATGCCAGTATACCCTGGCCTAGAGCGCTGGCGCCTTCTATACCCGATAGGCAAAGGGGCTTTCAGTGCTGTGTATCGAGCTCAAGATACTCAAACGGCACCTCAAACATCAAACGATGATGTTGCGATCAAGATCATGCGAAAGAGTGACATGACTTCACAACAGGTACGAACTATATCAGAAACTCATTGCGAAGACCTCTCCTTCATTTCACAATCCTTGCTTATCGAACAGAATTCCAGAATTCTATCATGTGCAAGGAAATTGAAACAATGCGCAAAATGAACCACCCCAACTTGATCCGATTAATAGACACAATCGATACAAGCCGGTACTGCTACATAATTATGGAACTCTGCACTGGAGGAGAATTATTCAACCAAGTGATCAAGTTGACTTATCTAAGCGAAGATCTCAGTCGGCATGTTATTCTCCAAGTTGCGCGGGCCGTGGAATACCTACATCAGACATTAGGAATAGTACATCGGTCGGTCCGCTCTATTACGCTGTATGAGCTCCCACAACAGTGACTAACAGCGAGAACAGTGATATCAAACCCGAAAATATTCTATTCCATTCCATACCGATGAAGCCAAGCAAGGTTCCCAAGAAAACACATCCAGGCGAGGAGAACAAACGCGATGAGGGTGACTTTGTGCCTGGTATCGGCTCCGGTGGTATAGGAGCAGTCAAACTTGCCGACTTTGGATTCTCTAAGATGATCCTAGGTAATTTGACTGCGACTCCATGCGGTACGATGGGATACGCTGCGCCAGAGATCGTTGACGATCAGAAATACTCTACCGGCGTCGACATGTGGGCCCTTGGTTGTGTTCTCTTTGCACTCTTGGCTGGTTATCCACCTTTTTACGATCCCAACATCAAGCTCTTGATGAAAAGAGTTTCAAAGGGAGAATTTGCTTTTGATTCTCCTTGGTGGGATAACATATCCGAAGATGCGAAAGATCTCATTAGAAATCTTTTGACTGTTGATCCTACGAAAAGGTACACCATCAATGAGTTCATGGCCCATCCGTGGATTCGAAAAGGTTCAGAGGAGTGTTCACAACAGAATTCAAATCAAACTGGAGAACAGCCAAAAGAAAAGCAGCCATCTCATTCGGACTCTCATCTTTCGGTAAAGGCTCGGTCAAGTAAGGTTCAAAATACGGTCTCTGAACAAAAGCGAAATGAAGAACTACTCAGTCCAGCACATCTAGCCCTCCAAGGTCAGGTGGAGTGCCGCACCCCGGATGTTATGAATGTGGGCGAGATATTTGATGTCGCCTTTTCTGTGCACCAAATAGAAGAAGAGCGGAGAAGACAGGAGAGGATATTCGGAAAGATTTCCAGCACCAATAGCGCCACTACGGCGATGTCACAGCTAGCCTTGTCGGGTGCTAAAGGAGCCAATCGTTTATCATTTATGGTCGAGCCTAGCTTGCCGGATCAAGCTTCAGGCAACACCGAGCTGAAACTAGACAATAGCTCATTGTTAGAAAAACGAAGAACGCGCCAACAAGGCAAATAAATACACTTCGTGACAATTGTGACATTCGCAAACCCCCCATAATCCTACGGGTAATTCCACATATAACAGAACCTCTGCTCAAAGGTCAAGTCAAGAACTGACTACTTCTGCAGCATTCAGCGCAATTTGAAACCGTGGTTTCAAATTTGCAACATCCTCGAGTCCAACGCTAATGCGAAGCGGATCCGCTGGCACACCGAACCCTACCTCCCACTCTAAACTCCCAATAATGAGCTAGAACAACATAGGGTGAAGTCAAGGTAAAGTTTGTGCCGTGACTAGGTCCATTAGCTGTCTCGATGTGATTGAAAAAGTCAACCGCATGCTCTTTCTTGTCGCAAGTAAAAGATAGCAAGCCGCCATATCCACCAGTTGATGTTCGACAATCATAAAATTGCTTCGAAGGACTGTGCTTGGGGCTATGTACTTCCTTGACCAGAAGATTCGCTAAAGGAACATCGCAGATGGCTTCGGCGTTCTCAGTGATCTTCTTAATCCGAGTCACGAAGTCATGGCTATTGCGCCCCATGAACTAATTGTCTTCGGCCCAATAGTTGTCTTCGTAGTCCGCTTCGAAGGCTCTTTCCAACCTCCCTTCAGGATTCAAAATCGAACTGCCGCTCATATCATTTCAGTCTCCCAAGAAGATTTTGATGAGACTGCTTAAACCCACGTCTGCATGTGGAAATACATGAACGTTGACGAAATTTCCAATCGTCTCGTCAACAACCACCCCGAAAACATAGGTGTGGGTCAGCTTTTTTGATTCGCTTGGGATCGGGGCATTTCAACATAGGATTCCCAGAAATTCACAGATAAGGGCCAATAGCGTTCGCCAGACTTCAGGCGGGCTTCTAATTCATCCAAATCTTCCGATGAGCCATGTCCGTAGAAAAGGCAACCGGGCCCGAATTCTGTAGAATCTTCAGAGTGTCAACATAAGGGGCTCCAAGAGATATGCTCTTGAGTTGACTTCTGGTTTCTAGCATCATTTGATGGGTATTGAGATTGACATTCATTCCACAGGGATAGAATTAAACGTCCTCGTCAGAAAGACCTGATACTCCACCAGAGTCTGAGGTCACATTAGAGCTTGCTTCAACTGTAAGATCCACTTTTCCCACCATGCCAATTCCCGTGCCGGATTCGGTACACACCAAAGCTTGTTTTCACAAAAGGGTCTTGGATCGCGAAGCTCACTTATTGGGCACTAATTCCCTGTCTTCCACGTGATAGCGGGCTAAATGCTGACTGACGTACCAATACAATATGGGTACGGGGCCAGCCATCATCCTTGTCGGAAAGCGTTGCCCAAGTTATCTGGAAGTATGTAGATAGCCTACAATATAGCGCTCGCATCAAGTATTGCGCTGACCCACAGGCTTAAGCAGCCATTCATACGGATTATGGTGAGAGACACTCATGTTTGGGAGATTCAATTGTAGGGTCTTTAAAGATTCAATAATGCATTGGATTCATGACTCATACGTCTAAATTGGGCCGATCTCGAGGTTTCCATCACTCCTCATCGAGCAGAGCTAAATCAAGACAGGTTGAAGCTGATATCCAAGCGCACTAAAGTTAAATACATACAGCATCATACTACATGTTGTACTACAAATCAGTTTTCGGGAGTCATTCAGGCTGTAGACCGAGTAGATCGAGTCTCGATCGCCCATTCTAGTGACGTCACCTATATACTAATCGTTGTTCCCCGATCTAACCCTTGCTTTGAACGACCGAAAATTTCCAATCTTTATCAATGATCTCTCCCGACGAGAGATTGATCGAATTTTCTGTTTTGCACTAGGGAATTTAACGAGAGTATGAAGACTGGAGCTAGGTCAAATCCAGTAGTCCTCTATTGGCACCGGTCAGCTTCCTGAGTATGATCTAACATCTTAATGCTGATATTGGATTGTAGGACGGATTTACGACTTCATGACTCACCAGCTTTGCACGCTGCTCTGTCGTTGAAGCCTTCCGTTTTCATTCCAGTCTGGACATGGGACCCCCATTATGTGTACAAAGCACGTGTGGGCCCGAATCGCTGGAAATTCCTACTAGAATGTCAGGCCCAGCTATCCAAAGGATATGAAAGACTGAACTCGAAGCAGAAACTGTGGATTGTCAGGGAAGGTCCACAGACGATTCTTCCTAAGCTCTGGAAGCATTGGGGTGTCACGCATCTCGTGTTTGAGAAAGACACAGATGCATACGCTCAAGATCGGGATAGTGCCGTTATGGCCATGGCTGAAAAAGCGGGGGTTGAGGTCATAGTCAAGATGGGCAGGACTCTGTTTGATTCCGATGAGTTGGTTGTGAAGAACAATGGTAAGCCAACGATGAGCATCACTCAACTTGAAAAGGCTGCCATGAAAATCAATAATGGAAACCCGGACAAGCCAATCGATGCTCCAGAGAGCATTCCCGATCCATGGGGTGAAGAGAGAATGGACCTCAGCAGCCTTGAGCATGACTCGATTGATAACAAACCAGACTTCAATGCGGAACATCGCATCAAGAAGGATGAACAGTACTCCAATATTATGGGCCCCAGCAATGACTTCGCTGTTCCGTGGGATGATATCGGTATTGATCTGTCGCAAGCGGCTACGCCTCATCGGGGTGGTGAGGAAGAAGCATTGAAGGTGTTGGGAGAATGTATCAAAAATGAAGAATACATTGCACGATTCGAGAAGCCGCAGACGTCTCCAGCAGATTTCGAGCCTCAGTCAACTACGCTATTGTCGCCTCATCTCCACTTTGGCTCGCTATCTGTGAGGAAATTCTGGTGGGATGTTCACGTCGTGATGGAGAAGCAAAGAAAGGCTAAAAAGCCTGTGGCGTCTGTGCCAACCAATCTCCCAGGTCAATTATTGTTCAGAGATATGTATTTTGCGGCACAAGCACACCTCGGTCATCGATTTGCTCGTACGCATGGAAACGAGGCTGTGAGGTTTATCGATTGGCATCTGCAATCTAACCCTCCAGACAAAAATGGATCGGTCGATGGGTCTTATGAAGTGGACTCGCAGGAGGCTGAGGAATGGTTCCAGCGGTGGAAAGAGGGTCGAACGGGCTTCCCTTGGATCGATGCATTGATGCGCCAGCTCAGGAAGGAGGGATGGATCCACCATCTTGGAAGACACAGTGTCGCTTGCTTTCTGACTCGAGGTGGATGTTATGTCTCATGGGAGAGAGGTGCAGAAGTTTTTGAAGAGCTGCTGATTGATCGTGAGTCTACTTACTTCTGATTCTTTCAACACCAGCTCACAAACCGCAGATGAAACTGCGTGTAACATCGGTAACTGGCAATGGCTATCTTGCACGGCCTTTTACGCGATGTTTTACCGCTGCTATTCGCCAGTCGCATTCGGTAAGAAGTGGGATCCGGAAGGAAAATTGATCAGACGGTACTGTCCTGAGCTTGCAAAGTTCGACAAGAAGCATATATATGAGCCTTGGAAAGCGCCCATTGCCGATCAGAAAAAATGGGGATGTAGAGTTACCGGAGATGGAACTTTATCTGCTCGTTCCGATGATACCAAAGATACATATCCGAAACCTATGTTCGATTTTGATGAGCGGCGGCAGATTTGTTTGGATGCTATGAAGCACGCTTATGATGTTGGTCTCCATGGAGGCGATGCTAAAGTCAAGGATGGGTCATGGAAGAATGAATTTGGAGATTCTGGGAGCGAAAGGCCCACAAAAAAGCAAAAGACGTGACGACGAAGAAGCCCTGGATGATTGAAGCCAAATGAACCGGAGAAGGCGGTCACGGGCAACCTTTGGCATATGGCTATGATACAAGCACATCGGAAGAAGCGCGGCCAGTCTGCCTGTGAATTTCATTATTCTATGCTACTTTATTCCACATACTTCTTACCTCGTGCAACCCCTCGATAGCCAGGCATTTCAGACTCTTAAACATTGGTTTAAAAGCACTAATAATGAAGAAGTTATGTAGGGGGGAAGTGCCTATCAAAAACGGGATTCTTTCCGGATAATTAGTGATGTTCGCCGGCGCCCTTGTGGCGGGTCGATCGCCGACCGCCTGATTTACTATGCACATAACAACATTGAAACACTTGAGTAACGAGCTGCTCTCACTAATTGACCCTTTTATAAGACCATGCCGAAAATAACTGTCTAACTGTCTAAACGACTAATGACATAAATTCGTACAGTTTTAGGGGTCGCGGGATACGTAGTTGGAGACTCTACGGAGCAGCGGGGCCAGTGTATCGGTTTTTGACGAAGCCTGCCCAAAACCCGGATTATCAACCCATCATGAACATTTCCAATGCGCTCGGCTTCGGTCTCATCTAAGACCGAAACTTGAGTATCTTCAGTGAGCCCCGAGCTACTGTGTTATGTTTTTATTTAAAGCCTCAAGCCTAGTCAATGATGATCTCTTTGTTTGTCAATCTGCAGTCGTTCGTTTCAACAATTCCATCTTCAATACCAAGGCCTACAATATGTCGGTCGTCTCGGTCATCCAATTTGATGCCAAGTCGGCTCCTCCTGCTGTGGTTCTTGACAAGGTCCAAGAAGCTCTGGAAGGAATTAATCCTCGTCCTGAATTCGTATTTGGCCCACAAATCCAAGATCAAGATATACTTCAAATCACGTCGGAGCAGAAAGGCCCTGGCTCCGAGTCAACACCGCATTCCAGTTCTTTAATGGTAAACCTCCACATTCTCAGCGAGACTCAGACTGTTTTTCATATCGCTCTGAATCGCCCCGCATTCGGGCCCAATGGGTTTGCTAAGGCAAATGTAACAGAGTTTGCATTATCCTACTTCCCAGCCTCTCGCGTCACGCCAGAATTTCAGACTCAAATTCAAACCGATTTCCTTGACTTTGAAAGGATCTATAGCCCAGCTGCGACTGGGAGCAGAGGCTGGGCGTCTGGCTGGCTACTGGAAGAGCAAAACCACGAAGGTCTGAAAGGGGAAAAGGCGAAGTGTTTTTGCGTGATGAGGGGGTGGGATAGTATGGACCTATTCCAGAAGTCGTTGGAGAGCGATGCCTACAAGGAGGCTATCCCGGTACTATTCAACTGGCAGGTGCCGTTCAAGATGGTAAGTGTCTTGTCTAGGTTCTAAGGTTTACGCTAATGAGTTTAGTGGCACATTCAACGTCTGCATTGAAAACGTCGGACTTTGCAGAGTTGTCATGGGTGTTCTCTGGCCTGGTGTGCACAGTCGCAAATATCTGACTAGGAATACAGTGACAATGCCAGCTATTGCCGATTATTGTGTTTGATAGTGCAAGCTAAAGGATAATGCATCGGTTCGAGTGGTGTCTGTAAATCTGATAGCTTCACGAGCTGAGAAACAAGGTTCCAATTGGCAGAACTCCTTGCAGGTCGACTGAGCATGGCACGCCTAGTCAACATTGGACGTGTACTGAAATTCGCAGCTCATGTGTGACTTGGCCCACGGGGAAGAACTCGTCGTCAGATGAAGCTGTAGTACCATATTGGTGAAGACGTAGCAGATCCTCACGCCCTTCTTCGGTCTTGTCGTGAAGGTGCTTGAAAAGGAGGCAGCAGGCTCGAAGACATGCGTTTTCTCTCTGCTGTCGGCCAATTTGTCGTACAATCTCGGCGATTTCTTCCGCAGTAGAGTATTTTGGTGGACTTTTGCCGCGGGGGAGATGTGATAGTTTTCTTCCGTGGTGAATCTACAATGTCTTTTTCAAAACGCCTGGGTCAGTAATGGCACTGGAACCCATCACATCCAATCCAGCAGAGTGATAAGGCAGAACATTGATGTTGATAGGTGGATACGGTCTACCGCTGATAATTTTACCGCTTTTGCGCTTGTCTTCCTCCTGTCGCTGCTGCTCCGTATAAAGGTCATCCCCGATTACATCATGAACATCTTTACGTGTCTCGAGAACACCACCTTCCTCAGCCCAGTTCACCAATCGCTCGAAGTTGTCTATACGAATTCGACAATGCTTCTTCCCTACTAGGTCCAGCCAGCAGTAAGGGCCTAGGTGGCATGCAGAAGAATCGCATTCTATCAAGCCATAGACGTAGCGCCAATTTGCTTGTTGCCCACATGAGTTTTCTTTGCCCTCTAGCTGAGCATCTGGATCATCGAGGATCCTGCCTGTGAGTGATGATCTGCCTCTCTTCTTCCCTTTCCAACTGGCGGATAGAGAAGGGCAATCCTCTACGTAGTCAAAACACACTCTCAACGTGACCAGGAACGGAGAAACCTTTGCATCCTATCATTTGGATCTGAATCTTCAGGTTTACGATTGTTTACCTACAAGCGCAACGTGAAGTATGGGAAAATATTTCCAATATGCTTGCTTCCTTCATCCTTGGCAGGATTAGAACGCTGAAGGCGATGTGATTCGAGGCATTCTTGGTGATCTCTTGAATAAAGGCACAAAAAAAATCAATTCTCTTGAAAATCGTGCTATCAGTACTGGCAATTTAGGAAATCAAAACTTCAAAATACCAACAAAGGAGATCCAGTGGATTGTTCCATGGCTGTTCCCTCGTCCATGTCATTTTGTATGATCTCACGTCGATGACCAGTCTCTAGGTGATGGGGATATCGTCAATGTACCCATGCACAAAAATGTTGAGCACTCCTTGGGAAAGGCTTTCAATGGCTTTCATGGCAGCCACAGTTTCGTAAGTTCTTCGAACACCCGTTGCAAAAGGTGATCCCACAGCGGCATCTAAACGAACAGTCAGTTCATGAGGCAACGAAACTAAAATCAAAGATCCTTACTCAACATGCGAACATCCCTCTGTGAGCTCTATCATCTGAAAGCACCTTGGACATTGCTTCCACTCCTGCCTTTTCGCCAGTTCTTTTAGCAGGGTTTCGTTCACATCGTTCATGTCGTAGCAGAATCCGCTATGTTTCGACTCTAGACACCTAACACACGTCCGAGTAGTGCAATGCTCGCAAGTTCCAACTCCACGGCGAATGTTGCCTAGCAAGATGTACTGGGTGCAGTTTGAGTTCGAGCAGTAGGTCCGCTTTGGGTCGTTCAGCTCCACCTTACGACCGTCGTACCTTTTTGCCATATCGAGTCCTATCACTTCTGTGACTTCCAGACTTTCCATTGTCTTTCCGCAACAAGACGTTAAGGCATCAGCCGGTCTATATGTATATAGTTCATCATGATGATCCTAGATGCCAACCTCCTAAACGCAGCAAAAATCAAAATAGGTCAAGGCAGCAAGACCTCTTACTGCGTGAACTTTAGAAAGACTCGAAATATCTGTGGGTATATACTTTTGATCATATATCCCCGCCTACTGAAGCTCTATCTAAAAACTCTTTTTACTGTTTAATCTTCAGAGCGGACATTTATCATCTAAAAAGCAATGGACATGGTATCGGCTATATCCAGATATTTGAAACATTATCTAATTTCACTTCATTCTCGTGATATATACAAAAGCAATACTAGCTCCAAACCCCTTAAAAGACAAATGGAATCTAGGTACAATCCACAAAGGATTACCAGGGGTAAAAGCCACATTACCAACCTCCCGTTATTCTGATGATATCTTTTCTCGACTGATCAAAGGTGCCTTCTCCTCGGTCTTAATTCGAGTGGCTTTGGCTTGTCTAGTTCTCCGCCTGTCACCGGTAAACGATGTTTTCCTCGCGCCACACTGGACAATCGCAGCTCCTCCACTTTTTTCTACAACTATAGCACCATTGCGAGCCACATCTGCACCTGGTAGATGTTAGCAGGAGATCATACTGTAGGGAATCGAGTAGAATATTAAGAGAAGCAAAGCAGAGGATTCTTCTTACGTGATATGGTCACAGCCCTTCTCACGTTCAATCAAACGTGAGCAACTAGGGCATCGTTGCCATCCCTCGCTTTTTGCTAGGTCGTCCAATAATTTGTCAAAATGGCGGACACAATCACCAAATCCATGAGCCTTCTGTTTGCATCTTTTGCATGTCGTTATGCCACACTTGCACTTGCACATAATGCTTTCAGCAATGCCTCCAGACTCGCTTGTCTTCTTTGGAGATATATACCGCGAGCAGGCAGGGTCTGAGCAGTAGGTCTTGTCGGGATCTTCAAATTCAACTAGATGTTTCTCGTACCTGAGGGCCAATTCCAGCCCTATCAAATCCTCAGCGTCCGAAACTTTGATCGTATTGTTACAGCATCGAGGGGGAAACATGGCCTCGTCACGTAAAGACACTTTGACCAGATTTATTAAGCAACCACTGCAAAGAAAGTGGGAGCATCGCATATTGATCCTCTCATTTGGCAAAGGGTGTTCCAAACAGCAAACACATTCAGGTCGCTGCTTGGGTTTTGAACAGTCCATTGAGTCTCGAAGTTTCTCAATCCTTCCTGATAGGTTGGCAAGTTGGGCCAAGGAATCTATATCGGTATCAAATTCCAGCGACATGGCTGTGCCCATTATTGACTCCAGGCTAGCTTTTTGCCTTCAGCTTTAGGGATTTTACCGACCCTGATCTGTACCAACCTCAGTCGGATCAATATTTGTGAATACTGGTGAAATTGGTTTATGTAGAAACAGGATAATGGTAGTGAGGAACAAAGTAATGCGACGAACTACCTTCTTATACCATTGGCATGGCCCAAATGTGAGGTGTTCACACAGATTAACAAACACTCACCGGCAAATAATGTTGGCTAGCTTTCATCGCGCATTGAGTATGAAGCTAGGAATGGAAATTTGATAACAAAAATTTGCAAGAGAATTTTTTATGACGAGGGCAGAGGGGTCGTGTTGTAAGGATGATGAATCGGTATTCTACCATACCTAGGTAGCAATTAGCTTTATGAAGAGTAAAATAAACCAACTCTCTAATTGTACGACCATAAAGTTTTCCCGCTAATAATAGTGTTCTGATTTAAAATAAAGTTTTGATGTGGCTTCTCTCTCTACCTATCTATAGTCCTCATGTTGATCGCTATCCCTCTGTGACACTGAGTCCCATGAAAGTAAAGTCGTGTCTACGAAGGTGCATAGTGGCCAGGGGTCGGATTGAATTGTTTCTAGGAGTGCTGCCTGAACAGGTGCCTGGTTTTGACCCCGTTTCCACCGCTTCATGCGGCGTACTGTAGCCATTATCCAAATTGTGATCCCTGATATCTCTTTTATATCCCTTTTTGCCTCTTTTCACCTCTTTTTTCTTACCGTAATCTCAGATATACTCAAGTCAGGCATCTTCAGGCAGCGGACCTAGATATCATTCAATTTGACCCCTGGCCGCTATGTACCTTCGTACCCGGGCGTATGCCAAGGGCTTTTAATGCCTGTGGTAAAGACAAAACGGGGCGGGCTTTCGGCCATTCGGCCTAAGCGTTGCCGATACCACCGAAAAGTTCGCGAAATTACCTTGTGCTTAATAATTGGTGTAAAATACCCAGGTGGAGGAGTCAACCCTATGGCAGTGTACATACATAGGTATAAATAAGGTGATGACTTGAGCTACGCGGTAGGATCTATACATCCACCATTATCCACTCCAACATGGCCAGTCCTAACCTCAAGTACACATCCAAGTTGCAGAACAGCCGTGTGCTGATCATTGGAGGTACTTCGGGGCTCGGATTCGCAGTCGCAGAAGCAGTTTTAGAACATGGTGCCGACGTCATTATTTCCAGCTCGAATCCAGCCAAGTTGGAGAAGACAGTAGACCGTCTGAAGGAAGCCTACCCCTCTCAGGCAGAGAAACAAAGTCTCACCACTCACGCATGCGACCTGTCCGATGTCTCCAATCTCGACGTGAACATTGAGAAGCTCCTCAAAGCCGCCACAGATAATGGAGTCACGAAACTAAACCACATCGTGTTCACTGCGGGCGATGCCCTAGTGCGCCCAGCCATGCAGGACATCACACCCGATCTGATCAATAAGGCCAGCACGGTGCGATACGTGGCACCTATGATTCTAGCGAAACATATCTCTAATTTCATTGAGATCTCCCCCGCCAGTTCTTATACTTTGACGGGTGGAGCCTCATCGCACAGGCCACGTTCGGGTTGGCCGCTTGGCGCCGGGCTTGCCGCTGGAGCAGAAGGGCTTATGCGTGGTCTGGCGGTGGAGTTGAAGCCCGTGCGAGTGAACCTGGTCCAAGCCGCAGCAGTTCATACCGAGCTGTTTGCAAATTTCCCAGCGGAAAAGTTGGATGACATTCTTGAATCTTTCGCCAATGGCGGTCTGACTGGGACAGTTGGTACCCCAGAGGATGTGGCGGAGGCTTACATATATCTCATGAAATGCCACTATGCGACTGGTAGTATTGTGGAGGCAAATGGCGGGTATTATTTAGGAAGGACATAGTGCATAGTGTGGAGCATATCAATGGAGACTGAGGCCCAATGTGGGCCTAGATATTGATTAGTCATTTTGCTTAACTCCATTCCGAGGTTATCGCCGACCGTCGTTATCGCAGGCCGTCATTATCTGATAAATCGCTCTCTGATATTCCGATCAAGAACTTCACTTCTGCAACTTCGACACTCCTAATGCAGACTGGCTACTGGTTCTCTTGTATGGCCAGCTCTGCATCGACCTTTGAACTTGATCAGTACCTCTCTATTAATCAGCGGCAGACGCCCAATTTAGCCCAGGATGCAGGGCTTCAGTAAGTCTGTCCCAACTGAGAGAGCGTGAAAACAGCGAACTAACATGCAACTGCAATAGATATGGGACGGTTAGCAAGAACTCCTATCGGTAATAAATTCCAACTAATCTTAATGTAGTTATGTTCCGCCCGACCAAGAGGGTTTAACGACCGGAAACAAATTGGCGGGGAAGCATGCTCTCGGCGCACGCGCGCGAAAGCTCCACACAACAGGAGCTCTGATCGTGCGATTTGAAATGCCATTCGCAGTGTGGTGCACAAACTGTAAGCCACACCCCGTGATAATTGGACAAGGCGTACGCTTCAACGCCGAGAAAACAAAAATCGGCAACTACTACACCACCCCCATCTACAGTTTCCGCATGAAACACACCGTCTGCGGCGGCACAATCGAGCTCAAAACCGATCCACAAAACACCGCCTACGTCGTTACCGAAGGCGGACAGAAGCGCGATACCGGCGAAGACAAGCCCCTGCAGCCTGGCGAAATCGCTATCAAGCCCCACGGCCCGGGCCAGGATGCAGCGGAAAAGGATCCGTTTTCGAAGCTAGAGGGGAAAATGGAGGACAAGACTCGCGCGAAGACGGAGGCCAGTCGCATCTTTGAGCTTCAGAAGGCGCAGTCTCGAGATTGGGAAGATCCCTATGAGAAATCTATGAAGCTACGCCGGACTTTCCGACAGCAGAGGAAGGGCCTTGAGAAGACTGCGGCTGCGAACGAGGCCCTCAAAGACAAGATGAGCCTTGGGATCGAGCTTGTTGAAGAAACAGACATGGACCGCCAGCGGGCGAGCATGGTTAATTTCGCCGAGGACCGCAATGCCCTCATGCCTCGTACTGAGCGTGCATCTCTTACCAAGCCTGTGTTTGAGCATGCGGGTACTTCCGCGCGCAAACCTGACCCGCGTGAAACATCACGTCCTTCGCACCGGACTAAGGCCGATCCTGTTGCTGCTCGCAAAGCAGCTTTCCGCAACGCGCTCGTTGCTAATACCCGTGCTAAGCTTGATTCTTTCCAAGTGAACAAGGTGGATGTTCCGAGGCCAAAGACGAAGGAGAAGACTGCCCCGGCTTCGACTCCCTTCTCTCGCGCAAACGCCAAATCGGCTCCTCCCGTCAGTCGCGCAAACGAACCTGATGCTGTATCCACCGAAACCCCGGCTGCCCCGGCGAAAAACCCACTGGTGGACTATTCTTCTGACTCGGAGTGATCTTCTTGCCAAGTCTCCTTGCGGATTTAATTCATCGGAGAGGCGTTCTTTGAACTTTATTATCGTGCTATGAGATACCCACTTTGTTCTAGCCTTTTAATCATAGCATTTTTCATGGATTGTGTGCCACGACTCTCTTAGTTAGGGCTGTAATGAATCTTCTTTTCCTCCTTTCTATATTGGCAAACATTACCGGACGAGTCAATTGCTTAGACCTATACTTGGTAGGTGACAGAGAACGGTATGAGTTCAAACAAGTATTTATAAAATAAAAATATTGAGACAAGAATAGCGGGACAACCCCGACCTAGTAAGACAGGGTATCCTGCGAGCTATTACATACAGTAAAATGACAAGAGCAGAGAGCAAAACGACTAAACAAAAGAAAGTCATGCTGCATCATGACTAAGAGCTCAGAAAGATCTCTGATCTACGCGATCAGCCTTTGCCGAAGAACGAGACTGTTGCTGCGCGGGTCCGGGTAGGTTCTGGCTCCTTGGCTGATGTTGGTACTTCCGAGAGAGGGGTCGTCGAGAGGCTGCGAGCGGGGCTGGCTTGCTGAGATAGGTTGGCCAGCTCGCCAATTATTCTAAGGGGGTCAAAGGAGTCAGTACGTTCTTCGAATCGAGAGAATTAGTGATGCTCACCTGCCATGGTCGCTATACCAATCATCGTGGGCCATTCGGACGTGCTTAAGCTGTTCCTGGATGCTTGCCATCTATGCAATAAATTAGTTTCCGTATACATTAACATAGTCTTCAATCTCATATAAATGGATGGAATGCGGGAAGATCTGATGAGTAGGAAGACTTCTTCAATCGGGGATCTCCCACCGTTCCCTCAATGGATGGGCCTAGGTCCTCACCTTCCGTTGTGGCTTGACCCCCATCTTCAGCATTCTCGCTACCCTCGTCGGCTGTCGCCCAACGGCTGGCGCCCAAACCCGAGCTGCTGCTCTTATCTCCACTGTCCGCCTTGAGGACAGCAAGCTCTGTTTCGAGCTCACGGACTCGGCGTCGGCTGGCAGAGATATCGGAGTCAACGGCGCCAAGTTTTTCGAGAAGACTCATGTTCTTGTCGATCTGGTTGTTCAGGTCACGCTCGTCGGCTTCCACCTTCTCTGTCAAAGTCTTGTTCTGAGTCTTACAATCAACGAGAGCGTCCGAAATGGCGGCGTTGTCGGCCTTGGCCTTGAGAAGCTGGTCGCGAGATTCAGAAAGCTGCTTCATGATATGCTCAAGGTGTGACTTCTGGCTGGTCGAGTCAAGAGCAGACTGCTGCAGTTCAGTGACTTGAGCGATGGTCGCCTGGTACTCCTTGTTGAGAGCCGCGTACCGACTCTCGGCAGATGTAGCGGACTCCTGGACGGTAATGCGGGCCTTCTCGGAGTCAGCAAGCTTGCTCTCAAGATCCGCAATTGTGGCCTTCAAACTGTCCAAAGCGGAGGTATCCTGAACAATTGCCGTAGCCCGATCGAGCTTCTCATTGGCATTAGCCAGGGCTGCGTCATGAGCCCGTTGGAGCTCCTCGATTTTGGACTCGTTGGAACTCTCAAGTTCCTTCCGGAGACTAGAGAGCTTGGACTCATGCATGGTGAGAAGCTGCTCGATTGCTTTGCCGTGTTCGGCATCAGACTCCGCTGAAGCAGCCTTGGAGGTCTGGGCGGCCTCGAGTTCAGCCTGCAGCTTGACTTTGGTTTCTTCAAAGGCAACTTGCAACTCAGCAATTTGCTTTGCATGAGCCTCGGCATCGTCCTGGTGAGAAATCTGCAACTTAGCAAGCTCAGCTTGCAACTCGGCCTTGGTCTCCTCGAATTGCTTCTGAAGCTTAGTGTACTCATCGGTGTGAGAATCAATCTCGCCAGCGTGGTCGTCAAGTGCTGCCTTCAATTCACTCTCGATGGATTGCACGCGTGTGGCGTGGGTGGAGTTCAAGCCATCTAGTGCCTTTTGGTGCTGCTCCGACACATCGGCGGCCTGCGCAGTGTGCTGGTCGAGAAGGAATATAGCCTCGGCGGCCTTTTCCTCGAGAGCCCTCATTTTGTTATCCTTCTGGGCGCTTTCCTTCTTAGCGTGATCTTCACAATCCAAGAGAGTGCGATGAATTGCCTCAGCTTCAGCTTGTTTGCTTTGCATCTCTTCAAGAAGGGCGTTGATCTTGCCAGTGCCGGTGGTCAATTGCGACTCAAGTGACTCACACTTGTGTCGAAGGGCGTCGATTTCCTGAACAGCAACGTCTTGGGCAGAAGCGTTGCCTTCATCTAGGGCACGGCGGCTTTCGTTGAGAGCAGTTTCCGAAGCCTCAAGCTTCTCTTGGAGGGACTTCAATTCCATGTCGTGAGCAATCTTCAGCTCGTTGATGGCATCCTTTTGGCCCTTCTGGGCAGTGATCTCCGAAGCCTCAAGCTTCTCTTGGAGGGACTTCAACTCCACGTCGTGAGCAATCTTCAGCTCGTTGATGGAATCCTCTTGGCCCTTCTTGGCAGTCGTCTCCGAAGCCTCAAGCTTTTCTTGGAGGGACTTCAACTCCACGTCGTGAGCAATCTTCAGCTCGGCAATGGCATCCTCTTGGTCCTTCTTGGCAGTGGCTCTTGAGATTTCGAGAGCATCACGGAGCTCCTGGAGTTGGTTAGTGTGTTCCGTGCCGCTCGATTCAGCGGTCGCCTCGGCAAGAGTGAGCTTCTCTGCGTGGGCTGCTGAAAGAGAGCTGATAGCAGCGTCATGCTCAATCTTGAGCTGAGCAATGGCGGCCTGGTGGGCAGATCCGAGCTCCTCGATCTTGGAGTCCAATTCGGAGACTGCGCTTCCACGGGCTTCCTGGAGTTCCGCATGAACCTTTTCGAGAGCCTGCTGTAGGCCGATGATCTCTTGGTCCTTTTCAGCGATCGAAGATGTCTGCCCAGGATTTTCCTTGGTCGCAGACTCGGCTGCAGCGAGCTTCTCCTCGAGAGACGTCACCTGCTCCTGAAGCGCAGAAACCTTCTCCTCGGCATTTTGCTCGGCGGCACGGACCTCCTTCTCCTTGAGTGTTCTCAATTCGACAATCTCTGTGTTCAGTTTCTCCATCACTAGGTCATAACGCTTGTCACGTTCGAGATGTTCAAGGGCACGAGCCTTCTCTTCCTCGAGGGCGGACTTCTGGAGCTCAAGCTCGTTATTCAAAGCATTGATTTGCTCTCCAAAATGAGCAGCGGAAGCCTTGTGAGCTACCAATTCTTGTTCGATGGCCTCAAGCTGAATCTTGTGGGTTTCCTTGAGCTCATCGAGAAGGGAAACTGTCTTCTCATCGCCCTGTGCGGAGGCAGATTGCCTGGCCTCCTCCAGTTCCTTTTGGGAGCTCTCTTCCAGCTCCTTGCGCTGGGTTTCCGCTTCCTCCAATCGATCTTTCAGGGCCTGGAGTTCCTCCATGTGAGCCGAAGTCAACCTTTCTATCTCTAGGGTGTGCTGCTCCGCCCGAGTAGCCTCAGTAGCACTTGCATCGCCCGATGGTGCTTCAGCCGAGATGGAGAGCTGGCTGAGCTTCTCATTAACAGTCTCCAGCTCAGTCTTTAGACTAGCCACAGTCTCCTCACTCTCGGACAGCTTCGTCTGAAGGGCTTGCAGCTTCTCAGACTCACCAGCACGAGCAGTTGAGGAACCAGGAACTGTGCTCAATCGCCTCTTGGGGTCTGCGCCAGTCGCAGATCTGACGGTGCTAGTCGTAGAAGTGGGGCGAGCGGTAGCCGGGCGAGTGGTCGATGTCGATGGAGTAGTACGGGCTGCAGGGGTGGTAGCAGAAGTCAGTCGACCAACTGGCTTGCTCGTGGAAGTCGCGGTGCGTGAAGTTGTAGTGGCAGGCTTCCTCTCCGCAGTGGGACCAGCGACACTTGATCGACGGTCGATAGAAGACGAAGTTGGTCTCAGAGGGGCCCGGGTGGTTGTAGTACCGGCCATAGACATGCGCTTCGCCGTGCCAGAAATGCCACGCTTCTCATCTCCAGAACTCGCCACGGACCGAGGCTTCTCATCTGCGGAGCTACTGACGGACATTCGGGGCCGGTGGGACGAGGTTGTAGAGCTACTCAACGGCTTCCGAGTGGCTGTCGTGGGCACAGGGCGGGTAGGCGGCTTGTTGAGGGTGCTGCTGGTGCTCGTACGAGTAGTACCTGTGGTAGGCTTCGATGCGGATGACGACGTGGGCCGCTTGGTAACAGCAGTTCCGGACGTAGTACGCTTCACTACACCAGGCGCGCCAGGGCTAACCTTGGCCGGGGAGGCCTTGGAAGCTTCCTTGACAAGCTCGGGGCTAGACTTGACCACCTCCTCACCTCCAGAGAGGACGGTGGGGTCTACCGGAGTGGCAGGAGGCTCATTCTCGTCGACCTCCATAGGAACCTCGGCGGAAGCAGGCGCAATGACCGGTTCGTCAATGGACGACATATCGGGGGGTTGTTTGAGATTAATGTATTAAAAGACAAAAGTGCCGAGGTATGTTCGAATTCCGGCGAGTGTGTTTGTTGTACAATTGAACTACCCTCGAACATTCAAGTTAGCATTTGTTCATTCCAAGGTAAAGCTTGACCACGCAGATTGAGAGCTAGTATGCACATCGAAGGCCAAGATAAAGAGCTTGGCTCCAATATTGCGATTGCATTGACCTCGTCAAGGAAGCTCATCGCGCTCAAAATACAAGAGCTGAGCTTGGCTTATTTTATTGCGTAGAATTTGCTGTACATTTTGCTCGCTGCGATAGCTTGACTGGGTGCAAATGTGCCTGAACCGAAGCTCCCAAAACAAAGGGCCAAGAGAAAGGAGAAGATTGTACTCACGCGCCTGACAGATTCCGGCAACTTCAGGGGCTGCAACAGCTAATTCAGAAACAGAATCAAAGGAAGTCCAGCGGACTGCAATTGAACAAAGAAAAAGCAAATAAACGAAGGTAATGAAAGAAAAGGGGAAAGCGGGAAAAGAGAAAGCGGTGTCAATTTAGGAGGGGGGGGGATCGTCCAACTGGGTCGTGCATCTGGGGTACTCAATCTCCCTTGCATATTGAGAACTTGTCTTGAGATGTCATTGAGTGTGATTCAGTGGTAATTTTATTGTCTCTTGATCTCATGGAGGGTCACGCATCATCATAGAGACCATAAGTTTTTAACACTGTTCTTCGAAATCCGCAATGTTTATACTTTGTATAAATCCGACTTCTATATTAGCTACCTATGTCCATCTCAATATACATATCTATAGAAGTCCCGATGTCTGTACAAATTTAATTAACATAAGCCTTGAGAGATACACAATGTATGCAAGTCGGCCTAACGCGTCCACGGGTATTCGGATCAAAACAATGACATCCATGGTTCGGATCCACTCGGCTTTCCGCTTTTATATACTGTCGACCTCGAAAGCTCATACATGATATATATCGGCTTCCCAAATTGGGTGTGATTTTACTCGTAATTTTCCTCGATATGTTCGATGTCTAAGACAATTTGGCTTTCTTTGTTGTATTTGATGCACAGCATCGCAAAAGGGTATCCCAAATCAATTAATACAGTATCTAACTGCATATCCCTAAAAAGCATATTTCAATCCTCATCCAGCCGGAGCTCGATAGCTTCGGCCTTAACCTGTCGCAGAATGCGCTCAAAGAACAAAGTACCATACCGAATGTCACATTTGATATCGATGTATAAAGCATCTCCTGTTCGTTGTCAGAAAGACCGAAAAGGAAAGAAGGAAACAATCGTACCATTCAATCCATCCATTCGGGCACTCTCAAATGCACTTCGGAGTGCATCCTTCTCCACTCTGGTCCATGGCCCACAAGAAATATGACTGTCCACCTCTGTCAGGTTGAAGTGCTTGTATGTTGGATGCCTGTGGGGCATTCCGCGCGCGCTCTTGCACAGTCTTCCAGCATTCACTGCATCTTTGATGGTTTTCACGCGCGGCATTAGCTTTTGAGATGGGCCCGCGAAGTCGCATCCCATCTGGGAGGCCATATCAGCAAAAGTGGATATTTTATAACTGCATCCCCAAAGTAGATCGAGAGAAATGCAGAAATGACGTGTCGTCCAATCGCCCTTGGCCATGTACGTCTGGAAACCGAAAAGAACCAGCTCAATCAGCAATGGCACAATATGGGCCTCAAGTTGTTGGACTAGCATTGCACCCTCCACTTCGTCGCTTTGGGCTTCGTCGTAGATAATCCATTGAATCTCCTTGAATATGTTGTTGGCAATTAGACTACACTGCTTCCTCCAATCTCTCTGGGTAGAAATTTCTGGGGTAGCGGTTTCAGTCATGGTCTTATAGAAACCTCGGAGTCGGTAAGTCATCTTTCTGATATGATTGAATCGTTCTTTCATCGAGGGGTCGGCTTGTGATTTGGTTATTTTCCGTGTGTTGACCATGGTTTCCCAAATTTCTTTAAATCCAGATTCTTGTATGGTTTCGCTCAGCCAGATGAAAATCGGATGGGTGTTTGCGGGAAGTTCATGGGGAAGGGATTGATGGTCTCCTAGTGTCTCGGGTATCTCCTGCGGAGATGGAGCAACCAGGGAGGATTGTAGATCACTGTTCGGCGCATGTATCGAATTTGAGAATTCCTTTTGGTTTTGCACTGTACTATTAGAGATTTGCACCTCGACGGAAACTCTGGGGATGCGAGTGGACGTTGACTTCGTCTGATCTTCGGACGAGGAATAACCACCAGAGCTGTTGTCGGATTCATCTGTAGCTTCGTCTCTATTTTGGTCTTCACTTTCATCTTCGTCTTCATCTTTGTCCCCGTGCTTGTCTTCATATCCTTCACCTTGTTCTCCATATCTTTCAAACAGTTCAATCGGTCGAAGGAAAGGATCTAGCTCATCCTCACTACCCGAATTATGGCGGATTTCCGCCTGATCCTCCTCTCCGTTGTTGTCGTGTTCAGTTTGGATTGGTGCAGACTCGCTGTTGTTTGGCTCGGAGTTGCCTCCGTCTAACTCAGATTCGGCATCATTGGGCTCCCGGTCTTCTTCGTTGTTAAAAGAGCTTGACGATGACTCAGTTTGTGCAACACCCGGGTGCGCTTTACTTCTCAGAATCCTTGTAGTGGTTTTTGGTTCGGTCTGACGGGCTTTTTGGGGTCGTTCTGGGGAGACGGGTAGGTCGTACACGCTATCTCGATGTGCAATACGACGCTTTTTTGTGTGGGATAGATTATCCAAATCTGATGCGTTGACATAGTTCAACCAGTCAACACTGTTGGTGGTGAGATTGTTCAATTTACGAACCCTCCGCGGCATTTTGACGCGTGGGTAAGTTGAATGAAAGCACGACGCGGCAAGGGAAGCTAGAGTGGAGCCCCCCGCTAACAATAATAATATCATCCCGCTTCCCCTCGTTCTCTTTGCACCTCACTATTTTGATTTTTACTTCAGCAAAAATGGCTAATGGTCCGCCTATACGTGTGCTGTCCGTACTGGACCCGTCCATGCCGCAGAATTTCATCAGACCGAATAAGAAGATCCATGAATCCGACGATGTATCGGCTTTCCTGACCTCGAAAGCATACACTGACATCATGACCTGGATATTACAACTCAACCGATCAATGTTTCCGCTGAAGCTACCGGATAATACAATTCAACCCTGGATAATCAACAGCGACGCGATTCAATATTCCGCCCCGATCCGCCAATTGCAGCGACTCCTCTTGAAACTCGAAGATATCATAGCAGAGGTCCCCCCGGACACCGGCCCACGCAGATTCGGAAATATAAGCTTCCGGAGGTGGTGTGATATTGTTGAAAGCCGCGCATCCGATTTATTGAAAGAATGTCTACCGGTCGAACTCTTGCAGCGAGGAACCTCCAATGCGGACAGCACGACAGCAGAGACCGAGTTGAAGGCATACTTGTTGGGCAGTTGGGGGAGTGGACAGCGCTTGGACTACGGCACAGGCCATGAATTGAGCTTTCTCGCTTTTCTTGGTGGAATCTGGAAGCTGAACGGCTTTCCCAAGGCTGATCCAGGCGTGGAGGAGCGAGCCATTGTCATCGGGGTAGTTCATCCGTGCGTTTGCCCGAGTCTACCGCACAATATATGTTTCAACGTTACTAACTGCTGTCTCCAAGATACCTGGAACTTGTCAGAAAACTTATTAAAACATACAACTTAGAACCTGCTGGCTCTCATGGTGTCTGGGGACTTGACGACCACTCTTTCGCTCCTTACATCTTTGGTTCTGCCCAGTTCTCGCCTGCAATCAATGAAAATGACCTTACCCCCGAAGAAGGCTCACTACCTAATGCCCCGGACCCAGGAGATGTTGCTAAGGCAAATATCGTTGAGAGAGAACGCCAAACTAACTTGTATTTCGCTGCAATTGGGTTTATCTATGATGTGAAGAGAGGGCCATTTTGGGAGCACAGTCCCATGCTATTCGATATCTCTGGTATTCGAGCCGGCTGGGGAAAGATTAATAAGGTTTGGCATCTCCAATTTCATTGAGTTTCAACGCTGACAGGAAACAGGGAATGGTCAAGATGTACAATGCGGAGGTTCTTTCAAAATTCCCCGTGGTACAGCACTTCCCCTTCGGCTCTCTATTTACTTGGGACCGCGATCCAAATGCTATTCCGCCCCCTTCCACTATTCACACAACCTCCGGTCCCCAGGCACGTCCGGTTGCGCCGGATCAAGGTATGCCGTCTGTTGCTGCCATGCGCCCCGTGCCTGGAGCTGGCACTCAGGCTCCCTGGGCTAAGCCTGGGGCTGCATCGCCTGCTCCTCCGATGGGCGCAACAGCAGCTCCTTGGGCTGGGGCAAGGAGAGATGGTCCCACCGGTTCCTCAACGAGAATCCCCCCTACTCTTCCTGATACTTCAAGGATGCCTCCAGGTCCTATGGCTCCTTCTAGAGCACCATGGGCATCGGCGTCCTCACAGCCTGCACCTTCATCTTCAGGGGCAAGTGCTGATGCCCAGACCAAGGCGCCCTGGGCGAAATGATCAAATGGTCACAAAACAATCAAGAAAAGAAATATATCAACATGCATTACTGTAATTCCTCTGAGTTCTGAACACTTCTATATATTGTTTGTTTTAACAGTAACTTGAACCAATATTGTCTTTAGATTGCAACCCCTTTCACATGTGCTCATTGCTCATTGGCGTGATCCAGATGTTGTCTTAGTATTACAACAGTAAGTTGTAATCAAAAACAGCATTTATAGTATGGTACTCGAGCTGGTTCAACAGTCCTCCTTTATAAATCCGGTTCGTATGGATCCAGCAGAGGGCACCCTTCATACTCCAATGCAGGTGCAGGATAACGTTGTTCGGTCTCTTCTTTTAACAAGACTTTCTCGAAAATGCAATCAACTTTGGAATCCTTAAAAGGGAAGCACAAAATGTTCTAAAGAACCCCAATCCAATTCCTTCTTATCCTTCGCCGGAGCTTGACTCATCCTCCAGTGAGGTCCCATACTTCAAGAACAACATCCGACTCCCTGATAGCTGTCACAAGTGGATTATTCCATTCCAACCAAATAGCTGACCACGGCAATTGAGGGATTACAATTGGAAAAGACCTCAATCCATATTTTTCCCATCTATTCTGAGACCAGCAGACCCGGAAACCGAAGTTAATCTTCATGTGCTCAGACCAGAATGGACACATGATCAGACCATACAGAGTGCTCATACGAATTCCACTCTCATCTCCTTCGATATCCTCGGCGGAAATGGCCCATCGGCTTGTTTCAACCGAATCTATGCAATTGTTACTTCCAACCCATGACAGCAACATGGCAGGAGGCAGCCTGATGAGCATGCGACGTCAGCTGGCGTCTGGGTGTAGATAGCTCTGTCGGTTTTTGAAGAAATTCATGCATATCTTTGCCTTGTGAGTTTACTAGCCTTATGGGTTCTTTGAGGTTAGTAGTGAGATTGAAGTTATGGGAGCTAGTACGGTTTAAGTGGGTTACAGCTTTTAGCTTTCCTGCGAGGTGTCACTAGTGGTTTACCATCTGACAACCATAAAATTCTGTACTAAAATTTCTTGGCTCGCCGTATGTTTGATTACTTTGAAGCGGTAATTGAATATTTTACAAGAATGCTTGCCGTGCAATTCTTACACTCCGACAGCAAGATATAGTTCACATCCAAAAACGGTTCAAGCATTGGACCACATCATACTGCGACGATCCACAAAACACCAGGCACCGACATTCGACGAATGTCGGACCGACAAATGTGTCTAGGCGAATCATGGCTGAATACCAGGGTCCTCTGCCAAGACATCGGGCCGGAGTCCACCATATGCCAAGCCCTAAGGATCGATGGTGCCTTGTGGTTCGGGGCGAACATATCGCTCTTTTCACTTGTGAAAACCCCTGTCCAGTCACTCAGAGTATAACTGCTAGCATCTTGGCATCATGAACTGCCCGTCCCGGACCGACAATGGTATGCTGCGTGATGGGTGGAATCAGAGCCCACGCTTCCTCGCTTCTGATGTGACTACACGCCAAGACCTCGGTAGCATTTCAAACGCCCGTGAAAAGCAAAACGACGAAGGTGGTACAGGCGTAATACGGGGAAGCTCTAATTGGATGGGTGTTCTCCCGCTGGGAGAAAAGAATGCGGCCAATGATCTCGCTTCAGGACGCGAGGCGTCCCTGACATTGTCAGGTATAAAATTCTAATCACATATATGATATATGATTCTCTTGTCTTACCAGTTCGATAGGACGCCTCGCTCCCCACCAAACCAAAACCGACCTCGGTCACCAAAGATTGGGTGCGGACGACGTTGTTCTTCCGACATATCAAAGCATCAAAGATTGGGCCTTGTGGCTCCTCTCAGTGCTTTTTGTCTCAGCTCTGATTTCATTCGACACCTTGAAGAAACGCTTCACTTCCAAAGAGTCGCTTGTGCTAGAAGAAACAATTGAACAGTACCCAGTATCCGCGAAACGATCAAGCTGTGCCCAAGGAGGGGTTCGTGGCGATGCGTATGACCTGCCGCTGCATGTCGCAGCCCTCTTCATCATTTTGGGCACTTCGACCATTGCATGCGCATTCCCAATTCTCGCTACTCGTTTCCCTCGAATGCACATTCCGCCGTCATTTTTGTTCTTCGTCAGCCACTTTGGAACTGGTGTCTTGATCGCCACCGCATTTGTGCACCTCCTTCCAACTGCGTTCACTTCTCTGGGAGATCCGTGTCTCTCCCATTTCTGGACGAATGACTACCCTGCTATGCCGGGTGCCATTGCATTGGGTGGCATCTTCTTCGTAACAGTCATTGAAATGGTGTTCAGCCCGGCCCAAAGTATTTGCCGTGGGGGAAACCAGGCTTCAGCTCAGAGGCCGACTTCTTCGGCTCGAGTTTCAGCGGAAGCCACAATTCCATCATGCGATGAGCTCAGGTGCCCCGAAAATTGTATAGAGCGAAGCCCGCGTTCTGCTGGCATGGAAGGCCGACCCCATCTGCGGGATATGGGTCCATTGATTGGACGGTCTGCGAGTATAAGCAGAACTATTCATCGTATGGGAGATGGCACCGACGAAATTGTCCGAGTTTCTTCTGTGCCCGATATCGAAACTCATCATGAAAAGGAGAATGGGACCATCCAGTCCGATGTGGAGCGTCACGATGACTCCTTCGATCTCACCCCGGAACAGAAGCAGAGGAAGGAAACGATGCAGGTTTACCTCCTCGAGATGGGCATCCTTTTCCACAGTGTGTTTATCGGCATGTCGCTCAGTGTGTCAGTTGGTAATGAATTCGTGATCTTGTTGATTGCCATTGTATTTCATCGTGAGTTTTCCATTGTCCATTCCATTTGTGGCATAATGGGTTCAAGTTGACCAAGTCATCCACAGAAACATTCGAAGGTCTAGCACTGGGATCTCGCATTTCCGCACTTCCTTGGTCAGAGAAACAACTCCAGCCATGGATCATGTCACTTGCTTATGGTTGCACGTATGTTCAGTCCGCTCCCACGCCCCAAGTTCAAATGCACTAACATATTACCAGGACTCCGATCGGCCAGGCAATTGGTCTCGCAACACATACACTTTACAGTCCCGATTCAGAGGTCGGTCTGCTTGTCGTTGGTATCATGAATGCCATTTCTGCCGGGCTTCTCATCTTCGCCTCCCTTGTAGAGTTGATGTCAGAAGACTTTCTTAGTGACGAAAGCTGGCGCATCCTTCGTGGGAAAAGAAGAGTATACGCCTGTATACTGGTGTTCATGGGGGCTTTTTGTATGAGCATCGTCGGAGCCTGGGCCTAAGCACTCCGCGATAAAGCTTTGTATGGACTTTGGTACACGGCTGATGCGTCGCGCATGCGACTCTTGATCTAGGAGCTAAGCAAGTCGCATCGAGTTTGACTTCCGGTAGTGGTGGCCTTGGGGATGGTAGGGAGTGTTGGGTGCGAAGGTACATAGTGGCCAGGGGTAGGATTGATCAGATTACAGATAAGGGGGATACTGACTTAAGTATAAAAGAGATTATGGTAAAAAGAGGGCGTAAAAAGAGATATAAAAGAGGTATAAAAGAGTTATAAAAGAGATATGAAAGAGATATGAAAGAGATATAAAAGAGATATAAAAGAGATATAAAAGATTTATAGAAGAGATATCAGGGATTCTAATTTTGATAATGGTTACAGTATGTCAACATCAGACATCTGTTCAGACAGCACGTCTAGAAATAATTCAATCCAACCCCTGGCCGCTATGCACCTTCGTAGTTAGCGGAGTTACGAGGTGGATGATTCTTCAGCAACGCAGATCAAGCCATTTTTAGTGAGACTTGCTTATCCATTTTACCCTTTCCAAAAAAATATCTGCAACAGGGATTTTGGTTTTTGGGCAGTTTGCCATCTTCATAAGATAGGACGATCTTGTCCCAAAAAGCATTTCTTTCGGATCGTCCCTAATCTCTGCCTTTTCGTTTATTGGAAGTTCGAAGCCGCGGAAGGTAACACAACACCAGCAATCTGGGGTCCAATGGACCGTACCTTTCTTGCTAGAGAGGTACCTCTGTGCGCGGCATCCACACCTCCGGCTACAACATTCTCCTTGGTCTGAGCAATCCAGAACCATTCCTGCGCGCATATACCATATTTTATCACGTCTGATAGTATCATAAAAGTTCTTTCAAATTCAGTACAAGCATTGACTCCTCTCGGTAAAGGGCGCGTTCCTTTTTTGGACCTTGTAAGTTTGCCTCTTCGAGCCCTTCGTTCACTTCAGCATATTGGTTGGTGTCGGATTCAATAGCTGCGCCCTTTTCGAAAGCCATAGCCTTGTGGTTCAACGTTTCCATAAGCTGTGTATGTTCACGTAAAGCATACTCAGATAAGAAAAATCAAATTGATTATATTGTCGAATCACATTACTAATTAAACACATCGTTGAATGGAAACCCCAAAGAGTCGCTCACTCATACCGAGGTCTCTCCGCATGCTCTCATTGATCCTATTCCGCTTGCAGTTCAGCTCCTGTCTAGACAAAATGGGTTTCATTGCGACTGATCCGCCGTCCTTGGAACTTGAGATCGCCTACGCAGTTGACTTCTACAATAGCACCATCACCCAAAAATTGATATCAACCTTGACAGTCCTCGCCGTAGTCGATCTGGCCTTCGCCAGTCTCCACGCCACTCGACCCGAATTTCCTCGAAAGACGACCACAAAGGTCGTTGTGGCATGAAAATTACTCCTTCAAATGTCCCAAACTCGTACGAGCCCCACATCGCATTCCTATGCAGACGGAGGGACATGGTAAGTCCTTCTGAGGGTGCAGCATCGAGCCATTGGTCTTCAACGTCAAAGGAGCGAACTTGATAGATTCCATAAAGTAGACCCGATGTATTTTTGAGATGAGGTGAAGACGGGGGGTTCTTCATTTTCGTTCTCGTCTTCGTTCTCCTAATCGATTTCCATTCTATCATGTGCGCCGTCGTAGGGAATTCCGCCGCCCTGAGTAGAAAGGTCAGGATCTGTTCTTTCTAGTGTGAGGGGGAGTAATGCTTACCATTCCGCACGCAAAATCGTACGAGGGAGGTGCATCCTCGTATTCAGGCTGCCCATTGAATCCATTCACCTCCAAGTAGCTTCTAGCATCTACACGGCTGTTTTTCGGTGCCTTCTGCTCACCTACGCGACGTTTGGCGGTCTGTGACTGGCTTGCCGTTTCTTCTTCATTCGAAGCTATCTTCCTCTTGGCTGCCGCATTCTGGGTAGTGGCAGTCTTGGCCGCCGTAGCCTTGGGGGTAGAGGTCTTCGGTGCAGTTGTCTTCTTGGGGCGGCAGTCTTGGCTACTGCGGATTTGGCTGCAACTTTGGGAGCTGCGGGAGATTTGGCCTTTGCAGCTTTAGTGGCGGTAGCTTTGGGCGCAGCAGGAAACTTCGCACTAGCAGCCTTTGTGGCAGTGGCTTTGGGAGCAGCCTTTGTCGCAGTACTCTTCGGTGCAGCTGGTTTGGGAGCAGCGGGAGCCTTTCCCGCCGCTGCTTTCGTCTTAGCAGCTTTGGTCTCAGCAGCTTTGGTCTCAGCAGCTTTGGTCTCAGCAGCTTTAGTCGCAGTAGTTTTGGACTCCACAGTCTTAGAAATTGTGATTGTCTTGGTTGCAACAGTCTTTGTCGTTATAACCTTAGTATTTACCTGCTTGTGTGCTCCAGAGGCCACTGGATTTTCCTCCAGACTTCGTTTCTTCTATTCTTTCTTCAGGTTCTTTTCAATTTGAATGCTTTCTTTGGGAACGCTGAGACCGCCATCTTGCAAAGCTTTCAACAATCTCATCTTGGCAGTTGCTTTGACCTTTGATGGGGGCAAGCCATAGTGAATGAGCTGTGCTTCGTACCAATGGCCTGGGTGGTCGGGTGTGCTGTCGACGCTTGTATCATAGAGAGCTTTGATCTTAGGGGGTGCCGCGCGCCGGTGGATACGTCCGCCAGATGCGGCGACATAGAATGTGTCAACATTGAAGGAAAACTGACCGTTTGTAACAGGCAGCATGGTCAAGAACAAAACAGTCCAAAGATGAGAAGAGAGAGGAAGGAGAAGTTGACCTGAAGAAGGTGGTGCTACAAACGTGGGCCCCATGTTTTTCTCCAAAAGTATACAGGGTAAACAGACACCTTCAATTTCTGCACACCTCTTGACCTATATTTCTTTGGATGGTGCCAATAGTCTGTCTACAAACGTTGAGCTTTTTGTATGATCAAATATCTTTCCCAAAACTACCGTTCTTCGGATGAAGGTGCAATGCGTGATGTCAGAATTGATGTGTCGATTATGAAAATTCTACTGGAGGCAGACCTCTCTCTTCCAAGGCTGCCTGCACAGTGTCCTGCATCGTCCGTATAGTCTCTTCCCAGCTTATCGTCCCCTCGGATCGAGACCCTTGGGCATTTTCAGGTTCCTGCCCCTGCAAACGGTCATCGACCAACCACATCAGCCAGCGCACAACTGAAACTGCTTTATCCACATCCTTCTCCGACAAAGTCACACTAGTCAGGTATGTACACAATGATATAACATCTTCGTCATATGGACCACCCGCTGCAAACACTTCGTGCCATGAGCTCACAGCGTCTCGCAAATCCGGTAGTTGCGAGAGACGCTGCGATGTAAATACAGGCCTGTGCGGGAGAGGGGGAGAGGGAGACGTTTCTCTGCCACTGCTGGTGCAGGGGGGTGTTGTTCCTGTCGAGATGGAGGTCTTTGCGCAGATGCCGTAGTTCGTGAGCGCTGTTGAATGCGGGAGCGTTTTTGTTCTTCAAGAACTTCTTGTCTAATATCTTCAGGTAAGGCAGCGAGAAACTCAGCTGAGACTTCAGCCGGCTCTTCGATATTTGGTGATGACTGTCTGGACAAGACTTCCTCGGCACCAGCAGATACAGCCATTGGCCGAGGAAGCACAAACCCGAAACCTGATTGATTTAAAAATTTAGATTTGGCGTTATTCGCAAGCGTTACCGACTTTGGTGGACGACCACGTCTCTTTTTGGGAGGTGAAGGTGGCCTTCGCAGCTTGAGAGATCCGGGGATCGATGGGCGTGATTCGAGTATTGACGGTTCGTGTTGTGGTGGTGGTGGTGGTGGTGGTGCAGCAGCAGAAACCGAGTGGTTATAATATTCTAGTACCTCCTTGCGGACATCTTCGGGTAGTGCGGCCAATGCATCGGGGTCTAACTCAGACTGAGGAGGTAGGTCTGCTTGAGCAGGCTGTCGAGTCTCGCGTGGAGGGGGACATGGAGATCCAGAGCGGACATTCTGTCGCGGTCTTGCTTGTGCAACAAGTCTTGACCTAATGTCTGTGGGCAACTCGGCAACTACTTTTGGGTCTGCCTGAGTAGGCATTATGAACTGAGATCCAGAGATATTGAGAGGTTTGTGGGCACTGTCACTCAGGACTGGGTCCGCTTGAATGCGGACAGATTCATCTTTGTGCGGACTCTCCAATTCATCGGGATCAAAAATTGGGATGACCTTCTTGCGAGGTGGGGATACAGTGAAGTTTAGTTGTCGTTGGCTGCTTTGAAGACCTGAAGAGCCGGTCTTGATCGGTTCAAGCTTGGTCATTTGGACGCCCAAGCCTCTCAAGTCTCCTGGAGAAAAGTTGAAACTCCTCAACATTGATATCGCTTCCTTCGAAACGACATCCGGTGCATTGGTCGCTACGCCAAGAGCAACGCTTTTGTTGAAAGTATCACATTTGCCATGACCAAGATGTTTGACCGCTTCTAGTGGCGCATCGAGGGATCGTCGCATGACTTTGAGTGTAAGTTGTTTGCCCTTAACCAGATTTTCCATCAGTCTTCGATTCAGTTCTTCACACAAAGACCGCACAAAGTCGTCTGCTTGCTCCTGGTTAACAAATCGAATGCCCCAATTAACCTCGGCCGACACAGACTTTCTCGTAACTTGGTCACCGACTTCTGTTCGATCGATTCCACGAGCATATTCCCACATTTTGATTCCAGTCTTGGGTCCCAAGCCAGATATTAGCCTCTCTTTGGGAAGGGTTCGGATATCTTTGACGAATTTCACGCCCAATTCTTCAAGCTTGGCTGCCATGCTGTGACCCACTCCTGGGAGATCACGAACTGTGAGATCCCCTATGAACTCCAGGACAGAATCTGGTTTCAGTTGAAACTGTCCAGCAGGCTTGGCTTTTCTGAGAGACACTTTCGCAAGCAGGATATTGTTGCCAATGCCAATAGAGACCGCACATCCGGTGTTTTCTTTAATTGACTCTCGCAAGCCTATAGCGATTTCATCTGCTTTTGCTTGCTCACGATCAATTGACCCTTCCGACATAGATCTCCCATCTGAGCCGCCGGCTTCCAAACACAAGGTGGTAACATCAATCAAGGCTTCATCGATACTGACACTCTGCACAATACCATCAATAGCCAGTATCGAGCTGTAGAACTTGCGGCTTGCATCTTCATAGGCAGGAAAGTCATAAGGAAGGACTTTCAGATCAGGACATAAATGCAAAGCGCCTTTCATCCACGTCCCGTTTTTGACGCCCTGCGCACGAGCAGGATAATTGCAACTAGCAATTTCAGAGCCTGGTCCAGAGCCATGAGCGACAGCAACTGGTTTGTCTTTGAGCTCTGGATGCTTGAGAAGTGAGACCGCTGCAAAAAAAGAATCGAAATCCACATGCAAAATGTATCTTCTTGAGCCAGAAACCGGCTTCCTTTTCGACATCTGAGATTGCGATTTTTCATTGGTTGCGGCCTGTAATTGAGCTTTCAACTCCGCCTTCCAGGTCGATAGATGATGGAGCCGAGACTCTCTATAGTATTGCTGCAAGAAATCCGGATTGACCACACTGGACTTTTTCATCCGTGGATCAGCAAGAAGCTGTGCATTATACTCCTCGGAAGTCAAGTTGGGTTTTGTGGGGCTTGAAGTTTCGAGCGAAGATGGTTTGGCAGAGTCAGCCTGTGCACCTGGTGGGGTCACATCTATATCAAGGTGCGGTGTTTGCTCGGGAATTTGTATATCCTCTGTGTTCTCGCTGACGGCATGTTGAACCTGAATGTTCTGGACTTCTTCTGTTTCCTTGATAATGGAGCTAGGAAAATCGCCGTAATCCGATTGGGACTGTTGGCTCGGCATGGTAGGAGTGACCATCTGCAGCTGTGGGGTATTTGACCGTGCAGATGGGGTCACAGGCTTTGGAGAAGAGTCAAGGCCCAATTCAGCAGCACTCATCTCTCGGAGCTGCGAATTATACCAACTGGCCCTTGATTGGTCTTTGTAGCCCGAACGAGGGCTATTCATCTGGCTAGTAAAGCGACCATCGCCAAATTTGAGCACCCTTTGCGCCTGGCCTTCGTCTACAACTCTATATCCATCCCATGGAAGCAGGCGTCCCGCTTTTATACTGTCCGTCACCCACGCAGGTTTCACTATGCGATACCGGCGGAACTCTTCCCGTTTCTTGGGCGTAAGAACACTTGCAATGATATGAGTGGCAGTGGTCTTTCCATCTAGAAACTGAAGGAACCCCCCTCCATGACTGACAATCATGTGGTGGAGATCTTGCAGCGAAGGCTGGGTGTACCCGTTGATATAGGCAACCACCCCGCGAAATATGGGTGGACGGTCACCAGCGGAAGCTCGGATTTCTGCATCGAGATTTTGCAGTTTGATTTTCTTCCGCCGCATATAATCTCCGAGTCCGCCAAAACTAGAGGCATCATACTCCTCTCCGGCTTCATCGATGAAATCATCTAAACACGGTCAGATAAAAGTGGGGACCAGTATGCACATCCGAACTCACGATTTTCAATGCGTTTGCGGACTGCACTGGAGTTTATCTCATGACGGGAGCCCATGTTGGGCTACAATGACCACCATGGCCGATATAGCAATTATCAAATCGAAAAAAAGAAAGTGCTGTTGACCTTTGACGCGAAGCTTCGGCACAGTATCACGTGGGCTCAAACTGTTCCGGCAGCGGTGTACACTGGCAATACATCAGCGGTGAGAATTCCATTGATATGATTGATTGATCTTTTTTTTTTCTGATTTTTTGCCGCATGCTCTGCTTGGGTAGCATCTTTTCTTTTCTTCCCTTTTCTTTCCTTCATCCACATCTTCTTGTCCTCGTGGTTCTTTCTTTTTAAATTCAATTTTTTTCTTTCATTTCGAATTTATTTCAATTCCATTTATCCACAATGTCTGCCGTCCAGCCTGTCGCAGTCTATGCGCTCCGGGTTCCTCCCGGTGCCCTGGTTGCCGCAGTTCCCAATGCTTCTGCTTCGGTAAGCTTGATTGATCAATAAGCTCAATGTATAGCGCTAACATAAGGTCTAGTTCCGTGTCAGCATGGCTGCTATTGATCCTGATGAGTCCCCCGAGTTCGATGGCGACGAGGACACCAGCAAGCCTACCCGTGCCACTCTGAAGATCATTCGCGCTCCTCCCGGTCTTGACCTCGAGGAGGATGATGAGGATGATGAGGATTACAGTGATGAGGATGATGAGGATGACTCTGAGGAGGAGAGCAACGGTGGCCCCAGTGACAAGGAGAAGGCCCGCAAGCTGAAGGAAGCTGCTGCCCTCAAGGACCTCGAGGACGCCATGGAGGAGGACGATGATGAGGATGAGGATGAGGACTTCGACTTGAAGGCTGCCATCTCCAAGCTTATCAAGGGTAAGGGCCCTGCCCTCGACGATGAAGACTCCGAGTCCGAGGAGGGTCTTGAGCTCGACGAGAGCGTTATCTGTACCCTCAGCCCTAACCAGGTAAGTTTCATACCTTTCGTTCGCGCTGGAAATTGTTCAAGTTCGGCGACTAACTCCCTTCTAGAGCTATCAACAACCTCTGGATATCACCGTCTGCGAGGGTGAGCCCGTCTTCTTCAAGGTCACTGGTAACCACACTGTCTACCTGACCGGTAACTACGTCATTGGTCTCGATGAGGGTCACGACCATGACCACGACCACGATGATGAGGATGATGAGGATGAATATGATCTTTCTCCCGATGAGGACGAGCTCGACATGGAGGACCTCATCGCCATGCAGGAGGGTGACAGCGATGACCTTGATGATATGGAAGACCCCAGAATCACCGAGGTCGAGAGTGAGGAGGAGGCCCCCAAGCTTGTTGAGTCCAAGAAGGGCAAGAACAAGCGTGCCGCTGAGGAGGAAGCCAGCCTCGACGATCTCATGGCCAAGGCCAGCAAGGCCAAGTCCACCAAGGCTGAGGAGCCCGCTCTTACCAAGGCCCAGCAGAAGAAGCTCAAGAAGAACAACGGCGATGCCGCCGCTGTTGAGCCCAAGGAGGCCAAGAAGGAGGCCAAGGCCGACAAGAAGGTCCAGTTCGCCAAGAACCTCGAGCAGGGCCCTACTCCCTCCGGTGACAAGCCCACCGGCACCCTCGGCGTGAAGGAGATCCGCGGTGTCAAGATCGATGACAAGAAGCTCGGTAAGGGTGTTGCCGCCAAGAGCGGCAACGTTGTTGCCATGCGCTACATCGGCAAGCTCGAGGACGGCAAGGTCTTCGACTCCAACAAGAAGGGCAAGCCCTTCACCTTCAAGCTCGGCAAGGGTGAGGTCATCAAGGGTTGGGACATCGGTGTTGCCGGCATGGCTGTCGGTGGTGAGCGTCGCATCTCCATCCCTCCTGCCCTCGCATACGGCAAGAAGGCCCTCCCCGGCATTCCTGCCAACTCCAAGCTTGTCTTCGACGTCAAGCTCCTTGAGATCAAGTGAACTGCTTGAAGTGTGCCATCCGTCTTTTCACCGGGGTGTTTGAGGATACCGGTTTAATTGCATGATTCCCGTGATATCCATTGCTGTCTTTTTTCCGCTCACTCCCCACTGCATGTGGCATGGATGAGATGATGGCGAGGAATTCGTATCCCTGCATGGAAAAAGTGACTGTTATATTGCTATGTTTTGTACTGTCTATTGCTTTATTTGAATCCATCATATGATGTTGAATTTGTTCCGGTGTAGAAACGAATCCTATTTTTCATTTGTAAAAACACCTTTGGTCTCAAGAAATTCAAGAAACCCCTTTCCCGTAATTCTCATTGTGATTCTGACCTTACGAGCATGTCGATTCAGTGTATAGAACTGACAACTTTACTCTCGCACATCGCACACAGTGCCGTGGCAGAAACTCTCAAATAACAATGACCCCTCTCTATGCTTAACTTCAACTGACTTCGACTTATTTCGACTCAATGTGTTTGCATTCTGTAAATCAAACATGTCCGATGTGTTATTTCTGTGGCCATGTAATTATCTTTATTCATGTAGCATTAAAACGTGAGGTCTTTCATCAAATGGGCTTGTGGTTTAGTGGTATAATACTCCCTTAGCATGGGAGTGGTCCGGGGTTCGATTCCCCGCGAGTCCATTCTTTTTTGAAATTTTGATATACATTCCATTCCGTTCTTTGCGTTTTTAGGGTAGTATTCGTTTTGTATTTTTTGGGTTTTCGAATTAAGCTCATAGGAGGGCTTGGTAGCTTCATCCTACAATCATGCTACCAAGGGTCAGACTTGCATATCCATGGAATGTTGATGCCTATGTGGCTTGCTTTGACTTGACGTCTGTTTATGGCCGTTTGAGGTCTGCTGGTTTTAGATAGGTTGCCTACGGGATTTAATTCAATGTATTGGTTGGTATTTGTTAATAGAATTGATCGTTTTGGCGGAAGTACCTAGGTGTATAGTTGACCATGCGCCGCCTAGTCAAGGCTACATATATATATCTCTCCAAGAATACTTGGTCCCATTTGTTCGTTGCACACAATCCAAATGGCTTGCTTAATTACCCTAGAGATGCTGAAACAATAAAATTCCATGTATAATGCTTTCTTGATAGAATAAATTTTCTCATGCATTCCAAGATTTATTGTCCCTCAGCTCGCTTGTATCCCAATGCAATTTGTCGAGAAGAACGACAAGTAATACGAATAGGTCAATGTCCTCGTATATATAAATAAAACCTGGAATACGGCTATCCAAGAGCAAAGCCCAATATTTTTTACCATCGCCAGCCCCAAAGGCAGCCTTTGCATACGCTCACGTGCGTCAAATGTGTAAGGAACAAGGGCATGCATGCATGATCCTCCCGAATTCGTCGACGCATCGCCGTTCAGGCCTTGTTTTTCCCATCCAGCGGCTTGATGTCCAATGAGCTGATATCGACATCTTTCAGTGTGCGTCCCTATGTTCCGATTAGTATGAGAAATACTGGGAACTCGAGATCTCCCTACGTTGATAGCGAACATACCACCCCATTCGCCATCTATTGCTCGAGCATACACACTAGTTCCGCAGTTGGGACAGAAGCCATGGGGATAATTCATAGTACCGAAACAGTACTCCTATATCGACTTGTCAGATAAAAAGACTGTCCTAAAAATACCCGAGAAAGGCGAAGAAAATAGTTCAAACCTTGACAGCATCGTCTTTGTTGTGGAAAGTCACGTAAGGCGTTTTAGTATAAACCAGGATATAGCCGTTGATGCTACAGATGGAGCCTGCATTAGAATAGTTTTTAGCGCTGTGGTTTCATCTTCAACTTCGCCCGTCTATCTACCGAGAGGAAATCTGTACAGTTACATGTATTCACGGTCTGCTCCTCTATAGGCCCAGGGAGCTTCACCGTGTAGCTAACCTGGCCACAGTGGCAACTGCCATCATATGATTTCATGTTGGTTTCAGACCCCGACATTGTAAATATAATCAATTATATGATTTGAGATGTTCAGATTGTTAGAGGAGTGAGATTAGTGAAAAGCGAACCACGGCTCTGCTTATACTTGGTGGCGTAACTGAGCCCCCGCATGAAACGCACTGATGACTCGAAGTGCACACGTTCCTTTTACTGAGACACGTCTGCTAACACAAAAACCTGGATTTAGATTGATAGCTAAAGAGCCATTGAGTATGGACTCTCATCGCCTAAAAGACTCAAGCTTATCGAGGAGTCATTATATTTGCAGCAGGCGGAATACCTCTGTCACGTTCTAAGTAATACGATCGTAAGTATCGCCGGGTCACATCACACGCACAAATAAATCACCAACATCGCTAATTCGAAATTGGAGCGCATGGTGTTGAAGCCTGTTACTGAAAGGTATGCGATGCATGCAGGCCAAGGTAATTTTAACATGCTGACAATGTTTCAACGCAAAAAGCAAAGAGTAGAAAGAAGCAAGTATAAAATGGGTTAATTAAGGTAATGTTCAAGAATTTAAAATACAGCGGATGGATTCAAAACAATTCGTTTCAGGCCTGCTTTAATCTTCGCCTGACAGCGGGATCCGTTATTCGACAACTTCATACCTCTGCGTCCACGAGGTTCGACTGTTCAGAAACCACGAGCGAAATGGATTCAGGAGTCTTTGGCGTCGAGCGGCTTTGCGCTCGCGTTCTTCACGCTGCATGTTCATGTAGACATCTGGCGTGATGATCTGAGGCGGTGGGCGGGGATAACTGAGGCGGGCTGTCTCGTGCATTGGATTTTGTTTGGTGAGTTTGTCTTCGTAGATTGGAGTATCTGGTCGTGAACATTCGTGAGACTTTCCCTTGAGACCTGTCGATTGGAATGTGGGCGTGTCTCGATTGGTAGGGGAACATGATATTGGAAATGCGACTGAGGTAGGCCCAGGCTCTGAATAGACCGTTATGTACTCAGGATACATATATGTAGGTGAATGCAGGGACTCTAACGTCCCGTTGTCCTTGGGCGTCGGTTCTGTTTGAGGGGGCGCGTTGTTTTCCTCCCTGTCGGTTCCCATAGACAGGTCAAATTGCCGGCTCATTCTTGTTGTTGTCCCAGACATCGTGAACTTCTCACAGAAGGCAGCGTAGGAGTCGTAGAGCCGTGCTTCTCTTTGCGCTTCCACATTGATACTGGGGCATTCCTCCTCGATGTCTTCACGAATAGGGTCGTACAATGTGACATGATGGAATTGATGATCTGGTGAGTGTGGACTGTGTGGATCCAAAGCAGGCGCGCAATCTAGGCTTTTCAGATTTTTTTCACTCAGTTCATGCTGCGTGACCCCTCCAAGAATCGACTGAGATATCCGTTTAGATACCTTTCTTGTGAGCTGGGAAACTGTGTTTCGTCGACTTAATTGGCGTCGCGGTTTCTCTGTCGAATGCTGTGTTGAGAATGTATCACTTGAAGCAAAGGAAGCATTGTCATTGACAATGAGGACGACGGGCATTTTGGAAGAGTGAATATGATGTCACACAAGCAGATCACACGAGTAGATCGTGGGTCAAGGCAGAGGGCAAGACCGTGGGGGCTGATTGAGAATATATAGGGCATTCACCACAGATCTAGCAAACGAAAGCTCGTCGGGGTTGAAATGAAACCTGCATTACAATAAGTAAAGATAACGCTGAAATTTACCGAAATAAATATATTCGAAGTACTCCATACATTGGAGGTACAAAAACAAGGATGATTGCACGTACTTGGAGATAAGGGCCTAAATGCGCAAGCCCACATTTAAATTCTTAAGATCTATATCCTCCAGGTCGGGCAAGCTCTTCTATAAAGATGTTTCATCACAAGGGTCTTCGGCATACCACCCTACAAACTATTAATTTAACATACAAAGAAAGAGCATGTGCCTTTCCTTGTCGTCCTATCGCAAAGACTGAGACCAGTTCACGCTTTTCCCGTTTGTATCATCGGGGGGTATCGGGGTACCGCTACAGCAAGCCACCATGCACGGTCTTTGTAGTAGGTACGTCAGAGGCAACCCCGGTCGTGCAGACGGTGGTGATTTGCGGTTGGGTTGTCGCCGGATAGTATTGAGGCTTTTATACTTCTGCCTACAACGTATACATATAGTCACACATTGTAGATCCTTTAATTTTGAATAATTTTCTTAGACTTTACAGAGTAATAAACGGGTTGGTCAGTCTAATCCGACAAGAGACATAAACAAAGGGGCAGTGAGACATTCTACTCCGTAGTCACCCCGCCATTAACGGTGGCGCGACTTAGCAGTCTGCCAGGTGCCTAGTCTCAGACATGCACCCAATGCGCACGGGAGATCACTAGACTTCGCTTCACGGTCCTCCATTGGCCATTCCCAAATTGTGGAATCACGTGTGTAGTCATAATCCCTGCCCGCAGACGTATTAGGGTCCGAGACTTGTTGTATACGGTGAGTCCGGTCGAAGCCACAAGAGTTTAATTAATAGATCACAAGAAGACCGAATCAAATCATGAACCGATTTTATTTACAAGAACTGATAAGGTATAGAGTGTACATGATCAGAAAGCATCGAATAGAAATACACGGTCAGATTATGCAGAAACGCCTTCGCGCCCGAGGCCCCAGCGACCTACCTCGCGCATGGCTTCATCGCCGCCTTCTGCCAGACGCCCATCGGTGTTGGAGGGGTTGCTGCTTCCCAGAACGCCAGCCACACATTGCCATCCGTTGCGGCCACCTCCCCAGCGAAGAACTTCGTTTTTGTATCGCTCACCAGCGGCGCGATCAGTGGCCGCCTGGCCGGATTGGAAGACGTCCTGCCAGAGTTTATTTGCAATTGCGCGGTCAAAGATATAACTGTAGTACGTAGCACCATAGCCATACAAGTGACCGAAGAAGCCTTGCCACGAGGTAGGAGGCTGAATGTTATTGGGATCGGGAAGGCTGGAGTGTTGAGAGAAGACGCGATGATAGATTGCGGTAGAGTCAATACCGGCTGAGCTGATTTCAGCTGGAATGGAGTGGTATGCCTGGTCGACGAGCGCCATAAGAATTTGGGCCTCGTTCTCAACAGCGCCGTAGATAGATCCGTGTGCAGTGCGATCAAGCTCCATGCTCTGCATCATACTTTCTGATAGAGGCTCGTCGGTTTTCCAGTGACGAGCGTACAAAGAGAGTACCTCCGGCGCTGTCGCGAAACTCTCCATCAACACGGAGGGCAATTCGGCGAAGTCCGTGGCGCACCGAGTCCCGGATATGGATTGGAGAGGCGTCTGGCCGAGGATCGAGTGGACTGCATGACCCATCTCGTGGAATAGAGTTCGAACGCTCTGCTCGCTCAGCAGAGTTGGCTGACCGCTACCATTGGCCTGCGGTTCCTGGAAATCACAGACGAGCGCGATAGTGGGCAGCTGGCGTAGAGTCTTGGTCTGTGGATCGACACCGGTGGCCATGCCATCGTTGGGGTGCGCGGATTGGTGCATCGAGGCGCACTCTGCGATCTCCTCTGCAGAGATCTCGCGGGAACAACGCAGAGTAAAATGAGCCGGGTTTGGGTGTTTGCTCGGTCGGGTAAACAAGTCACAGTAGACGACTGCAATATGTCTTTCCGATTCGTCAACTACATCCAATCGACGAACGTCTGGGTGCCAGGTCTCGCCAGGAGATGCTTCATGTGGCACGAGGCGCACGCCATATAGACGGTCGAAGAGTCGAGAGAGACCTTGCATAACTGTTCCAAGAGAGAAGAACTCATTGATGACACCCGTGTGACGAGAGCGACGAGCCTGAGTATACTCTAGAACGCGTTTGTGAACGTAATAAGCATGGTCCCATGGCTGTAGGGCAGCGCTCCCCTTCAAATTTTGCAATTTGGACAGTTCTTCACGGACTGGCCCTTGGTTACTGGAGACAAGCGAAGTCAAAAAGTTCGATACTGCTTCAGGTGTCTTAGCCATCTTGTCACCCAGAGTCATGTGTGCAAAGCTGTTGTAGCCAGTAAGCTGTGCCAACTCTGCTCTCTTGACGAGAAGCTCTTCCAATCTTTGAATTTGGCGTTTGCTGGATGTACGAGTGGCAAGATAGATCTCCTTGCGAACGTTTTCATCATGCACTGAGCGTAAGGCAAGTCGAGGCACAATTCCCATTGTTGGGACTGGCGCTTTCTTGTTCCATCTCTTGATTTTAGAAACAACCATGGGATCCAATCCTTGGAGACTGTTCGCGCCAAAGACCACCTGGGACCGCGCGGGCTCCGCGCCGTTCATAAAATCCGAACCCAATTGACTCACATCGTTCGACAGATTCACGAAACGCTGCCGCACATTTGGTGGCATATGAATTGCAGAGTTTGAAAAGTCTTTGTTCAGGATCTGAGCCACGATTCTCTCGCCTTCGGTCCAGTATGATGTCACATCGGGGTTGCTCAGGGCTTTGTTAAGTTGTTCATGGAGCCCTGTCGTCGTATTCAATACGTTCATATACTCAAACATGAGAGCCCACGCCTGCGTGGCTGCTTCTTGTATCCGAGGTTCGGGGTGAATGGTTCGAATAAAGTCCGATAGGTCAATGACGCGACACAGGAGATCACTGAGCCGGTCAAGGTCTCGTGCCAGAGCTCTGTATTCTTCCACCGTCGAAGCTGCAAGTACCTTTGCAACGATAGCCTGACATCTTTGTAGCGAGACATTTGCGAATGTTCTGAAGCCTTCAGGACTTGTCAGGTATTGGTTTTGAACCAAGCCAGCTCGCCTTGGAGCCGCGGTGCGCTGTTGCGAGAATTCATTCCAAAATGGCTGGGAGTCGAACACACGCCTTAAGGTATGGTCGTCATATTTCTTGTTCGGCGCGCTGGTGTCTGCTGGGATATAATCAAACGAGCTAGACGGCGAAGGCGATGCGGCGCTCTCGAAGGCTCGTGACTGGGGCCGCAGGTGCAGGCATTTGCGACATGTCCAGGTTCGTCGCAAAGGGCGAAGCATTGTAAAGACCGTATTAAAGACAGATTAAAACCATGAGAAATAACCATATAAATTCCTTTATATTAATGAAAAGCAATACAGAAACAATTCAAAGTCAAGGAGAACGGGCAATGACGGAGTTTTTTGGAGGTTCCGCCGAGCCGAAGAATTCCCGTCTTGCTCCAACACGACTTTGCTTCATCCTCACTACCAGCTTTCATACTCCTTCTCCCCCACACCCCCAGGATGTCCTTCCGGCCGATGTTGCAACAGGTATGGATGCCCTTCTTTGTTTGCCTCTCTTTAAGTTGGATGCAATTGATCCCCAAATGCCTGTTCCACGCTGACTTCGTTCCTAGCGGGCTGTGGCTCCGATCGCAGCCACTCTCCTCGCGGGAGGCATTGCGCTGTATCCCAAGCAGACAGCATTTGCTGAAGCGCCTCGAGACAACGTATGCAAAAAAATCGTGCCCAACTTTATTGACGTCCCGAAACACTTGATCTGACACACGACTGCTTCCCTAATACAGCGGAAACCTATCTACGATGACTTCCCAGCCGATATCCCCGAACTCTCCAAGGCTGCTGCTCCTGCTGCGCCCGCCGCTCCTGCTGCTATCGAAGCCCCTAAGCTGATTTCCGCACCCGCTGCGCAACAAGCCCCATCCTCGCCCACCCCGACAGACATCCTGACCGCCCAGGTCCGACAAGCTCGCCTCTTCCTCTACTCACACTCCCTTGCCGCAGAGCAGGGCTTCAACAAGTTCCTCTCCCGGGCTCTCAACATCGAAAATTGCTTCACCAACACCGTCGCGTCGCTCGCTCCTTCGCCCGAGTCCGGTGAGCGCCTTCTCCCCGGCGGCGTGTACGTTGTCGTAGCCGCCATGGCCGGCTCGATCGTCTCGCGTAACCGCGGTATCTTCCTCCGTACTGCGTCGCCCCTCGCATTCGGTACCGCCGCTGCATACAGCCTGCTGCCCGTGACTATGCGCAACGTTGGCGATTTGGTGTGGGAGTATGAGAAGAAGGTTCCTGCCCTTGCGGACCAGCACCTGGCTGTTCGTGAGCGCGCAGAGCATATCTGGTACACCGGACTTGCGCACAGTGGAATGGCGCGCCAGATGATGGAGGAGAAGATCGGTGACACCCGCAAGAAGTTGGAGGAGCTGGTCAGCAAGGGCCACTAAATTTGATCTGGTTGGGGCTATAGAGCGGATTTGATTTGTTGCATATGTACGCCTAGAACTCGTAGATCCGAAGACATAACCGGATTGGTTTCTTTTGTTTCCATTGTTTGGTCATATTACATGTTTGATACGAGCGAGGCCCCTATGAGAGCGTACGGTTGACGATAGGCTTGTTTTTCGATCAACATAGGTTTGTAATTGTCAAACTTTACAATTTACTTATTTTCTTTTGTTACCGGTCAAGAGATTGATAAATATTCTGGTACGAGGCCGAGCATAAGCTCAATATATTTCGATGATCCGAATTTCGCCATACTCTACATTATATTGAGTTCTGATTTCTCTCAACCACTCATTCTTCCTGTGCAGGCCCCTGAGGCTCCTCTGGTGCAACAGATGGAGGCGCAGGACATTCCGAATGAGACGGCAAGACTCCTGCTTTAGGCGGGGGAGGTAGAGGAGTGCCATGCCGTGACGGTGCATAGTCTTGTGCTCGACTTTTCTCTTCGCCCTCGGCAAAGTAATCATCAAAGGCCCTGTTGGGGGAGGCTCCTGGTCGTGATCTGCCTGCTCGACGGCCTGCAGGAGACCTATTCTGTGACGGAGAAGCAACTCGTCCTTGACTAGCTAGAGGAGGAGGTGATGTGAGGTTGGCGGGAACTAAGTAGTTACCGGACAAGGCTGGTATTCCTGGAGCAGCGCTTGAGGCACCTTCATCTTCACGTGTTTCGAAAACAACCTCTCCTGGACCCTCCACTTCTTCCCCGAGTCCAAGGGGCAGTCGGTGCAAAGCACCGTATCCTAGTTCTGCACCGAGAGCACCTTCGCCGCCCCAGCCCCTTGTAGGAATAAGCTTGACTTCTCGAACCACATCGGATTCGCTGTTGTAAACCCACAGAACCAGCGTACGGCCTAGGTGATCTTCAACTAGCTCTCCAAGTGCCGCCTCCCCTCTTAATGTCCCGCTGGGTGTTCCAATGATATAGTCTGAGTATGGAAGCAAACCAGCTTTGTATGCGGGGCTGAGGGGCGATGGAACTGCAGTGACATGCCAAATGTTTTGTGTAGATGAAAGAGGAGCAAGTTGTAATGCGAGGCCAAGCGAGGGGTTCGTTGGTGGTACGGGATGAGTGACAGTGTGTGTTCGTTGACCCTGGATCGAAGTTAACCTGCAGCCCGGTAGCTTATTAGTGGCGAGGGTATTTCTTACCTTTGCGCTCCATACTTCAAGCGTCAAGCTTCCGCCGGCGCAATTCCGACACTCTGTCGCAAAGAGATTTGGGTCTGGGTCTTCCTGGGTCTGTTTCAGCGATGTTTATGGAATGAAGCACAATAACGGTGTAGACTCACAATTGTATGCCCGTTGATTCCCACAATAAAGTCAAACCACGGCTCCAGAGGCAACTCTGGGTCTTTATTGCGGAGGACTTGGAAGCCAAACGCGTTGTCGCCGGGACCAGACCGAGGCTGTTGACCAGGCTCCCCGTCCAATCGGCCAATGAAGCGGTTTAGTGCGCCGAACATGCTGACTCGAATAATCACAAATTAGATCAAAGTGATTGAATGAGTTTGGACAAGTTAAAGCTAGGTTGTATTGACGGGGCATGAGCTGGCCCGATTGCGGTGCAAACAAAGCAAACGTCACCATCTTTATCACTTATCGAGAATCAATCAACTCGACTTAGTCGCTGAACTGCATCATGGCAGAAGAAGAAGAAGCTCCTCCTGAGGTGCACCATTATAGCAGTCTTCAAGAAGTCCCTTGGGACATCCAAAAGTAAGCACTCTGCGATCTTGTAATTCTCAGCGCTAACTTGGATGCCAGTTACTGGGCACAACGCTATCGGATCTTTTCCAAGTACGACGATGGAGTATGGTTGACCGATGATGCTTGGTTCGGCGTCACGCCAGAACCAGTTGCCAAGTTCGTGACCTTGAAATTTGAAATTTGAAATTTGTGATCTTTTTGCTCATCGCTATCTAGCAAAATTGCCGCACAGATGGCCGAGTCAGCACCCGCTGGACGCAGTATTCTAGTGGATGCCTTCGCTGGCGCAGGTGGAAACACGATCGCATTCGCATTGACCGGAAAATGGCGACGAATCTATGCAATTGAAAAGAACCCTGCTGTGCTAAAATGTGCAAAGCATAATGCCAAAATCTACGGCGTTGAGGACAAGATTACTTGGTTTGAGGGTGACTGCTTTGAGATCCTCAAAAACCAATTAAAAGACCTGGCACCTTATGCAGTAGTATTTGCTAGTCCACCATGGGGAGGTACGATTCTTCTCATCTTCATATTGAACAAGACTAATCACCCTAGGCCCGGGATATCGCTCAGATCAGGTATTCAACCTGAAGACTATGGAACCATACTCACTCCAAAGGTTGTATGATGAATATTCAGTATTCAGTAAACACATGGTTCTCTTCATACCAAGAACATCAGACCTAAAACAAATGGCAAAACTGGTACCTGAGGGTGAACAGGCTATGGTGATTCACTATTGTATGGAGGGAGCAAGCAAAGCATTGTGTATTTTCTATGGGGACTTCAATGTGACATGACATCTCTTATTTTTTATTGTTCATGTACTTTTTTTCTTCCTTTCTTCCCCTTTTTAAATTTGCCTAATTTATAATACCTCTCTTTTTCTTTGTCTGATTTATAATTCGACTTATTTCATCACTTCATTAATTAATCTATTGACCCATTCGACATTTGCACATTTCTATTGAACAGCTGATTACTTTTTTGGGATTAGCGTAATCCCGTCCGCGCATCCTTGGAACTCCGTCGTTTTCTCATCGGCTTCATACAGCACCTCTCTCTCTGGCAATTTTGCAAGACCATCATTCTTTGCAGATTAGGAAACTGGATGCGCATGTTTTGACCCGCGTCGCCTTTCTGGCTCGCGCCTCAGTCTTTCCACTTTCACGTCGAGTTTCCCTCCCTTTAGCCGTTGACTACATCAATTCGACTACCTTTCCCGACACACCTCGCAGACTCGATACCAAAACAACCGCCAATCATGCCTCACGCGACCCCCAAGGCTTCCGAGGTCGTAGAAGATGCCGACTTTGACAATGTGATGCGACAACTGAACAGTTACGAGGACGCCGGCCCCTCTCTAGATTTCTTGGCGCGTGACCTGGAAGTTGGCGAAAAAGCCGACGATGCCATCGACTACGAGGATTTTGAAGATGACGACCTTCCGGAGGAAGAGGTATTGGGCGCCACAGCTCCGGCTTTGCCTGCAGTGGATGATAATGACCAAGATCCTTTCGCGAACTTGGGCTCCGACGATGCTGCTCTTTTCGGAAACGGGGATGATATCTTCGGCGATCAGGGAGAGGTTGCTCAGCCCCAGGATGACAACCTTGATGACCTTTTTGGTGAAGATTCTTTTTCGCCGCCTCCTGCTGGACAGGAGGACCCTACCAGGGGCCTTTTCGAAGATGAAGAAATGCCGCTGACAACAGAGCCTGTTCAACTTCCGCTCCTTCCGCAAGCCGCCGAACCGATGCCAGAAACACCGGCGGATGAGGATGACTTCCCGGACGATGACAGTATCATGTCGGACAGCATGAACCCTAACGAGCTTCGCGCTTGGAAACTCCAGCAGGCGTTGTTCGCTATGTCCGGTCCGGAAAACCCGCCTGCACAATTAGAGAATCGCGAAGAGCTTTTGCATTCTTTATTCCCTACATTTGACCGCAACACCCTTCCACGTTGGTTGGAATTGATTCCACACAAACGAGCCATCTTCCTTGGGAAACAGCCACCGAAACCGCCAAAGAGCGTCGAGCCGACGAAAGTGAACATCGAACTGGCTCCCGATCAAGAGCGTACATTCAGAACCGGTCAACCCCTAAAGCGTGGCCTGGAACATGAATCTCTTGGCTATGTGATGATCTCTCAAACACCTCGCGAGGAAGAAAAAGAAGATACAAACGAAGATATTGATATGGGTGATGGTGATTTGGACGGTGACGAGTTACTGCCTGGTGGCTTCACCATGCAAGATCTTCGAACAATTTGCGTGGATTGGGAAGTCAAAGACGATTTTCCTGTCACAGATGCGGATGACCAGCCACTGGCACAGGACAAGGATGGCCTTTTTGATGCAGACGAAGACTGGTTCATGGATACCGAGGCCCCGGTTAAAAAGCGCAGAACTGGACCGACTCCAATGGATGTCATTGCTCTGTCACATATCGACATCCCATTGTTAGATGATCCCGAACAGGCAACGGCGAAAATCGCAAAGAGAGTCACAATCGACCTAAACGACCCTAACATTCTTGTCGACGAATTAAGAGCAGATGCAGTCGCCAACAAGCCCAAGCACGCGGCGCCTCGTACCAGAGATGAGGTGGATTTGAATTTAACCCGCCGTCTTACCCAGCGCTACAATATTTCAAACGATCAAGCATATGACATGCTCAAGCAAAACCACCAGAACAAGATCCGCAGTACTCTTGGCAACGTGACGCTTGAGCACGGCCTCCCAGCCCTGCGTTTACAGTGGCCTTACTACAAGACCGAGCTGTCTAAGGCTGAAGCTAGATCTTTCCATCGACCTGCTATGGCTTTCCGTCCCGGACAAACATCTTGGTTCAAGAACCCCGCCCACATCAAACGCAAACACCAACGCGGCAAAGACGCGAAAAGTGTCTATGATTCTACTCAGTCGTTGTCCATGGGAGACAACTCCAGCGTTTTGCTGGTGGAATACTCTGAAGAGGTCCCTATGACACTGGCAAACTTTGGAATGTGCAACCGTTTCATCAATTACTACCGTCGAAAGAATATTGACGACCCAACTCGCCCAAGAGCAGAGATCGGCGAAACAGCCGTTCTACTACCCCAAGACAAGAGTCCATATTCAATTTTCGGCCACGTTGACCCTGGCGAAATTTCCCCCGCCATTTCAAATTCCATGTACCGAGCACCACTATTCCCGCATCAGTCCAAACCAACGGACTTTCTTGTGGTACGCAGCACCACTGGCGAAAAAGGAAGTACCTATTTCGTGCGCAATATCGAGAATTTCTACGTTGCCGGACAACAGTTCCCATCGGTTGACATTCCTGGTCCACACTCACGCAAGGTGACCACTGTTGCAAAGAACCGCATGAAAATGCTTGTTTACCGTCTCTTGAAAAAGAGCCCGGATGAGCGCCTTGCCATCAGCGACGTCACGGCTCATATCCCAAACACTACAGATATGCAAAACCGACAGAAGGTCAAGGACTTCTTGCAGCATGACAAGGATACCAAATACTGGAAGCCACTGGACCCGACGCTCCCGGATCAAGACACAATTCGTTCATGGGTCCAACCCGAGGATGTTTGTCTTTTGGAGTCCATGCAGATTGGACAACAACACCTCCACGATACTGGTTATGGTAATGATGCCGAGAACGAAAACGAAGAAGACGAAGAATTTGAAAGCTTTGAACAGCAGATGGCCCCGTGGAAAGCGACCCGCAACTTTTTGCTGGCCTCCCAAGGCAAGGCCATGCTGAAACTCCATGGCGAAGGAGACCCCACCGGCCGTGGCGAGGGTTACAATTTCATCAAGACAAGCATGAAAGGTGGATTCAAGGCGATTGGTGAAAGTGTTGAGGACAAACTCGACGCGCAGCGATTGAAAGAACTCGGAGGTCACAGCTACAACGTTGCCCGGCAGCAAAAATCATACGAAACCTCCATCCGCCGAATCTGGGACGCCCAAAAAGAAAGCCTATCTTCCACCATTGAGCATTCCGATCAGGAGAGCGATGTCGATCAAGAAGACGATTACCAAGAGCAATTCAACAAGCCGACACCGCGATCTGAAGCACCAACGCCTGGCCCATACCGCCGCGATGACGAGACAACCAGTCAGTTCAGCAAAATGAGTTTCAACAGCCAGCGCGGCAAGGTACTGCGCATCACTCGCCAAGTCAAGGCCGACAACGGCGAAATTGTGGAACGGGAGCAGCTCGTCTGGGACCCCCGCGTCATCAGACATTACATCCAGCACCGACACACCCACGAAGCCATGCACACCAAATTGGAATCCCTCCAGCCGACCGGCGACGCCGAGGTTGACGCCCGCAACAGAAAGCTCATCGAAGCCGAGCTCAGCCGCCTCAACCGAAACAAGGAGCGCCGCTTCGCCCGCGAAAAACAAAAGGGCATTCCTCGGGCCGGCGATCCAGATGGCAAGCCCGCTGGTACCCAGCGCAAGTGCGCGAACTGCGGCCAAGTCGGACACATCAAAACGAACAAGAAGCTCTGTCCCTTGCTTAATGGTACTATGAAGCCTGAGGACCGCGTCACGGACTCGGCTTTCTCCATGAGTGCCCCGGTTCTCTGAGCTCAGCTTGCTTTTTCCCGACTACATTCATTTCCATCTACTGAACTTGATACCCCTACCAAAACTTGACTGCCTGTCTAAATTTGTTTCCCGATACCCGGCGTTGATGCCTGATGTAATTTGATACCAGATACGGTGAATGGCCATGCTGTCCACGGGATTCGTGACATTCTCGCTTTGACTCATTCTTTCGACTTCGATGAAGTATCATACATAGCATGCAATTGAACTCCATGATGATAATCTCTGTTTCTTGTGCATAATAGGACAAGTCCGGTAATCATTGAGCTGTCTTGTGCTTGAAGAGGACTGTAAATCTTCGCCGAAGACCTGCTACACCTAAATTGAGTTATTATTACAGTAATAGAAACTGACAAGAAAGATAAACTAGGGTATATATTCATTTTTAAAGATATATGAAAGGGAGAGTAGCGTAGAGACAGTAGTTTCAAAGAAGGTGGATGGCCATTGGAGAGGAATGAAGCCAATAAGAAAGAGGGGCTATATGGATAACTTCAAGTCACCAGACGGATGGTGGTTTGTGATCTAAGTGGCATACACTCACTAGCAGCCAACTGTTTCCAAAGCCAAGGGGGCAGGTATCATCGAATTCATGATCCATATAGACCTGATAACTGGCCTCTGGCGTGCCTTTGACGGCCTCGTTCTGTACTGAACGCCAAAGCAATCTCATTAGGTCGTCGATATGTATATCCAAGAAACGCACCCTTTTTGCGAATATCCATGACCGTCTTGCTCATCTGCTTATCGCGTAGGATCTTGTCACGGGGACGCTTTTTCTCCTTTTTCTTATCGGTGGCGTTTGAGTATTCCGGTGCTGCATCTGCATTGTCTCCGGCAGTCTGAGGCTCAACGACAGGCTCCTCCGGTAAGCGCGGCTGTTGAGCATCAGGGACAATATCTTCAAGATCTTGGTCCGGACAATGCGTGATTTCTTCCGAGTTGCTAGCGGCAGGAAGTTCGGCAACATTACCGAGCAACTTCCAGTCATCGAAATATCTGGTGTCTTCCCAGTTCTTGACTCTAGGTACGAAAGGTGGCTGGCACAAATGGAGCTCTTGCCATCGGATGCCTCTAAAGAAAGGGTGGATCTTGATGTCGGTTGCGTCATTGGCGTACACGCAGTAGCTCGCAATGTTTCTGTACCGCGCGTCCATAGAGTATAACATTTGTGTTGAGACAGGACGTCCATTGAGTATGTCATTGGATTGGTACTTTGGGGAACACAGACGATATTCGCGCTCTTGAAGAATCCTCGTGATGAGGTCTATAGCATCCATGGAGATCATTTTTTCAGATAATCTTTCCCTAGGAAACTGCAGAGTACGGTTATGTTGCTGCAAAATCGTCAGAACTGAAACCGCAACCCAAGCACAAGAATCACTCACAAGTATCTTGATCTTGGTATCATGTCTGTTTTCACAGGCAAAGGGAGTGAATCCGTAGAGGCACTGCAGTGACATGAGATATTGCATTTGCAGAAGGAGACTAAAACAACCTTACCTCGTATAGAATGATACCTAAGCTCCACCAGTCGCATCGCCCATCGTACATCTCACCTCGAATAACCTCAGGGGCCATATACTGACTGGTCCCAACAACACTTTTAGCAAATCTGCGTCTCCCTTTGTTGTCTCGCCAATTCAGCAAGCCAGTCGAAGGAGGCTGCTGAAGAATGTGGTCATCCGTACTATGTAATTTGACTTCAGGCGCGAGCTCTTTCTCCTCGGCATCTTCTTTTTGATCCTCAGCATCACCCTTCACATCAATACCGAGCTTTTCTATCAAAGAGTAGCGATGACTGTTGTAATAGGCTTGGTCATGAGACCAATGTCCATTGAAGGCCAGACCAAAGTCGGAGATTTTCAAGTGGCCCGAGGCAGAGATGAGAAAGTTGTCAGGCTTGACATCACGATGGATCCAAAGGAGTCGATGCGCCTCCTCAATACACAATATCATTTCGGCGACATAAAAACGTGCCCAGTCCTCGCGGAGGGTGTCCCTGCGAATTAATAGCCCCAGAAAGTCACCACCAACCATGTAATCCATCACAAGATACAAGTGGTTGGTGTCTTGAAAGCTGGCGATCAGAGGAACAACCCACCGAGAACGTTCAGAAGCAACAAGGAAGTCTCTTTCCGCACGGATATGACCTTCTTGACAATTGCGAATCATCTCTGCCTTTTTGATAACTTTCATGGCGTATACCTCTTTTCTTTTGCCTGTCATATATCTTCGACGACTCTGTTTGGCTCCCTCCACAGCAGACTTTAAGACCCCCAGAGGATTCGACCTGGCATGGAAACTGTTTTCATTCACGGCTAGAGGATTCTCATCATTGATATCCTTCAAATCACTCTTTCGAACAAGGCGTACAACACCAAAACTACCTTTCCCCAGTACCTTAACGGCCTTGTACCCAGCGATGGAGATTGTTTCTTCGCTTTGCATATAACATCGATTTGACTTGAGAGCACGACATTTTCGCAGATAATCATTCTCCCGCAAGATCCAGTTGTGCCTTGTCATCGAGCACTCCTCTGCAGTGAGCTCAAATGAATAGATGTGTTGTTCTAGCTCTAGCTGGCGTTGCTGGCGTAGGTCTTTGTTCTGAAAAATGGAATTGAAGTACAGTTCCAGGTAAACCTTTGCAACCGACGTTGCCTCCACCGTTTTGATTGATGGCAAAACTTCGGGTTCTGCTGCGTCCGAGAAAGCGTCCGTAGTGTTTTCAATATTGGAAAGAGAGGGCCAATACGCTCCTGCGGATTTTTGCCCATCTTCATCACATAGCTTGGACTTGTCCGATGAAGAGAAAGTCAAGCCGGTTGTCAATGGAGTTAGGGGTGATGATTGACCACCGATAGGAGAGCTGACGCTGCTGGGAGTGGTTGAAGGGCCCGAGCTATCATTAGCACAATCGCCTTGTTTGCTGAGTTCTTCCAACACTGGTGAATTGACACGAAGAATACTTGGTCTGGAACAACGATGAGCGTGATGAATGACAGTAGACTGACCAAAAGCCAGCGAGATTTTATGCGAGAAGCGGTCGACGAATTTTGAATTTGTTAGGCTCGGTTGTTGGGCGACAGGCAGCGGTCGGTCTTCACTTGCGGGATTCTGTTGCGGGAACTCATCAACTGCTGGTTCCCCCCGACTCTCGGGCGACTGTCGCAAATCTGGAAGGGGCTCGGACGACGTTTCTGCGCTCTCAATGGGAGTATTAAATGAAGGAGTGGCAGGCAGTGGTTCACTCTGCGGGGAATCGACTGCAGTTAGATACCCAGGACTACCGTCGCCATTGTTGCCCCCGGAGGAAGGAGATGGCGGATGTATATTCTCATCACCTGTCTGGACAGATTTGGAGCATTCGGTATCAACAGTCGACTGTTTGTTACCTGCAGGAGAAAATAAGCACCAACACCCAGGCAAGGACACGACTACTCACCTTTCGACGAGCCACGCAATCCCAACAAGACCAGAATTTTAGATCCACTTCGGGTTAGACGAAGCCTAAGTCGACTCCTTCCTGACTCAGGAATGATTGAGTCTGAAGTTGGGTTTTCTGATGTGCCAGATTCAGCTGGAGAACTATCTGGCTTTTCAGAGACGACAACTTTGGCTGGAACCCAGAGATTGAAACGACTTTGTCGGGTATCCTTCCTACGAGAAGTCATATTCTCGCCTCAAAGAATGGATTATAAGCAGACAGCTTAACGATATGATATTAGTGGTATGAAGAGAGCAATATTGCGAGAAACTGTACGAATACGTCATTTGTTAGGGCTGGAAGTCACCTCCAAGGGAAAGTACTACTCAGTACATATAGTTGTCACGGATAGAAATCTGCATGATCAGGTGTATTTAGAATGGCACATCCATGGATTTGTATATTTAGTTGGTTCTGGATACAAGTGATCATGGGTGTACTGCTGGATGACACATGTTAGGTACATACATACAAACCTATGTTTGTATGTAGGCTTACATTAATTTGCACATGACTGAGGCTTGAAATCTGACGCGGGGCAACCACATGATTGATGTCTTCTTCTTTTCTTTCTTTGTTTTGTTTCCTTTTTTTCTAATGTTAATATCTTGAGGACCATTTACGACTTCGATTTGCTTCGACCATTCTGTAATGTTCCCTAACCCCAATCTACCTCGTTCTCATGATGATCGCGACGAGCTGTATAACACCAGTACCATCTCTGAGGACCTGAGTAAAGGTGGCTCGGTAGGACCATTATTCCCAAAATTTCCTGCATTTGAGGAATACGTTGCGTCCCCTCGTCCTCAACTATCCTATATCCCCAACCCTAGAACTAGACAAGAGGCTCAAAACAATACCGATTACTCGTTCCAGCTGATGCTGCTAGAACAGCAGAACCAACGACGAAAGATGATGGAGCCCAGCAAAATAGAGAGTGGAGTGCCAATTACGGCCCAGCCTGGTGTTTCCAGCTATATTGAATCCCCTCCCATGCTACCAAGACTATCGCCCCTTGTGTCAAGTTCTGGGCCCTATCAATTCCCTCAACCGATGCTTCACCGATCAACCCAGCCTTATCAAGCTACTAGCGCGACTCCAAACACAAGGAATTCGTATCATTCGAATGCTTCAGGTCAAAAAGTGTGGACACCCTCTTCCACCCAAGAGACAGTTTCTTTTTCAGAAGCAAATGATCTCAAAGCCCAAATTACAGCCCTCCAAGAAAAGGTCCGGCAGCTGGAAGGAAGACCAGTCGCGACCAAAGCCTCAAAGTATCAAATCCTCTACAGGATCGAAAAAGACGAAACGTATCCAAACGACGACTACTACAGCGTGGACAGCGGTGATGAACAACCCAACCCCCGGCGCATATTCAGACGCAGGCCCCGAACAGGATGGATGGGGATCTTCACTGACCCTCCTGAGGTCTACCAAAGAAGCATGGGGGCACCGAACCTACGTTGTAATGATCCTTTGACCAACTTCGAGCTTTACTTGGCTCTGAATCAAGATATTTCTTTCGTTGTGTTCCGCAACTTCAAACGGCACATTGCGCGCCAGTCACACAACACGAAGTATGGAAAGCCAGAGCCCTTCAGCGAAACTATTTATCCAGTTTCTGATGACCTCAAGGAGGTCGTTCAGGGGTTCCTTGGTGGCGAAGAATTTCAATCTATGAGGGAAGACTATGAACAGACGGGAGAGGTTCAGTCGCCATACCTCTTTATCTACCACAACCGAGGATCTAAAGAAGCAGAACTCAGGCGAGGATTAACCTCCGAGATGCAAACCCAAATGGATCTTCTCTTGAATTATGTTCAAGAAACTCGGAGCGCGGAATACGCAGCGGCTGATTCTCTTCTGAAGAGAGGCAAGATTTGCCCGGAATTTGTCCAGTACCTCTTCAGGCCTGATGAGGTCTTGGTCTCCACCAAATACAATGAGCACACAGGCTATGTAGCAACAGATTGGCCGGCCAAAGGCGTCCAAACCCATAATACCAAGAATGCTTCTACGTGGACAATTCTGGCCCAAACCTGGCAATTTGATGGACAATTTCACAAATCGCACCAGCTTCTCGAGTTCCAAATGCCAGAACCAAAGCGCCCCAAAGACAAAAAGCGGTCTCAGAGGGTGGAACATCCGATCAATGACTCCGGCTTCATTCTACCTGATATTGAGTGTGACAAAGAGGTCACTATCACAGACTTGGCCGTCTTCCCTATCAGGTATGCCTCGCCCGCTCTTGTCCTAAAGCTTGAGAATCGTGGAAAGATCTTCTGGAAATTCCGGACGCAGCAATATGTGTCCTACAAGGCGACAGAGGAAGAGAACTTCCAGACAGTGGTAAGTGTTTACCTTTGTGATCAACATGAGGGGTCGACTTGAACTAATTACCAAAAACAGACCAACGACCGATACATCATTGACATGAAGACATACAAAAGACTGCACGCGTCTCAGAACCCTCCGGTGCCTCTTGTCCCCGGAAGTGCACTTGACAGTAGAGCCATGGCCAGCGAGCAACCACCCGACAAACTATTCACCCTGCTAATGCCTCCAAGAGTGCTTGGATTCAATCTTCGGCGCAAGAAGTGGTTCGACCTTGCCGTGGATCGCATTGTCGATGTCGTGTGGAACAAAGATGCCTTCTCAAGACTGGCCATTGACACCAAATCCCGGTACTTGATCGAAGCACTAGTCACAAACCACCTTGAGCCCGATTACTCGGCAGATCTAATTGCTGGCAAAGGCAATGGTCTTATCTTACTCCTGCATGGTGGTCCAGGCACTGGAAAAACTCTTACTGCGGAGAGTGTGGCTGAAATAGCCGAACGCCCCCTCTATCGAGTCACCTGCGGCGACGTAGGCACTAAGCCTGAAGAGGTAGAAAAGTATCTCGAATCTGTGTTACACCTGGGCAAGATCTGGAACTGCGTAGTCCTACTCGATGAAGCGGATGTATTCCTCGAGCAGCGCGGCCTAGAAGATTTGAATCGCAACGCGCTCGTATCGGCATTCTTGCGCGTGGTGGAATATTTTGAGGGGATTTTGATTCTGACTACGAACCGGGTGGGCACCTTCGATGATGCATTTAAGTCTCGGATTCAGCTCGCATTGCATTACCCCCCACTTCGAGAGGAGCAGAGGCGACTAATCTGGAAGACTTTCATCGAGCGACTGGATGAGTTTGACGAGGAATCCATTTCTTATGAGAATCTGAGAGGAAGTTTGGACGTGCTGAAGAAGGAGAAATTGAATGGTCGTCAAATCCGGAATGCCATGACCACCTCTCGTCAGTACGCAAAGTGGAAGAATGAACTTCTCACCTATGAGCACCTCAAGGATGTCATTGAGGTCTCTGCGCGGTTTGAAGATTATCTCGAGAACATTCATCGCAGTCCACACACACAGGGTTGAGCGCCACTGAAGTCAAATATGAGACTGCATAGGGGGGAAAAGAGAAAGAATCACCAGAGCGCGGCACAGACCAGCTGAATATTTGCTTTTGATTGATATTTTAACTTTGAGACTCGTACCCTACAGTCATCCTTGTCATTTTCAAAAGTTAAATATAGATGGGTCATTAGGGAAATTGGACAAGGCCTAAAGAAAAATATATCAGCAAAACGTGCAATATAGTACAAGTAGCAGCACACCAAAAGTCTTAAACTCACCCACGAATCGAGTTGAGCCCACCAGATCGACCCCTCAAGACTCTCAAGAAACCCTGCATCGTCTCCCGTGTTAAATCCCATGTCAGCTGATTGCATGCCACCCGGCATGGAGGGGAAGTCCACCGTATGAGCGTCACATGGAACCGACCGGGCAGTTGCATGATTTGCGTCCTCTTTCGACTGGTGGGGATTATCATTACCACCAGAAGAATGAGCGTCCGCTTCGGCCGACACACCATTTGATCCAATCTGCCTATGGACCTCCTGTCTCAGCTCCTCGAGAATGATCCCATACCGCCGGCTGGGGCAGTTCTTGCGGGTAGCTTCGGCAAGATGCTTCTGGCAAGATTCAGCCAGTGGAAAAAGAACCCGCAGTTTATCCGGATCCGCGGGACTTCCAACTGAGGAGACAGAGGCCGCGCTAGACCCTCCCATTGATTTACGATGCTGTTGGATGGTATGGATGTAAACAACTAGGATAGCGCAGAAGCATACATAATGTGTGAACCAGAAGGACTGGATGAGTACGCCTTGCTGAGCAAGACTATCGATGATTATCATGATATCTTCGGCAGCCTGTATACATTTTTGAACGTGGGAGCTGACCATTGGGTGCGGGACTTTTGGTCTGCGGCTGAGATCTGTGAAATCATTAAGGAGAAACGAGCGCGTGACATGGATCATGGCATGTGAGTATGCGAGCTGGAGAACTTGGCTTTGGCGGCATAGGGGTGGTATGAGGCTGGAAGGGTGGACACTGTTAAATAAAGGTGGGACGGTCTCTTTCCATGCTTCTAGCTCGGACGTTAGACGGATAGCAGTCTCAAGAGGCGAGTCGCGCGAGAGATTGCTAATACTATAAAGTTGGCGGGATATGTTTCCAAGGATTCGACCGAGTCTAGATGGATTTAGTTTGCATACCGCAGATACTGCCAAGGCACGAGAAATAAAATTTACCGATAATGAAGAACAGACGCAATCATCATGCTATCCGTAGACCCTGTTCTGCGTGTTGGGTCCGCTTCCAGCAGATCCTCGTCGTTCGTCTCGTCCGGTAGCTCTTGATCGATATCTTCATCATGCAAAAGTCGAGGTCTTCCGAACATGATGCTTAAATATTTGTCTAGAGTATATACACTCCAGAAAATGCGTTTGCGGAGCTCCAATTCCAGATATGAGCACCCGTTATTCGACAGTTTGGGGGGCCACTTTCGGTGTAATCCAAGCGCAGTCACGATTTGCATGGTAGTGCCAAATGAGTACCAACATTCGTTGGCTCGCGACGATGAGAGCAGATACAGGCATTGGCCCAGTCGAGCCTGTATCGTTTCCAAACGTGGCGGCCCCGACTCAAGGGAGGACATATACTTCGAGGCTGCATACCAACACTCACTATGCATTCTTAGTAGGAATTACCATTGTGGCCTTATCAATGATGGACTAACCTTTCGGATCGCCCCCTGGCAACCCACCTGGTCTCAGCTCCACGTACAAAGTACTCACGGCAAATATCATAAGAACTATAGCAGTCCTCGCAACCATGTTACCAGCGGGAAGGTTGGAAAGACAAATATTATCTCGATAAACCTGCCTGGTCCACGCCTCAACATTCCCTCGATGGATGAATCGATAAGTCACCATAGAAAAGTCAAAGTAGATACCCACCAACTCCAGGGCCTTTTCCAGAGACGGGAGTGTAAATTGAGCCTCTTGCGAGTTGGCGTAAGGCTTGTCGCCAAACATAAAGACAGCCGCATTTTTTGATGATTCACTCTGAATCTCGCCGGGATAATGCGTCGTTTCATCCTGGTGCAAACGACTCCACACGCGATTGATAAACGACACACCAGATGAAGGGCCCAGATAATTGCCCTCAAAGTCTGTCGACACGGGCTCTGGTGAATTCCGTAAAGATACAACATGTTGACTCGGGATTGGACGTAGACAGCCGTTTCCTGTCAAATCTCGAACCTTGGTGCGCGAGAGGGGGCTGTTGGAAGTGCGCCTACATATGGCTTCGGACGCATGCCGCCCATTATTGGCTGCTAGTGAACTTGGTGATGCAGGGAGAGGTTCTGGCGGTAACCCCCGAGAGTAGGCGGCGTTGTACTTGCACGGCAACGACAGTCGCGTGCATCTTGTGCAGGGGAGGGTACCTGTACAGCGGGTCTTCTTCACTTTGCACGAGTCACAGGCCCTAGTGATTTTCTGTCGGGGTAACGCGCCATCGGTACTTGTTAGCGTATCGGGTGCTTTTCTCTTGCGACTGGTTGATTCTGATGCAGTGGCACGTTCATCTAAAGTCGACCTAGGCTGTGTAGCAGCGCTAGTGATTTCCATGTCAAGATCAGCGATAACTGCCGAACCGTGCAGGATTTGTCTCACAAGTTGTGTATAGCTCGCGAGTTTTACAAAGGAAATGATTTAAGATGAAGAGGAGAAGTATCCGGAGGATGGAAAAAGAGGATCTCGGCAAGTTTCCGATCGGCGCGGGGATGCCTCCACCTCCCCCAGATTTTTGAAAAGTGACAGCTTTGGCATCTTGTTTCTTGCCCTTTTTGTACTTAACATATAACTGTAGTCTATAGGGAACCACTAGGTATCTAGCTCTTTCATAGAAGCACGTCGCCTCAAGAGCTGAATATTGTGTAACCGGGCATTGCTCTAGATCACTCTTTTCTTGGCTTGTTTTTTTATATAGATTGTAAGAAGATCTCTATACTGAAGTCACTAAGGAACTGAGATCAATAATTGATCAGTATACAAATGTTGATTGTTTTGACAACACTGTGCCGTCAACATCCATGGATGTCCATAGGTGTGATAGTAAAGAACAAGACAAGATATCCAACCTGAAAACAATGGTCAGGTAACCCAACGTTACCCTACGACCCATTATGATAGTAAATCTGATAGCAGCCCAGGGATACATGTGTATGCTTGTGTGGGCGCTAATCTGAAATAGAGCCGGAATATAGCGCAATAGGTATACCCATGGGGTCGGCTATGTCATTTTGCATCTGGATGCTATGAGAGGTGATATTTCGACCGGAATTCCAAAAGCATATCGATATATCAATCAGTATACCGAAGCAGAGCACTGGGAAAGCTGGAAGGTTCCAATCGTGGGTGTCGAGATATCATGATCGACAATTTGATCATAAACCTCGCCTATTTAAGGCTGAGTCAAATGACCTGGAATTAAGTCACGGTGAGTTAGATGACATCTTCCAATCTTATCAGTGATGGGAGTCAAATAATTCTCGAACAACTTGATTGCGTTATGGGTCACGCAGAAGTCAGTGAGAAGATTCCAATCGGTCTGAAACCATAAATTGGACTTCTGCCCTTCCTCATAACCCCAATAGACAGATTGTAAGTTTGAGTTTGACAAGTCACACCTAGGTTTGTTTCTTTGGGGTGTCTACCCCTGTCAGATTAAGCATTTCTGTGACATCCCGGCTCCAAGGTAATCCAGGGTTGAAAGCAATGGCTGATTCGACAGATGGATGAATGAACAAAAGGAAATACAATGACAAAGCCTCTACAAGTGCATAGAAGGTTTGTTTAATTTGTGAGATCTCAACATGTTTTGAGAGAGGCCATGAACAAAAAGAGAGCCGTGAGCACAAGGATAGAGCTGGTCACACAGCCCAAGGGGCTAGTACAATGGGTTTCCGGGTGACTTGCTTAGACGCTAACAAAAACAGAAACACGGCAGGAATGAAAGCTCTGAAAGAAACGCTAAAACCACCCAATTTCATACAAATCGGGATTGGGAGATTTTGGCGGAGTGAACTCGGGGGAAGTCGGTGGGTTACGCTGGTACAATTTTGGCCAGAGATGTGTATATCACCCGAGCAGCGTTTGGGGTCAGTTCACCCAGGTTGGGAATAATTGCCCATGTTGTTTGTGTGAGGATTCATGTTGAAATCAAGGCTGATGCTTTCTTGCACGCCTGAATATCCCGGGGCGGTTCGGTCGTTATTTTCCAAGATTCGTGTGAGGGTATCGCGAATCTCTCCTGGTTGGGCCCCCGCTCGAATGGCGTTGACGATAGATTGGACCGTCGGACCATCACTGTCTCGGATGACTTCGATCAGATCTTCAACCAATCCCCGGTAATGGTCTAATTGGTCTTGAGTTCTTTTGGTGGAGACCTTCCGACGTCTGTCGGCGGCTTCATCGAAGACACATTCTCGGGCATGATTTGAGCATTCGGTACAATGAGGAGGGCCGGTACACTGATAGCAAAGAAGGTAATGTCAGACTAAGTAAAGGACAAGGTGCGGATGGTAATGAAGGGAGAGTGAAGAGGAGTTTCTTGAGAAACATGGTGGATATACCCTGGTGCGGCGTTTTTGACACTCCGTACAAGCTGTCGAAGCTCGCCTCATGCGTTTCTCTTCCTGTCCGCTGCCACCAGCTGGACTTCCTCCCCCGCCACCTAGAAGCTGAGTTCGAGGCGCAAGAGGCCGATAGCCTCGGGGTGTTGGTTCACTCATCGGTCAGATTCCAATAGACACGGAAAACAGTGCACAACAAACAGATCAGAAGCCAAACCCTCTAACTGACCAGACACCATCTGAAAGCATAATCAAATCAATCACATATAACGCAAACGGAGCATGGAGAAAATTATAGAATGGAGAAGAGAGGAGGGGCCGCTGGAGCCACGCTAGTTCGATACAGTAAATTCTGCAATGTGTGCTCTAGATTAAAGGCCGTAAGGGCCAAAGTGGGGGCAGGGAAAAGAATTAATTAAAAAAGCTGGAAAAAAATTCCAAGGAACAAGAAAAAGAAAAGGGAGAAGGGAGAAGAGAGAGAGGATCGAGAGCTGCGTGTGTGGCGGATGTGGGCCTTCAAGCTGACATTCCCGCCAAAATAATAAGCAAAGGTTAAGTAAGGCCGGCCCAAGCTAACTAGATCGACAATTTATCAGGAACATGGTTAATTCTGTTAATGTTTTGAACTTGAATATTGCAATCTAATGTTGAATTTTTTATATTCTTAATGATGTGTAGTGAGCATAGCGGGCAATAGATTCGAAAATTAAGACAGGAGAAATCACTGTAGGGATTCACTGATAGCTCTTTATACTGACTTCTTGTTCCTGTTTTCTTTGTAAAATAGACCTTATTTCTTATTATATTAGGCGTGAGTTTATTCTATGACCCTCTCAATGTATCCTGATCAAAAAGAACCATTCCTACACTGCGTAACTAACTAGTTGGCTATAGCCCTAATTGGACCGGAGTATGTTTCCGGTACAATTGATAGGCTCAGTCCCAAGCAAGTTCAACCAATGTTTAACCAACGAATTTCAACACAAAATCATGATCCTAGCAGAAATTCGATTTCTGGTCGATAGCCTTTCCAAGGTCTCATTGGTGTATCGAGAATCCGTTTGTTGGTATCTTTTTGTTACTATGCTTTTCCTGGTTGTCTCTACTAACATTATATTGAAAGTCCGTAGGTAAATTTTATCCCTTCTACCGAGGGATTCAATTCCCAGGAGTCACTGATATTCTTGTAGATCAGGAGATCCTAGTTAACGCTTTGGGGATTCCCTGAAAGAAAAAAAAACCCAACCGGCGGCACCTGCATAATTAACTCCATGCGCAAGGTTCCGGAGAATTCATCTGGGTCCAACCCGGGTTGCTTGAAAGAAGTATGTTTATTATGTAGTACACAATATACAACGTTGTATTCAGATTTACTTTTTATTTCTGCACTCTATAACATTACAATATACCAAATGAACCGCTTAAATTACTGCCACTCGACTCGTATACCCACTTAACTTTTCCCTGCAGTCGACAGCAATGCACCTTACCATCACCAAACAAAGTGCTGGAGGTACTGTTGAACCCCACTGTGGCTTGTTTTGCCACTCATCCAAATCCATCCGGTCAATACCTTGGTTATGATATACCTTAAGATGCAAACAAGAAGGCACGAAGACTTCATCGCTTGTTTGGAATTGCTATAGCTGTAGCTATCTAGATCGAAAAGCATACAGATGGAAATTAATTTTTTTTTTACCACAGTATACATATGTAGCAACATGGACGGTAGTGATTTTGGAACTGCTAAAACCTCAAATGACAATGACGGCCGGTGACAAAAGTCGCCACCTGGGGCTCTGGGCTAGCTCTAAGGCTTACCACTGCCACGGTTACTTGGTAGATCCTGACATATGGTACCTCAATGAGTGGTTGATTTGACTGAATCAGCTTGTTCTGTTTGTACATTCCAATAAATTCGTGTCACAGGGGTCTATAGCCATAACGAGGATTTACTTTTTTACCTTTCCGCCAGTCCCGATTCCATGATTCAGTAGAATAGAGTTTCATCTGACACTCCAGGAACAGTTGTGGGCCAAAGAGACCGAATCAAATGAAGAAAGACACATAAACATACCTTCTGATCTATATAGTATATACATAGTACATAGATGTCATATGCAGGTAAACTACTCGGGCAAGTGAGATCGAATTGAGAACTCTGACTTCAATCTTGTACGTTGTATACAACCTATACTAGTGTCGGTAAAGAGTTTCATGGACTATTTTCGGGAGCAAATCGCAGATGACCTCCCCCTATTCATTCATGACTCAGTGAACACATCTTTTTCACCATGCGCGGCATGGTAATTTAGAAAAGAATAAAGAGGAGCCCTCGTCACCGCAAGCCACTTACCTAAGTAAAAATGGCTGAGGCTAGTTGCCAGATATCCGTTCAACTGAAGGAGAACACTTCCGCACCATACATTATGATGATTTCTCATTGCCGAGCAGCGTTAATACCTTGTAACACTGAATTATATTTGCTCTTACTCTTCTTGGTCAACGCAACCATGGCCCAACTGCCGGGTTAAGGGCTTGCGGATCGGCCCTACTGCGTCTGCAGCTTGGCATAAGAACTGTCCAAAGGTTGTTCCTCCGCGTCGATAGATCAGACCAAGCCTCACTGACCGTGCGTTTCTCATCTCATCTACTTCAGCGTTAACTTCGCGTCTCGCTCTCGAAATTGTTCACCGATAAGACCGAAACACAGTCTAGGCATATCCTAGATCTGCACCTAAAATCCGAAGTCCATGCTGAACATGCGTGTCACATATTATTTCCTGATTCCCCGATTCACCAATACCCACTATCTCAGGCCGCCGCTATTCCTATTGCTCGACATTTCTGCACCGGTTCACCGATATGGGTGTCTCGCTACGAAACTAGGGACGTGTTTGGGCCTCATACTCTAGAGTGACCCGCTAATTTGAATAGCACTTGACTACGCGACGGGGTTATGGGCCCCATGCCATGCAAGGAAGCTTCCAACGTTACCTTCGGACCCAGACGAACAGACGTTCTTAGGTCCACAATGATCACCGGGTTTGTTGGGTTTGTTCTGGTTCTTTGTTTGACACAGCGGGGCATGGCGAGATTTCGCAATTTCGAGGGGTAAAAAGGAAAAGACAGCCCAAGGCCACGCAGTACCCGTATTAAACCAATCGCTTCTACCCTTCTTGATAGAACGTGTCTTCTTTCGCGGCACTTAAGGAGCGGTCAAAATGCAACTCCCCATAAGCGTGTTCCTAGTCTAATGCTACTGAGCCTGGGCAAGGAATGATAATGTGTTGCCATCTTTTCCACCCAGGAAAACCCACAATAGCCATCATTTCCATAGGTGGAAACATTTTCCACCAAGCATGCATGAAGCTGGTTGGCCGGATGGGACTTTTGATTTTTCCCACAGGGTTTGATATTATTGACTATTATTCCTTTCTGCCTCATCCGCTTATGCTACCCTATTTGTATATAGTACATTGTAGGTTAGGCATACCCAATATGAGTACCAGCACACCTGCACAAACAACATTTCAATTAATGCAGCGGTATGCTGCATGCATCCATGAGCCAAGGCAATTGGTGTATTATAGCCGTAACATTTCAATGCCGAGTGTTTCTTTATCTATTATACGAGCTTTCAGCATTCCAAATTAATGTGCCTTTGATATACATGGATCAAATGGCCCAGACACAGAAGATTCCAACATCACCAATGCTCTCATCTTTCTATTGGATGCCGATATTGAAACCCTACACAAACAGATCTACCAGTTCTTACAACAGCAGCATCAGTCGCAATAGCAGCAGTAGAAATACAACTCAAACACTCGAACCAGCCAAAAAAAAGCGCTTAGCCCTAACATCTGTCTCGGTCTGTGTCTGGCAGCACGAGCAAGATATGTAAAAGAACAGAACCCAGACTTACCTAGGTCTCCTTCCACATAACAATACCTGCAACGGTGGTCTTTGGACGGTTGTGGATGGATCAGCGCTGTATTCGGAATCCAACCGGAGACGAAGAGGCATAGATCGGCTGCAGGTATTGGGCATCAAGCGAAACGCCGAGACCGAGACCGAGACCGAGACCGTATTCATTGGTTATCATTAGCTACATCCTCCGTAGATATGCATGGAGTAGATGTAATTCGGTGTTATATCTTGACCAATGAGAATATTTTCCAACAAGTAGCAAACAACAAGTCGCACAGAAAGACTCTCAAAGCTGGACAAGTTTGGGAGAAGTCCGAGAGAAGGTAGCTGGTGGGAAATTAACTGATTCGTGTCTTTCTGTCTACTCTGTGACTAGTCATAGTAACCTTCTCGACTCTGACATACCTGGTCAGGAGGATGAACGAACTTTCTGCTGGTATTCTTTCTCCACTCTTAACCGAGAGACATATGCCCGTTACGAGAATCGGAAATCTGCAGCTAGGTAAGGAGCTTGCTACTAGTATGCTATGGGTATGGATCTTCGTGGGTTGGTTGTCGAGAGTCTGAAAGTAAGTTGGCACATAACATTTGACAAATGAAATTTCTATTTACATCGTAAAAGCAAAATGTTTGTATTTATCTGCAGAGCTGCTGTTGCACCATTGATATCTACAACATAGTACACAATGACCGCTGCTATACGACATACAGATTACAGCTGGTGCAATGCAGGGCTTGGCTTGGCGCTAGGCAGCGAGTACCGCCGGTGCAGTAGTGACCGATCTCTACATATGTAGCTATGTAATATTCCTATATCTATCGTGTGTACTCCATAGGTATATATTGAAGCTAATTGTGATATTATAAGTGGAAAGGAGTGGATGGATTAGAAAAAAATAGAAGTAGTATTAACAGGGAGCAATATGTACCAATGAAGTAGCTAAAGAAACGTAGAATAGACCGTGGGAGATGGTAAAAGGAGCCCGGGAACTCATCTGCCAGGTTTTATACATGAAAAAAAGAAAAATGCGTGGGATATCAAAAAGAGACAGCCGAGCCACGTGCATATGTGCCTGATTAGTAGATCGGACGACCCTCATCCCATCGACGAGACTCCCTGGGACTGGAGACCGGATCGGGCAAGGTTTCGGTGGTGGGAGTCTGAGGACTCGCAACGAGATTACCGGATGGAGAAGGAAGAGGGAATCGTGCGCTCTCACGGCGGGTACTTTGACCCAAGTCTCCGACGGTGTTGATTCCACCGATCCACTCCCAGACTCGAGAAACGTCACCGCTTCGTCCTTCGCGGACAGCAGCACGAACATTAGCGTTGCCCTCAACGAAACGGGAGACTCGTCGCCAGAGCTCCTCGCGACGCTTGCCTTGTAGTTCAAAGCGGAGGACATCATCACGCAGTTGGCCAATGGATATGTAAGGCTCTTTGGCGTCGCCGCGCGCATACAGTGCAGCCTGTGTGGACAGACGGTCAAGGGTTGTAGCGACCAACTCGGGCACGCGAGCGATATCAGAGCGGCGGGCAAGGACACGCGCGCGGGCATACCCGAGGAGACCAATCCCCAGAATTAGAAGTGAAATAGGGAGTCGATACGCGACGAGAGCGAGTCGGAAGTGGCGGCGGACGGCGCACGCGAGTGGGAGCCGGGCGATGGAGGTAGAGGATAGGATGACGATGCCGGAAGGTCTGTAATTGCGAACGCGTCTCTGTCAGTTCCGGTACACAAGGTCAGACCAGATCTTTATAAGAGACGCCGTTGGATATGGAAATCCAAAGCGATGAGCGAGCCGAGGAAACGCGGAATTTCCTCCTAGGGCTGGGAAAACTTACTGCTTGGTCTTGCTGATAACTTCATCCTTGCCAATCACCTCCCCAATTGCACCCTTCCACAGCTCATCGAATTCGCTGTCACTCAGGCCCTTGCGGCGCTTTTTCGCTACCTCTTCTTTCAAATCAGGCTCGCTGATATCGAGAGAACGGGCAGCTTGACCGTCTTCCTTCAAGTCGCCACATTCCCACTTCGCGCGACGTTCACGAAGCTCCTCGACAGCTTTATCAGCCACAGCCTTCACGCGGCGCGCCTTCTCGCTATCGGGTTCACATGTTGGAGGCAACGGCACCAGACCACCAAGAGCAAGAGGATGAGGCTTAAGGAGGAAATCGGTTTCGCAGCGCACTTCGAAATCTGGATAGCAGAAGGCATGGCTCGGGCACGGCTCGCACCGGGGCTCCAAGACATTGGCCCATTCAGGAACTCTGGTCTCAGCCAAGGACCAGGTAGGCTTTCCAAGCCCGCAGTATCCAATATCGAGCTTCTCTTTGCGCCACCATGTGCCAAAACTACCAGCGAGCGAAAGAATGACGACCCAAGGAGCCAAGCGACTGAGGGTCCCCTGCTTCTGCGGACGTCGTTTTTGAAACTGTGGCGAGTACTGATAATCTTCCATAGACATAGCAAGCTGTTCATCGGGCGTGAACTCTTCGCCTGCGCTCACTTCACTCTCTTCGCCGTCCTCCGACTCTTCTGAGTCCTCCGGCTCCTCCTTTGTGGGCAGCAGCCGGGAGGCGAAATCAAACGCCTCGCGCCTGGGAGCCTGGAAACCATCATCCTGTTTGACGCTTGAGGGTGTTTCTGATGTGCGCGATCTAAGTCCGCGACTCCGAGCTGGGCTTTCAGTGGATAAGCGCGAGCCACTCTTCCGCTTGGCGTCATAGCTTTTTCTCGTACTCTTAGGTACTTCGGGACTTCCGCTCTGGAACGGGTTATCGTCCGTAAACATACCTTCCTCACGAGGCTCCGATTTGATCCCAGGCGTATGTTCCTCGGTCTCCGTCGAAGGGAGAACTTCGCTCCGTCGGACCTTTTTGGCTGTAGATTTGCGAGGTGTAGGACGCGTAGCAGCGGGGGTTGCGAGGTTATCGTCGCCGGTTTCCGTGTCGGATGTCCGGACATGCTTACCCACCGATCGAGCCACGCTTGTGCGCTTAGTTCTAGCCGGAGTAGCAGGGGCAAGGCTATCATCGGTGTCTGCGGTAGAATGACGAGTGCTACGTCGTGATGTGCCTCGCTGTGCTCTCGTTGTGGAGCTGATTGTTGAGGGGGTGGCTGGAGGGGGCATGGATTCCCGGTCGTTCGCGTCACTAGCCACTGATGTTGACCGACTGCTCATGTCTGTGATTCCTGCACTGGTTCGTCGAACCCTCTCGCGGTCACTCAGGAGCTTTCGCGCTTGCGGAAGCACCTCATCTTGCAGAATACCAATCAGTTGAGACTTTTTCGCAGACGCAGGGTAGGGAATATCGTGATTGACGAGAATCGAGCGCAGACGAGGGACGGTGAGAGAGTTGAGATCAAAATCTGGATAAAGGTATTCCAGATCATCCGCCATTTTGTGTGACGCGCGATATGCGATGTTGGCTATCGTGGCCTGATCTATCTTCGAGCACAGCCGACCGAGGTTGTCGTGGTTTTACGATAACAGTTTTGTCGATACAAATACCGACGGTATGTGGCTGGGTGATATTGCAATATGCAAGCGGAATGTCACCGATCCCTCCCTTTTTGGTTCTTAGCTGGGGCAGCAGAATTGTTGTTTTTGTCACGCTGCGAAATTACGCCAGACTAACTTCGTCCAAGTCGTAGCCAGGGCAACAGGCGGGGGCGAGAAAAAAGACCGATCCTTGCCCTAACGCTGAAGTGAAGAAAGCAGCAACGACCAAAAACCAAGTGTTTCTGTTCCTTGCAAACTCGATTCATCAAGAGGGCGAGAGGCGAAAGGATAAACTTGGCAGAGCAAAGAAAACAAAGCCGATGACGCAGGAATAAACAGTGGCACGTGACATTTGTTGATCCTAGATTTATGCAGTTTATTTACGTCACAGATAATAGCCGGAAGTCGGAAGTATCTGCTTAAGGAGCCTAGCAATAGTAATACTGTGGTAGCATATACATCAGAACCATAAGCGGTATACAAGCAAAGCCCATGAAAATCCCATTCAGACTCGAAATATATTCACTGCCCAAGAAATTACAGGCCTAAGCTCAAGAGTAAAAAGCAAAGAAAGAGACAGAAAGGAAGAAACTGAAACGATCCCCGGGGCTCCATGCCGTAATGCTTTATATAAACAACCTGCAGACTCCCACCTGCCTTGAGACGCCGCTCACTTAAAAAGTCAGAGAGATACAGAAAATGAGAAATGGGGAAATGAAGAAATTTCCGCGAGCGAAGAGAGATTATTGATGGAAAGAAAGAACCGTCTAGTGACTGCGGCCGGAGTCGAAGGAGCGATTAGCATCGCCAGGGAGGTGGAGGAAAGACGAAGAGGCAGAGGTAATGCCGCTGTCGATGCTGTTCGAAGGACGATCGGCGTATTGTTGTGGGCCGGCGATGTTGCCAGCAGAACCAACGGCCAGTTGCTCCTTGAGAGCTTGGAACTCGGCCAGTTGAGTTCGGAGTTGCTGTAGGACATCGCTGATGGGAGCGGCGTGGTCCTGGAGACGGTCGCCTGGTTTGAAAGGTCGCATCATGTGGCGCAGGTCAAGAGTGTTGATGGTCACCTAGACGTTGTTAGTGACGGATATTAAATGGACAAGATAATGGTGATAATACTAACCTCGATGCGAGTGACTTGCTGATCGACTAAACTAAGGACGGTTGAATCATTCAGTTCACCTCCATGCCGTTTGACCATGTTGAACAAATCAACATTGGGTTCGCTGAGACTGGGTTCGCTTGGGTTTTCCAAAGCACCACAGAGTCGTTCAAGGCGGAGGGTGACCTCCCAAAGACGCCAGATGACGTTCGTCTGGATATCCAATTGATTATTCGGGTTCATAGTCGCAGCGGTACTATCCTGGTCCTGAGAATCCTCCGAAGAAATCATGCGACCAGACAGCGCTGAGGGGTAGACAAGATAAAGAGGTTCTGGATTCTCCAAACCCTTCAGCTTCCGTTCCCCTTGATCCTTAATGACGAAACCTTGGCTATTGAGCTGTTGTAGCTCACGACGGATGCTATGACCTAGGCTGTCGCCGCGAGGGTGGCTATCAGTCGAGCTGGTGGATGCAGAACGCTCGGCATCAGCGAAGATCTCAAGGTTACGGTGAATGTCGGTCATGAAATCTGATGAGACAAATATCTGTCCTCCATCGGCAACAGCAGAGATTCGCGAGGCGCGATTCACCATGGGACCGAAGTAGTCCATTCGGTTGGTAACCGGATCTTTCTCGCACACAGGCTCGCCCCAATGACCACCCATGCGAACTGAAAGTCCTCGGAAGATAACATTGTTATCCATGTCAACCACAACTCGGCACTGGGGCTGGTCAAGAATCTCCGTAGGCCATTCGGCTTCGAGAAGCTGGTTTTGGCAATTGAAGCACCAAAGCAAAGCAGCTGTGGTGGTCGAGAATGCCACCATGAAGGCATCACCTTCAGTCTTGACCTCGTATCCACCGAAAATTCCAAGTTGCCGACGCAGGATGTCGTTATGAATTTGAATAGCCGAGCGCATTGCATCCGGGCAGATCTCCCATAGACCCGTGGACTTCTTGATATCAGTGAACATAATAGCGAGCTCACCAACGGGAGCATCCACAAAGTCAAAGCGGGCCAGCCGCGAGTCTCCAGGACCATCGCGCTTCTTGGGCCGCTTGGCAGTCGGAATGATCTGTTCCTCGGCAAACGTAGACGATGCAGTATTGAGAGAAGGACGTGGCTTCGGGCGGCGCTTCTGAAGTTCACCAACGCCGAGGATCATCACCATCAGCTTATTGGTGGCGCCGAACGAAATAGCCAAATCACGCAACTTTTGAGCTGCAAACATTAGGTCTGGTTGTTCTCTCCTCGTGACATCGACCACCACCTCTGGGGTAACATAGTCCCAGAGTTCCTTCGACGCCAGAACGATCATTTCATCTTGCTCCGTGAGAGCAGCATGCATGGTGCTAGGGGCCGCAATAACGGCAGGCATCATAGGGAAATGCCCAAAGCACCTCGATACTGGGAGAACATCGTTCAGCTTGCCATTGCGTGACACGAAACCCCCAGCAGCTCGAATGCGCGCTCGCTCATTAGGCTCTGCGGGATCATGATTCTGTGTCAGAGCACGCAGTGAGCCATCTGACCTGATCAGAATGGCCTGAGCATCACCAACATTGGCGGCGTACAAGTCCATGTTGTTCAAATACAAGACAGTGGCAACACCGCCGGATTGGATGTCGTCTTGGTTAAGCAGCTTGGCAGCGGTCGAGCCTCTCTGGTACTGTCGGACCTCGCGATCATCGATAGACCTGTAAGCAGAGCCAGCCATGTTCTTGTTCAACGCCAGGAACGCACGTCTGAGTGCATCCAGCGGCGTTTCACCCTGGTCGCGCTGCAGCTTCTTGAGCTCAAAGGCAAAGCTGGATGTGAAGTTCTCGTGTAAATACTTCGCAACTCGAGAACCTCCGCTAGAGAGAGTTTGTCCGTCAAACATGCCAACCAAAGTCTCCACATTATCTTGTTTCAACCGTGGAACAATCATGTCGATAATTGATAGATGTTCAGTTTTTCCAAGAGAATCAGCCATACCGTATGCAAGCGTACCGGCCAGCGAAGCGGAGGTTCTCACACGACGATCTTCGGTTTCCTCTGGAATAGTAGGAATTGTGAGGGTAACATCCATCAGTCCCAAAACACGGAGATGGGTTAGAGAGTTGAAGTCAGTCAAATCCGCACCATTGGCAGCCGGAGGACCTAGAGAGGCAATATTGGGCTTAATCTCAAGTCGCTTGTTGCCGGAGAAATTCAAGTACTTCAAATTGCGATTCCAGTTCCAGTTCCAATCATAAGGCCAGTTGGAGACGTTGTACTTCAACGCATTACTTCCAACATCCAGAATGGAAAGCTTGCTGACTTTGCAAAGCTCTGCGGGTAGCACTTGGAATCTGTTTGCATTGATGTGAAGAACTTTGAGGTTACTCCCCTCCTCCAGATCGTCAGACGGCAGGGAAGTCAGCTCGTTGCCAGACAGGTACAGTTCAGAAATCAATGGCCATCTCTTGAGGATTCCCTGTGGTAGTTCCGTCAGGTCATTGTATGAAAGGTTGACAATGCGCAACTCTGGAAGCAGAGACAATTCTCGGAAGACGTCATCCTCGAGTCTGTTGTCAGCAAGAGAGAGAGTCCGAAGAGATGCCGCAAAGCTCATTGCCATCTGCTGAGAGAAGTTCGAGTCCTTCCGAGGCCCGATGTGTGGTTCAATGATTGATCGGGAAGTAGCTGATACCTTTCTACCACCTTGCTGCGAAACGGATTGAGCGTTTGAGGGGTTCCGGTAAGACCCATTTGGCGACACAGAATTCATGACACCATTTGATGTTTGGCTTGGCCGACGAAGAGCTGGCTCGTCAAGTGGTCCGATATCTTCGTAGCTTGGATTTCCCGACACGCCTGGGGTTGTTGCAGGTGTGTGGGTAGGCTCACCAGGAACCAGAGGAGTCGGGGCACCATACTTCGGGAAGGTCGACAAGATGTTGGAGGAGATGTTGAGGGTTTCCAGCTTGGCGCAATGCCAAATTTCAGAAGGCAGTGATGTCAGGTTACACTCCCTCAGATTCAAATGCTTGAGCTCTACAAGACAGCCGATCGTCGGAGGCAAGGAAGAAAGCGGATTTTTGATCATACTGAAGTGCTCCAATCGACGTAGCTTGCCAATCTGGGGCGAGACGGAGGAGAGGTGATTTTTGTCGAGAACAAGTTTTGTCATATTTGGACAGTTCTCGAAGATGGTATCCCGGAATTGAGAAAGCTTGCCAGAAGCAAGATTAAGAGAAGTCAGGGTCGGAATAGGAGCATCGACGTCAAACTGCGTTAGAGGACAGTGGTCCAGATGCAGACTTCGCAACCTCGGGAAGGAGCCTTTGAAGCGCGATAGGAGATTGTGTCCGAAGAAGATCTGCTCTAGTCGAGGCAGACTAGCGAGAGCATCAATATTGGTGATGGCATTGAACCGCGCATCGAATTCCTTGAGATTCACCAAATTCCGGAAGGACTCGTCGAGAGGCCCACTGAGGTTGTTGTTCGTCATCCAAAGGCGCTCAAGAGTGACCATGCGGCCGATGCCAGGAAGTTCCTCAATACCGTTGAAGCTGATATCAAGATCAACCAAGCTCTTCAAGTTGCAGATGAATTCAGGGAAAACCTTGAATCCGTTTGATGACATGTTCAAACTTCGCAGAGAGGAAAAGTTCCCAAAGTAGCTTGGTAACTTGGTCAACTGATTGTTGGCCATCTTGATGCTAACAAGACCAGTCAACCGATCCAGTCGTGCATGATCCAAGTCTTCTAAGCAGTTGTTTGAAATATCCAGGTATGTAAGCCGGCCAGCTAGACCAAAGCTTTGGGGAAGGAACGAGGCTTCATTCCCGATGAACTTGATTTCACGCAGATTGATGCAGCTTTGAATAAAGTCCTTGGGGACGTCCAATGACAAGTTCCTTGACAGATTGAGAGAGATGATCTCCGATGACTTGGCATACAACGTGATCGGAATCGTGACAAGGCTGCGACCTTGTAGATCCACGTGGCTGAACTTTTGCACCTTGTTGAAGCCTGGGTCTGTCTCGAGACTGCTGTAACCGCTGAGCTTGGTGGGTAAAAAAATGAAACGGCAAAGATAACTATGATCTTCTCGGCCAATATCTTCTATCCGGTCGCTTGACGTATAGCCAACTTGTTCTAAGAGCTTTTTCTGCATTTGAATGGGCCGTTCATTATGATCAAGTTGTCGTGAAAGGTCGTTCTTCCGGAGAACAATTTCGTAGTTGTTGAGATGGTCTTGGAGGAAGGACTTCCGACCAAGCATCAGCAGAATTTCTGACACAGTCGCGTTTACACCAGCCGATAGTGTAGCAAATGTCGAGTCGATTCGGAAAATTCGGATAAAGAAGGAGGCTTCACGCTCACGCGGTCCAACGGGTACCGCTTCTTCCTCCAATTTTGTGTCAGTAGGCCCACGAACCTGCCAACTATCAGGAGCGTTCCATGGCTTTTCGAATTTGGAATCGTCCCCCGGTGTTACAGTCCCATCCCTGGCACGCTTCATGTGGCCCGGGGAAGTAGGACGAACGATGCCGTTCAGGTCATCCATATCGACGTCAAGGTGGAAGAAATGTTTGTTCTCATTTTGGATTTTGTCGTCTTTGTTGGGATTGTACAGGTCACCACCACCTTGGTTGGCGAATGGACGACGAGGACCAAGCTTTCTTCCCCCAATGAGTCCCTTCCCCAGATCTTTCCTTCGGTCCGAATCTGCGGATTCAGGATGCCTAGAGGAAATGCTTCCTTCGAGACTTCCTTGCCGATCACGTCGTGGCGGGGAAGAGTTTCTTGATCTGTCATGCGATTTGGAGCCATCACGACCCAGAATCTTTTTAATGAAACCGCCGATTCGGGGGTGTTGTGAGCTTTGATCGTGATCACGGTATGCGCTGCGGGTACTGGGAGTCGGGCTAGTGGACCGGCCTCCAGGCCAACCAGATTCGCCTACGTCCGTGGTTGAATGAAGGTAGTTCTCGTTGAAGGGTCGTATTCCGATATCATCTCTGCCAGTGGCGGGGCGATTTTGATATCCTGCTAGATCGCCAGCAAGAGTCGGCTTCTCTTCTTTGCTCCGCGAAGGACGATGTCTCCCATGTCCCCGCCGACCGGGCTCCTTTTGCCCTGAAGTATTACTATCTTGAGGTGGAAGCCGTTGCCCATCGGGACCAATAGGAGTATGGCGAACTGGTGCCTCCCCATACTGTGGAATATCCTTGAAACTTTGGTAGTCCCATGGGGTGATCTCACTGGAGGGCAAAGGAGTGTTTGCTCGTGGCTTCTGTGATCGCTGCGATGACCCAGAGCCGTCGGGTGTATTGCGCGAGCCATCTGAGTTCGCCCTTTCACGCGCCTTCAGTTGGTCCACTGGTCCCCCACGCCTGCTGGGCGGGTGGGAGCCATCATCATCGGTTTGGAGTTCTCCCGGTGATTGATAGTCATCTCCAAGGAGGCCCTTTAGATGCTTCTTGCGGAACTTCTGGCTGATGCTGGATCTTGAGCCCTGACTGCTCACTGTGGTTGCGCTTGCGGCAGACGGCCGTCGATGTTCTCCGTGGTATTCAAACTCGGCGGGTTCGCTCGCTATTGTTCGTCCAGTCGTGGGGCGAAATGTAAATGAGGCAGGTGAAGCTTCTTGTTCAGAGTAATCATGATAAAATGTACTGCCGCCATCTAGCTGTCCACTATTTGGCGCTGTGGACCATGGAGCAATCGAGTCGAGCTCGTCGGGATCCAGGCGAGACGGGTTGAGAGGAGGAGGTCGGGGGCTCGGTGCGGAGGACTGGGATAGGCTATCGCGGTTATTTGGAACAATCAAGGCCTCGCGGTGGTTGCTAAAGCCAGAGGCTTTGCGCTGTTCGGTAGGAGAGACGTCGGGGGAATCCCATGACCACACGGAACTTCCCCAATCGATCCTTGGGGGTTTAGATGCATCCGGCCTAATAAAGACTTAGTACAGTTTCATTCATGCATCGAAAAATGACGCGCCATCCCCAGCAATTGTTTTCGAGAGATCGAAGCTTACTTTGAGTTCATGCTTAATGAGCCAGGAAACGAATCGGCATTGCTACCTCCCGACGAGGCCTTGGGGTGATCTTGCAATTGACCAGCGGAGTTTCGCACTGTATCTTGCGATATCCAACTATGACCAGAGCCCGCCGAACCCTGACGGTTGTCGGGTTGATTGCTATCCCGCACTGGCATAGCTGCGCTCAAATTCGGCGGAATGCCGCCACGGCGACCCTGATCAAGTTGCAGCCAGCCGTATCTTGGGGTGTGGGGGGATTTCGAAGCAGTCCAGCATTAATGACGCTTATGATGATTGGGATGTGTGGGCGACCGGGGAGGGAGGAGGAGCTGCAATGTGTGGTTGTCGATTCTGCTGTCTCGGGTGCTGGCGCCCCGATGCGGAGGTCAACCCGGCGACGCGGTAATGGTCGGAGGAGCTTCAGTAGATCCGGAAAGACTCGAGAGAATGTCAAAGGTCGATTCGAGATGAGGGTAATCGATGATTGAGGGCGCGAAGGAGTTGTGAGGGCGGTGGGGGTGGGGGAGGGTGAAAGAGGTGGAGGGTGTGAAAAGTAGTCGAGTAGTCGCCTAGTGGCGCAGGTGCAGGATCAATATCAAAATATCGTTACTGCATGGGGTGCGATGGTTAAGTGCGCATAGACAAACGGGTGATTAACGAAGGTCCAGGGTCATTGGGGGGGGTGGAGAGTGGGGATGACTCGTGACAAAGGCGGATCAACGGAATGACGAGAACAAAGCCGTGAGAATATTCGACTCGCCAATGTAGTTTAGTTTATTTACGAAAGAAAAATAGAGTAGACTTAAAGCAGAGTGAGGCTCCAAGTTGTTTCAAATGAAGTCCTCTGCAAGTTTAGGTATTTCCTACGAAACGTTTCTCCTAACCCTTTGTAAGATCATAAAAAGATTATGATGACCGATACATATACGGAGTTAGCTATGTATTGATTTCTGTTTCTCGATATTTCTCTCTTTATAGTGTATTCTGTATATTTTGAATATACCAGATAATTTATATCATATCAGAAATACCTAAGAAGTAATAGAAAGTAGGCTAGAATAATATGTATCGTTTCTTATATGGTCCGTGATGCTGTCCGTGCTCTCTGTGGAGCTTCCCGTTGTCTGTTGCTTTACTCTCAACTCTCCATTTCCTACATATGTACAGAATACTCTTTACTCTTTACTGCTCTCCAAGATTTCATTCATATCCTCGTATATACTCAACTGTTCAATTTGAGATACTATACAGCCCACTTTCACGTTACAATCATTGGTCATTCTGTATTTCACTGCCCGGTACCTTAACGAGGCTGTGACAAAGATCCCTGTAGCACCTGGACTCGTCTTTTCTGTCTTCCTTTGGAAGAATAAGATCGCCACGGTACTATTGCTCTCGCTCCACAGCTTATGTCTCTTTGTTGCAGTCGGCAGATATCCCCTTCAACTCAACAAAGCTTTGCGTTGTCCTACGAGTGTACTCTTTTAATTACAAATATACTGTATCCACCCATCGATTACATTGAGTTAGAACGAGATCGAAAGTAAACGCCATCGATTAACCTTGGGAGGATATCACACCACTCAGGTAATTTTATGTTGTACAGATTGGCCCTTCACTTTGAAACTTGGGGAGCTTTGAAGCTCCTCGCTCAATCAGACATTAAGGCGGGCTAGAGAACAGCTACCCTATGCACATATTTATACAAGAGAATTTTCTCTTCCTAGCCATGAACTGTTTTGTTTGATTTATCCATGGATCAAGGCTCTCACACATCCGTTCTTGTCAAGTGAAACGGGAGACATAGGGGAGTCAGTTGACCGCCTTGAAGCTCCGCCTCTCCGCCTTTATGGACAAGATTTTGTTGTAAATATACGACAGGAAGTCCCTCCTCTTCTTTAACCCGCCATTCTGTTGTCTAACTAAAATCACAAGCGTTCACCTGACGATATGCCTTAATCTGAAATGTGTGGTGAGGGTCCTTTATTGAGCTGAAGCTGATGTTCACGATCCACCCATGCATAGCGCCCACGGTGTGTAGATAGGTGAGGTTATATCGACCGGGGCCTAGACCGGATTACGCTACAACTGTCAGGTATTGATGATAAGCCGTCTATAAATACTCGGCGAAGTGAACTCAGTTTAACCCATCACATGTATGGTGCAAACTTGTCCTTGCGTAGGCGGGGATAATGCCCAACTATGGAGTACTTAGTACAGCCTGAACATAGAGGTCACAATGATTCGCAATCATCGAGACATTGACGATGTAATCGCAATTCTAAGTGATGACTTCAAATTGTTTCAATTAGAAAAACAAGACCAAGAACCAATATAAAGGGGGGAAATAATGAGATCATATCTTCTAAAGTTGCAAATGGAGGAGGCTGGGGTGGGTCTCAATAATAATGGGTCCTAAACATATTTTCGATCTATACGTTTGTACTCCGTACGGAGTAGTTATTGTATGCACATACGTGTGTCCCCTGCCACCCGTTTATTTGCTTGGGCCTTGCCGCCTTTCCTTGGTTCAACTTGGTATCTTTCTTTCTTGCTTGGAAGCGTCTCGAAAATATCATTGACAATATTATTATGAATATCAAGGGACATTAATAGACCTAGGAAATCTATTTATCTCGCCCTAGAACAATGTTAGTATATACATTGCAATTTGAACTGCACGATCAAAGTACAATAGATGTACACATTTTATTGCTGACTTTTCCATGGTTAACACATAACGTGGCGTTGGGCGCCCCCGATCCGAGGCTGTGATTGGACCAATGACAGCTCCTGGGACCCACGGATCGACTAAAAAGGAAACCGTGAAACAGAGGAGGCTGGCACTTTCTTTCTTCGAATCTTTAAATCTCTTTCCTTTCTTTCACATCTATCTGTTCAGTATTCAGTACTCCGTAGTTTTGTCGGATTTGGTGTCATTTTGTAATTGGTGGAGATCGCTTATTGCTTGCTCTCATCTTCTTCACTATGCGTCTCACTCTTGCGGCCTTGGGTCTGCTCTCTCCCCTACTAGTCACAGCCCAAACTTACACTGACTGTAATCCGACAAAAAAAAGTAGGTGGAATATTCGCAGCTTTGGGTCAGTCACTAACAGCCACCAGCATGTCCCGCTGATACTGCATTTGGAGAGTCTGATAAGACGTTTGACTTCACAAGTGCATCTGATGCTTTCAAGTCAACTGGAGCCGTCACATATGACTCAACCAATGGCGCAACATTTACTATTTCTAAGTCAGGCGATGGCCCCCTGATTCAGTCTGGTTGGTACATCATGTTTGGTCGTGTGGAATACACAATCAAGGCCGCACCGGGAACAGGAATTGTCAGCAGTGCAGTTCTGCAGTCCGATGATCTCGACGAGATTGACTGGGAATGGCTGGGTGGGAGCGACAACCAGGTGCAAACCAACTATTTTGGAAAAGGAGATACAAGCACAAACAATCGTGGCGCCTTCCACGACGATCCTGGAAGCCAAGACGGCTTCAAAACCTACTCCGTCGACTGGACTAGCTCTCAGATTGTGTGGGCTATCAATGGAAAAACAGTCCGTGTACTTACACCCGAGTCGGCAAACACGGGCATGTACCCACAGACCCCCATGATGATCAAGGTTGGGGCGTGGGCTGGTGGAGATTCAAATAATCCCCAGGGCACCATCGGTAAGAGTGAACCACATCATACTAGCCATCACTTGCTTACATTATGTTTGTATAGACTGGGCTGGTGGCACGACGGATTATAGCCAGGGTCCTTTCAAGATGTACCTCAAGTCGATGACTGTGACCGACTACTCGACCGGAACCTCATATAGCTACGGCGATATGAGCGGTACATGGGAATCTATCACCTCTGAAGGGGGCAGCATCAATGGTAACAGTGGCGCCGAGCCCACATCGACCGAGTCCGCGCCTCTCATCACGTCGACTGCCGACAACGCCCCGGTGCCATGGAGTGGAACGCATAAAGAGACTTCAAGCTGGGTCACGCCAAACGTCTGGCCCTGGGTGGCTTCTGACTCCCCAACGGCCTCGTCGACAGGATACCAGTATGATTGGGAGTCTAGCTCTGGCCACAACAAGCCACCAGGCGGAGTCTCAGCGAGTAAGCAATCCCCTGTCTTTGCTACCTTTTATTAGGAGTCACCCGCTAACGTCATTCTTCGTATAGTCTATCTTCCGCTTTACATAAGCAGCGTGGCTTTTTTCTTCGGCTGTCTGTTCCCGCTCTGGCGTTGAGATTCTCTGCGAAGCTTGATTCGGTTGGTGACAAGCACCGCCGTTTTGTCGCGGAACAGTACCCTTTACGATAGAAAAGCTATTGCTACCACAGCCGCAAATCACCCAACTAGCGAGACGCGTCAACCACTCTTCTGATATTCCTCCACCGGTGGAGTATACAGGTGACTGGTTTATGGTGACCGCTATACTCGATGTTTTGCGTGCGTGCCTTATTCGGTGGCATGCTTGCATGTGATTGCTATAAATTTTGTATGATTATTGATGATTTCATGGGACGGCGTTGACTTTTGCTTTTGAACATAAACCATGAGCGATGAACTTTTGCGGCTCACAATACAGCCGCGGCATTTGGGCGTTTAAAGACACTTTTTTTTATATTGTTTTGTTTCATAGACATTGGCATGAAAATCAGAGCAAAGTATATATAGTTCAAGGAACCATATTTCAGCCAACCAAATATTGCGATTGCGTCACTTGAAGGATAAGACTAGAAGCTTTCGATTCATGGATCCAGTGTCCGAACCCCAAAGCTTCATCGGTACATGACTACTTCGTTCTATTAGTCCCCAGGGTTACTTTCAATACTTGTTCATCTACACTATCTACTGGATTACAATCGACCATCTTTAACTATATTGCTCTATCTGGATATGTACGCCATGAACAAGCCTCTCATCCCAGTTGAAAAAGCCCTATCCCTCCCCGAAATCGTAGAAAACATACTTTCATTTATCGACAAAGACGCACACTCAACCTGGATAGGCATCAACGACTATGAATATAGCCGCGCGGGAGTGCTCCTCAACTGCAGCCTTGTCAACAAATTTTGGAACCACGAAGCAATGCGAATCCTTCGGTCAAACATGCTAACGAACAATATGCGACTCGACGAAATCGTCGATCAAATCCCCCAACAACGCCGCCAGATATACGCAAATCATATCAAACCGCCTTTATCTACACGCGTATGTGGCAGTCGAAGTGGGTGATCCTGAGGGCTTTAGATACTGTCACTTTCCCGAAGATTCGGACCTTGCGTATTTATCCTACTTGTTTTGATTCTTACGCGGAAAAGATGCTTAGTATCCCTGATGTTTATATGCCTCATGCTGAGACGCTGGAGATTTGCAGTTGTGTTGAAGGGGACAAGGTTATTTGGAGATTGGAGATGAAGCAGTGGGATGATCTTGTCTTGCAGCTTCCGGTGCGTTCTACCTGGTCTTTTATTTCTGTGGAGTGGCTAACCTATAACTTATGGATTGATATAGAAGCTGTTTCCTACCCTGGTGCATGTCAAGATCAATTTGCCAACCGTAAAGTGTCCGGATAAGCTGGCGGCTTTGTATAAAGGTCTGCCGAATCTTAAAGACATTACGCTTCGCGAAGTGCATGACTTGGAAGAGGAGAGGTATAGTAGTGAAGAACAAAGGGTATTTTGCTATTATGAACGAGCATATTGATCTGCGGCTGGACATAGCTTACCCGTCTACTATGATTATACAATACAGTGGAATATATCTAAGTTTTCTTTTGGAGAAAATTGAGGAAACACGATTCAAACAGCACAAATATTGTAAGACATTCAGTTGCATCCAAGTATGACAAAGTTATCCAAGTCAAACACCAATGTATATCAAGGAGAAATGAACAACAAAACACGCATCAATGCGCTCAGTAAGCACCGTCATAGGGTACAGCACGATCCTCTTTAGCCCACAATTGTTCCTCATCGCTCTTCCAAGGCGGCGGAACAAGGCCATTGATTTTCCATAGTCGGCGCTCAGTTTCCATGACGTGGTATTCCCAATCGTATCCCTTGTCGGCAATATGAGGTTTCAGTATCGCATCGATCGAAGAGGTAGACCTCTTATATACGGCGTCGTCATTGGGCATCTTGATTGCGATGTGCGAGATGACGACGCGGATGAAGGGCTTCTCGGTCCTCAATTTGCCTCCCACCAAGATATCTTCATTTGGTAGAGGAATGAAGTTGGTCACGACGTAGAAGGCTGGAAGACCGAGCTTGGTGTACATCTTTGTGATATCTTCGGCAAAGGAGATTTTGGACGCCGGGTCTCCGTAGGTGCCCACTGGGTGGTAGATTTGCCAAAGAGGCATTTTGATGGAATGATTTGTTATAGGGCTGGCTTTATTGAACGAACAATTGCTTTGTGTTTTCGTAAAAGTGGTAATATCTTCATCTTAAAATACTCAATGTTGTTGCACGAAGATGCTCGTTCGTCATACCTCAGTAAAAGTGGCAAAGGACATGATTATTTGATCTTTCGAAGCTTTGATGAATCAACAATATTGGCGGCTTGATTGTTGAAAATATCCGTTAAGCTTTCTATGTAGGGTAGCACTAGTCCCGTTTGGAAGCACATTCTTTTAACGATTTATACTTCGTCCCAGACGATGATTGCTCATAGCAGACAGCTTGACTGATGAAAACTACTATGAATATTACCAGGGCCGCTAATAGTATCGTCGGACTCAAGGACACCTTGCGAAACATAATATTGTCACTTGATTTCCATCCTCACAAGGCATAAGTTCATGGGCATTGATTGTTGAATAGTATAAAAGTCATGATGATTCTAGCATTGGATCGGGAACACAATATTTCCCTCAAACGTCAATACTTGAAAAAAATAGTACGAATAGCAACAAGAGGAGCCAACGGGAGAAGATCAAATGGCAATAGACTTTTAGATGGGAAGCCCCAAGCTAGGTTGAGGACACGACTTTAGATTTATTCACACTGCTAATATGCGCCAAAACCGACAAAATTTGGTAGCTCAAGGCCGTGTCAATAAGAAAATCAAGCGTGTTTTTAAATAGAGCTCACCTCTTTTTCTGATTATTCAACAATGCCGAATCTCGGACTGATCGAATAATCATCGAATTCGCCTCTTTGCATTTGTCATCTCACAGCTTACCACCTGGGCACCTGCGTCTTTCGCTGCTCATTTCTAAGTGCCTGAATACCGAATACTCATAATTAATCCTGAACAATGGCAGAAATAGCAGAAGACAAGGTCAAAACAGTTGGTCGCAAGCGCGGTCGCCCTCGGACCGTGACTGACGACCATGAAGTACCAGAGGTGGGTCTAGTCGCAATTAGACTCCCTGTGCCGATGCTCACATTGATTTACAGAGACGCCGCAAACAACTTCGCCTTGCGCAACAGGCCTATCGCAAACGAAAAGAGACCACGATCGGTAATTTGCAGAATCGCGTTCAAGAATTGGAAACTGGAATCGAGGATCTCAGCCACTCTTTCCTCTCCTTCAGTAATCTTCTTATAGAAGAGCAACTGCTTTCACAATATCCACGTATTGCAGCGGCATTGCAGAATATAACCCAACAATGTGTTGCTCTTGCAAAAGCTGGAAGCGAAGAGCCAACCGAGGTGGCTCTCGTTCATGCTACGAAAAAGCCACAAATCAAAATGGCCGCGACACCTGATAATAACACAGCTCCAAGCTTAGTGCTGGTTAACACACCCTCAGAGACCTCCACTGATGTCGAAGATATAATTCGTTCAGCAACAAGATGGCCCGGTCCGCCTACTCCACCATATCAAGATCCATTTTCCCTACCATTCGGCATCGTCATGCCGTCGCCAACTACTGAACTTCCATACGTAACTCCGCCACTCTCGAACTCGCCGACATTAGATTTACTATCCAACAATATAGTTGAAGAGCGGCAATGGACGATCGCTCAACGTATTGTCCAGGCATGCTGCCAGAACGGGTACCGATTGCTCGTGGACACCCCAAACCACTCCAGAGTCCAGCAGATCTTCGGATCTATGCTGGGTTTGTCAGAACGCAATCGTTTGATTTCAGGATTCTATGCTGCCACGCAGGACAAGCTTGGCGATTTAATAGAGCCCAAAGCCAACGTGCTTACGGCTCTCCGGTCCAATATGAATACCTTTTCGGAGGACCAACTCCATTTATCACCTAGAATATGGCAGATCGCACTTGAATCGACCTCTGGCGAATGGATGGATGCCAATGGGGCTCAGAGATACTTGCGCGATAAACGAATGATCTTCGAGAACTTCACTGATTCTTCTGGTCCGGATTACTCTGTCTCGTCATCGCTTGATGTCAAATCCTTCATAAAATGTGAATGTCCCGTTGAGCTTTACCACTCATGGGTTGCGCTAATATTTTTTAGTCCTTTCAACTGAGGCCATCTGTGTTGGGAACGGTCCAGTGTTCCGACGGCAAAGCGTCGATAAAGCTATTCGATTAGCAACCATCAATGTCCCCTGGGATTTCGATAATTTATGTGACTTATGATGCATATTCATACTTGTAATATATAATGAAGATACGAATGGATGCCTTGAGTCAAGCATTCCGAAGGATTAATTATTGTCTTGATATTGCTCGTGCTAGTGATCCCTCGCCTCGAGCCATCCTCAACAGTGTACTAAAGCAGAGCAGCAGCCATAGGCGTGAAAACAAGACTAGGCCAGAGTTCATCACTTTTGCCGATGAATAACAACCAAATGACGTGCTTGTTGACAAAAGCTCGATATCTGATGGGCGCTTCTTTGCGACACATTACCCCTGCAATTCGCACGCTATTATTTGACATGAGGCTAGCCTCATCTTTGATGGCCCGCAATCAACGAACATTTGGTAGCTAGAAGATAAGCATCCCGGCTTTGCCTTTTTATTCTAATCTTCCTTTCGTCCTAGGTCAACTTTCGTAGTGTTCGGACCGTTTGACGGAACAATGCAGCAGACAGCGTGGCTCGATAAGCGAAAAGAAAGTGCTGACGGGAGCCGCCCAGCCCTGCGAGCCGATTAATCTGCAGCCAGCTTTATATGGAAGTGCACCATCCATTTGTCCAGAAAACTTTGATTCTCTTTCCGATAGACCGTCGGTGCTCTAGATCGGCTTTACTGATGCTTGTTTCTCTAAACGAGAACCACGTCCGGACAGCGATCACGCAAGTTGATCACACTAGTCTCTACATCGCATGATCGTCTTCACCTTCACAACCAACAGTGAGATAAGATCGCGGCCAGCTCCGGAGCTCCGACGGGAAGGTGGGTCTGGGGAAACACTCCACAGATACCGGTAAAGCATTGATCAGTTGTTTTCCTGCGCAGGTAAAAGATGCCACAGTCAAAATGGTCATTGCCACTCGACCACTACCTAAAAGTGCAGGTTGCGTATGCTCGAACGTTCTGGTTTTTTCCGGATAATCCCTGAAGATGGGGTCCAATCTACAGAACAGGGATTTAACATGAAGAATCCCAGCAAGTGCGTCTCTAGTAGATCCAATCTCTTGATCTCTTCTTTGTTGCGCTCCAGCCTTATCATCTGGTGGGGGATAAAAGCAGTTGGTGAAATGATAGTGAATACTCCGACAGCGCCCGATAGTTGGAAGCTCATCCCCAGTGGGCACTTGCTCTCGCAATCGCACGCGACAGCAGGCCCCAGCCGGCCTCAAAATCCCAAAAGCCAAAAAAATCTAATCGACAGGCATCTATCTTTCGCTCTTTCTCTGGGGTATGGCGGTTTCAAGATAGCCGAAGCGGGAAGTATGCCCCTGGACGCGTGGCACTCACTATGGCCGAGGTCTACACTAACTAAGCCTTACAGAGTAGTCGTTAAGCAATTTTCTGTGCTCTAATAACATGCCAACCCACTAAACAAGCACTAGACTGCGAATCAGTTAAGCTAGCCCAATCTCTGCACCAATTGACTCTTGGGAAGTCCGAAATTACTTGACTATGCTGTTTAGCGCAACGCTAGAAATGAGCCTGGACTTTAGCTTCAATACCGGTTGCCGTGGCCGGGAAAAATTGCCATACAGTGAGGTCCATACTCGCTACAGCAGCCCTCTATGGGTTACGTAGGAACCCCGCCACTACTGCATGTCCTACCGAACCTCATTATCGCACTGAATCGCGATATGAAGACGATATAGAGCCCTCTTCTTATTGGCGAGAGCCCGATATTCGCCTTATCTACCCCCGAAAACAAGAAACCGAGGTATCGGAGAGCCGTTGGCGTATAGCATAGCTATCCTCCAGCCCAGTGTCCATGCAATATATATAAAAATGCCCGCACTCGACTGTCTTGGCTAACAAGCCACTCACGCCTGCCCGCAAACAAAGGCTTCCAACGAGCTTTCCATATTGATATCGCTTAGGGTCTATCTATATCAATCATCACTATGGCGGTCTCCGAGAAGTTTGACGCATCCCGCAATCGTCCAACGGCGGACTCATTTGATATAGAAAAAAGGCAACCCGTTGTCGAAGTCAGCGATGCAGATCTATCAGAAATTTTAGAGACCCTCCGCGAAACCATCAAGGAGCACGAGCTAGACCCTAATTTCCCACCCGAGATACTCAACTCTGCCCGTGCTGCACTGCGAGAATCCCCCAACAAGCTACAGGCGCATCTTCTCCAGGGCCTTGTAGCCGAGATCCAGGCTGAGCGCGATCTTCTGCTTAACGACTCACCCTACGCTGAAGTTCGCGCCGTCGTCGACAACACCGATGATCCCTCTACACCGGTCAACACCTTCCGCGCTTGGTTTCTGGGAATCCTCTTCACCATCTTGGGCACAGGAATCGATCAATTCTTCTCTTTGCGCTATCCTGGAATATATCTTTATACTGTGGTTGCCCAGCTGCTTTCATATCCTTGCGGTCTTTTCCTCGCACGTGTCTTGCCCACCACCCCTATCAATGTTTTTGGAACGAATTTCAGCCTTAACCCTGGCCCGTTCAACCAAAAGGAACACATGCTCATTTCAATCATGTCCAATGTTGCATATGGAGGTCTCAATGGAACCGCCTACGTGACTTCCATCTTCCAGGTCTTGAAATTGGATATGTTTTATGGAATGAAGGAACTAGCCGACAGCGCGGGCTTTCAGATCCTGCTCACACTGTCTACCCAATTGATCGGATATGGATGTGCCGGAATCGCCCGCCGGTTCTTGGTATACCCCCTGTCATGTTGTGGCCTAAGAACCTGGCTCAGATTGCCCTGAACCGAGCCTTACACAATGACGACAACTCTGGCTCGGCGAATGGATGGACTATGTCTCGCTATCGCTTCTTTCTGTACTGCTTTGGTGGAATGTTCTTTTACTTCTGGTTCCCGGACTACATCTTCCAGGCCATGTCGTATTTCAATTGGATGACTTGGATCGCTCCCCAGAATGTCAAACTGGCTATCATCACCGGATCTATTGGCGGTTTAGGGTTCAATCCCCTTCCTACGTTTGACTGGAATGTTGTCTCATATGCATTTGACCCTATTGTCACTCCATTTTTCTCTTTGTTGAACAACGTGTTCGGGATGGCTGTGGTGGGCATTGTGGTTATTCTGCCTGTTTACTTCTGCAATGTGTGGAACACTGCCTACCTCCCCATTAATAGCAACGATATCTTTGACAACACTGGAAACGACTACAACGTCAGTCGGATTCTTTCATCGGATTTTACCCTCGACGTCGAGGCCTATGAGGCCTATAGCCCGGCATACCTTGGAGCTGCCAATGCAGTTCTGTATTCTGCCTTCTTTGCCATCTATTTGGCAACACTGGTGTATGCAGCGCTATATTATCACCGTGAAATCCTTAGTGGTTTCCGCGCTGTTATGAAGTGGAAGAATGCCAGGGACGAATACAATGACGTCCACAACCGACTGATGCGCCAATACAAGGAGGCTCCAGAATGGTGGTATCTGACCATCTTGGCCATTGCATTTGCCATGGGATGCATATGCTGCAAGGTCTACGATACGGGCATGCCGATTTGGGGAATCGTGGTTGGGTTGCTGCTCTGCGTTTTCTTGCAGATCCCCATTGGTATCGTCATGGGTGTTACCAATATTGAGGTCACTAATAATGTCATCGCCGAGTTCATTGGTGGTTATGCTGTGCCTAACAACCCAGTCGCAAATATGATCTTCAAGTCCTATGGCTATATTGCCGCGGCCCAATCGGTGCAATTTGTGGCCGACCTTAAATTGGGGCACTACATGAAGATTCCTCCGCGCACCATGTTTATTGCGCAGACTATCGCCACCATTGTCGCTGGTTTTGTGTCAATTGGTGTCAATGCCTGGCAGCTTTCTAATATCAACGACGTGTGCTCTGCGGATCAATCTGCTAACTTTACATGCCCTGGTAAGCATCCTAATTTCCATCATTATCTTCGTCTGTGCCTTTCTCTCATTCCTTTCTCATCATTGACCTATCGTTGCGACGGAACATCTTCATCACGAGCTGTTTCCAGACTTAAAACAAGATGTACTGACCCTTTCTAGATACCCACACGTTTTTCACTGCGTCCGTCATTTGGGGCGTCATTGGTCCAGCGCGTATCTATGGTGACAGTGGCATCTATCACCCTCTGGAGTGGGGCTTCCTAGTTGGCGCATTACTTCCAATCCCCTTCTACTTCCTTGCCAGGCGCTATCCCAATTCCTGGGTTCGCTACATCCACATCCCAATCATGTTGAACGGGGCCCTTTGGTGGGCTCCTTATAACTTCACCTACGCTTGGCCATCCCTTGTTGTCGGGTTTGGTGTCAATTACTACGTAAAGCACCACTATGAGAGGTGGTGGCAGAAGTATGCGTATGTGATGACTTCTTCTTTCTCGTGTGGCATTGGCATCGCAGGATTGATTATCTTCTTTGCTGTACAGTTCCATGCTGTCGATATCAACTGGTGGGGAAACACGGTGTCCTATGCTGGCTGTGATAACGATGGTTGTGCTTTGTTGCCAATTCCTGAGATTGGCCATTTCTAGAGTTTACAAGAAAAGCTTGATGCCCTATGACACAATGACACATACATTTTCACGTTAACTTGGCATGCGAGACCCATATACAGATAAACCAAATAATCGCAGCCATTCCACATTCAATTGACCTTCGTATTATTCCTCTCTCTTGTACGCCCTTCGGCGGCATGTGGATCTTCGGATAGCATCGCAAGAATCATCATTGGCTCGGCCGTGACTCACCTGCAACTTCCCCTCGAACATTTCAAACAAAATCGCAAAGATAAAACTGAGTCATTGAATCACTGCGTATAGCTTAAATAGAAATTCTCCCGCTGACTTTGCAGAACTATCTCATCACATCTTTTTGTCATACATATCCCTCTATCGTCTATACCCGATATCATGAGCGCAAACCAACCAACACCATTTGGAAAGCCGATGCTGAAGCATTGGATGTTTGATCCAGCGTACAAAAACCTGAATCATGGATCCTTTGGTGCTCACCCGATCCCCGTCAGAGACGCACAGCGTGCTTATATGGATCTCGCCGATAAGCGACCTGATCCTTACATCCGCGGGTATCACGCAGAGTATCTAGACAAAGCTCGCGAGGCTGTTGCAAAGCTCATCAACGCCCAAAAGAGCGAGTGTGTATTCGTCAAGAATGCAACGACTGGCGTAGCGACGGTTCTGTATAACCTGGCTTTCCAGCCGGGTGAAGCACTCATTTACTTCGAGCCTGTCTATGGCGCCGTGGAAAAGGGTATTGTCTCGTTGCAAGAACATGTCTCTTTGCAGGCGCGCAAGGTGTCTTTCCAGTATCCCATCTCTGATGATGAGCTCGAGCGCCGATTCCGCGAGGTTATTCACCAAACTCGTGCCGAGGGCCTCAAGGTCCGTGCTAGCGTTTTCGATGCCATTGTCAGCAACCCTGGTGTACGCTTCCCCTTTGAGAGAATGACCGCTGTCTGTCGCGAAGAAGGTATTCTGAGCGTTATCGATGCGGCGCACGGTATCGGACATATCCATCTCGATATGGAGAAGCTACAGCCTGACTTTTTCGTGTCAAATTGCCACAAGTACGACTACCCCCATTACGAATATTGATATTTGACCCACTGGCAAATTTTATAGAATTGTCAAAACTAACACTTCAATTCAGATGGCTTTACACACCCCGCAGCTGCGCAATCCTCTACACCCCCGCACGCAACCAACATTTCCTGCGCACAACCCTGCCCACATCATGGGGATTTATCCCTCATCCAGACTCACCCGCAACAATCGCATCAGTGCTGCGAGATCAGAATGCCGTAAACAAGAAGTCGCCCTACGAGGAGCTGTTCGAGTTTGTCGCTACAAGCGATGACTCTGCGTACATTTGCGTGCCGGCGGCGCTGAAATTCCGCGCTGAAATCTGCGGTGGCGAAGACGCCATAATTGCCTACTGCCAGCGCATTTCAAATGAAGGTGCAGATGCTGTTGCGGCTGTTCTTGGTACTGAGGTTATGCAAGAGCCTGGGCTCGAGCCTGGCCAGGAGAGCCGCATGCGACAGTGTGCTCTGACTAATGTTCGATTGCCTATTGCCGTTGCTTCTGAGGACGGAACGGATTCCTTTGATCATACTCCTTTGGTTGTATTGTCACAGGAAGATGCTCCTCGGGCATTTTCTTGGATTCAGAAGAAGCTTATGGATGACCACCACACTTTCCTGCCTGTCTTCCGCCACGGTTCGTGGTTATGGACTCGCTTGAGTGGACAGACCTACTTGGAGAAGAGTGATTTCGAATCTGTTGCTAATGTTTTGCGTGATCTCTGTGAACGGGTCGCGAAGAAAGAGTTCAAGGCCTAATCTAGTGCTATGTAAAGCGTTGTTTATAGAAGCTGGAATGTCGATAGACCAAGTCGAAATCAATCCAATCATAATGGGCTTTGAATTATAATTGCTTTCACTTCCATCCTGAGAAATTCATACTGAAAAAGAAAGCAAATTTCTGTACCCATGTAAACGAAATGTATCCATTGCAGTAAATCTTCCAACCTGTTCCAATTATCACGCCATCGAGGCTTATAGTAACCACATATATGTACATATCACATCAGAAGCGGGGAATGCTCTTTATATATGTTGTCCCTTTCGATCCCCAAGGTCCCTAAATTAATATATCTGAGACACCTGAAACCAACCATGTCCGTCGCAAAAGAATTCGAAGCCGCCAACGCTAAATATGTCGCATCTTTCACCAAAGGCAACCTGCAGCTGCCCCCACAGCGGTACGTGAGCTTAGTTCTCACATCATTGGATAGATCTGACATTGTCACAGGAAGGTAGCGGTGATAGCTTGCATGGATGCTCGCCTCGGTACGTAAACTCCATTCTCTTGAAACGCAGCTTTTATACTGATGGTGCATAGATCCTGCGCGCGCGCTCGGCCTTGAAGAAGGCGACGCCCATGTCATCCGCAATGCTGGCGGGAGAGTATCCGATGCGCTGCGCAGTGTCATTATCTCACAGCAGTTGCTCGGTACGCGGGAGATTATCATCGTGCACCATGTACGTTGTATTCCCTGGCTGTGGCTATGTAGCGGACTGCTAATTTCAGAAATTCCCAGACGAACTGTGGAATGCTCACTTTCACTGATGAGGTGATTCGCGATAAGGTCCGGAAGGACTTGCAGCAGAATGTTGATCATATTGCGTTCTTGCCATTTGGGGATCTTGAGCAGAGTGTTCGGGACGATATTAAGTTGTTGAAGGATAGTCCTCTTGTCTTGGATGTCCCTATTACTGGGTATGTTTATGAGGTCGAGAGCGGGAAGATTGTGAAGATTGGAGACAGTCAGTAATTGAAATCATGTAGCTATATTACTATGATAGTAATAGTGGTATGGTTTCTGATTTAAGCTACATATGAATTGTGCTCAATACAACATGTCAAACCGCGATGATGAAGCATGTACATGGCTTATCAAGAAGCCACTTGTACGATTCTCATTGGGACCAGACACTCAACTCTCCGCCGCACGGAATGAAGTCATCCGGAAAGGGGGTATGGGGTAAGGGGAAACAAAGATCAGAAAGAGAGAGACATTAAACCTGCCTCGTCGCTAAAACCAACGAATCAAATGTGGTGTAAAAAAACATGTCCCGAGAACAAAAAAGAAAGGTGCCCGCTACGTGTATATCATACGAATTTGGCCTGGTGTTCAAGCGTTGTTTCTGAACATTCTCGAAAACAATGATTGACCTTCGCCTTGACCACGACTAGACTGTTGGCTGCCTGTTTCTCTCACTTCCGGTTCTGGAGAACGACGGGAAGAAAGTCGGCTCTGCAAAGAAGACAACGAGGACCGACCGCTGCGCATAGTGCGAGCTGAGCTGAGACGTCGGCGGGATTGCGGCTGCTCGGGGCTATCCTGAATCACTACTGGATTCTCGCAGGTGCCATATCCTTCTCTGTGAAACAATGTCAGTCAAAATTTCTCAAATTGCAACCCTTACAGCGCCCACTTACGCTACATTTAAATTGATGCTTCGCCGACAGTGAGGGCAGGTGTTGTGTTGTTTCAGCCATGCCCCGATGCAATCGGAATGGAACCAATGGGTGCAGGGTAACACAGCAACTTCGATGTCAACTTCGACACCGTCCATGCAGATCGAGCATTCTGCTTTGCCCTCGACTCCTAGCATGTCTTTATCAACTTTTTTCTTGGGCAAAGACCGAATGGCATTTTCGCTCGCTGGCGGTGCTGCTGTTCCGGTAGTTAAACTTTCCTCCATTAGTTGTGTGATGACTCTGTCCATTTCTTCTTGTGACTGGACTCCATTCCTGTCTCGCGTATTTAGGATAAGGGATAGGATTGAAAGGGCATTGGGAGCTCCGCGGGTGACTTGTGTGGCCTCCATTTCCGCACGGATAGCGTCCATCATTCTAGGGAGGTGATTAGTTTTTGATGCTGAGGACAAAATGAGGAGAGATGTCACTTACTCCTGCAACTGCATAATTTGATTTCTGGGCTGCGCTCTTTCAGTATTGCGGGGAAAGAGGCCTGGGTGATGGCCGGTTAGGTGGTCGTCTCCCATCCAGTCAGGATCCGTGGAAGATAGAGTATCTCCCCTCCTAAATCCTTCTTGTCGGTCGTTTGGTGGCATTAGGTTTTGTAAAAGTGTGTTAAAGGTTTCCATCACCGGCGGGACCATGGGATTGTAACCCGTAGTGCCCGGGCCTGGGCGTGAAGATGAGCGGGTATCATATGTCGGACTGAGTGGAAAATTTCCATTCCAGGATTGATACGTTCGGATGGTGTTCTGGGAGTTATTGTAAGGAAAAGCAGACGAGGGAAGCCCTAAGCCCTGCGGACTATACGGCCTATACGGGCCATGCCGGTCTTCTTGTCTCAACGAGTTGTGACCTTCCCAAATATCGACGCCGGACGGTTCGGGGAGAGGAGGGGGTGTCTCGCGTGTTTCTGAGGGAATTTCAATCTGTCAAGATACCGTTAGATGATATCACCACATAGGTATGTAGGAAGGAATAGCCATACTATTTCCGTGAATTCTGATTGACAAAGTGGACTTGGACATATTAAGCCATTCTCCTTTGGCCAGACACACTGACAAACATGGCAGAATACGCGATCGCCACTTTCCATGTCGTATTGCTTGAGATGTTGTACAAATGAAATGTGATGGAAGGCGATTAAGAACGATAAGCGCTGAGATAGTCACGAGCAACCTTATCTGCGGGGAACAGACAGCTTGGTACCAAATCAAAAGAAGACGAAGCAAAGGGAAGAGCTTTGCACTATATACAAAGAAAGGAGGATTCAAGGTCCACCCAGATGTGAGATAAAGTGAATAGAAGTTGGTTCCAAAACTAATGACGTTTGATCGGCAAATCGCCTCAGTCGCCTTGTCCAGGCAAATAGTTCTTAGCACAGCACAGAGAATAGAAAAGCACTCGTAGACCCTAACCATGCTTTGTGATGATTTTTCGATAACTCAAATAAAAATTCTTCCAGGGTGTGCAATAAGCAGCCTTGATTTGTGTTTCACTCCGGATAATTTCGGTTTAATGCAGGCAAAGTGATAGTTTCTATATAGTATGGAGCGCAAAGGAATAGTTTATACTTTATAGGACTTGAAATACTTGATATCGGAAAAATCAAATTTTAATTCATGTACGATTGGAATATGTTGCAATAGCAAGGCATACCAAGGCTGAGAGAGTAGAGACAAAGAAAACGCCCTCAGATGCATGCTTCAATAAGAAAAATAAATGGCCAATGAAATATCCCACAACACTATACACAGTTGGTTATACTCCCAGATGCAACACGTCGGCTGTGCCACGCAGCCCTTGCAGGCGCCAATCTCAAATATGATTTTAACGTCTTCTAGCTCCTTTGAGAACCAGACTACCAACCACACCCGCCACAACAGCCAAGCCGCCCACAATGGCAACGCCCATCAAGCCCTCCTTGGCGACCTTGTCGTTGATCAGAGACCCAAGGCTTGCAGCCTGGAGGTTTGCCGGCTCTTTTTCGAGAAGTAGATCATTGTATCGTCGAGCCTCGCCGTAGTTGCCTAGCTTGAAGTTGCCCAGGGCCAGATAGTAGAGGCATTCGCGTCGTCGCTCCGGTGCTCCGCGGAAGATTTCTGAAAGTAAACGGACGCCTTCTTGCTGCTCGGGCCGAAGGTTGGATTTGATAAGGCCCTATAGCAAATACCCCCGCATGGGCGGAGAGTACTGATTAGTGTGGGCATCCCGGATCAGAGTTAGAGGAACCATACCCAGGCGTAGTTGAACTTTGTCTGAATCCCTACGTAATCACCCTCTTTTTCGTATTGCGCTCTCAGCACTTGTAGCTCGGCGGGTTTCAAGGGGCTGTGTCAGTGCTCAAGTCAGTTTCCAGAGTTAAATTTATTGGGCAATCTCGTTTGGAGGAGACAGACCTTTCCGCATCTGCAGCATCTGTAGAAGAAGTAAAGCGAGTCAGTTTCTGGGTATCAGGCATCAGTTGTAACAAGTCACCTACAAGGAAGATTGGACATGGCGGTAAAGGCAACGGTTAATCCTGAGAAGAGAAATAATATTGACCAGAAAAAAGACTTAAATAATTCGATAAAAAGCGTTAAGAGACAAGATTTGATACGGACGGAGAAATCACAGGTCGCAACGTCACTTTGCGGAGGAGCAAACACGTGTGGCGGTGCTGTGGCTGTTGCTGCCGCAACAAATCAAAACATCCAACTTTCTACAATCTCTCCTACTACATAACAACCATGTTGCTCGACGAGGATCCCGGAACTGTATGTGCTGTCTTTTGAATATGGTTTCTAAAGTTACTGACCCTTTCAGCTCATCCACCACACAATCGGCAATTTCAACATCCACCCGGATAAACAAGCCATCACACGCATCAATGACTCGCTCTCAACGCTCCAGCAATCGCGCGACTTGCGCATTCGCGAAGCTGAATCGGCTATGCGAAAGCTCTCCCGACATTTGAACTCCCTATCTACCCAACACGAAGAAGCTGTGGCAGTACACGACTCGGGCAAACACGCGGCGGAGATTGTTGAGTTGGACACCAAGAAGTTCCGCATTGCCAAGGCTGCATCTGAACTAGAGATCGAAAGTGAACGTTTGGAGAGCGAGCTGGAAATGCTCAAGGAGAGACTCGCCGATCTCGAGTCCCAAGGTCTCGAGGGCGATGAGCCGACTCGGCGCGAGCGTGAGGCCGATGATGCTACAATGTGTGTTGCTGTGGTTTGGTATTGTTTTTGTCCTACTGCTGATATGTCTCTAGTCTGCGACTTAAAATATTCCGCTCCCTCGGTGTCGATGTTGAACCCGATGAGGCGGGGAACTTCAGCCGAGCGGTCATTCGCAACAGCCGCAAGGGTGATGTTCATGTTGTTAATATCGACCCGAAATTCTCCCGCTTCTTTTATGCAAACTACTTCTGGTCAACGATGCAAGGATGAACATTATGATGGACGATTATGTAAGAGTGTGCTCTCAGGCGTTTCTTGGAGGCTAGAAGCCATGTTTCTTCGATTGTTGGTGTTTCTATACCCTTGGATTAGTTGTTTTATGAATCATACGCCTGTTCTTCATACATATCATACATATCGACCAGATGCCTGCGGGGTACAACCTGATTATCAAAAAAGACCGCGTTTATTCAGACGCCGCCTGTTGTTGGTATCCTTGTAAAGCTTGAATGACCTTCGTTCGGTCTTCCTCTGACAGTGACACATGTGGCAATTGCGAAGAGATATCATGGGGTAGCACTCTCTCCGCAGTATCCAGCAATTGGCCCCGATCAATTTGCGACGAGTCCACACCCCAAGATGCGACCCATTGCTCCTCAAACTCAATTAGACCATGCTCCACCTGATCCATATCAGGAATATCACATCCATCCCAGGTTAACGCAACCTGCTTGGTCACCTCGCCGGACTCGCCGTCCGTAGCCCCATACCGAGTTTCCACACCCAGAGGCCCAATCCCAAGCTCCTCGGCACGAGCGTTCCACAGTGCCTGTCTCAAAGTTCCATCCCGTTCGATCATCATCCAAAACAACGGAAACGTACTCCGCGCTAATGCATCGCGAACACCTTTGGTTGCCTCGCGCGGACTAACCAATATGCCAACTGTCTGGCCCGTGCGCCACCCAACAGGCGCCTGGCGGAAGGTGCCTTCCAGCTCGCGGACGATGTTAGGGCCAACTTTCGCCTTGAGGGATTTGCATTGTACTAGGACACGGAGCGCGCGCTCTCGTTCTCGCTCTGGGAGGTGCCAGGTTCCAACGAGGTCGATGCCCGCATCGTCGCGCCCGCCGATCCGATTGAGGCTCAGCGCGTAATGTCGGAGAGTTTGGAGAACCGTATATTCGTAGTGCGTGCCAACATGGACTGTACTTGTGGCTGGAAGAGAGATGTGGTCTGCGTAAGAGAGAAATGTTGTCAAGTCATTGTGAAGCTGCGATGGCGGAGATGGGGCGGAGGGGAGCTTGAACAGCCGACGGGTAAAGGGCGTCAGCTCTTGATATACGTGAGAAGTGGAGAAATAGCGACTATTATTCTTCGATCTCAGGGGAAAATATTCGGCAGCAAGGCCATGGCGTAGATACAACAGGCGCATTGAGTGGTGTGAAGAGGAAAGGCATAGCTTCACCGCATTGGAATATCTCTCCGCATTTGCTCCGCTCTCAATCTTTGACAAAACACATCACATCCCACTTTAGATCTACCAGCCATTCCAGGCCTGTGTATCTAATTTCCGAGTCGCCATCATGGCCGACATCCTTACGCAGCTCCAGACCTGCCTGGATCAGGTACACTCTCCCCTCGAAACAACATAGAAATCCGGCTCACCACGAAACAGCTCGCAACCCAATTCTACGCAACACTGGGCTACCTCACAACATACCACGACAATGCCCCGACAACCCCACCAGCCCACATCCCAGACGCAGCACCGGCCTTAGCAAAAATAACCAAGAATTCCTCCTCACCACCCGTCCCAGCAGCCATCGCAAACAGAGCAGGAGGCGCTGCTGCAGTCGCGGGAAACGCAACACCACCACTCGCCCCTCCCCAGCAACCCGGAGCTGTACCAACAGCACCGGGAAATGAAGATCCCAGTCTTCCGCCTGCGCCAGACTCCCCTCGTACCTTTGCGAGCCGGCAGCGGGAGCTTGCGCGCGATCTCATTATCAAGGAACAGCAGATCGAATATCTTATCTCCGTGCTTCCTGGGATTGGCGCTTCTGAGGCTCAGCAAGAGAGCAGAATCCGGGAGTTGGAGACTGAGCTTCGAGGTGTGGAGATTGAGCGTGCGGAGAAGGTGCGCGAGTTGAAGAAGTTGAGGCAGAGACTAGAGAGTGTTCTTGGTGCAGTTTCTGTGGGGATTTATGGGGATGGATATGCTCAAAAATAATATTGCATGTTTTGCGTTCGGGGTTGATGGGGCTGGCGCTTGGGTTTTCTATTTTCTCTGCTGTCAGAACATTTAAGCGTTAGGGGATCGGGAGGGCTTTTTGTATATATCTCACGAATTACTACCACATGATACCAAGACCCTCTTTGGAATTCATGCTTAGAGTCAGCAAGGGGCATAATTAGGTCTACTATCTTAAGTGTAGCATTATAGTATAGTTTGAGCTTTCGCCCTAGATAATTGAAGCTTTCTTACCATTTCGAGATACACTTTGCAGGGTTTAGCCAAACAAACAAGGAAAATTGCTGCTAGTATTGAGTTCCCATTCCTAGCAATGTGAACAGCAGTAAGAGTGTATGACTCCGAAACATCAGTATCAACCTATGTTAACCCCATAGTACTTCCATAGTTCGTGATCGCATGATGAGAATGGACTTTGTGATACAGCATCAACTCTTCTGTAGACCGGAGTCGCCGAAGATCTTTATGTGATATACCTATTTTTTTAACTCTGGGCATGCTGTTACTGCTATCTTCTCTCTGTGGATGTTGGTTTATATGTGCCTGGCTACACCGTGTTTAAACAGGCTAGAAATTCTTTTTTAAAAAGAGATTCCGCTAGAATCATATCAGAGGACGCTGTGTATCCACAATTAGACGGGGATTAGAAAGAGACTCCATGTAATGCCAAGACCCCGAACTGGATCGATAAAGACGTAGTGAGACAGCGTCTAGAGAAATGCCATTGAATTGAGATTAGAGCGTACGCTAGACTTTCTAGACGAGATGTAATGCAAGAAGATTATGAAAAGAACAGGAAAAAGCTCGCTTTGAAAGCATTTGTACGACCAAGCAATTAAATTCATGTGTAAACGTTCTGGCAAACTGCGGTGAAATAGCAAGGCAAAACGAAGAACGCCCGGTATATTATCTCAGCAGGAGAATGAAAGATGTAAGAATATGTCAACGCCGTCTCCTTTTCCGGGTATCATGAAACGAAATCAGCGAAAAACGGGGGAGGGGGTAAGAATATAAGATAGGGGAACTCAAATGCAAACTGGGGAATGGGGATTGAAGAACAATCGGGGGCAATGTGAACAGCATAGGGTAGATAAAAATAACAAGATGAAAGGATGAGAGTGAAGGCTTCACTTGAACAGAGTTCGGTACTCGCGCATGCGAGCTTCCTGGACTTCCCGCTTGCCCATTTTCGGGCGGTTCATAGTCATATCCGCCTCCAGCTGCTTTTTCTTAGCGAGATCCATGATCTTCTCCTCGATGCTGTTTTTCATGACCAATTGGAAGGTCTGAACGGGACGAGTTTGACCGAGACGGTGAACACGGTCAACTGCCTGGGCCACAGCAGCTGGGTTGTACTGTGGTTCCATGATGAAGACCCGTGACGCAGAAGTCAAATTCAGGCCCACACCACCGGCACCGATGGTTGCCAGCAGGATGGTGGTGGAGTTATCTGTGGCAAATTTCTCGAGCGCCCTGGTGCGCGCCGCAAGGGTCATGGTTCCATCGAGTCGGGCAAACTTGCCAAGATTGTTGTTTGTCAGGGCAATTTCGATGAGATCCAGGTGTGAGGTCCAGGCAGAGAAAACAACACTTTTAATGGGACGCTGGCCTACCAGCTCCTTGCTGTCTTCAACACTGTCCTTGAGATAATTGACCAGGGCGATAGTCTTAGTGTGCGGCCCTTCGTATTCCCCAAATTGTTTCCCAATTTTTCGCTCGAGGGTCTGTTGCTCCTCGTGAGCTTGAAGGCCAGCAGGCGTGATGGAAGTATAATTCATGGCAATCCAGCCATCGCAACACGGGCATCGGAGCTCGCTTTGAGTGCCAGAATTAAACGCCGGCTTCCAGCCTGAAAAGCAGCTAGGACAGAAGATATCCCAACATGGCAGAAAGAAGGCCATGGGTTCATTTCTCATGACCTCCCCCGCTGAGTTGACTGCTTCAACGAGAGCTCCGTTGCAATACCCACATCGAGTTCGGGAGGCTTGCTGCATAAGCTGGAACATTTCATATGCCCGTTTGTCTTGAGCTGAGGAGGTTTCGTCCGAAGTGTCTTCCTCCAAGTCAATTGCATCGTTTGCAGAAAATCCCTTGGCTCTTTCTCGGTCTGAGGTGTCTAACAATTCTTTTCCGTGGGCGCTAACTTGACGAAGAATCATCATCGCCTTCAGAACGTGATGATACATGCGGCCACCCAATTTGGTCTTGTCAGTGCCGGCAATCACGTCCATCATAACTTGCGATTCGTTCCTGAAAAAGTCATGTAATTGCTGCTCTTTTTCTGTGAACTTCAAGGTGACTATGTTATCTTCTCGAGGTGGCAAATTGATTTTGTCTTTCACCCGACGCAGGGTGAACGAGTCAACAATCACACGAAGGTTGGTGAGTGAAGGGTTGCCACTCTTGACTGGACCGGCAATGTGCTGACTGAACCACGCTCTTTCATTGTAAGGGTAAATCTGCAAGAAATTGGTGACGGAGTAGAGGTCATCCATGCGGTTTTGAATCGGCGTTCCAGTAACCGACCAGCGACGATTAGCATTGAGGCCGATGATAGCTCGAGTTTGAGCTGCATTCCTTTCACGAATGGTGTGCGCTTCATCCAGAACAATGCGGAAAAAATTCATTTTGCTCAAGGGACTGACCCGAGTTTTGGCGCCTCGTCCCAAAATCTCGCTGTGAATCGTGCTGTAAGTGGTGATTATGAGGTCATGACCTGCAAGCTCGTCCAGATCTGTGATCCGTGATGGGCCGTGGAAGACACACACAGTGAGTGCACGCTTCTTCAAATGGTCCTTGACCTGTGCAGTCCAATTACTCACTGCACTGAGCGGGGCAACTAGAAGGGTCGCCTTTGTGTTGCGAATTCCTGGAAACTCGCGAACAAGCTCTGGACTAGGAGCCATCTCAGTCCAGTCTTCGGCTTGATCAAGCGACGATGTGATCAGCGAAAGAATGCTCAACGTCTTTCCCAAGCCCATCATGTCAGCCAACAGACCACCTAGCGCCTCCTTGGGCTTGTGATCCATCACAATCCCACTAATTATCTCCTTGTATTGTTTGCGTCCATCGGGTCGAGTGACCTCTCGCCACAACGAGTTGTTATCCTCCTCCCTAGGGCCAAATTTGCGCGGCTGTTCCTTGTCTGTCATGAACCAAAGGGCCTGCTTCTGATGGGGAAGCAGTGGGGTCAATACGTCAGAAGTCGGCTCCATAAGTGGAATGTCCGCTTTGATGAGCTGGTCGAACATCTTCGTGACCGCATCATTCACCTCTTCAGCAGTCCGAGATTCGTACCTGATGGTTGGACCTGTGCGCTCACGGCTGGAACTAGCAGCAGCAGCAGCGACTTGTTGGCGCCGCAGCTCTGCGTGGGGATTGAATGTTGGAGTCCCATTTTCAACAGAGTTTGGAGTTCCTAGCCAGACATTACGGTGGGCGAGGAACTTCCCGATGGGTTCTGCTTTCTGTCGTTGACCGTAAACATTGATTGTTACATGACAGATGGTTGATGAACGTTCCCAGACAACTTCATTAGGTAATTTTTTCCGAGTGTTCATTCGGGCAGTGACATCAACTGTCGTTCTTGCAGTGTCGTCAAGTAGCGGAGCCAGCCCCTGGGCCGTCTTGGGGTCGATTTTGCCAAATATACGGCCGTGAGGGTCAATCACCTCAATCTGTGTGTCACTTTTTGCCACACGTTGCGGTCGCTGCAGTTCTACTCTGATTGACGGCCAAGCGTTCTCGTCGCCGATGAATGATGTGTCGGCGGGTTTGGGGACTGTATGGGTGAGAATCATGGCACCATCAAGTTTGCCATAGCAGACACGTTGAGTGCTGAGGTCCGTTGATCCTGTGCATTGAATCTCGTCGTCATCATCGTCATTTTTGGGTGTGCTGGCAAGCTCTGACAAAATGTTAGTACATGTGAAATCTCCCCACGGAGAGCAAGGGGAGCATAAAATATCTTACCTGCCGTCAAATCAACCACGTCAAATACTGTGGACACTGGAGTCTTTTTGCCTTCTCCTTCTTTCATCCACTTCCCAAGGCCGCTATCGCCCGAGATTGAGACTGGTGTGTTAGCCCCACTGGCTTGCTCGCTCGCTGTCTTGATCCTCTTCACGGGTTGTCTCTTGCGGTCCTCCACGCCGTAGACATTTGAAATCAGATTGCGCCGGTCGAAGCTGTCTTCTTCATCACTTATTTCGTGGTAACTGCGTTTTGCGTCGCTTTCGTTGGCGTCTTCGTCTTGGGTCGTAGTGAATTGGACGATCATGCTGGGTGATGGCTGTGGGGCCGGAGTCGAGTTTCCGGAATTGACTGCAGCCGACATGCGAGAAGTTGGTTCGCGAAAGCGTGAAACAGTTGCAGTGCCTGCAGGTGCCATGGGAGAGACAGGGATTGAGCGATTTCCATTTTGGTTTCCTGTGCCTTCCATAAGTAAGCCCAGGGACTCCGGTTCGTCTTTAGACATGGGGACAAATGTAGGTGAAGCAATAGGGGAAGACGGATCAGAAGATGAGTGCAAAAACGGGCCAGGTCTCTTCGTAGCCATGGCCAAAGTATCGATATGCGCAGCAGAATCAACAAAGGGCACGGCAGGACCAGAGGGCTCTGTAGAATTGACTGGAGGATCAACAGAAGCAAGAAGCTTTGCGGACATGACTTCTGGGTTCATCCGGGGATAAATGGGGATATCATTCTCGACTGGGGGGAGGACTTCTGTAGACATGACCTGCGAGTCAAGCTGAGAAATGGTAGATTCAGAAAGCTCGGCCTCCGCCGGGGCTTCTTCGGGCATGAATGACGTATCAATTGAAGGGGGTGAGAAGTGAACAGGAGAAGACATATGAGCAGAAAGACCTGAGGATATACCAAGGGAAGGGAGTCCTGGGGAAAGAAGTCCGGTTGAATCAGGCGGAGCAAGATCAGAAAGATGAGTGAGAAACTCAGATGGGTTCTTGAGTGCTTCATTGGGAATATTGGGAGAATCCATAAGGAGAAGATGATGCGCTGGGGAAAAGGACTCGTGATGATTACCGTTGCTTTGGGCTTGTCTTTTGGCGCCTTTGGGGTCCAGAAGCATCGCAGGATGAGATGCCATGATTCCTCAATTGCTGCTGAGAATTTTGGTTGAAGTTTGTATAGTTTTTGTGGCGTAGCGTTGCTAAACGTAAAGTGATTGAAGTCAGTAAATGAGAATAAAGACAAAAACAGTTTCTTATCTCACTTTCTGAGAAAAGAAATGTGTGCGCAGTATCAAAGTTCTTAAGACTGACAAGTAGTTGTTGAGTTTCAGATCAAATATATGGATGTGTGAGGTGTTCGAAGTGGTGTCAGGTGGTCGTGGAAGAGAGACAGTCGATGGCGATTTGAGATTAATTTTCCGCCTGACTTCTTGAAGTTTTGACTTGTGCTTCGAGATCGATCGAGATAAATTTTATTTATGAATATGTTCACGTAATGAATAATATTAACGATGGAACGACGGAGTGGCGCTGATAGTCTGGTGAACGATGAGAGCGTCTTCCAGACGCGAGAGTGGCCAAATCTCCGGCGTCATTGAAAGTGAGGTCGGTGAAAGAGAAGCGCGAACGAAGAAACTTCGGCGGCTTCCTCGCTGAATATATGATCGAGTTATGTCGTCGACCTTTCTGTTCGCAATCCCGTCGACGCCTCGCGGTTTGCCTTGTCGAGGGACGATAGCGATTACGTCGAAGTCGAGGCCGAGATCGGTAGTTGCGTCGGTTGTGAACAGACTTCGGTGATGAATGTGCTTTGGTAGGGTCGGTCCGCGCGATGATAGTTGTTGGTTCAAGTCGTGAGCTGCAATAAGTTGCAGAGAGTTACGAATGATCTGAAGTCGGGCACCTCGGAGGATCTCGCCGATAAGACCTTATCAGACCGCGTATGTACCTAGGTACGTTCTTTCCTACTGCTTATAGTGTCGAGCAAGATTCACGTAGGCTTTGAAAGAAAGAGTAAAATATAAAACAAAATCTGCGAGGAAAGGAGACTTGGGAAGTATCAAGAAAATGGAACTATGCACCTCAAGACGCGTGACATATACCCCCGCTGCGCTTAGTCGCTATCTAGATCATGGTGGAGAATCACTAATTGGATCTCTTGCCGTACAATGTAGACCTATTTTAGTGATACATGTTACTAGTCAATCACATATTGTTTGTACATACAACAGAACATCCATTATTCCAACTTTGGAAGGATGATCTTCATCATCCAAGCAGGAGAATTGTCCATCTATCAACAGCTTATCTACATGTATGTATTTCAGCCTGGTCCAGGCGCGTTTGGTATGGCCAAGATAGTCGCAGTCTGACAATACATACAAAGCGAAAGTGAATACCAGCAATATCTTGCATAAATACCATGGTTCTCAGACTCGACCTGACAAATACCCATCTTAACAGTAGTTACAGTGGGAATAGATCGATCAAGGCTAGAACATACCCTCTGATTTAGCCTGAATCATGATCTACATGTACCCTGTGACCTAATAGTCAGATGCTACCAATAAACAGAAATCTAGTCAACCATAAGGGTAGACGATGAATGTATCGTAGAATTAGGTCTCGTCAATATGCTACATGAGGCAGTTCGCTCAATCAATGCGCCTCAGCCCAGGCAACCCCAACAGCCAAAAAGGTCTATATACAACAATGGAATCTCCCAAATCATGAGCATGTCCCAAAAGGACTCGTGTGAAATGTCACAGAAAAAAAAGAAGAATTGCGAAAGCTTGACTGGATATTGGGGACCGCCTGCTGAAGACTGCAACGCCAATACCCAGGGAAGACGATGCTTCAGAAAATGGTCGCAAATTAAGCGAGAAAATGGAAATGCAAGAATGTGAAAAATAGAGAGGTTTGATACAAAGCGCGGACCTCAGCACCAAGTGAACACGGGGTTCTTGCTTTTCACAGCTTCCAAGCGTTCGACAATTACCTTCCGCTGATTGCCTTCCATGCCCTCAGCGACTGCGTAGCCAAGATCGCCCTCCAGGTCATCACTGCCAAATGTGTTAACTCGGGGAGCGCGGTAGGACAAGGAACCGCCATTCTTGCGGTGCTTTTGTGAACGGGAAGAAAGCGAAGGCCACCCGTCTAAAGAGCCGCCAGCACCATCTGTGTATCGACGGCCGAAATCAGGGTCGTTGAGAGTTGCCGGGCTACCAATCGAACCATCAGCAACGCTATCAGCGTCAGCTCGACCACGGGTAAGTTCGAACCGGTTTGGGTTGGGGAGGTCGCTTGGCGACGAGTTCAAGCCCAGCAAGTCGTGCTCAGGGATTGGTTGGGAAGAGGCAGATGCACCAATGTCCATCTCTTCTTCTTCATCAGGGTCGTAATTCATAGATCGATTTCTTTGTCGCTCTGTAGAGGGGGCGCGCATCGGGATGGCAACGGGGACATCAACCAAATCGTCCCATACACAGACTCGAGTTCGGCGTGTAAGTTCAAGAGGCCCGTGATCTGGTTGCTTCAGAGTTTCCACCACGTTCCAAGCTTGGCCTTTCATGACAGCTATCTGTCGAGCGAACATGCTTTCCTTGAAATCGTCATCTTGTGCGAATACGCTACGCAAGGCCATTTGTGTCCCGCTCCACCAGGCAGTGGATGTGAGTAGAGGAAGGAAGTGGTCACGAGTTTTCTGCGAGAAAGGCTGCCCGATCAAAGAAACTGGTAAGAAAAGCCAGCCGAAGGGGAAACTGCGCCACTATAGAGTTGTTAGTCTTGAATGATCGCGTCGCAATCCAATGAAAATCGGGAGCTTACGGCATCTGGGTGTTTCCAAGGCCAGGACAAACTGTTGTCGATGGCACCAAGTTGAACAGAGGCCGACTGCTCTGATGAAGCTAGTGGAGTGCCGGTGCGACTGATAGCCATCATCGTTTCGTGTCGCCTGTAGGGAAGAGAAGAAGGAGTAGGCGTGCCATTTGAGTTCACAGAAATTGGACGAGCTGGAGGCATCAGCTCATCTTCGTCGTGCTTCGGTTGCGGCTCGCTGGCCTTGGGGGGTTCTGCCACGATCGAGACTTGTTCTGTGCCCCAATCAATCTTGACCATCCAGTTGTCCAGCCCTCGATCAGTGTTGCGCATGATATAATCCAAAATCACGAGCTTTTCCAGCTCCTCGCGGAATGATTGTTTGAGATTCTCCGTCCAGTAAAATCGGCGTTCGGAACTTTCGTCGCGCGAGCCAGAGGGTGAAGGTACGTATCCAGGATCTTCGTCATCCTCATCATCTGACTGGGCTCCGGAAGGACGGCATGCCTCGTTCCATGGCCGTTTCTTGCGTTTTGGTGCATCTTCCGCGCGGAATCCAGTGTTCGTCTGGTCAGGCCACGGATGTTCGCGGAGGAATATGTTTGCATCTTTGAATCCCTTCAGGAAGACTTGGAAGCTACCTGCCTTTGGAGGCAGGGACTTCTTCCCTTTCCATGCCTTTCTTCGATCCCAGAAATCATAGAAGAACGACTTCGATGACAGTCGCACAATTCCTGTATAAGGGACAAGGTTCGTATGTAGGCGAGCATCGAGGACATAGGCGGCGGCTTCGGATACGTAGGAAAGGTTGGGAATGAGACATGCGCGTCCGAAGAAGCAGGGAAACAGGTTGCGATGAATCCACTTGGTCCATTTGGGATTTCGTGAGGCGTACGGCTCCTCGTCCTTCGGTTTGAAAACACCTACCACTTTCCCTTCCGTGTTTCGAGCAAAGTAGCTACCTGAGCTACCTTGTGAGATCATCCGGGGATGTACCCCCATTTCAATGGCAACCCGGACACTTTCGACGATCTCCTCATACTCGGCGCGGGCCCGCCTTTGCTGACCTTCGAACTCATCGGACTCGAGGGCTTCGGCTGTAACAGGTGTAACTCCAGGAGGGGCTTGAAAGACAGAATGATAAATCTCCAGCTTTTCCTCCTCGTAGCTCTTGCCCTTAACGCGGTTAATCTTGAATTTGGAAGCAATCTCCTCCGCCCACTTTTCGAGACGTGCATTGATCGCCTTTATATCCACTCCGGAGTTGCGACGACCTCGCGGAAACTGGACACCACTGTGTCTGCGTCGATGTTCTGGGGGTGAATGGAGACCGGACGCCTGCATCTGGGCTCGGGATGAGATGGGAGCATATCGAGGAGCGGAGGTGGATGCGATTGAAACTGGGGTTTCGTCATCTTCTGAATCATCTTCTGCCTGGGCGAGGCGAGCGTAGCCGGAGGTGGCAGGGCGATTTTTCGGCATTGTGAGGGTAGTTTGATCTATGGAAGACGCAAACAGGCCAAATAGGCAGTAGACAAGAAAGCAAGGCTGGCAAATAAAAGAATGTCACAAAAAGGATGTTAATCCATTACAGAGAAGAGAAGATGAGAAATGACCGCAGGTGTAATAGAGAGAGAGTTGTTAAGAGTCAAGGCAGTGAAATAATGTCACCTATGTCCAGACACTCAAGGGCAAGGGGGCGTTTGGGGGTCTGTATGAATACGATTAATTTACAGGGGCGGTGAATTCAAACAGGGCAAAATACGGTAAAGCATGTGCGATTGGCAGGTCCATTGTGTAAATAACCGTTATACAATTACGCACCGCCACAGCTGGCTCCACCCCCTAATACAAAGGGGATGCTCGATGTCCATCAATTACGTTCTTGAGTTGTTGTTATGAAGATTGGAATTTGATTTTGATATGCTGAACACTGATCCCCAGCTTAGAGATTTACACGATCAATTGAAAGAAGTCATACTCAAAACAGCTCCCTATATGTAGTCAATGTCGGCAAAGCCGCCACGCTGTCCAATATCCGGGCCTATGCAGGAAATTTTATATGCACATCACCCTTGAATAGTTTGCCTGAGATCCGATTCATGCATTGGGAGGCAATGGCGCATGTTTGACGATAAGAGTAACAGTACAGAGTAATGTTTATAGAATTTGAAGAGGCTGGATCAAATTCTAATAAAATAATATATGTAACATTCCAAGCTCTCCCCTGCGTTGGCGGCAATCGTTATCCCGAATGTTATTATCGCGTGTCTTATCGTCCTACTCAATTCTGCATCTTCTTTCTACCCCTACCACTCACCTTCCGGCCATAATGTCTTTAATCTGAATGCCGTTCATTCTTTTCTGATAATCTTCTTTTTGGAAATTCTTAATATTTGGGAAACCCCCATCCTGTCGCTGCCCCCGAATCTCATTGCCCCCGGAACCTCGTTTCCTCGAATCGAGTACCGTGACTTGGTTCGATACAGTTGGATTGTCACCGAATTCTCCGAGTCAATTGCCCTCAATCGCAACGACCGCGCGATTCAATTGATATTCGTTCCTGTTGGCTTTAATTCGGTCTAGGGCCGGATTTTAATTGACACCAGTCTCCTCCCCTCCACGGTGGCTTCCACCCTCTACAGGGCGTCGCCCATCGACCCGGCTCTCAAACCTGGTTCACCTCAGGAGGGTGATTTCCCCTACGATCTATCTGCCGAACCCTCTACCACACGTCAGCACTCCAGTGGATCTATACCTTTTTCCACCACGCTACCTGATATCAAGAGTGTAACCAAGTTCGGTTCGGGAGATAGTGACGGATATCCAGGCTCTTCTGTGAGCACATCGCTTCCTGGATTGGCAGCATTGGCCTCAGTCGCTTCAGCACCAACCTCTAATCTTCGGTTCGTCTAAACCCCATGCCAGTTTTAACTTAAAATTTCCTAGAGTGGATGATCTATATTGCTTGCGTAATCTCCCATGGAGAGCAGTAATCCAACCCCTCTCTTTTGCATAAGAGGATATGCGCGAAATTCATCATGAAAATGAAACACTTGACTAATATCTTAATTTCCATAATTTTTTTTTAGATCATCAAGTGATGCCAGTATGAGTATGGCAAATATGACATACGCTACATCATCACCAGCAGCTACAACGGGAGGACAAGGAAATGGACCTGTAAGTATTGAAAGTTGCCCAGGTGTTTCATATCGAAAGTGTTATCGCACCCTTATCTTTGAGAAGAGTTTATCGTTGAGAGTCTTGGCAACTCGAACCGTGCACCCGCTTTTTCCCATTTCCTTATCGACTCAAATCTCTCACAATCTTATCATCTCACCCATCTCTTCTCTTTACCTTTAATTTTGACCATGGCGACGACATTGGCTGATGACAAGCGTACTCAATTACAGCCTGTCTGTCAAAATTGCGGTACCTCCACTACTCCCCTGTGGCGTCGCGACGAACTCGGCTCTGTCCTCTGCAATGCCTGTGGCCTCTTCCTGAAGCTGCATGGCCGACCTCGTCCGATAAGCCTGAAAACCGATGTGATTAAAAGTCGCAATCGCGTGAAGACCGGTCAAGGTCCCAAGCGCAAGGTGAGTTCGCGATCAAAAATTTTCCTCCTTGCTAGCATCTTCAGGTAGATCCTATGTCCTAGATAAGAACATGTGCTGACCGAGATCGTGCTACGTTAGTCTGGTGGCCCTGTCGATACCAATGGCCTTCCACCACGATCTGAAGCCGGGACTCCTCCCCTCGGTTCGCATGGATACCGTCGCCCCTCGCGCAAGATGTCCGCGGGTCATTCGGATCGCTCTAACTCACCCGTCTCCCGCACCGAGACACCTGGCTTCGGCTCCATGCATGCGCACAATTCGAACATCGCCCCACAGCACATGTTCGACAGCGTCACTCTTGGTGATGGCATGAGCTCATCCACCGGCATTCCCTCCCGCCAGATGCGCCAACCGTCCCCCTCAGCCGTCGATCGCCAACTCGAGTCCTCACCCACATTCGAAAGTCTCCTGGCCCTCAACACAACCCTCAAGACGCGCGTCAGCGAACTCGAATTTGTCAACGAGCTTTTCCGCGGCCGCGTAACGGAACTCGAGCAGAGTGATGCCAGTGCGCGTCGCTCGGAGATGATTGTCCGAGACTCTGAGGTGCGTCTGCGACGTTCTCTCGAAGATGCCCAGCGTCGGGAGGAAGATCTCAAGCGTCGCGTCAGTGATCTTGAGCGCCAAGTTGGTTCTAGCAGTGCTGGCGAGGCAGACTCAGGCGAGCCCCTTGCAAAAAAGATCCGGCTGTCGGATGTCGTGGAAACCGCTGATGAAGCGTCGGCCAAATCCCCCAAGAGCGTTTAGGCCTTGCGGCACCTTGCTGCTAATGACACTTTCGCTTTTCTTCGTTCATCGCTAGTTGGATACGTTTGCCTGCTCTTGGTTTATTGGCTTCGACCTCTGATCTTCTTGATACCCTTCATGGCTCCTTCGCCATCATTGGCTGGATCTTTACCCCCAAAAAAGCTGATTCTTGAACGGTTTCAATTCTTTCTTTTCTTTATGGCACGATGTTTCGCGAAACGTCTTCTTTTAATTTGCTCTTGTTGCCGTGTGTTGTACGAACTCTTCCACTATGTTTCTAATACAATATTGATCTCTATTCTGCTCTGCTTTCATACCATAAAAGCTTGGAGGGTAGATGTATCAGCAATGCAACTGGTAGTCTTTTTGTCTAAAGTCTTTGTTCTATGAACTTTGACGTCCTTAACTTGGTATGTTAGTTTTGTTTCAAATCGATGAATATTGATTAGTCTTGGGAACCGTCCACTTTGATCGCTAGACATAGTGTTTAGCCCGCGGAGCCGAGTGTCCGTATGCGATGCAAAGAGTGACCACCATGTGCTATGATGATCTTATAAAGCAGGGCAGTTGGTGACGGCCACGAGATACAGCGATACTGAATACGTCGCAATCCTCAGAAATTAGAAAATGAGATTGGCCAAGCTTTGGCAGTGGAAATGTATAGGTATGATCCAAGGACAGACAATTGGACAATTCAGCACAGAGTATCAAGTCTAAAGAGAAAACAATGCAACGTGGGTATATCAAATGAGTACCATTCTAGTAAGGCCCGTCCTGAAGCGCCTCTATGGGAAGCCATAAGAAACAGCAAATGAAAGAAGATTCGAGAAAGAAAATGGGTAACGTTGTAATTACTGACTCTGTCATGTCAAGATGGAATTCAGAGATCACGCGAGTCGGTGATCCAATTTCCTGTTCATAACATTATGGATATTTCTCTCGCGAAAGATGCTCCACAAGCAGACAGCAATGCCGAATAGGCCGGAAACGAAAGTCATGAAATAGGCTGAGCGGTAGCAGCCCAATCCATCGGGACACTCGCGGTCACCATCTCTGCCGACAACGGAGTGTCCGTCGTAGATGTTTCCATAGAGCAAGTTGAAGACATTGCCGCTGAAAACCGGGGCCAGGGTCATGACTCCCCAGTTCTGGGAAAGACCGCCGATACCGAAGGTGTGTGCAGTCAGCGAAGGGAACACGCCGAAAAGGAAACCGTAGGCAATTCCGGTGAAGCCAGAAACGATAACGAGGCTGTTAGGGTGGGAGATTGTGGTTCCGGCAAGTTGGGTCAGGGTGAATACCACCGCGGAGATGAATAGGCACCAGAAGCGGGACATGCCCATCTTTTTGACTAGCAGGTCGGAGCCGATACCGCTGAGAAGACGGCCAAGGAAATTGCCGAAAGAAAGAATGGAGACGTGCATGACTTGTCGATGCTGAATGAAGGCATCTGTTACGCTGTCGTCGTAGTAGAGCCATAGTGCCTTAACGTCGTTGCCGATGTTGTTGATTGTCATTAATCCGATGCCGGACAGGAGGGCCATCGTTAGGAAGAGTTGCCAGAACTCGACTTTGCGGAGCATGGCGAGACCTCTGATATCGAGGTGGTGGGACTCGATGGCGACTTCGTTCAAGAAGTCATCGTCTAGGGTATCGAATGAAGGGCGCGTGTGGTCGTTCTTAGACACCAAGGACGATCTCTCGTCTTCGAATAGTCGGTTCGATGAGTGCGAGCGCGCATGTGCGGCGTGTTGTTCATGCTCGAATGCTGTTGAGCTTTGCACGCCGGGGTCCTCTTCGTCTTCGGGCACAGGTTGTAGGTCGGTGGGGTTGTGCAGCCTTCTGGATTCTGGAATGTTGCGAGGGATGGACGAGTACGACTCGCTGGCGAGGATGCGGAGGAATGGGATTGAGCAGAAGGACAAAATTGAGGTTCCGAGTGCTAGGAGCAAGAGGAAGCGGCCGGTGTCGTCCTTAAAGATGAGGGTCGAGATGTTGGACCAGAATAGTGCGCTCAGGCCAAAGGCGGCCAACGGGAAAGCAGTTGCCGTGCCGCGATGTTCGGGGAAGTTGCATGCCGCTGTAATTATTGGATTAGCTCTATACAAGTACGGTGTTTGGCGCAATGTACCTGTTTTGATAGCTCCACCAAAGGCAGAACAACCACCCATGCCTGTAAGGAAAGTAAAGAAGCATAGTAGCACGATGGGCATCGATCCTTCGCCATTGTTATATGCTGTGAACGTTAGAACCATTCAAACACAGCAAATGAATCACCACATACCCCAGTATATCGGGAAGTATCCCAAGCCCAAAGAAATTGATCCAATTAGTGTAATAAGTCGTGGACCACGGGCATCAGTCAATAAGCCCATCGGGATTCCCATCGCATACATCCCGAGGTTTCCCGCAACACCCTAGAGCTTGTTAAGATCCGATCTCCAGCACCTGACACGATACGACTCACGATAAGGTTACTCTCAGTCGATGAAAGCTTCATGCGCTGGGCAAATTGTGGCGCCCATGCGGAGTATGCATACTGTTAAGGATTTAACTTTAGTGATCCTGAACCAGGATAAGTACGGGGATATCATACGTTGGTTCCGCATGACAGGGCGACCAGCGTCCCTGCAATGACCGAAATATTCCGGGCTGTCTTGTGTAAAGAGCCAGTCATTGTTTATTCCAGAGTGGGGGTTTCGGTATCTCGAGCGTTGAGCACGCGATTCAGGTGTTGATTGAGCCGTTGACAATTGGGAGGCCAATAATGGGATAAACATCGGACCCAAAACGAAGGACAAGAATGGCCAGAAGATCAAAAGAGCGAATGGATTGAGGAATGGAGAAGGGCGAACAACCCGCTTATCAGGGAGGTGTCGTAACGTAATCCAGATTGGCCGCGTGGTCGGAGAGCCGTCAAACCGTCCTACTCCACGTCACGCTGATCAAGTTCAGCGATTCGATGGGAAATCCCCATTATTCAAGATGGGTCTGCAGAACTCCGGACTCCGGCACTTTGTTTTGTGACCTTCAAGATATTACGATAAATAACCTTTGAATGTCCGATAAAGTTTGGTTACTCCGATATACATGCAATACAGAATAGATGTCCGTGCTATAACAGTCTGTGATTCGGCTAGATTACTACTTAAACTAATGAAAATAAGTCCTATGATTTGGAATGTAGAAGCACACCGGATGAGCCAAAGATGGTTCAATCCAGCGGCTCGCCTATACGCGTAGCCCGCTTCCCGAGATCCACCGCCCCCCTTCCTGATTACACTGTACATTTAGAAGCCTCAGGCCTACAAGGTGTACTTCCAGGCTTAGACATAAGTAGTGCCTTAGGCCAGAACTTAAGTAAACGGCCCTAATCGGGACTTTGATCGTCTGTAGTTCAAGGGCAGCGAAATTCTTCTAATTAACTTTTAATCTGTTGATATCTCGGCGATGTATCTAGTAGTAAATGCACGGAGTAATGGGACTATGTTGTATAGCGCCACCATCTTGATTGTAGTATTTCATTAAAACATGTATCGCCATCGATAATTTGACTTATAGACTACATGGTGCGGTTTCCCCGGCCAGAATACTCGCTGACCAATCTGCTTTTATTTTACTTTTCCCTTTTTGTTTCTTTTTCTTGTAGTATCTTGTTACCCAAAAAGTAGATATGTCTATCTAAACCCTGTGCTATCATGATAGCTAGCTCCATCAAATAAAAGCCGTTGGCGTATATATACATACATACCCTCAAGTTTACGCAGTGCTCAACAAGGATAGGAGTCTATATAAGACTCAAGGAAGGTCGAGATATCTTTTGATACAACGAATATGAATATAGTCAAAGAATATGATGGCTTTCCATGTACATACCGCATTATTTATTTTACTTTTTTTTTGATTCGCATAAACTAAATGACCTCTGCATGAATGACAGAAAGACATAAGTTAGGGTACAAAATGCACTTCTTAGGGTCTTTACTTTAACCCAGATACCATAGATTACGGCCAGTTACAGTGTACATGCTGACAACTAAACCTCCGAGTAGTGTGCGCCACAGTGCACATATTCTCATCCCCGGGTACATCAAATGATTGAAGTCAAGTTATGTGTGATTTCAAAGTCCAAAACCTGTAAATTTGCAAGAATGAATACTTGTATCACAAGGGGTTTCACTGCTCAATCTTAACAACCCAACCACCGTAGTCGCCCACTTTCCGACAACACAAATCATACTCTCCATCCCATACATCAGTTCTCGCCTTATGAAAGACTCTGACTATACTCCGAGATCGTTACTTCTCTCGAAGTCTTATATCACTACTGCTAGCTCTGCCTTGTAGTTCTCCTCGATATCAGAACAACCTGATTCTTCTATATATACTATTGTAGATCAATAACGCCATCGAATTACTCACTAATTAGCTTGTTTAAGATATCCCATAGCGTTTCAGATTATCTTCCTTTTGAACATTTCGCGCTTATCTTTAAGATCATCCACATTGAACAGTTTCTAATCTATTGCCTTGAGTATAAAAGAATGAATTTGAGATAGCGAGACAATTGCCTTTATACCTACACAGTTCGTACTAATTTTCTAATTACTTCGCTGGTTGGTAGTACGTAGCTAGGTATCACCCTAGCCGCTCGCCTCACTTTATGAACCTTCTAACATGTAAAATCTCTTCGCTAGTAGTACGTGTAATTCTAATTACGCGCCTCGCCTTATGAGCTGTCTTCTGATACTCAATATGAAATCATGTAGCTGTCTATGTAGCTATTCCTTTTAGCCTTGCTAAGAGGATGAGTTGGGGGAGAAAGAGTTACCTTGGTAGGGGAGGAGGTTCGTACATGGAATACGGCGAGCTAAATGGAGAAAATGGGGACAAGGGCAGTGATAGCGATATAGAGCATAAAATAGGCACGCCTACGACGAGGAATTAGGAATGTGGGAGAAAAACATAGATAATAACTAGCAGATAGTAATAGACAGTCTAACGAAGCTTTTTATAAGACAGAAGTACGAAGATTTATTAGGTCAATAAGAATAGCTACTATCAATAATATAATTAGTGATTTCTAAATAAGAAATATATTAAAAAAATGGTACGGAGTAGGAATACAGCTTTTAGGAGTTATAGGATTTACCAGTGTCGTTATTATACCTCGTAAGAGTGATATTGGGGTGTATTAAGTGAAATTCTAGAGGGTGATCAGACATTTATCAGTTATGCAATTTCTTAGTTATAGTTTAGTAGAAAAGAGGTAATCACATACAAGTTTGCGCACATTCTTATTGGCTTGGTCAGAATTGTATTCAACACATATTTCCGGTTGTAGTTGAAGATCTCCAAGGTTTCGTATTCGTATTACGTAACATCTCGAATGACGACCTCAGCGCTCAGAAAGCCGCACCCGATGCCCCAGGTGATCTCCAAGACCTTCACCTCAGCCAGTGCACTTAACACAATAGCGAACTTGCGCAACCAAAACAAGACTGGGTCATTCAACTGAAATCCCAAGATGGGTGCCCTCCTCTCTATTCCCCTCTTGGCTGTGCCGAGTGTTGGTACAGTATGTTGTCGCCTAATACATCTACAGCCCTGGCTACTACACAGTTGGCTAATCTGGTATCTCTGAGTAGCTCATCACGGTCGCAGGATCATGCTGTGGAGCAGCGACATGCTCTGCAGTCTGCAGTGCCTGCGGAAAGTTCCAAAACAGGTGCCATTCACTCTCGATCTAGTGCGGAGAACCTCGGACTAACGTAAACAGTATGGCAACGAGAATCGCATATGCTTTTATCCTCTTGATCAACTCTATACTGTCCTGGATCATGCTCACGCCATGGGCATTGAAGAAACTGCAGAACTTGACTCTCGATTATATGGAGATTCGATGCGACGGGAAAGAATGTCATGGCTGGGTTGCGGTCCATCGAATCAACTTCGCTCTCGGTCTTTTCCACTTGATATTCGCTCTTCTACTCCTTGGGGTTAAGAGCTCAAAAGATACTCGTGCTGCGATTCAGAATGGCTATTGGGGTCCAAAGGTCATCCTCTGGCTGGCTTTTGTCGTCATGTCCTTCTTTATCCCGGAGCCTTTCTTCTTCGTGTACGGCAACTACATTGCCTTTTTCTGCGCCATGCTGTTCCTGCTGTTGGGCCTAATCCTTTTGGTCGATCTTGCGCATTCGTGGGCAGAGTTGTGTCTGCAGAAGATCGAAGACAGCGATTCTCGCCTGTGGCGGGGTCTGCTCATTGGTTCCACCGTTGGCATGTACTTGGCATCTTTCGTCATGACTATCTTGATGTACATCTTCTTCGCCAGGGGTAGTTGCTCTATGAACCAGGCTGCAATCACGGTATGTATTCCTAGTGTCTCAAGTGTGGTGCGATGCTGACTCACCCCAGGTTAACTTGGTTGTGTTCTTGATCATCTCCTTTGTATCTGTTCAACCCGCAGTGCAAGAGTCGAACAGCCGCGCAGGGTTGGCCCAGGCTGCTATGGTCACCGTCTACTGCACCTACCTCACCTTGTCCGCCGTTTCGATGGAACCAGACGACAACAACTGCAACCCACTGATCCGGTCTCGTGGAGCACGGTCAGCCACCATTGTTCTTGGCGCGATTGTCACTATGCTGACTATTGCATACACGACCACCCGCGCTGCCACCCAAGGCATTGGCCTGGGTTCCAAGGGTGGACACAACTACGTTCAACTGGGAACAGATGATAACGAGCACGGCTTGGTTACCCAACAGCCCACTACCCGTCGCGAGATGCGTGCCGAGGCCCTTCGAGCTGCGGTTGAGAGTGGTAGTCTTCCCGCCAGTGCCTTGAACGATGACAGTGATGACGAGGATGATTACGAAACCATCAAGGACGATGAGCGTGGCTCCACCCAATATAATTACTCGCTCTTCCATATCATTTTCTTCCTTGCCACTACCTGGGTGGCCACTTTGTTGGTTCAAGGATTGACACTCGAGACTACCACAGATTTTGCACCGGTAGGCCGCACGTATTGGGCCAGCTGGGTGAAGATCGTGAGCTCTTGGGTCTGCTATGCAATCTATCTATGGACTTTGGTTGCACCTGTTGTCCTGCCCGATCGCTTTGGTGTATACTGATTGATATTGGATTCGGGCGTTTGAAGCGATCAGCACCTCATTTTGCTTTGGTATCATCTTTATCCGTAATAGCTATGCTATCTTGCAAATAAATTGTTCTTACTCAGAACTTTTATCTTCAAATAAATAAGTAAATCCTCCAGTCAAACAAAAGCGAAGATTTCAGCGACACAAGCCTGAGGCAGGACCTGTCATCTAACCGTGCGTATGGCAGGTCTTGGCACTCTTACGCGTTGAGTGCAACGCGTGCCAATTTACCCTCTGCAGACACCATGGAATGAAAATGGCAACAATCCAAGCCATCGAGGCTCGTTCAGTATGTCATCTGACTGGGTTACATAATTCCGACCTGACCAGCACGTTTAGGTTCACCAAATCCAATCCGGTCAAGTCATCGTTGACTTATGCTCCGTCGCGAAAGAGCTCGTCGAAAACAGTCTAGATGCCGGCGCATCCACGATCGGTTGGTGAAAAATCCCTGAAACATAGTTTGCTTTGATTCTCATGCCCATGTGGCCTACAGAAGTCCGCTTCAAGAATAACGGGCTGGACCTGATTGAGGTGCAAGACAATGGCAGCGGGATCTCGCCAGAGAACTATGAGAATGTTGGTAAGTTTTGACACCACGGTGGTATATTGCGGATCTGACACCCTTTTTGTACTAGCATTAAAACACTATACCTCTAAATTATCCACATACGATGACCTCAAGAGCCTGAACACCTTCGGTTTCCGAGGCGAGGCGATATCATCGCTCTGCGCGTTATCCGACTTCCGCATCGTCACAGCACAAGCCAATCAAGCCCCCCGTGCAAACCGTCTTGAATTCGAACAGTCTGGAAAGCTTAAGAAGCCACAAATAGTGGCTGGGCAGAAAGGAACGACTGCAGCCGTGGAAGGCATCTTCAAGCGGTTGCCAGTGCGTCGGCGAGAACTGGAGAAGAATATTAAGCGGGAGTATGGTAAAGTTTTGAACTTGCTTCATGCTTATGCTTGCATTAGCACTGGGGTCCGGTTCAGCGTGAGGAATACCGTTGGCAAAACGAAGAATGTGGTCGTATTTTCTACAAATGGGAACAAGACCACCAAGGATAATATTGCCAATGTGTATGGCGCGAAGACACTCTCGGCATTGATCCCTCTTGATCTGGAGCTTGAGTTTGAACCTGCAGTGGCTACGAAACGGGCGGGGGATAACCCTACGAACAAGATCCTGGTTCGAGGCCATATATCGCGTCCTGTTTTTGGTGAGGGCCGCCAGACTCCAGATCGTCAGATGTTTTTCGTCAACTCGCGGCCATGCGGGTTGCCGCAGATCGGGAAGGCATTTAACGAGGTGTACAAATCGTTTAATGTGTCCCAGTCGCCGTTTATTTTTGCGGATTTCCAAATGGATACGAACGCTTACGATGTCAATGTTTCTCCCGATAAGCGTCAGATTCTACTTCATGATGCGGGGGCTATGATTGAATCGCTGAAAACCTCCCTTACACAACTTTTTGAAGATGCTGATCAAACTGTGCCGCAGTCATCGGTCAAATCCAAGCCTTTATCAAAGCAGCAACCGCTATCTTCGCTGCCGGGGTTCGTCTCTGCCCGAAAGCTAAGCCAGAAGAGTCATGATGGAAGTCCAGATTACGACCAAACCAAAGAGAATTCACCCGAGCCTCCTGAGGCGAGTCAACAGAGCGCAATTGGAAGATTCAAGAGCTCACAAGGAGGCATAGGAAGCCCGGTGCAAGCCACGCCATCTCCGGCTCGATCTATGCAGCCCCGAGCTTCAATTAATCCCTCTTCAATGGCCACGCCGACTGCTAGTGAACCAGAGACGCCCACTGTGGATGTTCTTCACGATGAACTGCCTGCGCAAAAATCCACCCAAGAAGAGGAGCCTGAAAAGACCCCTCTGTTTCATGAACCTTCATCCCAGCCAGCAGACTTGGGAGAAACACCATCTCGTGTTCGCCAATATTCCGAAGAAACGCCCAATGTCGTTCAAAACGCATTTGATAGGATGCGTCCCCGACGGGAGCCGCCTGAGCTAGCCACTATCACCATTGGAGACCGAATTGTGACTTCCATGGTTGGTAGCGGGCTGCCGCGGAAACGAATACAAGAAGATCCACCTTTTTTGAAAGAGACCTCGAAGCGGAAGAGACGGATTCACACGCCGTCGCGTCCTAATATATTTGGGGATCATATGAAGGCTTTTGCTGCTCCGGGGTCGCAGCTTGATGCACCAGAAGATGAAAGGGGCTCTACGGACTATCTTGAAGCCGTGGAAGGGGAAGAGGAAGAGGACGCTCCGAGTGTAGCTGAAGAGGCCGAAAATCAAGAGGAGGAGGAGGAGGAGAAGGAGGAGGAGGACCTGGTTGTAGCCAACGAGGTGGAGGATTCTGAAGAAGATGCCGAGCAAAACCAACAAGATGAGAGTTCTCCTCCATTGGAAGATGTCGACTATGAACCCGAGCAGGAGGCATCCCGACTGGAATCCGGAGAACTTGAAGCAAATGCAAATACAAATGACAGCCGAGATGCAGATCTTGACGAAGCCAAGAAGAAAGCTCAGGAAGAAGCCACTGTTCAGCGGCTAATCCACGAAGCTGAAGAGACTGCTATGCTACCCCAAGAAAACAGTATGAAACGTGCAAACAAAATGAACAAGGAATCTGCCCATCGTGACGCCACAGTGCAACTTGTCAGCACTGTGGACGGATCTTTTTCGCGGCTTCAATCTCAACATGCAGTACTGCAAAAGACCCTTGACGCACGACCAATGCCCCTGGAACAAGAAACTCCTGATGGCGGTGAGAAGTCAGCCGAGGATAAATTATCATTGACTGTGAGCAAGAACGACTTCGCCCAAATGCGTATCATCGGCCAGTTCAACCTGGGATTCATCATCGCAGTTCGTCCAGGAGAAGACCACGACGAACTGTTCATTATTGACCAGCACGCTTCGGACGAAAAGTTCAATTTTGAGCGCCTGCAAGCTGAAACCATCGTCCAAAACCAGCGCCTTGTCCGTCCGCAACGCCTCGATTTAACGGCCGTTGAAGAAGAAATTGTCCTTGAAAATCGCGACGCGTTAGAAAAGAACGGTTTCCTCGTGACAGTCGATGAAAGTGGCGATGAACCCATTGGCCGTCGATGTCAACTTGTTTCCTTGCCGCTCAGCAAAGAAGTCGTGTTTGGTGTGCGCGATTTGGAGGAACTGATTGTGTTGCTATCGGAATCTGGTTCGTCGAATGAGTTGACCGTGCCACGGCCAGGGAAAGTTCGCAAAATGTTTGCTATGCGAGCATGTCGGTCGAGTATTATGATCGGTAAGACGCTGACGACTCGTCAGATGGAACGCGTTGTTCGGAACATGGGGACTATTGATAAACCTTGGAATTGTCCCCATGGGCGACCGACTATGCGACATTTGATGAGTTTGGGTCAGTGGGATGAATACGATGAGTTCGAAGATGGAGGTCTGGATCCTTGGAAACAATACTTGGAAGGCGAAGATGAATAAATAGTCCATAACGATACCCGTGATATAGAAGATGTATAATAAGGACACAGTTACATGGCACAGTTCACCACCATTGCAACCATCTCTTCGACTCGGGCTTCTTCCCACTATCAATATTATCAATACCATCAACATGTCCATTTAAATCCCCATTCCCATTCCCATTCCCATTCTCAAGCCCATTTCCCCTCCCACCATGGCTCCCATCTTCATCTGCATCCTTATTCCTTCCCTCAACATTATCCATCATATCCTCCAAGGCCAACAAATCCCTCTCAATCATCTCCGCCCAATTCTGCACGTCCCCAATCTCCTTCAACCCCTCCCTCGTCTCATCCGCCAACCCAACCCACTGCTCATTCTGCCGCGCCAGTCGTGCCGTGTTCTCCGCTAACTCGGCTTCTTGGCGTTCGAGTGCGAGCGCGTTCGATTGAATATTTGCTGCGCGGTCACGCAGCGGCGCTTCGAGGTTTGTCCCCACTGAGTGGAGGGTTGCTGTGAAGGCTGCTAGCGCTTCTTTTTTTCGTTGGTCGTCTGATTCGGTTGGCGTGGTCATCGTTTCACACGGGCTTTTGCTATGTCTTATATATTTGTGATAGATATATATGTATCTTTGAGATTTGGGAATTTTGTAGCGTTGAAGTTGTTACAACCCCACTTCCACATGCATGGGCTTATTCTTCCCCGCTCTGCATCAGGTCTGATCGCAGTCTTGTATTGTCTTCCAAGTTATTATATATACCCGGGCGCATATGTTCACATAGATTGCTATAAATTTGAAGGTGTCAACTACATATATGCCAGGCCACCTACATGATGTACATATATAGTACATGGTACCTAGCACTCGGCATCTCTCCATTTTTATTACTAGCCGATTGCCGTTTTTCGATATGGTCGGATTAAGCCTTTGGCTTGTGGGCCCTGACTGGGGCCGCTTGAAGCTAAGCCGGCTGAGCCTCCAGCCCTAGGCCCGGATTTGAAGAAGCCACGGAAGTAGGATTATACCAGGGAGTGCTAGCACTTGAATTGGAACAAATCAAATATATCATAACGTGACAGACCATAAAAATACAATCTCTATCTTCAGCACTTTCTGGTCGAAATAGTTCGTACACCAGCGACCACAACAGACCCGGGGAATCATTCGAATATAACATGACATTTGAAGCATTTCTGTATCAGCCGTGGTAGTACCAGTGGGTGTAGTTGGAGTTGCAATGGTGCTGGGCTTCCTCCTCATCCGCCGTCGACGAACCGAGCTCTCACCACAAATCCATATCCATTTTTCCCATACCCCCATCCAACTCCCGTCCTTCAACTCTCCGCTTCGTCCACAGGTTCATCAAGATTGATAGAGAGCGTCTTTACAAGCGTCCCTAATTATAACTTGATCTTCGTGAGCAACCTCCTCCTTCATTCTTGCACCTTGTCCCGCATCTTGCTCATGTGACTGACTTCCAATTTCCGCTACTCAGAGACACGCGAGGGCAAAATCCTGGTCCAACTCCGTTTGAAAAGACGGTAATAGGCATACACGTATACGGTAAGCTCGAATTGCATGCTTCGTTCCAATACATCGATCATATCTGATACTTCGTTCAAGACCTGAGGTCTTCGAGACCGCCCAATATGGCATTCGATCATGTTCGTTTTCGGTGAATATGGCCCGGAAATGATGAGAGATCTGTGACTCTTCGGAGTACACTAATTCTTGCCTACGCATTGGATCACGTTGATGGTAAAGTATACTTTTCTCCCTGGTATCTTTTATCGTGCATACCTAACTAGACTTTCTATCATACTCTTTCTGGAACTCCTGGTGACCTTCTCTCCGCAGGGTCTTGCCGGTTGAGCTCGAAATATTTCGGGTGCATGTTAACCCAAGGAGTGTGTTCTGTACCGCCGCTGCCTAGATCAAAGGCAAGTCTCTCTCATAGCACCTTTGACTGCCCGTGACTAACCAAGGTTCACATTACAGTCTTTGCGCGATCGTGGCTGGAACACGGATGCTGTTCGATCCTTTCAGCCAATCTCAATCACTGATGAAAATCCCTGTGACGCCTTCAGGTAGTATCGTGAACACGCAAGGTTGGTTGGTCGCAAGTATAGGGTATGTTCTGTTGTTGTTACAAGCTTGCATCATTCATAATTAACAGCACCGTGCAACCAGATCCTTTGCCGAAGACAATAGAACAAGAAAGCCCGGCACGCTTGATTGTGTGTCTTGTGAGTATGGGTTAGGAGAGTAGCCGAGTAAAAGAAACATTGCTCCCTCCCGGAGCGCGGGCTTTGTAAAGAACTGAAAGCGTTTGGCGTTCGGTCCTCGGTACGTTCTCCTGCCAGCGACTTCACTGATCCATACTCACATATTCTTTTCCACAGACCTTTGCGTTCAGCCCTCGGGCATACTTCGAGTATCCTACCGTGGGTACGTTTATCTATAATGGCATGTAGGCTGTCTCGGGTGGGTGGCTCCTGGCGATAGATCAAGCCTTTTGGGCAGTTAAATTTCGAGTGGATTTGTGGGATAACAGTCGGCTACTGGTGTGCTACATGGGGGCTTGATCCGAGGCATCAGACTTTCGCTTCATCCAATAGCATTGGCTAAAAAAGAACCCTTCACTTGTCTGATCGGAGTGCGTAGGATACCAAGTATGCCTTGCGATCGACAATATATTGGGAAGACATTCATTTGGATCAAACATAATGCAGTGTACTCTGGTAGATATCTGGTTCTGCATCTGCAGTCAATGTATATGTACTTTCAATTTGGAGTGCAACCGGAAGTCTCCAACAAGTAGCAGGAAGAGCACTCAAGTAATTGTTCAATTGACACGACTAGTGGGTAGATTAATCAAGGCTGGAAAAAGAAACTTTATTCAGAGACATTTATGTACATAAAGAAGCAATGAATGTTGAATCTAAGGTGTGAAAGAAGATAAGATGTATTCCAAGTGCACAATGGATCAGGTGAATGAGAACATACAATGTCCCCCACGAGATCTAACGGCAGCGGGAAAGTTTATCTCCGACCCGCTGTTGGTACCGAATCCAAAGATGGAAGCTAAGGACCAGGTACCAGCGGGTCAGCAGCTGGCAAACAGTCCACCCCAGCCGAGCCCAGTGTGGAGCACCAGCTCCCTCGAGGCCAGATTCCACAGACATCCCCCACAACAGGAGGGCACCTACCTGGTTCAAGAAACCCGGACCTAGCCATGCTTTTTTGGTCCTCATCCGTATCCGCCGATACCGACGCGGATTGTAAAACAAACGCTGGGCAATAATCCAGACCCCATTTGTTGAAAACAAGATCCTTCATCCAGCCTGTGATGTGTTCAGGAAGGGAAAAATGGCCAGCCCACATATCCTGGACGCAGCTGTGGAATATGTGTTAGTGTCAATTGGAAAATGTGGGAAGGCGTGGAATTGGGCAGCGGACTTACGTTGAGCTTTGAACCCAGGATGGTTGAAGAGGAAAGAAAGAAAGAAAGAGAACATGGGGAAAAGGAAGTATTTATAGGGTTGGGGACCACGTGCTGAGCTGGAAGCCTACTATGTAGGCACTTTTACATGAAGAGTGAGGTACATTGGTTTGGCATAGAGATCCTGCTATCAGCAAAGTACCTTCCACTCCTAAGGACCCATTCATTGATGGCTCCAATCTAGCTTTCGTTGGTGTATATCTGGTTGCCGGAAGCGTCCAAGCCAGCCGACGCATCCACGAAGGTGTTCTGGCACGATTATTCGACGCGAATGTGTATTTATTTGACCTACAGCCGCTTGGACGGATTACCACTCTCTTATCGGTTTATATCGAGGGTATCAACTTTCGATTGATCAATGCGGCAGATGGCTTGATTCTCGCAGCTTATTCATTGCTAGCGAGTACCATTTTTCTTGCAATGAGCTCGCCGTACTTAATCTTAGCTCTCCTGCCCATTGGGTACATGACCAGTCGCATATAGCTGCTTTATGGAGTGTACGCTTTCTGTCTCCTCACATTCGTTCCCGTGAGTTTGGAATTGCTAACGTGAAACTTTTGGAGTAGATCTTTACGAGAAGTGCGCCGCTTGTGCTCTCTGCTGGACTCATCGGTCCTCACCGTGATCTACGAGGCCATGGCTGCGCGGGCCTCGATCCAAGCGTACTCCGCCATCGACTTCTTTGAGGAGCGGCATCGCGCGGTCCTGTCCAAGGCCATGGCTGGAATCAGCGTCCGCTACGCACTCGAGACGTGGGTGACAGTGCGGATGGAACTCGTGTCCGTCCTGCTATTGGGCGCAACCTGCGCACTATGCGGCCTAGGAGTGCTTACAGCCGCCCAGGCTGGTCTGACTCTCAGCCCAGGTATCACACTAGGAAAACACCTGGACACTTTTCTATGGTCTATAATTAACCTTGTTGTTGAAATGAATTCCATGGAGCGCCTCAATCAGTACCTGATGCTGCCTGCCCCGGAGACCTATTCTCCCTCCATCGGACGAGAAATCGCACCCTCCTGGCCGGATAGTGGCAGCGTGATATTCTCGGGAGTTGGAGTCATGTATGATCAAGCGTCGTAGCCGTCTCTCCATGCCTTTGATCTCGTCGTTCCCGCGGGTGCCAAGATGGTGATCGTAAGCGGAAGCGGTGCGTCAATCTATCTCCTATAGATGCTAGTACTGCAGTGACTTTTGAAACGCCCAGGACGACGGATTGGCTATAATTCACGCATCGTCCAGGCTCCGGCAAATCGACCGTCAGCGCGGCAGTAACAAGCCTTGTACCACTCATAGCAGGCACTATTAGGATTGATGACCTGGACTTGGCGACTGTCTCGCTGCGTGCAGCAACGATGCGGACATGCTTAAGGCATTGTGAGCATTGGAATAGCACTAGCTCGAGGTCCAATCGGACGGCGTTGACCGCCGATCAGTGCTTGACCAACACATTTTGGCTAGGGGCACCAATCTATCCACGGGTCAAGCGCAATTAGTGGCTCTGGCGCGGGCGGTGCTGGCGCGGCCGTGCATCCTAGTGCTCGATGAGGCAACAGCGAATACTGACCAAAGCAGGGATAAGAGGATCCAGCGAACACTACAGCAGTCCTTCCGGGATAGTACGATCCTCTGTGTGGCGCATTGAGCAACCAGTGTCGCCTGGGTGGATTGTGCCATCGCCATAGCGGATGGCCGTAAAGTGGGGTGATATCTCTAGATAATTAGTCAATTAACTGACAGTTGACAACCTCTTAGGAGCGCTGATAAGCGGGCAATTTGCTGTCTCTCTATCTCCAAGACACTACTGGATTATATGCATGGCCCACTGGCATTTGCCTCTACTAATGTGACGTGTTGCATAGGTATCTGTAATTTACATCACCCTATTCACAACACTTACAAGAAAAAACAATGTAATAATGAGTCAATTTTGCCCGTCATGAATATTGTACAAGATTATAATTTTGAAATAAAAAACATAAATTACAACCACGAAGAAGACGCTGTTATATTGCGCACTCCTTGACCCTAGGCAACCAATTAAATTTATATCTTCCGCTTGAGAGACCTAGTCATCTTTGTTTTTATGAATATTTTCCCATTGTCTCTCCTCTCAGAGACTTTCTAAATCCTCACAATGGGCACCGCTGACAGTTATCTACCTCCTGCCTTGAGCACGGAAACTATCACCTCGTTGATCCTGTCGTTGGATCTCCCTGCGCCAAGCTCTATCGAGCCGCTGCAGGTTAATGCCGCCTTTCATTCTATCTATTTCATCCATTTCGCTTCAGCACAAGGTATCACAGCACGAGAAAATAAGGATGGCACCGCTACGCTCGTGCTGCGTGTTTCTGGACGCCAGCTACCTGGCATCAAGACACGCAACGAAGTGGGCGTCATGACCTGGATCGGCAAGCATACCTCCATTCCCATACCGGCCATCATCCGGTACGATGCGACGGAGAATAATGTGATCGGACATGAGTTCACACTACTCGAGATAGCGTCCGGCATCAGCGTCGATCGCATCTATGCAACGCTATCCGATGAGGTCAAGACGCAAATGGTCCACCAACTGACGGATTATCTGATCGAGCTGCATGCACAACCCTGGAGCGAGGGGTACGTGGGCGGGCTGACCCTGAAACCGACGGGCGAGATTGCCTTCGGACCACCTATCGACGAAAACTTTTGGCAGACGGCGGACCTAGACAAGTACTGGTCTGCCTCGGCCGGAGTCAAGAGTACAGAGACGCTTGAAAGTCTGAATCCCATACCAGCCGAGGGGTTCTTTAGCTACACCGCCTATACGAACGGCTGCCTCGAGCGGTATGTCCATGCGATCGAGATCCATCCTTCTCTGGAGCCCTATCGCGACTTGATCCCTCAGATCCGAGAGTTCATGGCGCAACTACGGCGGCAAGGCAACCAGACAGAGCTCAACCGTGTCGCCTACATCATGGCACACAAAGACCTGCATTTTGCCAACATTATGTGCGACCCGGACCAGCCAGGGTGTCCAATCACCGCGGTCCTAGACTGGGAGTTCAGCGGGGTAGTTCCCGGCCCGAGGTGGAACCCCCCGCGAGCATTCCTATGGAACATGAAATGGGACCCTGACGATAAGGCAGAGCAGACCCGCATGGAGCGATTGTTTGAGCATACCTGCCGCGAAAAGGGGGCAGAGCATATTTTGAAGCAGACTCAGCTGAATGCAAAGCAGGAGATGATGCAGACGGTGGTCAATCACATTCGAGCTATTGTCGAGGTGTGCCCGCGAGGCCAGGCGCAGGACCGCGTGGCCCACTGGCGCGCGGTGGCGGAAGCCGCCATGGAAGGATTTCAGGCGTGATGTGTATGAACGTGATGTGTATGAGGAGAATTATGTACAGATCAATACATACTGTTTTTCACCTTTATTTACCTATTGTATTGTATTGTATTGTACTGCATTGTATTGTGTTACGGGTTTGCATAGCCCTAATCGCCCGCGAGGGGCGAAAGCCTTCTGATATAACTCGGTCTCCCGGACCCCAATAATTCAGACTAGGGGGTTCCATATGCCTTGTTCAGATTGAACAAGGCCGTTCACAGCTCACCCTCATCGGAAAGCGTGTCCAAACCTGCCACGTGGGCTCGACGGCTTCTCCGCGCTGTGCAAGCACTGTGACTTCCAACTTTTCTGCAGTACCACAGCAGCACCGGCAGTAAGGCCCTCCGTCGTGCAGCACATCTCGACGGCCTCCGTGGCTTGGGTGCATGGTGTGGAGTGAAAGGATTCTGTACGCCGCCTCTTTGTAGTTGCCCTCATCAGCGAGACGAATAATATAACCAATATGTCGTGGATCGAGAGAAAGCCTTTCATGATCTTCTCGGTATTTATCCGGGACTGAGACGTTAGCTATATTATTAACTTGCTCAAAGCAACCCTCATTCCTCCAAGGGTCGGAATCCGATTCCATTGTGGTGACCCTAAAATAGTCAGCTATGTTCTCTTGTGTCAAATTCTTTAAGAGAAGCGAGTTCAAGGCTAAGTATCAATATATGGCCATCATGAAAACCATGCGTGAACTTGGGACATGCTGGGTTTCATGTGGCTTTTTCCAGACACGCGACGCCCAAGCCCGATATGGATATCACCCTGACGAGTCCCAAAAGCCGCCGATTTACGTATTATACTAGTGTAGCATGTAAAAAACACCCGAAAAGCTCTTCATTTATGTGTTCCATTATAATTAGACAAGGGTTTGAAATCCGAGATGTCGTTACATATCGAAGCTGACCTCATGAAAACAAGCTCGACACGTATTGCAACAAATCGATCCTTGTAGGGGCAGAGATAGCCTTGATAGCTGCGGTGAAATATGGAATATCCACTCCATTGTAGGAGCAATTTTTTCCATGAATACCAAGTGTAACAGTACCGAAATCGTCGTCGCCGACGATGGCCTCGTGGATCAACATCTCTTTGTCGAGTGAGCCGAGGACCACTGTACTGGCCGCTTCTTTGCTCAAGAATAGATGGGGTAAAACGACATAGCCCAGGTCTTTGTCACCTAGGGTCAGATTGAATGTCACGCGCCCCTAGACATGTCAGCAATTTTATTTTTATAGAATACGAGGAAATTCTGAATTATTTTCATACCAGCTCAACAGTGAAAACACCCGGGTTGCGCACGGCAATCGTGGCATTGAAATTGTATCCATCAACTGGCGGATCCAGGAGGTCTATGCTGGTGACGTTGAATGCGCCATTGCTATTGATGAAATCTGAAAAATGTTAGATAAACCGGGGGTACGTAGATATCGGATATTTTAATCTCACCTGTAACATTGTAGCCTAATAAAAAATGGTTAGCCGGCTTCGCAGACATATGGCATAAAGCGCAAACTCACTGCCCACGTGCATGATCTTTCGAATATTCAAATGAGCGGTCGGCAAGCCCCCGAGATGCAAATCCGATACGCCCTCCATCAAAAGAGAAGAGCTTATGTTAGATGCCGCGTTGGTGGCAATTTGCGACATACAGTCGACACAAGACAGTTCCAGGTCTTGGTCTATATCCAGAGTAGCGCCATTGCCGAATGCGATCTCAGGAACGGAGAAAGCACCAAAGACCTTGTTGGTGTCTTTGACACGACATGTCGCATTGAACGGGTCTAAATGACCCTTTCCACTAAATCCACCCCCCATTGCAAGGGATTTCTTTTGCTTGACGTGGAAGGCCGTTGGTCGCGGGTTGGTAATTTCAAGGCCATCATAGCCGTACTCGTACTTGTTGATATAATCCTCTGCAAAATGAGGGATTCCGACATAGAGGCTGGAATGATTAACGTTAAAATTCCGCATTCTCCAAGGAGAGACTTACATAGGGAGCACAGTGACGAGGACAATCACACAGATCGCGATCAAATAAACCCACCAGAACCTCTTCATGTGTGTTTTGAATCGGTTCCATAATGTCGGCTTTGCAGGTGCTGGTTGGGCCTCATTTACATCGGAACTGTATGAGATATCGGATTTTGACATGGCGTAAGAATGTCAGAAATCCCGCTAAGTCATGAAAATCATAAGATAACAGTGCGACAATTGCTGCTCATGTTATATTCAATCAAGATGGCAAACGATCGCAAAAAGCAGAAAATACGGTTGAAACGAGAATTGAAGCCAATAAATCAGGAGTTTGGAGATTCGCGATTTGCCATGTCGATCGACCCACTTTTTCACATGAGAGAGGTGAGATGTTCGAATTGGATATATAAAATATCGTCTGGTGTGCCACAGGGTAAGTAAGGGCTATCAGTTCAATTATAGGCCTCGGTGTGAGGTCATAATGCAAATCCCGGGCCCGAGTGCGCGTTTCTATGCATATTGGTGTCCAGCATATAGATGTCGCAGTAAAGAAGCTTGGGTAACACGACTCTTTGGCCATTCGAGAAGAAAGTCGACTAGACCAATCAGATGTTGCGCTGATAAGCGAGCTCATCGGCGCTTGGCCCAAAAAAGGGTTAGAGGCTCGTACATTGTCGTACCGGATACGATCAGTACTGTGGCATCTGTCGATCATGCACATAATAGGCGCATCGGCCGAAGGGACCTCGGTTGTGGATATCGAAAATCTGGGGATGTTGGACAATCGACTTTTGATATTATTTTAAGAACATATGCACTGCTATTAATTCAAGCAAAAGGTGGTCGGCATAGATAATGTGTCTCGTTCATAACTGGTGCGTCGCTTTTCGGAACAAAAACAATGTACATCTGAGGTGTGGCAGCCACGGGACATGACGAGTTTGATCTGTAGCAGACCTAGCAGAGAGATTGGCTCGAAGGTGTTGGTCAGAATATGTTAAATCGCCTCCAAATGTAGAGTAACTGCTCTCTGGACTTGGTAAGTACATGCTCCTATAGGGATGTCAATTGTCCGAAAGGCGTGGCAATTCAAAATGAAAAAGAAGCGGAAACCGGAAATGCAGCGAGTTGAAGGAAATGTGTAATCAAATATATCTGTCGATTATCATAAACAAGTCTCGCCTAGAGTATGCCTAGAGCCACAGAGACTACAACAACAAAAGCCAAAGTCCCAAATATGAGCATGTTTTTCACCGCACATCTATGGTGAATCTCCATCGTCTTAGCAATCCGCTCTGCCCACGCCTTGGGAGGGTTTCCATTCGGAAATTCGCTCGCAGGTACCGGTTTACTCAAGAACTCGCAAAGAGGCTCCCATCCATCCTCCACAGACCACTCGAGCAGGCGATCCTTAGGCAGGCCAAGCCCTCTTACCATAGCAACATGCTGCTCATAAACCCACTTGCCATTCGACTCGAAGCTCCCTCTAAAGAATCGCGGCATCATGGTTCTCGACATCGTCTGACGAATCCAAAATAGTTCAGCACTGAACCACGATTTGCACCAGTCCCAATCCATGGGGTTTCTATCAAAATACCCCATTGTGTTTTGCATACTCGCTTGCCACCCGTCAAGATCGCGGCGGACATTCAGAATGACCTTTGCATGGGGATAGGCTTCGATCAGCTCCAGCGCGAATTCTGCCGCGAAAAGATCACTGACGCCAACGCTGTTGAGCAGGACTGTGTCGAAGTCTTCGGCTGTCAGCTTTTTGGCTGTGCCAGTAGTTGTGGCTGTGGTGTATTTTTTTTGCAGAAGCTTATATATCGCTTCTAGTGATGAAGGTGGGAGAATTGTGTCGAATCCGTGGTGGGTATGGTTTACTCCTAGGACGTGTAGAGCCTCGCGGAGGCTGTCAGTTCCACTTCTTGAGATTCCCACAGCTAGTACCTGCATCTGGCCTTTGCGGGTACCGATGGTTGGCGGTGGGAGACCATATACTGCATGGAGGATTGAGTCGGTAAACTTCATTGTGAGTGAGGTATAACAGCAGCCGATGCTGAGCAACCGCTTGTTTAGAAACCAAAAGTAGAAAATGAAAAACAAGGTAAATAGAAAAAGGTACAAGACTCACCTGGGCAGTGATGGTTCATTTCGACGTTGCTGATGTGAGGCGCCACATGATGCCTATTTAGGTGCGCGGCCTGTGCACCCGATTATATTCTATTCGCTGCGAATACTATAGCATATACATTTTCGTATATTCCTCAAGATGGAGATCATGTTAAGTCATGATACTGACTTCTTTGTAGACTTGCATAATTCTTCAAGTCTGAATACACCCAATTGTTGAAAATTTGTCTGTTGCGTAGAAAGTGTCAAGAGTCGTAACTAATGTTGTCAAGCGATTTGTCGCTTTTTTAATCGATGCTTATTCCCGTAAGTGATTATGTCTGGCCAACATTTGAAGTATCCGAGTCTCTGATATCTCTTGGGCAAATTCTGTTAGTAAAAGACACCTAAAATAAAGGCATTCTACCCACAACGACTGCTGCCGTGCAGAAACCATCATCTTGCTATGCAAAGTCCTACGAAATTGTGAGTTGGAGTGATTGGAATCATACCGTAGTACTTAGGAGGGCGCGGATCTCCCCCTAAATGCTTGCCTGCCTGAAGCAAAGTGCATAAAAGTCTCAGGAAGAATTTTAAGTTGACGAAATGCGACAGCCTAAATCTGGCCGCCCGTATCAACTAGAAAATGTGCTTTCCTAAGATCTGTATAACAGTATATCATTCTCTCGTGGCTGGAATCAACATGGTCTAACTTCGATGGGGTATTCTAACGGCCTTTAGAACCTAAAATATGAATCACGTTAGCTCTAAAACTAATCTTAACCCCACTGACGTCTCAATACATTTGAAACCAAACATCTCATGCTCGATCGCCGATATGAGTGGCATTGTCGATTTTTTCTCTCCAAAGGAAAGGGAAACACATGATGCAATACTGAGGTTATCCGAAGTCGCCAATTAAGTCCATACGTGCTGATGGTTCTCAAACCCTTTCCGCAACCATTCTCCATGAAAGGAAAGTGTAATGTGAGATATTGTCAACATGCGGGACGGACAATAGATATTAAGGACAACTGTAGTATATTTTGAGGTCTAGCGGTCTGGTCGAAAGGTGATTAGTTTGTGGCTTGCACATATCTCTTCTTTCAGAACATCATGTTGTGCCTTGGAATAAAGAAGGATGCTTCCCTTTCTATGTGTGCTTTGAAAACTTTGACCCCGAATACCTTCCTTCTCGCGAGGAGCTGCTTTGAATCTGGGCAAATTGTTCTGGTGACAAAGAACGAACGGCACCCAATATATTTAAAGAATATGGACAATGTTCTTAGCTATTCCCCTTGTCTCCTTTCTCTTTTGAGTTTTTGTTTTCTTTATCTCGCTGTTTACCTTAGACTATGAGGTAAATGCATAGTTATAAACGTACTCGATGACTCGACCTGGAAAAGGCCATCAAATATATTCGAATCATCTACGGCCCTCGCACCTTTCAAGCCAATTCTTTACTTTTCAACTTCCGCCACAGCAACAATTCACCATCATCATGACCAATCCAATTGAAATCAAGCCTTCTTCACTTGAGCGGGATTTCCAGACTAAGTGTAAATTGCTCCTGTCTAACCTAGAGGAAGAGATCGACGCCTTGAAGACCCTCGATGGGCCTTCCCCACTTCGCGTGACGTTGGCCATCGAAAATCTGAACATACTCTATAAAGAGGTGGAGGTAGTCCAGAAACTTGGTCTTGATATGATTAACTTGGAGCCGAACTGTCGTACTGTCGTCGGAAACCGCAATTATCACGGTAAGTGTACGAAGTTTGCGAGTAAAACTGATCGGCTTCGCAGGGTCATACTTATTTTGAGAGATGTGATGGTAAGCTGGCCGAGCAGGCGGAAATTTTTGTTTCAACTGGTTGATGACTTGGTTGAAGCTAAGGAATTTTGAATCGTTGAATCGCAATCAATGGGTTTCTGACACCTTTTTCTTTTCTTTCCAAACGTATATAGATATGTAAATACCAACATCCTGGGACAAATAGATAAGGCAGGAGTGGTGTGGCCTCGGAAGAAACTGATAAATGACGAACGGAGGGGCGAAAATGCTGAGTAGATTCGACTTGATCTATTTTACTTGGCCTCAAAGGAGCCATTATAAACTTTCGTTCTCCCCTGCAGTCCTGAATTATAAACAGATCCAGGGTCTCCAAAGGAGGCGCCGGTGGCGTTCTTCAGACTAACGTAATATCTTCCATCGCCAGCCTTTGGGAAGCTTAGCCGCAGATAAACCTGTGATTGGTCAACGTGCGGAGAAACCCTGCGGGGAAATGGCTTCGACTGTACGCTAGACCTGTTTCATTTCTGTGGTTGCAACGCTGATTGGTCCCTTCCTTTTACCCCGGGTTACTTTAAACCGAAAAGCCAAATCTTCTCGGGAAAACAGATAGCGAGGCATGAATTCGTTGAGTGAAAAGGCACATTGGGCCCCAGATTTCAACATCGCTCTCATGTTCGATCGTCGAAGAAAACATGGAGCTCCGTGGCAAATATTTACACTGGGCAGTGACAGCTGCAAGCTGTCAAGCCTTTCTCTTACTAGGCTATGACCAAGGAGTCATGAGTGGCCTGATCGGCGCCAATAACCAATTCGGACGGACGTTCAACAACCCCGATAGCACAATGCAAGGCCTCCTAACTTCCATCTATGACATTGGTTGTGCGGTTGGTTGTCTTCTCAGTCTTGTTATCGGTCACCGTTTCGGTCGTCGTAACATGATTATTGCTGGCGGTTCAATCATGATAATTGGAACCATCATCCTTGGCAGTTCTTATACCGTCGCTCAATTTCTCGTAGGCCGCGTCGTTACCGGTATAGGCAATGGTATCAACAGCAGTACCGTCCCAGCCTACCAGTCCGAACTGGCACGACCTGAACAGCGCGGTATGCTGCTCTCTGCACAGGGTACCGTCACAATTCTCGGGCTGTGTATTGCATACTGGCTGGACTATGGATTGAGTTTCGTGGACTCGCCGGTCCAGTGGCGGTTCCCTATCAGCTTTCAGGCTTTCTTTGCTGTTTGTTTAGTTTTGCAGATGATCCCACTGCCAGACTCGCCTCGCTGGCTCTGCGAACAAGATCGCAGTGATGAAGCGGGCTCGGTGCTGGCTCGTCTCCAGATCGAGCAACCCGCCAACGAGTCGAACCCCGATGTCATTCATCTCCGTCGCCAGATCGAAACATCTATTGAGATCGAGTCTGCCGGTGGGCCATTCAAGTATAAGGAGCTTTGGTCAGGCGGCCAGATGGGTAATCTTCGTCGCATGATCTTGGCCGCTGTTGTCAATATCCAGCAGCAGTTCACTGGTAAGGGCTCTTTGTTCTTCCGTGGAATTATTGTATTGAATCAATCTTACCAGGCTCAAACATGATTAATTACTACGCTCCCAATGTGTATCAGGTACGACTATCCCCCAACTCACGTTCCCAAATATATACTAATCGCACCTCGTTATAGAATGCGATGCACCTCTCCCGCAATCTCTCCCTGGTGCTAGGCGGCTGCACCTCCCTTGCATATCTCGTGGGCTCTATAATTCCTCTATGGAGTATGGATAAATTCGGTCGTCGAGCATCACTCATGCTATCAGCCGCCGGTCTCTGCTTCTGCTTCGTTATGACTGCAATTCTATTATCAATCGGTACTGCGAAATGTGCATACGCGGCCACCGTTTTTGTCTTCGTTTTCCAACTATTCCTTGGTATTGGTTATCTGCCAGTCCCTTGGTAAGTCACAACCGTCTGGAATTCCTCTTTTCTTTATCATTGCTCACAATGGAGCAGGTTCTATCCATCCGAGATCTCAACCACGCGCATTCGCGCTCGAGCTCAGGCTTTCGGTGGCTTTGTCAATTGGATTTGCGTTTGTATGTTGCAGTCTAGCCAGAAACGAGTTTTGTTGCTGACTTGTCCAGTCATTGTTGTTCAAATCACCCCGACAGCTATTAATAATATTGGCTGGAAGACGTTCATCATCTTTGCCTGCTTCTGCTTTGCATGGGTTTGTTACCTTCATTCTGCAATATATATATATATGTTTCGCAATACTGACTTCAACTAGATCCCTATGGTGTTTTTCTTCTTCCCTGAGACTAAAGGTCTCGAGCTTGAGGATGTGGATCACCTGTTTGAGAAGGGTGGAATCACAGGTGGCGTTTGGGAAAGCAGAGGGTTCCCTGTTCGCCCTGGGCATCACCGGGCTATGAATGAGGAGAGAATCGAGAAATCAATTCCCGAGAGTGCTCACATTGAGGTGTAAAATAAATTTGGTTACAAACAGAGGCACTGGGTTATATCTCTCTTTGCTGTCAGATTTTCAGTCAAAAGTACCTGAATATATTAAAGAACTCCTGGTGCCACTACATATTGTCCAATCATACATGAAATTACTATTTTTGCAAATGAAACCTCATTTCAATCGACCTTTAGTACAAATATAGGGGGGGTCCCAAAGGGCTGTAAAATTACATGATAAATGCTCCGCCAAAAGGACCTTTGAGAACATACCACAAAGTGACAACCAAAAAGGTGGTTGAGCTCGATATTACAACACAGAAGTGAAATCCTAAGCATATCTTCCGCGCGAGTGCCTACGGATATGTCTCTTGACTTTGTTCTTGGTGGCCTCATCCTCTCCACCCTGGCCCCAACCAGTTGGCGGGTTGTTTCCGGGCAAACTTTCCAAAACACCATCAATCAACTCAGGAACAAGATTGGGAATGTTGCATGTAGTCGAGGCATCGTTGAGGAGGCCAGCATCAGCGCACTTATCCATCCCCGAATCTCCTGCATCACAGTTGTCAATAATCTTCTGCAAGACTGATTCATCCCAACCAGAGATCTATATTCAAATTAGTCAATTGTCTTAGAAATATCATAAAACAGATATGGGGAACTCATAGACTCACAAAGTCACCATGAAGCGAATAGCCAGTCCGATCACCGTTACTGAGAATGAAAGGCTGCGAACCAGTTCCCTCCGTCCACATATCAGCGAACAACGGCGTATTCCAGTATACTTCATAGAAGATATGAGGAACATGGATCCAACCAGCAGGACAATTAGCCTTTCCACCAGTAGTACCCTTACTACTCGGGAAGACCATGTTGTTCTTGTAATCATGCAATCCAGCCTTGGGGTTATAGCACGACGGAAAATGAATATCCGCACGCAGTGGGGACGCATATCCATCGCAGTTCATGTGTGGGAAGCCAGCGCCGGCGCCGGCGTTATTGGGGTCTTGAATGCCAACTCCGTGTAGTCCGTCCGAGTCTTTGGGGTAGGAGGGGATATCGTAGGATGACCGCGGACATGTCCACTGGATAGGCTGGATAGGGCCTGCGTTTGTGTCTAGGACGTTGGCTGCTCCTCCAGGTGGTGGTGTGCGGAGGGAGCTGTTGCCGATGAACATGCGCAAGCCGACGGGGAATGGCTTGATCTCGTCGTCTGTTGCTTCGAAGAAGTAGTAGACGTTCATGTAGAACATGGGCACGGAGAGGAAGCTGCCATTGGTGGCTTGGAAGTAGAGCGAGGGGGTCCAGTAGTTGCTTTTGTCGGCGTCGACCAGGGACGAGGTGCATTTTGAGTCCATCAGGGCGTCATCGGTCATGCTCAGATTGAAGTTGCTTCCACCTTGGATGGCGTGCGAGTGCGTTGCTGGCTTGCCCGGGTCCATGATTGGGTCCATGCGGCCCATCGTTAGGGCTCCTTTGCCATAGAAGTGGTTCACGGCGAAGGTGCGCGAGTCTTTTGCGAGCGTTGAGGCGAAAAAGATCGCCAGGGTCGCCAGGATGGCAGAATTGAAGTGCATTATGGCAGTGATTGAGATAATTGTGTCAGAAGACAAGATGTCGCTGGCTAAGGATGCAGCGAGGAAAAAGCTATCTTCGATAGAATTGAAATTAACGGCTGCTCAAGTACCAGACTTGAGGTAAAAGAATGGACAGATGATGATATCGACAACAAAAACAAAACCAGGGGACATTTTTATATAGCGAAACGAAAACTCGTTCTCGTTCAAAGAAAAGCAGGCTGCAATTTCAATAGATGAAACTCGGTGTGAAGTTACTTCCTTTGACGGTTGATGGAATATAATCAGGGTCCAGGCCAAGGACTCCACATGCTGTCAATAGGCCATTGTTAGGCGCCTTGTCTATTGAGTAGGCGCCAGGAAAAGGCCAAGGGTCGGACGAGACTTGCCCAGGTACGAACACTCTTTGTAGTATGCTTGGCCTAGATCAAATGAGAGGAGTCTAGTTAGCCATAGGTGTTTCAAAATAGATTAAATGTTACGTGGGGCTACGCCCTAAGATCGATCATTTGCCAAAAGGGGATTGCCTTAAAGGATCACAAATCAAACACCAGATGTCTGGGAATTATCAGTTTCAAAATGCTATTCAAGTTTTGTGGAAATCGAGATGTTCAAGAATGTCCAAGGCCGAAATGAAATCGCTGCGCAAAGCTCTCATCCATGCATAAGTTCGCTTGTAAAAATGACAAAGATCACCAAATAAAATATTAATAACACATGCTGACCGAAGAAACTCCAAGCCACCATCAGGGGCAAAACAAAATAGCACAAAAATGTTTCAGTATATGAGTGATCAAAGAACTCCCGAGAGAACGGCTTCGGTGGCTAGAGGTGTTTGTTAGCTGTGTCCATTTACTTGCAGTATTGCAAGATGCCGACTTACCAGAATTGATATACGGTCGCTTGGCATCCAAGTTGACCTCGAAGCGCCTTTCAAGCTCCTGCTTCACAGTCTTCTTCGAGACCTTCATCAAGTCCGCAGTAGACAGGATCTTGCGAATTTCCTCAAGGATCTCATCATCGGGAGGAAGATGGCTGAGATCTTGCATATCAAAGTTGCTCATCATTTCAGAGGCAGCGACCGAATAACGAGCACCGCCACCACCACCAAGGGGTAGGTCCAGTTGTGAGGTCGGACGAGAGCTAGTATGATATCCATACTCGGACTGCGGGAAGGGAGGCAGTCTGGTGCCGTATGAGTGTGCAGAGAACTCTGAGCGATCGTCGCGCGAGGTCTGGGACTCCCAAAGCTCTGCCTGGTAATCTTCCCAGATCTTCTTGGGAATGGAGTTGGGGTCGAATTTGCCTTCATCGGAGATGACAACTTTACGACCCTTCTCTCCTGTGATAATACGAGTGTTACCCCAAGAAAAGTCGTCCATATGCCAGAAGGAGTACAGAGGCAGAGCGAGGGAGAAAACGGGAATGGCCAAGAGATAGATCAACATCCAGCCAATCATTTCCCACTTGCGTCTGATGATAAAGATCAAAGCCTGGAGACCGTAGATGACACCGAGTAGAATGAAAGACGTGATGGGGAGCACATCTGGTTCACTCACACACCAGTAGATCAGATAAACGATATAAGCAACGGTGACAGGTTGGATGACAGTCATAAGCAGATCAATGAGGACAATGAATCGCATACTGAAACAGCAGAAACCACACAGCTGCTCCAGGGGAATCAACTCCATCAGGTTGTGAACAGTAGAATTGATCCATCGGCGACGCTGGGAAAGGAAGACTGCGAAGCTCTCAGGGGCAACTGTCCAGGCATGGCATCGGAAGATATACTTAGTCTTGAACTTGGGGTGGAACTTGATAAGCAGAGTCGTCAAATAACGATCCTCGCCAAGGTGCAGCAGATTCTTCATGTGGAGGGTATCGACACGGATTTCAGAGTAAGCATCAACCACAGCCTTGCTAACAAAGAGCGGTGTTCCGTTCTCTGCTGTGCGGATACGGTACATGGTGAAACAACCGGGCAAACAAGTGACGGATCCGAACAAACTCTCGAAGGCTTTGGTGAGATTGTGAGAGATGTAGTACTCGTAAACCTGGATCATAGTCACAATGGAAGTCTTGGCGTTGGACAAAGATGTCTCTCCACAGGCACCGATCAGACGTGTATCAGAAAGGAATGCTGAAACGAAGCGGGTGGCGGCATCAGGCGCAACCATAGTATCGGCATCGACTTGTAAGATATATTCGTAAAATTGTGGATTGACACCAATGATGTTCCGGATGTGATGATGCATCTCAAGCTCCATAGGGCTCATGGGCAGGTTGTAGTGAACGCGATTGAGGAAGCGCATGAGAACCATCTGGGAATCACGCTTTCCACGGTTACCAGGACGGGAGACCTCGGAAGGCTTTCCGACCTTCACAACGACAAGGAAAGGAACGATGTGACCCTGCACCTCATAGAGACCGGAGTACAGCTTTGCCATGTTGTGCTGCTTCATGCCCTCGCCGAGACTCTCGAAGCTGAGAGGCTCCGGGTCCACGGATTCAGGAACTCCCAGAATGTCGAGCACTATGCGAGGAGTCGGGCGGTCGTTGCCTTGACCAATAATCATTCCATCGCAAATGACAAGCAGGAGTTTGCGCTTATCATCGTAGCGCATGCGAGCCATGGAGTCCATAGCACGACGCAATGACTCTTCGTCCTCGGTATACACGGGCACCTGGCAAATGATAAATTTGTCCAGGTTCTCCGGGAGGTTCTTTCTTCCGAATTGCAACGCGGCCAAAAACTTGAAGGTGATAATGGCGCACAGCATGATGGAGATGGCCAGAATAAAGTATCGTGCGAATTGACAACGTACGGAATCTCGAGTGTCGATTTTGCCAATGAAGAAAAGATTGTCAAGACAGAGCTGCATCCTGGATCGTTCGGCCGTGGTCAAGCTCAGGTCATCCCAATACTTGGTCACATCTTCTCCAGGCTTTCCCTGGAAGAGATCGACGATCTTTGAATCCATGTAATCGGTATCGACGTTACTGGTGGCGTTCTTTCCCACGGGCCAGCGGGCAATTCTGGGCCCGGCAATGTAATATGTCATGTCGTAGATTTTGCCGTTGATACTCGCAACCTTCTTGGAGTCATCGCTTGCAAGCTTCTTCATTGCCTTTTGGGTATACCCAATGTAGCCTTTCTTATAGTTGGAACGCATCATGACCATTTGCTCGTAGAACCAATCAGCGCGAGAATCATTAGTCCAATACCGGAAATCATGGTACTTTGCGTTGATATCGAATGTGGTGGAGGAGGTAGTAGTTTCCGAGTCATTTAGGTTTGAGCGATAGTCAAGAGGAACGCTGGGGCTCACGGATCCCGTGGTACCTTGGCAGAGGGCTGAGACTTGGACAGGGAAAAGGTTGGTGGCGTCAGTTCCGGCATAGGCCTTCAAAGACTTTTGAGGGACAATGTCGGGGAAGTGGGAAGGCATGAAGTTTCCAAGGTTGAAAACCACACCTCGAATAGCGACGTAGGAGTCCGCGCTACCCTTGCCATTTTTGCTGCTAAGTTCTGCCGTGTTGTAGACGTCCTGGGTTGGACAAACCACTCCAGGGAAACCGACAATCATGAAGACAGCGACACCACAAGCAAACCAAATAATCATGTTGATAGCGAGCTTTTCACGCCAAGCAACCCGGACATCCTTGCGCTTCATACGACCGACGAATCGGATCACAAAGTCCGGGATGAAGAAGGTGAGCAGGTAAACGAGGAACATCCAACGGCGACGGCTGCCAGATACCTTGGCCTCGTCGACCTCCTCCATTTTCTTTTCGTTGCCCTTCTCAAGCATCTGCTCTTTAGTGTCCATATTCTTGAACATATCACCAGAGTTGAACGCTGAGCCTCCAGCATCGGAGCGTCCGTCCATCTCACGGCTACCAAAGTATCCCTGCTTAGATTCATCCCCGTAAATGAAAGCGCCAGGAGATTGATCATTAGGACCAAGAAGCCGGTGCTTGGAATCGGGTTCGCCGCCAGGAGTCTGGAGGCCGTCGCCGCCGTCTGCGCCGACGTTTCCATACGAGGGAACCACCCGATCGCCAACTTTAGCGATATCCGCCCAGCATTGCTCACTGAGGAAAACACCAGTGCTACCTACGCGAGCCTCATTGCCAGGCCAGCGCTTTTCGTCAAGAACAACCTCGGACTTTTCCCTGTCGCTTCCGACAACAACATTGCCTATATCAGCCAGTCCAAGGAACTCTCCGAATGGAAGGAAGACACTGTAATCGGCATTTCGCAACCGCGAACTAATTTCGGCAATACCGAAGGTTTGAACCTGCATCCGCACGCACTTGCTGTCGAACTGATTGGCGATGCGGCGGTCATTTGGCTTCAGACAGATGACAAAGTAGGGATTCAGGTTGGAAGAGCTAAGAGATTTATTGATGATCTCCAGACCCGAAAGAAATTGCCCAGCAGCTCCCTGAGAGGGTCCAGTTGGCATTCCACTCTTCCGCGCGCTGGCGCGTTTAGAGCCACCGACCTGGCTTTCACCCTCGTCTGCTTCGTCGCTCTCGGGATGGGCACTTGGAGCAGCGAAACGGGAGGGGGGTCCGGCCTTGCGTCTAGCCATGCTTGGCATCCGCAGTGGCTTAGAGCTGACCTGAGCCTGCATGATAGCGGTCTTTTCCTGTGGGTGAGATATTGTCTGAAGTGCCTCCTGGTGGAACAATTCACGAACGAAGTCACTCCTTGTGGAGCGCATCAAGTTCATCAAATCACCTGAAATAACCTCGCCGTTCTCCTCGAGCAAGCCAGTGGTAGAATAGTCCACCTCACCGGCGAAATGCTTGACGGTAAATGCACTTCTAGCCTGTGACATGTACCCGCTTGATCCGCTAGGCGCACCTACAGAGATAGCAGGGTTCTTGTTCTCGAAACGCTTGCGGACGCTCTCCAAGAACTGAGCATCAGATCTTCCGCGTTTAGTCTGATCGTCAAGGATACTCAATAGACCATTTCCATGCTTGAGAAGACCACGCACGGTATCCGTGTTATCGAAGTAGCTGGTGGCAGCAACAGTGATCTCCTCCCGATCCAAAATATCTGCCTTGCGGTCGAAGAAAGACTGCAGGCAATAGTTGTAAAGCGATTCGGTCGCGGCATTGCTGAGAAGTTGGTCGAGTGTAGATCCAGTAGAGGGGGCTTGGGCGAATCCGGGGAAATCCACAATAGAAATGGTGTTGGCGACACTATCCTCAGCGGCACAGATTCTCTGGTTGACTGTCTCAATCACGTATGTAACCAAAAGGGAGTAAATGGTACGCGCGAATGCATCGGCATTCTCTCTGGCTCCCTTAGGGTCCAGCATCACGGTCACTCGCTCGCGGTGAATCGTCTTGGTACGGTAACCCAGGCTTATTTCCAAAGCATCAACACTGAGGCCCAAGAATGCGGCGATGTTCTCGAGAACATCTCTGTTCTTTACACCTGTGACGGTCTCGCCACCTTCGTGTGAGTAGCCACCACTCTCCTCTGCGCCTGTAGTGGTAGATGCGCCCATAGCAAACTCCAATTGTCCGATATGGAGAATACTGGCCAAGATCTGACAGATCTCAGCGATCTCTCCACGCGAGAATTCCAACTTGCGCAAGGCGGTCTTGAAGTGCTGGAAACCTTCCGTATCATTGATTCCAACCTTCAATTGTGTTGGGTGACCGAGATAGCGCCAGCGTTTGTGACTGATGGTTCCTCCGGAAAGTTTACTACCAGTCTGAATGTGGATGCTGTTCTCAAAGCCCAGATGCGACTTCTCGGCGGCACTGGTTCCAGCTAGCAGGTAGTACAAGACATGAAAACTTCGTTCTCCGGTGGGTACGGAGGAAATGCGGCTTCGCTCCAATCGATAATCAATGATCTTACCACCAATCAAGGTGGGGTTCACGGAGGATGAGCCATCGTATTGAAGCTCGAGGAAGAGACCAGCTTTGGATGCGGTGGGCGAAGTGACGGATTTGGTGGTTGTGAGGGTGTCGAAAACGAAGGCAGCATAAGAGAGCTTGGAGGACAGCGGCGTTGAGGAAAATGACAGGAAGGAAGAGAGTAAGTGTGAGCGAAGAGTCGTTTTACCGGATCCGCTCTCTCCTCTATGATTCATGTCAGATCTGATTATCAAGTAGAGATGGTTCGACTTACAAAAAGACGACAGCTTGGTTCTCTGCACGCGCACCCAAGCGAGTAAAGGCACGTCGAGCAAGGTCTTCAGCTTCTCCCGCAGCACTTCCCTCTTTCCCACCGTCAGGTCCCTTGGTTGCGGATGAGTATGTGTTCAGGGCAATGAGAGCCTGGGATGACAGACGGGCTGTTGGTAATCCAACATGAAATCTGGTTCAGGTTAGTTGTCTGGTTCCACCGATTGATACCGTCGACTATGATCATACCTGCTAGCGAGATGGGCTGTGAGATGTGTATCAGACTGCAAGTGAGCGGGCAATGAGGGGAGTGAGGCCTGGGCGTGTGCCGGGCCACTCCCGAATGTGTTGACCATTTTTGAGGTCCCCTCCGTTGAGGTGATGGGGATTGAAACGAGTGTATACGTGCGGCCAGGACTTCAGTCAGAAGGTCAAGGCTGGCGTAAGCTACGCAGGCGTGATCGGAATGGGCCAGTCGGAATGCTCTTGAGACTGGCGGAATGAAGACCCCTAGTAGAAGATGGAGATCGCACACATTAGATATTATTCGAAGGGATATTGAGGATGAACGAGTGGCTGAAGCAGAAAGTGAAGCGAAAAGGATCACAAAGGGAAAAAAGCAACAAATCGATAAGAGGTCGGGGGTGGAGGCGTATTGACAATACTTGAAAAATACTAGTGCTGCAGTTCGCTAAGAATAGGTGAACCTCGGCCATACCTAGCGCAGTATGATTAAATTAGTATGTCCTGTTATTTATTTTTGTATTCTTTTTGCTATTGTAAGCCTACTATTTGTTCTTATAATTGGACGTGTCTCGGGTAGAATCCACCGAAGTGTGAGAGTTCTAGTTCCACTTTAGGTCAGAGCTATATTTTTTTTCTAATACCAACTATTTATATACATATACCTACCTAGTCAGGGTTTTCCACCAAATAGCGTCGCAATAGGAAAACAATTAAACACATCAATTGACAAAAGAGACAAAACAAAAAGAAAAAGAATATGCTAGAACAAGGTTTTTTTTCTTTCTCCCGCTAATACACATCAGGGTCTCATGTTGAGGGATTCTCCACTTCTCCAAGTTGTATCCAAATGTACTGTTTTTGTGGGTGAACTCACTTACAGGGTACTTACAGGGTACTTTACGAGGGTCCAGGTCCCTGATACATGTCACTTCGGCTGTCAATATTGAACATCCCTTGCTAGGGACCTGCATATATAATGAGAAAAGTCGAAAAGTAAATGAAAATGTAAAATGTGAGCTGACAAAAGAGAGTCTTTCTATTGTCTCTGCATCAAATCCTTGAGAGTGGACCGATATCGAAGCTAATCCTAGGACCGTCTGAAACTAGGGGGCGCTTGTCACCGGTCGGCCTAGGAATTATACAGTGGCTCAACATTCTCAGCTATGGATAGTCCACTAAGCATGCGAGTAGGGGTGACACTGTGGATCAGGCTACCGATAACACTGTCCCCCCTTTATGTGTGGCAAAGATCATCTGTCAGAGAAAAAAAAAAGTGTGAGACATCCCATAAATAGTCCATACACAAAATACCACACACATTAAATATATAAGTCCAATACACCGGAGACTTGTAATTTGTAATGTATTTAATACGCATGAATGTCAATTGTGCAAAGTCTGGGTCATTGCCGGGTTATCTTGGCCTGTTCCCTGTCACTCGATCTAATATATATCTCTCATTGGTCAACCCTTTTAAGTAATAGGCCGATCAGGGTGAAAGAGAAACAAACACTCCCCTGACAATAGTTCCAAAATTACAACTTAGCATAATCATTCATATACCTGAAAGAAATTAATTATAATGTCTGCAGATTTAACTGTTAAATATGAAATACACAATGTAATATTTCGGCATAACTGCATACATACCAAAAGCTTAACAGCTTTCCACTGCACAAACGGGACACTGGGGACCGATCGCCAGGATCTGCGGTATTTTTGCACTACAAACCGGCTACAAGCTGTAATTTTCAACTCCATTGATTTCTTTCTCCCCACGCCTCTCCAAGCTGTTTTGTTTCTCTTGTCTTCTCCTCTCTCTCATCATTCAGGAGTGCTATCTCCAGTCATTCGCTCAATAATCTAAAACTCTCTGGATCTATCGACTTTATCTTTCCTCCAACTTCGATACACGCTCACCCTTTACCTTGGGACAAGTTGACCAACGTGAATTATAGTGCCCTAATGTGGCTGTGATAACGAGTAGGCTAGACATTGCATCTCGCCTTTTTGTCCTTGTTGGTCTTCCGGCAATACAACCATAATGTCGAATCGTTATTCGGTCTATTCGACTCAGTCCGCAGGCCTCTTGGCCGGACCTCGACCACAACATGGAGCCCAGGTCTCAACCACGACATTATTGAATGCCCTCCATTCGTTTTACACTGCTGGCCAGCCGTATCAACTAGACTCTGCCACCAGTCTTGTGGTTAACACATGGGTCACTGCCGCAACTATCTTGCCCGATGGGCGAAATGGCGCTACGATTGACCGCGACCTGGCGATCAGGGCCTGGGAACATGCCCGACGCCGAGCAGAGGATGGCTGCATCGTCTTAGGGTATGTTGAAACCACTTGAAATCCCTCCCGATCGGATTAACTAACAGTCGATAGCGCTCTGCATCAATCAACCCCGTCACTACTACAGCCGTTCCTCACAGCAATTCCGGTCGAGACCCCAGAGGTAGCTTTTAGTGCACTCTCCGCTCTTCGACCTTTCCTGACCGCGGTCACCTCCTTCAACCCTTCCTACTCCCTGCACTCGGCATTGGCTGCAACTTATACATTGTCGCTACAAGGATCGGTCGTCGGACTCGCCTTTGCCCTATCCACCTCTGGTATCAATGTACGGAAGGGTCTCCTCGAGATCCAACCTGAGACTGGTTACCGTGCATTCGATGCCTTCTATTATCTTCTCACTTCTGCCTCTACGGCTGCGGAGCGTGAATTCTTGGACTTGAAAGAACCCTCTGCGTATTCCTTGCTCAGCCGATCAAATACCTATACACCCCCACATTATCTTCCCACAGCCGACGACGCCGCTGCCGCGGAGGACTTCCGTGCCTCTTTGAAAGCCATTGGCATCAAGGGCGCTGCTCAGCGTGGCTTGCTTTCAGTCCTCGCTGGTCTTCTCAAGTTGGGCAATGCGGCTGGCTTTGAGGTTGATCAGGAGGAGCTGGAGGAGGTGTGTGAAGATGCTGGTGGTCTTTTGGGAATAGATCCCGAGGTTCTTCTGCACCAATGCTCAACCGATGAGCGGGAGGTACTTATAGCGGGAATCTACGAGGCTCTTGTCGATTGGGTCATCAGTAAGGCGAATGAAGCCATTGCCGCGGATATTCAGGTTGCTTTGGAAAATGACTCCAGTAACGGAGGTGCAGCACAATTTTCAAATGACGACACAGTTAACTTGACCATTGTCGATGTTCCACGACCAGCTCTGGCCAAAGCGATCGCCATGAGAGGAGTGTTCGACGATAGCCTCGGACTCAACGCCGAAATGCACGATGATGGAATCCCCCTTCCACCTATTGGCGGTTCTGTCATCAGTGAAATGAACTCTGCAGTAGCGCAAGTTGAACCAGATCTTGGCATCACCACTGGTGTTGCTGGCCGAGAACGCGAGCACGACCTCGACAAACGACAGGGTGTGCTGGAGAAAGTCGGTGTTGAACTCGAGGTCGACGCTTTTCTCCGACGCATTCTATTCCCCGTTGATACAGAAGGTATCTCTGTTGGCAAACGTGGCCGTTTCGATCTTCCCACCACCCTCAACAGCAGCCGTGTCTGGTACCACCTCTCTCTTCACCCGACCGATGACATGCCCGAACAGCTCGCAGCATCAGGAGCCTCCGCCTGGTCTGCTGGTGCGGTTTCGCGTCAGTTGCGAGACTGGCGACTTCCAGAATGGGCCAACCGTCGTTTGAAGCAACTCGATTTTACTGCCGATTTTGACGTGGAAGAGTTTGTCGGACGGTATGCGCGCCTTGGCTGTGCTGAAGGCCAGGATGGTGTTGAGAATTGGATCATCGAACGAGGCTGGAGCAATGGTGATGCTGTCGTCGGTGAACAGCGCGTGTGGATGCGAGAGGGTGCCTGGTGGGAAGCGGAGAGTATGCTAGATCTCAAGCCTGAAGAGACTAACATCAACAATCCTTTCATGTACGGTCCTGCCATGTATGACACCGGTTTTACCCCAGACGGAACTCCCATTCATGAATCATCCAATCTTCTTGGCATGCCTCCTTCGGGTCCCGTGGCTCAGAGTGTAATGGGTGGTGCAAAATCTGTTGCCCCCAGTGCGCCATATACGACTGCTGCCAATACCGGTGACTACGGCCTTGGTCGCAAGGGTGATGACAAGAAAGGTGACATCGCATACTACGACGAGTATGGTCGGTACATTGGTGAATACGATCCTGAATTCGGTGACCCCAAGCACATTGAGAAGAAAACCATCACTGCCGGTCGTCGCATATGGGCTGGTTTCGTCTGGGCAATGACCTTCTGGATTCCTTCCTTTGTGCTCCAGTATGTTGGCCGCATGAAGCGCCCCGATGTTCGCCTTGCCTGGCGTGAAAAGTTGGTCCTCGTCTTCATGATTCTGTTCTTCAACGGACTTGTCTGCTTCTACATTATTGCTTTCGGTGATCTTCTCTGTCCCAACAAGGACAAGGCGTGGAACTCCAAGGAGGTTGGCTGGCACACCACGGACAGTGCATTCTGGGTCAGCGTCCACGGCCGTGTATACGACATTACCAAGTTCTACCGCACCCAGCACAGTGACATCACAGGTGAAGACACCAGTGCATCCAACATGGAACCGTTCGCTGGTTTGAACTTGGATGCCTACTTCCCTCCTCCTCTCACTCGTTATTGCTCCTCGTTTGTTAAATCCTCGACTATTGCCTTGTCAAACAACGACACTAATGCCATCGTTTACCCTACTGCCGAGCACCTCTCAGGTAAGCAAGCCACTGTCTCTACATCGGCACTTGCTAGCGAAACTTGGTATGAAAATAAATTTTTGCCAAAAATGAAGACATACTACAAGGGTGACTTGGTTTGGACAAAGAGTACCATCAAAAAACAGGCCAATGACGACAGTCGGTATTGGGTTATCAAGGACCAAAAGGTGTATGACTTGACAAACTACTTCTACACACTGTCGAAGATGAACAATCTTGATTCATACAACTGGCTGCCATCATCTTTGACTACACTTTTCAAAGACAACATGGGCGAGGATGTTACCAGTCTATGGCAAGACACAGACGACTTCAAAAATGCCCAAACGTGTCTTGATTACGTCTTCTACGTGGGCAAGGTGGATTTCCGTGAAAGTGCGAGGTGTACTGTGAACAACTGGGTTCTGCTCACATTCACTATTCTCATTTGTGCGGTCGTCCTCGTCAAGTTCCTAGCAGCCTTGCAGCTGGGATCCAAGCGTCGGCCCGCTCCTCAGGACAAATTCGTCATCTGCATGGTTCCCGCCTACACTGAGGGTGAGAACGATCTTCGCAAGGGTCTTGATTCTCTGACTGCCTTGCAATACGACAACAAGCGCAAGCTCATTTTCGTCATCTGTGATGGTATGATCGTCGGTGGTGGAAATGATCGTCCCACCCCTAAGATTGTTTTGGATATTCTCGGTGTCGATCCTAAGATGGATCCTCCAGCCTTGCCTTGCAAATCCCTTGGCAACGGAAGTGAACAACTCAACTACGGCAAGGTCTACTCTGGTCTCTACGAGTATGAGGGCAACGTTGTGCCTTACATCGTGGTCGTCAAGGTTGGCAAGGAGTCTGAACAGCGCAAGTCGAAGCCCGGCAACCGCGGAAAGCGAGACACACAAGTCCTTCTTATGCAATTCCTGAACCGCGTCCACCACCGCTCGCCGATGTCGCCCCTCGAACTTGAGATGTTCCATCAAATCAACAATGTTATCGGTGTGGACCCGGAGCTATATGAATACTGTCTCATGGTCGATGCGGATACCACTGTTAGGGAGGACTCGCTCAATCGACTGGTCGCTGCTTGTGCAGCAGATGCTAAGATTGCCGGAATTTGCGGTGAAACCAGTCTCCAGAATGAGGAACGCAGTTGGTGGACTATGATTCAAGTTTACGAATACTACATCTCTCATCACCTGGCAAAGGCATTTGAGTCCCTTTTCGGCAGTGTTACCTGTCTTCCTGGCTGTTTTACCATGTACAGGCTGCGGACTGCGGACAAAGGGCGCCCTCTCATCATCTCGGACAAGGTCATCCACGACTATGCTGATAACGATGTTGACACACTCCACAAGAAGAACCTTCTGTCTCTTGGTGAGGATCGATACCTTACAACCATCATGACCAAGCACTTCCCAGCTATGTCATACAAGTTCATTCCCGATGCCTACGCAAGCACAGCCGCCCCCGAGGCCTGGAGTGTTCTCCTGTCGCAGAGACGTCGCTGGATCAACTCCACAATTCACAACTTGGTCGAACTTGCTGCGCTAGAAGATCTCTGTGGTTTTTGTTGTTTCAGTATGCGTTTCGTTGTTCTCGTGGATCTGCTCGGAACCATCATTCTTCCTGCTACTTGTGTTTACCTCACATATCTGATTTACCTAGTGGCTAGTCACACGGGCCCCTTCCCCATGATCTCGATCATCATGTTGGCTGGTGTCTATGGTCTTCAAGCGATCATCTTCATCGTCAAACGCCAGTGGCAACACATCGGATGGATGATCATCTACCTCCTCGCGTACCCCATCTACAATTTCATCTTGCCACTCTACGCATTTTGGAAGCAAGACGATTTCACATGGGGTAACACCCGTGTCGTCATCGGCGAGAAGGGTGACAAACGAGTCATCGCCGTGGAGGACGAGCTCTTCGACCCACGCAGCATCCCTCTTCAGCGCTGGGACGACTACGCTATGGCCAACAATCTCCCCGGCCGCCGCGGCGACCTCGGCGCAAGCCAAGAGAAAGTCTACGCCACAGGCCGCTACGATGAAGCCATGGAAATGGATGACATGCACTCCCAATATTCATCCGTCAAGCCAGCCTCCACCATTCTAACCGGCTTCCCCGGTCAAGGGCGTCACCATCCATACATGCCCCCTCAGTCCCCTGCGCCATTCGTCGGTGGCAACGTCCCCGGTAACCGCAACTCGCACATGTCCAACTTCTCCCGCTACACGGATCTACCGCAAATGGGCCCTCAGATGGGTCATTCCGCAAATGCCTCGCGCCACATGTCCATGGGTGGCCTCAGCGCCTACCAAGACAACCCGGTCAACTCGAGCAGACACAGCATCGGCTTAATGCAGAGCAGCGACAACCTCCTTGGCAACAACCGCTCCCGCAGCCCGTTCGCCCAATACCCGTCCCGTCCCGCTAGCACCGCCTTTGACTTCCGCGCTGCTAGTGGGCCCGACGATGGCGCCATCACTGACGCCATCCGCAGCTGTCTAGCCGAGGTCGATCTAGACACAGTCACTAAAAAGCAGGGTAAGTCATATCTCAATCTCCAATCATCATACCAAGCTAATTTATTCCATAGTGCGTGTTCTTGTCGAACAACGCCTGCAAACCTCCCTCGCGGGCGAAAAACGGGCCTTCCTCGATCGCCAGATTGATCAAGAACTGGCCAACATGTGATAAATCTTGTAATATGCACTCTGCATTCATGCGCATTCGCCGGCACTTCCTATTTTACTTTTGATTTGGGTCTCGGCATCTCTGGCGTTCTTCGGGTTTGGATTTTTGAAAACAGCATTCAGCGTCGCGTTCATTGAACTATCTGCTCTCTACTGCAATTAATGAGATCTACTCTTTAGCGTATTTTAAAATGTATTTTGATATTGTATTTAGGTCTTGTCAACGTATATCTTGCGATGATCATTCTTGCAGGCAATATACTATTGTAGAGTGATATGAAAAAGTTCAAGTCGAAGGGAAAGAATGCATTCTTTCCTCTGCTTTTGCCTTATCAAAATTTAGCTTTCAGCGAGGCGCCCAATCTGTTGTAAGTACTCAGCGCTCACCCAACTAGGCAAGAATCCCACCTTGGGGGTGGGCACGAAGTATAGCACAATACCAAATGACAACATCAGCAGGCCAAGCACTAGGCTCGCTACCGACATTGTACCAATTGACGATGAGATGGCAGTATTCAGGACGCAACCGAGGATTCCCACAACGCCCCAGGTCACAAGAATTCTACCATAGCTGTGATGGAACAGCTCAGAAGGGATACCTTTGGCTTTGACAAGCCCTGGGAGGATGCTAAATCCAGTACCATGGGCAAAAAGGATTGTCAAAAATGCACATAGACCCAGTGTAGATTGTTCAAATTGCGAAAGCAGGACAAGAAAAGCCCCTCTTACGCAAAATAAGACAACGAATGCGTTCCTCGCTCCGAGATGCAGATTGATAGTGGGAGCCAAAACGCCACCAGATGCGAGGGCAAGCATACTATACGATAGAAGCGTCATTGAGTCACCCTGTCTTTCGCTCGCATAGTAGGAGACAAGAGGCAACAAGGCAGCGAAGGCCGTCATTCCGGGCAAGGCGTTGAAAAATAGTAGGATTGAGAGGAACCGTTCGCGGCGACTCAAAGGTGTGTTTTTTGGAGAGTTGGACTGGTCATTGATGGTATAACCCGGTATCATCATCAGTTGGGTAGCTCCCCCAACAGCAATAAATGCAACGCCTGCGCGCGTAAGGGCTCGACCAAGGATTTCTGCATCAACTATACTGAGCTCGAAAATAGATGATAGAAAGAAACACGTTGCCGCGCCGGACGAAAAGCCCATGGGTCCGATAGCACTCCGAGCAAGTGCAAGGTTGGGGAATGCCCGGCCAACCATAACGACAACAGCAAGATATGTCCATCCCACGCCCAATCCGCCGAGCAGGAAACACAAGAGCATAGGTTCAAAGTTCACTCTGCTGAGAAAGAAGCCTGCACCGATCACGGCAAGTCCCCAGAGAGTGGTGCCACTTGCCGCGGTAGCATAAGCTCCGCGTTGAGCGATCATCGACGCACAAGTCGCGACCCCCATAGACAGGCCCATGCATGCCATACCAAAGGGCACGAAGCTCCACGCTTCAGATATTCCGACAAGGCGAGGAAGCTGGCCTTGAAGTGCACTCAGCGCATAGATTGTGCCGACGCTGAACATGTTTGCGAAGCACACTAGAGCGATAGATAACGGTGCCATGTTGGTCTTGACAGGAGATAGATGCGATTTGACGTGTGCCGTGATTCTGATCTTCTCTTTTTGTTCTTGGTGGTGAAATGGTTCAATAGGTATTTGTGCAGACGAAAGACGCGTTATGGGGAATGAGACAAGTGACAGATAGTTGACTGGAGCTTGGTATAGTCAACCAAATCACCCTCTTAGCCAATTGATGGTTATCCCTAGATACATCGAGTACTATGTGAAATTACCGCCAATGTAGTGGGAAGGCGTAGTAAAGGCGGTAATTTCGCTCGCTGCAGTGGGTCGGTCCGAAGGCGAAAGAGGAAGAAATAGTCTCCAGCAGGAATCGTATTCAACCGCATCACCCGCAATAACCGGCTCAAATACTCAACCTGCAAGACAACCTCCCAAGGGACGGCGTATCTTAACAATCAACACAAGTGGTCGAACCAGGAAGGCGCCAAACCTAGCCACTTCTAAGCATGGGCTTGTTCTCTATGAAAGGATTACATAGTGGGGAGCTATCTATATCTCAGATGGCACAGGCTGCTGGCTGTAATAAAAGCACCACCCTGAAATTCTCTTCCAATATACGGATGTCTGGCGGCGTCAAATCACTGTTTTACAAAGGCGGACGACCCCGTAGCATCACTCCCAATCATGCTCGAGGCTTTGTGCGAGTTTTTACTCAAAATAGGTAAGTCTGGATGTGATAATTGAATAGGCTTTAGGCGAACGGGTTGGTCCACGCTAGTTATGGCACCAGTTCAAGCGCCTAAGTTGCACTGATTACACCTCTCAGTTTCAACAGACGCCTACTTAAGACCTTCGAGAGCATCCGCTCAAAAACCCTGTGCTTTGCATCGGTGATATAGTAATTTTCTACGGAAAGAGCCTCGAGACCTTATTAGTCCATAATGGGCTGAGGTCGAACATGGAGTAAGCATTCCCTATGATTGAATAGCTCGAAGCATCCTATTCAGTCCCTCCTCTAGCACATTTTGCGGGTGTGCAAATACCATTCGAAACCACTCCACTTCTTCAGCGGCATAGGCCGTCCCAATTGCGATGTATACTTTTTCTTTTCGAAGCTTTGCAAGAATTTCCTTATCTGTGGTCGCAGGATCTTTCAATGCAGCTTTTAAGTTCATCCAAACGAAAAATGCAGCGTTAGACTCAGCATATGGGATATGATGGGACCGGAGAAAATTAGTTGTAAACCGATAGCTTTCTGCTAAACGATGCCGGTTGGTTGCGACGTACACTCTCGTGAATTTATCATCTAGTAAGACAGCTGTGGCAACTTGGTCTGCGAGGCTTGATGGGATATTATAGAGACTGATTGGAGAGGGATTATCAGCAAATATTCCGATATTAAGACCGTAATGCAATCTCACGAAATGCCATCTGCAGCTTCCAAAAAATGTCTATTTGACTGGCTAACCAGACAGCCAATTCTCAACCCAGTGGCGCCAAAGTCCTAGTAAAGTAACGAGTCAGATCCCGTTCAAGGCAAAGGAAGGGGCTTCAGACTTTACTTAACCCCCACACAACGTGCACCATGCTTGGTTCCATCACTTCCTTGATATCCATAGACAAAACTGATCTAAACCCTGGAGCATCAGGCAGGCGAGGATTCTCCCAGACAGATAGTGCATAGATCTCATCACAGATTAGATGGAGTCCATGTCTGGTACAAAACTTCATGTACTCTTTTAGGACATTTTCGGGGTAGCAGCGTCCTGGAAGGATTTCAATGAATGATCAGAGTTTATTCAAGCAAGATAAGGAAACATACCGAGTGGATTATGTGGTGAACACAATAGAAACGCTTTGATGCGAAAGCCTTTACTCTTCGCTTCGGCGTATGCCTTCTCGTAGTGTTGGACTGCGGCCATGCTAAAGGGATCCGTTGTTGCGAATGTAACTTCAAGAAATTCAATCCTACAACGGTAAGCTCGATTGTACCTAGAAGTTTGATATTGATTCCGTACCCAGGACGTGTTCCAAATGTCGTCTTAAAAGCATTGAAATATGGACGCCCGACGAGAACGTAGTCGCCAAAGTCGGCTAATGCCCAGGCACAGCATTCAACTGCATTACTGACACCAGATGTAATGGTCAGATGGGAGGGACAAAGAGCAGTCCAAGGAGAAAATTGGCTGTTCAGGAAATGACAGATGGCTTCTTTGAGCCTGTGCGAACCGCTGAAGCCGTCTCCGTAGGTCAATGCATGTGCATCGATTTGCGACTGGAGAAGCAATTTAGTACAAAACTTTGGTTAGGTACAATTGTGTGGAATTAATAGATCAATTTGAATCTTACGTTGGAGTTGATAAACCTCTCCATCTCCGCATGCATGAGACTCTAGAGACATTTGTTAAGAATAATGGTATTGAAGGTAGGTAATACTCACATTCTCAGCGAGACCGATATTCACAATTCCATCCGGGTTGGACTCAGGAGCCCACAAATCACTCAATACGTCGAGGAAGTTTGGCTTCTGTGCCGCGATGGCTTTGCCTCGCGCTGAAAGGTTGCCCTCCATACTAGTCATTCTGTTGAGAAGGCGTATGGATGGTGCGGGTCCAGCGGGTAAAGTGGAAGAGCTGCCTATCAACGACATCAATATGTCAACCCTCTGTCTTGTCATTTTCGACTGCCTTTTTGCTACTTTGACCTTATGGATCGTGTCTTATAGTCCCCTTATTTCCATGTTATGGCGATATATACCCATTTCCCGTCGACTTGATCGCATTGAAAACATCGCATAGCCGTCTTACCATGACTCATGGGTTACCTGCCCATTAGTCTGTTTCACCCAACACAAAATCTTCACCCAACATAAAAAGCATATTTCAAGTATCTTTTGCATGTGGTTTATATGTAAAAGATACATAGAAGTACATATCAAATATCCTCGATTATCTTATAATACAAACTATAGTAGAGTAATTAGATTCGCCTATAATGTTCAAGTAGAATTCATTTCATCTTTTGATAGATACATTAAATATCGATTCTATTCATATGCTTCAATATTTCATTTTGGAGGGTCGAAAAGAGCCTCCGAAAATTATCTACTTTTGAGAACTACAATACTGCTTGTTTTTGTACTCTAGAACTACAAAATTAGGACTATAGTATAGCAAACATAGTAATAGCTCAATTTGTACGTCTACCGATTTCATTGTTATAATTCATTACAGTCGATATGGGACGACGGGTGTGCACGTCCTAACTACATATTTTACATACTATCTTGCTGCAAAACTCTCTTGATACTTTTGCTCGGTGATTTGGAGTACTTTTGTGTAGTTTATGGAACTCACAGGTTCCTTTTAAGGATTCTTCGGCCTAAAACAAACAGAATCAGAAGAAGACCAAGAAGAGAGAACATGCAGTAAAAGGCCCGCACAAATTTGCGCCCTATAGCGAGCTTCAATGGTAGCATCACTCAGACCAAGCCTGAACAGCGTTCATTAAGTTCAGGTGTACCTGAGAATCTCCACTCCTTCCCATTGCTTCCTGGAAGACATCGGACCCTAATTTTTGGCTGAAGAGAAGAACACTAGCCCATACAAGATCGGCGTAGCTGGCAGTCTTGCCCAAGAAGAAAGGGCCCTTCGTTTTCCTTCAACAAAACAGTCACTTCCCGAAGGACTGGCCCCGCCTCGTTCCATGCTCGAACACCACCTTTCTCTCTCTCCAATTGGTCAAGTGGCATTCCAATCAATCCCGGACGACTTGTATACCAGTAGCCAATACTTTCCGCATTGAGGATCCGCTTTGGAACTAGAGGAATAAATATCGGCGTAATGGCTTTCATATACTGAGACCACAAATGTTCGACTTTCTCGAGGTAAGGCGAGTCCAAGTGAAGCGATGGAATGGGGATTTGACGCTCTATGTAGTCCGCAATCTTACGTGAATCCACGATGTATGTTCCATCGGGGCAAATAATTGTAGGGATAGAGTATGCGGGAGCTTGTGCATTGGCTGTGACACTGAGGACGTTAGATTCTTTCCTATACTGACCAAGACTCTTCCTTGGAGGCATACTGATTTTCCAATGTAGACTTGACATCCGGGTACTCAACCTGCAAAGTTTCATAAGCAATCGTCTTCCGTCCTGTCAGATCTGTCTCACCCATTGAGTTCGATAATCAAGACGTTTGAAATTGAAAAGAAGACGGGCTAAGGCGTAAGGTCAGTCGGTATGTGTGCCTGATTAAAGTGTATGAATTCAATGGCGGCCGCTGCACTGACTCTTCCATGGATTAGGAGACCATGTCATACATGGTGCCTTGCCGGAAGGGATGTCGTAAAGTATATATTGGCTTGAAGTCATTTTGATGTCTGGGTGCTTCGTTCGTACCCCAGATTCAAATTAGAAAAGAGATCATCTGCATTGTATCAAAGGGGAAGAACCTCCCCAGAGGCCACCACGATTACCAATTCGGCACAATTGTGCCTAGTTGGGGCCCAACAATACCGGTAGGTATTGTTGAGCCCCAGCTCGACGCAGATTCCAAGTTCAACGCAAATATACCTTTTATATAGAATAAACATATGAAAGTAACATAGCATGACGTGAATTTTCTCAACTCTTGAAACAGCTAAGAGAATAGATAGTTCGTTCATAGATATTGTAAAAGGGCGAGTTTAGTAATATGTAATATCTTTTAATTCCAACCTTTTAATAAGGAGATGTAGGCGCTACCTAGATCAATGAACACTGATGTTTCGTATGTAGAAAATCCAATATTCTCTCTTACTTAGGGTACAGTGAATTATTTTTAGTAAAATTGTTACTGAACTGGATCAAATTGGCCATATATTCCAAATGTGGTGTTACATGTCCCCTCGTTATTTCGAGTGTTGAGAAAGGTCATGCTAGGGGAATGTACCTTTGCATTGGAATGCCATACAAAAATCCAAGTCTGCATTGAACTGAGCCCCAACAATACCCGCACCATCATGCCGGGCGTGATTTGGAAATGCAAAGTCTCCGAAGAATCAGGCTTCAAATCCGGTTGGATCTTGGCAGCTATGGAAAGAATGCCAAGACTCTAAAGAAGTCATTGAGCGCAAAGGCAGGCTTGAATCTGTCCAGCATGCCGATTCCTCGCCCTAAATTGAAATCGGCGACATCACCAGATATGAATTGAAGAAGTGATTATACGGCAACGCCACAAAGCAAACAGAGGATTGCTAAGAGAAGTGACTACTGTAATTTACGGTGTTTTACCGAGCACACAAATGTAAAGCAGGGGGGAAAGATGATTCTAATTTATAAATTCAGTAGTTTAATATGACCGAAGACTTCTATCCTACGCCGCCTGGTCATAGGTGAACCCAGTGCTTTCCAATTTGCGTCATCGTGATCTAGTGCGTTATAATTTGAAAGGGGAACGAGATTTTCCAGATCGTGCACCTCAAAAAGTAGACTCAGGGAGAGAAATGATGGCCATCAAAAAGTAGTTCGCAATTAAAACAGAATTGTGGGGTAAAGGGCAAGGACTGAGCGTGGACTGAGTGCTTAATGGAGCCTCTCTCAAAAGAGCGGCGACAGCCAAGATAGGAAAGCTCCAACCGGCAGAGGAAATATGGTACGTATCGCTATCTACATACATATGTTGGCATTACGGCATTGATATGGAGGTATTTATTAGGGATGGAGAACTTGATGGGTCGGTCGACGTTTTTTATTAAGTGGATTGATGATAAAGGAAACTTTCTAGATAGTACATGAAACTAATATTTTGCCCACGAAGGTCTATCTATCTGGGTATATATAGTCTCTGTTTGATGAATGACTTGGATACCAATTTGCCTTTGATTCGAGTCTCATTCCAAGGAACTCAAGGACAGATCTACCCGACAAGCACTTTTAAATTGGCAGACCTCGATGTACCATATGCTTATACTGATCTAAAAGCTTCTTGAATCCCTTCGAGTGATGGGCCGTGAGATGCCGATAGTAATGATCCTTCGCCGCATCCATGATAGCCTTCACCTTGTCGGCAGGAACTTTTTCTTTACGATTATAGGTATACAGACCATTGACCTCCTGCTCGATATCACACCTAATCAGAGTCATTAGCCAGACATCCCTGCAATTCTCCCAGTGTTACGCAGAAATACATACAGCTGAGTCCACACAAGACCGCAGATATGCCCGGGCTTCACAACAGCCATAACAAGCTTTTCAAAGCGCACCAGAAAATCACCCGGATCACTCGCTGTCGTATACCCCCAGTCCCGTTCGCCGGCAGCAGCAGAGTCCTTCGGCGGTGCGATATTGACGCCGCCAAACTCGCTGCAGATCACTGGCGCTCCAGGGGTATGATGTGCGCCTTCATCTAGCATCACGGTGCCTGAGTAGCCCGAGTAGATTGGTTTAGAGAACATGTCGTGTCCGGCCTTCGGACCGAGAATGCCCGGCATGCTGGCGCATGTATCCGCTAGCTCGGCCGAGTCGCTATAGTCATGGAAGGTTGTGAGATCTGTCTTGACATGCTCCCAGCCGCAGTTGTCGTTGATTGGTCGGCTGGGGTCAAGGTTCCTTAGCATGGTGTTAGTCTTTTGCACTGGCTTGTTTGTGGGTTAGGATTTTATACTTGGTTAGGTAGTATAGCGCGCGGATGTGATTGCGTTGCTCAATGTTCTCCTTCAATGCAGACACTGCCCAAGACTCATTGATCGGCGTCCAGGTGACAATTGATGCGTGGTTGATGTCTCTCTTCACAGCTTCGGTCCACTCGGCAGTGAATCGCTCAATATATTGATCACCGAATTCATATGCATTGGCCATCTCGCCCCAAACAAGGAAGCCAAGTCGGTCTGCCCAGTAGAAAAAGCGGGGGTCTTCGACCTTTTGATGCTTCCGGCAGCCATTGAAGCCAATTCTCTTTGCCAACTCAATATCCGTCTTCAGAGACTCAGAAGAAGGAGGCGTGATCCCCGTTTCAGGCCAGTACCCTTGGTCCAGGAACAGCATCTGGAAGTACGGCTTTCCATTCAGTCGGAAAGTACCATCTCCATTCTGCCAGGACAAGCTGCGCATACCCACCGTAGTCTGGATCTCATCAACCACCTTCCCAGACCCACCAAACAGCCGAAGTGTAACATCATACAAAACAGGATGCTCTGGCGCCCAGACCGCAACATCCCCATGCCAAACCCCATCAACACCAAACACCTCTCCATCCTTCTCCTTCAACTCAGCCCGCACAGCCTCAGAAACCCTCATTCCCAAATCAAGCGCCACAAACTCCTTATCCTTCGGCAGCTCCCCCTCAACCTTCCCAACACTCAACCCCTCAAGCCGGGCCTCAATCTCAACTCTCGCAACACTGCCAACCCGCCTCCCTCCAACAGCCACCTTCGCCCGCAGCCTTCCACCATCAATATCATCACCCCGCAGCACAGTCCCCCCACTCCCACACAGAATCCGCGCAGCAGGGACACTCTCCAGCCAAACACTCAGCCAGACCCCCCCACTAGGCGTATAGAAAATACTCTCCGGAACCGGGCCCCAGAACTGCTTCCCGCGCGGCTGCGTCATATCAAACGGGGAGTCCCGCACGCGGAGCGTAAGACGGGCGTCCGGGCCATTCAGCGCATCAGAGACATCAATATCGAAAGGGACATGGCCGCCGCGGTGGCCGCCGACCAGCGCGCCATCGACCCAGACGGAGCATTCGTAGTCGACTGCGCCGAAGTGCAGGAGGAGTCTGTTGCCGGCTGCTTTTTCCGCTGCTGTGCGGATGTCGCTGATGCGTCGCTCGTACCAGAGGACTTCATGGGCTTCTATAAGGTTTATGCCTGAGGCTGGGGTTTGGAATGCGTAGGGGACGTTGATTTGTTGGCGCTGAGTGCTTTCTAGGCTTGTTTTGGGCCAGTGGGAGATTAAGCCTTCGTCTTTGTCGTCAAAGGTGAAGGTCCAGGGGCCGTCTAGGGTGCTCCAGTTTAGAGAGGTGCGTTGGAAGTCTGGACGGGGATAGGATGTCATTTTGAATGGTATGTTTGGGTATGGGTTTATTATTCATAGAGAAGTGAAGCTATGTAGGTGCTGTAAGAGGGGAAATGCTGGGAGCTTTACTTCGACCCCACGTTAACGTCACAGTGGAATATGTAGATCCGGTATCCACCACATACATACAAGACTTTTAGCTCCCCTTGAGGAGCCTCTTAATTCCGAAGCCACTAAACGGTTACTATAATATATTACCCGCTAGTTAATTGGATGCATATTCGGAGGTATAGCTCAATTCTACAAAATCATTCTAATGGCAAAAATCTCATTGATGATTGGGGATATCAAAAGACTAAAAACATCACAAATAAAAAAAACCAGGAACTGCTGAATCTGATCCCAAGGGTATCAAGTATCAACTGGGATTCAGATCCAAGACTTTTCCTCCAATGCGCACCGCAAAATACAAAAGACAAACATCAAAAAGAGGCAAAAGAGTCTCGGATAGAGACAACTCGCGCTCTATCGAACAAATCTTGGATATCTCGTTTTCTTTTCTGACGCCTTCATTGCTTGCGTTCCGTGGTATCAATCAACAAGGAGACCAACAAAAAGACCGAAAAAAAAGAGAACACGCTGGGAATGAAAATATAAAAAAAAAACGAACAAACAGAAAAAACATGTCAATTCAAAAAAAGGGTATACTGCTGCAAATGGATATTTTGGGTTTAACGCGGTGGCCCAATTGGGGCCGGGTATCCAGAAGTAGAATTGGAAGTACTAGGACGACCACTGTCAAAAGAGGTGCGCGGGTCATGCTTGGGGGTCATGTCACCGGGCGCGGTGCCGAAGGGAAACTTGGCGTCGAAACGCGTGGGCCAGCCATTGCTGTTGCTGCTCTTGTGGCTGTGTGAACTGCCGAGGACGGGCACGTCGTCTTCGGGGAGGTTCACGCCGGAGTCATTCCATGGGTTGCGGTAGCCACTGTCGCGCGACTCCATGGAGACGAGCGAGGCCTTGGAAGCGTTGCTCGAGGCGTGTTTGAAGAACGAACCCGGCGAGGCCGAGTGGTTTTTGCGGCCGATGAAGGAGGAGAAAGAGGAGATACTGCCAGGTTTGCGGAGTCGCTCAAAGATCGATCCTCGCTCGCTGGTCTCGTCGGAGAAGTTGGGACGAGTGGGTGAGTCGGTGGAGAGGGGCGCCGGGGCATGCTGCAATAGCTTCGAGTCGAAGAAAGGCAGCGACTCTTCGAATGAGTCGGATTTGGGGCGGGGGATGGCTCCCTTGACGGTGTTGGCGTCGAGGCCGTGCGCGACAAGTCGGGAAATCAGGAAGTCGATTGCATCCTTCAGACCACCGGCGTTGTTGCGGGTGTAGCCGAGGACGACACGGTCTTCGGGGCCGGGGGTGGGAGAGGAGGAACCTTCTTCCGGAGTGGTAGGGAGATCGGTGCCAACATCCACATTGATATCAACCTCGTATTGCTCCTTGAGCTTAGTTCGGACATCAGCAAGGAAGTCCGAGCACTTGAAGTAGTCTTGGAGCTCCACAGAGCTCTGGAAGTGGAGTTCGTGACTCTCTGGAACCATTCCAAGCAATGCGTCGACCGCTTGAGGCACCTGATATTCAGGGCCAGAGATGGTGACAACGTCACTGGCAAGTTCGGTGCTAGGGAACTCGATCTTGCAATTCCATTTCTTCTCGAGTTCATCAATCTCTGTCATGCGAGCCAACAGCTCACGGTGGTACAAGCGGTTGATGACAACTCGTTCGGAAACATATTCGGCATCCTGTAAACTTGTCAGTTTCTTCATCGATTCAAAGTCGTTTCCATTCGTTGTCACTGTAAGAACCTACCACTTTCTCAACCATGTCCATGATCTCCTGCTTGACAAGATCCAAGCTCTGGGCGTTGCGAGCAGGGGTCCGGCAGATAACGTTGTCAACCTTGATATCGTCATCCTCCTTGCCCATCCCGCCACGGTCCATAGCGTTCGAGAACTTCACAAAGACGGAGTATTTCTTCATGATGCGTTGGATGTGCTGTCCACCAATTCCGATAATCCGCTTGTGGTATTGATCCGGCACATGGAAGGAGATCGAAGCAGGCATTTCTTGTTCGACAAGATCCAGGCCATTCTTCGTCGATTCGTACTGGTTGCCGCATACGTCGATGTAAAAATTGTACTCGTTGAAACCGTCGAAAATAATCTGAACGTTGCCTGCAAAGGGTTAGTATCTGGTCAGAGCTGAATGCCTGCTGAAACTCACTCTGGCCCATGATCTTGTTGATCTTTCCGTTCTTCTTGCCACTCACGAACTCCTTGTGCTCGTTGGCCAGCTCGATCTTCACCCGCATCTGGTACTGGCTTCGCATCACGAAGGGGATCTGGTTGATGACTGTCATCGCAGCCTTAACGGCATCATCGGAGCCGTTGATCGTGAAGGTCAAATTGTCAAAGCTGACCTCAGCTTCCGAGTTGGTGCAGATATCCGATAGCATGGAGCGAATGTCGGCAGTCGCCGGAGCACGCATACCACCTTGGGCGGGGTCGGGCATGATGATCCACCATGAGGCACTGTAGAATTGACCGGCCTAGATTTTCATAGATTAGCACAACGCCACCACAATGTCAAAATAACACTCACCAGGGCCATAATCTCCCTAACGGTCCGTTCGACGTGCAGCACTTCAGTGCCTTGGATGCGCACAAGCCCGCGTTGGCTACCAAGCTGGGGAAACAGAACGTAAGATCCGTTCATCTCCATAACCTTTCGCACCTTGTCCAGACGGTCGAGCAGAATATTATCGATCTTGCTTGAGCTGACAACCACATCCTTCACAAAAATCTTCACTCCCATCACCAATTCTCGCAGCTTCTGCTTAGCGCGAGCAATCTGTTCAGGTGTCTCGCCAGTAATATAAACCTCATCTTCGCTTCGACGGTTCGCACCGGGTGGGATATATCCGAAAATCTGAGGGAACGGCGGAGGGAAGTAAATAGCGGTGCCCGTTGCGGCCTCGATGAGCTTAATGTTCTTGCGGGTGCGACCACAGACCAAGGTGTGCATAGTAGAGTCCAGCTTGATGGCGTCCACATGGCGTTTGAGCTATTTTCCGGTCAGCTTGCAGGCCTCTACGGCACACGCACAAAGGCGATGACGTACTATTTGGTCAATCATGATCAGAACCCGGGTCTTGGCATGTTCTGAACTCTCCAAGTCACCGTAAATGGCAACGCGGAAGCGCTGGTCGAGACCATTATCTGACGCATAGCCATAGGATGACACCACTGCACTGTCTGCATCGTGGAGTTTGGGGGTTAGCAGGAAAATGTCGGCTCCTGTGTACGCAGCCAAAGTATCGAGGTGTTCGAGAACACTGCTTCGGATTCCCTTGGGGGATCCGTCCATAATAAGGTGCATATCCACATCGACGGTTGCACATCGCTGAACAGCCAGATGTTAGCAAGAGATGTCTGTGGGCGTGAAAATCCTGCCGGTGTAGACATCGAAAAATTTCATCCACGTACCAACATAATCGGTGTCTCGTTCAAAATTTTCGCCCGCATCTTACGCGCCATCTCCCCATCACCAGTGACACAGACGTTGGTCACCAAGCCGTTTGGCCGGCGTTGTAGTGATGGTACGGCCTTGGCTTCGGAGGTCGTGAGCGTAGCTTCCACCCGTCCAGCTTTTTCCTCCGTTATCTTCCGACATAATCTCTGCAGTCCCTCGACATTATTTGTGTGGACGGGAAGCTGATGCACCGAGGTGCCTTCTGGTGTTCCTTCCGGAAAAGTCCAACGCTGGAGGGCACCGGGGCTGGCGTGGAGTACATCCTCGACATCGGGGCCAGCTAGGGTAGATGAGAAGGGGACGTTGAAGGATAGGTTGACGGTTGGATCGATACTTGTCGGCGGTGTCATCGGGGGCGCACCGTGTGGTCGACGAAAAGCCATGTCGGTGTGAGGTCTGGACATCCCGAAAGTCGGCGTCATTCGTTCCCAACCATGACGGGCTTGGCCCGTGAAGTTGGATATCTTGTGCATGATCTTGAGAGATCTCTAACCCCTTGAGCGAGTCGAGGGGATAGAGAGAGAGGAGGAAAGGATGAAGTGGGAAGAAAGACCGTTCTCGACAGGGATGGGAATGACCAAGTGTGGGCGTTTTCGACCCGGAATGGTGGAAACGATGATCGATGGGGCCAACCAGAACACAACTAAACAGAAATGGGAATAGAATGAAAATTTAAGAAAAACTAAGCAAAAAAGAAATCAATCTATAAAAGTCGAAAAGAAATGAAAAACGATTGAAGAAATGAAAGTCGAATGCGGGTCCTTAAACTACAAGTCAACTTTTGTTCTCAACGTCTTAAGGCTTTAAGGCTTCGAACGATTCCTCAGGCTTCGAAATTAAGCTGTCTTACTACTTAACTAGCCTTAACCACATAAAAAACTGACTACCTAGATTTAATATCTAGTTATCTTTTGAATCTTCTAAATCTAGACCTCTTCATAATTATGTCGTCTCCAAGGTCTACAGAAATCCAAGAATGCCCGTGAGAATGCCCATCAGGCCGTCGCAAGGGTCTTCTTGGCAAATAGAATGTGTCCAATATTGATTTATTGGGCACAGGAAAGCATCTCATTTAGGTGCATATAATCGAAGTATTATTTAACTAACTACATATCACCTACCTCTCCTAGCCTTGGAGGTACTTTTCATTTACTCATAAAATCACTGACTATTACACTCCAAATACTCGAAATTGAGAAACTGTCAGTCTCTTATCAAGCGAGAACCCCATCACGTGAGGCGATTTTCAACAGGCCAGTTGCGCGTCTCCAAGGCTGTGCAGGTTATTTACTAGTGTACAGTATCCCGTTTTTTATCGGGATCCGAATCATTCCGTCAGCGTACACGGGTCGATCATTTCATAGGCTCCGGAAAGGAGAACCCTGTATGACTGTGTATCTTCCCCCCCCCCGATCCACAATGACTTGTGGGTGATAGGGCCAAGTACCTAGTCCAAGTCACACTTGGGCCCGGCTGGGCCGGACTGGGAATAATATTGAGGGGTGTAGATTCAGACATGTGGAGCTTTTAATACCGATCATACCGCTGCCTTGGATTCTTAGGCCTTCGGGGCAACTTGCTGTGCATCCGAATGATACTCATACTGACAAAATACGCAAATCCCGTTGATCTGCAAAGTACCTACCTCCAGGTCGTTAGATTCGATTGTACTCCGTAGACTGGAATTAAATAGACGACGTCATCTACTCGTATAGACAGTGGGGTATTCAAGTCGAAACAATCGTAATCAATTCCGACTGGGTGGACCAGCTGGTTTTCACACTGCAGGGGCCATTCCCGTTCCCCGGTTTCTCGGTTTCGCATTGACTTTACAATTGGTTCTTTGTTCTATATAGGTGTTCCAAAGTGGTCTCTATTGCATTACCAGTCTACAACGTACATGCAAGAAATATAGGTGATCAACTGAAACATCTGAAGAATTTCGAGGTCTGGAATGTCTTGATTTTTGACAACGTTATGCAGGTAGGTACCTCGGTCCGGATCAATGATTTCCCGGTCTCATCCTAGACATCGGAACTTCTTGAAACTTGATTGATCTACAACTTCATCGTCTTCATTGCATTGGATGCACTTTCGGTATTAGGCCCACCTGTATTTTATGTCAAAGACAGCGAGGGGCCTAGAATATATCTAATTCTCTTTCAATTGGTTCACGTGAGACTAGATTCCACAGAAATGCATCACTGATCACTGTGTGCTGTTTACTTGCTAAGGTAGCTCTTGGTATTCTATCAAAAGCCAAAAAATCAACTACTCAAGGATATAACTCTGTAAAGGCAGTAGCAGTATTTCTTATTTCCCTAAGCTACGTGGAACGTTGTGCTGAAATCATCCTCATCCTCCGCCTTATTCAACCTTACACAAAGTCACTAGTCACTGGTTTCCCGGCAAGTTGAATTGATTCAAACAGTACCCAGCCGTTCCTTTCAACTTGAACAAGACCTCGTTAAGCTGGTCTGTCGGGACGTTGGGCAGAGTGTTTACCGCGACTGTCTTGATATGCTGGATGACCTGTTGTTGTCTCTCGTCGCTGATATCATCCATAGTACCCCTGTTGATCTCGTTGTTGATCAAAGTTTGAAGCTTGACCACTTGATTGTCGTCAAGCTTGAGCCTCTCCACTGCGTTTTCGTTGTCAATTTGCAGTTGCTGGAAGATGCAGTTTCTAAGTTCCCTGCGTCTGGTGTTGTCGTAGGTGGCGATGGTCACCCCGAGCATGAGGAGGCAGAATGCAACGATAGTAGGACACTTCATTTTGATATGTAGGAGAAAGGTATGTAAACAACTTGTGCTTGGGTGAAGTTGGGATAGAGAGAGTAAAAACTGGCAGCATAGATCCTGCTCCTTCCAAGCTTTATATATTCGCAAAACTAAGATAACCATAAGCATCGTCTCACCTTGCATAACAATGTCGTCAGTAACCGTGCCCTAGACTTCATAGTAGCTCTTCTGGCGAGCTATAGGTCAAGTTTTCCGTGGTCGACTGAAGTGAAGGAGGTTGATTCGTGATAGTTCTTCTAAAGTTGTTTACTACGATCTGTACCACCTGTGACTCTCATGTACCACCTATACAGGTTACACGTTCTAGGTTCAGGGATCTATCCTCTTTCAACTCCTGTTGTTCCCTTTCGTTCTCCACGCTTAGCTTTCATGTTTGTTGCTCGAGATAGAGATTCGAGAAGCTGAAGAATGTAATAGATGCCTCTTTGACCCGTAGATAGAAAGCCTTGCATCTGGCATCTAACCACACTGTGCTGCTCTTCTCTTTAACCTGTAAGGTGATTGGTTGGCTGTAGAGCACGTTCCAACCCATCCCACAAGCATTGTCATACCGAGGGCAATAAGAACACCTAGATAGATACATATTCCAACAATATTAGGTTCATGTTGAGATAAACCTATAGGTAGTTTGGCCAGAGGTTTGGAATATATGTGCTTGGTTCTGGGATATATGGTCTCTACAACCACGGCACAAAAAAAGGGTTTCAACTACAGTGCGTTGTCCTCTGGATGAAACCTTGGAAGCATTGCCAGTGGAATCCGTGCACTGAGAATACTGATCACATGTCAAGGCAGTTTTTCTTGTTAATGCATATGTATAGGAACCCAGGATCAAATATACCTTCAGTCTATAGAGCTCGTAACCGTGATAGTCAAAGTACAAAAACACTTACACCAGCGGTGTGAAGCTTCAAAATTCCAAAGCTCGCCAAGATCTAGTTAGACCCAAATCCCTGTATCCTCTGCTTCAGTTCCTGTCCCGTGATCCTAGGCCCCGATGCGTCCGGCCAGTAGGGCGCAAATATGGATTCTGCGACCTTGAAGAGATTACCTCCACTACGCTCATGACGACCAGATCCTAAGACCTCGAATACATCGAGTCGTGTGAAAGAGAATTCCAAGTCTTCATATTCATATTCATCAGGCTCATCAACAGATACCTCTTTGCTTGCACGTCCATTCTTGAAATATACCACCTCTGGACTTTCCGTGTCAAATGGGTTGATAGCTAGCTTGGCTGTCTTTTTCCCAAAGTTGATCGCGAGAGATGTACTCAGTGCTTTTGAATGTTTAAGCCGAAGACAACAGGCGTTGAAGTTCGGTCTAGTTTGGTCTGCTGGAACTTCTTTTGTAGCCTGAATATTTGCGAACATGAATAATATGAAATGCATAATATGAATATGAATCAGGTGTACAGCGATCAGGATCTCAATTTCTTCATCAAAACAGGCATCGCTCGACGTTTCGTAGAGGATATTGGGAAGTGGGTTCAGAACGTGAAGAGAGAGGTGCCTGTTCCTGAAACACTTTAATCTGTACAAATTTTCATAAAGGCGTTATTTCACTATCTGGTAATATGCTTGGATACTTCTTATGAAAATAAATGGCCCCTGATTGTTGGCATAAAGAGCCCACCGCTTCTGAAAGCTGCTGTTATATATATGCTGTGAGTCGCCGAGAACGCTGAATAGAAACTAGGGTCTTAGTAAGATAGTGGTAGTATCTTGAAGGCGTGACCCCTAATAGTTCAGTGAATGCGAGATACCTATTAAGTTGTTGCGGAAGGCCGGGCTTTACAATGTTCAGAATTCATGGGTGTCATGGACAATAATCTGGGAGTAAAAAGTTGTGGGCCAGCAAGTTGGCCTGAGTTTTTGGCATCATTCAAACATTAGATTTGGAGGATGGAGCGCGAACATGGATATCGTCGAATGGGCTTGTCGCTTGGGCAGCCTGGGTCATGGATCAGTCAGGCTGCGCAGATCAAAAGACACTTGATCACACATTTTCCAGAACATAGTTGCCATTTGCCGATATTGAATTCGTCAGTACTGTCCGCATCATTGACAGACGGACCCAATCCCGCCTTTTTGGCTTTGTCTTTGCATGATGACAGCGATGATTGTGTGCTGAAGATCAAAACTCCTACCCCATGTTGAGAAGTGCACTTCCTCTGATCCAAGTCAAAGCAACTACAGGTGTCTTTTGAGCCTCGATGGATGAAGATAGCAAGGCTGACAGCTGGAAATTTCTTTGCTGCAGGCAACATCCAACTTAAATATTCTTGTAGAGGTGTCACTTCACCACGATTCCACGAGGTAATTACGGTCTACTTCTTGCTCCCCGCCACCATCATCGAGACTTGTATCTCGGGCCAAGGCTTTGTGGTGATGATTTCCTTCTGGTTCCAAGTGCGTACAAGATGCAGATCAAGCAAGCGATCTGATACCATGTCTATGCCTGGACAAAAGCCGTTGAGATGATTTTGGGATCAAAATATACACTGTTGAGGCTTTGAAGTATCATAACATTTGATGCTAATGGTCTTATACGTAGGGCAAGGCGATTATGAGTGACAGAACTGATACTCGATATCCAATCTTGGGAGCTCGCAGCTGATGTTACGTGAATCAGGATGTTGGAACTATGCCGGTCAAGAAAAGGGTGATTTGATGCAGTGAGGAATACGAGGAAACTTTATCTATACTAATGTGGTCATATCCCGACCCTTGAAAAAAGGAGAGATGCACCATACAGATCTTTATACATTCAAAGGCCTAGATAACTTCGAAATACAAACATTTTCAGGACAGTGCAGGTAGGTGTATTTGTCAAAAGATGAAGCGCTGAAAAACAATTAAATACAGAATCATGTTATGCTGCACCAACCAAGCGGAGCTCAGCCCGCTACTGGTAACGCTCAGGAGCCCGCTGAACCGAATCGTTTGCGCCGTCATATGCAATGCGATCTCCCGCTTCGCCTTCGCCCTCATAATACCTCCGTTCTCGGATGTAGTAAGGCCTCTCAACGTATTCTCCCATCGGCCTGTCTTCCATGAAAACACTGGGCTCGCGGGCGGGACCACTCGGCCGCACACTACCCACTCGCTGGTAGACCTCATGTGGATCTTCATAGCGAGGCTGTGGGGGGCGAACGCTAGCCGTTCGCATGATTCTCTCCTGGGGGACTCCGCGCTCATCGACAAACACTGTATGACGAGGAGGGAGGTACTCTGCTACTTGTACGCTGCCACTGCGCGCGTAGTGTTCATGGTTTTCGTATTGGGGGGCGTAGCTTTGTCGCTCATGCGCCGCTACAGGACGAACATAGTCTGATGTGACTCGTCTGTAGATTGGCTGGGGTGGGGGCATCTCCTGCACGTAGCGTCGCTCACTGTATGGATCTTGGACGACTGAAGGCGCGCGAACACTTGCGCTGCGATGCTGGGGCAGTCGCTCTTCATACACATCCTTTGGCATTTGGGAGACTGGCCGGGGCGGAGGCGGAGGGGCCATTGGCTGCATTCTTGGGGCTTGCAACAATTCATAATACTGGTTTCCATGCTCATCAACCACAATTCGGCGCTGAGGAGGGGCCATTATCCGTGCTGGTGGTGCCTCTTCGTAATAAGGCTCGCGGTAGCCCGACAATGGCATGTCGTCCGCAGCGACGTAGCGGTGCTGCGGGTAAGAGGGAGCTTCTTCGTAGTACCTCGGACGCTCTTGGACCGGGCGTTCCACGACGTATGATGCTGCCCGAATTGTGCGCGGCTGGGCCTCAATGTACTCACGAGGATAATCTGGATGTCTGGCGTACTGCACACTGGCGACTCGTCGAAGATCGGCATCCTCGCGAATTGGCCGTCTGGTGCTTAGTCGAGAAATTGTGCGCTGGGGCCCGACGTTTGGTGGAAGCTCGTGATAGGCATCGATGTCCGAGACTGGCTCCCGAAGGGGGGGACCACGGCTTTCATACATTGGAACGTATTGAGGAGACGCGATATCAATATAGATAGGGCGCTCCTGGGGGTGTCGACTGCGAACAACAGATGGATCATGGGCAAACGGTGGTGGTGAGACCGGCTCTTCTTTGATGTATATCTCGGTAGGCTCTGCATTCTGTCTTCTGGGTGGTGCTCGGCGAATTTCTTCGTCCCCTTCACGCAGCCTCCTCCGTTTCCGGGACATGATATTAGAAACTGGTACACCAGGACTACCTCGAGCAGAATCTGGGTCTGAATACACTTGAACAACGCCAGTTTCCGGTCGCTCGTCTCGGATTTGCGCAACCGGAGGAGCCTTGGCCATGGCCAGAGGTGACACGCGGGACGGCTTCGGGGCTGCTGGTGACGTGATGTGGTTCCGAACTACCTTCACATTTGCGGGAGAGGGGGGTTCGCGGATATCTTGGGTCTTGTCGGTGTACCTAGCATCTGTTCTAGATTGTATTTCCACGCCACTTTCTACTCCTCGGGGACAGTCGCGATGGACAATCGGCGGCTCCGCTGGAGCAGGTGGGGAATAATCGGGTTCATCCACGATCTCAAACGGTTGCGAGTCCTGCAGTCGGCTGGGAACCTCAGGTTTCTGATGACGGGCCTGTTTCTGATAATAGGAAGGACGCTGGTCAGCAACAAGGTAAGCATCTTGCATTTCCTGATCCGATCCAGGCTGGTTCAGAGCTTCAAGTCGCTGCAACTCATCCCCGTAAGGTACTGGGGCACGAACAGCAGGGCCTGCTGGTGCTACAATAGCTGCGGGGGAGGATTTTTGTTGCATGACAGGAGGCGAATCAGGAGCTCTACTGGAGTAAAATGAATTGTCGTCAAGGGAGTCATCACCAGGCCCACTAGCCTCGGAGGGTTCGCTTAATGAGATCGGTTTTACAACCTCTAGAGCTTGCTTGAACACTTCTGAAACATCAAAGTCAGGCTTAGTGTCCTGGACCGCTGGTCTCTGCTTGCTCTCCTTCTTCTGAAGCTCCACTTGATCACGCAGTGCCCTCTCCAATCTTTGTCTCTGTAGCTGTTGCTCTGCTCTGAGCAAGTCATCCGACTTTGTCAAAAAGATCGGATCAATCGCAGATTTGAGCTTCGAACCCACGCGAGCAACTGTTGCAGATGAGGCGCTTCCAGCCAACGTACTCTCCGAGCTCTGGTAGGTAGGTTTTGTAATCTCATGTTGAAGAGTGGTTTCCACAACTGGTTTTGAAGGTGTTGTTTTGGGTGGCTGCGCCCGTATAGGGATATTTTTGCTGTTTCCAGATTTGCGTACGAGATGCTGGGGTACGTTGAGTCGGGGATGAGTGCCGGAGAAGATTTGTTCCTTGATGGTCAGGATTTTCTCATACTCTCGTACTTCATCCCCTGGTAGCGGTGCTGAGACAGCCATCGGACCTGCTGGAAGGTGAGTTGCTGTACCATGAGTTGCGGCCATGGTCCAAGGGAAAATCTAGGGAAAGGAATGGGTGAAGCTAGAATGAGAAGAAATAGATCAAGAAACACTAGGTTCAGATCAGATTTCCAACGCGTCAAACAGACGATATTACTCAGACCATTCCGATATGCAGAGCAGGTTCTGAGATAGAATGAGAAAGTCGGGAGCGCGAAAAAATGCCAAGATGTGAAAACAGTTAGAGACGGTCCGAGAGCATTAGGTAAGTCACGGGGAATGCGCCACGGCCGGGACACCGAACGGACTGAATCAGTTCTTGTTATCTCACAGCTTTCATGCATCGTTCGTTTGCGCTATTTTTATCACCATTCGCAAGGCCTGTAACGATATTTACCAAGCTCTCACCTGGCCGTCTGCCCCTACAACCCTCTTATTCAAGATCAATGGCGACTAATGGCAACAACGGGGTCAGTGACTCACGGCCGATCTTCTTCTTTGATATTGACAACTGTGTAAGTGAAGATAGTCATAACTTAGTTTTTTTACAGGGTCACTAACTCTCATATGCCGCACTAGCTATATTCTAAATGTTAGTTCCCTCAATTTCGAGTTTTGTTAAGCCAATACTAACAACACACTTACGTGCAGCTTGCAATATTCATGATGAGATGCAGACATTGATCAGTAAGTACTGCTGAAATATTATTCAGAAGCTTGTCACTAATGTTATTATCTTGCTAGATAAATTCTTTGTCAAACACCTCGAACTCAATGTATCAGATGCCCATGAACTGCATCAGAAGTACTATAAGGAATATGGACTTGCCATTGAGGGCCTTACTCGTCACCATAAGATCGACCCACTTGCATTCAACGCCGAAGTTGACGATGCTCTTCCTCTCGACAAAATTCTCAAGCCTGATCCCAAGCTACGCCAACTGCTGGAGGACCTGGATACTACCAAGGTGAAGCCGTGGTTACTCACAAACGCCTATGTCACTCATGGAGAACGCGTGGTGAAGCTACTTGGCATCGCAGATATTTTCGAAGGTATTACTTACTGCGACTATGGAAACTTGCCGCTTGTCTGCAAACCAAGCCAGGACATGTATGCCAAAGCAGAGAAGGAAGCTGCCGCTCCCAGCACCAAGTCATGCTTGTTTGTTGGTATGTTTGTCTAATGTCCAAAGCAAATAACCGGGCTCGTTATACTAATTTTACGATGTCACAGATGATTCTTACTTGAATTGTGTACATGCTCATGCTCGAGGCTGGACCACAGCTCACCTTGTTGAACCGGGTGTCACCACGCCCCCTAAGCAGGCATCGGAGTTCGTGATCTCAAGCCTCGAGGAGCTTCGTGTTCATTTCCCACAAGCCTTTAAACAGAACCCAAGCGGTGGCATATAGATTAGAACAGCCACGATACCCATTTGTTTTCCCTATAATTCCTGATTTACTGCCATGATTTTACGATTATAGTGTCAATTCGGTCTTTCGGTTTCTGCATTGTTTTCGATGCATGAGACTAGAAGTTGCATGTTAAGTTGCTACCCACATCTATGTACATATGTCATAACAACATATCAATATTCTGTAATCTGGGTTGAATTTTTCTCATGCTGACTTGTATCTGTCCCTACTCTAATGCAGCTCGTTCGTCGAGCTTCATTTTGACCTCTGCAGCCTGGTCTACACTTTTTGGAAGTTTCGTTTACTTCCTCGGTTGCCGCCGCCTTTGTAATTTGACAGAAATCTGAGGTCAGTTTGTATAGGACACTTAGCTAAAAATATCAAGCTTTCTGAACTGCTATACCTGGCGTTCAATGGGGATCAGCAAACCTCGGGATAGAACAGTAATCCTTAGTTCTGACATTATTGTCCACTGCCACTCCGGTTTGATTCACCTGCTTGTTTTCTCTCACACGAGCGTCTTTTTTCCTAGCCACCACTCACTATAGCCGACGACATGCAATCCTTAGACGTAGATGTACACACCCCTGTCGGAAGGTCTGTACCCACCCGCATTTTTACCCCATCATTCTCAAATATATAGAGCTACAAAACCATATACTAATACACCACCATCTATCCTATTCACTTCTAATCAATTAGGTTTGAAGCCTAGGCCACCCTCGGTCAAAATTCAAAATTAGTATTTAGTGTAATAACCTTTGGCCTTCCGCACCGCCACACAACGTCTGCCCATACTCAAAATCAGCCTATCAATTTGCTCCTGCGGAATAGCCATCCAAGCAACCTTTATGCACCTTTTAAACACCTTCCAATCCTTCTCAGGCCTTCCTATATACATAAGCTCGGGAAACAACTCAAAAAGGTTGAGTTTTAACAACCGCTGAACGGGTGTAATCGGGTTTAAATCCGGCGAGTGTAAAGGCCACTCCTCGACGTTTACACCGTGTGTTTCGAACCACTTATGTAAGCTTCGCTGTATGGATCCGTGCTTTATATTGATAAAAGATATAACCCGGTCGGTAGTCTCGAATCAAACCTTCTTCGAGGGCAGTAATATACAAGATTGTAGTATAACCGCGCTTTAATGACGAGGGATCGATCTCCTTCTCCCGCTTCATCGTAATTAACGGTGACCGACCACTAACCTAGATTACACCCTAAACTATTTACTCAATATCTTTAACATTCACTTTAGCATTTATAAATTCCCTTCGGTAACCCTCCGACATGAACCGCTAATACTATTACGGCCCAAAGTTCGAGGTACGCTTGACGGAACACTCATCCGAGAACATCTAATTTCGAACGCTATTCCCCGACCACACACCCTTCCATTTTTAAATAAAGCGGTATCGACGGCGAATCAATTCCATGCCAGCATACTTTAAATAACAAATGAAATACTGTGTTTCATAGGGTATGTCAACTTCCCATCCGGGCGGCATGGTATAAGACGATGGCTATAGAGGAGAAAACTAGGCAGTAAGAACATTCTGTCCTTCGCAGTATCACCCACAAAAGTAGCTAAGATCAAAAAAGTCAAGTGGAAGAGTACATTTAAGGTAGCAGAAAACCTAGTAAACTTGATGTTCTATCAAAGCCTCTTACAATGACCTAATTTGATTATTCTTAGGCCCTAGATAGAATGTTCATGGCATGCTTTAGTATGAAGGTTATGCACAGATGCGAGTATTTCTATGGGTTCTGCTAGATTATCGTTAGACCTTTACACTACTATCGCGTAGGGTCATAAGCTATGATTTTCGCGACGTTAGATTAGGATGGCCGTTATCAGTCAAAGCTTTTTCACAAAGGTCTCTAAGATCCGCTCGTTTGTCAGACTCTTGCGAAGTTAATTTGATTTGAACTTCAAATACCGGGGGGCTTCCTAAGCATGGATTCACAGCCGATAGATAATTCACGGGCGAAGCATTATAAATCTGGGCCGAACAATGTCGGCCGAAGTAAGTGGGTCCTAAACAAACACCAAGCTGAGTTAAAAAGCGGCCCGGGGTGGGGCATTAAATTGCCTATTAGTATTCCATCGGGCTTCCGGGCCTCTTCCTCTTCAGGATGCCAACCTCCGCAAAAAAGGATTGCATAGTAAGATCTGTTTTTGCTCAATGCCTCCGAATTTTCCCAATTATGGGGCCAATGTTGCTGTCGTACCTCTCAAAGTGAGATTCACAATTTGAGGCATAATCACGAAATGGAAGCAAAGCCTCTCTCCATTCCCGTGTCCTGCGTGACCGCGGGTGCCTAAACTCTGCAAATCGTCCCGCATTAACTCAATGACAATCGCATGCAAGAGCCCTGATGGCACAAAGGGTCCTTCGCCTATAATGTGGCACTAAACATGCACGAGGCTTACCTGAATCCTTCGCCATATATAACCATGCTTGTTTCATCGAATTGATGGAGATTTTCGTCCAGCGCAAGCCCTTTTGCCCCTTCCCCCTCCCCCCTTCCTCTCTATAATACTTCCTAAAAAGATTCCCCCTTTTCTCATGACCCAAATCTTTTTATCGGGAAATGACTGAGAAGATGAAGATACCTGTGAACGAGAGTCTGGCAGATTCTGGGTCTGACGAGGCGGAGAAAACCTCCAAGTTTGCAGATGCCACATTTTCCGCGGCTGAAGACAATCGTGGAAAGTACCCCACGGGATGGAGATTGAGATCAATCAAAGGAAACACGAGCGACTCCAATAGCCTGGTAGAGGATATGGGCTTGAGTCATCCTACCTGAGATAGCATAAAAGCTCTCATTTGGGGGGCGATTTGAAATAGACCAACGAGTACATACCGCAAGTCTTCCGCGACTTCATGAAGAAGATTAAGTTTTCTTCAATTGGCGAAGTACTTGGAAGAAGAATCTAGTGATGATAGGTTGATGGTGGCTAGTGGCGACTACAGCAGGTTAGCCGCCCGCACAGAGGGGAATAGCTTGAGAAAATTATAGACACATACAGAGAGAGAGATGGAGAAAGAGCGAGCGAGGGTTTCCTAGCCACCGACAGTAGGACTTTGCGGAGTGATCGCTGTTCAATCGTAGCCGAGCACTCAGGGAAGTGATGCTGCCGGTGGGCATACCTAGAGCCAAATTCACTGGGTTTTCGCAAGAGCAAGGGAGTCTGGGATGAGCGATCCGCCCCCTCCATCGCATCTTGACTCCAACTGCTTCCACCAGATAGATTCAATAATATCTTTCGTGCTCATACTCAGGATAGGGAACTCCAGGGCTTCATATGGCATGACTCATCTATATTAGGGTTTTAACTAGTTCATTAATGACTGGGAAACTTTCGTTATATAAGACCCCACCCCATCTCCTCCTGCTCTCCTCTGTGTTTGAACGCACCATTTGCCTCCCCTTTCCCCCCACCCTCTTCTCCAGCCTTGACTCTTTGTCTTTGCTGCCATGGAACACTTTCAACATACCGCCCACATCAGAACCCACTCCTTGAGCTACGCGTTGCGAGGTATTCCTCGGCAGCCTGGCGCTCCGCTTGTGGTGGTTCTTACCGGGATCACTAGCAGCGCGCTAGAATGGAGCGCGGTGTCTCGATATCTCGAGAATGAGGCGGCCGTGCTGTTGTATGAGCGGACTGGTTACGGTCATAGCGAAGCATGCCCTGCCGCCGAGCCTGACTCATGTACAATTGTGGATGAGTTGTCTCGGCTACTTGCTGCCGCAGCACTGCCACCCCCGTATCTAGTGGTCGGTCATTCCTGGGGCGGAATTCTCGCACGGGAGTTTCTTGCCGCCCGCGGGCCTAAGGTGATATGTGGTATGGTGCTAGTGGATGCTGTACAGGAGCGGATGCTCTTCGAGACATGGCCCGATCCTTGTATTGCAGCCGTCACAGCGGGGCTGGATTACATGGAAGTTGTCGGGCTGACTCGCGAATATCGACTGACAGAGGTCGAATGGGCGGAGCTTATGGCAGAGGAGGCTAGCCCACACCATATACAACAGGCCACCCGCGAACTGCCCTATCTACAGATGAGCCGCGCCGTCCTAGCCAAGAAACATCAACTCCTCCCTGGGCGAGACCTCCTCCGCGGCCAGCCACTCAGTGTGCTTAGGGGAAATTCGCATCAGGACCAGGAGCGGATGTACCACCGGGGCGTGGCAGAAGGGTTGGGGACTGAAGCCGAGCGAGGAGCCTTTCTTCACTACCTCGAAATCTGGGACGCTAGTGAGGAGGCCTTTCAGCGCGAACTCTTGAATCTTTCGAGTAATGCGCGTTTCTCCACCACGACTCAAAGTGGCCATAATATTCAGATCACAGAGCCAGAACGCGTCGCTGATGAGATCCGCTGGGTCCTACAGGGGACCGGGAACAGGGCTACGTAGCACGTGAAAATGGGGTCCAGAAGCAACCAAGGAGAGTGAGATAGAGAGGGAAAAGATAAAGTGAGGGAATTCGTGCACGTTGGGGGGTTGTACATTTAACCAGGTAGATTTTTTCCAGCATCGGCCACCCCACGAGAATTCCTCTATGATTGGAAAGGATATGAGCATCCGGCAGTACGAAACGAAGGGCCGTACTTCTACTTAGGTTTTACTAGCGATAAGCAAACAGATGCAAACATAGTGGATAAGCCTTGGGAGCTGCGGAGCGCGTCAAGTGGACTCCTGAGCTCCGTGTTCCGTTCTCTTTCAACTTCCAGCAAGCTCCCTTAGTCATTGCTTGAGGGTCATTGTGGCTTTTGAATTATCTGCACAATGTCCGGGCAAGGCATAACTGTCGGCACGGTGATCGAACTGACCGATGGCCGGCAGGCGACTGTACGCTTTATCGGCACCACCCACTTTGCGACCGGAGAATGGATAGGCCTCGTATTGGATGAAGCTACTGGAAAAAACGATGGCTCAGTACAAGGCGAGCGATATTTCGACTGTGAACCAGGATATGGAATGTTCGTCCGCCCAACGGTTGTCGGAAAGGTTGTCCAAAACCCCGTGCGGGAAAGTAAACAAACCGCCAAACCGACTACAAGCGCCGCTGGCCCACGAAAACAACCTGGATTACCACCTGCGGCAGCAAGGCGGCAGAGTACCAATCCAACATCCACTCCCACTCCTGCGCCGAGAGGTGCAGCCGCTCGATCGTCCCTCCGAGTATGTTATGGTCTCCTGTGGCTTGTATAGCTTTTGGATCATGCTAACGAGAGATTGCTTCATCTGCAGTCCCCTACAAAGTCCCCGACTAAACAGCTCGGAACGACCACAGGCCTTGCATCTCGTCCGTCAATCGGTGGTGCTCCCCGAACCTCCACAGTTGCGCCCAACCGACCTCGACTAGCCCCCAGCACCAGAAACTCTTCAGGTCCTTCTGCAACACAACCAACAGTCTCGAGAGCTGGACGACCTTCGGTTTCCGGGCCAGCAGCTCGGACCTCAAGACCAGGCTCACAAAGTACTGTGGCTTCATCCACTGGAGGTTTATCAAAGCGCCCTTCATTACGGCAGGTCGGCACCACCCAAGCATCAGATGGAAGAGATACGGGGATGAGCGGCCAGTCAGGGGACCCAACCGACACAGAATCGCCTGATACCGAAGGGGAGGGCACACAAGACAATGGCCCCGCGCAAAAGAGCTCTCGACAGTCGATGGCTGCCACGCGGCCCACTCCCTCGCGACCGGGAGTTCCAGCATCTACATCTTCACGACAAGCACAAAGTGGTGCAGTCAACCGCGAACTTGAAGAATTAAATGCCAAGCTCAAAGTCATGGAAAAGAAACGAGCCGAGGACCGAGAGAGACTGAAGACCCTCGAGCAGCTCCAATCCGAACGCGACAAGTTTGAATCCATCATCCAGAAACTGCAGGCCAAATACCAACCCCAGCAAATGGAGATTACTGAACTTCGCAAAAAGCTTAAAGATACCGAAGCTCGTTTTGATGATGTGGAACGAATGCAGGCAGAACATGAATCGTTGATGGAAATGGCCTCTCTTGACCGTGAAATGGCAGAAGAAACAGCTGAAGCATTCAAGCACGAATGTGCAGCGCTACGGTCTAAGATGGATGAGTTGAATCTGGAGGTGGAGGTTCTTCGAGAGGAGAATGAAGAATTCAGCCAGATTACTAGCCCCGAAGAGAGATCTAGTCATGGGTGGCTCCAGATGGAGAAAACCAACGAGCGTTTACGTGAAGCACTCATTCGTCTGCGTGATATGACACAGCAACAGGAATCGGACCTCAAGGCCCAGATCAAAGAATTGGAAGATGACCTCGAGGAATATTCTACCGTCAAAGCTGATTATGAGGCTACCAAAGAGAAACTCTTGGTCGCGGAGACCAATGTGGATGATCTGAAACAACAGCTGGAGACGGCATTGGGCGCCGAAGAAATGATTGAAGAATTAGCAGACAAGAACATGCGCTACCAGGATGAAATCAATGAACTGAAAGCTGCTATTGAAGATCTAGAAGCCTTGAAGGAGATCAGTGATGAGATGGAGTACACCCACATCGAAACCGAAAAGCAGCTTCAAGAGGAGATTGACTATCGGGAAGGTATCTTCGGCGATCAGTGCCGAAAAATTACACAACAGGACGAGGTCATTGTGGACCTTGAATACACGCTCAACCGGTTCAGAGACTTAGTGTCGAATCTGCAAACGGACCTGGAAGACATGCGGGCAACCAAGCAACTTTCAGAGGCAGAAACTATCGAAAATGAAGCCCGCCAGCGTACGATGCAGGATTTGGCAACCAAGCTACAAGCCAACACAACAAAGGCCCAGGCCAGCTTTATTGATGTCGAATTGAGCCGCATGGAGTCCGAGGAAGCTACACAGCAGCTTTCAATGGTCAAACTTTATCTTCCGGAGTACTTCGATGGCGAAAAGAACTCTGTTCAAGCATTGCTTCGATTCAAACGCGTCGGATTCAAGGCAAATGTCATGCACACAACTCTCCAGGATAAGGGTTCTGAACACTCCACTGTTACCCACGAAGAAGTGTTCCAAGCCCAAGAGGTTCTGGGATGTCTGATGTGGATCACGAATGTATGCGATCAGTTTGTGAACTACATCACGGCTTGCTCGCCTGAACAATTTGGTAGCATCAAGGTTGCCATGTTTGAAATGGAGCCTGTGGAGCGCACATTGAATTTCTGGATTGAGACAATGAAAAAAAATGAAGTCAACCTTGGAAAATTCGCAGTAGAATTGCAGCGATCTATCGCTCTCCTTGCTCACCTTGCCGAGACCCTTCTCCCTCCAAGTTTGGAGAAGTTTGCCGATGAGTTGTGCCTGCGAGCACGGTTATCTCAGTCGTACCTTGACCATGCAGCTTCTGCAATCACGCGCGTCAATGCCATCATTAACTCCAAAATGGTTGCTGTGGAAGAGGGCGACGAGGAAAAGTCATTAGCTTTGAAAAGGCTGAGCGCCTTCGATCCTCAAGCCCGCGGATATAAGGTCTCAATGGGTAAAATTAGCCGCGCTCTTGACGATATGCGCTCTCGGTCACTTGCGCTTTCAAAGGAGTCCGATGAGCCTTTCAGGAAGATAGAAAGTGACACAAAGCAACTTCTGGACTTTGCTCGGAAAATTGGCGAAAGCCTCGTTGCTCTAACGAGCGACGAAGGTCGCACGGATCCATTCAGTCCAGATGAGATTTTGAATAGCATGTCGCAAGCATCTGTGTCTTTCGCCTCTTCTGAGAACCCAGGTGACAGCAACGATCCGGTTTCATTATTATTTACTAGATTGCGGGAAATTGGAGAGCAGTTTGAAGAGCTTGCTTCCATGTCGACAGATCTATCTCGCACCACGGAGTTTGAGAGAGGCGCGTTCCCCTGGATTGCTCGTGCTGCAGAATTGAAGTCCAACAAAATGGCATCTCCCGATGCTGATGAAGAGATTCGTCAATTGAAAAATGAGATTCGCGAGGCGTCAGCCGCGCTTGGTGTGAAAGACAATACGCTTGAAGAGCAAGGTCTTAAGATCGAACACCTTGAATCCAGGATGCGAGAGGCAAGCAAGAAGGCTGCTATGGTCAAAGACCTGGAAGCCAAGATTGAGGAGGTTCAGGCCGCAGCAATTGAGCTAGAGAAAACAATTGACCGACAAAAGAAAGCTCTTTTCACAGCCGAAACGGAGCGAGATGAGTTCTTGGCTCGTCTCGAGCGAATGAAGCGGATGTCTGGTACCGCAGGCCTGGCCACCTCGGGCAACGGCGTTGTCATCGACAATGAAGCTTCTTTGGCAGCCATGCATGAGAATGAGTCTCTTCGCGCGGAAGTTGAAAGCCTCCAAGCAGCCGTGCGTTTCCTTCGCGAAGAGAACCGTCGTTCAAATATCCTTGACCCATACTCCGTCCAGCGATCGACTGAAATGCACGCATGGCTCGATGCACCACTCACACGTTCCAAGCCAACACCTGAACAAGAGAAGATCCAACGCACTGCGCTTGAAAGCCGAGACGTAATGACTCATCTTATCAAACTCACCAAGGAGTCCCGTGTCACCGACCTCAAATCCACACTACCTCCTAGCGATGGCGACAATGCCAACCGCACCACGTGGCGTCCATCCAAGACCCGTCTCCGATACCAGGTCCTTCAACAACGCGAAAACTTCGAGCACTGGGCCGAATGGCGCGATGACATTGTCAATCATGAACGCGAACAGGACCGCCTCGTCATCGCTAAACAAGAACGTGCAATGCGCGATCGGGTCTCTAGGCATGCCCATAAGGCTTCTGTTGAATTCCCTCAAGGCCTAGGTCATGGCATGATGGGTCGCGCCTGGCAGATCTTGGGTATGCAGAAGCATCGCAAGACTGGCTCCACGAGTATGCCTGCTCCCGATGGCGTGGAGATCGTGTCTACCGACTGAGTTCCTTGTTGTATTGCAAGTAAGCTAGGATACCAATGAGCCTGGTGCTTCATTGTCGTTGTACATATTCTTTGCTGTCTTCTTTTCTGCTATGTCATATTTTTATTTCTGATAGCTAGTATATTGCCCTTTTCAAGATACCCTGCAGAGATAGCTAGCTTCGGACTTTATGTACAATTTGATTTTTTTTGGTTTACCAATTGGGTTCTTTTTGGTTATATCTGTCAATTGACTGTGACATTGCATCTACCACACTATATTTCACAAAGGCTAAATATATATTTGAAGACGATTGTTTGTACTTCCAATGCGTCGTGACTAGCTTGCTACAGTGATAATTGAAAGATATTAGCCATAGCTAGGTAGCCTTGAGGTTGTATTCATTACTTCCACAACATAATCACAGATTATCCACCGAATCTAGCAAACAACCAACAGAAACCGAAATGGGGGTATTCCAACAAGCAGTGGACATGACTAAAAAAAAGCAAAAACACAGTTCTTGGGGAAAGGGATTAAGTGAGAGATCGAGGATACATAAACGCTCAAAATCAACGAACAGGGTCGAAAGAAGTACCGCCAAATTCCAACGTATTCAGAACGCTACCCCAATACTCGATTCAAGGTATCGCGTACGCTCATCATCGTACCCACGAAAAATATGGTCCTGCCGCTTTTCCTCAAAAATAGTCGGGTGACAGGCACCAGCGTCGAGATCCTTTTCTGCTGCCAGAGAGGACTGGACGGAGAATGATGTGCGAGGGGTGATTGCACTGGAAAACACACTGGAGATAGAGCTGTTGTTGCGGTCCCTGGCGTTGGGGAAGGGGGGCGTGACTGATGCCACGGTTGTGCCGCTCAGCGTGCGAGTTCGCTCCCAGTTGAAGCTGTCCTCGCGTGGTAGGGCGGTCTGCCTTGGGGTGGGGGAGGGTTTGGCTGATGTTGGAAACATCCATTGGGTCACACGGCTGGAAAGAGAGGGGTTCGGAGTGTTGGTGCTGTTGTTCTCCAAGAGCGAGAGAGGAATTAGGGGCCGCTGGAGAGAGGTGATGTGGGATGGCAAAGTTGAGCTGGTGGATGAAAGAGGATCTTGGGATGTCGGTGAGTACTTCGAAAGTGACGGTGTATTTGGCGAGTCAGTATACAAGCTCTTTGATGCAGATGGCGACTGAGGTACTCTTCCCCGAGTTTGACTGTCGTCTACCTGGCTCGGCCAGCGCGTGCTCAAAGTCAGTCTGCTGCCTTCTGATTTCGATCTGCCATGCACCGGAGAGGTGGCTAGGGCTTCCTGTAGGGGCATCTCCACCGGGGTGAGTTTCGAGAAATGCGGAACCAAGTTGTTGCTGATACGGACTGGTTCTTTGATAATTAAAGGCTCCAGGTTTCCGAATGAGCGGCTTCTCGGGGACCCGATTGGTTTGCGGGATACCACAGATGTCGCCTGGTAACGGTGATGTCGAACGGCGGCAGACGCGATTAAGGGTCGTGGTGGGGCCGGTAGCGTCTTGCGCTGGGGGCTCTCGTCTAAATGGAAGCTATCGAAGGAAGGTAGGTCCGATAATCGATTGCCTGATCGATGTATGCGAAGATCTAGAGGTTGATACTCTGTCGACGCAGGAGGTTGTAAGGGTGTGAACCCATGAAAGCCTGGAGATTGAAACGACTGTACTCTGCGAAAGTCCGAAGGAGCACTGATCTTCAAAGGTGTGATTGATGATCTTTTCATAGACATGCTCGCCCGAGTAGAAGCTCGCGAGGCCAATTGTCGGCTCTCGTTAATCCATGAGGACAGCGAGTTTTGACGTTGATGAACACTCGACATAGGGAGATCATCGTATACCACCAGTTTCATGGGCGAAACAAGATGTGGTTGAGTATGACATACTGTCATATCCCGCTCAATGCCTGCAGTATGGTTTAATATGCATCGCGAGTTGACATAGTCGTACAGTGCACATACCTTGATCTTGAACTCGATTAAACCCACAGCTATCTTCGGGGGTCAAACATGTAAAGCATGATCGTACCCAACCAGTGAATAACGACCCTGCTTTCTCCAAAGCCAACGTCATGGCGGCCAGCGCGTTGAGACGTCAATCCATCACCTTCTAGGCGATAGAATAAAAGAAAGCAGAAGATGACGGAACAAAAGAGAGAGAAAAAAGGATAAACAAAGTAACATTCCCACCCCACCTCTAATCCTCCTATAAGCTTGTCAGACTAAATGCGAGCACTTGGGCATTTCACCGAGTTGATCCAGGTACACACCATCAAAGCGCCACCATTTCCCGGGAGCTATGCCTAGGAGAGCAGTACATCCTGATGCCAACACATTTAGCACTGGGATCGCCAACAGCGGAGTTGATTGGAACATTGCTATTCGTTAGCGCCCGGTGGAGTCGTCACAACTTTGCTTATCACTTGAAGGTTGGGCTTTGAATGTGATGAAATGGTTGGGCGCTTACAGAAATTAACGAGAGAATATCTATTACATCTACTCCGTATGAAGCGTACATTGTACATTATAGAAATAGTAATACTCCGTAGTTTGATTGCTAGTTGGTTTCATATTGTTTGACTCTAATTCTGTGACGTTGTGCAGCATTGAAATGTTACCATATTGTATGCTGAAAATAGGAACATATAGCATCTGTGTCCAGGATTTTGTGAAGGTTTACGCTAATCCTAATTGCCCCATACATTGTCCTGCTCTAAATCACCATAGGCCCATTTAGACCGATCAGGATTATTAGACTCTGGATGTGTCGCAGAGTCGGACTCGGGCTCTTCTTCGATTGGCTCTCCTGAAGGTCTTCTGCAAATTGGGACAAGGTTAGTGACTTTGGTCTAAGCTCTCTGCTCCAATGATTTGTCAACTTACTCAAATATGTGAGGTTCGGGCTCTGCATGAGCAGACCCATACTCTCTTTGTATTTGAGCCCGCTCTTCTTCTTCAGCCTCTGTATCCTCCACAACAAGGTCCACCAGCTGGCTCTGTCGGGTACCACCGGAGCTTGCGGAACTAGAGTTTCGCTGCAAGGGACCGCGTGCTGCTGAGCTTGGGCCAGGCTTACCAGCCGGCTTTTTATCAGAGCTTGGCTTAGGGCTTTGCGTGGTTTCACCTTCCGACGCCCGACTTTTCCTGTGCCTGCGGGCCTTTTTGATATCTGCCCCTCGGTTTGAATCTTGACGTCGCCTCGTGGGCGGTAGCCGTTGGTCACTTGGCACCTCGTTGGCGGTAATCACCGGGTACTATCTGCAGTCAGCATCTCGATCAATCCGATATTCGCCAGAATTAACTTACATTCCAGTCACCGAATTCCAACGCGCGGGCATTGAGGAAAAGTCGTTCATCCTCATCGTCCATTGTAATTTCATCTATTTCGCTGTAAGATCGGAACCTCTCTCTCGAGCTTTGGCTGGGCCGTTCAGTTCTACCGCCGCGTTCACTGGGCTCTCCGGCTAACAACGGTGTGCGACTATTGGCTTCGCCTGGCTTCGGAATCCAGTATTTCGCTTTACCACCTCGCTCATATCGCATACCATCCATTACTCGCTTGACTCTCGACCCCGACTCCTCGTGCGGGACGATATTATCGCCCGAGTCGAAGAGCCGGTACTCATAGTTCTCGCCGCGCAGGGTCATCATAGTGTCCTCCACCAGATCCCGAATACCAAAGGCGTCTCGAAGTGCGTATTTCACAGGCATGCGCGCAGCTGAGATGGTAGGATCTGCATAATCGTGCCACGAGAATGCATACCAATGAGCCATTGCGAAAAATGGCATCTCGAAACAAATGAGGCTGTCTTGAATGGCGGCCGCAAGGTTGTCGGGTGTATACTCCGCAACGCTGCTGAGAGCCCCAAGCCACTGCAAAATTGACAAGAAAAAGCCTTGCCAATAAGAGGCGAAAATGATGAGTTTAATACAGAGGAATTTGGGAACTGGTCGGAATGGCACAAGGTCGTCATGCAGACACACCCAAAACATGGCTAGGGAGTAGAGACTGATTGTGACACTCAGGTTGTACACGATACCTGTCCAGAGGTATCCCGAACCCAGCCCAATATAGCCCTCTTGATATGTGTTTGTAGCCTTCATTATAATAGAAGCGAGAGCTAGAACCGGCTTCAACCATGCATATTGCAATATACCACGCTTGACAGCGAGGAAGGTATGGGGGTCGGAGACGTCAATCTTTGAGAGGAAGTGATTGAGAGGCCAGGCGTGCGAGATTGGGGGGCGGCCATGCGCCATGATAATCACAGCTCGCTCGCCCCCGAGGAAGTTAATGAGGAGTTGGAAGAAGGTGTAGATAGTGAATGCCTGTCAAAAGCTCTTGTCAATATGAGCTCCACCAACCATTGAGCACTGAGTAAATTTTATACCTCATAGATATCGCGGATAGGGTCCAGGAACTGAGCTGCTGTGAGCGATATGATGCTTGTCCATGATGATACCGCGTATATCGGAACCCTAGAGTATATTAGCACGGCTCTTCGCCCCTGCCCCCTGAGTCCAGATACTCGAACCAGTACCTACATCAACAATATGCGCACCACATAGCGCTGGAGGATTGGCTTTCGGTAATTTTTGCTATATGACTCGTGAGCGATGACTCGAAAGATCAGACGGTAGAAGCTCGTACGTTTGAAACCATATGGACCTGCGGGTTGAGATAACATGTCAGACTGGGAGTTTCAATGATCGCGTCCGTACCGTAGCGAAGTATGAACAGCAATAAGAAGTACTCACACAAGGGACAGGAGAGAGGCGACCAAAGCCGATACGCCTGCAACAATAGTAATCGCGCGTGCCAGGCTGGAGCCTGTTCCTCCGCCTGCTGTAGTGGTCATGATTGCTGGAAATCAAGGACAATGACGGTTCAAAGACCGGTTTCTGTCTGCAGAGATATTTCCATTCATGCCGCGGAGTCAAAAGAGGGGCAAAACATGCTTAAGAGCGAGATGCTTATGGAAGATCGAGCTTGTGGAGCAAAGCTGCGGAATGAGGAGGCGTTGTTGTCCGATGACGATCTTCTCGTGACACCGCCCGGTCTTGTCCACGGACTTTCTTCAACTTGCAATTTCTCAAATTATTAAACCAGCTAGCTTGCTGTCGATGATTGAGAGGTCGAATTTGGCTCGTCCTTCGCGTTTCGCGCGCTGACGTTGTCCATGACGATCGGAGATGGCTAGCACAAGCTTGACGTCGACTTTCTTGACGCCAGATCCAAGCTTCAATTGGTAAGAGATTACCACTGGAATTTAAACTGGTATACTGATGCATACAGGTTCTTCCTCTTGGAACTCATTGTCTCTTGCATTCTGTAAGTCCTTGCTGTCTAAATAGGTGGATTGCGCTTATTATTCACACAGTGCGCTCTTCTTCCTGCTCTACTTCAACCGGCTCTTCGCGACCCTCCTCTCCTACGCAATTCGAGCATACACCTGGCATTACTACCGCGCATATGTTGACATCAACGCTCTTCAAATTTCCTTACTTGGTGGGAGAATCTTCTTCAAGGGCATTCGGTATCACGGCGTGAACGAGACAATATTCATTCATGGAGGATTTATAACATGGCGGTATTGGACGCGTACGGTAGAGCGAAACGACTTGACTGGACTAAGACGAAAGACCGAATTCACCGGTGATGCCACGAAAAAACGACATGGGCGTCCCCCGCACGAGGGAGATGACAATCTCGGGGAGCAGGCCGGCATGGGAAAGACAACTGATCTGCCGTGTCGGGTCACAATCCAAACATATGGCCTTGAATGGTTCATTTATAACCGGACTCCGGCATACGACAGTATTCTTGCTGGGTTCGGATACTCTCCAAACATTATCGACGTGAACGAGGATCACTCGAAGCCTCCAGGGTCGCGCGCGAGAGCAGAAGATCAAGATTTTACCAACAAGTTTGCTCCCCAGGCTCTGCCACGTCATCAGTCAACCTCGAGAACTATGTCAGAATCTAGCATGAGCGATAGGGGTCGGGCATCTGCTATTCGCGAATCAGAACTATCAGACCCCATTTCAAACATGCTTCAACTCCTCCCAGTGAGGCTGGATTGCAAGAAAGGAGCCATCGTTATGGGAAACGAACATACCCGATCTGTTTTGACAACGACATTCGACACAGGAACTGGTACCATGGATGCTTCCAACTCGGGACCTCTTGATCTATACCGACAGATATTCTCATTCCACCTGAATAATCCTGTCATTCAGATGAGACCTAACCCTGATTTTAAGCAGGGCCAGCCTGCAACTGCCAAGTCTCTAAGTTCTGTACAAAAGAAAGATCAAGGACCGAAGAAAAAGCGGTCAACTTTCTTCAACTATCAATCTCAAAGGCGGAAAGTGTGGCACAGCATTCGTGACCTGGTGCCTTATTTCCAGACCTCTGTTGAGTCATTCCATGCTAACAGCAGACATTCCAACAGCATGCCAAGAAGCCAGGCAGAGTTCCCTGAGGTCCGCTGGACAGGTCTCTCTCGATACCTAGAAGAAGGTGGTGAGGATGACCATGAAAAGTGGAACTCGGTCGAATATGCTCGGTTTTCTACCATCGTGGATAGCCCTAGCTTGAGCATAACGTATTATTGGGACATTCCTGGGCGAGTGATCGTTCAGCCAATATCAAATGACCAATCCCACACGACCCGTCCAATAAAAGGTGATATCAACTGTTCTTCTCCCCCGGAATGGGGGATCGACATCAAGATTAACGGGGGTACGATAAACTATGGGCCATGGGCTGATAGAGAGCGGGTTGGTCTACAGAACGTTTTCTTTCCAAATTTCTATCGCAGCGCCGAGCCGGCTGAGCAGTTGGCTCCTGGTGTCCTGCGACAGAGTACAGCGTTCAGGTTGCGAGTAGAAATAAGTGACGAACTGACACTGCGCATTCCAACAAGAGAGTCTTCCAAGGATTGGCAATGGAAAGGCCGCGCTGATGCTGTTGGGGGTGCATCAAGGGTCAAGAAGCCAGCCGACAAAAAGAAGTCGCGAGTCAAGGATGCAGAAAAGGGCCATCTCGGTCCTGAAATCCGTCCGTTTGGGTGGCTTTCTCTTTGCGTTGCTTCAGACTCGACTATCAATTACACCATGGATATGGTGGCCTCAAGTGCAGGATTTCGTAATGAGCTCTCCCTTGACCTGCGAGAATCAAGACTGTCTTCCAGCATAAATCACGGCTTGTTGTGGCAATGTCCTAGGCAGCAGATCACCTGTGACTTGTCCAATCCTCTGTCCTGGAACAGCCTCCGCTCCTGGAGATTTACTGCCGAAAGTCAGGGATTACAGCTGTTTCTACTGCGAGATCACATATTCCTTCTCACTGATTTGGTGACCGACTGGGCATCGGGGCCGCCTTCGGACTATTACACGTTTGTGCCTTTCATCTACAACCTTGATCTCAACTTCTCCGACTTCGAACTTTACATCAATGTCAACGACAGAAACATCATCAGCAATCCTTCCGATCTAGAGGACAACAGATTCATCGTTATCAAGGGCAAGCGTTTGACATCAAATGTCATGATACCCTTGAACAAATACCTGCCTGAGCAAAATGCTGTTGAGTTTAGAGTAGGCCTCGAAGACGGTGGCGTGGATTACGCAACTCCTTTATGGGATACTGTGCATGAATTCCTACCGCAAAAGTCCATGGCTACTCTGCAGAGTTTGTTCATTGATGGATCTTACAATTACTTCCAGTCAACCTCACCTGAGTTGACGGACACGTTGGTACTTAACATTGATGGCGTGTCACCCAGGCTCTACCTTTTTGGATTCTTGATCAAGAGTTTTATGACCATCAGAGAAAATTACTTCGGTGAAGAAATGCACTTCAAGACTCTGGAGGAATACCAAGAACTAGTCTATGCCGACGAACCACTATCAAATCCCACGGGTATCAATCCGAACCGAAAATCAAATGACATGGATGTCCTTGTTCGTGTCACGGTCGATAGCCCCCGTGCTCTGCTTCCCGTGAACATTTATGATCATTCAAAATGTATGGGACTAAGCGCCGCTTCGCTTGAGGTGGATCTGCGATTCACCAACTACTACATGGACTTGCAGTTCTCCATCACTCCACTCAAACTTGACCTGGAGTCTACCCAGCTTGATGGCCCCTCCACAATTTCTGGTACACAATTGTTCATCGATGGTGTTTCAGTTCATGGCCACCGTTTGTTTGGGCTGCCACCTCTTGAACCAACCTACATCTGCAATTGGGATTTCGATGTGGGCCAAATTGTTGGAGAATGTTCCACTGAATTTCTGTCTTGCTTGACTTCGTCTGTCAAGAGTTTTGACTTTTCCTTCGACAACGAAGAAAATGCATTGCCTACATTGTTCCCGGAGATCCTGCATGATGTGACTTTTTTGAGGGCTAAGATTGACTCGATCCACATCACTGTGCTTTTGGAGCAAGTAGCCGTGATAATGAGCACTCAGCCATTGAATGTGAATTTCAACGATTGGGCGAACACCAAGTTTTCGAAGCGCATGAGCCTCAGCGTTCCGGATATCTCGGTCGCTGCCGTTGATCGTAAATCAGTTACTCATGGCCATCCGTCAACCCGAGCAACGATGTCCCCGATTGGACTTTTCCAGCTTACTATCGGATTGAAAATGGCTTTGCGCAAATCCGACATTGCGGAAAGTAGACAACTTCAGCAAGAACATATCAAGGTCCATGATCGGCGGACCCAAAGGGCGCAATGGCTGCTTTTCGATTGGGAAGAAACCGGTCCAGCCTCCACCAACCCGCCGGAGGGCGATGCTTTTCCTCCAACTTTGGCGATACCCTCAATGCCAGAGCCTATCCATGGTAGTATTGGCTCAAGCCATACACAGTCAGACCGAGGAGCCTCCGGATCCCATTCCAATGGAAGTGCGAGGAGCTTCCTTGTTGAATCTGAAACATCGAGCCTCAAAAGTGTACGTAGAAACACCGGCAATAGCCCTAGAGCAGTTTCTGATCCTGTTTCCCAACCGCGACCGGGTCTACCAAATCGAGGATTCAGCTTGTTTGTTTCACAGGGTGATCGAACGAGAGATGGACCGTATAGTGGGTCTCGAGCAGAAGAGATCTCGACCACTGCCGTGAGAATTGCGAACCCATGGATAATGCCGCAATTCTCATATCACAAGCTCGACCTAGACACGTCCGAGCTTCCAGTGCCATTCTCAAATGAAGATGATAGTTCCTCAATCACTGATGGCCCTCAAATTAATCACAAATCCGTGTTTCTTACATTCGACGACGATCAAGCGACATACACCAACTTGGCGGTTGACCTTCCGCTTGGTGTCCGAGGTTTTTGCACCCCAAGATTTCTTCTAAGTGTTGCTGCCTTGTTGGATGGATTGGAGCCTAAGCATCCTGTGCGGATCATTGACTCGCTTCAAAAAGATGTAATATCAAACATTGTTGGCTATGATAAGGCTATGAGCAAACCTAAAGTCTCGACAGCTGTTGCTCTTCGTGTCCCCTCCATTCAGTTGCGACTGGTCGATCTGTCTGAAGCTCCAAACGACCAAAAAATCGAATTCCGAGACGAGTACAGCATCGAGGTTCGCCATCTGCGAACTGAATTCCGAAGGAAGGTTCGGCGTCAAAAGGATGACCTGCTTCAAGGTGTTAAGCAAGATGTGACGGTTCATGCAGCAGCAGATCGTGTTTCAATGTCAGTCGAGGGGAGTCGAGTGGATGCTTTCCATGAAAAAGCCGTCTTCAATTCTCATCTCGAGGACGTGAATTTCTGGCTGGTGACCTCGCCCAATGTCCGCTCTAATCTTCAGGTGAGGACATTCAATACCATGACATCGGCAAAATCTGTAGAGCGTCTCGCATTCCTCGTCCGGCGAGCCACAACAATGTTTGACTCGGTCGCATCATCTTTCCAACAACTTTCAACATCTAGCGAAAAACGTTTGCAGTACCTCCTGTATTCGCTCACACAATCGTCCGCTGATGTACCGGATCCTATTTTCCTTGCTCGCATCTCTTACGTTCTCAGAGTCGCTTCCACTCATTTACGACAGCATGACTCATGGAAGATCATATCTCGCATACGTGGTATCTATGAAACCTTGCCTGTTCATCGCAAGCGTGACCTAGAGCAAAAATGCTTGAGTGGAAATCCCCCTCTACCGGCGGATTCCAAGAAGACAGTTGTGTCTGGATTTGACAGTTGGCGAGCTTGGGACCTAGCACATGTTGGTAAAAGCTATGTCATGCGCCATGTATGGCCGCCTACTGAGCTTGAACGGGAGACTCCGCAGCCTTCGGTGTTTGTATCGTCCACTATACAAAAACTCCGATTCTCCTTAGATCCCGGCCCAAGAGAAAGCGATCTGATCATAGAGAACCTGTCAACCGCTGCATCTTTTGTTCCGGACTTGCCTGGACCCGATGGAGATGAACAACGTGGGAAGAAACTTATCACACTGCAGTCTTATTGTGGCTCTGCAGCCCTTAGGCTACGCTGGGAGATTTTGGACCTTGTTGAGGGAGTGGTCAAGGTCATGTCTAACATCAAACTTAAATCCTCCCCAGGCCATGTTCCGAGTGAAAAGGTCCAGGAGAAGACATCTACTGAGCTGCAACTCATGGTTGGGACTGACTTCGGATCCGTAACCCTCGATGGCATCAACGTCAAACTTGCTTTGATAGCCAAAGCCCTCCGAGGTTCGGTTGTTCACAAATCTCTTGGTTCTACAAAAAGGAATCACGAAGATCTCGCTTTACTGTTCAGTGCAGAAGGATGCTCATCCGAGCTCCAAAGTCAATCTACGACTCTCATGCTATCCAGGATAGCAGACCCATATATGTACATTTCGCTTGCATCGGAAGAGGATGCTAGCGAGTATAGACATGCTTGGAAATTCGCTAGCTCTTGCAGGAAGCTTCGGTATGATATGAAGGAGGATCCTCTCAGCTTGGCACACACGGCAGACCGGCTTATCGCGGACGAGGTTCGGTATATCCGTCAGCTTGTGAAATCTGTCAAAATTCCGAGGTCGCAGCCCGAACAAGCTTCAGTCTCGAATAAGCCAACCAAAACCACCTTCCACGTGGCAATGTTTTTAGAAGACTACCGGCTAAACTTCAGCCTTCTGCCATCATTGACTTATCTTGTGTCGGGCGAGGTGGCTCGCATGTCCGTCCTGCCTGCAGATGGATCAAAGATCGAGGTTGACTTCGACGTAAAGAAGAATTCGCACATGTTCGTCTCTGGCGAGAACGAGCGTTTCCATGTCCTGTCGATGTTAGAAATACCCCCTGTGAACGGTCGAATCCTCGCAAACCTCTTGTCAGACCGCAAGGAAGTAGAGGTCGATGTTACGATTGAACTCATCCGCCTAGAAGCCAGTTCAGTGCGCAGCCTTCTGGCTGTTCTGACAGGACCTGATGTCTCTCATCTGGTCACCGATCTCAAACAAACCGTGGACGTCCTCAAAGCACATTTGGAAAATGTGCTGGCATTGCAGAAAGCGCAACCGAAACCAAAGCCGGCGTCTGATGGTCAAGAGATCCTTTACAAATCTCGTCTCACGATGGCTGGATTTGAGATTCATGCTGTTGCGCCTGGTCTCAATAGTAAGGATTACTCTGCGGAGATGATTTTGAGTCTTGGGATGATGCGCATGCGACTTCAAAACGGGCTAGATCGGGGCTACTCCATGGAGTATCCGGAGTTCAACATCGATGCCTCCCAAATCAGCTTCGAACTCAGAAGGCAAGAGAAAACCAAGGGTCGTTCATACGGCAGCTTCTCCGCCAGTTTGAAACTCCAGGGAACCTCTGTGATTCGCGAAGATGGGGAGGTTGCCAGGGCGTACCACTTTACCAGCGAGAAGTTCGATATCGAACTCTTTGCCGAAACAGCAGCCCTGGTGGTTGACATTGCCGTTTATACACAAGAGCGCATCAAGACCCTAGATCTCTCTCATGAAGTCAAACGTCTCAGGAAGTTAAGGCATCGTGGCCATATGGATACAAAAGATGGCGCGGCCGATGCTCCTGAAATCCATGTCAACGATGATTCGACCCCGGACGCATTCCTCGATGCCCTGTATTCCTTGCAGTTCAAGGCCATTCAGGTCGCTTGGAATATGGCTACGACACACAACATCTCTGGTCGACAGTCGGAGGATTTGGTCTTTTCAATACAACATGTTGAACTGTCCAACAAGAAAAAGAACGCAGCTAAACTTCGGATCGAGAACATGCAACTTCAAATGGTTCCATTCGGGACGGACAGGGGAAAGCGGTCGCTCAACTCGGCGCTCATGCCCGAGCTCGTTTTTAACGTGGCGTACGCATCCAAAGGGAAAGAAGTATGGCTTGCCTTCCAAGCAGCTGGTAAATCACTTGATATACGAGCTACCTCGGAGTTCATCATCCCGGCTAGTATGTTACGAGACTCGATTGCTACTGCAAGCGAAGCGCTCCGGGACGGACAGGCTGTTTGGGCAACCAGAGCATCATCAGCCGACAACGCCAATACCAACAAAGATCGCAAACTTTTCGGCAATCGGAGATTACGGTCTCTGCTGATTGATGTTGACTTTGCGGGTGCTACAGTGACACTTCAAGGAAAACTTGGTCATGACCACCAAACATTGTTGGCGGCCTCCTGGAAGGGCAGCAAGCTCCCTGATGCGAAATATGGACAATACTTGCAAGGAGATGCAGCAACTACGGCAACCCTCCAGGCACCTGGAGTGGCGCTAAAGGTTCAATTCGAGGACAATGGGACCGATGATCCCGCCCTCAATGCAGAGTTGAAGGTTGACCCCTCCACTAATACATTATACCCAACTCTTGTCCCTCTTGTCAAGCAAATGACTGCCACGGTTAAAGAGATCATGGGCAATCAACAGAGCCAGCAACGCAGACCATCAACGACAGCGCGTTTACAGCCACCGAAGTTGATGCAAGAGAAGCCATTTAGTGCCGATGATCCTACCAGCATTCTAGGCCGGTGCAAGGTGAACCTGGGGCTGCTGTTCTACAAACAAGAGTTCAGCTTGAGCTGTCAACCAATCGCAAGAGTAGCAGCTACCGCAAGGTTCGAGAGTGTCTATGTGACTGTCAATACAGTTCTGTCGGAAGAGCAGGGTCGCTTCCTTGCTCTCTCCTTGGCTTTCAATAAATTGGAAGCCTCCATCAAGCATGTGTATTCCAACGAATCAACAGCAAGCTTCGAAGTCAAATCCATGGTTCTTTCATTGATGAACAGCAAGCATCTTGGCCGAAAGAACGGAATGGCTGCGATCTTACGGGTGAGCCCAATGAATGTGGCAGTCAATGCAAAGCAGATCCAGGATTCGTTGCTCTTCAAGGAGATCTGGCTGCCATCAGACAATGAAACCAGTCCCAGTGAGACCGTCCAGCCCGGAGAATCTGAGACGCCAACATACATTGTACAACGATACCAGCAAGTTGCTTCGGCGTCCGCATTCCCATGGAACACTACCATTGCGATCGAAAAACTCGAGATCCAACTTGATCTTGGCTCCACTCTAGGCAAGGCACAATTTTCAATCATTGATCTCTGGGTTGCAACCAGCAAAACATCCGTCAGTGAGCAGAATATGTGCATAAATTTCGGTTCAGTTGCAATCGAGAGTAAGGGTCGCATGAGTGGAATTGTTGAACTCGGCCTGCTCAAGGTTCATACATCCATTGAATGGCCCGAGAATTCCCGTGAGCGCGGCCATACGCCATTGATTCAAGCCTCAATTGCTTTCAATCATTTCCAAGCCAAGGTCTCTTTCGACTACCAGCCTTTCTTGGTCGCCCGAGTGACCCTGTTCAACTTCTTGATGTACAACGTCCGAGACACGTCCGGTGAACAAAGCCAGCGCCTTTTCAGTATTCTGGAAGGGGACAAGCTCCAAATCTTCTGTACATCCCTGACAGCATCCCAAGCACTGGCTCTCTTCCAGGCGTGGCAGCGCTTGGTTCAAGATGTCCAAGCAGCCTACAGGTCATCACTGCACGAGGTAGAACGATACCTACGTCGAAAATCATCCGTCTTATCCGAGCGCCCCGATGTCGGCCCCAAGCACCTATCAAAAGCAGACGATGATCAACCCGAGAAAGCACCCATCTCTCTACACACCGGAGTGGTTGTGAACATCCGCCATGTCAACCTCGGCGCCTTCCCAAGCTCATTTTTCGACAACCAGATCTTCAAGGTAGAAGCCTACGACGCACAAGCACGCTTCGCCGTATCTCTCGAAGCCAAAAAGATCCACAGTGCCCTGGGCCTAACACTTGGCCAGCTGCGCGTCGCTCTATCGGGCATCAACCGGCCCACCTCCGCCCAACTCGACGAGCTATCCGTCGACGAAATCGCCGAACGAGCAGCCGCGTCCCGCGGCGGAACAATCCTCAAAGTCCCCCGCCTGGTCGCAGGAATGGAAACCTGGCAAGCCCCAGGAACCCGCCAAATCGACTACATCTTCCGCAGCACATTCGAGGGCAAAGTTGACGTGGGCTGGAACTACTCTCGCATCAGCTTCATCCGCGATATGTGGGAGACCCACTCGCGGGCCCTTGCCTCGCGCCTTGGAAAGCCCTTGCCGCCATCTGCAGTGCGCATTACCGGTGGTCCGGGTAGCGGTGAAGGCGGCGGTGCGAGCTCTGAGCAGCAGGAGAAGATCACGGCTGTTGTTAACGTGCCCCAGTCGAAGTATACGTATACTGCGCTGGAGCCGCCGGTTATCGATACGCCACAGCTGCGGGATATGGGTGAGGCTACGCCGCCGTTGGAGTGGATTGGGTTGCAGCGTGATAAACTGCCCAATGTGACGCACCAGATAATCATTGTCACTTTGTTGGAGATTGCGAAGGAGGTTGAGGATGCTTATGGGAAGATTTTGGGGTCGTGAGCTTTCTTCAGACACTGGCGTGTCGTTGGCCTACTTGACTATGCACCCTGTTGTTGCATTTGAGTTTTCATCCATGTATCATTATCATATTTTATTGCCTGATACCATTGTTTTATTGTATATATTGACGTTATATTGCATTATCAATAATGTATGCTATTCCTGGGCCGAATCCTGAGTACACATTTGATACAAGACCCTAACTTGTATATATGCGAAACTGAATGTGAAAATGAACATCTGTATATTCAATCGACGTGTAAACAAGATTTGACCAACGAAAATAGCCTTTGCATAAATAACTGAGTCTACGATCTAAAAATGCACAGGATCCCTAAGAAAAAGCAATGCCTCCTTTCCCAAGAAAAGGAAATTTATCAAAATCATCGACAAGGCCCAGGATACCCAGCCAGCAATGCCAAGGGACAAAACATACCATAGCCCTTATCTACACACCAAATTGAGCGCGCAAGGATCCAGCGAAGCGCGAGATCGCCTCGTCGATCTTTTCGGAGGAAGCAGCCGCGAAGGTAGCACGGAAGAACATCTTCTTCTCGACGGTGTCGCGGTCGGGCTTGAACCAGCTGCCGCGGGAGAGAAGAACACCCGAGTCCACGGCTGACAGGAAGATAGCTTCTTCAATCTGGCTGTGGGTCTTGCCCTCGGCAACGCCGGGGTGCTTGTGCCAGTCGATTTCGATCCAATGCTGTTCAAAATTGTCAGTAAATTCTAAAGGGGGACGCAATGAATGGATGAGATGGAAGACGTACGAACATGCCTGCGGCAGGAGCCTCCCAGTGAGCGATTTCGCGAGGCAGGTGCTTTTCACAGGCGTGAACGAGCGAGTCACGACGAGCAGTGTACGACATGCGTAGGTTGATCAACCAATCAAGGTACCCGGCATGACCCCAATGCTCATCTAGGAGCTTGAATAGCGCGATCTGGGCAATACCACTTGGGTTTTGCGAAGAGGTCTCGAAGTTCCGAATGAAGCGCTCGATGATCTGCTCTGAGGCGACGATCCAGCCGACTCGTGAACCAGGCGAGATAACCTTGGAGAAGGACTCCAGGCGGACGACACGGCCGTCAACGTCCAGGCTCAGGAATGACGGGACAAGAGACTTGATGAATTCCTCATGGTTGGCGGGTGGAGGAACGGGCTTGGCGTCCTCTCCAACGTACGGCTGCATCTGCAGGAAGTAGTAGGGCTCATCTTCGACGATGATGACATCGTGCTTCTGAGCGATCTTGTACACAGCGCGGCGGCGCTCTGCGGACTGGGTGGCGCCAGTGGGGTTCTGGCCGGTGGGAATTGTGTACAGGACGTATGGCTTGCGGGCACCCCGGGCTTTGACGTCCCAGTTGCTGAGGACTTCGTCCATTGCCTCGGGGAGGAGACCTTGCTCGTCCATTGCGATGCCGACAGCCTTCACGCCTAGTGGTGTTGCGGTCTCGACTGCACTGGCGAATGTATACTCCTCCGTGATGATGTAGTCACCACGCTCGCAAAGCAGACGGAGGGCAGTATCCCACGCATACGTGCTGCCTGCGGTCAAAGTGCATTGCCAGTTGGAGTAGGGTGGGCTGTGAATAATCTGTTTTGTTCAGGATGTGCAAATAAAATTTTGTGCTTCGTGTTGCCTACCTCGGTGTGCTCAGTAACGAAACGCAGCAGTGGCGCAGCTCCGGTAGCTTGTCCGTAATTGAGCGCAATCTCCAGGTCTTGGAGAACATCAGTCGTGTCCATTTCAGAGAGTGAATATTGGAACGTACCGTAGGTGCTTTTTCCTTCTTGGATATCATGCTTTCCAGCGCGCAGGACAGTGCCAGACTTCTTGGTTTCCTCGGGAGAGAATCCTGGGGCAGTGGGGACCTTGATATCGAGATGCTCGAAGGGGAAGTACTCAGCAGATGGCAATCCACCGCCGAGAGAGATGAGACCTATAGAATTAGCTGGCGCTTGATACGGAAGGCTACGAATGCTTACCTGGGTTCTTGAGGAAGCGAGCGGCGTCCTTCAAAGTAGACGGCTGTGTGGAGCGAGATTAGCAACAATGGATACCCCATTACGCAATTGATCGCTAACCTTGCGAGACTTGGCTTCAAGAGAGAATCGATCTAAAGACAGCCAAATTAGATTCAATATAAGAAATTTTGCAAAGAGATTCGACTTCAAGGTAAACTTACGATCGAAGGACTTGGCCTTGGGTTTGGTATAGCAGGCCTAAAAGCATACCGCCAAACACGTATCAGTTCCTATATCTCATTTCCATTTGTGTTTGACACATTGCACTATTGGGATTCCATGGGCAATGCACAAGTATCATACCGGGCTCTTAAACATATCACTGCTGGAGGCCGCGGCTATACCAGTGGGAATATTGGCCGTCTTCGCCCTCCATGCAGATACGCCATTGACTGCCAGGGGATCGGGAACAGGGACAGTCGAGGTATCGGTAACCCCTACTAGGTTAACATCAAGGGCTGCTGGAGGACTCATTATGATCGGAGCGGTAGCGGGTGTGATTGCGAGATCGGAGGAATTAGTGCGATGTTATGCACGAACAAGAGTTGGTCGTGTATAATTTGAGGTGTTTGGTATTGTTTGCAATTGCAATTCTGTGAGGATAGAAGACCAAACCGTTAAAAGAATATAGAAACAAACCAAAACTTGGAGGATTGGAGGAAATATCGGAGCGGCGAAAGCTTCACGGCGAAAGCGGACCAAATGTCTATCTCTTTATCAGTTCCGAGCCACATGACTCACTCAACTCCGAATACATGTATTACACTATACACTTAGGATTTGTAACAGAAAGGACTCAATAATGTACCTTATGATCCAATTGGAGTATTTTGAAGACAGAAACTATAAACACCTGTATTCATTACAAATATTTAAGCCTAACCTACGTAGGTATACTTGACATCTCGCGGGGTGGAGGGGCAGTGAAAGGTGGTGAGGCGTATCTCTTATCTGTGCCGTTCATACGAAGGCGGTGTAAATCCCAAGGTACTTTGGTGAACTCACGGTGATCTATAAGGTCATCAACTATTATATCTGTCTGGCTAATCTAGGTTACTCTAATTTCTCAAGAGTTTTCCACAAACTTACCCGACGTCCCATCAAGCTGTGCTTCTAACACAGCCGCCTTTCCATCAAGGACACTCTTGATGGCCTCCGGAAGTTTTTGTGCCAGCTCAGCAACAGTTGATGCACGCCCAGCCCACAGCTCACCGCCTGCAGCAGCCTTTGCAATACCCGCATAATCGGGTGTAGGCGCAAAAGAAATATTGAGATCTTCGTTCGTCGCGCGTGAACCATCTCCCTCGGGGTGAACGAGGAGCATGCTTCGACGAGGCGCATTCCATCCCTTATTGTTTAAGACAATGGTCAAAATGGGGATTCCGTATCGGCGGGAAATCCAGTAGACAGATCCAGGCACTGAGAACAAGAATGTGCCATCGCCGACAACCTGGCAAATAAATTTGCCCTTGCCTAGTCCTCCGTGCTGCATATCACTAGCAAGCTTGATGCCAAGGGCACCGCCACCTGACCATCCAAGACCACCGCCTCCACAGTTAATCCATGACTGTGGCAGGGTAGCTGAGACTTGATCAGCCACAAAATGGGTATTTGTCACTGACTCAATGGCCCAGATAGTATCGTCGGGAACGCCCTGGCGGACTTGGGCCATGAGGTAATTGATATTCAACGAAGCATCATCGCCTCCTTCGGGTGTAACAGCTAGATCGGTAATTTCTTGTCGGCGCTTCAAGTAATCTTCGTCCCGGATTTGGCCCATGGCGATGTTCTCCTTGGAACCAATGAATTTCAGCAGAGAGCCTTGGGAGTTGACATAGTCATTGATCTGCTTGAGAGCCGTAGAAGAGTCTGCGCGGAAAGTAGCCATGGAGTGGATGTAGAAGACTGGGATTTGTTGCTTCAAGGGGTCGACATCGATGTGAATAACTTTGGCCGAAGCAGATGGCTTGAATTGAGTGGGAACCCAAGGGACATCACAATCGATCACAAGAATTAGATCAGATGTTCCTACCGCATCGTGTCCAGGGTATCTCAATCCCAGCCACGCAGGGTGGTTAGCCGGGAAGCACATATCACTACCGCCAGTGTCCAGCACACGAACTCCCTTGAAGTTGTTTGCCAAAGCGACCAGTTCAGTCACAGCCTGAGCCTTTCTACCCGAATATCCAGCAATAATCAGCGGGTGTTTCGCTGCTGCAAGTTCCTTGGCAATAAGCTCAACGCCCGAGGCGGGCAAAGCTGCTGGAGACACAGGCCCCCAAACTGCTTGATTAAGCTGATAGGGCTCAAAATCTTCCTCCATAACCTCTCGTGCCCCGACCAGGTATACCGGTCCTTGTGGGTCACTGGTAGCGAACTGCAAAGCCCGGTTCACCATCTGCTTGATATTCTTACCGGACTTGATCTCACCAGAGTACCGGCAGTATTGCGCGACAATCTGCTTCTGATCAGGCACATCTTGAATCCAATGGATGTACTCCGTACGCGAACCTCTCATCTCGCCTTCAATTGTGTACGGCGATAGACCGGCAAAGATGAGCACCGGGGCGCGTCCGCACGAGGCATTATGAACTGCTGCACCGAGTCCTTGTGTGCCGACATCGACGTGGACGATCACTGCTTGCGGCTTGCCGGTCAATCGGGCGTAGCCGTCGGCCATGGAAAGGGCCACCATCTAACCCAAGCATTTAGCGTAAGAGTGGGGCCGCAGACCCTAACGAAGCGATGCCGCTAGTCTAGGTGGGTCATATGATGCAATTGTTGACGAACCTCATTGGGGCAGGTGATGATTGTTGGAAACTGATCTTTTCTCTCTTTGTGGCCTTTCACCATGGCCTCGAGGATGGATGGGTGGTCGGATCCTAGATTGACGAAGACATGGCTGACACCGCCCTAGGAGGTTTGAAAGCATCAGCTTAACTTCATCTTTGTAGAGTACAATGAATCAATGGTAACATACCTCCCAAAGGGCTTCAAAGAAAGCAAAAGATGCTGTATAACCCCTGGTCTATGTGAGCAAGAATGAGGTTGGTGTAGAAAAGAGGCCTTACATATTCGCCCTATAGAGAGATCTGTGACAACTATGGTAGTTGAGTGGCACAAGTTTGCAAGTCCGTGTCTCTAGATTGCTGAAGAGAAACTAGAAAATAAATCAGAAATTAGTCAAGCCAAGGAGGGGCAGCATTGCTGATAAAGCGCTAGAATCTGGGGAAGCTCGGAATTGGGATCTCGGCCACAACTCCGATGAGGAGACGTGGGGGTTGGAAGACAACTGTGACTGCGTGAGCTCAATGGCACTTTTCGGCTATGATTTATCGAACACTTTCCGAACTGCTCTGTCTTTTATTTCGCCATGAGGGTTGTCCAATAGCTATTTACATTCATAGTGAGCGCGGCCGGTGAGGGGCAATATCAAGCAAGACCCACCGGGAATTGGTCTCCGAACTAAATGATTCTTCAATTGATCTGCTACGTGTAACAGCCTGAATTTATGCAGGAAAAGTTCAATGTCAAAATTTTTGATTGTCCAAAATGACCGTTGGTACTTACATATTCCACAGTTTCTTGGAATGAGGGAGAAAAATACTCACACACAGAAATCGGGAACTTCATAGTCTTCATGATCATTAAAAGGGAAATGAGGGGTCTGTCATCAAGCCAGCCTTAATAGCATAGAGGACAGCCTTCCGCTTTTCAAGCTCGTCATCATTCGAAACTCAGCCAAGGGCATCTGATCCTGTAAGACCTTTCATCCGCGTAAATCGCTGCTCCCTCTCCTGTTCCAGGTTGTATCTATTCAAACAAAGTTGAATGGCTCTTTTTGAGTAGTTGATTGAAAACTCGACAGACTGCGCCCGCAGCTGAGCACTGATCAACCTGCATGGGCAAATTACAGTGCCTCTGTATAATTGCATACTTAATCAATATAAAATCCCAACATAACGAATCTGCTTAGTTCGAAGCATGGAGCTATAGCTTGCGAGAGCATCAAATTGATCTGATAAACATGACATGATCAATGTGGTATCATAGAAATGAACGCCACGCTCTCACATACTAGTCTCTGGAGTCATGTTTTTATGCGCATCGGGTCATGTTGTGATAAATATTCTAGCAGTTTGGCCTTAGGTTGGTCTAAGTTTCAAAATATGGAAGTATTTCGCCTTTCTGAATTTTGTGGACACGCATGCCAGATTCCCAAGTTGAGTGTGAAGCGTGCATCCTTGAAAGTGGACATTTGCTAAGAGTGGGCTGCGGGCGTGTCCGCCCCGTCCAACTTAGAAGGTCGAAATCAAGAGGGACGACTCTCCTAGGGACAAACTTCTCATCTTATTCAGAATCACCCATATTCTTGCCTATATTCTGAACGGTATCGATATTTTAGTATCAAAAACAAAGTGCATCGACCATGTGGCAATGCAGTTTATAGACCAAATAATGGGATAGATTTCAAACACATGGCGTTCTCTTGAAACAACGCTTAAGATGATAAGATCTAGATCTAGAACCTTGAGGAGTAGATTAGCCGACATCAACCACGCGGACCACGCGATCTCGGCTCGAATCTCCCAAACCACCCGATCCCCTAACCCAGCAATTTTACTAGATCGCAACAAGCCGCAGTAATTATTATTGGTCAAAATTTCGCTTGACCTCGTGGTTATCTAATTCCGGAAATTCCGGCCCATTCCCTAGTACCTTTGCCTTGCCTTAGCGCACGGCTTTGGTTTCGAATAGGACTAGTAGGAGGCTCCGTGCCCCTGCTTTCGCCTAACAGTTCCTCGATAATTTACGGGCGGGTACGGTAGTCAGCGATGATTTCTGGGAGTTCTCCACCTCCGCCAGCTTCAGTAATGGATACTTCGCTTCGGAGTGTCCGGGGTCCGTGGATACTTCCCAGCTCTATATAGGGATCTGGTCCCTCCCATCTCCCAGACGGGTTTTTGGTAAGATTTTTACAATCTGGTCGCTTTCCAGTGTTTATTTTCATAAATTTTATATAACTCTTGCCGAGAAGATGCGAACTAGAAGGCGGCGCTGAGTGAACGACTTCCTATCTCGGACAGCACAGAATTGAATCGCCAGAATGGGAGCCGCAATGCCTCTCGAGGGCCGAAGCTTGGCCATTTTTATCGTTTCGATTGTGATGATGTCTCTCTCTGTTATCACAGTTTCATTGCGAACATTTGTTCGATTGAACATTATTCGAGCCTTTGGTTGGGACGATGCTTTGATGGTTGCTGCATTGGTACAATGTCCCCTGTGATATGATCTGATAACAAATTGTTAATTATCTACTAGTTTTTGTTCATACTTTTGAACAGCTGTTGCATCATTGGATCGATGAATGGGATCGGCCACACATATACAGACTTTACAAGTGTGGAGATCTATAAGAAGGCTCTTGTGGTATGTGGGATCTACAAGGCAAAACTACGGGTTGGTTTATATTTTGCTAATCGCTGACCCTCATAGTGGTGGTGGCTCGGTCAAATGCTCTACGTTTGGACCTCTGCTGTTACTAAAATTTCCATCGCACATGCACTGCTTCGATTGGCTGTCAAGAAATGCCATCGAATAGTTCTTTGGTGTATAATCGTTGTCACAATCTTGATCGGGCTTATGTTCTGGCTAATATTACTTTTTGACTGCCACCCTATCTCCTTTTTCTGGCAACAAGTGGACCAAACGACCACAGGAAGATGTCTGCCCAAGCCAATCCTTCTAAATATTGCCTATTTTTACAGCGTTTCGACCATATTGTGTGATATAACACTTGGTATATTGCCAGCTTTCTTAGTCTGGAACCTGCAGATGAATTTCCGGACGAAGTTTGCCGTTGGAGGAATCCTCAGCCTGGGAGCAATGTATGTGATCCCTTCCCCGCTTTATGCACAGGATCGCACTAATTCTTCCAAGTGCGAGTGTTGCAGTGGCCTGTCGAATCCCATTCCTGCAATATTACTCCGACCAAAACTTTCTTTGTATGTTCTCAGCCACTTGCTCCTCTTCTCTTTCGATAAAGTTTGAGACTAATTATCTCTCAGATTCGACCTGGCAAATTGCCATATGGTCCGTCATTGAGACCGGCCTCGGCATCACAGCAGGCAGTCTAATCACTCTTCGTCCTTTATTCCGCTGGCTTTTGGATGAAAACACCACATACTCCAAAAGCACACCCGACCAAGGAAAGCATTTGCGATCATATCCACTGTCTACTTTGAACAGTGATGGATTCACGAGATCCCAAGATACGAGATACTGGCGCCCTGATATCGACCCAGATGATGCCAAAAGTGTAATAATCACAGTCTCATCGCCAAGGCGGAAGAATTTCAGCCTTAGCAACAGCAGCCAAGAGGCTTTGAATGCAGAGCTGAGTCCGGCGATCTCACCAAATCATGTTAGAGTCCAACAAACTTTTGTACAAATAGTCACAGAGCGACAAAAATAGACAAGTTTCATTTGTGCAGAACTACATCTGATTTAATTAGGCTTTTTGAATTTTCATATCCAATGGTTGAGAACGTGGGTTACCAAGGTTGAGTTACCCAGATTCAGCTAGCTTATTTCCCCAAGCTTTCTTTCTATTGCTGAATCAAAGAGCGAGGCATTGAGCTTCGGCTCTGGTTTCCCTGGTCGTCTTATACTCCGAACATTCCTCGTAGTTGGCTGACTGGCTGAGGATATTTTAAGGTTAGGCCGCCTTGTCGCCCTCCCTGAAAACTTGGTTTGGGGCTGACCCCGCGGGGCTGAGGCACCTACCAACATGGAGTGGTGATTATATGCATTGCTATTGGACTAGTAATCTATAGACAGGGCTGATCCTGTGAAAAAATCACTGGCGCAGCTGAAGCAAACACGAATAATGGGGCACCTGAATGGCCCAAAATTGGCTTGGCTGCCGAAGGTGGCGTCGGAGTTCGTATCTTAGCAGGACTAGTCCCTATAGTTTCATGCAGGCCAAGCAGAAAAGGAGGAACCACAACGATCATCGTCCACTGGAGCTAGGATTTTAGATGTGTATATATCCAATTATGAAATGCAATTACATAAATACCCAGACCCCACCTACCAGACTCGAGGAAATTCCACTGAGTCCCATTTAAACAATTTATCCAGCATAGAGATAAAATGTCTTTGTGCTCTGAGCACCAAGTGCTTCCATACGTTATCCAACAAAGACGGGACGCCAAACTCCCTCCAATCCGCAAACGCATCATCATCTGCTGTGATGGAACATGGCAGTCCGCCGTCTCAGGGAAGAAAAACGTCCCATCGAACGTGACGCGTCTCTGCCGCGCAGTGAACAGTGTCGGAACTGACGAAAAGGGCAACCAGTGGCAGCAAATAGTCTGGTACGACTCCGGAATTGGTACGACCTCTCTTGCGCTGGGAAAGAAGATCGAGGGCGCCATCGGAGAGGGTGTGGAAGGCAACATTGTCGAAGCTTACAATTTCTGCGTTCTGAACTACAGTCCCGGGGACCAGATTATGTGCTTTGGGTTCTCGAGAGGCGCCTTTACGGCCCGTGCGATTGCTGGGTTGATCTCTGATATTGGTATCTGTGGTAAACATGATTTGAATAAATTTCCCGATCTTTGGGAGGTTTATAAAAAGAATGAGCCCGGGAAGAGGTTTTATTGCAGTGATCTTTGGTTTGAGTGGATGGAAGGGAAGGCTGATGAGAATCAGGGTGCGAAGGGTGACGAATTCATTTTTGAGAAGCGTGCTCAAGGTGATTGGGCCCAGGAGGGGTCTAGAAATATTGAGGTTGTTGGAGTTTATGATACTGTTGGTAGCATTGGAATACCGGAGGTTTTGGGCGTGAAGCTCCCATCATGGCTTCTGTGGTGGTCTGATAAAGGTAGCTGGGAGAATGTTGATCTTTCAGCCAGTGAGTACAGAGCGAGATTGCCGTTCCCCTTGTCTCCGGGATTGTGAGATGTTGAACGATACTGACGAAAGAACACCAGATGTGCGACATGCATTCCAAGCTTTAGGTCTCGACGAACACCGCAATGCATTTACACCCACACTGTGGTATTTGCCCAAATTCGGAAATGTCACCTCAGAGCAGATAGAAGCTCAAAAGTCGGCAGTCGAGAAGAAAGCCCAAGAGTGGGAAGAACTCCTACAAAATGCAATCAAGCTCAAGGAGAGCCGCAAGGCCAGTGACGAGGATATCAACGGTGCAGCTCGACACCTCAACATGACTGCGAGAGCCTTGAACGAGGAGAGTCGAAAATTAACTAAATTGGAAGACGACCGGAGACACCAAGTCCACCCTCGCACATTGAGGCAAGTGTGGTTCCCCGGATATCACATCAACATTGGTGGAGGCTCGGACGACACACTTCACAATGAGGGCGACATGGAAGAAATGTCCTCTATCACCTTTGCCTGGATGCTTGACCAGATCAAGCCATATCTCTCGCTCAACGAAGAATACCTCGGCAAGGAAAGAGCAGATATGGAATTCCACATCTCAACACTTGTTGAAAAGCCACAACTCAGGGAATCCCTGTTGGTGCAGGCTCAACGCACAGCGGCAGTCTTCAAACGTTCCTCCCTTGCGACCGTCGAATCCGGCGACAAGCAGCGCAGCTATGGCTGGGGAACGGGTGTTCTGAAAGACAGCTTCACACCATTTTATTACCTCAACGGATCGAAGAAACGCACACCAGGAAGCTATGATCCATTAGACAAAGATGGCCAGCCGCTTGGTGATACCTTCGAATATGTCCACCCGGTGGTAGGGTTCAGAGAAAAGCAGCTGCCAGAGTACACGCCTATTGGCCATGGAGTCAAATTCAACCGACGGAAAATTGTCGACGAAAAAGGCCGTCCTTCTGTTGTGTATGATCTGGGTAATGCACGCAAGCCCTTACCTGAGTGGCCCTTGGGAGGGTTGGACTCCTATGAGAGGTTGGCCATCACCGGTAAGGCTGCGTATGATTATGTCGATGAGCTGGATGTATATTTAAGGACGGGAATTAAGACGCCCCGTCGGTCTGTTTGGGGTATTCCAGATATTGATATCGGAGTTGAATCGGCAAAGGTTGCGACGCCTAATCCTCCTGATGTTGGACAAGATGGATTCGAGGCGGAGGTTATTCAGGAAGAATTTGAATCGAAGGGGTTCGAGAGCAAAGGAGTTAAATGGAGTACCTCGGAGGTGTCATACTCCAAAACGGTAATTCGGGGGTGAATTTCTTTTTTTGGTATTAATAATGGAGCCAGCAAACTCAGCTAAGGGACACGCGCGGCACGGATTTGGGGCTTTCTCCTGTATTCTTTTTCAACTATTTGTGAAATGATCTTTACAGCTTCAAATGAAAGTATTAATCCCAATTCTTTCCATGCTGGCTTTGAGTGCTAAGAATAGCATTGATTGATTAAATATACCAGCCCTACAACGTACATACACTGTACATCATAGGCCATTCTCATGTACTCGGCAGCTCCTTACTTGATTTGGTCAACTTACAGAAAAACAAGCATTTGTGGGGATGATATGACGTTGTAGGGCTGAGAATATCGTCATTTTGGCTTGGACTTGCTTGGAGTTGCTTGGAAGCGACCATGCCAAAACGCCCAGAAAATATGAACATTTAGGCATCACAATTCTTTCTCCATTGTGATCTATTTTGATCGAATCCACACCCCATTCAATCCCTCTGGACCCAGTTGAGCCCTAAAAATATTCATCATCTAATTCTTCGAGCTAAGCCTACGTCATAATAAAACCTTCAGTTATGGATGCACTATATCCACGGAACGTAACAGATGTTGTGGAAATACTTGCTGCGACCGGTTCCTTTCTCTTCATTGCAGTCGCTTTGCTTATTAGACAACCTCTCAGTCCTAATCGCTTTCGCTATACCATGGTTTCACGCAAACTGTACAATCTCTGCCAGAAGCCGTCTGTGACTTCGGAGTTGGCAAAGGACCCCTCACAAAACCCGCAGAAGGTCTTTCATAAGCTATTTGAGGGTCACGGTCATCATCTTTCGCATACGCATGATGGTATAGAGGAATCAGAGTCGGACAAAGTGTCAAAATGGGAGGAGTTAGATGAGCTGCAGAAGGCTCGCGCTTGTGGAAATTTCGGGTCTACAGAAACAAGTGAGCTCTTTTTGAAGGTATGCTAATTTCGTCCTTGAGTTGAATTTGATAGTTAATCTCGTCAACGATGTTTAGGTGTATCATGACGCTCTGTGTGCCTTGGAAAAGAACCCCATGTCGGGGGTTGTCTCTCCCCCTCTACTAGGGAGCACAGGAGTCTTACCCCTGACAATTGTCGCCCCATTACCAGATCTATGTCGTCATTTAGCGAATTGTATTGTTCGTGCCGAACATGAAGTTTTTCTAGGTACGAATTTTTGGATCCACTCTGAGGCATCCACCCTGGTGACGAATGCCATCCGCGAGCTGTCGAAAAGAGCGGGGGAAAGAGGCGAGAAGGTAGTGATGAAGATGATCTACGACCGGGGAGATCCTCGCCAGGTGAGTTTTCATAGGTGCTTGTCTGTCTACATATAGGTTAAATCCTAATTGATCTTAGGCATGGGAAAATAGACTCAATGTCAAAGAAGAGCAGTACGTTGGTGGGAAAGTAAGACTACCTGCAGCCAGCGAAATCCCCAATGTCGATCTGCAGGTCATCAACTTCCACCGGCCCATTTTTGGAACATTCCATGCGAAATTCACTGTGATTGACCGACGCATGGCTCTGATACAGAGCAGTAATATCCAAGACAACGATAACCTCGAAATGCTGTCACATCTCGAGGGACCCATTGTTGATTCCTTCTACGATGCTGCTTTGCTATCCTGGGGAAAGCCGCTTGAGCCCCCATTCCCACTTTTGGTTTCCCCAGCCAAGGATGCACCCATACCATGTCACAAAGAAGCTGGAGAGACGAACGGTCTCTCTACAGATACTGGAGCCGAGTCTCTACCTGAGCATACAACTAAATCTCTACACTACGATCAGGACTTTGTTCAGGAGGCCCAGAGAGTCAACGGTTGTATTAATCCACTAGAAAATGAGTCACCTACTGAGGCCGTCAGCCGCCATCTAAGTAAGTACACCCAAATACCATCTCCAATCATACCCTAACATCGACTCAGATACCACCATCCAGCCAGATACAAAAGGCGACGCACCAGATAGCGACCAAGACCCCAAATTCACTCCATACATGGTCCTCCCCCGCCACAAGCCTTTCCCAATGGCAGTAGTAAACAGAGAGCCATTTGGTTGTAAGTACCCATCCAAAATCCAAAATCCAAAATCCCAAGTCTAACATTCCCAAGCCCCAAACCACAGCAGCGTCAACACACCCCAAAACTCCGCCTGGCTGTCGGCAATCAACCACGCCAGCAAATCCATCCTCATCCAGACACCAAACATGAACGCCGAGCCTCTACTCGAGCCTCTGTTGAACGCAGCTCGCCGCGGTGTCACGGTAACCTGCTACCTATGCCTCGGCTACAACGACGCAGGCGAGCTCCTCCCATTCCAGAATGGCACGAACGAAATGATCGCAAATAAACTGTACAGCTCACTCGAATCGGACGAGGAGAAGGCCCGTCTACGTGTGCACTACTATGTTGGCAAGGACCAGACTCGGCCGATCCACAATAGTTTCAAGAAGCGGAGCTGTCATATTAAGCTTATGATTGTTGATGAGCAGATTGCTATCCAGGGTATGTTTCTCGCTGTGTTGAGTGGTGGTTAGCGGTGCTGATGTTCGTGCAGGTAATGGAAACCTCGACACGCAGTCGTTTTTCCACAGCCAGGAGATCAATGTTCTTATTGACTCTGGGCTTGTTTGTCGTGCTTGGACGGAGTTGATTAATCGGAATCAGAATACGGCCGCTTATGGTGCCGCTAGTCCCAAGGATGGGTGCTGGCATGATCCAAAGACCGATGAGATACCACCGGGCTCTATGGGGCCCGTTCCTGGTCGCTTTAGCTGGGCTAAGGGAGCTATTGGTGCTGTGCAGAGAGTTAGGGGTGTTGGTGGATTCTAGAGTTAACGGAATCTTCTGCTTTGGTATCTCATTATTTGGATTTATTGCTAGGATATCTCCGGATCCGGGAAATTGCACATAGGAAATGTTATATTGGATGTTTTTAGCAATCTAATGAAACGGGATAGCGTCCATCTACTGCTTTTCTGTCGCGCAGATTGCAGTATGAAGGCCTTGGCGGCTCAATAGATACATATGTACATGTAGACAAAGCAACGGACGAATGTCACCTACCGGAGAACCACAAAGCACCTCGCGTGTGACTGTGATGCTAGGAAATAATACACCGATTAGAAGCCCACAAACAGCATTGGGACAGCTCATCGACAACTCTGTACTCGATATCCCGTCCATTCAAAGATCTTCGAATATAGGTATCTATATCCAAACTCCCTCGCCATCAATGTCTCACCCATACGACCAACCAATAATCGACATCGTAAACTACGTCTACAAGTATACCCTGGACGAAGACGACGAAGAGATCTGGAAATGCGCCCGCACGGCTCTTCTCGACGCAATGGGCTGCGCAATCGAAACAGCAGCAACAAGCGAAGCATGTCGCAAACTACTTGGCCCGGTCGTTGAAGGAACAATCGTTCCAAATGGCTTCCAGGTCCCAGGAACAAACCTTCAGGTCGATCCCGTGAGGGGAGCGTTCGATTTAGGCGTTTTGATCCGCTATTTGGATCATAACGATGCGCTCGGTGGTGTGGAATGGGGACATCCTTCAGGTACGACTCATCTGCATTTGAATGGACTGGGTGAGATTAATGGTCGGAACAGATAATCTCGGCGCTATACTTCCGGCAATGGATTGGCTGGCGCGAGCGAGTATGTCGGGGCACGTTCACCGCGGGCCGCGACTGACGATACAGACGCTGTTGGTTGCGCTGGTAAAGGCGTATGAGATTCAGGGCTGCTACCAAATGGGGAATGCGTTTAATGCCTACGGTATCGACCATGTAGTGCTTGTTAAATTGGCGTCGGGAGCCGTTGTCTCCTGGCTTCTTGGGTTGACAGAAGAGCAAGCCATGGCGACTGTGTCTCATGTCTGGATGGATGGCCATCCGAGTCGAGTGTATCGATCTGGATCGAACACAATCCCGAGGAAAGGCTGGGCGGCCGGTGATGCAGCAAGAAGGGCTTTGGAGCTGGCGCTTTTGGTGTTGCGGGGCCAGCCTGGGTCGCCTGGGGCTTTGAGTGCGAGGCCGTTTGGATTTTTGGAGAGAACGTTTGGAAAGGCGTTTGTGCTACCGCGGGCTTTTGGGTCATGGACTGTCAGAAATGTGTTGATCAAGACTATGCCTGTTGAGGGACATGCGATTTCTGCTGTGGAGGCGGCTGTTTTGCAGGCTGGTGTGTTTCGGCGGATGGGGTTGTTGGATCCTGTTGGACAAATTGGAGGGATATCGCTGAGGACAACTGACGCTGCAATTATGATTATTGACAAACAAGGTCCGCTCAACAATGCTGCTGATCGGGACCACTGCATTCAGTATGTTGTTGCTTTGGCTTTCCTGAAGGGAAGTCCTCCGGAGGCGGCAGACTATCTAGACGAGAGCCCTTGGGCAAAGAGCAAGGATCTGACAGCCCTGCGGGAAAGGATTGTCGTCAAGGGTGACCGTCGCCTTCAGGAAGATTACTTGGATCTGGACAAAAAAAGCATCGGGGCGGGCATGACGGTCTATCTCAAAAATGGCACAGAATTGCGGGAGATCTTGATTAAGTATCCTGTGGGACACGTACGGAACCCCAAAACACCTGCAGCGGTGCAGCAGAAGTTTTTCAAAAATATGGGCTATATGTTTTCCCCGACAGAGATCAGTCGGATTTTGGGGGCTGTTCGAAATCCAGATGTTTTAATGTCGGATTTCATGGATCTTTTCATTCCCTCGTTGGTCACGTCAAGGTTATAGAGAAATATATCTGCGAGAATGAATAGGTTCAACTGGCCAAAAAAAACCCAGTCTTGTCAAGGGTATCTAATATTGTCGCTCTGCTCTCTCAGTCAATTCTTCCAACTCCCTGAAGTGTCAAATAGACATCAGTTCCCCATCCCCACAAGCTTTGCACAGCAATACTGCCTCCAAAGTATTCAGCATAGGCTCTGCTCAGCGGCAACCCATACCCAAGACCCGCAATACTGCTGAGGTGGCCACCGCTCGCAGAAATGGTATTCAAAGCATCCATATTTCTATTCTCTGAGTTCTGAACATCCATATCGGAGAAAGTCGTAAAACTGTACGACCAGATATGAGGCAAGACTTCAGGTGGGATGCCACCCCCGCGATCACGAATGCGGATTGTGATACTCTGCGAAGACGGAGCCGAATAACCAATATATTCATTCCGATTGGCCCGATCACCCTCCGAGTCCAACTCAATTGCAGTATCATTATCATTATCCCCCGAGATAGGCGGCTGGTCGCCGGGCACATCTGGCGCCGCAGCAATAGTCACTTCGATAGGTTCGCGCTCATTCCCGTTCTCAATGCTCGCCCGGAATGCATTTTTCAAGAGCTCCGTGATGATGTACTCGATGTGTACGGGAATATGGGCGAACGAGGCATCAGGCTCGCCCCCAATCTTCAAGCTCGGTCGCACCCCGTACTTGAGTTCGCAAATCTCTCCGACGAAATCCTCGCATTGCCGAATGATCCGTGCGGGCTGCAGGGCTGTGTCGATCACTCCGATATAGTTTGGAGGAATTGAGCTCTTGGGCGCTTGCGCACTGGATTCGGCGGATGTGTCATCTTTAATTGGTTGGGAGGCGTAGTGAAGAGCCAGATGTTGCTCGGCGATCAGGCGTGTGCCGATACGCGCGCGCAGGTGCGTGTCTAGGAAGCTTGTGACGTCGGCGGGGCTGACGTATTTCCTGCATTCAAGAAATCCGCGGGCGAGGACCGGGATTGTATTTGTATGGGTTTGGACGAGGTCGGCTAGCACGTCTCCGAATTGGTTCTCTTCTTCAAGGGTTGTGATGCGGCGCTGTTGGTATGGTATGAGGGTTGATAGCGAATGAAGGTAGTTATGGTATATTTTGGAGACATGGGGATTCGAGACGACAATGAAGGGCAGGTTTCGTAATGCTTGTATTCGAGATGCCAGTCGAGCGGGGAGTAGGGAGAGAGTGAAGTTGGCCGAGGCTAGAAGAGCCTCTTTGTCCAATGGTGGGCGACCATGTCTAGATGGGCATAAGGTTAGCCTCTCTCTTGGATATGAGTCGGGAGACACGAGGGACAAACTTGAGTAGGTCTGCAAGTGTCAAAGGTCGACGGGGACTGGCAGCCAGCTGCGCAACATTGTCTTTGGCGACATCAAATGGGCGACCAGCCCAATTTTCGCTCTGCGTGGATGATCGACGGGCAATACAACGTCGCAGAGTCAGGGGGAAGCGACATCCGGGCCTTGACGGCAAAGCTCGAGGTATTGAGGTCGCCATTGTGAATTGTGACCATGAGGTGGAGGGTCAGTGGTGGTAGACAATGATTCGCCGAGGCGGTGACGATGATCTGCACTACGAAGCGGATATCGTCGGTCTTCGTTTTCCACCATATCAACAAGGATCTTGTCATCTCTTAGGTACGTTGTACTGAATTTTCCTATCTCTGGCACCTGAAACTAGTATATATCTACATAAATATCTGTAGTTTACTTAGGTCTGCAAACGCAGTGTGATGTAAGTCAAACTCATTGTGGAATGAAAATGGCTCCATCTGGTGCCTGTACCTCGCATTTGGAACGCTGGTTAATCATAAGATGTACATGGCATCGCGGATGAAAGCAGTCGCATAGTTGGTATCAAGTCATCTCGCTTAAGAAATCATAACAAAGAGCCCCCCGGGTGTTCAGTTCCTCTGTCGCATTACCGTCCAATCCATGCAAAGTGGATAATCCATGCACAACTGCAGTCTCTCAGTCGGCCCCAAGTCAGTTGGATGACAGTCGCCTACTGAGTGTTCATTGCGCCATCTTGTTCGACATGGACGTGCTCGGTTGACTCGAGGGTTTGGACAGTGTCATCGGGGAACTCGATACTGTAATCGATCATTGTTATTAGATTCGTGAGGAAACTTGTGCGGCTGGATAGCCCATAGCGCAAGTTCAGTGCGTCACTTACGTGAAGCCTTTAATGAGGCTGTATGAGTGTCTGATGGTACCGCCCTTCTCTGTGAATTCCTTCTTGGCGCTGGAAGACGCGTTAGTATGACTAGATACTCGATGATGAAGCGCGACTTACTTTTCAAGCTCGACGTCGGGAGCATCAGGTTTGAGGGTGATCTTAGAATCCAAGAATGTCAGTTTAAAGTTCGCGTGTTTCTGATTCAAGTACTCACGTTGTACAGAGGCATGGTGGAGTAGAGTGGAGTAGCAGATCGATAGTAGAACAGGCAGAACGCGAGATATGTCAACGTTTAAGCAAATTGAAAAGCAAGGTGGTGATGAAGATAGAGAAGAAAAGAAAGGTTGAAGCCTTTAGCATTTTATGTGCGATAAGATGAGGGGAACATCCTTTGAAGCAGGTACCCCTTGGGATAATGACCCGCATTTGACATGCATATTCTTCTCTCTGTCTTCTTCCTTTCTCTTCTCTTCTCTTTTCTTTTCATTTCTCATTATTCTTTTCTCTTACACATACAAACAATCTAGTACAGCGATTCGATAAATGTGCCTTTCGGTGTTACTTGAACATGTCGTGATCCGAACTACCAACGTCTTACAACCAACCCCCTTTGGGAGAAGGCCTGTCAGACATGGCGTCACGCAACATTCCCAAAAACCTGAATATTTTCCATATCCTCCTATCCTCATTGCAAGGGCTTCTGATATTTGATATCTGATTTCGATTTTGTCTAATTCTGTAAGGTTGCAGTGGTATGACGACACTGCCCCTCTATATCCAATCAGTAATTGCGGGGTGCTGCAAAACATTATAGTTATATGTATTCGGTATAGAGCCTATGGTCAGTGTAGGTATTCCCCTACAATACTAGAACATCCCAATCGGCTTTATCCACAAGATCAGAAAGAGACTCCAATATATATACACGTAGATAGACACAATTCAAAAAAAGACAGAATGAAATATTGAAGACGTATTTTGGAGAGTCGACTATCTAGCCTGAAGGTTCTACAGCCCCACGTAACCATCCTCCTCGCGACTAGGCATTTTCATACCGTGCATTCCCTTGTATTGAGGACTTTCCGGTGCTTTCCATCCATTCAGAACCTTGTCCGGCAATTGAAATACCTCCACGCCTAACGGGCGGCAAGTCGATCCCATATCAAGCTCCTTATCGTCCCAGCCCCATTTGGAAAGATCACCTGGGAGTATCATCAGCATGTATCATCAGAGACAATCTCCAAAGTTTCTTACCACCAGGACATGCAGATAACGCACAGAGAACATCCACTTCTGCAAAGAATTCAAAGTATTCGCCAGCCTTTGCAGGGGATGTCTCCATGAAATATTTCCCGTCCTCATCAAGACCGGTCACTTGAAACACATTCAAGACATCATGGACATCCAATTCCGTCAACCCATATGGGACCACAGAGCGTGTCAAGTTCGAGTGACAGTGGAAATCGAATGTCTCTCCACCCATGAGCAGATTCACATATGGATCACAACGAGTGCCCATCAAGTCATGCACCCGGCCTCCAAATTGCGTAGTCCCGAACACAGCCTCAGGATTCCGCTTCCCATCTGGTCCAAGTACGTCATGCAGCTGCCCGCCGCCAAGCGAGTCACCAGTAATCGTGACCAGGGGCCGTAAGTAGGGCAAGTTGGACCACAATCGGTCGCCTACCGAGACGTGGGATGCGTGAATTTGACGGGTGCGTGCAGCCCACATTCGCTCCCGGGGATTATTAGCGTTCCATATGTTTAGGTCGCCCACTTGCGGTCCATCGGGTGTAGTCAAGCGACATATGTGCCCGGCGGGAACAACCCACGCTTGGGCTGAGCATGGCCGAATGGCGAATTTCTCCTTTGGGGTCCGCGCAGATGGGTTGGATGCGGTCTCTGAAATTGTTCTGTAGAGCTGTGAGACAGCATGCACCCCCGACTCGGGTGGTGCTGTGTAAGCTGGGGGTGGTCGACGAGCAGACATTGTATACAATTCAAAGTTGGAATATAGCGAAGAATTCAAGAAATCCCTTTTGAAGATTCCCAAGAAAGTCCACGTTGGATTGACGAGAGTAGCAAGATGTTGTATGAAAATTTCGTAACCAGGAGTGAGATCGGACTATTTAGAACTAGAAATTGAGACAGCTTTATAACCCCCTCTAGAATATCGGATGAGCTCCCCGATATCGATTGGCCCCGCATAGTTAACCGCGGAAGAGAATTACATCCAACAATTGATAAAAGGCGTGCAAGATAGCGTTCTCTAGCGAGGGAGATACGGAAACGAGATACGGGACTTGACTCAAGAAGGAAAGCTCAACCAGCGGGGGTAACAATCGGGGCGACGATCGGGGAACCCGGCCCGGTGTTCTAGGTGGACTCAGTATTACACCTTATCCCTAAGGCATTATATAATTTTGACGCTAACCCAAATAGGGTACTTTTCAAACCGCCGGTGCCAAAGTATTTCCGCTCCGACAAAATTATTTTGGGGCAGGCAGAGGTTCTACAACGAAACTGCTTTAACCTGATTGCTCTGTCATTATTTTACTTTGATAAAAGCGGGAGTGGAGCTGTGAGGTATTGCACCTCTTTACATACAGCATGGAGCAACAGTCCAACAGGGCGCATCGCCCTGCGAAGGAGAAGAAGAAATTTGATGGTAAGTCAAGGCCGTTCTGACACAAAAGCTGCAAGTTCTTTGCTTTGCTAGAGTCCCTACTAATCCAAGGTTTTTGCATAGGTGCCAACCCTAAGGCCTTCGTCACTTCTCGGCCTGGAAAGCTCAACAAACAGGCTGCACGATCCCACGATGTACGTGCTTGAAGTTTCTTCCAATCTCCCAATACATACTGACCTGGACTTTCCTCTAGGTCAAAGAAAAGAGACTCCATGTCCCTCTCGTGGATCGCATGCCCGAAGAGGCCCCGCCAGTTGTTGTCGCAATTGTCGGACCCCCCGGAGTCGGCAAGACAACTCTTCTCAAGTCTCTGATCCGTCGCTACACCAAGCAAACCCTCAGCTCGCCCCAAGGTCCATTGACCGTTGTCACCACCAAGCGCAAGCGTCTCACCTTCCTCGAATGTCCGTCCGACTCTCTCGCGGCCGCGATCGACGTTTCCAAGATCGCAGATATCGTGCTCCTCATGATTGACGGAAACTTTGGATTCGAAATGGAGACTATGGAGTTTTTGAACGCCTTGTCGACGGCCGGTATGCCTGGTAATGTCTTCGGTATTCTGACACATCTTGATCAGTTCAAGAAGCAGAGCACTTTGAAGGATGCCAAGAAGCGCCTCAAGCACCGATTTTGGAGTGAGCTTTACTCTGGCGCAAAGCTTTTCTATCTGTCTGGTGTCATCAACGGTCGGTACCCCGATCGCGAAGTCCACAATCTTTCCAGATTCTTGTCTGTCATGAAGAACCCCCGTCCACTAGTGTGGCGTAACTCCCACCCATACTCCCTTGCAGATCGCTTCTTGGACATTACGCCACCTACCAAAATCGAGGAGAACCCGAAATGTGATCGTACCGTTGCGCTCTACGGTTACTTGCGTGGTACCAACTTCCCCGCCCACGGTGCGCGAGTCCATGTTCCCGGTGTTGGTGATCTGACCGTTGCCGGCATTGAGGGCTTGCCCGATCCATGCCCCACTCCTTTCATGGACCAGCAGGTTCAAAAGGCGACCGGCAAGTCTAGGGCCCGCAAACTGGGCGAGAAGCAAAAGCTGCTTTTCGCTCCGATGTCTGATGTTGGTGGTGTCCTGGTCGACAAGGATGCAGTGTACATCGATATCAAGACCAATACCTTTGACCGGGATTCTGATGAAGACTCCGGTGATGAGGAGCGCCGCGGTCTTGGCGAGCACCTTGTTGTTGGTCTTCAGGGTGATCGCAAGATGCTTGGTGAGGCTGATCAGGGTGTTCGTCTCTTCCGAGGAGGTGAGGCGATCGCTCAGGCAGATGACGATGAGACAGGCCGAAAGGGCCAACGCCGCGCCCGCGTCGCTGAACTTGAGCAGAATGACGAGGATGTCCCAGAGGGTTCCGACAGTGAGGAAGAAGCCGATGAGGACATGGACGAGGATGATGTAACCGACGATGAAGGCGAAATCGACATGTCCGCACCTGCAGACTTCGAGAGCCGCTTCAAGGCCAAACAGAACGGCAACGATGGAGAGGAAGAAGATATGGCGTTTGCCGACAGCGATTCCGATCTAGGTTCCATTTCATCCGTCTCAGACCAAGAACTTGAGAGCGGCGATGAAGACGAAGAAGAAGACGAGGAGGAAGATGATGATGAAATTGAGAGCGAGGATGAGGAGGGCAATGTTCGTTGGAAAGACAACATGCTCGCCAATGCCAAAGCTCTTCATGGGAAACGCCCGCCTTGGCGAGTCACCGATCTCTCAAGAATGATGTACGATGAATCAATCACTCCAGTCGATGTTGTGAAGACATGGCGCGGCGATGATTCCGACAATGATTCGGACGATGAAGAAGAAAACGCCGATGACGAAGGCGAGGACTTCTTCAAGAAGACAAACAACGAGAAGAAAGACCAAGCCGACTTCCGCGCCGTTCCAGAGTATGATTATGATGAATTGGAGCGCAAATGGCGGGACGAGGAGTTGCTCGAATCGCTCAGACGTCGCTTTATTACTTCGAAGCTGTCCGGTGGTGGTGGCTCAGACGACGAGGATGACGATATGGATGAGGATGAAGAGGATGAGGGTGATGGTGACTACGAAGATTTGGAGTCCGGTGAGGTCTTTAACGGCATCAAGGAAGATGGCGAAGAAGATGATGAAGAGGAGGGCGATAATGAGTCCAAAGAGACTCCTGACCTGGAAGCCGAGCGTGAGCGAAATGCCAAGAAGAAGGAAGAGCTCAAGCTTCGTTTCGAGGAGGAAGATCGCGAGGGTTTCGGAAACGCCCAGGACGGCGACCGTGACAACCTCGAAGGCCAATTCGGAGAAGACGACTGGTATGATCTACAGAAGGCGAAGCTGCAAAAACAGGCCGACATCAACCGCGCCGAATTCGACAACCTCGATCCTGCCTCACGCGCCCGCGCCGAGGGCTACAAAGCTGGTACATATGCACGAATTGTCCTTGAGAACGTTCCTTACGAGTTCGTTTCCAAGTTCAACCCTCGTTTCCCTGTCATCGTTGGTGGTCTCTCTCCCACCGAAGACCGCTTCGGATATGTGCGCATCCGCATCAAGAGACACCGCTGGCACAAGAAGATTCTCAAGACTAACGACCCGTTGATCTTCTCGCTTGGTTGGCGCCGCTTCCAGACGATGCCCATTTACAGCACCTCCGACAGTCGGACGAGAAACCGCATGCTCAAGTACACACCTGAGCACATGCACTGTTTCGCTACCTTCTACGGACCCCTTGTCGCTCCCAACACTGGTTTCTGTTGTGTGAACTCGTTCTCAAACAAGAACCCCGGATTCCGTATTGCCGCAACTGGTGTTGTTGAGAGCGTCGATGAACACACCGAAATCGTCAAGAAGCTCAAGCTTACTGGTCAGCCTTACAAGATCTTCAAGAACACGGCTTTCATCAAGGATATGTTCAACTCTTCCCTCGAAATTGCCAAGTTCGAGGGTGCATCCATCAAGACAGTCTCTGGTATTCGTGGTCAGATCAAGCGTGCACTCTCCAAACCCGATGGCTGCTTCCGTGCTACCTTCGAGGACAAGATCCTGATGAGTGATATTGTCTTCTTGCGCGCGTGGTACCCCATCAAGCCCCACCGCTTCTACAACCCCGTGACGAACTTGCTGGATCAGGTCGAGGGCGAAAAGGGTGATGCTGGATGGCAAGGCATGCGCTTGACTGGTGAAGTCCGTCATGCTCAAGGAATTGCCACCCCCCAACTCAAGGACTCGACCTACAAGCCCATCGAGCGACAGGAACGCCACTTCAACCCGCTCCGCGTGCCAAGACAGCTTGCCGCGGAACTTCCCTTCAAGTCCCAAATCACCAAGATGAAGGCTCGCAAGGACCAGACATACATGCAGAAGCGTGCTGTGGTGCTCGGAGGCGAGGAGAAGAAGGCCCGCGATCTCATGCAGAAGCTCACTACTATGCGCAACGAGAAGCAGGCCAAGCGCTCTGCTAAGCAGGAAGAACGCCGCAAGGTCTACCGCGCTAAGGTCGCTGATAGTCTGGAGAAGAAGGCTGAGCGCGAGAAGAGAGAGCGGAACGATTACTGGCGCAAGGAGGGCAAGAAGCGCAAGAATCCGGATGAGGAGTCTGGTGGTCGTGGTCGCGGCAAAAAGCGCAAGTGATCTATTCGTTCTTGGACATGTCTTAATCAAGGGTCTTTTGCATAGACGGCGTTTGGACCCAAAACTTGTATCTACATTATCTTGGATGTTTATTCATATCAAACCTATTTATAAGTTACCTTCTCAATGTTATTTTCCCATCCGTTCTCTATCCCGACTGTATCTCGATCCGTCACCAACATCTCTACCACCCCCTGTTCCACGGATTAGCATAAACTGCCCCAAAGTAGGAAAATACTAAATGGCAAACATGGGCTCGAATACTGTCTAAAGATGTGTCACACCTAGTGTCCGAACCTTTTTTCGATGGCGGACTGGGTACCAGGGATATAAGTAACCCTAACTCAGCACCGCATCCCAAATAGTCATCGGCTCCCAAACAGCCATCGGCTCTCAAACATATAGATCGAGATGATTCCCCCAACCTCGCCCTCCAGTTCTCCATCTACATTCATATCTTCTCAAGTTTCATCAGAGCCTTTTCATTTCAAAACTTTACAACAACAACATCATCATCATCAAACATCTATACATGGCGCCCGTCCTACGCCGTGATAACTCAGCCCTAAACCACGGATATACCGCCGAACAACAAGCCCACGCTATCGAGGCTCTCTGGGCTCTCTCGGGTATTCTCATCCTAGTGAATATTTTCTTTGTGGGAAAGTTGATGTATGTCTCATCCCCATCATTGTCAGGCTATACTCACAACTCACAGTTGACGCCGGTGCAAGTCTAAGTTCCAGGAGAAGAAGATGAGGAAGCAGGCATCCTGGAAACGGAAGCAGGCCAAGAAGGTCGACAAGGGTAAACAGTTGGGTAGGCCTCTAGTTCTTGTTTAATTTGTTACATGCTGATAGTCGGTTAGAGGTTCCCGCCCCTGCTCACCTGGCGGGTACCGAAATGGCTTATCCGGAGATCTCGCATGCTGATCGAATCACTGCTGACTTGACTCCGGAGTATTTGGCGAAGTCGGCTACTCTCGTCGGTGCTACTTAGTCGCTACTTAGTCAGTAGAGGTATTGATGCCTTTTGAGGCTATATAAGGAGAGAAAGAGACTTTAACGTTTTGATTTTAGTTATCTGGTTCTTTTGTTTCTTCTTAGTTTGCGTTTATCTTCTATTCAATTGCCTGTCACTTTTCTGTTCAATATCTCTGGTTTTGAATGTCCTTCCGCTTGTTGTTGTTCATTACTTGAGTCAAAACTTGTGTTATTGTTTTGAATTAAACTGCTATAATTATCTCATTTTATTATGGTCTTTGAAATGTAGATTTGATTTTGATATATGTCTTAGGGGATTGATTCTGCCCAAGTTCTAGATCCCATCTGATTCTGGCAGGTACTAACTACGGAGTAGTCCTTGCACTTTTGGCAATACAATTCTATACCTTCTTATTATTGTCAGCCATTACATCATTACAAAAAACTTCTTGAAAAGCGAAGCGCCTTACGGATCCCGAGGTCCTTTTTTCATAAGGAACATACCACTAGATATGATGCTGAAGGTGGGTGGTTAGTAAAAGATGATGTATTCAGCTATCTAGTGCGAGCCCTGGAACTATAAGGGGCTGAGCCACAAGGGTCTGAGTCATAAATGTTGGAGGAGAATCCATAACATATGTGTACGACCTCGGGATGAGACAACCCCTACCTGCCCTTTCGGGCGATTAGGCGCCTAGAGCACCTAAAGTGATACAGGTGTCCACGGGTATCCTCACACATGAGATATGCGCTTCTAGTTTAGCCTGATAAGTTACAGCAGTATATATACAGACAGGGCGCCAGCATAGACCTTGTTGGTTCAATACCTTTGACGGCAAAACAAATTATCGATAGATATGGGACTGTCTGTTTACAAAAGAAGAAAATGATTTGGGGGCACTCGAGGGCACGACAGCAGGTGGAAAGCACGAGTACAAGTTGCGCCACGAAAACTTATTTTCTGTGAGCCCAAATATCATACAAAACGCGGTCCAGCAAATTTATGGCCTTTATAATATGGCGGTTGCTTCACACTCGAAACCGCTACTCTCATCTTCGCAAAGACCGTGGTTTTGTCTTTCACGGATTCTAGCATCACATGCGATGGTAGCGCGACTATATATCTCAATGGTTATACCGGCTCACAGTCGCCTCATATCATCAATAAATCGAAAATAGAAGCGGAAGGCTCCTCTGTCAAATGGGCTATGAATTTAGTTTGGTGTACACGGCACCGTGGCCGCCTCTGCTACTGCGAAAACCACCGCGGGGATAATACTTATACAGTGTTAAAACGAGAGTTCTTCGAATAGGTTCTCTATGCGAACTACCATTGCCTCGAAGAGGATCTCCCAGTCATGCACCCAATCAGCCGAAAATGCAAGATTTCGTTAAATAGTTTGTTCGAAAAATTCCAAACGCGCGACATAAATAAAGTCGGACCTAAGCCAAATCCAGCAGAGAACGAATTGGAGGCGGTACGGTCATTAATGTCAGACTCGATGCTTATTTCCTGATTTCGGCTCGGCTACCATCGTTTTGGTGCCTAGGCTGGCGTGGTTTAATATAGATATCAAGGCCTCTTTGGTTGGCATACGTACATATATGCAGAGTATATAAAAACGAAAACGGATTGTATATGATTGTTGTTATTCGACTTGTCTGGCTGCTCATCGTCTCGAGTGCATCTGTAGATTCTATAGATATATACTTAGAAGTAGTTATCTCGCTGTAATACATTCTCCCAACCCACTCTTGACTATATACCTAGGTACTTTCAGAACTGCTTCCAAGGTTAATCATGATCTAGAGACAATCTATAAATTGTTCAGTATAATGTCTTCAATATAACCGTAACCTGAAGATATGTAGTCTACTTTACACGTGACCGCGTGGACAACGCGTCGAGGCCCCCAAGGCGTAACGCTTTCCTTCCACCAGAACCCCAGGCTTTTGAATCCTACATATGTACCTTATAATAGACTGTGGCGCATTATTTGGTTGTTCATATTTTATACCCCCTCACTGCTTGTCATTACTCTGAAACCCTGCCGGGCCACTTATCCGGGGTCTGAATCCCAGTGGAGGTCAATTGGACCCGTTTGCCGCCTCGTGCTGTCGCAACCCTTGCGCGCGTGCCGTTCGATCGCCACTCGGACGGACAACTCCTGGGTTTCATCACCTTACAGGACCTTGTTGAGATCTCGACCGTTTTTGAGTTGCATATCACTTGGTATCAGACATTCCTAGTTCTGTCTCAATGCGGTGACTCGAGAACAGGCCATGCGTATTGAGATAGTGCGGCCGCGTCAACTTCCAATCAAAGCTAGGTCGCGCGTATTTGCCGATTGTCGCTGTTCAAAACACATTTTTTAATCTCCCACAGCTCAAGATCAACCATGAATGACGGTCGGGACGCCCAACCTAATCGTGGAGTGCCCAATGCGGAGGCCAGTGCAAATTTGTTGAACGCGACGTCTCCTGTGCCTCACAATATGTCAGTTACCGAGAACCAAACCACGCGATCACAACAACCTTTGTCACTGCGCATAGATGGCTTGAGCGCTGTTACCGTCGCCCACGGCGAGGGTTACTCCACACCAGCCTACATCGAATCGTCGGAGCGCGGTAGCGATACATCGGATGGTCGACGACTAGACCTTCACTCCGCTAGCACCCTTACAGATTCCCTTTCCAGCTTTCTTTCCTCTACCAGTGCCGCCGACCAGTCGACGCAGCTCGACAGCCCACATAAGTTGAATGAACGTACATCGACACCCCGGATGGACCAGGAACCACCCGATACCCACATGGCCCCGCAGACCCAGCCGGTGAATGGAGGCTCAATAGATCGATGGCAACCGTCATTGCCGCCCATCAAAGCCGGCAATACTTCTTTATCACCCCCGCCCTCGCCAAAGAATATACACACGAGGTCGAACTTCGATGCTGGGTTGGCTCTAAGCCAGAAAAGAAACGCCGCTGGCGATTTCAAGTCAACTTTAGATACCCCAATAGTTCATGATACTGGCATGAATGGGACTGGGAGGCGCCGTTCAAAAAGTACTGGGTCGGCATTGCATGGGAATAGGATTGCGCAGGTAACACGTTCTCTTGTTTTTTCCTGAGAACCTATAGCTCATTTTACCCAGCTGTCTGTCCATATTCGTTCACGTCTATCATACGCGGCCGCCAAGGTCGAACAAGCCCGACAGTCCCAGTCTCGCGAAGCTACTCCCCAATTTGAACTTCGCACACAACACAGCGCATCACCATTAAGCACATCGGGGCCAAGTGACATCGTGTCTCTACCAGGCGGAAACACAACGCCCTTTTCGCGGAACTCACAATCATCATCTCACAGCAACTCTCATCACCCAGGCCATAATCGCTCACGATCAGCATTTTCATCTAATCACTTTCTCCCAATCCCCAAGCTAGCACCCCCCGTGGATATCATCTCATCGAACGGCCACAACCAGCGCCGTCGGCCGAATCCTAATGCAATATCCAAACCCCCAATTTACAGCCCCATCGCCCGCCACCGCCGCCACCATTCTCACCAAGACAACGGATTCAATGCGCCTCTCAACGGCTCAGCCATGGGCGCAGGAATGCCTTCGCTCTCGTCAACACATGCTCACGCACCAAAATCCACTCCAAACGGATTATACGGGGGTCGCACCCCCTCCCAAAACACATTAATGGAACAAGACGCCATCGAAACCTTGATGTTCATGTCCAGTCCCGAAAACTCAGGATATCGCTTCAGTCCTCGACCGCTGCAACCAGCGAGCACACAAAGCAGTCTCAACGAGTCACTCAGTGCCAGCAATGGTACACACCCTCATGAAAGTCGAGGCTCGCAGAGTTCCGAATCTCATAATGGCCGAGGCTTTGAGACGAAGCCTGGACTAGAAGCCCATGCGGGAGACGACATTGATCGCCTTTTGGATCAGATGGATAGTGATAGCGAGGACGAGGGGCGGTTCGAGCCAGTCCGTCGTGGGATCAAGGGTGTTCATCCTTTTAGGCACCCACAACGCCCGAGGTAATTTTCTTTTTTACCTTCTATCTACGAGATGACGTCATTTTATATAAATAGAGGGATCTGTGCTAGGCATTTTTGGAACTTTGAACTGTATGATTGAGCACAGCTTGCTCAGTCTTGATGTATTCAATATTTGCACCAGCTAGTCTGGCTTGAAATAGGTGATAATATGCATATCGTTGACTCTATAATTGTACCAGAAGGTACTTGATGATTAAATTACTTTAAGTTTTGTTTGATGCAGGATGCAGGATGCAAGGAAGATCAATGTGCGAGCTCCTACAAGTTGGTTAGTTCTGAGCAGATGGCATTGACACAGGGGATCACTTACACTTGCGAGCTTGCTCTTCGCTCGAATCTTGGGTCCATAGAAGGCTAGCACCCATGGGACTAAGGTCAAAACAAGACCCTGCGTCTGTTAGTCAGATTCCTTCATGAGAATGATCACAACTTACAAGTGCTCCCAGTAAACTTGATGCCTCGGGATACCCCAAGTTATTAAACATGGCGTTCGTCACTAGCGGAAAGATACCACCGAGCATATTGCGGCCTAGCAAAAAACGAAAAGTCAGCAAAGGCCACAACGCAGGCAGCCTCCTCAAGAAAAGAAAGACTCACAAAACGACTGCGCCGCAATCGCCGAACTCGCATACCGATGGTAAGTATCAGCGAGGTAGTTGAACGTAGCAAGATAAATCGAAAAGATGCCCATAGTCGCACATCCAACCGCCATAGCAGGCACAATCCAAGGCACAGAAGGGAAAGAAGTCCAGCCGAACCAGAACAAGCCGATGGGCAGGAGTACAGACTCTACGCAGACATAGTACAGCCGGCCCTCGGCAGCAGCGGATTTGACGCCGAAGTGCGCGGCGACGCGCTCCTGGTAAATGCTGATAACGCTAATGAGGATGACGCCCACGCACATGGAAGTGAAAACGGCGCCGGTCTGCTCTGTGGTGAAATTGTGGTTCGTGCGGAAGATGAGTGGCACTGAGCTGAATTGGAGGTAGAGCACTGCCCAGCTGAACGATACCCACAGGGAGAAGAAGAAAACAACTGGTTCAGTGATGAGCATGTCTGGGATAGTGTGTTAGCTGTGAAACCTGCAAGTGAGTGGATGGACTTACGGAATGGTCGATACACGGAAATCTGGATCATGGTCAGGAGCGAGGCTCGCTCCTCGTCGCTCTTCACTTTCCATCTGATTCGTCGAATGCTTTTCTCGTCCGAGTTCTCGCATAGTATGACGCCGTGGTGGCCTGCTTCTTCAAGGGCTTCGTAGTATTTGTTTAGTTTGTGGGCTTTTCGGCTCAGCAGGACGCTGCCGCGGGTTTCTTTGAAGAAGAAGTAGATGATCACGACAAAGGCTGCGGCGACGATGGCGTGCGAGTAGAAGATCCAGCGCCAGGTCGTGTGGCTGACGATCACGCCTGAGATCAGTGGTGCTAGGCCGGTGCCGAAAAGAGCAGATGCCGAGAAGAGAGCCATGGGTGTGTTGCGGTCTTGGGCGTGGTAGATATCACTGATCACGCCGCCGACCATCGTGGAGAAGGTTGCTGTGGGAGTTAGTACGAGACTTTGCAGGGGTCATTTCTATACATACATCCACCAACACCTTGGAAGAATCTAGCGACAAGCAACCCACCAAAGGATTGCGTTCCTCCACAACCGATTAGGCAAGCTATCGAGGTTCGTCAGTCGAGTCCATGCACACGGCGAAGTAAGTATACATACCAACAAAAAGAATACCACTAGCGATGAAAATTGGCCGCCGCCCATTGATCTCCGAAAAGGGCGCCAGCACCATGGGCGCCAGAGCAAAGCCACAGCAGAAAAGCGTAATACTCAGATTATACACGACGGTACTGATCCCCCATTTTGCAGTCAATTCCTCTGAAGCAGGGCTAACCTCGCCAGCCGCATAACCCGCCAGAGCGGTAACACCACAGGCGATATAGGTCATCATTGATTTGCGCCATTTGGGCCACAGGAACGGAGACGTATATTTTTCCAGGCCGGGAGCTTCTGGCGGTGGAGACTGATTTGGTCCTGGTGGTAGACTGATGCATGGTGTTGGTAGGGGTGTTTCTAGCTCCAGGTAGCGGAATTCGATGTCTTGGGGCTCGCATAGAGACTCTGGGGTGTCTTCTCGCCGTTGCATGGCTTTTGGCTCTTTTAATTCTGGCGTTGTAGATGCCATAGAGGATGCCGGGGTAAATTACTAGCGATGCGTGTCATTTTTGGGGATTTGGCGGTTTTTATATGAACGCAGGGTGTAGGGTGGGCCTGGAATTGGAGAAATAAGAACTAAAGGCCGGGACAGATGGCCGGGATGGTTGTTTGGTTCTCTGAATCCCCAACTGGTTTTATCCATTTTTTTTGCTTATATGTGAGGGATGGTGGGTCATGTCACACCCGAGGCCACACTTTAAGGCATGACTAATGGTATTTGATTGAACAAATAGTTCCATAGGGGTTGAAATCGGCATTCTGAGCGATCTGACAAATGCAAGGTGATGCTTTCTGGTTGAACCAATTTGATGTCCCGATATTGGCACGACCGTGCCCTAACTGCACGACCTTCTATACTACTCACCGCCTACCATAATTAATCATGTTGTTCTCGACGTCCAATATCTGTAAGATGCAGCATTTTCGTTGTTACAAATTCAAGATTTTTCAAGCTCTATACTTGTATACAACTAGCTTATCCACCATCCAAATCTAAATCAAACATAACTTGCCTATCTAGAAGATGTGAAGTGCGACATGACTAGCAGTATTGAGAAAGCGGTGAATAGAATATCTAGATAGGACGTGCATTTAGTAAAATGTCGTGTGAATAGTCAGATTTTTTCGGGGGCAATGTTGATTACTCATATTTCTCCAATTTGGAGATTCGGGGATTGGGGAGGAATTACGTTGGTGTGATGGATCTTTGGAATATTAAATGTTGTTGGAAGGAGCAATTTAGTTAGAAAGATTATTAGAATACAATATGATATGCAGGTAAGTCTGTAAGGATTATTTCCATACGTACATCGTATATACAGGTGTAGCTTCGATGGTCCATCTGGTGTAGTTATACTAACAAGGCAAAAAAGCAATGACCTGCGGAATTAGGCTATCTCTCCCCGACCACATATTGTCCATGATACTCATCATGTCCACATTACCCAATGTTGAGTAGCAAACCCTACCAATGTCAGCGATGCCCAAGGGCATTTGCTCGTCTAGAACATCTTCAACGTCATGATCGCTCACGTAAGATCTCTGGATCTCTGTGTACACTTCTCAGCTAGTTAAGGCATCTAATACCCCACAGACACTAAGGAAAAACCATTCGTCTGCCTTCAATGCCCCAAAGCATTCACCCGAAAGTACGATACATCAACTTGTCAGATACATTCAGATACTAAAAAACCATCAGGGATCTGCTGGCCCGCCATGAGCGTCTTTCTCATGATGCAAGCCCAGCCAACCATCAAGCAGCCACACCTTCCCCCGCGCATCCCATCCTAGACGGATTGGATACCTTGGCATCAGTAGTCACAAACCATGCCCAATGTAATCGAAGCTCTCTACAAGCGCCCAATGAGCACTTCCAAACACTATCACCGGTCGTGCACAGGACTCCCATGCTGGGTGCTCAGTTGGCCAGTACAGACACTCCTTCTGCAGGCCCCACCACTCCAATTCCAGGGCCAGATTTTGGATACACCCTGGGTGGTTTTGCGCCTGGCTCCTACGAAGGAAATGACTTTACCTCCTTTTTGGATAGTGTGCCTCTGCCGAGTCACCCGTTCTCACCAGCTTTTCAGCCACTCCCGCTCTTCCCGCCTCTGCATTATTCCCCGGTTCCGGACTATGACCAATCTTCTGATAGAGTCACCTTGACTGAAACTACCCCTTCTACTCCTTCAAGCTCAGTACTCCCCCGACATGGCGCCCAACTGCCCTCTCTCCAACCGGAGGGGTATCATACCTCCGGAAAGGCACGCCAGCCTACGGGATTTGTGCCTGTGACAGCTCAGTGTCGGGAGAAGTTCTTCCACATGCTCTCTGAGTATGCCAATGTGGTTCCGAACCCATCTCTTCCATCTCGACATGCGCTATCTAGATGTTTGACCGGGTATCTGACTGGGTTCCACGATCACTACCCTATCGTGCATATTCCGACCCTCGATGTAGAATCAATGACCCTGCCGTTGTTCCTTTCAATGGCCGCGTTGGGTGCGCGGTACTGCCGAGAGCCAGAAACCAGCAACAGTCTATACCAGATCGCCAAGCCGGTGACGTTGGAACATGTCCGCCGGGTCTTCCAATCTGGGGAATTACAGCCCGTCAATGCGGCAAATGACGCCGACACCCTGGAAACCTTGCAGGCTCTTTTGTACTTGACTTCGGTGTCTGCCTGGTTTATTAACAATCCCCCTTACCACGAGGCGCTATCAATTCGCAGTTTGATGGAAATGCTCATGCGGAAGGGAGGACTCAATCGTCTACCCGAGTGCGATGGTACATGGCCCAGCTGGATCCGACGAGAATGCGTAAAACGCACGAAACTAATCGTGTTCTGCTTCTTCAATATACACACAATTGTCTTCGATGTCCCACCGGTGATTCTCACAGAAGACTTCACAGTGGAGCTCCCCTGCACCGAAAAAGAATGGCAAGCAGCCCGCGCAGACCTCTGGCAAGCCGAGCGAATGAAGAGTCCCGGCGAGCCAAAATTTCAAGACGCCCTTTCCGCCCTCTTCACACCAACCAGCAATGACGAGCGCTTCTCCTCACTGGGCGGCTACGTGCTGATCCACGCCATCCTGCAAGACATCTGGCTAATGACCAAAGCCGGTCGACTCCCCGTCTCGCGCCGCAACCGCTTCGCCCATTCATCCATCGCATCCACGCCCGAGCTCGTCTCCGTCGAACAAGCCCTCGAGCGCTGGTGCCAGTGCTGGGAACGTAACCAAGAATCCTCAGTCGACCCACTGAGCCCGCACGGCCCGCTCTCGTTCACTTCCGCAGCCCTTCTCCGCCTGGCATACATCCGCCTCAACGCAGACTGCGGCTCCGCCCGCCAGCTGCAAACCTGGGACCCGGTCCAGATTGCAACTAGCCTCCGTGAAAATCTCTCCGTCTACCGCGGCGACCGCCTCACTCGCGCGGCCCTCCACTGCGCCCACGCCCTCAGCACACCCGTCAAGCTGGGCATTGGCTTCGTGGCGCACTCGCAGGTCGCGCTGTGGTCGAACCAGCATGCGCTGTGCTCGCTTGAATGTGCGGTCTTACTGGCCAAGTGGCTTGAGGCTGTCACGGTGCCGCATCCAGACCCGCAGCTCTCAGAGCAGGAGGCTCGACTGCGGGACTTCGTGCTCGAGATGGTTATGGAGGTGCAGCATGGTGTTTCGAGGGATTGGCTGCTGGCTACTAATACCCGGCTCAGTGCCGCTGTTACCCGGTTGTGGGCGCGGTTGTTTACGGCAGATTATATTTGGGAGATGGTTGCTTTGATTGGGAGGTCGTTGAATAGTTATGCGGACTTGTTAGAGCAGTAGATTGAGACTTGTTGCTCTGCACATCAGACAGAGTAGCTGCCTGTGTTGCTCATGGAGATGTACCGCTTAGGGCTAAATCTGCACCTAAATCCGGCTGACGGCTTTCCGGATCATACAGACATAGCTACACATCAGTGTTGCTTATGTGGGTCAATTCGGTACTTATCTATCATCCGAACTTCCATCATTATCCCAATGCACTTGTCCATCTCCCGATTCTGACAACCGCGTCCAGCTTCCCCACACAAAGGGCGTACGGGCTTCGGGGCTTCGCATAGGGCGCCACAGTGACTCACCAGTGCATTTTAGAACTACAACTCCGCGGAGCTTGAAGCATATTTAAACAAGTTCAATCCAACCGTAAACCCTAATTTATTCACTTCCACACAAAGCTAAACAACTAGTTCAAAATGCCTCCATCACCAGTAACCACAACCCCCGAAATCTACGCTCTCCTCAAAGGCCTGCACGAAAAGTCCCTCACCCAAGAATCGACCGTCGACTGGCGCAGCCTACCAGCACAATGCACCGATGAATTTGACTCCATCATGCTGGACAAATTCATCGCTCTTGATCAGGATAAGTGCGAGTTCATCTACCACCTGCTGCGCAGCATCGATGCCAAGACGGTCATCGAGGCGGGCACAAGCTTCGGCGTCAGCACTATCTACCTTGCGCTTGCTGTTGCGGAGAATGCGAAGCGCGGTGGCTCGCCTAGGGTCATTGCTACTGAGAAGGAGGCATCAAAGGCGCAAGTTGCGAGGGCCCATTGGGCTAGTGCTGGGAAGGGAGTTGAGGATGTGATTGAGCTTCGGGTTGGGGATTTGCGGGAGACCCTGACAAGGGATCTGGCAAATGTGGATTTCTTGTTGCTGGATAGTAAGTTGATCGCCTGGTTCTTGCTGGATAGTGCATATCCAGATCGTATGGGTTTTCGGTGCTGGGCATAGCGCGTACTAATTGATTTGCGTCTAGTTTGGACACCTCTTGCTCTTCCTGCGCTCAAGCTCGTTCAGCCACACATGAGACCGGGTGCAGTCATCATCGCTGATAACACGATCATGGCGGGCGACTTGTATCAGGAGCTCTTTGAGTATGTGGACGCGGAGGGCAGTGGGTTCCGACGAGTGACGATGCCATATGCAGGAGGAATGGACATGATTGTTTACCAGTAAAGAAAAAGAGGTTGGATCGAACATCAATACTTAAGTGGGACTGAACTACACTTGATCCCCCGCATTTCAGTCCATCAACCCCTCATTATATTCCAGTGACTACAAATATACAAAAAAAAAGACACTCATACATTCCACCCCAATCCCAAACATTTCCCACTATCCAAAACCATGGCAAACACATTCGAAAACCTCCAACCCCAAAAAGAAGGCCTCTTCAACGCCTCCCCATCCATAAACCCACCGCCAGATCCAGCAACAAAAGATTACAAACTAAACCACCTCGCCATCCGAATTAGTAACCCCGCCGCCTCGCTAAATTTCTACATCAACCTCCTAGGCATGCGACTAATCTTCACAATGAACGCCGGCCCCTTCACGATCTACTACCTCGGCCATCCCCCACAAGGGGAGGATATAAGCGCGTGGGCCCAGAAAACGAGCGAAATTCCCGTGATGACGAAAACAAGCGGCCTGCTGGAACTGTATTATACGCATGGGGCGGAGTCCAGTGTAGAGGGTGTTTCTACCGGAAATGAGCCGCCGCATCTGGGATTTTCGCATCTTGGTTTCACGGTGCCTGATGTTGATGTTGCGCTGGGGCGGTTGAAGAGTGCTGGGGTTAGGGTTTTGAAGGATGTTGGTGTTTGTTCGAGGGAAACGGTGCCCCTTTCGGAGTGGGAGGGGGAGAGGGGGATTGGGAGAGGGGAGATCCATGAGAATTATGCTTGGTTCTTCGAAAAGTTTGCTATGGTGGCTGATCCGGTGAGTTGGGTTTGATTTGGGCTTGGAAGTAAGTGTGCTAATGTGCTATAGGATGGGTATACCGTTGAGTTGATTCCTCAGAGCATTTGAGGGCGATAATACGGGGAGTAAGACAGGGTCGAAACTGCAAGCGAGGGGATATAAGATCGTGCTCCCACGCCGCCGACAACGGAGTTGGTATTGTCAAAGACATCTATGGTTTACATCGGAAAATGTTAAAAGCAAGTCGGGCATATAACGCCCCCGGAAAATAGCTTAATGCAGCCTATACAATCACAGATGATACATGAACAGGTAGGTAATTAGTGTGCCCCCCAACTATCATCCTCCGCAACGTCATAATCCATATCGCGTGCAGGCGCAGCGTTAACCGCCGGGGCCGCCGGAGCCGATGGCGCAGACGACATAACCGTGTCCTCCGGCTCATCCTGGCCCTTGAACTCTGTTGGCGCAGCAGCAGCAGGAGTTGGGAGGGAAATGGGAGGGTTGGCCACCCAGGTGAGCTGGACCTCACCGACGGAGGGGATGTTCCAGGGAGAGAACATGAGCTTTTCGGCCTGGAAGCGCTCTTTGAATGCGACAACGACAGAGTTGGGGTGGTCCGGGTGTGCTTCGATGGATTCATATTCACCGACGCCCTGGAAAGTAATTAGTAAATGCTATGCTATTCTATGGGATGAAGGTTGAAGACAAACTTACCATCAAGTGCTGACGCAATGCCTCATCTTTATCAGAGTTGAGCTCAACGCCCGACACGGCGACTCTTCGAGGCCGGTTATCTAGACGGAGAACACCACCTCGCCCCCGAGCTCCAGCACCCCCGCGGCCACGGAATCCACCGCGGAAGTTGGGGTCGTATGTTCCACGACCACGGAATGTGCCTCGGCCGCGGAAACCACCACGACCCCGACCACCACGTCCGGAGGGGTCGGACTCGGGGTCGAGACCCATGCTCTTGGCCTCGGCTTCGAGGGCCGCGAGCTGAGCTCGCAACTGCTTTGTTTGTTCGCTGGCATTCTCGTCGGCAGCGGGCTCGGTGGCCATGGCATCGCCGTCACCGGCGCTTCCGTCTGTGCCACCGAGTCGCTGCATGAGCCGGGCCCGTTCGTCCTGCTGCTTCTTGAGAAGCTCGTCACGTTGGCGCTCCAAAGCCTGCTTGGCGGCCTCTGTCTCTTGGCGCTTTTTCAACTTTTCTTCGTGGGCCTTTTGCGCTTCTTCTTGTTGCTTCTGGAACTCTTCCGGGTTGAAGGCTGGGGCTTCGGCCCGGAGGGTGCTTACCGGTTCTTCTTCCGGCTTGTACCAATAAACTTTGACGAAACGATTGTCGAAGATGACCTTTGGACTGGACCACGCAGCCTTGGCCTCGGGGAAGGTATCATATTTGACCAACGCCAGCTTTTTGTAGGGTCGCAAGGAGACTTCGGTGATTTTGCCGAATTCAGAGAAGAACTGGCGCACAGATTCTTCGTTAAATTTATCGTCGGGGATCTGTTCAACGACAATTGTTGTAATAGACTGGTCTTCGTTAGGTCCTGCTGACGAGAAATCGGACCGGCCGCGTCCTCGTCCGCTGAATCCGCCACGGCCACGGCCACGGCCTCGGTCACCTCGAGCGAAGGCACCACCCCGCGCATGCGTGCCAGCAGTCTTTGGATCATATTCTGCACTCATTAGCAATGCAACGCTGGAAAGGGATGTAAGTATCATACCACCATCGTTCCCGCCGAGCTCACCATGCTGATACGGGCAGGTGTTTCCTAGATAGCAAATACCCTGTGTATCGTAGAAGGGACAGCGCTGGTTACTCTGTGTAATCTGATTGGCATCTGGCTGGCCGGGAGCTCCAGGCATTCCAGGCATGGGCATACCCGGCATCCCGGGGAATCCCATACCTTGCATGCCCTGCATAGCCATCATTGCTGCCATAGGATCGTTCGGGTCGAGTTGTGGGAACCCTGGCATCATGGGGAACCCTGGCTGCTGCTGGTACTGTTGCTGCGGCTGATACTGTTGTTGCGGGTAATGTTGACCGTTCTGCATCTGATGCATCTGATGTCCACCGTTGTAATCGCCGCGACTGCCGCCACGCCCACGCCGTGGGGTCTTCATAGCCCGGTTCTGGTATGCGCTGTGATCCTGGTCCTGCTCGTCCTGGAATCCATCGTTGAATGTTCGTTTCCGAGCGCTGCCGGGCGTAGTAGCAGCCTTTGGTCCGCTGGGGGCATTCGCGGGGGGTTGTGAGACAGCGATGGGAGCACCTTGCTTCTGGAGTTGGGGCTTAGGCGCAGGAGCGGCCTTTTTGGGACCGAATGTTGTGAAGAGTTCATTGACGAATGGCTGGGTATCTAGGAAGTATTAGTGAGAGTAAACAGATACAAAGGCGTCGTACACACGTTCGCGCAAAAAATCCTCGAGGTTTTCCACCGAGTTTCGCTTGATTTCGTCGTCTGGCGCATCAGACCTAACTAGCGCCAACACATAGTCCGCAAGCACATCAGAATCGGCATCAGAGCTAGAGGTAGACAAGACAAGATTAGCTGCTGCTTTTTGTTCTCAGCTTGAAGCGCAAGCTCGAGCGTGTAGCCAACTTACATATCCTCCAGTTTCTTCACCACCCATTTCTTCACACCGACGGCCTCTGTGTCGGAGAATTGCATTGCGGAGATTTTTGAGCGATCTCAAGCTTTAAGAGTCGAATTGAAGAAGGAGACGAGCGCCGTAAGTGATCACGACTGCAGGGATGTTTTGACAGCCGAGCCTGGAGCGAATATTTGCGTGGGGAATGACAATTTAGGGAGAGTGAAGCCACTTGATATCGTGAAATCGAACAGGTGATTTCAATAATCAAGAAAAGAAATGTGAATGGTGTAGAAGTTCATCCCACAAGGTGGAAAGAATGTAAATAGCCGACTTCACACTCCAGTTGAACGCGGTTCTACGTAGCCGTCAGAAATTACGGTCACGTGTTTACACCTTTGAATCTTCTGCAGGCCTCTCTTTACCTCGTTGCATCAATTTGGTTCTTTTCACTCAAAGATTCCCTCGAGCATCTCCATACTTCTTCATCAAGATTTCAATCGCATAATATCAGCTAGAATTCAGCATCCTCTCCTATGAATGTTACATATCTAATTTTATACGGTGATCGTGCTCGGTTCTTGTTGAATTGCGTAACCCACGAAAACGCATCAATCTGGCCAGGTTCAAACGATACAATTAATCTTTCTTGGGGGGCAGTGAGAAAAGAGTAATTGGGCGGTCCGCCTTCATATGGAGTGGACAGCCATCTACCTGGTATTTGGTCCACGGTGATATTCTTAACCGGCCGGGATAATCTTGTTTCAGATTGTTGCGTGATATCATGTTCATGATAGTTTCTTCGTCCTCCGACTTCGATATTCTGAATCGATTTGCATTGTGCTATCTCCTGTTCTCCTGTCGTCGAAAGAGTTTGAGAGATGGTTTATGACATGGGAAAAAAATCTCATATATTCTTATACCACGAAACTACATGAGGCAGACTACGCAGCTAATAATTGCCTATTTTGGTCTGCTGACAACAAAAATAACTCTCAAAACACATAGTTAATCAGCCGCAAGCCCTGGAGGAATCGTGTTATACATAGACTGCCGTAACTGGCCGCCGCGAGCCAACCGATCTGCATCTGATTGTGAAACGCGACGGCTCGTTGTCCCAACTTTTGGGCGTCAACACTGTTGGTTTCGATGTCAATTCAATTTATTTTAATTTAATGATTATAGCTTCACCCGGGCACATAAAGCCAACCGAAAGCTGGAAATTCAATTCAAAAGCAATAAAAGGGTGGATCTAGATCGATCTCAATAAGCTTTTATCCCAATCATGAGCCCTATCTTCAACGAACACTTCTAATTCTGGAGTACGTAAGTAACTTGACCATTGAATCTATATATATGCTAAATTTCGACTGAAAGACTTGGTCAGGTTTAAATATGGCGACCGAAAGCATAGGTCATTCCTAATCCACAACGAACACTTCATAGGCGGCCCCTCCCCCAAAACGGACGTGTACGTATCTTAGAATTATGTGATTAGACAACCGCATATAGTAGGAATAAGGAGTAGTATATAGATCTAGAATGACTCTATGCGCCGTTTATCTTGCCCTCAAAATCTTGCCTAACCGAATCTTCGTGAATACGCAACCGACGATGGAATCCCTCCATAAATCACCCACGGACACAGGTTCCAAGTGAGAATAGTAAGTCCTATACGCTGATAGACCTTATGCTGAATGATATTAAGTATGTGACTACGGATCCGTTGGAAGGTAAAGAGATCTACGCGCATACAAGCCCTCAATCGTGATTTCAAATGGGTATGTTGGCGCTGCCACAGGCCATTCGTTGGGAGATCTTGCAAAAACTGCCAGGCCTCAGTTCACCGTGGCTTGCGTGATCTTTATACTAGCCCTTGTGTTAAGCTCCCACCCAAGATCGAGAAGGCGCTCGAAAATCGAAAGATATCCACCATGCCGAATTTTGGAAGTGCACGAATCAATGGATGGGTATGCGTAGGATCTCAGATGTATCTTTGATCTCCTCCGCCACAGGCTATTATCGGAATTCGTTGTGTTGAGAAAAAGAGAAACAGAGATGTTTGCAGCGCGCAACCATACCACATCAGTGCCGTGATGGTGGTCGGGAATCCAACGAGCGTGGATGTCCCCGCACTGTCCCAGGCCCAGAATTTATTGAATTCGGTCAGGGTGCTGCATTTTTCGGAGGCGATCTGGTCTCTGGATGGGGATTTGTCGGCTAGTGCCATTGCCACCGTTCGAATGGTCTTTGATCAAGGGCACATTGACATCTAGACAAGGACGAGCAAGAACAAGTACAAAAGTAGGGTATCGAATGTTGTGAAGATCCATACACCCCTGGTAGAATCCGTCTCTGGGAGTCTAAGAAAAACATACTCTGTAACAGGACGGCAGAGCATGCAGCATCGTGCATGTTAGTCTGAACTAGGGCTCCGTGTTGATTGAGGCTCCACTGTATTATTGCCACGCAAGTGGGGGCTAAATCGTAGCAGAGAAAGGCTTCCCTATACTGGTGTAACATGCAACAGTACACTTAAATTCACAATTCTAGCATGAGGCCGAGCCATATGGCTTAGTTCCTTTGCGCCCCGATCGACTCAGAAATCAATGGCTCCGTACTAGTGTGTATGTCTTTTGCCCTGCTTTGGCGGGGACAACCTCCCTTGCATAAGAGCATAGACCAAATCAGAGCAAGATTGGGACTAACTCACTAGAATATCCCGCCCTCCTATTGGATTGGCATTTCTTTTTCTCTTTACCCATCCATCACCATGATATTGATCATTATTTTCGCCCTCTTCGTCCTCACCTATATCATATATCACCGTGTCATATACCCTTACTTCATTTCCCCACTATCATCCATCCCCAATGCCCACCTCACTTCCCCCATAACCAGCTACTGGATTGAGCACAAGCGTAGCACAAGGACCGAAGTCCTCGCCATCTACGCTCTGCACCAAAAGCACGGCCCCGTCGTTCGTCTCGGCCCCAAGGAGCTTAGCGTCAATTCTCTCCATGGTCTAAAGGTCATATATACGGGCGCCTTCGAGAAACATGCTTTCTATAACGATGTTTTTGTCAACTTCAATACTGAAAACTTGGTCGGCATGGTCCACAACGCGCCGCACGCGCACCAGAAGCGCATGCTGAGCAAGACCTACTCTAAGTCGTTTCTTCAGGAATCCAGTGATATGCGCGCTATCTCAAAGGTTCTGCTGTGGGAGAGGTTGATGCCTATTCTCGAGAAAGCCGGGGAGCGTGGAGAGGTGTTGAACGTGCTGCCCCTATTCCAGGCTCTAGGAATGGACTTTATATCCTCTTTCCTGTTTGGATTAAGACAAGGGACGAGCTATATGTTTAGTATTCCCGAATGGAAGGTGTGGCTAGAGGAGTATGAGCGATTTAAGTTTATGAGTCGAGACGACCGGTACATGGGGTTCATTGAGAAGTGGTGCTTGGGGCTATGCGAGCGAGCAGAAGCGTCTAAGAACGAAGACGTTTTCAGCGATGAGAAGCTGCCATCCACGAGCCCAGTCGTCTACAACCAGCTACATGAAAGCCTTCTCGCCCAGAAAGCATCCGATCCGCGTCCCCTGAACCTGGTAATTGCGTCCGAACTGCTGGACCACCTGGTTGCAGGCCATGAAACATCAGGCATCACCTTCACGTACATGATGTGGGAGCTGTCGCAGCATCCAGAGCTGCAGGCCGAGCTGCAAAAGGAGCTACGTACCTTATCTCCGTCCCTCCGGTTCTCAGCAACGAAGGAGAGGCCCCTCCCCTCTGCGTCCGCGATCAACGCCCTCCCCTGGCTGGACGCGATGGTCCGAGAGACCCTCCGTCTTCACTCCCCAGCACCGGCCCAGCTCCCCCGTGTCACTCCCATCACACAAAAAGGAACGTCCCTGCACGGGTACAATAATATCCCCGGCGGCGTGAGGGTCAGTTCAACTGCTTACTCCCTCCACCGTATCAGCGATGTCTACCCACGCCCGCTGCATTGGCTGCCGGCTCGATGGCTTGAGACAGGCGAGAAGATACACAACATGAGGCGGCTTTTCTGGCCGTTCGGGAGTGGTGGACGTATGTGTCTGGGCAGTAATTTCGCTTTGCAAGGTTTGTCTCTTGAGTGTTATTGGAGGAGAGGACTAATGATACGATGCAGAAATCAAACTGGTCATGGCGGCGGTGTATTCGAACTATACGACGGTCATTGTAGACGACGAGGGCATTGAGCAGGACTATGCGTTTATTGCGCTGCCGCGTGGGCGGAAGTTGATGTTGAGGTTTATACCGATTGATGAATGATGTGATGAAGTTACGATAATGTGAAAAGGGAATGAAAAGCATTAATTGGTCTTTCTCGATCATTTCCGGAGCTGTCGTGTCTTTCCAGATGAATAGCGAGCCAGAAGCTGCCAATCAGACCTGAATGAATGGGCTGTGCTAAGGGTATCTACTGATGTATATCATTAAATTTATCCTACAGCCAAATGCCGTGGTGGACGGTGTTTCATGATGGAAGCAAAAGTGTGAGACATGTAAGCCTCACCATCAAATGCTGCTATCTATGTATGCCTATGTACCTAAGTGAACGAGTCCCCTTACGCGCATATCAAGCAGAAAGACTACTACCTAGGTACATACTTCATTTTCCTTGTCGTCTTGATTGTTTCCACAATGTTGCTTTATATCCCATTGCCATATAGTCACCCGTTTTCACGATTTGATGTCCATCGGATCACTTTCTACAATGACAATATCAAGCTCATTCCCTAGAAAACACAGCTAAACTCCTCCCCAACCAGCGCTAACCACCTCGGTGCGAGATCTGGTTGCTCATGATCACCGTCCGCATTAGGCGGATTATCTGTCTCTGGGGCGGAAATAGCACAAGTCAACAGTGCTCATCCGTCATGAATCAGAAGGGGGGTTATCTCGTGAGGAACCTTGGAAACGGCGGCGAGGCGTAAGCCCTAGAACGGAAAAGGAAAGCGTATATATCTCGACGACTGAATCGAAATATACTTATCTTTCTTTAGTTATTGTTGAATTTATATGATGATTTGTAGAGACCGTAGTTTACTTTCAATTGGCAGGATAGCAACAGAAGAAAAAAAACTTAAGACATGGAGTCTACAGAAATCTACATTTACCGAACAAACTACAATGAACACCTGCGCCTAGCATACCAACTTCATTTACATATCGAAACTGGCAGCTAGACTACAGCAAAAAAACAATCAATGCAAAGCAAAGTCCCTCGTAAAAAGCAAGAATAGAAACCGTAATGAAGGGTCAACGAAGTCCAACGAGACTTCGGAGATCATGACCAAAGTTCTAAAGACGGAACGACCGAAGCACATATCGAAGAATGAGGGAATAATATTTTGTTGAACCGAAGAAATTGTATTGAATTCATCAATCTCATGAAAGATTCCACGAATGACTGGCAGAAGCGCAAATCTGAGTGTCCGTGAACATTTTTACAGCTTGTCGTAGTACTATCGGAACGAGTTAGTGACAATAACCAAAGAATGAGGAGCAAGAAATAACTTACGTTTTCGTATCCAGGGACAACCTCCTTGAGACCCTTGCGCTTGCGCATCTCCTGGACGACCTGACCGGGCTTGGTGGTGGGGTCGAGGGGAGAGCCACCGGGAAGGATGGCCCAGTGATCGAACACGGACTGGGGGAAGGCCTGACCACCGGTGGCGGAGCGCAGATCGGCGGGGAAACCGAAGGACTCGTTGACGGGCAGGTAAGCCTTGACCATGAACAGAGGAGTTCCGGGACGCTGCTCCTCGGAGTAGACGTGACCACGGCGGCGGGTGAGGACACCGTAGATACCACCCATAGCCTGCTCGGGGACCTGGATCTCGACGTTGAAGATGGGCTCGAGGAGACCGGGGTCAGCCAGCATAGAGGCGGCGTACAGGACACGACGGGCAGTGGGGATCAGTTGACCGCCACCACGGTGAATAGCATCAGCGTGCAGGGTAACATCGAGGATGTTGAAGCGGACGGAACGCATGGGCTCCTCAGCAACGGGACCCTCACGGGTAGCCCACTGGAATCCAGAGACAACGGAATCCTTGATTTCGTTGAGGTACTGCACGGCCTTGGTCTGGTCGATGAGCAAGTTGGCACCGGTGGTGTCGGGACCGAAGCACCAAATCTTACGGGCATCGGTGACATCCCAGCCGTACTCGTCAGCGAGGACACGGGCACGAGCCTTGAAGTCGTCACGGGGGCTGATCTTGCCGGACTCAATGGCGAGGGAGACATCCTCCTCAATGGGCTCAGCGGTCATGTACAGACGGTTGTGCTTGTTGGGCGACTTGGACAGAGCAGTCATGCTGGACTTGCCAGCAACGGTCTCACGGTAAGCAACGACGGGGTCGGAGATACGGAGGGGAACACCAGCGTGGTCCTCCTCGAGATCCTTAAGACAAATCTCGAGGTGGAGCTCACCGGCACCGGCAACAATGTGCTGGCCAGACTCGTTGATCATGGTCAGGACACAGGGGTCGGACTTGGAGAGACGCTTGAGACCCTCGACAAGCTTGGGCAGATCCTGGGCGTTCTTGACCTCGACGGAGCGCTGCACAACGGGGGAGACGGAGAACTTCATGACCTTCATGTTGTGGGCAGTGTCATCAGTGGTAAGAGTACCGGACTTGAGCAGGAACTGATCAACACCGACGAGACCGACGATGTTACCGGCGGGGACGTCCTCAATGGGCTCAACGAAGCGACCCATCATGAGAATGGTACGCTGGATGGCCTTGATGAAGAGATCCTCCTTCTTTCCGGGAATGTAGTTGGGACCCTGGATGCGGACCTTGACACCAGACTTGACGGTACCAGAGTAGACACGACCGAAGGCGTAGAAACGACCCTTATCGGAGGTGGGCACCATCTTGGAGACGTACAGCATCAGAGGAGCAGTGGGGTCACAGTCACGGATACCGATGCAGGCTCTGTCGTCCTGGGGACCCTCGTAGAGAGTCTCGGCACGGTACTTCTGGGCAGTGACGGGGGAGGGAAGGTGGATACAGATCATCTCCAGAAGGGCATCAGCGGCAGGAAGGAACTTGCGCATGATGAGCTTGAGGAGGGCCTTGCCCTCGAGCTCCTTCTCGTCAGCGGCGAGGGTAACCTCGAGCTTCTCAAGAAGAGTGAAGATCTCGTCGCGCTTGTTGTGGTTGACAGCGGCGAAGATCTTGAAGATGGGGTCCAAGATGAACTGGTTGAAGGCGCGCTCAAGGGTCTTGCCCTCGTGCTCGGCCTTGGTGGTCCACTTCTTGGTCTTGGGGTTGAAGAAGTTGTCACCCCAGAGACGCTCAAGCATCTTCTTGCGGTCAACACCGAACTTCTTGGCGTACTTGACGGCGAACTGGCGGACAGTGAAGCACCAGCCGTGGAGACCGGAACCGAAAGCGATGGTACCGCGGTCGGGGTAGACCTGGACATCACCGAGAGCCTTGTCGAAGTAGGTGGAGATGATGACGTTGACGGACTCAATGGTACGGGAGAAGGACTGGTAGAGATCCTCCTTGGAGACCTGGAGCTCGAGAAGAGCACGATCGACCTTGTTGATACACAGAACGGGCTTGATGCGCTCGGTCAGAGCCTGACGCAGGACAGTCTCGGTCTGGACACAGACACCGGAGACACAGTCGACAACGACAAGGGCACCATCAGTGACACGGAGAGCGGCAGTGACCTCAGAGGAGAAATCAACGTGACCGGGGGAATCGATCAAGTTGATCAGGAACTCGTGACCATCGACAGCCTGGGGGATCTCCTTCAGATCCTCGGGATCGGGGAACTTGGCGTACAAGGAAATGGCGGTGGACTTGATGGTAATGCAACGGTCCTGCTCGTCAGGACGGGTGTCCATGAAACGAGCCTCACCAGCCTTGGCAGCGGAAATAATACCGGCACGCTGGACCAGAGAGTCGGAGAGGGTGGACTTTCCGTGATCGACTGTGAAGAAGAAAACAATCAGATATTGGTCTATTTTCATGATGCTCTCATATATGACCTACCGTGAGCAATGACGGACATGTTACGGATGTTAGCCCGACGGTCCATCAGGGTCCGGATCTGTCGAAAAAAATTTCCCACATGTTAGCTTGTCTGATCAAAGTAGAAGCGCTCGAAAGTAAAAGATTTAGAATCTCCAAGTATCACCAAAAAGTGGATGGTGGGAAACATGAGGTGCAAATCCAAGCATGCTTCCTTTATCCTCGATTTGATGATGGTCTTGAATAGGCAGTAGATCAGGCAAGAACGAACCTCTTCGATAGTGAAGCTATTAATGACACCATGTTAGCACTCTGTCAATGGTTCAATATCAACTTAATCTTGACTCACTTAACCATGTTGGCGGTTGATCAGTAAATTCACTGAAAGAAAAAAAAAGAAGAAGAAGAGCACAGAGATGACCAGGATCGAGAATTCTCGATCACTAAATCAAAAACTTCTATGTGCAGCTGCTCCTAGAGAGATGAGAGGGGAAAGAAAGAGAGAGAAGAGGGGGAAAAAGTGGGAGAGAAAAAAAGAAAGCGAAAGTGGGGACTTTTTTTTCTCCCGGTTTTTTGTGCGTTTCCTCTCTTCTTGTACTTGTACAATCTTGGTACAGAATGGTAATTATACTGTATTGTTTCATCTTTTCCCTATTAAATTGCTTACTATAAGATAGTACTTGATACTAAATACTACCCAGGTAAGATTATTCTACAATATTGTATAGATTTGCCTCCTTTTGATTTCAAATCCAATTATCTGTTGACTTTGACTTGACTCAACGTGACTGCATTGCTTATCCGTGGTACTCCGGTGACGTCTGTGACATGCTAGAGCTTTCCCCTCGTATAACCTCCAATATACGTATATATACTACATGATTATTCATTCTACTGGACATCTTAACTCTGGAATGATTTTCAAATGAGTCAATTTAAATCTCGTGATTCATATCATACCTTGAACTTCCTATGAATTCAACTGCCCAAATTCCCCTCTATCACCCGATAGTGGGTCATAGAGGGGCACATGATTACAATACAATACAAGCAATCGTTGATGCCTTGGAAAATTGGCATCAAGAGCTCTTACCAACTAACCACATAACTAGCTCAATAGCTCAATGTATGGTACTGCCTCGATATACTTAGATCATTCGATATTGCCCAATGGAGGCTCTTTTACATTCCATAGCCATTGTCTGATTTCTCTCGAGCTTTAGAAATTTTGAAGCAAATTTTGACTAGCTCGTGCATGCTGCATTAGTGGGGGGCAAAAGAACCCCTCCTCGGGCAGTAAGGCATCAAGGCATCAAGGCATCAATCTCTTGTTACAGGGCAAATGAATATGCAACGTATACTCCAAAAATGTTGAAACTGAGCGCTGATAATTAGACAAGTAGTTTCAAAAGGGGGGTTCAAGTCGTTTGAATCATCCAAGTCCATTTTGAGATTAAAACAATAAGTGCCATGCCGATACCTAACCTTGGAACCTGGTGGGCATATTCTTCCACCTCGGGAAGCACTCCGGCGCCGTCTCCCTCTTCCCAACCACTTGAAATTTTGATAAGCTTCTTGTATGAGTATATTGTGTAAACAATTCATCTATTCTCATGATGCAAATTATGACAAACCACAGACAAACGCCCGGATGTATGTATAACCTATATATATAGTAAATGTGGATACATATATTGCATCTGAGGTCGCCGAAAACATCTCTCAAAGTATTTCATTGATCAACAGCAACAACGCTCAAAACAGCTGTGACATCCTTCGTGGAAGCAGAAATCACATCCTCCGAGACTGCCCCCGTTCTCCACATCCCTAATCCCACAAAACGTCCATTCATAGAATAGTACGTGCCGACGCTGCGACTCTTGCGGACTTGGCGCTCCTCGTCCCAGAACCAGTCAAACGAGCGCAGTTCCAGCAGAGGCTGCAACATATACCGGGTCGATGAAGAGATGTCCTGGCTATCGAGGGAGGTGAGGATCGACCGCCAGTGCTCGGTAGACAAGTCTTTTCCCAGCATGATTCCTGCCCCGCGTGCGTCTCGCGTGGGCTTGAGGATGTACTGGTCTTTGACATCGGCCTTGGTATGGGTCTGGTGAAGGAGGACTCTGAAATCAGCTGTGCCAGGGAGAATGGTGGGGATGATGTGTTCACGCAGGGTCTGCGCTTGTGCAGGCGACAATACCCGCTGCGTTCCTACGAGGCTGTCGAGCTCCTGCAGGATGATGCCTAGGATGCGTTTATCGTGCGCGATGAACACGCTCCGCGGGTCATTTCTGCAGCACGCGGCTATGTGTCGTGTCATTTCGGGGGATAGAGAGAAGAGCTCGAAGTCGTATAGCTGTAGGCCTACCTGATGCACTGGCTCCAGCATCTCGCCATCCACCTCCAGCAGGGAGCTGGGGGGAGTTTTGATCGTGGGATCGGCGCCCCAGACACAGTATAGGTTGAACCCGGTTTGACTGCTGGCACTGGGTACAAGGCGAAGATCACTTGGTCTGACGGTTCGTGGCCTGGCCCCGGTTCGCTCTTCCATAATACCAAAAAGAGGGCTGTCGGATGGGAAGTTTTGGCTCTCCTTGACAAAGTGGACAGGGCCATCTGAGCCAAACAATTCGAACAGGCTCCCTAGGAGCACATTATGTTTGGTGGCTGGTTCGATCGAGGGAGGACTCCATGTTCCCCCGGCTAGTGCCTCGTAAGCCGTTGCGACGTAGTGGAGAAAACTGATAGGGAAGCGGCCGTTGATTTCACAAACGCGAAATTCTGGGATCTCACGCTCTGTGACTGGGAGCAAGATGTCTGGACGTAAATTGCCTTGGTGGCCTTGGTAACGTGGCATGATCCCATCTGCAGTTGCTTTATCTACCCACTGCAAGAGTTCCTCGACATGGGGTTCCAATGGCATTCGACTGGGTAAATCGGCGTCCTTGTCTATCCACCATCTTTCGATGATATTACTCACAGCAATGGCCAAAGCTTCATTGAAAGTCTCCAGTTCTTTCATAAACTGCCGTGGTAGAAATACTGGGTGGGGATTGAGTCTTTTCGCAGGCCCAGGAATTGCGCCATATGGACGAACAGACTCCGCCAATCTCTCTTGCAGTGCCTCATGTTGTCGAAGGCGAGTTTCGGGATGAATTTGCTCTGGCAAAACCGGGTGTTGCGGATCCTTTGTGTTAGGCAAGGAGATTTGGAGCAACCAAGGAGATCGTTTGGCGAGAACACTAGGTATCTCTTTTTCGACAACCGCCATTGACTGTGTTATTCGTTAGTCTATCGCCGTTACTTTGAATGAAAATGCACTCACGCTCTTGAATGAGGCACCCATCCTCATTCCCAAGAAACTTTTGAAAGGCATCGTGCTTTTGGTAAAGTAGCGATACATCTCCCTCCCAATTGGATTTTCATCTCTTTCAAGGATCTCAGAGAGCGTCGATCGGACGATTGCCCATCCATCTTCTGCGCCTTCCAGACCCAGTGCATATAGCATGTACCCAACATTGTTCTGCAGAAGTGCATGATGCACCCTGTTCCACACCTCACCGAGATTATCCGTCCCCAATCCAGCAATCTCTACATCAAAGCCCTGCTTCTTTAGTGTTGGTCTATGAAGTTTCACTCCAGCCAGGTCTCGGAGCGCAAAACCTTTGATCGCCTTCGACTTGCGACAAATTCGAGCGACGGTGTTTTGGGCATGCAGCTCGCATCCAACGCTATGACGGAGTAACGGGTCCAACCCCAGGCTCAAAAGGCATTTGGCATAGCTGTTTCCTGTCAGCTGAGTCTAGTAGCCTTGGCATTCTCGAGACTAAACAACAAACCTCGCAAACCATGTTTTCTTTTCGGTTGTGGTTTTCAGGTCAAACAGAATTTCTGCGTACGTCTGCTGTCCACCCAGTGGTTTCTCCATTAGTGCAGAGACCAAGACTAATGCCTCGTCATTTTTTTCTGCTTTTCCCTCCAGATTCTCTCGCAAGATACATGTCAGGTGGCGAGCTTGACTCTTGTCTTCCTGACTTCCAGTCACTGCGGCTACCTCTCCGAACAGCCATAGGTCCCTTGGGAGAATCATCCTCATAAAGGCAGTCATCCCGGGAGCTGCAGCTGCAGACCAACACGGCAGAACTCGTAGCGCGGAGGTAATCTGACACGCAAGAGAGAATTTCACGTCAAATTCAAAACCAGGGATGGAAACTGTTCGAATAGCAGCATGGGCCTTCGCGGCATTGGGTATGGACTTGACATTCTCTGCCTCTGGGAAGTAATGGAGTAGCGCTGGTAGGTGTCGGGAAAGACAAGGAACTATAACCAACTCATTAGAGGCTAAAGGAGCCACCCCCAAGGCCTTCACCAAAGACTGAGTTAGCTCCTCGAATGGTCCATATATATGGGTTGAAGACCGTGGAAGGACTACAAGGGAGATACCCGGATTGAGTAAATCAGGTAGATCCTCTGGCCCTACTGGTTCGACCAACTCATCGGCAAAGCACGTCCGATGGAACTGTTCTTCAAATTAGCAATTATCTGTCAGGTGATCCATGGAGTGTATTAATATACCGGATGAGTCGGATGTCCTAAGATGAGAGAAGCCTCCCATTCCAGAAAGGAAGAATTGAGATCTAGCACTGGCTTGGTGGTAGCAATCTCCAACCATTTGCCTTCTCTTCGTTAGCCATTTATCATTACGATAAACTAAGTCATACGAACTTGACATGGCAGCGCAATTGCGCAGTTCGCGCGAAATTGCATTCTTTATTGACTCATCACAAGCAAACCCTGGAGCAAAAAATTCAAACACAGACCCAGGATCACTTTCTTCAACCCCTTGGTCTGCACCATTCAAAAAGAGGGGAACTTTGAAATCGTTTGGTCGCCAATGGTGACGACTGAGAGGACTTGTGAAGAAAACTAGATCCGCTTGAGCTTTTCGTGTCGCATTGTTATTTGTTGCTGTCAATACGCAAGACCATAGTTGCAATGGAGGTGGTGGTGGCACTAGGTGAATGCTCACCAGGCCTTCGTTTACAAGCTGTGCAAGAAGGCGCTTAGTTGTCTCAGCCATGGCGTGAGACTGGTAAGTTATGGTAATTGCCATCTCATTTGAGAGAAACTGATGTTTAGGGTATACCTAGAAAGGGAGATCCCGAAGAAGGAGTACTATTCTTTAGTGTCTATTGCGCGAACGCGGCTGATTCAATATATGAGACCAATCATAGGTATCTATTAGGTAAATATGTACTAACTTTAGGCTGTTCTTTACAGTATGAGTTCCTTTCTGTCGGTCAGCGATATCATTCGTCAATGAGGTAGTCAGATGCATGTGAACCTGATTGATCAGATCTACCGGTTGATCGAGATTCTCAGCTCTGCGTGCACTTTTGTATTTATGACACATTTATTGATAAAGTGCATATAATAAAGCTGCAAACTGTCCCCACTTGCTACTCTTCACCGCTAGATTCATTGGAGCATCTGCAATGTACAATATTTAGTTACCGAATCAATAGGTCAATCGTCTGAAGATCCGATTTCACATCAGGTTTGAATGCTCACAATAGAGCTTTTACCTAATAGTAACCCCTATGATGCATGAATTCTTCAGCTCTTCAGCGCCACATGGTCTTTTTATTCTTTAGCGTCCCTTTGTGTGGAGCCGACGGAACCTATATAGTACTAGTAACCTAGTAGGAAATGCACTTCGACTTCCATGTCTAGGACCATATCTACTTTTACGTCGCTAGTTTCAGAGATTGATACTGAAATCGCTTTTGCTAAATATTCGGTAATTATGGGTGACATTGGAACAGATTCACAGTCATGGATGCCGCCAATGACCCCTCAGGCTCTGCCGTTGGGCAAAGCCAATATGTTCCCATCTGATGATCCTCATGTAAGTAAAATGACAAACAGAGATGAAAGAAAATGGCAACTAATAACTGTGATTCAGTCCGTCAGTGTGTCCCTTCCAACCTGGGACTCGGTCATTGGCCTATCCCGAAAAGAAGACTGGGTGATGGATAAGCTGGCATGTAGCTATCCACGGTAATTATCACTTGCCATGGCAGAGATGACAAAAACGCTGATGAGGATGACAGTTTCTATCTTAACAAACAAGTTCGAGATCTTGCGAGTGCTGTATTGCAGCGACTTCAAAAAACCGACAAAAACATCGGTTGCCTGGCCTTCAACACTGTCAAAGCTAGCCGGAAATGCGCCACTGTTCTCCAAAAGGAGGCGACAGAGAAGCAATTGAGACTGGAGGTTGTTCGATTCTTTATGCCTGCAGAGTCAAATTTTACAAAACTTTCTGGAGTGCATTGGGCTAATTTCTCTGCTGTTCTTTTCCACAATGATCTGAGGAAGGAAGCTATGGGGTACTGGCGTGATACGGGAGCCGGTCTTTCCACGCGCCACGCGTCGTTCTGTCTCGAAGAACTTGATTATCTGGACTCTGACTCCGTGAACCCGAAACTGCGAACTCCCGCGCTGCAGAAAAGAACACATTGCCGCCAGCTTCCAGCGTACGCGGCTTGGATACAAACTGCACCTGCGAGTCAGCACGAGCTCCAGTCGTTCATCGCACGGCTGGCAAGCTCAGAGCAACCCGGACAGCCCGCTGTAGCGCCTGGGGACGTGTTCCTCTATCCTACTGGCATGAATGCGATATATTCTCTGTCGGAGACTTTGGCGTCGCTGAAGTCAGACTCCCAGGTAGCAGCGTACGGATGGCTCTACCCAGAGACCGTTGAGGTACTCCGACGAGGGGCGTGGAAGAACATACTGTCGTTTAAAGATGGGACAGAAAAAGAATTGGATCAGCTGGAGACCATGCTGCAATCCGGCCAGCGGATTCACACGCTCTTCTGTGAGCTGCCAAGTAACATCAAACTCTCATCGCCCAACCTCCGCCGTATCCGCACTTTGGCTGATCAATATGGCTTCATTGTTGCCTGCGACGACACCGTTGCAGGCTATGTCAATATCGATGCACTCCCCTATGTGGATGTCATGATGTCGAGTTTGACTAAAACTTTCAGTGGAAGTTCCAATGTGACCGGAGGAAGGTATGTTTACGAATCCTCTACCATGAAACAATCCAATTTTCTGACAATCTCAGCCTGGTCATTAATCCTAATTCCCACCATCACGCTCAGATTCATGCTGCTCTCTCTACCAACTACGAGAACATCTATTTCCCTCTCGATCTCAGCACCCTCCTCCATAACTGCCAAGATATTGCCTGGCGGGTGGGGAAATGCAATGAAAACACACTTCCCCTAGTAAACTTACTCGCAAAGCACCCATCCATTGCACAAGTCAACCATCCATCCATCGACGCAACCGCCGATCTATACAAAAGCCTCATCCGTAAAGATGGTGGCTTTGGAAACGTACTCAGCATCATATTTCACCAGCCTAGTAGCGCAAAGCACTTCTACAATGTTCTAGAAGTTTGCAAAGGATCCAGCTTTGGTACAAATTTCACCCTAGCCATTCCCTACGTCCAACTAGCCAACTACTGGAATCGTGACAAGGTCCCTAAATACGGAGTGCCACAGCATATTATTCGAATCAGTGTTGGACTGGAGGACAGCACAGAGCTTGTCCAGACTTTCTCCAGGGCGCTTGATGATGTCGTCAAACTTGAGTCTAAGATCGCTCGGGTAGTTGACATTACGGATTCACGTCCATAGCTCAAACTAAGCCAATCGTCTGTTTTTCCCCTGAAAAGCAACAATTTTTCCACTTAATCCCAAGCGACACTATTAATTCCCTCAACACTATGACAACAATTTATGTGCTAAGCTCGTATTAGGATGTCGATCGACGTTCCTTGCATAATAAGCTGCATTTACAGGATCCACTGCGCCACTGGAGCAAGGCAGCTGAGTGTACACGGCAGCTGAGTGGACAAGGTCACAAACTAGTTAGTGTTACTTGGAATCTAAGAAATCCACCAATGCGACTTGTTCCAGAGATCTGAATCGTGCGGTTTAAAATGGGGTAATTGGATGCCTCGGCTCCTTCTCCTCTGTTCATCCTACTCTTTTTATTCCCCGTTGCGGTGATACCTTTCTGCCTCATCACAGGTGAAAACAATGCCTTGCATCCAGCCACTAAAACACGTGCCTGGATCCGCTGTAGATTTTGGGGTGACTGTTGATGATGTGGATCTGGAAAATCTGAGCGGTAATTACCTGATGGATCACTGTCAGCACATGATGGAGCGCCATGCTAAGGGTTTTCAATAGATGAGGATTTCGCCATCATCCACAATGCTTTATACCACCACCATCTCGTCGTGTTCAAGGACCAGCAGAATCTTTCCCCAAAATCCCAGTACGAGTTGACGAAACGTTTTGATCCGGCCTCCGAAAGATACGGCCATAAAGAATCCGCTAGTGATATCATCCACCAAAACTTCCAGGCAATTCCCGATCAGCCGCAAGTTCAAGTAAAGGGAAATGGCTTCATCAAGTCTTTTATGGGCCTCGAAAACATCAAACTGCGCCACCCTCATCACGGCTATGCCCACCGTGAGAGGATCTCCGAGGATCAAGACGATAAATATACCCGCTTCAATCGTTGGCATATTGATGCGGCGTTGTATGATCTCAACCCGCCTAAAGTCACTACTCTGATGGCGGTTGAAGTACCCAAGGGTCGTCGCCAGACAATCTTGTACGATGATGGTTCCGGGGAGGAGCTGGATGCACCCCTCGCAACTACAGCGTTTATCTCTGGTCAGAATATGTTCAACATTCTCTCTCCAGAAGATCAAGAATTCGTCCGTACAAGCAAAGTGGAATACGCAGCGCATCCGTATGTTCATCTGGCACTTTGAATGAATAAAATTTTCAACTACGGGTAATCTAAATCTGACACCATGAATAAACAGATACAATTGGGTCAAGCCGGCCAAAATGCATCCCACCGGCTTAAGCATCTATACCGAGGGCCGTGAGAAGTCCGAATCTGAACTGCCCCCCATCGATCCTTCTAAGATCCAAATTCTCCCCATGGCCTGGAAGAACCCGGTAACAGGCAACTTATCTCTACAGGTTCACCCAGCTCCGATTCGCAAGATCCATCGTGCCGATGGGAGTATTATTGATGATCTAAAAGAGGTTCGAGAAATTATGTACCGGCTTCAGCGCCCCGCGATCAGTCCGCAGTATGTGTATGCGCATGATTGGAAAGAGGGGGATATGGTTTTGTTCAATAACCATGGTGTCTTGCATACAGTGGTGGGATCGTTGAGGTCGGATGATATCAGACTTTTTCGACAGTGTAATCTGGCCGCGTCGGAGCCACCACAGGGGCCATGATTACCCCCTCCCTCTCCCCTTCTCCGTTTTTATTGTATATGCCTCATTCTTGAGTGATGTGCTTGTAAGAAAGTTACACCAAGAATACTTTTAACTGGAATCTACGAAAACGATCATTATCGCCTATCTTATGTACAAACTCCACATCCCAAGACAAGTACTACTTCTGTGTGCTTTCACATATTGCGTATATCTGCAATTTCATAGCCTAAATCCTCTATTAATTTACCTATATTGCATTATACTCTGTTCTTATTGTCAAACGTGGATATACGAAAGTAACACATCTACAGTCCCTTGGTTTCGGAAAAGGCAAAATAGAAACACGGCCCTAGTTGGATTTCTTATGGCAATTTGGATGTATGTACGGAGTAGCGCGTGAGTGTTTTATAACGCTTTGGTGCACCCGAAAATAGATATAGGCCCCTACAAGCCTAGCGGGCGCCACCCACCCCGAACATGCGAGACAATTGCCATGCCTCTCCACCCTTTAGCTATCAGCTAGAAAAAATAAGTGTTGGTTCAGGCGAAGAATATTCGCCCCAATACAGTAGAAATGAAATCACGATGTTCCCTACGGCTGCCACAACGTGCAGTCCACAATTGTTCTGCCGATCAATATGCGTAGTGGTCCTACAGGGGCCCTTTTTAGCGAATGCTTTGGTTCTAGTGAAGAGTGATGCGCCCGCGGTGCTGAGCTGGCAGTGTGAACACAAAAGTCCTTCAAAAGCAACTCATCATTCAAGTAGGGAGCACGCATTTCCGCTTCAAATTGGCAATAATGTGTGAAGGTCTGGATTTGGCTCGATTGTGGAATCTGCTGATCTCGGGGCTAGGAAAACATTTTCCAAATAAAAAATTGAAAGGGATATATCGATCTCTACCCATTATCTAAAAGGAAGTGTGATCTGAACTCTTGCGTGCTTTGTTTATCTATGAATTTTCTTGCTATCTGGTAGGTAATATATAATAAAAGCGGACTACTATAAATAATGACATAAATGTGGTCTTTTCTAGTCTATAACCATTGCCCCATAACAAATAAATAGCTTTATAAAAGTCAATCATAGCTGCATTTAAATGAGAACACTGGGAAGTCGATTGGTTTGGTGTAATCTAATTGTTCAAAAGCTAATCGATTAATGAATGACCTTGTCCACCTCACAGTAAATAAACACTAGTATGTTAATAAAGCTATATGCGTCTGTTAACTAAAAATGACTAATTGAATAAGTGCTGTTCAAGTCTCCTGGGCTGAAGTAATAGCACTGGAGATGAACGCTCTAGGCTAAGTCCGTTGTTTACTAATAAACAATATCGGCAGTAGATGTTTCCCTCATAACCTTTCTTGAGCAGGAAAATCGTTATCGCCAATCGATAACGAATCACGTGGACTTATCGCTATCGATTTATCGCATCACCGTAGATCTCCAGAGCTGTAAACCTCATCTTCAATAATATCTACACGTTTGGAGTGGCAAACTCCCACGGACTCAATCAGCGTACCCCACACATTATCCTGAGCTGTTTGAGGCTATCAAGGGCTTTTTGTACCCATTTTCTCGGCTTGCCTGCTCTGAGAAGGCCAGTGTGACTGCCGAACGAACCAAGCTCGCCCAGGACATCGTGGGGGCTAAGCACACAGGTCCATGAGTATGGATGTTAATGACTCGTTCGTCAATTTGATAGGCAAACAGCAGGTATGTTGTCGACGACTAAGTGGTCCCGGGATGACTCGACACGTCTTCTTCCTCCATCTTATATCCTCTCCCTCTCGACTTCTCTACTCCCATCTTCCGGATCCACCCTCCAGTCAATCCATGAACCCCCGCAGTAGATTGAATAGCAATGACTGACTCTCCTCGCAGCTTGCAAGATCTGTTTGAGGAGCTCGGGATCCCCCCAAGCGACCAGGCCTTTGTGCTTCGCCTTGTCAATTCGTCTGATCCATTTGCTGGCCTCTCTATCGCAGACAGTTCTACTAGCATTACGCGTAGACTCGCTTCTGTCAGACTCAGGCAAGACAAAATATCCATTCGAATGCATCTTCTTGGCTGACATGCAGCTCGTACAGCGAACGCGCCCACCGTGTCATCCAATCTTCCACCCTCCATAATACATCTGACAATCCCGACGGCCCACAACGCAGCAGATCGATTCACTACTCAGAGGAGTGGATTTCTCTCATCTCTGAAGATTCGAATAATTTGATCTCCGAATTATCCCAACTACCTGTATCGGACAACGAGGCTCCCAACCCCGGATTTCACGATCCAGCTGGTTCATCAGTCTACGACAGCGACGTAAGTGATCTCCCTGGTTCCATAATTGGCCTCGACCTGAACGCTGGAACCCAAAACAACCTCCCAATACTCTCGGACCCATCGGATTCAATCCAAACCATTACTTTTGAGGAAATACTAGAATCTTTCCCACGGCCTCCGGCTAGTGACAGCCCGGTCGGAGATCAGATTACTCCTGGCACCCACCGTGCCTCTCGACAAGTCATACCTATAAACAGTTCCCAGGCTAATATATCTACCCTTGGCAGCAGAGAATCAAACCACTGCATTCCTCCTCCTGTCTCACTATCATCTTCTGTCAACAGTCGGACTTTCGTTGAATATCGTCCCAACTCCTGGCGAAGCTGCTCGTTCAGAGAAGTTTATCTCCCCATTGTTCCATCTCTTAGCACACCATTGGAGCCCGAGGACTTCCTTCAATCCCAAGAGCTCGCAAACCGACACAGCGCTTTCCCTCCGCTCGTCCGATCAGAGCTCGAGCTCGGTAGCGCCACAGTACACCGCCATCAATTCAACACTGACTTCATAGGGCTTCGTACTCGCACGGCCCCTCCGCGACACTACAGACAATCGCCTCTCCGAGTCTCTTCTCGTACTTCCTTGGTATCCATTGCTTCGAAGCCATTACCCCCTTTGCCGAAGCCCAAGAAGAACTTCAAGGATAGGCTCAAACTATTCCTTCCCCATCTTTTGTGTTAAAGAAAATCAAGTCTAGTGCAGACTTGAAGAAACAGAAAGAAAAAAAAAAGAAAACGTCTTATACGGCCGCATCACTAAAATGGAGCCCCGCGGGTCTAAGTTCCTGGACCCGTCCTCCGCAATGGCGGCCATCACCAAGCACAAGGCAGAGGCAATCAAGCTCGCACGAGAGCAGGGGGTGGCTGTCCAAGAGATGTGCCGTCGAGCGAAAACTGAGGTTCCGCCCTATGAGTTTGAAGAGTTGATCGGCAAGGGGGCCTACGGCCGGGTCTATAAGGGTCACCAGACACCCTCTGGTCGGCTTGTAGCTATCAAGGTCCTGGATATCGACTCACTAGACTACAAGTCATTGCGAGATTTCAGAGATGAGTCGATCAAAGACTTTATTCATGAAACCAAAGTTATGAAGCAAGTGAAGGATTCCGGGGCCAAAAATATCAATGAGCTTATTGAAGCGATCTCAATTCACTCTCAGTTATGGCTCGTTTGTGAGTACTGCCCAGGAGGTAGTGTCCGTACCTTGATGCGGGCAACAAATGACAGACTCGACGAAAAGTTTATCATTCCAATTGCTCGCGAGCTAGCAGTTGGTCTTCGTGCCATTCATGAGGCCGGAATCATTCACCGCGATGTCAAAGCGGCAAATATCCTTGTACACGAAGAAGGCCGTCTGGAAATTTGTGATTTTGGGGTCGCTGGAGTTCTTCAATCGCAGCGGGACAAGCGATCGACGTGGATCGGGACACCACACTGGATGCCACCTGAGATGTTTGCCACTCGCGCAGAAGCCCATCGTTACGGGAGTGAGATTGATGTGTGGGCATATGGGTGCACGCTTTTCGAATTTGCAAACGGAAACCCACCAAATGCCGGTCTGCGAGAGCGAATGCAAATCGGACGTCAGCTGAATCGAAAAACACCCCAACTCGACAGCGACAATTACAGTCAAGGACTGAAGGATCTCATTGCTTTCGCCTTGGATTCTAATCCGGCCACTCGCCCCACAATGGAAGACATACTCGCCCATCCCTACATCGCCGATACCGAGGAGGAGTATCCCACCTCATCTGTGAGTGAACTGGTGAGGAACTATTACCAGTGGTCGCAGCGAGGTGGCCAGCGCATTTCCCTATTTCACCCAGGTGGAGCTGCCGCAGCGGAACTCCCGGGCGAAGGCCTTGAGGACTCGGACGAAGACTGGAATTTCAGTACGACAGACGGATTTGAACGGAGATTCTCTGTCATTGACCTGGATCAAATTGCTGCCTCATTAGCTGAGATGCAACAATCAGTCAGCCCCACCAGTCAGTCGCCTGAACCGGATCTGTACGATGAGTTTTCGGAGAGTGAACTCAACTATGAAGACAAGGCAAACTTCGATGAACGTGTGCGCCGAGGAGCTGTGGCAATGGAACCCTTGTTTGATACAGAACAGCCAAGCTACACATATGAAACGAAGAATGACTTTGTTCCCATTGAGCCTGCGCAGCCCACGTCAGATTTGCCTCTCCGAGCTGACACAGATCGATCTTCTGTCACATCTACATTCCTCGACATTGATATCGGGTCCTTTGAGGCTTCACACTACGCGGCAGGGGCTCCATCTGCACAACCCTTCCAGTTGGTCGATGCAAACACCATCCGCGCAAATCGCTTGAGTATTCGACCATACAGAAATTCCAACGAGAACGGTTCAAAGTCCGATGGCAGTGTTGATGGCGATATGAGTAATGATACGAACCTCGATGATACATTTGTGCCGTCCGGTCCACGACCTCCAACTATGGACTGGAAGTTCCCGACATTCACCCATCCTGAAGACGGGCAGCCGGAGGAAGAAAAGGAAGAACCCCAAGAGGAACCCAAAGAGGAAGAGTCTCTTCAGGCTGAGAAGCGCGCGACCATGCAGTGGACATTCCCAGTCATGGGATCCGTGCCCGAAAGTCAAGCCTACGAAGATCGACATGACACTCTCCGGGCCCCGCTCCCTGAGGCTCTACCTTCGCCACAAGCGCAAGTCAAAGATAAACCTAGCGAAACCCGTCCTTCTACTTCAGCATCAAATGTCTCCGATTCCGACTATGATCCCTTCCGTTTCGATCGCCCTGACACCCCACCGGGCGCTTCCTCCATCCAACACAGCCACTTCTTCGACACAAGACTTCCCGCAATGATGGCGTCTGTCGGTGTCAACGAATATGAGGCTTCGGGCCTTCTCGATGGCCCCGGGCCCGACGAAGAGTCCCACCCTGTGTGGAGAGCCCACTCAGAGGTATTTGCCGCCAACCCTTTGGCACCTATACCAACGGCTGTTCAAATCCCTGAAATCCACACTGCTTCCTCCGTGACCTCGGGCCCAGTCTCAGAGCCGGGATCCCCTGTATTCGAAACAATACGACATGCCCGCCACGAAAGTTTCTCTGATCCCATGACACCACATATGCGAAATGAAAGTTATTCTGATACCCACTTGATGCCAGCCGATGATGAAAGCCCCATTCCCTTCCCGACAGTATTTGCCCCCAGATCTGCGAGTCTCATGGAAGGTGCAGACGATGGCTTGGTGACAGCAGAGCTTGATCGATTACTGGGTGATTTCCTCGGGTCTCTTTCAGCGACTGGCGAGGCTCTGTCGAGGGCTGCTTTCTGTCAGGGCACAAACGGTGTCCATGACAAATTTGTTGAGAAGGTCTAAATGGCCGAAAGTGCATTGTGTCGGCCTACTGTCCAATTTTCATGATTTACTGGCTGATATTCTTATTCGGAGAACAAAGTGACCTTTTACACGAAGTTGATGAAATCCGTTCCACTGAACCTCCTTTTCTGATTTCATATTGACCCTCATCTGCACATAGGATTACAATGCTCGTGCGAAGGGGTATGCGTAGAGGTCTCAAGGGCGGCATATACTGGGCCCTAATCATTGGAGAGTAAAGGCGATGTCAGTGTATCAATTGGTAGAAGCGAGAGATTGTGTGTTCAGTGTAAAGAAATCGAGAACCACGCTCGACGTCTCTCCACGCCTCCATTCGAACTTGAGGCAGCGCCCACCTGTTTTCCGTTTCTTCTTCTTTTTCTTTCACCTCTTTCTTCAAACTTCGTTTCCTTCCCACGATCTTACCAATCCCGTCGTTTAATCCTTCTTCGTGCTATCATCTTTAATACAACATATTTCTCACAATGTCAGTGAACGGACCCCCGAAGGTCCCAGAAGAATCATTCCCTTCAGGTGTCTTCTCGCCTCCCCAGAATGAGTCTGAGTGGCTTCTGGCTCTTATTGACGTGAAGTGGCTTTGTCTCAACCAGCAGTACAAACTATGTGCCTCTCGTTGCCATCAGCTTATAGAAACTGCATCTGATCCGGTTTGCGTCACACAGATATCAATCTCAAGTAGTCGCTAACGGGCTCACATATAGATCTATCCGATCCGTGCAACCTACCTCTACTACTATGCAGCGACTTCCTATGAGTACCTAGGACGAGCAGCTCATATCTTTTCCGCAGCTAAAATCCCTCTTTTGACTTCTGCTCTGGAAAATTTTGAGTTTGCTTACATTGCCCTGCCTGCTACGTTTCCGCATCCGATTTGGAATACCAGCGGGAGTTATTCGCCCGTTACTGGTACTCCTTACTCGCGCTCCCCTTCTCCTCAGTTTGATCTGTCTCCTTTGCCTTCTTCTGGTTTCATATGGAGCCCTAAAGGCTCACCTGCCAACCAGTACAACTCAGTCTCTGATGACCTGGACGCGTGCCCGTCAGTCTGCGTTTGGAGCCCTCAAACATACTCACCAGCCCAGGATGTCTCCTCTGTTGGCGATACTGGAGCTGAGACTTATGTGGATACCAGGCCCTTTCAGACTCCTCCACCTGCCCCTTCTCCATCTATTTCTTCATCCACTACCACTGCGTTCTGTGTCACGCCACCTCTTGAATCCGAACAAGCCTCTCGTCCTCCCTGCGGTGCGCCTATTCCGGTATTCAATATCCCGCCTCCCATCCGCCCTCCACCCCCTCCCCCTCATAGGATCTTTGCTAGTCCAGCCAGGTCTGTGCGTGAGCAATTGATCACTTTTGACAGTGACAATAATGGGCTTCCAATTGGTGGTAACATCGTGAAGAACATTGCTCGCATGATCGATAACTCATTACTGATCGGGTCCGATGACCCTTTTGTCTCGCACGAGAAATCAACTCTTCGTCCGGCCATGCACCCTTCAGTGCGACTGTCTCCAGTCAAATTTCCAGCTGATCTCAAAGACCCAGTAAATCAAATCAAGCTCATCCCCTCCCCACTCAATATCAGAAAGCACTCTGGCGAGGTCCTTAAGTGCGGTGGCCCAGGAATTGTCATCAGCGAGAACCAAAAGCAAGAAGAATACAAAGATGACATGAAGCGCCCTGCTCGAGTTCGCCCTCCCAGGCTACCATTAAGGATCATCCCATCCAAGAATATGAAAGCTGACACTAGAAAGACAAGCTCTCCAATTCTATCCCCACAGCCTAGGCGTGTGAGCCCCATCGTCCCCATCGTCCTACCTTACCCCGATCTACGGCCCTCTTCCAAGCTCGCGCCGCCCACAGCCCCAAGCCCGATCGTACAAAATACCATGCCCGTCCTCGGCTCACCTTTTACCACGCCTCCCCGCTCCTCCGAAAACTCCATGTCCGTCTACTCATCGCCATTCCCATCCCCCGAACCCGTGCCATCCGCTCAAGCCGCTGAAATCCTAAAATTCAACAAAGTAGTCATGTGGCTGCGCGAGCACATCCCGGCCAACACAACCACGCTCCGCAAACAGATCCAGCACGTCGCTGATTTCCAGGAAGCGCGCCGCACCCGCAACACGAAAATGACGCACTCCGCCTCATTCTGGACGTTCACGCCTGGCAAGGCAAGTCCTGGTGATGAGACGGACGAGAAGTCGCCGCTATGGGACGGTCCTAATATCGATGAGTATGGAAATCTGCTCAGGGTTGAGACTAAGGCGCAGCGGATCAAGAGGCTGCGTCAAGAAGGGTGGAAGATTGGGATTCGCTCGAAGCATAGTCTTTGGAAGGGGTCTGAGTACTATGACAAGTTTTGTGAAATTGCTTTGGAGGAATTGGGGGATAGCCGTGGTCTTACTGTCGAGGGACATGCTTGTTTGAGAGAATGGTAGGTGTCTACTGCTGGTGGTTTCTAAACAGGGTTTGATCCGTTTCCGTTTGATCTTTCTCGGTTTTCAGTTGGGGATGGGGATGAGTGCGTTTTTCACAGGTGTTTGCTCGCTATGCGTGCCTGGGGATTGCATGGCGATCAATCTGCCTGAATAACTGAGTTGAGCCATGATAATATGGTCCATGGTCTGTGTTTGATTATCTTGCTACACCACTTGTGAGAGGGGGACAACATTTGACATGTTGATTCCAAAGGATTGGATTTATTGTTTAATCTTAATCCTAATCTTTCCAATCTGAATTTAACATTGCTTTCCATTCATTGTCCAATCAGATAGTACCATAGATGAATATTCAAAGACCTTTGCTCAATACAGAACCAAGTCCTTCCCCGAGACCACCTTTGCCAAACATTCCACCGAGTTGATCTCCAAGTTGGTCTTGAATCTTGCTGAGATTCTGGTCTTCGGTGAGTTTTTTGCCTGTGAGACTTCCTAAGGTGATTTTAGTACTGATTCTACGTTTATTTTCGCTCAACATACTCTTGAGTCCATAAGACACCTTGGTCTCGCCCATATAATCCAAGAGGAGCTCTTGGAGTTGCTTCTGGTATGGGTCAAGGTAGCCGGAAACCCAAGCGGCCAGGAAAATCACTTGAAAGATAATAAAGAAGAGGAAGGATATCATGGTGAGTTATAGAAGTTAGATGATAGAAACTTCAATAAGGAAATGAGGGCAGTTGCGGTGGTTCATATACTTGCCTAGGGCTATGACGTCAGATGACGCTGTGCCACAGGCTTTTATATTAATCGCTATAATTAACTACTACATCATGCCGCGTAAATGCTAGTTTTTGGTTTCACAAATTATATCACAGAATGTCACTTCAAACCAGATAATTGTCCCGGGCAAACATAAATGGGATTCTCGTGATCTGTAAAGGGCTTTGCTACTCTAGAGCCAGTCAGTATAAACAACAATTGAAGACAGTTTATTGTACACACTTATCGCAGTTTCAACACTACACTTTTGCTTATTGTTCCTCTTTAGTGAATGATATAGTCTGATTGCTCTACGGCGAATTACGCGATGCGGTTGAACGATTTTCTGTCAAAATTTTACAATAACATGTATGCAAAGCAGGTGCTACACGCAATAGTAAAAGGACTCGAAGTCCAGTACGAGAGTGAAGGAAAATGATTTGATTAAACGGACCATTAGATCCTTAGATTAAAGCCACAACTACTAGAGAAATAGCACAGTGCTTCGGCTATACCAAAAACAGGTTGTTCATCCCGTGGACGGTAGATTGACTTACCCTTTAAGTTGTGGTGGGGAGCATTCCTCTCTTTGTACCGAGTATGATAATGATAATCCGGTAGTTCATTACACCTGGGCAGCCTTATTGCCTTAGTCAATCAACCTAATAAATATGCTTTGGCTCGAGATCAATTGACTGCACAAAACGTCTTTTTGTGCTGTGAAATGAAGGCAGCTGGATTGATAACCCATTTTTCTTGCATAGTAATCCAAGGCGTATGCAAAGCCTGGAAGGGGTTTACGGCTATGGTTGTAGCTGCGTATGCCATATCTTTTATGCCGCATCGCTCCCTAGCAGCATATACACCTCCATTTCTAAGGCTGCAAGGTTGCCCAGGTGTATTTAGATGTGTATGTAATTCTATTATATGCTAACGTAAGGAAGTGTTCTTATAGTCTGTCTTAAAGAATACCCCTTCTGAGAATCCTTAGCCGAGTGGTTGCGGTCACTGGGACACTGCTTGCAGTGCTTTCCCACGGTAGGTGTGCTCATCTGGTTGGCCCCCAGGTTCGAAGCTCTTACAATAGGAGTGATTTTTTGCGCTTTTTCTTTCCTTCCTCCATTCCAGTGCAGAAAATTTCAAGGAGTTCTCGCTTTTTCAGTTGATCTTTATACCTTAAGACTATATTACGAGACGTTTTATGACCCACTCTCGCTATTCTAATGTCTTGGCCATACATGTAGGTCGCGAGGGTCTGAGCAATAATCTGGCTGATCTGGAGATGGGTAAGATTTCTATTTTCGTCTTATCTTTTTACTACTATCAATTTTATATATGCAAAGAATTTTGAACGCTCATAATTGTTGAGTTTACTGTTGCTATCATAGAGAAGGTGGGGAGGGGGAGGGGGAGCATTGGAGGCTTCACATCACAGAAAATCGCAACGAGTTGCTGTGTTTTGGCAGGTGAAGCTGTTGTTTGAGGTAGGAACTATATTTGCCTAATCGGGAAGGTAGTGGCCCCATAATCACATGTGATTGATATGAGTGCCTGCAGATCTTGGCATCCATTCTAGGATTAACTAACTATCCGACGAATCAAATTGCTGTTGGTGGTTTAATTCTGCTCATCGCTCGTATCGGTCAGATTTGCGAAATTCAGGACCTCATGATTGTAGAACTATATAAAGAACTGTTACTCTCGTTGAATTGCTACAATGAAATGTCCACCAAGGCCAGAGGCACGGTATCAGTTGACGCCTTGTTTCTGAGGTGTCTAATGACCTCGAATTATCGAACATTTCGGCGGTACTGTATACTAGGAAAATGAAGAAATGGATAAGTCTAGGATAAAAGGAGCCAAGTCCCGAGAATGGAAACAACGAGGGATAGATATCCATTTCTATCGCCAACTCTAATGTACGCGCTGTACTCACACTAGTTATAGCTACACATGGATATAGGTAACTATGGATAGTGGAAAGCGCAGCGCGTAAAAGCATCACTATCACTATTTAGTGACCCAAAGACCACGCATAATCATGTCTTTTTCATCATCACCTAGACTTGTAATGTTCAATTTTGACAACCTACGGAACTCCTCTTGGCGGTGAGCCCTACAAGGCTGTGGGCTCAACGGCTTTGGGCGCAACAACAGACTAAGACCAAAAAAAGGATAATGCGGCTAACAATACAGGACAAGATAATTATCGTGACTTTGTCGCAGATCAAGTTTTTCATATAGTTTCATAATAATGTAAGAAGACAAAGGAGAGCAAAGAGTAACTAACTACAAACATAGTTAATGTAACGGACAGGGGTGGAAGCCTAAAATCCCAGGCAATCGCATTCTTGACTGCGCCACACGCTAAAGCTTCACACCTTTTTGTCTCAGCGGCTAGAACTTGTAGATATTCTCCCTCTCCCCTATTATTCAATTGCTTCCTGAAATTTGAAGAATTTACTTGTAATCACTCTTTGCTTTGCTTCAAATTGTCAAGTCTGAGGTATGTCCCCATCCCCGAATCCTCAGCCACCCCCGCGCATGAGCTCGAATTTAGCAATTCCAGATCACTGACCCTTTTCTCTCTAGATTGATCACCATTTACGACTTCCAAATATTCACACTCCTCAGTCCCCTACGTGATTTGACCTCTGCTACCTAACGAGCTCCGTGCATTACAGCCCATCGCACGCATCTGCCACCACTTTCGGGCGTCTGCAGCCCTACCCCCACATCATGAGTTGTGAGTCGATATTTCTTATTCGCGGGACTTTTGCCTTTTTTCTTGATGCGACTGTGATTCGTCTTGGCTTTGGTGCCCAGTATTTTTCAGATATCGGGCTTATAGTCTGATTCTTTACTGCGTTGGAAACCATGTCGATCTATGCACTGCCTGCAAGCTATATCTGGCATATTTGTGGTCTAGGCAGCCTGCTCGCCATCATTTTGTGTAACGGTCTGCTTCGCAATGCCTTCGCCTTCCCCTCTCGGTCGGCTCCTCCAGGAGTCCTTCACTGCTTTTATTTTGCGCGTTTCGTCTGAGAGACCCTTCAATTCGCTAACTGCTGTTCCTTTAGTCGCAAGTATGCTCAATAAGCTGTCTGGACAGCCGGAGAGCTATGAGAAAAAGTATATTTTCCGAGTCCTTTTTCTGCCCCGCATTTGCTGACCCATTTCGCTGGTAGGGCCCTCTACACGTTTGGACGGACGCTGGGTGCAGGCACATACGGCATCGTTCGCGAGGCGGAAACCACGGACGGAAAAAAGGTTGCGGTCAAGATCATTCTCAAGAAAAATGTTCGTGGCAATGAGAACATGGTCCATGATGAGCTTGAGATGCTGCAATCACTCCAACACCCCCACATCGTCTCGTTTGTCGACTGGTTCGAATCCAAGGTGCGCATGTTTATTGGGTGAAATCATGGCGGGTCTAATCGTGGATTTAGGACAAATTCTACATCGTTACCCAACTAGCCACTGGCGGTGAGCTATTCGATCGCATTTGCGAGTACGGAAAGTTCACTGAGAAGGATGCGTCGCAAACAATCCGCCAGGTGATTGAGGCCGTGGACTACCTGCACAAGCGCAATATCGTTCACCGAGGTTGGCTTCCCCATTTCACCCAGCGCGCACCACATAGCTAATACTCGCAGACTTGAAACCCGAAAACTTGCTCTACCTCACCCGCGCCGCCGATTCTGAATTAGTCCTCGCCGACTTCGGCATCGCCAAAATGCTGCACAGTCCCTCTGAGGTCCTCACCAGCATGGCAGGCTCATTCGGCTATGCCGCCCCTGAAGTCATGCTCAAAAAGGGCCATGGCAAAGCGGTCGATATGTGGTCCCTCGGTGTCATCACCTACACCCTCCTCTGTGGTTACTCACCCTTCCGCTCCGAGAACCTGACCGACCTCATCGAAGAATGCCGAACATGCCGCATCATCTTCCATGAACGCTACTGGCGCGACGTCTCCCAAGATGCTAAGGACTTCATTCTCACTATGCTCAACGCCGACCCCGATAAGCGTGTCACATCCGAAGAGGCCCTCAAGCACAAATGGCTGACCGGAGAATCTGCCAGCGACCGCGACTTGCTGCCCGAGATCCGGGCTTACATTACGCGCGCCCGTCTCCGCCGCGGAATCGAAATCGTCAAGCTGGCCAACCGCATTGAGTCGCTCAAAATGCATGAAGAGGAGGGTGGTGAGGATATTCCTAGTCCTATGGACATGGTTCCTGGTGATGCTGGTGAAAAGCCGGCGTCGGAATCTAATGGCGATTCCAGTCCTGCCCCTAGCCACTCGAAGAAGAAGAGTCTTGGCAGTGCAGCTCACGGTGCTATCTTCCGTGAGGTTGTTTTGGCCAAGGTACGTGAGCAGAAGGAGAATGAAGAGCGTGAAAAGATTGAGCGGGAAGCGAGGGAGAAAGCGGCTTCTGCTTAGGGGGCCTTTTTCTTCTTTTTTTCTTCTTTTTCTTTCTGTCTCAAGTTGATACGATCCTACGGATTTTCTGCCCTATGCACCTTTTCTACTGGGCGGTTTCTTGGATATAATTCTGTGATTCCCACTTTATTTTCATAGTCAATCAAAGTGAACATATGTATTTTGAAATGGGGATGAATTTCAAACTCAGGTTACTCAGATAAAACCTAAAGCAAAGTCAGTTGCATTCTAGATACTTATTTAAAGAGGTCTCGGACTGTTATCCTAATCAACCTAATTCATAGAAATATATTGATGAAAGCAAATCTATAGGATTCCAAGGTCTAAAACATTAGACTAAATCAAGCCGTAGGCGCTTTATCACGTGTAGGTGATGTTCTCCCCACTCGACTCAAAAAAACTTTCAGCAAGTCCCATTACTTGAATTTATATCAAGTTCATATATTATTGTTCTTCTCCACCTAAGTACCTAGGCTAAGTGTAGAACTTGTATCGTTATTGTTTACTGCACGTCCTACACGTCATACATCCGCTATACTCCACAGGCCCCCCTCCTTCTCCACCAGAGCTCCCTTTCTCTTTTCATCACACTGCAAAAATGTTCGCGACCAAGCGCCTAAGCAAGGTAAGTGTAAATGCGAGATCTATGAAAATCAACATCTCTAACTCTTCATTTCTGAACTATAGGAGCTCATTAAGGTACCAAAACCTCCTTTTCCGATCTTATCGCACTGCCCCGCCAGTTTCAGCTTTGCGAAGATGCGTATTGCGCTCATACATTCACCCCTGGTATACATCTATCTCTGATACTATGACACTTACAGATGCAAGACCATGTTCCACCCGGGATTGCAATCGTGAAATGTGACAATCTGGAAGAGTGGCAGATGGACATCAAGGTCCTTGATCAAAACCCGCTCTATCTGGATCAGACTTATCGTCTGAAGTTCACCTTCAGCAACAAGTACCCCATTGGTAAGCCCATTTTATTGTCTCCATACCCTTCTCGCCAAGTCCCCCAGTACTTCCGTTCTAAATGTCGCCGCAGAACCTCCCGAAGTCCAATTCATCCAATGCCCTGACTCAACCGGCACCCCCCGTTCGATCCCGATCCACCCCCACATATACAGCAACGGCATCATCTGCCTTGACCTGCTAGGCACGTCCGGCTGGTCCCCCGTGCAGAATGTCGAGAGCATTTGCATGAGTCTGCAGAGCATGCTGACCGCCAATACCCGTGACGAACGGCCAGCCGGTGACAAGGAATTCGTCGCCACCAACCGCCGTCGCATCCGTGACATCAACTTCGTCTATGAAGATGACAATGTATAAACCTGAGTCTTTCAAGACTAGCACATATGTTTCCCAAGAGGCGTACCCGAGCTACATTATTTCGAGGCATAATTGGCGTTTTCTGCATGTTGATGTTATTCCTTATGGGGTAGGTACATGTTAACCGGGACGTATTCCTTTGTGTAATTTGCATTGATCATGGCGCTGGTCTATCAGACGAAATCCGGAATGGATGGGTTTCTTTTCGGGGCGTTGGTGACTATCTAGCGTTCAATCAGAGAGCTCTTTTTCTACTTCGTTGCAGATGGTGAGTAGAACATTCAGAAGAGCATTCAGATAAGCCCTTGAGGAGATCATGTAATAGAATCCACTATCCGAGCGATCGTTCATCTAGTACAGAGACATAACCATCACCGTTCAATGTGATTGGTCAGATCGCTTATATTCCCGAAGCAAGCCCTGGCGGGAAATCGCCAAACGAAACTATAAAAGCAAAGTATAGCCCTGAAATGGGTTGGAGTATTAAACCTGGCGTACTTGTATAGTACAAAATGCATCCCAAGAAAATCGATCTTTTCCAAGGATGGCCCACGTCATCGATGCTCCCAGTCAAGCGCCTTAAACAAGCCGCCAACGCCGCCCTCTCGAACAAAGCCATCTTCGAAACAGGACTGGAATACGGCCCTGATGAAGGCCATTACCCCCTAAGAAAGAACATAGCCCACTGGCTTTCAAATTTCTATATACCCGCACAGCCCGTCACCGCAGACCGGATATGCATCACAGGCGGCGCGAGCCAGAATCTCGCTTGTGTGCTGCAGGTATTTACAGATCCCGCTCAGACACGCATGGTCTGGCTCGTGGAGCCGACGTATCATCTTGGGTTTCGAATTTTCGAGGACGCAGGGTTCGCTGGAAGGTTGAGGGGAATACCCGAGGACGGGGATGGGATGGATGTTGCCGCGCTGGAGCTTGCGTTGGAGGCTTTTGAGCGTAGCGAAAAATTGACTCAGGAGGGCTTGGTATGTGCTTGCATTGTTGCGTCTGTTTGTGTATGCCCGCTGACAACGAACAAGGTATACAAACCCGACAGCCTGTATGGGAAGATATACAAACATGTCATATATTGTGTTCCGAGCTTCGCCAATCCATCGGGAACGACGATGCCGCGCGCGCGACGAGAGGCCCTTGTCAGGGTTGCTCGGAGGTTCGACGCTCTTGTCGTTGCTGATGATGTATATGATTTTCTTGGCTGGGGCACGGCGCATTCCGAGTCGGTCTCTAGACCTCCCCCGCGTCTGGTGGATATAGATCGGGTTCTCGATGGCGGTCCGCAAGACCGATTTGGAAATGTCGTCAGCAATGGGTCTTTTAGTAAACTTATTGGTCCGGGGTGTCGTGTTGGGTGGGCTGAAGGGACGGATGGTTTTATTCGCGGTCTTTCTCGGGCGTGAGTATTTGCCCACCTGTGGGAAGACGGCTGACAGGAATGAGCGTCTACTAATTATTGCTTCAGTGGTTCCACGCGATCTGGTGGTGCCCCTTCACAGCTAATGTCGACTATCGTCAACGAGTTACTGGAAGATAACTTCTTGCCAGGGTATATCGCCGGATGTCTAGTCCCTGAAGGACGAAAAAGGCATATGTGTCTGGCATCTGCAATCAAAGAACATCTCTCCCAGTTCGATGTGTCATTTACTCCTGATCCGGTGACCAGTCCGCTGGCGGGTGGATACTATATTTGGGTTATGCTCCCGGACGCATTGACCGCAGCCCAGGTGTGTGAACAGGCTCTCAAAACACGCAACCTAGTGCTTGGTAGTGGTGAGACATTTGCTGTTCCCGGGAGGGGAGGGGGAGGGGATTTGCATCGCAGACTGAGATTGTGTTTCATGTGGGAGGATGAAGGGCGGCTGGTTGAGGGGGTGGAGAGGTTGGGGGTTGTCATTCGCGAAATACTGGCAGGCAAATAGATTAAGGAGATAGAGTATTGATACTTAGAATTATATCCTTTTGTGGTGTTTTTCTACAAAATGTGTTACTATTATCCAAAATTGAGTTGATGGATTGCATTATATACATACAGGTATGTATGTAGTCGGCTCTGGTACATGTATTAAGATATGCCTTCGCGGCCTTGTTCATCGCCTTTATAAATCAAAAGGCCTTAACGTATATAGCAACCTTGGATGGCAGGTTACCCATAGAACCAATATTCTGCTGCATATGGGACTAGTATTGTGGAGTTCTGACCAGCACAAGTAGAGGGCGGGTTACCCAAGGATGTCACAACTCGGTAAACCTCCTATTAAAAAACTTAGATCAGAAACACGGTCTTTAATGTCATCAAGTATGGCTTACCTGAATGTTCTGGCCCTTCTTGTAACCCAGTTTGAGCCACGGAACATCGTCACCAGATTCTGATGTTGAATATGGCGCCGGAACAGATGCTTTCTTGGTACTAACAATCCAAGAATTGGAGCCAGTCAGACTAAGATCAAAGACCGGGTCACTAGCAGCATCAAAGTAATGTTCGCCAACGATCAAATTGGTGCTCCTTGTACCCTGAGCCACAAGAGCCGCCATGAAAGCAAGAGATCCAAGAGGCGTGGTGCTGATTATGCCAGGGACCTGGTGAAGAAGAGACTCGGATGCAGATACAATGCATGAGGCATCGAAGAGCGTAGCAACGGCCCCCGTGGCCTCAGGCTTGATGGTGGACTGAGGGTTCGAAGAAGCATCCAATGGGCAGGTGTAGTTCTGAGTTCCCCGGCCCAGTGCAACATGTTTGAGCGTGAGGTTTCTGCATGGTTCTGGCAGCGGATATTTTGTTGCGTTCAATGGAAGAGTTGCGTTTGCTAGAGAGCAGTTTCCAAGGTTGATGTTGTCGAGCTCGTGGTAGATGAGGGAGAATGATGATGCGAGAGCCAATGGGTGAGGGAGACCGGAGTATCCATTCGCAGTGGCTGCTGCAAGAAAAATAGCTAGCACTGAAAAGATATTCATCGTGACCGGATACTTGATTCTAGAATGATGGCTCATCGGGTTGGTTCTCTGGAGCAAACCAAACACTGGGATAGTGAAAGGGCTGGGGTTGAATGCAAGATTTAAGCAACAAATAGAGAGGTATGTGCCTCATTAAATGAAGTTCGATAGCACTTTTCTTATATGTAACAAAGAAGACACTGAGTTTGGGATGCCGCACAGATAGCTAGACTCGCGGCATCTGAATCGAACTAAGCGAAATAGGTTCAAAATTCAAACTCAATGAACCTTTGACAGTCACGGGGGAAATATTCACGAACGCCGCTATATAAGAAGTAATTCCCGTCCGAGGAAGTATTCTAGTCTGCTGACTGGGGACACCATCGGGGTTAAAAGAGTGCTAAAATTGGCCTCTTTGTTGTCATCCCCCACCTAAGTGAAAACTTACTGGAGAGCTGGGAAATGAGCCGTTAATTTCCCTGCATCAATTAGACTGGAAGCGTGCATAACAATTAATAAATTAATGTAACCATAACACCTCCAGGGCTGTCCACGGGCAGGTTACACTTACACAAATTTGACTTGCTAGCCGCTAACAAACCCGCTTTGATGTTGGACAACAAATTGGCAATAGATTAATATAGCTTTCTTTGAGATCATATCCATCGACTAAGAAAAGTCGACCTTGGGCAACTTGGTATTCCAAGGCATGTACAGTAGAACACTCTGAGCTCTTAGACCATTGGGAGGCTGCAGATACTTCGCATAAGCGCCAATCAATGCTAGATCTGCCATTGGCTGTCGGAGAGTTTATCGTTATTGCTCTGGTTGCATTAGGAAAGAATTCCTAAATTAGACAGCTTTAATTAGTTTCGGATGCAAAGGAACACTAAAGTAGACCTTCTATATCTCTGATGCACTGAGCGTGGGACATAAATAGACCATAAGCGCCCTTTCGGCGCCACATACCTACCTTACGTGTCGATGATCCGATACCACCAGTTAGCGGTGAATTGTTCTATGACAGTTCGTCAAGGGTCAGACGTAGTTGAATCATGAAGTATACTGTGTGAAGTATCAAATTCTACATAAAGCTTTGACAATAAAGAGAATTTCCCGGGAGAACAGTAAAATATTAAAGCTGGAACTTTTTTGTTTAGAATGCATTATCTGTCATTGACTTATGCTTAATTGATTGATATGCAACTCATTTCGTGGTCTTTGACCTCTAAGTTGGAACAAGCTGCAGTTTAGGAGAGAACGTGGTTTTGGAAAATGTCGTAGTAAAGGCCCCTGCGCAGCAACTGTTTATTGATCATCACGTGCAAGCTCGATATGATCACGTGTATGATCACGTGCAAAGGTCAATTGAATTATTCTTAGTCATGCAACTAGCGCGACTTCGCCGACGACCTTTTCAGTGTCTCATCGCGAGGCCCAAGCAACATTGCATCGTCAACGACAATTATCGCGACCGTCACAACGGCTTTCAATCCGGATGTAGCTGCGGTGACCCTTTCTGCGGTAACACAAGCTCAATATATCCTTGCGACTTCTGACTATTATCACTATGTCTGACGGTAAGTTTTCCCAAGCTCTCTAGTCTGCCACCATACTAATCACCACATAGCTGATCTCGAGGCCGTTCGACGGCTCCAAGCTGAGCGCAATGCTGCTGCCGCTGGCACTAAAGGTTCTAGAACCTTTGACCCATCTGGTCAACGTACTGATAACTCAACCAAGGCCTCCATGACGGACTCCTTCGATACGACTTTGTACGATCGGGATGGAGCGGAGAGATTTTCAGGCTACAATACCTCGATCGCGGTTGATGGCGATGACGAAGAAATGGAAGACGCAAATGGAGGACTCAATTTGGTTGGCCAATACACTGCTACCCGAAGCCAGATTGATGAGATGGCGCAAGGAAACGGCGTTGAAGAGGAGGACATTTTGCTTGGTCGTGAAAAGGCAGCTCGGATTGCAGACCGCGAAACAGACTACCAGAAGCGCCGGTTCAACCGCGGACCCCTTACCCCGACGCGCGCCGATCCCTTCGCTGCCAATGCCCATGCGAATGGCGAGGGAGAAGGCCAGACCTACCGTGAGGTTATGGCCCTTCGCGAGCTTGAAAAGGAGGAGGAACGTGTTCAGAAATTGATCGTGGAGAAGCGAGAAGCCGGTGAAGATGTAACTGAGCATGAGGCTACCTTGAAGAGGGTGGAACAGGACAAAGAAAACGCCGATGCGGGCTCAATTGTTGATGCTTCTGCCACCAAAAAGCGAAAGAAGAGATGGGACACGGCCACCGAGGATACTGCTGAGCCACCAGCCGAAGAATCGGCAGAAGCCAAGTCCAAGAGGTCTCGTTGGGATGCGGCGCCCGCACCCGGTGCTTCTGATGAAGCTCCCAAGGCCCGATCGCGATGGGATTTAGCTCCGTCACTGACGGCTGCCACTCCCGTCGGTACCCAAGGCCTCGCTACCCCCATGCATCCATCGCAAGCAGGTGCCGCCACGCCCCTCACCGCTCCGTCTGGCTCAACAGTCGGGTGGTCTGATGAGGAACTTGACTTCATGCTCCCTGGTGAAGCTGAGGGTTACAAGGTCCTTGATCCTCCCCGGGATATGAGCCAATTCGAACTCAAGCCCGCAAGCTTATGGCCACGCCAGCGCCCATTGCTGGCGCTGGTGGTGTCGGTGGATTCATGATGCAAGAGCCTGAAAGTGTTAAGTCTATGGGCAAGGAGCTTCCTACAGATATCCCTGGTGTTGGTGATCTTCAATTCTTCAAGCCGGAGGATATGGCCTACTTCGGTAAGCTGATGGAGGGCGGTGACGAAACCAGCATGACCGTCGAGGAGATGAAGGAGCGCAAGATCATGAGATTGCTGCTCAAGGTTAAGAACGGTACTCCGCCAATGCGAAAGACTGCTCTGCGACAGCTCACAGATAATGCGCGCAACTTCGGTGCCGGAGCTCTTTTCAACCAGATCCTTCCTTTGCTTATGGAGAAGTCATTGGAGGATCAGGAGCGCCACCTGCTGGTCAAGGTCATTGACCGTGTTCTCTACAAGCTTGACGATTTAGTTCGACCCTACGTCCACAAGATCTTGGTCGTCATTGAGCCACTGCTCATTGATCAAGATTACTATGCCCGTGTTGAAGGACGAGAGATTATTTCCAACCTTTCCAAGGCCGCCGGTCTTGCTACCATGATCAGTACTATGCGTCCTGATATTGATCACGTTGATGAATATGTGCGCAATACGACAGCACGAGCCTTCGCCGTTGTGGCCTCTGCCCTCGGTATCCCCGCCCTCCTTCCTTTCCTTCGCGCTGTCTGTCGCAGTAAGAAGTCTTGGCAAGCCAGACACACAGGTGTCAAGATTGTTCAGCAAATCCCCATTCTCATGGGTTGCGCTATTCTTCCTCACCTCAAGGGACTGGTTGACTGCATCTCTGACAACCTCAGCGACGAACAGGCCAAGGTTCGGACCGTTACCGCTCTCTCGGTGGCCGCTTTGGCTGAAGCTGCGAACCCATACGGTATCGAAAGTTTCGACGAGATTCTGAACCCTCTCTGGACCGGTGCCCGCAAACAGCGCGGCAAGGGTCTCGCTGCCTTCCTGAAGGCAGTTGGCTACATCATCCCCTTGATGGACGAGGAGTACGCGAACTACTATACTAGTCAGATCATGGAAATCCTTCTTCGTGAGTTCTCGTCGCCAGACGAAGAGATGAAGAAGGTGGTCTTGAAGGTGGTCTCTCAGTGTGCAAGCACAGATGGTGTGACTGCCAGTTATCTGAAGGAGCACGTTTTGACCGATTTCTTCAAGAGCTTCTGGGTGCGACGTATGGCCCTTGATCGACGAAACTATCGTCAGGTCGTCGATACCACTGTGGACCTGGGCCAGAAGGTTGGTGTTGGCGAGATCCTTGAGCGAGTCGTCAACAACCTGAAAGACGAGAGCGAGCCATATCGCAAGATGACAGTGGAGACTGTTGAAAAGCTCATTGCGTCTCTTGGGGCCGCAGATATCTCAGAGAGGCTGGAAGAACGCCTCATCGATGGTGTACTCTTCGCCTTCCAGGAACAGAGCATCGAAGACATTGTCATTCTGAATGGATTCGGCACCGTGGTGAATGCACTCGGCACACGATGCAAACCCTACCTCCCTCAGATCGTCAGTACTATCCTCTGGCGCCTGAACAACAAGTCCGCCACTGTCCGACAACAAGCAGCCGATCTTATCTCCCGGGTTGCGATGGTCATGAAGCAGTGTGGCGAAGACGCACTCATGGGCAAGCTCGGTGTTGTCCTCTACGAATACCTGGGTGAAGAGTATCCCGAAGTTCTGGGTTCCATTCTCGGTGCTCTGCGATCCATCGTCACTGTGGTCGGTATCAACCAGATGCAACCACCCATTCGCGACCTTCTGCCCCGACTTACACCCATTCTCCGCAACCGTCATGAAAAGGTTCAGGAGAACACGATTGATCTAGTCGGTCGTATTGCCGACCGTGGACCCGAGTCTGTCAATGCCCGTGAATGGATGCGTATCTGCTTCGAGCTGCTGGATATGCTCAAGGCCCACAAGAAGGGGATTCGCCGAGCGGCCAACAACACATTCGGTTTCATTGCCAAGGCCATTGGTCCTCAGGATGTTTTGGCCACTCTTCTCAACAACTTGCGCGTGCAGGAGCGTCAGTCTCGTGTTTGCACGGCTGTTGCCATTGGTATTGTGGCTGAAACTTGTGCTCCTTTCACTGTTCTTCCGGCACTGATGAATGAGTACCGGGTGCCTGAGCTCAATGTGCAGAACGGTGTGCTCAAGGCTCTGTCTTTCTTGTTTGAATACATCGGCGAGATGGCCAAAGACTACGTCTACGCTGTCACACCATTGCTGGAGGATGCCCTGGTCGACCGTGACCAAGTCCACCGACAGACCGCCGCTAGTGTGGTCAAGCATGTCGCACTCGGCGTTGTTGGCCTTGGCTGCGAAGACGCCATGGTCCATCTCCTCAACCTTGTCTTCCCCAACATCTTCGAAACTAGTCCCCACGTCATCGATCGAATTATCGAAGCCATCGAAGCCATCCGTATGGCCGTCGGCACCGGTACTGTCATGAACTACGTCTGGGCTGGTCTGTTCCACCCTGCTCGTAAGGTGCGCACGCCTTACTGGAGACTATACAATGATGCGTATGTTCAAGGCGCGGATGCGATGATCCCCTATTACCCAGACATGGAGGGTGACATGGACCGACCGGAACTGTCCATCATGATCTAAGATGGATGCTGTAATTTGATTTGTTGCCCTGCTTCTCTTCATGCATTGTTAGGTACAGCTACGATGGGGTCTGTTTTCACTTTCTAGCCGGTGTTTTTTCTAGGTAGTTCTATTTTTTTTTTTTTTTTCATACGCGCACGTTTGGCGTGTCAATAGTTATGGTTGTACATCATCGAAAAGTCAGGGGAATATTAATTCAAATCTGAATGACTATGATTATTTCAATGCTCCTTGTGCATACAATTACTATAACTAACTATATAGAGAAGTAGTAACATTCTTAGTGGCTGCATACTATTGTGTGGTGATTTCACTAGGCCGTGATATATATCTCACCATTTTACTAACTTAAGACTATTGAATGAACCATTTTTCATGCAATCTCTTTTATTGAAATATTCCGAAAGCCACAATTTGTTAAAATTCAACATGAAACTCGTGCAGGGTTGTACGGTATAGAGTCGATCCTTGCTTCTGTCAAAACTTGTAGAATAATCGACAAGGCCAAGCATGGTGACAGGGGGCAATAAGGTAGGGATCGCTCCCCAGAGTGACAATCATGTCAATCACCTCGGACTATTTTCCAGGGCTTAAACCAACTACCAGGGTCTGAGTCTGGGGTTGAACATTCAATAAACACATGTCCTCTACAACATGACTACATTCTGCAATATACACCCTCACTCTATACATAGTAACGTTTGCGTACACCTTCGCCACCGCTCCATTGTATACGAAATTCGCAAAATCCCTCAACCCTCGGGGAACTTCCCTCGCCACGCAAAAAATAGTAACCAGAAAACTCGTCATTAGGAACCCGAAAAAGAGGAACAGGAAATAAGCCAAAAAGGGAAAAAAAAATAAGCGCTCAGACCCAAACAAATCAAAGCCATTGACTCCAATCTCCAATACATATGCTCAAGGGACCCATTTGCCAAGCAGCGCCAAATGCCTAAGCTTGCCGTGGGGGGGGGGGGGGGGGGGGGGGGAGGTGTCTTGGCACAAGATGTGGCCGCGTAAGCTGATGTGGTTTTCTTGACTGTGGGGAATTCTCCTTCTCTTTTTTGGTAAAATTAGTGGTGGAGTTATTGCTTATATGGTATATGATAGTTATTTTCTTATACTTCAGGGTCTTGGTGTAGTAAGCAGTCTTAAATAGATGTATAGATTGCAATGGTACTCCGTACATATAGTATATAGTATGCAATGTACCAATATATGCGTACAACAAATTATAAAATAGATAAGGTATGCGGATGCAACACAAGCCTTCTCTATATGGCGTACTGGAGCATATTGTAACCATATCCTATTGAGATATCTATCAATCCAACCACCCGGGTTTGGAATATGTACGTTCCGTACCTACAACGCTTCAAGCTACACAGCCTCCCCCTGAATCCAGATAATTCCACTTGAACCGGGGAATGAGGATGGAGTGCTCATTTCATATTTCATATTTCGTGCTCCATAGGTGCATCGTGTACAAAGTCGAAAAGATACACAGACCCTGGTAAGGGGTGGCCCCTTTTTGCCTTTCCACGGTCTTACAGGGTCTGCATATATGTACAATAATATTAATTACCTTTTTTAATTTTTTTCCTTCCTCTTTCTGATTTTCAGGGTCTATTATCCGCTCTTAGGTGTAGAGGATCTTTATTTCTAATTTACTTTCTTATTCTTAATTCTTATTGGAAATATTATTACTTGATATTCGAATCAGTTCGCCCCTTGGTAAGTGTTTTCGGCGCGGCACAGTTAAAAAAAAAGGAAAGAGAAAACATGGATTCGAGATCGCACATGCAGAGAATGCCACCACCCAAAGTACGAAAATACTAAATTATAGATTATAATATTTAGTTTATTAGCATTGTAGCAAGTATATCGAGCTTATATGGTACATTGTAGGTCGCGTGTTGCGCTAAATAATATCTGTGTGCTTACCTACATATGTACCTAGCTGCCATGCAAGATACCGAGGAATGTCAATTTCATGTGAAGCTGGAGAGACATGGAGATACAGTATGGAGATATGGAGATATGGAGAAAAGAAAAAAAAAAGGTTATGTGGACAAATGACAAGCCATGACCCAATCACATCCGATAGAGAAATTGGATTGCGCAACACGCAGGGATCAGGATCAGGCTTTTAGGAGAAGACTTGCGCTTTGAATGATTGGGACTGCTGTCAAAGCTCGAACTGTTGTCAATGCCCTCTTTGTACTCCGTATACTATCTATTCTACGTTGTACAACGATGTCAAGTCGGGATATTGTTGAGAGTATTGATTTCAGACAAGGGATCGGAGACCCTGCAGGACGCCCCATTGACGGTTGAGCGAGGGGCAGTGGATCGGGCGCCTTTGGCGCGTTCCCTCTTTCTCATTCCCGACGTCAACGGAGCTGTCGCGCACTAGGGCTCGGGCTAAGATCCCTAATATTGTTTATTGTACAATGTTGTATGTATCGCTGTGGTACTCCGTACAGTACCTAGGTACACTACCATATTGTAGCATAAGAGACTTGTCTTATACAACGATTGTATGCTGGGTGACATGTGCCAAGGTAGTTTTTTTATCCACTTTCTGCAAGTGCGTCTTTTAGATCTTTTAGACAGGGGAGCTTGATCCTCTAGATGATGCTATATTCCGCTTTGATATTTTACCAATACAGCGCACACCGTAGTTCTGCAAGATCCAATAATTATTTTTTGTAATTTCGGGGAACCCCAACTGAACCGAGAATATGGGACCGAACTTTCTTTGGCGGAAAGGTCCGATCAAGGATTATCGCCTGTTAAGGCAAAAAGTATATCCTTCAGGCAATAAAATAGAGAAAAAGAGGCGTATTTAGTCTACTCAGTGTCGACGCCATGTCCGAAGTTCTCCGCGGATCCCTTCGACACGAGATCCGCTACCCTACGTAATAATAGGTGTGGGTAGTGGTAGGCACAAATTACTCAGTGCGGTTTAGACTATAATGAAAGAATTCGATTTTATAAAGATATTGATTTACATTATAACAATCTTGTAGAGCAAATTCCCAAAACGGACATACTACATGATCCACTCGGGACGTTTCAGGTTGTTTAGCGTTGACCCTGAGAGTGGCAGTGTTCATGGGTGGAGTTCCTAGGATCGCACGCAGGGATCTCAACCTAGGGGACCAAACGGGCTTTGCGGGGGGGGGGGTTTCGCCATCACGTCATTTGACTTCGGATCCCCCCCAGTGCTTGTTTTGTTTTTTTGTTGGTAGGAGTTGAGGTAACAATAGACTACAGCAGGTGTGATACATACCTACATATGTACATGTATGTATGCTATGTTGAATATAGAAACATACATATGTAGGTCAAATGTATACCTAGGTAGAATGCGTCTATGTTGTACTCAGACATCCCTCAGGTTAACCTTCCTATACAGAATACCCAAATACCACGTTAAAGCGCACGGGATGTGCACGCGTCAGCTCGCAATGGGTCCATCGATACAATTGGTCGATCAATGACCACCAAGCTCGGCTATCGACTATCTGCCGTCTCCAGATGGGGTTGGCTTGCAATTAACTGGCTATGATTGGCTGTCTGGCTCTGCACAAACATGTAAGAATGTGGGTTCCTATGGAACCAACGCTAAGCCAAACTCAGAATGGCACTAGTCCATTTCTGTCTGTTACCAGTAAATCCAAGTCCGGTATCGGTCTCGGCCAATCACCGATACTTTGCTTGTATGTTTTTTAAGGGACTCACTTTATCCTGTTTATCCGGTCTTGGACCTTCGCATATTGGATCTTCACGAGATTAGGGTCCACTGAAATGCAGTGAATAATGGTTCTGTTGAACGCCCGATGGAGTAGTTTTCTAACTATAGATAGAAAGACTCTGCAGTGACAGACGCATAGAACATATCCACCACCATGTACTTGGTCGGACAGCTGCATAGTTAGAGCTGATATCAGCTGATATCCCCTTGATCATGTATATTGCACAATCTTATGGTAGTTAATTATTACTTTTATACATTAACTATACGAAGAACGGTGATGTGCACAATGCCAACCTTGATTTAGGACAATGACGATCTGCCGTGTGGGAACCGCCAAGATCGGAGCCCGTGCAGATGACAGGCCATTGTTGGTCAAGGGCCGGTACCTGATTGACATTCGGCATTGAGGCGGATCGTCAACGTGCTGGGTTATCAAGGATCTGATTACTTACAGTACTTATATGATCGAGAATCCTTTTTCCAGCCATGCGGTGATAATCTTTCTAGAATTGACGATCGATTAGTTAATTGAGATTCAAAGTCCGGGGCTATTTGTACATATGTCTTAATTCTGTATTTCACCGATAATTCTGCGTTGGACTCCCAAGACTTTTTGACCGCCCTTTCTTTTTTTTCTTCTTTTCTCTCAGGGGGATTTTTCCAGCGGGTTTCTCGGGAAATCGGAAAACTATGTGATGAAATGGCCAAATGGCAAAACTTCAAAGTGACGCGTCATTAACCTGAGCCGTGTCATGGACTGCGCTGTTCCTCCTTGGGCAAAGTGCCAGAAAAGCGGTCAGGATTCATGTTGCAGAGAAATATCAAGAATTCTCAACAATAATGACATATGCTCCACCCCTCCCGTGTCTAGCATGGGCCCTCCCTCGGTGGACCTGTATATCCCAAACTACAATAGTCGTTGTACCGATTATTGTTGTACGCAGAGAGATATACTTTGCGATTTGAGTGTCTATCCGGCACGCTCCGACTCAATATTATGGCCAAGATTAACCTTCCCTAAAACTTTGATACTTTGAACTACTGAACGCCATGGAGATGTATGCAAATACGAATTTGGGACACACTTCACAAACATCTTGGCATCTCAACCCCTCCACTTACCGCACCCAAAAATCAGTATCACTAAACGCCACATTTTGCCAACACAATTTGGCGTTCGTTGAAAGGGACGGACTTCTGCCGGTGAGATGTCAAGTGGGCCAAAACACGGCAGGCTGAACAAAAAGGGGGGTTACGCTCAGACTGGACTGGATCCCGGATTTTGCATTGCTTGTTTTTATTCTTCTATCTCATTTCCTTTTAAACTATCTGATTTCAGTTTGCATAGCCAAGTCTAATTTCTCTGGGCTAAATGGGTCAATGGAGCTTGGATGGATCCTTTTCCTTTTGCCCCCTATGTGCTATGTGGGCTTGATGGGTACCCGACACTGCCCAAGTCTCATTTTGGTTTTCGGATGCCCACCCCGACCATCTAGATGATGGAAAGTCTGGCGAAAGGGCGAGACTTGAGAAGACCAGTAGTCCATAGTTACTCAGAAGGACCCTCCTATGTCTTGCTAAGATTAAGCACTTAGCTGATCAGGGTTGAGTCTGAGACATGGACCCAGTAGTTACCAATAATCCATCGAGTTTTTACTGTAGAGGAATCCTTGTCCCGAGATATCTACAAGCCATGAACATAAGGTGGGTTGGGATAAAGCGATTGGGGTAGTTTGATAGAGAAGAAACCTAATCTTTCGACTCCAAATTCGATCCGGTAACTCAAGACCCACGGTCGTTCTCGAGGTACACTTCCTCGACCCATGGATAACTAATTTCCACCATATATTATAGTTCGGAAAAGCAAACCTCGAGTAAAAAATTGACTCGTCCACGGTTCAGTTCTCTCCTTACTTTGGTTGGCTCCTAGTTAGGTTTTTCTGGAATACCGCTTGCTCGAGGGCGCGCCGTGGCGCCGCCCAGAATGCGGAGAAGGTGATCAGATGCTCTGAAACCGAGGCAAACACTGGAACGCTTTTCTCTGGCGTGTTATGGTTTGGCGGGTTTATGGTTCTATCCACGATTCCGCTAGATCTCCGCAGTGGCGAGGAGTGAACATGTCTCGGCTGTCCTTCTTGCCCGGGAGAGTAGCAGTTGATCGATATCCGGAATATATCCTGACGCTAATGGTGTGCTCCTCCCCGGGTTGCTATCGCCAATCATCAACGGAGACTTAGAATTTTCAGCTCTATTGATTGGATGAGGTAAACTGGCGGTTCTTCAGCCGCTCCCTCGGCCCTCATGGTACATAGTACCTTGTGATCGAACCTGCACCTATGTACCTACATGCGATCTCGGACTCTAGCCGTGCTTTTAACCGTGGAGACTCGGAAATTTACAGAAACTATTGAATGGCAAATTTGAACGGGAAGATGGTTCCACACAGCACGGGTCAGTAGTACACATGGTACTATTATTTTCTACGAGGTACGTTGTATGTTATAGAAAAGGGTGATATGATATGTCCGATTCAGGCCCTTCGGTCGACAGTCTACCGCGCTATTGCAGCCGCGCCCGCTAATTTGTCCACAGGCCCTTTTCCCCTCGAATCTCCGCTCTGACGTCGATGTCCAGTTGACCGAGGGCTTGTGTAGCCCGTGGCAGAGCGCTCTCCCGACCCTTATTTACATACATATAAAAATTTTTATAATTCATTTATTCAACATTTATTGATTTCTGTTGTACAATATAGATGAGGCGTAAACTTAGACTTGAGTTCTATGTGATACAACCCGCATGGCCCGGGTAATGGGATAGTTGGGATCCCAACTTCTCCCTGCATGCTAATTTTTTTTTGTGTTCCGCTCATTCGTATTCTGGATTTTCAGCAAGTTGCGACCGAAAACCCTGATAAGCAGACTTGTTTCGAAAACCGGAGCAAGGCCGAATCGCTGGAGAAGTTTGGTACTCGGTCGCGCTGAGAAGAATGTTCCCACTCAGAAGTGCCACTGTGTGTTTCCACAACCTATGCCGTGTGGAGTGACTGCACTGTACATCCTCCACAATGGAGTAAAGCTATTCGAAAGATGTCAACGTCGTCATCACATTTTTGCCGAATTCCTGTCGAATGGAGTTAGAATGCAGTCAATAATGTTCCCGGCTAGTGATTCGATAATCCTTTTCTCTATGTAAGGTCGGGCTGGGACGCTAAACCCTCTCTGTGCCGTGTCAAAGGCCCATGGCTTAAGCCATGGATTTTTATTACATTTGTATACAGTATACAGTAGATGTACATTGGTATTATTTTATTCTCTTGATTTCGGTGTATGGTCTTGTAGAAATTTTACAGTGAATGTACACTATTTGACTATATTTACTATATACAACCATTGAAGTCCTAGTCAAGAGTTAAGCAAAGCACCATATTAAACCCCAGCACGGGTATACCCTTTGACACTGGGATCTGCCCCGCTGCCTTGAAACAAGGCGAACCTTGGTGCATCGTGAGTATAATGCTTGGCGTCCCTTTTTTATTTTTTTTCCCTCTCTTTCTTCCTCTCCCCCCCAACTGTTTAATGTTTGGTTATTCCCTTTTTGGATTTCCAGACACGGCTCAGTTGGACCACTCATAGCCAGGGCTAGTTGACAATTGAACATTCCCCTAGTCTACTCCGTACACCCCCTTTGATTCTGAGGTCACTGTCTACTTTTTGGGTCTCATGATTTTCTCCTTTTTTGGTTTGAATCCTTATTCTAAGAGTTTGTATCTGAATTTTTGTAATTTCCCATATTTTCTTAATTCTGTTGTTTAATACATTTTTTAGAAGTTTTATTTAAACCTTTCCGATCCCGGAGCCTCCCATTCTTATCTACGCGTCTAAAATACTTAGAATCTTTAGATCTTCCATTCCGTAGAGTTAAGCAATTAATATATTTTAGACCCTGATCTTGCTAAATTTTATTAGCTTCTATAGTATATAAACTTGTTACGTGAAGGATACAGATGAAAAAAGGGAGAGACTATAGGATCCGAGGAACTGGTTCCTGTTAAGGGGACCGCATTTGACTCTTGAGAGTATTCTCCAATTAGAATAATTAGAATGATAAAATATTATATATCAGAAATAAAAAACAGAAAATAATTAGAATTTAAAAAAGAAAGTCAAAAAGGAAAATAGAAAATAAAATAAAATAAGAAAGTAAAATTACCGTGTATTGTAAGAAACGATCTGCAATCCCCGACGGGACGTCGTCAGTGGCACTGGAGTAAATCAATGCCTCAACTTATATTGTTTGTCCCCTTCATAAGCTTCGCCGATCCCCTTCCCCAGACTGCTTTTCTTTCCTTCTAAATAAAATAATTACCGATCTTCCTTTTACTTGCTCCTTTGTCCTTCAGACGATCCCTCTACTTCTTTGAATCTCGATATTCACCTGCGATACCTCCGACTATACCATGACGATGGTTATGGAAAACCAGAACCGCCCATATGGCGGCATGAGCTTCGATAATGTCTATCACCACACGCCACCACAATTCACAGACCCTTGGGCCGCCGCGCACACTTCCTCGCACTCGACACCTCCAGTCTATGCGACTTCCATGGGAAACGGCGCCAGCATGCCCATTGGCGTGAAACAGGAGGAAGTGAACCGCTCCGGCATGTCCATGCCATACCCCAACATCCCAGTGTCAGCTCCTTCAATGGTGCCTGGAAGCACCTACGCGACTGCTAGCTACGGCCCAGAGGTAATGGCAATGCAACACGAGGTGCCGCGCACCACCTACGACCAGGCCCCCTCCTACACTACAGCTCCTCCTATGAGCAGCTTCGCGCCTGCCAGCTATGCGCCCGTTAGCTACGCCCCCATCCACCCTTCGCCCACGGACGGCCGTCGCATTTCTCACTCGTAAGTTGAAAAACCGCACGCTCTGGATTCTCGAATTTACGAAAACTCACACATTACCCACAGAGATGCCCGCGTTAATTCTTCCGCTTCCGCACCCACCTTCGGCGATGCCCTCGACGCAAGCCGTGGAATGGTCGCCCTCAGCCAGGACATGACCCCGCGCAACATCTACGGCCCCGGCCCTCGCGGTGCGCGCGGCTCAGCAGACTCCTACGGCTTCCCCTCCACCCACTCATCTACCTCCTCCATCTCCTCCGGCGGAAACTACCCTTACTACAGCGCCTCCGTGGGCTCTGTCGACTCCTCCGTGACAGACTACAGCTCCACCACCTCCGAGTCATACGAGTCGCGCACTCTTCCCCGGCCGACCAGCCTTCTGGCCGGCAGTGCTCCCCCAGGGCCCCAATCCATGATGAGCCAATTCAGCTCTAAGATGCCCTCAAACACCCAGAAGAAGCACAAATGCAAGGTCTGCGATAAGCGCTTCACGCGCCCCTCTTCGTTGCAGACACATATGTACAGCCACACCGGAGAGAAGCGTAAGTTCTCACTCGAGCCATATCCACAAACCCAAGATCTAACTCTTTCCAGCATTTGCGTGTGATGTTGAAGGCTGCGGGCGGCACTTCTCCGTTGTCTCGAACCTGCGCCGCCACAAGAAAGTCCACAAGGGCGAGAGGGATGCCGGCGACGACGAAGACGACGAGTAATTTTCCCGTGAATATCTTTACGAACTATATTCTTCTACTCGAGGTTGAAAACTCCTTCGAGTGAGCTCTCCCTACGCTCAGCTCCAGATCTGCCTCGGACCCGTTTCGCGCGTCCATGATCCAACTGCGTTGGCATGCGCTTTGCGCTTATCGTCTCCTTGTACAACACGGATACCCCTTTCCTCTTTCATCTATATCTGCTCCGGAAATATTTCCTAATCGGAGAAAAAAAATACCCCTATACCCAACGGTCTGAGTTGATGGTGATCGAGCAGGGCTAGGGAGAGCCCTTTTCATTTCGTTTGTTTCACGTTACGACCATAGAGGTTCCCGGTTGGATGCGTTTCTGGTTTTATCTTTTTCATTTCTTCCTTTCTTATCCTTTCGCTAGACCTGGGAGTCACATTTCTGCTTTTTTCGATACCATGGGCTTGTGATGATTCGATGTTTCTTTTCTTGTCGGGCTCTTTTGTTACTTTCTACTCGGCTTTGAGCCGTTCTCTTCATTTCTTAATTCTAGCCTGCTGTCTTGCATGGTCTAGACCTATTCCATTTTTTTTGTACCTTTTCTTCATTTCTTGCGCTTCGCCTTCGGGTGCTGCTCATCTTTTCCGCCGGGTCTGTTTTAGTGCACGGTGACAGTTTTGGGATGGTGTTGGTGATGATACCCGTGGCATAGGAAAGCTTTGGTCTTTTGTTCGAAGCTCGGTCGAGTTTCACACAGTCGCTACTATAGATATATTGTCTACTCAATACAGACATTTTGAACACTCCTTCCATTGTGCCATAGTTTGGGCTGTCTGATTTTAGGGCTGGAACTACGATATTTGCCTTCCAGGATTGCTTCCAGTATTCGTCTAGTCTATACGAGTATCACAGCTCAAGTCTCGCAACTTTACCGACTGTCTCTGCGGCTGCACGCCCAGCACGACGCCCAAGCACAGTCCCAGAAGTCAATGCACTGCCACCAGGGAAGTTATCGTTACTCTCATAGAAGATGCCCTCCAGCATCTCGCCCACACAGTGCAACCCACGAGCCTCGTCAGTAGCTGTGTCCGAGATGACAGCCGAAGTGTCAGGATTCAAAGCCAAACCACCAAAAGTAAAAGAGATACCTGCCGTAATCTTAACAGCCAGGAAAGGCGGCTTATCAATGGGCAAAGCCCAATTCGTATACTCATTCGACACATTCCGGTCCCCAGCATCCGCATTCGCATCCCACACCACGCGGAAACACCCGCTCCATTTCCCAGCGCTTTTGGCATTCACATCCCGCTGCGCGATGCACAGCATATCGCCCGTGTTGTACGGTGTGCCGCGCACACGCGAACAGTTCCAGCCCGGCCCGAGGTACTGCGTGCGCAGGAGAGGGATGGCTTTGGAAGCCGCCGGCTGCGAGGATCATCGCACCGCTGGCAGCTGTGAGGAGTGCGGTGGCGGGTGTGTTGTAGAAGATGGAGATGCCGGCTTTTTCTGCTGCGCGTAGCTCAGCTTCTACTAGGCCTTTTCTGCCGTCTTGGTTTTGAGAGCGAGGCCGCCCCGGATTTTGATACGGTTGTGGACTTCGTAGGCTTGGCGGTCGAAGAGGAATCGGCCTCCTCGACGGACAAGGGTTGCTTGGTCTTTTGTTGAGCTGTGAAGTGGATGCCGTGCGGGACTAGCCAGGGTATTGCTGACTAGGAGTCTATGACGAGGACTTTGATGGGGCTGGGTTGGGGCGGTTCTCTGTCATGCGGTTTAGTTCATTGGTGAAGTCTTGGGCTGTGTATGGTTGCATGTCAATTCGGGAGGCTTGTTCTGGGTTTATGTTGTTGACTAGCTGGAGGAGGTCTGGGAGACCTCCGTGGGTTGTACGGAAGGCTCCCGCTGCGAAGTAGGTATTTCCTCCTGCCCAGGTCTTGAGACTTTGTTGATGACGGTTATTGTAAGAGCCGGGTTTGTTTCAGCTGCTGAGAGGGCGGGCCTGAGCCCTGCATTGCCGCCGCCTGTTACTAGGATATCAGTTGAAGAGGGTAGTTGAGACATTTCGAATTGAGTGGGTTGCATTCAACTTGATTTGGAGACATTGTAGGAGGTTGAATCTTCTGGAGTACAGATTATAAGTCACACTTAAGGTTCCTTGAAGGTTCATTCCACGAGCTCCCCACACTTCCCGCTGTCGGTGTCGATCCTCCCTGTGATGCTGATATTAAAGACATAGTTATGTTGATGGGAGTACACACGTTGGTGCTGCCTATCATGTAAACCAAATAAGCGCAATGTAATTATGATATTCAATATTGAATCAGTATTCTAGTCGCCGGTCCTTATGACCAAGGCAGACAATGCAGAACCAGCCCCAACGCCAATTTGTGTTTCATGCTAACCAGCAGCCCTGGAGAGCACAAGCAAATAAATTACTGGGTTCGACAGCACCAGGCATATCGCAGCCCCGATTGCTTTGGACATCAACATATCTAGTGAATACGGTCCAGCTTGGCCCGGTTCATGGCAATCTGATCGTCGACGAAGTCGCTCTGCAACGAGTTAGTCTCAAATTTATTGGATTGGGGAGATGTGAAGACTTACCTTGCCTGTGATACGCTCCAGATGTCTGTTCTGCTCATCCAGCTCCTTGCCAGTCGCTTTAGCAAGACCGTTCAAGCGACCAGTAGCACCACTAAGGAGATCCAAGTTCTGCTCGATCTCGTCTTCCATGGCCTCGTCTTCGCTATCCGCCTCGAATTGGTACTTGGCGCGCTCGGTGACACTGGCCTTCTTGCCCTTGCCCTGCTTCGCGGCATCACGATCGATATCGCGGAACACCTTTTCCATGCGCTGGTTAGTTCCGTGCGCTTCGGACCGTGTGCCATCCCGAATACCGCGCTCTTCGCGGTGCGTGTTGAGGACCTTCTCGTCACGCTCGCGTCGACGCCGCGAGGCAGTGAATGGATTCGCTACGTGCACGGCGAACATGCTCTTGTTGAGAGTCTTGAGTTCCTTCGCCTTCTCCTCTGCAATGCGGCCTTCGATCGTGGCCATGTCTAGGCTCTTTTCTGTGTCGTGGATCGACTCGCCCTGCGCGCCTAGTCGGGCTAGTGTGTTGCGACCGGTTTCTTCAGCTTGGGCAGCTGCTCGAAGCGCGTTCCGTGTCGACGCCACATCGCCCTGCTTTATGAAGCGCATCTCGTTCTTTGTGGCGTTGATCTCCTCCTCTTCCTCTTCTTCTGCGGTCAGCTGGCGGTCCTGGTAGGTCGACATGCTGTACTCATTGCTGCCGCCGCCGTAGTTGTTTCCACCGTAGTTATTTCCGCCACTGTTACCCTGGCCCTGGGAGTATGGTGGCGGCGCATTGTCGCCCGGGTTGGCTGGTGACTTCTTGGCACCAAAGAGCTCATTGCGGGCTGCATCCGTCGCCGCGGGGTCATTGGGATCGGTGCTGCCGAGACCACCATAGCCACCGGTTCCATATCGTGAGGCGGAACCGGAGCCCGAGGCTGGGGAGCCGACGCCTGCGCCAGATCCACCGAATCGATCACTTCCATAGCCACCCTGATTGCCGTACTTGTTGGCAGAGTAGCCGGAGTACTTGTTATCGGAGGGAATGTTGTGTGGGGAGCCACCGTTGGCAGCTGGATGATCGGCAGGCAAGGGACTCACACCTGCACCAATTTTGGCCTTGGTGTATGAGTCTACCGGAATTGGCTGGGCGTAAGGGTTGGAGGGGGTGGATGGGCTCTTGTCCTTCTTGCGACTAAAGAGTCCGCGGCGATTGGCGTCCTCATCGCCCTCGGATTTTTTGTTGAAAAGACCCATGATGTGTTTTTGAGTGGGTATGTGTTGGATGCAAGTGGTAAAGAATTAAAAAGTACAGGAAAGAGAGAAAAAGAAGAGAAAGAAAATGAGACAGAAAAGATTAATGTGAGACGCCTTCAGGGGAGCAATAGATGTTCGAGATCGCCGCCTGATGGTATTAAAGATACAATAGCGTTACCAAACTTACCAATGTAAATTGCTCGAGGTGGCGCAGTGAGACAATGACATTACAAATACAATACACAGTTACATCAGCAGTGGCAGTGCTAACCCAATACGGGCGCAGTGGCACTTCGTCTTTCTGTTTATTTTTGGCTACGGACATTGCCTCTGCTGCCTGTTTCAATGAAATGGCGCCCTTATCGGGGTCTGATGCAGATCACTTCAAAGAAAAGGCGCGGAGGGATCTGCTGACCTTACTAGAAGGCGTGAGCATAGCTCCTTAATCTCTTGAACTGCAGCTAACCTACTATCCAGGCTCGGGGTAAAAAGAACCTCGTCATAAGTCAGGAGCTGGCTGGTCCAGTGGGGCTATTCGTCAAGTTCTCCGAGCTCCAGGACTATGGAGTACACCGGGTCTTCTATCTGGAAAATGCAAACATCGACTCATCACAACGCAATGTTGTATTCCTAGTTCGTGGCGAGAAGGCTCGCCACGTTCGAATTGTGGCAGGTATGACATTACTCCCTTTTTGCCCCATTCGGAGTGTGAGGCTGTAGCTCAGATTTCCTATTCTGGGTCTACTATGGGACATCATTGGATTACGCAGATCTTTCCTACCCTATGTAATCCGAAGAAAGCCTTCCCTATATTGACATACACATTATCATATCTTTACAGGCTCATTTCATTAGGGCATCATATTATACTCCCACTTTGAGCGCCATCAGGATGAGCTGACAGTCTCTTTTTTAGAACAAATCAAACGTTTGCAGAATAATGGTAACGTCGAACATGAATTTTCCATTTTTTTCTCTCCAAGACGGACCCTTGTGAGCAATGCGGTCTTGGAAGAGGCCGGAATTACTGGCGACGTAAATATTGCTGAATTCCCTCTCTATTTCATGCCTCTAGAACAAGATATCTTGTCACTAGAGTTGGATGACTCCTTTAGTGACTTGTACTTGGTGAGTGGGCAGATTTAAAGCTTAAAATTGATTAAATCTAACTTTATATAGCACAAAGATCCTGGGTGCATCTTTCACGCCGCCAAGGCTCTTATGGGCATTCAACAACGGCACGGGTATTTCCCAAGAATTGTCGGAAAGGGCAACAATGCCCGACGCCTGGCAGACCTGCTGTTGCGCATGAGGAAAGAGCTCGATGCAGAGGAGAGCTCTGGATTGGCTGATCCATCAGCACGAGGACTCTTGCCAAGCCCGAGTGTAGAGAATCTGATCATTATAGATCGTGATGTGGACTTTGGGACTGCTTTGCTCACACAACTCACGTACGAGGGCTTAATTGATGAATATGTTGGTATTAAGAACAACCAAGCAGATGTTGATACAAGTATCGTCGGTCCTGCCTCTGGGCCACAATCTCAAGAATCCTCCAAGACTCAGCAGCATGGCCCGCCAACAAGAAAGGTTCAGCTGGATGCTTCGGATCAACTGTTCAGTCAACTTCGAGATGCAAATTTTGCAATTGTGGGTGATATCTTGAATAAAGTGGCACGCCGCTTAGAGAACGAGTACGAGACTCGCCATTCGGCGAAAACAACGGGCGAGCTTCGAGAGTTCGTCAATCGTTTACCAACTTATCAGCTGGAACATCAGAGTCTTCGGACTCACACCAATCTAGCAGAAGAGATCATGCGACTCACGCGCTCCGAAACCTTCCGCAAAACACTAGAGGTCCAACAAAACAATGCAGCCGGCGCAGACTCAACATACCAGCACGAGACAATCGAAGAGCTCATTGCCCGAGACGTCCCATTAAAGACTGTACTACGTCTCCTTTGCCTGGAATCCTGCATGTCCGGCGGTCTGCGCCCACGCGACCTAGAGAACTTCAAGCGACAGATCGTCCAAGCTTACGGCCACCAGCACCTTCTCACTTTCTGGGCCCTAGAAAAGATGGAGCTCCTCCAGCCCCGATCCTCAGCCACAACCATGCTCCTCCCGACTTCCGGCGCGCAGGCAGGCACCAAGACAAACTACGGATACCTGCGTAAGAACCTTCGTCTCGTCATCGAGGAAGTAAGCGAGAAGGATCCGAACGATATCTCTTACGTGTACAGTGGATTCGCACCGCTCAGCGTCCGCTTGGTACAATGCGTCCTACAAAAGTCCTACATGGTGTCGCTCATAAAAGGCGGTACGCCTGCTGCTTCATTGAACACCGCTAACACAACGTCTCCTGGCTGGCTTGGCTTTGAGGATGTTGTCAAAAGTGCTCGCGGTGCAACTTTCAGTATTGTGCAGAAGGGCGATGATAAGGCTGTGCGGGCACGTCAGACGCTGAGCGGGAACACTGGTACGAAGACTGTGTATGTCTTTTTCCTGGGTGGCATTACCTTCACGGAGATTGCTGCGCTGCGTTTTATTGCTGCGCAGGAGGCCCCGAAAAGGAAGATCGTTATCTGTACCACGAGCATCATCAGTGGCGATCGAATGATGGAGGCGGCCATAGAGAAGGGTAGTTTTGCTCCGGGCAAGACGAAGTAAATGGGTTAATCTACTTAAGCGGCGCGCATGGATAGTTCATATTCGAAGCAATTAAGCAATGCTATCTATCTCTTTTTGATTGCAAGTCCCATAATGCATATACAGTGGTCTTTCAGTAATATCCACATCTCCTGACATAGCTTGCCATGGGTATCTCCATAGATACAAGCTAATAACTAAATCCAGAATGCAGACCCATTAGTCGACCTTGGTACCGCTCCATGATCTCACCAAGCCGCACCATGACACCAGCAGCAAGCGTACGTATCTGCTCCTGTGGATCAGTAACGGCCGAGCTGGGATCAGCCCGCGCAGCAGAGGGCGGCGTCCGGTCAAAGATCTGGGAAGCCCATTCGCGCAACTCGATTACCTGCGTCGCATACTCGGTAACAAGACGCTCCTCGCCATTCGAACCCGACGCAATGTTGAGATCTACTACCGCAAGGAAGAGCGATAGCAGTGCGGCAGTGACTGTTGGCTCGTTGGATGCCGAGGCCGTGTGGAGTGAAAGGAGAAGGGACATTGTTTCGTGAGTGAGGCCGGGGAGGAATGGGGTGTGTGGACCTGTTGTGGAGAGGATGAGAGACAGGGTTTGGAGAAAAAGGGTGAGAAGATGGGGAATGAAGAAAGGATTGTAAGAGGAACTGGCAGATCTAGAATCAGGTTAGTATTGGTATGCATGGTTCACCGAATCATACTAGGAAGGATGTCACATACGATGAGAACTGCAGCATCATTATTTGAAATCGGCCTTGCAATGGGAAGAAGAAGCCCTCCGCGAGCACCTTATGTAGATCTTTAACGGTAGCATTTTGGCGCTGGGTGTCACGCTGCTGGCGTTTCTTTTCAACTTCCATGCGCGAGGAGAAAGTGCGCACTTTGAGAGCATTCGGACCTGTCATCGCATCTGCTGCGTTCGCCGCGAGTGGCTGCAAGGATGTGCGGGACATTTCACGTGTGAGCGTTGCGATAGGAGATTCGTTCGACTGGGAATACATGGCTTCCAGGGCAGGTGAGAGACGCTTGGACGGGAATGAGGTATCGCCGGTGGTTGGTAGACGCAGTGCTTTGGCATCGTCTTCTCCGTTACCGGCCAACTCGCGGGCACTCAGACCCAGCGCTGTGAGTACGGCAGATCTTTGGACTTGGGATATGTCTCCATCGAAATAGATGGCAGTGAACCAGCGGCCCATTTTGAACGGCTGTGACACTATCAAGGCAATCATGCTCTGTAGGCGAGATTCATGGAATGTCGGATGGTTGTTGTCATTCTGAAGACCCACGAGGGTCAAAGCCAGTTCCTCAATCTGTTCAGCAAGCTCAGTTCCAAATCCGATCTTACGTCGAATTAGGGACGGGGCCGTGGTTATGGCAAGGTGATGCCGTTCGACATTCTCCGTGTCTCTAAGACCTGGGATCAGATCTCGGATATATCTAATATGTGTTAGCTTGTTGAACTTGATTAATTTCAACCAAGCTAATACTTACACAGGCGCTATTGGCTTGTTTCGCTGAATCAACGTGGGGTCTTCATCAGAGTCATATGCATCGTCGTCTGGCTTCTCGTACGGGATGAGATCGTCATCTTCTTCTTCCTCTTCATCAGTATCCTCGATTTCCTCGATTGCAACAATCTTGCTTGTTCCCTGATGTTGGGACTGCGGTTTCGCCTTCGTTGGAGGCCTGGAGCGGCTTGGTTCTGGCCTTGCCGGCTGTGTATCCTGCAATGATTTTATTGTTTCAGACGAGCCGATATCGTCTTGGACTTCGGTTAAATTGAGGTACCAATGGGCCTCCTCGCTTCGCATTTCCTCAAGATCGAATTTGAGCGCTTTGTCTGGTGTCTCAATGAGTCCAGAAATTCCAGTCCCAACAATCATGCCAAGGAAGCGTGCTCTGTTCGAGGACGCAGCCAGTCGATTGGAAACTGCATTCAAAAACGCGCTTGATCGGCCCGCTTCTTGCACCTGCGTTTTATCTAGCCGATAAAGTTGACCGGCCGAAAGGAGAATAACTTGTGCAGTTGCTAGTAAATGTTAGACACGGGTTCTTAGTATACAAAGTACTCCGGGTTGACTAACCATTCTGAACGACATTCGGCACATGTTTGATAGAGAAATTATCTCCGAATTGCTCCAGGCTGCGGTGAAGGATTGATTTCAACACATCTATGGCAGTCATTAGCTTGGTTCCTTAGGTTCCTGCATAAAGTTGAAGAAGACTGACCACCGCGGTTACTATAAGTGGCTAGCAGTGCACGACGGAGTCCCAATGTGGTTATCGAGCCACCTTGGGATTTTGAGAGCCATTCCACTATTAACCCCTCCAGATTGGGCCGACAAGAAATAACGGCGGAGCACAAAGCTGCCACCCCTCTGATCGTCTCCGATGAAGTAATTGGTTGACCCACTGACCCGGATAGATCGTCCGAAAAGTACTTGCGCTGTACATCACGGAAGATTGCTTCAACCAACGAAACTTGTTCTGTCTGTCGGAGTTGGCTTAAGAGCAACGCGAAAGGCTCGTTTACGGTCTGCCGAAGGAGTAGACTTGAATATATCTCTTTGACCAACTGATCTAAGCAATGTTAGCTTGGAATAGTCAACCAAGGCATCACAGCATACTCACCAGTATAGCCAAGACTCAAAGCTCGTCCTGTTAAGAGAGCAAGTGACGTCCAGTTGCTTTCGTCATGCGGGTTGATCTTAACTGCCATGTGAGAGACATTGCGACCAATCCATACCGCGTACTGAGAGCCATTTCCGATCCAGGATATTGAAGATATCGGCGGTTCATCGAGAACAGTAATAGCTTCGGCTGTTGTCGATAGAATCTTGCCGGCGGCAACAAGCGACACAAGTTCTCTCCACGCAACTTGCTGTCGAGTCTTGTTGTCATATATCTTCAATATGTCGGAGGAAAGACGAAATATGAAATCGTTCGGCTCTATCAAAGCAGCAAGCACGGCTAAAACATCCCGGATACCGAACTGGCTGCTTGAGCCTTGGGCTTGCTGGGAGGAAGCGCGTGCGGCACTGATTAGAGTCCGCAATTGAGCCACCAGGGAGCCAAGCCCAGCGACACTGCTAAGACATCTCAATAATGCTCCTCGGGATTTGGCATCTTTTCCTTTGCTCTCTTTGGTGTCCAACAATCTCCAATGCGTTGGGATCGTGATGCTGACTAACAAATGGAGAATTTGAGCTGTGATGGGACTTGCAAGTCGGAGATCAAAATCCCTTGTAGCATTGGATTTGCTGAAAGGATCGATAAATGTTAAAATGGCAGACAACTGTTCACGATCGGGGTTCGACTTGAGTAGATCTATAACGTGACGTGATGATAGGTTGTTGAGATCTAGGTCGTGTTTTGCAGCTTCATCACGCTGGCCTTCGGCAGCAGGGGAAACAAAGGAGTCTGTATCATGCCTCGCAGTTTTGATTTCTGTCAAAAGTCCCTCCATTTTTGAAACAAATATCACTTCCGATGGGGAAGACAGCTTGTTTCTGAGGTGAAGTTTCCAGTATGCGGGTGGGATATTATTAGTCATCGGCTCCAGCCTACGCGCGATGAGTGTTGTCACTTCGGCCTTCTCTTTCTCAATGACTTATGGGCTTTTGTGACTTGATCGGCAAGCTGATCTGTATCTAACCTTGAGCTGATTCCGAAAATACTTTTTTTTGTCTGCGAATCATAGAAAAATCATCAGGTTGAATGACCCGCGGATCACGACTTTGATACCAGGTGAACCGGGTCTATCTACTTTCCTCAGTCACTTGCAAAAAGCAACACCACCGAAATGGATGTTGACGTCGAAACCCCCGGAAGCCAAGAAGCTCCAGTTTATGTGGATCAACAAGGCCGATGGTGAGTCGCAAGGCTCTTGATGCTCTCAATCATCACATTAATACCCCACAGGAAACACCTTTACAACGTCCTAAGCAAGCGGGGTCCTTATACAGACGAAGACTGGATCCCTGGCCCCGAAACTATTCAGTCTCTTGAATCTTCTAAAATTCTGTGGGTGAATTTATCCTAGAGACATTACTTCTGCTAATTTGAAACTTAGAGTGATGTGTGTCTGCCTAATGACTTTTTGATGTTCTACCGACTTGAATGACTGACTAAATTCAGCGGAGCTGGAGGCCTAGGATGTGAGATCTTGAAGAATTTGGCTTTGTCGGGCTTCAAAGACATCCACGTTATCGACATGGGTATGTGTCCTCAATCCACGCCGTCAAGGTCAGAAGCTCACGTTTAACAGACACTATTGATATCTCAAATTTGAACCGGCAATTCCTTTTCCGCCAGGCTGATATCGGAAAACCGAAAGCCGAGGTTGCCGCTGCTTTTGTGGAGAAGAGAGTCAAGGGAGTCACCATTACACCTTATGTTGGAAAGATCCAAGATAAGGATGAAGACTACTATATGCAATTTAAGATTATCATCTGTGGACTGGACAGTATCGAAGCTCGACGCTGGATCAATGCTACGTTGATCTCGATGGTTGATATGGAAGATCCTGAGAGTCTGAAGCCTCTAGTTGACGGCGGAACTGAAGGTACGGTCCCACATTGATGTCTAGCCGAAGACAAGACTAAACTTAGACCAGGTTTCAAGGGACAAGCACGTGTGATCCTGCCCACACTCTCATCATGCATTGAATGCCAACTTGATATGCACGCTCCCCGTCCAGCAGTCCCTCTCTGCACTATTGCCACCATCCCACGCCAGCCTCAACATTGCATCGAGTGGGCCCACCAGATCGCATGGCAAGAGAAGCGTAAAGATGATTCCTTCGACAGCGACGATATGGAACATATCTCGTGGGTGTACAATGCCGCCTATGAACGAGCACAGCATTTTCACATCCACGGTGTGACCTTCCAGATGACCCAGGGCGTGGTCAAGAACATCATACCTGCTATCGCATCAACGAATGCTGTTATTGCGGCATCCACAACATCTGAGGTGCTCAAGATCGCCAGCTCTTGCAACCCATACCTATCCAACTACATGATGTATGCTGGCGAGGAAGGGGTGTACACCTACACTTTCGAGGCGGAGAAGAAGCCCGACTGCCCGGTGTGTGGCAACCTTGCCCGGAAGTTGAACGTGGATCCCAATATCACGCTGGGTGAATTTATCGAAAGCCTTGGCGAGAGGGCCGAGTCTCAGCTGAAGAAACCTAGCATGCGAACAGAAGAGAAAACCCTCTACCAGCGCTTCCCGCCTCAGCTGGAGGAAATGACGAGACCTAACTTGAAGCTGAAACTGGCAGAGCTGCTCGAGGATGGCCAGGAGATTGCTGTTAGCGACCCGGCCTACACCATTGACTTCCGCTTCCGTCTTGACTTCAATCAAGCGTAGACATTCTTGTTCTTGGGATATTTACGATTACCAGATACTTTATGACCGGAATGTTAGCCTCAGTTAAATGTGTAGAATTCATAGGATAGCCGTCGACCTGCTATTTTTTCAAGACAATTAACAACATCCACACTCCAGCCTCGTGAGGCGAAGCCCTGACCAAACTTTTCGTAAATGTACAGCGCAAACGTAGCCAATATATCCAACGCCGAGAATGCATAAATAAGGTGTAGAGTGCTAGGCCGATTGCTTAACCCATCAAGTCGGTCAAACCTCTCTTCCACCGGTTGCACTTCAGCTTCAGAACCTTGACGGATTCGAGGAAGAGAACGTCACTGTCAAACTGACCAGAGCTCTCCACGTTGAAGATAAAGTGATCGCGCACCCTTCCGAGCTTGACCTTACCCTGGAACTCGTCGTGGCGCAAACACTCTCTGCTGACGGTATCCTTGAACGCATCCTTGACGACAGCCTTCTGTTCGCCGGCGTGGCCCTCGTATCCGCTTCCGCGCTGCGCGGCCTCAGCGGCAGTGACGGGCTCTAGGCCAATAACGCCCCTGGGGAAGCATTTGGCGAACTTCTTCGCATCCTCTCCGAGGATGGGACGCTCGATCTTTATATCAGGCAGGAGACGGTATGAGGCAGTGGAAACAGGGGAGAACTTGGCGTGATCAGCACCAATACCCTTCTGGCAGTGCAGTTCCATCTTAATAGCCTGACCAGGACGCAGCTTGGCAATCAGAATATCCGGGTTGACGGGCGCAATGGCACCATCATCGACGAAGAATTGCTCCTGGCGACCAACGGGAGTGAACATGAGGTCCCTGGCGTAAACGTGGGCGTTGGTGTAGAGCTTGCGGGGGTCCTGCTCGTCACTGGCTGCGTACTCATTCTTGTAGCATTCCACATCGAGGTGGAGCACAATGGTATTAAAATCGAAGGTGCCGTTTTCCTCTCCAGTTCCGTCCTCTGATGCCTTCTTGAACCATTGCATCCAGTTGATTCCCTCGACGGAACCCTTCAGCGGGATCAGGCCTAGTCGTTGTGCGAGCACTTCGTCTTGAATGACGGAGGTGTTGTTGTAAATGAAACAATCCTCAATGGCGATAGTTGGGATCTCGGCCATGAGAATGCGGCGGAAAGCATTGGCGACCGAGGCATCGAGTCCGATCAGCGAGAAAGAAGCCTCCAATTTATCGTTCTGGTGGAATTCGACCCGGAAATTCTGTTGGACGCAAATGATTAGAATCTACTGGGTATGGCAGAGGACAACTTCCTGGAGAATCTTCAGCACATACCTTCTGGAATTCATCAAGGGCCCAACCATGCGACTCTCCGGGCCAATGTCCAGGAAAATCTGTGGAGGGGATATTGGTGACAGTTTCAGCATTGATACCGATGATCTAGGACTGTTAGCATTTGTAGTTGTTTACAATCAATTATTTTGAACATACACGGCGACGCTGTAGCTCCTCTTGCGAGGGAACAAGAGGTGCCATGGTGGGCAATTATTAGAGATTTGGTGAAGGTTGAAGGTAAAATCCGCGATCACCGATAAGATGAATTTCTCGAAGCAATTTTCTAGATTGCCTGAGGCAGGAATGGATCTTTATTCTGTGTACAAAAAATGAATTACGTGAGCTGCATACTGTTTGATTATGTGAGGAAAAGAATGCACTAAGCCAAATTACGCATAGTACGACGCTAGTGTCAACGCAGTATAGTCAACCTCTCAAGCCAACCAGAATCAGGCTGATGACCCGGCAGCTATTCACGTGACGAGCCAAAATGCGCGACTCCGGGCCAACTTCAATTCACCAGTCCTTTCCCGTAGCGAGCCATCTCCACCCATTGAATGCGCCTGGATTGAGGATCATCTCCCCTCCTTTCCCCCTCGGAACCCCTAATATCCATCCTCCATGGCCGCTTCTTTCGCCCGCCTGGCGGGCAATGCGCCCAAAAGGCTCTGCCTCCGCCCCTCCTCGTTGAACACATCAATTCCTCGTTCCCGCTCGATAACCACCTCTGTTCCTCGCCGTCATGCAGAGGCTGCCAGCTACCAGGCCACACGACTTGTGCCGACCGACCCGACTTTCACTTCCCTCGCCAACAAGCCCGCACCCGAGGACCCCGATGCTGCTGGTCTTGAATCTGAGGCCGAAGGGATCGATCGCAAGATTCGTCATTACACTGTCAATTTCGGTCCCCAGCATCCTGCTGCTCACGGTGTGCTCCGATTGATTCTGGAGCTCAATGGTGAAGAGATCGTCCGCTCCGATCCCCATGTTGGTCTGCTTCACCGTGGTACCGAGAAGTTGATTGAGTACAAGACTTACATGCAGGCTCTGCCTTACTTCGACCGTTTGGATTACGTCTCCATGATGACCAACGAGCAGTGCTTCTCCCTGGCTGTTGAGAAGCTGCTGAACGTTGAGATTCCCGAGCGTGCTAAGTGGATTCGCACACTGTTCGGCGAGATGACCCGAGTCTTGAACCACCTCATGTCCGTTCTGTCCCACGCCATGGACGTTGGTGCCCTTACTCCTTTCCTGTGGGGTTTCGAAGAGCGTGAGAAGCTCATGGTAAGCAATTGAATGCTATAAAATGCTATCCCGGCTAGGCCTTGATATCTAACACCCGGTGCTTTAGGAGTTCTACGAGCGTGTCTCTGGTGCCCGTCTCCACGCTGCCTACGTTCGCCCCGGTGGTGTGTCTCAGGATATCCCCATTGGTCTCCTTGACGACATCTACCAGTGGGCAACTCAGTTCGGTGACCGCATTGACGAGACCGAAGAATTGCTCACAGATAACCGTATCTGGAAGGCCAGAACCCAAGGTGTCGGAGTTGTCAACGCCACTGATGCGCTCAACATGAGTTTCACTGGTGTCATGCTTCGTGGATCAGGTGTTCCCTACGATATCCGCAAGTCGCAGCCCTACGATGCCTACGATAAAGTCGAGTTCGACGTTCCCGTCGGTGTCAACGGTGACTGCTACGATCGTTACCTCTGCCGCATGGAGGAGTTCCGCCAGTCTCTTCGCATCATCCACCAGTGCTTGAACAAGATGCCCGCTGGCCCCGTCCGTGTTGAGGACTACAAGATCTCGCCCCCTCCCCGTGCCGCCATGAAGGAGAACATGGAGGCTCTTATTCACCACTTCCTGCTCTTCACCAAGGGTTACTCGGTGCCCCCCGGTGAGACTTACTCTGCCATTGAGGCCCCTAAGGGTGAGATGGGTGTGTTCCTTGTCAGTGACGGCAGCGAGCGCCCATACCGCTGCAAGATCCGTGCTCCCGGTTTCGCCCACTTGGGTGGTTTCGATCAGGTGTCTCGTGGTCACCTTCTTGCCGATGCTGTCGCTATCATTGGTAAGTTCCTATCCTTTTTTGCTTCATTCCCATATACATATTTTAACATTCAACTTTTAGGTACTATGGATCTGGTGTTCGGTGAGGTTGACCGGTAAAACATGTTGGCAACGCAATAATTAAAAAGAAAAACCAAAACTGAAGAAAGTCTTCCAATGGCACCCTCTTAGATGGTTAGATTCGCCTGTGCTGGGGAAAAATCAGAAAAGAGGAACCACCTATTCCCTTGATGTGATCTGTAAATCCTGGCTCTTCCGACGCTGGCCAGGGTGTACCAAATGTCCCATGTTTTCTTCCCATGGCGTTGTGCTATTATGTCCTGTCATTCTCCTTTGTGTGTCTGTTTTTTTTTCCCTACTGCTGCTTCAAATAAGCCCTGTGTATAGTGAACATCCAATTCTTTGTCTGAGCTTTGTTTCCTATTGTAGCCGTTACCCTTGATACTAACTAACATCAATTTGTTGCCTGGTTGTTTGTTATAACATGTGGTATTTGCCCTACTAGGTAAGTTTATAATTGTGCCAGGCAATCACTTTGGTTGTAATATTCAATGCTCATGATACAAAGCAACCAAGAGATAGTCACCCACACACCAGAGTAGACCTTGACCAAAATGAGGACTTTGATACAATCAACATCGCTAACTTTCACCGGTATCTTTCTTTCTTTCCATCTCTTTTCATCAACCCGTTGCTTTTGAAGCACAGCGTGCCTGCGTTGCTTAGTTCGCTCTTATTGTTCCGGATGTTCACACTTCATTATACCACATAAAACGGCCTTTCATTATTAAGATGTCGTTTAATAGCGACCTACTGCCTATAGCAGTTATCGTGGCTTATCCCGAGATCATAGCATCCTATGCATTCTTTTTTCGCACAAGCCTCCTAATTTTAGCCTAAACGTCTAGGTGTTCTACATTATATTGTCACTTTTATCGTACGGCAATACCTAATGGTCCTTAGTGCTAAGCATCTATAGTCCGAGTGGTTGTCTAGGTACAGATCGTCTCTAGACTTTGTAATTCCTTACGCTTCTTGTCGTCACGATAGTTGTCGATTGCGTCTCTTTTTAGCGAGACAGAGTATCTTCTCTTGGACCTGGTCCTTCGATGGCAGCAGGACAAAACCCCCTACCATGCTATATTCACCTTGGTTTTGCGTCCTTTTTGCATTAAAACGGTTGCTGATAAATACAACACGCATCGAAATGATGCCATACATATACCCTGGAGATCTGCGGTTCGGTAAACTCCGCACCGAGGCTGGCTTTGTGTGAGGACCTTTGAATCGGCTATATGGTATCAAGCGATATACAAGAAGATGCAAAACGTTCCAGAAAGAAGAAAACTAAGTGTCTTTGGAGATATTCGAATCAGTATGGCCCAAGCAAGAGACCCTTCTTCAACAATAATTTACCCTAAATGGTTTGGGGGTTCTGCGTCATGCATGGCTGTGCTTGTTTCTCACCCTCTGGACTTGAGTGAGTGGAAGTACAGAAGCCGCACGAGAGATTGAAGCTGAGTAGAAGAAAGTCAAGGTGAGAATGCAGATGGATTCTAGAGTGGCGAAAGCCGGTACTATTACGACTTGCATTCGAATTTTTCGAGGAGAGGGAATAATTGCACTATATGAAGGGGTAAGTCTCGTCAAGTGGCATGTATAAGGATAAAATAAACTGACCATATAAAGCTCTCAGCAGGATTTATGAGACAATGTAATTTCAACCAGCTCATTAATTTTGTCCAGCACTGATTCCTTCAATAGTAACATATGGTTCAGTCCGTATTGGGCTCTACGAAACATTGAAAGAGCAAACCCAGGCAAATAACATTCAAAACTCCCCACCAGTTCGTGGCCTACTAGCAGGAATATCCGGATTTATTGGCGCAATATTCGGCAACGCCTCAGATATTGGTAACGTCCGTATGCAGAACGATGGCGCACTACCTGCCCATCTTCGGCGCAATTATGGACACGTCTTCGATGCGTGGGCCCAGATCAAACGACAAGAAGGATGGAAAGCTTTCGGACAGGGATTGTGGCCTAACGCTTTTCGCTGTGGCTTGATGACTAGCTGCCAGCTTGCTTCGTATGATAGTTTCAGGGATCTGTTAGCTGTAAGCACGGGAATCTCGCACGACCATCCCGGGCTGCATGTATTGGCTTCATTTATGGCAGCATTGGTTGCTACCACATTGTGCAGTCCGATCGATGTTATCAAGACTCAATTGATGGGGTCTTCAGGCAAATATGGGATTTTGCAAGTGATCAAGGATCTCACCGCGACTGAGGGAATCAGATGGATCTTTCGAGGGTGGACACCTAGTTTTGTTCGGCTGGGACCACAGACTATGGTAACATTGGTTCTTTTGGAGCAGCATAAGCGGGTGTTCAGGGGATTTAAAGACGCAAATGTCTAAATAATTGCTTGATAAAGTGAGCTTCAGTCGCCTCTTTACATCCAGTCGTCAACTTAATGATCAACTTTCCTTTTCATTTCAATCCGATTAGGCTCATCAAGGTGGTATTCAATTCTATTAGATTGGACATTAGACTAAAATCGAGAAAAGGTAGGGTCTATGACCGCTACAAATATAGATATGTATGCCTGAGAATAGGAAGCATGTGGAGTATGTCCATATCAAACGGTAAGACTTAGGTCATTTTTCTTTGTCGTTCAGACTATGCATCAACAGAAATTCTTCTCGTGCTACTGATTTTGACTATTAATGACCCTCATGAAATACCACTGAAATACCTAGGCCATCTTTACCAAAATGTAATACCGAAATGAACAATGAGCGTCCAATTTTGGATATTGCCTGCGGTTTATGCAGCAGGATAATCTGGCCTTCATCTGATAAGGGTTTTGCTCACGTTTACAAAAGACACTCAGCTTTCGACATAAGCTGCGGGGATTATGTATGGGCTTGCAAAAACCCATCGGATCTAAAGAATGTCGGCCTGAATTCTTCCCCCATTGGTGTTCCTTCATGGTACTTTTTAGTGCGAGCTACTTACATTCGAATGCATAGTCTTCGCCAGGTTTGATCCGGGATCAACAACCTTCCACCTTTCTGGCACTGGATCAATTAGGGACTTGCCTCATATTACACTTCCACAAGATGAAAACAAGATGATCCTGTTCCGTGGTCATCATAGCCGTTACCCGAGCATCAAGGCAACACCAGAAGAGCATATATTTGTTCCCTGGCCGGATTATCATTTTGTATTTCACATGCACGAGCGATGCTGGCACCTCATGACCCAAGTCGTCGACAGAGATTTGCTCAAGCAGAATATTGCAAATTTGGTGACGGCAATGTATGAGCAAAAGGTAAAGCAGAACATGCTAAACAAAACTCCCCATGGGGACAGAGTGTGGACCACGTTTGCGACTGAAATCGGTAGACAGTTTTGCACCAATCTCGGCAAAGTCAGCAGTTATCACCTGAGACCAAAGCGTGAGCTTCTTCAATATCTCACTTTAGATACTTTGAATGACTCCTACCTCGGTGAAAAACTCTCAAGACAAGTCAATCACGAAAACAGTATCAGGAAGATTAAGTCAAGACCTCAACACTCGACACCGATACGTCAGATGAGGCGACGATCCCACTCGGCTTTTAACGCCCCAAAAGTGTTTCTCCCGGCTGAAATTGTTTGTATGATCACAGATCATCTGGAACACAAATCGGACATACGAAACCTCTCAATGATACTCCCACAGTGGTTCTCGATGATCCCTAATGGCTATTGGAGACGGCGCTTTCGAGACGAAAGTTGCATGAAGACCGAGTGGCTTCCACCGGTGGATCCAATGGACTGGCATCATTTTTATCGCAATACTGAGAGCTCGCTGAAACAATCACTTAGCTGGAAGAGCAGGCAGTATATATTGACCCAACTAAGGAGCGTAAAGGCTCGATTTTTTGAGCACATCGAAGAAAGAGAGAGATTGCTTGAGAACCAGAACAATCAAAATCATTAATTCTAGAGGAAAGCCCGGTTGGGCTTGTGAGGAAGTGTTGAATTTGTGCGGGCTACCATAGCTTACCGTTTTGCTTCCTGGTTTGAACGACAGAGATGAATCAATATAACATTGGATTATTCTTTTAGCTATCGCTTTCATTTTCCCGTCGCACCCATGCCAATTGATAGAATTTGTCGCCTTCATTACTTACCGATTTAGATGCTGTTCTTTTAGGCATACGGCCCTGAGCGCTACGCCCCTACGTAATTATCACTGTGGCGCAGTGCATGCAGGTTTCCCACGTTTTTTTCCCAACATGCTCCCGCTGGACAGTTGTCAGGTTCTGATTCGGAGATCAAAAAAACACGCTGCAATCTCAATCATTTCTTCGTAGTTGAGCAGAGCTTCAGCTTGAATGTTGCAGCCTCCGCCAGAGTGGCGTGTTGATCACTGTACACAGAAGACTTGCTTCCAATGAAATTGCCGCTGCATCTCGTGTTTTCGTTAATGAAATCCGGGGATAACCGAGCGTACATTGCGGCTCAGCAATTCGTGCACCATTGATTGCGTTAAGTTGTTCTGTTCGGGGTCACCGAGTTTTGGGTTTGCCCTGCTTGGAGTAGTTCAGCGACGTGGGAGATATCGTTCAATCATGTTGAATCATTTTATTTTATATTGATCCTAGTTCTCAAACGTTGAGGCAGCATCTCAGAGGTCTCATCGATTACTGTTCGAATAAATCATACATCGGCATTAATATTAAAAGAGCCATAGCGCATGTTTCGTATTCTATTACGATAACATATCAATATACAGATCAATTTGTACAACGTTCACCTTTTCAGGCCTCCGGACATTCTTGATTAAGCCGAAACCAAAATTGCTTTTCGTAACCCCTAGATGTCATCGTCGACGACCTCACCATAAATTGAACGCTTCCCTTCCCATTTCTTTCACAGCAACTCAACCTCGACATTAGCTTGACCCGATGTCCACACAGGAGCGGTGCATTGTAGACCCTGGCTATATCGGTTGGACTCAGCGTCATGCTGGGACCAAGTTCCCAGTTCTCATAGTAAGTGGATGCCCCCAACCGAGAGTTGCAAATGTAAGACCGACTGCACCAGCACATACGGTTGTAAAGATTCTATTTGACCATGTGCAGTGCAAGGCTGAAACCTCGCAGCAAACGAAACCCAGACGACATATGCCCATGATGAAGTCGTTGCAAATAAGGAGGTGCTATCATTTATAGGCTGAAGATGACTGAGTAGGATGAATTATTTTTACTTTGTGGTGCTTGAAGTGTAGGCTTGTAAACACTCAATCCTACACCGCGAAATCTGCATGGTTGGTGTTTTCAGAATGAGATAGGCAAAGTACCAGTATTTTCAGCCGTATATAATACAACTTACCCAGAGGCTATATCTGTCAATCTTCGTCTGTTATGGTTGAGTTGGTTTTGGACCCTGCGTAGGCGCTTGCGCTGGCCTGGCCAACTTGAAGGCTTTTGCATTGTTGATAAAAATTAGCAACGGATGACTCCGTTGAATCAATAGCATTTCCCGTATATATATAGTAAAAAAACGGCGGCTTTTTTTTTTTTTTTCAAAAAAAACCTCGAAAAGTACAAAGACAAGAAACAAAACAAGGCAAAGCTGCGAAAACACAGAACGCAATTTGATTGTCATTCGCCGCCTCAGGTGTCTAATTACATACACAACTGCGACCTCCAACTCCACCTGGGCAGTCGCGTCTTCGAGAGCATCTTCGCCCCATTCCCATTCCTTCATTTATACCATCGCATTTACGTCAATTTGCCGGCGCAAAACAAAAGACTCCTCACCCGCACCAATCTCACTCTATACTCCCTCCTTCCCTCACCAACCTCCACACATTCCGATCGCAAAATGGCCACCGACTATAGCAAGAAGACCAACGCCGAATTGGTTGAGATCCTCAAGGCCCGCTCCCTCCCCCACACAGGCAAGAAAGCCGATATGGTTCTGCGCCTTCAACAAAATGATGAGAACGCGCCTACCGACGCTGCCGCAGCCCCCCCAAAGACCGACGCCGAGGACGTCATTGACTGGGACGACGAGCCCACCGAGACTCCCGTCCAGCCCTCCACAGAAACAGGTGCTGCTGCAATTGCTGCGGGCGGCCAGGGAACTGTTCCCAACCCCGTCACCGTCCCCAACCAGACTCTCAGCGAGAATCCCGCCACCACAGACGACTTGAAGGTTGAGTCGGCCGGCGCGGCGCCCGAAGCTGCCGCCGCTGCCGCCGCTGCCCCCGCCGCTGCCGCCGCTGCCCCCGCCGTTGAAGCAAAGCCCGCCGTTGACTACACTCGTGGACTACCTACTACTGATTTGGAAGCGGAGCTGGCGAAGCGCAAGGCGCGCGCTGAGAAATTCGGCATCGTCGAAGATGAAGAGACTGCGCTGAAGGAGGCTACGAAGCAGCTGGAGCGGGCTAAGCGGTTCGGGACCGGCCTCGAGGAAACTGGCGTTAACCGTCTTGATCAGGCGCTTTCTGATGCCCGGCCTCGCAAGAGGCAGAATGAGGCTCGCGATGGTGGTCGTGGTGGCAAGAGACGTGATACTGGGCGCGGCGGCCGTGACCGTCGGGGTGGGAACCGCGAGGGACACGGCGACGGGAACCGTAATGGCAATCGCCGCGATGGTGGCAAGACCAATGCTGGTGTGAAGAAGCCTGCTGCGAACAAACCCAATGAGAAGGATCTGGCGGCTTTGGAGGCTCGCAAGAAGCGCTTTGCTGCCGCTGCTTAGGGTTCTACATTCGAGGTTAATTCATTGGCGTTCTTGTGTTGATAGGCTATTGGAGAATTTCATGGTTCCTTTCGATTTGTTTTAATATATGTTGATCTAGATGGACTGTGCATTGATCAAAGTAAGCTCCTGGCAGACTTGTAGTGGCGCACAATCCCACAGTGTATAAAGTACATTGTCCAACTTCCCGTCTTTTGAGAAACTCAATCTGAAGTTTTCGCGTTCTCTCGGTGGGTGGTGTGCAAAGTCAGCTGAAGAGTGCATTAGCCGGATTGTGCCTGCGTGAAAATGTGACCAGTCGCCGAGCGAGAATCAATCAGACCGTGCGGGATCGGCCTCTTTATCACTTTCCGCAAATATTACTGCTGCGATCATGACCATTATCATCATCTCCTGGAGCCTTCTCATTAAACGGCCAAGTCCAGTTCCACATGGACTGAAAGCCCCCGCGAATGATAATCCACCACTCGCTTTTTTTTAGATGGTGGCTGCGAACTAGTATTTGATGATCCTCCACGTTCATTGCTCCATCGGTCAGTGGACCATCACAGCCGACGGCTTAGTGAACCCCACAGTTTGAATGGCTCGAACATAAGAATCCCATCTTCACAATCTACTACTGGTCCTTTGAATCCCTATACTAAACGTTAGACTCGAGTCTAAAAAGTCTGCCTTTGCGTCCAGTCATCGTGTCATCCAATCCAAGGCAATTATAGGATACGAAATGGCTCGGGTCGGGCCTTTGAACCAAACTGTGAGCAACTCTGGAAGGCCGTTGGAAATTCTTGGTTGATATGTTTCTCAAGTTTGGAAGAATTTGGAAGTTCTGAAAGACAGGAAATTAAATATTATCTTGTCTCGGATCGCGGCGCGTAAAATGATACCCTTTCGTCTTTGTGCATACGCATGGTCCCTTGAAACCACGGGAAATTCTCCGAAGAGATCTAGAATTGCACGCCAAAAACGATGGGAAGGAAAAAGCAAATCATAAAACTCTTCAAGTCGATCAATGCACGAATCACGAAATTGGAGGGCTGTCGGGGTTAGAGTCATTCGGCGTCTCCGAGTGCGCTGATGCATAGATGCGTTGTTCAAGCGGCGAGAGAGACGCGGTAACCAGCCTTCGCTACGTAGATAAGTTGTCGCATACGATTAATGCATATACTCAGCTTCAATCTACACCGTTCAACAACGGAGTCAGAATTTGTGGGATTTCCAGAATGACGACAAACCTTGAGAAAACAGCCATAGTGCGCCACGGGGTTTGTATCACAACCTGTCACGTTGTGTTTAGTATACCCTTTGCCGCCGAGAACCGATAACAGGTCTAGGGACTAGGGAAATCAGCCAACGACAAGTTTCTACTATATGGCAAGGCTTAGGTGGGTCTTCGGTCCTTGATACTCATCTGTGCACGCAATGCTGATCCGACCATTGGGAATATCGCTACTCCGTGTTTTGGTTATTTGTAGAACTGTTTGACTTTCCTAGGGTCATAGCTTCACAGTGCGCTTTTCGCGATGGATCATTTTGACAGGCTAAAAGTGATAAGCTAAAGATCATCCCTAGGTAGTCGAGACTCGTTTCTCGTCACAGAGTAGCAATATTCTTGCCAATGAGATTATTGCACTTGGTTGTATCTAATACCGGAGCTGCCGTCTAGAACTATTCTGGTCATTGCGGTTCAGGGCTTTTTTTTTCTTCCCCCACACACCGGGGCACTGCGCAATTTCTAGTCAGCACATAAATGTCTGGCATCTCGGTGATTCCTTATTTTCAATTATTTTGACAACGATAAATTTTTTATTTTTTTTCACTTACATGCCTTCAGCCGGATTTTGTTTCTGACGTGGCCAAACGTGCTCGGAAAAGTCTGAGATTGAACGCCACGTTTGCTCCATACTGTGGCCATCTGTGTGGCGAAGCAGCTGCAGCTTTAGGCTTTTCGATCCACAGTGACTCGTTTTCTCTTCTTTTATCTATCTGACAGATGCGAGTGTAAGCGCTTTTTCATACTTCATATCTTTAATATCTCTCGTATCTTTGATAACTTGTCGATTGACACTTTCTAGTCTGATTTTGAGATACCTTTGAACCAATTTGATCTACGTTTTTACACATTTTAATTCTATACTAGGCGCTAGGCGCTATTGATATTTCCGTTTGACATGACTCAGTAAGTTCACGTACCTACCTAAGCATAGGTATTCAGATGCTCTGTTATTTGGAATAACTAATGAATCCCTGAACAGCCCCCAATAACGAGAATGATTACTATATTGAAGTACATGTACCCATCTAATCATCTGGGTGGTAGTCGGGAACTTCAACATGTCGTACAGTTCTGGTCACATGCAAGACCCTTCAAATCTGCCCGTCAATACTGGTGCCTATGGTCGACAAAGATCACAAATTGCAAGACCAGTCAACAACCTACCAATCAATCATACCCCTAGGAGCAGGACCTCATCCATCTCAGATGTCGATACTCAACCAGTATCAGCGCCGGCCGTCAAAAGATCTACCAGTCGTGGAAACCGGCTGTCCATGCTTCCACGGCCCAGTATTGGCAGTACGGCATCTCCAACTACGCCGGTGTCGGCTGCGTCTTCTCAAAATTCCACCCAGCCTTCGTTCTCGTCATTTTCAAGTCCCGATGTTAACAACACTTCGCCTTTTGTTGCTGGACAACAATTGCCCCCAAAGCGAGCACGGAACGTTTTGCGGAGAAGGGCACCGACAATAGGACAGCACGTGGAGCAATCTCATCCTAACAAGCTTAGTCTTGTCATTCCACAGGGTTCTCAACGAGTTGACATGAACAATGCCTCCATCTACAATCAATCGGCATCTTCAATGTCGGCCCACTCTGCTTCTTCGTACAAACCAAAGGACAAGAGCCATAGCAGCGTTACTGTCAACTCGGCAGGTTCCAAATTGAATGGCCCGAAAGAGCTGGCAAGTCTGAGAACAACGGTTGATACTCAAAACTTGCCACCCCCTCCCGCACCCTTTTTTCCGGCAAGCAGCCCCTCAACAAGATATTCGGTTTCTCCGAGTATTTGGAGTCGAGGATCCACACCAACTTCATTATCCTCTTATTCCCCAGGTATTGTGCACTCTACAAAGATTGGTCGTTCGAGGCAGCCAAGCCAATCTCAAACGAGATTACCTGTTTTTTCTCCTTCAGCAGTACACCCGAGTCCTCAACAAGACAAAATAGAAGTCAAGATACAGATGCAAGTTGGTACAAAGACCCCTGATCCGAGACCAGTACGGGATATCAAGTACCGTGGACCTCCAACGGTCAAACCCTCCTCATCGGACATTCGAGGACCCCCTCGTAGTCCTCCCCCACGAAAGTCATCAGTCAACTTTAGCCCTCCACAAGCCACAGATATCGATGTGGAACAGGCTCGTAAGGAAGTGGAGGAGGCTGAGAGGCCTTTATTTGATCCAAAAGGGGCAATGGAATGTTCCTCCACACGCATTGCGGAGGCACCACAGATGCCCCAGACCCCACCACGACCAAGCAGAGATGGTACTCACCGCTTGGTTCTTGAAACATCACCTATTGTCCAAAGCAACTTGCGCTATATCAGAACAACAGGCCATACAAGGCGCGAGTCGATAGAGAAGATTTTAGCAAGCCAGCGGCCCACTCCGATTCCAAATCAATCGGCCGCCGCGTCAATTGACTCGCTCCATTCGAGAACTATCTCACGGGTGTCGTCTGGTGATGATGCTTCTCCAGTATTACTTCGAAAGTCACCTCGGACGCTGACAAAGGAGATTCCGAAAGAGAAGGTGGAACCAAAGAGGATACCAGTGCCTAAGCGATTTGGTCTTTTCCCGAAAAAGTCCAAGCCAGACTTTGCTGAGAACACGATAGAACAAGCCCGGCTTCCTCGCAAAGGCCCTGCGGCGGGAACTGGGCATGAGGGTTACGGCAAATACGGACAACGCGGCCGAAAGGCAAGCGGAAGTAGCAGCAGTGGCACGAGAACCAGATCGACAAGCACTACTCGGAGTGCCGCCAGCAAGAATAGTTCTTCCAGCCGGCCGGAACTGGATATCGATGAGTTTTTGATGAGCCGTCTGGAGCCTGTCATTATCAACGGTGGGGGTGTCGATGGCGCATCTTTGTCACGGACGCAGAGTGAACAGAGTATGAGCAGTGTCAGTGTTGCATCTACTTCGAACTTGCCTTACCAAGCGCTCTCATACTCGACTGGGCCTTCTACCGACTCCCTTGCAACTTCGACTGGGACATTCGGCGAGACTATTACACCAAGTGAATTTAGTGGCACGACACGGAGCCAGAGCCCCGAACGTCAACCGAAGTCTGTAGGTCGTCCGAACCCATCCAAGTCGCACGTTCCAGTGCCCAAAGGCAAGAGACACGGTGTGTTCGCGAACCCTCAAGCTGCCCTGACCAACATTTCACTATCGAGTCAGCCGTCGAGCATTGTGGCTCCGAGTCAACCGAAACGTGCTGGTCAGCAGTCCTCGGACAAATCACTCAAGTCCACACAGGATGAGCCACAGCAATCCAAGAAAGGCAAAGCATCAATGTGGAGTTTCTTCCAGAAGAGCCGTGCCAATGAGCAGAAAGCTGCGCCTCCGACAACTGAACCCCAAATCAGCAAGCTACATGCAACCATCACCCCAGCGCTGAACACTCGAACTGTCGCCCATTACGCCCTGGTCGATGCTGACTCAGACGATTTGAACGAAACCATCAAGAACATCGAGGACTCGCCACCAACCGAAGAGGAAGAAACGTTCAAACCAGTGGAAGTTCCACAAGGCTTGAAGATCCGCAAGAGAGAACCTTCGATCCTCCTGCCTCCTCCACCAAAATTGCACGGCGAGTTCGAGAAAGACGACCGCCCATCCCCAAGAACGGCCATGTTCAATCGCAACCTCATCCCCCCAGAAATGGAGACCTCACCCGAACGCCCAAGACGACTAGCTTCTATTGGCCGTATTCCCCAGGTCGTCTCTAGGCGCGATAGACATCATCGACCCGCTATGCAGTCCTTCTCGCGTCCTTTCAGTTTGGTCGAGTCTCCGTCCCTCACTGTCCCAACAACACAGACTATGTGTGATCCCCCGCTGGCAGCAACTGCAAATGTACCCTTGAATCTGGGCATTGCGCTCAATGAATCTCCTGAATGGGGCCATGGATTCAATCCGACTTTCAGCGCGTCCGAGAACACCAGTGCTTTAGAATTCCTCGCTGGTCCGTTTTCAACATACGAGTTTCTCAAATTTCCACCGAAAAAAGGGTCAACCTCGTCAGATAGCTCCGGCGCGATGGCTGCCGTGACGGCTGTGCCGCCAGTTCATGGTTCCCCGCCGACAGAGGACGAGGTATGGAATGAGTATGATGATCTTATTGATCACGTTCTGTCGCCGGATGAACCCAAGTCCGAGAAGACGGGCAGGACTGACGAAGAGGACCGTTTTCAACTTGCCACTATGGCTAGCAGGGCTCTCCAAGATGAGTTGAATAGTGCGCACCATCTTCAGTCGGTGCCTGGTGGCGCTTCGGCTCGATCCAGTGGCAGCTCGGTTCATCTTCGTCGATCGCGTATCGTCTCGGCTCTGCAGTCTTCTACTGCCCCTTCTTCTCAGCCTTCGTATAGTGACCTTGCTGAGCAATATGATAATCTCGATGAATTGAAGGAGGAGCTTGTCGATTCTTCTGAGCAGTCGTCTGCTAACGATCAGCGCCGCGAGAACCAGTCTACTTTCCTCAACTCGCTTGCTGCTGTTCCTTCTCCCAGACCCAAGATTCATCGCGAACAAGAGGCCAGCTCGTCAGAGCGTGAATGGGATGCAGAGACGAATGCCAATATGCGTTCCGCTTCATTGATGACAAGCCGCTGGCTATCGTTCGGTCGAGTCCTCTTTAGCCCAGCCCATAACCACGTCAAAGCCGGAGCCCAAGGACGAATCCTCATGATTGATGGGCTGGGCAATGACGACTGGTCTTTCTACTGCTCTCTGACATACCCAGATGCAGAAGTCTACAGCCTCGGTGGCCGCCCCGTCTCTACATCAGTCCCCCACCCCGCCGCATGGAAACCCCCAACAAACCACCACATCGTCTATCACGCTGGCCTCGGAAATCCCCTCCCCTTCCCAAAAGACTACTTCACCGTCGTGGTACTACGCTTCCCAGCCGTATGCTCGGAAGCGGTACAGAGAAACATCGTGCAAGAATCCAAGCGCGTCCTACGCACAGGCGGCTATCTCGAGATGACCCTCTTAGACCGCGACATGGTCAACATGGGCCCGCAGACGCGCAAAGCCGTCCGCCACCTGAAAGAGACGACCTGTCTCTCCGACGCAACCCTCTGCCTCAAGCCCACGAGCGACAGCATCCAGCGCGAGATCGGCGCCCACGGTTTCGACAGTCTCCGCCGCTGCATGGTCCGTATCCCTGTCGCAGGAATGGTCCTCCGCTCCTCGGACTCCTCGTCCCACTCTTTCTCCTCAATGACCAATCCCTCCGCGTTCTCATTGCCTACCATCTCCATTACGACACCCGGCAGCACGAGCACACGCACCGCGTCGAAATCGCCCTCCTCAGCCAACATCTCCCTGGGCGATCTCCTCTCCGACCCATCCCCATCACCGGCAAACGACGAGTCCATCGCTAAAATCGTCGCCCGCGTCGGGAGATGGTGGTACTCGAAATGCTATGAGGATCCAATCTTCTCGCGCGCCGAGACAACCATGTGGAATGACCGCAGGGTGCTGCGCGAGTGCCAGAAGCGCGGGACGGGCTTCCGCATGTTTATCGCTTATGCGCAGAAACCGAGTGAAGTTCCCCGGCGCACGGCGAGTGTCTGAATGATTTAATGATTTCTTATTTATTTTTCGTTTTCGTCTTGATGAGATCCATGATATATACGGAAAACAAATACCCTTGTTTATATCAGCGAAGCCAGGCTTGGTTTGTGGCTTGAGTCTTGGTTTTGATTCTTTGCTTTTGTGGTTTTTATACGATGCTATGACTTATGTGCCATAGAGGGTGATTTGGAGTTCCATTTACAAGCAGGACTTAATTTGGACAATTCAACTAATTTTAATTATTACTTCGCTTTTTTCTTTGATAAAGTGCTCGATATCCTGCTTCGGGATAGTGAAACATGAAGTGCTAGAGCTCGTCACGCGTAAAAATTACCTGGACAGTTCTAACATAACTTCCTTTCTCACAGGGAAGATAATTCATAGGCAATATCTTGCTGAATAGTGACCAAATTCTCAAGAAACCCGACAACTGTCTCGACAGTCTGTCTCGCACCACTTTCACCAACAAAGAAGAAATGATTACCTAGGATCTCAGCAGTCATCAACTCAGGAATGTTCATCACAACCCTCTGCATCTCCTGGAAGCGAAATCTTGCCTGCGATAACGCTGCAGCGCCATCATCCCCGATTTGCTGATAAGCCGTGGCCGTTCCATCCTGTGTCATCTTGGCCATAGCGCGCTGGATCATTAAAAATGACCACGTTGCTTTGTCGGTAATCGCATGCCGGAAGTCCAGCGCGCTGGTGGGATAGATGGCAGCCATGGCGGGCAGGTTGGCGTAGTCGTGCGCTTGGCCGTCGTCCATAAACTGCCACTCATTGTCTTCTTTGACGAATTCCTTTGTCGCGGCATCATACCGGAACCCAGAAGCAGTGATGCCTATGGGGGTGGCGCCGATGTAGTCTCTCTTGAAAATGGTCGGGTCGATGATATGGCGAGGTGCGGCATTTTTTTGAGTAACCATGTCTTTCTCATCAATCTCATGGTTGATTTTATCTTGCTCGTCCATCTGTCGCAAGAATGCCTTCTCTAGAAAGGGCTTGGTCGCGTAACCCGCGGTGGTCTTATCAAGCTGCGTTTTTGAAACAGCCGTCAGGAGCCCGGGAAGGGCGGGTGTTGCCGCCAGCGAGATGAAAAGCTCGATTGCAATGCCTAGCCGCTTCGCGGCAACAGTAACAGGCTGGAGGATCTTACCGCCCATACTCCAGACAAGGACGACGACACTGCGGGAGAGATTATGTTCCGTGATGACGGCATCGATAGCATCAGCGGCTTGCTGGCCCCATTCGGGAATTGTGAAGTTGGAACTGGAGACCGGCATCATAGGCGGATCTGTTTCTAGGGGATAGGAAATGCCTAGGAATCCGTAACCGTGATGGTTGAACCAATGGGCAAGAAAGTCTTCACTGCGGTGGCCTGCGTGTCCGCCGTATGCGATGCGCGCGTTGTGCGCCATCCCCGGGACGAATGCCACAAGGGGCTTCGCTGGATCATGGCCAGGAATGTATTTGTATACCGCGTGATGGTCACGGAGACATTTGAGCTTTTCCCCTTCGTACAGGGTGAAGTTGTGTTCTTGTGCCATATTCGCGGGGTCGGAGATGGTCCGAGGTTGGGGTTGTTGGGGTTGGAATGTAAGAGGGGCCTTATACCCACGCGGAATTCCTTCGCACCTTTCCCATGAATCAATGTGGGGTATGGTTGCGAGAAAGATTGCGCGGTGGAAATGAAGATGAGAAAAAAAAGTGAAGATGTTGACAAGTTTTTGTATTGGTGATGAAATATCAATGTTATGGAAGTTCCCTTTTGATGAAAAACAAAAGTGGCACTGCAAACACCAGAAATGATATGAAAGATATCCCACGCTATATCGATTTATGTAGAGAGAAAACACCTATATATGAGGGCCTCGGGGGATACTCACCCATAAATCTATAATTGAAAGAGGTTGAGAAGATGTTCCCAAGGATACATGCAGCCAATAATATTCGAAATTTAAAAAGAAGACTGGTAAAAAATGTACAGCTAAATATGCAATTTCAACATTTTCTATGTACTTAACTCCAATTTAACTCATGATGCAACTTATACCCGAGTCAGATGAACCTTCAATGGGCCCTTCTCCCACATAAGGAAGTTCCTCTGATTGATCCAGTCACGAGAGTCATCATCAATCACAAGGTCGAAGTTGAAGATGATCAAAGCGAGGATCAAACGCATCTCACTATATGCAAGGCTGGAGCAAAGTTAGCATCGCTATTCTTTCAAGTGCTCACGTTATAACTTACTTTCTACCAAGACAGTTGCGCGGGCCGGTGTGAAAAGGCTGCAACACTTCTCGGCGGTCATCTGCAAATGCAGGATCGCCCAAGAATCGCTCGGGGTGGTATGTGTTGGGGTCTTTGAAGTATTCTTCACGGCGATAGAGCGCCCACTGGTGGATTGATACGAAGGTCTTCATGGGTTGGTTAGTAAATGTTGAAACCTGTGTTTCATAGGCAAAGCTCACATTTGTTGGGATATATTCACCCAGAACAGTAGCGCCGCCCTCGGGACACAAACGAGGCAGCCCGTTGGCAATGGGTGGATACATGCGCATTGCCTCGTCGAGGCATGCCAGCATGTAGGGTAGTTTGTTTACGGAGATCAGGTTGATATCTTCTTGGCTCTGGAATACAGTACGCACTTCCTCTTTCAGCTTCTTGTGAGCATCTCCGTTCGTGAGGAGGAGGTAAGTCACACCACTCAGTAATGAGGCGGTTGTCTCTGATCCGCCAATGATGAGGATTTCAGCATTTGCTATGAGTTCATCAACACTCAGATTCTGCCGATGGTCAGTGACTCTCTTGAATAAAGCGGATCAGAAGTTACCAATTCATCTTTCTTTCTCAAAAGTCCTTCAATCAAATCTGATCGACCTTCTTCCTTTTCCATCCGACGCATCATCTTTTCTTGGGTGAGTACCTTGTGCTTCTCGTGGGCCTCTTTTATTGACGCAGGGGCCATCGATACCAATGCTTTCTTCACAAGTGGAAAGAACGATAAAGTCTGCAAAATGATTCCCAGTCGACCGGACTCAAAAATCCCTTTGATCCATTCATCAAGATTAGAGCCCTGCAGGCAACCGAATGGCTCACCAAATGCCAGGTCTCCAATGATATCAAAGGTGGTGTAGTTGTACCAATCAGAGATAACCACCGGACTACGCGTTGTGCAAAAATCATGCAACCGATCAAGGAGTAAATCAACATATCCGCGGATTAGGGGCTCTTGGTCTCTCATTGCTTTTTCTGAAAACCCGTGCGCCATCTGGCGTCGGAGACGCCCGTGTTGCTCTCTGTTCTCGTTGACCACATGTGCCGAATGGTCTTCCACTGGCCTATAAAACCAAGTGGCTTTGCTGAACTCGGCTTGCCCTTTCTTGTGGCCCATGATGTCTTGCCAAGCGTCTGGGTGCGAGAAAGCCAGTTCATCCGGTGCAATGCGAACAATATCGCCGTACCGCTGGTGCATTTTCAATATATCAAATGGTAACGTTCCGCGCATTGACCGCCATGCATAGGCTAACCGGGATATCTTGTGTTCTAAGGGCCCTGGAAATCGGCTTAAAGGATGAAAGAAGACATTGTAGATCACTTTAGAGACCAGGTAGAGTATCCCCTATATAAGTTAGAAATGAACATCACAGAAGAACTTAGTGATATACCGTGAAGAGGCCCACCATCAAGGCATGCTGCATATAGACGATGATAGTCATTTCTGCTTTCCTGATGAATCACTCCGGGATATCGCGGGGTTTTTATAAACGCTGCGGTTTCAATGGGAACCGAGGTCAGGGTTGATCAACATGAAGGTTGATCTTTTTATAACATGTAGACTTTCATCGACCTTGAATTCAAAGTTATCAAACAATAGTTGGCTCGTAATCGTCTCAGATACCAATCAAAAGTAGTTAAAGGAGGAAGTTGGAGTCCTTCAAGTTTACGTCTTCTAATTTCTTGTTCCGAACCCGAACACGAACCCGAATTCCCCTTGTTCTTCGAATTCGCCCCATCGCGTTCATTCCTCTTCGCCAATAAACGTCACCCACTGTACGAATACGAGGTTGCTTCCAACAATAAATTAATCTCATCGTTTTTGCATAGCCTCTAATTCCCTATTGATAGGTGGATCATGAAGGGTCCAGCATTTATGCATTTAATACATTTGAAGGACTTGATATCATTCAAAAGGGACATCAGCCCGCACTAATCATGTTATTGGATCTCTGGCCGTTAACATCAATCCGAAAATGGGCGACCTTGAAGCGCAGTCTGATCATCGGTCAGACGAGAAAATCAACGAACAGAAGACAACACACGAGTCACAATATGATGTCTTTTGGGAGGAACCTGCCAGCGAAGACCCCGCGAACCCCATGAACTGGAGCTCTGGGCGTAAATGGACGATTATTGGAATGGTCTCGTTCATTACCTTCTTGACGTGAGTATTGCATTATTGTCGTCTTTTATTGAGGCTAACCACTGGCAAATCCAGCCCTCTTGCCTCTTCAATGTTTGCGCCGGGTATCACACAAGTTCTAAACGATTTCGATACATCCTCGAACATACTTGCTACCTTTGTCGTTTCGGTATATGTTCTCGGTTTCGCTTTTGGCCCTTTGATTGTTGCACCGCTGAGTGAATTCAGTGGCCGCACATGGGTATATAATGTTTGCAATATCTTGTTCGTGATCTTTAATATTGCAAGTGCGCTTGCTCCCGATATGGCATCGTTGATTGTCTTCCGATTCCTTGATGGGGTTGCGGGAGTTGCTGCTATCACATGTGGTAGTGGTACAATTGCAGATCTCGTGCCCCATGAGAAACGTGGGCGGGCGATGTCCATTTGGTCTTTGGGGCCGCTTTTTGGCCCCATCATTGGCCCCGTCGTTGGCGGATTCCTCGTCGAGGCTACGAATTGGCGATGGGTGTTTTGGGTTCTTGCTATCGTGGTAAGAAAGACAATGCTGGGCTCGAAATCTACTCTTGCTAACAGTACGTCCAGGGTGGAGTTGCGTCAGTCGTCTTCTTCTTTGTTGTACCGGAGACGTATGCGCCAATTCTACTCGAAAGAAAAGCTGCACGTCTACGAAAATCAACGGGAGATATGGCCTATAAGTCTTGCATGAATTCTGGACTTCCTCCAAAGCAACTTTTCGTGCGGAATCTTATCCGGCCATCGAAGATGCTCATTCTATCTCCCATTGTGGCTTTGATGTCCATTTACATTGCTGTGCTCTACGGCTTCCTTTACATCCTGTTCACTACGTTCACTCTCGTGTTCGAGGGCCAATACGGGTTTTCCGCTAGCTCTAGCGGTTTGTCGTTCTTAGGTAGTGGAGTGGGAATGCTGCTTGGTCTTGCGTACGTGGGAACACTGAGTGACCGCAAGATCAGAATCAAGGTGGAGCGCAAGGAAACGCCGGTCCCAGAGGACCGACTGCCCATGTACCTTACCATCCCCGGTTCGCTGGCTATACCTGCGGGACTGTTCCTATATGGATGGTCGACGGATAAGGTGGTTCATTGGATTGTTCCTGAGATCGGAAATGCGGTGATTGGATTTGGAATGATCACTATCTTGATGTGTGTCCAGACATATCTAGTTGATGCTTTCTTGGCTCATGCTGCAAGTGCCGTAGCTGCGTGCACCGTGCTGCGAAGCTTACTTGGCGCTCTTCTTCCTCTTTGCGGATTGCAAATCTACGAAAAACTCGGTCTTGGTTGGGGAAACAGCTTATTGGCATTTCTTGCTTTAGCAATGGCACCTATCCCTATTTTGTTCGAGACTTGGGGGGAGAAGTTGCGGACTCGGAAGACTATCGAACTCTAGCGTGAGGATCGGAATATATGGACCTTGGGGATACCTCCAGGCCTGTACATTTTCCTAATTTATAGGCATGCTTTTTCGTATCGGTCTCTTGCTCAAATGGGGCGCCTCCACAGATATAACCGTAGATGAACATGGTTCGCTTCTTTCTTCCCGGTGAAAATTTCTCGGAGATGTGTTTTAACCCCGTTTTCTTATATCCCACTTTTGCGCAACTTCGGGTTTGAAAAATGATTATGTTGAGCATAGGAGAGAATTTTGACTCATGTGAAGTACAAACCTCGCTAATCCGCTCTTTCTTGTTCTTCATTGATAATATTCTGGGGCCACCAAAGCCACTCTCGATATTTTGGATCCAACACAGAGTAAAGCTGTGTCATGAGGCGCGAGCTGAGGCCCTCCATCCACCACATCCACTCGATCTGACGAACTGACGCACACCAGTGCGCGAAGATAATTAGCGCAATCGGCGCTTCCTGTCTCAGAAGATTAAGATAATCATCAGAAACATCAAGAAGCCACCGGAAGACATCCGCAGTCTCGAGCCTCCGCATCCCTCCAGGCTTTATAGTTAGCCCCAATGTCCGCGCCAATTCATCCAACGCCGCTTGGTAGACATGCCGGAGCGCCGGCTCAGTCGAGCACTCCTTCTGCATCATCTTCTGTAATTCCCAAACATACGGCTTGCCCTGCTCAAGCGCCTGTGGCGAGCGGTGAGCCGCCGCTAAAAAGGTCCCGTTCGTGAAAATCGGCGCCAGCCTCCCGTTGACCAGATCCTCTCCGCCGCTATGGATGACGGTTTTTGTTCCCCGGAAGAAACGCGCCCAGTCGGATAAATCGCCTCGCTCAAAGAGGACCAAGAAGTGGCCTTCTTCGGAGGGTTTCGCGCAGGAAAACATACACGTCAGAGAAGAGAACATGAATAGTGCGGCGCCATTATCTCGCGCGAGTGGCGAGACTAGTGGGATCATCTCCCGCACTGCGGTGCTGTGGTGCATCTGTGCTTGTGCCAGGCAGCTTGCGCGCCGGGATTCATCGGAGCGCGCTAAATGCAGGGCAGAAAGCGCTAGCAGGCTATGTAAGACTGGTGGCGTTGAAAATCCAATACAAGGCGCTTCATCGCGCCAGACAGTTTGCACTACTGGGCTTCGGGATAGTGTGTAGCATGTTGATGTTGTGTAGTGGTGGAGAAGCTCCAGGTCAAAAACTGCTAATGTTGTCGGGAAGGGTGCCAATGAAGGCAAACTTGGCAAGGTTTGATGTTGAACTGAGATTGTTGGAGCAGTGATTCCTGATCCTGCGCTTTCTCGGCCAGATAGTGACACAGGTGACTCCGCAAAGTCTGGCTGGGGCGTGGAGAGCACGGTTGAGGGGCCTGCAAACGAACACACTACCCCATGCCTTTCACAATTGCGACAGTGTGGCTGGTTTTCATCACACTGTTACGAAACTATAAGCTCGCATTCACAGTATGTATCTAATCTGTTTTACCTTGACTTTTCGTCTTTTGCATTGCAGACACCCTGCGCGTGACTTCCGATGCGAGCGGCGGCCTGGAGGAAATGTCGCCATTTCAATCGCTCTTATAATTTAAGGTGGACCCCAAGAGGCATTCAACATCAAATATCCCATTGACAGGAAATAAGAGGAAATCTAGAAACGTATTCGGATGCTGAACAACTGACCTCGGGTCCTAAGGGGTTTGGGGCTAGCCGCATTAGGTTAGCTGTATCATAATGCTTTATTGCTATAGTTCACCTAGGCAGACATGAAAAGACTTGAAAGATTGCTAGATTTGACAATTTGGTGTTACTGGCGGGATACATCATCTTCTATATACTGTTTCTATTTTATGGGTGCATTGAACTTTTATATGAATGAGTGAGTTAGGATCATCTTCGGGCTGTGGATTAACATTCTTTGAGGCATACAGCATGCCCACAATTCTGACACAGGAAGAACGGATTGCAACAATTCAAAAATGGTTTAATATTCTATCAAATGGAGCATCTGGTTTATATGAAAGAGCTTTGGCACTCTTAATTCACCAGGAAATACTGGAGGCAAGTTTAAAACCATCTAAATCCCTATCCTATAATCACTATTCTCTCTCTGATGACAGCTCATAATCAGATAAGCCAGTCGTACAGCATTCTCCTCTACTATTCTGCAGATAGTGTTCAAATCAATTTAACAAAATATATAGGTCGACTTTCCAAGGTTTTGTATTCAGTTGGCCATGTTATCCAGCCCTTGCACGAAACGTTCTCACTACACAATGGAGTGTCTTTAGAATGCACCGCACCTTGCGTGAGGTAACTTTAGATAAATTCGGGCGTCCAACTTGATAAGGCAAACCACCATCCACCGTATGAAGCTCACCCATGGCTCCACTTGACCTGCATGTATGACATCGGACATGATGCACGGTATCCCACCTTGAACTCTCCAAAGCTGACCGCTCTTCTTCCATCAGCCCTCTTTAAGAGAGGGGATGAACGACGAATTTAATTCCAAATTAGAACTTCAAGCGAGAAATATACTGATATCTGATAAATTCTTATTACGGTAAGCGCCTGGCGCCTTTCTATGCTTTTTTGAATATTCCGATATGACTGAATTTGCTGATCAATTCACAATAAAGATGCCTCAAGGAACTGGCACCCTCACAAGTGACAAAGGACGAGTCCTTGGTCAATTTGAAATCGAAGGAGCTCAGTACATCTTCGTGGGAAACATGGCCGGCTTCAGGCAATCTTTCTCAATACCCAACGCCGATGTGACCTACGAATCGGCTACACAGCTACTCAAAGACCAACAAGAATTCGAAGAACTACCTCTTCAAACCGATCAGATAGAGCTTAGACTAAAAAATGGGGTTGCAATCACTGGTGGTTTTGATATGCCCTTCAGCGACAAGGAGGTGAAGGAAGGGGCCGTTGTTGGAGGTGACGGGAAATGGTTGAAGCTATAATTGACTGCTGCCTGATATTTTGATTGGCTCTGGGCCACACTTTGCATGAAACCCGAGTTTCCATAACGAAACTGAATCTTCCAGAACCGCGATGAATATTGGTTGGAAGGCGTCAATTTCGCAAGGCTGAGCGCCACCAGCAACCAGATATTTTCCAAGAAATCCTTAGTCTGATCATATTCTATACACAATAGATTCCAAATATAAAGACCGCATTATGGATTCCGAAGATGAAGATCGTGAGTGTTTCACCTAAGACGCATTCCGAGTCAACGTATCTTAACTCTTGGTATGAATGCGCTAATTAAGACCAAAGAAGATCTTCCTCTCTACACCGTAATCGAGAATACACTCTACATTGCAGCCGAGGAGAAAGAGGATAAATGACACACCGCAACCAAGAAGAATTGGGAAGCCGAGCCCCTTGCGCAAAACGCACACGGGGCGCTAGAGCGTTCTAATGCCAGTAAAACTGAGGCGATCAAGATTATGGTACTAGCGGCAGAGAAGCACTAATCAAGTTGCTCGCGCCCCTTGACTCGCCCCAGATCTTTACAGTCTGCGATGCCTACTTCGAAAAGTACAAAATGGACCTGGTCGAGCACGTGAAGTGCGTATCTCAGCTTTGAATAGCCCAGCGGGTGGGCTATAAACGCGTGAACCTTCGAGAACTGGACGAGTCAGCACAATTCAACCGAATAACTCAATCTGTTAGCACACCGTAGTGCTGAAGATGTATACATGTAGATAGCTCACAGTCGATTACATTTCAAAGATATCCAAAGGACGTGAATGTATATGCAATGCGCTCAAATTCATTAATTAAATCCGATCGTCATAATCATCATTATCATGCGATGGCAGCAAAACACAGGGTTCAGTCTGCGATGCCCATACGTATCATTCAAAAACAAACACCAAAAGAATATCTACTTAAAAACCTCCCTTACAATCTTAACACGCGAACCGGGAAACAGCCCAGTCCTACCGGCATAGCAGCCCCAAAACCAATCGTCATTGATATTTTCCGCTTCGGTGATATCCGCGCCACGAGGGAAGACCAGCTCGTCCTCGACCTCTTCCTCCGGGTACCAGGACCAAATGGCGTGGACGATGATACCGACGCCGCCATCAGGTGGAAAGCGGCGGAATGGGGGGATGCCCTGGGCCGGGTTTGCAGAGGGAGTACCGGGTGTGTGGGAAACATCAGAAGCAGAGACGGAACCTCCGCTGGCTATGTTAGCCATAAGGCTGGTGCGGAGGCGGGATGCTTTCTTCCGGCGCTCGGGGCCTTCCTTCCAGCTCCAGTCGCCGGTGCCTTGTTCTGGGGACGCGACCGGTCCGCCGTTTGCTGGGGATATATTTAGTGGTTGGGACTGCGTAACATGCTCGTCTTTCAGAGCTCGGCCGCCGACAAGATCGCGGACGATGACCCGGCGCTGTCCTTCTTGGTGGTCTTCGAAGCCGACTGTTATCATTCGGTGGTTGGCTAGGCAGCGGCGCCAGCCATGGTAGCCATTTTCTTTGCTAATTTTGCCCGTTGCGACAAGTTTAAAGTAGCAGTTGTTGCAGACATCGTAGTCTCCGCCATTGCATTCTAGGCAGTGGTAGCGGGTGTTGGAGGCTGGGATCGGGTAGGTGCAGATGTCGCAATTCGTCGAGAATGATAGGATCTTGAAGGTTTCAATCTCGGTTGGCACGGGAAGGATAGCGAGAGCTTCGGGTGGTGTTGGTGTGGTAGATGAAGGTACTGAAGGTGGGCTGTGCGTTATACGGCGAATGGGCAATAGAGCGTGAGTACAACATCGTCCTCGGTTGACACAGGAATTGCAGAAGCCCCAGTCTCCTTCATTACACTTGCTACATTTCCAGAAGCAATCGTTCGCCGGCGATTGGCACGTGTCACAGAAGAGACCGCTTTGTAGGCGGCGGGCCGGGTTGTCACCAGTCCTTTGTCGTTCCCCGTTCATCGCGATATGGGTGGTGTCTGGCGGACGCTGGTATTTAAACCAGTCTAAGACATGACCTGACTCATTGATTTGTGTAGGGCGGCGAGTAGAGGACGCAATAATTCGTTGGAAGCTGATGTCGGCAGATGCGCCAAATCCACTCCATCGAAGGCAACCACGGCCCAGACGATAGCATCGTAGGCACAAATGGAAATTCCCATCCTTGCATACTGTGCACCTTTTGTGTAGATCATATTGGATGTCGGTCTTTCCACAACGGTCACAGGGTATGGATGGTTCGACATATTTTGAAGTAGAAGACGCAGAGACATTAGATCGAGATGAGGGCGGTCTCGTTCTCCTATCTGACCTGGTTGGAACGAGTGGTGATGCCATTGACGGAACGTTGTGATCAGTCGAATGAGGCGACGAAATCGAGGGCGCATTGGCAGTGGCTGGGAGACTGGTAACCGACTGGTGCGTTGCCTGTCTGACGGAGCTTCTTTCTCGTCCCCCCGCAATCCAGGCACCAGGGATATTCTGCTCTGACTCGGTAGCACGTCGGGGTCTCGCCGATGAGGATTCTGATCGCAACCGCCCAGTCTGAGACATGTGAGTGCGATCCGCTGTCATATCACTTGCGGACCGGAGAGCAGGGCGTATGGCGTCGTCTGACACAGAAGCCTGATTTGTTCGCACGGGGGAGGTACGTCGGTGCCGTCCGCCTTGTTCTGAGTTTCGTCTTTGGTGGCTTGAGATACTTGGTCGCGTCGGTGCCGTGTTCAATAAATGCGGTCTGGAAACTGGCGGCCGTCTATCACCTTGTTCTCGTGTGGCCAATGTAGACTCGTTAGTCCTCTGGGTGGGCTCTGATCTTGTATTTGTATGTGTTCGTGCAGTCACATCTGACTCCTGCCTCGGGTCTTGAGTTTGTCTCTGTCCAGATCGCGATTGTCGCATGTGCCTCCGACGATACGCCTCGGCAATACGCTCACTGAGCTCCTCCTCTTGCCTTGGCCCCAGATTATCTAGGTTGATATCGTCCAGCAATCCATCCTCGAGGATCTGGCGCAGAATCTCTTCCTCCATTGTCTCCGTGTCTGATGACAAACTGAGCAATGATCGCAAGCTAGACTGGTGCTCGATCCGACGTGACCGCTCTGAATCGTCAGGCCGCAACGTGCGCTCTTCCCTCCGACGCCTTGACCGACCTTCCTCCGTATGTCTATCAGCATGACTGCCCTCACGATTCCGGGAAGAATGTGCCGTCCGCCGAGTCTCCCGCCTGGCTTGCGCCCGACTCTCTCGGAGGCTCAGCTCGCGCACCTCCTCCAATAACCGTGCATCGTCCTCGTCTTCATCCTCTGCGCTCTCCCCGCCCGAAGGCAGCGTCGGAAATACAGACTCTCCATGTGTGTAGCGCTGTGCGATTTCCACTTTCTCGTCGGTGCTCCTGGCACGATCCGGGTGTGCACCTAGCACCATATCCAGCAGGGTGGTCACGGTGGCATTTGGGCGGGTATCGCGCACCTGAGCGCGACAAGACGGGCAGGTGAATCGGGGTGAGCTAGTTCGACGTGATCCCTGTGCGGAGAACCACTCTTTCACGCAGGATCCGCAGAAGGTGTGGAGGCAATCGAGGAGGGTGAGGGGTTGGTAGAGAAGCTCGGTACAGATCTGTGCGATTAGCGATTAATGGAATGTAAGGGATGAGAATTTGACAGGTACATACTGAGCATACCAGCTCCTTTTCAAGGTCCGCGAACCCGGGACCTTGAACTTGAGACATGAGATGTGGTTTGTAAACAAGAGAACACACGGATAGTGGGAGAAGTTGGGCTCCACCTGGTGATCTCCCGCTTACAACTTCAGCTTCACTTTTGTTTTGTTGTTTTCTCTCCTTTGAACCTGGACTGTTAGATGAGGTTCTTTTTTTCCTCTTTCTTCTTTCTTTTCTCCTGTACCACTGTCAGTTACGATCCAAGTGGTTCTTGAAACACATCGAAAATCTTTTTAAATGGAACCCATCTCGCAAATAGTATCAAGTTGATGGAGTTGACGATCCCTAAAATAAATTGCACAAAGGATGTTCCAAGACGTGGAGGTCAAGGTGAGCCTCAGGCGATGAGCTTAGCTGAGACCCAATGTTGTAGGGCAGACAGAATACAGCCGCAGTCGTTGAGACACCATTACCATGCAACTCAAATGCAACTTGAACAACTTCCTTTGATTCGCACTGGGATTTTTGGCTATTTGAAGTCTAGAAAAACCCCATACAGTGGATAATATCAGCAAAACATATCCAAAAGATATTCCTTGGGAATGTTGTATCTCAATGAATAAATTTCACCGAGCATCACCAACTACATGTCTTTTGAATGGAAGTACTCTGCCTGTCGTCACTCTGTGTCTGCCGAGGCTCAAGGTAATATCTATCGCTCATCTCAGATGTGACCTAGATCAAGGTCCTAACATAAAGGTGTATGTTGAACCAACTGCAGGACCGGTGACCATATAGGGAATCGTCAAACAGCGTGTTCTATCTGTTTTCTTCTCGCCCTCAATCCAACCTCACCGGCCAGAAAGGAAATCAACCAGAAAATTCAGACACATATCACCTGATATCCTCCTCTCAAAAAACACAATGCACATTTCAAACTCGACTATAGGGATCTCTCCGATTCTTCTCCATTTCACCGACGAAAGGACATAGTATTCGCCGATTACGGCGGTGGCGGCAAAGATGCAGGACACGTCCCTCAACGCCATGGAAACACAAGAAGCACCATCTATTGGCAGATAGAGAGGTACCGCCTAGTGACAACGCGATACAACGTCCGAGCGGCAGTCCCTGGGCAGACCAGACCGGCCGAGGCGCAAGAGTTTCAGTTGTGTTTGAGTAGCGCCCTTGGGTCGCCACTTAAGGTGGAGGGAACTCAAACCTAGCAACGAAAGAGTGAAGCAACGAAAAAAAAAGACTTTCTGGACCTCGCCTCCTTTGTGGCGGGGATTGTATTTCATTATCCCAGGATAGTCTGGACACGGTAGCGGTGAGGGGGTGGCTGCCAGAATGCGAAGAATTGACTTTTCCATGGCCTTTTCACTTGAGATCTGAGCACAACGTCGTGAAGCCGGAACTTCGGAACTGGATACTTGCCGTTGAAGGTGTCATGTGAGTGTGAACTTTGTGTTCCTATGTGTTTGTGTCCGGTGTCTTGTGTTTCTATGTGCTTACGACATCGCGTGGAAGATAGGCGCTGACGCTGTCTTCCTCACGGATCTTCCGGCGCGAGATGCGTGTTGTGATCATCTGCGTGAGAATGTGAATCGAAGTGTGGGGAATGCCTATGGGATGTAATCCCAGCTTCTAGGGCCCGGTTACTGGCTCCCGCTGTGGCTTGGGATATGAGAGGGGAAACCATAGCTTGGAAAAAGAGGTGAAGTAGTACATGGGTATAATCGGTGATTGCTATCAAATTCAGGAGTGGGCTTGCTTTGTTGTCAATTTCCATCTCGTGAGCCATGTCAGTCAGGTGTGTACAGCTGCCTGGAGGACCTAGGTATAGAACATAAACTACCCCGAGGTTAGGACCAGGTGTAAGCTGATACTTGTCGCTCGGACAGGATGAGGTGGCAGATGCACCCCGCAATTGAAACAAGAACAAAGTACTCGCATATTCAATTTTCAATTTAACAGTATGAAGTTCGAGAGCTTTTATGTGTGTTCAGATAGCAATAGCCTGCGATCAGCGAACGAGGTTTCTAACTATCTATGTACACTGCACAAGGACCAACAGCAAACAGTAAATGATCAACCTAGCATTGATCACCGTTACTCAGACCCCTAATCCGAAAGTTCGCACCTCCAGACGCTCTATAACCCCACAGATAAGGTACTGATCATCATCCCCTCATTAATTCCGCCGGGGTCCATTCACGGGTAGGAGATCACCCCAGGCTGGGAATTTCGTTTTCTTTGGCTGTACCCCGCGTCCTTATCTTAGTTCTCATGTTTGATATTAACATATCAATCGCCGACGGAGAATGACTCCCGACCTTACAGGGGTAGACTTTCTTTGGAACTTTCCTTTTCTTATTATCTGAAGGCGCCAATTTGTTTATAGGCCAACTATAGCGCTGACATGGAAAGCGCCTCTCCCGGCAGGTGGGCAATGATAACGGGAGCTACTGGACCAATCCCACTAGCTTAGGCTTTTTATGGCGGTTCTAGATAGACAAGTCTGTGCGATTAATTCTATTTGTGGCTTGGCTGTTAGGTAATCTACGGTACTTGCTACAGTTGCTGTCGTTTTTAGTAGTCATAGCCCTCAATTGTTGATAGACCAAAGTAATATAGTAATATAGTAATATTGGGCAAGTAGTAGGAGTTGCGCGATTAGAATAACTTAGCCGAGAGCTACATAGAAAGTCTCGCGAGGACCTTCGTAATTCAAAGGAAAATCCTCAACAGTACCAAATTGAAATAAAATTTAAAAAACCCCGTACCTGCAAGCAATTATGGGGATAATCCCCGCGACCTCGGGGTACACCTGCAAGTTGCACATCATTTTTCCCCAAGATAAGCCCAACTATACAATATTCAACATAAAATCAAACATTGAAACATGAAACCCCTGAGATGAACCATTCAAAATGACGCCATGCACTGACCCCTTCGGCCATGCATAGCAATTGTCAGTTCGCCGCACTAATGCAGCGCCTTATGCACGACCTTGCAGGCCAATCAAGCTATCAGGCCCCACTGTCATGGCGCCGTCGAGTCGTAGCTCCGGGATCGAGCGCACTGACTACCGCGCCTCAGTTCTGGCCGGTCCAATTTGGTGGGGCTTATTTGGTGCTGAGCCTGTCTCGCATGCTATGCATAAGCGTGGGGCAACTGAAGTACAACGTATACTTCTTTCAAATTAGATTATTAGTTGCCGCTGTTATAGGTGACCTTGGAAGTATTCATGTATATTCTTTCGATATTACTTTCATATGCAGGTTAACGTCGAGGCCCGTGCTGTCTCGAGACTTGACAGCATGTATACGTCCGAGCTATGTATATACAACCGACCAAAGCGGTTGTCCCTGATCGGCCTGCGGAGTACAATATTGTAGTTTTGCCAGCGGTTGGCCCACGCCAAGACATACAAGGTGGTGCCACTTCCTCAACATTTCTTTTTCTGATATACAACGTTCGGAGTACAGATGCCCCTTGAGAACCTGCAACGCATTCTGCAGGGATGCTGAAAGGTCAGGTGCTCGGTGCAGCGCAGTGCAGAAGAGACGCGCCCAGGATTTGCGTGACGTGCGACATTGCATAGTCAGCACATATGCGCTTCTTGCGTGCGATTTCTTATTCTTGGGCTATCAGCAAGTTCTGGCCAATCGTATTGCCCTTCCATATCTCGTCTCATGTTTGTGAACTATCTAAGGATTGAAATGGATTAAAATGGTCGATGCTGTGCAACACATGATGGTGTATTAGCTGATCAGAAGGTTGTATGTTGCAACTCTCAATCAGGAGGTTGGTCGCACGATATTCGCTATACGTTTCAATTCGACTTGTTGTGCCTGGGCTGTGTATATTGTTGCTCAGTACATATGTACAATCGCAGAACGAGCCACAATCTCCAATTGGTAGATCCCCCAGCTTTTTAATATCGCTGACAGTCCAATGCAATCCTGGGGTATAGCGAATCACTCGCGGGGTAAGAACAGGGACCAGAAAGCAGTTGGCATTCAGCATCTCCCCAGATCCGCGGGGTCCGGATCATCTCCGAGTTCGAGAGGCATGCATGGACGCAAGAGCTGACGCCTACGGTACCCACGCGGGGTAGCTAGAGCTCTTTAGGCAACGCGCTGCCCGTCTCTCATGTCGCTCAGTTCGTCTCATCACTGCATACCATCTCTACTTCGTTTCCTTTAGTTTAATTTGCTCTTGGCGTAGCAGTGTTGGGATGTACCAGCCGCTGCCCAAAGCGGGTTACGCGTTTTGTGGGGGGGGGGAGGACCAGGGTGAAGCTGGAGAAGCTTATTGTTAGCATTGTCGGGTGTAATTGAGCGAGATGATACTCGGAGACCTTAAGCAAAGGGAGCCCGCTCGACCCGGTCTGAGTTCAGCCACGGTAACGCCCTCGGGGTGAGTTGCAGTTTTGAACTGTCGCCGACAAGTCAGGAAGAAATTAAAGGAGCACACCACTCCGCTTTAATGGGATTGTTGTTCGTCTGGGAAAAATTGAGCTGTGCGACACTATTGCACACATTGAATTGCGATTGGGCGATCACACAAACACCATACAATTGACGAACAAGGGGGGGGGGCTCCAAATCTGTCAGAAAGTAAGATCCTAAGGCTGAACTCTGCGATCTCAAGGTTCACATCTGAACAGAGTATACTTCTGATAGGTCCTGGTCTGACCGCTTCGGCGCTTCGACCCATCCCATGATACTTCGTAGTCATTCTAGCTTTATACTTTCGGCAAGGGTTTGTTTTGGTATGGACCAATACCCTGATCCGGCTTTACCATTGACCAAGCCAACGAGGGGTTCTCGACCAGGAATGTTTCCATAGAGAAGAAAAGCAAAAAAAGTAAAAATAATGGCACGAGAAGTGCACGGAAGTTTCCCAGGCTCTCGGGAAGAAGAAGGGGGATAGCCAAACCAGCGTTATCGCCCTGCAGCCCGGAATGTTGCTGCGACCTTGCCGCTCACCGAGAGGTTCATATTGGCAATGAGGATCCCGCCAGGAGTAGTGTATCGGGTTGGCCCGTACGGAGTAGACTAGAAAATATGGATCAATTGACCATACCTAAGAAGATTGCGGGACAACCCCATGGGTATCCCAAATTTGGTGTTTTGCAAAACAAAAAAACAGGAGGGGGTAATAATCTGGAGATCAAAAACCTTGCAGATCAAAAGGATTTGAGACTGTCAGATGAACGGCTTGCAACAAAGTCGAGACTCTATCCGACTCAGATAGTCTCCACACACCCCCCAAGCGCCTCAGTGGCTTTTGCGCTTCGCTAGGCATTTCCGAGGAGACCAATATTGAACAAGGATTATTAGTCAATCGCAGCCGTCAACGCCATGAACAGCCACATGTTTTGTTGGGATATACCAATATTCAAAAGAATACTTCGTGCTTCGTAGAGTGGCAAAGAAAAGGAAAACTCTGCTGCCGCTAATACAAAGGGGTTGGTGGTCCGGGCGTTGGCGTTTAATAAAAAAAACGGTCCCTCGTATATTTTGAACCTCATAAGATTTTTTTAGAAACAAAAAAGGTGTTATCACCCTAATCACCCTAGTACTTTGTAATAAACCCAATATAATATATCCATACCTTGTCAAGCTCCCCATTGGTGAGACACTGGAAATGAGACTTACTTGGGCTGACAGAATCGTGAAACGCGGCGGAGAACTAACTGGTTCAGATATCGGTTGCCCAGGAGCACAGTTAACTACAGATGTACGGAATATACAACTATACTTGGTTCTTGTAGCAATGCCCCCTGCCACTACGTCGGAGAGTTTCACAACAAATAGACTGCAATATGATGGTCTGCCCCCGAGCTCAGCCCACCTTGATTTTTTTTCCCCCAACAAAAAGATATCTACGTAGACGCCTACGTCTTATGCCAAAGTCAACAGGTTTGGAAATAGTCAATTGAAAAAGAGAACATTTATGCACATTCCATCATATGTACCCTCTTCCAAGATTTGTGGGAAAAGGAACTTACGATCGACATCGTCTACGATATCTTGTACTCAATTCCAAGGCAGAAAAAATAAATTTATTATATGCTGCACGAGCGACCGGGGGTCCAGACCACTCGCCAAGTGGGAAAAAACCAAGGAAGTTGACTGTCAAATGCACAGTGACATCATGGACTTATCTCAGGCGTGGAATTACCACGGCTCTATAGATATGGACGAGAAGTCGTGATTTTCGCTCTGCATTTGGTGATATGACTGACATTCGCAAGAAATTGACTCTATAGCTCAAGCATACGTGATTCATTCGTGATTTGCTTCAATTCTAATCTGATAGAGGAATACTTCGATCAAATTCATTTATCTTAAATACCACGAACCCCATCTCCATTCTTTTTTTCTCCAGGTCCGGCATTTGCGGCACAGTCGGTGGAGCCCTGGAGTGCATACTACTCCTCGTAGATCCACCAAACTCCGGACTACAGCGATGGACTTTGAAATTATCAAATGTACAACTTTCTATCGAAATGCACTATGCACGTCACAGTAAAATTCTATACATAAACCAACGAAGACCAAATGATCCATATAGCTAGAAACATACATACTTTACACACATAGCATGTATGTAATTATGTACAGATAAGGTCTCAGCACTTGGCGTGGACCCAAGGATTCGATCGCAAACTCTCGATAACGGCGTAGTAATATATTAAGATAATGAACTCAATCAGTTTGTGTTGCATTTCTACAATATTTTATGGGGAAGATTTTTTTATCTTCATTTTCATTAGGTAGGACAAGTAATTAATACTAGTTATAGGATGAATCTAGCATCTAATTAAACAATTCGAGCCGCGAAGGGGTAAAACTATACCAAGGAGTGGATATCGTGCCTACAGCACTTGCATCGGATTTATCCCTAGTTATCTGTGCGTGCCAACTAAAACAGAATAGTTGGGAAAAAAATCATATCGAGGCTCACAAACTGGTTTTGGTTGGGACGATCCACTGACCTTGGCTACTCTTTTATAACTATTGTATGGTTACCACGGGGCTCCAGGTTTATTGATAAGAGAAAAGAGGAAGACAAAAGATTCTCCACACTAATTCATGACCTGGAGGAAAGTGTACAACTAAAGAGCAATTCGAATTGTAAATCTCATGTTCCAACATATGACGGGTGGTACATGTACGTCAGGCCAGAAACAAGGAATTTCAGGTTGAAGAAAAGTTATGGTCCATGGAGGTTTTAGCGCGTATGGACTGGAGGTCTGTAGTCCGCTAGTGTTGACACTAAAGGGGGTCCAGCCAGTGCAGTATAGTGAGCTTGAGTAGATCATCCAACGTACTCGTGCGTACGGACCACATGTCGGAGAATTCGGAAAGTGGTGTGGAAATAGGAAATGGTTGTAGGTTTTATAGAATTATAGAGTTACCCCTAGATTGAAAGCATTATAATCTACATCTGTAATGTAGCATATATAGTACCAAGGTACTCGTCTGAGTATAGATAGCTATATGCAGCCTCTAACGTGATTCGATTCTATATTCATATAGATCATTTTTATCAAGAAACGAACTAATAAAGTCATCGAAAAAAAGAAAAGATAGAAAAAAACGAGAAAAAGAAAAAGAAAAAAAAAAGAAAAGGCCAAAACCCCACTTAAACCTATACGGCGCGCATTGACCTTGATTGAAGCGGAGTCTATGCAAAGCAGACGCACCGCAATTTATATCGATTCTCTTTTTTTTTATATATTTTATATTATTATTACTTTTTCTTTTTCATAAAACTTATATTTTATATTTATCCTTCCGATCTGAGGGTTGGAATTTTTACTATAATACCAGAATTATCTCTCATCTTGACATTTCTTCTCTTGTCCTCACGGCTTTTGCCTTATCTTCAACGGTCATAGCGGAAATGGCTTTTTGATTCGCCCCCCCACACTATATCAACGACTTATCTACACGGGGGTTTTGATTCTTAATCACCTCCCTTTCCACGGCTGTGCCGGGTTGAATATTCAGTTCTTCCCTATTGTACATTCTGAACCGTTTTTTTCTTTTTCTTTTTTACTTGTACTTTTTTTATTATTAAACTTTTCTTGTTCTTATTGCGAGATCTCGCCACTCGAATGTTCATCCTTCAAGGTAAATTGATAAGACTCATCCACCCCCCTCTCAATGGATCTTTCCTCCAATTCACGACTATTCACTTCGGGACCAAGTCACTTCTCTGGTGTCACTCAACTCTTGTGATACCTTGGAAGTTTTGACATTCCACTGGTCCGCACTTTCCTTGTCACTCATATGCCATTCCCCGATCCCTTCTGGTCGTGAATTCGATTTCGATGCCTCTCTCTGTCCGTTGCCTCTTGCCACCCCTTGTCATGAGCTTGCCACATCCTCTTGCAATTTAAGCCTATACTAACAATAGCTTTTCCTTCAGCCACTTCATTGTGATTGAACCATTGGACCATTCTATACCCTTTCATCCCCAAACCTTCTTGTGTTGAGACACACAAGTCGGCCGGATGCCATACACTGCGCCGTTGAAGACGTTGCTCTCCGCACAACACATCGAATACACTGAATCGCCCACCGAAGAGACGTGTGAGCGACCCACTTTGGTCCGCTCCTCTTCGGAACGGCTTCAGAACTCCCGTTCATACTCCTCAACCTCTTACACCCGTCGTCATCGGAGGAGTCCTTCGATCAATAAACCGACAGTGCATTCTGCTCCAGAATCTCCGACCCGAGCATCCTCCTCTATCGATCCACATGCCAGCCTTCGACAGTCTCCACCTCCGGTGACCAACGCGATGATCCCTCCTGGGGCTGTAATCTCGCCACCCGAGTCTGCCCCGAACTCCAGCGATGAGGAATCACCATATCGGAATGGAGAGGGGTTCAAAATGGATGAGCTCGAGGCTGCTGTCAGATCAATCAAACTAAGAAGGGAGAGCTCACCAGAAAGAATGGACCCAGAGACCACGGAGACAAAGGCACAGAAACAGACTCAGGCCTCACCCAGTGTGTCATCAACGACCACTGCGGCCACTGAGGCTAAACCCACTCGACCTAAGCTTCCTCACTTGCCACTGTCCAAAGAAGCTCGAAGGATCGCTCATTCCCGATCATCCACTGAAACCGCCATTGATTTGACCCGGGAAGAGGCACTGACTAGCTCGCCCGATGACAGCGATGTCGACATGACCGTAAAGCCCCCAATGGTTCGCAAGAAGTCAGGTGAGCTTGTTCGACCTGCTCTCCGTCCTCCTTCAGCGCGACGACGACCATCAAGCATGCCCGGCACACCTGTCTATGCCAAGGCAGTACATTTTGACTCCCACTTGGAGCACATTCGACACTTCCTCCAGCTTGACCGCCCCTTGGCCGTGAGCGCAAATACTTCCCCGGTTGACAGCCACGACACTAAAGACGAGTTTCCTTTCGGCTCTGACTCGCAAGGCCCTTCATGGGAATGGGAGATCAAGCTCGCCAACTGGCCAAAGGACATTTCATCCCAAGCTAATCGCCCAGTTCGCCTCGAACGGTTGTTCTTGTCGGCTGATAAGAGTACCTTGATCGGCACGGTGGCCGTGGCCAACCTCGCTTTCCAAAAGTATGTGACTGCCCGGTTCACATTGGATTATTGGAGAACTACCTCCGAAGTCGGGGCGGCATACTGCCATGACGTTCGCCGTCAACAGGCCGCCGATGGGTTTGACCGCTTTTCGTTCGACTTCAAGCTGAATGATCAAGCAAATCTGGAGACCAAGACCATGTTCATGTGCATTCGCTACAACGTGGCTGGCCAGGAGTACTGGGACAACAACGACTCAGTGAATTATCAAGTCGATTTCCACAAAGTTCCCAAGACCCCCACCACCAAGTCTACCAGTGGTGGATCTCGCCCTACTCTCCCGCGAAGCCGGTCTTTTACCAGCACCCATACCATTCGCCCGCAATCGATGCCTCCAACATATGATTTTCCTGACCTTGCCGGGAAGCCATCGTTCGCGAACCCTTTCAACGGCTCCAACGGCGCGCCTTTGACTCGGACCCCCTCGGATGAAATCGATACGATCGCACCCCCCAAGCGCCGCGAGAACTCCAAGGCATTCGGTAACCGGTACGATTTCGGAGCGTCATTGTCTGCAGCCATGCGGTCAAAGGCACCTGTGGATCGGACCACCCTGGCTGCCCGTGCGAAATTTGGAGAGCCCGCGGAGCCGACTCCAAAGCCAACCAAGAAGACTGCTAGCTTTGATGGCCCTGGTCCTGCAGTGAGCGATAACTCCCGCGTTGGAGGTCGTGCGGAAGATCTGAAACCTTCCTCTTTGGTATCTAGCAAGCCACGTCTCGAGTCCACTGTGTACCAGGAGTTGGTCGATAAGTACTGCTTTGTAAGTTCACTTATCCACCATCCCCCCACATTACATTCACCTAACATTCGACAGTATGGATCGCCGCAAGGTTCGAACATAAAGGCACCACCAACTACCGCAACCACCCGGGAGGGTGAAGCCCCGAAGCACATCTCTGTACCAGCCTGTCCTTCTCCGCCCCTATCTCCCCGCTCCCCGGCTGTCCTCAAAGCCCCCACGGCCGAGGCACCTCGTTCCGTTAGCCCCCGCACCTCTCCGCGTCCTTCGCCTTCCCCTATGGGGTACCGCTATTCTTTTAACCGCGGTTTTATGAATGACCCTCACTCTTCAACCGTCATTAGAGGGTGAGTTAACATAGACTGTTCTATGAACGCCTTGAATCCCCGCTCTGATCGTTTCGGTCGGCCTTGAATGCACATCGTTGACGCCTTCCGTGAAGAGGACTCGGGATTCCTCGCGTTGAAGTGGACAGATCCTATGCCTCAATTTCGAATTTTGCACCCCCGTGTATCGGCGCTGTTTGAAGGATATGAATCTTTTGATTTCCTTTTTCCCACTTGAATCTCAACACCTCTACCCGCCAGTGGTTTTCAGTCTCGGCATTTGTGAGCGATTGTCTTTGCGATGCATAATAAACCGCGGGCCTTTGCAAACATCTGCTGTGACTTGATCCCATCTGCGTCGAGAGAAATTATCGACGCGACCGTCCCAATAACATTACCGGTCATCTTTAGGTTTTAACTTTTTTCTTTTGATTTTTCACGGGGTTCTTAACTGCGCATGATGACGAAACGATTTCTTTTCTTCGAGGCATTTTCACTTCTTTGCTGTTCTTCGGATTGGCCCTTCTTTTTCAACGCAAAAGTTTTTAGTTCGCCCGCCTCCACTCTCGACTTTCAATGCATCGCACTTACTTTATGGGTTGTCTATCGCATGGTGTTCTGGAGCTCTCTGGTTTATTTTTTTTGTTTCCTTTTTATTTCTTTCACGCTTTTTCAACTTCCACACAATGCTGGCTGCCTATATGGTAGGACGCGGACAAGGGATGCGAAGACGCGATTATGCGAAGATGCGAAGATTACTGATACATGACTGCCCTCGACATTGTGAACGTAGTTCGAAATGATACGAGACATGATAAACGCTGAACTACTGTTCTTTTCTTTTCCTTATAGACCTGTCTGTATTGTAGTTCTAGCAATATGTAAAGAGAAAGTAGATGTGACATAATTGACTCAACAAGCATGGCAATGGTTCCCATAAAAGCAAAACGAAGTTCCCATTCCTCCGAGATATACTTCCACATGCGGTTAGGTCAATTCTTATCTTATCGCCACGTGACCAGTATCAATTGTCGCTCAGCACTGAAAGTGCGGGCACAGCAATGCCTTTTTTTTAGTCTGGAAACTGACACTTTCATAACACCCTCTTGCTCCTTCCCGCAATCACCGCCATTGCAGAATTGTAATTCTCTCGCTTACATAAAAATTCCCCCAAATCACGCGTAGTCGTCCATTCCCTTATTTAAATCGCCTTCCCCCTCCCGCTTACTGTTTTTTCTCTTTTTCCCTCTGTTCCCAACCAAACGCGTCTTATTTCCATCAATTATCGACTACTTAAGCGTCGATTTTATCAATTTCGGTCTGAAATTTACATTTCTTCATCTTTGAAAATATGTCTGGACGTAAGTTTTACCTCGTTTCTCTTCTTTACCTACTGTGAACTGCCTATTTCCTTTGTTGTCGTTGTCGTGAGGTTCAAAACAGGCAACTGGCGATCCCCGGTTGGCACGTGATCCACACCTTAAGGCACCAACTGCATCTCACTTGGCCTAATCGGGAAAAGCTTCTCATCTCTATACATCTTAACACAACCTACCCTCACCACCCCTCCTAGTCCTAATAATCCTATGACCCTTACCCATACCCCTTCCATCACATCCACAATCTTCATGCAAAAAAAACTAATTAACCCCCACAGGCGGCAAAGGAGGCAAAGGTCTCGGCAAGGGCGGCGCCAAGCGCCACCGCAAGATCTTGCGCGACAACATCCAGGGAATTACCAAGCCCGCCATCCGTCGTCTTGCCCGCCGTGGTGGTGTCAAGCGTATCTCCGCTATGATCTACGAGGAGACCCGTGGTGTGCTCAAGTCCTTCCTTGAGTCTGTTATCCGCGACGCCGTCACCTACACCGAGCACGCCAAGCGCAAGACCGTCACTTCCCTCGATGTCGTCTATGCCCTCAAGCGCCAGGGCCGTACCCTCTACGGTTTCGGTGGTTAAATTGGGTCTCGTGTTGTTTCGAGCTCGATGCCACAAGGCTCTGCTTTAATGTGCCACGGTTGATGGTTTCTTTTTTGCGTTTGGGTTGGGGTTTCGGTTTCGGTGGTGCTTTTGCGCCGTGGTTTGGGATTGGACGGGTGTCCTTGTTAGTTAGGTTTTGATTGAAATTGTATTGGCCTATTGGGGTCCAATGGAACTTGGGTTCTCGATCTCACACTTCGTTGGTGCAGCTCGTGTAGTGTGTAGCTTGAACAATGCCACAAGAGAGGTTCATTTACAACATGATAGGTAGTCAATGGCCTCATTCGGGATCAGCCCTTGTATATAGTAGTTTAGGCTATCGATGGGCTATTACATTTCGAGAGGCACAAGCTCTAATAGCAACACTTCAATATCTACCTGAGCAGCCGAGTTGGTTGCTTCAGCATGGCGTTGCTGTTGCTCAGCCATTAACTGTGACCTCGTTGATACGGCTTCACTGGCGGCTGTAAGTCTATAAGCATCTCAGTCGAGCACTTGCTACCAAGGTTCTTTTCAACGACACTAGGCACTATCTGAGTTCTTCCATCTAGCCGCTAGGCGCGTAATGCATAAGAGAAAGAAGATCTTGCTGCGGATTCTTCTGATCAACGATGAAGCAGTAAGCGGTTATATAATACAGCACTACTCTTGATCACGTTACAGAAATGTGTCTAACCTTGGAAGGTCTGCAATTTCTAGATAAAGCTAACGTACTGTATCGTCTTTTTTATTTAGTAGCGAGAAAGATATCTCCTGGGTAAATACTACTAAAGGGTACCAGGGTAATCATATGATAGGATAGTCTTATAAGCACTGTTAAACCGGTTAAGAAATATGAGGATTCTCGTTCAGCAAAAATGCTGGTCGACGAACTTATATCCTGGGAAGGATTTTGGCCGATGGCCATCGGACGACGAGGTTACGAGGCTGGCGAGTCTCGTAGTCAACATTATCATCAGATATACTTGCTCTTTCACGTATGATATGATTTTTGTAGTTTTCAAATAGCGAAAATGGCATAGTAAGACGAGCATTACTAATAGAAACAAATACCCAGGAAGAAGCCACACCTTGAACTCTTCCTCCTGCTGTTCGGATGCTCGGGGATCCCTCTGGGCTAGAGATCAATTGTTCTAGATAATCTGTAATCTGTAATCAGTTGAAATTGGTTGTAGAAAGAAACGGAGGTGACAAGGGAAACGAGCGAGAACATACTCAAGAGATACCAAGGTACCTAGATACGCAAGGTGATGAAGTGGGAACAGAGTCAATAGTCGGCTATATATATCTGCTGGCAGAGGCCCTGAGTGTGAACCTGCCCAAATGCATTTCCTACCGAATCCTTATGACCAAAATCGACGAAAAAGACCAACTATAGCAATCAAGGACTGAATGATACGAGCCCGGGCCTCAAGGTGAATGAACCATTTTCGATGTAGATATACAAATATAGCCTTGGACCATCCGGATCCCCTAGGCTCCACATGAAGTTGAAGTACTAACTTTGAGAGGGCGATGAGGCGCGCTAGGATCAGGACTAATTCTAGACTATGACTGTGAGTCCATTCAATGACAAGCTGATGTGGACCACATGGGCATCATGCAATCAAAATACTGTACCCCGGAGATCATCTCACTTAGGCACCTTTCAAACTACAGAGCAATAGAGTGGGGACCGACATATATGCTTACAAGATTGACGTGTACGATCGATCACCTTTTTAGTTACTGGGGTCATTCGCAACAGAGGTGACGAAGATATACGGGTAGTCGACCGGAAGGGACTCGGGATGAAGGTCAAGAGGAAGGGCTTCACCAAAACATTTTGAACAGAGCTGTAAACAGTCACAGTGGAGAACCAATGTTCTTAAACCAAAGTGTTGGTGGATTAGCCCACAATACGCTGAGGAGAAATCTCCTAGAATCAAGGCCCAGGGCCCGTAGCGCAGATAATGGAAAGATAGATAGGAATTTTCGTTCTTCAGTATCTTAATGCGCCTATTTCAGTAGATGTGTGATCATAGACGTTGGGCCTCGCATTTTTCGCGTTTTTCAGAACTCCCGCGCTGTCACCACCATGGTAAACTGAACTTAAACCCCCCCAAAAACACACTTAAGCGGACTTGGCCTGGACAGCCTCACGACCCTTGGCGATCCGAGCAAGGATGTTCTCGCGGTCCTTGTCGAGGTGGAGCTTGGTGATGATGACGTTGGAGGCGGAGATGGGGATGGGGACGGACTGGCCGTTGGTCTTCTCGCGGGCGACACGCTCGATGTGGACGACGTACTTGAGACGGTAGACGGTGGTGATACGGCCGGTCTGTCCCTTGCTGGAGCCCCGAGCCACGATCACCTCATCGTCCTTGCGGAGAGGGATGGAGCGGACCTAATATGGACATGTTAGAATTCTGCATTTGGAATTTTTTGTCCTCCATTTCGTTCCAAATCTGGCGTCGTCGGCGTTGATTTGGGTTCCCAGTGTATTCCAATTTCGATGGTGGGCGCGAGCCCACTTCCAATGAATGAAAAAAAGTTCATGCCAAATTCATTTCGCCTTCGAGGGGTATCCAGATTGCTCAAGTGTTGTTCCAACGTACATTGTACTTCTCCTGAAGTTCCTTGCTCAGGTGAGCGCTCATGCGGACGCGGCGCTCGCTGGAGGGAGCGGAGAAGTGAGCCTTGCGCGACTTCCGGCGCGAAGAGGCGAGACCTGAAAAAGGACTATCAGCATACTGGGTCGAATTGGCGAAATATAGGTTTGTCGGCGAGGAAAAAATAACAAGGAGTCACGTACTCTGGTTCATGGCGGGCATATTGTCGGAGCCTCTTAAGGGGATCGTGAAAGAGCTCGGGGCGGTTGTCGTTGGAGTCGTCGAGATTTGAGAGCCAAAAGGTTTAATGGAAATTATTGTGCGCTGTGCGTCACATGACCACCCACTCGCTAGGGCTGCGCTTTAATTGGTTAATGCCCCACTCTTCCGCTCCGCTGAGTCATCCAGGACCAGCTCAATACCCATATTTATCCACTCTGCATCTCTTCTCTTCATATGGTTGTTTGGACGAGATGTCAATTGGAATCTTGCAATTGTCCTATTTCTTACAACTCATTTGTATTAAGTCTTCGAATTTCCATCTTGAATTTGATCTGTTCTATTTTATGAACACAATGCTCGTTCCAAATCGCCTGCAAACAACGATCCACATACTCCGTATGCGCCTACCGAACACCACCCCTATGGCCAAGAGGGATGACGCCTATACCTCAATGTCTAGCTTCTTATGCGATGTCGAATAGCTTGTTGAGACTGAACCCATGATTGAATGAATCACTATGAATCGTTAAGTGGCAATTCAATCTCCACAATCTATTCGACGTCCAAAAGCCATCCTGTCATGATCTGTAATAGAGATTCGGGGTTGATGGTTGTCTGTCACGCATATTGAGCAGCCCGGTTGCCTTGGAAATTACTCTTTTTTTGTTAGATCAATCCCGCGGGCCGAACTTTAGGATCAGCTTGCCACTTGGGGTGTACCACGCTGCCCTGACATTCACGTCGCGGACTGGTCACACCTTGACCTTTTTTGTACGAGATTGGGCTGGAATATCTGGTATACACAACTTACATTCAATTGCCGACCCTACTTTAACAGCGTACATCACGACTAATCTGCGCCAAGCATTAGAGGCTTGCCTTTGTATTGCAAGAATTCCGATGCAATTTCACGCTAGGCAAGGTCTTGGACTAAAACAAGCTAACCCTTCACTGTCAGTCAGCGCTCGCAAAACGCTTTATTGTGTGGTACCGGTTGCCCTAGACCGGTTCGCTCAAATTACCTTCCTTATAATATCATGCAATTAAAGAAGACGTGCCCAATCGGTCCATCGGTGGGAAAGCACCCGTTGAAATGCCATACATCGCACACGCACACCGAAATAACACACCAGCATAACACTTTCTTGAGACTTAGTGGCCTTCCTTCCAACATTTACATTCGATCATCTAGAACTCTAGCTAGGAAGGCGACCTTGAGATAAATCCAAATTACGTAATGAACGGTGTCCACGGGCCCCGAGAGAGGGCGGAGAATAGTCCGTCGACTACTCGAGACCTCCAGCATGGAACCCACCTATAAATTACTGGATTCTTCATTGAAACAGGAAATCATTCTACTTTCCAACTCCAAGACTACTTAATGTACTGAATATTCCATCATCTGTTACCAACCCATTGCATCAAAGTTAGTATTCTGGCGTTGCCAACTCCCATAATCGAAATACTGACGATGACTAGCCACTACTGCAAGGGTACCTAGCGGTGTCAGAAACATGGCCTCAGCATCATTGAAAAGCGCCGGAAAATATCTTTACCCCCGAGAGACATCTCGTCATGCCGCGACCATTCTCGGGTTTCCATCCAAGGTCTCCATCGCCCCGGCCTACTATGAAAGCGCATGTACCGATATCGCCAACCTGGCCGCCGCAATTTCGGCTCACGAGCCAGTGAGACTATACACGCGGCCCGAGGATGTGCTGAAAGCAAACTCAATGGTTGGTCAGGCAGTCACGAAGTATCCCGGGGACAGTTCAAATGTTTCTGTTATTCCATTCCTCACAAACCATCTTTGGGTCCGTGATACAGGCCCTGTCTATGTACACGGAGTTGATGAATACGCCCGAAAGCAGCGTTTTGCGATCAATTTCCGCTTCAGTGAATGGGGAAGAAAAGATGACATTGGTGACCACGATCGAGCCGCTGACGGTCTTGAATGGCCCGTTATGGAGAGTGAACAGCTTCAGGAAAACACAACATTTGCTCAACGAGTCATTGAATCCGATGTCTCTCCGTCTCCGGTGACTACAGTGGAATCAAAGCTTTGTTTGGAGGGGGGTGCATTAGTTGTGGATGGCGAAGGAACACTTCTGGCCACAGAGAGTAGCATCCTCAATGAAAACCGCAATCCAAATCTTTCTCGTGCTGAGATTGAGGATGAATTACGCCGAGTGCTAGGAGTTGAGAAAATCATCTGGTTCCCGGGCAAGAAAGATCTGGATGTGACTGATGTACATGCTGATGCGGAAGTGAACTTTATTCGACCCGGTGTTATTGTCCTCTCACGCCCCCATTCCAGCGCCCCTCAGGAATGGATTACGGTTTATAAGCAGATCAGGGAAATTCTAGAACAGTCAGTTGATGCGAAAGGTCGTCATTTCGAAATACACACCGTCAATGAACCGAATCCTCGATGTTTGGGAGAGTTATTCTATGAGGAACCAGCGACAAACTATGTCAACTTTTATTTCGTGAATGGAGGGCTCATTCTTCCCCAGTTTGGAGACAGCCAGAGAGATCAAGAAGCTTTGGATTTGTTTGAGAGGCTGTGTCCTGATCGTGTGGTTCGCCCGGTGCATGTTACTGGGCTTCCTCTGGCCGGAGGGGTGATTCACTGCGCAACCCAACCAATCCTTGCTACCGAAGTTTGAAATGGAGTAAATTTCATTATAAATAATTTCACATTATTTGGCTGGCTATGAAGTCTGAAGTCCCTTTTCAGGGCAGAAAGCGTAGATGTATCTGTACTTGAAGTTGTCATATAAATTAAAGAGATTTGAGTGATATCGGATCACTGATTGATGGGTTCAGCGAGAGAACTGGGGATGGTGTCCGATTGGTTCGACCGTATACCCCTCAATGCCTCCCATTCATGCTCCAGCATAGATAGATTGATAATGTCATGCCAGCCCCGAAAGTGTCGTACAGCCTCACGTTCCCGGCCTTCTTCCACAAACCCAAGCTTTCTATAAAGTTTTAGTGCGTTGTGGTTGAATGAAAATGCGCTGATGCACATCCTGTGGAATCCTGCATGCATAAATGCCCAGTCGAGAGCCCAGTTTACCGCCTCGCCGCCGTACCCTCGGCCCCGGTATCCTTCTGCGAAGGATAAACCCATCATTACATTTCTGTGATGACCAGTATCTTCTCCCTGTACACTGAAGATGCTCAAGTGGCCAATTGGGATTGATTCAGTGGTATGATTGGCTCGGATTGAGGATTTAGTCTCAGAGCCAGTCTTCGTATCCCCATTTTCAGAGGGATTCGGGGCAGGAAGACAGATCAATACTCCAAGGATGGCTTGTTGAAATCTCTTGATGAAGTCTTCAGCGGAAGCTTTATGCTGTGGACGCTTGAGGCGCATGGTGCTCATTGTCTGGATGGTGCTGTCGTTGAGGATGGAATATTGAATGAATTCCCTGTCCTCTGCGGAGTCCTCTGGAGCTCGATAGAGCAGGCGCTTGGACCTGTAAAGTTCCGCCGGTGCTTGAATTGATGCCATATTGAAATGTTGGGTTAAATCAGAAATATAAGATAGATGCATAAATCTACCCACATTTCGGATGATTGGCAGATTTATACCTGGCCCTGGAGCCCCGGAGGCTTGGAGACCAGGAGGTAGACAAAAGCTGAGTGACAAGAGAAGCATCCCGAGGTCCACGGGTGCTATATTGGTGGTAGCCAATCGGCATGAAATATTTAACGCCATTTCGTGCCCCAAAGAGGGGCCGATCAACACTAGTGATACCGGGGTCTCGATTAGGCATAAGGACACAGCCAGAATTGAATAATGTCACAGGAGGCATATTCCAAAAAGAGAATGAAGCTTGGAGTAAAGCCCTGCGAGAGATTGCGAATGCGATGGGTGGTCTAAAGTGGCGTGTTATATTCACGACAAATGCTGCCAGCATTTCCGCTACGTTCCTAGATTCATAAACACCCGATACCGAGGACCAAGTCTCAAACAATTGAAAGCTCAACCTACCTCGCTTCTTTTATCTCAATGGCCTTGCGCTATCTAGATGAGGATGTCTGTAGATATGAGAGGAATGAAGATGTACCGTATGCAAAGACACCAAATTAAGATATGTAGGGGATAAAAACATTAGTGACTAGATCACATATAGAGCTGTCGTGGTAGTTATTCGCCCTCCACAACAGAATGTCACAATATACACTAATTTTGCCAATGATTGCACTGAAAGGCAGATATAAACAAACCAGCTGAGGAATCACTCCCGATGCGGACCCCGATCCTTTTCCCAGAACCAATGATAAAAGCTTTTCCATTCGGCTGCCTCTTCTTCGACGTAGTCTCCAACCAGCTCAGCTGTTTCGTTGACATCGTCTGGAACCGAGGCCATGGGAACCTTTAGTCCAGAGGAAGCATCAATACCATGGTCTGCATTTCCAGCTGCATCAGCCGCACCAGCGGCAACAGCAGAGTTCGAGGTCATGTCAACAGTGACATTGCCGGAATTAGCGTTCAGCAATTCCTCAGCACCCTCTTTGGCTCTCTCTGCTAAGTCGCGTGCTCCTTCACGCGCCACCTCTGTATACTCCTCAGCCTGTTCGCGAGCACGCTCCATTAGTTCTTCTGGGGAGGGATAGCGGCGTGCAAGCATCAGAAGAAGATAGTAGCTCTTAATTATGGAGGAATAGACAGCGTCTTTGGCGAGCATAGTAAAGCCGTGCGAGAAGAAGCCCTTCAGGACTTCACCTTGTAGCCCTGCATAAAGCCCCGTGACCCCATCCGTGCGAGCCATTGTGATTACCGTGGAGATAATTTCAGGCGTGAGTGAGGATATGAGTGAAGTCGGCGTTGTTGTAGGTTCTGTAGACTTAGACTTGGAGTTGCTCATTACTTGCGCTCTGGTCTTGGCAAGGGAGAAGGGGTATGTAATCGATGAGGCAGCGACTTTGCTCAGGGCTGCAAGGAGAAATGTTAGGGCTGCCGGAGGTTTGTCGCGTTTTGACTGTGGAAGGAGAGTGCGCTTGAGAAACTCGTTAAGAAAGAATGTGAGTGATGGGTTGAGGGTGAGAATCAAAGTTGCTGAGTATCCCGACCAAAAACCCAAGAGACCTTTCTCAGCTCGAATGCGAGCCGCGATGTCGCTCGTTGATAGATTCTTTGCATTTCCATCTTTTCGTGCTGCAGAGGTCTGCTTGCGCGCCACAATGTTCGACAGGGGTGTGGTAAACAGCTTTGCCAACGAACCCGCGAGTATACCAACAGCTAGCTCATCAAATACCGGAAGAACAACGTTTTTGCTCCTGGCCGCTCGTTCCGCGCCAACTCGTGCGACTATCCTCTTTTGACGAATAGCGCTGTATGCAAGAAAGAAAAGGAAGGAGTCTGCAATTGTCTTCCAAGTGTCCTGCGCCAGACCAGGATACAAGCCCGCAATTCCTTGTTGTGCAATTATCTTGCGAGCAGCATCAATCACGCTGGTATACCCCTCATCGTCTTCGTCGATATCCGACTTCTCATTCGAGTCGCTGTCCTTTTGTTTCTGGGTCTGTAGACGTGCTACTATAACATTGAGAGGATAGACAACGACATTCGATATAGCTGCACCAACAGCACCGGCAGTTGCATTTCCCAGAGCGGGGAGGGCTGGGCCACGGAGGGCTGCTGACTTCCAGTCGCGCGGGTCATGGGCTTCGTAGCGATATGAGGGGTGGTAGACGTCCTTTTGCCATGGTTGTTAATTTAGTCGGACGGCACAGACAATTCAGGGGTATGTTAAGACGAGAAAACGAGCTGAGGATTATCACATACCAGTTGAGATTCATACGACAGCTTATATTCAGCCATGGCTGGTTGGACTAATGTAAGCCCTAAGGTATCGTGCTTGAAACCCAGTCGAGACTTGTTGCTGTCCTGGCTGCTATCAATCTTTGAATTTTGCACCAAATGGCTAATTGAATGAGATAATTTTTGAGAGAAACTAAGAGCAGAAATGTATCCAAAGGTAAGAAAGTAACAAGGTCATGAATGTGATTGCCGAGGATGTGGAGGGATTACATCATGCCGATCATGTGCGATAACGGTATCATGCAACGTCCACTTCGGTCCTGAGGTGCTCTCGATGGATTTATCGATGGTAGGATATCATTATCTGGTTCGTAGCGTGGTTCTCCACTGTATTCATGTGAACTTGGTGGCCGATCTTCGGTATATCTTTCTTCTGAGTGTTCTTTACCAGTGTATATATAGCTCATCAGCGTTTTTACCTGTATCTTCAACCGGGATCTATGGCCGTTGGCGAACACTGTGTTGGCAGCTTTAGTCTTTTTTTCTTCTTTCTTTACCTTCTTCTTCTTGTGCGATGGAGGAAATGGCTCGTGCAGGGGCTTTCGCTATTTTCTTTCCTCGTGGTCAAAAGGCTCTTTTCTATTTCTACCGGCCATAGACACCTGAGGCCTCGAATTTCGCGATGTTCTACAAAGTTGATTTGAACTTGTACACCCATTTCTCAGGCGAAAATTTACTGTCACGAGGAGTACTCTCACAAAATCATCTGTGTATTCGAAAACACGATCCATGTAATTACGGTGTTTGAAATAGACAGGAACTGCATAAAATTCCTCTATATCCTTCTAATCAAATGTGGAGGAACTTTTCAAGCCCCGTTCATCACTGGCTCTTTTGCTCAACTTGGGTCTCGGCTGCAACAAATGCACCACGCAGTTCTTTTGCCGCCTCCCATAGCACCCACAATGGAAGGAAGACCCAGAGTGTGTTGAAGAAGAACAAGTATAGCCAAAGGTAGACCGGGTCTTCGGTGGCAAGTGACGTGCTTCCGGTAAGCCACTCCGGCGCAAAAGTCATGAATCCACCATACAACTCTGCCGTTGCGAGGGCAATTGCAACGAACCACAATGTGGCCTTGACACTGCCACGGGACTTGGTAGTGAGGGTCTCGTTAGACGATCGAGACAATAGATAGCAGATGTATACAGCGGCGGGACCCCCAATGAAAACAGTCAACAACTCCAGAGAGATGACGGTCAGATCAGCACCGGCCCAGCGGCGGTCTGCCTTTGCATATTCTTGCCACAGACGTGCGGTTGGGCCGGTGCCGTAGGCGGGACCGTATAAACGGGTAGGGTCATTGAGGAAGAAAGGCCCCTGGTGTGGGGTACTCGTGACGGTGGTATAGCTGAAGAAGCATTGATATGCAAAGGAGCCCTCAATGAACAGGTGGGTGAGGGCATCGTAGGCATGCCAGAAGAAAAGTACGCGATCGCGCGTTTTGTTGGCTGGGATGAGGGCCTTGCTGAGAATGAATGCGGCCGGCATCAGGGAGAGAGATACGGCGATGCAGAGGACAGTGGGAGCATCTAAGGTAAAGGAGTCGGTGGACGACATTAAGGCAACCATTGTTTCGGTTTTGAGATTGCGCGTAAATCGCGAGGGGATTCGAGCGGAAGGAGGAAGAATCTAGGGTAATGAAGAGCTATGGAGCTCGTGTTAAAGGTCTGAACTGGATTTAAGTGTGTTTCATGCTTTGCAGCAGTGATAGCTGAAGCGTTTGAAAGAAGCAAACGAAATCATTTAGGGGTTGACAGCTGAGATCAATATTTTGTGTTGCCTGAGGCATGATGTGGGTCTTGACCTGTTTGCTGTGTCAACTCTTGACTTTCGATTTTCTATTCAATCACTCTTGAAATCAGACCAGAATCCTTTCAATAGCATTTCGCATGGCTGTTTGTCCCCACTTTGTCCTATGTTCTAATTTGGGCTACCTGGAGCTATACGAAAGGAATGCGGGAACATAGTACATGGCTCCTTCGCCATGCCCGACCCCACGAGATAATGTCGAACAATCCAACTAAATCCGTCACTTCGATCCCTTAAGGGTCCATACTTGCTGTCAAATCCCCTAATAGAGGCCAATCTCCGCAAGCTTCTTTGTTCCCGCAGGAAACACAGCCTGGTGGCGCATCGATCAAAGAAACATGCGCTTTCAAGGGCTGTCTACATTACATACCGGTCGTCATGTATAGATTTTCTCTTGTCTGACCAATGCTCGTATAGCAGCTCAATTGTACGCTATGTGAATGGTTGACTCAATGATTATCCGAAGCGATTGGGCTTGATCATCCACTTATTACTGAACCAACACCAAATTGGCTGGGAATGCTTGGCGAGTATTCCTTCGAGTTCGTTTCTTTCACGGCTCTTTTTAGGGTCTTGCCGGTCTTTCGTTTGTTTTGCGAGAGAAAACGCTTTGTTATATTTGCTCTGCTTACTCCGGTGCGGCCCATTTGAAAGAAATTTTACTCATATTGTCTGCTTGACTGAGAGTGGGAAATTCTTGCTAGAATCCCTCGAGTATTCGCAACCTGATAGTGTTCTTTTAATGTTGATTTCTTTTTTCAAGCATGCCCTCTAGTCTCGATATTGTCGATATTCCTATCCTCGTCAAGCTAACATGGAACCTTCACAACCAATGTCTTGTCCTTGGCAAGGATGCTCCCGATGGTTTCAAGAAGCTAGTGACTGAACTGGGCTCACTACAAGGCACATTGCGCACCTTTGGCAAGAGTGTGAGCTCTACCACTTCCCTTTTTGAGAAGATGGATGAAGATCGAAAACAAACGCTCCAAGGATCCCTCGGTGCTTGCTTTGCGACCCTTCACGGTTTAAAAGAGGTTCTTGCTCGGTTCAAAGGCCTTGATTCCAGCGATGGACACAGTATTTGGCGAAGGATCAAATGGGCGACCCAACGGACCCACATCGAGGATATCAGATCCAAGATCATGGTTCACACTTGCAATCTGAGTCTATGCTTAAGCTCTGTTGGAAAGTGAGTTTTCTAGTCGCATAATTATCCATGCGCTAATTTCTCTAGTACCTCGCTTGCTCGGATAGAGAAATCCATGGAGCTGGCAATAGAGGAAGATCAGCAAATCGTTTTTAGTACCGAACCATCTCCCGTCCGGGAAACTGACTCTATAGTCTCTCCCATGAGCCCTGGGGTGGTGGAATTACCGGCAAATAACGAGGATGAACCTGAAGTCGACATCATTCAGCCAGTTCGCACCAAAGTCTGTGAACTAGCCGACAACAGAGTCTCTATTGATGGTGCTAAAAAAACCAAGCATACTTCCACATCCTCCGAATCAGAGATCACCGGATCCGACGTATCACTGTACGATGAAACTTCGCTAACGTCTTGGTTATCTTTGAACACGTCCCCGCCTCTTTCTATTGTAGGAAGAATAGGCCATTCTTGGATGCGGAGCGAACAACTTCTCTTTGATGGTTCTATTGACGAACGGGCACTCGATGGTGGGATTTGGGCAAATGACAGGTTTTTGGACGAGAAGCGGGTCTTGCAATATTCGGAAGGTTTCGGTTCTACTGACTATGGCCACCCCCGTGTAATGGAAGCCGTGACGTCTGCGGTGCAGCAGCTCCATCATGTTCGTTGCCAGGAAAATGTGCTACGTCCACTTCGCTTTGAGCCACAGAATCAATTACACAAACCATCTTCTGGGATACTGAAGGTTTTCCAGGCTTCGGTCCTTGACGATTCGCGAATCAGGAGGCTAGTTACAAGAGACTGGCTCCGTGTTTCTATGTGGTGGCTATTGAAGGTTCGCTCTTCACCTTACGATATATGACTACTACTTACGACAAAGTTTAGGCACGTGCAACTCTCGCAAACTGCAGCAGGCATATCTATGTCAGCGCCCGGGGCAGCCTGACCCCTTCCTCGGAATCAAAATGTAACGGCAATCAAGCCTATCTCGATCTCCTCAAGGCTTCATATATTTTGTACGATATCGTTCTAGCAGACGTTGTCTGTTCTGGCTTTTTGTTCGACGAGGATCGCAAGTCAATCATTGAACTTTCGGAGGTAGGCTGTTCGCTCCACACTTTGAGGTATGAAACCCACAATTGACCGGATGCAGGGTATCAATGAAGAACTCTCTCAATACACATCAGTCGACATCCCCGAGCTCTCTAGTTTGCAGACCCAGAACATGGATATCTGGGAGTCTATGCAACCAGAAGAAATCGGAGATAGCGGCATGGATCCAGATCTTGGTTTAGATAATCTACGATGGATTGCTGTCGACTTGGAGGATGCAGGCAGTGAGCAAGAAAAGGTCCTGTACCGCACATTTGTCAACGCCAGCATAGGGAGCAAGAAGTCCCGCATGCGAACTAAGAGTGCTCCATACATGCTGTTACTTGCAACCCGAGAAGGTGAAAGTGAGCCGAAGATTATCATTTGCAACCAAAGTGGCACTCTGTGTCTCGAACGAGATCGTTAGTGACCCTACTCTGGAAACTGGTTTACGAATCTAATAAGTTCTGAAGTTGTTCTGGATGACTTACCACCCCTCGTACAATTGTCAAATTCCACCTTGACTGGCTTCCCGAGCGCCCGAATTTCGGAACCTGTGCCGTTCAAATTCGAGGAAATGAGAGTGTCGATCTCATTCCAGTATGAGGCTGATGTCAGTAATTGTATTAACATACCAAAAACCTACTTCGATGCTGTATTGCAAAGAGAGCCGGTCGATGCTGCAAATTTCACTGAAAGTGTCATCTTCAAGAGCTCCGTGGAGGTTTTTGAGCAGCTAAACCCACCGACCATGAAATCGCTGAACCCTCCTATAGTAGTGAAGTCCTGTGAGGTGCGCGTCCTCGAACGGTCGTTTGGAGAGGCTTGGCGATCTATCCGCCGCATGGTGATCAGTTCCTCCGCTGCAGACAAGGCCCCGAGAACAATGGAGCTCTTTATGCCTCTCAGCGGAGTGCAGATCAAACGCGCAAAGTTCTCCCGCCAAGTTCTTTTGCAATGGTCCGACACATGCCAGGCACGATGTGACAAAACTGACGGCAATCACAACACCGTACACTCATATGTGTACGATGATACGGCACCTAATTTGGGTGTTGGTATACAATTTTCGAGACAAGAACTGGCAGAAGACTTTGAGAGAACCATTCTCGAAATGAAATTCCGGTCTGGCTTTTCCTGGTCACAGCCCGGTAGCTCTGGTTGTGTTTACGATATCCTTGATTCTGGTATAGAACATACACAATACAAGGCTGCACTGGTGTTTCGAAATCGCACATCGTGGCGATGCTCTGATCTATACTTCATTTACCTGGACGCCGATTATTCATACGACCATTCCTCGCATAGCATTTGTCTTCCCCGCGTTTATTGCACGGAGTATATCTCCACACATACAGATCAGCTCTATCAGCCAGAAAGCCCCGTCACATTCTCGCATTGCGAGAAGAAGACCGCCCAAACGACAATTGAATTTGGCAGCGAAATTGTGGCTCGCTCATTCCTCAGCTCCCTTTCCCCTTTGTATGAGCTTCTCTACTCTCGTCGTGTCCAGACTGTGTCCACAAAAGCGAACTCACTTCTTGGGTTTCAAAAGCTTGGTAAAGGTAGCGTTGAGGCTCAATTATGGTGCCGGGGGACGACATTTCAACTTGCTGCTCGATGGGATGATACTGTATTGGATAAGTGGCTTACTTTGACTATTCCTTCGGCTTTCATTGATTCTTCAAAAGAGAATGGCCGCGTTATTCTCCCTCGGTTGCCGTACTTGCGTGGCACAGCACTGGACATGATAAACGTCATGGCTCGAAGTCCAAAGAATCCAAACGTCAAAAACAAAGATGCGGCCGTTTCAATTTCTTTCCAGGATAGTGAAGGTGAGTCAACTGGGCAAACATCAAGTCAATCTTCCAGTCAGACTCAAATCATTTGCTAATCATTTCGGACTATCACAGACCGAGAGGAGTTCCTTGCTGTTTTACATGGGCGCAGTTGCCCCAAATTTCTATAGTAGTCTCTAAATTACTTGGAACAAACAATGATCAAAATTTAAAGATTCTTTCTTCGCCGGCTTTACATAATACTTGACTCCTAGAGGAACACTGATAGTTTAAAGGATGCCTTCACCCACCAGCCTTACTTAATCCTTCTGGCCTAAATATCGCACATATACATACAAACCGACTTCACTTCATCGACTCTCCCAGAACTGTGCATCAATAGCAATCAGCCGGTTGAACAGCTGATTCCGTGATCTCATACCAGTAAGATGGTAAGTTTGACCCAGCTCATCACCACCAATGACCAATCCATCGGCCGCATCTTTACTTCCAGCGGTCAACTCAACAATCAACTTTCCCTTCCAGCCCAAGCCTTCCGTCTTTTTCAATTCCTTGATCTCAGTAACGGGGATCTGGAATAAAACAGACCCCTTCTTCCGACTTTCAATTCGCAGATCATCGAGCCCCGAGGATTGATATGTGGTAAAATACAATATGGGAGGCTCCTTAGATGAATCAATGACTACTGCACCTCTCTTGCGTTCGTATTTCGCATCGAACTTCAGGGGTCCGAAAGGAGTAGCACCGCCGAATTGTCGCTGTTGCAGCATTCCAATCAAATTCTTAGTATGGGCGGATCCTGCAATGGCCATCGCTCGGTCAAATGCGATATGGCCTTTGATAGCTGTGGCAATTGTCCGGCGGAAAAACTTGAGGAGTTTGAACACGAATCTCTTCTTTGGGATCGGTGCATTGGAGTCTGTGGATTGGAGATCGGCAGATGAACCCGGTGCGCTGAGGTCTGTGGAGCTCGCTGCCTGTGACTTTTTGCGGCGGATGGGCCATGCTGGCCCGTTATCTTCGGTTGTTGGGGCGGGTGGTAGAGGCGATGAATTGATCTCGCCGATTCGTAGTAGGGTCAAAGTAAGTTGCGCATTTGTAGGGACACCAGCCAAGAGGGTCCTGATTCTCTAGTTAGAAAAAAGACAATAATCCCAAGCAGACTTGTTCATACTTCTGTATATCCATGTGATCCTTCCAGTTGGGAACTTTGGTGTTCAGTAGGTCCAGGGTATAGGCGAAAATCGGGTCACCAAAGAAGCCTAATCCAACCGCAAAGCCAACGGACTTAATGATCCAATAGCTTGATGTAAATGGGACAATAACAGATACCAGTGTGAATATGCTTGCAATTTGTAGTCTAGATGTGACCAAAAAGAAAGGTGGCGTGGGGGAAAGGAGGCTATTATGTCGTTAGAAACCTAATTCCATACTTGTTCCAGAATCGACTCACTTGGCAAACTTTTCATAAATATCAGTAATATCACTCAATATACGCATAACCTGATCTGTCGCATGCGAGACCTTCTTCTTCATAGGTTTCTTGGTCTTGTCTTCGGGGCCATCACCGGTCGGGGTTCCTGCTGCAGCCTCTGCGGCCTCTATGCCATCAATCATTGCACGTCTGTCCGGCTCCTCTTCGGTCACAGTCTGGCCATATTTGGCTGCTGCGCTTTTCATGGCAACCGCAGCAAAGCTGTCAACGAAATTTTTGGCCTCCTGTTCAGCGGCTTCACCCTTATGGTTCTCAGGGGCGCCTGTAAGACTGTCCTGGGACTCAATCTGCCCGCTTGAGCTTCCACTCTCGCCGGTAGGATCAACCTTCTTTGCAAGGTCAGGGAACATCAATACCCGAACAGACGGGACCATTATCAAGGCGATGAGAAGTCCTAAGGTTGTTGGAATCAAGAGATCCACAATCCAAGCAACAAAGTATCCCTGCAAAACATTAACATTCCAGCATTCGTTTAATGGGCCTGGCCAACATACACCACAGAAAATTGTCGTTCGGACGGGTTCCTTCCATGATCGCAGTCGAGTGATATGACGAAAAAACTCGGTGACTCCGACGACTACAGAGGTATAGAATCTCTCCAGTGTCATGCGCAGTTTCTCTGGTGGAAATCTCTCGTTATCAGTGCGATTAAGATCCAAATTCTCTTTCGGATCAGGAACCGCTTTCACATGATAGATTTGCTGATCACATGTCAGCGATTGGTCTTTGGACTGGAGACAGTACTCACCTTGTCAAACCGTCTGATCAACATCCATAGATCTTCATTAGACAGTCCTTGGGCGAGTGTCTCATCGACTGTTCGTGATGAAGACTTCCATTTAGTGCCGAGTGCTGGCCGCGGGCTCAGCGTAGCGAGGGGGCCAGCCTCTTCTGTACTTTGGGTAATCTCGAAGCTCTCATCATCAAACTCACCCGGCATTTCTGATCCATTGCTCATTCTTATGGTCGTTTTCGATAAAAATAGACAGGGGAGCAAAGCTTGGTATTGTTTGCTTACCAGAGGACGTTTAGGGACAGAGTGGGGTTTGACGTCATTCGGAGTTATTTTTAGCCGAATTGCGGAGAAATCGGAACATTTGAGGCCGGGGGTATAAATTTCAATCGAAGGGAGGTTCGACTGATTTACTCGTTTTCAATAATAGGGAATGTGTTTGTATGACTCAAATGTAACTTTGACCGTTATTAATTATAAGCCGATTGTGCTCGATCCCACTATTGGCATACGTACGACAGCAATATTGTACATCAGATAATTTGACATTTAGATATTTAATTACTTTCGTTCAGTCTTATATTTCACGCTGCAGCTCACGTATCTATCTATATCTTATTGTTGGTCATTTACTTCATATAACTGCAATGCTTCTACCGCCCATGACCGGTTATTCTCCTTTGCAAGCGACATGGGAGTCTTCCCATCCGCATTGGTCTGATGGACCAGCTCTGGTGCCTTCTCTGCAAATAATTTCAGCGTTCGTAGAGCTTCGACTCTAAAAAAATGATCCTGTGAAGTTTCAAGGCCTGCCAGGTGATGCAACGCGTTGTCACCATTGTTATCAGAAGCGGTAAGATCCGCTCCCCGTTCATACAATGTCATCGCACGCGTGGGATCGCCCTCCTGCCAAGCAGCCGGTGAAGACCATCCTCCTCGGAATGGGAACGCTGGAAGTACGCATGCATATGAGTTGGTTCCAATTATACAGCCTGCCGCTGCCAAGAGCAATGTTCTCCCCGTAGGATCGCGTGTCTCAAGCTCCAGGTCTTCCATCTCTAACCAAGGTTGAATGACTCCACCCTGGCTAAAAATCTCGTGCAGAATCATTTTTTCGTTTCTGTTGCAGTGGAGGAAAGGGTTTGCCCCACGATCCAGTAGGATCCGAATCATGCGGGATGCATGGTCACGGCTGTGAGCTTCATTGAATTGCAACAGGGAGATGTAGTGCAAAGGGTGCAGAACAAAAGGTTTATTGGATGGGTTTTTTGGACAACGATGAGTATGCCAATGTGGCTGGGCATCAGATAGTACTGTATTGTTGCAGTCCAGGCCCATATCTAACAAAGTAGAAAGCACGTCGCTATTGAATCTAGATAAAGCAGAAAACAGCTCCATCGGGTGGTCTTGGGAAGGAATGGCTCCATTGTTGAGTAATAGTTGGAACAATTGTGTGTTATGTGCTGACAGGGACAGGGGAGTCAGACCACACAACGCAGTGATGTTGGGATCAGCACCACCCTCAAGTAAAATTTGAGCGATTATATGTTGCCGGTGTCCACCAAGTTCTCCTTGTAGTACTGCGTTGCTCAGTGGTGTATTTCCCTGGTCATTGCGGGCGTTAGGGTCGGCTCCATGTTGTAAAAGGTAGCGGATAGCCTCTTCGTACCACCAATGCGTGCCTTGGGCCAACTGATGCAGAATCGTGTCGCCCGGCTTGTAGTGGCGGGCTAGTTTCATCTTCGATTGGTAGTAGACCTTGGGGATATCTACCATGTCTGCTTCAAATCGGATGTTGACGTCGGCATGGAATTTCTCAACCATCACTTTGATTACGTCCAAATTGGGCAGCTCTCGCTGGGCAGCAGTCAGAAGGTATGAGGTTGGTTTTTCCAAGCGATTGATGTCACCACCGTTTATCCAACTGTTGCCTGCTCTGATACTACCAATGCGTTCAAAGAGGTCTGAATATCCCCATCTCGCGAGAGCCATCAAAATTTCAGGTAAGGAAGACAGATCTGTGACGCTAGTAGTTGACTTCTCTAAAGCCTCCACAACCTCTCGATGATGTCCCTGTAGTACCATGGAAACAACGTCTCTGGCGGAGACATATCTTCTAAATGTCTCTTGTAACATTTCTGGCAGGTGTTGGGAGCGCAGCAGAAGGCACTCTGTTTCAATAGTGCGATAACGAGATTTGCCAGGTTGGATGCCTGACTCCCGTAATGCTCTATCGAGCTCCGCAGCCATTTCTTCGTTGCCCTGAAATACTGCATGATACATAGGATCATTTCCAGATCCCGAGATGTGCGCAAGGGCACCGTGGGAGACTAACGCTCGAACGATACGTCCAATGCCGATCGTAGAGCTTTCGGAAGTAATCTCTCCTTTCCATCCTATCTTCCTGGGATTCTCACGCAAATGTTTATTGGGCGACATGGGTTGCTTTGGTCTCTCATCGTCTTCTTCTAGAACTCCCGCAGCAGAGCGCGTATTCATCGTATTTTCTAGATCATCGGCTCCTTGCCAAAGCTGTTCCTCGATCAGAGACTCAGCGCATGCATCCAAAGGCGTGTAGCTTTTGTCTTTGATGCTGATATCTGCCCCATGTGCCAGAAGGAGATTCACTGTTTCCACTCTTCCTGAGCGACAGGCAACATGCAACGGCGTTCTCCCGTGTTTTGACTGAGCATCGATTAGCGAGGTCTTGCATTCGGCATCGTAGTAGTCTAGCAGTAACCCAACCACGTTGCTTTGGCGCGCAGTGGACGCAATATGCAGTATGTTTCGGCCCTCTTTGGTGTGAGACATAGCGTCAGCTCCGCGGGCGATCAGCTTTCCGACCAAGTGCTCTGAAACTGTAGCTGCCAGGTGAATTGGCCTAATCCCATCATGATCAGGTATGTTCATGGCCGAATCAAAGCCGGCATCTAGAAGCAAGTCGATCGCACACTTGCCTCTGTCTGCGGCGGCAGCAAATAGATGATCCGATGACTGGCTGCACAACATATGGAGAGCGGTCCGACCTTGTAAGTTACGGACGGTGGGCGAAATACCCATCTTGAGAAGCTTCAATATGGCGGAGAGAGCAGTGTCTTCTCTAATGGTCGCAAACTTGGCTGCGAGGTTATGCAGCAAGGTGTCTCCTTCGTGGTTTGGCATTTTTGGATCTGCACCATGAGAAAGCAGGAATTCTAAGTACTCCGTCTGGAATTCGTAAGGCTGGATCAAGAATGACAACACTCCGTTGCCTTTGTAGTCCTGTGCGTTGATATCGGCCCCACGGCTGATGAGATACGGGACAAGTTCGCGACAGTTCCACTGCGGATAGCCAAGCATGGCCTTGGTGAGGAGTGTGCATCCTTTGTAGTCCTTGGCCTCGAGGTCTGCACCAGCAGCAAATAGAACGTCCAACACATCATGGAGATCTTCTCCTGATCCATCAACCATGTGAATAGGTTGTCGGCCTTTGTTGTTTCTCTGGTGCGGGTCAAGCCCAAGATTCAAGAGTTCAGCAACAGTTGCACTCCCGCGGCGATGCTTCGCAACGGCGGTATGGAGAAGTGTGTTTCCCTTGGCATCAGTGATGCTCCAGTCCGATACAAAAGGCCGAAATAGCGAGAGGTCGCCAAGCTGAAGCTTTGATGCGTAAGCATGCAGCGGGGTGTCACCTCCTTCGTCGCGAACAATGTCCAGACGTGCTCCGTGGGCCATGAGGGTCTTCAACCACTCTGGGTGGTCTAGTGGGCTGTGGAAGAAATGCGCAGGTGTTCCTCCCCTATCTTCGGCGATATGAGGGTCTGCTCCGTGTTGCAAGAGGAATAAGATCAAGGGGACCTCTTTATGAAAAGCGAGCAATAGTGCAGTATTGCCGTGGGCGTCCTGTGCATTGATATCGCATCCTGCATCAAGAAGTATCTGCATCAGCTCCTCGTAGCGAGACAGGTCCTCTAGCTTTTGATGATGAGGTATGCCGTCCACCAATCCGTGAAGGGGCGTAAATCTCGGGGGCTTCTCCCGCTTGTTCTTAGACATGGTTGTAACGTCAGCACCATGACGAAGTAATAGCTTCACTATAGCTAGATTGGCCTTTTCTGCTGCCAGGAACAGAGGTGTATCTCCATCCACTGCCGCATTGACATCACATTGCCCAGTCTCAAGGAGAGTCCGGGCCGCGTTTGTTTTGTTCTGCTGGCAAGATCGGCAAAGAGCCGCACTCAGATCGTCGGGGTCTGCGGTACTGGCTAATTGGCGCACCTGGTCCACATCTTCGGTATTAACGGCGGCCTGTAAAGGTGAGAGCAACTCTTCCGCTGCAGAGGATGTGTCCCTGTCTCCGAATAGATCAAACATTATTCTGCGTAAGAGAGAAAGAAAATTTGCGATAGTAAGTCTGGGCTGGGCACGAACAAGGTCTTATTTATATGGCGAGAGCCGGAACCTTCATGACTAGGCTAGCCTAGGCTTCCGCCCCCAAAAAGATGAACCATGCCCTGGAGCCTGGTCTCTCATATGCTCAGCTCTATAGCTAGGTCTTCTGCCTAGATGAACTTTAGAATGTGAAAGGAGACAGCAGATAGGAACATATCTGGCTCTTGGTCAACCCTGGCCAGCTTAGTTCTCCCAGTGAATTTTGTCCAAAGACGTCCCCACAAAAATTAGTAGGAACCGAAAAAAAGGCCAAAAAAGAAATCTCTCCCTCGGGGAATCGAACCCCGGTCTCCCGCGCTTATCGGTTTTAATGACAAGCGGAAATCATCACCACTAGACCAAGGAAGATGTGATGGCCGAGTTACTGCTCGACCACTTGGCTGGTTGATGTAGTGTTTAGCGGATTTTGGCATAATGAACGGACACCATTCCTAAGGCCAATTCACAAATATGGCCGAACCTTTTCATCACATTGCCAAATGTCTCCCCACGATCGGAGATAAATTATTACGTTTAAGATTATTAGATTTGCTAATTTAATAAGTAAAAATGGTGTATTTTATCGATGGTGAAAACCGGTTTTTGGTGTCATATGAGGATTCAATATATATAATTGCAACGGATGACCAATGCTACTTTGTTCACCCTCGTGGTCAAATTATTACTATAATTGCGATCCTCACATTGATTGCGCTAAACTCAAAGCTTTGCATCATGCCTCCAGCCCGGCATATCAGTAAGATCCCTTGCGGGAGCACTGCGTCTAGATTTAAGAGCGTCGCCGCCAGGTCTCCACCTCCATGGATCGGCCAAGTCCGACGGAAGAGTGCCTTCGATCAGCTCAACAACATGCTTGCCAATATTGGGTAAAAGCTTGAAGCTATGACTGTAACATGCATTGTTAGCAATTGTTGACTGGACACAGGGTAAGTTCTCCTTTTAACCTACCCGCTGTCTCCTGTGGCCAGAATGAAGTTTTTCCACTTGGGGTGCTCGCAGATCAGTAGATTGGCGTCGGCAGTATCTGTGCACCAGCACATAGTCCGGTTGAAAAGTTCCTTGTTCTTGAATTGAGGCAAAAACCTCGCAATTGCTTTCCGGATGGTTACCTCGGAAGCATCTGGGTAGGTATCTGTAGGATGTTTGGCGTGTGATCGAGGAACAGAGATGGACTTGGGGGAAGCGGCGCCATAAGGTTGATGTTGTTTGAAGCGTGAGAATCCGGGGAACTCATCGCAGACTTTGATAACTCCGTGTCTGTATAAGGGATTAGCGTACGGTGCTTCTCAGACATTGGGTCGGCGTGACTACTCACTCGTTGGGCTCAAAGAAAAAGCCGTATTCACCGTCGTATACCACGGGTATGTTATTGTACTCGGCCATTTCCTGGGGCGTGAGTTGGATATGAGCAAAAACCCACGCCTATGAGGATTGATTGTTAGTAATACATTCACCGAAACCCTGTGGAATATGCAGCTGGGAAGAATACTTACTTTTGAAACACACTGATCCTCCAGATCTACCAATGTGGGACTCCAAGCACCAGCAGCCAATACCACCTTGTCAGCATAATATTTAGAGCCATCTACTGTCTCCACTCCCTGGCAGGTGATTCCATCTGTGGCGAACAGAGGCCGCTTGAAAGTTCCAGATCTATACAAGTTAGTCTTCGCAGATTCAATATCTTCTACATTATCTGAGGTGCATTACATACTTGCCAAATCCAAAATTGACGCCGCTGTCATTGAGGAAGTGTCCGATCGCGTTTATAGCCTTGGCTGCAGCAAGCCAGCCTCCATCGCTGCAAAACAAGCCCTTCCACCCCTGAAAGTACGCTTCTGTTAGCCCCAGCCCTAAAATGATTGGGTGAAGATCCGATTTACCTCTATTTGATCTCTTGTAAATACCGGGATTTTTTCCAGGATTTCATCTTTGCTTTCTAACAACCAGTTTGTCTTTTCTAACCCAATGTTCGCGTCGATAAGAGATTGGTACTTTCGTCGAAGATTTGCAATACCGTCTTCAGATGACGAACAATCAATCTGAATGTATAAGCATTTGACCTGCTTCACTCGTAACCACATATTTGTGGACTCACCATGCCAACACTGTGAAAAAAGGGCTTGAACAATGGATCGTTTTTCCACATATCGAGCGCCTCGAGCGAAAGCTGCAGATCCGGCCCATTGCGCAATCGGATGCTCATAATTTTGTTCAGATCGTATCCTGCCGACTGAGCTGAAGGAATTGGATATACATCAAGCACTGTGATGTTGCAAGGGGTATATCCGGAACGTATGAGGTGCAGCGCTGTTGAGGACCCCATAGTGCCACCTCCACCTACCACCACGACTTTTGTGGTTTTACGCGAATCTGCCATTTGGTTTGGGATCTAACCTGTGCGAGGAATGTACGTGCCTATGGTTTATTTGGATAGGCTCGTGGAAAAGAGGAAAAGAATGATCCAAGAAGTTGGATTGCGCAACTCAAAAAACCCTTGTTGATTAAGCGAATTGAAACCACATGAGATCATGCGACCGATAGTTAAATCGTTTATATAAAGAATCACGGTAAAAGCAAAGCAATTGGTGCTAAGTCGGAAAGGTATCGCCGAACAGCGGAGCGGAGGGCCATTTATTTATCGCGTGGACCTTCCATGGCCCGAAGAAACCCCACGTTATGAGCTAGGCCTTGGAAAACGCGGGGATTTGATCCACCAACATTTTCGATGAAGAGATAGCATCTGCTATTATCGACCCCGGCTTTCGCTTCCGGATTCATAGTATATCTTGATAAACCAATTGCTTGTGACTATAGCCGAAGATAACGCAGTCAGTGAAACCGAGTTGCGTTCGCGTGGACCTTCACCAGGCCCTAAATGACCCCAATCGCACTAAATCGACCCCGAAACTACAGCGCGGGGAACATAGACCTACTCGGATGAAAGAGATAAGCTCGCAGCATATGAATTACCGGTTATTCCAGCTCGTGTCAAGGGTATAAATAGCCACGCGTGGAATCCCGACAAATTGTTGACATCTACAACTAAAGACGCTGTATGTGCTGCCATAGCACAATAGTCTGTTACAATGGCCGACAAAAAGTCTCCTTTCCCAGACTCACACGAAGATGCCCCTTCCATCTCGGAAAACCCGATCGATCGCGCCCTTGTGGTCGATATGGAGCACTACCAGGCTACCGTTCCTCTGTGGAAGCGAGCATGGCAGCACAGCTTGACACAGATGATGCTTCTGAGTATCCAGGCATTTTGTGGGCCAGCAATGTCTGATGCAATTACTGGTGAGCATAATTTGTCGTTCTGTGTCAATCAGGCTATATACTCCTGGGTATTTCGCTAATGTTACTCAGGACTCGGTGGTGGTGGTCTTGCCTCTCCTCGGGTATCCAACATTTCGACGGCAATAAGATATGCCCTGCTGGCAATCGGTATGTATTTGATTATCAAGCTGGATGTATAGGCGCTGAGATGGTCGTTTACTAGTGTGCTGTTTCGGTGGTCCCATCGTGAACAAGATCGGTATCAAGTGGGCTCTTATCATCGGCTCGATGTCCTTCCCAATCCAGGGCTCCGCATATTACTGCAACAGCAAATTTGGAAACGAATGGGTGAGTGGTGAAATTTTCAATGTGAACTATCGGACCTGACGATTTATCCCCCAGTACCTGATCTTGAGTGGCGCTATCGGCGGCGTTGGAACTGCTTGCTGGTACGTCGCTGAAGCTGGAGCCATCATGACCCTTGCCCCCTCCGGTGCCCGTGGAAAGTATCTGGCTCTGTGGATCGTATCGCGAAATCTGGGACAGTTGGTTGGTGGTGCAATCAAGTGAGTCAAAACCCTAGCCAAATTGGCCTTACGTGCATGATCAACTAACACGCTTGTTCTGTGCAGTCTGTCTAAAAATCATGAAAAAGGCGTCATTGGTGGAGTCACATCCGATACCTTTATTGCCTTTGTGATCATCGAGTGTCTGGCGTGAGTGCTTCAACTGAAAACACGCTGGAACCGAGATACTAATCATACTTGAAAGTTTACCATTCGCTTTATTGATCAAACCATTCGAAAAGGTCGTTCGATCCGACGGTACAAAGATTGTTACTTCGGAAACTCTTTCTACCAAGATGGAAATCAAGCGCATTGCGAGGACTATGAGCTCGAAACTTATTTTGCTTTCCGCGTTTTGGGCACTTTGGTCATTCTTCTACACGTTAGTCCCACAATGAATGCCATGCTCACCACAAAACACACAAGAATGTTAACAGATCCAAAAGCGGTACCTGGACTACCTATCTAGGAACCTATTTCACCGTCCGTGCTCGCGCGCTCTCCTCTCTCATCTCGCCTTTCTTCTGCATGTAAGCCAGACATACATAAGCCCTTTATGGACCAACTGACATTGCGATTATCAGTGTTGGATGTTTCGGCCTCGGCTTTATCCTCGACATGAAGGGTCTCAGCCAGCGTCGTCGCGCCCAGATCGGTCTCTATACTGTCGTGATCCTCAATGTGGGCGTTTATATTTGGACTATTGTTATGCAAGTCAAGTTCAACCGCAATGATCCTGGCGCCATCGATTGGGACGATAAACTATACCCTTCGTCGTTTCTGCCATATTTCTTCGTTCAAACTACCGGTCCGCTATCCCAGTCGTACATGTATTGGCTTTTGTCCTCGTTCGCGACCGATGCACAGGGTGAGTGACTGAAAAGATTCTACCTCTAGCCAAGAAGAGCTGCATTGGATACTAATGATGATATTAGAAAATGTTCGCAATGGTGCTGCGTTCAGATGTATCGAAGCTGTTGGTCAGGCGATTGCCTACGGCATGAACACACAAACAACAAATAATCCGTTGATTGGATTGTAAGTTCAGCAAATCCGCCTTACTATACAAAAGAAATGTCCGACTAACCGAACTTCAAGCTGCGTAACATTTGCTCTCCTCGGAGCCTCTTTACTTCCAATGATTATGCTTGTCAATACAACCCCAGACCGAATCCCTGCGGATATAGTTGCCGAAGAGCAGAATGTTGCTCGCGAGAAAATATCGGGAGTCTAGGTCAGCTCTACTGTTAGCCAGGTAATTAGACAGAACCTGTTTTGGATTTCCAACATGACTATGTCGATCATGCATGTTTTCAGCTTCGTTTGCTTATCTCGTGTTCTCGTATTATTGTTGCGGGATTTCCATCGTCAACCAACCAAGCGAGAATGACATGGCCTATGCCTACAGTTACATGTGTTTCGATTACGACTTTTCTCAGAAGTTACAATTAATTCATGGATACGCCATACACAGTGAAATTCAGGTAAAGTCATTATAGGGTAGGTAGATTCGATTGTTGTAAATAAACGTAATCACAGAGGTTACTCTGACGTGTTTATAGACCAATGACAATGACATGATGAGCGAAAGGCACATTTGCCAAGTAAAGTGCCAAAAAAATAATAAAATTTGGAGACAACAGAGGTTAAAGCATCGCCCAGGTCAGGGTGTGCGAATAAGGGACTGAGAAAACCTCAAAAGCTAGGAACAGAGACTCGCATTAAGCGGTCACGTAGATGATTTGCTGATGCAGAAGTAGCTGGCGCAGAGGGGTGGATTTCATGCCCGGGTGCAGCCATGCCCGATAAAGCAGGTTGCACCCAATCCCGGGAAGTTGGAAGCAAGACAGCTTTTCACCATGGCTGAGCTGTTGGTTCTTGCCGAAAGGCTAGGGTTGGGTCATGATTGTGTGGTAAGCCAAAAAGTAAAAACCAGTAGGTTCCAAAATTGGAAGTATTCGAGGTTTCAGCAGCGAGTCATTCAGCTCTCCTTGTCCGAGCCACGGAGCTTCTCGAGGCCATCGCGGACAGTTTCGCGGACACTGAAACCGCCGAAGAGCCAATCATTTGAGTGCCGACCGCAGTGGTTGACTGTTCCGCTGTAGCGCTTGTAGTCACCGCTGCTCTTGCGAGTCGGGATGGGCTTGACGTCGCAGTCCAGCTTTGGGGACTGGGGCGAAGAGATTGTGGGAGACATTTCGGTGGGGCTGGATGAGTTGTAGCTTTGGGAGAGGTATGAATTTTCCGGGTTGCTGCGTGGGATTTCGCGCGAGTCCTGGCGGCTCTTGGGGATGTTGATTGGTGTGAGAGACATGGTGCTGACGACTTTTGAGAAAATATCTTGCTTGACAGTGTGGAGGACTTGGCCTGGGGGTGCTGCCTGGAGTGAGAGGAGGTAGTTGAGGTGTGAGAAAGTGATCTTTGGTGATAACAAGACTGAATGTGTATTGCTTTCGAGGAAAGTGACTGAAGATGAAGATAATAAAAAAAGAGAAACATGAGGAATTGGGGAGGGGGCTTATTTATGTCCCCTCATTTCAGCTGATCATCGGGAGAGCCCTGTAGGGCAACCAACCAAAGAGCAGAATGATGGGAGCAATTATGACCTCAAGTAGAATAGTAAAATACGAGGAGAGACCCAACCAATGACTTTGAGGTCCGATAGCTGAGTGACGGGTCAGTCCCGTTTTATAGCCAACAGCAATCGAGGAAATATGCGAGTCCACTGGGTAGCAGTTGTACTATCGCCCGTCAATCAACCAATCAGATATTGTGTTTGCCTTGGAGCCTCCTTTGTCCCGCAAAGACCCCGCAGATTCACCGCAATACTTTTTGACACGTCGTCCTGCATGATTCCTGCCGTAAGACTCAGAGGATCACACACACCTTTATACCGTTTTGGAATCAGAGCATTGCTTAAAAAGAGACATCGAGACATTCCAACCCTTTGGGATCCATTTTGAATTGACTTGGTAGTGGGTCGGCTACGTTCGTGGGGCCAAGAATGCTCAAGCACAACGCCCTGTGAGACAGCCCTACGCCCCAGTATTTCTTGAGCCAATCATGATTCCAAATTTCCTTCTAGCGCCTTTCTAGAAGTCCGTTCGAACCGAGGGATTCGGCACGAGCGCCCTGACAAAGTACCATGGTACTAATGACTCAATTGCCAAGGAACACCAACACACCATGGACGCCGTATGATATGCGACCGAAAACTACTGTACACTTAGCCATACACTACGTACAAATAATCTGATTCTCTCACAAACAAGAACACTGTGTGCGGCTTTCCTCACTCCCATATCAAAAACTGACCAAGTCCTTCACAGCCTGCCGAAAAGAAAGGTGAGAAGACCGCCACAGAGCGTGGCAGCCCCGAGTTAGTGCTCACAGTTGCAGACACTGCACGTCCTACCTCAACAAGTGGTCTTTACTTCTTTTGATGTGAGTGGGTCAGGACTGACGGAAAATTAGGCTTAGCTCGATGAGGTTATCGCCATTTTCCTTTCTGGATGTTGGTCGCAGAGATCGGAAATTTCCAGGTAACGGAGAGTACATGGCTGCTCTGAATTTTAGACAGGCGATGGGCTCTAGTATGGTTCAGCCAAGTGTGATTTATTACTCCTGGCTCTAGTAAATTATTTGAATCTCCACATTTGAAGGTCTACAGCTGCCCAAAAACCGAATAGAGACGTTGCAATCTTATTTTAGGCGGTTATATCTTTCCACAAGATTCTCGTTACACAGTCCGATCTAATAGCCCCGCTGCATTTCTAGTGATCAGCGAAAGGAAACAGGCTCGCAACATGATGCAGATTGAACTTGTCTAAGGCGTTAATCCACTACTGGGAAGTTGGACATCTGTAAGCAGGCCCCAAAGCTTTGAATCAATCATTGATACTAGGGGGGATGATGCGTTCCTTGGCTTCTTTTGCACTAGATTCGAGAAGTTTCAAGCGAGCACGATGAACCAAACATGCTAATTTGCTCAAGGATGTGCACTGCAGATGACCGAGCCTATCGGCACATACTAGTATATGATGCGAAGGAGGCCCAGATAATAAGAAAGCAAAGTTTGAATTCAGGTAGTGCTGCGAGTAGCAACACAAAGAGTTAGGTTATTTAGGATTTTGATTTAACTGCATATGTCCACTGATATCGATGACCAAATACTAACCTGGGCAGTTCAAATACATCCAACGACCTCAAATGAGATTTCGGTCAGTGCTCTGTATTACGGCGTAGTATATTCTCGGCGAGTATCGAGGGCGAGCTTGAAGCAGGGGTTCGGCGGAACCCTGAGCATCAGCTGTTCTCTTGCTATTCATCCCATAACTCTTTGAGCTCCACCAAGATCATAGTGCTTCATTTAGTTCCAATGGGAAGTTATTGGTCCCAATTCTTTCCTCCTTCTCCTACCTTGACAGAAGCTAATCTTCCGAGACAAGATGGTAAAGTGTTCATAGTGACAGGGGGCTACTCAGGAGTTGGCTTCGAGCTATGTACCCTGCTAAACCAGGCAGGAGGTACAGTTCATCTCGCTGGTAGATCCGAAGCGAAAGCCTTGGCCGCAATCGCAAAGATAAAGGTCTTACCGAGCCCGACTTCTACGGAAGGAGATCTCAAATTCCTCCATCTTTCGCTCGAAGACTTGACAACTATCAAACCGGCAGTGGAGAGGTTTGCGACCGCAGAATCACGACTCGATGTTCTTTTCAACAACGCTGGAGTTTCCAACACTCCTCGCGGCTCCATTTCAAACCAAGGCCATGACCTGCAACTGGCAACAAACTGCCTCGGGCCGCACCTTTTCACGCAACTGCTTCTACCAATACTGATGCGAACGGCCACAATCTCGCCAGTTGCTGGCGTACGCGTTAATTGGACGGCATCTATTGTTGTCGATATATCGACACCAACAGTTGGTATGGAGCCTGGAGAGCTTTGGCAGAGCGATATGGACCCAGCACAAAATTATACCGATACAAAGGTCGGAAACTGGTATTTGGCAAACGATCTCGCAGATCAAGTTGGCGAACATAGTGTCCAGAGTGTTGTGCAAAATCCAGGAAATGTTAAGACCAACATTGCACGACACGTTTCGGCCTTGCTTCCTATTATGCTTGCACCTTTGCTATACAATGCCAAGATGGGTGCGTATACCGCAATCTGGTCGGCATTTGCGACTGAGCTGACCATATCCGATGGAGGCAAATACATATTGCCATGGGGTCGTCTTCATCCATGCGCGAGAGACGATTTGAAACTAGCCATGAAAACAAAAGAAGAAGGGGGAAATGGTGTTGCAAAGAAGTTTATACAGTATTGTAATGAGCAGATTGCAAGTTTTCGCTAATGCTACAGTTTTGCTCAGTCATATTTTGTCAATATGAAAACTACATGCAGATAGGTTGGTTCGCATTTGGTTCGCATTTTCAATAGCAATTAAGAACATTTGCCAGCACCGGAATGACATCTGCTTGATTCTATTACCATGCGAGCGCTATATAACGAGCATCGTTTCCCAGAAAAAGCGTAGGTTTTCTTCGGCTTTTGATCACGCGCTTCCCCAGCACATGTTGGAAGGGAAATGCACAACACAAAAAGTCCAAAGAGAAAGGATATTGAAAGGAGTGCTTTCGACTTCAGTCACTCCTCCTGTTCCTGAAGTGGCCAAATTGTAGCGCTCGGTCTTCGCCATGCACGTGGCTGCTCAGAATGACACCTGCGATGCCTTCTCTCAGCCATGAACCGCGCGGCATCAGCCCCAGTAATAGCCGATCTTCCCCTTCCCGAGTCCGAGACAACAACCTGCTGATTGAAAGCTTCTGGTGGTATCCAAGCAGGCATTAGATTCGGCTCAAAGGCCCTCATATTTGAAGGTACAACAAAGAGTGATCGACTTTTATTCAAAGGCGGCCGACGAATTAAGCGACGAAAGACCCGCCGAGGGGTATATTTCCACGTTGTATCAGAGTATCCCGTTAATGAGGAGTTCTCATTCCTGGTTCTATCAGATGACCGAAACCAGAGACGAGGCATTCGCTTTGGCTGGCGCGATATCTCTGGCATTCCCATGTCATCGCAAAGTAACTCTTCCGCGATGACGGGAACCATCGTGGCCTGTTGAAATGACCACGGAAGATAAGTTGGAGGGCCGTCATTAGGCTTGGATACATGTAGCTCTAAGCCTTTGGGTTCGCGCATACATAGATCTGAGCCACAATGGGGCCAAGTATGATGTCTTCTGTGGTGGCGCTGCGACATCGGGGACGGTGATGGTAGAGTATGAGCTTGATGAGTTTATTCAAGCAAGATGGCATTTATCCTGTCTCCATGATAAAAAGTTGATTATATGGTCTGAGAAGATTTAGTAAGAAGGCAAGTTGGCAAGGACTTAAATTATAAATGCGACTTTAGCATAGCCCGTTAGCTTCACGTGTAGGGCTTGGAATTACCCATAGTACTGCCCGGGTGACTGAAGACTCATTTGCTGGTAGAGATGACCCAGGCACAGATAATTTAGAATGTATGGGTTGCAGAAGGGCAAGATCCGGTCGGCCCTAAGCTAAGGGGATCAGGGACGAAACCCATGTGGGAAAAACAAAATATGTTCAACCTATAAAAAGTTGTATATTATATTCAACTCGTAGAATTAAATTCATGCCAAATAATCTTGCGCCCCGGGCGGATCTTGAGCTTGTAAAAAATGACCTTCTAACCTGATGTGGTCAAAAGGACGGTCTGCAAGACCTGCCCCATGACAACACTTCATCTGACTCAAACAGGTTTTGTCTCTGAATATGACTCAATAATTTGTACAAAAAGGGACATTGTAATATTAGACACTTATGTGTAAAAATATTTCTTCATGAACGAAATTACTGTTTTGGGTACTACAACACTTGCAGGAAATGGGCCGACCTATAGTTAAAGACTAGGCCGTTTCCCGTCGCACCTTTGGAGCTTGCAGATGCGCCTGTGGCTTACATAGCAGTATACCCGTATACGCTCTGGGCACCGAGTGTTCTATATCTCGATCTTTGCCAAATTCATACACACGTAGATATTTGGAATAAGTCTCGCAAGTGGCCCCCCCCCCAACACTTACATAAAGAAAGCAGAATTGGCCCCGCTACAAATTTGGTTGAGTAATATTACCATCAGCGCCACAAAGCTCACTATTGAGGTGCGAGCTAGACCCATGTGACCATATCTTTTGATCGTCGTATCCGCAAAATAGGAGTACACAGCTCGGGTCAAGTTGCCAAAACTGTCGATCTTCATGTAGAACATCCCGGCTACCTGGACCGAACGACTAAAACTTTATTTGGTGGGAAGATGACATCTTATCTAAGATCAGTATGAGAGTGTCGGAATTTGAGGTTGGAAAGTTCTCAAGGTTCATTTCAGGTTTGATGTGGACGCAACATGAGATAGCAAGATTGGAAGAGGAATGCCATATTCGATCGACCAGGTGATTCCACGCGACAGGTTTAAAAAGTTGCGCTATGCAGACTGACACATCATGATTCCACGATCTGCGTCACCAATCTCCGTTCTGAAAACACGAGAACAAGATATTACATCTACTCCTGCCAAGTAGATTTCGGACAAAAGTACATTTAGAGTTATTGCGAAGGACGTGAGAACAATGCGAAAGAGAAAGCGAAAGATAGGGATCATTGAGCCGATCGATCATCGAGCCGATCGGGCTAGAAGCAGAGTAATGTCACGCCGGAATGTTATTGGACGATCGCATAGAATTGTCGTTATAACGTAGAAATGGCAATGGAGCTAGCGGGTTCTTCATATATTGTTGCTGACCCTGATGTTGCACCGAAATCATCGTTAAGTAGCCGTTAGCGAAATCTGACATGATGGGGCTCGCAGACTAGGATTATTTGCCTAATCAGGATGGCTGGGGATAAGCCAAACCCCGAAATTTCTAAGCCCAAACTGAACAGCTCCACAGAGTAGTTCAAGCCGAAACCCTTTGAGTGAGAATAGTCGAGGTGATGGACGTTATGATTCGTCCCATATTCCTTAGGATATTTGCAGATGAAATTGGGATCTACATCTCATAAGATTAGATTCGTTCTCATATCAAGATTGGGTAGTATCAACAGGAAGAAATATCCATCCTGGTAAAGTATTGACGCCAACCTAAAACGAAGCACACAATTCGATGAGAGGATGTGGATAAATTTTCCGAAAAGTGGATATTCAATAATGATGCGCTAAGAACTAATTTGATACAATTGCAAGTTGCCAATAGAACATATTAATCCACGTGGCATGATTCAACCAAGGAAATGAGAATCCCGAGGTTCTTGAATGAGCTTAAAAAAGGGTAACACCGGATAACGCCACACAAAGAAAAGAAAACCAGTAAGAACACTATTGTCCTATCACGCGCGCTGCCACGCAGCAATATCCGCAGCGGAGATATCCAAATTCTCGGTCGTGAGCCGCTGAAGCCGTGCCACTTGATTGGGAGCTAAAGTTTTCAAGTGTAAGCAAGAGACCCAAAATGGAAGAGCCGCGAAGGCGCTAAACCTCGGCCCTAGAGAGAGGAACCATTGTGCCGGAAGAGGGGCAAAAGGAAAAAAAAAGAAATGAGAGGAATGAGGTGGGCGAGGTACGGGAAAAAGGTCAAATGAAATCAAACCACCAGGAATCAGAAATCAATGATCAGGGATCAGGAATCAGAAATCAGAAAAGAGGAAAGAGGAAAGAGGAAAGACCCACTTGGCCGTTGGGCAGCCGCGCCGGCGTGCACATGAATGACTGTCGAATCAACAAACTCCTTCGTCACGACACCGCCATAAGAAGCTGCACTGAGCATCACTCGTAGTCGGAATTTCCCCGGCTGAGAGATGGTGAGGGGACTGAATTTAGCATATCCGCTCATTGCGTTGTCGGCTCGGCTGCGGACGCTTGCTGTGAGGTTGCCGCTCAGACCTGATGCGGCTCCTGCGCCGGATTCATCGCGAAGTGAAGCGCTCACGACGAGATGCTGTACGTTTCGGGCGGGTGTTCCGATTGGATTGACGGCAATGATTACCGGAACTGTGAAAGGGAGACCTGGACGAGCAGCGGCTGGGGGCGTAGTCTCGAAAGATAATGAAAATTCACGAGCGGCCATGTCTTTCAGTGATTGAGGAGATTTGGGGTGACTGATAGGGATGTGTTTGGAGATATATAGTCTAAAGGCTCTGGGATCTGCTTTGATCCAATCAGGGAGTAAGGCGGGGAAATAGATCGTTGAAGTACAATGGTAAAGTGTATTTCGATAGGAGGTCAAGAGAAGAGACAAGACGAATGAGGAGAAGGCTCAGGTGGGTTGGATCGGAAGAGAATCAATCTGACTTAGGTTGAAAAAGATGAATATGAGATATGGGAATCAAGTCAAGCATCAATAATGCCATACCCGGGGCTTCATATACCTCACGGCACGCGCCGAGAATCAACGTCAGACATAGTTTGGACCCATAAGCTGGATTTGGTAGTGGTAGAGGATGGGTCCGAGAGAATATCGCCACCATCCAAAAGTGCGCGATTAGCCCCAACGATAGTCGGTGTCCCGGTTCCTGGGAAAGCCAAGGCAGCCATAATAATCTCAGATAGAATGAGAAAGAAAATCAAAATTTTGTGAGCTCAATAAAGTGTCCCGGCAAACTGCAGGATTCCTGCAGGAGCACGTTCCGGCTAGAACAGTGGGGCAAATATTCGTTAACATCCCGTTTGGGGGTGATCGACGAGGACGCGTCTTGGAAGATCATGAGTAGTGGAGCAGGTACGAGATCTGAGAGATCGAAGATGTGCTGCAAGAGATCTGAAGCTAGTGTAAGGATCGACCCCAGAGTTCACTCAACAGGGGTTCCACCTTAACGGTTAGGGCTTCTGATTCGGTCCCTTTGCGGTGACTCTGGTGACTCCAGGAATGAAATCTGACAAATCTGACGTGAAAGCGGCTTGGCATGCACGATTGACGATCATGTACAAGGATAGGAGTCATGAATCGAAGAACAGAATTACAAACTGATGGGGTGATGCCCAGGTGGACTTTGGGGTTTATCCTTTCAATAGTTCCGTGCACGGTTCAAGCAGCTGGGGCTATTCCTGACATCGCTCAGTGACTATCGACTTCCTTGTGTTCTTGTCATTCGGTGTCTATTATTTAGTCAGTGAATAGTGTCATGAGTGAACATCTGGTTTTAGAAGTGGCTTACCGCTAGGCATGCAAGTCTCTCATCGTTATTATGGTGAAGCTTTACTATAGACATTCCTAGGCCCACTCAGTAGTTGAGGTGCGAATGTCGAGTCGGACAAAGGGAGGAAATCAGACCGCAATGTTTACTTCGTACCTTTGCAAAGTTTTGAGCCCTTCGATCAGTAGCTGCAAGCCACACCATAACGGTGAACTGTGGCGCCTATGAAGATATAGTGGAGAAACCTATAGAAATATAGTGGAGAAACATACATGCCAATCACTCGGCAAGGCCGACACCCACAATAAACCCCGAAAGCCCGATTTTTGCGACACGAGGATTCTCTCTCCCTTTTTCCTTTTCAAAATCTCATATCGAAAATTGTTACCTAACAACAAAAGAAGACCGCACAGTGTGTGCGGATAGATTCAATAGCCACAAGTATTGGACACATAAGATCAGCCTCACTTGGGTCCAAACTCAAATATACCTTAGAAGTGGAGATAATCCTATACGGAGTCAGTCCATGTGTTCGACCGCTCCATAATGCATGCGAAGAATAAGCTTCAATCAGAATCCCTGTGCGACCCTTACCGAATCCTGTCTTAGGGCTGGATGATCACTGCCGATCTCAAACATTTCAAATCAATTCGGCTCCGAGCTGTGACCGATGCAAAGATACCGGGAATTGCAATGTGATTTGCTTTTTACCCTAAAGAAACCACCAGAAAACCCCGAAGATAGGTCGGGCTCCTATTATGATGCTGTGATGAAAGTGCATGCATAACAATGCTCGATTCAAAGCAGTTGTGAGACAAGATGTGATGGGAGAAGGGATCGAGAAAGCAGGATCGTCATAGCATAGTAACCAACATAGGCGTTGTATCAGAAAAGAGAGCGACCCCAATGAGGATGCAGAAACCGAAGCCCAACAAAAAGCAAAGATGGTGAACCTTACTTTCGTTATGATTTCAATAGTCGCACCGCCACCAGATCTCAGCCGCAGGTGGCTAGTTTGTGGCTCGAAAGCAAGGAGTGGCTCGAGGAGTGTGGCGGTGTAACTGTCTCTTGCCCAGTTAGGAAGGAACTTGGACCCCGAGTTCCTCCGGCTGTCCCGGACTGCCGATCACTTGATCTGATATCCGTTCATCCTTTGCTTCCGATAAATATCTACAATTTTAACATTTGAAAAGCAGGGATGGTGTAGTTTGTAAACAGAGGAATGCAGAAACAGCCTGACCTGTCACTTTGATATCAGAATTTTGAATTTCCATTAGCGTCATCGTGGTATTTTGCCACTCAAAGTGAATTCAGTGGCTAGACCATTTCTAGGCCGAGAAGACGGTAAAAAAATGACATATGCCTTAAGGTTTAACTGCCCAACGGACGATGCATTAATGTGAGCTGAGACTAAGTTCTGTTGCTATTTACCTACATAAAAATCAGTGAAAACGCTTGAATCCAAAGGAATAGCTATAGATGCCTGCCTTCAGCAGAGGAGATGTTACATGAGCAAGATGTCCTGACTTGTTAAATGTTGCAATTCAAACAGCAACTTTTTCCACAACTGAACGGGGGAATTCTTCAGTGAAAAATCACCACTGCATCATATGGCGCGTTAGATCTGCAGTCTTCTTGGCACGAACGAACATGTCTTTCTCGGATTCCTTGATCTCAACCGGAAGCACAGAGGTTGCACCCGGGGAGCTGGATGCCCAAATGATAGCCCGAGACAAAACCAACGCATCCTGCATCTCCAGATTGACCCCCTCGCCGGCAACAGGCGTCATGACATGCGCAGAATCACCGATCAACGTAAATCCAGATCGATCACTCCATTCCCACCTAACAGGCAGCATGAACAAGGAGCGGGCGACTGGCTCCTCTGCATGACGCAGTAACCAACAAGCCGCGGATCCCAGTCGTAACAATGTTCAACAACTGTCCTTTTCGCATCCTCTGTCTTGCTCATGTCACCGGTTGCCATCTCTATCCAGTCTTCTGGCAGCGCGCACCAAGTAGAAACCTTGATACTTCCATCTCCGATTTGCTGTCCAGTAAGCGCCTTTCTATCAGAGTATGCAATCACAGATCCTCGATTGGTGAGAGAATAAGAATCCGGTGCTTCGCGTTCGGAATAGTGAAAGTGATACCACCAATTCCAGAGTAATGCGGAATTTGGTCTAAGAGAAGCTTGCGGGTTTCACTCCATGCACCATCGGCGCTAACAATAGGGTCGAATCCACCCTCTGTGCCTTGGTCAATTGTGGTTGTCATCAATGAAGCGTAGGTGCCAGCCCCATTGGGTTGTTTTTCAGGGATGAAATCAAGAAGCATATTTCGGAGGAAAGAGCGGGTCAATCTCTGAGCGTCTACTGAAAAACTTTCTTTGCCTGGCGGTATGCTGATATACTTGGCGAGTTTCTTGTCACAGATGATCAAATTTTCTCCATCAAAGCGTGGGCGCTTTATGAATTCGTCGTACAGGCCAGCTTCCTTCAAGTCGGCCATCCCGGTGTCGAATGCAAGTCCAGACTTCCGCCTTGTCCGTGAGTGTGTGTCGAGACTTTTCTCCTTCAAATACGGTCGTCACTTGGACGTTTGGTCGACCGAGGAGCAAACGGGCAAGTGTGGAGGCCGGCGGGACCAGCGCCCACCATAGCGGTTCGGATTGAAGACAACATAACAAGGCGACGGTGGTGATACTGGAAGAGAAATTTTGAATGGAAATTACAGTATTTTTATACCAGAAGCTGAACGCACTGGTAATTGCTGCATAACCAATAAATTGATGACTGGGAGAGATGACCGAATTAAGAATCGGGAATCTTCATCACACAACTAAACGTCTCCGTCAAGGCTACCTCTCGATAGTGGATTCATATCGGGCTGGAAATGCTTGGTATATTCAACCCAGCCTATGAGAATGGCCAGTTGCCTCCACTAATACCTAGAAATATTTGCGCCAGGCAAAGTGGAGATATACTACACCCAATTCGGTCCAATCCGCGTTGGCTTTGGGCCCAAGTCCTTTCAAGCAATGAGTTTATTATCGAGGCTGTCGTGAGTCTGAAGTTATCCAAATATGCTGACGTTGAGGAAGTAGAAGCTACAACCCAAGAGCGAAAGCTATTGATTATACCTCTTGCAGTAAGAGAAGGGTTATATAAAGCAGTAGGACTTCCTGCTGAAGCGAAGATATTGGAGCAAGTAATGTAATTAAGCATGAAACCCTAATAATTTAGGCGCCAATGATTCTGATGGGATTATCACGTGGTACAATGGTCCACATTCCTGATTAGGAAGTAAATGTTCCTATATCAAAAGTGTCATGTTGTGCAACTATGGCCACAAATAGTCAAGTGTTTTAGACTCCAAGGGCCCTGGAGCTAGTAAGCTTATTGAGGAGGGGGTTAAGGGTCGATTCGTCTTGTCTCCAGGAATCGGATTGTTTTCTTTTTTCTTTCTTTTTTCGCGTGCCTCGAGTTGATTTTGATGCTATATTGAGCTATATTCATAGGTGGCAAAGATTCATCTGCTTTATTGGGAATGATAGCAGTATTGAAATGTAGGTTGTCACTGTAGAATGCTTGTTCTACAACCTAAATTTGAAATCATAGGATTAGAAGCAACCTAAGAGGTGAAATAAGCTGTGTAAGGTTTTCACTTATCTCTACGATGGATTTTCTTCAATCGCAATGTATGTAAGATGGTTCAAATAAGAACATGAACACATATTCAATGTACATATACACATCCATGGATGTATAGAGCAATTAAAAATGCAAAAATTCAGCCCTGGAGGTAGAAATAGAAATAGCAAGTGACTTTTGTGGTCGTGGCTTCCTCACTTTGCGATGTCTCCTTTGCATATCGCAAAAGGCAAATCTTCACAATGGTCTATACCTTTACTAAGTTCCAAAGATCAAGCCCAGGCTTTTGCTGATGGCGCCTGTGGCTATTCGACAGAGTCATTCCCTTGGACCTGGCCTCCCTCGCTTCCCAAAGCGACCACCAAATGTCCCGGTAAAAGTCAACAAGTCAATTGACCCTGAAGTGTTCGGCCAGCTGTTCGCTGGCACTATTGGAATATTTCTACTTGCTGTCTTGTTCTGGAAGCTTGGGAACTTTATCAGACGATTCAACCGAAACAAGGTGCTGAGGGCAGGCAAATCCACCGACACTCGCTACGCACGCACATGGTATGGCTGGGTCTCACAAACGACGCATGAAAGAAACAAAAAGTTTCTTCATGACATTTTTAGACGCATTTGGGATTCGATGGCATGGAAGTCTACCCGAGCTGACTATAGCTGGGTTTGGTGGGATCCTGGTGACATACAGAGACAGAAGCGCCAGCGAGAGAAAAGAGGGCTTTGGTGGTTACCGGAATGCCTCAAGAGCTACGATGACTTTCCAACTGCAGATGAGCTTTGGAATCCGTGTGCGCAGCCCCAATGTCATGGTGCTCTCAGGGAAAGCTTGTCAACATCTCAGGCTGTTCCGTTGCCGGATACTGTGCAGAGGCCACAAGCGCAAAAGAATGTGCTCGGTTCTATCTTGCGGGACAGGTCTTTCGTAAATAGTCCCAAGCCAGTGATCACTCGCTCAATCCTAGAAGAGCTTTACCGAGACCCCATGCAAGCCAGCGATAACAGTTCAAACCATCACCCAAATTTTCACTCATTCAACATAACAAGGCGAGATATTCCTGCTTCAGTAACTCACCAGAATATGCAGTCATTACCGTCCAGACAGCGTGAATCGTTTCATGTTCGAGCTTCAATTCCATGGTCGCTCGATGGAGTGTCTCAGGATATCTCGTGTCAAATTGAATCTGTCATGGATCATATGGAATTTCAATATGGAACCATGAAGTCGAAAGGCGCACCTCATATGAGAATTTATCAGTCTCATCGCCATACTTGTCCGCGCAGATATCGTAGATGGTCAGCACGAATGCAGCTGGAACCCAGAGCGGCGGTCTTGAAGAACGAAGGGGGTTCATCTGGCCCACCTGGGACCCCAAAGACTGAAATTTTAGCCAGCTATGTCTCTGATCGGAGCTCTTCATTTCACGGCCGTCTGAAGCAGAAGAGCAACAGCAAGCGAGGGCAATTGCAGATTTCCGAAGATCAAATATCTTTCGCTTCCAAAGTGTCTATTGGCAATCAAATTTTGTTCGAAAATGCAGGGCGGACTTATACCAGGACTATTCAATGGAACTCAGCCCCAGCCAGAAGTCATTCTCAAGGCAATGGGCTGATATCTCCATCAAGACCAACTTTGTATGACGAATGGCGGTCCATCTGTGACAAAAAGCATCCTTCCCTCCCCCGCCGCAAAGGCAAAAATGCAAAATCGAACGCGCTTCAAATCTCTCCAGATCAAATTCAGCCGACACAATGCGCCGCGGACGATTTGAGTGACTGGGAGGTCCGGATGCTGGAGAGGTTGGACCGAAAGCTTGTCTGGATCTTCAATGAATTTACCCCGGGACAGAAGCCTTACCATTTTGCCATGCTGGCCAATCACTGGATGAACAAAGAGACATGGATTGTGTATGACCCCATTTCCAGAGTACCCATCGATGCACGCCGGGAATGGGGAGACCCTCGATTCAATGCTCCTTATCCAAAACCAATTCTGAGTCCTAGGCCGAAGTACCCAGTTTCTAAGCGGAAGCGAGCACATATCCCTCGGATTGACTCCTGGCGAGCAGCGGTCAACAAGCAGAGGAAGGTATCCGGAATTCGGGAGGCCATTCGTACCATTACTCTGTATGAAGAATCAGCGGAGGAACCGCCTGATGGCCATATCGATCCAGCCTGTTGGTCTTTACCGAAACCGCCTCAAGGGTTTGAGATGTCTACGACACAACGGAACGCCTGGTACGAAGGAGGCGCAGGGTGGCAAGAAAAGCTCCACGACTGGCAGCAAGTTCATCATCATGGATACCGTATTCACAAAGCCATTCATGAAGGCCGAGTCAATCGAGAAAAGGTCAAAGGAGTGGCAGCGCAAATAAATAAATCTTGCCGAACCATCTCGGGCAAGTTGATCCCAAATTTCGATGTTGGAAAAATAAGAGCCTCAACCCCCATCGTCTCATGATCTGTCCAGGATTCTTCATCTCTATTGTCCTTCTCTTCCTCATTCATTATCCATTTGAGGCCCAGCAGCCGACGGTGTGCCCCCAACCCAGATAACAAAGCATGTCCACCGCTTCTTGTGCGATACACTCATTGTCACGCCTTTTCTGGCATGTGATATTATTATTAGCAGTTCCCGGAGATCCGGAGTACCGAAAAAAAGGGGCGTATAATCGAATGCATTTGAATTGAAAGCCTGATCTAAGCGCTGGGGTAATAATGGAATATTGTAAGCCACCATCCTCTTCAGAGTGGCCGCGCTGCAATTCCAAAAAGCCAAAACTCCGGTTGTCCATATGTTGTTTTTCGCTCCGACAAGTCCCCCGCCAGAGTCGAAATTTGGATGTATAGTACATGTGCGGGGGTGTAAAAATTCGCTTAGAATCCAGGAGGGTTGACACGCTGGCTGACACGAGTCCACTTGGGTAGCTCTGAAAAGAGAGGGTTAGCTGAATCGACCGAGGAGAATGGATTGTAGCCCTCGCCATTGAGAATGAAGACGTACTGTGGATGCTCTTGCGGTAGCTCTTCTCCTTCTTATCGAAGAGAGTGTACTTGTCCTTGGGCAGCATTTCCTCCTCACGCGGCATCTCCGCAAACCACCGAGTCACGGCCTTGGATGTCTGGCCATTGCGCTCGAGAGCGGCACTAAGGGTGTCGACGACTCTGTCCACGGAACGCAAGCGCTTGCGCTGACGTGCCTTTTGGGGGGAGGACAGGCGCCACGGGGTCTTCCTGTAATTTCAAAATTGTTAGCTTGAATGGTTCAAAGAGGGGTCCGAGTATAAAACACGCACCAGAGAAGACCACCGAATAATGCTTGAGTTGACTTGAACATGTTTGGTTGTTGGTGTTGAAGGGTGCAGCCGGGAGAAAACCGTGCTCGGTGTCGGGAGTGTAACTGGTCCGTGCACGGGGAGTATAGGATGCGAGTAAAAACATGTTTGTTGCTTAACCACGATGTCTGTATACAAATTATGCAAAATTGATGGGAATCAAATAGAGAAATTCAATTGAAATTGGTATCTCGCTATATAGGAAAAATTCTATCGAAAATTGGCGACTTTAGACTCAATAATTTGTTACGAACGATCATCCCAACCAAAGTCATGTGATCTCGAAAGATCAAATGATAGGGACGCGACTATTTTCTTGAACTTACCTCCACTCAATCGATTTTCCTCTTTGGGGAATATAATCCTTTTCAAGCTATCACAGGTCTGTATAAAGCTCTCACCTGTCTATGGATCGTTCATAGCACTCAGACGCCTTCCATCATGGACTCCAATGCAACGGCGGAATGCCCGTCCCTCCCTTGGAGGGCCTTCTCTAACACAACTATGTGGGGAGTGGCGGGTTTATGTCGCGGGTTCCTATCGGCTTTGTGTCATGCCGAATGTCACGGAAAAGAGGAGTTCACTGAGCTCTTGGACTCGCGCAAAGATTTGTCGCAACGAACGAAGGGATTGATTACAGGTACGCCGACAATTTAGCATAGTATATTGAATTGATGCAAATTCTAACTGAGTTGTTGAACAATAGTTTCGAATCATATTAGCGTGTACGTTCCTGCAACGACCTCGGGCTTCGAGGCGATTATTACCGAGACTACGGATAGAACTGACATTGTCCTGGGACTTTAGAATGGATGATCCATTACTATGGGGCATACTTCCCATGCGGTTTTGGAATAAACGGTGGTCTTTTGGAAGCTACGACATTTGTTACCAAACAAGGTATCTACACTTCCCCAGGGACGCTCACCTTGAATTGCTTTGCTTACTGGAAATCTTCGCAGACCCCTGTCGCTATTCTTTACCATGGGCAAAGTGCTACCGTGTCATCGTTCCGCGCATTCCCAATTTGGTGGTCTAGGCCAACCCGCCGTCACCGAAGCCATTCGATTGCTATCCAAGGGCCCATTCCCCGTTGACCACCACCGTGCTGCCCCCGAACGTCAGCGCTGGAGCCTACAAAACGTCTGCGTCGACCCTTTCTCGGACCTTTCAGTCGCCTATACAACCGATGGCGAGGATTCACACCTAGCGCCCTCAGCATACTCGTGCAACTCCAATTCATGGGTTCACATTTTCCCCGAGGGCAAAATTCACCAGTCACCACGAAAGACAATGCGCTATTTCAAGTGGGGAATCGCACGGCTAATTCTCGAGCCTAAGGAATGTCCGGACGTAGTCCCGATGTGGATCGAAGGCTTTGACGATGTTATGCACGAGAGTCGAGAATTCCCGCGATTCCTCCCACGGCCTGGTAAACGAGTCAGTGTTACATTTGGCTCCAAGGTAGACTCGGACAGTGTGTTTGGAGAGATGAGATCTCGATGGCAGAAGCTGAAAGCGAAGGTTGAGAAAAGCAACCCTGAGTCTCGAGATTTGCCCGTCGGGGTCCTGAGCGACGAGCTGTTGACCCACAAGGAAGCTGTTGAGCTGCGCAAAGAGGTCACTTTGAAAGTCAGGAATCTTGTTTTGGAAGTTCGCCGATCGCGTGGTTTGCCCGACGAAGATCCGAAGGAGGGCTTGGTTGATACCTGGCTGGAAGAGGGCTTCAAGCGTGAGGGCCACATGAAGGATGACTCCTGGGTCAGGGATATCTGAGCCCTTGTGTATAGATTGTATAAATATGTATAGAACTTGTTACGAGCCACTGAAAATCACATTTGCAGCACCCCAGCCAATTTGTTAGATAGTTCAAAGGCGAGAGAGCAATTTGCTGCTCCAAGTCATTATCGTAAGCATCACAACAATACTGTTCCATGATACCAACCCTTAAATGAACTTTCTTTGGAATAACAAATATTGCCACGGGGATAGTCCTATGCGACAGGCGGTAAGGCTGTAGATCAGATTAATTCTCCGGGGGCGATAAGCGATAACGGGGCTGAGCCTCATTTCCATCTGTAAATACCGCAACTCATGCCCAAAAAGCACCAGCGGTTTCATTTCAAACCTGCAAGCCCAGTACACCACAGCCTCGCATCTGGGTCGCATCAGAATGGCGGGGCTGGGGTATCTGGGGGTCGACGACCTCAGTCAACGACCTCATCACACATCTTCGCCGCACCCAAACCCCAAATGCTGCTACTGCTGACGACACCCCGACTCCTCGTCGTCTCCCCTCTGTTCCGATCCCACACTCAATACATCCATCTCTTAGAAGTATTCTCGAATTTCCCGAAGTTCAACCTCCTCAGCCCCGTCCTGGCGCTCATCGCACGGCCATAGGTGCTCGTCCGTCGCGGCGAACTGCCGGGCCCCCGCCGCCCCAGAGCTGGCTCGCAGCAAGTACCGAGGAGGTCCAGCCCGATAACTACTTAGTCGAAAGGTCAGAACACATGGAAACAATAATTTATCGCTTGAAGCGGCTTCCTGGTGCCACCTTCCCAGGCCCCATGAGTTTAACGCATCTGGTGCTTAAGACAATGGCACTCAACTGGGCCAGGCATGTGCAATACGACGGTCTTTTTTTGGCTGAGCTGCCAAACAATATGAAAGAGCTATTGCTTAGTTACCTCGCCGTGTTTACAAACACGAAGGGTCGGCTTCTGAATGGATACATGACGGGCTTCAAGCCACTTTTCTTGCCCCAGCAGGATCAGGATCACACTACTGGTGGCGAGTATGTGTTAAACGAAGCTGAATATCTTGGAAAGGACGCAAGTGTTATTCGACTGGACCTAGGTGGCGCAATAGGAAACTGGATATCTTTCAAGCAGCTGACGAATGAGTTGATTATCTCGAAATCCTCAGCTGCGGGTGTCTCAGGTCGCGAGCGAGAAGAGGAAGTCCCAGCTTCATGGGATGAGAAAGTCCAACCTAGCCACGCAAGAGATGCAACCCTCGCCGCCAACGCCTTCCAACCTTCGTCCATTCCCAAGGAAGTGACTCCCAAGCTGCGCTTTGAAAACCTCCGCTTCCTATCTCTAGCACACCCGACCCCAAGCGGTGCAAGCTGGACCGCTTTGCTCAGTCTACTTGCTCGTTTGACAAAAATCACCCACCTCTCCCTAGCACACTGGCCTACACCGACCCGCATTCCGGGTTCTAGAGTTCCTAGCATTGGCCACTCTCTATACCAATCGTACAGCGGAGCTGACAACCTTCTTCAGCCGGAGTGCGATTGGGCCGAGGCCGCAAGTATTCTCCGTCAGCTATCCCGTGCTACCTATTGTCTCAAATGGCTGGATCTTGAGGGCTGCGCAGACTGGCTTCGGGCTTTGAATTGGGTCGGAGAAGATCCAAACGGCGTTCCATACCCACCTGGTGCTGTCGGTCCAGACTGGAATGGTTCATGGAGAGACGTCGACTGGGTTGGTCTGGGCCCTGGTTGGATTCCGATCCTGAAAGACAATGATGGTAATTATGACCCCGCTGCTCCCTCCTCGAGCGACGACGAAGAGAGCGATGTCCGTCGGCTCAACAAACTTCAAGTTTACCGTGGCCAATTTCATACTGGACTGGCCGTGCGCCAGAGGCTTCGACAAATCAGACATGAGGTTAATGGGAAATGGATCGAAGTATCACTTGGGCTGGATGATGTCGCTCCGCAGATCATTAGACAACTGGTTGGCCAAGCTTACGCATTACATTCGTGAGCCCTGGATGGAGCTTGCGATCAAATTACAGCCTCACACCACTGCATGGGGGATATCACAGCTACCTGGATTTTCTGTCGACACTGGATTTGAACATAGAATCTACATAAGTCGTCTCGGTCCCCCGAAGGGTTAGAATCACTGTCAGTCTATTGAATGTGTACACAGAAATTCGCAATGAAAATATTTTAATTCATGTCTGACTGTACAATGGTATCCAGACCAAACGCCGGGAATTTTTAGACTAAGTAACTATTTCTTCGACCGATTAAACGTCTTCAGGGGGTCAACCTTACCGCCAGACTTGCCACGAGCACGGTTGCGATCTCTGGCCTTGCGAATGCGGTTCTGCTTGGACTTTGAGAAACCAACGTATCCAACATTCTCCTTGGAGATTCCCTTCCGTCCCTTAGCAGGCATCAGATAATCAGGAACATGCTTAAGATGGGCCTGGACACGCGCAGATCGCAATTCACCATCGTGGCGTAGCTGGCGCAATTCTTCCGGGTTATCCTCGAAGTGGCGCTTGAGCTTCTCACTCTTAATCAGTTCCTGTCGGATCTCGCGTCCGCGTGCTTCTTGCACTGCCAGTCTGGTCACGGCTCGCAGAGCATCGGTCATACGGTACCGGAATGCATCGACTTGGGCCATCTCGAAGTGATAGGGCTTGACCTCGTGGCCAAGCTTGGCTTGACGCTTGGTAATTTTGGCGAGCATGCTCTCGTCGTGCTTGGTGCTGGGAATTGAGGTGGGTCGGTGCTTGCCGTGCTGATCGGCGGGAACCACGAAGGAGAGGGCCATGCCGGCCTTTCCGGCACGGCCGGTACGTCCGATGCGGTGGGTGTAGGATTTTGAGGTTGTGGGGAGATCGAAGTTGAGAACACATGCGACATCTTGGAAGTCGATGCCGCGGGCAATGCTGTAATCCTTTTCTTTGCCGCTCATCTTGCGACGCTTCTGGGTCTCGGGCTTCTTGCCGTTTCCGCTCTCCTCCTGTGCCTCTTCATTCTCGCTATCTCCCATTTCTTCCTTGGTTTCCGCTTCTTCCACCTCTTTTACCTCGCGCACCTTCTTTGTCTTGGTACCCATTACTTCTTGCTCATCGGCTGCAACAATAATATCGTAGACACCCTTGTTAAACTCTTCGACAACATGGATCCGAGAGTTGATGGGAAGCTCCGAGTTGAGGACACAGCTCTTAAGACCGAATTGTTCGAGGAAAAGCTTGACGCGGTAGCAACGGTCGACATCTGCGACGAAAATAATGACCTTGCCCTTGATAAGCTGCAACTTGAAGATAACATATGTGAGAAGGAACTTCTCGTCTTCCGCGCATCTGTTGGACAGTGTTAGTAGTTCCTAATATGATGGGTTGGAATATATTGGCTTACCGGACGACGAACTGGCTCACACCAGCACCCTTCTCCTCCTTCTCCTCTAGTTTGAGAATCACAGGGTTACGACAGTATAGGTCCTTCAATGTATCCACCTCTGATGTGAGCGTGGCACTCATCAAAAATGTCTGCGCTCCCCGGGGAATGGCCTTGGAAAGAGCGTTGATTTCCTCATCGTAGCCATATGACAAAACCAAGTCTGCCTCGTCAATGACCAAATGAGTGATCTTGTCGAGAGAAAGAGCGGAGTTGTTGACATTGCTGTAAACGCGGGTGGGAGTTGACACAACAATATCGGGGAAATCAGCCAGCATCGAACGCTGGACTTCATCAGAAACCTTCTGTGTGAGGTTGAATGACCGAATGTCCTTTCCACAGAAGCTAGAGAAAGATGCAATGACTTTCTGGACTTGTTCTGCAAGCTCGCGGGTGGGGACGAGGATAAGAGCGGTTGTCGCTTTTGAGGACGGATCGGCCTTTTGAGTCTCTGCGATTAGAAAAAATTTCACTGAGAGGAAGAAGGAAGAAGGTACGAACAATCTTCTGTTGGAGGATGGCTTGCAAGATGGGAAGTACATAAGCGGCGGTTTTACCAGAGCCAGTTTTCGCACGGGCTGATCTTGTTAGCTTACTATAATGATGTATTTCAGAACACATAACGGTGCGAACTCACCCAGAATATCCTTTCCTTCTAGAGCCAATGGAATCGCCTTCGATTGTACAAGAGTGGGCTTGGTGAACTTTTCCTTGATCAGGGCCTGGCGCAGTCGAGGGTCGAGGTTGAGTGCTTCAAAGTCGAGGTCCTGTTCCTCCGCCTTAGCAGCTTTGGGGGATGGAACATCATTGGCGTCCAACTTGCGTTTCATTGTGACTTTTTGCTGTGTATCTGCTTGATCGAATCTGAGGAGATTGAAACTTTTTTGGGAAATTTTGTCGGGCGGTGAGTTTGTAGCGGGCGGTGAGCTCGTACTTATTTTTGGTGACATAATAAATTTATGCCTCAGGCCAAAATGGCTGCTCTCCTAGTACGTTTGTCCACGCGGGTATATCAAACCCTAAAAACCCTTGTCTAAAAATTGCCGCCATAATCATGACTTTGATGGCAATACATACACTATAGTCTACCCAAAGGTTATTCTAAGGTACTTCCTTCGGCTGAAAAAGCAAGAATCGCATTATAAGCTTTGAATAAGTGAACAATGTAGCCAGAAGGACGCACAGGAGGGCTATTCGTATCATTTAATCATTGTCTATATGCTAACTTAAGACAAAAACACATGCTAAGCGTCAGTCTTCAATATGTAGCCTTCCATGTATCTACATTCAAAGATAAAATCTCATATTTTCTCCCTTAAGTTAATCACCCTTTGCATATTCCTTGAGTCGCTCCGTGTCCATGATCATACCCACGGGCTTCACTCTGAAATAATGCTCAACAGTATGTTCCTTTTTAAAGTTGATCCTGAACGCGGGATTAAACGATGCATTCTTATCATGTCGAATAACTTCAAACGGGTTCCTGCTCATTTGAATCCTGCTTCTCATCTCATCTTCAGTGCTTTCAAATTGATCGCCCTGCATATAAATGCTGGCATGTCTGTTGGTATTGGAATTAGTGACATGAGGAGGCATGATATCATTTTTGAGCAACTGGCCAACATCTTGGCTCTACTTTGGTTCCAAGATGATCAACGCTATCTGAAGCCAGTGAATGCCTAAGGCATGAGTTTTGTTCAAAGTACAATCCATTGCGTTGATATGATCCATTCGCATCGTGATTCCAGTTCATTATTTACATAACTTATACAATTTCCCATATCAATATCCGTAAGTGGCCAAAGCCGAAAGAAACAACGCTACCCATAACCCAGGAGAATTCTTAAAGATCCAAAATGAATATCATAATCAATGTGAAGCAAATACCATAGCTCACGAGTAATGTGTCTCGCCCTCGCTGTCACTTAAACTATCGCGGCGACGACTGCGACCATCACGACGGTAGCCCTTTGTCAATCCGGGGATGGGGTGTTTGTAGCTCTTGGTACCGGAGTCTTCGGTGTCAACGTTGGAGTACTGGTATTCGGAGCGAGTGCCGGCAGAAGAGAAGTCCAACGGTTCGGTGTAGTGGCCCTGGGGTGCAGAGCGACGCTCACGGTGCTTGCGAGGACTGCTGGTGCGCGATGAGGGTGCGGGCGGAGGACCAGAGGGAGCTTCACTGGAAGTTTGACTGGGAGGCTGGCTGGGAGGCTTGCTGCGACGGTCACGGCGGCGGTTGTGCCGGCGAGTAGATGGATCTCGAACGTGGCGCTCCTCGGTTACTTGGCTGATCACATCCTCGCTGCCCTCTGTGAAAGAGAATCCAGAGGGATCCCTTGGGCGCTGACGTCGAGGAGGTGGTTGATCATAAGCAAAGTCGTGAGACTGGCTCATCTCACTCTGTTGGTAATATGTGGGTGGGGCTGAGGTATCGTAGTCACTGCCGTGGTAGGTTCCGTCGGCTTCGCGGTTCATTCCACCGATGCGAGCGGGTTTTTCTTCACGGTATGCGCGCACGTCGGCATCCTCTGCACCTTCCCACTGTTCTTGCTTGTTGCGTCTGAGGAGCTTCTCTTTGGCATCTCTGAATCTTTTGCGACGAGGCTTCTCTTCGGTGACGGTTGTCGCTGTTTCCGTGTATGAACCATCGGTATAGGAGTATCCATCATCGGTGTAACCCTTGCCGACGATACTGCCGCCGCCCAGCTTTGTACTCTTGGTTGCGTTACTGAGAGTTTTACCGTCTGGTCCCTTTCGACGCAGAACAGTCGACTTGTACTCGTCCCAGTCACCCTGGCGCCAGACGAACCCGCCGTTTCTGGCCCAGAAGAAGAACCAAATTCCACCGAGAACGAAAGCTGCCCCAATGATAGCAAACAAGGCCATCAGACCTTGCATCTTGATACTTTGTGGGTCGATCGTGCCTTGGCCCCAGGCCCTTGTTGTAGTCGCTTCATCGCGGGAAAACAGAGTATGGGTGTTGAAGTCGAGAGAAGAGGTAGGCTTTGTGTTTTCATTCCCAGCATCGCGAACATACAGTCCGCCAACTGCCAGTACCGGAATTTCCGGGCTATCATCGATCGGAACTGGAGCCATAATGAGAGATTGGAGGGGCCGAGAGCACTCAGCTCAAGACTTGGCTCACTTAAACCACATTAGTATATCGAACATTCCTGCGATCAGTGGATCTCAGCTTACCTTGATTTGAATAATTAGCACCAGTCCTAGATAAAGGTAGATATTTGACACTGGAATGTGGGCGTGGAATGTGAGATATAGAATCGAAGCACAGTGCCTAGAGGGTTATCAGTAAATTGAAGATGTGAATATGGGAAACCACCAAACCAGAATATGATCCAGCCTGACTTGCCTAATGAAATTGAGGAGGTTGGAGGAGGCTGGGGCTTTGTTTACGTTGGTAGTTGTCACGGGCAACCCTGCTTACATCATCCCCCACACGGTCCACTGTCGATCTATAAAAAAGTGTCGATCATCGAGCTACCTATGATTGTATACATATGCATGCATTGTACGTTGTGCGTGGTACGTTGTACTGCATTGATCCCGACACATGAAACATAAGGAAATGGTTTAAATTATTTACTCAGATCCACAAATGCCACCCGCGGGAGGTAAGCCTTGAGGCAATGCCTCCATTGAAACCGAAATCATCAGACAGCTTGCGGGGTATCAAAACTGAGAAAAGCAGAGAGACCTCAAAGCCAATAAATAAAACAAAACACAAAGCACTCAAATGTCATAGATCAAATCAAGACAAAGCCCAAATTAAACTACGTTCAATTCCAGAGGCCAAATACAAGGTAAAAACGTAGAATATGGCCAAAGAAAAAGATGACCTGTTAGGACATGACAAGTAAACAGATATGGGTATAATCTCTCTCCGCCAGGAGTCGCGAACAAAGCAAGGAGAAAGACACAGACCCAATGACAAGAAAGGCTATACACAAAATCGCTGACAAAAAGTAGACAGAAAGTAAAGCACATCAGACTTGTCATCGCAGGTCATCAGAATCGTACAATCATATCGCCATAAACAGGTGACACATCATCAACATAAAAGGGTTTCGTTTCGTGCCCGACCGTTTTGCCCAAACACACACAAAAAATGGAAATTGAAAAAAAGTCCAAAAAGAAAATAGAAACTCGAAACAGTTGCAAATGAAATTAACACAAAAGTCCTCCCAACGTAGCGAGATGGCCAGCTCTTAGACGGTCATGGAAGTGCCCATCCAGCTGCCCAACAATCTCGCTTATGTTTTTTGTTCCGGAAAAAGAAAAGCACCCAGAACCCGAAGAAATGCAACATATGCGAAGCAATCGAAACTTTTGACAAACGAAGCAGCCAACCAACGGCTATGCAGACACAAGATGGAATCACAACAAAAAAATAGAATACCGAACCATTGTAAACAGACGATGAAAAGAGAAAAAACTCAAAGGACAAAATCCAACAGCATAGGAAAGATCAATGATGGTAACGACCCGTGTAAGCAGACTGGCTATCTCGGCGACTAGCGCCCGACCGCCTATCGCCGCGGGGACGTCGCCCATCCTCAATCTCCCGGCGGCTGGAGCCACCCGCATAGTCAGAGCCAGTGCCATTAACATACTGCTTGGGTTGTCGAAGGTTGCCACCGATGTTCAATCGTACAGCCCCAGTCTCCCCGGCACGAATGTTAACGGACTTGCCTGCCAGAGCTTCCTGTGTAAATCCAATTTTCAATCCGTTCAATGTTAGGGTCATATTTTTGTCTTCTTCCGTCCGTGAGCCTGTGCCGCTACCACGACTGCTGTTGGATCGGCTCTTTTGACTGCCACTGTCGCTGCCATTGCGGTTGGACGTTTTAGCAGGGAGCACATCTTGCGAGAGAGGCAATGTGGCAGCCGATTGTCGGCTGGCCCGTGCTTCTGCCTGGTAGGCTTCAACTTCATTTTCGCGGTCTTCGAGATCCTCGGCGGTGCTAGATGGTTCGTAGTAGTACTCGGTTGGCTTTCGCCGCCGAGAGCTCGCCACAGCAATCTGAGCAGACCGACGCTCATCCTGGTAGGACGTAGAGCGTCGGGTATCTCTGAGGCTGTGGGTTCTCTCTGGCAGTGGAGCATCCCTTGACATACGACGATGTCTCCGATCCGGGACCACCGGCAGGGCATCTCTCAGATCTGGCATGTCCATTGGGTCATAATCTCCTCCCATGACTCTGGAGGTGCGGCGTTGAGAGGGAACGGTGGCAGCGCTGGTGTGCATTTTTCGTGCTTCGGGTCGCTCTGGGCGTTTCACCTGGTGGACTTGTGGGTTTGATCTGGGTTTTGGTTTGGCCATTGGTGGTGGTGGTGGTGGTGGTGGCGGTGGTGGGGGCATTCGGTAGTAGTCCTCATCCTGTTCCTGGTGGCTTGTGGAAGGACGACCACGGACCTCTCGTGAGGAATAACGCTCCAGAGGATGATCTTCCTCATACCAGTACGCTTCGGGTTCCATGGGCGGGGGCTGTGGAGGCCCATAGGTCGATGCAGATCGACGCCGCGATGGCTCCCGGGATTGGGACCGCTCCCGAGTATAATCCGATGGAGGACCATACTCCGATGCCGACGGGGCATAGTAGGAAGATTGACCGTAAGGAGATGATGAGTATTGGCTTGGCATATAGCTGGTCGGTGGGTGACCAGGGTCGTATCCTTGCATAGAGGACTGGCTGTACATCGGAGATGTCATTCCTGATCCCATGCCTGGTGGCATGCCGCCATGGAAACTCATAGGACGACCATTGGAGTGGTAGGTGTTATATGAATGGGAGCGGTGGGGTCGACCAGAGTGACTGACGTGGATGTTTTCAACAGCGCGGGGGTATTGAGTCGGATGTGGGGAGGATGCAAAGTCCGGGACGGGAGGTCGTTGTTGAACGTAATAAGGATACTCACCCGGTCGATGATCCATCGGGGTGGAAGGGTGGTAGCCACCAGAGTAATCGTAGTAGCTATCATGATACTGGCGGGGACGCTCCTGTCGACGAGGCTTGGAAGATGACCGATGCGCGTGAGCATGATGGGCAGCGCCCGAAAAGGCACCTACCATCTTCTCTTCGCGCGAAGGCCTTGATTGTTCCGGGTCCCTGCGATATCTGGTGGAAGTTTTTCTGTTGAGGTCGGTACGTTTGGGATTTTCCAGCTTAAGAGGGCTGGGGTGACTTTTTCCGCCTGACGGGTCAGATTGGGTGCTGTTGATTGTGGCGGCGGTGCGACTAGAATAACCTGAGTCACTGGCGCCGTCGATCAGCGGCTCCGGAATTCTGGGATCCAACCTGGAAAGTTTGACAGCACTATTGGGAGCAATATTTGCTGACAGTCTAGTGCCGGGTAGAGGAGCGTTGGAATCTTCGTCGTATTCTTCGACATAGGCAGCCGGGGGGCCCTTACTGGCCATAATGTGGGCTGCAAAATAGGCGACCCTAAGAAAAAAAATTAAAAAAACAGGGTTGGCCCCGTTCGTACAAGGGGGGCGACGTGTGTGGCTCCCACAGGGCCCCAGAGATGATGTCCGACTTACAGGAAGCCACTCTATTGACGATGAGTCAGATATGCAGTCTTCACCTTTTTTTCTTCCCCCTCTCTCCCCTACTTCTTTTATTTTTTTTTTGCTTGCCCAACCCCAAAGCGGGCCACTCAAACAAAGTAATTGGACCTGCCGATCGCAGCGGGCGATGGCAGGCAAGCAAGCGTATTTCTGTCAAGCGGAAAGAGCTGAGTCGTACTTTCCAAGTCGCAGTATCTCCATCGAAGTAGTTAGGCTAAGAGTCGGGCGGAAAAAAAAAGTGTTGGGTCAAAGAGAAAGAGAGAGAAAAAAAAATTTAGAAAGCCTCTCTGGCAGACGATGAGTGGTGGAGCGGAACTGCAGCTGCAGGAGACTGAGGTTGGGTTGAGAATTTGGGATCCTCTGCCTGACGGTCTTAGAACCCGGTGGGGGGAGTGGAGTCGATGGGCAGCGATAAAAAAGAAACAAAGTGAGGGGTGATAAGAGATTTAAAAAGACCTGGAGAATACAAAGAAGTAGAAAAAGTAGAGGATAAAAGAAAGAGAAACGAAAGGCAAGTTATTAGGCAGATAGAAGGGACAGGCGGGTAAGAAAAATAAGAAAATCAACAAGCCAAACAAAATAAAATTTCAAAAAATAGGTATTATTGGTTTCACGAAGAGGCTCTCGGGTTCATCGGTACCCAACTCAACAGAGAGAGAAAGGGAAAAAAAAAGAAGAAAGTGGGGGGTGGGAATCGGCGTCATCATTTCTTATTTATCTCTCTTGTCCTTGTCTATGTTCTATTGGAAATTTTTACTTTTATTTTTCTTTTATAAAAAAACCCCCCAGAAAATATCAATGTTAGTTGAAGTGTTGTATACACAAATACAAAATGTATGTACATATACAAAATATTGTACATACAATATCGTATACATCTATGTACATATTGTATAATTTTTTGTTTACTGTTTTAAGCTCTTGGACCCGCTAGGTAATCCTTGGTTTCAATCATTAGGATCCATGGTTAGTTCTGTTCTTATTTCCATTTCCTGACTCATTCACAATTTGTGCCCACAGGTGTATTTAGGTATGTGATTCTTTATCTTTCCGTGTCTTGAAAAAATCGGTTTGACGTAGTATTCCTATTTCTCCCTAAAGTGCATTGTGACTAACGCCCAACTGTGTTTGCGGCCCAATGATCGCCTCCACCGTGAAGGGTCTTCCCTGCAAAGAAATTAAAAGAAACCGTCCGTCCCTCAAAATTCGGTTTATTTTCGGTCCCTCCCCGAGAGCAAGCTATTCACTTTGGATCTTGTGTGCCAGTATCATCTCAGTCTCTGCAAGGTAAAGTACAATGACAATGTATGCAGTACCTACGCGGGAAAAAGTCGGTGGGGATGACACCCTGCAGCCTGCAACATCCACGCTCTACATATTGTATAGTGCTAAGGTCACTTACAAACCACTATATAGTACAGAAGAAGTATTGTATCAATAGCAAAGTCTGGCACAATTGCCACCTTGGTGGAGTCACTCAGTTTACCTTTCTCTTGATTTCTCATTGAAAACCATGCCAAATGGCACTAGAAGCGAGAAAATGGGACTGAGCCCTGCATGGTATTCGTCCTCAGCGACCCCTCGTCCATGTGGCGGACTGTCTTTGGATGTCGTCTCTTCTCCGCCTGCAGTACACATTTTGTCCTTTCGTGACTCACACAGCGAGACCGCGAATGCCAAGGTGCATTCAATCAAAATTCAATGTACTTGTACAAGTCTTGAAGTATTGCTATTGCCTCGACTAGAGGACACTAAACAGCACTAGTATATGGTCGGAACCTTTTGGTTGCAAAATCGGGTTAGAGTGGTATGACATGCAGCACGGACGGTCTATCATCGCCATTGTGGATTCTTTCACATCCCTTGCGTGGTGAGATCCAGAGGTTCGTGAGAGTTTCGCACGTGCGAGAACATCATCGTGAAAACTGAGAACAATCGAAACCTTCAGCGCTAGCCATTATCCGAAACATTGAATCTCGATGGAATGAGCGAATGGGCAAACGGGTCAAAGCGGTGTTGGTCAGCCAAAGAGGCTCAAAAAATGAGGACAGGAAATGGGCTCCGCTCCAAATATAACTCCGGATCCCCATGCGGCTCTAGTATTCATAGTCTCTAGGACTCCCACTTTCCCTCACTTTGACACCTTTGATGGGCGTGATCGTAAGCCTTCGCATCGGGCCCGGAAGTACCATGCGTACCGGGACATATCTTAATTCGGATCGCAACAGTTAATAAGCTTTGCTCGCATATCTTGTTCAGGGTACAAGAACTTTGCCCCTCCTGATAGCAAGTTTCCGACTCTCTTGATTCATTGATCCCATTGTCCGATTGATTAATCCCCCTCCTTCGGGGAAAATAAGTAGGTCAAGGAGCGACCCCCTTGCGTCCCTATGCGGGATGTCATCAGCTTCTCGAGGACAAGATCTTCACCGCTCTTTCGCGAATGCGGATAAATGTCCATCCAACGTGAAAATCAAGGACAAGTGGTCGAATCCTATTCCTTCTTTGGTTCGACATGCTTCTATCGGGACTTTGAGTGGATTGAAGCGGGAAGAAAACAACAGATGACTTGCATACGGGTCTATGGATGCTCAGATTGTCGAATGTTTGTGACTAGCTAGCTGTTCTTGCTAACTCTAGATAACCTTTTGGCATAATGGCGTTGGCTATCCCGTACTAGGCCTTGGCACGCAATCTTTGATTGTGATCGTCTGATGTAGTACGAAAACCAATCGTCGTGTAAGTAAAGCGTTCCCGTGGCTGCGCCCACGTATTACTGAAATGCTACCAAACTTACAGCAGCCTGCTAGATTGGGGCTTGTGGCGTGTTTCCAGGGTATCGGGGCGTAGGTGGCTGTCGCTGTGGGAGAAGCTCCCCGAGAAGCGGTGATTGCCGTGTCTCAGATATAAGCTAATGAATTCCTGAATTGCATAAACATATCTAACATGCGGAACCCACACAGCAATATACAATAATAACCCAACCAAAAGAAACACCACGGTCCTCTCGCGAGCTCTTCTTGCTAGGACGATGTTGGTCCTCCTAGTTCCGGCGCAGATAGAGGGCAATCCATCCCAATAGCCGGTAAACCGCAATGATACCGACTAGAATGCCGGCCCACTTTCCAGTTCGACCAGTAGCATATCCATATGACTCCAGGACCGCAGTGCCACGAATGAGACATTGATCCGCGAGGTCAGTAGTATACGTGCACCGACAGTGGGCACCGCACGAGTAATTCCGCTCCGCGAACTCATTGACCATCATACCCTGGAACACGTATGCCTGAGCATTGAGAACGTTAGTTTCACAAAAGAAAAATAAACCTCTGATAGCAGTGCGTCAGCATACCTGGTAATCGATGTAGTGGAACACGTATTTCCAAAACGGATTGAGAATCGTCGGCGTGACCAGAAACCCTCCGACGCTCATCCACAGTCCATTTGCAAACGCTACTAGTGCCAAGGCGATCACGAAGTTTGGGAATATCGCTGTCACGAGGACGACCAGCGATTCGGCGGCCACCAGATCAAGGAAAATCCACATCACCCAGGTGAAAAAAGCTTCTGCTGTTGGTTGGAAGTTCGAGAGCCAGTATGAGACAATTGAAAAGAGGAGCGATATGAGGACTGGATTATCGTTAGCTCATGGCCGCATAGCAGGGGCTTGTGAATAAATACACAGAAAGGGCAGCCCGATGAGGAAGTTAGAAACGATGAATGGTGTTGCACCGTATAGCCCGTTGGCCCGCTCTTTTGCAAACGTTGCCCGGTCTTCAAGGAACGCCGGAACATATGCTACAGCCATGAAAGACATGAACGCGGAGCCAAAGAACTATTCTATGTCAGATAGCTGATCCTTGATGCTTGAAACACTAATAGACTCACAATAGCATTGATGAATGGCTGAATGTACTCCTGTGAGGGGTGAAGTCGTAGCCATACTGTACCCATCATGATAGCCAATCCTGTGTCATGTTAGTCGCTGTAAGCTTGGGAACTGTTATCAATCATACCAAGATACATAAAAATGCGAATTCCATATGCGATGACATCCCGGTAAGACTTGATCCAAGAGCGATGCAAAAGAGCCGCGGTAATTGACAAGCCTCCTGGTCGGGCCATGTCTTCCACGGATCCTTTGTTCGCAGTTTTCTCAACTAAATGGAATCGCTCGGATATCTGTCTGGTGATAGCATTTGCCTCACTTGATCTCGCCCAGGCATTCTGAATGATTTGAACTCGGTCACCGGCCAATTCCTTGGAGTTGGTGAAATCAGAGCTGACAATATCCAACAGGAACTCGGCTGGGTTGGTCTGTACAGGGATTGGATATTCGATGGAATTGAAGTAACTTTCCACCCCTATGGTTGACCCAAAGTAACATGTTCTCCCAGCTGAAAGGAGGAGGAGCTTATCAAAAAGTCTGAATGTTGTGGTCGATGGTTGGTGAATACTCGCAATAATGATGAGCTGTCATGAAACATGAATAATTAGCACCCACAGGATGATCAAGGCTGATATACTCACATTATTGGCCCGAGCAAGCTCTTTTGCATACGAAATTACCTCAAAGCTGGCTGTGGAGTCCAGGCCACTGGTTGGCTCATCCAGAAATAGAATCTTGGGACAGGTGATGAGCTGGCTGGCAACGCTCACCCGCCGCTTTTGACCACCGCTGATTCCCTTTCGAATGGGGGTTCCAACCAGCGTGTTTGCTTGTTTTTGGATACCAAATGCTTCTAAGAGTGTTCGATTTCGGTCCATGCGCTGGAGCTTTGATACGGAACTAAAAGGAAAAGAAAAATACAGTCAACACCAAAATGTATAGCCGAGCTCCGTCGCTCGAGATTACAACATATCATACCTTGGCAATGAGAGATCTGCTGCGAACTTCAACGTTTCCTGAACGGTCAAAGACCCTATCAACGCATCTTCCTGCTCGACATACGAGGTCATTCGTTGGAAAGCTTTTGAGTCAACCTGTGAGTTGTTCACATATGTCTCCCCGAGCACCTTCGCGCCAGATGACGCGGCCCGTCGAGCAAGGACATTGAGCAGGGTCGTCTTGCCGCAGCCAGAGGGCCCCATCAAGGCAACTAGCTCCCCTGTACAGCAAACATCAATGAATAAACCTTAATTTAAAATATGGACCAGGATAGATACCATGTTGCGCATCACCGCTTATGTCATTGATCAGATCGCGGGCCTGCTTTGTCTCGCGATCTTTGACCGTGACCGTCAGACCATGCCACGAGAAACTTTGGACTATCTGGTTCATCAAGAAGTGGCCACTATCATTTCGCTCCAAGTCCGGGGGACTGGCCGAGTTCGAGACCGAGAGATCGCCCATGCTGCGAGATGGGAACGGTTGACGACAGATACGAGTCGGCCCACGTCCGGGTCTGCAGACTCAGCTTTTATAAATTTTGATCACACCCAGTCTAGCCATGCGGTGATTACATATCCCGGTCGAGGGGTGGAGTGGAGTGTGACCATCAAACATTCTACTATGTGGAGTCCGAGGTCCCCGACTGAGGCTGAAGAAAGTAGGGCTCCCGGGCTCGAACGGGCTGACATAAGATTCTTTATTGTGAGGGTCCCGATGTCCCCAGGTCCCCGAAGCGCTGGACGATGTTCATTTATCCTGTAACGGGCTTTAAAAAAAAATGAAAAAAGAAAAAAGCCTTGGCTTACTCTATGGCTGGGCCCAGATGACTTTCGTGGTAGACGCATTATTGTTGGATCCTGTGGAATGCCCATGTCATGGCTGTAGAATGTACGGCCAGGTTTCGTAAGTCCAGTCGAGTCGATTTGACAGCCACATATTTGGACTCCGGAGTTTTCCACACTTTCAGCCGTGACGCTCATATTTACGGTGTTGGAAAAAGCTAGCTAGCAAAAGAAAAGGGGGATTGTAGTCCCGACAATGAAGAAGCACAATGCCATTTTATTTGCCCCGCTCTTGGCGCCCAATGCAACTAAAATAAAACCAAGATATATCGATAAAGGGAAGTGTTTAAAGAAGAAATAAAAACTCCAAGACCGAGTCCATTTACATACTGGTAGGCATAAGTTAGTAGGTGCTTCCTTGGCTTGAGTGGGTGATACTAACCGCTCGACGGGGTTCAGACCGAGAACCCGCATGCCGTTGTTCAGAACCTGGCGGGCCGAAGCATACAAGGCCATACGGGCCTGCTTAACATCGGGCTCGCTGCCGATGACCTTCAGGACATCATAGCTGGAGCTCAGCATGTGTGTCATGCGGAACAGATAGCTTAGGACAGTGATGGGCTCAAGAGTCTTAGCAGTGTTCAGGAGCACGTCGGGCCACTGGGCCAATAAACGGACCAGGTCAACGGCATGCTGCTCAGTCAAGAGATCAAAGTTGGCATTGACCAGTTCGTTCACATCCAACTCGGATTTGCGGGTCATTGAGCAGAGACGAGCGTGAGCGTACTGAAGGTATGGGCCAGTGTCACCTTCGAAGGATGTCATGGCGTCCAAGTTAAAGTCGTAGCCGTTGACACTACAGAAAAAAAAAGAAATCAGCATGAAATTCATATTAGAAACCGGGAAAAAAGGAGTTGCACATACCGCTTGCCAGTCATATCTTGCACCATGACGGAGGTGATACCCAGAGTATCGGCTGTCTTCACGGGGTCCTCGACTTGCGCATACTTGACATCGTTCTTCTTCATGACTTCATGCATCTTGTCACCGACATCGCGCAGGATATCATCCAAGAATTTGACAGTACCCTTACGAGTACTCATACCACGGACCATACCGAAGTTAATGTGCTGACAACGAGAGGCCAGATCCTTGTGGCCCATGAGCTCGGTGACCTTGAAAAGCTGAGCCAAGTGGAGATCCTGTTGGGAAGCAACGACATAGATCATCTTGTCGAAGTGGTACTCATCATCACGCTCGGTAATGGCACCGATGTCGCGAGTCAGGTAGAGGGGAGTTCCATCCTTGCGAACAATGATAGCCTTGCCCAGCTTCTTAGCACCGTGCTTGGTGAAGTCAACAATCACAGCGCCTTCGGAGCTCTCGGAGACACCAGCCTTCTCCATAAGCTTGTAGGCATCGGTCATGCTCTCAGATTTGATCTGAGATTCACCGGAGTATACATCGAAGTCGATGTTGAGACGGGCGTAGGTCTGCTTATACTTCTCGATACTGAGTTCACGGAACTTGCGCCAGAGAGCAAGAGCTTCGGGCTCGCCGTCCTCCATGCTCTTGAAGTAGCGACGAGCTTTTTCGTCCTCGCTGACATCCACGAGCTTGGCGAGCTGTGCCTCCAACTCAGCAACGTCCTCGCTTTTCTCTTTCTTGGTCTTGATTTGTTCCTTCAGCTCCTTGATGGGGCCATCCTGCTCGCTGACGAGAGCGTTGACCTTGACATAGACATCGAACAGGTGGTTAATGGGGTCTTTAACAAGAGCATCCTCATTACCGAAGTACTTGAAGCCATTGGCCAAAAGGCCGTACTGCTTACCCCAATCACCCAGGTAGTTCATCTTGATCACATTCCATCCCATAACAGTGTAGATGTTGGCAAGGAAACCACCGATGATAGTGCTGCGCAGGTGACCGGCGTGGAAAGGCTTGGCGATGTTCGGCGAGGAGAACTCAATGATGATCTTCTTCTGGCCCTTGGAGGGGTCGGAGGGGTCCTTCTGACCCTGGTTGCCGTTTGTTCCATAAGCAGCCTTCTCTTTGAGAATGCGACCAAGAACAGTGTTCCTCAATGGTTGAGGTTTGCAGAAGAACTGCACATGAGGACCAAGGGCGGTAGGAGGGTGAATAAGATCGGATGCCGGGAAATTGGCCGCGACTTCGCTGGCTAGCTCCGCGGGGTTTTTCTTGATTTGGAGAGAAGCCACCTGGGGTAAAAAAGCGTTGTTAGTCCATGTAAAATACATAACATGCGAATAACTCAATGCGGCACAATGTGACGTACTGGCAATGAAAGGTCGCCCTTGTCTAGTGTGTTAGTCCACGCAACACGGGCATAGATCTTTTCGACGGGGACGCCAAGGTTTTTGCTGATTTCAGTCGCGATATGTTCACGGTAGATATCCATTGGGTTCAAGGTCGGGAAGCACCCGGGGATCTCAGACCGCTGGTCAGTCGATTGGAGGGACAGGGCCGCCACGGAGGCAGGGAGGGAAGTGGAGGCCATGATTGAAGATCGCGATGTAAACTGCGCGCGATGGGGTATTAGACACTTCAAGGAACGCGAAGTTGTAGGGGGAAAGCGCAATAGAGAAAAAATGGCTGTGAATCGCCGAGCCCCGCTTAGACAATGACCCATAAAGAGGGGGACTTCTCTCTTCGGGGGAATCTTTTTTTTGCCCTTTTTCTTTTTTTTTTCTGACTCACTGATTCACAGGGCGGTGGGTATTGTCACGTGAGCCTAGCTATACCTACTTATTTTTGGCCGTGAGAGTTAATTTTGGTCTATAAGTGGTTATATCCAATCTAAAAGGCGGGAGGAGTGGGAATTGCATTCAAATTTTAACAATACCCTTGTTAGACATAGATTTGTACCATTATATCGAAATCAGCGCTTGCTGGCAACTGAAATAGAGTTCCTAAACCTGCCTCGTTGACGTTCAGATTATGGTCATATTATTGAGGGTACGATGAATACATATTTCCATATTTAGCATAAGCTGCATCGATGTTATCATTCATATTTGGTTGTTCTAATCGTTTTCATGACTGGAGAGATTGAACTGTTCAATGTTAGACCAATATCGTATACTCGCTATCTGACCAATCATAGCATGGCTCCCGTTATATATGACATCACCATCCAGGTTTCTTGATATTCGTACTCTGTACATCTGTAGGACTTTGCATTTTCATTTCTACTCTTAGCTGATATTTCACTGCATATAGTCACATCCTTACAATGGCCAAGGGTAGTCGGGAATCGGCTTTGACAAAGTCTATACAGTCTGCGTTGACCCGTGACCCGGATCGCTTCAAGAAGACTACCTTGGGGAAGGTGCTTGCTTTTTTCTCGGTGCGTAAAATCAAATTGATACGATACGAGAAAGAAACTTTTGGGCGACTGCGGTATGAAGTCTGGGAATTCGATCAAGGTGAATACCAAGCAAGCTTTCATACAACGAGAGGACAGCCTCCGTTGAAGGCGATGGGAGATTTAGGTTATTCGGGCTCGGTGAGAAAACATGACCGATCCTAGACTTGATCCACTCTTACTAACATTTTGCGGACGTTCTTCTCTACATTTGACACCCGTTTGCTCGTCAAGAGCTTACCACGCCATTTCGAATATTCTTTCTTCGAAAATGATCTTCTGGAGCCTTATGTCGAATATATGTCTCAGCACCCAAATTCATTGTTGATATGGATTACCGACTACATATTGGCGCCTTACGTCACGCTAGGCACACTATTTGGTTGCACTCCAGCCCGTCACATGGTCATGGAAAACACCATGTGCGGCCGAGAAGATGATCCAGCCGCCGACAAGTGGGAAATTTACGACTTGAAACCAATTGATTACTTTTATCCCGAACGCGATTTGATACCAGAGTCTTTAGTGAGCCAGGAAACACTCGATAAGTTAGCAGATAGCTTTAACGATAAGCTTCATCTATGCCGTGCAGACTACGAAGCCTTCTGGGAAATGATCCAGGACGATACTAAGTTTCTACAAGATGCCAATGTCGTTGATTACTCTCTGCTTCTTATACGAATACCTTCAGCCTCAGATGTTTCAGTTAAGGGGCGGAAGAGTCCTTGGCGACTAGGGCTGCCGTCCGCTGACGGAAAGTGGAAGTATCGTGCATCTGTACTGGACTTTTTCTGGGCTCGTCATAAATTCCAGCCTCTGGCACTTTCGGGTGTGGTACAAACATTTAATGTTGTTGGAAGACAGGGTCCTATGACTATCACAACGACTCCGAGCGAATATCGGGAGAAATTCTTGGCCATGGTTGAGGAGATAATCGAAGTGCATTGAATAGTATTCTGACCTCCGAAGATGAGTGTTTCATTTGAGGTGGATCTCGAAGTCACTATTGACTTGATCATACAACAGCAATTATGTGATGGAAGGACAAAGGCCCAGGGCCACGATCTTTTCCTCTTTGTTCTAAAATTTCAAACACCGTTCAAACCACATAGGATCAACAAAAATCATTGTAATAACAAACCCTTTGTTCCCAGCCTTGGAGCTCAAAGGCAGTAGTTTCGGCTGGGTACTATTTGTATCCTAATGTCGAAGATTTAAATGACCAGGGTACCCCCCAGATTATACCAGAGCTATCATCCCAGAGATGAGTCAACACACTGTTTTCACAGTTCCCTATAATTCAAGACAGTCACAAATTTGACACAAGCTAACCAAAATGTCCTATTATATAGTCGCTCACAAGGGCGATATTGGTGTGCCCAAGGATTCAAAGTGGATCAATATCGTCTTCAAACCCAGTGAGTACTTTTACATGCGCACTGATAAGGCAGCGATCAACCGGGTTATCGAACGTCTCCTAGAAGGAACGTTCAATTTCACCATGAAACCTCTAGATAAATGCCAAAGATGGTGTATTTCACTTCCGGTCCCTCGCTGGAATGGATCGGACGAAGATTCAAGGGAAGCAGCTTTAGAACTTGCACAGTGGTACAAGGAGCAGATTCTCGCGGGGAATGCAACTATCAACAGAGCGCTACTTTTTAATCGGCAACCGTTCAACGCAGGTAAGGCATGTTGCAGGAATAATACCTGCAACCGAATTTTGCATCCAGAACGATATAAGAAACCTGAACAGAATGAGAGGGAGATTGAGATTGAGAGGGAGAATGAAACGAAGATTGAGACAAAAATTGGGATGGAAGTTTTTCCTATTGACAACGGCCTTTTTTATTATGAGCTACAATAGAGGCAAGTTCTGGAAATGCTATTTCATATCCAGACCGTATAAACAAAAGCAGAGTGTTACCACTCGGCCCTGAACCCCGATTAAGATACTATTTGTGTACACCGATTGCCTAGCCTCCTCGGGGCCTGTTTAACAGGGTAAATCCAAACGAATTGGTGCATAAAAGGCAGACAAAGCTTATAGCCTGATACAATTATAAGGCTCTCTTAGAAATTAGCCTAGTGCAGCTTGCTTTTTTCACATGAAAGTGGTTATTTAATCAGCACTGACTAGCAGCTTAACTACTTACTACCCTTCGTAGTGCTATACCTGGGTGTGTGTATTTAGTGAGTTGGGTTTTCGTGCCTGCAGGGTTGATATAGCCCTCTTGAGGAGCGAACTTGACTGGTCTACTCTACTCCGCACACTACGACGTACGTATATAAACGCCTCCTGCATGCCAAGACTTAATTGACTTGTTCCACGTTGCACTTCCCCACTTCGTCGATCCTTCAAACCCTAAAATCCTACACATCTAGTACATTTATTTACCTTGCTATTATGTTCAATACGTTTAGTCTATGTAATACACATTGGTATCTGCATGGGCTACCTGAGCCTCAACGAAGGCCCTTTGGAATGCAGATTTTCGCTAAGGCACACTACGAAGCTCTTTTAGTTCAAGTGCTGGGCGTGGAAGGCTACTTTTCTTAAACTCCACCCACCATCACTGGACGATTTGGATGCTGAACCAATCTAGTTGCTCTACTCTCAGTTACCAAGATTGTTACCAGCTGGTTCCGCATTTATAGGACCGCTGTATTTGTTTTCTCCCACTTTGAGCTAAGCCAGAATTTAAATCAAGAAGGATTTTTCTTGAATATTACCATTTCCCTTCTTTCTTCTGCTCCCTGTTCCACGCCCTCTAGGAAATATTATCAACCAGCTTCTAGGCTTGACGGGAGGGAAAACCGGCTAAGAGAGGAATGGTAGTTTCACCACTCTCCGAGCTCGACATTTTCTACTGTAAACTCTATCTCTCTTGTCGGAACAGTATAAGAGAAATATTTCAGGTATGATTTTTTGCAGGGAGCTGGATACTTAATTTGGTTATCATTTTCTACAGTCTTCGTTTATTCGTTTTGATTTACATCAGTAAATGTAGATTTACCAGGTTGAAGGGGGCTGCGTAGAGTGCGGCCGGCAAAGCTTGTGATATCAACATTTGCAGAGAATTGAATGTGGTATATTGGGGTCGTGAAGGTTCGAATACAAAGAGTGTAGGGCATAAACGCATGATAGAGGATGATGTATTCAAGTGCGGGTTTGCTCCTTGAAGTGCTTCATCTCCACCCATCCTTCTGGGTCGCCATTGTGGCTGAGGATAGTGTGAGGTGTCTCCGGCTCGTCTTCGCCGAATCTGGAGAGAGATTCGGACGATGAGGCATCCACGGTATCGGGTGATATTGGCCCATGGCCTTTGTGAGACGAAATAGATATCGTTGTCGTGACGATCGGAGGCGCGGCTGACTGGGTTGCTCGGGTAGTCGAGACAAACTGGCCATACTCGTTATATAGCTTATATTGGGGCTGGCTGCGGTTGCCGGTGGATTTGATGAACCGGTGGGTCAGAGGTCGGAAAAGAGGCCAGACGGGTGGAATTGACATTGTGATCAGAACAAGCCACTCTTCGACTTCACCCCAGCGGAAGAGAATCCCTACACCGTCTGTGGAAAGTTAGTGGTTTCGATCTGGAGATGATAATGGCATATGCATAGATGGTGCACTGCTTACATGAAGAGTCATCGCTCATAATAAACTTGGCTGCCCAAGTTCTGACAATTGCAGCAGCGCCGGCAAAGACACCACATCCCATGAGAAAACTTAATCCCCATTTCAACTTTCGATCAATGCGCAAAGGAACCAACATGGTTATAGGGATGATGGCGAGATAGATATCAGAGATAGCAGCCACGGCACCAACAAAGTAGGTGTAGTATACGCTCTTTGCATGGTCACACTGTCCTTGTCGAAGAGGATCCCAGAGCGCACTTGGAGGACTGCATTGAAACCAAACGAGCAGAATCTGTGGAATGTTGAGAACGATGTTCAAGCCGGCGACGATGATAAGGCTGCGTCGGATCTTAGGGTCTATGATACGAGATCTGTTAATAAACTGGAAAACTTAAGAAAGAAATGCCCCTGCATACTACTCTGTGAGTTCATTTCAATCAAGAATGCAGCAACCGCAACCTTGCCGGTCGGAATTGCCAGGTTGAAAAAGAAGACCGTGATCCATGTGAACAGAAGGAAGTTGTGTAGTTCGCCCACTCCCTGCACAATTGTGATGTGGTTTCCTAGGCCGTGGAGAACAGATATGATACCGAATATTTGGGTGAGGGCAGTGAAGAGCTGATGGCCAATTAGTATAGCAATTGGAGGAGGGTATAGAAGCTTAATTGTCATACCCAAGCGATTAGGGCCCATATCAGGGATGTAGTTCCAAATTTGTTCATTCGAAGCCGAACATACACTCGCAATGCTATAAATATAGTAGCAACAACGCCTAGGGCAAGACCCAGGCGAAGGTCGCCGGGCCCACGGCCCCCATACGCAGGGAAGCTCTCATGAAGACCCATGATAGAAGGAGTGACAGGACTGATAGGTAAAGACTGGAATGACAGGACCCATTTTTTGAAACCCTACGGGCAGATTATCGAGCGGCTAGGCAGGTTATATATTTAATTCCATGGCGAGTCATTCCCATCGGCCGAGGGTTAAAGCGGAGGTCCCCGTTCACAGTGCGGATCGCGTTTGCCATTCATAAATCCGATGTGAAAACTCCCCTGTGGGGAATGAGGGTCGCTGCACGAAGTAGTACTAGTTACATAGTGAACAAAAGGCTTAAGTGGTAACAAGAAAGCGGCCTAGTCCGATGGAGTGGATATGAACTATCGACACAACGAACGAGATGTCAAAGCGGATTCCAAATCCACTGGTTCACTACGCCACCAAATTGTATGATATTATGCTACAGTGTCTTTATCCAGTTAGATTGAGTTATTGTTGTTCAGTGTAAAAGCAAGAAACCAAAACATTCACAGCCGATCTTACCATTGAGGGACATGAACTAGCTCGTAGCTTAGTAGACTATTGCTGTCTGTCCGGCCAATCATGAAAACAATAGGTAGCTCATCCTGGAAGATCACCAGTTTGTAGAATATTCTCTAATTATATTCATTATCAAACCCCGAAGAATGCTCTAAGTCCATTCCAGGGTTCAGTAGCGGTCAATGCATCGGGCATTACTACCCCTGATGCATTGCATTTAGTTCTAACCAACTACATACATTTGTACGAAGAGCTGTAGTATAACTAGCACAACGTGGTTCGTATATACCTAGTGTGCGCTCAGATCTATAAAATAGTCAGAAGTTTATTAACTACTATGCATGAACCAATACAAATTTAATAAACACGAGACTCATAACCATATTAACAATATTAGAACTCTAACAAGAGAAACCCCTCGAAGCGAACACCTTCTTAATTCATTCGTGCGGTCACTTCGGGTCTCTTTTAGCCGCGTATGGCTCTCCACCCTTTTCTCTGCCATGGATCTTCCGTGGAGAAGCGAAAAATTGACTCGTCTTTCCTAGTCTTGGCTCGGAATTTTATCAATCTTTTGTGGACTTAGCACCGTGTAAGACTCCACCTTAAACTGCTTATGCCTCACTATATTATTAGGGACACCACCATAGAGGTTCCATGATTCAGGGAATACTATCACACCACTTGAAGTGTTATCCAATGACCCATAAAATGTGGCTTCAACGGGCATTTGCTCTTAGGCTTTCACCCAGGTCTCCTGCCCACTTAGGCAACCTCGGCTTGTGCAATTGTTCCAACTGCCTGTGGACCGCTGATCTTTTCGATATAAGGCCGATCAATCATCCATGGATATTGAACCTGCCATTGCATCTCGTTCCATGGAACAAAAATCAAAATATCAATCCGATTTCAATAGTGCAAAACAAAGTCTTCGAGGGTTGACGGAATATCCCTGGCAAATGTTGAAAATTTATTAGGGCTGCGCTCAAGGTCTGTGTTTTGATTTCTCATTCCACAACCGACTCGGATAACATAACCCATGGAATCGCTGCCCAAGTAGCTATTTTATCTAGACTTGGAGGCACACCCAGGTATTTTAGAACGGGTTCATGTGCATATATCTCGTAGAACCCTGCTAACCTCAAATATAATACTCAAAGATACCCCCACCCCCATGGAAAGAGGTGTCCCATATCATAAAACCTTTGCCAGGACCGATGACTAGAGTGCGCAATTGGACAGACGTATGAGGAAGAACACATACTATAATGATTAGACGTCCAGCAAAAATTAAGAATGTGAATATTAAAACCGGGATCAAAACGGATAGTTCAACCATCCGAATGCCGAGGGAACTCAATCCCTATCGCGGCTTGGGGTCTATAGACATATCTACCAACACCATTCCGAATATATACCAAACTTCACAGGCCAAGTCGGTTCAACGTGACAGTTTTATGTAGAGAGGCAGAACTAAATGCAACAACTTTTTCGTCGATCCGCAGATCGCTTAGAAGCAGAAGACCTGGTCCTCGAGCTTGCTGACCGGACGAGCCTTGGTGTAGCCGAGAGCCTCGGTGGACTTCTTCATAGCGCTGACCATGGGAGGAGGACCGCAGAGGAAGATCTTGACGTCGGCGGCGGGGGCGGGGAGGCGCTCCTGTGAAGTTTAATTAGCGATGAGAGTAACACAGCCAGACACGGCAAACATACCTTGATCATATCGGGAGTGACGAAGCCGACACCACCGGTCCAGCCCTCAGGTGGGTTGTTGAGAACGTAGTAGACGCGGAATCCATCGTCCTCCTTCTCCAGCCCCTCGAGCACTTCCCTGAGCAGGATGTCGTCGGGGTTGACGTTGGCGAAGATCAGGTCGACCTTCGTGGTGTCATTACCACCATTGCGGGGACGGTTGCGGATGATGGCCTTGATGACTTGCAGCATGGGGGTGATACCAGTGCCACCGGCGATCATACCAATGTGACGGCACATGTTGGGAGTGTAGACCATAGCACCCTTGGGGCCGCGAACCTTCAGGTTGTCACCGATCTTCAGGGTAGTCAGGTACTTGGAAATGTTACCCTGGGGGTAGGCCTTGACGAGCAGGTCGAAGTAACCGGCCTCATTGTCGGAAGAAATGGGCGTGTAGGAGCGGACAACCTCCTTGGGCTGACCTTCGATGGTAGCGGCGAGAGAGATGTGCTGACCGATGGGGAGGCCGAGGATGTCGGTGGGACGGGGCAGGGCAAAACGGTAGATAGCGACATTGTGCGAGATCTCGTTCTTCTCCTTGAGGACGAAGTTCTGGAACTCGGTAGGATTCAGCACCTTACGGGGCTCTGTGATCGGTCAGATTAGCTGGTTCAATTGATTCGGTGATTTCACGTACTGTTGCTGAAGACCAAATACCCAGCAAGAATTCCAGCAACTGCGATAGCGTAGGTAACAAATTCGGGTTTGATAGCGTAGACAGCCGCGACGAGCAGGGCCGAGGGGGCGAGGGCCGTGCCGATGTTGGCGAAACTTGGAGAGAATTAGCCATTGTACAAGATTGAAAACTGAGTATTCACAAGGAACTCACCTCATTATGACAGAAAACTACCGGAGACGTGGACAGAGTTGAAGAGAAGAGAAGAGGAAGAAGAGAAGAATGAAAAGCAATTATTAAATGAGGGGGGTTCCGCCGCCCAACGGAAATTCCCATTGGGGTCAAACTTCCCCGGTCTACGGAGTACGAGGTATTGACATTTGATCTTCTTCTTCGTATTGTGATATATTACCATTTTTGTTCATAGCATAGCGGATTCATTGCCTTTCCTTTGTTTACCCGCATTCACACAATCATATTGATTTCATCATGCCCGAAGTGCCAGCTTTCAATCTTACGCCTCTGGACCATCAACTCCTGGCTATGACCGATGAGGAATTTGTATATCATGACTGGGATGAACTGAAAGAAATCATCGGTAAGTGATCACATGTCTCCAAATTCCCCCGCTCGACAGTTCCCCTCATTCCGCACTACAGCACGAAATGACCTTGGTGCCCTCAAGCGAAAGCCCTCCGATCTGCGCCGATACCTGGCCTGGTCAGCGGAGACCAAAGCCCAGTACGGATCGATTATAAACTACATTTGCCAGCGGCGATTGCAGTGGCAGTTGCCGGATCCTACCACCGGCATTGACTCCGCGGTTATTCAACAAAGCGGGCCCCTGGCTGCTTTCAAGAACCCGCGCCCCTTTGCCGATCCCGAGGATTATAAGATCCTCCGCAATGACTGGCCTTATGGCCTCACTCCCGGCATTTCGCACCTGGTCGTGTGGTTGCGTACTCCTATTCCCGTGCAATCTGGGGAAGGCCACTTGACTGATGAATCTCGGGCTATGATCAACGGTTTTGTGCAAAAGACATTTGTCGACCGATTGGCTAAGGATCCATCGTTTTCGGACCCTGCTTCGCATGTGCTATGGTTCAAAAATTGGGTTGGTTTGCAGAGCGTCAGAGCACTTGAACATGTTCATATTCTGGTGCGCGATGTTCCAGATGATATCTTGTTCGAATGGTCGGGCGAGTGACCAATATATACCACCACTGACAGACAACACATAGATCATTGTCTTTGAAATAAAAAAACAATATCAAAAATTTAATAAACTTTAACTTGACAATTGGAATACTACATTGCGAGGATTGAAATGAAGATGATATGATATAAGAACCCGGTATCAGACGCCAGCTAGCCAGTCCATCAAAGCAAAGGAGAATTACAATATACAAAGAGCGCAAAAGATCACGTCTTCTGCTCCTCCACAAACTTCAGGGCCTCCTCCCTCGAAACTACATCAATTGTACTGGCCTTTTGCCGGAAGCTGACACCGTAACACTTCTCGGCCACATGCAGCATCTCCGGTCGGAAAGTGGTGCAAATGAATTGTCCGTTAGTAGAGTCCGAGATAGACTTGAGCATCTGCGCAACGGCTGTCCGGTACTGGGCGTCCAGGTTGGCGTCGATCTCGTCAAATAGATAGAATGGCGCGGGATCGCAAGCCTGGATGGCGAAAACAAGTGCAAGGGCGCAAAGACCTGGTAGATGTCGTTAGAAAGTAAAACAAGAGGAATCACAGAAATAGCTTACTCTTCTGTCCACCACTGAGCTGCTGGATACGTTGCTGGTCATCGTGCTTGCTATTGAAGCTGACACTGATACCCACACCAACATAGTTCTCAACACTCTGGCGGGCGTCCTCGTCATCGGAGTCGACCTCTTCGCCAGGTCGCGCAGTATGGTCTGTCTTGCGTTGGATGATGAGACGACCACGACCAGCTGGAACAAGCTTTTCGAACACATTGTGGAACTCCTTGGAGACCTGTTTGAAGGTCCGCTCAATAGCCTCATCCTTACGCTGATCAAGGACCGAAATGAGGTCATCGATGGACTTTTGTGATGCATCCAGCTCGGAACGACGAGTAGTCAAAGTCTCACGCTGTTTGGTGAAACTGTTATATTGCTCAAACGCCTTCTTATTGACATGAGAATACTTCTTGAGAGCCTCGTTGGTCTTGTGGAGCTTCTTGACAACAGTGTTGGAGTCGGTGTTTTGGTACTTCGTGAATGCCTCATCGGGAAGAACACCCAGGGAACGAATGTTGGCCGCACATTCAGCAGCTTGCTTGGTGAGCGCTGCCTTCTTCTGCATGCTCTTCTCCATACGACGCTGGTGCTTCTCAATAGAGCGAGCAAGCTCTTCGATCTCTCGTCGGGTCTCTGCATTACGTTGTTGCAGCTCCACGACGCGAGCAGTGCCTTCCTCGATTGAGGTGTCAACTTGCTGCAGCCGTGTGTTGAGTTTCTCCAAGGCCTTGCCCAGGCGCTTCACTTCGCGCTGTGTCTCTTTCAGGTTGCCCTGGACCTCTTCGTCCGCAATGTCAACGTCTCTGTTGAGAAGTTGATCAAGACGAGGGTTGAGGTTCTCTCGAAGCTCGACTTCCAGTACTGACTTGCGGGCCTCGAGCTCGCTGCGCTGGCCGGAAAGCTCTTGGTATTGGCGACGAAGTTCTTGTACTGTGCTGCTCAAGGTTTCCAGTCGCTGCTCCTCTTCGCCGGTGAGAGCTTTCTGGAAAGGCGTCGATAATTCCGCCTGGAATGAACTGACTTGGTCGTTCAAAGCTGCAAGGTTGGACTCCAATGTCCGAAGGGCACGGCGTTTGGCGTCGAGAGTACCATTCTTCTTCTCAAGGAGATCACGTTTGCCACGCAGTTCTTGTCGCAGAGGACCACTGCTGTTCTGGACTTGGTGTCTTTGCTGTTCAAGCTTCTGCAATTCACCTATAGCCTTGGTAATTTTCTGCTCGAGTTGCTCCAACTCCTTTCGGATTTCACTACCACGGCTCTTCTTCGTCTCAAACTCATCTCGCCACTTTCCTAGTCCCTTGACTGCCTCCAATCGCGAGGAGCGAGAGTCGTGGTATCCACCAGTCAAAGCACCACGCTTGTCTGATCTATCACCTTCAGGGGTGATAGCATTGACGCCATGGCTGCGCGCGTACTGCGATGCAACTTGCAAGTTGGGGCAGATAATAGTCTTGCCAAACACGTGCTGGAAGGCTCTCTCGTATGCTGGGTCATACTGCAACTTCTCGATCATCGGTATTGTGTCACTGGCGCGGGGCATGTTCAAAGGTCTGGATCGAAGTCTGTTCAAAGGCATAAAGGTCACACGGCCGGCTTTCTCCTTTTGGAGAATCTCCAGGACAGCGGTGGCGGTCTCGTCGGTGTCAACGACATAGTGGAATAGACTCTGTCCAGCGGTGACTTCGACGGCGGTGCGATACCTCTCATTCACATCGAAAAGCTCGGCAAGAGTACCGTAAACACCCTCAAGGTTATACTGGCGCTTAATGCGGCGCACGGCGGCTGTTCCGCGGCTTGTGTTGTTATCCATCATCGACGAGAGATTGCGCTCAGCCCGATCGACTTCCTGGGATGCGTTACTGAGGACAGAGTCCAGCTTAGCCTCTTCTCTCCAGAGCTCCCTGCAATAAAGTCAGCACATGTGGTACTCGCAATTACCCATATAACCTACTTTCTCTGGTCCATCAGACGATCTCTTTCATCCTTAGCATGTTGCACCTTTTCGTCCACAGAATGCATTGTGTCGCCTCGGCCATCAATCTGTTCACGCAGGCGTTCCGTCTCGGGCTCGAGGGCAGCAATTTCGGATTCCAGCTCCTGGATATCTTCTTGTGTTTGAGAGACAACACCCTGAACAGATTTGATTGAGTTATGGGTCTCGCGAACTTCCATGTTCAACCACTTGTCACGCTCGGACTTGTTCTTGAATCGGGCGTTCCGGCCCTGCTTCGCGTACAATCGCTGGCGGGATGTTTCGGCGTCTGTGAGCTGGGACTTCACAGTATCTTCTTGGTCCTTCAGCGCATTGAATCGAGGGAGAATTTCTTGGTGTTCGGCTTCGCGCTCACGGATGGCCCCTTGAACAGTCGTTAGGTCGGCATCGTATCGCGATTTCAGTGCCTGCGCGGCGGCCTGGTTGTCAGAGAGAGCCTTGGCCTGGAGTTCGTTTTGGGCCAAGATCTTGGATGCTTCACGGCGCTCGTCTTCAAGCTGAGCCTTATCAACCTTTAGGAACTCAATCTGCTGACGGCATTCGGCGATCTCAGCATCAATCTGAGCCATGGCCTTTTCGCCTTGAATAAATTGGTTGCGGTTATTATCGGCATCCTCAACGCCATTTTGCCGGCGCTCATCGATTTCGTTAAGGACTTTGCCGATCTCCTGCTGTTCTAACGAGTAAATGGTGTACTCTAAGCAACGACGTTCCTTATCCTTGTCCTGGTAGCTTCGCAGTTCGTCCTTCTCTTCTTCGAGTTCAGCAAGTCGCTCATTAATGTAGTCAAGAAGTTCGTCAATCTTGGTGCGCTTGCTGTTGGTTTCATTCATGATTTTGAGAGACTCCGACCGACGTGCTTCGTAGACCTGGGTACCAGCGACCTCCTTGAGCAAAACTAGCCGCTCGGAGTCCTTCATGTTGGTCAATGCAGTGACTCGGCCCTGCGGCACAATATAGTAAGGGTTGGACCGAGAGAAACCAGCAGACTCGAGGAGGTTCATGACATCGTTCTTGGTGGCATTCTTGCGGTCAAGAGTATATTCGTCCTTCTTGATACCGATTGTACGGCGGAGAACAAGCTCGGGCTTGCCGGTAGGAAATCGATCGTCGGAATTATCGAAGATGATTTCGACATAAGCGGACATCACAGCGGAACCGGAACCTTCCTGCTCGAGGTCAGCCAATCTAATCTACAGATCAATGGGATGGTACATAACATACGTGCAAAAGAGCTTGACGCTCCTCTCTACCGAGATGGGTGTAGGCATCGCTCAGGACAAAGCGAATGGCCGCGAAGAAGTTACTCTTGCCAGATCCATTGCGGCCGACAATGACATTGTGTTTGGGAGAAAATGGCTCGATAACGGTTTGGTCCTTGTAGCTAAATAATGCAGCAAGTCAATACACGTTCTCCAAGTCAAATATACTAGGTTGGAGGGGTGACATACCTTTTGAAGCCTTGGATGATGATCTGCTTCACATACATCTTGAAAGAACACGCGCGACGCGATGATCAATTAGAACACCCCCGGCATAACGCGCCTGGCGCAAAAAGAAGAAATTCAACGATGCACCTGGCAGAAAAAAATCTTGCAGACCTCCCTGCCAACGAAGAAATAATGACCGAGGGGTATCGTGGGTTTGTTGCGACTAGCAGAGATATTCAGTACGCGAGGAACGAAATCAGCGCGTCTCGTTGGGCGCGGGGTTCTGCCGGGCGGTCAGCTATTTTTGGGCCACAGAAAAAAAAAACCTTGGGGACGACGGGCGAAATCACATATCTACGTTCTCGACATTGAAGTTCCAGAATGGCTTCAAACGAGAATTCTACCCCGGCAACCGGAATTGCCGACGGTCTTGCGCCGTCGCACACCTATGTGCCCAACGAAGGCTATGTGAACCCCGATAACGCAGACTCCGCTGAGGCGGGGCAAGATCTGCCCGAAAATTATGAAGAAGATGAAGAAGACGAGGACTACGACGATATTTTCGACGAGGAATTGGATCGCGAAGATATCTTGTCCTCTGACAACAGCGATCTCACAAAAGCCTACAACCGCCAGCGCAGAATCAACGATCTCGCTGCCGACTCCAATGTGCCGAGATGGACCTACCCAAAGACGAACACCCAGAAGCCTACTGTGAACACCTCGGCCTCCATCGATGATCAAGTCAAGTCTCTCACTCGGCATGCGGGAAAGATCAAACTCGATGATCAACAAGCTGGTCTTTCGGGTCGCGCTGAGAAGGGCGCAGATAAAGCAGACCGAGCCACGTCGGAACAAGTGTTGGATCCTCGCACACGGATGCTGTTGCTGCAAATGATCAACAGAGGTCTTGTCTCAGAAATTCACGGATGTTTGTCTACCGGAAAGGAAGCCAACGTCTACCATGCCATGTCCATTTCGCAAGAGGACGACGAGGCTCCCCCGCTGCACCGCGCTATCAAGGTCTACAAGACAAGTATTCTGGTCTTCAAGGACCGTGACAAGTACGTCACTGGCGAGTTCCGTTTCCGTCAGGGATACAACAAGAGCAACAACCGGGCCATGGTCAAAATGTGGGCCGAGAAGGAGATGCGAAACTTGCGCAGAATCCACGCCGCTGGCATCCCCTGTCCCGAGCCTATCTATCTTCGTCTGCACGTCCTTGTTATGGGATTCATCGGTAGCTCTAAGGGCCTGGGTGCTCCTCGTCTCAAGGATGTTGAGTTCAGCATTCCCGAGCCTGAGACCCGCTGGCGTGAACTGTACATGGAATTGTTGGGCCACATGCGCGTTATGTACCAGACTTGCCACCTGGTTCACGCCGATCTGAGCGAGTACAACATTCTCTACCATAAGGAGCGTCTGTATATCATTGATGTCAGTCAAAGTGTTGAGCACGATCACCCGCGCAGTTTGGAATTCCTGCGCATGGATATCAAGAACGTTAGCGACTTCTTCCGCCGCAAGAACGTCATGACTCTCCCTGAGCGCACTGTGTTCAATTTCGTTATCTCTCCCGAAGGCCCGACTGAGATCACCGCCGGAAATGATGAAATGATCAGCGCCATTGACAAGCTACTTGTGGCTCGTGAAGAGGGCACCGATGAGCAGCAGGATGCGGATGATGTCGACACTGCCGTTTTCCGCCAACAATATATCCCCCAGACACTGGAGCAGGTGTACGATGTTGAGCGTGATGTCGAGCGTATCCGCGATGGCACAGGCGATGACCTTGTCTATGGAGACCTCCTGGCAGCTGGCAAGAAGAAGGATGCTGCCGATGCTGATGAAGACGCCGAGTCTGATGCAAGCGGTGGTGTCTCTGTGTCAGGATCTGGCTCTGATGACGAGGATGATCCATTCGCCAAGAAGCCTCCTCGGGGCAAGCGTTTTGAAGACAAAGACTCCAAGCGCGATCATAAGGCAAAGGTGAAGGAAGAGAAGCGCGAACAGCGGGCAAACAAGATGCCCAAGCACTTGAAGAAGAAGCTTGTTTCTTCGTCTGCGCGGAAGAAGCACTAAGCTCGCGGCCTTCTGACTTTATATCTCTTTGCATGTGCACGGGTGTTGCGAACGTTCACGCTCTGTGTTATACACCCGCTTGGCATGATTTGATGATGAAATGCATATATGGATGGAGCATTGGGCATTTGATACCTTGGTCTACACTTGATAGAAATGGGAAAATATATATTTGCAACCTTGGAACGAAACACATTGTCTTAGCCTACTTGAAAGCGAACGACTAAAAGTACTAAGTTATTACGAAATGAAATCGTTGAAACGGAGTACATGTAATTGACAAAATTAAACCCAAATGCCTATCGGAGCTCTCTTTGTAAGTCATTCCAATCCATCCACATCCTGAAACCCCCCACAAGAGCCAGACGACAGTGCGTACATCCTGAGCGACTGCCAAAGAGTATGCATCTGATGTACTAGAATCGGGTAGGGTAGTTGAGGATGTGTATAAAAGAAGGTCGGACCTATTGTGTTTTCGTCATTTAGGTCATTTCAGAAATCAGCATGGCATGGTCATATTGAATTAGTAAGAAGCGACTTGAAATGCCAATCAGATTCAATTTCCATCATAGTTACATGATGATTAGGAAAAGAACGGGTATTCGGGCAAGGATGGCGGGATGATTAAATGTTATAATTGAAAGGGAGTAAATACGATAGATTGAGGCGGTCAAGGGGCGTGCATTTGCGAAGCGGCTTTGTTCCTCAATTTGACTCTGGCATAAGCTTGCTCGATGAGATCTCGAGGCAAATCGGGAATATGTTCACCTTCGGCATAGCCTTGTGGAATTTCAGCCTTGACACCTCCCGAGGACTTATACCCATTCTCCTCAGGCACGTCGTCTTCAACAGGATCACCATCAAGGTGTCCGCCCGCGAGTCGAAGAAATTGTACTTGCATGGGTGCTAGGCCTACACCAGGCCATATGTCAGAGGGAAGAAAATCACCCTGGTCCACGCGGAAAGCATCACGAGCGGCTGCATCTTCATTATGGAGCAAGTCCAGTTTGTGCCGGGTTTCTCGGATTACTTTTTCCACGCGTTGCCGAACATGTCGCCGACGCGCTACCTCCAGCATTAAGCTATCATAGGCATTGAGGAATCCGTCGTACAAGGAGTGTAAGTCACATAGTTCTGCGAGGCCAGAGTTAATGCGATCGTTTTCCTCGTGCCACACGCGGGTGAAATTATGTGCCTGGGAAATATAACGGGGTAGACCATTCGAAGCGAGAGATGAGAGATGGCCGTGGACTTCAATAGTTGCATTGGAAATGGACAGTAGCACATCTCGCTGTGTTTGGACTTGTTCAAAAATAGATTCCATTTCAGTGATACGATCTTGGATCTCAATGACCACATCTTCTGCTTCAGGGGCATCCTTGATCAAGACAGTGACCATTTCCTGGTATTCAGCATCTGTCATTGGGTCGAGGGGAGCGTTGAGGTGAGCATTAATTTCCGCCCCAATGTTGGGCATCCCATCATTACTGCCGTCCACGCCGGTGGGCATATCGCCGGTGATGGACCGTGCGACAGCGCCTCCGCCATCGGTATGCTTCACAGCGGTCACACAAAGATCGAAATGTCGAACCAATGATTCCAGCAGAACAGCCATTTCTTGGGCGTGGGCCTCTAATGATTGGATCTGGCCCGGCATTGATGACAAAGTGAGGAGTCCGGAATCAGACGTAGAAGAAGAGGAAGATGTGATCGATAGACGGGATGACGCCAATTTAGTGGCGGTGTGATAGTGACGAAGCGACTGCCTGGTTGCGGCGAGCTCGTCATCGAATTCATGATTAGACGTGTCCAACTCGGCTCGTGCTGTGTTAGTCCGGTCGATAGAGGCTTTCAAGGAAGCATGTAACTCCTCAACACCCCGCTCATCAACAAAGTCATGTAAGGTTTTTTGCTCTTCATCCTCAGGTCTAAATGATGCATGGACAATGGTGCCACGCAAAAAATCCAGGGTACTCTTGAGCCGCGCATCAGCAGCATCAAGATTCTTCAATGCTACGGAGAATTCATCACGACCTCGGTATGATATCTGCTCAACCTCGGTTCGTACATCGTATAGCAGGCGAAGCTGGCTATTGAGCCCCCGGCGTAGGAAACCTGTCCGGGAACACACGATAACACTCTCCTCCAGGGATGAATGTGACGCCGTAACTATTTCGTTGGCCCGCCAGACATGGTTGATTGAAGCGAGAGATCGTTTGGCCCCGAGCAGATATGAGATCAGGGTGTCGACTGGAGGCAAGGACTTCCCATCGCCCGGTCCAGCTTCAGGGCGAATAGACGACAAGGAGGATTGGGATGACGCCATTACGCAGAGTAATCAAGTCAAGCCCAGTGATGGCACATCCAGATAAGAAAGACCGGAAGCGTCGGCGGAATTTTGAAGACCCAGGTCAAACTGCTACAGGGGAAAATTGTAATATCAGGTCGTCTGAGCCCTGTAGAAAGTTAGTTGGCTATTTGTTTCACCAAATCAGAACTACGATAGGCGCGGAGCATACCCGGATCTCCCACGGACCGGGAGCCTGATGCTAGGGTATAATGAGCTGAGCTCTATCATATGCAGATCAAGCACGAGCTAGCAAGCTGATTTGACGAACAAAAAGCTAGATAAAATAGGGGGCTCTCGGTCAAGACCTTCAACTTACGAAAAATTGTTATGGTTCAGATCAACATGAAAGCTGGGGGGAGTAGTGGGGACAAGTTGCCGTGTTAATTGGCGGTGTAAGATATGCCGAAGAGATGAGACAAACAGAAACAAACAAAGATTGAGATAAGTTAGTGAGATTACTAGTGCAGTTAGGGGGTTATCGTAAATAAGAAATGACGAATCAACAACCTGTCGGAAGCAAAGGAAGTTGAAGTTGAGGTGCGACGAAATACTGATGGCGCAATCAAAGATCCACTTTTTGGTCGTGATCTATCACGTGCTTTGAAATAAATGACTGTTCACCGCCTTTGATATTGGATTCGCCTTCCGTCACGCAATATTCCCCCAGATCTTTCGATGGCCTAATGTACCTTGTGGGACAAGATTGTGCAATACTTCTTCTATTTCAGGCTTTTCTTCTTTAAAATCGCAAAACCCATGCTCATCTTCTGTCAATTTTCTTTTTCCCCTCCGAATCTGTGTTATCTCACCCTGAGTCTTCTCTCAGGGTACTCACAACCACCTGGATAGATAATTCACTCCCCCTGCTCGATACATCGGTCCACATTTTCGTCCAGAGCATTCCAGAGTACCCAGTGCGACTAGTTTTCACTTCTTGATCGAATCTCTATTTGGAACAACTTCAACTCAGAAGATTGCCTTTGGTATCTGCAAAACTACTAGTCCTTATCGCAGTTACAACAGTGGACGGGATCTTTACTCGCCCAGAGCGGTCTTCCTCTCGTCCCTCGCATCGCCGAACGCCGGATCCATCACAATAAATCGCCATGACTGATACAACTGACAAATCCGCCATTCGGCAAAGCCTCTTTGTCGGCAATGCGGGGCCCAGTGCGAATGCCGACCCCAACCGCTCTAACCACAAAGACGCCAAAATACAAACGATAACCGATCTTGCCCGTCAAAATGTTGCGCCTTTCCTTGCAAAATACCAGCCGAGAAAATACGCGCCTTTGCGTTCGCAAGTTTCGAACCCCGCCGAACAGCGCCTCGTTAACGCGAGCTACTGTTACCGCCACCAACCTGATTTCAAGTGTGGCAAACGACAAGCAGACGAGCAGTCTATGACTCAGCTACAGTCTGAGTTGAACGGTCTTCCTCAAGATGATCAGCAGGGAATTGCCCACGTTTGGTCGCTATTCTCTGCTGCTCCTGCGAAACAGCGCACACTGATGCTTCAAGGAATTCTCGCGCAGTGCTGCTTCCCTCAACTCTCCTACATCTCCGCCAGTGTCCGTGAACTGATTCGAATCGACTTCCTTGCCGCTTTGCCTCCAGAGCTTTCTTTCAAAATCTTACAGTACCTCGACACGGCTTCACTGTGCCGCGCCGCACAGGTTTCTCCTCGCTGGAGAGCTCTAGCCGATGACGATGTGGTGTGGCATCGAATGTGCGAGCAGCATATCCGTCGAAAGTGTAACAAGTGTGGTTGGGGTCTCCCTCTCCTGGATCGCAAGCGTCTCCGTGAAGCAAAGCGTGAAATCGAGCTGCGTGCTACGAACTGGGGAAACAATGAGCCCGCTGTTGCGCCTGCTGAAGCCGCCGTCACCGAGCCTTGCTCTGCTGTTGACCCCGATGCCAATGGAAAGCGCAAATTGGATACCGAGGAAGAAAATCTCACCCTCGTAAAGCGCCATTGTGCGTCGCTCCCTCAATCCCCCGAAGAGGACGAAAGCTACTTCAAAACACGTTACCGACCCTGGAAAGAGGTGTACCGTGATCGATTTGTGGTCGGTATGAACTGGAAGCACAAGCGCTGCTCTGTCAAATTGTTCAAAGGGCACCGTGACAGTGTGATGTGTCTGCAATTCGAGGACAACATATTGATGACTGGGTCTTATGATGCTACTGTCAAGATCTGGGACACTGATACCGGCGAAGAACTGCGAACCCTGAAAGGTCACACATCTGGAGTGCGATGCCTCCAGTTTGACGACACAAAGCTGATTACTGGCAGCTTGGATCGCAGCATTCGTGTATGGAACTGGCGCACCGGTGAATGTCTTTCCAAGTACAACGGACACACTGAATCTGTTATTGCCCTCCACTTCGATTCCACCCTTCTTGCCTCCGCTTCTGTCGACCACACTGTCAAGATTTGGAACTTCAAGGATAAATCCACTTTTATTCTACCTCACCCCGAAGGTGTTAATGCTGTCAAAATCGACACGGCTTCGCGCACCGTTTTGACTGCCTGTGACGATGGTGCCGCACGCCTCTGGGACCTGGACACCAAGACTTGTATCCGAGTCTTCCACAACCACATCGGATCCGTTCAGCAAGTTGTGGCCCTCCCTCGCGAAATTGAACTTGAGAACCACCTCGCCGATTGTGAAAACGACCACGTCAGCACAGCCTCTCAAAACGGCGACCTCCTCAGCTCCCTTTCTCCCGTTCTCGAGCATAAGTCGCTTTCTCTCCAGCCCTCGTCTTTCGGCTCGTCTTTCGATCAGGGTGAAGACCGTGTGGAGCCCCCACGCTATATCATCACCAGCGGCGTGGATGCCACTATCCGACTGTGGGAAACAAGCACCGGAAGATGCCTACGTACCTTCTTTGGCCACCTGGAAGGTATTTGGGCCCTTTCTGCTGATACCCTGCGCATTGCCTCTGGTGGAATGGATCGCATGGTCAAGATCTGGGACCCTCGTATTCCTACCTGCCAAGATACCTACGAAGGTCACAGCGCAGCTGTTAACTGCATTGGCCTCAGCGATAGCCGGTTTATTACCGGCGGCGATGACTACCATGTCCGCATGTACGATTTCCGGGCCTAAACTGGCGATATTTTTCTGTTTCTGTTTTCTGCTTCTGTTACATTCTACCTCTGTCCACCAAAAGTTATACTTGAGGACCTTTTCGTTGATACGGGATCGGGGCCTTCTTTCGTGACGCTACCCGATCCCATTTGTTTTTATTGCATGTTCGGTCGATGGATGGATACCCTGGCGCATTCGAGAAGGTGGCTTGACCTCAAGGGTCAGCGCTGACTGCATAATAGGCGCAATTAGGATTTGATTTTCTTGCCTGTTCTTGGGCCCAGTCACATTTGTCTGGTTTTATGTTGATAATCCGTCACCCTGTTTCATAGGGGTTAAATAATGACAATTTTGGTGATCATCTTTTTGTTCTTTTCTCTTCAATTGTAGATACTCACAAATCCATTGCTGTTGCCCATTTTCCACAAGGAAAGGAAATTTTGATTGGCGACGATCGAGATCGCTCCAGACCCCACAGACACTGCCTAGGCCTTGGAGCTTGGGGGTTCAAACTAGCATTCGTGGAATTCAAGACTGTGCATTCTTGTTTATTTCATGACGTTGCGCTTAGCCCGATCTGAGAGAGATGCTACATCCCAAATGCAAATGATTCTACAATATTGTATTTAGTACATTGTTTCATCTACGCAGGGATCAGCACCCAAAGCTGACGACACAACGCCGAATGGAGTAAAAATCTACATACAAATCCACTTTCAAAATCAACTTGGCAACGTGCACTGTGTCGGGCCCCTATGGCAAAATGTCCCAATATAGAATACATTCCAGAGCTCTCGGGTCTAGCCGTGTCTTACATTCAAGGATCCTCATGTGTCTCGAGCGTTTGTGGAGTCCGCTCAGCCTTATAACTCACCCCTTTCTCCAGTCGATCGAAACAAACCAAGGCTGTTGCCTGTCAGTCTAGTCCGCACGAATCCCATCTGTCGATGTTGATCACCCTGTTCACTTAGAAGTTGACACGCGACACTCGAGTGTATTGATCAATGATCAGCTTGACCTCGCGTCTGAGTCTGGCTGATGCCTCCCGTTTCCAATGAGAAAATTGAAAAATTGAGAAATTGAAAAATCCGGCTATCATGGATCTAGGGAGCTACAAATTGCTCAATCAAGCGCGACATCATAGTACTGATTACTATGGTCGCGCCAAAAGGAAACCTTGGATTCTCGCCCTGTCAACAGCTATTGTCTTTACCGTCATTCTACTGTACAATTCTTCGCCGCCTGTGGCGCCATACACATCTACATATAACAAGACGTCCTGTGACCACCCGGTCTTGCAACTCACGAGGAATGCCCAAAGTGCCTTCAATGCCACACTGAAACGACAGTCCAAAACATTCAAGGAAGCGGTTGTGGAATACAAACGCCGCTACAAAATGCCACCTCCCCCTGGCTTCCAGGAATGGTACAAATTTGCCAAAGACAGGGACACTATATTGATCGATGAATTTGATATCATTCACCATGCCCTGCTACCCTTTTGGGGAGTTTCGCCTAGTATTCTCCGGGCACAAACACGGGAGGATATGGGGTATGCTGATAATGGATTCATGACTATCTGCATACGAAAGGGTAGAGCATTTTGTGAAAGATCAACCCATCTGTACCAGCGTGCAGGAATAATCGACATTCTCGGATTGTTTGCTAAGTGGCTACCTGATATGGACTTGCCGTTCAATGAGCATGACGAACCACGGGTTGTTGTACCACATCAAGAGTTGAGTCAGAGGGTTTTCCTTGGTAGAGAAGCCCTTGCTCGTCTGTCTGGGGTCTATTTCCCAAGCCAGAAGTACACGGTGTCATATCCTCTTCTTGACGAGCCCCCGCCGGTGTCGGTGACCCGATACAAATTTTTCCAGTTTCAAAATAATTGGTCTCTTTCAACTGCGTCTTGTCCCCCAGACTCACCGGCCAAAAGCATTGGTGGGAATGCGACGGACGACACAGCCTCGTACGCAATTGAGCCTCTGGGATTTATCTACAATCAAACAGCTTTTAGTGATGTCTGCATGAGCCCGTCACTTCGGCACCGCCTAGGCCTGTTTGAAAGTCCAAATACATTAAAGCTTACAGACGAACTGACTCCTGTGTTCTCGAGCTCATTGCCTTCTTCCTTCCAGGATATCCCAGTGCCATCACTGTGGTACCATGAGAAACAGTCGTCCTATGATGAAGAAAACGATGTTGAATGGGAAGACAAATCGCACTCACTGTATTGGAGAGGTGGGAACACTGGAGGGCATACCAATGAAGATACATGGAAAAACACCCTACGGCAGCGAATCGTCGGAAATATAACACACCCAAGCTCGGCGCAGTACATTCTTCGACATAAGAACGACTCAACGGCGCCACTATGTGGCGAAAGTGACCGCAGTGGCGGTTGGGATGCTCAAATGGCCGGACTGGGGGAATACGACGAACATTTCGATATCAAATTTACGACTATAAGTCACTGCGAGCAAAGCTGTGATTCACAGAAGGTATTCTTTGGCGGCGAAGCTGAAGTGGAAGACCCGAGTGAGGCTTGGAAACATCGATATCTCCTTGACATGGATGGCTGGGCATATAGCGGTCGATTTTACTCATTCATGAACAGCAAGAGCCTGCCTATGAAGCTGTCGGTCTTCCGGGAATGGCACCAGGACATTTTGATTCCATGGGTGCATTACGTTCCCCTCAATAAAGACGCTGACGAAGTTGTGGAGTTGATTCGATACTTTGAACATGACCCCGTCGGGGGTACCATTGCACAGAAAATAGCAGCTGAGGGGAGAAGTTGGGCGAAGCGGGCTCTCAGAAATGAGGATATGGAAGTTTACATGTTTCGTCTTCTTTTGGAGTATGTACAACGCAATCCACTGGCTTGGTTACGGCTAACATTCGATAGGTACGCTCGTCTGCAAGATGATGATCGGGAGATATTGGCTTACAAGGGCTGATCATCAGGCTGCCAACCAGGAGACATACATGCGCTTATTTAATACAAGACAATCACCATTCACGATTTTTGACACATCCTTGATGTACCTTTCGTGGTTCTGGCTATTCTGAGTATAATGCCAACATCTCGATGTGGGCTTGCATGTGTAAAAAGTCGAAAAGTCTCAGATATGAAAACTGGGGTAATTCTACTTAAGCTAGATCTGTATGTAATATAATCAATCATCGAGATGTCTCAATGACTTAGACATTCCGTCTATAAAATGTGGCCACACTCTATACTATCTCTACGCTTTCGACAAGTCTTTCTATCTTTTTATCCTGGACTGGTTCCACAACGAGGATTCTCAAACTCGGACACTATCAAACTTACTGGAGAGCCACGAGAGAAAGTAGTCAGGACTGACAGGAGCTATCTCTTGTACTAAACTGCCTAAGTTACAAGCTACGATTTTCGTACTGAGTGCTTCTGCAAGTCACGACCACGAAGAATATCAAGAGGATCCAGAAATCACCAGAGGAATCCTCGGATATTTAGGAAAGTTCCACAGAAGCGCAGATGGACACCAAGAACAAGCACCAAATTATCCAGACAGCCATGAGCAGCAACCGACAATGCAATTGGAGCTGCCCTCTGTTCCGGATCGAATGGAGCTCGAAGCAACAAAGATGACATCAGATTGTCTTCCAGTTAACAGCCACTATGAGCGGACATCCTCGTGTTTCCCAAGAGTCCTGCACGTTTACCGACGGAAACCACAGGACAAACAACAAATGTTCAAATTTGTGATGAACAGCAACAGCTGATGCTATCGGAGCTGCCCTCACCATAGCTTGAAGCAACAAAAGTGATATCGAAACAGCCAAAAAACCAAGAACAAAGTCAAACAGTGTTTGAGGCTCTTCAAACTAAGCAATTACTGCCGAAGGCTGTTGAGGCGACAGCGAACCCGGCAGAAATTCCCGAAAAGCAGCTGCCCGAGCCTTGGACTGATTGTATGTGGCTGACAATGTTGTTCAGTCAATGATTGAAATCATGGAAGAAGGTACGGAGATCTTGAGTCATGACAGGCAATAGAGGATGTGGAAGTTCTGGCTTTGGGATGATTTTGATACTGCAGAATAGACAAGGGCTTAGATTTGAACTTTTTGGATGTCTTTTGCTTTCGCGATCGCTGTAGTTTCTTTGAAATTGCAATAATTTTGTGTCTTACAATGCACTTGAGAAAACCCCCGAAATAACTCCAGGTGATTGAAAACTGTGTTCGATCCCGCAAGAACATATGTAGTCAGGTAAGTAAATCACATCCACAAAAAAATAATCAAATGTACCGGGAACAAGGAAAGGTAAACCTCAAGACCTGTACGCCACAGAATGCAGGGCAAAGAAAAGAGGAAAGGGAATGAATAAAGCCAGGGACGCATACAAGCAATGAAGCCCCTGAAAACCGAGGGAAATGGAAGCAGGTCTATCGGCAGTAAAGAAACGATGTGAGTGGCAAATATGTGGAAGAGCGAGAACGCAAAAATGTGCAGAATTCGAGATCCATTCTCGAAAGCAGAGGTATGAATGGGGATCGAGAGGTATGGGTGTTGAGAATATTGGCGTCTGTCGGAGCGAAGCAGAACTTGGAGAGAAAGTGACGTGCGGTGGGATCAGGCCTGAGCGACAGGCCATCCGTCGACATATTTGAGAGGATTGAATCCAAGGAAAGCATCCTGTGGGGCATGTGTTAGACCATAAACTTATGACATCCGAGCAAGTGTTGCAAGGGGGGAATGAAGGAGGATCGACAGGGGTGCAGGAACCACGACAGTCGCGGCACACAAGCCTGTTGACAAAGTAAGAGCTTACCGGGAATGCAATGCCGACCGTCTTGTTCACTGTGATGGAATCAGTATTTGAGTAGTTGGAGTTTGAAAATGAGGGAACTCACAATAGTGGTAGTAAAGAACATCAGTATTGCCATCACGGAGAATTCCTTGGCCACCTGGAGCGTAGGTCTCTCTGTTCGACCCGTAGACAACTTCACCACCACCTTTGACAAGGTCTGTACCGGCCTTGTCGGTGAACGGACCGCGAGGGCTCTTGGAGCGTCCGACACGAATGGAATACCTAGGTTGAGTCAGTATGGGTCTTAGAGGAGATTTAACCAAAACATACTCTTGTCCTGCGGGTGGCAGGTTATCTGCCTTCAGGTTGCAGCAGAACCCATGGCTGTACCAGAGATAATACCATCCATTGTTGTAAGAAATGAAAGCACCTTCAATGGCGTGGGGACCAGTTGGGTCACCGCAGATGGTATTGGCCATGCGGTTCGGCTTGCCGAGAGACTTCGGCTCCCATGCCAGTTGGCGGGCATCGGGCTGGGTAGTGCTGGCAGGAGAGATGAGGTCTTTGCCCAAGGGGATTTGAAAAATGCCATTCCAGTAGCTTCCAAACGTCAAATAGGCTTGTCCATCAGGGGTGACTAATGTGCTAGGGTCAATGGCATTTGACACAGTGTAGGGATAGATGTCAGATCCATTGCCCGTGCCGGTTTCAATGACGATGCCGTGGTCGTGCCAGTTGCCGGGACCCGGGGAGTTAGATGTGGCCACGCCGACAGCACTGTCGCGGCACCCGGCTTTACTAACACTGTAATAGCAGTAGTATGTGTTGCCCACCACTATCACTGTCGGGGCCCAAGGTGCAGCACGATCACCCTTTGGAATCACACTGTTAGCATCCAGAACGTTGCCAACATGCTTCCAAGGGCCAGACATGCTGGGCGCAGTATGAATGAACATGTGCTCGCCAACATTGTAAAGATAGTACACATTACCCACACGGATGATAGTAGGATCATGAGTGTGTTGTTGTGTCTGGCGGGTGGGAGGGAAATGGTTTATGTCCTGATCATTTCCGAGATCTTGCAACGTGCGACCATCTTCAAAAGTTTGATCTCTCTGCATAATACTCACACCGAGACCGGCGGAGAAGAAAACTACCAAGGCGAGTAGGGAAAGCATCTTAATCCAGCGTCGAGGAACTCGTTGATTCCACAGATACCGCCAAGACCACCGTTGTGAATTGTCGTGGTGGCCAGAAGGCGGCATCTCCGGCCTTGATAAGTGAGCGACTCTGACGATCATCCTCGCGATGGATCCAGGCACTCATCGTTTTCGGTAGACGCACGGCGTTGCCACCCTGGTAGGGTGGAGTTGGTGATGCGGGCCGAGGGGGGTAGAGGGGTGGACAAGGATACAACAGGGTCCAACTGGTTGTTCAAGTCCCACAGAGGAGCATACCTGCAAGGCGTGGAATGCCAACGAAGAATAATCAATGTTCTGCAGGATGTCCAGGTGAGCTGTGTTCTTGGTGCCCTCAATGCGGAAACGATCGTGGATGAATCTAACGCATGGCGATTCTTAGACTTTTGAAATTTGCGCCGAGAAATTCACACGAAGATTTCATCCAATTGGTGCTTTTGAGATGAAGTAAGGGATATCTGAGATGAGAAAGTCGCAAAAGGTGTCGGTTGCAGTTCCTGTCGATCCTTTGACACGGACCAATGAACAATAACCTCGTTCATTTTATGAAATGTAGACTATGCCCTTCTCGTCTCATACAAGGCATCTCCTTCCAGGGCACAATAACGGGTTTCGATTTGCTCCTTTGCTGTCAAAGGATATTGAGACAAGTCAAGGTTATCGAACGCGGGTAAGACACAGAAAGCCCTTGTGCCTGAATGACAAAATCCCTGCTACTTTGTACACGTACGGAGTACACATGGCTTAGATCGTATTCTCTACTATTCTCTACACAGCCGGGTTGTTTTGGAATGCTCAATGCATGTTCAGCTAATGAAAAGTGAAAAGATATCCGCCAAACGCCGCCGCCAAATTCTTCAGACCCTGTAAACCTGCTCTAACGAGCCACGATCTTGTCCACCTCATCCTTGGCCTCGGTCCAAGTCTCCAGATTCTTCCGTGCCCAGTCCAAGTGGCAACGAGCATATGCGACCTGATCATGATTAGTCATAATAAGTAAGCAGAGAATCCAAATCCAACATACCATGTACCGTCGGAGATCAGCTTCCTTGTCCTTCTGGAAGCGTTTGAGGTCCTGCAGCACTCCTACACTAGCGTCCTTGACATCCTTTTCGGAAACCTCTAACGCTTGCTCCAACTAAACGACTCCATCAGTTCTGGAATCATCTGAAACAGCTCCACATTTCACATACCTGAATCAAACTTTCTTTTGTCTTTCCAATCTGGTCACGACGTGTGCGTTCTGGGTCCACATCTGCAAACCCATGAATCGCATGGCTAATGCGACCGAATATTTTGTTTGCCACAAAGGTCCCGCTTGACGTCTTGCGATGGGCTGGGGATGATGAGTCAGACTTCTTGGCGCTTGTGACATGCGACGCAGGCGGCGAGCTGTATGAATCATCGTGGGTGGGCGGGAATTCTGAATTAGCTGAGATATCGGGACCAGTGCCTTCGCTGCTGACAGCGGATGATGTCGATAAAGAACGGGGCTTGGTGCCTCCTGATTGAGGCGTTGTGCGGTTGAGGTATTGTTCAATGCGCTTGGCCTCCAGTTCGCTTCGCTCAAGTGAGTCCAATAATGTTTTCTTCTTGGACAACTCATCGCGGGTCATTTCCTGTTGCACCCGCTTGAGCACACGGTATCGTAGAACTCCACGAACCACGCTGGCAAATTGCGCGCTCTCCCGCATAGGCTCGGCAAAGCTTGCGCTCAAAGCCGACGATAATTCTTCGGTTTCAATATAAGATGTATCCGCGGCCTGGCCGATTCGCTCAATAGCGGCGGCCACTGTAGGCGATTGTTCAGAAAGGGAGAATCCATTATAGCGGGCTCCCAATTCCATCAGATCGGCCGAAAGAGAGGACAAGTGAGATAAAGTCCGTCGATTGACCTTTTCAATGTTTCCCTGCAATAGTAGTTCTAGCTCCCGCGTAGACGCCTCAAAATTAATAAAGTAGGGGTCTAGCTCTTGCTCATTGAGCTTGCGTGACTCGGGAGGGAATCGCCCAAGAATTTCTGGTCCAGGGAATGACTGTGGTTCGGGCTCACTAGGCGATGTCGGCGATGCTGCACCTCCGGATGATGAAGCCATTCCACTGCTGGTCTTGAGCTTTGCGGAAGTAGATGGAATCGGTAGCCAACCATGGGCCGGTGTCGGGTTTGCAGGGTCAAGAGGTGGGGCTTTCAAGTTGTTCTTTGGAACAGATGATGCTGGATGAGAACTCAAGACCTCGCTCTGGGCGAGCATTAGTAAATTCGCAATCAAGGTATCCAACTTTTAACCTACCCAGCTAACGTTGGGATCAAGGAACCTCCACCACACTCCATCCTCGCGGACCTCCTTCATACGTCTACAGCGGTTTAGGAAGACACTGAGCATGCGTTTCCGGAGATCGATAATGGCTGTATCTTCTTTGGCCTTGGTAGGCTTAGCCGCATAATCCGCCATACTATGTTTCTCGGGAATCGGCGGAATGATCAAGGTAGGATGCAGATTGACGAGGGTCTGTCGCAAAGATGCAAACTCGGAATATCGTCGACGCACTTCCAGGTCCTATCGTCATTCAGCACTGTACAATTATCCTCCCGGGACTCTCATCATACCGCAGTCCGGATAGTGTAGACGATAAAGCCACCACCGCCTTCATGATTCTTGCCGGCATCTGTGATCAAGATTGGCATCTCCGGATTTTCATAAAGAATCTGCTCGATCCGGCTATCGTAAACACTCTTCCGGGGGTATTGTTGACTTGCGGCGCCATATTCGGCCTCATCCTCGGGATCGCTCAGGTCTTCGGGATGAGTAATATAATCAGGAGGTTCATTGCTAGACTCGCGGCTGGAGGGAGGAGTTGAATCTTGTCCATAAAGCTCTAGCTGATGTGAGAAACTGGGTCAAAAGCAGAAGCGTTGGAGGTCGAAGCTCTTACGAGGGGAAAGCGCGGCTGAGTGCAGAGAGTCAGATAGGTGTGACTGATGTTGATCAAAGGCCCCATAGGGGTTGTTATCTTCGTCGTTCCACATAATGGATATTATGGGCTTGACAACGCGCGGAGAGTCGGAGAAGCTGTGCCTGGGGATCTGCGGGGGGAAGTCGCCGTGTGGCTTGTGCAAGGCGGTGTTCACGATTACGTCATGAATGAGGCTTGTCCAAATGCAAATATAAAACATGTGATGCTTCTCAAGATCACCACTTTGATACTTCATGGAGATGAAAAACTTGAGTAATCAATATCTTTATATTTCTCAATACTTTGCCAACTCATCATGTCTACTTCTCTCCCTCTCAACCCCCAACTGTCTTGGTAGTTCAGATAACTCTCGCCGTCTTTGTGATTGGAACACTACAAATGACGATGCGATGCCAGCAGTCTAGTATTAATCGATCAGTTTTGTCGGATTCATATGTGTTGCTCAGTAAAATCCAATCAAAATTTTTGATCTACACAATTTACCCTTTACTTGTCTTGTAAAATTTTTCAAACAGGACTTGGCCAAGTACATATACGTGCCCCGGGGTTTCAACGCTACATCCAGTAGAGCAAAGCTACGCCATTGACAATGAGATAGATTTGAAAGTGTTGGAAATGATGGAAAGGTCGATTCGATTGATCAAAATCCAGGGATGAATGAAATGATGCATGACAAACTCAAATTCAATGCTCTATCATCGCTTGGTACAATCCGTACAATGCAAAGCGCAGAGAGATGCTTCAAGTCCTAACCAACGTGAAGATCGCAAAGCCCCAAATTTACAATTTCCTCCAATCGTCAATCACAATCTCCATACGATCTCAAACACCATCCCTGTGTCATCCGGGAAACTTCAAAGATCGAAGTTTAAGATTTGCTGAGCACAGTCTCATACTTAAATTTGACCGTCACCATCTTCCTTAGCTTCGCACGTAGCCTTCTTTGCGGCCTTGGTCTTTCTCACCTGCTCTGCATTGCGCATAGAAGCAAATTCTGGCCCCATGCCCGCAAAGGAGCTCTGCGAGCGTGGCAGGGAAGGTCGAGTGTATTCAGAGGGTGATCGAGGGGAATGCGGAACAGACTGTGCATGAATGTGGCGGTCCGGCTCATCAGGAGTGTAAAAGGGGTCGGGAGTAAATCCTGAATAGCCATATCCATATCCCAAGAGCTCGTAATGACCACCGGAAAATGAACGTTGATCATGAGGACGTCGAAGCCCACGTGGACCGGGTAGAGTAATGTTGAATTGTTCTTGGCGACGCTCACGAAGATGCAATGGAAACTCATTGCTCACAGAAGTACTGGCAGATGTCACGGCAACAGAATCGAGATCGGCGATTCGAAGAGGTGTTCGGACTGGGCTTGCTTTGTCCGAACCGTCGCTGTCAGGTCCCGCGAGAAAAGCGGGAGAAGCAGTACGGAGAAGTCTCGGTTTGTTGTGTTTGGTGGCACTGGCGCGACGAGAAGCAATTGTTGAGTTGTGGCTGGAATGTAAGCTGGGACCAATATCTAGCACGCTGATTTCGCTCTCACTAAGGATGGCTGCACGGGTTCGGTGTGTGATTGGGAGACTGGGGCCGGGCTCTCCAAACGCAGAGTTATCACTTGTGGCTTGAGCAGATGAGCCTTGAGTCGGTTTCCTCCCGGGGAGATCAGGCTGAACAGTCATGTTGCCTAGGATCTTCCTTCGGGTTGTTTCTAATCTGAGAAGCTCAAGTTGTTCTTTGGGGTTTTGAAATTCAAAGCTTCTTTGGGTAACTTGAGTGTTAAGTTCTGAGATCAGCTGCATAGCATGATTTTGATCGAGATCGATTGTGCAAGAGGTGAAGTCAGCTAGCCGGGGGTTGAAGTAACGTGGACTTTCATAGTAATGCCCAGGATGACTTGGGGAGGAAGATATAGTGCGTAGATACATGGTGAATAGTGCATTTCACCATGAGGTTGGCGCTAAGATAGGAAGTGGAAGGAGGTGCAGAAGGCAGTTACAATTGACAGAGAATAAGAAACACGTACTCAGACTTATTTGGGACGAGATATGTGCCAATAATACTTGATTGTTCCTTTCAAAAACTACGTGTATCTCCTCTTGGGGCCTAGCACTAGCCAGAGAGACTTATTTTCTTACATACATATGTACCTACATGGAGGCAACTCATTGGGAAACTGCTGCCCAAGTTCCTCAAGATTTCTACATACATATAGTTTAAATAATCAAGATATTGAAATACAGTACGTAGTACTTTCCTTCTATTGTTTTCATTATCGTTCTATCATCATTGAAGTGCTGCCTTATAGGAAATATATCATTTGCTCAGATCAACATTAGTTCGAATAGCACTAACCAGTTCAACAGGGAAACTACATATGTGAAATGTATATTGAGGTCATTTCCACAGCTACCTATACACCACATAAACCTCAAGAGGAAAATGAAAAGCTTGATTACTGTCCATACACACCATTGGCTGTGCAAATTTTAAAGTACATGTGTACATTGGTATCTAAAAAGACTAGAACAACCACTTTGAATGTAACAAACGATGACAGTGCGTATATCTTGAGCCACTATATGCTCATGAACGCAAAGAGAGGCCCAAATAACGTAAAGAAGACCCGGAAAAAGACCGATGACAAACCTCCAAGGATATGAAAAGCCCCGGAGGCATAAAAGACCATATACTATGTTGCCAGACTTCCTAAGTAGCTGAAGTTCATGACTTGCTTCCAAAATTACGCGTCTACGAGGAGGCACAAAGTTGTAAATTCATTGATGCATGCGTTCATTCACATAAGCCCAATCCCACTGTGCGCAGGAGGGTAAGACGCCATAAAATACATCATATTATGAAGAGACCATCTGATCTCATTCATACACAGAGGGAAATCGTGAAAATCTCGTCATAAAAACGAATAAAACCACCAGCTATTGACATGCAGAAACACGAAATCTTCTTTGTCTTTTGTATGTACCGACCATTGACCCCTTTGGAAAACGCCGGATAAACATCAGTTTGGTTTTTTTTTCTTTCCCTTTTATCTTCCTCCTCCTCACTCTCAGTCCGAGCTCATCTTGTCCTCATCCCCAACCCTCAGCTCCACAACGGGAAGGTCATCTGAGGAGTCTCCATCCATGAGGTTGGAAACATCTTCAAATGAGGTCTCCCCCTGAGATTTGAGGGTTGGGTGAGAGTCCTCCAGTTCACTTAATCGGGTCTCCAGACCCATGTCTTCGTCATCAACGGCCAGGTTGCTGTCGATCTCATCGTCTTCATCAAACAGGCCGTGCTCCTCATCGGAGGCATTACCAGTTGTTATCTGTGAGATTTCGTGAGCGCTGGTCGAATTGTTGAAAGACCACGAAGGTCCTTGGAAGATGTTGAGGCGATCGAACGTGTTCCTTCCGTTGCTGGTGAGTTGCATACCTTCGCCTTCCTCGGAGCTCTCATCATTTTCGTCAGTTGAGGAATACTCATCCATGTTCGCAGCGTGATTCCCGACTTCCAAACCGTTCCCCGCTTGGGGAGCTACTCCGGCTCCGGCCAAGCCGCTCGACGACCCATTGCGGGAAGAGCCGCCAAGGCGCTGGCCTTCCCCCGTCGGTGATTGAGAAGGGGAGGAGCTGCCAGACTCACCACCCGAGGGGTTCTTGTAGGTTTCAACCAGCTCTTGCAGCTCCTGGTTGCCCAGAGGGCGCTCGGAACGGCGGCGATAGAACAGCAGGTAGGCGCTAGACCTTACCATGCTTTGCGGGTCGTTCACAACGCTAGCACTTGTATCTAAAATCGGTGTTAGTGCCGAGTCTCTTCATCCATGTTGAGTAGTGGAAATCTGACCATTGCAGTAGTACCACTTGCCAGACATGAAATCTTTGATGTAGGCAGTGTAGTGGCCACCGCTCAGGGAGCCCATGTGGTTATCAATGGCGACAAGATCATACAACAGACTCTTTCCATCACTGGGGCCTTGCACTCGGCCAGTCAAATCCAGACCTTCAAGAGGGAAGTCAACCAAGGTCGTAATCTTGCTGTTGAAACGACCGAATTGGCTATGGCTAAATCGCTTGAGTTGAATGATCATCACATCAGGGGCTTTCCACAAATTGAATTTTTTGGTGGCCTGAACCTGGTTCTTGCAGTCAGGACAATACCAGGTGTCTCCCCGAGACAGAACTTCCGCTTTGCTGAACACATCCAGGCATTCATCAAGAGTCACAGAAGGAGTTTTCTTCGGCTGGGACAGGCGGGTTTGATCAAAGACAGTCTTGGGCGAATTGTAAGTACCCACACCACGGAGTTGATCGGAGGCTTTGTTCTTCACGCTGAAGAGAACATCAAAGGCCTCGGCAGTCCAGTCAAGAACAATCGCGTCGCCATGACGAAGAAGTTGGGTTGTTGTATGTGGCTCAATGTCCGATGCATCTGTGTCGCTGTATTCATCACTGTTGTCTGCGGAACCGTGAGATGCCGAATCGCAATCCTGTAAGAGAATTAGCAACTCACACAACGACATGGAGAGAGAGGTCAAACATACCTTGTTCGAAATTTTCAAAGAATGAATACGGGAAGCAAGCAAGGGGAGATCCTTGTCCATGTTACGGCCCTCAGGGACGGCCTTGTTGTCACTCACGGCCTTCTTGTCGCTCATGACCTTCGCCTCGAAAAGAGCCAACAAGTTCGCCGGAATCTTGCCAGCCAAAGGATGCTGTGGGGTCTTGATGGATTGAGAGTCTGAGTTGGAGTCCGAAACCTCGGTATTTTCAGCAACCTTGGGGATTTGAGCGTCATGCATGGAAATGTCCACAATACTGTTGTCGCCATCGACAGATGTTGTCTTGATTCTGGAATCAGCTGACTGCGCATCGTCCTCATTCATGATCACGGTGTCGGAATCGTCCGTTGCGTGCTCGTCTTGGGTACTTTGCTCATTGAACATATCACATGTAGTCATGTTGGAAGACTGTTCGAGAAGCTCGCGGTAAATTGTCTCGAAATCTCCAGCCTCTTCGTGGGAAAGACAAAGGATAGATGGCAGTCCGAAGAGGTTGCGGTTTGCCATTTTGTTCTTGCGAGGGCCAATTTTCCGGTGGAAAACAGGCACAATAATTTTATCGTCATCATTGGACGCCGAAACAGGCCCCAAGTCGTAGAATACGATGGTGTCATTCTGTGTGGTCTCAAGGCTTTCAAATGAGCTGTCATCGTCTTGGAACGTTTTGAAGAAAGTGTGGTCGTAACTCTCCGCGGCAAAGATCCGTCTTCCATCGATCCCCATCTTCTCACCGACAAAATCCTTCCAGGTCTTGAGAGTATCAGAGGACTCAAGCCGAACAACAAGGCACACCGGCGGACCATCACGAGGTACGAATGTGATCTTGCGAGTCAAAGGCTGGGATCCAGCTGGAATCGGCAGGGTAAGGGTGCTGAAGGGATCCATGATGAAACTGGTCTTGTGGCAGTCGGGACAAATCAGTGTTGACTTGTACATTCCTGAAAACAGGTCTGTGATAACGGAGGAGTTGCGAGCCTCGTAGATCTTCCAACAGGTCTTTCCGAACTCCTCCAGGGCATTGCGATCATGCACCATGGCATCGGTGGAGTCAGGAATGGTGAAATAGGGCTTTTCGCCAATTCGACTCAAGTCTTCAGACAGTTTGTCAAGAAGGAACATCAGGAATTCTTGGCTATCGTGTTGTTCATAACCGGCAAATTCCGAACGTTGCCTACCAGCGGCGCGACGAAATTTGCTGGGATTGACGTGGTTCATAGCGTCAGGGTTGTAAAGATCCTCTAGCAGACCTGCGTATTGTTTGGCAATAATTCCGCCACACCCGAGTTTGTTTTCGGGATTCAACTCGGATTTGTATTTGTTACCTGTGGTTTTTCATTAGCGCCGAGTGACTTTGATTTCATAGAACGCAAGAGTTGGACTCGACTTACTGAGGAAATAATATGTGAGTTCTTCAATGCTTCGCACACATTGCAAAGCTGAGTTCATGTAACAAGTGTTGCCCAGGTTGTCCAAACCCACGATTCTCGGCAGTTTACCCTTTCGGCCTCGACCAAACAGTTGTTTGAAAGGAGCGGGTCCCAACGCGGGGGTGGACCTGCCACTAGAGATTGGACTGTTTGCCAGAGTGAGAGCAGTGGACTTGTATTCAGATTTGGGCTCCACAGGAATACCCAACCGTTTCAGGGTTTGGGCCGAGGCCTCAGAGACCCATTCTCCACCCTTCGAGCCGCCGACCTGTTCCTCGAGAACAACACAGTCCGCGGAACCAAGACCAGCAATGTCCAACGACATGCGACCGTTGTATTTGGGGTTATTGGTTTCATCCTTGACGTGTTCCAGCAACACTCGCTGGCTGCCCTCGGAGAGTCCGAGGAAAGTGTTCAAGTCAAGGAGAAGCTTGTCGGCGGTGTGGGGGATGAGAGCTGACGCAGGAGCTGGTGATGTGGTGCGAGAAGCAGCTGGAGTCACCACAGTCGATGTGTTTGTGCTGCGAGGAAGCTGAAGAATCTTCCAAACTCGGACCTTGGTAGAGATATCAATGCCCGATTTCTCTTTGGCCTCCTTCAGCCATTTCTGGAAGCTGGTTTGGCGGCTGGTCAAGGTCTTGACGGACGGCAGGTCCCTCTCCTTCAATGTTGCGGGAGTGGTACCAGAAGAAGGGTTGGACAATTTGAAGATGGTGAGAATTGGTGGGTACGTCTCGTATTCGATTTTTGCGTCGTCGCCAGGCTGGCTAATGTTGTGGGCGTAGCGGATAATGGTGGGTGACTGGTCGGCCAGTCCGTACCATTTTTCAATCAAATTCCAACCTTGCTGAGGAACAATCACAAAGTCTGCAGCATCCTGCAGACCAGGGCGCATGGGCACAAATATGTCCCCAGCCTCGTCCTTGAAGCCGGTTGTGGCCGAGTCGATGTCGAGCACAATGTCCATGTTGTCGACGGGGCCGATGTTGCTTTCTATTGATTGGTCCATGTGATCAGCATGGGATGTAGTTCGAGCAAGCACCTTCTTCAACCATGCCATCGAGACCACGTAGCCCTTTTGTCCATCCTTCTTCGGTTCGCCCATCAGTGTGTTCACCTCAGCCACCTGCTCATCAATTGTAGGAGTGCCATCCGGGCGGAAAGACCCTCCCTCTGACTTTGACTGCTCACAAGGCACCGGGGAGGAGTAGGTTTTGTGGTCGGAGCTCGAGGGTGTGGGATAGGTTTCATTATTCTTGATAATTTCAGAATCCTCCGCGTAGACAATGGCGACTGTGCTTACGCCCCCTTCAGGATCTGAGTCTGTGATTTCGGATGCAGGGCGCTTCTCGCCGGGTGAAGGGGATCTGCCATCGCTGTTTGTGGGAGGAGTACCCTCTCGAGTATCGGAGGGCATATCGGAATGCTCGCTTGCAAGGGTCAGTTCGGCGGTCGCAGTCGCGGGAGTTAGCGAGCGGCCACCGAGCTTGGTTTCACGCCGGAACCGCAAATGAGCCGGCACGTAGCGACGTGGTGACAGGGAAGAGCTCCTGTAGCGAGAGGTAGATGTGTGGCGAGTGCGGGAGGGAGGAACGGAGCGGCCGTGACGTCGAGCCCGAAGGCCTGGGCTGGGACGAGGCTCTGGGGAAACTTTTCGGCGCTTAGGAGAAGACGTCGTGACGGTGAGCTGCGCACCTTGTGACGCAGCTCGGGGCAACCGGGGGAAAAAAAAGAAGTTCAGATCAAAACAACACCCTCACTTCCTTTTTTTAAAGCGGAAGTACAGGGAACAATATGCAGCCGTAAAACAATTTTGACTGGCAGAAAAAAAAATTGAGGTTAGTCAGTTTTTTAGAGCGGAAACGAAACCCTAACATACTTCAGATCGACACTGTCGTTTTCATTTCTTTTTTTCGTTCTTTTTTTTTCTCGATTTAGTTGATTTTTTGTTAAGTAATTCGAAAATCAAGAGTAGCAAATTCGCAAATAATGTAGGAAAAGCAACTAAGAAAGAAATTACTATCGTATGCTAACGAGATAGTAAGAGGATGGAGGAAGAAGAGAGAGGTTAGAGAAGTTAGGACCGATTTAAGAGCATATGGAGCTAAATGCTATGAAAATATAGATCAGACGGTCAAATAATAGGAAGAATCATCGACAATCCATGCAATGGAAATCGTAATATGAATCGAATTGTGAGTCGTATTATCGTAAAAGCTATGAATGGGGTCAAAAGAGTCGTGAATAGCACGTTATGATTAATGAATCCCAAAGGGTTAATAATACACGCGTTATTCCAAATGTCTACTTGTTAATACAAATAGAATCGAACAATAGAATGTATCAACAAATGACCTAAATCGGGTATTCGTAAATGTTCCGGACGAGGAAGGATAGTAAAAGGATCAAATTTCCCATCTATATTGTATGAAAAGGCGGTTGCAAGACCTCAAAAAACGTAAAAAAAATTCAAAAAATAAAAAATAAACAAGGATGATTGGAGTGCTCAGAATCCAAATACCCTAGGTTTGAACGATAAAGACTTGGTAATCTCACTGTGTTCATCCGAAATGTCATGGAATAAAGTACACGAAAAAGAAATTGATATGAAAGTTGATAAGAGTTCAAAAACCTCTTCGGGAAAACTGGAGAACAGATTTACATAAATCAAGCGATGCTTTCTGTTTATCCCTGCAGACAAGGACGTAAAAGCCTGGTAGTCAAGTTCATCTGTGCTAATGCCACTCACACGATTGATCAGGCATCGCAGCCTATATTCCCTAGGCAATTGGCGATATCTGTCGAGGAGGGGAGCCGGGAATATAAATCACTGAGTCTGATCCATTTGAGATATGGTCATTTGGTTCGCCATCTGATTCGTCGTCCGAGATCATGATGACCTCAATTGGCTGGGTCTTCACGGGACCAGAAGGCTGAGGCTGTTTGTTATGTCGGGGTGGGGTGAGGACTTTTTCGAATTAACACGATTCTGCCACCATGGAATCAGAAGGCTCAGGCTGCTCGGTATCATTGAATGGGGCGGAGACATCTTCGAATTCTGAGGAATGATCTGTATGGAAATTAAGAGACCGGCACTTTGCTGGCCCCGCAACACATTTGAACCCGTGGTTGACGCAAGGCTGGCAAGGCTTGGAGTGATCGTAATTGGTGTATCGATAGGAGCAGAACGCTCGTCGGCGTCTGCAACCTTCGCAAGACCGCTTCCATTCCGGCTCGGGAGTCACAACACATTCAATGCCATCTTGTTCACATGTGACGCAAGGATAGGCGAGTGGATCAGGATCTGTTGTAAGGGAGCATTCCATGCCGATGTCTTGACAAGCGGTGCATCCTCTTGACGGGTTCTTGATACGATGTTTATCGTCAGGGGACAGCGATGCCTCGGTCAGGGGCGTACCTCGTGCTGGTGGGTTGTCCGATGTCTCATATTTGCCGCGAGGCCGCAAACCGTAGCGAGAATTCACGGCATCAGTGATGGGGCTGTCCCAGTATCTTCCCAAGTGATCGAACTCACTGTCCTCGGATGAACTGGGACTAGGCGGATGATCGATTTTAGGGGCCTCGTTCAATCGTGGAATGGATTTCGAAGGTAGAAAAGTACGGCCGGTCTTCTTAATTGGAGTGGGATCCGGGGAACCACCTTTAAACTGTTGACACCTTCGCTTCTGAGTGGGTGATATAAAGGGGTCGTAGTCTTCATCTTGCTCATTGTCATGCCACGAAGCAAGAACTCGGGCGCGTTTGGGTGTACGGTTGCGTAGTTTATATGCGCCAGCCACGTCCGGGGGAATAAAAGGGTCACCCACCCTTAATTGGAAGAGAGCTCGGGCCCTTTCGAGCCTTTCAAGAGTATATTCCATGTTCGTTGCGGTAGCTGTTATCTAAGTTAGAACGTGTGACAGATCAAGGTGAATATGAAGACTTACCAGATCGTTTGGGTAGATAATGTGGGACTGAAAAGAAGGTCTTTGTGCAGAATGTGCAAAATGAGTGACAAAAAAAGCGAAATGCTTCAGCTGTCTCTTGAGATGTGTTTTTGGCAATGAATCAAAGAGGTGTTTGCGGCGGAATGGTTCGAGATCAAATTTAATCAAAGCGGTATACTCGATCATTTGTGAAGAACAATTATTACGGGCGAACCACATATGGATACTGTAAAATGGTAGCCAATAGCTCATGGGGCGAAAGACGTAGAGGAGTGTAGACCGTGAGAGTATTACAATTTGTAGAGATGCAAAAAGAAATGTCGAAGCTCCGCTGTTTGGGACAACAGTGCAAAGGAAGAAAAGAATTGTGCATGTGCTCGAAGGATTTGGATAAATATCAAGCGAGCAAAACGATGGCTAATTGAGATTTGTCCAACGAATAACACGAAAATCTGCAAGTCAGGATAGGATGAGAGTTAGATAATTAATATGTGAGACTTAAGGAAGGGATAAAAAGGAATGGAAAGGAAAAGTAGGAAAGGTGAAAAGAGAATCTCAATGTGGTTGAAGTTGATTGGGGTCAAATGAAGTCGATTGTTCGGACAATAGAAACAAAGCATCAATAGACTTGGACCTTATAGGACACAGTAGCAAACAATGAAACACATTCTGAGTTACAGCACCTCTCTTTTTTCAAACGTAATCCTTCTTTCGAATTGATTCGGGATAGTATTCACCCCCGATTCTGTCTATTGTTCTTATTAGATCATTTTTGAAATACAATATTTCCAGATTCTCCGCAACCCCAGTGCAAATGGCTGCCTGATCTTCAGAGATTATTCAATGTATCGGTGTCCATAACGAAACACTTGAGATCCAACTGTAGTCTAGTTATAGCAAATCTCGGGTAGAATTCGGTCCCTAGGAACGAGCCTAAAAGGTGAGGGGGAATATGACTTGGTCCCAATATCCTTTTTCAGAAGTGTTTTATCCGGGCAGTACAGTCTAGAGGGCTATCATATTATATCCTCGATGATGCGAGCTTGATCTTTTTTGTAGCGAACTGAACAGTAGATCAACCCTCCCATCAAAACAAGTACCCCGATTGCGAGTAACAGCCAGGCAGTATATCGAGCCCAGGTTGTATTACGTCTATCATCATTCCTTGTACTGGACTGTTTGGTCACATCTGATTGTGAAGTCTGCAAAGAGAATGCGTAGCTAGAGTCAAAGTTCTCCCAGCTAGAAGAGCCTTATGTAGATTTCCAGGCTTCTTTTGGATACACCAGTTCAAGTTATATATTAATAGATTGCATCTCTGCACATTGTTAGTTCCATTATAGCAAGAATTTCTCTCATGTACCAACCAGAAGAAGAGTTATTTGTATAATCAGCCCACACTGCATCTCTCATTCTGGATCGAGGGTTTGTCCTGATATTCAAAGCAATTCAAGTGTAATTGTGATAAGATGACTTGATTTGAAATAATACGAACAGAGAAAAACAAGTGTTCAAAGGGACCGTCTACAATATAGGCAACTGTCGTCCTAATCGGGAGGAGAAGAAGGCATAGTAGGCGGTGTCGGACTAGCCATGACCCTACAGGCTAAATACCACGTATCTACTTACTTTTTTCTTTTCTCTTTTTACTCTTCTATGTATACACATGTGGTTATCACAAGCTTTCTGACGCCGAAGCTCGATCTAGATAATTGATGCCTTGATGCCTTGATGCCTTAATGTTGAAAGCCACCTCGATATCAAGAACGCGATCTATGTTGATTCATTTACCTTCTATCGAAAAATGTTGAGCCCGGAGCTTTGAGCTATAAAATCGGCGTATGTTCTTTATTGAAAGGCTGAAACAGGATCAAAGATGATGCCAAAGCGACGAGATATATATCTACTACCTTTGTTGGAAATTTCCACGCAATTATGACCACGACAATCTACAGGAATCATGCAACTGCACACATCGGGAGGCATCCTCGGAGACTGCAAGTGATGGCACTTCTTCGCTGCGAAAATTTAGTGTTTTATGTAACTCCTTCTCTGGTCCAAACAGCAACGCTGCGAATCGATACCTTTCCTATCCTACTGCCCCTCGTCCAGTGGGCCTATTGGCCGATATGAGAGATAATTGGAAATCCCCGGAGGTTTCACAGATTAACCAGAAGAGGTGTGAATGCATCAATGTCTCCTATAGACCTCCACACTGACTCTTCTATGATGAAAATTTTGTGGGATGAACCTACCATATTCTCTGGACTCAAAAACAAATAAAGAACTCGTGAGTGAATGGTTCATTGTTAGCCTCTAATCACTGGAATCAAACTACCTTCGATTGATGGGCAATCATCGTAAACTGAGAATAGGACCGGCCATATGCCTTCCAAATGACAGAGCAGTCCTTCTAACAGCCTCCTATGAGCTACATCGCACATTGATAAAAGCGCTACAGTGATTTGTGTCATTCCTAGGATCTACGCGATATCTGTTTCCTATAGGTTTGGAATGATGTCCTATGAAACTCAACAAGCAAGCTTTCCCATCAGCCGGTATGTCGCTTTTTTACTGTTTTGTTTCGCTTGCATTGTGTTGAAAATATAGCACGTTAGTCTTACCGAGAATTTTGTCTTGCACTCTCCAACAGACAATATCATCTCGAGCATTCACAAATAACAAGGTATAGCCTTGAGATTTTTTTGTAGCAAAGGTACCGATAGCAAAAAAACGGACGGCTACATAACAGGCCATGCCTCCACGAGCTACAAGCATTAATGGCACAATTCAATATTCAATATCTAAACAAAACAGCTTCTAAAGAAAGCTCTAACGGTTTGCAAGCGAAGAAAAAAGACTTTGGAGTCGCGATTCTCGTTTCACATTACTACACATTGATAGGTACACATAAGGGAATCATACTCGCAGCTCAAAAATAAAGATAGGAGGCTTTGACAGATCCGAAAATCTCCCAGCTAGAGAAAGCAGCATCACATCGACTCAATATGTGTGCAAAAGATACCAGGATGATAAGATGTTAAAAGACTCATTCACGTACAATCCACTTCGAAAAATCTTCAATTTACCACTCCACTTCTCCTTTTGCTGGCACATCCCCCCATTCACCATATTCCTGTGGTGCAGTACCCCATTCTTCCTCAACGTTAACATGATCACGGTTTGGTGAAGATCTGGGCCCCCTCGACCTTCCATCGGGAGACGCCTGGTGACTACCATTCCGGCCTGACCGATTATTTTGCTGATCATGACGGTTCCTCTGTGTACCATGCGTGCTTCCTGAACGTTCTCTGTGGTCGTTATTTCGGGAGGAGCTGTTCTGATGAGAATTATTGCGGTCACGGACCCCGCTGTTGGATCTATTCCGTGACCCTTTTCGTGGGGATCTGTGCTGGCTATTATTCTTCCTGTCCTGGTTTCTCCGGTTGCTCTTGTGGTGGTTGTCATTCTCCCATTCATTGCCGTTGTTGTCATTTCCCCATGCGTTGTTGGTGTCATTGTCCCATACGTTGTTGTTGACATTGTCCCATGCGTTGTTGTTGTTGACATTGTCCCATGCGTTGTTGTTGTTGTCATTGTCCCATCCTTTGTTATTCTCGTTGTCCCATCCTTTGTTCTTATCACTGCCCCATCCGCTGTTGCGTTTGCTTCCTGCATTGGCCGTGTTGTCTTTGTGTTGATCATTCTCTTCATCGAAGAAACCTGCTAGGTTTTCAAAGCTTACCCCATCGGCTTGGCTGTTGTTTTGACCGATCTGTGATTTGGGGGTTTCCCATTGGTCTTCGTTTTGATTAGCTTGGGTTGATTCCCACTTAGATCTTTGGGGATCATGATTCTGATTCTTGATTTGTTTGTTCTTCTGCTTTTTCTGTTTCTTGTGGTTTTGGTTTTTCTGGTTGGTCTGGTTCTTCTGGATGTTCTGGCTCTTCTGGTGGTTTTGCTGGGGTTGAGAGCTCGATTGCGGACTGTCTAGTTGATGGTTATTACCTTGTTGCTGTTGTTCCTTTCGGCGTTGCTCTGCGCGTTGTTTCTTTTGCTGTCGTTTGGATAGTGGATTTCCCTGCTGATTCTGTGGGGGAGGACTTGTTCGAGGACTATGAGTGATTTTTTGCTTCCTATCTTCGAGATTTTGGTCAAATCCATGGTCTCCAATGACATTTTGTCTTCTGGGTGACCCTACTGGGACAAAGGCAAAACCCGGGTCTCCCCGTAGGGCTTTGGACGAATCCATCCGCGTTCCGTGAAATGGGGTCCCACCATGGCAGAATCTCCATTGCCGTTTTCGTGACGCCAAATAGCTTGTCTGCGGTCTCGGGATCGCCTGCGAAACATTTGACCCTCCTGGTGTTGGTCGGTTAAATGTGATTTGGTCCAACGGTAGAACAGCCACCCAAACACCGGGGTAAGCAACCCAACCACCAGCAAAATTGCGACAAGAAAGTTGTCCTTCATGGTGCAAAATTGAGGAAGCGTAGTTGAATTGATGTCTTCAAACCTTGAAAATACCGACAGAAGCGCTTCTAACGCGCGAAGAATAAGGATTTGCAAAAGCCAACCGCCCCAGATAACGCACCAGGCTTTAATAAATGATATGGAAGAACGAGAATGGTGAAGATGATTGGTATGGAGAGAAAGGGAGAAGTAAAAAAAAAATGGGAAAGGACTTTGGGAAAGAAGAAGAATACAGGAAGGGAAGGAGCAAACACGCACAATGTTGGGATTGCTTCAATTCGCTTTCTATTTGACTTTTGTTAAATCACACACTCTAAATATATTGGTTGGTATGTTCATCGTAGGGCATCTGAAATTCTGGCCAACCAATGCCCATGAACTGATGCACCTTCACCTAAATGTAGAAGTTGCTTGAGCAATTCCTGGGTATCGTCCAGTGAGCTTCCCACGAAGCTCTTGGAGTCCAATGCAGAGGCAATGCAAATAACACGCAATCCCAAGCTAAAGATCTCGGGTTTCGATACCCAGCCTAAAAGACCATCTGATTGTGTACCAGGGGCGACAAGGGAGCGCAAGTATACTAAGCCCTCATGGGCCCAGGAGAATATTTCATGTACAGGAGACTCTTGGTAAGCCGACTGTTGCAATCGCATCAGGGCTCGAGACCAAATGTCTACCTCGCGTACATCATCGATAAACAAGTTTTGTTTCTCCTCCTCGAACAATACAGTGCTTTGTTGTCGATACTCGGCGATCAAGTCGGACACAGCAACAAGACACTTGGGCTCATCGGAACCACTGATCCTTGGCTCTTGGCCAGTCAAGTAAAGCAGCACTCGATGTCTGAGAACTGGGGATTCTGAATAACTATTGACGATGAACTCGGCAAGAAGGGCGCTGGCGTTCAGAGGCGCTAGTGTGACATCGGCGTCAGGTGAGACGGAAGAGCGTGACAAAACCCAGGACGCTGTTGATGCCGCTGCATCACGAATCTCATCATCGTCGTCATTTAACATATCGTACAAGACCAGGTAGACGTCCAGGAGGACTGCGTCGACGCGTAGCTGACCCCCGACCGGTCGAATAGCCCGTGAAAGACTGGCGACAGAGGTGACTGCAGCGAAACGAGTAGTGAACTCCTAATAATGAGCAGGGGATTAGCATACTAACTCAGCATGGAAAGAGGTGTTTGTTGCAATGACTTACCGTTTCCTCGCTCAAGGCAGACCGAAGCTTGATGGTCAGACTGCAGATATCACTCTCAAAGGAGGACGAAGCTTTCTGATATCCCAAAGACAGCCGAATAGCCAGTAAACAGCCGCTCAGGCGAAGCTCCGCGTCGGTTGCCTCTCGGTTCCAAATTTCAACGTCTTTCTCGGGCTTGAAGGCATCCATAATGGCTTCCCAGGGAAGACCAATGCTTGATAGAGCATTGGATTGAGATGACAGTAGGTTTTCCAAGATAGAGGCCAAATTCGAAGCGGCCATTGTTCTCACGTCCGGTCGGGCAGCTCCCAGTATTATGGATGAGTATAACTCAGCTAGTGGCTTTCTATATCTCGCGTCTTCGCCAATGGTCTCATGAAGTTTCTCGGATACCCAACGAGCGACATCCGCATCATATTCAGAGACCCCGTTATAGAATTCTGGAAGTTGCTCCCATTGTTGAGAACCCAGCATTTTCAATGTAGTGCACCAGGCAAGCGCTCTTCTGAGCAGGGCGCATGCTCGCGTGGTGCTTGAGAGGTTCCACGAAACGCGTGAAGCATCGAAAACAAACGCCTGAACACCGTGGAGGTCGTGAGCTTCGAACATCTCGTTGATAAAAGGGACTATTTTGTCTAGGGGTTGGTCAGCTCAAGTTCGTTTGCCAGAAGCCACCTCAACTTACCTTCACTTTGCGCTTGAACCGCTCGTTCCAGCGTAGCGTTCAGAATTTCAACTAGCTCGGTAGCCACTGTTGGCGATCTTCCAGCACGGAAGAGGACGTCCAACAAGGTACGTAAAGTTTCGAAGAGACCGTCAATATTTCCTACCATTCTGTTAGCTTTACAACTCTAGAGGAAATTTTTGCTTATACTCACCCATCCAAAAGTCATCAGTAGTGGCAGCATATCGACGAAGGGCATAGCGCACAGTTAGAGCGACACCATGAACATAATTCTCAGTGACCTTCGGAGGAAGGACAGCGAGGGCACGCAGAGCATCTGGAATGCGGTGCCGAGTAAGCAATGACGCATAGACACGAGCGGCGTGCTCTCTAACACCCCACACAGGACTGCCGATGTGCTGAAGAACCAGCTTGCGAAGCATCTCATCGGTGGAATCATCCAGGCTGGGAACTTTGTCACCGACCAATTCAAGGGCAGGGAAAATTCGCTCGGTGATGATGTCTGTTCCCTCTGCCGCTTCGCCTTGGGTAGTTGACAAGAGGCGAGAAAGCAGCTCTAGAAGACCGGGGTACTTAGGGAAAGTAATTCTTGCGCCCGGCTCTGAGCCTGAGATGCCTCCAAAGCCAGGTCCGGCGCCCAGGATAACTCGACACATCTTTGTCAGCAGCGCACGGAACAGCATCAGTCCAGAATTACGAAGCGCCCAGATTGGCGATCCCAGGCGGTCAGCAGAGAGCGTCAACGCCTTCATGATGAAGGGTTCGGTATATAGGCCAAGTTTGTTATTGGTGAAAATGTCCTTGAGACAGTTCATGGCATGAACTTGAGGCAATTCCAGGTACTGTTTTTCCTTGTCGTACTCCACAGGAAGGTATGAAATTTCATGAAGCTCGTTCAATGCTGCGTTGAAGAATGGTGTTCCAGGATCAGAGCCAACAATACCTGTCACCAACGCGGGTATGCCAGCGGAGCGGCGAGTAAGCTTGGATGCCGAGTCGAAAATGGTCGATTTGGCTTCCTGGTACCAGCCTCGAGGAAGTTCACGAATAGCAGGGTCTTTTGAAGAGCTACATCGCTGGCAACAAGTGGCAAATGTTTGTGAAACGTTGGTAAATGCACCTCGATGTCGAAGTTCGGCAAGCTGAGTGAAACTCGCTCCTCCGATCTTCGCAAAATCGGCACGGTTGAGCCCGGAACTTCCATTCGGTCCGTAGCTAGTGTTCGCCAGAGTTGCATGTAGCAAAATGCTGCTGAGGTCAGTGATAATGCTTGATATTGAGATTTCTGGGCTTACCTTGATTCTCGGAGGGATCTCCACGAATACGAAAGGACGTCTTTAGGTCCAACGTTTAGGTCCTCAAGGGGCTCATCTGAGTGACCCTCAGGTGAGTCAATGCACAGCAAATGCTTTGCCTGCTGCCAGATCTTATCGCAAACGGCGTCAATTCGATCATGCACAGAGCGCCAAGCGGTGGATTCCGAATCGTCGGAAATCAAAGAATGGAAATTCGGCATGAGTACAATATATCTGCACTCTAATTAGCAAATGTTGCCGTAGAAGGCTCGTTGTGTCTTACTTGAGTCCAGAAGTATAACCATGGAGTGGCGCCTCGCGCATAACGGAGTTGAACAGGCTCTTTGGACCCAGGAGACGGTCCTCCAGTTTTGTCAAGATTGTATCAACCACTGATGCCTTGGTTGACCACCACTCCGAACCTGCTTGGCCCGAGTTTCCAGGCAATGCGGCGCAAAAGATGATATGATACAACCGAGCAACAGTGTCAGCATGATCAGCTCTACTCGTATTGCTTGCCAGGCTCTCTGCTCGGGTTAGTGCATCTGTCAACCGCATGCCTACATTGGATGTGTTTTGCAGGCAATCAAGCAAAACATCCCTGGGGCAGGAATTCAAGATTATGAGGGAAGTCTGCCTCACTTCCTCAAATGGATCCAGTAGGAGATCAACCAAAAGACGGAGTAGCTTAGCATCAAATACCTCCACTTGAACCTTCCACAGGTTTTCCATCTCTGATTTTTGAAGCTTGATATTGGTCCGCGGGTCAAGACCGGAATCGATCAAAAGTTTCAATGACTTGAGGGCCGTGATGTGGCGGGCATAGGAAGCACTCAGAGGTAGGTCGTTTTGCAAGAAATTCAAGTAGGCCTTCAAGAAGTCCTTTGTCTCGGTTTCATTTCTGGCTTGGCCTGTAGCGGGCTTGTTGACTGTCTTTTCGATCTTCAAGCCTGCGTCTTCCTCTCTCACAATGCCACCCTTGAGACGTAAGATGAACCTCCGGGTCATGCTGAAGATTTCTCCTCGGCTATGTGCCTCAGATTCGGCGTGCATAGAGGGGAGTCCGCGAAGGATCGCTTTCGTTGCTCCAACTGTGAATGGTTTGATTGTGGAGGATGAGGTGATCAGCAGCGAGAGCGCCGCTGTACGAATGCTGGGTTCGCGGTGAAGAAGGAATTTACCGATCACCTCGCTTTTCAAAATCAGGATATCTTTGCTGTCAATTTTCAATTTGCCGGAATCAAAGACATCTGCGCATGTTAGCAATCTTTGAACGCCACTAGTCACAGGTTCACTCACAATCTTCATGGACCAGGTTAACCTTTTTGCCAACCTGCAAGGCGGCGAAAAGAACCATATACTCAGCTTCAGGCGCATCAGTCATATCACCCTCAAGAAGACTCTTGACAGGGAGAGTTTCAAGGAAAATCTTGAATCCGTTTGGATCAACGGTGAACAAAGGTTCCAAAATGCGGTTAGAGAGATCTTCTAACGTTTCCACGTGCCTCGATATTAGGCGTCTGGCTGGAATCACCCACATGTCTGACAGCTTCTCTGGGGAAGTTTCGGCCTTCATCTTCTGAATCAAAATCGCTAGTACATTACCAGCAGGAACAGCTGTTGCTTTGTTGTTCGTTTGCACCAAAAGTCGTTGAACGATAATTTTGGCGGCTAATTCATCCGACAAGTTGCCAGACGCAATCTCATCCGAAGATAATGCGTCTTGATCCTTGGCGAGAGTAGAACTCCATTTTTCCTTGTTCTTGGAGAGCCACTCACGAGCCAATTGGATAAACTCGGTTGGTAAGATGGCATCTCTTCTAATGAAAGTCTCCAGGAACACTAAGCATCCCTTCAAGCGTGATTGGGGCTCGCCAAGCACAATATTAGGCACAATCACATCAGTGGCCGCAGTTTGTATTGCTGTCCTCGATGCTCCTTGGTGACCTTTTGCAAGCAGAGCAGTGAGTGAAGTCAAGATAAGCTTAATAGACTTTGGTTTGGCATCTTCATAAAGATTCAAGCCGATGTCAAACACAGTCAACCATGTCTCTTGTGATAGTACCAACTGTCTGGTTGCATCGCATTTGGACTTTGCGGCTGCATCAATAAAGGCAGAGGTTGCATTGCATGCTGCGCCAGAATGAGCTGGCGAAAGAGATGCCGTCGATAAGGTTTGAATCAATGACTGCCATACCCGGTTCACTTTTCTTTTCAGACAGATTAGTTTGATACAATAAACTGAACAAGTAGATTGCTTACTCGATGTCTTGGCTTGTTAACGTGAATTTCACCAATGGACCTTTGACGATATCTTGGAGGGTTTTCTCTGATAGCAATTGCACTTCCTGGGCAATATCTTCCATGTCGGCTGATGCGGCACGTTTAGCCTGGTTGGATGCATCAGCTGCCATAGCCTATTCGTACATTGGTATATCGGTCCAAATGAAAGATCTCGATTAATTTTCTTGAAGCTCCCCGCGATGCCTCAGGCAAAGGTGAATTTGGATCCATATCAGGTATAGCGTCCGCTCTCCGGATTTACTATAGTCCGACAACCCAAACGCCGAGTCACGGGATCACGTTTTTTTCCCTGGCTCCTCCGATGCCAGTGGAGCTGTGAACACAGGGTCATCATTTCTTCCTCAGTACGCTACTACCGTTACCCTTGGACCATTGAACTTTCATCTCTTATCTCTTAAAGTTCTGTTCACGATGTCTATCTGGGACTCCCTCGGCGGTCGCAAGCAAAAGCAAGGAGATGTCTTCGATCCTACGGCCTCTCAAGACGCTACATCTTTCCTCTCCGAGGTCGCCCTTTCTGATCCCTCTCGCCTTCATCCTCTCGCCGGTCTGAACCAGGACACCCTCGACTACCTCACTCTCGAAGACTCCGCCCTCGATCAACTCCCCGGTTCCCGATCAGTGTTGCCCTCGCGTGGATGGTCAGACGACCTTTGTTATGGTGCCGGCACCACTTATCTCGTCGCACTCACACTCGGAGGCGCGTGGGGACTTGCAGAAGGATTGAATAAGACACCAACTACGGCCGCGCCCAAGATCCGTCTCAATGGTGTACTCAACTCGATTACCCGTCGCGGTCCGTTCCTCGGAAACTCGGCTGGTGTCGTGGCTATGGTTTACAATGGTTTCAACTCTGGTATCGGATATGTGCGAGGCAAGCATGACGCATCTAATAGCATCGCGGCCGGAGCATTGAGTGGTATGCTCTTCAAGAGCACACGTGGACTTAAGCCCATGATGATCTCTGGCGGCATTGTGGCTTCCATTGCCGGTGGTTGGGCTGTATGTATATCGATATGATTGTACCTGGGACAGTGACTAACTTCCATTCTCTAGGTTACACGAAAGGCCTTCTTCTAGATTCCTGGCATGACCAGTTTCACCCTACTTTGCTCCTCGGTTATCCGACTCTCCATACCCTCTCCGCCACCCTTCAATGACATTGGCGGTTGACGATTAGCCACCTCACTCTGTCCTTCATCTGCGATGTATTACAACAATTTTTTATTCCCCCTGCGGATCTCTTCACTCCGGCGCTCAAAGCTTCATGTTTCGCATAATGCGTGGGTTGGGAATGGGGTGTGCAACTGGGTTTGTACTTTGTATTTCTTCTGTGTACATAGAAAAGTCTCTTGCATACCTGCGACTTATTGGCTTTGGCGCTCTTGCAAGTGCTTTCGTCGGTTACGTTTTTAATGCTGCTAGGGACTTCCAATAGACATTTTCTCGAACATCCTCACTCAGGCTCAACTATAGTAATTTTACTTTTAAGTCACATTCTTCGCTGCCAAATGAAATATTGTTGACGGCCCTGGAAGTTGGTTCCAATGCCGAAAGAAGAGAATCGTTGAGGATATGCCTCGGACTAGTATACAGGTACTCCAAACCATGCAGCTGCTCCTTCTGTTTTCTAACCACTTTCAGGTCCTCCTAATTGCATCTCATCCCAATCAAATTTGTCATTTCGCAAAAATTCAAAGGAATAGGCCAGCGACAGAGCCAGCCAACAAAATTCCAACCATACCAATGGCGGACTTCGACAGCGGATGAGCCGCCACCACACCAGCAGCCGCATTGGCAGTGGAGGTGGCAGTCGAGCCAGTTGATGTGCCCGAACTAGTGGAATCCGTACCGGTAGTCGACGCACTGAGGGTCACGATCCCGGTACCAGTGGCCGTGGCTGTCGCGGTGGCCGTAGCGTTAGCGTTGGTATTGCACCACACCTCCCCGGGCTCGGAAGCCTTGATCAGGCACTCGGCGAGGGTTGCAACGGTCTGCCCCTGAGCAAGACAGTAGTAGTCACACCCGTCGTACTCGACGACGGAGGCCTCGGAGCAGCAGCTACTCATGATAGCTGAGTTGTTGCTTTGAATAGGCATTGCGCATGCGGCATCGTGGGTTGGAATGTCATACAGCTTTGCATGGCAGCTGGAAGTTGCTGATGCAGAAGAGGTAGTGGAAGTTGTGGTCACGGACATGGTGATTTCGAGGTTTGAGACAAGTGTGAGAAAATCCTGGGGATTCTTTGTGGCAGATTGAACGAGGTGGCTTGCTTAGATTGATTGACAGAGTCTAGCTTTCTGGGCATTTGCGACTTTATATCCCTTGAGCTCAATCAACTTCAGGCAGTGTCCACTTTCAATTGCCATGCTAGTAGTCTTTTGGGGGGCTAATTTTGTCCCCACAGATCAGACTGTCTTCTTGTGGGTTGTACTTCTTGCACAGCCTGAACAAAACCAGACTCCATGAGAACGAGGTGTGCCAAATCTGTACCCATCTTACTAAACGAAACAAATCTCTCATCTCTCATCTGATTCATCATAAAGCTTGCTATTTTCGTTCTTGGTAGGCTGTTTACCGAACTCTTGGCTTATCCGCTTAACATGCATACAAGAGCCAAATGACGCGTCTTCCGAGAGATGGACTAGAATCATTCGCTATTCAAAGGACAATCTTAAACAATGACGCTAAAATTGTGGCTGCTAGTCAGGGTATACAGCCCTGAATGGGTGGATAAACATATAAACACATGTGGATCCGCAAAATGATGCAGCGCTGTTGCTATTCCTAGAGCCATGTCTTTTAAACTTGAGTTATTTTAGCTGATTAGGCGTGCGAGTATTCTGAGCAATGGGAGAATGCGACAGTCTCAATACAAACCAAAGGGGTCTGCCTGGCTCGCTATTATATGAAAATCCCAAGCATTCAACACCAGTCTTGTCTAGACAATCAATGATCTATCTTTCTAAGAATAGGCCATTGTCGAGATGGCTGCAACCTTTTAGATTGGCCCGGTTAATATTTACCCGCTGATCCTATGATATCTTTGTTTTTCTATAAAAAGCCCCGGATCAAGGATCCAAGCCAAGAGCGCCCTGTGGATCTACTATGTTTCCCTGGTGGATCGTTGAGGTCGGCATGCCGACCTCGGGGCATCTATCAATTGCAGTTACCTAGGTAAAAAACATGAACCTTTGATGCTACACTCATTCCAAGGTTTGCTGGTTTGACCTTTAAGTTGTCTGATTCCTCGAACATATTTAATCAGCCAGCCATCTTTTTCTATCTTTCTGTCTTTATTTCGTCAAACTTGAATGAACCCCATGTTGGTGGGTACCCGGAGTAATATATAGCAGGCATTGTCATACCCAATTAGGGCTGCATAAAATTACAAGGTTCATAAAAAAACCTTCCAAGATTGGAATCTAACAAAAATACCAAATTTGCTTACAGGCCAAGATGTTTGAACTTGGCAGATATTGGTATAGGAAAAGGAATCAAATGGAGTCAAAGGCAGAACCGGATGATTTCTACCTTGGTATATAGCGTACTTAAGTAGATTGTTGAAGTGAGATCCAAGAATATATGACCGTGTAATAACACAACTACAACCCCTTATTGGTCATAGCTTCTTTTTCTACCTCTTGTTTCTTAGAATTATCATTGAAGAACGAATGTCATCTTCCATGTTTCCCAACATTTGACGGCCAAATTCCGCGCACAGGTGGCGTGGATCAGGGACCGGTGATTGCCGATATGCGGTGAGACAATAACTTCGGTTCCCGCGCCAGAGCTTTCACTCTTCTTCAAATCCTTGGCAATGACCAATATATCCTCAAATACTGGAAGAATACCAAAACCACGTACCAAGACTTTTACAGGATGCTGGACATGTCGAGATCGTCGAGTCAAATGCGACGATGAGCATCCGCATTGTCGCCGGTGTCGCCGGAGTGGTTGGGTATGCAAGGGGTACGGGTTGCGCTTAGGATGGGACCAAACCCCCGGGGGCCGTTCTCACCGGCGCCAATTGTGGCCCCTGGCCCCATATGGGGACCAAGCACTATCGTCTGCCGCTGTTTCTGCACTATTAACTGAATTGGACGGTTGTTCAGGAGACGGCTGTGCCCAGCAAAGAGGACCCTTTTCGGTGTTCTCCGTTTTGTCAAGTTCTGACTTGAATCATGTCGCTTCAGTGGATCGATCTATTCCGGATATAGTATTGTCCCAAGAATCAGAGGAAACACATCAGAGTTCGTCAGATGTAAATACGATTGTTTCGTCAATCGGCGACAAAGAAAGCGATTTAGCTTCCCCGGAGCCTTTATCCGATGCTTTGTCAACTACCACCGCAACGTCTACGTCTGACCCAAGCGAAGATCTACAGGCAGGATCGCCGGAGCCAGCATGTCAAGTGGATCATCATAGAATCACCTCAATCGACCATGTCGCCGATCATCAAAAACCTGGGAATCAACTTTTATCAGACTACAATATACGTCGGTCAAATCCTTACACTGTTGAAACTGATACTCTTCTTTGGAACTACATCAATCCTATTGTTCTTCCCAGACCAGAGACAGAGCTGGTTCACCACTGGGTGGTGTTCCTTAGCGGAAACATGCTTCTCATCGATACCCCGGACAATCCTTGCCGAACAGTGTTCATGCCCTTGGCCCTGAAAGGCCTCGATGCCTCCCCCAACGAGTCAAATATTCACCTCTCAATCTTCCATGCTATCTGCGCCTCCTCTGCCTTTAGTCTTTTTCACCTCCGCCAGAATCCACGATACCACTCAATCGCGATGCACCATGACCAACTAGCGCTGCGTCATCTGCGCACGAATCTACAGCGTGCACGCTGCTTAGATGAGCCTACGCTAGCAGCGGTCTTAACTTGCATCACCGCTGAGGCGATGTCTGGACGTCGCAGCAGATGGAGAACACATGTTGCCGGATGTCTTGGTCTTCTGGAAAACCAGGCACATGGAGACTGGATTCGCAATCCCATCGCTTCTAGGTTGCTGCAAAGCTATCTGTCTCTTTCGTCATTATGCAGTCTTCGTTTGTCCGGGCGCTTGATGGCACTACTGGATGGGCCCTCGGACTTGCGACATTACCTTGAGCGATCACATGGTGTCACGACCCAATTGGTCCAGTTCCTCGCTCAGATCACCGCCCTCGCCGAGTCACAGACCCAGCTTTCTACCGAAGAGCTCGATCGCTTCGAACTACAACTATACTTAAACTTCCCATGCCTGTCTAACCCGGATGCACCGGGATCAATGATTGTGCAACACGCCCTGAACTCATTTTACTACGCTACAATAGTGTATTTCCGTCGCAATCTACGCTGCGCACCACTATGGGATGTTCAAGATCTTATCGAGAAAGCGATCATCGAGATCGAAGCCGTTGATTCGCTCACCCGCGACAAAGGCGGCTGCCCCTACAACTGGGCCAGTTTTGTGGTCGCAGCTGACTGTGAGCGGCCTGATCTTCAAGATCGCATGCTGGCATTCTTCGACCGCAAAAGTCGTCATGGAATTCAAAATATCAATGTCCTGTGCGAGATTGTCCAGGCTCTGTGGAACCGAAGGGCCGCGGCTGGACCGCACGTCGATATACAGTGGCAGGAAATCGCAAGAGAAGCTGATTTTGACATCATGCTTGTTTAAAAATGTACATAATTATATACCAGAATATACTGCTACCTATTTCATACAGATACTTGTGTTTCCAATGGGCTCAGACGGTGAAACCTCCGTCAACGACCAACGCCGCTCCACACATATAGCTGCTCGAAATGGAGCAAAGGAAGAGCATTGCGTCGGAAATCTCCTCAACCTGTGCCGGCCGGCCGATGGGTGTCATCTGAAACTGGGCGTCCATTGACCCGGACTCAATCTGCTCTTTAATGATTGGGGTGTCCACGAAACTAATTTCTGCTGTCAGCACCAGGCAAAGACGGGAGTGAGTTTAACACATACCCAGGACATATGGCATTGATACGGATTCCATCCCGCGAGTATGCTTTGGCGTCCTATTATACTTTTAGCCGTGGTCTATTGTACGACCTTGGAATGGAGAACCCGTACCATTTTGGTCAATCCGACAACAGCGTGTTTTGCTGCAGTGTAGTGTGGAATCCCAAATGGACCTGGTGGACCGCCAATGCCGAACATGGAAGAGACATTGACAATAACTCCACGCCCCTCCCGAATACCACGAGACCTTTTCTTGAATTAGCGATGCTGAAAAGACAAATATCACACACAGCACTCACTCCTGTGTTAGCATCTGCCGGATCAAAGCTCTTTGGCAGAGCCAGACTCCAGTTTGGTTGATATCAATGACCTTCTTCCACTCTGCTAAAGTCATTTGGTGAGTTGAAGTGGGATTTCCGCTTATGCCAGCACAGTTGACGCCGATGTCAATGCGGCCGAATCGCTCCACAGTTTGTTGGACAGCTGCGTCAACTGATGCCTCGTCTGCGACATCCACTTGTAGGATCTCAACGCCGACATTTGGGTGCTGAATTTGGAGTTCGGCTTGAGCTGTTTCAAGCAAAGACAAGTTGAGATCAAGAAGAGCTAGCCCACTGATACCGTTGCGGGCTAGGGCAAAGGCAGTGCTCTTGCCAATTCCTAAGGGGCTTGTTAGTACCGATGTCTCTCGTACAAACTGTCTCAAATGGTTTTCAATTTACCCGATGCACCTCCAGTGATGAATGCAACTCCTTGAACGTTGCAAGTCATGTTGAATAGTTCAAATTTTGTGAGCATACCCTTGCAGATCAACCCATTTTTATTGTAGAGCGGAATCACACCGCTCTTTAATGACTGACATATTCGAACCGGATCACGGAAGCACTTCCGTGTAAGATGCAGTTAATGTTACTGCTTTTTACTCCGCACATGGTATATGAAACCCCCGACGTCCTGAAGAACGGAAGCCATATGGGCCGTGGTGGAGCAAGTGGACCCTGAACCTTCTCGCTGTTGACTTCCTCTTGCAGACTCAACGTTACGTCTATATCAACTGATATTTCTGATTTCCGACATGGACAGCGAGTAAAATCCCATCGGAAGCCGGCCAAGCCGAATACTCAATTTCAGTATGGAGACCACTTGGCTTCAATGCTGGAGGCGTGTAAAAGGGGATCGTTGTCCAAGCTAAATGACTCGGATTCCATTCAAAAATCGAGTGTTTCTCTCTTTAATCTTGATTTGGAATCTAGTCGTCAAAAGTTCAAGATGACACGAGCAAATATGCAGATCGAAACTGACGCCATCGTTATTGGTGGCGGTTTCGGAGGCTGCAACTCCCTCTACAAGCTCCGCAATCTCGGTCTCTCCGTGAAGTTGATCGAAGCCGGAAGTGATTTCGGTGGTGTATGGCACTGGAACCGTTACCCAGGCGCCCGTGTTGACAGCGAAATGCCATCGTACCAGTTCAATATCCCTGCAGTGTGGAAAGGGTGGAATTGGTCCCAGCGGTTCCCTGGCGATGAGGAACTACGTCGCTACTTTCGGCACGTGGATGAGGTTTTGGAGTTGAGTAAGGATGCTTTTCTCAATACTGTTGTCACCAGTGTGAAGTATGATGCTTCCTTAAAACATTGGGTTGTGAATACCAATACTGGTCTTGAAGCTACGTGCAAGTACCTTATTGCTGCGACGGGGTCTTCGTACAAGAAGCATTACCCGCAGTTCCCGGGCCTCGATCGGTATGCTGGAAAACTTGTCCATGCTGCCGATTATCCCGAGTCTCTGGACATCAAGGGCAAACGGGTTGGCGTCATCGGCAATGGAGCCTCAGGTTTGCAGATTGTACAAGATCTTGCAAAGGAAGATTGTGGGCTCAACGTCTTCATCCGAACACCCTGTTTTGCCATCCCAATGGGACAGCGCGAGATCTCCCACGGAGAGTCCGAGATGATGAAGGGGTACTACGACGGCATCTTTGAGCGTTGCTACAAGTCTGTCACTGGCTTTCCGCACAACACCTTGTTTCAATCAGCCCTCCAAGCGCCCCCAGAGGAGAGAAAGCTCCTGTTCGATGAGCTATGGGCCCGTGGCGGGTACAGCTTTCTTGTCTCCAATTACTATGACTTCCTTCTAAATGAAAACGCCAATGCCATCTTCTACGACTACTGGGTTCAGCAAGTGCGAGCTCGCATGACAGATCCCGAGAAGATGGACATGGTCGCCCCCCTGAAGCAACATATGCTGGTTGGAACTAAGCGGCCGAGTCTCGAGCAGGATTACTACGAGATGATCGATCGTCCGAATGTTAAACTGCACAATCTGAAGCAATCGCCTATCGTCGAGTTCGATGCCACAGGCGTGGTCACTCGGAATGGTGCCGGTACGAAGCATCAGGATCTGGATGTAGTGATCTGCGCAACTGGATACGATGCTGTTACAGGTAGCCTCTTGGACCTAGGAATCACCGACAAACATGGTCACTCGCTGAAGGAGAAATGGAGCAACGGGGTTTTGACTCATCTGGGTCTGATGGTTCCCGACGTTCCGAATTTCTTCATGGTCTATGGTCCTCAGGCGCCTACTTCGGTGGCGAACGGGCCGCCTTTTGTCGAGATGGAGGCAGACTGGATCTGCAATGTCATCTTGAAAATGAGAAAGGGGGGCCTGGAATCGATTGAGCCGACACACAAGGCAGCCGAGGCGTGGCGGGACCATGTTGTTGCCGTGAGTGAGCACACCTTGTACCCCAAGACTGACTCTTGGTATATGGGCTCCAACATCCCCGGTAAGCGGCGCGAACCCTTGATCTATCTGGGTGGAATGCAGAGCTGGTGGCAGAAATGCACGGAGGCGCTGGAGAGTTGGAAGGGATTCAATCTGGCTTAGAAGGAAAAGCGATTCTGTATGTTGATACATCAAACTTTGTATTTTATTCTTCCTCGATCATTTCTTTCGAGACCTAAATTGGAGTTCACTGTTGGTATTTCGTCCTCGATCGGAAAAGCATTGTCTGTTTATTTTTCGAGTTTCTTATTCCCTATCTGCCTGTTTCATCTGCTACCGGGAGTAACTTCAAAAAAAAAAAATACGCTTAATCAGACTGGAGATTATATTTGCACTAAACCCTGCAGTGGTAAACCCGGAGGACCATTTCTCGCGTATCACTACTCAAAGAATAGCCAAGGCATTAGGCGGACTGGCAACAGCACCGGGGAAATTCAATGGTGAGGATGTAAGTAAGAAAGAATACTGCTTACTATCCTTGCAAGCCTCGCCGAGCGCCTTCAAATCCCACAGTTCACCCAGCGGCATCCCCAACAAACCAAGACACCACTGGTGCAAAACGAGCTCATGCATAGGCTGCTCAACGCCATCCACCATAGGCGGCATCGCCTCAACAGCCATGTTGTCACTAACAACCGCAGCAAAACGATGATCCCACAGCCAGCGCGCCATCTCCTTGCTTCCTTCAAGCCCGCACATCTTGCCTGTGCTCATCGCAGCCCCTTGCTCCGCCCCGCTCATCTGACCCAGTCGCTCGGTCACGCCGAATCGGATGAGTAGGATGTCTCCAGCCCGGAAAGTGAGTCCTTGCCACGCAGCTACTTCCTCAATCTGCTGAGTCCCAATGCGGTAGTTTGAGAACTCGTCGTAGTGCGTCTTTTGGGATTCCGTGTAACTTTTGATGTCGATTAGTACGCCTCTCCCGGTCACACAGCCGCGTTGGTGCCAATCTGGAGTGTGCATTAGCCTTTCGTGGAATTGTGTGAATTGGATTGGGGTTGGGGTTTTCTCACGGTCTAATGTTGGGAGTTGATTTGCGGGATCGGGGCTTTGGAGGGTTTCGACTGTTGGCTTTGCTCCGTTGTAGGTGAGTCCGGTTGGGAGGTGCATGAAATGAGCTAGATGGAAGATTAGCTTACTTTTGAATATTCAGTACGGAAGAATCCTCGAGACATACTCAAGCTATCCCACTGGCTGCTGGCCTGGGTATTGAACTCGACCTGTTGAATCTGTGGTCAGCAAGACACACAAAGGTATGAACGGCCTGGTTAATAGTAAACCTCATCGTCAAATCCAAAGTGACAAGCAGATTCTGGATCTTCAAGTTTTTTAATTTTATGACAGAGGCTCTTTCGAAAGAAACCGGTCATTTTGATGCTTCCGATGGGCCAACTGGCGACATTATTGATCAGCTGAACGTTCAGGTATTTGAACATATGGAACAACTCACTTCAGAGAAATGGACAAGCCTTGACGAACCTCTGCTGCAGCATTCCTGACAACCTCTGGAGTGAGCAGGTTCAGTGTTCCGTAGACATCTTTCCTGTCGTCTTTGTCGAAGATACCCCAAGCGCAGCCTTGTGGCATGCCCTCCACGGGTGGCAGGTCGTCGAATCTTGGAATTGGAATAGACATTGTTTGGTCAGATATCCTTCAATTCAATATGGTCCAAATCGGGTAGTTGTACGCAAAGTTCCGGATGGTAGAAGCCGAGGTGCGAGCTCGCCCTCAACTTCCTAATCGATTTCTCAGGTGGATCAGCGGACTTTGCGGGGATCCGAAAACGATCAAAAAGTAGTGAACGGATGTAAACATGCCGGTAATACAATACGCCTTGGTTTGGTTTCTTATTTACACTACTTGCCCGTGTCCTACACAACTGAATTGCTACACTGTGTTAGATCACTCATTTCATCTGACAATGTCTCTACAATACGATGTTGAATTCGCAAAGGAAGCAGCTCCTGTTCTACAACACCTTGCTCAGACCCCAAAACCAGCCCTGCACGATGTCGCAACAAGGCGGCTCATGCTCGGCGCCATGACGAATGAGCAGTTCAGCTTACCAAATGACGTTGAACATGTGGTCCATAGTGTCGCGGCGCTAGATGGCCACACTGTACCCGTCTACCACTTTCGCAAGAAGCTTCCTCCTCGTGAGGGAGGCGAGCCTGCCATCGTACACATCCATGGCGGGGGATATATCGCCCTCAGTGCAGCCGGATGTGCAACTCCTCATGGAGAATCAGTGTCTCAGACGGGAGTTCAAATCTTCAGCATCGACTATCGACTGGCACCCGAGAACTCGTATCCCGTGCCGCTGGATGATTGCTGGGCGGTCTTGCAGTGGATCCATAGCAAAGTAAAACAATTCTCGATCAACCCAGCTCGCATTGCAGTCATGGGAGAAAGTGCCGGTGGTGGCCTGGCAGCTGCGCTCACTCTTTTGGCGCGTGATCGAGTGCTGTCACCTCCGCTGGCAAAGCAGATTCTCGTGTACCCCATGCTGGATGATCGGACAAATTCCAACCATGCGGGTGCGCTGGCTTTCTGGGATGAGAATGATAACATCACGGGCTGGACTGCGTATCTAGGGCCTAAAGCAGGCAGTGACGCGATTGTTCCCTATGCGGCACCGGCTCGAGTGGATAAAGTGGAGGGTCTGCCTCCGCTGTACCTTGACTGCCCTCAACTTGATATTTTCGTGCATGAGGGAATGAAGTATGCATGCCGGTTTGTGGCTGCAAACATCCCCACTGAGTGTCACATATACCCAGGCCTGCCGCATGGGTTTGAAGCGCTGGCTTCTGACATAGATGTTACCAAGCGGGTTATTGAAAATCGATATAAGGCAATGAGTAGCTTTTGAATTGCATGAGTATAGATTGCACAGATTTGACAACCATACGTTTGAATTTCTCGACAAAACAGCCAAAAGAGGAGGGGTCATCAGCGTATTGAAATAAAGCGAACTTTACCTAAAGTTTTCTCGTAAGATTCCAACAAAAAAAAAAAAAAAGAAAGCGTGCAGGTTGTATCCGGCTGGACCCAATAGTGGGGATAAGCACAGGGGTCAGATACACCATGAAATGAGGCCACTGGCACCTTATAAAATAACCAGTTTCCAACCTCGTCGTAGTTTCTTTTCGGACTCTTTTGGCATTGTCGTCCCAAAATCCCCCAAAATTCCCAAGATGACATCCATCCCAAGACCAAGCCAGGAGAAAGTTCACGAACTCGTGAACAACAAAGTTGCCATTGTTACAGGAGCAGCCAGGGGCATCGGCTTCGCCACTGCATCCCTTCTGGCGCAACACGGAGCTCGAGTTGTGCTGGCAGACCTGCACGAGGATGATCTGAAAAAGGCCTGTGAGAAGATAGGTGAACGATCAACATACAAAGTCTGCGATGTCAGTGACTGGGATCAACAAGTGGAATTATTCCACCATGTGTCGAGTACGATCGGGCCGATCGATTTGTTGGTCTGCAATGCAGCCATCAACCCCGAAATCGCATTGCTGCAGCAGAGATCCGACTTGCAGAAGCACGCGGAGATGAACGCACAGGTTCGCTACAATTACCTGGCGGAAGAAAAAAACTCACAGAAACCCGAGACTCTTCAACGACCTTCGACCGCGCTGTTCAATGTAAATTTGAACTCGGTCATTTTTGGACTGAAGCTGGGCGTTCACTACATGAGGGGCGGTCGAATCGTGGTCATCGGATCTGCGGGTTCGTACGTGCCGATCCCTTCCCAGCCGCTTTATTGCGCCAGTAAACATGCCGTACTGGGGTTGGTGCGTAGCACTGCTCTGATGGAGGAAGTGACGCGGTCGGGGACGACGATTTGTTGGATCGCACCCTGGTTGACTTTGACCTCCATGGTGGAGGGCATCCGGGAAGTCTCAGATCCTGATATGTTAAAGAGCTCCCCGGATGACGTCGCATGGGCCATTGTTACGGCTAGTGCGGCAGAAACTTCAAATGGTAAGGGGTATTGGGTGCAGGGCCCTACCGTCAGCGAAGTGGAGGGGGTTTACGGCGAGGTGGCGGGGCAATTGATGTCTCGGGTGTAGCGGGTCTAGTACAATATTTTACAATAGTATTGTACTGGTAGGCGGAAAAAATCGGGATCTTGAGAGAATCTCAATGTAATGACAAAAATTCGAATAAACATGAATGAGTCAATATGTCCCAAATGTAATCCCCAGGGCTTTGATTAGCTATCCTCCACTCTTATGATTATTCATCTATTGCGTCACGTGGTTTAAAGGTATTGTTTCCTAATTAGGAAAACTCCAAACACAAGGGTTCTACATATGCAATTTTTAGGAATTCTGACATCCTATCTGCACAACCTAGTTGGCTAGACGTGTGTCAGGTCACCCTGTGTGTCAGTCACCCTCTCTATGAAATTACACTTCACGGGGCTTGTAGCAAAGCTCAAGCGCCAGGGTTCTAAATGTGTCGACTACAGTTTGGGAATAATATCTAGGTACCTCGTACCACCTTCCTTTTTCTTCTTCTAGATTTTTCAGATTCACTTTCATTGGAATTTGACTATTAAATCTATCTTCTTGAACATATCTGGATCATACTCACTGGGACCCTACCTTACAGCTACCTACTATGTACTCCGTGGGTATTTCATCCACTGATTTGAGTTCGGCTAAGGCCGCCACCGGATGCTAAAATTAAATATGCACAGAGCTCTATCAGTGGCGTTGAGGACGCGTTAGTCTCCTGCAGAAGGTTATCAAGGGGGATATTGTCTAGATGCTGATCTGGTATAAAAGAAAATCAAACAATAAAGAGTATGATAGCGATACAATATTGTACATTGAGGTAATTGGTGTATTGATTACATACAGAGAGTATACCCAGATATACCTGAGGCACCAATCTCCACATTTTGATGGGCCTCGCCCTTTCGATAAACTTGCATACAAACATTCTACTATCATTTCTTCCGGTACACATATTTATGTATAAATATATATACAAATATATATTATATAAATACCTACTGCTAATGTATATTTTTATATTCATTTATCTACATATTTACCATCTACATGTATATACAACTACTATATAAAATAAAGTAAATAATAAACAACTTTATGCGGGGAACATGTGGACGTTGACACTAAACCTCATCTGTTTGATCAGCTGACTTGGCGCGAAACATTCAAGGATTTCCCGCTTTCATTTCTTGTCTTCTCTTCGATTATTTTCTTTTTGAAGAGAAGACAAACAGCTTGAATCCTCTTCTTATTAATTTCAAAGTCTTTCGCTTTATTTTCTTCTTCTCTTTTCTTTCTCCCCTTGACCAATGATCTATCACTTTGCAAGTCCTATCATCAATACGGAGTAGATAAACCCTGAACGGGTTTACCCAAGTCATACGCTAACGCCATTTCGGTGTGGAGGCTGAGTCTGGGAGGGTTCTTATCTTTTTTTCGCTCACTATTCTATGCCCCTTGTGACTCTTGACTCTCCACTCCTCCCGCCCCCCCGGGGGTTGTAATTTATTACTTCTTCCGTTTGCGGTCGAGTTGCCTTCCCCAATGGATTTGCCTTCCCCAATGATACCCGAGTCCGGTCTACCAACTACCATAACCACCATGTTTCAAGATGCTGCAAGCGACAATGAACGTACGGAACGTACAAAGAAAGACCAACTCGACGTTCTTTCAGTAGACGACCTACATTCCGTACTTAATCCCGAGTCGCCACTGCCGTCCCTCCAGATTCGCACCGATCTACCCAGTATTCGTCCATCTAGCTCGCGAGACTCGGATCCTTATGCCTCGCTTTCCGGAAGCTATCCTCGACGTACACCAAGTCTTCGCGCCCTCATTGCACCTATATCCAGTGCTGGCTCCTTATCCCCGGCCTCAATTATATCCTCCCCTCAATTGAATGCGATGGGCGATATTACACCTCTGCCATCACCAATTGGAGGCGCCTCTCCATGGCGGAGAGCCGATCTACCATCCTTGTCTCGTTCATCGTCAATGGCGTCGCGGAGTGGATCCAGTCTGCGTTTGAGTGATTCATCACAAATGCTTGGCCCGCCCGTCATGTCCCGCCCGCGCAGCAGACCGTATACAGGGATTGATGGAGATGAATCGCCCGTCGCAAATCGATACCGTCGCGAGTCCCCTTCAAAGAACTCTCATTCTCATTCTCGAAACCGCAGTCTGAGTGACTATGCACCTCCAGGCCGCGTCGCTGTTCCTCGTCCGATCGCGGTGTCAGGAACTGCCGGGCTCGGCATTGCTTCTTCCTCAAGCACGGACTCCAAGTCCAATGGAATGCACCGCGAACAATATCTCGCCGTCCACCGAGGCATCGCATTGCCGACCGTTCGTCCTCCCAGTCCACCTCGCAGTAGTGGCAGCGGATACAGTGACCTTGAGCCTGTCATCCATTACACTGCCCCACTTTCCGCGCCTCAAGAGGTTTACTCCGTACGGTCGGTTCGCACCCAACAGGCCCGGATGTACCAGAAGATTCGGACGTTGGGCCAGGGCACTTTCAGTCAAGTGAGTTTGGCCGCTCGTGTGGAGGCTGTCCCCGAAGTACCTTTGTCGCCGCAATCCGATGGAGGAGGTCAATTTCACGGGACAGTAAACACCCAGAAGCTGGTCGCAGTGAAGATCATCGAACATGGCCCTGCTGGAGGCGCGGATGAAGGCCGGTTGGAGGTGTCACTCAAACGCGAAGTAGACATCTTGAAGTCTGTCAACCATCCATCTCTAGTACAACTAAAAGCATTCGGGAGCGATGAGAAGCGCGCCCTGTTGGTTTTGGACTATTGTCCTGGTGGAGATTTGTTCGAGTTCGCAACATCGGGAGCTCCTCCCATGTCCCCAGGTCTGATCCGTCGCATTTTCTCTGAATTGGTCAGCGCCGTGCGCTACCTCCACGCTCATTACATTGTCCATCGGGATATCAAGTTAGAAAGTGAGTCGTTCGTTTGCCGAAGCTGGCAAACAACATACTGACCGAGTTTCAAGATGTTCTGCTCACCATGCCCGCTCATGTCATGGACGATGTGAAAGACTGGAGCACATACGATCGTGCCGTGATCACGCTCAGTGATCTTGGACTGTCCAGACGTATTCCCGAGCCTCCTGAGAGTCCCCTTCTGCATACCCGCTGCGGGAGTGAAGACTATGCAGCCCCCGAGATTCTGATGGGCCAGGCTTATGATGGCCGTGCGACAGATGCTTGGGCTCTCGGTGTCTTGCTCTATGCCATCATGGAGAACCGACTCCCCTTCGATGTCCTCCCTGGCACTCGAGGAGATCCCGCCAAACTGCGTGCCAGAACCCCTCATCGCATCGCACGTTGCGAATGGGCCTGGTATAGGTATGCCAATGAGGACGAGGAGTGGGACCCTGAAAAGGGCAAGGGACTCGATGGCGCTCGGGATTGCGTGGAAGGCCTCCTGAAACGTAACACAAAGCGGAAGAACTTGGATGAAATCGCTGCTATGGAATGGGTCCATGATGCAATCAAAGTGCCTGACCTGAAACGAGGCGACAAAGAAGTGCCGTAGAGCGGGCCTCCCATGCACATACGTCTTATGTATTCTTTTTGCTTTCTTTGTTCTTTTTCTCTCTCTTTTTGCTTTTGCATCCTGCATTATGCGCTTTTTGCTGCTTTCCCCTTCTTGACACACTACCTTTCACTTATTCTTTTTCCTTTTAATTCACGAAGCACGATGACGATACGAGTCATTCTGTTAAATGAATCTTACGCTTGTGGCTAGACCAACCTTTTTTATACCCTTTTTACATACTACCTTAGGTAGATAATGGAAGTACAATACCTTTTTGTCCTTTTGAGTATTGCATAGAATTTCGTCCACAAAGCCACGTTATCATGTCAGCTTGTTTATTGACTTCATTTGATGTGACTATCAAAATAGGACACTTTCCCTTCCAGGGCTGTATCTCCTCCCTTAACTAATCTCCCTGCTGAAATAAATTTCACTCATTGGCGTCTTCGCTAGAACACCAAATATTTCCATACGTTTAATAGCAGCGGTTCTGTCGAGCACCCTATCAGCATGTTCTCTAAACACAGGTACTGGCACCTCTATCTCGGGTGCCTGTGAATCATAACATAGGGAAAAGCAGAGAAGCTGCCCGTTGCCAAAGCATGATCTCATTCTGTGCGAAGTGTCAGAACAATCCCCTCGATGCATTGCTCTCGGTGGAAAGCCCCTAATCGCCTGCCCTTCACCGCGTGATATACCCCATCTCAACGACATGCACAACACTTCATCTTTTCAGCCCGGGCTGGGTCAAAACGAACTAGACCACTTCATATGCTCCTGACCAAGACCATATTCTTTGTCTGAACCCAGCCATCGTTTACATTACACTATATGTGGAGTACAAACTGCCCTAGTACCGTGGGTGTTGGTATGAGGTCGCGCTCTGACGAAGAAGGAATGAAAATGGTGATGGCTCCGCAAAATCATCGATGTTTTTTGGGAAGCTCTAGAGGTCAAGTACAACTTGTATGCGAACTCAGACTATGTCACATGAAATGCTCAAGACGCTGGGTCCTTTTTTAAACTTGGCTACCAAGTAAAATGCAGCCCTACTTTGGTGAACGCGCATGCCGCGGCTTCAATGAACCAATGGATAATTGCTGTTTCCGAGGGAATGCGAGGTACAAGATCTACAGTATGAGACTCAAATCTGTTTTTGATCTATTTTTCTATTCGTGTATATTGTGAAGGTGTTATTTCCGATGAAGCGGCGGGTTCCTGATCTGCACTAACCTTATAGTGCAACACTAATCACTATTCGGCATGGCTGGTTTCAACCAAACACTTTCTACGGACTCCGAGGAACGGACGGGATCAGATTCTCGTGCGGCCAGGCGCTCAAGTCTGTCAGGTACAAACAGAAGAAACCAAAATTGAAGCGTGAAATATGGACGTAATCAGGGAGCATAGGTGCATCAGTGTATGCCCCGACACAGTATATCACTGGTATGAACGCTGATTGAGAAATTTAATAGACGACCCACGGAAGTGAAACCACCCTCCGATGCCGTTGACTAAAGCCATGAATATATGAGACACCGTCGGTCGAGATATACTCGAGAAAATAGCGTTCAAGAGTAAGGCGCTGCATAAATCCAAAGCTCCAAACACTCCAATGACCAGCACTCATTCTTTCTTTTCTCTTGGCCAGGTCATCATAATAGTGGCCCAGACTAGCCCAACCAGTGCGGGTCCCAGGACAATGGAGTTGCCGCTCCGACTACCAGTGGCTTCTGAAAGCCGGACCGATATATATTCCCCCTATATGTGTAGAATCATTCAAATGGGGACCAGCAGGAGATAGAAAGAACGGAGCTGCTTTCCCGACTCAAGCACGTAGTGACAAAATGTAAATGTTTCTTGCTATTGTGCCGCCTCTGGCGGCATTTTCAACCGCAGCCCCGACTCTTGATAAAGAAGTAAGTTGAACAACAATTTCTTCTAGATGTGTTAAGTGGGTGCTAATATTATCTAGCCATTCTGGGGCTACTCTCTACGTGATAAGATTACATACACTCTGCCATGAGTCTTCCGTTGGCGAACTCAGAACGGGTATTGAAATATTAACATAGCTTCCTAGGTTCAAGAGACAATGTGCAGAGTCTGGCAAATGTGGCGTGAATCTGTGGTGTTCAATGTTAGACCTATGCTTTTCGGACGCTTCTAGTCTCTCGTTTTCCCTATACTTTCGATCCTGAATAGCGATCTCGATAGAACTTGCGGGTTGATCATTCTTGGCTGACTTCATCGAGTGTGGAGCGATGTTGACTTTCAGCACCAGGGGACTAGATCGGCTCAAATTTTGACGCTTAAAGCTTGGAGGAAGCTTGGAACCTGCAATCCAAGCAAGGTTGGTGATGGACAAGGCTTCTGTGCCCCAAAATATATCTCTCTCAAAATATAACAAAAGACTCGTGGACCAAACTGAAGTCCAATCAGAACGCCTGCAGTTAGTACCAAAATTTGAAAAGAACCTGAAATATCGAGTTTTTGTGCCTCAGGGACATCTCGATAAACCCTGAATTCCCTGGTGTTTTCAGGTCTTTCATTTGCTTTCAAATTTTCAACCATGGGATTCCTCCGCTCGTATGTTGCGGTCCAGAGTACATCTGCTGTTCAACATAGACGCGTGTAGGGTTATAAGTTACTCATGCGTGCCTGTGCATGGCGAAGTCGCCATCCTTTCCTAACCTAAAAGTACATGTAACAAAATTAATTTCTCTGAAATTAAAGGAGCAAAGACATGCAACAGTCAGACTATGTCGCTATTCACCTAGCACTTAAGGTTCCGGTGCCCAGGTGTGGGGCCCTCTTGGCTTGATCACAGCGATCCACAGTCAAGAGGCTTCCATCGCAATCTAAGGATGGATCTACAAGTAACAGTTAACTAGTTGGTTTCTCCTTGCTTGCCTGGTTCGCTAGGCCTCCGTCGGATTGAAGTCAACCAAGTGATATTGGGTTTAATCTCGTCTGATCAACACATTCTTATGTATCCTCTTACATGCATTTCACAATTCGAGCTATTGGCATTGTGTATGCGTTCCTACTGTTGAGGCAGCTAATCCTGACACCATTAAGTGTTTAACTTTCTACTGACGTCAAGTCATATGCAAGCAACACTGCAGACCCAGCTGGAATACAAAGCTTTATTCGCATACAACGGATTTGATTTGTTGTGTTGGTGCCCTAAATGGGGCTGTGCTGGCAGCGGCCTATCGTCGTCCAGCGGGGCCCGAGTCATTCGAAACCCGCGTGGCGCATGTTTGGTTTCCTGCAAATCAGCGTGTTTCAAAACGAAAAGAACCTGCATGACTCCTGCATTCCTTGTCTTAAGGGCTTCGAATGGCAAGGATATCGAAGTTCAAGTAACGAATAGCCGCATCATAGACCCTGATCAGGGGTACACAGTATGGGGTTTGCCCGTTCGAGTCGCTCAAAAAGACCATCGTCTCCAGAGCCACCACCAAAACCACCGCGCCCGCAAAAGTCCCATCAGCGAGCGGACAATGGACTAGGGGCACCGTACAACCAGGCCCATCGTCCATACACATCGCCAGCAGGAGCGTTCTCGGTTGGCACATTTCATGCCTCACCGCCAGTGGGATATCATCAAAATATGGCAATGTCCATGGCCCACCTACCACCTACTTCAGCTCCACCAATGCATCCATTTCCAGCGTTGCCAGCAAATAATCTAGGCGCCGTCAACAGCCCTTCACGGCAACCTCAAAAACTCTCAAAATGGAAGTCATATGCGAATCTTAACCAGTCAATGACCCATCTTGTATCGCATACCGTGGAACGGACCAACGCAACGATTCTAGATCTTGAAAATCTAGTGTACCAGAGCATGGGTGGAGGTGCCAATGTCAACGAAGCCACATCCCGTCTGTTGGATCAAGTCATTACTTCAATTGATCTAGGGTCATTTTGTGGCAGAGAAAGCGAACTCAGTGGGTTGATGTTGTTTTTTCTTTTTGTCCTCTCGACTCTGCTAATTCACCGAAACAGTCGCTGCATGCACTGTTCCGTTCCAGGCAAACGGAAAGAAAGGTCATCGATCAGATCGAAAGGGAAAGAAACCTGCGGGTTCAGTGGACTATTTCTCCAAGGTGTACCTTTATGCCAACTCACGACTTCCGCCGCATTTGACTCCGCTCAAATTGTAAGTCTTTAATCCCTTCAGTAGGATGTAAAGTGCTGATCTCTGTAAAGTTATCCTCCGACATATCCTCTTCTCCAACTTGCAGCCAAGTACTCGCGCCAAGTCTACGATAAACCTGCCGGTCATGAGAAGCATTCATACGTGAACTCGGATTGGCGCCAGGGCACCAAAGCTATGGTTGTCAAATCGCTTCCAATCGACGACATGAACACCATTGTCTTCGCTATACGTGGAACCCAAAGTTTCCTGGATTGGGCTGTGAACGTCCACACAGCGCCGACCTCCCCTTCCGGGTTTCTGGATGACCCATCAAACTACTGTCATTCTGGCTTTCTGTCTGTAGCACGGAAAATGGTTGCACCCGTCGCGGCTCGGCTGCGGAGTCTTCTCGAAGAGGATCCCAGTCGTATGGCTTACTCGCTAGTGTTTACTGGCCACTCTGCAGGCGGCGCTGTTGCCAGTTTGCTTTATCTACACCTCCTTTCCGAGTCTCCTGCTGTGCAGTCTGAGCTCATCCATCTTCGCGGCTGCTTTAAACGCATCCACTGCATCACATTTGGCGCCCCGCCTATCTCTCTCCGTCCACTGCAGGCACCCGCTTCCTACAAGCCCAAGTCCATGTTCTTTGCTTTTATCAATGAAGGAGATCCGGTGTCTCGTGCTGACAAGGGTTATTTTCTCTCATTGCTGGATCTGTATGTCACTCCGGCACCGGGGTCTCTACTAGCCTTGTACGACCGGAAATATACGACAGCACCCACTTATTGGAGAATTCCATCGTCGACATTATCACTTGCGGGTAGGCTTGTTGTTCTTCGCTCGCGGGATCAGTGGGGTGGTCGACCTATGATTCTCCCACCAACCATCCCAGGCAGTCTTCCTGCACTCCCACCGGGGGAGAATGTTGATGCTTTTGGTCTCACAAATGCCGCTCTGCGAGGCGTTGTTTTTGGTGATCCGGTGATGCATTTCATGGATCTGTATTCCCGGCGCATCGATGCCTTGTCCACAGCTGCCTTGGGTAAGCGATCATGATTTCAATCTGTCAACGCTTGTTGATATTATGATCTATACACATGAAGTTTCTGGATACGCTATCTAAATGCCCATTTTCTTTCGCCTGTGTTGCTCGAGCCAACGGCTTATTTGTCTTTCTTTGGGCCTTGTGTGCTGGTAATAAAGAGCCCTAACTCAATGAAAACAATGACTATAGGGAACAAAGGATGATTGATGTAGCCGTGGAAAGCAATATTCTCTGTTCAAACATATATATTGTCAATTCCTCATTCCTTCTTATATGAAATTACCACCCTACTTCGAAGGCCAAAGCAACAGACATTATATACCTACATACATCACGTTTCGCCGAGCTCATCCTGAAACAAAGAAAAGTCTTTGTCAACATGTGCATGCAGCTTTATGAATACTGGGAGCTCTGTGGGTGCATAACCTTTGGCCGAATTACACATTGCAAAGAGTTCGGCATGCCTCTTGATAGACGACACTTCTGCACAGGGTACCCTTTCCGAGTGATCAATATTGGTATCGTCGGAATCCCCGAAGATAGCGTTAAGCACAAGGCTGGCATGTGCTCTGAATGTTCAAGAAAAATGTATCAGGAGATGTGGGCACTTCGATGGGACTGGATATCTCGCCAAAGTGAGGAACGGACAGCACAGAAAAAATAATCAGGGTAGCTTGAGTAGAAATCATAATATAAATGTAGCCTATGACCCCTCGAGTCAAACATACTTGTGCTTTCAAATCAATTGTACCATGTGCATAATGGAAACGATCGTCTTTCATGTATCAGATGCAAAAAGAAATTCCTACGTTATCTCAAACTTCTGTACTTGACAAGTTTTCTAATAGTCCCCAATAACCCGAAAGAATATACTCAGATGAGCAAAAAGGGAGCAAAAAGGGTGAAAGATAAAGGAAAATTAAGACCCTCAGTCGATCATGACCTCTAGTTCGTAAAGCTCTTGTTGTAACGATTTGGATTCACCACTCCATCACCAGTGTCATACATCACAGGGTCCACAGGTTGGTTCTCGGTGCTGTTGATACCGAGGGTGATCCACGCGAGCAGCTCATCAAGTGACACTATTGCCCAGATAGAAGTATTCCAAATTGGAACCTCGCCGGCTGCGACAATCTCTGACACGAATATATCGTCTGCGGTATATGGCCATGTCTTGTAGACTTCGATTTTGATATTTCCATCTAGGAGGATACTTGTAATATGCGAGTCGTGAGCTTCATTTAGACCGAATAACGTGTTGTTCTCTTGCAGGTGGTTGATATTCATGGTATGGCTCAGCAATGTTATTGGAATAGTATGAAGATTATTTCGAAAAGGATCTCCGGATGGGTTGAGAAACATACCGTGAATATGAGTTGCGCGATGATCATAGTAGCCAGGGCAAAGTGCCTCAAACCGAATCACTCCGTCCTCGTTGGTCTTGTGGACTCCGCGTAGGAATGTCGTGTCATAGTTCGATTTATCGCTTGCATCTCCATTGCCATTGCCGACAACACCGGCGCATATACCCTGAGTCTGTTAATATTCAACAAACCATTCAAGAGAATAGCGAATAAGACATACTGTAGCGTTGCAGTTCCAAATATCGACATATGCGTCTATCAGCGGCTCACAGGTGTCGACATCCATGAGTTGGTTATCAAGTGCCAATCCAACGCCAGGCTGACCCTCATGGAGATACCGCGTGAGGTGAGACTTAACCTCTTGATAAAATTGGCAGTTACAAAAGCTTCGGCATGGGCATCATGGCCTGGGTGGGAAAATGCTACAGTGCTGCAGAGAGCAAAGACTCCTACCACGGAAGTTCTCTATTTGACCATTGAGACTCAGGCAAAAAGAATAAAAGCCTCAAATGTCCATATATCAACTGATATAATCTATCGCTCCTACTTTCGAAAGTAGTTCATTCTTACACCCCAAACATGTTCCTGCGTACTGACGATCTGTACATGGATGGGAGTGCCACCCCGAGCCCCGAGCTCAATATTGGTCTTCGACCAACATCCCCTGCGCAAATTGCTGTGCCTATTTTCACGTCACCAACCAGTTGAGCTACAGCGGTTGGTCGGTTCTTTGGCCAGGAACCAATGCAATACATCTGCAGTCCACGAATTGAATTGACAGGTCCGAGCCATGAATATGGGGGTATATTCGGATAAGAGTTTTGCCTAATTATGGCTTGTAATTTATCTAATGCTGCAAAGGAGATGTGATGAGATCACCAGCTCGAACGACTGTGGCTCCAAGCCCTGGCAAACTCCTTCTTGTCTTTCACGCCCAGCCCAACGCGCTTCACTCGGCCGAGGCGGGCTAGCGAATCCGCCACGTTGTCTAACAGCGCTTTCTCGCTGATGGAAGCCTCTTCTTCTTTGCCATCTTGGTCAAGGATGTCCAAGTAATTGGTGTTATAGGTTGTTTTCCGGGTTGATCGCGCAGGTGGTGCGTCTTTAGCATTTTGGTCCGCCGTGATGCTCTCGGCAATGCGTACTCTGATGCAGTGTGTCGGCTTACTGAGAAGTGTCCACAGCATACTTATATAACTCCCAGGAATGGGGGTCACGATATCCATGGGTGTGTACCGCAAGTTGACGGGGAAGATCTTGGTCTTGGGAGAAGCGCTCAGGAGAGAGTTGCTCAAAGTCAAGATCCCGCGACCGTTCGTCGTGGTGCATTCTGGGAACAGGACAATTGGCCGGTTAGGGTGCTTCTCTACCAGTGTTGAGACATCTACCATGCGCGCACCAGGGGCCGGTTCCGTCGACGGGACGGCAAAAGCTCGTAGGATAGCTTGGAGCAGAGAAATGCGCTCGACCTGACGGGTGTTGGGGTAGGATGCGGTGAAGATCGGGTCGAATATAGCTGCTAGATATACCGCATCGATGGGCGAAGTAAAAGACGAGGCGATGACTGAGCCGGGCTGCGGCAAACGAGCCTGTTGCTGCTTCAAAGACCTATCCCATGGTCATTAGTTGTCGGCCAAATATTGAGAAATTGAGTTGGAGTGGCACAAACCCTTTTCGCACTCCGTCCACCTGGAGATCAACCCACCAGATGCTGGGCACTCCAAGAATGCACCACAAAGCAGCCTTTTTTCCTAGCGAGCCGATAGGAAGCCATTGTAGTATCAAGAAATAGCTCAGAGTGACGAAGATAAACAGTGGGAGGCGGAAGCAGAACAGGAAGACGCGAAGGGGCGCTTGCAGACCGAGAGGATCGCCTGGGATAGGGAGGAACGGTGCAATACCAGAGCCTGGGAGCTTATCAGTATAAGTTTGGTGGGGTTGAAATAAAAGTCGCATTTACCTCGGTCTCGGAACTGAGAATACCTCTCCATGTTGCTGTGGGTGGACTATAAATGGGCCTCAATCAACAACACTCCGTGCACTCAGCCAGGTGTTTTAATGGGGAATCACAGCCCAACCTGCGAATTGAATTCGGGGTGTTATCGGAAGATGCTGACATCCACAAAAAGGGTTACCAGCTGAAATGTGATCTTCGCATGCTGAATAGCTGCCACGTGACGATATCAGTTGATGCCTGAGGTGTCGATCCATGACGATAATGGTTGGGAAATTCGAGGTCAATTCAAAACTGAGCTGTAGTCACAATTTAAAACAGACGGAAGATAGAATCTATAAAGTAGAGTATACTGTCTGTTCGAGCTGTTTATTGTATAGCAAAAGCAAAATCTAATATATCCAACCGAAGATAAAAGGGAAAACGCCCAAAATGCCGGCAAAGCTATGAGTAATATACAAGGTCCATAGATCACGCTCTATCATCCTCTTCGTAATCCTCCACCACAAATTCCGGCGTGGGGGCAATCGGAGGCAGCTTGAAGTACCAGATAGCTACTCCAACCAAGCAGAATAGACTACTAGTCATCATCCACGCCAAACCAATCCAGAACCCGCCGAGACGCAGACCAACTTGGAAGACGGTCGTGATGGTCAAGCTAGCAATCACGTTACCGAGAGATTGGATAATCTCAATGGCAGTGAATAAGCGAGCGGTCTCGTCGCGTTCCACGAGCGTGGTAATGATTGAGCGGACTAGGAACAAAAAACCCGATCCTGAGGTCTGGATGATCATGCTGGGGATCATGGTGGCAAGGGACGGTGAAAGACCGATTCCAAGAGTTCCTATCGTCAGGCAGAGGATACTTCCGCGCGCAAGCCAGAGATCCTTCTCTGTTGCTGAGCGTCGAGGGCTCAGCACATGGCTCTTTAGGTAGGGAAGGCCGAATAGGAATAGCGGAATGGACACCGTGGGGCGACATGCCACTAAGAAGTTTGACTGTGCTAGTGTCCAGGAATAGCGTATCGAGATATACTGTGCCAGGAACCAGGAGGAGCCTCGGCTCAGGCGGTAGACTAGGAATGCAGTCAAGAGGAGAAGCACTGGCTTGCGGCTCAGGATGAATAGATATGGCTTCAGATAGAACCGGTAGTTCGCGCGGAGCTTAGTCGAGAAGGACTGGTGTGAGTACGAAGGGATGCTCCACGAGGGTGCCTCGTTTTCACGGTCACCGTTCATGTCAGCTTCGTCGTGATATGGCTCAGGATCGTTTGGTTCGTCCGCATAATGCTTTGTCTTGTTTTCATCCGTTAAATCTGACATCTCCACGTGGGATTGCTCTGCTTGACGAGATGGCAAAGCATGTTTTGTTTCCGGTAGCAGCAGAATGAGCATCATCCCGCTCATCACAATGCCGAATCCAATGACCAATGGAATCCATGGATTTAAGCTCATCAGATAAGAGCTAAGGGCTGTCGAAAAGAAGTCGGCGCCCATTGATACGATGGCAAACTGGAAGAAAATACCAGCTCTGTGCGAATCAATTAGCCTCGATGAATCCCATAGACAATCTCGGTGATAATTCATACCTTTCCGACTCGGTGGTCACATCAGCCATCATGGTCCAGATAATGGCAAACGACACAACCGGACCACCCCCGAACAGCCACGTCAAGGCGGAAAACCATAGGGCGCGCAAGGGAAATATGTCCGAAAACCACAACACAACCAGTGTGAAGATGGCGTTCAACCCGAATCCAGGAAGAGATAAAGCGAGTGTGGATTTGCGACCCTGCCGATCTGCCAGCAGACCGTACGGGATCGCCAGTAGCGCGCTGATAGTCCCATCGAAGAACATGTGGTACCCCTTGACCGCAGCGAGTTCCGCCTGTACCTCTGCAATTTTGCACAGAGCCTCCGGTACTTGTCCATCCGGCCCAATTTGTGTCGGATCGGCACCGAGGAAGTGTTGACGACAGGCGATTGCCTCCATGATCCGGACCATCGGGCCTTCCAGGAATGCAAAGCCGATTTCCACCGCCAGGATCATGGTGAACAGGATCAGCTTGAATCGGAAGCTGATCGAACTGGCGGCATTAGTTTCCACTGGTTGGCTGCTTATACTCGACTTGTGAGGAACATGGTGATGGGCCGGGCCGGAGGTGCTTGCATCGAGAAATGGGGCGTCCTCCCGGTCCTCGTTGAGAGGATCATGGTGTATCATTGTTGGTCATACCGTCAGGTTATATAAGATCTGATATAGAAGAAAGAATAATAAGGAGAGTTATCATCAGATTATAATCATCATGAAATTAAGGAATTGTGAGAGGTGTTCTTGTGTTACGTACGCGTCCTACCCAATGGTCGCAAGCGGATCTGACACGAGAGGGGTCTTGGCACTGATAGGGGGTTAGGGGGGGAACTGTTACTAGTGGGCTCACTTAGAGTGGCCACTAGTGCACTCCCAGGGCTATTCTTATTCACGGATAAACTAATTTACAGTGTAAGATCGGTACGGAGCACATAATATACAATCTTGATGAAAATTATCCTTATTTTTTTTCTCAAGGAGATTTCGTTAATTACACATATCCGGCCTCTTCAAATAGACTACCCCGAACTTGTACCACCGCCGACAACTCTAGAATGAACTCATATAGGATCACCACATTCGTCAATACATGACCAAGAGTTGCGACCGGAGCATCTTTAGTATCCTCCGAGGGCGGTGTTTCCTCCGAGGACTGCGGATCAGCGGAAGCAGGCGGGAACGGTGTGGCAAGTCGCTGACGAAGAGCCTCGGCGGCGAAGCTCCGGGCGTTTGAGGATCCGCGCGAGGCATTCGGAGGAATAGATTGGTTGTTCCGGTCCAACCTAGTTATCTCGGACGAATTGGCGGGGTACGGAGAGCGACCACGGGAGGCTGGTGTAGAGGTATCCGGGGAGCCGGGGAATGATGAGCGCGAGCGGTCCGTTGAGGGCAAGGGAGGCACTGAGGGCTCTCGCGATCGATTTGGTGTTTGTGGATGTTCATCTTGGTGGAGGAGCTCGCGCCGAGCTGCGACAAGGACATCGAAGTCCGGTAGTTCACGCTGCCACTGTCGGACCTGGTCCACGAGCCTTTGCAACGCTGCAGTCAAAGTGGGAGCAGCTGTCGCGGGCCAAGTCGGTGCCTGGTAAGCTTGACGGACGGGGTCAACCTGTTCACCTGTCTCTGATGACGGTGTGTCATATTGATTGGGGTCAACCAACACCCATCCGTCTAGAGAAAAAAGATGTGATGACGCCAGGCTCATCAACACGCCCGTTAGCGCCAAGTTGACAATGACACTGTTTGTGAAGAAAGAGCCGAGGCAGTCGAAGAGGGCTTGTACAATGGGATCGTCTTGCTGGATTGCAAGAGGTAGGTGTAGCGTCTCCTCATCTTCCTCCATCGAAGACACAGGCAGACACAGTCGAGATTCTAGCACGCAAGTTGCATCTGCAATATAGTTGTCGTACGACTCGTTCAGCGTGGGATCATCGACCAGGGAGGTTCCCATAGCCATAAGCTGCTCGAGTTCGGCATTCAAGGCGCCAACCGGACGCTGCTGTGCGGGCTGGGAAGAAATCGTGTGGATCAGCGCCCTTGCAAAGGGATGATGTCTTTGAAGAACAGTCGTTAAGAGACGTAGTGTAGCTAGCACGGTTTGACGGTTCGAGGACTGGAGTCCCAATAGGGCGAGGTCGCGTAGATTGAACAGCGATGGAGATGGTTGGGCTGCTTCGGAAGCCAACGCAGCCAGCACATTGAGCGACTTTCGTCGGCTCGCTGACATGTCCATTTGCTCTTCGGGCCTAGGAGTCGATGCCAGTAAGAAATGCAGAATTCGATGGACCAATTCGCCTTGATCGATTGAGTCGAGAATTCGGCACATGTATGTCAGCACCGCTGCTGTTGATCCACCAGCAACATCTGATGATTCTAACAAAGAAGGATATCTGGACATGTAAGTGGTAATTCCGCGGAGGGGTTGACCATACACACAATAATTGTTCTAAAAACAGCACCTGGAAATGATCCAGTAAAGTGTCATTCACTTCGACAGACTTGCAATGGTCGATGGTATCTTGCCAAAATAGCAGATATGACATGAAGGCTTCCATTGCCTGGCCCAAGGTCGGTTGCAACGCCGTCTCTTGCTCGGCATGGTCGGATAGCACGACAATATGGGGGACATTCTCATCAGGGGTGTATGACAAGCTTGTTTCGATTAGCATGCCGCCTTGAGTTTTTCTAGCAATCAAAACTTACTGTCCCAACTGACTGTATAATGCCCCAAGTCCGGTGGCCATGAGCGTGGCCAGGTCACTCTCAATCAACCATTTCTCCAGATTCTTTGACCGCGATGCGGTCTCGATAAGGTAAAGCAACCCGGTCCGCGCAAAGTCGCCAGCACGCCCCTCGCTGTGGACATAGTCGACTAGCAAATAGAACAGAGGAAAATCATCCTTCCTCGTAGCACCGGCGAACTCGGTCCCAATCGGGGCTTGGGATTCGCTGTCCTGGGCAATTGGTGTTGTTCGAGGCACGAACCACGCAGGCAAGATGACGGGCTGGAGACGAATATTGTTGGCGATGCCGAAGAGCAGTTCAACGAGTCGACCTTCGATCTCGTCCGAGGTCTTCTCGGCACGACGGACCAAGTCGACCAACGCACGGGCAAACAATCGGTTATCCACGACACCGTCGACCTCCGCGTCGATCAGCGTATTAAAGAAAACAGTGGCTGATTTAAGAACGCCATCATCATGGAATGACAGAGCGAGCTTGGTGACTGTAACAAAGACCTGAGAGGATGCTGCATAGACGACACAGGGGTGCGGTGCGGGTCCGCGGGATTCTTCGCTCAGGATGGAGTTGAGGCGTTCAATGTACGCCCGCGCGTGTGCTACGGATTGTTCGCCGGAGGGGGTGTTGGTTGAGCGCCATATTTGCTATCCGTCGGTCAGTTGAAGCCTCGTGGGAGTTTCGAGGAATGTCGGTACCTGGAGAGCATTGCAGGCGCGCTTAAATGCCGTGAGTCGTTCTGTAGGGGAGGTGGCCTTGGACTTGTTGGGCAGTGCGCGTGAGCCGCCGATAAGACGAGACCACTGGATTATATTAGTAGATTATAATGCAGAAAGTAAGGAGCACATACAAAGTCCATTCTCTAACAGCATGGTCTTAAGGCGAGAGGGACGGGGTCGAGGATTGGGGGTGGAGACGTTGTTTATCGCGCTGATCTCCGTGTTTTTAGCGGGACGATGCATGTGTACAAGGTGCAAAGTGTAAAATGTGAAATGTACAAACTTTACATAATTAACTAACTAGAACTTTTTGTAGTTGTATTTTATCATCTCTTTTGGTCCCCCTTTGAAATTGGCTTACCACCTTGAAACTACATGGAAATGTACTCCGGACTAAGCTCTGTATCAACCAACCCTACTCTCTTTAGCTGCTATATCGATAGTCTGAGGCCTATTTACAGTATGACTGTCCAACTCCAAAGTTGAACCAAAAAATTAACTGGATGCTTTAACCCAGCTCGTGTTTCATTGAACAAAAAAGACCAGCATGGATAGCTTAGGGTCTCGAAGCAAAGGTTGAAGATATTCAAAGTGAATGCGCTCCCAGATCTACCTCCCACCGTGTAACGCCCGAATATAAAGCAGAAAAAAAAGAAAGCCCCTCCAATCTATGCGCCTGATCCCGGTCCGGGATCCCGATCCCATCTAGCACGTCGTCACATAATTTTCAAGGCGTCTTAATCACTCTCTTCCTTTGTTCGCCGGCCTCCACGCTTTCGGCGACCTTCATTTTGATCACTTCCGTCATCTTCGTTTTTCCGACCGGCCGGTTGATCGGGAACCTTGGAGATGATATCGGCGAGGAAATCCAGCACCTCATCCTTGGCGACTGCCTGTTTCAGGTGTGAAGCGGTGACGCGTTTTGAGTTGCGATCCTTGGCTTCTTGTGCTGCCTTTGTGACGAGAGAGATCATGAAAAGTTCCAGGGCCTTGGCTATATACATTGTCAGTGTGCGTGTCCTTTTTTTTTTTTTTTGTTTTTGCGCGTGAACCGAGATTCGCGACAAGAAGTGCGGAATTAGGCAAATACATACACACAGCAATGGGGGTCACTTGAGCGACTTTACCCACGTCCTCGTCAGCCTGCATGATACGCTTAATGCGCGCGACAGGAAACTTGGTTTTGACTTCGATCCCCGCTGTAGAAATTTCCATCTTGGGCGCGTCGGCAATGTGTGCAATGGGTTCGGGAATATGTTGTACAGGTAACGGTTCATGTACAGGTGCATAGATAGGTTCGTGAATGGGTTGAATAGCTTCGGGCATGGGGTCGTCATAAATTGGTTGAGAGTCGGATTGAGCGATACGCGATGAACGACGAGCCATATCTTCAAAATGTTGATATGGTGGGACGTACTGTTGCGATATGCGAGAATGAGGATAGGCGTTAAAGAACGGAGAAGTAGTAGGTTGAGATAAAGAAGAGAAATCGGGAGATTGAGGTCTATAGTTCTCTGTCATATTTTTTTTGGTTTAAATAATATAATATAAAAAAATAAATGTAGTGCACAACTAGTGGCCCAAGCTCCGTTTTGGAGAAAAGAAAAAAAAAATAAAAACGAAACGGAAGAACTTGTCCCCTCTTTTATGTTCTTTCGTGTGTTATGGAAAACCAACTCTTGACGTATTCAATTTGAACTTATGGTTTCAGACATTACCAAACATTTCCATTCTTACCACCCTGAATTAGCACTATTCTCAATGTTGTAACATACCCCATACAATGACAGGGGGAGGATCTCAGTATTTTTCAGTTGCCCTTTTCTCTTTTCGTTCGCTTTTCTTGTTCTTTGCTTTCTTTTCTTCCCTTTAACCTCCACTTACTTTCCTGTTCGAGTTCTTTAATATCTAATACACTCCTCTGCCCTCTCTATACTTGCTCACTTTCTTTGTTAAAATATTTAAATAGGTGAATATTCTTTTCTTTTTTATTCTCCGTAGATTTTCCATAAGCGCCCGATGACGACAAAACCAAACGTTGAGTTGAAGCAGATGAAACCAAAAACAAAAGGTATCGCTGCTCTTCTGTGAACGCCCAAATAACTTGATCTAATCCGAGGGTTTATTTATGAAAAAAAAACAACAACAAGAAAAACAACAACAATACAAATTCAATCTGGTAGTCAAATTTCATCTTGGAATTCCTTGTCCTTTAAATAATTTCCCTTCTCCCACGGCTAAAAGAGAACTGCCTAAGTGCTTCTTTTTTATCTCCTCACGTCATCTCTGACCATGTAACTTCGGCACAATAGTTTATCCGATCAAGTTTCACAACTTCGCGACTTCGGACAATGTCATTGACAGGCGCGTGATCTCGTCGAGGGTCTAATTTTACTTCAGCCATGGCGGTGGCCGATGTCCCCGGTCTTATGGACATTGCCAGGTGTGTACTGGCATGCCAAGCGCATGCCGATCAAAATCCTGTTGCTTCAACATGCTAACCCGCATTCAAGCACCCTAGCCCAGGATGAGATTCCCTTCAAACTCCGATGCGCCATCTGTAACAATCTCGCTGTGAATGCCTTCCGTCTTCCTTGCTGTGACCAATCCATCTGCGAATCATGTATGTTGATATGGACACCTTCACTCAACCATTACGCCGAACCCCGTCTAATTTCCTCTCCAGGCCAAACTTCTCTTTCCGACACATGTCCCGTCTGCACTCATACTCCGGTCTCTCCTGATCTCTGCAAACCCAACAAGGCTCTTCGTACGACTCTCAAGGCCTTCCTACGTACCGAGGAGAAGAAGCGGGAGAAGGACCGCCAGTCTGCTGCAACTCCCAATGACACACCTGCGGTAACCACCGCACCGGCCGTATTGGTATCGCAGAATGGGGACCCCACACCTGCTGGGGATGCGAAAGTGCCACCCCTTGCGGAGTCTACAGAATCAAAGCGTGAAGTGCCGGAAGTTGACGCTCCAGCAGTAGACTTTGCAGTCCCCCATACAGCCGAGAGTGCTCCAGAGTCAAATTTCTCAAATACCGCTGATGCAGTTGCTACCGCGGACGCCGGTGACCAGCCAGTTCAGGTAAGAATTCATGACTATCAAAACTCTACCCATTTGCAGGTTGCAATATACTAACCCAGTATATAGCCCGGGGCAAATGGGATTGAACCCAACAACACCGAAACTACTCTTGAGGCCGCGGCCGAAAATCTCGCTGAGCCGCCTGTGAATGGGGAATCCACGCCAGGTCAGGATCCTTCCAATGGACCCATTTCCAACACGGCCCCCAACGCGAGCGGCAATTTCCCTCCAATGGGCTGGAACGGAAACACCACAGCTACAAACCCTTACATGGCTGGCATGTTCAACTTCCCGAACTCGATGGGTGGGTCAATCAAACGTGTCTCCTTGTACAAGCACTAATCCTTTTTGTTATTCTCCAGTAATGCCCATGGGGATGGACCCGATGGCAAATCAGGGGATGCTCGGTGACTACGGAATGAACATGACTGGTATGGGCATGAATTCTGGGATGAACTACAACGGAAACATGTATGGATCTCTAGGTTGGGATGCTTCCCAGAACAATATGTGGCAAGGCGGCCAAGATAATTTCAATCCAAATGCTTTCGCAAATGGCACGGGCCCTCCTTACGGGAGAGCATTTGGCGGGTCTAATATGTCTGCTTACCCTTCTTCCGACTATCAGTCTGGTTACTACGGACAAGGGTATGGTCGTGGTGGCTTCCGGGGCCGTGGCCGGGGTCAATATCATGGTCCCGGTCGGGGCGGCTTTGGTCCCATGAATGGTCATTACCGCGCTAAGTCGGCATATTCTAACCAAAATCCCAATCCTGTGGCTGAAGGAGCCAATCCCGTCAATGCTCAAGGTAACTCAACAAATTTTCCAGAATCAAATGAAAATGGGATGTCGGGTGATCACCCAGGCACGGACAACCAATTACAAGGAATCCCTACTATTGACAGTCTTCAGCCTGTATCATCCGTGAGTAATGGAGCATCTCCGTATTATATTCCTGGTCCAGGAGTGGAAGGCGCCCCAGCTGCTCCTCGTGCGATGAGGCAAGGACTACCCAACACCAGTGTTTTCCGACAGCGCGGTTTCCAAATTCAGGGTCGAGTCAATAATCAAGGGTAGGGGTTTCCTTTGTTTCTTCTTTTCTTTTGCTTTGTCTTAGCAGAAATTTTAACAGCGAACAGTGAACAACCCGATGCTGCAAATATCAAAGGGCATACCCAATCGAGATCGAGATCGAGATCACCATCGCATCATATTTCTCGTCCCTGTTCACCTTCTGTCCGCGGTACCGACGACGGCCGAGACAGTCAACGTGAAATAGAACCAAAACGCATGGATCGAGTTGACGAGGTACAATCCGATGCCCGTCGCACCCCCTCTCCATCTAGAACATCCTCTCGTCGGTCCTCACGCCGCAGGCATCAAGACATTGATTGGGACAGAGACCGCAAAGACACCCATCGCTCACAACGCTCCCGTCGTCACCGCAGCCACAGCCGCGGCTCAAGTCGAACCGGGGAATCCCGTCCCTCTGGTCGCTTGAATGCGATCCCAGAGAATAATTCCAATGGACGAGCCAAAATACCCTCAGAGGCCCCAGAGTCTCGCGATCTCGCCAGTCGAATCAGTAGCAGTCGCCGTTCCGACAAAGACCGAGGTAGTCGACGTGAAGAGGATCGATCCCGAGGCCAAGATAGAGATACCCGCCGCCGCGATCGTGATCGTGACCGCGACGGCCGTGATCGCGGTCGCGACACCGACCGTGAGCGTCGCCGCGACGACCGCGACAGGGATCGACACGCAGAGCGTGATCGAGACCGTCGAGACCGTCCAAGAGAGCGCGAACGAGACCGTAAGCGCTCCCGTCGCGACCGATCCCCTTCTGCCAATGGCAGCGACCACCCAAATGCCCGACGTGTGAAGCGCGTCGAGGACCGCAGTCGCGGCCAGTCAAACGGGACTTCGACCAAGAAGTCAGAGCCCGAGAAAGACCCCTACACTCTCGAACGCGAGGCGCGCAACAAGGAGCGTCTGGAGCGTGAAAAGCAGCACCGCGAGAAGGCCAAGTCTGGCGGCCGCCGTGATAGCCGGCAGGACCGTGTGGTGGCGGGTCGTCGCATCAATTACAAGTATGAGGATGAACTTTAGCCTTCTTGGCTTTTTCTGGCTTTTTGCGCACCAAAAAACATTGGAACGGCGTCTCGGATGGTTTGCTTTCTAACATTCATGCATGTTGTTACTTTGTTCCAAGGTTGAGCGGGCTTCGACCTTGCTCAGCAGTAGATATGGGAATCTTGTACGCTATTTGAGGCTTTGGTAAGCATAGAAAGACAAGTGGAATTTCATCCAATAAAATTGAATTTGTCTTTGGCTTTGTCCTTTCTCCTTGGGAAACAACAATGTAGTAGTAGCAGATACAGTGCCTAGGTGAGTTGCTTCATTGACTGAGAATTTGGAAGGGTCAAGTTATGTACTACCTTGGCTGCAAATTGATTTCGTGACAACACATGCGAGTGCGTTCTTAGTCTTGTTGTATCATCTTGCATAAAGCTCGTGTTCCCTTGTCAACTTGGTTGAAGGTAGATGAGCCCTCCCGGTCTACAGATGTAGTATATATCCTTCTGGGAACCGCAATGAAAGAGTCAAACCGGCAAGACTGGTCTGCTCAAGGATTTTCGAAATCCAATGATATGTATGTAATATATCAAGTCTGATTCCGAGTTTTGAGTGTTCCGAGATCTTGCTACAAAACTAACAATAGAAAGTTGGCACTACCACTGCATATATATCTCATGGAGGCTACACTGCCCGACACAGAACTACACAAATTGAGTCCGGACGCTCAAATGGACTTGGTATCCCAATTTTGATTCCAATGGGCCAATGTATTGACAATTCCGCTAAAAAGAAACAAAAAGACTTATCCACACACTGCACCTCATTTACTTCAAACACCATATGATCCAAGCCAAAGCACGATCTGCGTGAATGTACGTATGTAATATTTGATCAAACAATGACCATCTCCAAAAACACTAAATAATGTGAAAGTATTTATTTCAGCTTACTCTTCAATGCCTCGATTTCGGCGGTCAAAGTTTGCATTTGCTGGGCCTGTTCGGCGATCGTCTTGGTCTGCTCGGCGATCAGGTTTTTAATCTCTTCAATGTCATTCAGGGGGACAGAGGTGGAAGGCGTGGGAGTCTCGGTGACGGGGGATGGGACGTTAGAGGACTGCGGCAGTTAGTAGGTGGTATCATACGAGCCGAAAAATGGCAAGCTTACAGAGATAGTGGGTTGAGGCTTTGTCTCAACCTCCTTCGGCCTCAATGGGCTGCTAACTCGAGGAGAAGAAGACTCGGCCGCGGCGGCAGAGCGAACGGGGCGTTCAACTGGCTTGGAAACCTCCTCGAAACTGGAGTCGTCATCGTCAGAGACGTTGCCTTCTTCTTCACCATCGGCGAACTTGTCCACCATGGAGGCCATCGAAGCGCCTTGGTCCTTCATAGATGGAGGTGGACGTGCGGCAACAGGGGTCGATTCCCGGGCAGGCTCCGAGGCCTTGGGCGAAGCGGGCTCAGGAGTCTTCTTGGGGAGCTCAGTAGCCTTGGATGCCTCAGTGGGCTTAGGTGATGCGGCAGGCGTTGGCTCAGGGGAATCCATGGAGCCAGTTGGCTTTTCCTCAACCCCTGAAACCTCCTTGATGCCCTCACCATCGAACAGGCTGGCCATGGAGATCTTGGGAGGGATTGCCTCCTTGCCACCCAGCCATTCGGAGCAAGACATTGCGGGGGTCACACCGATGGTGGGCAGGTAAATATCGTCTTGGAAGTTCTCGGAGCGGCGGGGGACGATAAACGAGACGGGTTCGATATACTGATCGTTGACAGTCTTGTAGGCGCGGGCAACTTCGTTTTCGTGCATGTTCACACCACGCTTGGGCATGAACGCAACACCTCGCTGCGGGTCGGCAGACTTGTGTTCGGAGAGGAACTCGAACTTGTCGTTTTCAAGCTCGAAGTAGCGGATGTTGCCATCACTGTTGAATGTCAGAGGTTAAGAAGCATTTTAAAGGGGGTTTATCATGAATGCTTACCCGCGTCCAGCCAAGTACAAGCAGTTGGTACCATCGTCCCAGAATGGCATGCACACGCCAGAAATGGAATCCAATGTCTTAAAACCATTGATGGGTTCCCGTACTGCACGAATATCCCAGAGGGCCAGTTGACGGTCGCTCATCTTGGAGAAACCGGTGGTGGCAATGCGATCACGCTCTCCCAACCAGACAGCGCGGCTGTTTTTGGCACCGGTGTGACCATTGGTCTCGTGGGCAGGACGTTCCTGACGCACATCCCAGATACGGAGCTTCTTGTCACGCGAGGTGGTGACCATCAAAGAGCCGTTGGCACTCCACGATTGGGATTGGACAATGTCACCAATGTTTAGCGTGAGCTTCGGCTTGCCAGCTTCAATATCCCAGATCTTTACAGTATAATCGCCCGAGGCCGTTGCCAGCACGTTTTCTGCCGCGGGGTTGAAGAGCACGTGGCCGATTTTCCTGCAGGAGGGGTAAGCATGAGGCGATAAGGATTTCGGTGATCAATGTTTCTTACTTGGGATGACCGCTCAGCTTGCCAACAGGCGCAAGGTCCTTGATTTCCTCGGAATCGACCTCGGGTCGGACGGTGAAGTTCTCCGGAACCCGCCAGAGCAAGACCTAGAATTGATCAGTCGCAATACAGATACCGGGTGTTTGTCGCAATGTACCTTGCCGTCATCAGATCCAGAGGCAATTAGATCATCGTTGAAAGGGTTCCTGTAGTGGTGTTAGAGGGTCCGGGTGTGTCGTCAACTTCAAATGCTTACCAGTCGGTGTCCAGAACAACAGCAGTGTGACCCCTACACAAGGGAATGCGCTCAGGAAGCTTGCCGCGTTCTTCAAGAGGAATAATCGCAAAGGCTCCACCACCGCCTGCTTCCCAATTGACTGCGATGTGCTTCGGGTTGACCTAGATGCGCCGTGAGACTGGGTTCGCCGTGAAACGTCAGGGGTGGCGCGTCCAGCAAAAACGAACCTTGAGGAGGTTGGTGTCCCAGGCATTGCGCGAGACTCGAAGGTTATCGTAACATTGATCCTGAACAGAAAGTAAATATAGGCTAGGGGTATATAAGTGGTAACCGGGTTTACCTTTCTCGTCGAACGCCCGAAGACGTGGCCTGTAACATGTTAGCGGTATGCGCAGTTTCTATCTATAGATAAAACTCACGATATTTAGAGGAACGAACAAAACGCCCGGACATGATTACCAGGTTTTCAAAGAAATAAGTAGATCGAACGGAATGGGGGAGAACAGGAGTTGGTAAAAGAGACGTTGGAGAAGCTCAACTACGGGCCATTGGGGCCGGTGTTTCGGGAATCCGAGTGGAGGCAATGCGCCCCACGAAACGGTGGACTCGGGTGCTTTTTTTAGTAGTTGGGAATGTATTGTAGGAAGAGATTGTTGTAACATGAAGATTTTCACTTTTTTTATTTTACTTCATCTAATCAATATTTTGATATTCAGAATTGAAGCCTTTCATGTTCAAGATGTACAGGTCACGTGACCAACAATCAAGAGTGAGGCGGTACAGTAGTAATTGTATGCCTTAGTGCCTCAGGCCAAACGGCGATGCTCCTAGTTAGGACTAGCCCCATACCAATGCGTGTGATATGCTTACTCATTGTTTACCTCCCAAGTTAGCCTCTCGTCTCTCCAGAAACCAGTTTGCGCTCAATTGACGTTTCCTCATAACAGCTCAGACCATTCCATTGGCATGTCATCTCAAACTAACGATCTGCCACCAACGTGCTAACTTTCAGTCTTAGCGACTAACACAGACACTGGCTGGCCGTGAGTTTCTTCTCTTTGTGCGCATACTCTACTCGCCGGTTACCTGGCGGTCCGCGAATCCAAAGATGGAGAGTGAAAACATGGTAAAACCCCGCCTTGAGACTGGATACTTGCTATATTGAATTGTATTGACCCAACCAGTCGCAAACCCAAACGAGGGCTTCCACTCGAATGCGCCTACCACAAGCTGGCTTACGCGAGGCCAGCTCAGCGACGACCAACTCTCGCTCGGGCATCATGGCGCCAGGCACAATCGCAAACAAGGCCATGAGCATGTCACGTATGGAAATCCCTGGACCCATTGCCCAACAGGAACTGACACCCCCCGAAGCAACCCGCCCAAAAACCGCCAATCTGGAAACCAAGAGACCAGGCTCTGTCACCCGACAACCTACTATGACAACCAGAGCGCACAGCCGCGGCAATTCGTATGCTTCTTCAACAATGTCCCGGTCGACAACACCTGCATCCCGTGCTGGTCCCTTCTCAGCAACCGTGGGCCCTGGGACACGCCCAGCATCGGCGATGGCGCGGCCTCAATCATCCTTTAACGGCCGGAGACCCGTTGGCGCATCGATTCCGCGCGCCGCTAGCGCCTTGGATACCCATATGGAGGAGACCTCTCCTAGTGTGTTAGGAAAACGAAAGGGTATGCTTCAAATTTCTTCATCTCCTAGTCGAATTCCGTCTTGCCCCGTTGGAAGCCTCCCCCAAGGATTGGAACATGGAGTCAGTCAACTGGCAAAGCTATCTCTCTCGAAAGAGCCTGTCCCTTCTCTGAACCCTTTAAATCCAATAAGTACCCCTGAGTTGCCCCACACCCCGTTTTGCCGTGACCACAGCGGTATCCCAAGGCCACCCGAGCTCAAGATTTGTGCATCGTCCGCTTCACTCTGTGCAACCTCCGTGGCTCCCTCCAGAACCCCATCCACATCCCCCAGGCGCATAACCAAGAATTCCCAACTTCCCCTGTTTTTGACCAAAGGATCATCGATCAGAAGTTTTGACCATGTTACAGGCCCGGAATGGGATCAGGAATCCCGCGAAAAGAAAATGGATACGTTGATGGAGCAGTTCATGGAGAAAATGAACCAACAAGGTCAAGCAAGCTCCGGTCTCAAAGAAACCCTGGATGTGTACAAAAAAAGAGGTAGGTCAAACCGTACCAATGAGACATTCGGATAACATTGACGTTTTCGTCCAGTCGACGACCTCGAGATCTCTCGCGATGAACTGAAAGAAACAAACCTTATCCAGCGCGAGCAGTTGAACTCATTACGAAACCAGTTCTCTGAGGCAGAGCGCGCGCTCAAAGAAGCGAAGCGAGACCAAGAGATCGCCATAGACGACCTCGTGCAACGCCAGCGTATTGAACTTGACTCATTGCAGCAACACAGTCAGCGAGAAGTGGCAACCATTAATTGTCGGCACCAGGACGAACTTCGTGAACTTCGGCGGAACTTTGACCGAGAAATTGAAGACGAGAAGGCAGCCCGAGTACGAGCTCTCGGTCAGCTCACTTCGCAATCTGCTCTCGACACTCAGAAGTCGCAAATTGAACTGGAGCGCAAAGACCGCGAACTTGCAACTTTACGTGATGAGCTACACACACTCAAAGGAGATTTCGACCGAGAACGCAAAACAGTCCAAAAGCTCAAACAAAACCTAGAGACAGTAAGCAGCAATGGTGTCACATTGGAGTCTTCTATTCGAGCCCTCAAGGCACACATTGAGTTCCTCGAGAGCGGACGCGAGGAGCAATCGAAATCCTTTGAGCGGTGCAACAAGCAGATGGAAGATGCATTTGCTGAGACAGAGGCAATCAAAGAGAAGCTGCGGAGGGAGGAAACACTTCGCCGCAAGTTGCACAATCAAGTGCAGGAGCTAAAAGGCAATATCCGTGTGTTCTGTCGGGTTCGCCCCTCTCTCAGAAGTGAACCTTCCTCCGACCTCGCTCTCATGCAATATCCCGATGAAACAGATGACGCAAAGGAGATCAACATCATCGGTCCTGAAGAAAAGGGCAGTCTTGGAGGCGTCACCCGAAAGAACAATACTTTCTCGTTTGACCGCGTCTTCAACCCAACTACTCAAAATGCTGAGGTTTTTGACGAGATTAGCCAGCTTGTTCAGAGTGCGCTGGATGGATATAATGTTTGCATTTTCTGTTATGGCCAGACTGGTAGTGGCAAGACCCACACGATGTCATCCGTCGATGGTATGATCCCCCGGGCTGTTCAGCAAATCTACGAAACTGCGCAGCGTCTCGAAGAGAAAGGCTGGCGGTACACCATGGCTGGCAACTTTGTCGAAGTCTACAATGAAAACCTTAATGATCTCCTGGGTAACCCCGATGAGTTGGACAAAAAGAAGCATGAGATCCGCCACGACATGCAGCGAGGCAAGACGACCATCACAGACATAACGACAGTGATTTTGGATTCCCCACAGATGGTTAAATCACTTCTCAAGAATGCAGATGCCAACCGCTCAGTGGCGGCGACCAAAGCCAATGAACGCTCTTCACGTTCCCACTCTGTATTTATACTCAAATTGTCCGGCGAGAACCACATCACCGGTGAACGAAGTGAAGGCACACTCAACTTGGTCGACTTGGCAGGAAGCGAGCGTTTGAGCCACAGTGGAGCCACAGGCGAGCGTCTGAAAGAAACACAGAACATCAATCGCAGTCTTAGTTCCTTGGGTGATGTGATTTCAGCTCTTGGCCAAGGGAAAGAGGGTGGTCACATCCCATACCGGAACAGCAAGGTATGTTTCCCCGGAACCTTCACCGTCATACAGTTTACTAACCCTTATCTCAGCTCACTTACCTTCTCCAATTCTCACTGGGTGGCAACTCCAAGACCCTCATGTTTGTCATGGTCAGCCCACTCCAGGCGCACATGTCAGAGACCTTGACCAGCTTGAAGTTTGCCACCAAAGTACACAACACTCACATTGGCACCGCAAAGCGACAGGCACGTGTTCGTGACACTTGATTATGATAATACCTCTTACTTTCTACATGGCACATATTTTGTTGGTTTAATTTTTGGGTAGGGGTCTTTGACGATCCTGTCCTCTACCTTGGCGTCTAGGTTGGAATATTGATGTTTTCTTTTTCTTTTGAAGCCTCTGGAGATTTCCGGTCCTGCCTTAGCGTGTGATTTACTGTGGATGGATGAATTTGGTTTCAGCAGTGCACAGTAGCAGCTCTCAAAACTCCACCTGTTGGTTCACATTGATAGAGGTATGCTAGTCCTTGTTTTTTTTCTTCAATGAATTTACGGATTTCAAACAAATTCTGCTTCTTTCTCAAATTCATGGGAAATGCCCATAGTCAACCTATTGATGTAGGCTATGGATAGTACGCGCACAGTGTTGTTAAAATCCCATCGTAGCATCAAAATTTGATGTCGTCCAGATTAAGTATGTATGCACCCGCCAGTTACAAAAATAGACAGATGGAAGAAAGCTGGCATAAACCCTTCGAATCCCCAAAGATGATCGTTAGAGCTCACCAAAATACTTTTCAGAGTTTTGCTTCACTTGCTGGGCCTTGTTCTGGATCGCGGCAACATCCAACGTCCCCTCCTCACAGATATATGCATCTATGAGTTCGGGCGGAACCCATTCGAAGTAAACATTTTTCACCTTGACTGCGTAGGTAGCTGTGCCTTGATCAGTGGCTCCAATGTCTTCAACAAGCGCACCAATTCCTTCAATGCCACAATCCATCCAGCAGCCGATGAGCTCGCTGGGATTGTTTTCTTCGTGTACATGACCATTTTCAACTCCAAGCTCAGCTACTTTCTCGAGCTCACTGAGAATCAGCACCTTGACACCCGAGCAGACGTGCTTGGCACTGAGAACAGCTGGCAAAGAGCCAATTTTGTTGCTGATCGACCCTGAATCTGAGATCTGATCCGCTCCAAGTAGGACGAAATCCACTCCCTTGCTGGCCAGAGCAGCAGATGCGTCAGTATAAATCTTTAAATTCACATTTCGACCGGAAGACGAAGGAAACCTGGCCTTGAAAGTGGACAGCATAGAAGATGCCATCTTCACCCCTTCGCAAAGCGGCCGTGACTCCAGAACCCGGAGATCAAGCTGGGGAATGGGCAGCGACGCGAAAGCGCCAATGATACTATCCCTGATAGTTGAGCTACCTGAAAGCGTGAGGATGGTGAGCGGGCGAGTGGAGTTCGATTTCATGGTAGACATAAAATTGGACTGAAGATAGGCCCCAAATGATTGTTCGATGCGTGTGGGCATCTGCTTGCGTTTGTTCATATGGTCTCCCAGTACTCCCAACAAGTACTTCCATTTGATTTCTCGGCTGAGATCTTGATGCACAGTATCCTCCATCTTGGCCAGCAATCCCAGAAGTGCGTTCAATGTAGCTGCTCCCATGCTTTCTCGACCATTTTTCCATAGATGCCATGCAACCATGCGAGCACTCTCCCACCAGTCGGTACCAATAGGCCCCTGTATCTGCGAAATTACATCCTGGAAGACCTTCAAAGCAATCGATGTTAACTCGTGTGATCCACTTTGGTGATCCGCTTTTAGTTGCTCTAGACCTGCCCTCAGTACCTTGCTGGCACCATAGCTCAAGTGCATTTCAAACCAGACTCTTTGCAGACTTTCTTTCAGACGTGGCACGCCACCAAATAGTTCGTTATCGTTGAGTAACTCAGGGTTGTACCATTGCCAGCTATCGTGTTCCCAATCAATTCGAACTCCCTCTTCTCCGCGACCGCCTTCGTGGCAAGGCTTCAGTCGGAACAAGAATGGGAAAATGTTCCATATCCGATGAATTGAAGGGTCACTGAAGGAGTATGGTTTCCCTTGTCGCCATAGAGCTACGTCTCGCGGAGTAAGGGTGGTTTCCTCTTTGAGCTCTCGCCATGCCGCTTCTTCTGGTGTTTCATGGTGTTCTATACTCCCCGAGATAGGAGCAAGTTGGTGCCTTAGAGAAAAACAAATCAGAATGGGCATATTCTTGTTTGGAAAATCTAAACCTGCCCACCTGGGCGACCAGCTTGGCTTACTGATATGTCTTGACTTTGGCACTGCGCCGGAAGAGGGCAACTTTAGGCTCGTCTCCATCTGAGAAAATGAAAGAGGAGACCACAGATCTCTGATGGAACCTACTTTCGCTTGACTTGATCATTTTGCCTTTTATGTCGAAATTTGAAACTTGATAAGATTTTCCAGCAAGTTGAATTAGAATTATGAATGTTTCGGGATATCAGCTGTGCTGTCATCATCACATCACCATCCATGGTAAACCAGGCCTATTTGGGATAGGCCTTGAGTCCCGGAAAAGGCAATTATTGTTACGGTGTTTTATATTGCTCTTGGGGTACTAGATGATAGTTTAAAAGTTGATCAACTTCATTCGTTAGTCACAAAGTGATAGATATCTATATACATAATGGCAATTTGAGCGTGATTTTCAAAACAATAAAATATCAAGACGGTGAAACAAATCAGTTAATTCGCACTGAAGCCAACAGGTCAAGCTTTTTGTCGATTGGAGCAGTACCACTGTTACCATCCACTCCGTTGATATCATTTGTACCGTTGGCTTGTGAGCTGAGCCCATTCACCACGGCGTTAACAATACCGCTGAGCCCGCTGGTCTCGCTGCCAGGCTCTGGAAGCGGTATTTGCGCCTGCTGCAGACAGATTTCAAGTGTTGCCAACGGGGCCTCGACATCGCGGGAGATCAAATCCAGCTTTGCAGCCAGGTTCTTCAGCATTCTCTGGGCGAACTCGGTGGACATCGCGTGACTCGAGAAGATCATCTCCACACGAATCTGCTCACCAACGGGGGTGGCCAGAATGGACATATCGCAGGCGTCAGGAGCGGGGCAGACGAAGCCCGGCGCACACTTGAGAACGCTCTCAAAGGACACAGGTTGGCCTGGAGCAGCTTCATCGGTACCGAAATCTTGATATTGGAAAACTGAGCTGAACCGTGTCGCCGGTGTCCACTCGGTGCATTGGTTGATGATCTGCTGGAAGCCCATGCTTTCGTGTGGAATCGTGTCCGTTTGTTGCTGCTGAATGGTGCGCAAAAGGTCGAGAACATTATGCATATTTGTCATATTGGCGCGCACTGGCACGATGTTCAGGCACGGTCCCATGATCGACTCAACGCCGTCAAGGGGCAAGTTACGACCGGACACCATATGCCCATACACCACGTCTGCCGTAGCTGCCATCTCCGCCAGTACCAGGGCCCAGGCTGCCTTGACAACCGTGGCAGCTGTGATACCGTGGTTCTTGAATGCCACCAAGGGCATCATATCTGCATGCATAGTGTTGAGCACATTGGTGACTGATGTCTTGCTGTGAGATACCACTGAGGTCATTGTGGAGCCTGCCAGCATGTCTGTGTAGAAGGATTTGGCACCATCGCTGGTGTGCATCTGCATACGCACAAAGTCGGCAAATTGGGCCCGCTTAGGCAGGTCCTCGCAACGATAAGCTGTCCGCAAGTCATTCATCAGGTGCGGCATGGATCCGCCATCATACTGTGCGTGAGAAATACGCATGATCAGGCGGTGATGGGTAGCATCGTCCTTGACGATCATGAAACGCACGATGGGCTCGCCCAGGTGGGGTGGCCGGGCAAGGTCTTCACGGATGAGAGACTCAGTAGGATCTTCCTCATCCCGGATGTGCATGCTGTACTCGGGAACAACGGAGCGGAGCACGACTTGGATGAGCTGGGAGCCAGTGGATACGAAGACCGTGCGGAGAACATCGTGGTGGGCAACAAGCTTCTCGCAGGCAGCCTGAAGTCGGCGAAGATCAATCGGTCCATCGAAATCAAAGATGAGGTAGTTGCTCCAGCCACGGGTCTGGTTGAGACCGCCGTTGATAGCGAGAGACTGGAAGTCGGTGCATTCTAGAGCATCCTGGATTTGGAAGGCAGGTATACCAAGCTGAGGAAGAATGATATCGTCCAAAAGTTGATCTTTAGGGATTGACTTTAGGGTGGAGAAGGGCTCGAAGTTTTGTGGCCGGTGCTGTTGTGACAGAGTCTCGGAGACTGCGCTGATGGCCTCTAAAGTGGGATGTTGGAAGATGGTTGCTGTGGACAGCGGGATACCTTTGATGCGTGCCGCAGAGGCCAATCGCATGGCGGTGATTGAATCACCACCTAGTCGGAGGAAGTTGTCATTGAGACTGATCTGCGCAGCAGGCATTTTCAGTACCTCTCCCCACAGTTCCTGAAGAGTGAACTGCATCTCAGTGGTTGGTGGACGGGCGTCCTCCGTGGCTCCAGAGTATTCAGCCATTTGGCGATGCGTTAATCCACTGCCAATACGAATCAAAGTCTTGCGGTCTGCCTTACCAGAGGGCATCTTTGGGATATGGTACACTGGAATATAGGCATTGGGGATCATGTGCATGGGAAGGAAGTCCGAAAGTCGGTCCTCGAGGCCAGAAACGGAAGCGAGGTGTCGCTCATTTGGCTGGGGGATGATGGATTCGGGCTGGTTGAACATAAATATCGAGGTTGGCTTTCGGCGTGCCTCTGATGCAGGAACAGGGATGAATGCCACCAGCCGGGGTTGATCGGGGGCGTCCTTGGGACAGACGATGTCCACCACAGCATCAGGCTTGTTCGCGAGACTCTGCTTGATGCGATACTCAATCTCCCCAAGCTCCACACGTTGACCTCGCAACTTCACTTGTGTATCCTTGCGACGTTGGAACTCGAGCGATCCATCTGCATTATAACGAACCAAATCTCCTGTCTTGTAGACAACAGGGGATCTCATCTCATCGCCCAAGTCCATCCACAAGGGGTTTTTGACGAAGGCCGCTTGTGTCTTGATCGGCTCTTCCAGATATCCGCGTCCAACATTCCAGCCCTCCAGAACCAACTCACCAACACTACCCACAGGCATCAACCGGTGGTGATTGGTGGGCATAACAACCCACGCCAAACCTGAGCAGGTGTATCCGATGTTGCGTGGGTTGGTACCCGGTACCACGTCGACGTTAGAGGTCGACGCGACACAGCATTCCGAGGGACCGTATCCGTTAACAAGTCGCACGCGATGTCCCCATGTGTCAATGTGGGATTGAGACATGGCCTCTCCAGCCAGAATTAGTACCTTGATTGATGGCACATCGTCGGGACTGAGCAGGTTCACAAAAGATGGCGTGAGCGCCGCCCAGTTGGCCCGTGTCGCGCGAACAGCTTCGGCAACATCCCTCTTTCGCTGTTCCTCAGAAGCGACACAGATACAACCTCCAGCTATAAGGATGGTAATTGTCTCGACCAGACTGGCGTCGAAGGTAAAAGAGGCAAACTGCAGAGCTCGAGTGTTGCCATCGATCAACATTGCCGGTGCATGGGTCACCGAACCAATGGCATAGTGGCCGTGCTGAATGATGGTCCCTTTGGGCTCGCCAGTGCTACCGGATGTAAATATGACATATGCAGCGTTCTCTGGCTTCACATCAACAGGTGGCGGCTTAGGAAGAGACTCTTCGGGGGACTCGACGTCTAGAACGACGATATTGTATCCCTCGCCCATGCTACGACAGAGATCGTACTGTTGTGGAGAGCAGACAATGGTCTGCGCGTTGAGCTTCTTGATCATTAACTGAATCCGATTGCCAGGCTGGGAAGGATCAAGGTTGAGGAATGCACCTCCAGCACGCAGTACACCGAGCATAGCCGGAATGGCCCATTTGCTCTTCTCGAAGCAACACGGCACGAAACTCTCGGGTTGGATATTCAATTGAGCAAGGCGTCGGGCGAGGCGGGAGGAGTGTTGATCTAATTCGGCATATGTGAAAGAACCATCCCAGGAGCATACCGCCTCGTAGTCAGGGCGCTTGGAAATGGTTTCCCCAATCATCTCGTGGATTGTCTTGTGGATAGGCTTCGGTATATTTTGATTCCATTGGCGGATGCTTTCTTGATCCTGAGCACTGATAAAGACAAGCTCGTTCAGCTTCTTCTCCGCAGGCGAAGAGCACATCTGATAGAGAAGATTTTCCAATTGGCCAAGAATACGCTCAACTGACTCCGGAGAAACCAGACTGGAGTCGTAGTGGGCGGCGCAGCTGACTCCATCGGGCTTGAGGCTACACTCAAGAGTGAGAGCATATGTACCAAAGTTTGCATCAGGCCCGGACATGCCGCGTAGGTCAATCTCCGAGGTGGAAACGTGCTTCTCCTTAGAAGGCTGGATCACCAAGAGGGTTTGGAAATCGCAAGCAGCAGCAGCATCAGAGCTCACGCGTCTGATATGCTGTAGACCAGCTTGCTCGAATGAGATCATCTTCATTGACTGGGCCTGCACCTCGCCGATGAAGTCGCGGATCGTCAATGTATCATTATCGGGAAACTTGACGCGTACCGGAACGGCGGCGATACCGGGACCGAAGAGCTGATCTGCATTGGCAATTGGAGTGTTGCGACCGGAGACAATAGTGCCAAATACGACATCATCCGATTCAGAATGAGAACCGATGAGAATTCCCCAGGCAGCGCGAATCATCGACGCAAGAGTGATGCCGGCCAGTTCATCTGTTCGGGTCAATTTCATGTCGTACTCCGCTGAAGCGTCCGCGACAGGTTGCTTTGATGTCGACACGACCGAGGGGAATTCATTTCGAGTGGCGCCCGCGAGGTATTCCTGCCAGAATTGCTGGGAAGCGTTGGGATCAACTTCGGTGACATAGCTAATGAATTCCTTGAATGAGGTGTCCCGTTCGATGGGCTGGTCTTTGTATGCCTTGTCGAGACGATCGAAGGTCAAATCCAACGTCCAAGCATCGTAAACTGCATGGTGAACAGTCCAGACGAACATCCAGCTCTTCCCATTTGGAACAAGGCCGTAGCGAGTGAGAGGCTCGCCTGCTTTCATTGGCTTTTGCTTGTCCGCTTTGACGTAAGCATCCATGGTGTCCGCTGTGTGCCATTCAATATCTCCGTGCACAACAGCTTGGAGCGCACTGGCCTGTCCCGGGTAGACGATGCGAGTCCGAAGGACAGGGTGGGCATCTACTACCTTCTGACAGGCCTGTTTGAATCGGTGTATGTCAATAGCCGGGCCCAAAGAGAGCGTATGCTGGGCCACATATGCGCCATCCCGACTATCCGAGAGAGCCATCAGGCCCTCTTGCATCGCAGTACAGGGGTACAGGTCTTCGATCGCCAGCGGGCCAACTTGGCACTGACTGGCGGCCTCCTGGATTAGATTATCTATGTCGTTGCCAACAAGGCTGAACGGAACGTCTTCAAAGATTTGCACATCCAATTCAGAAGAGCATGCGGCCATCTCATCCAGCACAGGATGGGCGAAGATGTCAGCGACACTGAGTCCAACTTTAGCATTGCGGGCCAGATTGACCAGCCGCATGGCATCGATGGAGTTTCCTCCCAATTGAAGGAAGCTATCATCGCTGGAGATACTCTCTTCCTCCATATTCAGAACCTCGGACCACATGCTTCGCAAAACCTTGCCGGTGCCTGTGGCAGGCTCCTTGTGCTCCTTCTTCTTGGCCCCTGTCAGCGCGGTGACTGTGAGCGTGCACGCAAATTCACTGATGGCCTTCCGGTTGGTCTTCCCTGATGCAGTCAAGGGCATATGGTTGAGCTTGACGACAGTGGAAGGCACCATATACCCTGGAACGGAGTCGGCCAATCTAATCTTCCAGTCCACCATGCGGGATTCAAGCTCTTCGGCGGCATTTTGGTCCACAGTGTGGAAGTTATCGCCGAAGGCCTTTTTCAAGGAGACGAATGCGACAAGCATGGGTCGATCGGGCTGATCCATGGGTTTCACTAGACCAACGGCAACCTCCGTGCCTCGAGGGACGGCTTGGCGCAGATGGAACTCGACTTCTTCAAGTTCGATCCGCTGGCCTCGGAGCTTGATCTGCATGTCTTTTCGCCCCACCAAGTTGATAAGACCGTCGGATCCGTATCGGACCAGATCGCCGGTTTTGTAAGCACGCGAGGGCAAAGCGCCGCGCATCTCTTCCATCCAAGGTGTGTTTGATATGAAAACTTCGGCTGTCTTTTCTGACTGATTTATGTACTCGCGAGCCAGGATCGGGCCCTCGATTACCAACTCACCAATTGCTCCAATTGGTGCAAGTCGGTTGTGGTCGTTCGTATCAACGATCCAAGTTGTGCACCCAGCGCCAGTTCCAATGGTTGAGCGGCCGACGGGACCCGACAAGTCTCCAGCGACGCAGATCGAGGCCTCCGAGGCGCCATACATATTCAGCATCTTCACTCGATGGCGCCATGTATCCAGGTTGTCTTGTTGGACGGGCTCTCCGGCCAAGAGGAGTGTTTGGAGTTGTGGGAGTTCTTCCGGTTTGATGGATCGTAGGAATGACGGTGTCAAGCAAACCCAGTTTGCTTTTAAATCACGCATTGCTCCGGTGGTGCGCCCCAGTCGGTCTTCCTTGGAGGGAATGCAGACGCATCCGCCTTCCACCAAAGGTGTGAAAAGCTCGAAGGTGTTGACGATGAATGTATATGCAGCGAACTGGAAGGTGCGAGTGGCGCTATTAATATTCAAAGACGCAGCGTGTCTCTTTGCGCTAGAGCACATGGCACGGTGCTCGTGCACAATACCTTTGGGTTTTCCCGTACTGCCGGAGGTAAAGATGGCGAATGCAGCCTCTTTGGGAGAGACACGAGGAAGATCGGAAGGAGGAGGAAGGCTGAGGATAAAGTCGGCGTCAATTGCGATGGCATTAGGGGTCAAGCCAGCTAATGTGTCACGATAGGCTGGGGCACCCAGCGCAATCTGCGCATCCACTTCACTTATAATGGTTTGTAGCCGGTCTACAGGTTGTGCAGGATCGATACAGACAAAGGCGCCACCGGCTTTCATGACACCCAGCATGGAGACTACGGCCCAGAGGGACTTGTCAAAACAGACCGGCACAAAGACTTCGGGGCCGACTTTCTGGGTGATCAGAAAGCTTCCTAGTCGAGCGGTATAGTCTACCAATTGCGCGTATGATACGGCACCATCCCAGCATTCCAGCGCAATGGAGTCAGGGCGTAGCTTCGCTTGTTCATCAATGAGATCATGCATGCATACCTCGATCATACTGGGGACGGTTGAGTTCCATTTTTGTAGTTGGGACCATGACGCAGCTCCAAAAAGATCTACTGCGCCGATTGTGGTTTGGGGTTCGTTTGTGATTATGTTGGCCACATGGGCCACTCCTTCGGCCACAGCGCTGGCCATATTTTCGCCAATAGCATGAGAAGCATATGCTATAGAGGGAGTGTCGGAAACTAATAGCGCGATAGAGCACTGTATTTGTCAGTAACCAGAAACTAGCGCTCAAACGTAGGCATGGGAGACATACCGATGTGTTCTCCAATTCGTCAAGCGATGCAGTCGTGCGATTCCACACAATGGTGTTGAATGTGTTTGATGCGATCCACTCCGGAATAGACAAGCTATTTGACTCTCCCGAAGGTGTTGAAACTTGTAGTGCTTCAAGCGTAGCAGCGGCAGGAATGTCACCATGGCAAACCGCAAATCGCGATGCAGTGTCGGAGTCATCAATTCTTCCGAATGCAATCATATCACTGCCAACATAGTATCGCAGAACGACGGTCCACGCCTGGAGCAGCACCTCTTTAGAAGTCGTATTGGAAGTGGACAGGTCAAGTGGGATGGATTGGATTCCCCGCCCAGGGAGATTTTCTGTTGGAAACACGCAAGGCGCGGTATCCAACGAGCCCGAAACAACTTGCAACATGGTGAATAAAGGAAATTAACAAGATTAGGCGATATATCGGCCAGAATTACATAGGATTATAGTGAAGGAGGCAAGAGGTGTGACTTGGGCAATGACGATGCACAGTGACAATTGTAAGTGACAGTTGTGAAGAGCACAAGACAAACATTAAGATGATCTTCGATCTCTTCGGATCTGCAAATTTTTTTTTCTTCCCAAAAATTCATCCACACCTCGGTTAGAAATCAAAAGAGCTGCTTTTCCGATGGAACACTACAAATCAACCAATTTAGGGGTACTAGCTGAGACAGCTGAAGGGCCACTGATGGAAGGTGTCCCTGAATAAATGGAGCCATTGGCGCCATTGGCGTCATTGGATTAAATGGGTCTTGATGGATGGAGTAGAGGTGAAATAATGTTTACAATGAAGATGTGGAGATGTATTATTCTATTGTATATCAGTATCACGTTACATACGCTAGGTAAAGTATTGATGTATGTATTTGGTATCCGAATCATAGCCAGGTAATTTATGTTGATCAAAGTGTAAAATAACATTGTATTGTAATTGGTGCTGTATTCGATCGGTATCCGGTACCTGGTAGATCGATGTATCTTGTCGATCCCAACACATTAGTCTTTAAGACGTATAAACTTTTATTATATTTCCACAATCCCTTTTACCATCAATCCAATTGTCTATTATCAATTGAGTTAACTTGCATAATCACCCATTGCCTAAAACCCCTTGCTCGAATTGTTCACCTGTGGCGTTTCCACAAATCGAGAGACTATAAGGATCGTCATCTTACAGTGGACCCCGAACCCAGCCTTCTCCGTATAAATCCACTTTCAACTTTGGTATTCTCAGACTACTATTCTTGTCACTCCACTCTCTTTCTGAACACCTCCACCCCGAACGCTAGTTTCTTCCGGAAAAGTACTCCTTAAATTTGCTATGTGCCGTCCCTGATTGCCGTCTTCCAGAACACTTGGTCTGGTACCTATCTCATTTGACAGGGTAGATCTCATGTTTTTTATACGGCTCAGGGGCCAACATGCTAGTAGATCTCGCTTAATGGAAGAATTCAAAAACCAATACATCAGCCACGTACCAACCGTGCTACAATTGTAAACCAACCACGTTAGCAATCATGCATGATACCGAAAGTGTACTCGTGCATTCTAACATTGATCGAAGAACATGTGGTCGCGTTAAGCCTATGAAAGTCCTGGTCCTAGGACTATGCCGCACCGGTACCTTGTGTGAGTCTCCCTATCCAAGGGTCGCAGATACAATCCTTCATGTCGTATTGAACGCCACTGACATTGAGACCTTTCAGCAACATGGTTGGCTTTGCAGGAATTGGGTTACGACACGTATCACATGACGTCGATCATGCAAAATCCTAAGGATGCTGTTATGTGGACGGAAGCTTTCCAAGCCAAATATCACGGAGGAAAGCCATATGAGCGGAAGGACTGGGACCAGCTATTGGGCCACGTTGAGGCCATCACCGACTTCCCGGGGGCTGTCTTCGTCGAGGAGCTGACGCAAGCCTACCCAGACGCTAAGGTGGTTCTGACTTTGCGCGATCCGGACGACTGGGTGCGATCGATGAAACAGACCATCATGGCACAGACCTACAGTCCCCTTGCCACTTTTATGGGATGGATCGACCCCGAGTACTTTGGCATTGGCAACCGGATGTGCCGTATGGGCTTCGACGGACTCTTCCGTGGTGATTTTACGCGATACGGCCGCCAGGCCTTTGTCGAACACTATGATCTTGTTCGCCGGGTTGTTCCTGCTGACAATTTGCTCGAATGGAACCCCAAGGAAGGATGGGAGCCACTCTGCGAGTTCCTGGGCAAGCCGATCCCAACAACCTCTTTCCCTCGAGCCAATGATGCCGCCGTTTTTGCCAACAAATCTGCGGCTGTCAAGCGTGCAGCCTTCCTTCGCCTTGGAAAGAAGCTTGTGGTTTATGGACTGGGTATTACAGTGGCCTACTTCGCCGCTCGCTACGGACATCAAGAGTACCTACGGAGATGATAATGTCTATTGACAACTAAGGGTATGCATGGATATGGATTGGATAGATGGGGGATAAATGGGTATAGATGGGTATAACTTTTTTTTGTATATATAATCTTGATAGTCCACTGTACAATAATAATCGGTTGGTTTCCAAGACCCGAGTCAAAAGAAAGTAGATTAAAATAAGCCCTTAAAATAAATGAATCCCGATAAGGTACATTTTAGTGACAAAACAATAATAAATAAATAAAGGTTCAAGCCCAGAGTGGATCTATAGCTCGAATTCTTCTTCTGACCCCACAGAGTACACAGTGCGTTCTGAGTAAGATCCACCTATCATTTTTTCCCACTTCTTCTGTCGTGTTGTATTTATAACGCTTACGGAGTCCAATGTGTATGGTTGACTCTATGCCATAAAACATCGTATATTCTCTCTCATACAGTACTTCATATATGGTGATTCAATTGCAACAAATATGAGGCTTCCCCCTATGAAACCCATGAACGTCATCTTCCAACCGGAAAACCGGGAAAAGACTCCCCGATCTATATCCACTTCAGCCCTCGATCCACTTGGATGAGATTAAAATATCAGTGGTTCAGATAATCCCGTCTGGGTCGCGATCGGCAGGATAGGAGATGCATGATGGGTCCAATGCAAACTGAAAATCTCTGACCTCTCCCGTCTTGCCAATTTTCCGTGATACTTTCTCTTTCCTGATTCCTCCAGTCTCTTTCTCTCTTCGCTATATTCTCTTTCTCAGACCCTCCGACCCTCTTTTTTTGCGATTTCCCACTTTTACACTCTTTTATTTTATTTATTGATTTATTGTTCCGATTGTTCCGAACTACCTTCAACTATGCGCTTGATCTTGGTTACTGCGGCCCTTTTCGCCGGATGTATTGGAGCCCCCATGGGCTCTGATATTGGCGCCAGAACCACGACCCTGAACCCGGTATGTAAATTGCCCAGACGCTGATCTTGCATCTAGACATTTACTAATGGCTCATCATTACCTATTAGAATGGCGACGCGGTAAGATCTCCTTCTTTGGCCTCGATGACATCCGAACTAATAAGACAGGCTGTATGTTAATCCACCTGAGCAAATGGCTCGATTTGATTTGCTAATTTGAGCTGATCATCTTTGTTTAGCCTGTGAGTTGATCCGATCATTTCTATTCTGGGTGTGAAGTTGACATTGATACAAATAGGTTGTATGATTATCATTCCCAATACGTTGTACGGTTAACTGCAGACAATGATGGCTGACGACCTGCTTCGTTGTAGAATGTGAGTAACACACCACCTTCACTGTCAAATTAATCATACTAACTTGTTCTAGAATGTATGATTCTTTACCACTTTGGTCGTCTGTCCTATAAGCTGACCAACTAGGGCGTGAGTTCCTAAGTTCCTCCGAATGAACTTGTGCTTCCTATAAAGATACTAACCAGAAATTACGATTGGTATCAGACTGTATGTATACCTCTTAGCCATGTGGCATTCAATGGTGTGACCCTTACTGACATCTGACAGGTGGTATGTACAATTTCTTAGCAGCAGGATCAGCTAGACTCCACTAACATGAATTCTCGCGATCTACCCAGACAGTAAGTCCATTACACTACCCACAATGAATGCGATTGCGCTAACCAAATGACAGAACGTGAGTGGCCCTGCTTTGTATCAAGACATCTAATCGATTCAGAATGATTGACAAAGACACAGAATGTAAGTGGATTCGTCGGTTATCTGGTTCTGCGCTAACAAGTACCTGCAGGTTGTGAGTGCATGATACCTTTGTACCATTGGTACCGCTGATTATATCATACGGCATATGACTGATCGATAATAGAGCGTTAGTGTGCCTGCACTTCATGTCAATAATGTGTAATGCTAATTTTCGCAGTTTGTAAGAATTCCTGTTCAGGATGTCCCTGACATGGTATCATACTGACTCTGGCGCTTGGCGAAATACAGTTGGTAAGTAAATCTCTCATGTCTCGTTCCCGTACTCCACTAATGCTTCCCTCGCAGAACGTAAGTGCAATATGATTCAATGTTACCAAGAAGCTTACTGAAATGTCTCTTTCAATTGTTACAGCTTGTATGAATCCTCTATATTTGATTTGTGCTAGCCATTGCTGACTCCGACAGTGCGTAAGACGCCCCGAAGAATCAAAAGACCACTCACCATCCAATTCAGAGTTGACTTGGTTACAGAAGAACAGAGTAAGTCTTTACCAGCTGCCTTGATGAACTGAACTGACAGCCCAGCGCGCCGGTATTCCGAACAAGGGCAACGTGGACCCCGTGAACGACGGCGAGGTGACCAACAACATCTCGTTCCTCCGTCTTTGTTAGATCGGTGGATCTGGAAAGCATGTATGTACCTGTTGATCTTGAAATTCAATCCAATGGGATCACAGTTGACGACTTAGTGGACCAGCGGGTGAGAAGAAGTATGGTTGGAACTGGAGGCGGAGGATGGCCGAACAAGTTGGACGGTTGGCACAAACTGAGTTGCTTTGCATGGTGCTTAATCGGTTACCCGGTTATTGCAATACATACAGTTTCTTGATTGCGTTCCCACTATCTGTAGATCAAGTTTGTGATTGTAGTTCATCTATAAGAAGGGTCCTACCCCTACGACATATATGTCTTTTTTCCAAATGTTGTCCGTGAGAATATATATTTTCGCATATATTCTATTCTGAGGTTACCACCAGCTGACATACAATCAAAGTGCTCTTTCAGTCACAGGATTTATTACGCAGTACTTGAGCTTCTGACATTCTAGATCAATACCTAGGTACCATATTTTCTACCACATGTTGTCGGCCCTTTAAGCTGATCGCTCGCTGGTGCCGTGTTTATTGATCTTTGACCTAATTCAACATCCTACTCATTATTGCAAGGATTTCGAGCTTCAATGTCCATTAGGTTTGTTGTATTGAAATTACTGATTAAATAGACGATATGTCCGATGTCAAATCCTTACACAGATTTTAGTTCTTTCCAACCGAGGCACGTATGCGGCGATCCCGTACAGCTTGGGCCAGCGAGCGCATGGACTGTTCGGTCGTCTCCCAATCAATGCATGCGTCAGTGATGCTCACGCCCTTTTCGCAACCTTCCAGACCCTTGGACGGCGGCTTTTGGTTGCCCTCGCGGATGTTTGATTCAACCATAACGCCAATGATGCCGTCCTCGCCTTGGCGAAGCTGTTCTTCGATGACCTTGAGGACCTTGGGCTGGTTCCGATGATCCTTGGAGCTGTTGCCTATAGGATTCGTTAGTGAAAGTGCCGACAATTTTCAAAGCATAACATACCATGAGAACAATCAATCATTAGACCTTCCCGTTCATTTTTTGAACGGAGGAGCTCACGGGTGGCCTTGACAGACGCGGCATCGAAGTTTGTGCCTCGCTTGCCACCACGCAGAATGACATAACCATCCTCATTACCCTTGGTGCTAGTTGTGGCGATGACTCCCTGCTTGGTGACTGACATGAAGTGGTGACGCCCACGCATCGACTTCAGCGAGTCCACGGCGGTTTCGACAGAGCCATCTGTGGAGTTTTTGAATCCGACAGGGAATGAAAGACCAGAGGCCAGCTCACGGTGGAGCTGAGACTCAGTAGTTCGGGCTCCTACAGCGCCAACACTGATCAGGTCTGCCGTGTATTGCGGTGAGATGGTATCAAGCATCTCACATGCCACTGGCACTCCAAGATCAGTGATTGAGACTAAGAGTTGTCGAGAAACCCGAACCCCCTTGTTTGTGTCAAAGGTGTCGTCGACGTTGGGGTCGTTGATGAGGCCTTTCCAACCCACAGTTGTCCGAGGCTTCTCCAAATAAGCCCTCATGACAATACATAGGTCGGTCCGAAGTTCGTCAGAGAGCTCCCGAAGACGAGTTGCATAGTCGATAGCAGACTCGGGATCATGAATGCTACAGGGACCGACCAACACCAGGAGTCGATCATCATTTTGGCGGATGATATCACGAGCCTCAATGCGGCTGTTCAGTACCGTGAGAAGGCTGTTGGCTGTGTGGGGGATTTCGTATTGCACCAATGCTGGGGGAGCCAAAGGAACATAGCGTTCGATGCGGACATCATCGGCCAGCTTTCGACGCAAAAGCTCGATGTCGGAAGTGTCCAAAAGCGGAGAGGTCGACACGCTAGGCATGGTGTTTTAGATAATGAGAGAAAACAGCAGAAGGGTCTATCGAGATGCTCGGACAAGTAGCGGAATCTAAACAGCTATATAATTGTTTTGATACCGAACGGGTTGACATCAGTCCACAATAAATCCCCTTGGGTTCTTTTTACACCGTAGTTTTCAGCCTAGGTTCAGGAGAATGGAGCTTGCAATTGAATAGAATGTATTGCTCTCAAGCTAGACCGCTCCACCCTTGTAATCAAGTCTTCTTTCAGATTGACAGGGTACATACAATATACATGATCGGCGTGCCATTGAAGCACAGAATCACAATGTACATTTCATGTATGCATGTTGCCAAATAGTGGGAACGGTGTAGATCAGTTGCCTTTGTTATGGCATGTCGGATCCAGGGCATCAATCAAATGGCTTGAAGGGGAGAGATCGTCGGCGACGAGGTGGACGAAGCGTACATACATGTAAAAGTAAATGTAGTGGAGCAATAGTGGAGTAGGCGGAATGAGATCGCGAGAATTCAAAGCACTGAGTACCTCAATCTTGGAAATTATATCATACACAAGTGGACCATGGGTATTATTGAGGCACACATACATCATGAATCATGGTTTACAATCTGTATGTGTTTCGTTGTAGGATCCATAGTTTCCCCCCTTTTTCTTTTTTTTTGTCAAGTTAAAAAGACTAACGTAGATCTTTTACAATATTAACTGAAGGCGCAATTCTTATATTCTAGGCCAACATAGAAACATGCCGTGAAGAAGGCACCAAAAAGTTAAATCTACTCGAGAGATCACAAACTTCGTACCTGATGCATGTTGCAAGGCATTGCTGATTGCATATTGAAAATGATACAATACAATACGGTATCTTACCATTGTATGTAAGATACGTAAAACACCTTGTAAATTGGTCATACGGTGATACTCGGTCATCGCCCCACCGATGGCGCTAATCTAAAATACACACACAGTATACATATGTCGAGATCCACGCGGCACGATCTTCGGCTTCATTCCAAGGTTGAGAAACTTACTAGACTCCACAGTCATGGTCTACAGTAACACAATCGGATCTTCCATGGTTCATAGTGTGTCAGTGCAATGTATTTTCAGTGGCTTTCTTTTCCTGGTCATTGTATAGAAATCGAGAAAGAGTGGATAGCTTTAGTTCTGACCATGCTACTGGTACTTTGTGAGTCCACCGCTGAGTTTTTATTGCAGATCTGGCGGCAGTCTAGCTCATATACGGTGAAGCAGGGGAGGCAATATTTGTCAACTAGTGTTCTTTGCGATGCTTTCTCCCTCATATGATTTGGCTGCACCCCCTTCATGCATCCACGGCAGAATGGGTCAATATCCACTATCGATTGGACCGCGCTGAGCTCCAGCTGGCCAGCATACAGTATGTACACTCGTGGTCCCAAATAATGATAGCCCAAACTAGTAATTTGACCCAAGCATCTGGTTGGGCCGCTGCAGGAACTCAAGTTCGTCCTTTCCACTGCTGGAACTGTGGATCCTCTTGTCTTTGAACCTGAGATCCAGTCAGAGAAAAAGTGCCTCACAGAGTTCAACCGGATATGCCACCGGATCCCCCATGTGAAAGAAAAGAAAACAAGATCACATAATAGGGTGGGCCTCTTATTCCAATAGTTCTAGTCTTTTCACCCTCCATCTCTTCCATCCTTCTTTCACATCACGTCTCTCTTTTCAATTCTGGTTGTGTTATACTTTGCCAGATTGGCTTAACTACTGGCCCTGGTTCATTTAATTGTTTCTTGCTTTTCTTAATCATGCCGTCTATTGTCATTGATGATGCTGATCGGCTTCGCCAACTGTGGACGCAGCTGGTGACCGATGTCACTCCGTCTCACCTCCCATCCGGTCTCTTCTCCAAGCGAGAGACCAAATCGACAGTGGGCTGCATAAGTGTGCCGATGAGCTTGCCCGCCATCCATGACTGTTGCCAAAAGTGTGATGTATCTCCATTGAACGTGGTCCAGGCCGCCTGGACCGCTGTCCTACGCTCATATTCTGGAGCAGACAATGTTATGTTTGCGGGCATTGGCATGAATCCACGATCAACCAAGCATCAATGGACCAACACATCAGTGTCCTTGGCTCGGTTGGAGCAGGATAGCTCCGTTATATCTGTTCTCGACACAACCCAGGAAGAAGGCCTGCTCCAAGCTGAGTCCATGGTCTCCGTCACTGAGGCCTTGCACATTTTTTCCACATTAGAACCTAAACCATGCAATTCCGCCATTTGGCTCAAAGATTCTGAGTCCAAGAGCGAGCTCTCACCCACCGATGTTGTGAACGATAAGGCCGTAAGTAATATTTCCAGTACAACAACTGTTGATTTCAGACTAACAGATTCCAGTTCGACTATGCTATTCAGATCGACTCTTCCCTGTCTCATCTGGACTTGATTTTCCACAAACCCACCGTGTCCCGTTCTCAAGCACATTATATCGCCAGTACATTCACCGATTACCTCAAGAGTGTCTGCCTGGACCCATACCAGACGGCATCGAATGTGTGCCACCCCAGTGGGTTGGATATGCTGCAGATTGAAACATGGAACCGCATCGTTCCAAAGGGAAGCGATGCTTGCGTCGATCAGTTGATTGAGAAAGCTGCCAGAGAAACTCCTGACGCGGCAGCACTGGCGTCATGGGATGGAAATATGTCATACTTTGAATTCAATCAAGCCGCCAGCAAATTGGCTTCATATTTCGAATCTGTCGGTATCCAACGTGGTACGTTGGTCCCAATTTGCTTCGATAAATCCTTGTGGACTATTGTCACCATGATCGCTTTGTGGAAGCTGGGTGCCGCCTGGGTGCCTCTGGACCCAAAGCACCCACGCCAGCGATTGGAAACAATTATCTCCTCAGTGGAAGCGAGCACGGTGATTGCTTCGGCGTCCAACAAGGACCTTGTGCAGGACATCACTCCGCAGGTGCTTATCCTGGACCCCTCCCAAATTCAGTCTGCCCCTGATGTTGAATTCATCTCCCGTTCACAACCGCATGACGTGTCATTCGTCATGTTCACATCCGGAAGCACAGGCAAGCCCAAGGGTGTTGTTCATGACCATGCTTCCGTCTCTTCTAGCGCACTGAATCACGCGTCCGCTATGAATATCTCTAATAATACTCGCGCACTCCAGTTCGGTGCTTACACGTTCATTATCAGCACTTTTGAAATTTTTACTACCCTAATTTTTGGTGGATGTCTCTGCATTCCGTCGGACCACGACCGACACACTGACATCCGTCCTGCCATCCGATCTTTTGAAGCTAACTGGGCTATCTTCACTCCCAGCTTTGCCCGCTCGCAACATCCCGAGGACATTCCATCTCTTACCACACTCCTTGTGGCTGGCGAGGCTGTGGCACAGGACATCATTGATCGCTGGGCACCCGTGGCCCAATTAATTAATATCTATGGCGCCTCCGAATGCAGCGTCGTCATGATTGGACGCATGGTGGCAGACACGCCGAGAAGCTGCATCGGTAGAGCCACCGGTGGCCTCTCGTGGCTTGTCGATGCCAACGACCATGACCGGTTAGTTCCCATTGGCTCTATCGGCGAACTCGTCATCGAAGGCCCTATTTTGGCCCGTGGATATCTCGCGGACCCGGAAAAGACACAGGCCGCCTACATCGAAAACCCGAAGTGGGCCTGCCAGCCCGAGGTCACTCGGCGGTTTTACAAAACCGGCGATCTCGCTCGCTACGGTGACGATGGTCGGGTGCACTTGATTGGACGCAAGGACTTGCAGGTGAAGATCCGTGGTCAGCGTGTCGAGTTGACTGAGATCGAAGCCCACATGCGTGCCATCAATAGCTCAGTCAAGACAGCGGTCGCCATGGTTCATCCAGGAAGCAAGTCAATGCTTGCCGCCTTCATTTCCAACCAGAGTGGATTTGGGCCTGAGTTCCCCCATTCTTTCCATTCTGCCCCAGATGACAAGAGCTCTGTTGTGTCTCTGGCTGCCCAGATGAGCCAGCAGCTCACTCAACAGCTGCCGCCATACATGATTCCCTCGGTTTTCCTTCCATTGGCCTTCATGCCACTGACGGCCTCGGGAAAGACAGATCGCCGCCTCATCGCCTCATTTGGCGACAGCCTGACATTGACTGAACTGGCTGTCGTGGCTGGTAACGGAAGTGTGACCGATCGCCGCATGCCCACAACAACCACGGAAATGACTTTGCGCCAGATCTGGGCTGACATTCTCCATTGCCCAGTCGAAGAGATCGGTGCAGAATCCAACTTCTTCCACCTGGGTGGTGATTCTATTGAGTCCATGAATCTCACTCGCCGATGCCGCGCTGCTGGCTTCCAGCTGCAGGTAGGCGACATCCTGGGCAATTTGGTGCTCAGTGACATGGCCAAGGTTATGGTTCCTATTCGATCCGTGGACATCCCTGTGGCCACACCGTTCGAGCTGCTTGGTGAGGACGCCGACGAGATTCGCTCCAACATCATTTCGGCCACCGGCATGCCCTCCAAACTTATTCAGGATGCCTACCCTTGCAGTCCCCTGCAGATGGGTCTTATGGCTCTGTCCAACAAAATCCCTGGCTCATACATTGCCCGTCATACTTTGGAACTTCCCAGCAGCGTGACCGTTGCCCGGTTCAAGGAGGTTTGGCAGACGATCGTCGACAACAACGATGTTCTCCGCACTAGAATTGTGGAGACCGATGCGCACGGCTCTGTGCAGGTGGTGAACCGCGCTCCGATTTCCTGGGCTCATGATACGGACTTGGCCAAGTACATCGAGTTGGACGAGAAGATTCCCATGCAGATTGGGGATGCCCTTGCCCACTACGGTATCATCGCTGGCCCAACAAACATTTTCGTGTTAACCATCCATCACTCCATCTACGATGGTATGTCGCTGGAGATGATTTTCAATGATCTTGTTCAGGCATTTGAAGGTGTCTCTCCACCTGCTCGTACCCAGTTCCGCGATTTCATTAAGGAGATCACGGAGAAGAACAGCGATAAGGCCACCGAAGAGTATTGGCGCTCCGAGCTTTCCGAGGGTGATATGACTACATTCCCAACTCTCCCCTCGGCTACCTACCAGCCGCTAGCAAACGATTCACTCGTTCACACTCTCCAGCTGAACCGTAAAGGTCCGTCGGACTTCACCAACGCGACGCTCATCCGTGCGGCTTGGTCTTTGGTGCAGGCTCGCTACTGTGACGCCCCTGAGACTGTCTTCGGTTGCACCTTGAGTGGAAGAAACGCACCTGTGCCTGGTGTCGAGGATATCGTCGGCGCTGTTATCGCCACAGTTCCCATCAAAACTCAAATCAATGGAGAGCAACCGGTTGATGAGTGGCTCCAGCAGATCAACTCGCACTCAGTCAAAATGACCCCGGCACAAAACTATGGCCTACAGAATATTGCCCGTGTCGCAGAGGGGGCCGCTGCCGCTTGCAATTTCCAGACATTGCTTGTTATACAACCCGCCAGCTCTGTCGCCGAGTACAGCATCATGCAACCATTCTCTGCCCCCCAAGCCAATTTCAGCACTGTGGCACTCACACTTGAGTGTAGTCTGGCGGCTGACGGAAGCATCGATATTCATGTTCACTTTGATAATGCTGTTCTGTCTCGCCCTGAGGTGATGCGCATCGTGCGCCAGTTTGAGCATGTCTTGCAGCAACTTGCCTCAGCGCCCACATGCAAGTTGTCTGACATTCAGATCATTAGTCCGCAAGACATGGACGATCTCTCTCAGTGGAACAGTCACATGCCCGAGACTGTAAATGACTGTGTTCATCGTCTTATCGCGCAGAACAACTTCTCTCAGCCTCACGCCCCGGCCATTTGTGCTTGGGATGGTGAGTTGACTTACACTGAGCTGGAGAGTCTGTCGTCGAAGCTAGCTGCCCACCTCATCAATGCTGGTGTTGGGCCCGATGTCTTTGTCCCGCTTTGCTTCGAAAAGTCCATGTGGACAATCGTTGCGATGCTGGCAACGATGAAGGCTGGCGGTGCCTTTGTGGCCATGGATGCGTCCCAGCCCATCAGTCGCATGCAGAACGTGATCAAGGACGTCAACGCTCAGGTCGTCCTCTACTCCGAGGAGCAGCTCAGCCGCGCCCCCGGTCTGGCGGCAAAGGCTATTGCAGTCGGTCCAGGAATGCGCGAGCTTAACACCCCTCGGACACCTCCTACACCTGTCGGCCCCTCCAATGCCGCGTACGTGATCTTCAGTTCCGGCAGTACGGGAGCGCCCAAGGGCTCTGTTATTGAACATCGTGCCTTCTGCACTGCTGCTATTTCTCAAAAGGAAGGACTTCAGATGGGTCGTCGCGTCCTGCAGTTCGCATCCTACGCTTTTGATGCCAGCATTTTGGAGATTCTTTCAACCCTGGTGCAGGGTGGTTGTGTTTGTGTGCCCTCCGAATCAGAGCGCCGTGGCAACATTGCCGAGGCCATTGCTCGCATGGAGGTCGACTGGGCCGTGTTGACACCATCCTTCGTTAACACAATCGACCCAAGCACCGTTCCAACTCTGAAGACCCTGGCTCTTGCTGGTGAGGCCATGAGCGCAGCTCACGTTGCCGCATGGACCCCATACGTTCGATTGGTCAATGGATACGGGCCATCCGAGTGCTGTGTGTGCACCACGTCGAACCGAAGGGTCCTTCCCGGGACACCGTCCAACAACATCGGAACTGCTGTTGGCTCTGCAAGCTGGATTACTGACCGTGATGATCACAATAAGCTTGCTCCAATTGGTGCCATCGGTGAGCTGCTTATCGAAGGTCACATCCTTGCCCGTCACTACCTTAATAACCCGGATAAGACCAACGATGCTTTCATTGAGAGGCCCGCGTGGCTTCCGTGGAAACGATGCCAACGTCTTTACAAGACCGGTGACCTGGTCAAGTATGCTGCTGATGGATCCATTCTCTTCATCGGTCGCAAGGACACCCAAGTGAAGATTCGTGGCCAGCGAGTCGAATTGGGTGAGATTGAGTACCATCTCAACCTCCCGGCCGAGGTGTCGCAGTCTGTGGTCTCATTCCCCAAACTTGGCCTGTACGCCCACAAGTTGGTTGGAATTCTCGAACTCACGGCCACTGTCGGCACAGAATTGAGTCCCGTTCCCCAACCCGAATTCCAGCGCTCAGGCTTCCAGCTTTCTGCCCTCACTCACAGCCTTTCGGAGACCTTGCCTGTGCACATGATTCCTGTCATTTGGATCGTGGTGCGCAAGATCCCCAGTTCTTCCTCCACGAAGATCGATCGCAAGGTTGTGGACCAATGGCTCTCCAAGCTTCCTTCCGACTTCGAGCCCACCCTGGGAATCACACGCGAAGGTCCAACAACCTCCGCCCTTCGGGCTAATGAAGACAAGGCTCTCGCCATAAGCAAAAAAATTGAAAGCCTCGTCAACCGCGAGGACAGCCCTCTGCATGGCCGTGACTTCAACATCTCGTCTATGGGTATTGACTCTGTTCAGGTTATCAGCTTGGCCAGCTTCATCAAGCAAACCTATGGCGTCAAAGTCGATGTGTCACGCGTTCTCGATGGCCAAATGACCGTCCGCGGATTGGCTGCGTTCATCAATGCCGAGCTCACAGGTGCAGTCCAGGATGTGCTTCCCGCATTCGACGCTATGAAGGAAGCCGCCGCTCTAGTCAAGGATATTGTCAAGAACTCTTGTTCCAAGAAGACAGTCTTTGTTACTGGTGCGACCGGGTTCTTGGGTACCCAGATTCTGCGACAGCTGTGTGACCGCCCCGATGTTGGACGGGTGATTGCGCATGTTCGCGCCAAGAGCCCCTCAGATGCATTCATTCGGGTCAAGGACGCCGCTGTGCGCGCCCAGTGGTGGTCAGACTACTACTTGACCAAGCTTGACGTTTGGTGCGGTAACTTGGCCTTGCCTCACCTGGGCTTGAAGCCTAAACAATGGGCCTCGTTAAGTGGTGAGAGCCCCAACGACGGTCTCGTCCATGCCATCATTCACGCTGGCGCTGCTGTCAACTGGAATGCCGGAACTGAGATCCTGCGTGCCGCCAATGTCAACTCTACGGCTGAGCTCATTAAGGCGGCCATCAGTTCCCCGGCCCGTCCTCGTCTCTCCTATGTGTCCGGTGGCTCCCGTTGGAGTGTTGGAGAGAACGACCAGGACATTGCAAATGAAATTGCGCATGCCAACGGATACGCTCAGACCAAGTACCTGTCGGAGCTATTAGTCAAACAATTTGCCGCCTCACACCCCAACCAGTTCGCCATTATCAAGCCCGGATTGATCCTCGGAACGCCCGAGGAGGGTGTGGCCAACACTGATGACTTTGTCTGGCGGTTGGCATCCGGAGTCGTTGACGCATGTGCCTTCAGCGACGATTATGCCGATTCGTGGATGTATGTCACCAGCAGTACCCGTGTGGCCGAAGAGACCATCCAGCAAGTCTTCTGCCCTCCTGCAATGATGAAGACTGTGACCCACATGACGGAGGGCATCACTGAGCGCGAATTCTGGGAGATTTTCCACGGCGAGCTCAAGTACCCCCTGCGGAAGGTGGACCACGATACTTGGCTGGAGACCATGCGCAAGTCAATCCAAAAAGACACAAGCTCCCATCCTCTGTGGCCCGTGTCGCAGGTATTTGACGCGCTGCAGGGTCGTCTCGGTGGTGAGCCATTGCAAGACGCGAGCATTGTCTCGCCATCTCAAAAGCAGCATGTCAAGGCTACCATCCGCCGCAATGTTCAATTCCTCGTTGAGGCTGGCTTCATTGCCAGCCCGACGGGCAAGAAGATGAAGTATATGGCTGATAAGGTGTTCAAGCGATCTGGAAATGTATGGGAGAATGTGAAGAGGATGACCATCAGTGCACACTGAACCAATGATCCTGCGACCGCAGTCCTTTAATGAGTGATGTGTTGTGATTGATGGCGTTACCTTCTTGTGTATAATTATCTATTGTTCATAATTCATAAACTGTTAAATTGTTTCAATTTTTACAAGGATCAATATTGGTAGGCAATAAACTTTTCAACTAGGTAGAGCTTTCCCAATGTATATAGACTTGGAGTTAACATTTGACATGGTTATCTGCACCATCAATATCGCATCATTGTGTTGAACCCAAATGAAACTGTTCAATGTTCAACATTCATCGCATTAGATATGTTCATCCATCTGTTCTGTTCAACTTGAAAATATTCATATCTTCTTAAATCTTGAATCCTGTCGCTGGATGGTGATTCTACAGATGCTATATGTCATGAGTAAAGGTCCTAACGATTCTCAAAGTTGCAATACCCCTATATACAGGTTCCTGCACTTGCCACAAAATTAAATATGAGTTGAGACTAGCTTCTGACAACGAGGCGAGAACCTCTCTCTGTCATTACCGGTAATGCAAGGTGTGTCCATGGAACTTGACGACAATCTCATTGTGACTGGATCTAGAGAATTCATCAGAACGCCTTTGGAACAGAGTTTGGTTCAACATCCAAGGTGCCTGGGAATGCATTTCATATTTCGAATGGGTTGCCAAGGGAGCATGCCGCAGACAATGGCTCTGCGGTGATGATTCACCGTGAGTTCTGCAACACATGTGGTAGCTTCATTCTAGAGTACGAAGTAGGACGCCCTTTTTATTGAAGGTTCTATAACTAACGATGAGGTATTTAGGAGGCTGTCAATGATTATTTTCGTTATATCAGTGTCGAAACTTTGGATGACCCAGAAGCATTACCTCCCCAAGGCGGAATGTTTCTGCGAGGATCGAGAAAGCTGGATGCCTGGAATAACAAGTCAATGGATTATGTGATTGTAAACACCATGTGCGCAGACTAACAAAATAAATGTATTCTACAAGGAGACGGTGAAGGATTGAGGAATAGGAGCAATGACTTTTGGGAGAAATCATCGTTGCATTCTTCAAATATTAAGAATCTATACATCTCAAACGCTACCCAGCGTCACACTTTTGACAACCAAATCCGGTGGTAGCAGCTTCTCTCGAATGGAAATAGCATTCAAGAAGTCATTACTATCTACCCGTCGGTATCCATCCTCCAATGTCTTCTCGATACCAGCTCGTAGGTGTCTCTCAGCCAACCTGCCCCTTGCTTCGAGGGGGTCAGTGTCAACAAAGACACGATAGTCAACCATTTTAGCAAGCTCACGCCAACCGGGATCATTAAGCAGCAAATAGTTGCCCTCAATGATGATAATTGAGGCATCCGGTGTGATTGAAATTCCGTTCTCCACGGGATCTTTTGACTGGTGGTCAAATGAAGGCGCGCAAATTATATCCGTAGCTGACCAAGTATCCGAATATGGGGTAGCCAGGGGCACCTCATCGGCCCAAATACGGAGTTGACGAACAAAGGATACAAAGCGGCTCACATCAAAAGTCCATGGAGCTCCACGGCGCGCGTGTGCCGCTTTTGGATCAGGCAGTTCATCGAGAGCTGCCCTGGAAAGGTGAAACCCGTCCATAGATAGAACAGAAGTACGAGAAGTTGTGGATTCGTTCAAAAGGCGTACTACTGCCTCAGCGATGGTGGTCTTCCCTGAACCGGGGATTCCTGCGATGGAGACTAAAAAGCGCGTTTTCGGGTGGACATTGGCTTGGCTGCGAATAATTTCCGCCAGTCGTCGATACTCGGTTTCCATCCCTAGATAGTGGTTAGTTTGACTATTGGGACCCATGTTTGATTGGTATAACTACTTTCAAACACTTCAACACCTGGGCATGCAATATATCGCCGAGATGGAAGTAGAAACACTTGGATCTCAATGGAGATAATCAACCGATCATACTGCACCACAAGGCTTAATTCAAGGGAAGCAAAACAGCCATGCTATAAATTCACAAAGCAATACTCCGCAGGCATAGGACATGTACGGAGTAGTTATGTATACGTTGGTGAAGTGGGTATCGGGTCACAGTGTTCCGAAGCAATGTAAAGGTGATCGGTGTTGCGCCGAGTCGGCATTTCTCCTCATCTTGATGACCCTAAAAGAAGCCTTCTAGATAATTCAAGATGGCGACAATGGAGAAATGGACATCGCTGGTTCTTTTGGGCAGTGTCTACCGAGGGTGCCGATGCCTGCGAGGACAAAAAAGTGAAATTCTCTGGACGTTACACCAATTTACGCCCTACATAAACTCATTTAGGGAACTACCATGATTGAGAATTTGTGAAAATCATATTCTCACGACGGTGGGACGCTTCAGGATACATATTCGTGACAAAAGGATACTGGGATTTTGATGAGTATGAGACAAATACGAGACTTCTTGGTTTCTATGAATTAAGAGATTTTCTTTCACTCTTAAAATTATAAGACCGTGATCACGGATAGTCTATAATCACTTGGTCGCACCTTCAGTAATGACCTGTGCGGTAACCGATTCCACATGACTGGAGGTTGACTTCGGCTTGGATGTCTTAGAGCTCGTAGGATTCACGTAGAAGCACAATAGCTGTTCTGACCAACAACGAGAGCACTGTGGACGCACATGATCACAAGCCACTCGTTGCTCAAGACAAGTTGTGCAGTCATCCTGATTGGATTCGTATGGCAAATGCGGGGATTTAGCAGATTCCAAGGCCGTGCCCCGCCATCGAGTCCATAACCAAAGCGAGACGCCACTGCTGCAAGTACGAGACTTGGATTTATTCTGATTTTTCGCCTTTCGAGATTTCAGTGATCTTTGCCTTGGATCCATTTGTTCTCTGTAAACCACTATTAGCGCCAGAGCATAGAAAGCTTTCAAGCCTCTCACAAATGATTCCGACTCATCTTTGCTTGGTATAATATATGTATATGTATGGGGGGAATTCAAATAATAACAGACAAGGGAAGATGAAGGTGAGAAACGAGAAGAGAGAACAGAAAAAAAAAGAAACAAGGAAAAAACCAACAACGACAGTGGGAGACAACGCAGAACCACGAGATGTTGAGGCGGCGAATCATGCAGACTCAGGCTCAACTGATCAGGCCCCCAAATTCCCCTGCAGCAAATACTGTCTGCAGCTGCAAGTCATGGGATCCGAAAAATGTTCACATCCTAAAGCGTGAAATGGCTCGTGGAAAATCAGAAAAACCTATGCCGAGGGTTAGAATACAGTGATTCGACTCGAGTTTGAACGAACGCCGCATTAAAGTATCCGGAACAATACTCCATGAGACGTGGGGAATTTTACGGACTTTCCTAGCGGAAAACTGGAAAAACGTCATAATAACTTCAATATATACATATGCAGTTTCGAATATGTGAAAAAAACAAATTGAAACCATACATTTATCTCCATTTCAAGGCACTGCCACCGACAAAATGGTTCGGATAAGCGAAGCAATCACACAGGATCATCAGAAATTGGAATATTACTACGATACCATTGTCAACTCTGAGGATGAAGACGAACAAACTCGATTTCAGAACCAGTTTACCTGGGAACTTGCACGTCACGCCGTGGCCGAGGAATTGGTAGTTTATCCAGCAATTGAAAAAGTGGTACCTGAAGGAAATGTAATCACAAACAAGCATCTTCGTGAGCATTCAACAGTAGGTCCCAATATTGGATCTTATATATAAATGCATTTGAACTAAATCCCGAGGTCGTTATAGATCAAAGAAATGCTCGATGTCTTCCAAGACTTGAGTTGCTCTGATCCACGTTTTCTTCCTACGATCACCCTACTGATGGATGGTCTCAATCGACACATGCGCGATGAAACAGTTGATCTGGTCAACTTGGAGAGCTGCCTTACTTTAGAGGAGAGTGGAGAATTGGCCGAGTCTCTGAACCGCACCAAAATATTCGTCCCCTCTCGAGCGCACCCAGATAGCCCAGATAAACCCCCTTGCGAGACCGCGGCTGATTTAATTACTACTCCCCTGGATCACCTCCAGGACATGTTTAAGAAATGGCCAAAGAATGAGGTCAAGTGGGACTCGTCAAATGAGTAGAGATATGACACAGAGCGAGGAGGTACAAAATCAACATTACATTGTTTCCAATTAAATTACTCTTCTATATGATTATAATTGCGTCTCTCGACACAACTATCTTTGTTCTAGTCTAATCCATTTGATCTGGAATGAGGTCTAAATAAGAACCAATTAGAAAAAAGCACAATGTTAGAGTTTTGATATGTCCCACCGTCTAGAACTAGCATTCATGCGATTACGGGTTTCATAATGATCACCAAGGGTCTCCTTCAGATAACGAGGAGGCGTATCACCACCAATCTCGTTGTTGAGAAGGTCTAGGGCATTGTACTTGGCTTCTCAAGACACCTTGGGATTACCAAGGGCTCTACAGATTGTTAATATAGCCCACGACACAAAATCGAAATGCAGGCTCACGCTGTATAGCCACGACTCGCGTTCACTTCGTCTTCGATAGAGATAATGAGATTATCATTTGTTTCAAGATCAGACATAATGAGCCAATCCCGATGGATAAATTGATTCTCTGATTGATAACTGCGAATACTATACAAATAGAAGGGGGAAGTGTAGAAAGCGCACAACTACTCCCTGCACCTCACAACGTCACAACCTCGTCATTCAGCGCCAGATGATTCCCCACAAGTTAAGCGACCAAGCATTATGAGAGCCATGATCTTCATATCCAACTTCAAATTTGATGTGGAAATTGCGACCAAGACAAGTTTCTATATGAAAACAATAAGAACTGGGCGATCCCAGATGCAAGGGAATCAAGAAATGTTGTTGTATCTGGCTTGCCCCGTATATCCGGTATACTCGCCGTGGTTGAGCATCTCTAGATCCGGGTTTGCCTCAGTTTTTTGATAACCAGAAAGAATATTGCTCGGATGAAAGGCATTGAAAAGCAGACAGCAAATGAACATCAATGTTGCATCAAAAACATAAATGAATGCCTCTTTGCTTTGGAGATAACCATCGGTCCCTTGAACATATTCGGCCACTCGGTAAATCGATCGGATCATAACCAGGGTACTGGCGAAATAAAGGACTTTCATATAGCGCGTCCATGGAATTCGACTGTCGCCCACAGCATGGAGGGGGGTCTTCAGCATGCGAACATGGAAAACCAAGGATACAACAATAAAAAAGCCGAAAAACAGTATCTGGACAAAGAGTCCTGCAACAATCATGTTGTTGCCAAGATCAATTTTCGACTTGGTCTTTGCAGTAGCAAGCATGCCACCACCTTTGAACGAAGAGAAGAAGTTTGATTAGCTTACATTTTCCAACAGCGGTGTGGTGTTTAATGCTTCAACGAAGCGAGGAAACATACCTCCACTTTGGATGAAAAATGACAAAACATCACCCGTCACAAATATCTTGGTCAACCATGATGGTCTAATTAACGAACACGAAGCTCCATTCAAGAGGCGAATAATGCGACCAAGAATCATGTATATAGAGGCGGCGAAAAAGGCAGGTGCTAAAAGGAGCAAAAGGCTCTGTGCAATGTATGGTTTGGTGGTCCAGTTCGGGGATTCCTCTGCACTGGCATATCTCGCCAAATAACCGAACGCCTCAACTATTAACAGAACACAATGACAATTAACTCAAAAGCCGCAATAGAAGGAAGATCAGTGATACACACAAAGGCAGCCAATTAGAAATGGTACAAAGTACCATGTTCGATTCCGTGCTAGTTGCCAAATGTGTACCGCGGTGGTGAGACCAAAGACAGCGGCAAAGGCCACAGCAGCACCGGCAGATGGGTCATAATGATACAACTTGAAGCCCTCTGACATTTTCAAGATTGACAACAGGAGTGGAAGTTTCAAAAGACAGTGCTTGATTGAGAATTGAGTATTGAAATTGAGAAAGATGAGCGACGCTTTTGAACCATGCAATGAAGTAGAAATCAATATTATAAGCGACTCTTTGACTGCTACATTTATGGGATAAAAGTTATATCTCAAGTCCCATTCACCGGCCACAAATTTATAAATAAAAAAAACATTGTCTGCCATAAGCTAGTATCTGCTTCGAGTGATAGGGATGTTCTAGTTCCACAGTTCAGGGTCTCTCTATCGCTGATTGGGGGAATTTGCAACACTAGGCCGTTTTGGCATAAAGATACGAGCGTTAAGAAAGAACGAAAAGGTTTCAAATAGCTGCTGCTTAGGTTTCTCAAATGTTCCACTTTACAAGCTAGTGCTCAGTATCCCTGTCCAATGGGATATGTTCTACAAATACCAGCACGGGCAATATTACGAGTACGAGGCCATAGTCACAGATAATATGCTTTCATTTGCCAGGATTATGGCTTCTTTACCGCTCTACCAGTGCCATAATCTTGATCCTCAAGCTTTTCCTAGAATGGAGCAGAGAACGAAATACGATAATATAGTCTATCTACAGGGGCCGAGATACCATGTTAATTCACCAGGCTGCGGGATTTCGAGTTACCCCGGTTTTGCTTTATAAACTTCATCAATATCCCCATATTCGCTGAACGGACTTTTCGTATCTACCATTTACCTGCTATCAAACTAGTTGCATGATCTCGACATGGCTTGGACTTTTTACTACTACGTGCCGTCCAGTCCAGCTGCCGGAATCTTCGTTGGCCTTCTGGGGTTAAGCACCGTCTTACATTTCTACCAACTTGTTCGAACACGAACCTGGTTTATGATTCCCTTCGTTATCGGAGGAGCCCGTGAGTATTATCTTCACAATAGTATTCAGTAAATACTCTTGTGTATCTGACTGATCCTCGCTTCTCTAGTTGAAACAATCGGATATGTTGGCCGTTTGCTCTCCTCCATCGAGGCACCAGACTACACAAAAGGCCCCTACATCATGCAAAGCGCCCTCATATTGATAGCACCGGCCTTCCTCGCGGCGAGTATTTATATGACACTTGGACGAATTATCTTCATGCTCGATGGGGAGAAGTGCTCTCTGATCAGACTGAAATGGTTGACAAAGATCTTCGTAGCGGGAGATGTACTGTCATTCCTCATGCAAGCCTCCGGTAAGTTTTTAAAACAAGCCTTTGCATGTTGGAATCCTAGAGGTTTACGCGAGACTGATAAATCAATAGGGGCTGGAATCATGGTCCAGAATACAACAAATCCGTCAACTGGCGAGCACATTATCATCGGCGGTCTTTTTGTCCAGATCATTTTCTTCGGGTTTTTCATGATCAGCGCTGTGGTATTCCAGTCACGTATTATGAAGAGTCCCACTGGACGTTCCAATGAGCTAGAAGGGCTCTGGCGGCGGCATCTGACTGTGCTTTACATCACCAGTATTTTGATATTGGTACGATCGATTGTGCGAGTTGTGGAATATATCCAAGGATATGACGGATTCTTGATGAAAGAGGAGGTATTTATTTACGTTTTCGATGGGCTATTGATGCTCGTGGCGATGTTGGTTCTTCAGTATATACACCCTAGTGAGATCAATTGTCTCATCGGCCGAGGAGATCGGTACTCGGAGAAGATCTTCATGACACGGAAGTTCGAGCCCCGATCAGCACTGGAGATGCGTGGAGCTGTGGAAGCATAGTAACAAGCACTGATCTGTGCTCATTCCTTTCGCTTTTGCAATAAAGAAATTATGATGATCCCGAGAAGGAATAATCGATAGTCATGTAATGAAATCTCCAAAGATGTTTCGTCAATTTTCCATTGGTGATACATTTGAGTCGATATGTTCCTTTCCCAAAACCTGACTAGTTGGCCAGTCGGTATGGCGCTGCCAATCAGAAGGCAGCAGCTGATTGATCTCTTTCAAAACCATAGAGCCCCAGGGTCCTACACACCAATTTCCACGAGCCATATTCAAAAAACCACAGAAATGGGCTAACAACACAAGAGAAAATGGCTCTTGTCTTTCTAGAGCACTCATGAACTGAGAGGGAGCTCGGATAGCCCATCCTCCCACAAGAGTCATTGATGTAGGTTGTGCCCAAGTAAATGCTGCCATATCTCGCAAGTGTTCAATCGTTCGCTCATAACTTGCGGAATCGTGACCAACAGATTGCTGGCCAAGTTGAGTATTCAATTCACGGAGATGATCAAAGGCAATCAAGACATCTTCCGCAAATGGTATTGTCGGTGGCGTTGCTTCGAAGAGCGGTGCAAAATTACTCTGCAATAGAAATTGAAACCCCTCGTTAACGACAGCCTGCACTCCGCGTGCAAGTGTGAAAATCTCAATTAATGCATCAAGGCTAGGACCAACGTCTGTTCCGGGGGTAAGTGCACTCCCAAGTCCAAATATGACGACGAGTCCAGCGAAACTCATCATCGCTTTGGCATTGGAGCGGTTGATGCTGGAAAGCTGCTCAGAAAACATGGATAGCGCTTTGTTCTTGTGGGATATGGCAATACTCAGCCATCTTCCTTGCTCGGAACTCCGTGTACACGACAGATGCAATGCAGAGAGTCCTAAGATTCCATGCATCAAGAAGGGAGCTTTTAGGCCTTCTTCCAACACCGCCGTTTCCCAGACTTTCCGGGTTTCTTCATTCCGGGCAAGAAATGTATGAGTATGCTGAATCCACTGGATTACAAGCTGTAATTGCTCCATATTCAAGACAGGAGAATCAGCAGATTCATTTGTAGAGCGGAAGGTGTTCAAAGTTGTATCCCATTCCGGGAATGATAGAGAAGTATGTCTTTGACGCGTCGATGAGCATGAACCTGTTTGTCTGGTTCTTCTGGATTGCTTGCCAGCGAAAAAATAGGGACCTTCGGCATTGTAAACACACGCATCCTGTCGCTGAGTACAGTTGCCACAAAATGGCCGTTGCTCATCACACTATTATGAAGTCAGGGGGAAAAATATACCCGGCAGCCAAGATAGAGATGACAAACCTTCACTCTTCTCCTTTTACAATTGGAACAACCTAATGCAAACGGTCTTTCAGCCAGATCGTAAGTGATATATGGCGCAAATAGAACGTACCATGTCGGGACTTGGTGTGAGACCGTCGCGAGACCATATTGGCAAATAAATGACTCGATAATAGGGCAATATATTGCGTATCAAGAATACTCAGAGACCTTGACTTTAGTGGAAAGCCTGAGGAATCAACCTGGCGACCTCTTGGCTTCGAATGAAGCAAGGAGAAAAGGATCGTCGCCACTGCCGGAGAAGGGAAAAGTTACGAGTACGAAGCCGATCCCGAATGCGAGTCCGAAAATTGGATATTCTTTTTAGGCTACAATTGTATTGAACATTTACATGTAAGACTTTTGAGTGACTATCCTACTAGTTATTTTCAGAATCATCTCGAGTCATACTCCTTCTGCCTGGATTCTCATTCACGCCATTGCCGTTGGTCGATTCTTCGAAACTCTTTTATCTATGTTGTAGAAGTGATATTATTTCAACGAAAGAAGTTCGCCAAAAGTCTTCGAAAATATCATTGCTATTAACGGAGGAAAAGAGTTATAACACAAATTCCAATATGAACTGAATCTAAAAGTCAGGCTATAGCAATGACATGCGTTTTCATCGTGTTCTCAAGTATTTCCAGTGTTAATTAAACCTTGCCGTATATGTTTGCATATTGCTCACTTCTTCTTGTACATCATCGAAGATTTTTGCTGGGATCATAGTAAGATCATCCAAGGCTTCAGCGACTAGATCCACGACATCAACTACACAACCAGATGCCAAGCTCCACCCAGATCCTCTGTGACCATAAGAGTGCACAATTCAACTAGTAATTGAATATGAACTTATCTCCAGTTGACGAGATTAGCCTACGGCGAGAACCTCTTTCAACTCGCATATTTGAGCCCCTGAATGGACGAAGCACTTGCATGATCGGACATTTGGGATCTATCCGCGGTGTTTTGAGCTGAGGAAAAACATCTTCCCATCGTTTCCGCATGTGCTTGGTGACGAGAGTATCAATGTTGTGATCAAGCTCAGTTTATTTGGATGAACCATTTCACCGAGTAAGAGAGTCCTGTTGTTTCGCGGGACTATAAATACAATTTGATCTACGTCGTGGGCTGCTCCAGCACTCATCGTTATGGCTTGGTTGATCATTAGGAAGTCCATACCACCGTTTATCACGCAAATAAACGCGCCATGGATAGGATAGCAAGATTTATCGCCGGTACTTGCCGTGCTGTTCAAACCCAAGCCGGTAGCATTGACTATCGCATAGAAAGTTCCCAGTCGGCAGCAATCGGGTCTCAAATTCGATATGAGACCATGCACCATCGTTTGGAGTGAGGTATAGATTTTCAGTCCTGAAAAGTAGCAATATTGAAATTTCCAAAGTCACAGAAAGTATGGAACTCACTAAGAGATAGAGAATCTGTGTGTTGTCCACAAAATGCCGTTGGCAATTCCCACAGGGCTCCGGCAATGTGTGAGGTTAGTCGCTGTGATGTAGTCCAGGGTGCCCATTCAGTTGCAATGATAGTGACAAGATATCCTCTATCTCGAAGCGCCCAGGCCGTGACGAGCCCAATTACATCACCTCCCACGACAAGGACACGGGGTGAGAAAGTAGAAGCAGGTTTCAAGCGGTGTGAATCCAAAGAGAGTTCCCCACCGAGAGTGAGGTGGGAGGCACAAGGTAAAGACATTTCGAAGACTGCAGTAATTGTAGGAAGTGTCTGAAACTTCTTTCAATTAGCATTCCGTTCGCGTTTGAATGCTTTCATTATATGCCCATCAAAAATAACAGTATCACTACTTTGTAATCATTGGCAGATCCACTCTCCGGACTATTAGTTTATCTTATATTATCATTTCTCAAAGAAAATATCACATTGCGATTTGTGGCCCCTTAGCCCTCATCATCTATCTATTCGGGAAATCTAAAACACCCTTGAGTTTAAAGTGGCTAATCGAAAGTACTCGGAGGGAAGGTTTGCGAACGGTGATGTTTTCTTAAGCAAATTCCTCAATGTAGATTATATATCTCGTATCTTATAAAATCATCCATGTCGCTTCTTTACAATGAACAGTACCTGTCTGTTGGATAATCAGGTCTTATTAACATGCAGGTATAAACCTAGTGTATTAGTTATGAAGTTCGATATTTTTGTAAGACTGTTAAATTTCTTTTCGTAGAATCACACCACCGAAAAGCCCAAATTAGAAAATTGCACTTAATTGTGGCGTCGGCGTTTGTTAAATCAGGAATGTCTACTCCGTAGACGCAAACCCATCAAAACCCCAAAAGAGCACTTGTATGGATGCGCTAACTACATACGTACAAATGCAACGATTGGACTTCTTCCCAAAATTATTATACAAGACTGCACATGAGTCGCCAAGATAATCAATGCATTTGGTTGGTCAATAGGGGCACATAGTGGAGTGATGGGCGGCAAACCTGCAGATCGACGCGTTTCCACGTAAACAATCTTTAGTTACTCCAGTAATACTCTCCTCCTTCACTCCATCTGGAATGTGAGAACATCACAGACTCAAACAAGCCGAAAGAAAAATTGGAAGTCCATCTATTTGTTTTGTGGCCTGTTTTCATATCTTGGATCCCGTATAGCCAATATCCCCCTGTTTCACCGATTGTTTGGAGTCTCCTGTTAGCGTGCAGGCACGTTTCAGGTTGACACTACTTTTTACCGCCGTGACAACAACCAATCTATCCTTGGTAATGCCTCAAGGAATGGATCATCACTTGTGGACCTGAACTCCTGGCTTAGAACGCCACGGGGCTTTGTACTGCTATCACAGCCTATCCCAGCCATCAGCTCAATGCCACCGCAATGGGTCACTCAATGAGGACTTTTACTGGACAGCACAATGGACCCTCAATCTCCATTGTTGCATTTTGCATAAAGAAAGATGAGCACAAGCGGCTGGTGAATAAAAGATATTTGGGTCAAATATCTCCCATTGTTACTTCAACACGTTCGACACGCTCACATTCCTTTCTCCTTGTTGGCAATCTGGAATTGTCTGCCTTTCTTTTAGTCTGCCTTTGTTTTATTGTTTCAATTACACTCTTTTTCTTCTCATTCTCTTTGCGACCGTCGTGAGAACCATCTTGTTGATTTTCTTTTGGTTGATTCCATACAAGATGGGTGCTTCAACACGTTCACTGAGCGCTGGATCGCTCATGCTAGCTTTGTTGTCTTCCCCTGTAACTGCCGCAAGCTACTCCCTTGTGGAGACTTGGCAAGGGAAGAATTTCTTGGATTACTTCAATTTCCATGTCGGTTCCGATCCGACGAACGGATATGTCAACTATCTCGACAAAGGCAGTGCCGAAAGTGCAGGTCTGGTTAAGCTCACCGACTCTGGCAGCGTGTATCTAGGTGTGGACCATACCACTACGCTTGATCCGAACGGAAAGGGTCGTGACTCGGTGCGGATCGGCAGCAAAAAATACTATGATCAGTCATTGGTCATCGCCGACATTGCCCACATGCCCGGTAGTGTGTGCGGTACCTGGCCCGCCTTCTGGTCCGTTGGAAAGGAATGGCCTGGCGATGGTGAGATTGATATCATCGAGGGTGTCAACTTACAAGATCACAACGAGATTGTGATGCACACTGCTGGCACTTGCAGCTTGACTGATACGGACATGACTGGAACCGTCAATGCCACCGGATGTGGTGAAGATCTCGGCACTGTGGGTTGTGTGATCGAGGGACACAAGGGTAGCTATGGTACCTCCTTCAACGGACAAGGAGGTGGTGTGTATGCTATGGAGTGGACCGACGATTACCTCAAGATTTGGTACTTCCCACGAAGCTCAATTCCAGCATCAATCAAGAGCGGCAAACCCGACGTCACCCAGTTCGGCACTCCGATGGCTTTGGTACAGGAATCATGCGATGTCGCCAATGCATTCAAGTCCCAGTCCTTTATATTTGACGTCACGTTCTGTGGTGACTGGGCTGGTGGTGTATTTGGCAACTCAGGTTGTCCTGCAACTAACGCGGACTCCTTCCAGAGCTGCCATAACTATGTTGCAAACCACCCAGCTGTGTTCAAGGAGACTTACTGGGAAATTAACTCTGTCAAGATCTATCAAACTGGCGTCAAAGGAATTGCCTCAGTTTCATCTTCTGGATCCCAGCCTACCACAGTTGCTGCTCCTGTTGTATCAAAGACACAGGCAGCCCAAACTGAGCCTGCCACCGCAGTCCAATCTGCTACCACTGCTGTCGCCCCTGTCGTTTCCGAGACCACCGTGAGAACTCAGGGTGTAGCCACTCCTGCTGTTGCGCCTTCTTCTTCCACCGACCATGTATCTATTGGGACAATTCAGGAATTGAACCCAGCCTCTGATACTATCCCTACGGCAACGGCGGAAAGCAATCCAACCGAGAACGAAGAGCATACTACGATTAAGAAGACTCGGACCATTACAGCTTACGTCACTGCGACTACAACTATCTGCCCCGAGGCAGAAAAGTCTTCTTCAATTGTCGCTCACCCCTCGGCTGTCATCGTCCCTTATCATAGTCATGGCTCTGCCCCGCCAGTGAACCAGCAGAGTGCTCCCGTCACAACCACCGTCGCTCCGGGTGCTTACACCTGGTCAGAGGAAACAGCCTTCACCCCGACAGCAAATTCCGGGGCGCCATCCTCTCCGGTACAGCCGGCACTGAGTGCTGCTCCATCGGGACCTGCCTCATCTGCCGAAAACTTCGGTGCCTCTTGGGCACAGCCTTCTGCGCTTCCCTCCGCAATTGTCTCTTCCGTTTCTTACGATGCCTCCCGAGCTGGGAAATCTGCACCCACCGATGTCTCCCCAGCCTCTGCTTCGAACGCCAACTCTGGTATCTTTGTTCCCAGTGGTTCCCAGTCTGGAGTCAGCCCTGTCTTTACGGGTGCCGCCAGCCGCTTCTCAACCAGCATCTCAGCTGTTGTGTGTGCACTGGCCATTGCTGTTTTAGCATGAACCAATCTGGCTCATTTCGCATGACTCTTGTGGTAGTTCCGGGTGGCTTTTGTCTTAATTAATCACTGTACAGTGGGTCTTAGAAACGGCCTGTAGACTAGCTTTTGGATTTTGTTGTTTCCAGTTTGTTGTTCACCGTCAAGAGTGCGATTATCCTTGCGTGCTATTTAAAACAGAAAGCAAGATAGTTAATAAACAAGTCTTTACCACAATATCTAATTTCGAGATCAATATTTACATGTCAGTCTTGTATCTCTGCCAAGATCTCACTTTCAACTCATGTCACTGTCCATCTCGATAACCAATCTTCAGCATAACATCTCATAATTCCATCTTCAATGATTCTCAATCGCCCGTTGCGCAAAGTCACACTTCTTCTTTCTGCTTCCTCTGTGAGAAACTTTCTCGGCCCGTTGTGTGCCGGAGAAGATTCCCTCCCACACATTGCCTCGTAGTGATGAATGAGCTTGACTGCTGGATTCACAGCCTCCTCACCCTTCGCTTCGCTTTCGCGCAATCTTTCCAGCCAAGATTGAAAAGGAATGGTGTCAAACTGAAAACCAGCGTGCTTCAATGTGGCCAGCAAAGATGACCAGGCAAATTCGCTCGGGTTACACAAATTGAAGATCGAGCCGTCAACATATCTCGCCGATAACGAACTGGATGTGGTACTATTTCCGCGCTCACATGGTACATCACAAGACTTGGCAAGGTCTAGTATCGCTGAAGCGAGTGTGTCCACAGGAAGCCAAGAACACGTCTGAGATAACTCTGGCAGTGCACCAAGTGTCAGCACTGACCTGATCATCAATGGCAATGCCTCAGAGTCATTCCAAAGGCCTTTTTTTGAATGACCCGAAACCTGGCCGATGCGAAGCGAGTATGCTCTTGCTCCACTTTGTCGTGCATGGCTCACAATGTGCTCTCCGATCGCCTTTGACTGGCCGTACCCATCTAAGGCATAGGCCAGGTCAACTGGCTCTTCAGGGACATCAACAGACGAACAAGCTAAAGCCGTGGAGATTGAAGAGCAGAACATCATGATGGCAGGCTCGCGACGATGCACAGACAGGGAGAATTGAATTAAATTATGCAGCCCTTGGATATGTGATTCGAACTCCGACAAAGGGAGATTGAAGTTGACAGGCCACGCGGTATGAATGATCAGGGACACGGAGTCAAGCATGTGTTTGACCATCAAATTATCCAAAGCCAAGCCGAAGTCTGGTTGGTCGAGGCAGCTATTGAGGGCGACAATTTTCGTCAATTGTTCAGGGGAAACAAAGAGATCTTTGTTGGCAAGACTGTTCAATACCGCCTCCAAAGGAGATTCTCGTCGTGTGAGACAGTAGATAGTAGAAACGGCATCGTCATTCAGCAACTCAAACAAAACATGGGCTCCAATCGAGCCAGTTGCTCCTGTTAATAGCTTCTTAACGTTAGATTGAGGTTCTCTCAGATGGATGTCACGTCTCTTACCACACTGCTTGAGTCCGAAAAGTGAGGTGATCGCGGTATATGTTTTTCAAACACGGAGTACTTTTCGATAAGATTGGTGATCCGCGATGTCTCATCCCCAGCCACTGTCATTTCATCTCCATTTTGTAACCTGCAGATATATTGAGCCAGTTTTGATATGCTTCCGGCCTCGAAGATAATGTTTGGACCGGGGGTTTGATTCTGGTCAAAACTGAAATGTTGAAGAATGAGACGCCGGAAGTGAATTGCCTTGAGACTGTCGACTCCTTCGGAGAAGAAATTGGCATCTACATCTGATATCGCCATTTGAAGTTCTTCTCTCGCCAGTCGGAGAAGAACGAACTCTGTCTCATCAGCATCAAGCTGAATACTCCCAGCGACGGTATTCTCTTTGGAGTATAGATTTTCAATGAGATCACTGTATTGCTCGTATACTTGGGCTCGTATCATAGAGCCTTTGTCTGTCCGCGGGAACTTTGCATCATAAGGCAATACGGTAATCAGATCGCGGGAAATTTGAGAGAAGTCCTCTGACTGAGAATTGGCTTCTTGAACCGCTTGCCAGATTGAATCCAAGTACTGGGACTCGGACAGCTGCTTTACCTCAGGTAAGTCGGCTTGCACAATCAGTAACCCAGGGGCAACCTTTCCTACCCCAACAAGGACAGCGTCAAGAACAAGGCGGTGTTGCTTGATCCGACCTTCAATGGGGAGTGGTAAAATCTTTTCCCCATTTACTAGATTGATGCGATCATCGAGCCTTGTCATGTACTTCCATCGACCTGGGATGGTGGGATGAGGCGTGAAGACATCTTTGGAGTGGAAGGATCCAGGTGGCTGATTCGAATTTGAAGTTGTGAGAGCCGGATGACCAGCAAGATAAACGCATTCATAGAGTGAGTCAGAATCCGAAATTGGTTTCATCCAAATGTAGGGTCTGATGTTATCGAAAAATCGTAAATAATTCCAATAGGGGTCTCCTTTTGGTCGGGAGATGGATTCAGCGACAAGCCCAGCCTCTGTACTACCACTAGCATTAGAATTTGCATCACCGACGGTAGGAGCAGGGGCTGGTATTACTCACAGGCCAAACGAACCTCCAAAGTGCACTCCTTCGCTAACCAAGTGATCTCCTAATTCATCAGGACAGGGCGCACCCCCATAAGTGACTAGTTGGCACTCCCTCAGTGCTTGGATACCGCGCGGATTGTCAATCAAAATTTGTAGCATATAAGGAACTGCCGCTAAAGACTCGGGCTGAGCTTCTTCAAGAGCAGCAACCGCATACTCGGCTGTCAACGGCAACGCGGCATTCCACATATAGGCAGTCTTTCTCATCCACATCGCCTGCAATGCTGTAGAGAGACCATGAAGATGATACCACGGTAGAGGATTGAAAGATGTGAGTCCAGGGCCTCTCAGAGGGTGGGTCATGAGAGCCTTATGAGTGAGGAATAGAGGCTTTGGTGTACCTGTTGATCCCGAGGAATGAAGGATGAGAGCGATCTTCTCGGGATTTCGATTGCGATGTAAAACAAGCGATGAAGGCTCTGTTTTACTGATCAAACAACATGAAAGGATTGGACGACAACTCACTGACATCCGGCGCAGGATGTCACCCAATGTTGAACGGATATTGACAGACTTGCCATATATGATCGTCTCACAGCCAACATTTTCTAGTAAAGATACACAAGCTTCGCCCGATAATCTCGGCGAAAGCATCATCACGGTATAACCCAGCCGACTAAGGGCGAAAAAGGTGATAACCATGCTGAGATCCGACAACGTGAGGAGTGCCACCGTCGATCCATTTTGTTTGGGCTGCGCAATCATCATCGTCAGAGAGCCTTGATCAAGTCGACAGTTCAAGACTAACCTGTTTGAATCCATCTTCCATTAGAGCTGTGATGGCCTGATTGATCAAGTCGTCCAAGTCTCGCCCAGTGTAGTAGTCATATGAAGCGGCATCTTTGTCGGAACTAGGATAGGCCAGAATTGGCCGTTGAACAACATCGGCTGCTCGTAAGAGAATCAAGTCATCGAGTACCTGAAGAGGGCCAAACTCTTGAACCAGTGGGTTAATAGCGATTGAAGAACCGGCACGCGGCGCCTGGACACAGCGTTGGATACCCATTACAAGTACTGATCCAAAGCGATTCTAGAATGATGGGAAAGGTGGCACAACAGCGAATCTTTTTTTAGTTTTAAGGAGAGATTTGACTTGGATTTAAATGGCCTCTCAGCCAAGCCATTTGATTGCCTATGTTCGTCTGACTCGACTGCATTCGGGGTCTCCGGGAAGATAGTGGAAGGCCTTCCGCATCAGGAGAATGATACACACATATTGCACAACATTTGGTCCAGTGACAAACCAACTGAACAATCATTCATGTTGTGACAGCTTCACAGATACCAGCTCAGTGATCCGCGATTGGTAGCTGTTCGGCTCGGGTCAAAGGCATATCCTCGGAGCAAACACTCCATCTACAGTAGGACAATTTTCATGCAAAGGATTGATGGCACTAACAAACGAACGAGCGACAAGCCAACAACCCATGTGCATGTGCTATGCATGTGCCGAACACCCTCAAAGGCTATTTTCCTTTATTCCCTTTTTTCATATGTGCCGTTGCATCCATCTAGGTACCTGTCATCATACTTTGAGAAAACTTTTAATTAATTTTCAGTATCTTAAGACTGGACTCCACTTAACTGTGATCGACCATATGCAGCCTATGCTACCTGATGCTAAATTTCAATCGCACCCAGCGGCAATGGTTGCACTGCATGCGTTCCCCGAGACATGTCCGACTGCTGAATTCGAATCACACTGAAGTCGGGGTCAAAACGATCGCTTCCTTGGTTGGTACGGTTGAAAAAGCTATTTCAAGCCATATCAATTTGCGACACATTCTGACTATTAGTTCCAGGATGATTCAGAACAATTGAAACGCTGACTCCAACTGTGTGACTGTCGGCAGTCAGCGTCAGCCGAGGCCAGTCTAGCTCAGTCTGGATATGACCTTTGCAGGGTACAACCAGGATTTTAACCAATACGCTGCGATAAAAAAGCGACTGCTCATCTCATTGGTCATTGCGAACAAATCACTCAATCATTTCATCAGATCCAATCCTGAAAGGCCGTTCATTGGAGGGTCATAACTAAATAAGCACTATAGTAAACTGATGAGACTTATTTTCACCAACTGAAATGTGAATTGTGATTTATTTTGTATTCATCTACAAGGGCGTTTTTGATAATCTGTTGTCGACATTCGCCCTTCAATCATCAGGGGAAGTGTGATAAGCAAGGCACGGGTCTCAACAGTTACTATGATACAATGCATACTACAGCATATGCCATTTGGAATTCGATGCTCCTCATTTTCCTGGAGAGCTACTGGTATGTAGATTATGACACTGCATCGTTCCGGTCCGACGGATGTATCCAACCCCTAAACCCGGGAACGGGCCGGGACAAGTCTCTGTGGACCCAGAATGCGCCTTATAATAGCTGATCTATGCTTGGGAGGGAGACACCTTGTCGGAGAACGGTCCTGCAGAACCCCTAGATCCAACTTAAGAATGCTGACCACTCGATTGGATCCTGGTTTGTCGATCATTTTAACCTTGTTTTTATTTTTAATTCATTTTTTTAATCGAAAAGAATGTTCTTGAACATACAAGCCCCTCAATCCAGAGAGAGAATATGATGGTTTAGACATACAAGGGATGCAATGTAGTTTTGACTAATCGGTAATTTGGAATGAAGAAATTTATACCCGATGCAATAGTTCAACAGGAGAAGCCATTGATCTAGATCATGTTTCTAGAAGGCCGTTAAATTTGATAGTGTGGATAACATTCCTTAGATCTGAGACACATCGATCGTGTTGGTAAATGCACTCGGGTGGCCCTACGAAAGCGCCCAAACAGAAGACTGTCCATGTTGTGACTTTTCAAACAAGACAAACGAGATCGGGTATGGAAACATAAACAATACTTGCATGGGAAGAACTTGGATATGTCTCATTGACGGGACCATCATTCCCACGGAGCGGTTGAAAACATTAAGAGTTCCATTCATGTACCTTGAAAAATGCAGGATGGGGCCGTGCCTCAAAACAGAAAGGGATTAAGATGATCATGCTTCAATTCATAGAGACTTGAATGGGCTCCTTTTTGGACTTTTGTACCAGCCATTTTAGAACCTGACGCCACGAGCGACTTGCTCTGGAGGCATGATCAATGGGCACTGCCGGATTATCGTCTCCAGTAGTTCGTGAGAAGACTTCCATGCTGACCCATCCGGTATATCCTAGTCGTGTTATGCAGGCATCCGTCACCTCCCGAATCGGAAGATACCCGCCCCGTTCCTCCTCGCACGGAAACAGGCGAGCATTCCGCGACCAGGATAGGAGAGTGGGTAAGCCTGGCGCTTGAAGGAAGGGAGTCTGTGGGTCAACACGTTCGCCATCGGCAAGCTGGACCATCAGGACGCGATCGGGATCGATCTCCCGTACAAGTCGATCCATGGATTGCTGAAGATCCTGGTCTGCTGCCGCCGGCAAACGCCCCGTTGGGCTGGTTGGATCGGCCCACAGTCGGGCTGCAATGTTGAAGGTATCCAGACAGATTCCTAGGTTAGGTCTGTTGGCCCGCTTGATCACATCCCAACAATCCTCCCAGGTGTTTATGTATGTTCCCCAAGCCAGCGCTTCATAGGCAATCCGCACAGGGAATGCCACATCGGCAGCTTCGGCCAAGTCGGCGGCTAGCCGGTCTCGATCGTCGGTGATTTCAGATGGGTCCAGGAATGACGACGGAATTAAGATAAAGAGTGAATCACCCATGATTTTACACAGCTGCACCCAGTGCTTGAGCTCGTCAATTCGTTCCGCATGTCGATCTTGGTCTATGAGACCTTCATAGTGTCGAAATGGTTGGAGAGCCAAAATACGCAGATCCCGTTGGGTACAAAGATCACGGATAGCGTATGCTGCGTCGATCTCATAATCTCTGTCGGTGCGGGGTGGACTGGCAGTTGATTGACAACGAAGGGTCTTGGCGAGCTGTGCTAGATCATCATGAAATAGTTCGAGACCCTGTTGACCGTTTTTCGCGGCGGCATCAAGTTTAGCAGTAATTGAGTGTAAATGCGCCGCTCCTAGGCTGACCGTCGCAATGGCAGGTTTCCATACGGAGTCAATTTCGGAAATCGGGGGACTTGGAAGTGAATGCATCGGCGCTAAAATAATTTGGAGTTTGACAGGTTGACTTAGAGATAGTATGACCAGTAAGTAGCCACTAGTGATTTTTTATCACCTTTATAGAACAAACATTGGAACTCACCTCACTATGGTACTTCTGTTTCCGTGCTGATCTATTTTCAGAGTGTACTTTGTATCTTTTCTTTTTCTTTTCTGTTTCTACGGAGTAAACTCAAGCTAAGTAAAAAGTGGAGTGTGAGAAACCACTCATATCACTCATAGATGGTCTGGATTAAAACTACACACCGGTACACTGGTGGATCTGGATCATCGTCGTTTTCGCTTGTCACTAAAAGCGGCATATTCAAACGATGGATTGAAAACAAAAACAAAAAAAAAGAACTGTTGTTGTATATGATATTACCCGTTTTCGGGGATTACATGGATTGCATCCGTTGGAATCTAGGAACGCCGATGGAAACAACAGGGGCAAGGGGTGGGTGATGTGTCTCCGATGTCACCGTCACCTGCGTAGATAGAACACATATAAGATCGAGAACGATCCAGCCAAAAGAATTCCATTATCCTAGCTTGTACCACACGAGGGTATAGTGCTCACAATCTTGGTCTTTTCCCTTGGTAGCAATGACGATTACAATACCCCTCTGGTCTTCAGTCAATCGCCTCAGCCAAATAGCGTTGAAAGATGCCTCGGATCCGTCTCCACAAGTCCACTTTGAATTGCTGCAAATGATTGAACAGCTGAGGTGTGTTGTGGAAACGCCGTCAGAAACTGTGTTGCGTCTGATCTACCAGGTAAGTAGTCCCACAAATTGAAGCCTGATTTTGATTTTGACTGGATTTAGCCTCCGCAGAATGCCGCATTACGTATTGTCATTGAGCTGAGGATCTTTGAATTGCTTGTGGAGAAGCAGCACAGAGAAACAGGATTATCTGCTACTCAGCTAGCTGAGTATACGGGTGCCGAACGAGATCTGATTGGTACAACCTCCTGCAGAAACATTAATTGATCACACATAGCAGAGCGGCTGACTCGTGAATAGTTCGACTCATGCGAGTCATGACCTCTCTGGGACTGTGCTCTATGCCGACCCCAGAGATGTACACCGCAAATGAAAAAACAGTGGCATTTACTCAGCCTATTGGAAGAGATGGCTTGGCCTGCATGTGAGGAAATCTAGGCATGTTTACTTGCGCGCCGCTTACAGTACTCTTCGATAGATACGATTTGACGATGCCAACTTTGAGTAAGCTCCCCGAGTATATGTGCTCTCATGGCTATTCCAACCCGCAGGACTACACTCAGTCACCGATGCAATGGGCTGTAGGTCAGAGCCAGTTTGAATGGCTTGCCAGCCACCCAGAACAGCAGAAGTTGTTCAACTCCTACATGGCTAGTCGCCGTGAGGGTAAGCCGATGTGGTTCGATGTGTATCCGGTCGAGCGGTTGCTTGGTCACGGTGTACCATACGAGGATACCACATTCTTAGTGGATGTCGGGGGAAATAAAGGTCACGATTTGAGAAAGTTTCGCAAACAATATGGTCACTTGCCTGGGAAGCTAGTGCTGCAGGACTTGCCAGATGTGGTGAAGGGGGTTTCAGATCGCGACACGGCGATCGATGTGATGGGCCACAGTTTTCTGGATCCTCAACCTGTCAAGGGAGCTCGGGCATACTATTTTCGTGCCATATTTCATGATTGGCCTGATCATATCTGTCAGGTAATTTTGCGCAACACTATTTCCGCCATGGCTCGGGATTATTCACGAATCTTGATCGTGGACTTTGTGCTGTCAGATACGAAAACACCTCTCATGCAGGCATCTATTGACATACAGATGATGAGCATTGGGGCCGGGGTTGAACGGTCCGAGCGACAATGGAGAAAATTGCTGGAAAGTGTTGGGCTGGAAATCACGGGAATATGGAACCAAAGCCCTGGGATGGAGTCGGTGATTGAAGCGGTTCCAATCTCGAAGTAAATCCTTCAAATAGATTCAAATGGAACCCAGTACATTAGAGCTTAAAACCGGTATGGAGCCACCATGTTGAGTGATAAGTTATGTCGCGCAGTAAAAGAGCAAAACAAAAGACTGAAGTACGTCCCTTAAGGTCCATCGATGTTGTACGATTGGGTGAAGTCAGCGACTCAAATACTCTGCACCCGGAGCTGCTGCATCCGAACCACCACGGTTACTCGGAAATACAGTCTTTGACCATCCAGCTGGTCCTCGAGTGTCGCTCTGTACCTCTCATTGTTCATGAGCCCACCCGCCAAATTCAACACAGAGGTCTCTGGTGCCTTGCCTGATATTCAAGAGAGCGAGCATCTACCAATCGCCGAACAGTACCGCCAACTAACTTGTTCAACTGAGATTTGACGATATCTGCCGCAGAGTTGTTGTTGCTTATCAGGCGAGAACAACCTCGGGGACTCCAGCGATTCGCACCTTGACAGTCTGTGCGTGATTCCGAGCCAATGGATCATTCAAAATATCAGTACCGGCAGTCTCAGAGAAATGGCACCCAATTTTGGCAGAGATAGCTGTTGCTAACTCGTCGCTGTCACTATTGCAGAGTCTTAGGTCGATATCCTCGAATACCGCGAGGGCGTGTTGAATTGCCTTCAGTCCAATGGCATAGCCTCCCCCCTCGTCTCTGAGGAGATGACCCGAACCACCCGACCGTGCGACACGAGTGTACCCTGCCGGTCTTCCGTCAAGTTGTACCACATTGCAACACTTCATGTGCCTGCAATTAAAACCAAAACAGAGGATTGTGCGTGTTATGAGGGTACGGCGGCGGTGAGAAGGTCGACGTCATTAGTCAATCGAAGATTATTTGGGTCCATGATCCCAAAAGTCTTCATCAAACTAGATACAAGCAGCCCCTGCAGTCCCGCCCGATTTAAACCGGCTAGTCCAATCCACACACATTGGAAGCATGTCTTAAAATCCGCATTGAATGACGATTTTGTTTCCCAAGTGACATCAGTCAAGCAGCCCTTGAGTGCGGACCTTGTTGCGCCGAGTATTGTGGCAATCACGCCGTCGATGTCGCCAATTCGATCAGCCCTGTTCAAACACAACTCAGCATCAGAATCACTCGAAATATACCTTTCGACGATAACAATTCAAACAGGTTACAGGGTCCGGCGGAGCTCCGGCATATGGTGTTTTCACCATCAGTTAAAACGGCAGCACATTTGGTGCCCCCTTTATCAACGCACAACACAAACTTCCGGACCGCACCTGCATCTGCGACAGTCTTCCTTGTGGGACTCGATATGACAGCTAGTGCCTTCGCCAACACTCCGCCAGCAGAATCGAGGTATCCCTCGCATATATCGACCTATACCTGAGTCCCAGCAACCAAGATAGCTGACTTGACACTTTGGTTGCATCTGACCAGAAGACAGTCTAGTTCATTATCAGAAGAGGAACAGCAGTTTCCACTCAAACTCCGCAAAATGTTGCGAGATCGCTGTTTCAATTTCAAGTTGGAAGCCGCCAGGTCGACTATCTTCAACAACAACGTTAGCCAATATTCACCGCGAAACTCGTACAACTTACCATGTTGCCGCATGTTTTGCCTATTCTAATCATAGTCCCGGTGCTCAGCATGTTTAGCACAAGCTTCGTCGCTGTGCCTACTTTTAATCTGGTGCTACCAGTCACCACTTTGGGCTCAGGCAATGGTACGATCACGAAATCTGCGTCACCCGAAAGTCCTATCGTCGATGGGCTGGTACAAACTACGCCGATTGTGATGCACTCGACCTTTTTTGCAAACGCCAGACAACCAAGAACGTAAGGAGTACGTCCCGACCTTGCGATTCCAATAACGCTGTCGACTACAGGGTTGAGATCAAGCCGGTGCATGTCTTCTTTTTCGGCTTGCTCGTTATCCTCGGCGCCCTCTTGAGTCTGGCGAATTGCGACATCTCCGCCCGCAATCAAACCGATAAATTGTGTGTGAGGGGCTGCAAATGTTGGAGGAATTTCTGACGCGTCCAAGATCCCAAGCCTATAATAGTTCGATGATTAGTGCCAGAATAGTCTCAGATGCAACTCGAGCATATGACTACCTTCCACTTGTTCCAGCACCCACGTAAATTACTCGCCCACCCTGAGTGACTCGTGATGCCAATGCATCAATTGCACCGGCGATATCAGAAAGGCAGGGTAAAAGACTATCCGAAACCTTTTGATCATCGGAATTGATGGCAGTGCATATTTCCAACGTGGACATTCAATCAATATGTACGATTCGAGGATTGACCCCTCCGTATGGAGATTAGACAAACTGCCAAGATCCATATTTGAGTTGATTGAAATAAAGAACTCGCACAGTCCGCGAGATACCTTGTTTTAAAGGCGGGGGGGGGGCGCGCGCTTTTCACACATTTCGCAAATTGAGCCAAGACTTTCAGGGTTGCCGACACGAGACACGGGCCATGAGCTCCATGCCAAAGAAAAGTACAAATGGTTAGATATAGCTGGTTAGATATAGCAAGGGATCCTTTGTAGTTTACGAAGTAGAGTTGCAACAGAAATACTGTTGCGCTCTGACAGAGTGTGGAGAGGATTCGCCAGGTTTTACCTGATGTGGAATTTTCTCACGGCTATCCCCGCTGAGAGCCAACGCTCTTCATGGAAAACCCCTATCTGCTTCTGATATTTGACGGTTGGTTGGTTTCTCCACTCTGAATACTACTCTGCGTAGAGGAAAAACCAAGACGAGCCCGGCTCTCGCGTGTGACCTAAGCATATTGTTTGATCTGACACTCCGGGGGGCCTTACCGACGAGTTCACATAAAAGTTATTGTTTTCTCCTCCACATTTGTTCTCAATCAATCAGATATACAAAATGTCCCTGAGAATGAGTGCCGAAGAAGGGCTAGCCACCCTGAATCTTGATCGAAGGAACAGCCGATCAACCTTATACAAGATCTGGACGCATTCTTGGTTCCAGATCGTATTGATCAGCTTAATTTGTTTTTGCTGTCCAGGGGTGAGTCGAGGATGTAGCGAATCAAGATTTAGTTACCTAGTGAAGTCCATTCGCTGACTGCCGAGCAGATGTACAATGCGCTCTCGGGTCTCGGAGGTTCCGGTCAGGTCAATCAGACTGTAGCAGCAAATGCAAATGTTGCGCTGCTATCTGCTACCGCTGCAACTGCTCTCTTCGTGGTTGGGCCAATCTTTGATCGTGTTGGACCTAGAGTCTGCCTGCTGCTGGGAGGCTGGACATATCCATTGTATTCTGGCAGTCTCTTGTGCTTCAATGGTAAGTGAATGAGCCCAAGCATTGAGCCAAAGCAAAACTGAGGGAGGTTCAATCAATAGCAACAAACAACGGTGCGTTCGTCATCGCCTCGGGTGCTATCCTTGGTATCGGTGCCTCTTTATTGTGGGTTGCCCAAGGTGCGATCATGACCACCTATGTCCCCGAATCGCAGAAGGGACGTGCGATTGCAGCTTTTTGGGTTATCTTTAACCTCGGTGGCGGTGTTGGATCTCTCGCTAGCTTTGGCCTCAACTATGACTCAAAGACCGGTACTGTATCGAACGCAACGTATATTGCACTCCTCATTATCATGGCCGTTGGCTGGTCTTTGGGACTGCTCATCTGTCCGCCTTCGTATGTTCGAAGCGCCCAATTGCAGATGACCACGGAGAGCGAAAAGAAGTGGAGACACATTGCTCGACAATCTCTGAATACCATCTGCGACTGGAGGGTACTTTGTATGTTTGCCGCTCTTCTTCCCTGCCAACGTGTTCTATTCATATCAACAAAATGCTGTAAATGGCATGAATTTCAATATCCGCACGCGTTCCCTGAATGGTGCATTGTACTGGATCGCACAAATGCTCAGCGGTCTCGTTATGGGGATGATCCTTGATATTCCACAGCTCACCCGCCCAATGCGGGCGCGCGTAGCTTGGGCGTTTCTGTTTGTCACTGGGATGGGAATCTGGGGCGGTGGCTACGCATTCCAGAAATGGTCTGATCATCGCCTAGAGCTGGGCTTGAAGCAAGACATTGATTATACCGATGGACACACTTCGGTGGGCCCTATGTTCCTTTATATCTTTTATGGGGCATATGACGCGTTCTGGCAGTCGTTCTGTTACTGGCTCATGGGAGCTCGGTCGAATTCGCCCGCCGTGACAGCTGTGCTAGTGGGCGCGTATAAAACCTTCCAAAGCGTCGGTAGTGCGATGGCGTGGCGTATCAATGCGATGGCGTGGCGTATCAATGCGATGGAAAAGCCTGCGATGACACAATTTGCTATGGACTGGGGTCTTTGCATGGGATCGCTTTGCATCGTCATTCCAACTGTTTTGGCAATCACTTTGACGAGTGAAATTGACCCAACGCCTGACGAGAAAGGATCACCGAAGACAGAGGATGTTGATGGAAAGGCGGAGATTTCTTAGCAGTCTGCTGCGCACAAAAATATGGCCAGCTCTTGACTGTCTTCCTCGGTATTTCTCGGCGTCTTTTGGAGTATTTTCTCAGAGTCAACTGGAGTTCATTCTGTGGTCAGCAATCAGGAAACTCTTCAAACACCCATATTTGCATAATAATCTAACACAGTAAGCCATTGGAAAGTCCTGCGGGGGTGGCATGGCCACTGCCAGGCAACCGCGGTGAACCGGAAAGGATTTGAGACGGCAGGGTCAGCTTGTGATTGAGCCAATGTTCATTCGCTCATAGACCATCATTAAAAATATTTACACAGGTCCCGTACTTGTAGCTCTTTTGGTGTATCAAGAAAGCCGTCCTCCGTCGACTGACAAGATTTCCTCCACTGTATCTTATTTGACGCACTTCTTCAGAATAGCAGTCTCCAACAGAAGCTTTGTGTATTGACGGTGAGCCCAAGCCATCTTATCATCCATGGGGGGTCCTTCCGCCTTCCCAAGACCTTTGTAGAAACAACTTTTGAGACTGAACTCCGCCACGCCCTGCTCCTTCTTGACCACGGCGGCGATTTCGAACAGGCCGTCGGAGTCTCGGACTTCGCGGATACGTGGAGAGTCACCACACCGGACGACAATTCGATCCTCAGTCTTCTCGACAACCTCGAAGTGATCGGTGATGATGGTGCCTACTTCGTAGTTGTTCGAGAGGAGGTCGGATCGATCCCAAAGATGGCTGGCAGTCTCGGGGCCACGGTACTTTCGGTCAAGGTAGGCTCGCTGGGGGATGAATCCTGAAAAATGAACAAAACAAGCAAATTAGAGTCCGTTCCGTCGAGAGCAATAGGGATTTGGAAGCTCACCCAGGCCACCCCAAACACCGGCACAGAAGGCTTCCACCAACTTGCCCTTCTCCTCAACCAGCGAGGGTTGAATCTTATCTAGTGGGATCTGACGAACGCAAACATCGTGAAGGGTGGGATTGCGACTGGGGTTGAACTTGTTGAAGAGGGCGGATTGAAAGATCGGGTCGGAGGAGTCCATAGGCTGGAATAAGTCATTGCGCGTAGCCCCCCAGAAAACACCGACAGAGGCGACGCTGCCTGCGACAGTAGATTTCACCAATTTGCTGAGGATACCCATTGTGTGAAGAGTGAATGCTAAACGTGAAGGGAGGGCAGAGAGCTCAGAGCTATCCGGCTCCGCTTGCTCCGAGGCTTGGCATTCAATTGCCGTTTGACTGTCCAGTTGGCTCACTCCAACTTCTACCTTGAAACCACATTCTGGTTGTTCGGTCTTTGATTTTTGAGTGATTGTCTTGTTCGATCTTGAAAAAAAACTGCATCAATTGCATGAAAACATTTCCTAAGTACGCACTACCCCTTTGAACGCATTCTAAATCCATACCGGTTATGCAACGGATATATATTCCTGACATCTCGCTTAACTATATGGTGAGATTGACCGGAAAGCACCACCAGGGCATACCTGAGATCATTGTACTCCATTAAAGCTTTGCTGTGGATTATTAAGTCTGATATTGCTTGCTAGTACCACCTAGTTTCGCTCTCCATCGGGAGGCTCCCCACAATCGTGGTCGGCTTCTCCAGTCCGCATATTGGTGATCTTCCACCACTGACGCCATGTTCGGGAATTCCGAATAATTTGGATCAGACAGTTTGTCTTTCCAAGCTACAGAGCCAGTTGATCATGTAAGATCTACATGTAACACTAATACAAGTTGGTTATGAAAAGGGCAAACACACGTCTTACCCGAAAAGCTTAAGATATTGCATATTAAAGCATATGAAACTAAAACCTAGTTGGTCCTTGGATTTGGAATGAATGGCATTTTCCCCAGGTAACTCAATGGGGCGTTCATAAAAGTGGGGTCCGCGAAGAACCTGGTAGTTTGCGATTACTCCAGTCTTCTTCTGCAGCAACAAACCCAGTCACCACAGGCAGCTCATCATAGACCAAAGCTCTTCAGCTGTAATGAAGATGTTCCCTTCCCCAAGTGCTGGTGGCTGATCATACACAGCATGAAATGGGAGAACCAGAGGAGCTCCCATCACACCGTCGGAGGTCGACTCTATCTCTTGCGCCGAGTATGCTTGCTGGATCGATGGGGCTTGTTGAACCATAGGCGCCTGCGTATTACACATGCGTAGAGAATTGAGGAAATTGTTGGTTAGGGGAAGTGGAGACCCCGGGGGAGCCAACTGCCATTTCTCCAGGCGAATCTTGGTCTTCGAGATGCTGATAATAAGAACAATCCGCACATCCCCGTTCGAATTGGTAAACCATCACTTTGCATGTTCTCGGAGTCGAGGGAGGGACTGGGCCACACCTGTTTCGATAACGAGGGAGGCAAGGGTGTAGGTTTGTGACTGGGGAGAATATCGTGACGACGGGAGGAAGGCCTGGTCGCTCTGTTTGCTTTTCGTGCCATCAAAATTGTACATAGCAGTAGAGGTCCATAGGGCCCCGCTCGGTGGGTTTGTCCTCAAAGAGACCTGGTGATCAATCGCCCTAACAATGTGATTCGCAGCGGCGTGGCATGACTCTGGAACCATCTTAAGCAAGCCGATACTTTCTTCCCACTGGAAACAGTAATGAAAGCCCCCGAGGCAGTCAAACTTGTCAATCATCCTTTCGATTGCTGATGAAGGCAGGCCCACAAGAATAATCCATTGGTTTCCATCCCCGGTATCTTGAAGCTGCAGCAGAACCCTCTGCATGCTGATCTCAAGTGAGTCAAATTCGGTGAAGGGTTGCACTATGTAGCCTTCAGGTGGTCTCCAGGTGAAGGAGAACATGGAAGCGATCCGAGTGACTCGGTCAAAGGTAGGCAAAGCCATCTTGAGATGCCGAGTCGTCAAGCGTGAAGCTGAAGTTCTCGAACTGAACTGGTAATATGAAATGAAGTTGAAAAATTGATGAAAAACGAAATTAGACGAAAGCTGAGAAGGTTCCAAGGTTGAGGGTGAGAGGCATGTCTTGTGGGGGGGGATGCAGAGAATGCAAAGTCTCAAGTTGTACTGTGCAAAAGTTGCCTATTTCTAGGATAGTTTGAATTCGAGAGTTGTTCGCAGCGCTACCATCGTGAATATACGTTCAATCAATACGGATCATTTCGAAGATATATAAGCAGAATAATTTGAAATATAAAATCATTGAATTTCCGTTAATACAATCTATTCTCGGTCTAATGTAATCAACAAGGACAAATGTATCTTCTCTATAACGAGCGACTATCAGAACGAGTTCTGAAGAAAACAACTGAGAACGGCAACTTAGCTAAGAGGCCAACGAAGAAAGATTTATGGATGAGTTCCAGCAACCGTAGAGATGACCGAGAACTAAGCCAGGAGACTGAAAAGGGAGCTACCGATAGAGGTTGGACTAGGACGACCCGATGAGGGGGTGGCACTGAAAGAAAGCGCCTTGGTGTGGGAAGGAGTACCCGTGGAGGAGGCGACAGAAGAAAAGACGGCACCGGAAGAGGATCCGACTGTAGAGGATGCGGGGCGGGTATACAGAGTGCTAGAAGAAGCGGGTAGACCTGTGGGGGTGAGGATCGGGATGGTCTGCTCAGCGCGCTTCTGGCCACCAGCTGAGGCTAGCGCAGCAGCAACAGACTTGGCATCGGAGACGAGCGAGGGTAGATCAGTGGGGATAGAGAGGGCTTCGCCACGTTTCTGGGCACCAGCTGAGGCTAGCGCAGCAGCAACAGACTGGGCATCGGATACCAGCGAGGGCAGATCGGTGGGGATAGAGAGAGCCTCGCCACGCTTCTTTGTACCAGCTGAGGCCAGCGCAGCGGCGGCGGACTGAGCATCAGAGACTAGCGAAGGCAGATCGGTGGGGATGGAGAGAGATTCTCCACGCTTCTGAGCCCCTGCGCCAGCAGAAGCAAGAGCTGCAGCCACAGACTGAGCGTCAGATACCAGGGACGGGAGGTCCGTAGGAATGGAAAGTGCCTCCCCGCGCTTGGCAGCACTTCCAGTGGGGGAAAGTGCCGAAGAGAAAGGCAAGGTTCCAGAGGACGGAGTGGCAGAAGAAAGTGACTTGGTGATGGAAGCGAAGGGGTTGGGTAGAGGAGGGTCAGTCGACAGATGCGCAGGAGTCGACGCCGGGGAAGAAGTGGATGCGATGCGGGTGCCGTTTAAGACCGGGGCGCCCATGGCAGAACCAGAGAGTGCGATAGCAAGTGCGGCAAAAGAGGTCTTCATTGTGAAAAGCGCTGAAGGATAAGACTGTTAAGAATTGAAACTTTGAAGATTTATCGGTCAACGATAACTCGAAAGCGAAGGAAATTAGGTTGGAGTAAAGATTGTAAGACAAGAATGATCTCAGATCTGGTTGATGAATAGAATAGAATCAGAGGGATGAGGGAGGGCTTTTATATCTTTTGTGATCTCATTTCAAGGGTAAGATGCGCAGCACACCATTGAATATCACGGTTGTATCCCAACAGTGCAAGAGCCGATCACTGTGTCTGCCTTGATTGACGACAACCAATCTCCAAATCTCGACATGGGCTTCTGGAAGAGGGCTCGATAAGAAGTCCCGAGCAATAAACTTAATTGACGGTTTCATGTCGATCGACTACCTGAATTGGTGAGTTGCCCTGTCTATACCATTGGCACAAATGGGATGGGCCAGCTTGGACCTAGGAACAGCCGGACAACGTGGAGAGATTGACGATCGCCCATAAAATGGGATTTTTGAGTTTACTGTATCAAATGTATCCATATAGGTGCGGATTGGAGAAATGCGGGTACTCAGGGTGGCGTGTACATCCATGGATTGATAGATGCATTTGGAATGTTCCCCGTGGAAACTGGGTCTCTTATTGCAAATCGATAGAACCAGGCCGGTAAGATTTCTTATTTGAGTGGATAAGAAGATATTCCGGTGGTTCGCGATCTAGGGATCTAAGAAAAACAATGTGCCGACGAAGATCCTGCCGATCACCGTTCCAAATCGATGCTCCGGATTAGGCAATAGGTACGTGATCAGAGTTCAGTTCACCTCTGACCATTCGATTCTCTCCCATGAACCAAGGTCGACTCAGTCAGCTCACCCCCATTAAAATGCGGGTGTACAGTGGTTGACTTTTCCGAAACCTCAAAGGCATAGTAGTCGGCTTCCACCAGACAGAGATGCCGAGAAACGACTCCAACGAGATTCATCATCGATCATGAGGTCTCATCTCGCCACCTCTTGTCGAAAACATTGGATTGCGCAAATTTAGGATCGTATGAATGATTGTGTGTGTTGTTGTCGGCGGGGGATGAGCAAGGAACAGTCCACTGAAGGAGAGCGTATCGGGATTCGGCATCAGTTCAGAAACGTGCAGACGTTATTAAAATTGAGGTAAGATATGCCCACAGACACGGTATCAGGCAAGTGCTAATGTTAGCAATTTTCATTGGTCAAATTGTTGACTGCTTAAAATCGGTAGAAAGAATCCGGGTTGACGCGAATTTGTTCCGAATGCAAACATATCTGCCCCTTTCCGCCTCTCTATTTCAAACATGTTCAGCCAAGCTACTGCCATGGTACATCCGCATGTACGTGTAGATGTACAACCCAAGTATATATTTGTTGATGTTGAATGCCCTCTCTTAGTCTCTAGTGAAATAAAAATTCAACCGTATAAGCCAGAGAGAAACCATTTTGTGCCAAATGTCTTCAAGAACAAGCGAATTCCCAATGTGGCATTCCAAATGTCTGCTCAGTGGCTTTGGAATCGTTTCATCGGGCCATAACTTGACGTGAATGCTCTTACAGAATCCCCCCAGATGAAAAGGGGGATAGCAAATAAGATACTAACTACTTGTATCGCGGTCATTTCACCAAAGACAGCCGCAGGTCCTTGTCGTTCTATCCAATCTGCGGCGTAAAGCGAGACTAACATGCCAATTGTGTTGCGAATTACAAATATGATTACCAACGCTTCACCTGTTACCTGATTTACTGTCAGTAGATATGTTCTGGGCAAGTTGGCCAGTATACATACAGGTTTATATGAATCCAGTGAATACGTCACTGCAACGTTGCTGATAGCGGCAACGCCGAAGGCCTGCATACCATTGCCAACAGCAGGGCCAATCCAGTGGGTTTTGTGGGCGATGCAGAGCCCAAAAATCAGAATTCCTGCCGGTCCAATCACACCCGGAATCAAAATGGCCGGCAGTCGATATTCCGGTTTGCGCACGCCCCCGTGCCGAGCAGTACTTCGTGTGGAAATGATATCAATCAGTCGCCCACCTAGATAAAACGCGAGGACAGAGCCAATGAAGCCTGCGGTGGATAACAGGCCCAAATCGCCTAGTTGCCAGTTGTAAGGAGGCTTGGTGAACGTTCGAGATGACATCAGCTGAACAACAATGTTCCTAGCAGTGTTTTTAGCTTTCTGTGATGACAATTTTGATTGTTGCAAATGACTAACCAACCGACAGATATGCCAATGGTGAACGAGCACCAGATCAACGGTGGGTAAGCGGCATTGGCCAAAATATCCACAAGTGGTTGCATAAATGATGCGTTTCGATTATAACCGGCCGTGACAGACATCCACTGCCATTGAGACCGCTTTGTGACAATTCCCGATGTGGCGGACTGTCGCTTGTGATATGAGGTCTCCCGGATTGTAAAGATGGCAATGATAAATACAACAGCAACTGCGATAGCGAGAAAATAACACATCCATCGCCAGTCCTGTTGTTGTACCAAGTAGGCATTGATCAAGGGACCCAAGAATAGCCCTGCGGTCATAGCAAGGTGGAAGAACATCATATAGTGCCCCCGATCTTGAGGTGCTACCATATCAGCCACCACAGCGGGAACAGTAGCATCAGCTGCAGCTGCCACAAACCCAGAAAGAATCCGCGAGGCAAGTAATTCCTTGTAGCTGGTGGCGCAACTAGACCATACATTCATCATGGACAGACCGAGCATGGCAAGCAAATACACTGGACGTTTTCCGATGACACGCATGAGTGGTACCCAGAATATATTCCCCATGCCAAATAGGAAGACGTTGAAGCAAACTAGTTCTCCGGCCTGAGTTTGAGTGACTTGAAATTCTTTGATGATGGGCTGAGTAGCGACAGTAAAATTACTCGAATTTATGTTTGCCAGGAAGGTAAACGAGCATATGGTCAAATAGGTGCATAGTTTTGCTGGAAATGACCAGTTCTAACGACTCTTTCAGTGTTGTATCCATGATAAAGGGGGGATTTCGCGGCCCTACCTGTGGGTTGTTAGGATCCGTGTCTTCCACGGCATGCGCTAAAGGGGCATCATCAATTTCAGGCATCATTTCCAAGTGACTGGAACTGGTATGCAGATGCGATTCCTTGATGTCTGTCATCTTGTGAAATGTTTGGGGAAATCGAGGTCCAGACTATGGGCAAAAGACAATGTGCACAGCGAATTTTGTGGAATATCCAGCAAAACCCGGGGTGATTCATGCCCCCTCAAATACCCACAGATCTTCCCCACAGAAGGGCAACAAGTACTCCGTATGGGGAAGTGCATCGGGAAGAAAGGATTGACTCGGCATTTCCGACGTGCCCAGATAAAATAAAAAGTGGGTTTCAGCTACTCAGGTATGCGCAAGGAAGATCCGATCACCGACAACTATTGCCAGTTTCGAGTATTGATTCCTGGAAAACAAAAATAATCCACATAGAGAAATACCATTTGCTAGGTTGGGTTTCGAGGGAGTTATTGACCTGTATAAAGGGTTGTCAAGGGAAGAGCCTGTCAACGAGAGCCAGGGCAGCCGCTCAGCTCGGGTTGTAGAATGGCTTAAGTAATGATAACTGTTGCCTTGAAATTTAGGTGTCTACTGGTTCTCTTCTAGCATAAACACATCTTCCGCCATGTTTTTGATAGTTATGGAAAGCGTTCAAGAATGAAGATACATAGTTTATTTTGGTGTCCACGTATACTCTTTCTAGAAATTTTGGTCATATGTTATGTTGAGGCACATATGTATGCTTTGTACTTGTTCTGTAAATACATTGTACATTTTTCCCACTGGCTTTTTCTCGGGCCTTTTTTCAAGGTTATCTAAGACCTCTCCTTAACACATGCACACACAGCGGCTAATTATGTCCTAATAGTTTACCATCAGAAGACTTTCAAATTGATCTATTTCCCTGTTTCCAGACTCTTTAGGTACCACGTAACGTAGCTTAGATTTACTATTGATTGTAAAGGTAACACAGTCGATGATCTAACGTATTTACAATAAATTCTGCTCTTTCTCAAACCTTTAGATGTAGAGGCGGAAATTAGTTTGACTAGTCATAGATTGCTTAGATGTAGGTCCTGTATTGGATAATGCTAGAAACCAGCCAAATTTCTTATAAAAAGGAGTTCTGATTGCCTAGACACTTCAGCAGCTTTCATAACATGTAATCAGTGTGGTATGGCAATTGGAGAAAGCTGTGATAGTTATCATAGCATTGAGGTGAGGACGGCAGCAACCGTAGCGGTATTTGAAGACTTGGAAGTGATATTAAAATGAGCTTTGTCTTGTAAAAGAAAAATGCCACATCAGAAATGAATATTGCTCTACGATCCAAGACAAACAAGACTGGGGTGTCCAACGAATAACTTGAAGTTCAGTTAAGTTTCCAAAGCGAGATGATCGAGCAAATTGAAAGATTGACTAACTCAAAAGATTCTCTGGGGCTCTAGCAGGGACTATTACCTTTCTTCTACTCTTAAACGACTCTTTACGGTTCAAAATTGACTTGTCATCTTATACCTTCAAGAATAACTCTACTTTGTCTCTCTCAAGTCTTCAAAGCAGACATGTAATCATTTGTCATCGCCAATGCGCCGTACGCGAGCGATCGATTTTATGAGCTTGGACATATCTACCAGAGATTTAAACCGTGCAAGAAACGCCCTGCAGAACATGCCGCTCGACCCATCCACTCATCAACAAAGTCCGCCTGCGACAGCGAGCCCCTCAAATAATAAAAGCAATCGTCGTGAGTTGGTCAAAACCATGTACAATCACCTCAGGGTGGAGCAAGGTGGCCAGTATGAGAGCCACAAGACCATGGGTCGGCTGCGTGATATGATGAATTCCTTTCTGCTAACCATCAAAGAAAAAGTATCTTTAACATGAGCAAGCCAATGAGTATCGGGCGACTGCAACGTACATTATGATTTTCGTGCTTAATAATTCTCACGATGCGACCGAATCCCACCACATGTCAGCTAAAACCACTCGGCAGGCGATTCAACTCCAACGAAAGTGTTGGGGATGTCAGGTGACATCCCACATTGGGATAGTCTCCCATGGAGTAGATAGATAGATATCTCTTGCTCTCTCTCTCTCTCTCTCTCTCCTTCTCTCCTCCGTCCGCAATACAATATTCAATATCTTCATATTCTATTGCCCTTGTATGATCTCCATGAAAAAGTATCTTGATTCTAGGTATCAGCGTGCCAAGGAACAGGGGCATTGTCTGGGCCACCTTGTCAGAAGACTTCAAAAGTTCAAAATCGCATTCAACATAGAAAGTACAATCAGCGAGAACGAGCGCTATATCTTTTTTGCCATCTCCCTTGAATTAATTTGTGGATTCTGTGGAACGTCTGACCGAAGACAAGTCTCTTACACAGCAGAAAATTACCAGCTGGAGGAGGGGATTAATGGTGGGGTTATTTAGCTGGTAATTAACGTAGCACATAGCAAGAGACGAACATGCTGTAGAGTATACTAGAAGGGATTTTGGACTCCGTGGACAGCCTGTGCGAGAATATTCTCGTCGATCGGAAGACAGCGGACCAAATCACCCTTCTGATTCCACCATAATAAATGGAATATAATTGAACTTATCATTGGAACAAATGAAGGGCGAAAACAGATTTATGCATCAAATTGAAAGGCCTGTAGGGAGTGGGTATGCTTCTGCTTTAGCAAGTGGAACAAATTCCATTCCTATGGGCTCTGTCACAAAATAACTAATCAAAATTGTTCACTTACACAAATAATGTACATTTGTGGTCAAAGAAAATGCAGATAATATATATAAAATACTATCAACGGTGTATTTGACATAAACAATCAGCCAATAGATTTACAATAGTATCACAATAGTATCATCAGAGCTATATGTAGCCGTGGAATTTAGTTATATGTTAACAATTAGTAATCTCATGGTACCTAGTTAACCTTGATATTTACTATTTGGTCCAGGTACCCGTTCCACTATTCCCCAGGTATGTAAAACTTCAAACATCACAAGTATCAAGTCGGTGACAACCATTATATTGAATTTAGATATTCATATATAATTGAATTACACCAATCTACATTTTTATAACTGTATATATGTACATATGTAGGTAGATAAACCCTATGGAGTACAGCAGTTGTAGACACCGAGAACCCGGTTTCCGCCCGCCGCGTCAGCACAGCCACAAAGTTGAATTCTCTCCTCTTTCGTCATCTTCAATATCTTTCTTGGCCATCAATCAACATTCGGTTTTTCTAGCCTTTTACTTGGAGTTTTCACTCTGATCTTCAACAATGGCCCCGTGTCTTTCACTTTTGAATCGTTGATCAGCGATGCCCTTCGATTTTCATCGACTCCATTGCCTCCGGGAAGCATGTTCGATGAGGTACCCGGGCGTTGGGCAGGATGGTTCCGTTGTAGGTCTACCCTTTTGTTATTTATTGAACTTCTCGCCCGTCCAGCTTTTGACTAACTATGATGGATTAACAGCTCGTCTTGCCCCCTTCACTTCGCATCGGGCCCAATCCCGTGGTTGGCGCCCAGTGGCCCTACGCCCGGCTTACCTCAGTTCTCTCATTTGTATGATGTTGACAATGTTGTGTTGCCTGGAAGGGGTGCGGCAGTATAGCGATAAGTATGGAGGACTGGTTTTCTTTGGATATACCGATGATGTGTCCGACATTCAATCTTTTGCCTATAACTACCTGCCGATTATCATCTCTCTTGTCCTCGTCTTGGTATGGACCGTCACCGATTTCGATGTCCTCCGTCTCGAACCGTACTTCCAGTTGTCTCGACCCGAAGGAGCCCCGGCGACCGTGCTCTTCATCAATTACAACTTCGGTCAGACGATCCTTACCCCGATCAATGCTGCCCGCCGCCGCCACTGGGTAGTCCTTTGGGTTTCGTTCGTGACACTCTCGATTCGAATGATCCTCCCCGCATTGCAAAGCACAGTTTTTGAGCTACGAGAAGTGACCGTAATTGATAATGAAACGATGAAAAGTTGGCCCAACTTGGTGGATCTGGACACACAGGCAAGGTGGATGTCCACACAGGCAAATAACACCGTCGACTCCGTGCTTTCGTCCGATGAGCAACTGCGTCGCTCCCGATCCTCCAAATATGCCGTGGCACCCGTAGAGATCCCCGGGGGTGACCAAGATGAAAGCACAATTTGGACTCTCGACCAGACGCTGTACTGGGCTGAATTGTCCTGTCACAACGTTGTTGTTGGGGATAAGCTTAGTGTTGCCATAGATGACCCTCAATCGACATACCCAACAGTCTCGTGGAACGCCAGTGGAATCGATTTGGACACTACTTACGGAGGCGCCACGAAATGCACTCTGGATTTTCACTATGACAGTGTGTTCTTCCCGACTACTGATTACCTCCAGGTCCGATATTGGGAACCTGTGATCAGTGCCGCAGCCAAAGAGGCATTCCCGAATCGCACTCAAGCCTTTACAGCTTCCGGCTGTGATCCGTACGATCTTTATGGCATGCTCATTGGGGTGAATGCCACCAGTCCTAATTCTACATCGACTGAGTATTCCGCATCAGGCATCGCCTTCGCGTGTGATATCACCTACCACAAAGCAGAAGCACGCGTATCAATGCACTCGAACAGCTCTGTCATCTCTATTCAAATTGATCGAGCCACAACCAGCACACTTACAAAAGCAGAGTTCAACATCGAGCATTTTCAGGCCCTCCTCTCCCAGCGCGCTCCATATACAAGTGACATGCTATTCATTCGCGAGAACGTCACCACGGGAGAACGTACTGTCACGGAACTGCCAGTGATCAGCCAGGAGCTGGGAGAGCTACAACCCCTCCTGGTACTTGACACATCGACTGCCATGACAGAGGGCGAATTCGTGTCAAAGATTGAGAGGGATGTCAAGCAAACCTTTGTTCTCACACTTGGTCGTCTGTTTGATCCAGATACTGCGCCGACTATCATTGCAGCCTCCCGCTTGTCGAACCAAGTTGCCATCGCCGTCGTCAACTTCGCTGCCTTGTGGTCGGAGCTCATTCTCGTCTTGGCCACTTTGACTGCGATGTACCTTCTTCATATGTATTACTCACGGAGATTGTTCCTTCAGAGTGACCCGGGCTCGATTGGCGCCATGTGTAGCATTACTGCTGATGTCTTTCATCCTTCCAACATCCTTGCCGAGCCAGTGGCGGAATTTCATCAGTTTTCTACTCGGCAACTCCGGCGTATCTTCAGAAACGCTCGGTGTTACTGGAGACCAGGCCCTTCCGGCAATCGCTTAGAGATACTTGCCGAAGATGGTCTGTACCCCTGATCTCATCAAGCCCTACCAGCCCCATTTTCTTTTTTTTTTTTTTTTCAAAAACTTTTGGCTGACTCCTCTTAGGCTCACCTGTACAGCTTGGAGAGAATCTTCAAACTCATGTTGATCCCATGCCCCATTTTTTAGTCATTCCTTTCTTTTTAGTTGAATTCCTAGCATTGGCGGGAGTGATAATTCTCATGGGGCTGGTGGTTGCCTCCTTACTACGAGATGGTCGATTTCGCCATCTGACCCAATCCGACTCGAGTGCATTTCAAGTTGTATTGTCTTTCCTACCATCTGTTATCGCATCTTCCGTCGGATCTCTGTGCACCTCTATTCATCGAAACCTTAGTGTTCTGGAGCCCTGGGTTCACCTACAACGTGGTAACGCATCGGCACGGGCATCTTTATCGCTGAACTATTCATCGCAAAGTCCTTTGGCCATTTTTATCAAAGCTGTTCGCGATCGTCATGCCTTGCTGTGTCTGGTATCCATAGCTTGCGTGGCCAACATGGCTCTGACCGTTGTCGCCGGTGCACTATTTACCCAACAGTTGACAACTTCAACCTTGGATACGAACGATTTGATGATGAATTACAGCCAGTCTATCTTCTGGCGGACTAATTTCGCGGCTGAGTTTACTGAATATGACTTGATTCAGACCAGCATCACGAGTGGAGTCCCCATGCTTTCTTGGACCAGCCCAAATCAGTCTTTTGTCCCCGTGCATATCAATAACCGCAACCCAGATGTGACCTACGGTGCTTCAACACTTGGAGTCGGAACTGAGCTTGAATGTCGGTCTCTTTCAAGAAACGACCTTGTCAAAAATATAACCAATGGTCATCAATATTGGCAATATGAGTTGTTCGATAATTCTTCAGTGAAATGTACCGCACGCATGCCACCCTTAAAAAGCAAGAAAGAAGGCATCGCGCTGTCTATTCACTTCCTCTCCCCGGACGAATGGGATCACTCAGACATCTGCCAGACTTCGACGGTTCTTGTTGTCGGCCGTTGGCACTATTTGGCAGATGCGCCGATCACGGATCATAATACTATTGCCCTGCATTGTGAGCCCCAAACGCAGTTGCAAAATTACTCTGTCAGCTTTGACCAGAAGGGTCAGATTGACTGGCATGAGCCTTTGCCCAACACGTTGATTACCAGAGGAACCATGTACGACAATGCCACCGTCAGCCTTGGACAGTTCAACAAAGTCTTTGCGGCCATTCCGAGCAGCTATGTTGGAAATACCACCATGCACAATGGCACCTACAACATATCTTCCTACGATTGGGCAGGCTTCCTTGTTGCACGCCTTTACCAGCGCGAGGACCCTGACTTTGATTCGCTTGACCCAGCTATTCTGACTGACATGACACAAACTGTGTATCAATGGGTGTATAGTACCTACTTTTCCATTTGGCGCGATATTTATCTTGAACCACTTGCCCACCCAGTTCCGGCTACAAATGCCACCATTACCCGCAGCACCTGGGGGATGGTCCCATCAGGTCCATCGCTTGCCATTGCTCTCGCGATTATTGTTTTCGACACCCTAGTTGTTCTTTTGGTATTTGGAACCCGTCGTGGCCGATTCCGGGGGCCTCGCATGCCTCGCTCTATTGGCGCCGTCATTCCTTGGATTTCACATAGCCAGATGCTTCATGACTTTGCTGATACCCACACCTGGAGCAGTGCTCGGAGACATGCTCATATATCATCATTGAACAAACGTTACGGCTTCCGCATGTTCATGGGTGCCGACAACCGTTGGAGGTTTGCCGTTGACCAAGAACCGGATAATATAAACCCCCCCGACCCTGCAGAAGGTGGTACAGAGGTGGGAGTTGATAAGACCACCTCCATTCAACTACAGGAGATTCAAAACCCGCCACCCCCCAACCAACACTAATGAACCCACCCGCTTTATGTGCTACGACCTTTGATTTCACTTGAGTTTCGTGTCATATTGTCTTGTTTTGATATATATTTTCAAACTGGCGTTTTTTTCATGGAGCGCAACCTTCGAGCGCTCTGCAATAGAGAGCTGGGACAAGCAAGCTGGTACTCGCTCTTTCCACTTATATCTAGGACGCAATGGCGCTTTGGGCAAAGCATTTTCCAGCAGCGTTGGTAATTTATACACCCCTTTTCATACCTCACTCATGATCTTATGCACCCCGAGCCATTCCCCCTACTTCTCACATGTTTATGGGGCTTCTCAGCCAACGGCTATTTACATTTAAATATTTACTTGACGTGGTTATATGTTAGCATTGTTACGCTTCACCTGTTTCTGTCCAAACTCAGTACTGATCTCCATCAGATAGAAGATCTCTGCAAGAGAGCCCCAAATATACTAAGTCAAGGGGCGGCAATCTTACCACAGTAAAAGAATAACATTAACTACCGCTCATGACACTAAGCATTCGATTGTAGGGAAGAGTAGACAAACTAAAACCCAGTCCCGGGGAGCGGATATAGGATACAATGGCTTTCGACATGATTCGAACATCGAAGCTTCTTGAAGGCTAATTCGCTTGTTCTTTTTGTCCTCGAGACGAGGATTAAAGACCCCCACGTGGGGGTGTATGCATGATGCTGGGGATGAGTTGAGACTCGTCTTTGTTCAGTAGGTTTACGGATGATCGGCATACATTTGCTATTGATTGGTGAAAATAATTGAGTAAAACATCTTGGTATAGGAACCTTTTTGATGTTTCAAAATCACGTTGTCTAGCTAAGGTTGACAGCCTAGCTCACAGCGCTGCCCGAAGTCGGCCATCAATAGCACGCAGGATAACGTAGAGTGTCTGTAAAAAAGGGGCCGGGATCTTGAGCTCTCGAGCTTTTCTTGCTGGAAATCCTAATATGACATCGATCTCCATTGGTCGTCCATTTTTGCAATCAGTCTGCATGCTGCTTCCGATGCCCGGCATTCCATTGATCTTGTCCATCAGTTGGTCAATCAGTTCATCCTGAAGGGGCACACCGCAACCACGAGCAATATTGATCACTTCCTGCATCAATTGACGCGTGAATGGTGTCGCATCTTCAGAGGAATCAAGCCAAGTTTGCGTATCTACCATAGTGACCGCCGTCAATGAGTTCCAAGCGACATTCCAGACAACCTTCTCCCACCTTTGAATTTGCATATTATCGAGGATCTGAAATTTGGTTTCGCCATTGCGGAGAAGATTGGCGAATGTATCAAGTCGCGTTTGCTCGACAAGAACGTCGATTCGTGGATTGGAGAATAGGCCGATTTGCATATCTTCGGACTTGGTGTGTTTAATAACGCCGGGGCTGGTCTGCATTGCTCCAACCCAAGTCTGTTTAAATTCAATCAGCACTTATTCTATTGCCAAAGCCTTGAGCACTCACAACACAGGTTATAATTGAGTTGTCAGGAAATTGCTTTCGGAAAGGGTGTTCATTTCCGACGCCATTTTGAATGACTACGATGGTGGTCTTCTTGTTTACAGCTGGCTGTAACTGAGCTGCCACCTCATCCTGATCGATTGCCTTGTGGGCGCAGACAATATAGTCCACCGGTGAGCATTCGGTCACAGAATTTACCACTTATTGAAGGGTTAGCCGCGAGGTTTCACCTGAAACATGATTTTTACGTACCTCGGTGTGGACGGAAAGTATGTTGGCCGTGATTTTCGCTATTAATGATAATGCCCTGTACATATAAGCTTAAGAATTGCCATAGAGGACCATAAATCACTGACATTTGCACGGACAGCGTCGTAATTTGATCGTGCTACAACTGTTAGACGAACACGATTAGAGCGACTCAAGATGAAAGCATAAAAGGAGCCGATGCTTAAGAGCACTTATTAACAGATATTCTTCGGATATATAGATAGCCTCTTACTCACGCTCCCAATCCATATAGTATGACTTCAATTTGATCCGACATTTTGTTTATTGAAAGAATGGGCTGAATTGTTATTTTGAGTCTTTGACACTTGATGTATTACACTTCCCCGCATCGGAGGAAAACCGACTGACGTGGGGGTGTATCGTTGAATATTCCCGTGGCCTGGTTGGAGGATTTTGATTAAATCTATGAGTAGCTTATTATTCGTTGTATTGGAACAAAATTTGATTTCGGCTATTGAAAAGCTGTGCACTTCATAGTTGAGGTATAATATCTATTTCATAGTCTTAGTTTCTATAGTTATTCCAAGAAAGACTTTGGCTACAAGGATTTGAACAACAAATAAGTAAAAACCAAGACATCTAGCACTTCAGCTTTTGCTTTGTCTTAGAGGATTGCCTAGATATGAAGTGTTTTTATAACTTCACATTCCCTATGAGTTCCTTTTCCAGTCGACTTGCATTCACCATCTCAGGTCTGAGCTCTTTCAGATTGGTGGCCCCTAGGAATACCATGTTCGCCTCGATCTCCTGTCTTAAAATGGCCAACATTCGTCGTACCCCGTTTTCTCCGTATCCTGCAGATAGGCTAAAGAGAAAGGGCCGCCCTAATCCTACAGCATCCGCACCTAGTGCGATAGCCTTGAGTACGTCGGTTCCTCTGCGAATACCGCCGTCAATGAAGATTTGCATGTCACTTTCCAGTAGATGAGGCGCAAATTTTCGAATCTCCAGAAGAGTCAAAAGAGGGGGTTGTGCGCTGACACGCATCAATAAATGTAAAGCTTCCAAAAATAGGCATTGAAAGGGAAGAGTAAAAGCCAAACTTACGTGTCTTGTGAACGGCCCCCGTGGTTGGAAAGTACAATTCCATTTACGCCATGTTGATACGCGATCACAGCATCTTCGACACATTGTATACCTTTCACAACAAGAGGAAGGTTTGTAAGCTGTCGGATCCAGGTAAGAATTTCCCAATCAATGAATGGCGATATAGAGCTAGCCATCATCTTAGCTACGCCTTGTCCCTCTTCGTCACTATCAGTAGCCTAGGATCGATTAAGTTCATGGAGCCGGATAATAAAACGACGAGAGTAAATACCGGGATGGCCAAGTTCAACCGTTCATCCATCTCTCGTTTTCCAACAACTGGTGAGTCAACAGTGATCCAAATAGCACCAGCGCCTGCCTTTTCAGCCCGTCGAACTGTCTCAGCCGAACGTTCAATCTCTTTGTTTATATATAGTTGTTGGAAAATCGGTTGGTTTGAGGAGATACGAGTCTTCATCACTCGCTCAATCGGCATGCTAGATCCGTTTGCCAGGACTTGCACTAGTCCTTCTTTGCCTGCTGCAGCTGCCAGAGCACACTCGCCATCTGGATGGGCAAACTTTGCTATACCCACAGGTGAGACATAAACAGGCAAGGAGGATGCAAACCCCAAGATAGAGGTAGCAGTATTCACTGAAGGAATTTTGCGAAGTGCACGAGGACGCAATGCAATCTTCGAAAATGCACGGCTGTTGTTTCGCTTGCTAATCTCGTCATCCGCACCAGATGAATAATAGGCCCATGCATTGTCCGGCAGGTATTTTTGGGCTATTTTCTCGAAGTCGTATAGATTTATCAAAGTTCGCAGAGGTGGAGGACTATTATGTTCTCGTTCCAACTGCTTTTGATTCGTAATATTCTCGTCTATTGACACTGGCACTTCATTTGGGTTGATGTGGCCTCTCAGTAACGTCTTAGGTAGTTCACCTAGAATCTCTGGTGCATGGACAGAATCAAAGGCTTTAGTCGCGTCTTTGCCAGCATATCGCAAGATTACTTTTGCACCCCCCGGATGAATAGCAAGAAATTCTATGATTGTCAGTTTGATGATGAGTAGACAAGATCCCATCAAATCATACCTGTGACATCGTAGACTACTCCACGAATTACGACCCAGCACGACTTGCGATTACTGTGTTGAGCGATATCATGAGGGCTAAGTTTCATTGTGAAAATTATATTGGCAAAGTACAAACAGGAAGAAATGACGAGGGAAAGAAGCCACTTCAGAAAAAAAGCCACCTGAAGATCTCGGCATGAAGCCGGGTGTGGGGGTACACAGCTTCGTCATTGTTGACGGATCCTAATTTTCCAGCCTTCTGATCCAACTGCTTTCTTGCGGGGATTTTGTGGAGGCGGGTCTTCCCCCACATCAAAATACATACACAGTTCATCCCATGATGGCGAACTCATCCCATGATGGTGAACTCATTACAGATAGAAGCTTTCCGTTCTATCTTCACAGTCTCAACCACACTCAACATGACAGACAACGATGGAAACGACCATGCTGCTCCCAAGCAGGGAACAACTCATATAGATTTCTCGGGTGACTTGGGCAAAATTCATGATGGCGACGCAGCTCTTGCCCTGTTTGACAACCTTGATGAGATACACGAGGGCTTCGAGCCTGGAGAGGAGAAGAGAATTGTCCGAAAGATTGACCTGATGATTCTTCCCTTCTTGTCAGTTTGCTACGCATTCTACTATGTGAGTCACGGCTCTCTTAATTCAATCAGTGGCAACTAAACATTCCAGATCGATAAAACAACCCTGTCTTATGCAGCAATATTTGGGATTCAGAAAGATTTAAATTTGTCTGGAGTCCAATACAGCTGGCTTTCAAATGTTTTTTATATTGGCTTCCTGGCTTCGAGCTTCCCGACGAATTTGTTGATGCAACGGTTTTCTATTGGAAAATATTTTGGAGCCAACCTCTTTCTGTGGGGATTTTCTTTATGCTTCAAGGTACGTCGTTGATCTGTGTAAGTCAATTTCTTGTGCTCTAATAAAGCTATCTCCATAGCTGCCGCGAGGAATTTCACGCAACTGGCCATTTTGCGCGTGATTTCAGTGGCGGCAGAGGCATGCAGGTCTGTGGATGATTGCCATATACACACTTATATAAAATCACTGACACATTGCAAGTGACCCGGCATTCATGCTCATTACGTCCATGTAGTACACAAGACGTCAACAGCCAATATGAATTGGACTTTGGTATTCAGCCAATGGGTTTGGAATCGCCATTGAAGGGTTACTTGGTTATGGAATCGGTCAGATCAACGGATCATTATCATCATGGAAGTATGACTTTCTGATCATAGGCGCTCTTTATTTTTGCTGGGGCATTGTGATGACAATGTTTTTGCCTGACTCCCCTGTTACATCACCACAGCTCTCTCAGCGTGAAAGGAGACTAGCGGTAGAAAGACTGAGAAATGTTCAGACCGGGATTGAGAATAGGAATATGAAGTCCCGACGAATATTGGAGGCACTTACAGACTGGAAAGTCTGGACATTCATTTTTGCTCGGCCTTGTGAGTCCACTCATATCCTCTTTGATTTGCTGTGCACCACTAACAACCATATTCGCCATAGAGTTGCAATATTCCAAACGGTGGGATACCTAATTTTGGAACTTTGATTATCAAAGGATTCGGCTTCTCGACCCGTGAGTCCTTGGATTCCACAAAGCATTACTCACAAGGACACAAGTCCAATTATAGGGTCCCGTAATAGCTTTTTAGCAGTAACCACCTGCATGCAAATCCCGTATGGGTGTTTCATAGCTATAATCATCCTAGCCTCTGTTTTCATCAACGATTCGCTACCACGAAAAACCGATGCTTTGTTGCAATACTGTTTTTTCGGCCAACTGTCGCGGGTTCCTTTGGCCTGAATTTTGCACCGGAATCTCAAAGTGTGGCAAGGATGATCTGCTACTACCTGACTGGCTCATACAATGCATCGTTCATGATCATATTATCTGTCGTCACATCCAACAAAACAAATTTCTTTTGGTTCTGAACAAGATCTATTTTATTCAGTAATGTTCTAAAACCCAACTATGAACATCCTTTTTATGCTCTTTCAGCCAAAAAGTTCATTCTTAGGTATATCACTGGGTGCCACACCACTAGAGCGTCAGCCGGGGCTTTCCGTTTTCCCCGCATTGACATTTAGCATTCCTGCTTCGCAGACTATCCCAACGTGCATCTAATCGATACATTCTGGCCCTTGGCGTGGGGGAGTTGCAGCTTGATCGGACTTCTCCCGAAGCACCCGCGTGGGATGAGATTCCCAGGTGGGGTCCAATCGCCCGAGTCCAGCTTCACATATAATATAACTCCCATCCTACAGCCTGTGTTCCAAGGCAGATACTTCAAGGTTTCATTACTTTCAACCAACAATGACTAAGATTAAGTCGATCGAATACTTCCGGGTCAAGCCTCGTTGGCTGTTCGTCAAAATCACCGACGAAGAGGACCGTTTTGGATGGGGAGAGGGTACATTGGAGGGTCATTCCCTTGCCGTAGAAGGTGCACTTGATGAAATCATCATGAGAATTGCTGGATACGAGGCAGAGTAAATTAAACTCGATCCCTTGTGTTGCAAAAAGTTAACTCCTTGGCAGTGATATCGAGCACATTTGGCAAACAATATGGCGACTTGGTTTCTACCGAGGTGGACCAGTCTTCATGTCAGCACTATCAGGGATTGATATCGCCTTATGGGATCTTAAGGGCCGCAAATTGGGGGTTCCAATCCATCAACTGCTGGGTGGAAAGGTGCGCCAGAAAGTTCAGGTTTATGCCTGGATCGGAGGAGATCGCCCAAGTGACGTAGAAGCTGCAGCGTGAGTAGTTTCGGAATTGAGCCGAACCAGTGTCTAACCACTTCTTTTCATAGAAAAGCTCGAATCGCCCAAGGCCTCAAGTGTATCAAAATGAACGCCACTGAAGATGTCAACTGGCTTGATTCGCCAGCTGTCCTGCAGTCATGTGTTGAGCGATTGAAGCAAGTGAAAGCTCTGGGTCTTGATGCTGGGCTAGATTTCCATGGTCGCCTTCATCGTCCGATGGCAAAGCAGCTAGCCAAGGCATTGGAGCCTTACCAGCCTTTGTTCATCGAAGAGCCCCTCCTGTGTGAGCACCCCGAGGCCATTAAACAGCTTTCCCGGCAAACAACAATCCCCATCGCATTTGGCGAACGTTTATACAATCGGTGGGATATTAAAAGATTCTTGGAAGATTCGTCCGTGGACGTTCTCCAGCCCGACATCGCCCACGCAGGCGGTATATCGGAGACTATGCGAATAGCAAACATGGCTGAAGCCTACGATGTTTCCATTGCTCCCCACTGTCCCTTGGGCCCGATTGCTTTGGCTGCCTCTCTACAGGTGGCTGTTTCAATCCCGAACTTTGTGATCCAAGAGATGTCACTAGGAATGCACTACAATATAGAAGCTGGAGACATTGATTTGAACAGCTACCTGGTAGACAAAACGGTCTTTGACATCAAGGAGGGTTATGTGGCTGCCCCCTGCAAGCCAGGTCTGGGAATCGACATAGATGAGGATCTGGTGCGCAAGATAAGCAAGGATTCAGAGCCATGGCAGCCCAAGGAATTCCATGGACCAGATGGCTCTATTCGGGAGTGGTAGTAATGTAATTTCAAAATTATAGATAGCTCTACGACAAATAAGAAACCGATTGTCTTTTTCTTTGTGAGTTTCTGAGTTTCTGAACGGCAACACAGCTTTTCGTTGGCAAAAGCAGACCCGACCAAGTGTATCCCAAGGTGGGGGCGGAAAGTCGACATGACAGACTGGACGCCATGTGAATCATTCTACACCTGATGCGGGGGAGAGCGTGGGGGTGAATGATGAAGGGTAATAACCAAAGCTATAAGGACCGGCCTTCTCCTGGCAACTATCCTTGGCCAACGGGTTGATTTTTTCACCAACATGAATCTCTTCTCTCTTTCAGGCAAGACTGCCCTTATCACGGGTGGAACACGCGGGATAGGTCAAGCGATGGCCATTGCGATGGCTGAGGCTGGCGCTGATATCGTTCTCATTCAGGTAGTATCCGTCCGGATAGTGGGTGGTTGAAGGGCGACTGACGTTGGACAGAGGGACACTAGCAATCAAGACACGAGATTAGAAATTGAGAAACTGGGGCGTAAGGCAACCATATATACCGTTGACCTTGCCTCTCAGACATCAGTGTCATCCCTTGTTTCCACCGTGTTGCAAGATGGCCATGATATCAACATTCTTCTTAACTGCGCGGGAATTCAGCGTCGACACCCCAGTCACCTTTTTCCGCTGGAGGATTGGGATGAGGTATGTTATTAGTGCTCTGGTAGTCACCCGTTAACTGATCCTATCTTGTAGGTTCTTCAAGTCAACCTCACGACTGTATTCACACTGTGCCGGGACGTCGGTGCGCACATGCTGACGCGAAACCCCGACCGGGCCGGTCAACGCGGCAGTATCATCAATGTTGCATCTCTCGTATCTTTTCAAGGAGGATTGACGGTTCCAGCGTATGCAGCGGCAAAAGGAGGTGTGGCACAGCTAACGAAGGCGTTGTCGAACGAGTGGGCAGCCAAAGGAATTAATGTTAATGCCATCGCGCCAGGTTATGTTGCGACCGATATGAACACGGCTTTAATTCAAGACAAGGAACGCGCGGCCAGCATTCTAAGTCGTATACCTGCTGGTAGATGGGGATGTCCAGACGATTTTAAAGGGTCGGTGGTTTATTTGGCAAGTCGGGCGAGTGCATATGTCAGTGGAGAGGTGTTGACAGTGGATGGTGGTTGGATGGGACGATGATTTTGTCAACAAAAATTCTGCGATTGTCGAGTTGACAAGTTGACAGGTTGACATTTTTTCCTTTCGATCGTTTTAATCATTTTAAATGCAAATCAGCTACTGTTTTGAATCAAATATTCCTATACATAACATACATATGTTATATCTATATATTCTCAAATGGTACATACTGTGTTTGACTATACGGAATAAGTTTAATATACCATCTTAGCATCATGCTTTATGCTGTCTCTATCTTCGCTTGCTATTCGATGACCATGGTAAGACATCTTGGATCTCAAGAATTGACAAATTTCTAGCGCTTTGTTTCACGTCGGCAATGGATGCACTACAGCCGAGGTCTTAACACCTGCATGGCCCCTCAATATTCCCCCCTCACGGAAATAAACATCTCACACCTTCCGTCGTCTCAGAACGTTGCAAACAAATTTACTTGACAACAAAATGCAGGCAGTCGTTTTTAAAGGACCATTGCACGTGGCCATCGAACAGAGACCTCGCCCAGCTGTCCGAGATCCTACAGATGTGATTTTGAAGGTCCGGTACACTGCACTATGTGGAAGGTGATTGAAGTACCATTTGTTGTCGTACAATCGCGGCTAATAATAAATGATGATCAGTGAGCTTCACGTCTTTCGTGGCCATCAACCCTCGCCCTCGGGCTTCATTATGGGACATGAGTTCACAGGGGAGGTAGTGGACACTGGCTCTGATGTGACAAAGTTCAAGCAGGGTGATTTGGTGGTCTCACCGTTTACCGTCAGCTGTGGTGAATGCTTTTACTGTGAACGGGGATATTCTTCGAGATGTTCCAATAGTCAACTATATGGTTCCGCGATGCTCGACGGCGGGCAAGCTGAATATGTGCGAGTGCCCCTGGCAGATTCAACCCTCTTTCATGCACCTCCAGAAATCGAAGAAAGCAAATTAGTCTTGATGGCGGACATTTTTCCTACAGGATACTTCGCTGCTTCCAATGCCTTTCGTGGCTTGGATCCTGAAGAGGTTCGGAATAGCACCGTCCTTCTGTTTGGTTGCGGACCTGTTGGAATTTGCGCTTTAGTCAGTGCCTTAGAATATCAACCGAAAACATTGATCGCAATTGATAGCGTTCCCTCGCGTTTGGCACTGGCGGAGGATTTGGGAGCTGAGGCTTGGAATTTCCAAGAGAACGAACAAGGGCTACGCGATCGGGTGAAGGATCTCACGGCTGGACGAGGCGCCGATGTGGTTATCGAGGTCGTGGGACACAGCAGTGCGTTAAGAATGGGATTCGAACTACTGCGACCGTGGGGACAAATTTCTAGCGTTGGTGTGCATAATCAAGACATCCCATGGACTGGAAATGAAGCCTATGCAAAGAACCTTCGCCTCCAAATGGGGCGATGTCCAGTCCGCAGTATCTTTGGACCAGCGATGGAGTTATTGGCTAAAAGACAGAACATGCTTGGGTACGGTTACAATTTGTTTGCAAATGTACAGCGAAGAGGACAAAAGTCTAACAACACGCAGGTTTATGTCTCACGATATCCGACCTCTTTCTCAGGCAGTTGAAGCGTAAGTTACCGGCTATACTCGTTGATTCTGTTTTATTAACGCTGCCGCCTCTAGTTATGACGATTTCAATAACATGAAGAGCCAGAAGATTATATTTGAGGCAGATAAATAGTTGGGGCAATGGCGGCAACAAGAAGTTGGGGGTTCGAGAGATGGATGCCAGCGAAAGAACTTAGGAGCTCCATGCCATTGAGATTACAAAACCTGAGATCTTAACCTGAGATCTTAACCTGAGATCTTGATATAACGCGGGTATCGCCCAAGGTTAATGAGGATAACAATATGTATTCAAATTGAAAGTGCGTCAGTTTTCGCAGAAAAGTCCCGGAAACGATTTTGTTGTATCGATTTCTACTTTAGGGTCAGTAACACGTTAATGACCTAAGAGAAACGTAGACAAAACTTTCATGTGCCAAGGTTCATAGAAGCAGGTTGAATATTCGGCCAAGCATGTTCATTTTCATCACATCTACGCTTCATCAATAACAACTGACAGTGGCTACGTTGGCGGTGCCTACATATCCGCACGTCCTGCACATCCTCCTTTTCAATCTTCGCATTCTTAGATCGCATAAATGTACCGGAATTTAGCAACAACAATGCATCTCACCGTATGTTACCTTTTGCTGCGAGAGGGTTGGCTGCAAACCTTTTGTTATCTCGCTGTTCATTCCAGACACTGACCCACAATCTTTCGTGAGTTCGATTGTAGCATAGTTTTGTCCCAACATAGTCAGCCATTTTCTTTCTGAGCTAAAATTTCGCAAAGAAGTCGGCGACCACGACTTACAGCATCAACTGCCCGCCCGGTACCAATGGCTCAGATTGTGGCATGGGACCCGGCCTATCTTTGACCACGGCACCAAACAGCGTTGAATATTTAGTAAGTGATGACTCGGATAATATGTAAGCTACTTTTTCCCGGCTAATTGTCCTCAAGTGCGAGGCTTGGTTTCTGACGAGTTTATCAGATACGACCACATCATCTGTTCAATGAAGGGGACAGTTAGCGGAGTCTGTACCGCTACTGTCACTGGCAAGGCTGCTACTTTCCCGGGCACCAGTACATTAAACACAAGCTAAGCTCAGATCACATCATTGCCTGTTACCATGACCGCTGGCGCTTCGATTTCCAGTAGCGACGCAACCCCTACGAAGAGTGAATCGAGCTCAAGAACCTCAGGCACAAACTGTTCTAGCCCTAGTAGCGCCAGGAGTGGGGTACCACTCGGGCGACACGGTCCCCGAAGCTGGCAGTAGCTGGTGCATTCGTGCCTCTCATTGCAGGGTTATTGTGATTGAATTGCACGTCTTTTGTACGGCTGGAAACTACCGCGATTCGAACTGATAGCTGAAAATATTTGGAAAGAGCTAAATCGAAATTGATTGCTACTCAAGACCTTCATAAATTGGGGCATGTATGCCTGTTGGTTCTCTCTGTGCATAAAGATATATTCACACTGCCATACAGGCAGTAGGAGGGCAGTAGCCATAACTGCATGCAAAGCTGCACAGTCCACGATAAGAGTCATCCTCACCAGGCAAAGGAGCTCCATGGATGCCTGTAGAGGGTGGAGGTGGGACTGGGTTCCCATATTGCGTGCAAGTGCAAGGGCCTGGAGGACAGTATCCATATTTACAACAAAATGAGCAGAGCCCAACATAATTATTAGGCCCAGTTCCAGCAATACAAGCACTACCATTCCCACTTCCACCCCCTGGAGGGGAAGGAGGACAAGATGACGGAGTCAGGGTTTCTGTAATTGTAACTGTCATTGTGATAATGACAGTCGATGGTGTGCCTGGGCAAGTAGTGGTGATTGGAGTTGAAGGGGGAGGGGTAGTTGAAGGTGGAGGAGTAGTTGAAGGCGGGGAGGTAGTTGGAGGTGCTGGAGGTGCAGTACCTAATGATGGGCTAGCTTGGCAATCAACACGCAGGCCCTGTTTGAATGCAGAAAGCCCCTCTGGCTGCAAAGGATCGCTAAACTCGGATGGAAGAGTTCCCACTAGATATAACTGCTTAGAACACGATCCTAACCAATCGCAAATTTGCTCACATACCGTAGGCGTTGAAATTATACAGACCGCAGACGCATCCATTGATTATTTGCTTCAAGCTTATACCAGAAAGAATCGTTTGCCCAGCGCGAATAACTTCAAAGCTTTGTGAGCCAACTCCCATCGGTACCTCTTTGGCACTTGCCCCTGTTGGTGCATCGTAGCTGTATATCCTACCCCCACTATTGACTTGAATGGTAGCCGGGGCTGTGAGCAATGATACCACGAATACGGAATCTGCCATTGACTGCCATCCATCTGGTCGCCCAATAAAATAGTTTCCACTTGCATTGTTAGCGGGTACCATACAGGTGTCGGTGGAATCGCAATCAACGCCACGCGGTGCTGGTCGATACCAGTACACCAGTTCATCTGTTGATATATGGGTGTTGGGAGATGATTCGCCTGCTTTGAACGCAGCAATGTAAGGTTTCGAAATATCCAACCATCCATCATGGGGCCTGTAGAAGTTAATATATCTGTCCATTTTAACCAGGGGTCAAAGTATTATTTCGTTAATCTTACATATCATTGACCCATTTTGAGGCTCCGTCGTCGGTATGAGGCGATTTCAAGGGACCGATATAATGACATTCCCCGTAGTCATTCCACGTAATAATCTCAATAAATCGTGGTTTTAATGTCAGAATCTCATTCCACCGGTTAAACCATAAGAGGTCAGATGGGAAGTTCCAGTTCTTGCTATAGGAGACTTCGGGTCCAAAATGGGTGAAGAACCACGGGGATACCGCTAATCTAGAATTAGTAAATGGGAAAATACAAAACCCTAATGAGGACTAAGGACTCGATCACTTACGTGCGATATAGGCCTTACCAGCAAGAGCATTGACATAGACATGATCTCCGTCCGAGACAGAAACATTATGACCTGGGGTTGGGGCTTTGTTATTTCCATTATTTGGCCATGCCATCCAGTTCAAGAGTCCGTCTACCGGCGAAATATCTGTTCCATAGGATGGATGAAAGTTAGGTGCAAAGAAAATTGATCTTCCCACTGCTGCTCGCAGAGCTGCAACGTTGATACCATCTCCAGCGAACGAGGAAACAAATACTTTATTATCGACCATCAGTTGTGCGGGCTTGCTAGCATACTGGGCAATCTTTTGGCCAACCCCAGTAGCTTGCTCAATGTGCCACCAGTTGAAGTCAAATGATAGAAACACCTTCATATCATTATTTGCAGCGGAGTCGTACGCAAGTTGTAGTTGCTGGTCGGTGTAAGGATCCACGCCAATGTTGAGGGCAAATGCATCAATCCCAAGAGACTTAGCACGCTTCATATCATCGTCATAGTCGGAGGCACTCCTTCTATTACTGACGATGCCGATCTTATTTAGTGGTCAGCAGAAACTCAAAATCCGTTAACAACTGTTAAAGACGATTTTACCATAAAGTGCGCAAAGACAAGTCGGTCGGTCGATTGTATTTCAACACCATGTACATTTTGGTCTCCCACGGCCACCACAGCGGCTAAGAAGTGTACTATAATAGAGAGGCAAGAGATCCAAACTCTGTATCCAATCATGGCTTCTAGGTTAATCTCTTCCGGTAATGTTTCAACTGAGTTTGGGGAGTTTTTCTGTGAGAGCACACGACTTTAAGGTATACTTTTATACACCGAACATAGCCCTTGAATTTGTGCAGCTGACCTCCAAAATGTGACCGATAGAAAACCTGATATATAGCCCTCTGAATCTCTCCGAAACTTAATAAATGTCTTGCCTTCAATGCAGCATATGGTTGCCACTTGTTACCGACCTCAATAGCCAATCTACAGCCACATATCTAGAGTGCAAATGTCACAAGATAGATGCAAATGTCAGTCTTTCGCTTGGAACAGGATTTGGCATCGGAAAACAGAATGACGATTTCGTCATATCATGTTTATCTGCCGATAATAGGATAATATTGGATAATATTGGTGGTTTGTCTGGACAAACTCGCTGCAAAGTTTGAGACTATGTGAAGATATATTTTTGAAGCCACACTTGCGCAGTACGTGAATTGACGGGATACTTGTGGCTCCTAGCTACGCCTATGGGGGTCTTTCCCCTAGAATATCATCCAATTTATGGTTGCAGCTTCTTGCCGGTAAGCAAGCGCTATAGTCGCCTTGGGGCTTTGTTTCCTCTCGCCCGACATATTGTACTACCCTAACGTGGTAGTTATGTAAGTAGTAGACATCAAAAATCTCTTGATCCTTGACCTCGGGAGTCTTAAGCAAGAATCTATTAACCTGCCGAATGTAACCCAGTGTCTTGTGATGTTTCTTTTGCTCCATTCTCATTGATCAGTGACGATGTGTATGATAAATATCCCGAATAAATTAATCGAGATAGGTATAATGCTAAGCCCCTTAGTAGGTCGATTTAGCCTTAGTTATATAGTATTATAAGAAGGAGCCAAATGTATCACTCTTTTAGCCATCCCCTTTGTGAGAATATTGCACCTATTAGAATATTAGTCATCGTTTACTAGTAATATACCAGTCAAGTTCACTTAATAACTAACATATAGGTTAATAGATACTCTGGGACTAGTTGGACGTAGTCTACCTTAATTACTAAAACTAGGTTTGGAGTCCTTATTATAAGGGGTAAAGGGAGGGAGGGGATCGGTGTTACGGTCGATCTGAATATTTATTAGTACAATACTAGCAAGTTACTAGTAAATTCACCCTTGTATCAAACGGCCGATCTCATACAAAATACAGCGAGTCACATGACTTTGGTATCAACCAATTTCAATACCAGAACACTGATCACATAAGCAAAAAACGGGTTTTTGGGGTTGCGCTGCACCTTGATGGCTCAGGCGGTACCCTATCTGCTAACGTATTCAGTAAACGAGTGACGCAGTTCGGAATCCCATAGTAAATGAGATATTTTCTACACTTACATTTCAACAACAACAACGTATTACGTTGTTCTATTACTGGTCGATAGGTATTGATAAGGCTTGTGAGAACTGATTTTCAATTTTAAGGGAATTGAAAACCTACATTGTAGTGGTATCGAAAATTACCATGTCCTGGGGTAGCATTCTATATTTACATAATCTCTAGTTATGTAAACACTTGAAAGTCCCTCGAGAGACTAAAAAATAACTAAAATATAGTATGCTATAAGGAGAAGTAGTTAGAGACCACTCTTGTTGAGATATCAAGTTGTAATTAACCGTTTTTACTATGTGTTTTGGGCTGCGTCACTCGCTTACCGAATACGTTAGTTATCTGAAAAACGAGAGGGTTCATACTCCATGCCTAAAGAATCAGGCAGGATTCGGTCACTTTCCGATATGCGAAAAAAGAACATCTTCAAGACCCGATGCTTGCCCAAATGATGTTGAATTTGCAATTGAAATATTAACCAGCGGTGATAAAAATCACTACATTAACACGAGCAGAAACAAAAATAGACTTGCGGTTATGAATTTATCAGATTTTGCAGTTGACGAGAACTAGTGCCAGATGTGGAGCTTTACTACAACTTGGTGTTTTCGTCGAATGCACAAATTCTGCCGCAGAATCTTTATGAGATACCAAGATCTGTCAAATGTCTTAGGGGAATCAGTGTCTATCTTTATATTACTTAAATTGTGAGTGAAAGCATGGAAAAAAAATCAGCCTTGTGGGGAACCTGCCGCGCGGCATGTATGCGTATCCTAGCTCTTCTTCAACGCTTAGTCCAAGAAATTAAACCACTAAACCAAGAATTCATTGCGGCGAAGCATTGGCTATAACGCAATCGGAGCCTAAAAATGGAATTATCAATGGGGGCAGTGTGTACGAATCAGTCTAGAATACCGCGTGTTCTTTTTGTGTAGCAGATCATTAAAAAAAAGAAACATGTTTAAATTCCTTAAATTTCACAATCTAGTCTCAGGTAAACTCTATGCTCTTTCGATTACCTTGTACATCAATGATCTCAAAGAACATGCATATCCTGATATTCGTCCTCTGGGCTATCCAATGCTCTCGGGTGTTTGGTCATCCTCATGCTTTTGACACCATATGGGTCGCTACCCAAACTACATCTATCACAAACCCCGTGTCAGCTCCAGAGCCAAGTGAGGTAATACTTCACGAAAAACGGAGTTATGGCGAGATTCTTCGAGCTAGAGACACGACTGCGACCTCAGATTCTACATCCACAACTGAGTCTACGACATCACAAACTTCAACTTCAACTTCAAGTACGACCTCAACGACTTCATCCACTTCATCAACGTCATCAATCTCAACGACTTTAACTTCCACTTCTGAGACCACCTCCACTGCGTCAACAGCAACCTCAACGACCTTTTCCGCCTCGACGACGTCATCAGGTTCCATCTCAAGCAGCTCGACCACAGCCACTAGCTCCTCGAAGACGGCAACGACGACCACAACGACAACCGCAACTGCGACAAGTAGCTCAACCGCCGAGGTTGATGCTTGGAATCGAAGAGGGAACATCACTGCGATCGTGTTTGGGTGTTGTCTGATTTCACTTTTCTCTGGAATTAGCATCGTTCACTGCGCGCGTGATAGAGCCAAAGCACGACGTATTGCGGCTCGAGAACTGTTGAAGTCGGCACCCTCGAGCTCGATTATACCGCTTGTGACATCCAAAGGCAGCTCTACTCCGGATCTCAAGATGGACCGGTCCTCGATAATGTTCACAGACAACCCACAGGCGGACTACTTCCCAACCTCCAGAAGTCCTCCGTCAGTGTCAAATTACCACAGTCATACACCCTCCACAGTCTCCCAAGCGACAACAGACCGAGCTTCTACCAGAGAATACACACCAAGAGCACATGACGACGAGCAAATCACACCATTGGTTTGAGAAATGGAGATCCCTGGGAGCTGAGACATACCCGTTCGCTCTTAAAACCACAGATAGTTAAGCCACTTGCGGTAGAAATCAATTGTTCTATCTCGAAATTGTTGCGTTGTCCCTTTTCTCAAAGGCACAAGCAGGAATTGGTAGCTGATTGATACCAAGCACTGCACTGGTGATTTGCGTTCCATTGTACGTTTGTCTAAATAGACTAAGTTTCAAGGCTATCTACCATTTCCCATTGATGATACAATGAGTGATATGCCTTCTGCATAGGCCAAGCATGTAAATCCATGGTCTGGTTGATGATACCAAGTAATGCCTCTCGTTCGTCTTGACGAGTGAAATACTCGCCGTACAAATTTATTGCTATCACAGCAGTGACAAGTGCAGGCTGACATCTTGGATGGTTCAACGCAATGCCACACAGAGATAGTACGATGTCCCGAACCTGTGCCTCAGCTTTCCGGTGTACTGCTCCTCTTGCCTTCCTATGTGTCGATGTTCAGTTGGATATTTGAGCTCGAAATTTTATGGTCAAATAAAACCCGGTCTTCGTTCACTTACTCAAGATGAGGGCTCTCAGCAATCAATATCATTTCACCTAATTTAAAGTGTTGAATGGCCGTTACTTGGGCCTCACATGAGAACCATATAGTGGGAAAGATCTCTCCCCTGGCTCGGTCGGCCTTTTGGTGGAGAATTGGTGCCAGCTCATGCAGATGATGAAGATTAAGATGCTGCAGTTTCTTTTTGAGGTGTTCTATGGCGAGCAAACGTGTAAGTTACCTGCTGCTGATAATATGAAATGAGGTTGCGCAGAAATACCCCATTCTTGTGGCTCTTTCGTTCCCCAACGCCATTTCGCCACTTCGCTGGCAAAAATGATCATTGTATTAGCCGAGGAAATTGTCCAACTCTCTATACCAAACCGAAACTCCGGTGCTCGCTGTCTCGTTAAAGCATACTTGACGTTGTCAGCATCACATATCAGCATCACATAGAGAGCAACCCTGGCTAAAGCGACTTTCCGATCGCGTGGGGATGAAAATGACAGCGCTGCGCGGTTGTTGGATATGGCGATACGATACTTACATATACATCTTGTCTTGCTGCGATCCAAAAAGTCGCAGTGGCTAGAGACTGATCGAGGGGTGTTGAGATTATTGTATCGATGATTGTTTGAGTGATTGCCAAGAAATTGACTCGCCCATTAACCCGGTTTTCAAACTCCCCTTCCTCCAGTTCCTCTTCCATTTCCTCGTATTGTCGTAAAATAACAGTAGCTGCCATTATGTCTTCTTGGTGAGTTGGATCTCCGTTTTCAGGAAATCGACTCAATTCCGGGATACACTTCAACATGTACTCGAGCGATGTGGACTTGATTAATCCGGGCATTGCTTGTCCATGATAAAAAATACCCTGCGGTGTTGTGTACTGTGGTAAGCGGCAGAGATGCCGAGACGATACCGCGAAAATGGCATTTCGTAGAGCAAGACAATGCTGAGCTCGACGAGGAACCACTAGCTGGAAATGTCGCCGTTCATCACAGTGATCGAACTAACCCGTGTTATTTGCCAGCAGCACATTCTTCCATTTAAAATTACCTACCCATGGAGACAGTTCTTCGATGAAGTACCGTAGCAAGCACGATTCTTGTAAGTCACTAGAAACCCGCGTTGGATTTTGCTCGACGAAAAATTGAGAGTGGCCTTGATCGCAAGGAGCAATGCATCCACGGAGCGTTTTAAGGGTCTCGGTGAGTTGAATTTCGTTGTTTGGTTCGGTCAAATATGGCTCTTCTCTTCCAAGACCATTGTCAACCCCAGATGGCCTTGAACCTCTCGAGGAATTACTTAATGAGCCGGGAGAATAGATCACTTCCCTCGCACCATCTGAAGGAGGAGATTCTATCTGCTGGGATTCAATTTGAACTACCTCGTTTGGCCCAACAGATTCAAAGTTCGGGGGTTTGGAGTTTCCGCTAGCATTCCTTTCCTCGGCTGACTTGCTCCCTTGGATGGGTGAACTCCCGTCTGGCTGCCAATTGGACACAATCAAGTTAGATGGATTCCTTGACATCAGATTTGAACGAGCCGCTCTCCAATTCCTTGGTCTGCTATTTACCCATGGTTGGTCCTCTCTAAAATTTGCATCCAAATTCGCCTTGGAGCCGTGCCGAAAGATAGGCCTCCGTTGGACTGTTCTGCATTCAAGACCTTTGAATTCACAACGCCGACAGTTCGGTTGCCTTCGATCACCTATAGAGCCGATATCAGCGTAGTTGAAGAATTTATTCCTGTTTACGAAACGGACATTTCTGGTGTCTTTCTGTGGCATATGTTAGTACAAATATGGCAGATCATCGCAGGCAATTTTACCGCGGCAGTTCAAGCACGGTGGTTTTTCCAACGAATCGGTTGGCATCTTCCAAGGCGTAGTTGCCAAAATAACTGAATAAACAAGAAGCCAAAAGAAAGTTGCGGCGTCATTCCTTATACCAGTTAGTTGGTGTACACAATTACCCCGCTTCAACAATAACCGATTGGAGTAACTCTTTCCGATGAACTGTTGTACATATTCACCCAGACTGGAAATTTTGTCCGTATCTTGATGGAGGGAACTACCAAATCAATTGTCAAGTCGCAATGTTTCGTAGTAGAAAGAGGTTGGAATGACATTCTTTCGATACGCTAGATGTTTTGGATTCTTGTTTGTTAGTAAAAGGACAGCGCACACATTGTCGGTCAATTGAATCTGCTTCAACATCTTTATCAGTCTAACCAACATTCAGTAGGCTTCTGAACAAATAAATCAAGATTTCCTTAGTGACATACCCCATTTCTGGTCTTTTCGTCTAGCTACGCCTCATTATCGACGATGTCGTCGACTTCAATGCCGCTCGTTGTATTGATATTCAGAGATGTTTATTATCTATAAGGACATCCAAGAGGGATATGGAAAGCCGTACATGTGATATCAAGGTCGCTGAAGCAATGCCAACTTATGCGTCAAAGTGTAATAAGGGAATGTATCCGAGCGCTGGGCCAACCCAATTCTAGGAATGGAAACGGTAAATAGGCAAAGAGACTATATTTTCAGAGTCCTATGCCACGCCAAACAACGCGTTGCGTTTGTTTGACTCCGGTACCTGGTCGTAAGAAACCTTGGAATGTTAACGCGTAGTAGAGTAAAGGCGAGGCCACGGTTGCAATCCAGTTAGACCACCTACGATCAACAAAAGATAATTGTCAGCACGTGTATTTGAATAAGAGTAAGGGTGGAGAGCGTTATGAACCGAGTGTATATATTCATAGAATCCTAAATAGGGCGTCGACAGTTGCGCTCAGCTTGGGTTGAATAGCTTAAATTGAAAGTAAACTGAGCTAGTGGATGCCGGACGGAGAGTCTCTAATTCTAGGTGGGCAAAAGGCCATATACATAGGCTATGCGACCCAAGCTCTAATTGGTCTTGTCCTAGGGGATAAAAACAACTATGTAGCTAAACAAAGCGCAGAACCCTCTTGACCTAGAGAAAGAGAAGAGACATATCGGTGAAAACATAACCGTGGAGAAGTGGTACGATGGTTGAAAATCGCAAAGTTAAATCTATTCTAGGATTTCTACTCGATAGTGTATAAGGAAAGAGAAACAGTACAGAGAGCAATAGAGGGGAGCGAACAGTATAGAAAGGGAACGGAACAGAGAAGAACGGAAATACCTGGCAAGGCCTTATCGCTGAATGTCTCGATTATTAGACGCACCCTTCACCATTTCAAAGTCTTATTGATTGCCCCTGATACTGAATGCTCTCCATTTCTCCTAGTCCACCTCACCGTACATTACATAGCACCTGGCTTTTTAGATCTAGATATCTCGGTTGATTTTGTGCGCATGTGCTGGTGTCCCGCTGTTGTCATCGTTGGCTTCTCCAATCCCATCGCATCTAGCCGGCCAATCTCGAAAGTACGCCAGGGTGACGCCACCAACAATAGCGAATCTAACACACTCTATGGCCTCATTATGATAGATCCTGTCCCACGAGTCTTGGATCGCGGAAAGACCTCACGATCATACTGTTTGAGGAAGGTTATTTTAATTTGCAGTCAGCGCTAAGCCCTATTAGACCATCACATAAGTGCCAGATGTACCCTGCTTTTTAAATGGTGTTTTACGAGCTCGTCGGGAACTCCTGCGCTGGGTTAAAAACGGATTCCGCCTTACATTCAAGCACCTCATAGTTGAGAAAGGAGACTAGGATATCCCCTAATTCTTTTTGGTTGTTTTACAAGTGGGCTTGATCAGCGTACTCAGTTAAACTGTTTAGCGGCCATTTCACGCAAGACGTCAACCGCTCGCTGGCTTTCGCTTAGAATCCTTTCGCTTAGAATATTTTCGGTTGTGGAATCTACCCAGTCATCGAACGAGAATATCTCGATTCTCAACGGTCGGAAGATCGGGTAGTGAGAATGGCGCTTGAATTGCATAGAAGTTGTTTGTCAACTGCGCTCTTCGATCCATCTTCTCTCTATCTTCGGCCTGTTTGCGCTGATTTCTCTGCTTGCTCGCAATTTTCGCTACTTATTCTGAGCACAATTCTCAACCTGAAGAATAATTGCCGTTGACTTTTGAGGGAAAGGGAAGGGAGGAAGAGCATAAATAAATAAAGAATAATACCAAGAATAAGTAGGATATTATTGTGATGTCCCTCTTCTCCTACTCAGTTGGTATAGCTATGTCCGACCGAGGCCATATGTGGGTGCGGTTCACTATAGTGAGTTCACCGGAATCCCACATCTCGCACAGATATAACTCAAAGAATTTCGTGCATAGGCATCAATGATCTAAGCCTGAGGGTTAATCTAAATTATATACGCAATCTCACCTTTGCTTGTTCTCATCAAGTTCCATTTATTGATCTCCTAGTATATTACCAGAGGCAAGTACAAAATAGACGGTCATAATCATATACTCAATGTCCGGCTGATCCTTATTACTGCTACAGCAGGCGTGTGTTGGGTAAATTTCTGCTGCCGATAGGCATATTGAGAGGCCTAACGATGCTGGGAGTCTAAACAGGACAATCACGACATCGGATGCACAGATGCATGCATCGTGCAAGTACCCATTCATTTTTCTTAATCCAGCCACAGGAGCCGTCTGCACCCGCTAAGCGATAACCAAGTACTTTAGTTATCCTCTAAGCAGATATGGACATCGTGTCACAACTTATACGAGATAGGGTTACACTGCTACTACCTAGGTTGGTTGGGATTCAACTTCGGATTGGCATATGTATCTAAGAGGCTAATGTTTAATTTGTTTTTGTTTTTCTAGTAGTGAGATGATTTGTATCGAAATCTCGAGAAAAAAAACTTATGCCTTAATTATCAGGCATATACCGTTGGGTTGAAATAGTCATTCGTACGTTTTACATACATAGCGTTAATGAACTACAAACATGTAACTACAGAGTACCTCTGTGGTTATATATCCATGGATGATTCGTAATTGCAGTTGGCTTCCCCCAAATCAATCAACTTGTCAAGTCAGATCATTTTGTCGATCTCAAGATCCAAATACGAGCTTATTATATATATATACTTTGGTACAATCGGAGATTCGGGGTCCAACTCACCTGGGCGGGCAGTGAGGGGGCGAATTCTTGAGCGCTAACTCACAACCCGTGGACTTACCTAGGTACTATTTTATTCAGATAGATTTATTCTCCGCTGACTGGACCTGGTAAAATATTACTCAATTTCCCCGAGGAGATCGGGTCCACAGGTGCGAAGTATATATATAAAATACATTGTTATCACTATATATTATTATTAGTCAGTCCGGCTAAGGCGCACTCTCTTTGTTCACATATCCTCTGTGGACCTTTTATCTCGTATGACCTTATATATTTTATTATGACACTGCCATACATCATTCTCACACCGCCATTTTATCAATTCCAACATCATGGATTGGAACTACACTGAACATAACACTAAGTCATCTGATACTAATGCCGAATTTCGGTGCGGTCTGTGCAACAAACCCTACAGTCGCCGTACGTTGTTTATCTGCAGGTGATTAAAATCTGGGTTGAAAGTATTGACAAATCCGACAGGGGATCTCCGCGACCGGCATCGACGTCGCTGTGCCAAAACCTTTGGCCAGGAACGCGCATCTAAGCGGAAGTCTTGTGAAACGTGCGCCCAAAAGAAGTTACGTTGTTCATTGTCCCGCCCAGCCTGTAGTCGATGCATTCAGATGGGCACCGCTTGTCATTATCCCAATTCGCCTTCGACATCCACAGCATGGGAAAACCAGGAGATCGGACCGGAGCCCATGTCGCCCTCACAAGTCACTCTGGAACCAACATCCACAAGTTTACCCTCCGTGACGCCCGTCTCAGCCATAAGCTTGCCCAAGGGTGGCAGCAATAGTGCTGTCGGTATGGATGACATCGCCTGGAGCCCCACCCTCAATAATATGGGATTCGTGCTGTACCCGCTAGGAGATGGTACGGGGTTCCCTGGTCAGGATGCATGGCCTGACGCAACATCGGGCTTCATTGGCGACCATTTGGACAGTCAAACGTCCCCCTTCTTCCTTGCGCAGGAGAAGTCCAGAGCACCGCATCTGCTAGATAATCGTTCTCTATTACTTTCCAATGATTCGTTGGATGTTCCTTTACCACATCTATCTTCGTCAATAGGCAGTAGTCACCATGAGCCGTCCTCGGGACATGATGATACGGAGACCTCTCCCTCCGGTGTCTCCTGGGATAGTTCAAGTATGTTTGCCAGCTCATTTGTCCCAGACCTGTCCCTTCAAGCACTGCGAGACACAAACAATCTATCTCAGGATCTTTTCGGGATCGTACGTGAGTATCCACGAATGCTGCTGCAGCCCAACTTCTGGTCGCCCTTCATCCATCACCGTCTCTACCGTTGCTCTAAGGATGGAATGGCTGAGCCCCTCGGCATTGCTCTGGCCTGCGTGTCGGCCTATTCGAGCTCTGTTGAGTCCAGCTTTGAGTTTGTTGACAACATGATCAACTCGCAACGGGAGCGGCTGGTCCGCGAGTTCCACCTTTACAGCGACCGTCCGGAAACCTGCCTCGCCGCCCTGCATGCGGTTTGCGTATATCAAATCCTCGGGCTTTTTGGAGGGACGTCTATAGGCAGCCCAAGATCGAGTCACAGCACGCCCTTTGTAGATGGGAGTGAGCGACGTCGCGAAGAAGCGGGCAAGGCCGCAGAACTCCACGGGTCCTTTTTACTTAAGGTGGGTGTTTGAAAGTCCCCCCTCCCGGGTTCTTAAGTCCACACCACTAATCCGTCGATCGGTGCACAGATGACCAGGCGTCTCTGCAAGTTGCACCAAAAAGCCGTCAGAATGAATGAAGCAGGCTGGGCCGAGTGGAAATTTGCTGAATCTCTCCGTCGCAACGTCTTCTTCATTCACATAGTTAATATACTCGCGGCCGAAGCCCGGAAGCTGCACCATGACTACTTTGAGCCCTTGAATGATGCCATGATTCTACAGATGCCCCTTCCAGCGCCGGAGGATATGTGGCGCGCCTGCAGCGAGGAGGAATGGCGAGTGGCCCGCGAATACACCCAGCCGACGTCGCATGCCTCGTCCACTCTGCAGGACCTACTCGATCTGGGGCGTGCCGGAAGTTTGGGCGTGGCATCACTGCAGCCTTTGACAAGGTTGATTTTGGCGTGTCATAGTATCGGACCCAAAGTTAGCGATGGAGAGGAGTAAATGAGGCAACTGGATGTGCATCATTCCTGTTTTCGTGTCTACCCCAGTATTTTACTTTCTATCTTATGGTGGTTGGCGTTCTGGCGTCAATGGTACAAGATCAAGAGATATATACATGATGATGCAGTCGACTTCCACGGGCTCGTTGCCCGTAAAGAACAATCATCATTAGCTGCACCACCATGGCTAGCCGGGCTTAGAATTAATCATATTGACCCACAGGAGTACTTCTACGGGAGTACGCGGGATTGTAAGCTCTCTTGACGGTAGATCAAAAGAAGTTGAGGAGCCGTCTGGCAGGATTTCCAACTTGAATAGGAAGAGCTTCAGATATAACCACTGAAATCATACCAATATGTAACCATGCAAGCAATAGCTCCTGAACTCCGGAATATACGGGGGTTTGCAGCGCACACGAGTTGAATGTATATAAAATTCAACGCAAAGTGTGAAAGTCCAAGTACTTTTCACGCCAAACTACCACCAGAACCGCAAGATTCCATATACACATAATGTACTTCCTCTAACAACAGTCATAGTCTCTACGATATACTGTCCACCTATAAGATCCCGAGGTTGTAAACAGATTATTAATAACGATGGATTACTAATACTCTACGCACAATGTGACTGGCTCGGGGGGAGTGGATATCACGTGGTGGGCGCATCGGAGGGAAATGGACGGCTTCGTCTGGTTGATGCGGCAGGATTTACTCCCGACAGGAATGATTATTGCTGTCAAGAACGCGATTACCTAAAGGGAGGTCGGATAGGCTGAATTTTTGAGAGCTTGAAAGAGCTCTAGCGGATCAAAATGGTCGCCACGTCTCCCTTTCCACATATGTATGTGCATACATACGTGCTGTCCGCCTGTACCTAGGTAGAGGCTTTCCAATCTAGTCAATTGAAGTTCTATCTGGTTTTTCTTCACCTGAGCATACTCTGTTGGAATTTCATATAGATAGATAGCTCTCACTCACTGTCTCTCTCTCTCTCTCTCCTCCTTGTCCGTCTCGTCCGCAATCCATTATCTCAATATCTTTATATTCATTGCTTTCATATTTGTATTATCACCAACAAGAAAATCACTATGTCCGAGACACCTGACTCCACCTCTGCCTCGATTCCTGACACAAAAGAGCTTGCACCCAAGATCATCAATGACGACCACGGTGCTATCAGCAGTTTGATCGAGAAGCAAGGTTCAGGAGATGCGCACCTAATCAATGTTCCGGTCAGCTGGCGCGGACTGAGTGTCTCCGCCCCAGACACTGGACCAGTCACCGTCAAGACGCTCCCTCGTGCCTGCCTAAATACATTTGGCATTGACCAATTCAACGTCCTCAAGAAGCTTCTGTTTCCCAAGGGACTCGGGAAGATCAAGACACGAAATGTCCTTGAAGATTTCACGGGAATAGTGACTCCAGGTGAGATGTTGTTGGTTCTAGGCCGTCCGGGAAGTGGGTGCTCCACGTTCCTGCGCACGTTGGCGAATCGAACCTCCCTCGAGATTCATGGGGACCTGCAGTATTCAGGGATCTCGGCGGACGAGTTTGGAAAGCGTCATCGTCGCGATACAATTTACCTGCCTGAGAAGGATCAGCATATTGCGGCCTTAACAGTGCGTCAGACGTTGAGGTTCGCTCTCCGGATGAGCCTGCCCTCGGAAGTGCGCCACGGCGCGATGGTCGAGGAGCTAGTTCAGTCGATGGCGCAGATGTTCGGTATTGATCATGCATTGGATACGCCTGTCGGTGGCTCTTTTTCACCCGGTGTGTCTGGAGGTGAGCGGAAGCGTGTGTCGATTGCCGAGGTTCTCGCGGCCGGGTCGTCAGTGCAGTGTTTCGACAATTCCACACGTGGCTTGGACTCGTCTACCGCTTTGGACTTTGTGAAGGCAATTCACATGCTTACGAAGGTGGGCGATCGAACCACCATGGCAACTCTGTACCAAGCCGGTGAGACTTTGTACAACTACTTCGACAAGGTGCTAGTCATCTACGAAGGAAGGCAAGCTTTCTTCGGCAGGACTGATGAGGCTCGAAAATACTTCGAGGACTTGGGGTTCGTGCGCGCAAAGGGCCAAACCACCGCCGAGTTTCTCTCCTACGTTACCGACCCTGCCCATCGTGAAGCCGCAACAGGCAGCGTGGCGGCGAATATGTACACGGCGGCCGACTTCGCGGCCTTGTTTAAAAGCTCTCCCCACTACGCCAGTCTAGTCAGCGAAATCGATGCATCTCTGTCCTTGGGTCACCCGCAGGCTGCCACGTCAATGGGAACGGCATCATTCAACTTTTCCTACCCACTGCAGCTCTGGGAGTGTCTGCTTCGCGAGATTCAGCTCGTGCGTGGTCAAAAAATTGTCCACTACGGCAAGTGGATTGCCACCATTATTCTGTGCCTAATTATCGGAAGCGAGTATTTCGATGTCTCGGTAGATGCACAAGGCGCCTTCACTCGTGGCGGTCTGCTTTTCTTTGCTCTAATTGTCAATGGCTGGCTTCAGTTCCCGGAGCTTTTTGATGCCCACACAAACCGTCCAGTTCTAGAGCGTCAAGCCGCACTGCATATGTACCGACCGTCGGCTGTGGCTTTGGCTAGAGTCATCATTGAAATTCCCCTGATCGTCTTCCAGCACTGTATTTTTGCCATCGTGTTCTACTTTCTGGCGGGACTACAGGTCGAAGCAGGCAAATTCTTCTTTTTCTTGTTCGTGCTGATCTTGTCTACTATCTGCTTCAGCAATTTGTTGCGCATGTTTGCGTACTACGTGCCTACTCTGGATGATTGTGAGTGCCTCTTCTACTTGCAGAGACTTTGGTTTTGACATAATAAATCACATAGGCTTCAGGTTTGGTGGCACTGGCTCAACTATCACGATCTTGTTCTCTGGCTTTTTGGTCCCGACCAAGGACATGAGACCCTACTTCGGTTGGCTGCACTACCTCAGTCCAATTAACTATGCCTACGAAAGTGTATGAACCACGATGACACAACTGAAACTTCAGAAAAGCTAACAACTTCATCCTCCAGCTCTTCGTTAACGAATTTGACGGCCTGAATCTCGACTGCAGCGGTCAAATGATCCCCGATGTGGCCGGTACAAACCCAGAATACCAGATCTGTATGGTTACCGGAGCCAAGGAAGGTCAACAGTCAATTCCAGGTCTACAGTATGCTGAATCCAGCGGGTTATTGCTTGCGCATAAATGGCGTAACGTGGGAATTCTGTTCGCTTTCATCGTTGCCTACGTCATCATCGGTATGGTGGGCAGCGAGGTGATGCGATTTACTCCCCAGGGCGGGTCGCCAATCGTCTACGCCAAGAATATTGAAGCACATTCGGAGATCCCGTCCGAGAATGATAGGACTGCTGAGAAAGATGTCGAGCGGGAACTGCCTGATTCTGATTCTGGTGCTGATGAGGCGAGGTCGGGACCTGCAAAACACAGTGGTGCGTCGCTGACTTGGAAGAACCTGACTATTGACATTGGTGAGAAACGTATTGTCAAGGGAGTTACTGCTTTCATTCAACCGGGTGATTTCGTATCAATCTGTGGTGCTAGTGGTGCTGGTAAGACGACAATGCTAAAGGCTTTGAGCCAGATAAATGTGACTGGTGAGGTTGGGGGAGAGTTGCTGTTCGGGAACACAGCACTTGGAAAATCGTTTCAGAAAGTTACCGGTCAGTGCCCGGCTCCCCTCCCGCCATGACGCATAGGTGGCAAGTAGGATATCAACAAATACTGATACATTTCCAGGGTTTGCACAACAGGCTGATCTCCATGATCCAACGGCAACCGTTCGGGAAGCACTGGAATTTTCCGCTCTATTACGTCAACCCGACATTTACTCGCGCGCTGAAAGGCTTGGATATGTGGACACAGTCCTCGACCTGCTGGATTTGAAGCATGTTGCTGACGCTCTAATTGGAGATGAAGACTCTGGACTAGGAGTGGAGATGACAAAACGAGTAACGGTGAGAGAACCTTCCATTTACTATGCTATATAAATGGGGCTTTCATTCTGATAAAATATCTCTTAGATTGGTGTGGAGCTCGCAGCTCGACCTCGCGTGCTCTTCGCCGACGAGCCAACTTCCGGTCTGGACTCCGAAGGCGCAGCAAACATCGTCCTATACCTGCGCAAACTCTCCCACGCTGGCCAGGCAGTACTAGTAACCATCCACCAACCATCTGCTCTCGTATTCTCAAAATTTGATAAGCTGCTTGCTCTTTCTCCGGAAGGAGAGCAGCTCTACTTTGGTCCTAATGATAAAGCACTTGATTACTTCACCCGACATGGGGCCGTGTCAGCCCCAGATGCGAATCCCGCAGAATTCATCCTTGATGCTGGTGGTGCGGGCATCAATGCCCGCAAAGATACCAAGGGAAGTCAGTGGTCCAAGCACTGGCGCGAGTCTCCCGAGGCGAAGGCCATCTCGGAGGAAATTGATCGCATCAATAAGAACTACGAAGAAGGAAACAATAGTTTGGATGAGGAGATTGGCCTTGGCGATTTCAACGCTTCTATCCTGTCTCAGTCGCAGCTACTCACTGTTCGAATGCTGAAGAACCAGTGGAGAAACCCGCCATACATGTACTCGAAGCTGTGGGTGCATGTAATTCATGCGGTTCTGATTGGTACAACCGTCTACAATCTTGGAACATCTCCCAGCGATCTCCAGAACAGGTAAGAACTCACGCATCCACCTAAAAAATTATACAACCTCTTAAGGGAAACGCACTACTAAAATTAACGACAATGAACCTAGATCGCTTAGCGTCTTCTCCATCGTTCTCCTGGTCAATACCATCGTCAACACCGTCCTTGCTCGGTTCTTCTTCGCTCGCCTCCTCTGGGAAACTCGTGAGGGTCCCTCCCGCACATATGGTTGGCAAGCACTCTGCACTGCGAGTATCGCATCCGAGATGCCTGGCTCTTTGGTTTGCTGTGTTCTATACTATGCCATCTGGTACTGGCTTTGCGGATTGCCCACTGGTGAGGCGGCTGGTTACGTATTCCTGTCGTTCCTGACTTTCGAGATCTTTGAGGTAAATTGCATACGCTTATGTCTGCGTGGCGAAAATTAAAATCAACTGTGTGACTAATTGGGATAAATACACAGGTCCTGTTTGGCCTATTTATGATCGGAATGAGCCCTGACCTTGCGACAGCCGGAAATGTTCTTGTGTTCTTAGTTTGCTCTGTCAACTGGTACAACGGAATCATCGTTCCATATGAGCAGATTCAGGTCTTTTGGCGATACTGGGTAAGCTATCACACTCACCTTCTCGAACATCAACAACAATACTGGCACAGACGAAGCGCTAACAAAATATACCAGATGTATTGGCTTAATCCTTTTACCTACCTCCTCGGCGGTCTCGTCACTGCAGTCATCGAAGACCAACCGGTCGTCTGCAACGAAGGAGACCTTTATTTCCTCTCCCCGCCAGCGAATGAAACCTGCGGCTCTTACCTTTCCTGCTGGGCCACTTCCGCACAAGTGCAACTCCTTAACCCCTCTGATACCGATAACTGCCGGTTGTGTCAGTACATCACAGGAAATCAGTACCTGGAGGGATTCCGGCTAGGGAATGGAGAGAACGGCGGCATCTGGGGCGATTGGGGCATCTTCGTACTGTTTACCTTCTCCAGCTTCTTCTTCTTTTATTTTGCGACATGGGCGACGAGGGTGCATAAGTGGAAATGAACGCTACGGGACGATCAAGTATAGGCATGTTCGTGTACTCCCTGTACAAAGGGCTACGCTTGGGGTATTTTCAGGAGCTGGATGACCAAGCCGCAGGTCTTCGGTCGGCGGGCCAAGGTTCCCAGGGTTTGGTTGATCAGTTTGTGGTTTATGAGCCGGAAGGCACCCTGGGATTTAACGGCACCGTTCAAGTTCATGGACTGGGTGGAAACTTCTCTTACGAGGTCAATTGATTATTTATAACTGGCAATTGAATTGAAAAGAGCTAACATGAGATATTTTAGTTTTACATCGATGGAATCATTGCATACAATGATTTGGAAGGTGCTACGACGTTTTTGTTTGCCGCGATCGAGCATGAACTGGCTCAGGGCAAGGAGTTGTAAATAGTAGCGCACAGCAGAGCTTACTATATCTTTAATTTTTGGATTTAGGCACTTGGAGATGGAAAATTCTTTACCTATGGAGTTCATTTTGTCGATGATTGACCATATGTATGGAGGCTGTCACTAGACTATGATATGTGCCCCAAAGTCGTGAGATGACAATAGCCTACGATCTGACGAAATAATGCTGAGGAGTCAGTCTGTAAACTCACAGTGAACTGAAGTCTCAATCAAGCTTCGGTGTCGGAGGACAGCCAAGTCCGGAACGTTCTGCCTTCGGAGGAGATCGTCAGTCAACTATGACCGGAATTAGATGGATGGATCTACGTATAATTGAGATTGCCGAGGATGCGCTGATTCGGACCAAAATTGCTCCATCTGCAAAAGGGTCACCTTCCTAGCTAAGATGTGAGCAAAGCAGCATCGCGTTGTGTGGAAAAATACCAGAAAACAGACATATAAAATCGAACAGGCCCGGTCTTGAGTTCCTCTACGGTATCCAGAACAACAGAATCTATAGTGACAAATCGATTGACCTATATATTCCCTTTATCATGGCTGAGCCTATGTTCCCGGTTATTGACTACTCCCGGATCGTTTCAAATGATGCTGCCATCGCTTCTGACGAGAAAGAAAAGCTCTTCCACTCCTTCCAGGATGTCGGTTTCATATATCTCAAGGGCTACACTTTCCTCGACGTGTTCATGAAAACCATGTTCTCGCACATCCATAAGCTTTTCGACCTGTCAGTGGAACAGAAACTCCACATTGAAGGTGGTGAGAAATCAGCATTCCGAGGGTGGTTCGCGCCGGTCCGCACACCTCGCTATCCCGAGTCTGCAGACCAGAAAGAGGCCTTTGGACTTGGTAACGATGCTGACCCCACGCGTCCCAACCGCTGGCCGAAGGATTGGCCTAAATTCCATCAAGACTGCTCGCGCTTCTTAGAGGAGTGCTTCGAGATGCATCTGCAGATTTTGCGCGCGCTGACAGAGAAGATTGAACTGCCTCGCGAGACACTTATTCCTTCAGTCCAGGCAAAGGATTCATACACAGCTCTGCTTTACTACCCAGAGACGACGGTGGAGAGTTTGGAGCAAAGGGTGCGGTCGGCCCCTCACACCGACTTCGGCACCCTGACACTGCTCTTTAATGATTTAATCGGTGGGTTGGGGGTCCGTAACAAGCAGGGAAAATGGGTCGCTGCACCTCCTATCCAGGGCCATGCAATTGTGAATGTGGCGGACCTTCTCTCTCGCTGGTGTATAACGGCTGAAGTCTACCGAACACAGGGATGTCGCACCTGCTATCGAGACTCGTCGGCTTACAGATGGATCGGTGACAGATGTTGTGCCTGCTCGATACGCAATTGCGTGGTTTGGCCATCCAAATCGTGATGCCGTCATCAAACCACTTGAGCAGTGCATCACAGTCGACTATCCGCAGCAGTGTAAATCTGTTGTCGCTGGCAAGCACGTGAAGGAGCGCATGGCCAGACTTTTGGATGACGGAAAGCTGCCGGAGAAATGGTCGGATGACATGCACCGGAAAGGAATACCAGCGGCTTGATCCCGCGAGATTTAGCTGTTATTGACTTCTCATTTTCGTTATACTTGAGAAGGGTCAGTCCTGTCTATTAGCTTCGTTTCTAGATGAATGAATAAATGTGAAGTTTCAAATCCAAGTAAAATGATATCTTTTCGAGTTCAAGGTTTCCTAGAAACCTGGTCATTTTGAAGGCCACGGGACATACGGAACTTGAGAATTTGGCTTCGGGGTGCCATAATGAAAGTTAACTACATATATGGCTACGTAGCGTGTCACGAGAGGTACTTCGTACTAATCAATGTCTAGAAGTAGTATCCAACTAAGCTTTATTACTGAGTTGTAATCAGCTCTGGGTACTTAAGTAAATATCTCAATATGTATACAGCTACTGTTTGTACAAATGTAGGTGTGAAAAGAGTTGAACGCAGTAACACAATGGATTCGATGTACCTTCAACGCATTCTGATAGAGCAGAATATACCAGATAGCGGAACAGAAACACTGCTACCAAAGCAGTTATGTCGTAGTAACTGAATAGATTAAAAAAGCCGAAATTAGAAACGTCCCTTCAAGCCACCGGGTTTCATTCCACCCCATATGATGAATTTTGGTTCAAACCCCTTACCAGCCTTACCAATCTCGCTGAGACTACTATCTTCCGGTAGGAGCACAACGTTCTCGGGATACAGCTTCCCTAGAATTGCCAGAGCGATTATGGGCTCCGCGGTGGGGATCACATGGACACCACCTTGCTTTGCTGTAACTAGACCGCGATTGGACTGCAGGAGAACATCCAGGGCAGAGTGTACAATAGCGCCCTGAGCGGGAAGATCTTCCTCCTTACCTGCGAGTGCCTGATACGCGTAGCGGTGGCCACGGGCAATTTGACCGACGTCGACGCCGACACAGTTACCGTTGTTGAGCTCCAAGCGGAGCTCCAGTTGACGGACAGGAGTGCCCTCTCCTGAGGCTACCAGGGCTAGAGTTGCCTTTTGAACAACAAAAGGTGCGGAACCTGAGGGAAACTTCAGCAGATCGTGGACCTGTACCTGATTACCAGCGGGAATCTCAGCGCGAGGGGCGGAATAGTAATCGGAGAATTCGTAGTCGAACAGCACTGTGTTCTGGGATGGATCCAGTCTGGCAGGAATATACTCAAGCAAATGAAAGTAAGTATCTCCGCCATTCAGAACGGCTGGCAGGACGGAGCCATGTTCGTATTGGAAGCCATAACCACCGGTGTCGGTCCGAGGCAAGTCTGGGGCCAGAAGCGCTTTGGTATAGGCGAGGATTGATGCCTGAGTCACACTCTTGGTGACCAACCCCGTGAGAAATTGCGCTCGACTGGGCTCCAGGTGACGAATGCCTCGGGCAGCCTTGCCATCAATGGGAATCAGGACCTCATCGAAGTTCCGAAACGGAAGGAGGGCATCGCGGAGTAGTACCATTTGGTGCATATATTCGTTGAACAGCTGCATCAGGTGCGGTTGGCTGCGAGCCCCGAACATGAGGTCGACATTCGGCGGTGTAAGCAGATGATTCTCGCATGGGCTGCGGATGTTGAGATCAGGTTCGAAGGGACCACTGGAGGCCTCACGCGCCCATTTGACAAGATATTTTCCAATTCGATCGGCCTGCTCTTTCATCTCCCTGCGTGAGAGATCGGGCACATCTTTCTGGAATGGGAGAGTGGATTCGCGAGTATTGGTAGCCAAGTTGGAGGCGACATTGTCCAGCAGCGATGCGCGAGCGCTTCTCATGTTTGGAGTATCTTTGCCTAGACAATCGACGACCGTGTCTAGAAGAGGAGCAAAGCCCTCGACCAATTCGCGCGGAGTGAATACCCCAGAGCGCAGGGTCCATGCGCGCGGCTGGGGCTGAGCGCGAGCATTTCCTTCGGCTTTTGGAGATATAGTTTGCCCAGCCACTATGCCCCCAAGACCCGCGAGGCGGTAGATGACGCTTTCGACGAGAGGTTTGATCATATTTGCGTTTGCCATTGTTGTAGATGAGGATTCAGAGAAGTGGCAATCAAGATATGAAGATATGAAGATGCCGGAATAGTAATTGCGGACGGAGAGGAGAAGGAGGAGAGAGAAATAAAGAAAGATAGAAAGAGAGAGTGACAGAGCTTTCATTTCTATCTGTCTCAAGGTGCATGTGCTATCCCCAAATAGGCAATAGCCACATGACACACATTCCGATAAATGAGCCCTAGAGAGAAAATCGAGAAGCAGATGTTTTTCACAGGCCTCAACTCTTTCATTAATTCTCTCATTAGTCAGTTACACCAATTTTCGCCCTTGTTCAATTTCCAAGATTCCTGGAGTGCTTATTAATCTCGTCTAGTTCTGCTTCGGAGGATCGTAGTCATTTCGCAGATTCTTGGTCAAGCGCGACCACCGATCTCCGACCAGCTGCTATTCATCAACACACCTTATTTAGTAAATCCAGTCGTTCCAATCACGGCTTTACAAATGTTCCAGTCATGATTACGACACTTTTGCCCTTGGCTAGGCCTCAATGATCGAAATATCTGACATCTTCAGCCCGAGCATATATCCAAGTGTTCACAGTTTCGGCTGCGGAGAAATTTGTATTAATAGGACAACGAACAAGGAGATCAGATTCAGTGATAAAAATTTTGGCCTTGGCTTGCTCGAGCCGGGCAGCAACGTCGGTCCCACTCATTTCGCTTGGAAATGGGATGGGGGCAACAACTGCTCCAGTAGCGACAGCCCCCCAGTAGGCAATGGGATATTGAATCTAATCAATCTATTTAGCCTCTGCTTGCTAGGTTCGATATAAGGGATTCGAGACGGCGCCCACCTTGTCCTTTGCCAGGATAGCAACTACATCGTTCGGCTCGATGTTGTATCTCCGGTGGATCGCATCCGCAAACTGACGGCTCTTTTGTTCCAATTGCCTATATGTGAGTGTCTGGTCTGTACCATCGACACGATAAAGTACCCTGTTTTCGGTGTACTCCCTCTTGCCCTGGTAGAAGATATATGTGAAGGCGTCCGTGCTCGGCACAGGAGGAAGAGGGAGTCTTGAGTCGAAAATCATACTGGTAACGAAGTTGCAATTGTTTAAACCCTCAACAGAGGAGGCAGTTTATAAATCCGGTGAGATAATGTTGAATGATCTTTATGGCTTATCGGTGTTTCCGACCGTTCAGGGCGACACAAGAACTGATTAAAAACTGATTAAATATTGCAACTCTTCCATTTCAGGAGACGTAGTCTACAGATATCAACTATGACCTAATAGTACTGATTGGTCGGAACCCCATTCTCAGTCGTCAGTGCGTCCAATGAGACATCAATGACCTGATGTAGATTAGATACACTTGATGTTGCGGATCCAGATAAGGCTTGGAACAAGCTAAGGTCCGGTCACAAGAAAGAAAAATTAATTGTACTAAACAGCAGGATACTGAAAGGAAGCCTGACTAGCCTCCCCTTTAGGACCGTGCAGGACCAGCCAAGTCCGATGCGGTAAGCCCTAAGCCTACAACTTACGCAGCGTCGTATCTACAAAGACATCCCGACGGGGCCTAGAGAACCCAGGATCTCACACAACTGATTGTCACAGAGTAATGATCGACGAAGACAGCGGCCTGAGCGAAACGCATTACCCTTTTAATAGGTACAGACGCGGATGAGGGCCGACAGAAGAAGCTCACGGTAGCAATTATGTGACTCCTGAAGCACGCAAGATGGAACAACAACTCAAATTTAGATATGCACTCAATGGTCGTCGCGTAGGGGATATACGACTTTCTAACGCTCTTCGTTTCAGGTAATATATTTAGACGAGCTAGCTCTGCATAATTCATTCTAGCAGTAATCGTCTGGGAGTTTGAATATAGACCCACAATTGATCTTGCATAAAATCTACCCGGTGGAAAGGCACGGGCTAATACAGGAAAACAACAGTGGAAAACTCATCGTATTTGCCACATGGTCAGGCAGCGGACTCTATTCAGTCCTCGGGCTACTGGTTATGCAGCTTCGTAGCGTGTCAGTGCACGATGATCTGCAAACCGCTACATGAACCAACCATTTGCTTGCTCACAGACACAGGAGAGAGACACAGTCAGGATATCTGAGACATCACGCCGTGCGAAGGACGTTGATTGTCTCGAGATCGGACTTTGACGGCAGAAATGCCGCTATTCAACAGTCGACTCGGAGGGAGATGGCTAAATATGGTGCATTAAGTGGTTGATATTGATTCCGAGTGCGGATATAACAAGGATGACCTGCAGCAAGGCCTCTTGTCAATGGGGAATGGGTACATTGCGTACTACAAGCCTAAAAACAGTCCGATCCAACTCTGCGATCAGAGACTCTTAGTGCTTACCTCCGAAGCATGGCCGCATCTAAGCAGGCCTAAACATCCAGAATTGGATCCACATCCAGTAATCGTCTTTTTCCCCGAAACTACGGTTAGACGGCGTGTGCCCCGAGCAACCAATCATCAGCCATTCAACCTCGATGATACCAACATGCAAGCTGAACAGAAAGAAAGTTTGCGAAATACCTAAGGCTGTTACTTCGTACCGGGCCAGGGAAGAAATTCCACAATATATTAAAAGAGCGAACAAATAGGCTGATATAGGCCTAAACCAACTTCAAAGGAGACACAGTAAGTAGCATGATTTGACGGTCACTAGCCATTATATCTAACGTTCACAAAACTCCACAATCGAATACCACCCTCGCTCATTTATTGACCATAACAGCAGTCATGACAGACGACTTGTGTTCGACAGACTCCCGCCTGACTTGCTCCCCTTTGTCTTCTTGGACTTTCCAGTCATGGATCAAGATGACCACGATTGCCCAGGCTGTTGACTACGAGGATCCATCCGCTCTACACGAGATATGCAACACGATTAATTTCCTTCCACCGCTTGTCAGTCCCACCAAAATAGAAATCGCCCGGTCACACTTTGCTGCAGTAGCGCAAGGGCAAGCTTTCATTTTGCAGGGTGGCGATTGCGCAGAGAGCCTCCAGGATGTTCGAGCGCATATCATCCACCAGAAAGTGAGGCTACTCCAAGAGCAGTCCCGGATTCTGGCCCAAGGGCTGAAGCTACCCGTGATCGCGGTGGGACGTATAGCTGGCCAGTACGCTAAACCTCGATCTAACCCATGGGAGATACTGCCTGATGGGACGAAGATACATGCCTTCCGCGGTCATAATATTAACAACGTGGGCATTAATGAGCGGCAGCCTGATCCCCATCGACTACTGCTCGGTTATTTTCATGCGCCGGCAACCCTAGACTTGACGAAGGAAGGGCAACTTCCCACCACGCCGCCCACACCCGGTCCCTCTAGTCCGATCCTACGCAACACCGGGTTAGGACAGACCGTCACCCCATTTGAGAGTCCGCAAGGAGCTATTTTCACGTCTCACGAGGCGCTGCATCTGCCTTTCGAGAGTGCTGTCACACATAATGGATACAACACCCCCGCAAGTTTTGTCTGGATCGGGGAGCGATCTCGTCAGTTAGACGGAGCTCATATTGAATACGTACGTGGTCTCCGAAATCCGATCGGAATTAAAGTTGGACCGGCTATGGACGGCCAAACCCTGGTGGATTTGTTGGATAAATTGTGTCCGGACCCCACCAACCAGAGCAACATAGGCCGTGTCACAGTCATCACGAGATTCGGCGCAGAGGGCGTCGATAATGTGCTGCCGAGCCTCATTCAAGCCGTGAAGAAAACATATCATTGCCCTGTCTGGATGTGTGATCCTTGCCATGGTAACACACAAACAACAAGTGACGGTGTCAAAACACGAGATGTGGATCTTATTATAGAGGAGCTGATTAAGACTGTTCAGTCGCATTGGGACAATAACTCCATTCTAGGGGGTGTTCATCTAGAGCAGACGGGGGAGTTTGTTACAGAATGTCTGGACGGCACGAAATTAGGATCGGAGGGGGAGCCTAGGGCTTCACTATCGTTCATTATGCGATCCACGCTTGTTCTACATCCAAGCTCCGAGGGTGATCAGGGCTTTTGTAGATTTTGTGGGCAATCAGTATGCCTAGAACGAATGTTAGACTAAGATTCTTGCTATCTAATCTCTTCATCTACGGACATTTTCCTTTTCAAAATCCAATATCAAATCCCAGGTTTCAACTCTTACATTATTCATAGCTCAATATCAGCTGGATTCGTGTGGGGCAGTGGCGATGGATAACTTTAAATGATACAGTAGTCTGAAACATATTCATTCCGTGCCAGATGAGTTGAAATATATTGGATGGAGAAACCTTCAAGCAGTTTAAAGTTGGACTAACTTGAGGTTAACTTTAAGCTAATTTCGAGGCATGATACCCAACCTTGAGCGCTAAGCCTCTCCCTAACGATGTAGAAATTATGAACAAACGAGGCCCAGGGACTTAAAATTAATTGCTGATGGTTTATGACGGTTCTGGACAATCAAAACTGAGCTCTTTGAGTAGTTCACTACTGGCGTTGACGGTGAAGAAGGGATCATATGATGATTGGTTCTTAGTTCACTAACTAGGCAACTCAGTAACACGTCATATTGCCGTTGCAAACTACTTGTATATCCCTCTTGGATGCGACTCTATTCAATTGAGATTTCGGGACAGATCCGAATCGGCAAACAATGAAGATAAAAAGGGTTACGTCTTTAGAGCAACTAGGAGGTGACTCAAATATTGAGATTGATGAGCTCCAAAATATAAATTTCTCCGAAGCCTTACTCGAATGCAATAATGTTCAACGCTTCCCCAGTAGGAACGATGGGAAGCATCTCGGTTTCGCACATCCGTACATCTACTAATGCTGGTCCCTGACACTCTAGTAGCCATTCAAGGCCTCCCCTCAGCTCCGCCGTATTAGAGCATCGCCGACTCTGAACCCCCATACTCCGAGCTAATTGAACAAAGTCAGGATTAGACTGTCGGTTGTGGCAGGATCGTCCCTCGTAATCGGAGCGTTGCAATTGGGAAATCATGCCCTGAATGTCATTGTTGAAAACGATTATCTTGATAGGTAGGTTGTATTGAGACGCTGTAAGTAATTCCTCCATTGTCATACAGAAAGAGGCATCGCCGTCTATATCAATGACAATGTGATCTGGTCTGGCTAGTTGCACTCCAATGGCAGCGGGAAGGCCGAAACCCATGGTACCTAGTGAGCCAGATGTTACGAAAGAACGTGGTGACGTGAAATGATAGCGTTGTGCAGTCCACATTTGGTGTTGTCCCACGCCCGTAGTCAAGATAGTACGGTCTTTCAATGATGATGTTTGGCGGTCTAGCTCTGCGATAGTTTGTTGGGGTGTGGTGCGTTTATTCAGCTCGGTGTGAGGAACTCGAAACGCATATTGGTGTTTCCACTGTTGAATCTGACTGAGCCATCCGTGTCGATAGTTCCCAGGAGTCAAACTAGATAGTAACTTTGGCAAGACTTCACGCAAGTCTTCGATAATGAGCTGTGTTGGTTTGATAATTTTTCCGACCGTGCTAGGATTCAAATCAAACTGGATGATACCCCCTCGTCCAATTTTAGCTGCCTTCCTGGCTTTTGGGGCGAACCTGCTTGGATCGCCAACAGCCCTCTCATCCAGACGGGCCCCAAATACAAGAATCAAATCTGCTTCTTGGACAGCGTAGTTTGCATACGGTGCTCCATAGGTACCCATCATGTGCAACGCCAGGTCATGGGTCTCATCGAAAGATCCCAACCCAAGAAGCGTTGTTGTGACAGGAATATTGTTCTGTATAGCGATGTGAGAAAGTGTTATTGGGCTGACTTCATTTGAAAGTACCCCGTGTCCCGCACAGATTATAGGACGTTGAGAGTGATTGACAAGTTCCGCAATGTGCTCGATACTTTTGCGAATTTCCATAGCAACATCGATGCCCCCTAGTGCTTTGCTCCTGGGTGTGGGGTTTTTCTGTGAATTGAATTCAGGACTGATTTGATTTGAGAAATTTTCGCACGAGACATCTTCGCAAATTGCTGTGCCCACATCTTTAGGAACTGAAATTAGAACGGGCCCAGGCCTCCCAGATGTCGCACGATAAAAAGCTTCGTTTACGATTTTCGGGAGGTGAGCAACATGGTGAGCGCATGCAGCCCACTTTGTGCATGTCTTGGCAATTGCCATGATATCAATCTCCTGGAATGCACCGGTCCCCTGGGCAGTAGTTGCGACCTGGCCACAGATCACAACCAATGGTGTCCCATCTAGAAGAGCGTTGAGCATAGGCGTGACTAAGTTTGAGCTTCCTGGGCCCGAGGTAACTAGAATGACACCCGGTTTTAGGCTGGCTGAGGCGTAGCCTTCGGCCATGTGTCCAGCACCCTGTTCATGATGAGAGAGAATGAAGCGGAAAGCATTGGTTCTGGCGATACCATCGAACAGGGGAAGGGCTGCGCCGCCAGTTTAACCAACTTATAGTTAATCAGAAGCAGCGAGAGATGTATGGGGCAAAGGTCCACGAACACACATAATCGACATGGTGGCTTGCTAAGATCTCACAGAGAAGCTCTCCACCTGTCAGGCCTTCTCGACAACGACTTGCTCTTCTCAAGGATGATTGATTATCCATTGCTGTTTCTCGTACAGAGCGATCTTATATCGAAGCCTGGTCTGCTTCATTTTATAATGGTTCGTTGAGGTAGGCAGGAGAGAAACCTGCTTTAACTTGATTCTCAGTGACGCACAGTTTGATTACTGACCTACTCCATACGAGGTGTGCGTATGCCGGTGTCTTGGAGATCAAAGAGATAATCCGCCCAGTTACAATTTAGGAAGGTCCTTCATTCATACCCAATCTCAGTGGCCAGTTTCTGCATTTCTACAAAGTCGTGTAACCATCTATGCAAGTATGGTTACACAATCCACAGCGCACACATTACACCATTGCAGCTCAATTTCCGAAAGAAGTTGTTCTTACATCGAGTTCCGAATTAAGAGTAGTTTTGTGATTCTGTTTGCAATTCTGTATTATCAAAAATACGACCAAAAAGAAAATAATTAGCCGCGTGGACCGAAAGATATAGCGATGTATGATCATCATACTTCATTCGCAGCGAGGACCCCTATTTAGTTATTGGTCCGCCAGATATTGAGCAATACATTCTGAAATTGTACAATCATCGCGTTGAAGCAGCGGAAATCATGGCAGTTAACAATATATACCAATTTTCAATTCTCGGCGCTCTCATGGACGGTATCTGTCAAACAGGGATCAGACTTCAGGATATTCTTTCACACGGCGATCACGGTCTTGGCACAGTATCCAGCTTAAACGGAGAGATCGTTATCGTTGATGGAGAAGCATATCACTTTCCTCCCGGCCAGGAGTTACGAATGGTTGGAGTTTCCGATGTTATTCCTTTTGTTATGGTCACTCGGTTCAGACCAACCGTTGAGAAAACATTGTCCTCTCTTACTATGAATTCGCTTCCACATGCGTTGGAGCCTCTCCTTCCATTTCGGCAAAACTGTTTCTTATCAATCCGTGTGGATGGGCAATTCAAAAACATCATGTTTCGCGTGATGGCAGCACAGTCCAAACCCCGGGAGTCACTTGTCGATCTAGCCAAGGAGCAAAAGGTTGTGACTTCCAGCAGTATTGAGGGCATATTGTTTGGATTTTGGTCTCCGGCCTTTAGTGGGGGCTTCAGTGTTGCAGGTTTTCACCTCCACTTTTTGTCGAAAGACAAATCACAAGGTGGCCATGTCCTAGGGTTTGACGCAAGCCAAGTCAAGCTTCAAGCGGCCATTATTGCTGAATATTCCGTGGAACTGCCTCAAAGCGAAGAATTCAACGAAGAACCTATTAAAAGCTCACAGGATGCAGAGCTTCATTCTGTTGAAGGGTGTTGAATTCAGCTGCTAGGTCGCACCCCATCTGACAAAGCAGTGATGATCGAGCTGTGGGGGATAATAAGCATATGAACAAATCGTCTACATCTCAAAATACTATTTGCAATTCTTTCCTTCCTTATACCGCCGCTTCAAGCGAATCGCCAGTGGTTATTGTTGATTGGGCTACGAGCAAAGTGGAAATCAGAATAATAATGTTGAGATACGTGAAAAGTAAACTATCTCCGCTATGAGATTTGATAACGTATTTCACTACCGAGTGGTCGAGCGCAAACATCTAGTAGATTTGAATGAATCGTATTATATAAGGGTTTTAGCCTATCGCGCTTATCGTCGAGTAAGAACCTTAGTTATTATAAAGAATATAAGGTTCTTATAGTCGCTTTTTGTAAAGTATAGAGGGTTCTAGTGTTTACAGGATAGGGCCTGTCAACTAGGTAAGACGAAGGTGACTCCGGAACAGATGTATTGTGCGAATAGTACAGAGACTGATTCTTGGCGCCTCTTGCAGGTTCCCAAGAATGGACTATTTATCATGGACAGGAGCGGGGTAGAGTGGCGGTCAAGGTATGCTCTGTGATCGACAGTGACAAGCTGGCGATAACCCATCTCCATGACAGGACTCTGAAGGTTCAGGATCCACTCCGTTACCAGTACTTCTTTTACTACTTAGAAGAAGTATCTAGTAGCGTTTTAATAGGTTATAATAACACCCATATTCACTAATTCTTCTCGGAGTACGTTTTAATTATCGATCTTATAATAATATATCCTTAGGAGGTTTTACTACCGCTATAGCGTGCGATTTACGAATCACCTCTTCTTTATAGACCGTAGAGGTTGTTACGAGCCAAGTCTTGATGAAAAAGAGTGCATTCAACTAGAATACTAAACATGGGGAAAGAAAGAAAGAAAAAGAAAGAAAGAAAGAACAACACGCTGAAACAATTAAGGTAGTGATGCCTGAGGCCTCCAATCAAACAATGTAAAACACGAACTACGAAAGGCGGTGGAACACGGCAGAATCGGTTCAGGATCATTGATCCTGAATTCTTCGTGACAGAGGTTCTAAAACGTGTTTTTAGAGACTATAGGCGTTATTAAAAGGATCTTATTTACCATATAATACTGTAGAACTTCTTATTAAGGTAAGTAAGTATCTATTATTAAACCTTAGCTATTCCCCGCTCTTACTTCTCTTATTAGGTTATATAGAATTTCCATAGATTAAAGTGATCTCTCTATGATTTAACCCTCTTCTTATCCCTATAGTCTTTAGGGTAAGGTTTAACGATAGGTTCTTCTATCTTCATCGGTAAATGGCTCTCCGGTGTGGCCGGGTTACAGAACTGCTATTAGGCCTTGACAAGTGCTGCAGCACCTGGCGAATTTTGGTGCTGCGGTATGGTGCTGCAAGGTGCTGCAGCACGAGCCCAATTTTGGTGCTGTAGTCCGGTGCTGCAGTACTATAGTGGGTCTTGTGAGAGAACCCGAGCTAATTAACCAATAAGCGATCTTATATTCCTTCAACTTTATGATCTATTTACTTGTATTCTAAATACATCTAGGTATAATGATAGTAGCTAATAGTCGCTGATTATGTTTAGCCTAAGGTAATCCATTCATATTCTCTAATTTCCCTCTTATATTAATCCTTAATCTTCAGTAACTATATCAAATTTCAGACATTGTTCTGAGGCTGGCCCTTCTCAAGTATCATTATCACAAGTTGAATACCCCGACCGCCTAACGGATTACGACCTTCTTTCCCTCGATCTAACGTATGAGCCCCTTACACCAGACCATTCAATTAGCCAGCAGGCCCTAAACCTTACCGCACCCTCGGTCAATTCGGAATCCTACCTTATTACCACTACAACTGCCCTAGATTTACTTGAACGGATTGGTCCTAGAGCAAAGCCGTGGGTTCGATATACGAAAATGAATAAAATACAATTCATTGAGTGGTGGCGCCATACCTTAGGCGCCTAAGCAAATACGCGACGAAAGGTGAACTTCGACGCGACATATACCTTACTAACATAGGAACACTTTGATCAAGTTACACACTACCAGACTAGACAGCCAGCAGCTCTTTGTCGACGATGTGGAAAGGCAATCCCCTATCCATCTACATCTAGAGGCCTTAATTCTATGAAAAGGCATCGTGAGAGTAAGGCTTATGAAAGAGGTAGAAAGAGTTCCACTATTCAGTAGTCATTAAAGCAATCGTTACAGTTTGCGGTAAGCCTTGATTCTACTAGTTTAAATAAATTAACACTAACTAATACTATAAATCTTAGACTGATTGTCCTCTAGAACAGAAGACAATCTTTAATATTGAGGACTAGGAACGAATTCAATTGAATTTAATCACTATATATTAGCTTCTATTTCAATTCCTTAGCCGCCTAGAAATCCACGAATTCATCCGATTCGCTCGCCTTTTAAAAGAGATTCCTCCGATCCTTACACCTAAAACAATACGACGTCGCCTTAAATCGATAGTCTAGGGGGATTAACGGAAGGTTCTTTCGTTATTACCAACTAATGCGAAGCTTTTAATCGCACTTGATTGCTAGACTTCACCTTTCTAACAAGCATTTATAGCAATTACTAGCTATTTCGTGGACTTAGGATGGAACTACCATGAAATTCTACTAGGATTTAAGCCAGTCTACGGGCAGTATACTGGCATTCATCTTAGTGAGGTATTATAAGAGGTGCTACAACAGCATACTATTATTGATCGAGTGCTTATAGTCACTACCGATAATGTATCTAATAACAAGACGCTTGTCGAAAACCTTATAGAGTCTATCAAAAATCTTAACCTCCCGGATAGTACATAGATTATACGAATTCCATGCCTTGCTCATATGATCTAGCTTAGTTTAAAGGATCTTCTTGGATTGATGAAAGCCAACCCAAATAATGATACTACTTATTTAGTTTGGTTAGAGGAAGCTGATAGATCGGCCCTTTAAAAGGCAAAGTCAGAGCAGGGAATTATTTATATACTTGCAAAAGTAAGTCTTTAGTCTCTTATTTTCTTTTATTTCTTTATACTGATACTCGATATAGATTCGAAGCTTTACGGTTTATGTGAATGCGAGCCCTTAACGACGGGAGTTCTTTCTATCACTTCAAGTTTCCGAGCCTAAGCTTGCACTAATTTAGGATATTCGCACACGCTAGAATTCAACATACCTAATACTTCAGCGCGCTAATCGCCTATATATAACATTCAAGAGATATTACACAGTTTACAATCAGTCTCAGTTCTAGCTTAATAAACAGGAGTGGCGACAGGTCGAATACCTCCTTTATATCACAAAACCTTTCTATATATAGACAGTTGGTCTATCGAAGGTAAAGGATGTGACTATCTATTATGTGTTTAAGGTGTATAATCGGCTCTTTGGACATTTTAAGGACTCTCAAAAACGCCTGATTCGAAAGAAGGTCCCTTAGAAAAAGGCAATACTTCGTGCTTTATAAGTAGGTGAACAAAAGCTTATAGCTTATTATAAAGCTATAGAGGAAGCCTATAGACATCTTTATGCAATGGGCACAATCCTTACCCTAATACACAAGCTAGACTACTTTAAGGGACCGGATTGGGTTAGTGATGATGTAGACTGGTATTTAGTGTATGAAAGCTCCCTACATTCTTACCTTGAACGGTACTTTGAACGCCGGCCTATTATCCAGACATTGGATAAAGGTAAAGCACTATAGCGAACTGGAAGTATGGTAAGTTTACTTGCCTAGACAAGACCACGACCGATGGTTTAAGAAAAGGTTGGATGGCGAGATGAGCTTATAAGTTATCTGAATCTCCGTAAGTATATCCTTTCCTCTAAAACATATATACTAATTGATTTAGGGACCGATGATAAGGACCTATGCCATATCTAGAAGTAGTATAAGGCATAGTTCCCAACGCTTACAGCTCTTACTCGGGATATTTTCTCTATCCCTGCTACTAGTGCAGGTGTTAAGCGCTTATTTAGCTCTGCTCGCGATATCTGCCATTATAGGCGTGGATCTCTTAATATAACAACGATCTAGGATCTTATGATGCTTCGCTATATGACACAGTTTGATGTAAACTATACTGAAAGCCAGCTATCAGCATAGAGCGATAATCCAATCGAGAGAATGGAAGCAGATGAAGAGGTAGAGGGCTAGCTATCTGAATATGAGATTGTTGCTATTAGCGATGATAAAGGGGATCTTGAGATAGATTCTGATGGCATAAATGAGCAGGATAAAAACAATGATCGCGCATTGAATTATCCGGATCTAAATAAAGCCTTAGATCAGGAAATCGACTCGGTTGAGCTCCCGCTTTAACTAGTGGTGAGAATCATATAAAGCGACAGCCAGCGACCGCATCGAGAGCGTAAGCGTCGGAGGGATGAGGATGAATATGAGTATAGTACGCAGCCTAGGCGCAGAATATAACTGTACTACAGTGTAAATTAATTTCAATAAATAATAAACTACATTCAGTCGAAATATTGAAGCTATATTGTAGTAAAAAATCTTTTTGAAGTGTAAGCAAAATACGCAGAAATACAGGATATTTCTACATAAATTATGCATGTCACAGGCCCAGCAATGTTTGCACTGAATGCAGTGCTGCAGCACTACTGCGTTGGTGCTGCAGCACCGGACTAGGCACTTGGTACCGTCGCACCTTAGTGCTGCAGCACCGGACCGAGGGTCTAGTTCTGCCGCAGCACTTGTCAAGGCCTAACTGCTATACTCTCCGCGTAATAGCGAATTGCTCGTAAAGATCAATCCACTTAGTTTATTAAGCGGAATCTCGAAATTTATTGCCTTTACGGGCGGAGAGCATCGCGAGTGTGGATGTATCTATGATTGTTGGATAGATCTATTGTCACAGGCCAGAGCCCATTAGATATCACGTGCTGCCACGTGACCCACACCTGGGGTTATTATGGAGAACCCTACGTTAGATAGTTCCTTTCCTCAAGATGAATATAAACAGCATGTTGGCCTAGCCCTAATTGAATCAATTCAGCTACAGCCCTTCACACTAGCCTAGTTTACTAGAGATGATGATAATGGTGAAGATACAGATGCAGAAACCATACCTGAAACCCCCCTGGTTCCGATAGATGATGCTATTCATGCATTAGAGACGCTTCGTTCATATGAAGAGAAGCAGGATCGGGGCGAAACGCAGTTTATAACTAGCCTGTATAAACAGCAGAGGTTAATACAGGATAGGAGATTAAATGCACAAAAGCAGAGGGATATTAGGGGCTATTTCTGTATGTACACCTGAGATATATATATATATGTTACTATAGTGCGATACCTAGTTAGTACGATGGAAAATAGCCAAACCAACTATATCGTACTAAACCGGTTTTACTGTATTAGGAACCTGAGCGAGGAAATCGCTCCCTACTGGTCAATCTCTGCGTGTCCACTGATCACCTACTGCGACCCGAAGTCACACCCGATCACGGGACTCTCCCCTCCCTTCCTCTGGAGGATCACTGGGTGCTCTGATCGGTATGAGGCTCAACTGGATGGACAAAGACCACACTTGATGGAAAACGATAATTTAATCTTCAATTGGCATAGAGAGAGAGAAAAAAAACTAAGTACATGTGTGTTCTGTGATTAACCCTTCTTTGGTCATGTGACAGGCAGAATCTCAGGGCGGACCCAAAGTCTGCACTGTCAGAACCCCCAGTTACCCCACTCAAAAAGAAAGTGAAATGAGATCGCGACCGCCAGATGGTAGCCAATCACCAACGTTCGTTATGCACTAGGTTGCACAGGCACACCAATTGAGGTCGTGTGTTAAACCAGAAGAATTGGTTAGCCGCTAATGTGATATAGTGCCGCCCGACATCGCCTTCTAGGCTGGAAACAGATGCTGTTTCAAATCCTCTAATCATATGCAGATTCGTCCCCGCTAACTTGGCTTTGTTGGATGCAGCATTTCTACAATCGGACATCAAAATTCCCATTGTCAACGTATGTCTCTACCGTAGACTCCTGCCTGCAAATACCCTTGATTAACCTAATTACAGAACATAATGTTAACTCGATTATAAACAATTACTGAAGGTTTATTTGATTTTTCTTTTTATATACATTCGATTTTGATTTTTATAGCATTTAACATATTTTTGAACCTACGATACTTTCAGCTTAAATGACTGCTATCACCAATTCTAAACCAGAGAATGCGATAATAAATGTTAAAGATAGGATATTAGGTATAAATTAGGCGTCCTAGGTCCAAATCGTATACGCACATGATGGTATGGCTGAATTGTTGTTACCTTCTAGTTGGGTATGTACCTGGTGCCCAATATAGGTGTTTCAAAGTGAGAGTGGAGTATAGACTCACTAAATGAACAATCTGTTCGACCGGAATTTGACATAAACCGTAGTTTGTACTTACTCGTTTGCACCCCAAGTGGTCTAGAAGATCATATTTGACCAGATAAATCAGGTTGTCGGGCCAGACTGGCTGAACCACTGTGGAAAGTAATTTTCTGCCGAGAAGTTGATTGACCTGTAGAATCACCACCTCCGTCTCTCTCCCATGCAATCTTGCTTAGTCAATACCACGTTTTCTTCAAGGGATGGTTTGAAATAATTCTTTTTGCAAACTTGGGCATGTCCAGGTATAGGATGATACACGTGGGTCGAAGGGAACACTTATTGGAGAACGGGGCCGGATTTGTTTGGCCAATCATTCTCAATGCCAATATTATTTACAAAGGAGATTCACTACTTGGATTACTATATGTTCTTTTTGACAGACCGTCAGACTTGGTGTCGTTCTATTATTGTCAGCCGGTCTACCTCGCTGCGATGGCTTTTCAAGGGTAGATCAATCCGGGAGTAAGCAGCCACTTAACTATGTACTTACCACCCTGCAGATCAGCGCAGTTTGTATTAATAAAATGCTTTGCCACATTAATTCCGCGAATCCCCTACTTCCGTCTGACAATACTCGGTCCAAAGTATTACTTTAATTAATATTCTCAATTGCTTGCCAAGTATATTCATGTATATCTAATGAGTGCCAGAATTTGTTCGCAGTTGTGTGAAGGTGGTACTTTTGTGACTATTGACACATAATTACTTTTGATCGAGCTTCTTCATTGCATAACAAAAGATGGCAGGGGTCTGTAAATAGCCAGCTCAGCCGCAACAGTAGTTCAGGGAGTGTCATTTTTGTGCCATAAGACGTTCAGCTTGTTCGGTGTTACTTTGGCATGCAGCTAATTGCAAAAGAGCCAGGAGCATGTCTCGCCTAAAACTCTGGCCCACCTCCCAGCCATATTAGTCTTGGCTAGAAAGAATCCTCGTAAGCACAACAATGACGGGTTTGAATAATGAAAGTTCACGGTTTCGTATTGTAAGAGACCAAGTTACATCAAGAGCATTGGTGTAAAATATCCGATTGCGCCAATGCCAGATTGTGCATGCTTGAGGCCTGGGTCGTACATGCAGCAAAATATAGAAAGACTGGAAGATTGTTATAAGCATCGGCAAAGACGCTTCAGCTTAGAGGCAAATCACGGTGCATTCATTCCTGCAACATGCGGTACCTCACTCAACCCCCACATTCGGAGACCCTAGAGGTGTTGAACATCCAACAGCAAGAAGATCTGGCTGATCTCCAGCAGCAGATTTCGGATGGCATTCTATCGAGCTCTCCGCAGCTGCCCTCGCTCTTATTATGGAACGATGAAGGCATCGCACTCTTCGATAGATTTTCCCAATCCCCTCCCTATTATTTGAACAAGAAGGAGCTAGAGATTCTTGCTCACCAAGGCGATGATATTGCTAGTCGGATCCCTCCTAATGGCGTACTGATTGAACTTGGATCTGGGTTAGTCATCTTACAATGTTATTGTCGGATTCAAAAGGAGAGTGCTCAACCAGATTAGAAGCCTGCATAAAACAAGCCTCATCCTCTCCGCCTGCGAGCGACAACGACGGCCAGTGCTGTACTACGCCCTCGATGTCTCGATCGGAGAACTCACTGAAAGCCTTACAAGTCTAATGAAGAGAATGGGACCAACCCAATTTGTAAAGGTTAGGGGATTGCTAGGGACCTATGACGATTGTGTGGCCTGGCTGGCCAGTGATCCTAAGATGGTTATCCAAAGTTCCGTTACCTTTCTCTGGATGGGCAACAGCATCGCCAATCTCCAACCTGATGATGCCAGTTTGCTCTTATCCCGATTTTCTCATATTTGCACAAAGCAGGGCGTCCGCTGTCAATTCATAGTCGCCGCCGACGCTTGCACCCACAAGACTACGATCATGGCCGCATACGATACAACGAAAAGGCCTCTACATGATTTTCTGCTGAATGGTCTTCGACACGCGAATACGGTTATGGGACATAATGTTTTCCAAACCAGCGATTGGACGTGCGCAGTTGAATTTAACGATCGCGCGAACGTCCTTAATACGTACTACATTCCGCGCCGTGACTTGCAGCTTGACATCAATGGAATCGCTGTAGAGTTTCGCAAAGGGGATCAGGTCTTGGCCATCACCAGCGGCAAATGGACAGAGAAGGATTTTCATGCAGTCAGTGTAAACGCTGGTCTCCATATCGCCGATACCTGGAGAGACATGAGTCGTATCTATTGTAAAAATGTGCCCAATCCCGCTTCGCGCTGACTGTTAACCGATTTATATGCAGGTTTCTACCGACTCCAACCTCTCGCATAGCACTTGATGTCACTCTTGGATGCTATTGAGGGGAACTAGCTTACTGAAAATTGAGAGAGCATTGGTTGGGGTTAGAGCCATTTTGCCCCATTTGGTGAATCTGGCGCAGCCACCACCCGGGCGCCAAGAAGGGTCGACGGGCACCCGAGAGGTCATGTTTTTCAATAAGCTAGCTTTATTTTAGTACGGGACGAATTCGATCAAATTACTGCAAAACTAAATTATACCAGTAAGCCGCATGATGGAAGGGTTGAAACCCCTCATTTTCATTGACTCAGACAGGCTGCAGGGTTGCATCCAAAACGTACAATCAGGTCTTGGCTAGCCGCCTGACGGTAAACAAATCACTCGCCTGTATCCTGAAACGAGGCGGAATCATTATGATCGCCTTTGATCAAGGCCATGCCCCTTGCTGGTTCTCCAACTGCTGACCGGATTCGTAATAGTGTATGAGAAATGAGAAAAGTGGATTGTCCAGAACGGTCTCAAAGATAGTTCGCCAAGCGCTATAACCTGGTTTAGGTATACCCATCATCCGGAATGTCAGCATGTTGCTTCTAGGCTCTTTAGTGGAAGCAGAATTACTGCGGAGGTGACATTCCGGACAGTCAGCCAAGGCTCAAATGAGAAACAGACTTTTGTTTCCTTCAGTGCTGCGTGGTTTACAGTTGTACTGTCCAGAGTGACGAGAAAAAGGGTTTTCTTATTTGCTCAACTCAGCGCGAATCTGCAGTAAGAAAGTAAGCGGCAGGGTTGGCAGCAACGTGGGTCCGTATCGGGAGAGTTGGAGAGAGACTGAGAATGACCGGTGGCATGTATGTAGTAATATGTTTATAATCAGTGTATTCCATGAAAAGCAGACAGGGGAAGCCAATTAAAGCCATCTTGATCGACTTGCAAGTAAATTTCTACTCTATTGAAGTTCTTTTGCATCAATTGGGCAATCGCCGTTCGTAAGTAAATATGTCTCAGATCAAGGTCCGACAACACAGCACTATCATGCAACACCTTTCTCCCGACACGTGGTCGGAGATTCTCGCATTTTGTGGAGATCAACATTCATTGTCCACGTTCTTCAAGGTTGTGTGGTCCATCAGCCTTCATAGATACTTGGAAAAAGACGTGCTGCACTTTGCCGTGAAGAGTGATTGGGAGCAATCTTCTGGACTGAATGCCGATGACCAAATAAAGATGTGGCGCGTGAGAATCACCCCACATATGGTGATACGAGAGCTCTTTGAGAATCCAGTGGTGATGGAACTCATCACCAGAGAGTCGGAGATTGAATCGGACACAACAAACGGGTTATTGTTGACAGGGAGGCAGAGTCACGCAGAAGAGAATGTGTCCCAGCTGATGGCCAGTGGCAACGGGTTCTCGAACTATGACTTTTTACTGTGTATTTCACTCGCAGATGGGGTTCCAGCATTCATGATTGATCATCCCAAATTGCCTCGATTGGAACACCAAGCGCAACATCTCGCATCCACCGTCCGACAAGTCGCGCAAAGCCTGGTCGGAAGTCTGAGCTTCAGCGTGAAGGACGTGGTTATAATGAACCAGGATGATATTTTTGCCATCTCACAGGGCAATGAAAGAAGCGACTTTGAGCCCGGAAATGGGACGATCGCAGATGTCATCCACCAGCAGGCCCTGAATCGTCCAGATGCCTTGGCAGTTAATGCCTGGGACGGGGAGTTGACATATCGTCAGCTTGACAACCTTACTAACCGCATTGCGGTGAAGCTGCGACAGAAGGGGGTCAGATCCGAGGCCATGGTGCCTGCATGTTTCGAGAAGTCCGTTTGGGCGATTGTTGGGGAACTTGCCATTGTGAAGGCGGGCGGTGCTTTTGTGCCAATGGACCCGGCGCAGCCCCGACACCGCTTAGAAGACATTGTTGACCAGACCAACGCCGTTCTGATTGTGACCTCTGCGAGGCACACTACGCGTATGTCCGATTATGGATTACCAGTCATTACAATTTCCTCACAGTTATGGTCAATAGATGACTCTATTGAGACCAGCCCGCCTCCACGGACAGGCGGAGCCCGCAGCGCTGCATATGTCTTCTTCACCTCTGGGAGTACGGGAGCTTCCAAAGGGTGTGTCGTCAGTCAACATGCGCTGGGGGACATTGCAAGACATTGTGAAGCACTACATCTGTCGCCGCAGAGTCGAGTGCTTCAATTCGCCTCATACACTTTTGGCGTGTCTTTGATTGAGATTTTCTGCGCCCTCGCGAGCGGAGCCACGATTTTGATCCCATCTGAACAGGATCGCCTGAGCAACCTCATGGGCTATATGCACAAGATGAAAATCAACTGGGCGTTCCTGACACCGTCGACGGTGAATGCCATCGATGATCCAACTCTAGTGCCGGAGTTGGAAACACTGATCCTCGCCGGGGAACCCATGGGCCAACACCATATTGATAAATGGGCAGCTCAAGTCAATCTGTACCAAGCCTATGGACTTACAGAATGGTCTGGTATCTGTGCTGTCTCGGCGCGTATCACATATGGTTCCAATGTGGAACACATCGGGTTATCGTCCCCGACAGCCGATCTGTGGTTAGCGGACCCGCTGGACCACAACAAATTGATGCCCATCGGTGCTGTAGCTGAGCTGCTGATTGCAGGCCCCAGTCTAGCACGGGAGTACCTCAATAACCCAAGCAAGACTGTAGCGACCTTCATCGACAACCCGAGTTGGTTGCACCGCATCCAGTCCAACCGAGATCGCCGTGCGTACAAGACTGGAGATCTAGTGCAGTACCAGCCGGATGGGACTTTTCGCTATATTGTGAGAAAGGATACGCAGGTCAAAATCCGAGGAAAGAGGCTGGAGCTTAGTGAGGTCGAGTACTGCGTCGCGCGGCTGTGTCCAACGGTTACTCGAGCCATCGCTGAAGCTGTTGTTCCTGATAAAAGTGGGGATATACCAATTCTGGTCGTCTTTCTCTTCTATCCGAGCCCTTTGAACACCCAGGAAGATGGCGATGTTCAGCTATTGGCTCAAGATACCAGCATGTTCTATCCTCAGTTCCGAAAGGATGTCGCTTGCCTGAAGACGGAGACTCAACAGTTGTTACCAGAGCACATGGTGCCAGCTCTCTATCTCCCACTGGGATACCTGCCCCTTACGATTACAGGAAAAATTGATCGACGCCACCTGCGTGAGACGATGCGGCAGTATAATCGAGAATGTCTAGAATCTTATAGCTCTGACAAATCGGAGATTATAATACCCAGTACGGATACTGAGATAATTCTTCATCAACTATTTGCTAAGACACTGAATATTTCACCGCAAATATTTGGTATTCATGACAGCTTCCTAAAATTAGGAGGAGACTCGATCAAAGCAATGCGTCTGGCTAGCTTGTGCCGCAACCATAGCCTGTCGCTAACGGTGACCGATATTATGTCAGATCAGACAATCCACAACATTTTGAAAGAATCCAAGGACCAAGCACTGCCGCAGCCCGATCAGGTCACTGTAAAAGCAGACACGGTCCCAGAGGCCACTGATGAGAACGAACCAAAACTGCCCGATGATAAAACAAGTCACATGCTACCCAAATCGTCCCTTACTTTCCCTTCACGTATGAACGTTGGAGTGCACAACTTAGAGCTGTTGACCAAGTCCCTCTCTGTGCTGGGAGTCCCCATCGACGACGTTGAAGAAGCCTTTCCCTGCTCATTTGTTCAAGAGGGCATCCTACTGAGCCAGGCTCGGCAGCCAGCACATTATGAGATGCGATTCATATGGGAAATTACGTCTACCACCCCCGAGTTCGTCGATGTGAACCAACTGCAGCGGGCATGGCTGAAGCTGATAAAAATTCATCCCATGCTCCGAAGTATCTTCGTTGAGGGGATTAGCACCAGTGGTCTTGCGGTCCAGGTAACTTTGATTGAAGGATCATCTGAGGTGACTGTGGCTCCGCGCAGAGGTGTCAAGCCAAGCGAGTTGTCTTGTACGAATCGATCGCTGGGTCAACGGGGCCGGCAATCATTGCCACGGCTGGCTCTTTATCCATCAACAACTGGGCAGGTATTTGCGCTTCTCGATATCAATCATGCAGTGACCGATGCAACCTCCATGTCAATCATGATGCGTGATCTGGCGAGGTTATACAGCAACCCCAGAGACACGCTAGCACCGATGCTGCGGTACTCCGACTACATTTCCTATCTGCGCAATGCATCAACATCCTCCACATTGGACTTCTGGAAACTATATCTAGCAGATGCCAGTCCCTGTATTTTCCCCAGACGCAACCTCGAGGAAATGAAAGGAGGCGACTCGTCTTGGAGATCTGTATCAGTGGAGGTCGGCGACATTGGCCGATATCGACAGTTCTGTGCTGCCACCGGGATCACCCTCGCCAATTTATGCAAGATAGCCTGGAGTCTTGTCCTATCTGCTTTCACATCTTCTGGCAAAGTGTGTTTTGGTTACATGACGTCCGGACGGGATTTGTCTCTGACGGGAATCGAAGATGCCGTGGGCCCGTTCATCAACATGCTAGTTTGTTATTTGGAGATCCACCCGGAGAGGACCCTGCTGGAGACATTGCATGTATTGCAATCAGAGTTTATCGAAGCGTTGCCACACCAAAGAGTATCACTTGCAGAGATTCGCCATGCCCTCAATCTAGCTAACGATGATCCTCTGTTCAACACTACGATGACTTTCCCGCCACAGTCGGAAGAAGAGGAGATAGGGATGATTCACGTTGCAGAAGTGGATCGACTAGATGCAGCTGAATTTGCAGTTGTTGTTGAGGTGATGGTGACAGGTAGTGAGATTCGTGCCACTATAAAGTACTGGACCGAATTCCTTTCGGTGTCACAGTCTCGCTCATTAGCCCGCACATTGAGCCACGTTCTTACCCAAATCATCGAACGGCCAGAGCAGAAAGTCAGAGAGATTCAGTTGCTGAGTGCAGCTGATGAGGAATGGATCCTACAACTGAACCACCATGTTCCGCAAGTCAGCTCTGTATGTGTGAACGAGCTCATAGATAAACAGAGCAACGCGCAACCACTGTCTACAGCCGTCCATGCTTGGGATGGAAGTCTCACCTACCAAAAGTTACAAGAGCTGTCGAATAATCTCGCCTTACACTTGGTGAGTATTGGGGTGACAACTGGTTCATATGTACCGCTGTGCCTGACCAGAAGCTCTTGGACTCCGGTCGCAATGCTCGCTGTGATTAAAGCAGGGGCTGCATTTTGCCTTTTTGACCCTTCTCACCCACTCCAGCGTCTACAGGAGATCTGTAATGCTCTGGGACAGCCTCGGACTATCATTACATCAAGTGAACACCGCGCACTAGCGGCAGAGCTGGCCGTCGATCTCGTGGTTGTCGAAAATCCTCTGCCTCTTCTAAAGTGCCACGAACTCCCAAAAATCACCCCAACAGATCCTGTGTATATCGTATTTACCTCAGGTTCGACTGGCTTGCCCAAGGGAGTGGTTGTTGGGCACCAGTCTTATTCAACCAATGCACAGGCACATGTTCAATCATTTGATATGTCTCGTCATTCACGAGTGCTGCAATTTTCTGGCTATTCATTTGACGTTAGCATATTTGAACATTTGACAGTGCTCATTGCTGGAGGCTGTATCTGTATTCCCTCCGAGACAGATCGCTTAAACAACCTTGCTGGTATAACAACTCAGATGGCGGTGGATTGCATATTCCTAACACCCTCTGTCGCGAGACTGCTTCGCCCTGAACAGGTACCCAGTCTGAAGACGATGGTCTTGCTCGGTGAACCGATGAGCAGCGCAGACGTTGATCAATGGGCATCATCAGTGCATTTGATGAATGGTTACGGACCGGCAGAAGCCACGGTCCTCTGTAGTGTTCAGCCGAGCATGCATAGCACTGATCCGCAAAATATTGGATGGCCTATTTCTTGTGTCTTTTGGGTCACCAACCCTGAAAATCCGCATCAGCTGCTTCCGATGGGTGCAATGGGTGAGCTCCTTGTGGAGGGACCGATCCTTGCCCAATGCTATTTTAATGATTCAGCAACAACTGAATCTGCATTCATTCAAGCCCCTATGTGGCTCCAGAAATTCCGGGGCACCAGGGCTGATACAAGCGCACAACGTGTCTATCGCACAGGCGATTTGGTGCAATATAGCCCAGATGGATCAATCCGATATGTTGGTCGTATTGATACCCAAGCAAAGCTGCGCGGACAACGCCTCGACCTGGTTGACATCGAACATCATGTGAAGCGGCTGTACCCGGATGCTCATGAGGTTATTGCCGATGTTTTACGTTTAGGGCCGAATAATAATTCTCAAATGCTGATCGCCTTCGTTGCTCGTTCACCTCTAGCTCACAGGATCAATTCTCTGGAGCCTAGTCAGATACTAGGTTCCTCCGACGATACTGGGTTCCGGAGAGCGATGGCCTCTATCCGCCCAGGTCTCCAGAGTGTGCTCCCCAACTACATGGTGCCCACCGTGTTTTTCCCTCTCAACGATGTGCCCTTGACAAAAACTGGGAAGACTGATCGAAAGCGCCTCCGACAATTGGTGTCAGCTTTGTCGAGCAGCGAGATAGATCAGTTTTCAAGAGACCAGATGACCAAACGACCTCCAGTGACTGCCATTGAGCGAAGGTTGCAGATACTATTTGCCGAGGCACTGGCCCTGGAACCAGTTCAAATCGGCGCCAACGACCATTTCTTTCAGCTCCGCGGTGACTCCATCTCAGCCATGACTTTGGCTTCCAAGGGCCGGCAATCGGGCCTTGCCATCGTGGTAGCGGATGTCTTCGCCTATCCAATATTGTCTGACCTAGCACGGGTTGTCCAAGACGTACATCAAACATCAAGTTCAGAGGTGGTACCTCCATTTGCTCTAATGCCAGAGCCCCGAGAGGGAGTGAGAGGAATATTGCAAGAAGCGATTCAGCAATGTAATCTTTCTTTAGACCAGGTGGAGGATATGTATCCCTGCACAGCCCTGCAAGCCGGCATGATTATCCTGAGCTCACGAAAATCTGGGATGTATATCGGACAGTTCGTTTTCGATTTCATTTCCAATGCGAGTCTAGATTGCATACAGACAGCCTGGCAAGCAATTGTTGATGCCAATCCAATCCTGCGCACCCGGATTATTCAAACTGAGTCAGAAGGCCTCTGGCAAGTAGTTGAGAGGGGGCATCAAATAACCTGGCTCCAAGGATCATCGGTTGATAAGTGGCTGGCAGATGATCTCACGCAGCCGATGAAACTGGGGGAACCTCTCGTACGATTTTCTTTAATCGGCGACTCTGGGCCTGCCTCCACCGCATCCAGCATGGTCCTCACCATGCACCACGCCATCTATGATCATTGGAGCTTGGCACTTTTACTTCATCAGGTTGAAATTGCCCTCCAGGGAAATCGTCTTCCCACCCAGCACTTTAGTCCATTTATCAAACACTTGATTACGCAGGACCCCGCGTCTGCCAAGGAATTCTGGTCTTCTGAATTCGCGGATGTAGAGTCCCCTCCATTTCCTACGCCATGCGCCACGACCGTCGAAGAAGCAGAGGTCAGAAGCACATTCGATCGCTCCGTATCTGTGTCGATGCCAGTCAATTCGAGGGTAACATTATCTAATGTTATCCTGTTGGCATGGGCCGTAGTTGTCTCTGCGTATACTGACTGCGAAGATGTCACCTTCGGCCTCACTGTGGCCGGCCGGAGCGCTCCCGTCCCCAAGCTGGACAAGATGACTGGCCCTACTATCGCCGCGATCCCTTTTCGAATCCGCGTCGAATCAGACCAGATGATTGATACGGCTTTAGCTGCAATTCAGTTGCACATTGCTCGCACCATTGAATTTGAACAGACCGGGCTACAGAACATCCGGAAAATGAGCCCTGAAGCAGCCGCGGCGTGCGAATTTCAAACCCATATTGGCATCCAACCGGCCTTGGAGATGAACACTGCTAACCCATACATGCGCCTACGTCCTTTTCAGGCGGACTATTCCGCATTTGCTAGCTATCCATTGGTGCTCGTCTGTGGATTAAATGCTGATAATGCTGCTATTGACATCCATGCCAATTTTTGCCCCTCCATTGTCTCACACCATGAGATGGCCACCATGCTCAATCAGTTTATCAACCTCTTGCATCAGATAGCAAACCAACCCAGCCATAACATTGGTGGCCTTGATCTGGTTACTCAAAACGACATGAAGACTTTGCGGTGCTGGAATGATGTCATACCTGCTCCATCCACGTCGACTGTTCATGATATGGTCTTAAGTCACGTCAAAGAGTGGCCCGATAAACCGGCCATCGTTACAACACAAACCACGGTCACATTTCAAGAACTAGACCTGCTCTCCAAAGAGCTTGCACGGCAATTACAAGGCTTTGGGGTCCAACCCAACACAATGGTGCCATTGTACTTTGAAAAGTCAATATGGCCAATTATTGCCATGATTGCTGTTCTCAGAATTGGGGCCACCTGTGTCAATATCGACACCGCATTGCCTGCTAGTCGCGTTCGCGATATGTTGCAAGAGACGAACCCATCCATCGCCTTAGTTTCACCATCACAGAAGGATTTCCTTACGGCTCAAGCGCCCCGGTCATTAAGAATCATTGCGGTTCCATTGGAAGCCAAAGATACTTCGAAAAAGGACATAGCCTGGACCCCGCCCGTTGTGAGTTCCTCGACAGCGGCATTTATAATCTTCACCTCCGGCAGTACTGGCAAACCGAAAGGCATTGTCATGGAGCATGGGAACCTGACAACCAGCATTCGCCACCATAGCATTGCTATGGAGATCGGATCCACCACTCGATCATTGCATTTTGCCGGGTATGCATTTGATGCTAGTATCTACGAGATATTTACTACCCTAGCAAATGGCGGCACAGTATACGCAGCGTCAGAGCACGAACGTATCAATGAGTTGGCGGGATTCATCCGCCGTCATCATGTATCTTGGGTAGCAGTGACACCTTCTGTAATAAATCTTCTTCGGCCTGAGGACGTGCCTAGTCTCCGTACAGTTGTACTGGGCGGCGAAGCAGTTACGCATCATCATGTCAACATCTGGGCTGGCCGAGAGAACCTACACCTCATCAATGGATACGGACCGGCCGAAGCTACCATCTGCGCTGCAGGTGTTATTCCCGCAGTTGGCTGGCGAATAGGAACCATAGGGCCTATCCTCGGTGCCGTTGGGTGGGTAACAGTTCCCTCAGATCCTGAGAGATTGTCGCCCCTAGGAGCAGTGGGCGAGCTTCTCATTGAAGGTCCAGTAGTCACGAGGGGGTACTTGCACCACCCGGAGAATGCCCCTACAGGCTTTATATCGTCTCCATCATGGCTTCAACGGTTCAGATTCCCTAATCAGCCAGGACGGTTGTACAGATCCGGAGATCTGGTCCAGTACACAGAAGATGGATGGATCCGGTTTGCAGGACGTAGAGACACACAAGTCAAGCTCCGTGGTCAAAGAATTGAGCTAGGCGAGGTCGAACACCACGTTAAATCGTGCATTTCTGATGCTCGTCAGGTTGTTGCCGAGGTAATATCCCGCGGGTGTGACGGACGCTCTGCATTACTGTTTGCCTTTGTCTTGCATGACGATATCTACAGCCCGGATGATCCGAAAGGTGAGAATCTTTTCGCAGTACCTGGAAAAAAGCTGCGGTCACAGATTTTGCAAGCGCGCCGCCAGCTGCTTGCAGACCTTCCGCCGTATATGGTGCCTGCGGTGCTAGTCCCTGTCTCCGAAATGCCCTACACCAAAACCGGCAAGCTCGATCGGAAAAGATTGCGAAGCGAGGCTGCTCGTTTGTCAAGTGATCAATTGCAGCACCTAGAAGGAAATCAAAGCCCGAAGAAGACACCATCAACGGATCTCGAACTCCGCGTACGCCAGATCTGGGCGCACGTCCTAGCAATTAACCCTGAAGAAATTGGGATCCATGACAACTTTTTCTCCATTGGAGGAGAGTCCGTTGCTGCCATGCAAGTCGTGGCCCAGTGCCGGTCTGCTGGGTTACTTCTGACCGTCGCGGACCTTTTCCGGTTTCAAACCATCTCGGCCTTGGCAACTCACATCCACATCCAAGACCAGAGTACCGAACTTGCTGCCACTGTGCCTTTTTCTCTCATAGATAGTTCTGACAAACTTGAAGATATTCTGGCTCTTCTTCAATCGACATGTGGTGTCAAGCATGACTTGGTGGAAGATGTATATCCCTGCACAGCTCTGCAGGAAGGCTTGATGGCACTCACAGCCAAAAATGAGAGCGCTTATGTCAATGAGCTCAGGTATCAATTACCCAGCGATGTCGATCTGACTAGCCTGAAAGCTGCGTGGAATGCTACAATGGCAGCCAATCCAGTCTTGCGTACGCGGATTATCCAGCTAGATGCGCGACGGTGTTATCAAGTCGTTCTATCAGAAGACTCCCACTGGCAGCTTTATCCGGATATGCAAACCTACCGTGAGCAGTCAAAGGCATATTTCGGCTTAGGTAGGCCTTTGGTTGACTTGGTGGCTGTGATGCAATCCCTCCCGGTCAAAGGATACATTTTGATGCTCCGGATTCATCATGCCGTCTATGATGGCTGGTCTCTGCCTATTCTCTTGAAACAAATTCAAAGGGCATATGACGGCCACAAGTTGAAAGTCAAACCCTATGCCCCATTCATCAATTATTTGCAAGCACAACAAACAGCGGGAGCCGAGTTCTGGCAAGGAGAGCTTGCGTCCACCGACACAATCACATTCCCAAAGTTGCCATTCCCGGGCTACCAGCCCATGTCACAGGCCACCATTACGCAGACTGTCCCTATGCAGCAACAGATCAACGACGGAATCACTCTAGCTGTCAGATTACATCTAGCATGGGCACTTGTTGAATCTCTGTATACTGGTTGTAGCGACGTTGTGTTTGGCGTCACAACTACCGGTCGAGCGGCTCCAGTACCGGGTATCGAGCAGATGACGGGCCCAACACAGGCGACAATACCCATGCGAGTACAGATTGATTCCAACCAGACGATAATCGGGGCATTGCATCAGTGCCAAAGCAAGATTATGAGTGTCATTCCATATGAGCAATTCGGACTGCAGAACATCATGCAGTTAGGGAACTCTCATGCAGCGGCCTGCCAGTTCCAGACACTACTGGTAATCCAACCCCCGGAGAAGTCGCGAACGGAAGTTTTATTCTGCGAAGAGAAAATACTCTCGGAGCTGTACGGATTCAACCCTTACGCTCTAATGCTGATATGTCAGTTGACAACCGACGCGGTCGAGGTGCGGGCCATATTTGACGCCAATGTCATGTCCCAGGCGCAAATGGACCGGATTCTCGGGCAGTTCGGCCACGTGGTCCAACAATTGAGCGTACTGAAGTCAGACGTTCCGATTTCCCATTTGGAACAAGTCCGTGCGGAGGATCTGGCGGACTTGGCATGCTGGAATCATCTAGAATCAGCTCCTCTGGAGCTCTGCGTCCATCATGCCATCCAAGAGCGTTGCGACTCCCAGCCCGATGACCATGCAGTTTGTGCTTGGGATGGGGATCTTTCTTATCGAGAACTTGACGCCTTGTCATCCACATTGGCCCTGCATCTCCAAATTCTCGGGGTGGGGCCAGAACTAGTTGTTCCTCTATATTTTGAGAAGTCGCGCTGGGTCCCTGTGGCCATGCTTGGGGTTATCAAGGCAGGAGGCGCCTTTGTCTTACTCGAACCGGCCCATCCGGCTGAGCGGCTACAGCAAATATGCCTGAGCGTCAAGGCCAAAGTAATTGTTGCATCAAGCCAGTATACGTCGGCGACTGCCACACTGGGGGCGTATAAGGTGGTGACTCTGAGTGATGATGAAACTGAATGGTGTGCGAATGACGCTGGAGATCGACGCTCTTTGGCATCATCTCTTAGCCCTCGTAACACCCTCTATATTGTCTTCACCTCAGGCTCGACTGGACAGCCCAAGGGAGTTGTTGTTGAGCACAGATCTTTCCAACTAAACGCCATGGGCTACGTTCCCTTGATCAAGCTGAATCGTAATTCTCGTGTCTTTCAGTTCTCTGGCTTCGCGTTTGATCTCATTATCATGGAGGTTTTTAGTACACTCATGGCCGGTGGGTGCATCTGCATACCCTCGGAGCATGATAGGAGCAGTCGAATTGCGCAGGTTTTAACCACTATGAAAGTCAACTGGATGCTTCTGACGCCGTCAGTGGCTCGCACAATGTTCACTCCAAGGGATTTTCCAACCCTTCGGACTCTTGTTCTCGGCGGCGAAGCCATGAGAGAAGAGGATATCGCCACTTGGTCTCGCACAGAGCATTTGATGAATGCCTATGGCCCCGCCGAATGTAGTGTGATCACCACTGTGCATACATCTGTCACTTCCCAGTCGGGCGCACATAATATTGGCCGACCATCGAGTTCAGCCATCTGGATTACGCACCCTCAAAATAGTGATCAACTGCTGCCGGTAGGTGCCGTCGGTGAAATTTTGATTGAAGGTCCCATTGTTGCCCGAGGTTACTTGGATGATTCGGCCAGAACAGATGCTTCATTCATACCAGCACCGCATTGGCTACATCATTTCCGTAACATATCGGCACCGCAAAATCGCCTTTATCGGACGGGGGATATGGGTCAATACCAAGCCGATGGTTCGATCCTGTTTCTCGGACGTCGAGACGGCCAAGTTAAGCTGCGTGGCCAACGCATCGAGCTGGCGGAGGTGGAACACCATGTTCAGCACCATTTCCCCGAAAGCCGTGAGGTGATCGCTGATATCATTCAGCATGACCTGTCCAGTGGGCCTGTGCTGGTTGCATTAGTTGCTTGTCAATCTACTGTCGAGGAGGCCTCGCGGGAAAATCACAGCCTGTTGAGCGAGCCTGGAGAGGAACACTTCTTGAAGTTTGTCGATTCTGCACGCTCGAAGCTGGCGCGTACGCTTCCTCACCACATGGTGCCCACGTTCTTTCTGCCACTGAACCGGGTGCCTCTTTCAAGCACGGGAAAAGCTGATCGGCGCCTCCTGCACCACCATCTCCTAAGCCTCTCCGCTGAGGCGTTCATTGCCTTTAGTGGCGGCCAATCTCACAAGGCTGCGACATGCGCAGAGGAGCGGACCTTGCAAACGCTTTTCGGTCGAGTATTGAGCGTAGATCCCGTCGGCATCAGCCCTGACGCCAACTTCTTCCAGATAGGAGGCGACTCCATTGTCGCTATGAAACTCGTGAGTGAAGCGAGAATGGCCAATATGCAGTTCACTGTAGCAGACGTTTTCACCTATCCCGTGCTTTCAGACTTGGCCAAAGTCATGCGCCATATCACACTTCAATCTATCGCTAACGCTCCCTTTGCCCTTCTCCCTGTGGAGAACAAGCGAACCCGCATACTGCAAATAGCGGCAGAATCGTGCGGGATTGAGGCGAACGCAGTGGTAGATATATATCCGTGTACGCCACTACAGGAAGGACTAATGGCACTCACTGCGCAAAAGTCAAGCATGTATATCGGACAGCTTGCATTTAAACTAGCGGAAGGTACTGATCTCCCTCGGTTGCAAGCCGCTTGGCAGCACACGGTTGATGTGAACCCCATCTTACGGACTCGCTTAATCCAAAGCGAGACTGATGGGTTGCTTCAAGTGGTTGTCAAACCAAGCCAAATTACCTGGCACCCACACAACTCCGTCAAGGAATATCTCAATGAGGACTTGCTTCAACCCATGATGATTGGACAGAAACTGGCGCGGTTTGCCATCGTTCAACCGCAATCCTGCCATGATCAAGATTCTGTGTACATGGTCTTGACGTTACATCACACGCTATACGATGGATGGTCACTGCCCCTATTATTGCGCCAGGTAGACATGGCCTACTATAGCAGGTCGCCTCAAGCCTACCCCTTCACCCCATTCATTCAGTATGTGATCACCAATGGAAGGGGTCCGGCAGCTCATGCATTCTGGAATGCCGAATTTGCTGCCCTCGAGGCTCCTCCATTCCCAGCATTGCGTCAGTCAGCGTGCACAGCTCAAACCCCTTCCAGACGTGGGAGTGTTGAAACCGCCGTTCCCATTGATTTCCGAACCAATGCAACTGTCACTCTCTCCAATGTTATCCGCCTAGCCTGGGCTATAGTGGTATCTGCATACACTGACAGTGAGGATGTTTTATATGGTGTGACTGTGACTGGTCGCAATGCGCCGGTTCCCCATATTGAGGACATGGCAAGCCCGACCTTTGCAACTGTCCCATTTCGGGTTCGACTGGAGGCCGGTACCACTGTTTATACCGCGCTCACTGAAATCCAGAAGCATGCCACAAACATGATCCCCTTTGAACAAACTGGATTACAATATATTCGCAAGATGGGCCCGGAGGCTGCGGCTGCTTGCAAGTTTCGGAGCCAACTGGGTGTTCAACTTGCTACTGAAACAATCGACAATTCAAGTTCACTCATGAAGATTCAAAATCCTTTGGGGACAGGATTTGACCGTTTTGCTAGCTATCCTCTAGTGGTTATTTGCAATTTGAGCGTGCAGAACGACATTGTTCGCATTCATGCGGACTTCGACCTGGACGTAGCTTCTGCTGAAGATGCTGAGACAATGCTAGCCCAACTAGCCCATGTCTTGCAGCAGCTGTGCAAAGTGGACAATTCCACCCAGCTTGTGGCCGATATCGAACTTGTCAGTCCGGGTGATTGTGAAAAGCTTCAGCGCTGGAATGGCCATCTTCCTGATCCTAGCCATGCTACGCTTCATGACCTTGTGCTGCAACATGCCCGAGAAAGACCGGCAGCAGTAGCGGTCTCCACCACTTCCCAAAAATTGACATTTGGGGAGCTAGATACTCTTTCCAGCCATTTGGCTCACCATTTGGTCTCCCATGGTGTTAAACGCGGCGACTTTGTTCCAATCTGCTTTGAAAAGTCAATATGGCCAGTTGTTGGAATGCTGGCCGTTCTCCGCACGGGGGCAGCATGCTTCAATGTGGACCCAGCCCTACCATCTGGTAGAGTATGTGAGATGCTTCGGAGTATAGGCCCACACATCGCTTTGAGCTCTCATTCGCAGAAAAAGCACCTCGAGGAGTGCGCTGGAAGTCCTCTTCTGGTATTCACAGTACCATGGGGTCCTCTGGCTGTCTCAGGAATATCTTGGATACCACCAAGAGTTGAACTGAAGGATGCTGCATTTCTAATCTTCACGTCAGGCAGTACAGGCACACCAAAGGGTATCATACTAGAACACATGAACCTATCAACCAGCATCCACCATCACAGCAGTGCACTCCAGGTTGATCAGAACAGTCGATCTCTACACTTTGCAGGTTACGCGTGGGATGCTAGTGTCTATGAAATTTTCACCACCCTTGTTAATGGCGGGTGTGTTTGTATTCCTTCCGAAAAGGAAAGAATCAACGATCTGGCGGGCTTCATTCGTCGGAGTGAGATAACATGGGCTACACTAACTCCATCTGTTATGGCTCTCCTTGATCCTGACGAAGTGCCAAACTTGCGTGCAGTCTCTTTGGGTGGCGAGGCGATCAGCTATGAGATCGTCAGCATCTGGGCCGACCGTATCTACCTCATCAACGGGTATGGTCCTGCGGAAGCGACCATTTGCGCTGCAGGACGCATTCCTACTCAAGGCTGGGAGATCGGCACCATTGGCCCAATGCTGGGTTCTGTGGGATGGGTGACCATGCCGTCTGATCCCAGCCGGTTAGCTCCATTGGGAGCCGTGGGCGAGCTGTTGATCGAAGGCCCTGTGGTGGCCCGTGGCTACTTGAACCAAGAACAGAAGACGCGAGCGGGTTTTATTCAACCGCCGGCCTGGCTTTCTCGCTTCCGTCCCCAAGGCCCCGGGCGGATGTACCGATCGGGTGACCTAGTCCAGCTTACCAAAAACGGTTGGATCCGCTACGTCGGTCGAAAGGATACACAAGTCAAATTACGCGGTCAACGCATTGAGCTTGGCGAAGTTGAACATCATATCCGTTCTCATACCAACGCTCGCGAGGTCGTAGCTGAGGTCATCATTCGAGGGGCGGGGCCACCGGTGCTTGTTGCCTTTGTCCTGTATGATGTCCACGATATGGGGGATTGTGATCTGTTTGCGTTGCCAAGTGGTGATTTCTACAGGCAGGCTAAGATGATTCGTGCACGGATGCAAGACCATGTGCCCTCTTACATGGTGCCCGCCGCATTCCTACCGCTTCAATTTATGCCCTCAACGCCAACCGGGAAGACAGATCGCAAGCGCCTATGCGAGGCGGCATCCCGGCTGTCAAACAGTGATTTCGCGCGCTATGGGGATGGGTTGGAGAGTTTCAAACGATCTCCATCCACGGACATGGAGGTTCAGCTACAAAGCCTCTGGGCGCGAATCCTCAAGCTACCGGTAGCTGATATCGGAGCAGACGACAGTTTCTTCCGTCTTGGGGGAAATTCGATTGACGTGATGATGTTGGTCACTATGGCCCGAAAAGTGGGAATTGAATTCTCTGTGACAAGTGTCTTTCAACATCCAAAACTTTGTGATCTCGCCATCGCCGCCAAACCCGGCTCCCCTCGGCTGGTTGGTTATACCGAATCTTATCAGCCCTTCTCATTGCTCAATCTGACAGACTCCGAGACATTCATTCTGGATCAAGTAGCCAACGGTCGGCCTTTCGAACAAATCGACGTAATCGACGTTCTTCCCACAACGCAATTTCAAAGAGAACAAATACACCGCGACCTGCGTCACTACTTTATGGTGCACATCCCTGGATCAGTGGATGTGCCGCAACTGGAGAATGCAATTGAAAGGGTTGTCGAAAAGTATGAGATACTACGCACCGTTTTTGTACCGCTCCACAATACCCTGGCCCAAGTCACCCTGCGCCGCCTTGTCAGTTTCTTTAACATTATCGAAATCACGAGCGATGTGAAGGTCGCGGCCAAGGCTCTCAGTCAGGAAGATTGTCTCGCCTCTCTTACAACTGGGACTCCATACTTTAAGTCAACGCTAGTTACCGGACTTGAAGAGTCCGTATTAATCATTCGGATATCTCATGCGCAGTACGATGGAGTCTCGTTTCCCCTTCTATACTCGGATTTGTCCCGTGCCTACCAAGGCCATAGTTTGGCTCTCGCGAGACACTTTTCCGACTACATGAGATGTCGGGTAAATTTCCATTCGCCCCAAGCTTGGAAATTCTGGAGAGAGCTTTTGCAAGGCTCTTCAATGACCCAGCTAGATCCTTGTTCCTTTGGAGGGTATGCTTCGCCCGGGTCGGAAGTTCTCATCCATCGACGCACCACAATCAGTTTGCCCACCTTGCCTGAGGACATCACCATCGCCACGGTCTTCAAAGCCGCCTGGGGCCTGACTCTTGCACGACTGACAGGCCTAAGCGATATCGTATTTGGCCAAGTCGTTCACGGTCGCAGTGTACCTTTAGACGGAGTTGAAAATATCCTCGGGCCCTGCGTCAACATTATCCCCGTCCGGGTGCCCTTGCAGCGGGAATGGCGCTCAATAGACCTTTTAAATTACCTCCACCACCAGCACGCATGCACCCAAGCCTTTGATACAATCGATTTTGAAGATATTGTTAGCCAAAGCACCTCATGGCCATCCCAGACACGATTTGGAAGCATCACCCAACATCAAAATATGTCAATCACTTCTCAAGTGAAGTTTGATAGTCTCGAGTGTACGACCGAAACACACTCATCGACTGACATCCCGGAGACGTGTTATGCCGTCTCTACCCCCCAAGGATCTGCTTTGATGATTGAAATTGTTGCTTCTAGTCACATGCTCAGCACAGAGAGTGCTGATCGTCTTCTTGCTGGACTATCCAATATGATCTTAGATCTTTCATTGCAGTCGACATCACTGGTTACCAATTTTCTAGTTGATCATGACCTAACTAACGGCTGAGGATGAGACAAGACAGGTCCCATAGTGCTTCTTAGATAGTTTACATAATAAGTCTTCTTCTTTCTTTCCCGTAATATTTCGAGCATACCATCAATCAATCAATTAATCAATCAATCAAAGTTCAATTCGTCTAAGTATGGTCTTGTTGGTGCAACAGGATGTATAGGGGATACTATAGAAGCACTTACAAATTGTTCCTTGTGGGAGATCTGAAATGGTCAGTCCAGCCGCTGTATACAATGGTCTGGGAAGAAATTTACTGGGCGGGAGGAAAGGGAACACAGAGGCGTCAACTACTCGCACTGTTTCACATGGCATGAGTACTGAGATTAACGCGAGCAGAACGACATTTATATGAACTTACAGCGCTTAGTTCCGTATACAAGGCCATGGCTATCCACAACAGCCATCTCGTCATCGGGTTTTCTCATCTTGCATGTCACTGCAGCGTGATACATCGTTTGAAAGGCGTCTTGAATGAAATGATGGATCTGTTCTTCGGTAGACACTTTGTCTCCCGGGTAATACTCCGGCCCAATCGTCAGGTTCTCTTGCAGGACCGAGGCTTGGAAGATCTGGCGCAGTCGCTTGAATCCCGCCGTGAGAAGTTCCACATCGACCTGTTGGGTCAACCAATTTGGGTTGATCAGCGGTTGATCGTGCATGCTGGAAGATGAAATAGAGACATTTCCACGACACTTAGGGGCGATCAGAGTTGCCATAATGGTGGCGTAGTTCCCATCCGTGGGCCCGCCAACACCAGGATTCCAGAAATCACCCACATAAGCAGGAAGGTTAAAATATTGGATCTCGGGCCAATCCGACGGAAGGCTGTCAAGGTCTGTATGTGTTGTTAATAAACAAACAAACATTGATTAGCCCAACAGCAGCAAGTAAGAAAAGGATCTTAGCTGATGTTTAGACCTACATTCGCGTGTACTATCTGAGAAATTCGCGCGGAGCTCTTTTGGTAGCTTTTAAAACCCACAGTGATCCCCTCCAGGACCAGCCAGTGGGCCGGCCTGCTGATCCCGAAATAACAGAACAGCTTCTTGGTAGACAGACGGGTCAGACAGCGAGGTTGCAGTCTGGACATTTACCTTGTACGTGATGCCAAGGAATACATGGTCTAATATTTTGCCCCACGCCAGGACGATTGGCAACTACCTTGATATCATGCTGGCGTAGTAGGTCCGCCGGTCCAAGACCGGAGATCATAAGCAACTGAGGTTACTGGAAGGTACCTGCGGACACAATGACTTCTTTTGACGCTGCTAATAAGAAGGTATGGCCTTCCGATGTCACTTGGACTCCCGTGGCTACTTTTCCCACAATTTTCTCAGCCAGCGTGTTTTTGTAGACCGCCAGGTTGGGGCGGGTGAGAAAGGGTCTTAAGAAGGCCGATTCAGAGGAAGCTCGGAAGCCCGTTGTCTGGTCGATAGTATGAACCAGCCAGCTCGAGCCATTTAGATAGCCGCTGGTAAATCTGGGGATGTGTGGAATACCGACTTCCTCCATGCCTTTCGCTGCCCAGGTGCTGAAGGGCTGGGCGTAATTGGGGTAGGTCAACGCCAATGGGCCGTTATGAGGGTCGACTCATTGTAGCTCGGGGTGGAATTGGTAATTGGTTTCTGCATATTCGGCGGAGTAGTTGAGACTCTTCTTATAGTCAAGGAGAACATTATCAAAAGTCCACGACTCGTTGCCCACAGTTTCGGAAACTATCACAGATAATGCCGAATTGTCGGATCAAAACCGACGCCAACATATTACAGTTGCATACTATTAGCGATGTAAATTTGGCTTTGGACCTAAAGCCGAGTCTTACTCCTTGAGAGGAAAAAGGTAAATACCATTAATTTGGAGCAGGAAATATCGTAACTTAGATCTGTACGCTATTATTCCCTATGATTAAGGGAATTTCATTCTGGCTTTTGAGCAACGAAGCGAAGTCGAATGTAATTGACAGTAAAAGAACCATCATGCTGCTGTCTTCCAACAGACTCGAGAACGTCAACGGCGTGTTTGACGGCTGCGTCGCGTGCCTCGGTTGTCGGGAGGAGTTCAAGAAAGGGCTCACCAAACAGGCGAATCCTACAAGCCATCAGTCAAAAAGTCAATAAGCTATCAGTGTCAGACCTACCATCCTTCAACACCACCCTTCTCATTCTCTGTCAAAGTTGTCTGTCTGAGTTGGACCTCGCCCTTGACCCAGTTGAAGCCCGCTCCTTCAACAAGGCCTTTCATAGCCTGATGCGATGGGAACCACCAAGGCGATGCTTCTCGTGCTTTCTCAACAGGAATACCTTGAGTGACTAGACCGCTAATAATTGCGGAATGCACCTCGGCCACATTTCCTAGCGCGCCGGACTCATTGATCAGAAGACCACCCGGCTTAAGCGCCTCGAAACAGCCCTTGATTGTATTGGACCTGGTTTCAGGGTCTCTCAGAATCCAATGCAAGGCAGCGTTCGAAAAGACCTTGTCGAAACCCCCGGTTATGAGGTCAGACTCTTGATCCAGCAGTCGGCAATCGACGACTCGCGACTCAATGTGTGGGTAAGAATTTTTGAAGTGCTCGATCATGTTGGGTGAGCCGTCGATTCCCACGATCCGTTTGACATGGGGAGCTATGCGAGCTGTCAAGGGGCCCTCCCCGGAGCCGATATCAAGGATTTCGTCTATCTTGTTACTTAAGCCTGGCGATTGTCATCTGAAGACTTACCAGTTGGCTTGGGGTCCAGCCAGGCGAGAATCGTCTCAGTCGAAGTTGCAACGAATGGGGCCACCTTTTCGCCGTAGAGGTCGGCTGACCAGATATCTTTCTTCTCTTGTGCCTGCGCCATGTTGTTGTCTGTCTTTTCAGAGTCTTACAGAACCTGACTGGACTAGACCTGGGCATGGGCCGGCCCATGGACAAAAACCTCGTGGGTCGGCCCATTTGGGCCGGCCCATTTTCTATCCCACGGGGGTACCTGCAGTCTGGCAGACTGCAGGTTAGGGTTTTTCCTTTACTATGGGAGGAAAAGTGGGTCGCACACCTGACTGCAGGTTCTTTTCGTCGCCAGACTGCGAAGGTCTAGAGGCCTCGGATCGCTCTGAAAATTTGGGAAGTTAAAATGGCATAGATGAATTTGCCCCCATTCGCATCGGAGCTTACATAGCCCCCTGGTTGTCGAGATAATGGTGATTGAAAATGCCGGGTTTTTCGAGATGTTTTGATGGGGTGCGGGAATCCAGAAGTGCGACCGGGGCCTGAGGCTGCCACTTGGTCACTGCGATAAGATAAGCGGGTCGTATCCTGACTTCATGTAAACTGCGCACCTCCACTGCCGAGGGCTACAGACCTCTAACAGATCTGAAATTCACAGGGGTTATAATAGAGAGTGTTTTATTTATCTTAGTGAATTTTTAGACTATATGAGCATATATATGTGGGGTGGAGTGTGATCAAACATGGGAGATGTTTTGATAGGGGACAAGAAAGGCTTGGCACTACAGTCCACAACACTCTCCATTCTTATCGTATATCTTTTAAACCATGCATGTTATTCGCACTATATATGCCATTCATGCTGCTCACCAGATTCATGTTATTCACCACATTCACGTTATTCACCCATTCATGTTGCTCAACTATTCGTGTTACTCACTGGATTCATGTTATTCAGCCATTCATGTTGCTTACCACATTCATGTTATTCAGCCATTCATGTTGCTTCAGCCATTCATGTCATTCAGCCATCGTGGCCTGTGAATAACCTAAGATGGGATGACTGCCATGCCTATATGATCCATAAATGCCCTGGAATGGGCGGAGTGCCCAGCCTGTGTGGCCAATGGGCTGCTGAGCCTGCCTGGGCCGAGAATGGTCTGAAATGGGATGACTGCCCTACCTGAATGGGCCGAGCACCATGCCTATGTGCCTCCGCCTCACACAGAAATTCAACACACACATTCAACACGCACATTCAACACACACTTTCAACACACACATTCAACACACACATTCAACACGCACATTCAACACACACTTTCAACACACACATTCAACACACACATTCAACACGCATATTCAACACGCACATTCAACACGCACATTCAACACGCACATTCAACACGCATATTCAACACACACATTCAACACACACATTCAACACGCACATTCAACACGCATATTCAACACGCACATTCAACACGCACATTCAACACACACATTCAACACGCACATTCAACACACACTTTCAACACACACATTCAACACACACATTCAACACGCACATTCAACACGCATATTCAACACGCACATTCAACACGCACATTCAACACACACATTCAACACGCACATTCAACACACACTTTCAACACACACATTCAACACACACATTCAACACGCACATTCAACACACACTTTCAACACACACATTCAACACGCACATTCAACACACACTTTCAACACACACATTCAACACACACATTCAACACACACATTCAACACACACATCCCTAACGATCTGCATGGGTTATATAGGCAAAGCATAGACTGAAATGGGATGACTGCCCTGCCTAGGTGAGCTGAGGGCCAGCCGATGCGGCTAATGGAAGCCCCGCCTATGTGGTTAGTGGCAGCCCTGCATATGTGGGGAATCATTGGTCGACCTGTCAATCTAAGGCCCGGGCCGAAATGCACCATGTCGATCATCCTATTCTATATATAGTGTGTGCAGGCGGGGTAACGGGGGCTGAAACGATCCCCCGCCTATATTAAAATCCTTCTTATACTAACCTGCCTGCCCTTTCCACTCTGCTTTTACTCTCACTTTCATCATAGTTATCCTTCACTGTTTTATGTTATTACTTACCCCCACTACCATAATGGAACATCAGCTTTTTCACCAGCCATTAACCACGCCCGTGATTGTATGCAAGCTATGTGAATATGGTATTCGACCAAAAGAGGTTTTTCGACATCTCCAATCCGTGAATCACCGGATCCCTAAGCCGAAAGCATGCCAGATTGCCGAGGCAGTTCAGAAATGGGATCGTACGGCGGAATGTGATGAATGGCAGCCACCATTAGTGGTTAACCAACCAGTTCCAAACCTGCCTGTTTACTCAGATGGTATTTTATGTGAGCAAGGCCCGTTTTGCCATTTTATCGCCCGGAGTATTGGAACTATGCGAAACCACTGGCGTGATCAGCATAGCTGGGTCGCACCTATACACCGGGGTGGCCGTCGGCGCCAGCAGAATTCTTCGGTAGCGGAGCAACAAGTCCAACAATTCACTCGAATCGTCCGATGTCAACGTGCGTTTAATCACGGGCTAGGGTCCTATTACATCCGCGTTCAAACCCTCGGAGTTGACGCCGTTACCGAGGCCGATTCGGTAGCAACGCCTCACCTTCATGATCGTCTTATTGATCAGATCGAACGGGCATATACTGAAAGGGCAGAGCAGCCCCAGATAATCGAGGCTAGCCAACGAGACGAGACGAATCCATGGCTTCGGAGGACCCAGTGGGCCGTCTATCTTCAAGGGATTAACCCGCAGGACCTCGTGGACTGCGTCCGTGCCCCCGATCCCGAAGCGCCCGATCAGACCGAGCAGGCCGCCTATACAATTTGGAATTCAATGGCCACTGTAGCTCGCATCAGCTAGTTGATCTGCACCAAAACGAGCCACACTATTCGGTGCGAGGCTGTTCGGACTGAGCGTGATCGCCTGCCCCATCAACCACTACAAGCATATATGGATGCTGATAACGTTAAGCGACACACGATCCCGTGGCAGCAGATTCTCATGTTTTTCACGCGCACGCAGGCCCCACATGATTGGGCTAGCCCCCACTACAGGTTTTCCAAACGCCAGCGAGCGGCATGGGCCACTTTATGGAGACTAGCCCAGGCAGAGCTTAGTGCCTCACCCATCGTAGGCCAGGGCAGAGCAGGCCATTCCAACGCCGGCCAGGGCAGGGCAGGCCATTCCAACGCCGGCCAGGCCAACACAGGGCATTCCAACACAGGGCAGGCTAACACAGGCCATTCCAACGCCGGCCAGGGCAGGGCAGGCCATTCCAACACAGGCCAGGGCAGGGCAGGCCATTCCAACGCCGGCCAGGCCAACACAGGGCATTCCAACACAGGGCAGGCTAACACAGGCCATTCCAACGCCGGCCAGGGCAGTCAAGACCTGAGCAGTTCGGACCAAAGCAGTATACATTCAGGAAGTGATTCCGAGGACCAACAGCACCAAATCACTAGCGAATCCCCCTTTCAGCTCACTCCCCTTGACTCCGCCTGTCTAGATTTTTGCATTGAGCTATTGAACCACCGAACTAAGGTCGAGGACTATAAGAGCGCGCTTATCTGCGCTAGCGCGGTGCTTGGACGTGGGGAGGCAGGCTGGGGTACTGCCCAGAGCTATCCCCCAATATTGTCCAAAGTGATCAAGATTGCTCGGTTTATGGTGGTCCACAAAGCATTAAAGCTAGACCCAACGGCCGAGAAGATGATCCACCAACTAGCTACGCATCAGATGGCTGGCGAATGGGATACAGAGAGTCCGTTAGATTCGCCTGATTTCACGTTTTTAACGCAAACAACGGACGATTCGTTTTACAACGATAACGATGGAGATCAGGGGGCAGCACAGTCATCGCACTTTATTCAGTTTAGCCAGGGCCACACACAGGGCCACCGCCAACGATCATTCCGGGAGTGGGTGACCGAGATGGTCAGCCAGTTTATGGTCCGCGGCACTAACAGTCCAATGCAGTGGCTGTTAGATCTACGCACCTACGGCTTGAAGATCCATTATAACAGCACCGCCACAGGCCATGTTGGCTGGATGAACCAAGACCAGCTGTTATATCAACAGTACAGTTTCACTATGGGTGACTTCCGCGGCTTTACCCACGGCCTCGTAAGCTCCACACGCCAGATACTACACGAAGAGCTCCTGTTTAGTCAGGCTAGCTCAGTTCCCACGATCCCGTGGCAGGCTATCTATGATGATCCCACCGAGACCGCGCACGGGTGGAGCTTTCTGAAAGACACTCGCACGGTATGGCCTGTGGCCGGTAGCGAATGGATGGTGAATCGGGTCCGAAACGAGAGACCACTCCAGCATCGTTTCATCGAGTCTAGTGCCGGCCGGCTCCGAATGTCGAATGTGCACAGTTATCTCCAACGGGTAGTCCATTTCCGCGAGAAACTAGCTATTGCTATTCACGTCAGCGGAGGCCAGCCTGCACGGGCACCAGAGCTGTTAAGCATTCGGCACTACAATACTGATAGTGGAGGCCACCGGAATGTGTTTGTCGAAGATGGTCTGGTAGCGTTTGTTACGCAGTACCACAAAGGGTTTTATAGTACGAACGACGTGAAGGTTATTCATCGGTATCTACCCCGGGAAGTAGGTGAGCTAGTGGTTTGGTATCTATGGCTAGTGCTGCCGTTTGTGGAGAGATTGGAGGCGTACACACAGAAGGTGCGCGGGGAGGCATCTGATGCTGAGACGACCGGGTACGTTGGATATATATTTACCCCCCCTCACACACACACCCAACACACCCAACACGCAGATCAACATAGAGATTAACACAGAGATCAAACATATATATATATGCCCCCGCTCTCTCACACACACACATCCCCCTCACACACACCCACCCAACACACACATATATATACATTAACACGTTCACTACCAGCCCCCGTCGACAGGCATATCTATGGTCCCCTGACCCTATCCCACGGGGGTACCTGGAGTCACGGTGACTCCAGGTTAGGGTTTTTCTTTTACTATGGGAGGAAAAGTGGGTCCATACCCTGACTTCAGGTTAACTTCTCACCCTGACTCCTTTGGTCTAGAGGCCTCCGATCAGTCTGAAAATTTGGAAAGTTATAATGGCACATATGAATTTGCCCCCATTTGCTCCGGAGCTTGCACAGCCCTCTGGTTGTCGAGAAAATGGTGATTGAAAATGTCGGGTTTTTCGAGATGTTTTGATGGGGTGCGGGAATCTGGAGCTGCGACCGGGGCCTGAGGCAGCCACTTGGTCACCACGATAAGATAAGCGGGTCGCATCTTGACTTCATGTAAACTTCGCACCCCTACTGCCGAGGCCTACAGACCTCTGATCAATCTGAAATTTATAGAGGTTATAATATAGATCGCTTTATATATCTTAGCCACTTTTTACGCTATATGAATATATATATGTGGGGTGGAGGGTGATCAAAAATGGGAGATGTTTTGATGGGGAGCAAGAAAGGCTTGGCACTACAGCCATACAACACTCCCCATTCCCATTATATGCCATTCATAGGATTCAGCCATTGATTTTTTTCACCACATTCACGTTGCTCACACTATATATAGCATTCAGGTTATTTAGCTATTCCTAAAAATATGCCATTCACACCATATATGCTATTCATGTTGCTTACCACATTCACGTTATTCACCTATTCATGTTATTCACCTATTCATGTTATTCACCATATTCATGTTATTCACCTATTCATGTTATTCACCATATTCATGTTATTCACCACATTCATGTTATTCATCACATTCACGGTACTCACCCATTCATGTTGCTCAGCTATTCGTGTTGCTTACCACATTCAAGTTATTCACCTATTCATGTTATTCACCATATTCACGGTACTCACCCATTCATGTTGCTCAGCTATTTGTGTTGCTTACCACATTCAAGTTATTCACCTATTCATGTTATTCACCATATTCATGTTATTCACCATATTCATGTTATTCACCACGTTCATGTTATTCACCACATTCATGTTATTCACCACATTCATGTTATTCACCACATTCACGGTACTCACCCATTCATGTTGCTCAGCTATTCGTGTTGCTCAGCTATTCGTGTTGCTTACCACATTCAAGTTATTCAGCCATTCATATTGCTTACCACATTCATGTTATTCACCACATTCACGGTACTCACCTATTCATGTTGCTTAGCTATTCGTGTTGCTTACCACATTCATGTTATTCAGCTATTCCCACCATATATGCCATTTATGTTGCTTAGCCATTCATGTTGCTTAGCCATTCATGTTGCTTAGCCATTCATGTTGCTCACCACATTTACATTGCTCACCACATTCATATTGCTCACCATATTCATATTGCTCACCATATTCATTTTATTCAGCCATTCAACCCATATTAGGCTGAGGGCCCTTCCTAGCTGACTAGTGGGCTGCTGAGCCTGCCTGGGCCGAGAATAGACTGAAATGGGATCACTGCTATGCCTGGTAGCTAATTAATGCCCTGGGCTGAGCTGAATGCCCTGCCCGGCCGGCCAATGGCGTGTTAAGCCTGTGTGGGCAATGAATGCCGTGCCTGGCTGGCCAATGGCGTGTTAAGCTTGTGTAGGCAGTGAATGCCCTGCCTGGCTGACCAATGGTGTGTTGAGCCTGTGTGGGCAGTCAATGCTCTGTATGGCTGGAAATGGACTGAAATAGGATGACTGCCATGCCTAAATGGGCCGAGGACCCTGCCTATGTGCCTCCGCCTCGTACAGAAATTCAACACACAGATCCTCCACCCCTCATCTTCTCCCTCACACACATCCCCCCACACAGAGATTCAACACACACATCCCTAACGATCTGTATAGGTTATATAGGCAAAGCAAGACTGAAATGGGATGATTGCCCTGCCTAGGTGAGCTGAGGGCCAGCCTATGTGGCTAATGGCAGCCCTACATAAGTGGGGAATCAGTGGTTGACCTGTCAATCTAAGGCCCGGGCCGAAATGCACTATGTCGATCATCGTATTCTATATATAGTTTTTGCAGGTGGGGTAACGGGGGCTGAAACGATCCCTCGGCCTATATTAAAATTCTGCTTACACTAACCTACCTGCCCTTTCTACTCTACTTTTCCTCTCACTTTCATCTTAGTTATCCTCCACTGTTTTCTTTCATTACTTACCCCCACTACCACTATGGAACATCAGCTTTTTCACCAGCCATCAACCACGCCCGTGATTGTATGCAAGCTATGTGAACATGTTATTCGACCAAAAGAGGTTTTTCGGCACCTCCAATCCGCGAATCATCGGATCCCGAAGCCAAAAGCGCGCCAAATTGCCGATGCAGTTCAACAATGGGAGCGTGCGGCGGAATGTGATGAATGGCAGCCACCACTAGTAGTGAATGAACCAATTCCTAATTTGCCTGTTTACTCGGATGGCATTTTATGTGAGCAAGGCCTATTTTGCCAATTTATTGCCCGGTCAACCACAACTATACGACAACACTGGCGTGATCATCATAGCTGGGTAGCTCCTATCAACCGGGGCGGTCGTCGGCGGCAGCATACTTCATCGGCTGCGGAGCAACAAATCCAGCAATTCACTCGTATCGTGCGATGCCAACGTGCGTTTCCTCAACGGCTCGGGTCCCATTATATCCGCGTTCAAACGCTCGGAGCCGAGGCTATTCCCGAGGCCGATTCGCTAGCAATATCTGATCATAATAGTCAGGTGATTGATCAGATGGAAAGAGCATATACCGAAAGACAAGAGCTTCCCCAGGTGATCGTGGCTAGCCAGCGAGACGAGACGAATCCATGGCTTCGGAGGACCCAATGGGCCGTCTATCTCCAAGGGATCAACCCGCACGACCTAGTGGACAGTGTCCGAGCCCCCGATCCCGAATCACTCGATCCCACCGAGCAGGCTGCCTACGCAATATGGGATTCAATGGCCACTGTGGCTCGTATCAGCCAGTTGATCTACACCAAAACGAGCCACACTATTCGGTGCGAGGCTGTTCGGACTAAGCGGGATCGCCTACCCCATCAACCACTACAAGCATATATGGATGGTGAAGCTGTTAAGCGACACACGGTCCCGTGGCAGCAGATTCTCATGTTTTTCACGCGCACGCAGGCCCCACATGATTGGGCTAGCCCCCACTACAGGTTTTCCAAACGCCAGCGAGCGGCTTGGGCCACATTATGGAGACTAGCCCAGGCAGAGCTTAGTGCCTCACCCATCGTAGGCCAGGGCAGGGCAGGCCATTCCAACACAGGCCTTTCCAACACAGGCCTTTCCAACACAGGCCTTTCCAACACAAGCCTTTCCAACACAGGCCAGTACATGGCAGGCCATTCCAACGCCGGGCAGGCCAACACAGGGCATTCCAACACAGGGCATTCAAACGCCGGCCAGAGCAGTGAAGACCTGAGCAGTTCGGACCAAAGCAGTATACATTCAGGAAGTGATTCCGAGGACCAACAGCACCAAATCACTAGCGAATCCCCCTTTCAGCTCACTCCCCTTGACTCCGCCTGTCTAGATTTTTGCATTGAGCTATTGAACCACCGAACTAAGGTCGAGGACTATAAGAGCGCGCTTATCTGCGCTAGCGCGGTGCTTGGACGTGGGGAGGCAGGCTGGGGTACTGCCCAGAGCTATCCCCCAATATTGTCCAAAGTGATCAAGATTGCTCGGTTTATGGTGGTCCACAAAGCATTAAAGCTAGACCCAACGGCCGAGAAGATGATCCACCAACTAGCTACGCATCAGATGGCTGGCGAATGGGATACAGAGAGTCCGTTAGATTCGCCTGATTTCACGTTTTTAACGCAAACAACGGACGATTCGTTTTACAACGATAACGATGGAGATCAGGGGGCAGCACAGTCATCGCACTTTATTCAGTTTAGCCAGGGCCACACACAGGGCCACCGCCAACGATCATTCCGGGAGTGGGTGACCGAGATGGTCAGCCAGTTTATGGTCCGCGGCACTAACAGTCCAATGCAGTGGCTGTTAGATCTACGCACGTACGGCTTAAAGATCCATTATAACAGCACCGCCACAGGCCATGTTGGCTGGATGAACCAAGACCAGCTGTTATATCAACAGTACAGTTTCACTATGGGTGACTTCCGCGGCTTTACCCACGGCCTCGTAAGCTCCACACGCCAGATACTACACGAAGAGCTCCTGTTTAGTCAGGCTAGCTCAGTTCCCTCGATCCCGTGGCAGGCTATGTTTGATGATCCTACCGAGACCGCGCACGGGTGGAGCTTTTTAAAAGACACCCGTACGGTATGGCCTGTAGCCGGTAGCGAATGGATGGTGAATCGGGTCCGAAACGAGAGACCACTCCAGCAGCGTTTTATCGAGTCTAGTGCCGGCCGGCTCCGAATGTCCGCTATCGACGTTTATCTTCAACGGGTAGCCCATTTCCGCGAGAAGCTAGCCATTGCTGTCCACGTCAGCGGAGGCCAGCCTGCACGGGCGCCAGAGCTGTTAAGCATTCGGCACTACAATACTGACAGCGGAGGCCACCGGAATGTGTTTGTCGAAGATGGTCTGGTAGCGTTTGTTACGCAGTACCACAAAGGGTTTTATAGTACGAACGACGTGAAGGTTATTCATCGGTATCTACCCCGGGAAGTAGGTGAGCTAGTGGTTTGGTATCTATGGCTAGTGCTGCCGTTTGTGGAGAGATTGGAGGCGTACACACAGAAGGTGCGCGGGGAGGCATCTGATGCTGAGACGACTGGGTACGTTGGATATATATACACCCCCTCACACACACACCCAACACACAGATCAACACACAGATCAACACAGAGATCAACACAGAGATCAACACAGAGATCAACACACAGTTCAACACAGAGATCAAACATATATATATATATGCCCCCGCTCTCTCTCACACGCACCCACCCAACACACACATATATATACACTAACACGTTAACTACCAGCCCCCGTCGACAGGCATATCTATGGTCCCCTGACCCTGGCACCGGCCGGCAGTGGTCCTCGGAGAGACTGAGAGAAGCGCTAAAGCGAGAAAGCACCATTGGTTTGAACGGGCACGCCATCAATCTCCATGCATACCGAGACATCGCCATTGGGATCAGCCGACGATTCATGCGGCCATCGAGCATATTCCCCAATAATGCCCAACAGGACAGCCGGGCCGAGACATCCCAAGAAGATGACGAAGATGGGATCAATGCCGAGCAATGGATGGGCCATATTGCCGATCTCCAAGCTGCCCATTCATCCCATGTGGCCGGGATGATCTATGGCCGCGGGATCACCGAGCAGCCCGGTACAACGGCCCACCGGCGAGAGATGTTTCGGCTCAGCAGCACCGATTGGCACCGCTTTCTAGGATTTGTGTCCGCTGATGACGGAGGGGCCGAGAGCGCATTAGGGCTCGCGCAGCCTTCGCCATGGCAAAAGGAAGCTGAGATGAGCCGTACGGAGCGCCGGTGGCAGCTAGCCCAGGCCGCCATCGAGCCTGAGATGCAACGGATGATAGGTAACACCGGGCTACGGCTTCGAGGGGTGCAGGCACCGGCATTAGCCGCCATTCAACAGGGCCAGAGCCCAGTGGTGGCTGTGATGCCCACCGGGGGCGGCAAGAGCCTGCTATTCATGCTACCCGCGTGGATCAGCCCCCGAGGGGTAACGGTGGTCGTAGTGCCGTTAATTGCACTACGGGGTGATCTCGTCCACCGTTGCCGGCAGCTCGGCATCGCATGTGTGGAATGGGAGAGCCGGCGGCCGGCCGATCAGGCATCTATCGTACTGGTTACGCCCGAATCAGCTATTACGGAGGACTTTATGACGTTTTTGAACAGGCAGCGGCTCGGTCATCGGCTAGATCGAATTGTGATTGATGAATGCCACGTTGTGCTAAATGACCAAAGCCAATTCCGGCCTGCCATGGCCCAACTGGGCAGGTTGATCGTGGCCCAGGCCCAGATGATATATCTTACGGCTACGTTACCCCCGGCAGCCGAGGACCAGCTATTCCGGCGTTTACGGACTACCCGCGAGAAGGCCCATATGTTTCGAGCGCGGACCCATCGGACTAATGTTGCGTACCGGCTCTGGCAACCCAACGTGCCGAGTCGGTACCGAAACGGCTACGATTGGATCGAGCGTCCCGAGATCGTGAGATTCATTCAGGACCGTGTTTGGCGTGCCCGCTGCGCGGCTGGCCGAGTGGTCATTTATGGGCCCACTACTAAGATCGTCGAGCACATTGCCCAGATCGTAGGCAGTGAAGCATACCATAGCCGAGTACTCGATCGTCCGGGCGTGCTAGCCCGATTTCAGGCTCATCCCACCGGGGTGGTGGCCGCAACCAGTGCGCTTGGTATGGGGGTTGATATCCCCAACATCCGGTGTATCATTCACATCGGGGTGCCGCGCAGTCTGTTAGACTACGCGCAAGAGAGTGGGCGAGCGGGCCGGGATGGGGACCGCAGTGAGGCCATTATCATTCAGCCCGAGGGGTTCCAGCGGCCAATATGGGACCAAATCCATGAGGACCCCATCAAGGCTCAGGCCGAGCAGAGCGGGCTAGATCGTTATATATATAACGGAGGGTGTCGACGGGTTATTCTCGATGAGTATCTCGATGGGCATCAAAGGCAGTATTGCGGGGATTCTGAAGCTATGGAACAACGTTGTGATGGCTGTGATCCGGAGTGGCTAGCTAACGAAGAAGAGCTGGCTGTTGAGGGGGGCAGTGGTGGGGGCAGTGGTAGGGGCAGTGATAGGGGCAGTGAGATGGCCAGTGAGATGGCCAGTGAGAGAAACAGCCCAGCCCAGGGCCCAGCCCCAACATATAGGTCGGAGCCCATGGAAGATATCCAGTACGGTTCAATTGAGGCCAGCCACGATGCCCAAGGACCGAGGCCATTATCGAGCGAGTCGGAGGCCAGTGGCCAGCGCAGTGATAGCGAATCGACTACGTTTCGATCCCAAGTTCGATCCACCAGTCCAATGTATCGGCGGAGTGATGAACCAGGCAGGCACCACTTAGCCGCGCCAGAACGGCCGGTGCAGTCATCAGGGCATTCAGGATCATCATTACCCGCCCAGCTCAGCCATTCAGCCCAGATCAGCCATTCACGCCCAGCAGCCCAGCCAGGCCATTCAGGCACAGCAGGCCATTCAGGCACAGCAGGCCATTCAGGCACAGCAGGCCATTCAGGCACAGCAGGCCATTCAGGCACAGCAGGCCATTCAGGCACAGCAGGCCATTCAGGCACAGCAGGCCATTCAGGCACAGCAGGCCATTCAGGCACAGCAGGCCATTCAGGCACAGCAGGCCATTCAGGCACAGCAGGCCATTCAGGCACAGCAGGCCATTCAGGCACAGCAGGCCATTCAGGCACAGCAGCCCATTCAGGCACAGCAGCCCATTCAGGCACAGCAGCCCATTCAGGCACAGCAGCCCATTCAGGCACAGCAGCCCATTCAGGCACAGCAGCCCATTCAGGCACAGCAGCCCATTCAGGCACAGCAGCCCATTCAGGCACAGCAGCCCATTCAGGCACAGCAGCCCATTCAGGCACAGCAGCCCATTCAGGCACAGCAGCCCATTCAGGCACAGCAGCCCATTCAGGCACAGCAGCCCATTCAGGCACAGCAGCCCATTCAGGCACAGCAGCCCATTCAGGCACAGCAGCCCATTCAGGCACAGCAGCCCATTCAGGCACAGCAGCCCATTCAGGCACAGCAGCCCATTCAGGCACAGCAGCCCATTCAGGCACAGCAGCCCATTCAGGCACAGCAGCCCATTCAGCCCAGCTCAGCCATTCAGGCCGGCAAGACCCGTTATTACCCGCAAGTTCAGCTCCGTGCATACCAACAGAGGCCGCCCAACGGTTTCAACGCCAGGACCGAGAGAGAGAGGCAGCCCGGGTTAGTTACCAGCAAGCCCGCCAAGAGATCAGTGCCGGGCTCGAGTTTTTACAGCAACAGGCGCAGTTATGGGTCGGACGATGCTGGTTTTGTGCCCAACGCGGGCTTCATGAGCAGCATGACTTATACGAGTGCGGGGCACAGGCACAGTCCGGCTACACATCGGCAAAGAGTTGGTGGATTCGTGTGCGGCGGCAGATTAAATATGCGGTATTCGCCGGGTGCTTTGGGTGCGGGATGCCACAGGCGATCTGCGATCGATATATTAGTGGCGGGCAGGGGCAGTGTATGTACCGGGGGCTGTTATTATCGGGGGTGGCAATGATGGTGTACAGCGAGGGCAGTGAGACAATTCAGGAGGCGTGGGCTCAGCGGCTACAAACACAGGGAGTGCAGATGGAGAATGAGGGTGAGCTTGTACGGTTTTTGGGATCCCGGTTTGACGGAGATACGGTGCAGCTCGTGCACGAATATATATGGCTTCGAAGGAGGTGGATCGAGTATGGCGAGAGGGTATAGGGCGAGTTCAGATATATATAGGTGAATTCAATAAAGATGTACGGGAGGTATCAGATACATTACTAAGAATTCGGCAATATAGAGAACAAGGATAGTATAGAGGGGGAATAGCTTAGGCAGGGCATGAATTACCAACACAGGCTATATAGGACATTAATCGGCCATGGAGGGTATTTATTGGCCATAGAGAGCATGCATTGGCTAGAGAGAGCATGCATTGGCTAGAGAGAGCATGCATTGGCTAGAGAGAGCATGCATTGGCCATGTAGAGCATTGATTGGCCATGTAGAGCATTCATTGGCCATGGAGAGCATGCATTGGCCAGAGAGAGTATGCATTGGCCAGAGAGAGCATGCATTAGCCATGGAGAGCGTTTATTAGCCAGACAGGGCATGCAGAGTATTTAATAGCCATGGAGGGCATTCATTGGCTAGAGAAATCATTCGTTAGCCAGAGAGAGCATTCATTGACCAGAGAGAGCATTCATTAGCCAGAGAGAGCATACATTGGCCAGGTAGGGCATTCATTGGCCATAGAGAGCATTCATTGGCCATAGAGAGCATTCATTGGCCATGGAGAGCATGCATTGGCCAGAGAGAGCATGCATTGGCCATGTAGAGCATTCATTGGCCATGGAGGGCAGGCATTAGCCAGAGAGAGCATTCATTGGCCAGAGAGAGCATTTATTGGCCAGAGAGAGCAGGCATTAGCCATAGAGGGCATTCATTGCCCGCCCAAATCATCCCATCATTACCACCACAGGTCGATCAATCACACCATTCACACCATTTATTTGTAATATAGGCAGGGCATTGATCACCAGCCCAGTCACGCCGTATAGGGCAGGCGTTACCCACATAGGCGGGGCATTTAGCACAGATATATATAGTATAACCACCACATTCAGGCAGGGCATTCATTACGCACATAAGCTATCCCACGGGGGTACCTGGAGTCACCGTGACTCCAGGTTAGGGTTTTTCTTTTACTATGGGAGGAAAAGTGGGTCCATACCCTGACTTCAGGTTAACTTCTCACCCTGACTCCTTTGGTCTAGAGGCCTCCGATCAATCTGAAAATTTGGAAAGTTATAATGGCACATATGAATTTGCCCCCATTTGCTCCGGAGCTTGCACAGCCCTCTGGTTGTCGAGAAAATGGTGATTGAAAATGTCGGGTTTTTCGAGATGTTTTGATGGGGTGCGGGAATCTGGAGGTGCGACCGGGGCCTGAGGCAGCCACTTGGTCACCACGATAAGATAAGCGGGTCGCATCCTGACTTCAGGTAAACTTCGCACCCCCACTGCCGAGGGCTACAGACCTCTGATGGATCTGAAATTTGCAGAGGTTATAATATAGAGTGATTGATTTATCTCTGTTAATTTTTAGAATATAGGAGCATATATATGTGGGGTGGAGGGTGATCAAAAATGGGAGATGTTTTGATGGGGGACAAGAAAGGCTTGGCACTACAGCCATACAATACTCCCATTCCCATTTCATATCTTTCAAACCATCCATGTTATTCACACTATATATGCCATTCATGGGATCCAGCCATTGGTTTTTTTCACCACATTCATGTTACTCGCACTATGCATGGCATTTATGCTGCTCACCATATTTATATTATTCACTAGATTTATATATTCACTAGATTTATATATGCACCATATTTATGTTATTCACCATATTTATGTTATTCACCATATTCACGTTATTAGGCCATTCATATTGCTCAGCTGTTCGTGTTGCTTACCATATTCATATTATTCACCCATTTATGTTGATCAGCCATTCATATTACTCAGCTATTCGTGTTGCTCACTACATTCATGTTATTCAGCTATTCATGTTGCTTACCATATTCATGTTATTCACCCATTCATGTTGCTTACCACATTCATGTTGCTTACCACATTCATGTTGCTTACCACATTCATGTTGCTCAGCTATTCGTGTTGCTCACCACATTCATGTCATTCAGTCATTCGTGTTACTCCGCCATTCATGTTATTCAGCCATTCCTAACATATATGCCATTCATGTTGCTCAGCTATTCGTGTTGCTCACCATATTCATGTTATTCAGCCATTCAAACCAGATTAGGCTAATTGTTATATATATATATATGATGAATGCCGTGCTATATGAGCAATTAATGCCCTAGGAAAGGCTGAATGCCCTGCCTGCCTGGCCAATGGCGTGTTGAGCCCATGTGGGCAACGACTGCCTTGAGATGGGATGACTGGGCGACCTAGATGGCCAATGAATGACCTGGGCTGAGCTGAGTGCCCTTCCTGTGTGGCCAATAGCGTGTTGAGCCTATGTGGGCAATGAATGCCCTCCTTGGCTGGCCAATGGGCTGCTGAGCCTGTGTGGGCAGTGAATGCCCTGCCTGGCTGGCCAATGAGCTGCTGAGCCTGTATGGGCTGGGAATGGACTGAAATGGGATGACTACCATGCCTTAATGGGCTGAGGGCCCTTCCTGGCTGGCCAATGAGCTGCTGAGCCTGTATGGGCTGGGAATGGACTGAAATGGGATGACTGCCATGCCTGAATGGGCTGAGGGCCCTTACTGGCTGGCTAATGGGCTGCTGAGCCTATATGGGCTGGGAAAGGACTGAAACGGGATGACTGCCCTGCCTAGGTGAGCTGAGGGCCAGCCTATGTGGCTAGTGGCAGCCCTGCATATGTGGGGAATCAGTGGTTGACCTGTCAATCTAAGGCCCGGGCCGAAACGCACTATGTCGATCATCGTATTCTATATATAGTGTGTGCAGGTGGGGTAACGGGGGCTGAAACGATCCCCCGGCCTATTTTGAAATTCTTCTCACACTAACCTGCCCGCCCTTTCTACTCTGCTTTTCCTCTCTCTTTCATCTTCGTTATCCTTCACTGTTTTCTTTCATTACTTACCCCCACTACCACAATGGAACATCAGCTTTTTCACCAGCCATCAACCACGCCCGTGATTGTATGTAAGCTATGTGAATATGGTGTTCGACCAAAAGAGGTTTCTCGCCACCTCCAATCTGCTAATCATCGGATGCCGAAGCCGAAAGCGCGCCAAATTGCCGAGGCAGTTCAACAATGGGAGCGTACGGCAGAATGTGATGAATGGCAGCCACCCTTAGTGGTGAATCAGCCCGTTGCTAATTTGCCTGTTTATTCAGATGGCATTTTATGCGAGCAAGGCCCGATGTGCCAGTTCGTTGCCCGGTCAATTAGCACTATGCGTGTTCACTGGCGTGATCATCATAGCTGGGTAGCTCCTACAAACCGGGGCGGTCGTCGGCGGCAGCATACTTCATCAGCTGCGGAGCAACAAATCCAACAATTCACTCGAATCGTCCGATGCCAACGTGCGTTTAATCACGGGCTAGGGTCCCATTACATCCGCGTTCAAACCCTCGGAGCCGAGGCCATTCCCGAGGCCGATTCGCTAGCAATATCTGATCATAATAGTCAGGTGATTGATCAGATGGAAAGAGCATATGCCGAAAGAGAAGAGCTCCCCCAGGTGATCGTGGCCAGCCAGCGAGACGAGACGAATCCATGGCTTCGGAGGACCCAGTGGGCCGTCTATCTCCAGGGGATCAACCCGCACGACCTAGTGGACTGTGTCCGAGCCCCCGATCCCGAAGCGCCCGATCAGACCGAGCAGGCCGCCTATACAATTTGGAATTCAATGGCCACTGTAGCTCGCATCAGCCAGTTGATCTGCACCAAAACGAGCCACACCATTCGGTGCGAGGCTGTTCGGACTGAGCGGGATCGCCTGCCACATCAACCACTACAAGCATATATGGATGGTGATAATGTTAAGCGACACACGATCCCGTGGCAGCAGATTCTCATGTTTTTCACGCGCACGCAGGCCCCACATGATTGGGCTAGCCCCCACTACAGGTTTTCCAAACGCCAGCGAGCGACATGGGCCACATTATGGAGACTAGCCCAGGCAGAGCTTAGTGCCTCACCCATCGTAGGCCAGGGCAGAGCAGGCCATTCCAACGCCGGCCAGGGCAGGGCAGGCCATTCCAACACAGGCCTTTCCAACACAGGCCATCCCAACACAGGCCAGGGCAGGGCAGGCCTTTCCAACACAGGCCAGGGCATGGCAGGCCATTCCAACGCCGGCCAGGGCAGTGAAGATCTAGACCAGGGCAGTGAAGACCTGAGCAGTTCGGACCAAAGCAGTGTGCAATCGGGAAGTGATTCCGAGGAACAACAGGACCAAGTCACTAGCGAATCACCCTTTCAGCTCACACCCCTCGACTCCGCCTGTCTGGATTTTTGCATTGAGCTATTGAACCACCGAACTAAGGTCGAGGACTATGAGAGCGCGCTCATCTGCGCTAGCGCGGTGCTTGGACGTGGAGAGGCAGGCTGGGGCACTGCCCAGAGCTATCCCCCAATCTTGTCAAAAGTGATTAAGATTGCCCGGTTTATGGTGGTCCACAAAGCATTAAAGCTAGACCCAACGGCCGAGAAGATGATCCACCAACTAGCTACGCATCAGATGGCTGGCGAATGGGATACGGAAAGTCCGTTAGATTCACCTGATTTCACATTTTTAACGCAAACAACGGACGATTCGTTTTACAACTTTGATAGTGGCCTAGATCAGGGCACACCTCCGTCATCGCACTTTATTCAGTTCAGCCAGGGCCACACACAGGGCCACACACAGGGCCACAGCCAACGATCATTCCGGGAGTGGGTGACCGAGATGGTCAGCCAGTTTATGGTCCGCGGCACTAACAGTCCAATGCAGTGGCTGTTAGATCTCCGCACCTACGGCTTGAAGATCTATTTGAACAGCACCGCCACAGGCCATGTTGGCTGGATGAACCAGGACCAGCTGTTATATCAACAGTACAGTTTCACTATGGGTGACTTCCGCGGCTTTACCCACGGCCTCGTAAGCTCCACACTCCAGATACTACACGAAGAGCTCCTGTTTAGTCAGGCTAGCTCAGTTCCCACGATCCCGTGGCAGGCTATCTATGATGATCCCACCGAGACCGCGCACGGGTGGAGCTTTCTAAAAGACACTCGCACGGTATGGCCTGTGGCCGGTAGCGAATGGATGGTGAATCGGGTCCGAAACGAGAGACCACTCCAGCATCGTTTCATCGAGTCTAGTGCCGGCCGGCTCCGAATGTCGAATGTGCACAGTTATCTCCAACGGGTAGCCCATTTCCGCGAGAAGCTAGCCATTGCTGTCCACGTCAGCGGAGGCCAGCCTGCACGGGCACCAGAGCTGTTAAGCATTCGGCACTACAATACTGACAGCGGAGGCCACCGGAATGTCTTTGTCGAAGATGGTCTGGTAGCGTTTGTTACGCAGTACCACAAAGGGTTTTATAGTACGAACGACGTGAAGGTTATTCATCGGTATCTACCCCGGGAAGTCGGTGAGCTAGTGGTTTGGTATCTATGGCTAGTGCTGCCGTTTGTGGAGAGATTGGAGGCGTACACACAGAAGGTGCGCGGGGAGGCATCTGATGCTGAGACGACCGGGTACGTTGGATATATATATACCCCCCTCACACACACACCCAACACACCCAACACACAGATCAACACAGAGATCAACACACAGTTCAACACAGAGATCAAACATATATATTGCCCCCGCTCTCTCTCACACGCACCCACCCAACACACACATATATATACACTAACACGTTCACTACCAGCCCCCGTCGACAGGCATATCTATGGTCCCCTGACCCTGGCACCGGCCGACAGTGGTCTTCAGAGAGACTCAGAGAAGTTCTAAAGCGAGAAACCACCATTGGTTTGAACGGGCACGCCATCAATCTCCATGCATACCGAGACATCGCTATTGGGATCAGCCGACGATTCATGCGGCCATCGAGCATATTCCCCAATAATGCCCAACAGGACAGCCGGGCCGAGGCATCCCAAGAAGATGACGAAGATGGGATCAATGCCGAGCAATGGATGGGCCATATTGCCGATCTCCAAGCAGCCCATTCATCCCATGTGGCCGGGATGATCTATGGCCGCGGGATCACCGAGCAGCCCGGTACAACGGCCCACCGGCGAGAGATGTTTCGGCTCAGCAGCACCGATTGGCACCGCTTTCTAGGCTTTGTGTCCGCTGATGACGGAGGGGCCGAGAGCGCATTAGGGCTCGCGCAGCCTTCGCCATGGCAAAAGGAAGCTGAGATGAGCCGTACGGAGCGCCGGTGGCAGCTAGCCCAGGCCGCCATCGAGCCTGAGATGCAACGGATGATGGGTAACACCGGGCTACGGCTTCGAGGTGTGCAGGCACCGGCATTAGCTGCCATTCAACAGGGCCAGAGCCCAGTGGTGGCTGTGATGCCCACCGGGGGCGGCAAGAGCCTGCTATTCATGCTACCCGCGTGGATCAGCCCCCGAGGGGTAACGGTGGTCGTCGTGCCGTTAATTGCACTACGGGGGATCTGGTCCACCGTTGCCGGCAGCTCGGCATCGCATGTGTGGAATGGGAGAGCCGGCGGCCGGCCGATCAGGCATCCATTGTACTGGTCACGCCCGAATCGGCTATTACGGAGGACTTTATGACGTTCTTGAACAGGCAGCGGCTCGGCCATCGGCTAGATCGAATTGTGATTGATGAATGCCACGTTGTGCTAAATGACCAAAGCCAATTCCGGCCTGCCATGGCCCAACTGGGCAGGTTGATCGTGGCCCAGGCCCAGATGATATATCTAACGGCTACGTTACCCCCGGCAGCCGAGGACCAGCTATTCCGGCGTTTACGGACTACCCGCGAGAAGGCCCATATGTTTCGAGCGCGGACCCATCGGACTAATGTTGCGTACCGGCTCTGGCAACCCAACGTGCCGAGTCGGTACCGAAATGGCTACGATTGGATCGAGCGTCCCGAGATCGTGAGATTCATTCAGGACCGTGTTCGGCGTGCCCGCTGCGTGGCTGGCCGAGTGGTCATTTATGGGCCCACTACTAAGATCGTCGAGCACATTGCCCAGATCGTAGGCAGTGAAGCATACCATAGCCGAGTACTCGATCGTCCGGGCGTGCTAGCCCGATTTCAGGCTGATCCCACCGGCGTGGTGGCCGCAACTAGTGCGCTAGGTATGGGGGTTGATATCCCCAACATCCGGTGTATCATTCACATCGGGGTGCCGCGCAGTCTGCTAGACTACGCGCAAGAGAGTGGGCGAGCGGGCCGGGATGGGGACCGCAGTGAGGCCATTATCGTTCAGCCCGAGGGGTTCCAGCGGCCAATATGGGACCAAATCCATGAGGACCCCATCAAGGCTCAGGCGGAGCAGAGCCGGCTAGATCGTTATATATATAACGGAGGGTGTCGACGGGTTATTCTCGATGAGTATCTCGATGGGCATGAAAGGCAGTATTGCGGGGATTCTGAAGCTATGGAACAACGTTGTGATGGCTGTGATCCGGAGTGGCTAGCTAACGAAGAAAAGCTTGAGAGTGAGGTGGCGAGTGAGCTGGCCGTTGAGAGGGGGCAGTGGTGGGGGCAGTGATGGGGGCAGTGAGAGAAACAGCCCAGCCCATGGCCCAGCCCCAACATATAGGTCGGAGCCCATGGAAGATATCCAGTACGGTTCAATTGAGGCCAGCCACGATGCCCAAGGACCGAGGCCATCATCGAGCGATTCGGAGGCCAGTGGCCAGCGCAGTGATAGCGAATCGACTACGTTCCGATCTCAAGTTCGATCTACCAGTCCAATGTATCGGCGGAGTGTTGAACCAGGCAGGCACCACTTAGCCGCGCCAGAATGGCCGGTGCAGTCATCAGGGCATTCAGGATCATCATTACCCGCCCAGCTCAGCCATTCAGCCCAGCTCAGCCATTCACACCCAGCAGCCCAGCTAGGCCATTCAGGCACAGCAGCCCATTCAGGCCATTCAGGCACAGCAGCCCATTCAGGCCATTCAGGCAAAGCAGCCCATTCACGCCCAGCAGCCCATTCAGGCACAGCAGCCCATTCAGGCACAGCAGCCCATTCAGCCCAGCTCAGCCATTCAGCCCAGCCAGGCCATTCAGCCCGGCAAGACCCGTTATTACCCGCAAGTTCAGCTCCGTGCATACCAACAGAGGCCGCCCAACGGTTTCAACGCCAGGACCGAGAGAGAGAGGCAGCCCGGGTTAGTTACCAGCAAGCCCGCCAAGAGATCAGTGCCGGGCTCGAGTTTTTACAGCAACAGGCGCAGTTATGGGTCGGACGATGCTGGTTTTGTGCCCAACGCGGGCTTCATGAGCAGCATGACTTATACGAGTGCGGGGCACAGGCACAGTCCGGCTACACATCGGCAAAGAGTTGGTGGATTCGTGTGCGGCGGCAGATTAAATATGCGGTATTCGCCGGGTGCTTTGGGTGCGGGATGCCACAGGCGATCTGCGATCGATATATTAGTGGCGGGCAGGGGCAGTGTATGTACCGGGGGCTGTTATTATCGGGGGTGGCAATGATGGTGTACAGCGAGGGCAGTGAGACAATTCAGGAGGCGTGGGCTCAGCGGCTACAAACACAGGGAGTGCAGATGGAGAATGAGGGTGAGCTTGTACGGTTTTTGGGATCCCGGTTTGACGGAGATACGGTGCAGCTCGTGCACGAATATATATGGCTTCGAAGGAGGTGGATCGAGTATGGCGAGAGGGTATAGGGCGAGTTCAGATATATATAGGTGAATTCAATAAAGATGTACGGGAGGTATCAGATACATTACTAAGAATTCGGCAATATAGAGAACAAGGATAGTATAGAGGGGGGATAGCTTAGGCAGGGCATGAATTACTAACACAGGCTATATAGGACATTAATCGGCCATGGAGGGTATTTATTGGCCATAGAGAGCATGCATTACCACCACAGGCCATGTAGAGCATTCATTGGCCATGGAGAGCATGTATTGGCTAGAGAGAGCATGCATTGGCTAGAGAGAGTATGCATTAGCCATGGAGAGCATGTATTGGCCAGAGAGAGTATGCATTGGCCATGGAGAGCATGTATTGGCCAGAGAGAGCATGCATTGACCAGAGAGAGCATTCATTGGCCAGAGAGAGCATTCATTGGCCATGGAGAGCATGCATTGGCCATGGAGAGCATGTATTGGCTATAGAGAGCATGCATTGGCTAGAGAGAGTATGCATTAGCCATGGAGAGCATGTATTGGCCAGAGAGAGTATGCATTGGCCATGGAGAGCATGTATTGGCCAGAGAGAGCATGCATTGACCAGAGAGAGCATTCATTGGCCAGAGAGAGCATGCATTACCACCACAGGCCATGTAGAGCATTCATTGGCCATGGAGAGCATGTATTGGCCAGAGAGAGCATGCATTGGCCATGGAGAGTATGTATTGGCCAGAGAGAGCATGCATTGGCCATGGAGAGTATGCATTGGCTATAGAGAGCATGCATTAGCCATGGAGAGCATGTATTGGCTAGAGAGAGCATGTATTGGCCAGAGAGAGCATGCATTGACCAGAGAGAGCATTCATTGGCCAGAGAGAGCATTCATTGGCCATGGAGAGCATGCATTGGCCATGGAGAGCATGTATTGGCTATAGAGAGCATGCATTAGCCATGGAGAGCATGTATTGGCTAGAGAGAGCATGCATTACCACCACAGGCCATGGAGAGCATGTATTGGCCAGAGAGAGCATGCATTGGCCATGGAGAGTATGTATTGGCTATAGAGAGCATGCATTAGCCATGGAGAGCATGTATTGGCTAGAGAGAGCATGCATTACCACCACAGGCCATGGAGAGCATTCATTGACCAGAGAGAGCATGCATTACCAACACAGGCCATGTAGAGCATTCATTGGCCATGGAGAGCATGTATTGGCCAGAGAGAGCATGCATTGGCCATGGAGAGTATGTATTGGCTATAGAGAGCATGCATTAGCCATGGAGAGCATGTATTGGCTATAGAGAGCATGCATTAGCCATGGAGAGCATGTATTGGCTAGAGAGAGCATGCATTACCACCACAGGCCATGGAGAGCATGTATTGGCCAGAGAGAGCATGCATTGGCCATGGAGAGTATGTATTGGCTATAGAGAGCATGCATTAGCCATGGAGAGCATGTATTGGCTAGAGAGAGCATGCATTACCACCACAGGCCATGGAGAGCATTCATTGACCAGAGAGAGCATGCATTACCAACACAGGCCATGGAGAGCATGCATTGGCCAGAGAGCGCATGCATTACCACCACAGGCCATGTAGAGCATTCATTGGCCATGGAGAGCATGTATTGGCCAGAGAGAGCATGCATTAACCAGAGAGAGCATTCATTAGCCAGAGAGAGCATGCATTACCAACACAGGCCATGCAGAGCATTCATTGACCATGTAGAGCATTCATTGACCATGTAGAGCATTCATTAGCCATGGAGAGCATTCATTAGCCATAGAGAGCATGCATTGGCCATGGAGAGCATGTATTGGCCAGAGAGAGCATGCATTGACCAGAGAGAGCATTCATTGGCCAGAGAGAGCATGCATTACCAACAGAGGCCATGCAGAGCATTCATTGACCATGTAGAGCATTCATTGACCATGTAGAGCATTCATTGGCCATAGAGAGCATGCATTGGCCATGGAGAGCATTCATTGGCCATGGAGAGCATGTATTGGCCAGAGAGAGCATGTATTGGCCATGCAGAGCATTCATTGGCCATGGAGAGCATTCATTGGCCATGGAGAGCATGTATTGGCCAGAGAGAGTATGCATTGGCCAGAGAGAGTATGCATTGGCCATGGAGAGCATGTATTGGCCAGAGAGAGTATGCATTACCAACACAGGCCATGGAGAGCATGCATTGGCCAGAGAGCGCATGCATTACCACCACAGGCCATGGAGAGCATGCATTGGCCAGAGAGAGCATGCATTACCAACACAGGCCATGGAGAGCATGCATTGGCCAGAGAGCGCATGCATTACCACCACAGGCCATGTAGAGCATTCATTGGCCATGGAGAGCATGTATTGGCCAGAGAGAGCATGCATTAACCAGAGAGAGCATTCATTAGCCAGAGAGCGCATGTATTACCACCACAGGCCATGCAGAGCATTCATTGGCCATGTAGAGCATTCATTGGCCATGGAGAGCATTCATTGGCCATGGAGAGCATTCATTGGCCATGGAGAGCATGTATTGGCCAGAGAGAGTATGCATTGGCCAGAGAGAGTATGCATTGGCCATGGAGAGCATGTATTGGCCAGAGAGAGTATGCATTACCAACACAGGCCATGGAGAGCATGCATTGGCCAGAGAGCGCATGCATTACCACCACAGGCCATGTAGAGCATTCATTGGCCATGGAGAGCATGTATTGGCCAGAGAGAGCATGCATTAACCAGAGAGAGCATTCATTAGCCAGAGAGCGCATGCATTACCACCACAGGCCATGCAGAGCATTCATTGGCCATGTAGAGCATTCATTGGCCATGGAGAGCATGCATTGGCCATAGAGAGCATGTATTGGCCATGCAGAGCATTCATTGGCCATGGAGAGCATTCATTGGCCATGGAGAGCATGTATTGGCCAGAGAGAGTATGCATTGGCCAGAGAGAGTATGCATTGGCCATGGAGAGCATGTATTGGCCAGAGAGAGTATGCATTACCAACACAGGCCATGGAGAGCATGCATTGGCCAGAGAGCGCATGCATTACCACCACAGGCCATGTAGAGCATTCATTGGCCATGGAGAGCATGTATTGGCCAGAGAGAGCATGCATTGGCCATGGAGAGTATGTATTGGCCAGAGAGAGCATGCATTGGCCATGGAGAGTATGCATTGGCTATAGAGAGCATGCATTAGCCATGGAGAGCATGTATTGGCTAGAGAGAGCATGCATTACCACCACAGGCCATGGAGAGCATGCATTGGCCAGAGAGAGCATGCATTGGCCATGTAGAGCATTCATTGGCCATGGAGGGCAGGCATTAGCCAGAGAGAGCATTCATTGGCCAGAGAGAGCATTTATTGGCCAGAGAGAGCAGGCATTAGCCATAGAGGGCATTCATTGCCCGCCCAAATCATCCCATCATTACCACCACAGGTCGATCAATCACACCATTCACACCATTTATTTGTAATATAGGCAGGGCATTGATCACCAGCCCAGTCACGCCGTATAGGGCAGGCATTACCCACATAGGCGGGGCATTTAGCACAGATATATATAGTATAGCCACCACATTCAGGTAGGGCATTCATTACGCACATAAGCTATGGATTCGTTACCGATATATATAGTATAGCGATCACATTCAGGAAGGGCATTAATCAACCATACAAGGCAGGCATTACCCACATAGGCAGGCCATACACTGATATATATATAAGAATGATCGCATTTAACAAGGGCATTCATTAAAGATATATATAGATCAGAGATCACATATAGGGAGGGCATTTATCGGCGGCGGAGTATTACCATACCGAGCATTCATTACCAACATAGGCAGGGCAGTCATTAGCCATACAGGGGGGGCATTTATCGGCGGCGAAGTATTACTGGGCATACGGAGCATTCATTACCAACCCAGGCTAGGCAGGCATTACCAACACCGGCTCGGCAGGCATTACCGGTGTAGCTCAGGCATTTCGGGCAGGCATTCCCCATATAGGCAGTACAGGCATCACCGGCCCAGGTCAGCGTTTCATAGCATTTAGGCCCGTCGTTGCCAAGCCCGGTCAGGCGGTGTATATATCCGGTTTTATTATTATAAGCTCGCGTAGTCAGGCAAGGATATTAACAGCATATTACATATATATATAGCTTCGAAGGTAGTACATTAAATATTCGGAGAAAATATCGGCGAATATATATTCATTCATATATGGAGTATATAATATATATATACATTATAACTTCCGGGTAATCATATATCGGAAAGGGTTTTACATCGTGGTTCGGTTAAGGATCGATATACATATAGCGATAAATATATAAACGGGGATTTAAAAGACGAGAGGAGAGGAATATTAATAATCGATACGGACTAGTAATAGATAGACGGGTGAGGGTGTTTAATTAAGAGAGGGGTAAAGGTTTGTAATCAGGAGAG